CCGGGTCCGCGGGACGGATCCCGGTCAGCGAAGCTACGCCGAAGTAGGAAAATGTCGTGATCAGGCAACGGCAATATCCGCTTCGGGCCGACCCGGTGGATCCGGTGGATCCGGTGGCTCTCCAGTCTTCTTGAATGATACTACCTATGTACATAGTAGGGAGATGTGTCTTCTTCTTTGCGAAGCTCAAGGTCCCCTTCACAATGGCCTTTGGACGAGCATCTGTCCCGAATCCAGATGACACCATCATCCCATTCCATTACTGGGATGACGACCACCACACGCGAGGCCTCTCGTTCGATATCACATTCCGCTTTGACGATGTTTTGGACCACGAAAAGCTCCAAACCTCGCTATCCCGGCTTCTCGAAATTGGAGACTGGCGAAAACTCGGCGCTCGAATACGCAGAAATGAAAAGGGCGAGCTCGAATATCACGTGCCACGGAGCTTCGACGACAAGCGGCCAGGCTTTGCATACTCCGCGGCGGCATATAACACCACGATAGCCGACAATCCACAGGCATCCCGATTGGTGGACCCTCATCGGATTTATACAGACGGACAGGCATCTGTCTTTGGTGTGGGATTTGCGAGTAAGCCGGAGTTCAGATCGTTCATTCGGACTCCTGCTTTCCCGGAGTATTTGGAAGATTGGCTGTCCTCAGATAGTCCACAACTCGGAATTCGCATAATCACCTTCGAAGATGGCACACTTGTTACCGTGTCCTTTCTTCATAGCCTGATGGACATGATGGGTCTCAATGCGGTTCTGGATGCCTGGACTGCTGTGCTTGACGGACGAGAACAGGAGGTGAAGCCCTTTGAGGGATTCTCTCATGATCCACTGGCCGGTCTCAGTGATGCAAAGGCAAGAGTGGTGCAGAAATATGTCTTTGCCGATACACTGATCATTGGTTGGACATGGTTTTTGTTTGCGGTGCGCTACGTTCTCGGGGTCGAGCTATTCTGGCAGCATCGTGAGGAAGAAAGGGTAATTTTCTTGCCGGCAAAACACATGAAACGGATGCGCGAGGAGGCAATGGAAGATCTCGCAGCCAGGCATACCGATGAGAGCAATACCCCCCGCTTCATCAGCGAGGGTGATGTCCTGTTCGCCTGGTGGACACGAGTCGTTCTTCGAGCGGCTAAACCATCACCCAACCGCACAATCAACATGCGAAATACATACTGTTGCAGATCACTTCTGGCAGATCTTGGCCACATTCCATCCGCTAGTTCTGCGTTGGTAACCAACGCCGTCTTTGCAACCTTGACTTTCCTCTCCGTCCACCAGGTCCTCGAAGAACCGTTGAGTTTCACCGCCTCCGAGATTCGCAAGTCTTTGATTCAACAACGGAACATAGAGCAGCTGCAGGCATTGGATTCTATTCAAAGGGAAACACTGGACAATACGCATCATCCGGCGCTGTTTGGGAATCCCAGCATGTACATGATCATGATCTCCAATTGGGCCAAATCAAAGCTTTTCGAACTTGATTTCTCGGCTGCTGTCCAAAAGGAAGGATTGCCATTGAAGAGCCGGACAAATTCGCTGGGCAAACCATCCTCTATCCAGGGCACTGGAACAAAGGGATATGCAACACGCAATACTGGGGTGGTTATCGGCAAGGATGCCGCTGGTAATGTTTGGTGCTTGTATTCCCTGCGCAAAGACCTCTGGCCGGCTGTGGAACAGCAGCTTCGCCAGATGTCCGATGAATATAGAGCATAGCTTTATGAATGGAACATTAGTAGCTTGGTCCACGGGTACTACGCTAAGCTTCCAGTACATCTTCTCACTGTAGTATACACTGTTCAACGTTGATGCCACATTATACAAGGATATCCCTTGATGATGCTCCTGAGAAATAATATACGACAAGATACATACACTCGGATAGATATTCCACTATTTTGAACAAAGGAAATACTTCCAAGTCTATGTGTCACATTCTCTCCCCATCCTCCCTACACATCCGCTCCCATCTCCGTCTCAAAACAGGAGTAACCAGCCACCCAACAACAACACCCATCACTGAATCCACGATCCCAAGCCCCCTCTTTGGGCTCAACCCGGTCATATTCGTGAACAAACAACTAGCAGCCAACGAATCCTCACATATAATAAAGTCCCCCTGATCAACCTTCGCAATAACTCCAAGCGCAACCTTCTCTGACGATGGGAATTTCTTCTCTAGCTCTGCGAACGATGCAAGGTTTGTTCCTTGGATGCGCTTTGTAAGATGCGGCTTGGTGTCTTGCTCGAGTCTGAATCTAGGAGATACAAAGTCTGCTGGGAAGGCGATGTGGATCGTGTAGGTCGTCATTGCGGAGTTGTGACGGAGGAATTCGAAGCGAAGGGTATCTGCGAGGGCTCGGACGGCACTTTTGGCGGCTGACTCGAAGTGTTAGTAAGTCATTCAACAGGAATTCAGAGGCATATTTGAGGCGAAGAGGGACTCACGGGTATACGCGACGCTACCTGGTATGCCCAAGAACGCTGCTGCGCTGTTGATGAATACCAGCTTCCGCGTAGTATGTCCTTTAGGTTCTTTCTGGGTATCGGTGCTGGAGGACTTCCTGTCATTTTCAACCCAAATGTCCAGCATGGCTTTTGCGGCGTAAGCTGTAGAATAGTAGTTATTCTTCATGCAGGAATCGAGCTGTGAGGCTTTGAGGTCGACGAAGAATCCGTTCTCGGCATGGTTTCCACCCGCTGAGCAGTATAAGAAATCGGCGATTCGAGTTTGAGATTTGAAGGCTTCGGAGACCTGGTTATCTGCTAGTTAGAAGAATTCTCCAGGGAAAAGATCCCAGGATCACATACTGCCCCTGCATCTGCCAGATCAACAGGCACCGCATTGATCTCTTGCCGACTGGCATCAGCACAATTTGTGACTATCTCATCCTTTGCGACTTCTAGAGGGCCGAGTCGTCGCGAAAATATAGTTACATGTGCACCTAAGTCGATGTTAGGTGCAAAAATATCGCTGTAGATATTTGACGAGTCAACTGACCTCGGGAAGCAAAGGCATTGGAAATCGCTTTCCCTAACCCACCAGAGCCACCAGTCACAAAGGCTGTCTGCCAAGTATGTCAATATATATCCTCGATATGTGGAATGCGATAGTTACTTTGCCAAATAAGTCCTGGTCAGGCTTCATACTTTGGTTTGGGAGAGAGTAGCCCCAAAACCGGTTCAAGCCGACGAAGTATACGTGGAATTCAATCAGGAAGTTTCGATGTGTGAGTTGCACTCAATGAAGAGTCCGTCAGGGCGAAGGCCATGGGGTTGAAGTCTTACAAAAAGATCAAGTGGATGCGAGCCAATCGGGGCCCGTGCTCCGAGCACATCGAGTAAACCGCGCCGGGTCCCGTCCCCGATCTGCAGGCGATATGAGAGATTATGAGTATTCTGTCAACATACCCAATGAGTCCCCGGTGGCTTTCTGCATTGCTGATCTTCTACTACCTAGATATCTTCAATTTCAACCAAAATCACACCCAAAGTCGCTTGATTAGATTCGAATGCACCATTCTTCTGTTTCAATCCGTAGGATTTCGCCATGAGATCCTCCACTGCCAGCTGACAAATGTTTTTCCTGTTGTAGTGGCTTCGCACAATGAATTGTATTTCGAGCGATTAGATAATACCAGAGTCTTGAAGATCATTGATTGGATCGAATTTCGCTCTTTGCCTCCATCCCCGCTTTCAATCTGGACCGGGCCGTGCGCCTTCCTCACGGATAGTTCCCCACCTGGACTAGTGCATGTTTCCATACACCTTAGCCTCATCCCTCAATTCTGACCCCATGCGATCGTTCAAATCGTCTGGTCGAACAAAGGAAGACCTACAGATCGCGTGGTAACTTCGACCTTTTGAACCTTTTGACAGACGAGAAACCTTACCGGCACTACGTTGAGTATGTTTTAGTCTTTAATTCACTAGGATGTAAGGTAAGGGATAGTTCCGCTCACGCTAGTGCAATCGTCATGTTTCACGCTCAATGCCATCGTCTTGTGGATGGACGCCTAGCGAGGCTTGCCTCTAAAGCCAGACCCAGCTAGTGCTGACATACATGGAATGTGACGAGCGCGGGAATCCTCCAATTCAAGAACTCCACTGGACCTGCCAAGTCACTTTCATTGAGGCAAAAAGTACGGTGGGTAGTACCCAGCGCTGCACCCAAAACCACACTAGACAGGGAAGTAGATGTTGTCTCAAGGTGGTATTTATCCAAAAAGAAAAGTCGTCCTTCAAACGGCCCCCAACACAAATTGGCTATAATCCCACGCTGGGCACAGTCCTTGTCATACTTTCTAGTGCAACAAAACAACTTTACATGGCTATCAACTGGTCTCTAGAAAGCTTAGTAAAATGACTAGAGAGACAAATAGAGATGAGTACACTGGTAAGTGACATGTCAATTGCAGTCAAAGAAAAGAAATGCTAATGTGACCAATCACTTCAAAGTCTGCGACCAATGTCGATCCAGGAAGATTCGCTGCAGTAGAGAGAAACCATCATGCAGAAATTGTACCCGCCTTGGACTACAATGTGAATGGTCTGGTCAAGGCAAAAAGTGCAATCAAACAACGCTCCTGTATGTGTGCCGCACTTCCGTCTATGCGTGCCGATTCTAACTCATAATTTCACAGAAGCCGTACTATTCTTGGGATGGGAAGTCGCATCCAACACCTTGAAGTAAGTCAAGAATAATGCAAATAGTGTTCTTGAGCTGCCTGTTACTGATCAGAATAAAAGAACACAATAGCAGACACACAAAGATCATTGAAACAACTCCTCGACGAGCAACGGGTAACCCCGCCAGATTCTGCAGGACGTTCATCCAGCCCTCCAGGACCGAGACCCCGTTTTTCTCCGGAGCAATTCCCAGACACTTTGGAAACAAGGGACTTTAAACGACCTCTCAGTCGATTTCTCTTGGGTCACAATAATGATGAACGGTGCTTTGAATCCACGTCTCTCGAGTCACTCATGCTTAAGATCAAGGACAATATGATAGATGGATGCGACAGTGAAAGCCACACGTTCAAGGAATGCATCTCACAAGCACAACGAAAGATCGATCTTCTTGTTAAACAAGGGGAGGGAGAATGCGCCAAGGATACATCACCACCGACCACACCTCCGTTTGCTATTTTGGATGCTATGATTGAGCCATATTTCTCCTCAATCAACCCTCACTTCCCCATTTGGCAAAAGGAGAAATTTATTTGCATGGCAACCACGTTACGACAATCTCCATCGTCAGAACGAGACCTGGCGTCTATCATCTGCTGCAATAACCTCATTCTCATGGCCATGTCGGCAGACTCATTGTGCTCGAATCGTGGCGAGTCAATGCAGAACAGACAAGGGACCAAGGTTTCCTCAATTGAATTTGACATGATCGCGGGATTTCTTGCCAACACAAGGCGAGCTGTTCAGAGCATTGATCAGCTTGTCTCACCTCGCCTGATCAATGTTCAGGCTCTCTTATCCCTGGTACGTCCCAAATGAATACATATTATCTCTGCCCCTACCTAGTGCGAGGCTTACCATCTGCAGTACATGGTGGCACAGGAGCATTTTTCTATCGGTGTATCCGAGACGTTGTTTTCTCTCGCTGCCCGGTGCGCAAAGTTGACTGGTATCCACCAATGGCAATCTTTCCAAGGTCACCTCAGCGATGAGGACATAAGGGAGCGTCAAAACATCTCGTACTGTTTGTACACGATTGATAAAGCACTGTGCTGGACAGCTGGGTTGTCTCCAAACATACCCGCATCGGATATCCATTTTGAGTCATACGTCGCGTCCTCCGAAGCTAGCCTTGCGTCATCTCTCATCGCAAAATCTGAGCTGGCTAAGATTGAAGAGGCGATTTACTTGGAAATATACGCAAATCAAGTCAAGCCTAAAAATGAAGATGAGATTCGGGGTTTCGCAACCATGAAGTTATCGAAGCTTCAAGTCTGGCTGACGAACTCGGGAATGGACTTTGACATTGTTCAAACACTGCCTGAGACCTCTGCTTCCAAGCTTCAATTAGCGATCAGATACCTGAATGTTCAATTGCTACTCATCTGGCCCCACCAACACCACCCAGACACCATATTTCAACGATGTCAAGAGGTCGCTAGAATGTGCTGAAACTTGTGCTAAGCCTTTGGAACTCACCACCCGACAAAGGCAAGCACGCCGTTTTCCCATCGTAAGTATTGAAGCAGCCATAGCTACTCTCAACACGGATAACTAATGATGCTACGCCCATATAGCTTCGTTGCCTCGCTTCCTCCACTGTATCTCTACGAAGTTCTTTCATCCATCCTCAGCAACAAAGATTCAAAGTCCGATCTCAGCATGCTCCAAGAGTACGTCGACATGCTTGAAACAATCACAGATAGCCGAGCCGACAAGTCTTACAACAGGAGGCTCTACCAACTATCAGTTATCGTGAAAGACGTAACAAGCGCCCGAAAGACCCAACACAAACGGCAAAAGCCAAGCCCGGAATCAACAACAAACACATACTCTATCACAGACCTCCTCTCCCCCCTTGGAAGTCGTTACAGCTACATGGGGTCGGAACTCCAAGAAATTGGCAATTCAGGGTTTGACAGTTCTGTGTTCCAAGACCTAGATACCTCATTTACGTTCCTGAGTCCGCTTAATTCTACAACTGAAGAGCCGGCTCCGGGCCCAGGTGAGTTTATGCCGCACTTGGGGTCCTTTTCTTAAACGGCTCCTGGGTGTGAGATTTTCAATTCATTAGAATACGGTCCTTTTAGATATGCTTTGTGGGGGGAAACGAATTAGATTTATGACCCGCCACTCGTTGCCAAATATCAAGGCTTGTATGTTAGTGCCAGAATGATTTTGACCTGCTTGATGACTTGAAGGGTAGTTTCGTTTATAGAATCGATCTACTTCTTACTTGTATGTTGGAGCATAATTGATCAAGCTCTTTCCATACGTAATGCACCCTACTTCAAAAGTACTGGTCAGATTCTTTCTGATATCATCCCATTATTTTTTACCGATCTTTCTACCTGCATATAGATTACCGTGCTTTTGCTTGTCTTGACACGTTACGGTCGGACTGCGATACAACACCCCACTGAACCGGCACAACAATCTATCCAACGAGAAGGATATATACCGGTCGAACCCTGGCTCAGCAAAGAACCGCCGAAATCAGTTTTACCACCCTTCCACCGACGTAAATTTCGCCAAAACACCATCTTTAGGCGCATGAGTAGCACCTTCCCGCACTTCCAGCTTAGCATCCGGATACTTCAATTCAAATTTGAAACGACCAACGGTAGCAGCAAGCAAACAGGCTAGCTCACCCTTCGCAAAACCCTGTCCGATGCAGCCACGAGGGCCATGAAGAAATGTGAGAAGAGCGTAGTTACTAGTTGCACCACCCGTATTCGCCATACCCGGACCCATGAACCGATCGGGGTTGAACTCGGCCGCATCTGGACCCCATAGCCCCTCGAGTTTGTTGATGACTTCCGGGGCTAGAACAATGGTTGTACCTTTTGGAATAGGCTTGCCCACCAAAGTGGTATCTTTGAGGGCGACACGATTGGTGTTGGGCACGGATGGGTGAAAACGGAGGATCTCGTTGCAGACAGCATGTAGGTAAGGCAGGTTGTCGATCGTGACGGCGTCGATTTGCTCCGGGCTTTCTACAAAAATGGAGGGCAGATTTGCGCGGATTTCTTCACGTAGGCGCGTTTGGATCTCTGGTTTTTTGGAGAGCGTGTAGACAGCCCACTGCATAGCGCTGGCGGTGGTCTCATGGCCTGCAGCGAGGAACGTCATGAGTTGGTCGACCAGCTTTTCTTCGTCGAAGGTAGAGTCACCAGCTATGGCAACAGAGATGATATCCACGCCAGTCTGGGAGCCAGTCTGGGAGCCAGTATTTTTCAGATTTTCCCTCTTTTCTCGAATCATTTGGCGCGCGACATCGCGAATCGTTTGTCTTCCATCTTGGATGTCCTTGTTTCGCTTTGTTGGTAATTTCTGGACCCATGTGATATCGCCGATGATTATGCCAAGTAACAGAAGCATCTTTGTTCCAAAGGAAGGCATGGTAAAGACCTTGTGATAAGACTTGTTCAATTTTCCGGAAGGGTTGCGTAGCGAGTCAAAGTCTTGGTCCATGCCCGCCACGCCGATGATATCGAGCGCTGCACGCCCAACCCAGTTGCTGACTTGTATCGTGTTATCTTCAGCGGGCCCTCTGTGCTGCAGATCCTGTTCTATTCTTTTCACCATCTCTGAGCTCTTGGCCCAAAAAATTGGATAGAGATCTTTGATGTGGCGGTACGAGAACGCTGGCATCAAGCTTTTGCGTTGGACCTGAACAGAAGAAGGTGAGTGAATGCAAGCATAAGGCCGACAAAATAATCACGTCGTACCTTATGCTCTTCTCCCTCTGCAAGTAGAAGGCCGTGTCCAACTATGGGGTACAAGAATTGTTGTATTGTTCGAGGTTTAGCAAAATCGTAAGCCTTGTTTACCAATATCTCTCTCAAGGCGGCAGTGCTCGTCGGAAAGACCCTCTCCAAATTTCCGACAATATAATAACGGATCAGACCATCATTTGGCATATTGTGCGCCCATTTCTTCATTGGTTCAAAAGGCGTATCGATGAAGATAGACTCGCCATTTCCTCTAAGCCAGTGTCTATCCTACTCAATGTCAGATTCAATGTATTGGCCGTGCGCTCACCTCGACTCACTTACTGGCGGTGTCTGTATTTGTTTTAGTGGTGTAAACAGAGCTGGGTACAACGACACATTGTATATCAACTTGAACAGCGTGTGATAGAAAATACAGCAATAAGGGTCAGCAGTCTCGAGTCGTAGATAGCATGCTCTGGCTTGAAATACACTGCTGCTGCTGCACCAATATACAGAATACCAAAATTATCTCCTAAGCGACTCATCCTGGCGGTCAAAGTGAGTGTGTTTTCCAAGACGTCAAATCAGCATGCAACGATGGTCCTCGTGGGCGGCCGGTGCACACTCTTTATTTTTCAAGAAGAGCAGCACATTAAACTGGCACGGACACTATAGCATAACTATGGTGGTATGGTTATGGCACCATGGGATCTGACATGTCGCAAGGGAGAGATAGACGACGCACTTCGCTCCGGTCGGCCCGTCTTTGGAGGGACTCCCTGGATCGGGGGCCGCACCGAAACCCCACTCGGTGGCCTGCCAAACAAGCAGGCTCGGCGCATTAGCAGTCCGACATCCTGGTCTGATACTAGAATTTAGGAAACATCCCATGATCCATGCATTCACGGTATTTCTGATTCTCAGTAATCAATTGCTTTGGGTTGGTGAGTTTCTCAGGCAGTTTTCCCTTTAAAATCCTTATGCTTTGTAAACTTATGTACAGTTGACGCTCAATACAGTATAGTGCAGGCGTCAATACCTTACCCGATACAGATTCCATAACGCATTGCATTGTGACAATACAAGGGAAAGAATGATTCAAGATTAGTTGAAACATGGTCGTTACAGTGCGAACTACATAGGACGGGCATAGCCAGTTGAGTACTTTGATGGGTCGGATTTTGAATACTATACAGAATGTGCAGAATAGATGTGTCGGTACAAATCGTTCCGCGGGACTGCATCGCGTATAGAGGCGATTTCTTTTTCTTCTTTTTCTTCTTTTTCTACTTTGAAGAGCCTGTTTGCCAAGTAATATAATCCATTACTGATGAGCTGGATTTTGGCTCGATCTATTGCTTTGTGGGAGGCATAGTGATGGATGGAAGATAGGAAGATGCGGTAGTAAGAAAAGCGGGTGGCACACTCGCCTATGAATGACATTACAAATTTACATTACAAAAAATTGCCTTGGGCCACACACTACCTATACTGTCTTTCTCCCATTTAAATGCTAGATTACTATGGTTAATATGACGAGTTTTGTTCTACAAGACCTTGGAAATCCAAGAACTGACGTCACCCAACAGAGCTGTAAAACAAGCTTCTGCAATTCACTAGATTATTCATAGATCGCTTCCAAGGTTTTCAACCTGCTGAGAAATCGCTTAGTTCCTGGGTTTCCTACTGAGGTCTGCATATTTGCGCTTGGAAAATACCAACGATTCAAATAGTTTCACTCGACTTTGAGAATTCTCCTCATTCTCTGACATACTATCACTCGTATGTTGGCAAGCCAGCAACGAGGCAATCCTCTAACGACGTCCAGCCAGGCTGTCCACAAAACTCTTGTAGAAGCTTCTTTCCCCTGCTGACCTCCACGAACTCGTGCAGACAGCGGCCTTCGTCGGCTGGTGGACCGGGAATCTTATGGTTATCCGGTTGAATTTTGCGAATGATCTCCACAACTTCAGTCCAGTTGAATGGTGCTGCCATAGCAAAAATGCGTTCCGACTTTATGTCTGGATGAAGAAGAGCGGCAATGTGGAGATATGCTGCATCTTTGACACTCACGTACCACACTGAACACTGTTAGTACAGTATAAGTGAGAGTTGGAAATGCACTCACTGGGGGGAACATATACATGAAGTCCCCGTAACCCTTTACAAGTGCACTTGTCATGCCCATACTTCCCATCGGTCCACCAGCCTCGGGGTGAACGCGAGGGCCGAGCTTATATAAAGTCAGTGATGGGTATCTAGCCAAAAGGAAATTGGCAATACTTACACACCAATAAGGCACAACCCTATTAAAAACAAAAGAGGGCTTGTGATTCTCCACCCATTTCACTGCTTCTCTTTCTCCCTCGGTTTTCGAAGCGGCATATAAAGACGCCCCCATCATACCTGGGATCTCAGGTGTGTTGTTCTGGACAGCAGCAACAGCCTCGGAGTTGAATGAATCTGGTACTTGTTAGCACGATGTCGTATCCTAATGTCTAGGACATGCCTTTGTCAAATTGAGCGGGTGAATTCGCCGCGGGCGTCACACATGCAGAGGCAGAGGACGTCAGTACCACACGTTTGACTGAGGGTGATTCCGCAGCGACTTCGAGCCAAGTCAGAGTTCTTTTCACTGTTTTCTCGACGATGGTCGGGTCATCTTCAAAGGACATATCCATTGCCTAACAATAGTTAGTCCCGCGCCATTTCCACTTCGGTACCAACTTAAATCCCATACCACCAAGATCACGCCATCTACATCGTCTAGCAAAGGAGCTATGCCCTCGCGATCATCTAATTCAGATAGGATGACAGACTCGAAGAGATCGCCATACTTGCCCTTGAAATGCCCGTCTAGCCATTGTCGATGTTGACGCACTTGCCCGCGTACAAGGTACCCACGACTTAGCAATAGATCAATTATCTGTGAAGCGAGGTAGCCGTTCGCTCCGGTCACAAGCACTCGAGAACTCGGAGGGAGAGCGTATGCTTTGTCATCCATATTGAACGACACGTTGAATCGGTGCGTATTTGGAACTTCAGAGCACAACAGGAGTTCCTGCTATACCCTGGATACCATGGAAATACAATGAAGATCAACGTGATATAAGACATCTTCGATCATGCAAGAGTTCCTGACACTGACGCGGCTCGGGCCGTCAACCCGAGCGACCGGACCGCCTGCCCGGCAAAGAGAGTAGCTTCACATTCTGGTACGTGCTGTTGCCTTCAATAACCTTATACAGATTAGCGTGATTTCGAGTACGAGCCGAGGCAAAGCATGAGTGTCTCGGGGGTAAACGGTTTTCGAATTCTACTATATGTATTGTTTGAAAATCAGAACTCTTCAAACTTCCAAGTTCGAAGTCGAAAGTGATCTCTCGCACTCTCGCCTTCGCACAAACCTCATCAACGTTGTACACCGTCCCAAGCGATGGCCAGACACGCTGGCAGAAGTGTTTTCGTTGAACCGCCTTTTAGACCACTAGGCAATAAAACCTGTGAAGTTCCAGCCGTAATTCCAAGGATCGAATTCGATCTCCAATCAAGATAGCATCATCGATTTCGTTGACATCTCTGTTCTTGAATACAAGATTAGCGAGTGTGATTCTTTCCGGCTGTATGTGGCGGGTATTAGGGGTGAATTAAACCTGCTCCCCAGGGTAGTTACTTTCAATGATACGATTCCTAACCTGACGGAAAATCTCGTCATAGGTCTTTGCTTTTGCTTACTTACAGAGTCTATATTATATTTTGACTTGATCTAGTTTTGAAGGCTTTGAAATTCGTTGTAGCGCTTGTCGGGAGACTCCCTAGCATTTTTTAGTATGCCGTACTCTATAAAAAGATCACTCCGAAGTGTGACGCATGACTTCATGACTGACCTGGAGAACTGACTTGGAGTGCGGAGGGATGTCGGAGTTGTGGATCGGGAATCACTAGGGACACAACAGCTTTAGAAAGCTGTTGTGTCCCTAGCGTTAGTGGTTCCCTTTTGGATCTATGTAATTAGATAATACGACTTAGTCATCCTGTGTATCAGTCAGCACACGGTGTTTTGCGTGTGCTGGGAAGATAGAAAATGGTCAGACAGTTACACCTGAGCGACGAGTCCATTGGTTGATGAGAATACGTCTGGTTACGTGATCAGAGAAGGGACTGTGATCACATGATATGGAGGTCACGTGGGAGAAAATTATAAGGGCTTCTCCCTCCATAGTTTCTTCTTTCTCTCTCCACTTTAGTTGTTTCCGTTCAATGCACCTGGTTGTTTTCTTCCAGCTTGGCTCTACGTAACAATTCCTGGGTAGTGAGGTCCAAAGTAGAAAGTGCGTGCGATACTCATTCCGGGAGAAATCAGATCTTAGTGTTACATGCCAGAAAGCTAATCAACGATCAACTTGGACGAAGGTATCAAGACTGAGGAGGGAAGAAGAACATCAGGGAGGAGAGAGAGTCTAAATACATGGGCAAGCGAGTAAACAAACACCTGAGGCAGACAACTCGTGAATGGTAACGCCTGAGGTTATTTCCAAGTCTTCCTCCTTCGTCTTCTCCACTACGTCACATTCGTCACAAGTCCCCCAGGAGCGGGCAAGCCTTTTGCTGGGATCTGCTTACTCCCCATCCTACGCTCGGAGTGATGAGGGCTCTCAGGTCACTCGGCGGATACCCCCTACTATCCACGCCACACTCTTAGCATCTATATATATAAGTGCTTTTCAAATGGTTTGTTTCACCAGACACGGAGAAAATCCACCAAAGATTGTCTTTCATTCAAGTCAGTGAATATAATTATCAGTTATTTGTAATTATTGATCTACTTTCTAGATTCGTCCTTGATCACAAACTCTATGATATGCTAAGCTTGCGACACTTATTGGAGAGAAAATGGCTGAAGTTCTCTAGTGTCCACGGGCCTTTGCTTAAACATTCACGTCAACAAGTCAGAGCGTGTAAGAAAAGCAAAAAAAGACTGCTCGTTAAACATGATTCTGGTATTTGAATCAACTCTAAATATACATACCCTCCTGACCCATAAGGGGTGTAGCGATGGCCGCATTCACGGTGTAATCCTTGCCACTCAGATCACAGAGTCCATGTAGTGAGCTTATCACCGGGAGAATACAATGAGTGGATTTCAGGATTTGCCAAGGCTTCGAAGCTGGGGATCGATGCAATCAAGCCTTGGTGCATTTGAAACACTAGAATGCTTCACAGTACGCGACGTATACCTTCGATGGCGCCCGGCATCGCTCCTTGTATTCTTGAGTTGATGAGGCCGACTCAGCCTTTCGCTCCTTCGGACATTTGGGGTGCAGTTTTCATGTCGATCGAAGAGGCTTGAATGATTTTCTTTGCTTGAGGGGCTCTTGGACTGCTTTGAGATCTCCCCGAAGTAACGTTGTTTGACTGCGCTCAAAATTCTTCCGGAAAATGAATCGTGGATACGGTATGACGGTCTGACAAGCTGGCAAGACGCGACTGGGGGAGTTAGCAATGGGAGGTTGAGGTTGATGCAAGATGGAAGTTTGGCATAGAGACAAACAGGACAATCGTGGCCTGGGATAAACAGAAATCCCCCACGATTCCGATCTTCCCTTCTTCCTTTCTCCAGCTCTGATACTTTCGTTGATGGTACCGAATCGAATCGTCTTTTCGTCTGACATGTAACATACGGCTCCATGGCAGTTTTTGAGAGTCTCTCAGCTTGAACAAATGACGATCATCTTCAGAGGTCCACTTTCTGCGCGTGGTAGTTTGCCGTGCTTGTACAGTCGTAGCTTGTCGAACAGGATTCTCTATTGATATGGTGCTTGTTGCAATGATACCATATGCGTGCTGTAATGTTTTAGTTGAAAGTTGAATTACCGCAAGATTTTCTTTGAGAATATCGGCATCGGCAGTACTTACGCTGTAGAAACGCTTCAGATACCTGATCGCATTCCCGAGCCCGGCTAGATGATTATCTGCATAGTCCTCTTCGCCATGAAATGATGAATTTTCGGCTTCTGGTCGATTCGTTCGTCTTCCTCGTGACTTGGTCGCACTTATGGTAGTTAAATACGGGTACCGGCGTCGTTTCGGGGAAGGGATACTAAGGTCCTCCAAGGCTCGCTTCCTTCGATTTGCAGTAAACTGCATATGCTCGTCTTCAAAGACATCGAAGACTCTCATTGTTCCAGGTCCATCTAGGCCAGTCACAGAAGCCGTACTACTGACTCGGGAGGAAGGATAAAGCGCAACCTCCTCGGGGTAACTGGGGTAATTATCGGCAGCTGGTGCATCCTTGGGATAGGTATCAGGCGAAACAGGCCGAGAGAACCGATCAATTTCCGATGCTGGGGATATCGTATCAATCAAAAAGCCTTGAAGCAAAATGTCAAGAATATAACTTACCGAAGTTCATTACTCTGTCCTCTTCTTCTAGCACATTGTTCTCTAGGCTGTAGCCGCTTGCTTCTTCTCTGGAGGTGTTCAGTTGCTCTGCTACAGCCATGGTCTGGGTTTCCGAACCAACCGAAGAAAACCTTTGCAGGGAATTCGGTGTTGGCTGCCAGAAATCTTGATGATTTAGCGTTACCATGGTGAACGCAAGGATCTTTAGATAGAGGAGAGTTGAAGTAGGAGATAGCGAGATTGGAGTTAACAGGATGTAGAAAAAAAGTTGCACGGAAGTGAGCCTTGGCCTTTTGATATTCCAGGCGTCATTGTTCTTTACGCCTATCGTACTACGAAGCGAAATGTAAGAAGATCGGTAAAGCTTTCAGCTCCATAGCCAATGCAGCATGGTAATGACACCACATGTGTTATCGGCGCAGATCCTCAACCCTTTGCTGTGGCCAATTGAAAACCCGTTCTATCTCGTAGTGGATGGACTGGAGGAAGCGCTCCCAGGAACACTAGCATGATATGGACTGTGTGGGGGACTTCTTTTCCAGATTTATACTCGGACCGATGGTTGATGTCTCCACTTTGCTTAGCACGGCGTATCGATGCAGTCGAGGCCTATGGCAGGGAACGTGAGAATATTTGCCCAATGGAGGCAGTATTTGATGTTCCTAGGATCGAGCCAGCCCCGGACATAGAGATTCGAAGGCAATGAGGGCATTCGTGTTAGAGTCTATTGGATGGACGGCGGGATAGAGCCTGCATTGTGAAGGAAAGAGTGGACGATGAGATATCTAACATCTCACCCAAGTTAGAAGACTGGTTGAGTCGAGCAGCTGAAAGTTCGAAGACCGAGCCGAAAGTTACTATAGCACCGCGAGAATACGTCATTTCCTTGCTCCGCTCCCAGGGGCACGAGTAGGCAGCAGTGCGGTTATTGTCGGAGCATGTGAAAGAACAGAGAGGTAGGATGAGATCGAATGGGCCGGTCGGCCTGAGCATTGGGGTGAGCGATCAGGCTGCTCAGGGAGCAGCTCAGGGCGGCGGGGTGACTAACTCACCCTGTGCACCGGGAGTCGATCGCTTCCCGAGGCGACAGTTTGACCGTCACCTAGATTACTCATGGATCCAATCCTCGATTTGTTCAAATAGAACAAGGAGTGATTAAAGCCTACTACTAGACTCCATCACAGCCCCAAATTTGGCATACGCCATTGAAAGAATGATAACCATAGAAGCGTATCGGTGATAAAGCATTCCTCCCAGCTGATTCCCATTTTGTAACATATCGGACCCAACCCTGCACATCACCAGTATCAAAACATAAGCGCAAGCCATCAAACATTGATGGAGGCATCGACGGTCACCGGGCTCACCAATCCGACAGTCTCTGTCCGGATCTAACGCACCGAGAACCTAGCAGCACTCCTCACAGCACTCGAAGCAGAGGAGTCCAGCACAACTGCAAAACATCAGCTAACTAGCCAAAACACATTAGAGCCATGAAACTTACAGTCCACAGCAAATATCACCCGCGCCACCACCGCGCAGCTGCATCCGGTCGTCCTGTAAGGTTTGTGGCACGTTAGCGGACACCTCCCTTCCATATCGCGTTCGAGTGTAGTCTTCTGCTTACAGACTGCTTGGTCTCCACATGAGTGGTAGATGGAGCCGATGGGCTTCTCGGCTGTTGGTTTTGGACGGTGGAGGGAGGGGACGTGGTAGTAGAGGTATCCCAGGTCGACTTGGGGGAATCCTTCCGGGTGAAGCGGGAGAACAGTGCGTTGAACATTTTGTGGTTTTCTTGTGGATAGGAGAGTGAGATTATGATAGATTGGCAGATGAATGAGAGTAATGGAGTTGCGGTTTGAAGTAGTTGAGTAGGTTGAAGAGGGAAGGAAGGGAAGGGTTGGTGTGGGACGAGGGTGCTTTCTATACTTATACTTTCCGGGAATTTACATATGACTTTGGAAATGGAATCGGTGTGCAGGGGAATTTTATGGATTATCACGCAGAACGGGTATTCTTTCTCCGAGGATGTCGGTCTTGAGTACTATCCATCGGTTCATGTTCTTTGACTCGTCAGAGGCTCAGAGCCATCAGACCGAGGTGGTACGGTTTTTGTTGAGAGGTGAGACTCGGTTTTTTATTCCGAATTAGATCTACATGTTGCCTACGAATGAGCTGAGCGAGATGATAAGGTATCATAAGGGGGATAGCCGAACAGCTAGTTGTAGTTGAAGTCTACACAGTAAGATGACCTCGGCGATACTTTGGTTAGACATCGTGTACTGTTAGGTTAGTAGCAACATGTAGCAGTGACTGCTAGAATCTACTTATTGCATGTAGGATCTAGAGCTGCCCGAAGAGCACGAGGTGATAGTTATGCCGCATCTCTATCATAGACAAGACCAACCCCAGGGCAGATAAATCAACCAAGTATGGAACACTTCAAGCGTGTACCTGTAAGGGTTAAGTGAACGGGACATGTGTCATGTGTACAGTACCTTCTTCAAATGATACCAACAAAATTCCTCTGTATAGGCCGTTGTATTCTTCCCGCCAACTGGCGAGGCTATCCCCACAAAGTGCCCCACGAACTAACAACCAATCAACACTCAGCAACTTTAATGCCTCAGGCCACCCTAAATTTTCCATCTCCAACCATCCAGACCAACCTCAATATCCAATACCAAAACCCTCACCAACCACAAAAACCCTTTACAAAAGACCCAATCAAAATGTCAACCGAAGACCCTCAAACAACCCTCCACCAAACCCGCGAAGCAGACTACAAACGCTTCAAAAACTACGCCGCCTACACCTTCCTCATCGGCGCCCCGATCCTCCTAGCCCTCCCACCCCGCAAACTCGACCCCCTCTCCGTGCTCGTCATCTGCTCCTTTGGCTTTTCCGCAAACCACCTAGCCACCGAACACACCGGCAAAAGCCTAATCGACCGACTAGACGCGCGGATCTCGCGCGTCCAAAACGTCTTCTCGGACCTACCGAGCGAGCGCGCACAGGAGATCCAGGAGCGGCTGCGCGCGGCGCGGGACGCACAGCTTGCACAGGCGCAGCAGGAGCAGTTGCAGGCGCGGATTGCGGCTTTGGAGGGGAAATTGGAGGGAGGGAAGGAGGATGGGTCTTTGAGTGCGGAGATTGAAAAGCTGAAGGCTAGACAGATGCAGGAGAAGGGCGTTGTGCAGAGGGTTTGGATGGGGGGTGAGAGTGAGGGGTGGAAGGAGAGGAGGTTGAGGGAGGAGAGGAAGGCGTTGAGTGAGGGGAAGGGGTATGGGGATTTGATTCAGGAGCATATTTGGGATGTTTGGACTTGGGGTGGGAAGGAGGGGAAGGGTGAGGTTAAGGAGGTTGTCGAAGAGGAGAAGAAGGAGTGATGGTTCTTTTTCTTATTGTGTGTTTTGTATAGCGTTCTTCTTGCTCCACTCTATTGTTGTATTATATTGCTGTCGGCTTGCATTGGGTTTTGGCGTTTGGTAGCACATTGCTTGCCAGGAATCTGTTGCTCTCGTCTTGGGCTGAAATTTTTGTTGATGAATTGTACAATATGTCTGTTTCGATGAGGTTCATGTATGCCTCTGCTCTACCTAGAACCCGGGTGTGCTGGTCTGAATACACTGCACATGTTCGTTCTCCAAGTCGACTGCCCGGAGCATGGTCTACTGTCTTCACATCTTCAGCTAACAACCTAGTAGTCTACAACATCTGTCTACAAAGATCAGCCTCAAGTGTGCGACAACATTGATTCTAAATACATCCATTCTTCAAATAATCTTCGAATCTGGGGAACTCCCCACGACCATGGCATCGCGGGAGCGCCCAAAAATCAAAAGATAGTACATGAATATTTTCCAATTTCTTCGTCCAGAAGCCCACAAGTCCCTCAACGACCATGGCATCGCGAGGAACCCGCAAGACAACCGAATCAACAGTGGACAATTTGCCATTCCTCCACCATCTTCCTTCCGGAAGCCCGAAAAGTCACCCAACCATCATGGCCTGGCGAGGGACTCCCAGGACAACCGTACAAGTACAAACATGAAGTATCTAACAACATGAATAAATCAATGGCACATCCCACCATTCGAGCCGTCGAGAGGGCAAAGTGTATAATTTTCTTGTTTTCGGCGTCGTTGATGTGCCCTCTGCCCCTCTCCGACGGAGCCATGGGAAAACCCAGCCCTAACAATTGTTGGATGCCGGGGGAAAAAACCATGACCGGGACTGCAAGTAACAATTCCCAATTTCCCAATTCCCCTTTAAGGCAAGTAACAATTTCCCTTCATTTCCTCATTTCTCTGTCCCCCCGTCGTTTCCACTGAACTTCCGTCAATCTCGCCTGGTCCTCCCTGCAGACGGGCCGGTTGCACTTGCACCCGTCTACAGTGCTGAAGAAGCTGGGAATATGGATAGGCAGATTTATAGATTATCTGAATAGGTACATTCAACTCTTGGTTTAGAGAGGAATTGCCCGCTGGTCAATCAATTGCTGTGAACTTGTACGGCGCTACCGTGACCTCCTGGAAGGTCAATGGCAAGGAGCACCTGTTTTTCAGCGAGAAGGCCCATCTCGATGGAGGCCCGGAGGGAGGTTCGTATTTCTTGGAGTCTCGTCTTTAGGTCGTGGATTTCACCAGCTGAGCCGTGCCCGAACTCTTGGAAGAGTGGCGGTGCATCGGGCATCTCGATGTCGTTCTATATTCATTGTTAGCATTTGCTCTGTCAGGGAAAGAAGGGGAGAAGGAGTATTGGCTTACTGGCTCATACGATGGGGCATCCATCATCTCAATGTCGTAGTTCTGAGGTTGTTGGCCGCGCAAGGTCTTCTGGCGTCGTGGCTGCCGACGCGAGTGTGGACCAGGGTGGGCATCCACCATCTCAATGTCGCAGTTCTGAGGTTGTTGGCCGCGCAAGGTCTTCTGGCGTGGTGGTTGCCGACGCGAGTGTGGACCAGGGCGGGCTCTCACGGAGGTACGTCTCACTCCTTGGTCAACTCGACTTTGGCTCTATGGTTGTAGTTAGTATCATATCATCAATGTAAATGAGGGGGAATGGAAATACTTACAACATCTTCCCGTTTAGTACGGTGGAAGTCTGGTCTGAAGTTCTTGCCCTTGTAGCAATTGGCATTGGCATGTTGGTTCTTGTTTCCACGGTAATGTTGAGCTCCATTGTTCTGATAATTTCGAGGCCCAGTGGGCACGAAAGACGAGTTTGGGTTCATGTTTCCGTTGTCTCTGGTACCAGTGGGTTGATAGTTGTTGGGGTTGCCCCAGCCAATAACTCCTTGACTATTTCTTGCAAAGGGGACCATTCGATTGAGCTCCGAAGCACCGGATTTATACTTGGAGAAGTTGCCTAACCTCTGTTTTTGACGTGTTTTCCACTTACACGAGTCCAGGTTTGGTTTTGCTCGTCCCTCACGCCTTTTTGGCTTTTTTGGGAGAGACTTGTTTGACTGGGACCTCGATGGGATCTCCGTCTCAAGAGTGCAACCCAGCAAGACCGACACTTAGAGGCAACTCCCTGGTCCGGGCACCTTGCGAGGTAGAGCTGGCTGGGGGATAGTAGAGAGAGTTAGGATGTATGACTTTCTCGTCGAACGTGGTAGAGCCCACGTGGAGTGGTATGAGTAGAACAGATGGCAGGAGGTTTCAACGAAGGATTGTTTGTGGAAGGCCAGTAGATGGCGAGATGCAGTAGCCAGCGAGGTGCCAGTAGATGTGTGATATATGCTTTTGAATCCGGAATCTCGAGGTATATGTCCCAAGGAGTAGATGAGATGCACTAGTAAGTGCTAGATGGGATATAGTGATTGTTGTAGCAAGCAAAGGAACCCCTGGAGGGGTGATGGAAGGAATGGATGAGAAGTTAGTTCAGAACTGGGGGGAGAGGGTTTATATGCCCAAGCTGGAGGCCAACCGGTCAGGTGTCCGTCGCTGTTTACGGGAGCGGACTACGCTGAATCTTTGGATTATGGACTCGCAGAATTCGACCTCTGGAACAGGAAAACGTTAATTTATCCTACTGGGCCCATGGTTTAGCCTGGGGACCAAGACCGATATATTCCAACATACCTAAAGGGTACTCGGACGGAGAAGAAAAGCGAACAATGGCCCATTGTTAGTGAGAAAGGCAGACAAAGAAACTTCAGAGATCTTCCATTAGGTTTGGACCTCGATCAGATACTTTTGCGAAGGTTTCTGGGCTCATCAGGGAATCCGAGGCTATACAACCGAATACATTCTGAATTTGCAGCAGGTTTGCAGCTTTCTGGTGTGCAGGACGCTGTGAACGCACAGGCTTCATGGTCTGCTGTTGAATAAATGACGAAAGGTCAGTTAGATCGAACAGCTCGATGACATAGGGTCGTTGGTAACCTTTCATCCCCAACATTTCCCCAGAGTTCAGAAGTCTGCCACGAAGCCACCGAAGTTAAATTCCCAGGCATAATCGACTCAAGCTTTTCGTAAGTTTCTTTATTTCCAAGGTTGAGCTCTTGATGATCGACAACTTTATTTGAATCTCTTTTTCTCCTGCACATCCCCCGGGGGCTGGAGATCTATGATTGCCTAATTCGGCGGCGGAGGCATCCTGAATATGCTCAAACATTCGCAACATTACAGCAGTTACAAGGGTGCAGGAAGAAGACGCTTATAGGATGGAAAGTTCAGATAGACAAGGGAGATTATCACGTTCGACTAGGCTACTAGAACAGCAGATGATATGACCATATCGCTGAAGAGCTGAAGGGTGTAGATGGCCATACAATCGAATCCGTATTCGGTTTGCAGCAGGCCTATAGCATATCTGAATTGCAGCAAACTCGATGAAGTAGTGTAGACGTAGTGTTTACAGTGTTGTTAGTAACATTGGAGCCTTTCATCCCCAACATCTATTTTCTCTAGAGTTGGGTCAGAACCCTGTCACGAAGCCCCCGAAGTTAAATTCCCCAGGAACAATCGACACAAGCTTTCCTTAGGTTTCTTTGTTTCCAAGGTTGGGATCTTTATGATAGACAACTTTATTTGAATATCCTTTTCTGCTGCACAGTCCCTCGGGGGCTGGAGATCTATGATTGCCTAATTTGGCAGCGGAGGCATCCCGAATATGCTCAAACATTTGCAACAGTTCCAAGGTTGCGAAGAAAAAGACACTTACGGACTGGAAAGTTCAGATAGACAAACTTAGTGACAGTGAGTCATTCGTTGGGGAAATGGTATGAATCTATATTCCAATGCCGAAGTCTTCCTCAGAAGAGTTATGAGGTCATATCAGGAACCTCTGGGATTGTCACTAACTCATGTCATTTATACGTCGACTAGGCTACTAGGACAGCGGATCATATGCACATGTCGCTGAAGAGCTGACATTTCTAAAAATAACCACACCATAACCGATGTAATGCGCCGGTCAACACCAGTACCATCGATCCCAGCGCTAAAAATAACCCACCAGCAGACCAGGAATCCGACATTAGAGGCAAGAAGTTAAAAAGAGTGACGGACCAGCATCACTTGAAAACACACTCCCTCCACCATCCGTCATATGCTGTTCAGTGGCGACTTGCACGCTTTGCTTTCAGAGAATCCGTCCCATTTTCCGGCTCCAAATCACTCTCTCTTTTGCGCACATGCTCAACCTTCAGCCTCTTAGTCCGAGGCCTGTTCACCGCGGCTGAAGCACCGTCATTCGACACCAGACTCTCGCGCTTGCGCTTGTCCGGCTTGGGATTTTCTTTCTTTCGCCTTTTCTCCTCCTTGATCCTCAGGCGCCGCTGTACCTCTGCGGAAATATCTTCTGTTCCCAGTGACGTCGACGTGGTGTAATCGTCCTCCTGCGCTGGCGCTTGGAATGAAGTATCGCGGGATCGCTTTGAGGCCCGAAGTGTGTAGTCAGGGCCAGACCTGGTAGACTCTTCCTCTCGGGAAATATCATCTCTTCCCAGTGAGGTTGACGTGGTGTAATCGTCCTCCTGCGCTGGCGCTTGGAACGAAGTATCGCGGGATCGCTTTGAGGCCCGAAGTTCGTACTCAGGACCAGGCCGGATAGACTCTTTCTCTCGAGAAACTCTTCGTCGTTTCTTGCGAGTGTTTGTCTCTGAGTCGGTGGAGTGTGCGGGGTTGGAGGGGTTGGAGGGGATCGAGGTTGAGGACGTGGTGGTATTTCCTGACATGGTCAAGTCAATATCTGTGTTTAGGAGTCGACAAAGGTGGGGAGAAAGGTGGGTTTCAGCTCCGGATCTGGTTTGTTTGTACGACTTACTGCTCATCTAAGCAGCTGTCAGTTATGGGACGATAGGGTAAATCAATACATAACGGCCAGCTTACTATTATCTTTTGAACCACCCACAGGTCGCTCAGTGCCCGTACTGTTGTGTCGAACATTGACAAGACCAACTGCCCGTCACTTTCGGATATGGTTTGGCCCTCCGCCTTCCTCAGAAAGTCAAGGTGGGTGCCTATCATAACCGAGTGACGGGAGAAAATCTGTTGCGCAAGAGACCGGGGTCAGTTACACATTCCGAAAAGTTGCCTGGGCTCTCATATCTGTGCCTTTCCCAGTGGGAACTTACCTCTGACCAAGGAATTGGCGTGTTCGCCTTTGAATTGGTGTCGTGACTGTCATTTTCATCCTCCACGGTGGGATTCATGGCGGGCTTGGGTTTCGGGGTCATGTTGAAGTTGCAGTCTTGCAGATCGGCAAGATGAAGCTACTCCGCGCCAAGACTTTATCGAATGACGCGCTTCCGAGTCTAAGTGTACGACAACCACTACAGAGGGAACCATTCCATTGCATAGTTTGAATTACAGACTGAAATAGACCGCCTTGGTTTAATTGTTATTGTCGTCGCTCTTCTGGAGTATGTGATCAAACGCACCTTATAGCCCTTTCTTCGATAGAAGCGTGTTAAAGGCCCTTTGGAGCGACTCCATCACCACGACATCAATATTGTTCTCAGCGAACATGTCAGCCAGATCAGTGAAATCCAGTTGCCCACCTCGACCTCGTTCCGCAACAGCCCATATTTCCTGCACCATTTTGCGCAGAATTGCACTTCGGCACCGAGGATCATCTACCGCAATAGCTAAATTTTCCGTAATGAGAGACATTCGGCAGAGGTTGGCTTCAGATCCTCTTCCTCTCTCCATTCGATGCCTTGCCATTATATCATCATAGATACCGCGATAGTAGGCGAGAGATTCGGGCGAATCTTCCCATACACCATCTGGTTCCACCCCATGTTCCATAGACTCCTTATATCCGTACATAGCTGGGTCCCAGTCGCGCGTAAGCCACCCGGGATATCTTTCGTTGCCAAGAGTACGAGGCACAGCAGCGAACCCATCCCAATCGATAATACCTCGGAGCTCGCCCTCTTCGGATACGATGAAGTTCTGGATATCAAAGTCTGGATGTGCAAGGACAAAGGGATCCATTCTACTAGGCTCAGAGATCCAGCTTATTAATTGCCGTAAGATCATTGCGAGACCCCTAGGAACCTTGTTTTGTTCGGGGTGTATGTCGAGCATAAAAGTGTAGTACGCTTTCGGGTCGCTGGATGCCGCACACTCGATATAGATAGGTTCATCGTCTGGATCTTTATGAACGAACCATCGGTCAAGCATAGCCTTGTGATCGACTCGTCGCATAGACCCGATATGAGATGGGTTGCCATCGTTTCCAAAAACAAGACGGCCGCCAGTTCGAAACGAAAACCTGTCTAGCTGCACCATTGCCGAGGCGATGCTTTCAAGGGCGCGAATTCGGCGTAAATGGGTGGTGTCAGGATAGGCACTTTTTAGGCGGTGTCCAAACCAGACTTTATATAAAGAGATTCCGGAAACGAAGGTCATGATAATATAAGGGCATTGAAGAGTCTTTTGCGTGGTTGAGGAGAAGTCCAAAACATCAGGTAGAGGGATGGTGGTCTCACGCTTCAAGAGACGCATTGTGTTTGCCTCGGAGATCAGAGCCGAGGCAGACAACTCATCCCATTTGCTTGCCGTGCCGTTAATAGGGATTTTCGCGATCCAGCGAAGGCCAATATCAAACGTCAACGGGAAGAGTATGTGGTAAGATCCATACAGAGGCTCGCCGACCGAGGGTTTCGCATTGGTGGTTCGATGCAGGGGTTGGAGGCGTAGAATGGCGTTCGCCAGCAGGGGCAACTGCTCCTTATCAAGCGTCGAGAGAACTGCAGAAAATAATTCTGCATTTTCATCCTCAGAACAAGGGGAAGAAGGCGAAGAAGGCGACCGTTCGATATGCTGCTGTTGGGCCATTTTGGTCTGTAGCGCAGGTTCGTAGGTACCCTTGCATCCACTCAGATTCCTTTCTCCTCCAATCTTGCTACCACTGCCTACGCGCCCGACCTGCCCTGGGCCTCTTAGTCTTCTGCGCTCAACAGTCAACTTCATGATGCAGCGAGCCGTGCGAAACACTTGGACTATTTGTATTCCCGGTGCTCACAGGGGCTTCGCTACGTCTCTACCCTCCACATCTCGCTGTCGCCGAATTTCCCTACGGTCTAGTCTGAGAACCACGGATGTGCCGCGTCGAACAGTTATGTCGTCGCAGTGGACGTGCACCCCGAGAGTGTTTCCCACGGGATTCAAGTTGCTTGACCAGTCCATCAAGCTTGAGGAGGAGACACTACCAAATTACCAACCCAAAAAATACTACCCAGTCAATCAGGGTGAAATATTCAATGATCGGTATCAAACACTTGCCAAAATAGGATACGGAGTAACCTCGACAGTTTGGCTTGCGAAAGACTTGAAGTATGTACGTATTCGCTTCAGCCCAACCAGCTAGTGATTCTAATAGCATGAGACCAGTGCATCAACATATGTCGTTCTAAAAGTTTATGTGAACCAAAACCGAGATGAGCAAGAGCTGCACATCTACAAACACATGAATTTGGTGGAAACAAAACATCCTGGCAGACACTTTATTCGCAAACTCCTCGACCATTTTTATATCCAAGGCCCTCATGGCCGTCACATCTGTCTTGTTCACGAGCCTCTCGGAATGAGTGCAGATGCTCTGCTGAAGATGTCTCCTGGGCACGTAATGACCCTTGATGACATGAAGCCTGGTATTCGACAGCTACTTGTCGCATTGGATTTCCTTCACTCGGAGTGTCATATCATTCATACTGGTAATGCCTAGCGCCTGAAGACCGTGTATTATAGGCCTAACGCTGTCACAGACCTTCAGCTGAAGAACTTACTACTTCCCGGACCAGAGACAAGCTATCTTTCCCGATTCGAAGAAGCTGAAGTTACAGACCCATCACCTAGAAAGATGCTCAAAGACCGAACAATCTACAAGACTTTAGGTTTCCTTCCAAGAGGTGGGCTGCCAATTCTCACTGATTTTGGGGAAGCTCGATTGGGCGACGAAGAGCATGACGATGATATCATGCCAAATGTTTATAGAGCTCCTGAAGTGATTTTAAGATCGAACTGGAGTTACAAGGTGGATATATGGAATGTTGCCATGGTCGTGAGTGGAAACATTCTATCTTTTGCTCAAGGAAATGCTGATATTTTGGTATAGGCCTGGGACATCGTCAGCTCTCGCACCCTTGTCAATGGCAAAAACCAAAATGGCATATTTGATGACCGGGTCCATATGGCAGAACTGGTTGCCGTGCTAGGCCCTCCGCCACCTGAATTCCGGGAACAGAGACACCTCAGTTCCGTCTTCTGGGATGAGTTGGGCAACTGGAAGGAAGTAGTCCCAATTCCTGATATTACCCTTGAGAACCTCGCCGAGAAGGTTGAAGGGGAAGACAAATAAGGCTTTTTGCGGTGGCTCCGGATGGCCTTGCAGTGGAACCCCGAGGACCGGCCGACGGCTTTGGAACTCTTATACGACGAGTGGTTGATGAAGGGGCTAGGCGAGTGAGGGCAGGATAAGAAAGTATTGGCGAACAAAAGAAACGTGACAGTTATTCTATCCTGAAAGATTCTGCGTGGGGGGTATAGAAATCGGCACGTAGATACGAACCTTGATCGAAGTTACCCTGCTAGTAGTAGTAACCACATACACATGATATCAGAGGGAAACCTCGACTTGAGCCAGGAGCTAGGTAGTATGAGCTGAAGAAGAAGGCAAGAGCCCACATACAGTGAGAGGATGAGAACACCTGTGATTATTTCAATCGGATACACATATTTGCAAATCCGACGCCATTGATCCATGCTCCAAACCCAGTCATATCACCCACAAGCTAGCTGCTATCCAAACACACTATATAATGCAATGTAAAAAACCCCTCACCAAGCACCAGCGTCAAAGTCGAACCGCGATAAATCCTTCTGTGAATCTTCGACATCCTTCTTTGCTTTCATGCGCATGTAGAAAATCGGACAATCACGAGAAGAGCAGATGACTTCACAGTGAAGACTGCCCTGACACCGCTGGCACTGAGTCCACAAGCGCCCAAACCGAACCTCCAGATCGGAGACCTTGGTCAGAGTCTTTGTGTACAGTTCGCCGAGACGAGGACGGCAATTCGAGCAGACGGCACCATCCATCTCCTCTTTGCTGGATAGTGGCTTCTTGCAGCCCATGCAGGTTTGGGTCTTCTTGGCAAACTTCATCAGTCCACCCAAGTTCGACGCCGCCTTGGAGATGGACCGGGTGTGCTCGCCAGTGAGCAACTGGCCTGCTTTCTTCTCTCCCAAGATGGGTTCGAAGATGCGGTTCAGGGGGTTGGTAAGTTGGTTGTCGAGGTAGTATTTGGTGTCAATGGGGATGTTGTTTTCCAGCACGTAGATGGGATCTTCTGCTCGTTCGTAACCTTTGGAGTCACTGGCACCTTTAATCATGACGTAGGCCACACGGTCACCAAGTGTTGGCGCGGAACCTGCATCACGCTTGTGCATGCGCTCGGCAAGTTCGACGTGTGCTTGTTTGCCTGCGTAGTCCTCTTTGCGTTTTGACAGGGCCTTCGTGATGACTAGTTTCGACATATCGATTTTGTTCTGGAGGAGGTCCGAAATGGTGGCTTTGACGTAGCTAAATATTGTGTTAGTTGTTGAAAGGATTGTGTTGCAGGTATGGAACCTTACTCTTGAGCACCATCCAGATCCCGGTCAATTAGGATCTTGTTCAACACGGTTTCAATGACGTTCTGAACCATCAGACAGTTATCACGGCGGACAGTTTCAATACCCTTGGTATCCATCTTGTCGGGCTTGTGGGGGTTCGTCCAGTATAGTCCAGCGTATCGCTTCTTGTTAATCAAAAGATAAGGGAAGTACACTTTCTCGAATTCAAGCTTGATGGGTTTGATGAACTTGGCCGAGACGTAGTCTGCTGCTTCTTGGCCAAGCTTCATTGCGTCTGCCAGTTCGGTGACGCCGAACTTGACCATAACAGAATCGGTATCACCATAGATGACCTGAGCATCATGAGAGTAACCGTTGGCAATGGTGTAGCGCGCTTCCACTTCTTGCTTTGTCTTCTCAATCATCTGACGACCGTAACTCGTCGTACTACTGGCGATGGGAAGACAGGGCAATTTACCCACCGTGGCACCAGTTAGACCATAGACACTGTTTGCGCTGACCTTCAAAGCAAGCTGGCGACCGTTAAGTACCGCCTTCTTGAAGGGATCGGTCTCACTGGCTAGTTCCTTTTTTGCACGCTTTCGTGCAGACAACAACTCTTCGAGAATCTGTGACAAAAGTCCTTTGCGAACTTTGGTGGTGCAGAACATGTCTCCGTTTGGAGTGACAATGTAATCTTCGTCTTTCTTGAGATTCAACTTCTCAACGCTGCTCTTGTTGAGCAGGGTCGTGTAGCAGAGATTGTGTGCTTGAATGATTGAGGGGTATAGCGAGGCGAAATCGAGGGTTGCCACGGGCACACCGTAGTATCCTCGCTCAGGCTCGATGACCGTCGCACCTTCGTAATCTTGTTCATCCTGGGGCTTGGAATTGGGGATCACAAGTTGCTGCTCCATTGCTTTCCGGAAAAGCTGACTGATGAACTTGACTTGCTGTCCTCGAGACAAGAGGAAATTGAATGGTACACCCGTAACTCTGGCCATCTCCGTGTAGTTAACCAGACACATCAATTTGTCCATCAATCGCTGTGGCAAATATGCATCTTTCAAACAGTACACTGCCAATCGTCGTCTTGAATCGGGGGTGCCGTTGAAAAGCTCAGTGATCATCGTGTGGTGGACGTCTTCCTTTTGCTCTTTCAAGAACTCGTAGGACACTGAATTCAGGGTGTAACTTCTTAACTGGTGATCTCTCTGAACCAATTGGAGAAGATCGAGTTGAATTCTGCCGTTTGTATTGGTCGCTTTTGTGTCTCGATTGCCCATCTGCTTGCTGGAGAAGTTGGCATCCTTGGCCTCGGTTCTGCAGCCCTTCAGTCTAGTCCAGTACGGGAAACCAGTGCATTTCAAATGCTTAGCGCGGTCGAGTAAGTATGGGAAATCGAAGTTGGCGATGTTGTATCCGATAATAACGTCGGGATCCACCTTTTCCACGAAATCACGCCAAGCGTCGAGCATCTTTTCCTCCTTTTGGAACTCCAAAATTTGGGTATTGACGATCAGACTGCAAGTGTCAAGGACAAAGACATTTCTGATGAATGGTTTCGACTCTCCGTATCGAGTAACCACATTGGCAATTTGGATGACCGGGTCCATGTTGGGTTCGGGGAAGATACCTTTCCGCCCAGCACACTCAATATCAAAAGACAAGATGCGAAGAGGCGCCATTTTCGCCCATTCGCCATTGGGCGGATGAGCTACCATGTCTCGATAATCGACACTAGCTTCTATTTGGCAGTTCGACAATCTTTGACCTTGTGGGAGAAGACGATATTTCCCAGCCGTGGCCTCGACCCAGGACATTCCAGCCAATCCAGTATCTATCATGAAGCGTAGAAGGTATTGAATATTGTCGAAGGTAAGGATTCCGTCTGCGCCGGTCCACATGCCCTTGTAGTTCATGCTTCCACTGCCAGTCTCCAACGCACTTCGCAATCGTGCGGCCAATTTCGGTTCAGTGACTGTGATCTTGATGTAATAGCTCTTTTGATTCCCTTGAAATCCATAAATATTCTCGCGCATTGTAAGTTGCACAGACGAGATGGCAGGGAAGCTCTGTCCTAGTTTCTGTTCTAGGAAGGCTTTGTACGGATCGCAGTCCGCTTTGGTGAAGTTGACGGGGGCAGCGATATAGAGATAATGCTCAAAGCCGGTGACATGAAGACAGACCGATTGTCCGGACTATGAAAATCGTTAGACCGAAGAACTCGGCGAATTGCTAGTTGATTTACCTCAGTGACACCGAAAAGCCGAATGGCAGGCTTTCCCATCAATGTTGCTTCTTCCGCGTCAATCTGTTGGAAGCAGACGTTCTCCTTCTTTTCGTCAAATTCTCCAAGTGGAGGGCGCTCCCATTGCTGGTCTTTCTCTGAGTTGTTCTCCTTCAGGTCGCCGATATCCTGCGTCAACTTTTCCAGCACCTCCTCCTCGAATTGACTTTTCTGTGGTTGGGTCGATCCCACTTTACGTCGAGCGGCTTGTGAAGATGGCACAGAGGGTTCGTTGTCGAGTTTGCGCTTTTTGAGAGCACTAGCAGATTTCAAGATACCATTGGCATTGCTGGACGTGTCGCCCAGCACGCGCTTCTGGGGATGGACGATAGCTTCTGGCATTGCGGCGATTCATAGACTGGTGTTCATCAATCACAGTGGACAAGTTTGTAGTGGTAAAAGCCCGGGGTGAGAGGGGGATTGTAAACTTGAGAATGTGTTGGGCAACTCCTAGTGAAAGTCGCGCTGTCGCGCCTTCGACGTGACGTTTACGCGTGACAGTCACGTGCGATAAGATAAGTTAAGAGGTGGATTCGCCTTTCTGATTGGTCGAGTGGACGAGTACACTCTCGTAGCAGATGTATTGCGTACACCATAGCTCGAGAGAATCCTCTTGCCAGGCTTCTCGTATGGCATAAAAGACAAAAATCATTATTATTACATTACACGGGAATGGACCTATGTGACCGTTGAGGTTGACCGTTGTTGTTGTCTCTCTGTCCTATGCTTCAGCCTAAGTGAGGCTAAGCCCCGCGGTCACGGATGACTCGCCTCTGGCTTGGCGTTCCAAATGATTCCTACCAACATAATTGCAACCTCTTCATTGCATTGCTGCTTTTATCATTTCATGAATCATCGAGTACACTGAATATAGTATCCAGGGATGTTAGTACTCGACATCTGAGTCAGTTGCCAAGAGCTGCACGACCCGCGCCCTGTGAGAGAGATCCCACTAGTAGAACCCGATGGAAGCTTGAGTCAATTATCGACCCGCTCAAATCTGTTGGCATGTTTACATCTCGCTCATTTTGATCTCAGCTCAACGTGGCTTCTCTGAGCATCCAAGGGGGAATTGACACCTGTCCATCTCTTCGTTTCTTCAGTTTTGCCTCATTACACACCATTCAGCCTGGCTTTACCAGACCAAAGCCAGCAGCCCAGCACCATTATAGTGGGAAAGGCGTTCTTTCTCGCTCTATTTTTATAACTCAGCTTTCTGCCATTAATGGCGCAGGCACAGCGGTTTGAGCCTTGAATTTTCGGTTTTGGTTAGGGTATCAACATGTCGATGTTCCGATCAGCAGCGGATCTATCATCGTCAGACTCTGAATCAGAATACGAGTCGGAGGATAGTCAGGTTCAGCAGTCTGAGTCGTCAACTCCCCGCAATGCTGCAAAGAATCACTCGCGCAGCCCGAAGGGCAAGGCCAAGCAAGCCCCAAAGGACTCGGATTCAACAGACCAAGACCCTTCGAGCACACAGGATATTGTTGATTTGAATCTCGATCAGCATACAAACGTGATGACAGCTGCTCTGTTGGAATTCTATTGTGAAAGTCGAGCAGCAGACATCCTCAATGCTCAACGGGGTTCAAACAAAACATTCAGTCGGCATAGCCCCGAGGCTCGTTACCTTGGCCAGGAATTGTACAAATACAAATCACAGTTCTTATCGGCTCATGGTATCTTGGCCGACGGCATTGCCAAAGAGGAACTGGGACCAAGTAGGCAGAGTTACCGAGATAACCTTGACTTGCTTGGAATATCTGCCCTCGAGGAGATGAACTTCCATGATCGTCAACCACGGCCTAAGATCGGTGCTGCCGAAGACCTCGCATTAATAACAAAGGCATGGATGAAAAGAGCCGGCGAGGAAAATATGGAGAACCCAGCTTTGTTCCGACGGAACACCGACCCGATCGCAACGCTTAGAAAACAGCTTCCTCCTAGCAATGTTGACTTCATTCCAAGTGTTCCTCACAGGCCAATGAATCTCCCCAATCCCTCGATCCCCCTTTTCGGGAGTTCGCCTGTAGGAGTCCCGCTTTTCAATTCCCCGACAGCATCCTACAATCATTTGTCAAGATACTCTGTCGAATTTCAGGAGCTCAAAATTCTAGGCCGCGGGTCCTTCGGCGAGGTTTACCAAGTCACAAATCACATCGACGGGCAAGACTATGCTGTCAAGAAAATTCCACTCAGCCAAAGACGACTTGAGCAGCTCCAGTTCGGGGGTCAGAATCAGCTCGAAACTATCATGAAAGAAATCCGAACCCTTGCCCGCCTTGAGCACAAGAATATTGTTCGATATTACGGGGCATGGGTTGAGCAAGCGCATCATTCACACCCGACCCCAGTCAAACACCAAGATTTCCACCCGTCCTACGATGAACAGTCGCAGAACAATCTCCCTTCTCCAGGTACCCCAAATGAGCATAGCATGGGCATTGTCTTTGAACATTCTGAAAACTCGAATCCCGGGTCTCAGTCAACCTCTCCATTCGCAGATCATAGTTTCTCCGAAAGCATCAAACGCTGGGACAGCCGCGCGACTACTTCGTCTCACCAATCAAAGAAAAGTTCACGAAGAGGACTGGAGGAGGATGATGACATTGAATCCATTCCACGCCATTTCGACGGAAACACATCCGTGGGTCAAACTTCCTCGTTTGGGGAAACTGACGACATCTTCACCGATGGTCTGAGCCAAGACCGGTCTAAACTCCAAATTCAGACCCGTTACCGGCCTGGCCAGCAACCTCCTGCGGTCATTCTTCACATTCAAATGTCACTCCATCCTATCTCCCTCGCTTCGTATCTAAAGCCCGAGGCCGCTCCAAAGCATGACGATTGCCTAACCTCCAGGCGCCATTGCTTCCACTTAATACCCTCACTGAAGCTCATGCTGGACATTGTTTCAGGTGTCGAGTACCTCCACTCAAAGGGGATTGTACATCGTGATTTGAAGCCCGCCAACATCTTCTTGTGTGCACCAGAAAACACCACAGCAGATACATGCGTCGCGTGCAGCTCTAAGCAAGATTCTCCAGTCCAATTCTGTCGTCCCCGTATCGGGGACTTTGGTCTCGTAGCAGACATCTCTCATATCAACGAGCCCTCACAGGGAACTATGACACCCTATCAAAAAGGACCGAAAATCCAGCGCGTAGTTGGAACTGAGTTCTACCGGCCTCCGGCCAATTCATCTTCGCCTCGGAATGACCCGGACTCCCCAGTGGATTACTTCGAATATACAATCGACGAGAAGCTCGATGTTTACGCGCTTGGTGTCATCTTCTTCGAGATCCTTTATCGTCTGAACACGAAGATGGAAAGACAATTTGTCTTGAATGATTTGACTCGCGGGTCAAGCCAGAATCCCTCCGAGCGCACTATATTCCCGGCAGATTTCGCTGTCAAGATTGATCATGGCTCGCTAATGCTGGACAATGACGTCTCAGTTGCGGAGTCTCTAATGAATTGTATGAAGGGCATGTTGGAGCCCAATCCCCAGCAGCGGTGGACTTGTCAGAATGTCAAAGAGTATTTGCGAGCGACGAAGAAAGCTGTTCGCCGATTCGAGGAAGCACAGAAATAAAGGTCTAAATGCAAGACCAGGCCAACGAGGCCTCAATCCAATAATACAATAATCCCCAAATGCATAACTCTACTCATTAAAGTCACAATTCGGAGATCGCCATTCGGGCCTCGGTCTATCCACAGCTTTCCCCACGTTTTTCACAGGCCGAGCTTGGCCTTTCCCCGCATAATCCACTTAGCCCTGTTCATGTAAACCATCATGTAAACCAGTTCATTCAAATTCGTTTCATTCAGTTCATTCAATCCATTTCATAGAAACAAATCTCCCTCTTCATCTACACGGTAAACCCATCCAACCTGGAACTAAACCCACCATGGCCCATACCCTCCGCCCAGCAACAGCTCCATACAGCGAACCCCTCCTCCCCCAACTGGACCTCCGCAATCCCTACTACACAGACCTGCACCACAAGCTCCGCGCCACAGTCCGCGAATACGTCGACACAAACATCGCCCCCTACGCCGCCGAGTGGGAAGAAGCCGGCCAAGTCCCCGAAGCCGTGCGCAAACGCCATTGCGAACTCGGCTATGCCATCGTGCACCCGCTCACGAACGAAGAGGATTCCGCTGGCCTGGCGCTTCCGGGCAATGTGCCGCGCGATAAGTGGGATACGTGGTGCTCGTTGATTCTGTCGGATGAGCTCACGCGTGTTGGGTATGTGGGTGTGATTTGGGGACTGGGGGGTGGGAATGGAATTGGATGTCCGCCTATTGCGAGGTTTGGGACGCCTGAGCAGAGGAGGAAGTGGCTTCCTGGTGTTGCTAGGGGGGATATTAGGTTTTGTTTGGGGATTACGGAGCCGGATGGTAAGTTGCTTTCCAACTTCCAGACCTTGGGATGCGAGGGTATGCTTCTGAGAGTGAAGATGCGGTGCTGACTTTGGGTGCGGTTTAGCGGGCTCTGATGTGGCCAATATTCGCACTACGGCTCAACGTGATGGAAATCACTATGTTGTCAATGGCGCGAAGAAGTGGATTACCAATGGCATCTGGGCGGATTATTGTACTGCTGCTGTTCGGACTGGTGGTCCTGGTAGAGCTGGTATTAGTTTGCTTGTTATTCCGTTGACTGCGCCTGGAGTGACTCGCAGGCGTATGCATAACTCGGGTGTCAATGCCAGTGGTAGGTTGCTTCTTTCCATATGGCTTTGAGAAAGACGTCGTCCACTAACATGAATCGCAGGTTCAACCTTCCTCGAATTTGACGATGTGCGCGTCCCCGTCGAGAACCTCATCGGCAAAGAAAACCAAGGATTCCCTATTATCATGTCGAGTAGGTTTTGCTCAGGCAAAAGAACATCGATCGATGTCTAACACTTCATTCAGACTTCAATCCAGAACGCCTGGTACTTGCCTGTGCATCGTTGCGTCTCGCCCGTGTCTGCGCCGAAGACGCCTACAACTACGCCATCCAGCGTGAGACATTTGGCTCCCCGCTAATTGCAAAGCAGGCGATTCAGACCAAGATTTTCAAGTTTGGGCTCATGATTGAGCCGGCTTATGCTTTCATGGAGCAACTGGTGAATATTCTCGAACTCACCAAAGACCGTCCTTCCGACGATGTCAATATCGGTGGCATGACTGCCTTGCTTAAGGTCATGTCGACTAGGGCTCTGGAGAAGAGTGTGAGAGAAGCGCAGCAGATCTTTGGAGGTGCTGGTTATAACAAGGCTGGAAAGGGCGCGAGAGTTGAGCAGATTAGCCGTGATGCTCGGGTTCATGTGGTCGGGGGTGGAAGTGAGGAAATTATGGCGGGATTGGCCCTGCGAGAGGAGACGAAGGCGCTTCATACACGACGAAAGGCGCTTATGAAGAGGCAATCTAAAGTCTGAAGGGAGATAACGTATACCTTGGGGCGAATTGGCCCTCTACATTGATGAAATGCAACTGTTCTCAACACCATGACTTCATGCAATTAAAGATGAAAGCTCTAAGGATATAACTAATCTGTCTTCAATGAACAACCAGAAAGTCCAAGACGCAAGCACACTAGTCCACCCTATCAGGGGGTATAAGGCTTAGCATCCTCACCAAATATCAAGTGAGGCCTCTCAGCAGCAATCTTCAAAACAGTCTGCGCAAAGACCGAATTGGCCCAGGCGAACCAAGGCCGAGTATACGACTTGATATTAGACACATCAATGGACTCATGAATGAGCCCATGCAAACTGGAATTGCGGACGAGGTTGAGGTTCCCAATGATCTCATTGTCATCATCAGAGGTCATGGCCTGAACAAGAAGAGACATGGGCCAAGCATTCTCAAGACCGATATGCGGGCCACCAATACCGTGGAACTGCGGGCCCTCCAGGTAATACGGGTTCGAGGCCTTGTCGGTGATCATTTTCCGGGTATTTTGGTAGACTCGATCTGACCTATCCACAAAGCCTAGGTAGGGCAGAGAGAGCAATGAAGGGATATTAGCGTCATCCATTAGGATACGCGACCCGTACCCGTCGACTTCGAATGCATAGACATCGCCATACTTGGGATGCTGAACAATACCATGCTCGTGCACAGCCTTCTCCAGCTTGGTACCGCGTTCCTGCAGTTCGGCAACGAGACTCGCTGGGCCACCAGCTGCCTTGACAACCTTTGCCGTTTTCTGGAGCTGGACCGACATCATCGCGTTAGGCGGAATGAAGAAGCCTAGGATAGTGGCATCATCGCTAGGTCGGAAGGCGCTGCGGATCAAGCCCGTGCCGCTGTTGAGCGGATTGCCTACACCGGCTAGGTTGAGGGTCTCGGTGCCGATGGTCGTCTCCCGCTGGAATGTATACTCGTTCGGCACAAACTGGTTGCTGGAATTGAATGTGGGCTGAGACTGCGCGTCGATGGTTTTCAACACTGTTTGCAGCGCTTTGTACCACCGGTCCGTCACGAACTCGGTCGATCCAGTATTCTCGTAGAACTCGGTGCCTAGCTGCAGGAAATGGGCGAGCGAATCGAGTTCGTACTTGCATTCGAAGACAAAGGACGGCTCATACGTAGGGTGTACGGTATCCTTTTGGGTGCTGTCTTCTGGCTTGATGCCGCTGGCAGAGGGCGGTTGGAAAGCATTGCAGTAGGGTGACTGAATGACGAACTCGGACTGGGTATTGATAGCACCCAGAATGAGCGAGTAGAGATTCTTGTCTTTCGCAGCTAGTGTCTGGTAATTTGTGAGCTGGTTTGTTGAGTCACGCAGCCATTCGGCGTTGATATCGCCCGTGACAATGAAGGTATGTACGCCCGTCCATTGCGCGCCGTCTCGCTTGGAATTGGCGGATGACGCGGACCCGTTCGTATGCCACCGGATGGTGGTGTCCAATGTATTTGGAAAGGCGTTGCGGAATAGTTGAGCTAGGTCTTTGTCGACCAAGCGCGAGGTGACATCTTCAATGACCTTCTCCACGGCGGGCGATGAGAATGTCCGACATGCTTCCGTGGGTCGCTGGTATGGCAGATTCAAGGGCCCGCCACTGTATGGAGCGCTGTGATGTCAAAATGGTTAGCGGGGACCTGGCGGACTGTAAAAGGAACTTAGAAGTCTGTATACTCACTGCAGTGTTGATGCATAAGAGGTGTAGTCTGGACAGGCTCGTCGCAAGATGGCTGGCTCATCGCTCTTTGGGAAGGCACTAGCCTGGAGGCTCAGCAGAGCGACTGCCAGGAAAGCAGCTGAACTCATGGAGAAGACTTTGAAATTCGAATGGCTGAAAGGAATTGGGTGAACAGACTTGCGATGCTACAGGGGAGGAAGTCGGGGTAAATAAGAGTGAGGGGATGAATGTCGATCCCAACCAAGGATACATTCCGGGGCACAGACAAGGTGGAGCCGTCCAGTTGTATATTCTGCTCGTAACCTTAGCTCAAGCTTAAGCTCGGAGTAACACCCCGCGAAAGCGAGGTGACATCGGGCTAGGAACAGTGTCACTTCTCCGAAAATGCGGAGAAGATCGACACCGCGGGAATTCCCTTTTTGGATAAATGTAGATCTACTCCTACTAAGGGAAACAAGAAACAAAGTGGCTATGCGCTTTGACATTGGATATTGAAGCTTTTAGAAAGCCACTAAGCGCCTCAATGACCTAATTAATATCATTTCTTCCCAAAGAATGACATGATATTGCCCTGACCCGCAGCTTTGGGAGCCTTGGCCTTGGGAACATTGACTGGCTTCTTCTTGGGTGCCGGCTCATCCTCGGAGAAAGATTCCCACGTCGCTTCTTCCCGAGTGACTGCTTTGAATTAGTACATTGGGGTAAATAAGCGGGCCTCGGTTTGCACGGACCTAAGTAACCCTCCTCGTCCTTGACCGTCTTCTTTTTCATGACCTGCCGCTTGCCTCGCCGCCGCCCGCCCTGCACGGTCACTTCTTCTTTGAGTTCAGCTGGCTTGGATGGTGGCGGCTGCTCAACAGGGGTGGGCTCCCGCGGCTCTTCATCGACATCGGGCATTTCCTCATCTGGATCTATGTCAGTTGGTTCTGGGTCGTACCATGGAAGTCAACGTACCGTCTGCCTCGTCTTCGTCGTCATCCATCATCTTCTTGAGCCTTTCCTCGCGCTCTTTTCGCGCTTCGCGGTTGGCTGCTGCGGCTGCGGCTGCTGCTGCTGTATCGGTGCTATTGGGGAACAACTCTTCGGCTTCTTCCTCTGAGGCATCGTCAAGCACCACTGCAGGTTGTTAGCTAATACCATAAGGTCAAATGAATCCAACTCACCATCTTCTGAAGCACTTGTTGTGGCCTGCGGTCAAAGTTAGCGGGATCAGTAAAGACAAGAGAAAGCGTGGGCTGTACGAACCGGTTCTGCGAGCGTTGGTGCCTTCGCTTTCGGCTTTGCCTTGGCGAAAGAGCTGAAAAGACTGCCTTTCTTGGCCGGCGCTGTTTTGCTTGAAGGCTTGGAGGATGTCTGAGAATTGGCAGCAGAGGATGGCTCGGATTTCGGTTCTTCGGACTTGGTATTTTCTGTCTTTGCTGAGACTTCCTTTTGGAATGGCCGTTTAGCGGGCACCGTCGACTCGGTTGAAGGCTTCGATGCCTTAGCAGCCGGCACCTTAGCAGCCGGAGCCGCAGCTGGCGGCGGGCGGGCACCAGTCCTCCGCTAGATCGTATACATATTAGGTTATGAACAGGGCTGTTGGGGCAAGATATAACCTACCTTGACATTCCGATTTTGAATCATACCCCATTGCTTCCCACACTCCAGTGGATCCTCCTGTGCATGTGTGATTGCAATCTCTCTATTCGCATCAACCAACGCGTTCAAGTCCGGGAGAGCTGTAGGCTCTAAGCTGTAGACGTGGATTGTGGATATCGACTGAAATGTTGCCTTTGCATCTGCTCCACTCATCAGTGATCAGTTCGTCACCGAGATCCGTGATTCAACGTACCTTCCAAGTCTTCCTCGCGCACTAGCACAATGAAGGCAGTGCGAATTGAAGCCGAATCTGTGTCTTGATTCGGCATTGAGCTGGGCAGGTAGGGACTGCTTTGCATGGTCTCATCCTCATCGTCGGCATGGCCATTCGTAGGAGCTGGTTCGGGAGCTTTCTGGAAACCGGAGATGACGTAGGTTGCGTGAACGGTCTGTGGCTTCTTTGCGTTCTCACTGCGGTGGAATTCAAATAGTAAACTATGCGACAGAGGGTTAAATCTGCTCCAATCCCAATTGCAGCTGCTGTGAACTCAGAACATACTGTTTGGCCCGGTTGGCGTGCACTTTAAGAGCGCGGCTCAATGAGCGATAGGTGACCTGGTTCTGGTGAGCTATCGCTTATAAGAAGGGCACATAATCACGTACAGGGCGACGCTCATTGAGAACATTCTCAGCCAGATACAATTTCGAGTCCATGGTTGCTGTAGAGTGCAAGTGATCTCTTGACGCGTGCTCGACCACTTAACGCGTATCAGTCAGCGGGTCTTGGCGCTCACGGAGTCGCGGTCTGCAGCTGGCTCTCCACTCGCATCCTCCTCTTTCGTTTTGGGTCGCTGGGCGAATCCGGTTGGAATTTCTACAGACAAAGCTTTCGAAGCTCAGATTACAGGTCTTGTTTCAATGGATCCATCTTTCGACCTCCCCGATTCCACCGATTGGTTGGCAACGCCACTTTCGCTACTTGCGCCGTTCGAATCCTCACTGCGATGTCAAGTCTGCAAAGATTTCTTTGACAACCCCGTCATTACTTCCTGCAGTCATACATTTTGCTCATTGTGTATTCGCCGTTGTCTGAGCGCTGAAGGCAAATGTCCAGCATGTCGGAGCTCTGACCAGGAGCTGAAATTGCGGCGCAATTGGGCAGTGCAGGAACTTGTCGACGCGTTTATGACTGCACGGCCGAGTGTGTTAGATCTTGCAAGAAAGGAGACTGTGCGATTATCTCAGGGAGAGGCCGATACAGGGAAGCCGGCCCAGAAAAAGCGGAAGGTCGATCATTTCGACAGCGAGGAAGCGCAGGTTCCAGGGACAAGCTCGCAAGGCCGACGGACTCGTTCTCAGGGATTGAATAGCTCGGCAGAACAGCGTGCCGCTCCTCAGGTTATGCCTGAAATCGTTGAAGATAGTCACGACGACGAAGAATATGTGCCCGGTATGATACCTCAAATCGCGGGAATCAAACTCATCTAATCACCTCGCAGATGGTTTAGTCTCTTGCCCGATATGCTATCGGAAGATGAAGGAAGAAGCAGTTTTTCCACATTTAAGTGTGCACGAACGGGAAGAAGAACCCGCATTTCAAACTCCTACGAAGCCGACATCTTTCGGGTATGTTGACTCTATTGTGTGAGTCTAAAGGCTGATGCTAATCCGAAACGAATGGCAGATCATTACAAGTCCCATCCCAAAGAGGCTTCACCGTGACCAATAAACAGCCCGAGCGCCTCCCTGCCATAAACTACTCCATATTAAAGGACATGTCATTGCGGAAAAAGCTCCGAGATCTCGGGATTCCGGACTGGGGGCCGAGGCAGCTGTTGCAGAGACGTCACACTGAGTGGATGAATCTGTGGAATGCTAACTGTGACTCCAAGAATCCCAAGTCTAAGCGGATATTGCTTCAGGAACTGGATATTTGGGAACGCACACAGGGAGGGCATGCAGCAATGCCGTCGGCGTTCGGCTCATCCAACAATGTGATGCGTAAGGATTTTAATGCAAACGAGTGGTCAACCAGCCATGATGATGATTTCAGGCGTCTGATCGCGAATGCGCGTCAAAAGAGCGAGACTGAAGTGCGATCTACCATCCCTGGAGCATCTGTATCTTCATCTGAACCAGCAGAACCACAAGCACCGCAGCCTGCACAACAGCGACCTGCACAACAGCAGCCCGCGCACCAGCAGCCCGCGCACCAGCAGCCCGCGCACCAGCAGCCCGCGCACCAGCAGCCCGCGCAACAGCAGTCTGCACGACAGCAGCTTGCACAACAGCAGCTTGCACAACATTATGCACACCAGCAGTACGCACAACAGCAGTACGCACAACAGCAGCCCGCACAGCAGCACCCCGCACAGCAGCAGCCCGCGCAACAGCAGCCCGCGCAACAGCAGCCCGCGCAACAGCAGCCCGCGCAACAGCAGCCCGCGCACCAGCAGTATGCACAACAGGAGCCCGCACACCAGCAGTCTGCACAACAGCGACCTGCACAACAGCAGCCCGCACACCAGCAGCCCGCACACCAGCAGCCCGCGCAACAGCAGCCTGCACAATTGCCAGTAAATGGCGCACACGTTCAACTTCAGCCAGGTATTGATGCCAACCATGTTATCGATCTGTCGTGACCGCAAATCAAGCCGTATCGAATTTGGACCAAGAAGCAACCAGAATAACGAAAAAAATACAGTTCACAGAAGGCGCGTACACCACGCCCATAATGGACCTTATTTGGCTGGCATTGGTTGCTCCTCAACAGACATGTTGGAGAGCCTGTCAATGTTATCTGCCAGCGCCGCTTCCACTTCTTTGGCCTCCCGTGCTCGGCGGGCAGCTTCATCGGAGGCCTGCTTGGCGCTGTCCAGTTCGGCCAGTCTGCGTTCGGTGGTTGCCGCCTCTTCCTTCTCTCTCTCCTCTCTCTCGATCTTCTCCATTTCCGCAAGCTCATTATCAATCTCTCCCTCGTCAATCACCGGGCCGGCCTCGTTAATGATGCTTCCGACCTCATCCACCTTGGTCATCTCCTCGCGCAGCTCCTCAACAATATCCTCGACTCTTTCAGCACCCCCGATCTTAGTGTGCAGGCCGCGAAGTACAGAAGTGCTCGCTTGCATGACTTGCACTATATCCACCTGGCTGGCAGCTTCCTCAATCTTAGAATAGACTTCCTCGAGTTGCATGAGGGTGTTGAACCGCTGCTGGAGATTATGTTCAGCGAGCTTTTTAGACCGCACAGCCGACAGTGCTGAAATGCGATTCTTATTGGCCAAGGCTGTCTTTGCAGATACGGTCAGTTCTGCGATCTTAGCCTCTAAGCTCGTGACCTGTTTCGACATCGCAGACACCAACGTCTTGATAGATGCAATAGTTGTGTCCTCTTGGGTGATCTCTGCCGATTCATCTGCAGATTTGAACTTGATCGTCTGGGCAATCTTCAATCAGTATATGGGTGTTCGGACCGAGGGTTACATAGCTCAACTTACCCTCCCATCATATGCTATAGCATTGGCATCACGGGATAGATAGATCAATAAGACGTCAAAATCACCATCCGACAATTCCGTGGAATCATTTAGTATGGACGCGAATTGTTCAATAAAGCTTTCCTTCGAGTAAATGAGGTCCAGCTTAGATGAACTGCTGCCCGTGGCTTTTTTGACAGCTTTGTCTGCCGCCTCTTGCAGGTTTTCCACTAAGACCAACTGTTGCGCCTGCAATTTCGGTGCCGAATCACTCTCAGACCCCACCACAAAGCCCTTGAGCTGCCGAGCTCCCCAGCTCATAACATTCCAGGGATTCAGAACACCGGGATCAATTATCTTCCACTGACTCTTCTGGAAAAGCCCAGCGGTGGTCTTGAAGACCGACAATGGAATCATCGAATTATTGCGCACCGCCTCGGCCTATATAAGCCAATGGTCAGCTACATTTATCCAACACTTCAAACAGGAAATCATAGGCGCACAAATACAGTGCCCAGGGCGACGGGTCTCCCCCACTCCGAGCTCTCCAGATCCCGGAGCAACGACTCATCCGTTCGCAGGATCAAGTGATCGGTCTTCTTTCGCTTCACGCTGTCTGTGTTGCTTTTCGCTGATACACTAGAGCCTGAACGGACCCGCACACCGCGCGAAGAGGTATAGCCGCGCTTTGCAGCTCTGTTGAGCGCTTGTTCCCATGCCGCAACATTGACGGCATAACCATCGGGGTTCGTCTTTTTCTGGGGCGTGAAGTCGGAGTAAAGAGAGGGCAGGCGATTTCTGAGAGCCAAATGGTGATATGTTAGCGGCGTTTTCTTTTGCTTGTTTTGATGGGCTGTATTGTATGGATCTCGTTGCCCCGGGGGCCGAGCTCGGCGTTTACCTTCGAAATGCTTCCTCGTGAGTGAGGATATACTTCAGCAGATCGCTCATTATGAAAGGGTATCTCGAACAGCAAATATGCCAAGTTGTACTTGAAAGGATGGATTTCCAGACAAACCTAGCAGTTGGGGTCATTTGCGCAATCACATGAAGCTTTATCGATAAGCCGCACGTGATGCGTCCGAGCGTGGCAGATGAGGGGACCCCGGACAACAAGGTCTCAGGCTTTGCTTCTGAATCTGGGTTGAAAAGATGCCGGTGGCCACCTGGTCCTGGGCATAAAGGGAGCGGTAAGGAAGCGGTAAGGGGGCTTCACAGGTCAGCAAGAAAGGTAGCGGTGGCGTTTAGGTGACTTCCATTGAGTACATCCATCGTGAAAACAATTTACATGTACCAACTTCCGTCCAAGTGGAATATATAGTTATGATGTTTGGACAAGCTTGTATTCTATACTTATATGCTACGGTAAGGTATTAAGGCTGTAATGAGTCTAAGCTCGTTCAAAGTCATCATTGGATGGCCCATCAGGATCCCGAGGCTCCTGCGTCGTGTTCAAGGCCCCGGTATCCAGTTGCACAGGAAGTCCAACCAAAGAGCGGCGATGATGGCGCTTGTCGAGCTTCTCACTGGTCTCCTCAGGTGCTGTAGAGTCTTCCGCGGGCGGTTCATCCCGGGCATCGAATCCCCTTGCCTCAAGATATTCGACCTTCACAGCATGGCGTAGGTTCTCAACGAAGCTCTGCATCTCAGGCATGGGGAACACCCCGTCAGCCTGCAGCACATCAGCATAGAGACGCTCGGCTTCCTCCAGACAAGCTGAAGCTAGAGTTGGCTGGCCAGCTTTGAGCCACTGATCGGCAGCGAGCATGCTCCACATGCCGGCTTTTCGGCGACGTCCACCCCATTTCGCCGCTCCACCTGGTGTTTTCGAAGCGTAGCATGCAGCTACCCTTTCGGTATACAGAATTTGACCAACTGAGCCCACCAGACCAAAGTCCATGACCCGCATGGCCCATTTGGCTGCACTCTCGGTGGCCGATCCGCCACGAGACTTAAGAAGTTCGACCGCTAGGGACAGACAACGGAGTGCATGTGGCGCATCTGAACAACGTGTGAGATAGGAGTAGCACGCAGTCTCGAACATTTGGTCAACGCTGTCAAGTTTGATTTTGGCTGACGTAGCCAATGGATTTAAAAGCATGCTGACGGCGCACATCTCGTGGGCACCAGCATGGTACTTCCACGCTTTGTCGTTGCCAAAATCGGATCGAATCATATCATATGTGGATGAAGCCAGCTTCCAGTCGCGGAGCATGAATGAAAAGTCCGCCATCTTGCGCAGGATAGCTTCCGGGGAATCTGGGCTATAAAAGTGTTGCGTTGGATCGTAGTTGCCGCTACCACCCGCCGAGCCTCCAATGCTTGAGCGGGAACTGGAACCGAAGCCAGCCCATCGCCGAGACATTGACATGAATTTGCCACTGATACCACGTCTCTTAGATGCAACTTGGTCGTTCCAAATTGCTACTTTGTTTTCCATGAATGGAATTACAGACTGCACCACCAGCTCTCGGATGAACGCCCTAATCCCGGTGGCATCAGAGCCAAAGAGATATGGTGTGCCATCAGTACCGAGGTCAACCAAGGCTTCTGGAGAGGAGTTAGCTTAGTTTACCGTGGGAACTATGTGGAGATGGAAGACTTGCCTGCTTCGCCTGCTCCTGACAGATGCTCTGACGGCGAAAGCCATTCACATTGCGGAACTTGCATGCTGTCGTCATCTGTCACCACACACTGGCTGCTCCGCAGTCTTAGAAGATGACAATGGAGCCCAAAGTGCCGCTTCATTTGATCATAAAGTTTGGTAGATTCCGTGATATCATCTCGCTCCTCATCGTGAATCAAAACGTAATATCGAAGATACTCCTGATTGATCCAGGTGGGTAGGTGTTGATCCCCAGTAGCGCCATCGGCGTATAGTTGTCGGAGTGTCTCCAATGGTGATGGATTCCGTGAGCTGATGGCTATTACATTCGCTACCGGGTGGCCAAAAGTCTCATGGGGCGCTGCAGGTGTCGAAGACAAAAGCTGCTGCAAGAACGATTTGCATAATGGAGTTGTTGCGGGGAATCCCAAGACATCTTTAGTTCGTACCGTTCCACCAAGCGTATCCCCTGAGGAGTTCAACTGCTTGGACAGTACTTCTTCAATCTGTGCCAGAGGCCCAGAGTCTTGACCAGCCGGAGCCTTGCCGATCCCTTTGAAGTTGATAAAGCGCACTCCATAATCCTCCCAGGCACGGCTTGAGCCTATGCTGTCCCGAATCACCACCTTCCCAGAAACCGTTTCTCCAAAGGGCCGGATCAACTCCCAGAATCCCCCTTTGAACCCCTTATTCCTCACCAAATCATCGGTATCCTCAGAGGCATGGACTGCGATCGTAGGCGAGAATGACCGGATAATCGATGAACGTATGTCTTCTGAGCCATCTGCTCTGCCATCGAAAGGCGAACCGATGGATGACCTCGCTAATTGACCGGTCGAGGATCTCTCGGAGCGCGAGTGTGACGAGCTAGACCGTATTGGTAATTCGGCGACAGTAGCGGACAGAGGGGTCGGGGGTGAGACTGTATGGGATCCCGTGAGTTCGGCATCTAGAGATTGAGTTGTTTCATGCTCCCCAGGGTATCGCGATGGTGATTTAGATGCGACTCGCGCAATGCCGGGGGAGAAGGACGGTGGAGGTTTGACCGGAGTAGCATCTCCGGGCGATGTCATGGGTGGACACCTGCTGCTTCTATGCAGATTTAAAGCAAGTATATTTGATCAACGGGCCCCATCGACTTGGTAGATGAGGGGTAAACGAGGCGTAATAGAGCGGGTGGAGCGCAACTGGTCGAAGGTGTTGTTGAGGAGAAGCCAAGTCGAGGGATTCGGGCCGATAAGCACTGACACGAGCGACAACGAACCAGCGTAACAGAAGCGGTCGGGCACTAAATAAATCTATTGAGGTTGGTGATGTATGTGTGTGGGATTGAACCGCAAATATTCTTGAAATCGTACCTGAAGTAAGAAGATCGGGGCGATCTACTAGACTACTGGTGATGCAAAACCACGTGAGGGCGAAGCTTATCAACAATGAAAAGTTGACTGATTTCGGGAAAGAGCATTTGACTTGACTGTTTAAATGCGGCTGCGCTATTTCGCGAGTTTATTTGAGACCTCTGGTCTGTCTACAGTTAAAGCTCCGCCTGCCATCACCCTGACTAGAAGAGCTGCTAGAGCGCGCCCGATTCAACTACCCCTCCGGAGCTCCTCCACCTTACCTTGTCGCCCTTCCATGCGCAACCCCGAATCGGACTCAGAGTTCTCGGGACGAGTCAGCAAGAAGCGACGCATTTCCTCTCCCAATAGGAAACGCTCAGACGCAGTCATGAGTGTCGAAGTGCCTACCATTACGCTCACTCCGCTTGAGAGCACCCTCCGAACGCTGCTTCTGGATGTCGCGCAATACATCGGAGAGCAAAAGGCCGCCAAGGGAGGAAACCATATCACAGATGACTCGGAGACTGTCTTGCGCTTCACAGGTGGCTGGGTCAGGGACAAGCTGCTTGGAATCGGGAGCAATGACATCGACGTGGGCATCAGCAACATGACGGGATACCAGTTCGGAATGGCCTTGAAAGATTACCTGGATGTTCCAGAACGCCTTGAAAAATACAAGGACAGTCTCCCGACTGGGAAGCTGCATGATGCCATTGTGAGCCTTCACAAAATAGAGGCCAATCCTGAGAAGTCAAAACATCTCGAGACCGTCACAACCAAGATCTTCGGTTTGGATATCGATTTGGTCAATTTACGGAAGGAAACATACACAGATGACAGTCGTAATCCTCAAATGGAGTTTGGGACTGCGGTTGAGGATGCTTTAAGGCGCGATGCAACTATCAATGCGCTCTTCTACAACCTCAACGAATCAAAGCTGGAAGATCTTACCGGGCGAGGGCTGGATGACCTAAAGAAGAAGATTATCCGATGCCCACTGGAACCATATCAGACCTTCAAAGACGATCCACTGCGTGTGCTTCGATTGATCCGGTTTGCGAGTAGACTGAACTACAATATCGACCCGGAAACAGAGGCTGCTATGCAGATTGAAGACATCGGTGAGGCATTGAAGCTCAAAATCAGCAAAGAGCGTGTGGGGACTGAGTTGGAGAAGATGCTGCGTGGTGAGTCATTGTGCGTGCTTCTGGTTCCTACATTTCTAACGCTCCATTTCCCTAGGCCCTGACCCACGCCGTGCATTAGAGTTCATCGATCGCCTCCATTTATTCCCCACGATCTTTGCCAACCACCAGGATGAGGTTAAGGCCGACACTTTGACATGGTCCCTTGCTTACAACACGCTGGCACGGTTACTACGCCCAGAACCTAGTGACAGCGAAGAAGTTCAGGCAGTTACGAATCGCCTTCGCGAGATCCTATTCCGCGACGAAACCAGCCTGTACTACGCCTGGATGATCGCAACATTCGCTCCATGGACTTCAATCCCCATCCGTACCGTGAAAGGAGCCAAAGCCAAACCCTTACCCCCGCGAGCGGTGGAGGTTGGAAGAGACAGTCTTCGTGCTGATAACAAGACCCTCAATGCTATCCGAGCTGCTGCTCTGAATTACGAAGAAACAATTGCGACCAAAAATGCACTACTAACCAACCAAATCACTGGGACACCCGCGGAAGTCAGACAGCGGATCGGGTTGCTGATTCGATCATGGAATAAGGACTGGAAGTTTTGCATCCTTCTGGCTATCATGGAAGAAAACATGGCGCACCGAGGCTTTGCAGAAGGTAAGACTCAGGTTCCTTGTCATTATGTTGATCCATTGCTCACGCTCTATAGTGGCCCGGGAATACGACCAATTCCTTGCGTATATTGTAGAAAATGACTTGGAGGGTGTTTGTGACCTCCGGCCCATTGTAAACGGCAATGAAATCATGACAAGACTCGGCGTCAAAACGGGGCCCTGGGTAGCCAAGGCAATTAACATGGTTACGGAGTGGCAGCTTCTCCATCCTGAAATCACCGACAAGGAAAGGGCGCTGGAGGAGATCGTCAGTCGACGAACAGAATTAGGGGTTTAAAGGAAGTGAAGACCCGATCATCGATGACAAATAAAAGTGAAAGTCGATCCACGGATGGGCAAATTCTTTCTAAACAACTTCAATGTTTACCATTTAAAAAACGGGGTACATCTGAAAATCGTAAATGGCCCAATACGGTATAGTGTCGCTTCCGAATAAACCCAACCTTCTCGCTTTTCTGATCAATTGATGCTACCATTAATACATGACTTTGCGTTTCTCATGTTTTTGAAAGGCCTAAAGTGGATCATTCTCCTGTTAGGGTAGACTCAGGATGGATAAGCTACAGCCTTCGAAGCAAGCTTCTCACGAGAGATTAGCTACAACATTCAGTGTCTCTGGGCCCTGTTTCTCTGCCGCTGTTGGCAAGTAATCCTTTCGCACAAGGCTTCTAAAGTCTACACATCATCTCCATTTGCCTCGGAAAACCCGCGCATCACAGGCCACCGAAAGGAACAGATCACCAGAAACACCGTTCTGTCCGTTGTTGTGCCTTGAATGATGAGCCCTACAATCCGGCCGACTCTCATAGATAGGGACAACAAAAGCGACTGTGACCAGTCAAATAACTTGACCCGCAACATCAGGTCAGTGCGTACTGGATCGAGGTGTGTAGTGCGTGATAATCTTGGTGTGGTCTTCGAGGAAGGGAAGCGGATTTTGACCGTTGGCGTGATGTAAGATAGCGATTCTGGCGGCTACCGGGGCGTCCTGACGCTGACGTCGTGAAAACTTCCAGGTGCGGCTTCTCGAAGAAAACTGAAGTAAATAGACTGGCAGAATAACAGAATGCTGGTGAGCGGTTTGGTAGTCATATTGATCGTTGTTGAGATCGATGGCGAGGTGGGTACGTCGGGACCAGACTTCCACCGCAAGAAGTCGTCTTTCTGCTGTCTCGTTCCATGCCGCAACGAAGCCTTCGATCTTTGCGGAGACTGAAGCTACGTAATCTTCCGAGTTCAACTCAGCGGTGGGTAGGTCGCCAAGAATCCGGATTGAAGGAGTCACTTTCAGGGCGTTGAGCACCTGGAGGTTGATGCTATCTATGACGGAATATGAACAGACAAGGTAAAAAGGACGCAACACTGCCAGAGCAATCGTGTTGGTTTTCCCTTCCCTTGAGAACAAGAACAACTGATACCTACGTGACGGCGTGGGGCGCTAAACCTAAAATGGCAAAACTAACCGCATACATTACATCGTCAACTCTTCTTTTCTTTAAATCTGACCTAATATTTCCATAATGGATAAGTTGCGCAAACAAGTCCGCGAGGCTCTCGTGCGGAATCCTGGGATGCCCATCGACGTCCCCGCGGCGGCGTCCAAATGTGATTTGAATCAAATATGGCAGGACGTTTCTTCTTATGATCACTCTACACATCTGAATGTGAGTCTCCATAGATTCCTCGATTCAAGGAGGCGGAATTAACAATTCAGATCTGTGAGAGTCTCGTTGCCGTGACTAGTTACATCGACGACTGGAACTGCCTGCTGTCAAACGACGCAGGCGCGCGACCCTTGAAACCAGCCGAGGCCAAAGTCGTGAACAACTTGTTTGACTGGGCCAGTGCTGTCGCACTTCCTTCGTCGGAATTTGCAGTTGAATTTGACGAGACTGCGGAAATCTCCGATGGTAGAACAATCGATTACATACGAGAAGCTTTTGCTAACAGTGCCATACAGATATTATTAAAGCCCAGAATGAGAGCCGCTTCAGATCTGAGCTGGCACTTAAGCTACTGATGGTCTTGAATAAGCCCTTACTTGGCATGACAACTGGAAGACCAGACAATGTGGCGGACGTTCTGCTCGCACGCGCATGTTTTGCCAACGAGAAGGACCCTTGGGTTACATCTAATAGCCACGATGTGGCGAATGAGCTCATGCTCGTGTCGGTTTCGGCTGCTCATACGAGCAAAATGATCTGGTCTGCTATTGAATTCATCCTGAAGGAGAGGATCAGGCCGCTATTTGCGAAAACAAAAAATCCCGCCATCACCAGCGCCGGCCGTAAGAATTTCCACCCTCAAGTTTTACCTCGCTTCGGCGCAAACGACTTGGATCAGTCGGCGAAGCCTTGGAAGACCACCGACGTCTGGGTCGCATCGGTGCTTTCATGGATCATTTCACAGTACCAGGTACGTCCATCCCCTGAACTAATTAATCCCTCGGTATCTTTTTACCTAACATTGGGACAAGCCTACGGACAAGATACAATTCGAAGCACACTTCCCGCTTCTTGTACCGACTATCCTAGCAATGATTGACGACAGTAACCTGCCATTCAAAACCAGAGGCTGTGCGCTACTCACTGAACTATTACAATTGGTTCAAAAGTGCAACTCAGACATCCTACAGCGAACAAATCTCACTTCCGTCTTCGAAGATGCCGTCACTCCCTGTCTTCTTTCCCTACCATCCATCACACCGGAGGAAAGATCACTACAAATACTAGGAGAAGCATATCCAGCTTTCCTCTCCACCCTCGAGACCGCCTACAAAGGCCCTAACCAATCCGAAAAAGACAAAGAACTCTTTGCCAACAGCATGGCCAAAATCCTCCGATCAAACCTCATCTCCTCATTCCACCACGTCAGCTTCAGCACCCCAGCCATGGGCTCAGCAACCGCCTCATTCCCACACGCCCGTCTCTCAACTTTTCTCCTAGACAAAATGAGAATAGTCGTCAACGAGCTGGGAATCAACACAACAAAATATCTACAGGAACTCATCCCTGTCCTCTCCACCACACTCTCAAACCCCTTCGGAACAGCGCAACCCTCTCTCCTCTTAGCGGCAGCAGCCACCGCACAAGCGGTGATCCTGAACGCGCACCCGCGCATCTACCGCTGGCGCGGTGAACTCCTAAGCTGTCTGTGCTCGTGCTGGCTCCATGTTGCTGAGGATGGCGGTGATGCCGCTGAGCCGACAACAGTCAAGCGCGAGTTGCAAAAGACGCTTCGGCTTTTGAAGCATGTTCTGCAGAATCCTCGTCCTATTGTGGCTGGTGTCCCGGAGCCGGAGCAGATGCTGGCGAAGGAGAATATGCAGAAGGAATTCCAGGAGCTCGTTGATGCGGATCCAGAGCTGAAGGGTCTTTTTGCTTGATCTAATGACTATCGTTATGAAGTCTAGGTGTGCTACTTGGAGGAATACCTACATGCTCAAGTAAACCATGATTAAAAAAAGTCGCCTTCTAATCAAATATTGCTTCTGGTGTCTTGCAGACACTAGACGCGAAACGCCACAAAGATCATATGAATAACAAACTTCCATGGAACATGCGATGAGGGTATCAATTCGCTGTGCTAAACGCCAACAGAAATGAACAGTAATAGAAGTAAATCTCCGACAGCGAAGCATCACATATCAACTCGCTGTTTGAAAAGACTCTTCCCTCGCAGCCACTGACCGTAACGTTTGTACCTCTTCTTCTCAAAATCCTCTTTGACAACAGTAATCCCGTTCTCGGAGACACTCAAAAATTCAGTGTAAGCATCCTGATTCGCCGCAGCCCTCGCCTCCAACGCAGACTCCTCTACATTGCACTTCTTCGTATACTCCAGAAGATCGAGATTGTAGCCATGGTCCTGCAACGACGAGGCTGTCATTTCAGCCTCAGAAGTGACAACAAGCGGGACTTTGAGCGGGTGGTTGATGTATCGCTCGTATTCTTCTGCCTCGGCGGCGGTGACAGAGGGGTTCAAGGAGTCGCTGACCAGCTGGCCAAGAGTCCACTGAGCAATTTCTGCCTTGCTGGGGGAGGAATGAGAGTTTGGTGGGTTTATTGGGGGAATGCGAGATGCTTGGTGAACTTCGAAAGTGGGCTCTTTGATGATGCCCGTAGGAGGAGGATTTCTTGAGGATGAGGGTGGTTGAGGGGTCAAGATGGGGGCGGATTCGGAGTCTGGAGTTGTGTTGGCTAAGGTGCGAGTGCTTCTGCTGGAGTCGCGACTGATGAGTGGTTCTTGTATCCTGACGTTGCGTTGTTGGATTTGCTCTGGGGGAATGCGCGGTACGAAAGGGCTAAGATCGGGGACTGGATGGCCTGGGCGGACTGGAGGTAGATAGCGGGAGGTAGAGTTCATTTTCCAGGAGAAGACCTTTGGAAGGGTGGAATAGGCCTGTGGTCGGTAATATTCCTGCCAGTAGTCATCGAAGCGTGATAGTGGCGCTTTGGGGTGTAATGGCTGAGGCGGGAATTCCCTGGGTTTGAGGTTTTCTGGGGTGTACCAGGAGATATAGTCGGGCTTCTTCCTTTTCCCTTTGGCCGTGATCCTTGGATCGGTGTGATGAAGGTAGTAGTCGGTAGGAAGATCCCAAAGCATCGGAGTGCCCTGGGCAAAGATGTAGTTTCCAAGAAAGAGATTGTACGCTTCTTGGCGCTGTGCATCAAGGAAAGAGTTGTTGTAATATCTTTTGAAACTCTCTACCATATCACGAGAGTGGCTGCTCCACTGATTAATCTTGCGGTAAGTAGCCATCGTGTTCACCAGATGTGATCCGCCGTACTGAATGGCAATAGTGTCACCATGGTCATGCCACATGTTGGTAAAGAGGTTGACAGCATCGGTGTCGTATTCCACCGTTGTGTCGCTGATGACCCCAAGGGCATGGAGCTGATGGCCAAGTGCTCTTTTTCCAATGACAAACTGGGCAGCATTCGTCCGATCGAGGCAATCGATACAGTTGGTTCTTGCGACACCGTTCTGAAGTCGTAAACCAGATCTTTCGTCGTCACCATTCTTGAAAAAGCCAGTTTTGGGAATGATGTCGCCTGCGATGTCCTCTAAGGTTGCGATCACATCCTGGTCACGGCTTTTCGCAGCGCGACTCATATCCCATGCCTTGTAAATGAGCTTTTTGTCATCGGGAAGAAATTGATTCAAGTAAGTCACTGCATTGGTGAACTCTTTGAGAAGTATTGATTCTCGCGGGGTTCGTTCTCGTGATTTCACGAGATTCAGAACATAAACTGGAGCGCCATATCTTTCAAAGAGATTGTCAAAATGCAACGCCGCAGCCGAGTAGAATGGATCAACGAGATTGAGTTGAATATCTGGCTTGGGTGAGACGCCCGAGTTGTCTTGCGTCCAATAGAGAGGAATGCTCCCGCGGTGTTGAACGTACGAGGTATAATGAGGATTGGCGTGCAGCTTTGGTCCCGCAGAATGGAATGAGGTAGTTGTCTGTTCACATACAATCTGTTCGGTCTCCACGTCGTTGGCAACGTATCCCAGATCGTTCGCGCCTCGTTTGAGGAAACGTGCTCCGGCGAAGAATCGAGATCGGCGAGCGATGATTGTGATGTACACTGGTCGCCCATAGACACTCATCTTGGACTGATCCACATACCCATGAATTATCGGCAAACACCACTCGTAGGGATTCTTGAGTGCCCCAGCCGCAGGGGAAAGAAGGTGGTGGTTCCAAATGAACATCGGGTGGTAATCATGCCGGAATGACTGTGGTTGGTCATCCTGGTAAAGCTTGCGATCACGACACATGTTATCCTGGAGTGTGCGAGTGATGTCGTAAGAATAACTGAAATAGAAGGAGCGTGACAAGTCAAGGTTATTCAGTATCGCAATGTAGCGTGCCTCGTCTGAATGTCTCTCTGTTTTCACGTTTGACACAACCGACGTTGTCAACGGGATCAGTTCAGTTTCGTCAATTTGGTAGACATTGTGGCCACCTAGCATGGCGACTTGGCTCCTCTTGGTGACAAGTAGCATATAGTATGCTCCCGTGAATCGAATGAAACCAAGCAATGCCCATGCACTGCATTTCTGGTTTAACCCGCCAGAGCTCTTGTTGCCATCGTCAATAGCATCCAGCAACTGAACCATCTCTCTTTTGTTGTACACCATGTCGTCCTCGGTAATGCTCAGCTCCCCGGAGTCAGAGGTCCGATCGATTTTCAAAATCCGGAAACGCGTCTCCGCAAGGTTGATCCCGACTATGTAGAATCGGGTTGCGGTCTCGTAGAGGGTAAATTTGTGCATGCGTCCGATCCCTTCATCCTCCGAGTTGTCTGAACTCGATCGATGTTTTTGCGCAGAGGCGGATGGGGCCTCTCGCTCAAAAGATGTCGCTACCTGTGGCTCCTCATCCTCAATTCGAGCCCCGGAGGAGTCATAAGGCAAAGGGGGGAATCCCAAAGCAGACTCATCGTCGACAGACCCAGCATCAACATGTTCTATCCCAGAGGAGGTCTTCGAGTTCGTTGCTTGCGGTGTGCCCGCAGTGTCGTCCGAAAGGTCGGCGGATGGCACTGAATAGTGGTCATCGTGGAACGGGAGCTCGCGGTCGACTGTTCCAATCAGAGGAACGTCATCAAAGCTCTCCATCACGGGGAAGAGACTGAGAAAAATCCAACGTAAAGCCGAAGCTGCGTAGCCCGACCTCTGATCAGTACGGGGCGGCTCCGTAGCGGAGTCGAGAGGCGGAGATCCTCCCATGACGTCGTGCCCAACTTTACCGCCTGAGGCGATAAGGCGACAAGGCAATAAAGTCGACAACGCGATAAGGAGCAGGTTAGTTACTGGTCATTGCACCCTCACAGAGACGAGATAAAATAACAAGGCGACGAAGTTGATCGCAGTCAACAGCTGCGCACATGAATTTGGTCAAATTGGTCTCTAAGATACTTTCAATCTGGTAGGCTTTTAAGTGTGAAAGCGAATCTTCATTGTGTACTCATATGATCCTATTCCGTCTACTGGCCCTTTGTTTCCATGGCAGTCTACTGTACATTGTACGATTAACAAAGCGCTTTGGGCTATTTATAACGAAACCTAAGCCATCCTAGGTTATATCAAGACTCTCCTCAATCCTTCAGTACCCCCAAGCACTCTCCTCCCCGTGACGGGGCACCTGCCTTTGCCACTCTCCCACTTGCCTGACCGATTGCGGGGGCTCTCCTCGGAATCATCTTTCTTTGTCTCTTCGTCATCACCGGTGATCTCCTCTTCCCAAGGTGCACCAGCGCCCTCGCCATTCATGAAATCAAGTTGACGTTGGTGCTCACCATTAAGCCAGTGGAATATGCACACATAACAAAACACATACCCAGTTTGGCAAGCCGTCGGGTTGACAAGTGGCCCCATACAGACCGGGCAAGTATTTGCGCTCGAGGGATCAGCCGGAGGCAATGACACTGTGTAGATGGGAAGATAGGAAGTAGCAGAGATGGGTGGCTGATGGCGGCGTGGGGACTTGAGTGCTGGTTTCAAGTCGCCCGCAGGACTCTTCTTCTCGGCCTGCTTCTTGGCCTTTTCTTTCTCATCCTGAATGGACGATTGCCGTCGTTCTGCAGGAGGAGTCAGGCCTGCGACAACGGGAGCGGGTAAGTCCAGGACCTCGGTGGCCTTGCGAGCAAGCTGGCGAGAGAAATCACTAGCATGCCACCATTCTAAAAACTTCAGAGCGAAGATTGATGCGGGAAGGAAGTAGCGCAGCGAGCTCAAAAGCTGAGTGTGAAGATTCTGAGGGCTAAGAAGGCCTAGCAGGCCACCACCGGGACGGCGAGATCGCGCGGCGCCGGGCGCGGGCTTGGGTTCTAAGACTGCAGCTATGGCGCGGTGGTCTGCGACGCCGAGGCGACGGATCCGCGTACCGATGAGCCACAGGAATGGGGATGAGTACTTCGTATTGTCGAAGAGGTACGCGAGGTTGAATGCCAGAATGGAGAAGTAGTATGCCGCATTCATAGATGGGTACACATTCCGCAGGAACCATTTGTAATAGTGGAAGATGCGCTGGCGCAGCGACGGATTGGCCGGCAGGTCGTCGCTGGGGTTATATCGCGGGCCGGTGCTCGAGGCCAGGGATGCGTGCGGCGCTACATGGATATCGTATCCTTCGTCTAGCTTGGATTTCAGGTAGGGAATGCCAACTATGACGAGCAAGTTCTTCCAAATGTCCGTTGAGTGTAGCTTCAGGGCCTCGCGAACGGGGCCTGCGGCGCCGACCTGGGCGCGCGGGATCTCACCATTCTTGATACGGAGAACGCGCTCACGTTTCAATGAATAAAAATTCTCTGTGAATGAGCCGCCGAATGTCCGCAAGTAGTACCGCTCGACTATTAATGAGATAAGGGCGTAAACTTCATCGTATGAATTGAGGATCCGGAGGAGATAGCGCGGGTGGCGGTGTGTTGCGATTGCGAGAAGATAGCGTAAAGATGGAGGGATCAGACCAGAGAGCTGTTGCTCTGCCAGGAGTTCTGTGGAGTGCGGTCTTCATGTCAGTGAATCTGGTCATGTATGGAGTGGATTCCCCCGTCTGGGGTGAGTCCTATCTTCGCGGGGAAGCATCAGCCGACTTACCGAAGAGCGAGGGCTTCTGCTCATCGAACTCCTGTTGAAGACTAGGAAGATACTCCATTGTCAGGAGTGCCAGTCATCCTCGTCAGGGTGGTGTTTAGAGAAAGACGGGGAGATTGTCGCCAGAACCAGTGATCACCTGCCGAGGCTCAACTTATCCGAGCTGACTACGTCGGTGCCCGCCATGGTCCACGGCTCCCTGATCATCAGAAGTAATTGCACAACTTCACTGAAATGCTCTGGTAAAATTAAGACAGGTATTATAATATTGTACATGGAGTATATATGCTAGACTAATTTTACAAATTGAACTCTCCATTCGATCTTCCCGAGCGGATGCATCTTGATCGATTGACTGCCCCGTCCTTTCCGTGTACTCTCGCGCGGTTGCGCGAGGCCCGAAGCAGGGATATTGACATTAGAGAATTGGGCTGCAAGTGCCGCTGCGCCGTTTCAACCAAGGAAAGACAGTCCTCGTACCAGAGAAAGCGGCTTGAAGACCTAAGTGGGCCGAGTTCAAAGAAGGTAGCGTGTCTCACCGCGGGCTATGAATGTCACGCCATTGGGGGCTAGGAGCTGCGCCAAATCCATCCGACATAGACCTAGGAGGTCCAGCATTAGCCTTGGTGGGATCTTCCGTTTTCTCTCGGACGTTCTTCCGCCCTTCACGGGCTAGTGTAGTCTCCCAGAGGCCATCAAGGTCAACATCAGCTCTCTTCTCCTCCGTGAATATCTGGACTACCACGTTGGTCCCAAGCTCAAGGTTACCAAAGCCCTCAATCCCCACATCGCTGAGCTGTGTCGTAGAAGCACCTTTGTCCACCACACCCGCATTCACGCAGATCCATCCCGTGGTGATTCCGTCGTCCTTTTCGTCAATCATTGCGCCTGCGGCACTTGCGGCGCGCGCACGCTTGGCTTTGCGACGAAGCTTGATTTTCAACTCGTTGCGCCCGAGTAAGCCATCCGCGTATGGTGATAATTTGTATTGACTTCTCAGCCAGCGACAGAGGCGGTCAGCAGAGACGTTCAGATGCTTGACGCTGCGAGCGGTCCCGATGATCATGATGACATTAGCGCCGAGAGCTGCAGGGATTTCGAGGCCGCGTAAGTCAAATAATTTAAGCTCATCTAAGCCCAAGTCTTTATAGGTATATTCCAAGAGGGTTCTGAGCATCTTTGGTGAGTCGTCCGGGAGCTGGGGAAGGTGGGCTTCGGCCAACGAGCGCTCTTTGTGGGTCGGCGGCGCCTCTTCCTGTAGATACCAAGGGACATTCTTCGATGATACAGGCTCATCGGTTTCGGGTTGTGCTGGTGGTTCTGCTGGTTCTTGCAGATGTATATCAAGTTCGTGCGAAGTTGGAGGGCGATCGGACCGTAGGAAAGTTACAGCGGAGAACGCTCTGGGGTTGGAGATCGGACGGGATGAAACAAGAGAGGCTCGAGACATTGGAAGGCCGGAAACAGAGACACAAGACCGCAGCATCTCAGGCTGGCAAACTTGGGCCGCAGCCCTTCTTAAGAGTATTCTGCTCATACCGACGGTGTTGGAAAAAATGAATGATCAAAGGAGTCGAAGTCTCGGCCTCTTTCCTGATTTGCTCCAAAAGTGATACCAACGATAAGCGGAAGCAAACAGTGCAAACAGCTGAGTCATCCCGAAAAAAAAGATCGGATTATGGAGGGGCGACTTTACAAGTTTACAGTGTTAGAACTTCTCAAGTCCTCTATACCCTTTATTTTTTCCCCATCTCTTGGGTTTTGATCTCTGATTTTACTCAAGATGTCGATGGATCTCGATGCCCCCGTTTATGTGGGCCAACAGGAGCAGACTGCAGCAACGTGAGTTCTTATCGCAAAGAATTTTGTTTCCCCCACCTAGGACCTGATCGCTAATACTCAACTACAGCATTCTCTGCTGCAACTGTGGTGCTCCCATCGATGGAACTACCTCCGCCGGAGCTTTGTGTACGGATTGTATCAGACTTACTGTCGATGTCTCCCAAGGTGTACGTTGTGAATAACCCTCAAGCCTCAGGTTATGTGGCGATTCCCGTTTTCTGTTCTCCCGGCTGACATCCATTCCTCTCTTTTAGGTGCAACGAGACGCAGTCCTCCACTGCTGTAGGGATTGTGAGCGCTGGCTCCAGCCCCCCACCAGCTGGGTCGTCGCAGCCCCCGAATCAAAGGAACTCCTCGCCATCTGTCTAAAACGGCTCCGTGGTCTGAACAAAGTCCGAATCATCGACGCGAGCTTCATCTGGACTGAGCCTCACTCAAAGCGAATTCGTCTCAAGTTGCAGATTCAGTCCGAGGCCTTCCAGGGTACTATTATTCAGCAGAGCTTCGAAATTGTTTATGTTGTGGCCAACCAGCAATGTTCTGATTGCCAGAAATCGTTCACGGCAAACACCTGGCGTGCCTCTGTCCAGGTTCGCCAGAAGGTTCCCCACAAGCGTACTTTCTTGTACCTGGAACAGTTAATCCTCAAGCACGGTGCTCACAAGGACACTGTCAACATCAAGGAAGCCAAGGATGGTCTTGATTTCTACTTCAGTCAGCGCAACCATGCTCAAAAGATGCTGGACTTCCTCAGCAGTGTCGTGCCATGCAAGATCAAAAAGTCCGAAGAATTGATTTCTATGGATATCCACACAAGCACCAAGTCAATGAAGTTCAACTTCTCCTGCGAGATTATCCCCATCTGCAAGGACGATCTTGTTGCTCTACCGATTAAGCTGGCGCGCTCATTATCTGATATCAGCCCGCTAACTATTTGCCACCGCGTTGGTACTACTGTTAACCTTATGGACCCCTGCACTCTCCGGACAACCGATGTTCCCACTGGCACCTACTGGCGCCAGCCATTTTCGACCCTCGCCGATATCACTGAGCTCAAGGAATTCATCGTCTTGGATATTGAGTCTACTGGCATCTCTAACGGCCGTTACCTCTTATCCGAGGCCACCGTTGCCCGTGCTGCTGACCTCGGATCTAACGACACTACTTATTTCACACGGACTCATTTGGGTGGTATTCTTCACGTTGGTGATTCCGTTCTCGGCTACCACTTGACCGGAACCCAGTTCAACAACCCCCACTTCGATGACATTGAGAACAGCCACCAGTACGGCTCAACAATCCCAGATGTGGTCCTCATCAAGAAGCACTACGTCCGCAGCAAGAAGTCCAAGCGCAGCTGGCGCTTGAAGCGCATGGCTCGCGAGCACGAGGAGGAAGCTACCAACCCCAACGCCAATGTCCCCACAAACAAGCGCCAGGAGCAGGAGCTCGCCCGTATGGAAGCAGATTACGAGATGTTCTTGCGTGATGTTGAAGAGGATCAGGAGCTGCGTCAAACTCTCGACTTGTATAAGGTCCGCCAACAGCAGGCCATGGAAGACGAGATGGACGAGGATGACGATGAAGATATGGACGGAGAGGGTCACGCCGTGCCCAAGATCAACATGGAGGAGCTGCTTGATGACTTTGACGAGTTGAACATGGATGACAATGAATGAGCTTTCTGCAAATGATATCCTTGGCGATCATCGGCTGGCGTTTCTGTGGATTTTTCAGGGTCTTTTCAATCAACACAAAAAAGTTCATTATGTCAAATAGATATATGCAATGTGCAAACTTCTGACTCCTAAGACATCGTCTCGACCGTAATCGACATGTACAACGTTCCTTGACTATAATAAACCTAGAAAATCTTCCCAAGCACTCGCTTGGCATCATCAGCAACAGCCCCATCCTTAGCCCCCCCAACAACCTCATTCTGCTGGAAATGGAACCGCCGTTTCGTAGACACAGCCTTCTTAGACTGCATATCCTCCTTCTCCCCCTCTTTAGCCTCGGCATCCTTCAACCTCCTCTTCATCTTCTCCTCATTCTTTTTCGCCATACCATCCGCAACCCGCCCATTCTCCACACCCTCAATAAACACCTTCGCCTCCTTCTGCGCACGAGAAGTCTCAATGCGCATGCGCGCCTCACGCTCAGCTCTCTCACGCTGAATCTGCTCCATCAAATCAGACCAAGTGTATCGGCGCAGATACTTTATGTTCCACACATCGTCGTGATACCCTATACACATAATAGCGCCGTCAGTATTCGTATTCAGTAGCAGGGATATTTTCCCGCAGGAGAGAGAAGGGGAAAGTAACTGACAGCTAGACTTCGGACCACCGACAATTGTCGCATTCAACGTCTCCGCGCAGATCTTGGCCGTCTTGCGATTCTTAAACTCCACCCATCCTTCCGTATAGAGCTTTCGCTTATTGCTGCGCTGTTTGTGGCCTGCTGCGGATGGGAGAAGTGGTGCTAAGAATACTTTTGTGATACCGTCGAAACCGCGTTTCTCGAGTAAGCCTTTCAATGCGAAGGGTTTGAGGTATGGTGGGAGAGAAGAGACTGATGATTGTCAGCGACCTGGCAATGTCCACACAGACTAAATAGTAGGGATAGTTACTCACAGTAAATGACGCCTGATTTATCTTTCTTGGGTGGCTTTGCCAGTTTGGCTAGTTTGCCCTTTGCTTTGAGTGATTTGGCGGACTTTTCGGTGCTTTTGCTGGGTTCTTCGGAAACCTCTAGAAGTGCACCGCCGTCCTCGTTATCGCTTTCGTCTTTGTGGTCTTGGTCTTGATCTTCGTCTTCGTCAGAGCCGGAGAGAGAAGCCCGCGTCGTTGTCCGGCGTCGCTTCACGGCTCGTCCTTTGCTGTCAGCGTTGGCTTCGGAGTCGTAGCCGCGGTCGCTGGCGCTGGCATCGTCGTCGCTGACTGCGATGTCTAGGAAGTCGTTGTGCTTGCGGGTCGTCATTTTGTGGTGTTCTAGGGAAGATTGTTGGTGTCTGGTGAGAAGCGGAGATCCGCAACTTTTTTTATGCGGGTGGTCCGTGCGCCCGGAGTATCAGTTCCATTACATTTGGAGGGACGAACATTGGTTCTGAGTTGAGTATCCATGTCTATGTAGAATAATCTAATTGGATTTACAAGTCGAAAAGACAAAAAATATGAGGTGGATGAGGTGAATGAGATTGATTGACGGTGTATATCAATGAAGAAGCCGGGCTCTATATGCCAAAAAGAAATCTTCCCAAGGTATCCCCGAACGCCAGATAGTATGGAGAGCCCACATGATATGTGCAAAGGGCAAAGGGTATTTAACAAGTCTAATTGATGCCTATCCAAATTTTGGCTCGCTCGTAGACGTAAAAGCTGACAGCAACCATGGGCACAACTTTAATGTATCCAATAGTGAGTCCAACCCAAAATCCTCGGAACCCTCTCTCAAGCCAAATTGTACGAGCCGTTTCGGCCATTCCAAGACGGTGCCCGTCACCAACTGCACCCCCGACCTGCATGCGCCGACGGAGGACCTCAATGGGATATGAGCAAGACTGTGAGACGAGACCGGCAACGGCACCGGTCAGAAGCTCGAACGTGGTATTGAGCGGTGGTCGTCTAGACCGTTCCGCAGAAGCCTCTAGACTTGAACCTCGTCGTAAGGTATAGGGCGCGACCACCGGGTGGCGGAACAAATCACCCACTGTGTCATGAGTGAGGAAAGACATTCCGGCGTAAGGGAGCATGCCGAGGATAGTGGGAGCAAAGCCACGGTAAAAGTTGGAAATGCCAGTGCGAGGGACGGCTTTTGACACGACCGAAGATGCAGTTTCAGCCGCAGCAACGGTGGACGATTCTGTGGCTGCGGCGGAGTGAGTTGGCGGGGCTCGGGCTTGTTCGTGGTATATTTGGCGCCAGATATCGACCAACCCTGCGCGGTGCGATTGTCGTGTTTCAAAAGCCATTCGCACTCGCATCAACTCTAAGGGGTATGTGAAGCATACGGAAGTGGCGCCGGCTAAACTTCCGGAGATCAAGCGGCGGAATGGAGTCTCATGTTCGCTGGAGGGAATAATGACGGCACGAATTTGTTCATATGCAAGGAATTTGATAGCGGCGTAGGGGAAGATGCGGAGGAGAGTCACGGAGTGGCCTTTGTACAAGCCCGTGGTGCCTTCATTGCGCTTGATGTCTTTGATTGCTGCGAACAGGCCAGTCCAGCTACCTGTGTATTTGGCGAATTGGGGATTTGACGCTTGGAATAGGATCTTCACACGATCGAGTGGTGCTACAACGGTTTTGGCCTGTATATTGCGACCACTTAGTACAAATTTCAGAAGTACCTCGGCTTCACATATCAACTTACCGCACACCCCGCCAGCCCTCCCGCAATGCCACTCTTGACCACATAGTCCAGGGTTTGTTTGTCAGTCATTCTTTTGGAGTTCTTTGGTTTGTGTGTAGTATCGGTATGAGTTGAGGCAATGGATTCTGTTGCGCCGCGAATAAGCGACGATCTCGGCGGCGCTGTTTCGCTCATCGGAGCGGACTGTGAAGTTGACTCTGGGGTCTTGCGCAGGTCATAGGCATGGTCCGAATGACCAGTGGACATGGGATGAGACGGAGGGGGAAAGAAGGAACGGCGACGGAGCAAGCGAGGCTCGAGGGAGGGGTGGGAAAATCTGGGGCAAGATCCCCGTTGCCGCGTGATCAATTCGGCGATATCAGCAAGAAGTCTCGGGTTACCGGATGATGTTCGGTTCTTATAATAACTGTGCACGTCGATTTATACTGATTGTGTTGATATGCCGGCGAGTATATAGTAGGCTGCGAACAAAGACTGGGTGCGCAATTCCAAATGGTGACGGAGGAAGAAGTGTGTGTCTGATTCCACTGACGTATTTGGCGAACTTCGGAATGGGAGTCGTTACAGACTGACATGCCGATACCAGCAGGTCTCCGCGCGTAACCGAGGGAATACGGTACTGATACGGCCCGCACAATCACCGAATCCCGAGAAGCCGGTTGTCATCGTGTCTTACTTCCACGCTAACCCTGATAGGAGCATCATTGTTCAAAGGCAGCTCACTGGTTGTATGAGATTCTAAATGATCGGGTTCTGGTAGACTGATATACTCTCTGTGATACCTACTAACTCATATACTCTCTTAGACAGTCCGTTCTATGTGTTGAATTGGTTCTAAGCTAATTTACTTCTCAAAGAAAAAATGCTAGTCTGAAAAGGAAGGAACTCCCCATCTCCATGCAGCTCGAGATGTATACAAAGTACAGAGAAATGTCGTGGTCGCGTGATATTGTCGAATCAATGCCCTCAAAGACATCAACCCCTGCGCTGCGCGCGTGTTCGGGGCAAAGGCTTGGCCTGTTTGGCAGCTTTGGTCACTCTGTTGTCTTCGGAAACCCGCTTGCGCTTGTTTGGTCGGCCGGGATCAACATGAAGATGTCCATTCTGCGACAGAGCGGTTGTGTTCTTCCAGCGTAGACAACGGAGACTAGTCTCATTCACATCCATGTAAGTCTTCGTTCGGGTGGTCACACGTTTGGCTGGAATAATATCCTCCGACTCCGCCCTTTGAGGGGTCCCGGCCAGGTATGCCTGGCGATTCTTCATGTACTTGGCGATATATTCTTGCTGATTGACCAGCTCTTTCAGCAACTTGGATTCCCGGTTGCCCCGTGAGTCCAGCCACTCGATCAGCTGCTCAATTGCCTCCGGGTCCTCGTAGTAGCCCCATTCGCGAGCATTAGAAAGGTGGGTTGGACCCTCTTCATGCTTCTTGCGCTCTGCTGGGGTGGTTTGGAAATGCTTTTGATACTGTTTGCGTTGTTCGTCGGTCACGTCGATAAAACCAGCGTACTCCATTTCATCCGGGCCTTGCACCCACAGACGACCATTGGCGTAGCGTGCCTCGGCCGTCGAGCTGTCTGGCATACCTTCGTGGGGCATCGCGTTGCGCTCGTACCACCAGTAGCGATTGCAGAAGCGATCCAGTCCCAGGCATCGAATCCGGGGGCAGTCGGTCTCGCGGAGACTATTTTCCACCGTCTCGATTTGCTCCTGGAGCTTCTCGATCTTGGCATTCTGCTCATCGATCTTCTTCAAGACTCGCTGGTATTGCTTGGACCCCTTCGGTTGCTTTGCCAGGATCTCCTTTCGAGCCTTTTCCAGCTCTTGCTTCCGCTTACGCTCCAGAGCTCGATCAACCCCTCCGCGTAGTGAACGTGGCCGAGGGGTATCCTCGTCCTCTGTGTCGTCAACCATTTCAGAGTCACCCTCGAGGCCGAGTCTTGAGTCTTCCAAGCCATCCAATTCGGGCACGGGCGTAGGTGACTTTCCAGTTTTCTCGGGTTCAGGCTGAAGAGCCTTGCGGTCCTGGTGGAGTTGACGAAGTTCGATGAGACTGCAAGTTCATGTTAATAAAAGCAATGTAAATGCGCAACGGTCAACTTACCTTGCTTTGCGGGCTTTCTGGTACTCAATCTTCTCCTTGCGCAGTTCCGTCATTTGGTTGCTGCACTCTTCTAGGTAGTTGCGGATGGCTCTAGTCTCCATACTCAACATGCAAATTATTTGAAGCGCCCTGGTACGCAGATTGACGTCGAGTGTTCGGTACTGCTCCTGCACGGTATGTTGTGTAGGTTCGCGATCGAGAGGTGCCAAATGCTTGAGAATGGTGTTGCAGAGTTGCTCCGAGCGAGGCTGAACAGACAGCTGGTGCAAAAGTCCAACCATTATCAACTGCCATCCACCGTTGCGGAAATCGCGGTTGCGCAGACGTTCGATCCAGCCATACTCTTCAAGCATCTCGCCAGCGCGATGAATTTGCGTCTCCTCGGGTTCATCTTCCTTGACCTGTGCTTTGATAATGGCTGCCTCTTCTTTGGCCAGACTTCCCCTCGTGGACATTCGACCGGGTCTCGCCTGTGGCTCAGGAGTCTCGTCCGTGGCTTCTTCCTCCCCTTCTTCTTCATCTTCATCGTCATCATCCTCCTCTGAATCATCGGAATCGGGAGCAGGGAAGTCTGGGAGTGAGATTTGAACGGCGCCATCATCATTCGATGAATTGACAAGCTTCTTGAGAACGGCGCAGTGCACTTCCACGAACAGTTCGCAGTCCATATCTTCTGATGAGAACCGCATAGCTTGGATGAAATCGTCAAATGTGAACGAATCCAACTCAAAGACCTCACAGTAGACATTGAGTGTACCCCAAGTCTCCAGAAGCAGCCCCACCGTTTCCGGCTCTAGATCATCAGGCAGAAGATCTTCGGCGCCATCGTCTTCAGACTCACCTACCATCATGAACTTCAGAGTCGGTCGGTGCTTTTGCTTGGTATTTGGAGCAAGATCCAGATCTTCGATGGGATACTTGATTGGTGGTGGAGTTGGAGGTCTCGGCTCATTCTTGATGACCACTGCCGGGGTGCCAGCATGCTTCCTGTCGCCAACCAGTGGGGGTTTGGAAGGACGCAATGGGTTCGAAGGTAAGAGGAATGACGGGTTCCCGTTTAGCGACCGCTGGTACTCTTGATACTGTGCCTCCCTCGATTTGGCCATCTCCTGTGCAGATAGCTTTGACTTCTGCCCCTTGACCGCGGGTTTCAACTCGGGCAACTGCTGCGAAGAAAAGAATCCAAAGAAGCCTTCTTGATCCGCTTTCTTCATCGCCTTCTTCTCCGCCACCTTTGCTCCATACTGCAGATGCTTCGGCACTTCGATGGGAATCTTGTATGTTTCCGCGACAGATGGTTTGACTAACCAAGGAGCGCCAGTCCAGGACTCTCTGGTGACATTGTTCTTGATGAACCCGCGCAGCATCAATTTGGTAAATGCCTTTCGATCGCGCGTGATGTGGTCCTGATCCAGCAGGGCCTCTTCATTTTGTTTGTCTATTATCTTGACCAGATATCTCGCAAAGGCAGGACTCTTTATGGTACCATCAGCATACAACTGCTCTGCGAAGTTGGCTTTGTCTCTGATGGTACCATTGAGTCGAGTGTTGTCGTCCAGCAGGATAACAACGGCTTCGCCAGGGTAAAAGTCGGATTTGAATTCCTAGTTTTGTTAGATTGTGTATTAATGGAATGACTGGAGTATCTCACTTCGTAAATCTCATCCACTATGAACACATTGTTAGCATGGTCGCATCTATAGAAGGGAGGTTACATACCCAAACTGTCCACTCTCGAGACTGTAGAGAACTGAATCCTGCGCAAAATAGGTTCTCTCAGTGCATCGGGGAAACTGTTATTGACTTCCCGCGACTCCTCCGTCTATTCAAGTCTTAGCGTACGTCTGGAATTGGGTATTCATGGTATAATGTACCTCGCTGCGCAGTGCCTCAAAGAATGTCAACCCCGAATGGCCGGTGATCTCGCAGATAAATCGGCGTTGTTTGTAGAAATCCATTCGCTGAAGGTAATGCACGTAGGAGGTGAAGACCTCATTGGTTTCTGGAATTACCCAAACCTAGTGGTAACATCGAAAGTCAGCAGGCAGATCTGCAGTATGAGAGATGGAAGGCATACCTCGGAGCTATCATCTTCAATGACAGTCTGGGGAAGGTATTGAACCGGTTTCCGTTTGAATAGCACCTAATCCAATATTTGTGTCAGCCTCCGTCTCCGCAGCATCTACAACCTTCTTCTCGAGACCTCCGCGGCCCTTCCACCATTGTGTCGCATACCATATTGGGGTTTAGATATTGGCTGTGGACGCGCCAGTCGACCGATATTTGCCGTGGGTAGATTCAAGCATGAACGGACTAGTGAACACGCAATATTGGTTAGCGGGTGAAGCTAATTCGTTGTGCGAAGGTAGAGACCGCGTCCGATCGAAGATCAACGGAGGTGATGGCAAATCGTAGGATAGAATGCAGAAACTCCAGTTGCTAGAGTGTATCTTGGTGTAGGGGTGGGTGCGCGGGTACGCGGATGGGAGGGAATTGCCATGATCAGGCCTGGTCGCAGACCCAGAATACGCGAACGAGAAAGAGAACAATGCCTCGGCGGAGCTCATGCGGCGGACTTACCGGAGTAAAACGCGTCTTATATGAAACAGCAAATCCAGGCAATTCTGAGATGTAATCCTGGTGTTGTATGCCTTGGGTTGTGGGGGTGATGGGTGTAGAGTGAATATTTGAAGGTGGAAGGAAGAAGGAAAGAAGAAAGGTAGACAAAAGGACGGAGCGGTAGATCATTGCAGGACGGCTAAATCGAAGCTGATTGGTGGAGAGGAGGAGCAAGCGGGAGCCAAATGGCCTCGAGACTCTTCCCCTTCTCCCCCTCGTCATCGCCCCCGACAATGTCTTTTCACTTCGCAACCCCAACCCTACATGAATTTTACCCTCGTTCGACTCGTCTCTTGGAGGAGATTTTATCTAAAAGCTTACCTTATAGGATAAGTGAATATCTTTGGTTTTCTAACGCGTTTATCAATTCTAGCCTTCCATTCCTGTCGCCTCCCCGACTTGCCTAAGATTGGAAACATCAATTAACAAGGACATATCACCCACTATCTTTGTTTGATAATAGCTTGAAAGCCATTTGTTTCAATAACACTTTTTACTTAGATTGCTCGAGCCTTGGTTTGTCCGGTGTTTAGTTATCTACCTGGCTGAGTTGGGTTTCATTGAGATGTTATGCGACCTATCTTAAGACCGACTTGGCTACACCAAGCTACGGGCAGTGATATTGTTTAGAGGGCTTGGCTTTCAGGCTCGAATTCCCTATGTGCTGGTATTTATTGACACCTTCCATAACTCTAGCTCAAGCAGTAACTACTATTTGAAACGCAGATTTGATACACTTCAGCCACAGTGTTACAAGCGCACTGACCATTCAAGGCTCGTTCAATGTTTCGGACTCTATATATACCCTCAAACCATGTGAGCAGGTCTCTCTGGAACAAATCCCAATAGTTTGGTGTTTGCTCGCTTCCTGCGCGGCTACGCGCGATGGATAGAGCTATATGTGTGACGTAGGTTGCCCTCTATAATAGTCGCCTATTCGGTCTTATATTCCTTAGAACCGCTGTTGGGAAGTCTACAGGGGTAATTATACCTTAGATATGAAAGATGGCATCGTGGTAACCAATGAGTTGGAGATGAATGGAATGAAGCGCCTAGGTAGCCAACATATATTATCAGAGCCGCAGTCCTACCTAGGTGATAACCACTACTAAAATATATATGGACAAAGTCAGTTATCTGGCCATGCCAATGGGCAACAGCTGTTGCAACAGGTGTATGAAAGCAATAAACGCGTACTTTAGGTATGAGCTGACAGCCAGCAAAGAAAGCAGATTCTTCCCCCATGTTTCTATCCGACCTGCATTTGGCTGCAGGCCAACCATGGGTGAAGAAAGGCTAACCTAATTAAGACTAGTGTGGAAATAGACTCTATGATCTGTGGGTCCTATCCACGTGGAAACATACAATGCAAACACTAGTCCGTACCCCATTGGGCAGTTGAAGTGCAGGTTTCAATCAAAATTGCCCGAGTGAATTCCGAGGTCTCTTTATGACAATGCAACAATACCGAAGGAATTTTGTTATAAAAGGCCAACGGGCAACGACCAGTTTAGTAGCTATAGTTATGCTGTAAAGTACACCACCATGAAGCCCACCCAGCTTCCAACCACACCAAGAGCACAATAACTGCTCATGAACATCAATGGCAGGAACTCTAGTCGGTCCCAACCGAATATCAGTTGATGCACCAAGGAGCAGTATATTATCAGTGGGATTGACACAGTCAAGTAGAGCAGTGAAAACCGGTCGAATAAGAAAATTCGGGGTCGTTCGGGGACAGGTGCGACTCGATCGAAGACGAAGAGGAATAACACCAACCACATCACTGTGTAGACAGTCTTGAGAGGGAACTCGGCTGCCGTAAACAGAAGTGGGAAGAGAGAGACGTGTCCCGCAACCGCCAGGGGTCGGAAAGCGCTGAAGTAGCGACGGTCCTTGAGCGCGATGAGACTGAAGGGGATGATGATGAGAAGGATGGCCTTCTCGTGCACGTGCCAGCCGAAGAGGAAGGATGCGTAGCCACAGAGGGTTAGCGCGCCAACAAATGTATCCCAGCAGCCTGGATTGAACCAGACCTTGATCAAAGGAATCTATACAATCGTAAGAGTGAGCCAAAAGGATAAGGCGAGTAACACGTACCAGCTGGAACAAGAAGGTCAGGATAAAGGTGTGTTCTTTAGTGACTTCCGGGAGGATGGCGAAGGAGGTGTCGCCAACCAGTCCTCGGGTGACGCTGTTTAGAGCACCCGTGTTCACAGGAAGTCCCAACCTCGGAGCAACTGGACAGATTGTCAGCAAATTTCATATATGTGCAATGGAAGAACATAGAAGACCTACGCTGAATCAACACTCGATCAGTGAAGGAGTACATCGCCCAGATATTCGGCGCCCAGTAAGCGTGACACAACCCTCTCGAAAACGGAAACAGCCTATCCTTGAGTTGCAGCAACTGGCCCCATTGCGCAAATGGGCCAAAGGCAACTGCAAACACAGCCACCACGCAAAACCCAAGCTTGATGATGTTACCGAATCGAGGTCGGAAAACCGATTTCAGATCAAGGCAATAGCTGCGCAGCAGGTAGACGAAGTAGGCAAGAGCAAGATAGAGATATATGTGCTTCATGCACAATAGGATCGCGAAGAGAATTCCGCTCCATAGGATAGTCGACTGCTTGCGGGCTAGGACGATTGATAGGATTAGGATCCCGTACATGAAGCCATTGTACTGGAAGTGGATATGGTCGATGATGAAAAGACCGGGGGATAACAGGATCGAAAGACTGGCCACATGCGCAGCCTGCTTGTTCGGCAAAGGAACCGACTTGACGAATCTAGGGAATGCCTGTTAGGTTTCATTTCATCAGATTGTGAATCAGCGGAGTGAGCTACCGACTAAGCGCATAGACCAGAACGAGCTCTGTCAGGATGACGGTTGTTCTTTGGAAGTACACGGTCTGCCAGGAATCATATTCAAGGTTCTTCACGACCAACATCGCAGGGTCCACATATGCAGCGGCCTGCGACATCAGCCACTCGAAGGCTGCAAAGAACGGTGGGTAATCGAGCGTCCATTCCGAGGATTTCTATACCACCTCAAGTTAACGCCTCCAATTCAATCCGAATATATGCGACCGACCGACGTACCTCATAGTACCATTCTTGAACTGGAAGGGAATGGGTAATGGCGAGCCAGTTGCGATGGACCTCGAAATCGGTCGATTTGCTGCAACACAGATAAAAGCGTTAGCCAAGTTCTTCATATTATCCTATGTCCACCAAGCTGTGTGGTCGTATTGTCCCTGGCTGCTACACTTGCGAAAATATCGCATGCAGTATTTCCAGCCCACGCGATCTTTCCAGCTAGCTTCTCGAATCTTGTAATCCTGTGCGGCGAGCAGAGCGGGACTCACTATGCGGGGAAGAGCAGCACCTTGAAAGCAGCTGCAACGATAGCGCATTGCGCCAACGAAGGGTAGAGGTCAGCCATTGGAGCTCCTGGTCATGACGGGGCAGCGTTAAAAGTTGGGGGAGACCGTAGGAGACACAAGACGCGAAATTGCGCGTACCGGCGAAGTAAGAAGCTTCCTCCGGACCTCCGCATGTTCTTTTGACCGCACGTGACCAGTGCGGAGGTCGGAGATCAAATCAGAAGTGAAACAGGAGGCCAGATCGACGATAGGACTGTTTAGGACAAACGCAGACAACGCCAAGAAGAAACACACTCTCTCCGCATGGACTTCACGGACGTCGGAATCCGGCACACCATTCTCAACAGCGTAGAGCTTCATCACTTTATTGATTTCTCGCCATCTGCAGCTGTCATCGCAAAGGAGACCCGTCTCTGCGTTATCGCTGTTGTTGTCGGCTGGATAACTACCAGCATTGTCTCCAGCCTTTGCAATCGAAAGTGCGATTGTGAATCAAGCCATAGCAAGCGTTGACACCTGCTGCGACAAGTATCTGAGATCTCATATCAACCACAAGCTTCGTCAACGGTCAAGCCGCACAACATGATGAGGACGCTGGCTTCTCTGGCATTGTTCGCCACAGGGCTCACAGCTCAGGTTATTGAAAGCTCAAGCTTTGGAACTGGTCAGACGTGAGTGTAGAGTACCCATTGGACTTTCAGCTTGTCTAATTCCAGACCAGGATATCACAGAGCCGCGATTCTATCCCAGGATGGACCCTAGGAGGAGAGGGCCATGAACCCATTGTTGTGAGTGGTACCGCCGTGCCTGTCAATGAACAGACCTAATAGTCATTTAGTTATCCGACAAAGTCATCTTGACACCTCCATATCCCGGCAACACACGGGGATCAGCATGGGCACAGAGTCCGTAAGTCGAAGGGCTTCAAACCATAATATTGGATGCACGACCCTAACTTTGGTATAGAGTCTCTCAGTCGGAATGGTCAGCAGAGTTCCAATTCCGAGCAAGTGGACCGGAACGCGGAGGTGGAATCCTGCAGCTGTGGTATACCAAGGAGGGTCAGTCCCGTATTGGTACATCGAGCATCTACACTGTCGGCCCATTCGACGGCTTTGCTCTTGTAATCGATACACACGGTGGACGAGTTAGTATTGCCGCGACGCATTTTATTGCTGAAGTGTATTGTTCACTAACATTTTCTTAATAGGGTGGCAGCGTGCGTGGATTCTTGAACGACGGTACCACCGATTACAAAAGCCACAACAGCCCCGATACCTTAGCCTTTGGTCACTGCGACTACTCCTACCGCAACCTCGGCCGTCCATCCGTCGTGAAACTTAAACACACCAGCTCCGTCTTCAAAGTTACTATCGACGACAAGCTCTGCTTCTCCACCGACAAAGTATGTACACTGCCCTTTGCACCTGACACAGCCGCAACCATCTACACTATACTAACCAGAACAGGTCGTTTTGCCCGCAGGAAACACCTTCGGTATCACAGCGGCCACCCCTGAAAACCCCGATTCCTTCGAAGTATTCAAGTTCATCCTCGAGTCCGCCACTGGCCAGGGCTCAACCATACCATCATCCCAGCAGCCGATCCTCAACGCGGATCCCCTCCAACCCATGTTCAACATCAGATCAGACGGAATGATCAGCGCCCAGGACACCGCTCTCATATCTACCGATCTCGGCCGTCGCATCGATTTGCTCACCAAGGCGAACAACAACCTGATCCAGAAGATGGAGAGCCTGGTCCAGAACCTGGCCCAGAAGGCCGAACAGCGCCACACCGAGCTTGCGCAGAAGATCATGATGCAGGAGCGCCAGCAGGGCTCCATCAACGCCCAGTTCGATGCCAAGCTCAGCCACATCGAGCAACTGCTCCAGAACATCCAGCGTGATCTGGAAGGCAAGGACGGGCGCTTCAGCCAGCTCCAGGAAACCCTGCGCTCTTCCCACCTCAGCCTGACTGAGAACCTGCAGGGCCACCTGCTGAGTGGTAAGTCTTCTTCGTCTTGCTCCAATAATTTGCATCTGGACAATTTACTAATCTCTGGGTTTCTTCTCATCTTACAGCTATTACCTCCTCCGCTCCGCGCATGGGCTTCTTCATCTTCTGCCTGATCGCGTTCCAGGTCCTTCTCGTTATCGGTTACGTGGTCTACAAGCGTCGCCGGGCCAACATGCCCAAGAAATACCTGTAGACGGACCCTCCGTTCCTCCCTTTCCATCGCCCCCCAGCTTATCTATATACGTTATGTCTTAATCTCTTATGTGACGGGGCGGTGAAGATCTATGCTACTTCGAGGGAGAGGTGCTCGCCTAGATGGCAAGCTTTAGGATTTGTATCTCCATACGAATATGATTACGCCGAGAGAAATGAAACCGAGAGAATTTACAAATTTTAACAGCTAATATTGAACAAGAGTAAGTCAGTTATCCACTCTGACAAGTAAACGAAGACAAAGCAAGCAAATATCCATAGGCCCTTTGGCCCACTGGATGCATATCGTACATGTACATTCTCCGAGCTGCTCAGCACGTCGCCAAAAACACCAGGGGAGTTGCGGTGGCCGCTCAGAGAACGACCAAAGAGCCAGAACATTTGAATCGAACAACTGAAGTGAGACGCTCACTTCTTGGTGAATTGGCGCTTTTGCGCCGGCTCCTCCGAAGCCTGGTCGTCTGAGCGTGAGCGCTTGCGACTCGACGCAGGGATGCGAGGGGGAACCTCGGTCTCGGAGTGTTCCTCAGAAGAAACCGAAATGGGGGTAGACGAGGTATTCGAAACGGGAGCAGAGGGGACACTGGTTGCAGCAGCGTCGGCGGGGAGGGCCTCGGTCTCGGAGGCGCCCTCAGAAGGAGCAGAAACGGGGGCAGACGAGGCGACAGAAATAGGAGCAGAGGGGGAGACAATAGTTGCAGCAGCGTCGGCGATGTGACCTTCGCCGACGGAAGAGGCCTGGCCACCGGCCATGGAAAGAAGAGCGTTTGCCGCGTCGAGCTCCCGGCCCCCAGCGACCAGGGTCCGGGCAGCGTTAGAGACTTTTCCTTTGAAGGCCTCAGGGAGACCCGAGGCAAGATGGGCAGCGCCCGAGGTTTCAGCTTGACTCGGTTGATTTGAAAGGAACTCAGCGGTCATCTGCTTGGCCAAATCCAAGCACTTCTGCTCGATTTCCTTTTCCTTGAGATGATGACGTTCGGCGTGGTCTTGCTTGACCGCGGTGATGAAGTTGAGGACGACGTCCGCTGCAGGGCCGCGTGCCCTCTTCTCCTTCCAGTCGTCACCAAATAGACCGTCGTTTGGATTATCAGGGACTGTGATTTCACAATCAATGAATGCCATAGTTCTCGGCCACCGGACGCGACGCGGCCGCGTCTCGTCCTCAAAGGTCTTCTGCAGAGGTGACATGGTCGGGGCACATCCAACCTTTCCAGGGATTTGTGTAGCCGCTCTGGGCGAAGTAATACAGTCAAGGTGCCAAGGGCAGGCACAGTAATCGCACTGAACAATAGGTCGGCCACCGTATGTTGTGCTGGAGCCTGGCACACTTTGCGCAACGGATTACTTGTCCGTTGGGGCTGATGAAAATCTATGCTACTTCGAGGGAGAAGTGCTCGCCTTGATGGCAAGCGTTAGGATCTGTATTTCCATACGAATAGATGTCACGAGTTAGTGACATAGGTTTGCAAGTCATATGAGAAGAGTCCGCAGGGCGGATCTCAGGGATGGGTTCGGGTAACGTGACATGGAAGGTTTATCAACTCATCACCTTCCACTTGTCTTCATCCTTCTATTTCCCTTCCACCGTTGATAATCTCGTTTAAATGCTACACTTTTCTTGTATGAAACATTCTGGGCATCATCATCATGATCACGTCGAGAGAAATGTCAAATGAAACCAAGACAATTTACAAAATTTAACAAGTAATATTGAACAAGAGCAAGTTATCCACTCTGACAAGTAAACGAAGACAAAGCAAGCAAATATCCATAGGCCCTTTGGCCCACTGAATTCATATCGTACACGTACATTCTCCGAGCTGCTCAGCCACGTCGAGAAAACCACCAGGGGAGTTGCGGGGCCCCATTTAGTCAGGAAGACGGGAGGCCGGAGCCGTGAGAGAAAACACAACACCGAGAGTTATGTGGCCGCCAGAGAGCGACCAAAGAATCGAACATTTAAATCAAACAACGGAAGTGAGATGCTCACTTCTTGGTGAATTGGCGCTTTTGCGCCGGCTCCTCCGAAGCCTGGTCGTCTGAACGTGAGCGCTTGCGACTCGACGCAGGGATGGGAGGGGCGATCTCGGTCTCGGAGTCTTCCTCAGAAGCAAACGAAATAGGGGTAGAGGAGGTATTCGAAACGGGAGCAGAGGGGTCACTGACTTCAGCAGCGTCGGCGATGTGGCCTTCGCTGACGGAAGAAGCCTGGCCACCGGCCATGGAAAGAAGAGCGTTCGCCGCGTCGATCTCTCGGCCCCTAGCGATCAGGGTCCGGACAGCGTTAGAGATTTTTTCTTTGTAGGCCTCAGGGAGACCTGACGCAATATGGGCAGCGCCCGAGGTTTCAGCTCGACTCCGTTGATTTGAAAGGAACTCATCGATCATCTGATTGGCCAAATCCATGCACTTCCGCTCGATTTCCTTTTCCTTGAGATGACGTTCGCCGTGGTCTTGCTTGACTGCGGTGATGAAGTTGAGGACGACGTCCCCTGCAGACACGCGTGCCCTCTTCCCCCTCCAGTCGTCATCGAACCGACTCTCGTCAGGGTCATCAGTGACAATCAAGTCACTGTCCATGAAAGCCATCTTTCGCGGCCGCCGAACGCGACGCGGCCGCGTCTCCCCGTCAAAGGTTTTGGTTGCAACCATGTCTTCAGAGGTGACATGATTTGGGCACATCCACCCTTTCCAGGGATTCGGTGGAGCCGCCCGGGGCGGAGAAACGCAGTCAAGGTGCCATCGGCAGGCACAGTAATCACACTGAACAATCGGCCGGCCACCGTATGTCGTGCCGGCACACTTTGCGCAACGGATTATTTGCCCGTTGGTATCAAATTCTCGGAGATGATAGGGATGGTCATACGAGACCAGAGTGTGACCCCCTTCCTTGACTGGCCCCGGGACCTTAGTCAGTCGCTCGATGTGGGGCTTCAATTTGTAGTAACTGAAATTCTTCGGATTGCGAGCGTAACCATCTTCATCAGAGATGATCATCTCACCCACTCCTTCAAAATACTCCTTAATGGGCCCAGGAACCCGGTACTCCGTTTTCTTATAGTAGCCACCTCGCGCGATCAGCGTCGAGAAACTGTTGCGGATAGAGCACTTAGGGCAGTGCCAGTCACCTTTCGGAGGATCCTTGGGATCCAAGGGAGGATCCAAGCATTTGAAATGGTACGAATTGGGACATGTATCACAGCACAGAAGATTCCCTCCCTTGCCACACTTGCTGCACTCATCACTGTTGTCTGGCGGATCGCTGTAACGTATCATGTTAGCATGTAGAACAGAGCAAGTCACGTCAAGTCATATCAGGAAGTCAGTTCACGTACATAGAGTTTGGCATCTGCCGAGGTGGGTGTGGTCCAGACCAATTGTTGAAACGGCCAGAGTAAACAGAGTTGGACATCGACGACAAATCCGAGAGGGTCGTGTCAATAGAGAGCGAGCGCTCGCGCCCAGCCAGCTCGTTCTGGCGCCGGTCAGAAACGACTGACTCCGGAGGTTCTGAAGCCCTGACGAGGGGAAGGTCAAGAATGGACCCAGTAAAAACAGGGAGGGAACGCGACCGATCAATTGGGTCGGCGGTAATTGGGTCAGCGTTGTTAATTGTGTAAGGGTGCTGAATAGCATCTGGCGGACCGATCTCATCACGAACTGCACTGGTTTGTTCGGGAATGATGTCAATCTTCGACAGCTGTGGCAAACGGGCACGCTTCTGTAGCATGTTTGCGTCGTGATTGGGATCTGACTCCCACTTGCGTTTGCGTCTGTGCGCGTTCTCATTGGACCGAACAGGCTTCTTGGGCCTCTTTAGAGGCGCCGTGTTCGTTTTCCCACTGAGAAATGCTTCCTCAAGTCGAGGACCAGTTGTGTCACGATAGATGTCGGAGACCTTGAAGATGTCCTCCGCGTTAATAGTATCAGCAGTAGGCTGGCTGGTCTCCTTTCCAGAGACAGGATCATCTGAATCAGGCCGGACGTAGTTCAGGTACCACTGACGGGCATCATCGTAACTGTGCTTGAGCAGTGCCATGAGAGCAAGTCGCAGTCGATCGTCAGCACTGTCATCGGAGATGCTGGCAATCAGAGAAATCTGGAATTCATCATCTACTGCATTGGACCAAAGGTACAGCAGACTCAGAGCTGATCGCTCACTGCCACTCTCGATGGCGTGGGCGATGGCGAACTTGATGACCGCTCGGAGTTTGAGGAGATCATATTTGTCGGACGGTGGAAGCGGGATTGACCTCAGCACGGCGACATACTCGTTATCCTCTGCACTTGCAAAGGGAACCGGCTCAACGGGAGTGACGCGGAGGCTCTCGTCGTCCCGGATGGGGGTGTTGCGAGTGGTCGCACCAGCGGGGGATACGACATCTTTAGATATCGAGGCAACCGCCGCTTCTTTGGCAAGTCCATCATCATAGAGATCGTCGGCGGCGGAGTTCTCAACACCGCTCAGGCGCCCATCTTGAACGGGGCGCGGGATGTGGGCGGTAGCGGCCGCGACGCGCTCCGCAATTTGTTGAGCGGAGAGCGGTCTCACGCCAGCAGCCTTGTATTCGGCGACCGATGGATATTCCCCAAGCGGTCTCATTTTCCGCTCAGTCTGAGGCCGAGGTTTTGGCTCCGGCCGGGCCTTCTTCTTAAGCTTCCGTGAAGCCGCAGGTTGAGAAGAGACCTCTCCGGACGGGGCAGGCGGAACAAATCTGCTAGGGTTAGTGCCACGCGCTCCAATGCCCTAACTTTTCAGGCTCAACTTCTCAACTTACTTGGCCTTTGTGGTGGTCTTTTTGGTCTTTTTCTCGGTCTTTTTTGTGTTTTTCTTTTTCTCCTTCGCCGTCTTCTTCTTTTCTCCCTCTGCGGGTTTTTCTTCCTCTGCGGTGTTTTCTTCCTCAGCGGTCTCCTCCTTGGCAATCTTCTTTTCCTCGTTTTCCTTTTTATCGTTCGGGGCCTTTTCTTGTTCTGTATAAAATGAATTAACTGTTAGCATTGATCATCTTGTAAAGTTTCAAAAGCAAAGTGGACAGGAAAAGAAAAGAAGACAACAGACAGATGTCACATGTGGCAAATCCCTATCTCACCTGAAAGATGCAACACCTCGTTGGTTTCTTTCCCCAGCCGAGATGTGATCAGATCAGTGGGAGGGCGACATGATGCCTTGAGAGACACGGTCTCCGCCTCACAAATGTCACAGGACAGACATAGTAAAGGCGAGGGACCAGGCGAGAGGTTGCTGCAGACAGAGAGAGAGGCAATACTTACGTCTCTCGAGAAGGCGCTTTGAGGCTCGGCGGATAGTCTCCATCATCTTGAAAACAAGGAATGAAAGTGAGTGGAAAGAAAAAGAGAACGAGAGGTGACGATAAAACAGGAGAGACGAAAGACGCAGTAAAAAGACGACGACGAACGACGGAGTTGAAAGTTGAAAGTTGAAAACGAAGACGATAGGTGAAAGATGAAACAGCAAAGAGCAAATAGAGAAGAGAGAAGTGATATGACGAGGAGAGGAGAAAGAAGAAGAAAAGAGAATGAGAGGTGACGATAGACGAAGTCGAAAGACGCAGTCAACAGACGGTCGAAAGACACAGTCGACGCAGTCGAAAGATGAAGTCAAAAGACGCAGTCGAGAGTCGAAAGACGAAGTCAAAAGACGACGACGAATGACGAAGTTGAAAGATGAAAACGAAGACGAAAGATGGAAGATGAAACAGCAAAGAGCAAAAAGAGAAGTGAAAAGTGATATGAAGAGGAGAAGAGATAGAAGAAGAATAAGGGAAACAAGAGAGACTAAATAGTCCAGGAACACGACATGGGGGACCTTCCATTTTGGATCAGCGTTGTTGTGCTCAGGTGAGTTGAATCGAGAGAAACAATGAGATACAATACACCTGAATAGCCTTGACTTCCAAGGCTGCCTTTCCTATTGTTTCGAAGGTGTTACCATTGTACTTCAGCGTAGAGAAACATGGCTAGGTACCTACCTCTATTGATACATTGACTCATTGATACCTATTGTGCTCTATTGATATTCAGTGTCTGCCTATGTATGAAGTTTCAATAGACATCCCAGATGGGGCCGATTCAGCTTAACCTAGCTGGCAGCCAGTCCACCACACACCATTTGGCGTAGACACACACCCTAGCCTTCACGAGAGGAGATTCATACACATAGTACTGGACTCATATCTCCTGGAGAGGCGTGGCCAGAATACGGTCTAGTCGTAGAGACGGCAAATGGCCGTGTCGCCAACTTATGTTGAGCGTCAGACAGCCAGCATACTCCGATGAGACCTCGCGAGTCGCCTACGAAACTGGCCCACCGAGACTACACACGCATCGGCGGATTGCGGCTGGGCCAGCCAGTGAACCACGAAGTAGATATTGACTACATAGCCCAGCAAAGGGTCATTACCGTTGGATATGCCGATACAACCGCATGGAAACCAAGAGTCGAGTGCTCGAAAACACCTTTGACTTGCCGTCACATTCGATGGAAAAGTCGACAGCACACTGCACAGGTACCTAGCTAGTCTCGATCACTACGCCGGATGACAGCCTTGAGGTTAACGTCGGCAGTTTACAGACTCGTGATGAGATACGACGAATACCATACTCAAGTGATGGAACATTACCGTGGCTACTCTCGAAAGTTAGAGCGTCCCCATTATAGATCTACGACAATCACGAGTACAGACTGGCAACATCTTGATTTGGGCCATGGAGTCTGCTCCATTTGCTACATACATGACTGATATGGCTCCATGGGAAAGCAGGAGATCTCCAAGTGCCAATTTCGTCAATGGTATATACCGATGTTCCCAAAATTATGTTGGCATTGCCAGTCCTGGTCGCACGTCATTGGAAAGATCAAGTGTTCTTCTTTTGTTTTTGGATAGATTTCGTTTGACCTGCTGCGAGGCTCGTCATTGGATATCTGTTTCGTATTCAGATTGGACATATTGCCCTTCACATTCCGGGATGTAGTGGCATGGAAATGATGACCAGGGAATTTGTTTGAGAGCCAAGTCTCATATTTACTCCTCGCCACCGGTAGTCTTGGTCTTCTTCTTGCTCTTGTTCTTCTTGTTGCCAGTGGAGCGAGCAAGAGGCTGCTCAAGGATCTTGAGGATTTCCTCGTCCTCGATCTTCTTGTCGGACTTGATCTTCTCGAGATCAGCGGGCTTGGGGGCAGCGAGCTTAGTGAGACCGTTCTTGGTGATGGCTGTGACAGATGTTAGCTTGGAATCCCGTTCATCTCAGTCAAGTTCAATGCTACTTACCAACGGTGGTCAGCAGGCGAGAGACGGGGGAACCGTCAGCCTCACCGGCAGGCTCGTACTGGCGCAGGACACCGCCACGAACACACTCGACAACACCGACCTTAGCGGCCTTCTCATCATCAAGCTGGCGCAAGCTGAAGGGGAAAGTACCGAACTTCTTGACAACCTCGGAGAGGGTCTGGCGGGAGCTGGGGCGCTTCAGGCCGTAGGTAGTGGTGGTACGGCGGTGCAGGGTAGCACGGTGGTCAAGGTTCTTGACCTTGCCGGATCCCAGACTGAGGCCAACCTCGACACCCCAAACTTCACCAACCTCGGGGACACCGTCACCACGGACACCGTTGCCGGGGGAGAGAATAATCTTCTTCTCGCCCTCAATCTCGTTGTGGCCGAAGAGCCAGCTGGTGGTGTTCTCGACGACGTTGCAGTCGTAAGTCTTGGCAATCTTCTCGAGCAGAGAAGACATGTAAGCCTGAGTAGGAGCCTTCTGGGCAGCGGCCTTCTTCTTCTCCTCGTCAGTTCCCTGAGCCAAAAGACCCTGGGGGATCATGAGGCGCAGGAGAACCTCGTTGGCGTAGTGGGTAGCGTGAATCAGATCAGCCTCACGGCCGGTAATGACCTCATCGGCGGAGTCCTTCTTGGCAACGACGACCATGTCGCAAACAATGGTTCCGAATCCATCGATCTGAGCACCGAGCTGAATCTTGATAAGCTCGCCGGCCTTGAGAACGGTCTCGGCTTCGGCGGCATCGGAAAGCAGAGGGGTGTAGGGAGTCACGTATGAGCTAGGAGAGACAGTGGTGGGGTGAGAGATACCTGTATTGCAGGCAGTTATTAGTATATGTGGATTTTCCTGCAACAGAGTCGAGGAGGAAACCCACCCTTGGCGACCTTCTTGCCCTTGTAGACCTTGGCGATGTGCTCCTCGAGGAGCTTGTCACCCTTCTGACAGATCTCGACAATCTTCTCTCCCTCCAAGCAAAGAGCTATATAGACGTTAGATCACATTGATATGCAAGATGTTATTGCGCAACATACCGATAACAGCATCGAGGACTGTGTGAGAAATTTGCGCAGCGGTCTTGTACTTGGTCAACGTATCGGGGTTGTTGAGGGTGTAGTCTAGAAGAAAGGGCATGTTTAGCCATGTCCTGTGTAGTCAGACTCATTATTGCTGGTTTCGTGTATGCCAGCGAGCTCATGGGTCATGTTGGAGCCGGTGCCCACAAACGTCAGAGCTTTCCACCTGGAGTTTACATACCTACAACCTCGGGTGCTTTTTCGTCGACCATTGTGAGAGGAATTGAGCTCGTGGAGCTTAAAGGAACAATAAAATGCAAGTGGTTTCGAAAAAGGTCCTCGGATCGTAAATCCGCGTAGAGCTAGAGGAGAGGAATGGGTCGAGATCGAGTCTTGTGCAGAGCCGTCGAGAGGGCGTTTAGCGTTGGTGGGGTTGATTTTGTGGGCCTGAAGTTTCAGGCTGGCGGCCTAGGGCTTTGCCGAAGACGTCATGGCAGTTTCCCATAACCAAGCTGTTTGACTTCATACTGAGCTAGGCCATTGGCCGAGTCATAGTCCACTGATGTAACTGTAGGGGTCGATCTTTCTTGTCTCAATTTTCCGTCTGATGCTTCTATGAGTTACAGACAAGACCGCTCAGGCCTCCAGTTTACACCTCCAGACCCCGTAACTTCTCCTCACCTGACCTCATCTCCCATGCATCCTGGGGAACTGGGCCTTCGCCTATTCTTCGGAAACTCTGCAGATGGTTTCTCGCTTTGCGGGGGCCGGGGAACATGTCAACCAAACACGGAGAATCAATCAAATAACAACATGATCATCTTGCTGGTCATACTCAGCTTCCGAGTACATCTCGACTCAGTCCTGGTGACTTAATTCAGATCAAAAGCAATCTTAGTTCACTCGATCTCCGCATCAAGGAACCAAAGGATATATACCTATGTCCTGGAATGGGCTCATTGAACACCCAGGGCAGCCCCTTCCAATCACCCTCCAGCTCAGACCACCTACCGAAACTGCGGGAACTCCGGGAACTCCAGGAATCTGGCAATACTTTGCCTGTCATCATGTATCCCAGGATCTCATGAATGGATTCATCCTGGCCTGATAGGTAGGTGGGCTTCCCGCTTCACTTTCTGCTTTATGAGATTGGAAAGGTACGACTAATCTAACCATGTGAGGGACTACGGTAAGAATGTCCCAAGGTCTGGAAGATGAAACTAGGTACTAGTTATAGTTTTTATTCCCATTCAGAGATGAGAGGTGAATACGGGGTTACCTCCCGCTATAAGCCTTAGGCGGTTCAGGCTATTGGTCGGGTATGAGGTTGTAGCCAGAAGCTGCGGACATGTTCACTTGCCCATACCTCACCATGCCGACGCTCTGAGTTTCATCGTTTTTCTTGCCTTAGTTTGTGTAGGGACTACGCTTCAGAAGTTCAGCGGCTGTAGCTGTTATTGAATCCAGACAAGAGACAAGGGCAGCGGAGTCTTCAGAAGGTCATCTTAACCTCGCTCGTGGCAGTTTAGATCGAAGTTTGATTGGAATCGGGCCCGTGTACCAGTGGACCGCTGTAAACTTAATCGGTCTTATGTGCTCAGGCACGTGATACCAATTAATGGGACGTAATAAATCACGGGTAAATTGTGTATTGGTAATTTACCAGTGATCGATGACCTTCACTGTCGACAACTTCAAGATTCCACTCCAAACCACCGTCTTCCCTTTCTGGTCTCCTCAGTTACTTTAAACCAACTCTTACCGAAGCTCCTCAAACAACTCTGGGTGCCCATCATGCCAATTCCACCATGACATCCCGCGAAGAAACCGTCCTAGCTCCCATCGATCCCTCTCTCACCGATGAGAACGATTGGTGGGAGTTTGGGCTCACCGATGTGAAGGTGCTGAAGCCTGGGAAGATGCTATATGCGAACCTACTCGACGCCACCGAACAAAACCCAGTACAGGTGATCGGCTGCTTAGAGCCGCTTCGCAAGGAACAGGAACATTTAGGTGTGTATTGGTCCAGTTACAAGCGCGTAATCAGTGCGCGTCTATCAAAGCAGCTTGCTGACCGGCTATTGTATTCACCAGCGCTACAACCCGATAACCCCCGAAGCGCATCATTATCGATGATGTTACGCACTATGCCTACGGTCAAACTGAGGATAAGAGTATTGAGATATGGGTTGCCGGTAAGGCTGGTTGGTACGACATTATTTCGCCCGCCAAGGGTTTCACGCCGACATACAATCGCATGGTCCAGGCGATCGACATGCTATATTTCTTGGTTGATAGACACCAGCAAGGAAAGAAACAGGTCAATCCTTCATTTCGCAGTCTCTGCGAACAGGTGAGTCTTTCTATATCAAGTGAAGCGCATGGAGGTCTCATACTTGTTTACTTTATAGTACATTTACCACACATACGGCTCATGTGAGACCCGAGAGCAGTCAGCGGAAGTATTTGCGCTCCATGCTCCTTTCTTACTTCGTTGCATGATTCAAGGTGATGCAGATGTCGACTGGAAGAAGACAAATGTATTCACCCATCTTCGTCGCCAATTCAATGTAAGTCAAGACGTACCCTCACTTAAATGCGCGCATGAAAATACTGATATAACTCCAGGATGACTATAACCGACTGATGGAAGAGCTGTCACCTTCTGAGGAAGATGAAACCCCAGAGGAACCAGAAGTGTCGACTCCCCGGCACAACCCCTCCACGATCTCAAAGTCACAAACCGATGCTATCTACCGACTTCTCAAAGATCTCCGAGACGAGGGCCATTTGGCAAAGCGTCGTCTAAACATCGACCTCCTAAGAGAACGCTTTGCGGAGCGGTATTCTCTCAGCCTGGAGGATGCCCAACAGATCATTTGCGTCAGGGCAGACGATGTGCTAAAATTGATGGATGCAGGGGACTTCCGATGGTCTCGCTATGTCATTCATCGGGACCTCACCTGTTCCTCCACAATCGCCCACCCTCTACCACCTGCACTTCTCACGCCCCTGGATGTGCAGGAGGATTCCAGCGACGACGAACGCTACGGCCGGACACAGAAGTCCGTACTGCGCCCAAAGGCCGCCACATTCTCCATCAAAATCACCGGCAAACGAAACCGCAATACCTCCACAAACCAACAAATCGTCCAATCCAGCCCAGAAGACGACCAAGAAGATACCGATGAGATCGACGAGATCGAGACACCCAGCAAAACGCGCGGCCACGAGCTCATCAGAGATCCATTCTCAGCCTCAAGACCGCGCACTCGCTCACTCGTATCAGCCTCCTCGAGCAGTGCCGGCCCCTCGCTCATGAAGAGCCTCTTCAGAGACACCATTAAAGAAAGACTTCAGTCTCCCTCTGTATCTGTCTGTATCTCTCCAACAAACCACAAGCCCCTAACTCCAGAGCGAGATTCAACACCCGATGCACCACCGCAGGTGAAGATGGAAGCATCACCAGTCGACATCTCTGATCTATCAGATACGTGGACATGTCGCATGCCCGGATGCGACAAGATAATCACCTCGACCGACAGAAAAGAGCGCAAGAAGCTCATCGGTGACCACGCCGGTGAACACGACTGGGAAACTCAAATGAAAGTCGAACTGATGGAGTCAGAGAAACGTATGCACGCTTCTTTACCCGTTAACAACCTCATGCAATACGTTATCGACGCGCATATCCTGCAAATGCGCGCTGCTTTCCCTGAATTCTATACCACAAGCCAGACAAATGGCGCTGGAAACGGACAGGTGTCTACATCGACAGCTGGGGAATTAGAAAGACAGGACGACGAAGACGAGGAGGACGATGAAGACGAGGAACTTGAGGACCTAATGAACGGCTTCGGTTGATCTGATCTGATCCTTTCTCTTTAAATATAAGTTTTTATATGTGCCATGACGTCTGCGTCGGGAACACGGTTGATACCGTGAGGATTTTCGCATCCATGGACTTCACACTTCGCAGCCATGACTGTGGGATTCCTTTCCCGCAGACACAAATACCCAGATATTCCATTTCATTCAAGATTTCTTCATTACGGGCGGAAATAGAGGCGTTGGGTGTTGGGTGTCCAAAGGACAAGGATGGGATGGGCGTTCTACAGGATGGATTTAGTAGATACGCACATACGCACAGCCGGTGGCTTGAATGAACACGTACAACATAATTGCCGGGCATGTGGCATAGCAGAATCTGAACGCCGTCTATGCATTACTGATGATTCTGTTCGGGTTGGACTTTTCACTTGTACCTACCTTGTCTATGTAGTAGATCAACAAGCGTCCAATCGGCTTCCAAGGCGAGACGACGCTTTTCTTGGGAGAAGTGGGAGAGAGAAAGAGTTGATTAACTACAGAAGGCAGGATGTCTGTTCCAGTAGTTAGCTACCTGATAGGAAGCCTGAGCACCAAGGCCCCAAAGTATGTGATATCATGTCACAACAGCTTTACGGGATAAAAGATGTGGGAATAGCATGCACCGACTACACCTGAAAACCAGAAGCCTACAGGAAGAAGAAAAGAGTAGAGAAGAAGCAAGTGGATTGAGTAGAACACCAACACTCGAACAAACGAAGTGTGTATGCAAGAACAACAAGTCAGCAAGAAACGGACAGCAGAAGAAGGGCAGCGAAGTACTGTCTGTCTGTACACTTAGCGAAGAACCCTTTTGGTATTTAGGGGAAAGGGGGATAAAGAAGAAGAAAAAGGGGAGAATAGAAAGAAGGAGAAGAGGAGAAGTTCTTTTGACTCAGGAGGGGTATACCAAGAACATGCCACAAATATCACACCACGTACGCAAGAGAGATAAGAGATACAGGTACAGGAAGTGGGATCAAGAGGACGAAGATTGAAATAGGAAATAGATGTTGAAGGAGGTTGGTGGAGGGTTGTGATCCCGCCGAGCAAGGAGAGCAGGGTTCTGCAAGGTGAGTTGGGACGAAAAGGAAAGATATTAGGGAATGATGGAAGGGAAGCCTGTTGGCGTGGCGGTTCCTGTTCTCTTGGGGTTTATTGTTGGTAGGCGCTGTGCGCTTTGAGGAGAGCTGGTAATCGTTAGCTATTTGTCCATCTAATTCTGAAGACATGTATACGGGAGATACGCACTCTGGAGTGTAGACGCTTGTCCCTGGCGCGATTCACAGGCACATTGGAGCGTATTCCCGTCCAAGAAGTCAAGCAGAATGCTGTTGGGCAATTCCTGCATGTCTTCCTCCGGGAGACAGGGAGTCCGGAACTCAGTGAGATGGTAGCGCTTTGTCATGTTTCGCGCGGTGGCATCGGTGGTGCCAGGTGCGAGCACAACGTATCCCTGTTCATCGATGCGCATGACTCGGCGCTTCCAGAGAAGGGTTTCCGGGAACTGGACATTCACCTCACCGATGTCAATGGGCTCGGCTATTTGCGAACTAGAAGACCCTAGGGCCTTTCCAGAGCCCTTGGTGAACGTGGGAGCATACTCCTCTTCCTTGACTGGGGAGCTAAGGGCCCCGATGATGCTGCGGCGAGATGTGGATGTGAGTGAAGACATGCGGCGCATGAGCCGTGAAGCACGAGAGGATTTCTTCTCTTCAGATGTTGAAGAAACGGATTGAATGGTCTCATCAGTCCTAGAGCGCGATGGGGGAGCGGGGCGGCTTCCAGGGCGAGACGACGCCGGGCGGCTAGATCCATTAGATGATATTGATGTGCTGCGGTCCTGGGGACGAGTGGCACGTCCAGTAGCAGACACTTGGGAGGACGGCTCCTCGATCGTCTCATGTTCCACGGTCAAAGGACTGGCCTGGAGATTGAGAACGTCGGATTCCGAAGGCTCAACTCCTGAAGAGCCGGGGGAAACATCTGCATCGCGCACGATACGGGCCGTCACAGAAACAGAGTTGGAATGACGAGTATCCACAGACACCCGACGGTCGTGCCGATTTGAACTCGGCGCATGGTAATCCTCGGTGGTTTGAGCGGCGTCCGGCGAAGAGGGGTCATGATGTCCACGAGGCAGCGAGATAGATGCGCGCTTGCGGAGGTTCTCGAAAGACGAGGCGGTCGACGGCGCATTCAGGGCCGGGCTGGCGCCCACGGGGGTGCCTTCTCGACTCGAGAATTTCTCGAGGGCCTTGATGCGGCTGTGAATGCCGGAGGAGACGTTGATCTTCTTGGCCATGAGTACCGGCGTAGAAGGTCCGCTCTCGGAGTAGGAGCCAGACACCGACCGGCCCACTGCGAGAGCTTGCATGGGCGAAGGGGATCGCATAGAGTAAGGACTCGAAACGGCACGGGAGCTCCTCCAGCCGTGATCGCGGGCGTTGGGGGATTTCACGGATATCGGTCTGGCCTCCTGGACAGTCGCCGAGGTTAATTCCTCCATGAACGCATCGTCGGAAAGCAGATTGTCGTCATCCGAGTACTCTGGGGTAGGCACTTGAATGGGGTCCAAGTGCACCTTGCGCCTCTGATCCAGGCTCTGATATTCGGTTTTCTCGGGGATCGGGTGAAGGCTCTGCTCGTCAGCCGGATTGGGATCGAGGGCGTCGGAGACAGGGGCGGTCGGGGTCTGGGTGCCGGCGCTGTCTGGAGGGGTGATAGCGGGGGTGGCAGGAAGGGGAATCGACTCAGGAACCTCTGGAGAGATAGGCTCCTCAGTTGGCTGTGAAAGTGGCTCAACTTCGGAATTTGTTTCTGGAACGTCCCCTGAAACTTGCTGTGGGTCTCCCGAGGACTTGTCGTCGAGTGGGATGTCGACACTAAATGAAGGTGGGGCGAGACTAGGATCCTCATGCTCCGTGGACGGTCCATCTTCAGGGGTCGACTGCGGAGCTTCCGTCTGGGCATCCTGTTGGACAGCACCATTGATTGAGACAGTACTATCGGCAATTGGGGACGAGGGAGACGAAGATGGCTCGTTTTCCGTATTCCCAACGATATCATCGGCGATCTGTTCTGCTTGAGCTCCAACATGCTTCACAGGCTGCTCTGATTCGGGCGTCACAGCAGGCTCAGCAACCGCCTCGACAGCCTCAGGGGCGGGTTCTAGAACAGACTCAGGGGCAGGCTCGGGAAGAACGGGTAAAATCTCCGAAGGGACTTCACGTTTGTCCTGTTGAATTACCACAGGCTTGAACGGTGGCTCTTCAGGCTCCGGATAGTGAATTTGGATAAGATTCTCCTTATTCTCATCCTGGTGCCTGGCAATCTGTTCCTGCGTCCTGATCTCCTCCTCGTCGGAGAGCTGCTTCTTTTTCGTTTCCTCAGCACGCTTGGCCATGTTCTTTTTTCTCTGTTGCAGAGCTTTCATCAAACGTTCTTTCTCCGGGGTTAATCCCGACGAGGTTGACAGCGCACCAAGGGATTTGGCGCCAGGGGAAAGTTGAGGCCTCGAAATAGGAATGGACGGGGGCGGGACGAGCAAAGGTGGAACTGGTGGGACACGACTAGTGGGCTTAGCTGCGAAAGTGCTCCCTTGAGATCGAGGGCGGGGCACGTCGGCGGTGGACCTTCGTAGGGAGGAAGAGCGCATATTCGTAGGCAGGGTCGCAACGGGTCGCTGCTCAGTAATTCGTGAACTGCCTGCTGTACGGGGCCTTCCACTGCTATCCACTGATGGTCGGGGCCCCAGCTTGACCTTAGGCGTAATTCCCGCGGCCCGTTCCAGTTCCCGGAGTGAGGGACGAGCGGACTGGGTAGACATCCGAGCCTCGTCCGAGGGACGAGGGAATTCATCCAAGATGTTTCGGTATTTGCTGCTGGGGCGATCTGAGTCCATGGATTTGGGCGACATTGTTGCCGATTGTGGTTCGATGGGACTTTCGCGAGTTGTTGTGGCTCTGGAGCTCGCTCGTGACGGGGGAGGCCTTATATCGACTGACGCTGTGATACTTCCTGGCGATGTCGGAGGTAGGTCGACGGGGATCTCAATAGGCGGCACTACAGTAGCTTCGGAATTGCTGCTCCTTGAACTTGGTCTGGCCTCTGACCGAGGAGGCGGGATCGGCTTCGCAGCCTCATCCTTCGTGCCATTTTCCTCCGCATCCTCCGTGATTTCCATCAGTCGTCGGCGACGGAGGGAGCTCGAAGATGAGGTGATTGAGGTCGAAGCGGTATGAAGGAGGCATGCCGAGGACAAGGCGCTTTCGGTGAGGTCGGAGGCTTTGGATAAAGCGAGTACAGTGTCGTTTGGAGTGAACTTCTCGGTGACGGAGTGGAATTGGACGTTACTTCGAGCTAGGATGGATTAGATCAAGTTGCGACAAGGTGTGTTGCTAGCATACCTATCACCAGTCGAGATAAACCCTCGGGCATATACCGGATGATCACTTTTCTGCGTCGGTATTGGAGGAAACCATACAGCGGCGAGCATTCCTCGTAGCTGTCGATGACATTTCGGATCTCGGGCACCCCGCCAGTGCCTCGTTCATGAAGGGCAACTTCATCTCTTGCAACATAGTGCAGTAGGAACCTGCAAGATCCAAGGGGTATTAGCGTCTTCTAGAAGGGTCGCACGGTTGCTGAACTGCGAAAGGGGGATGATCGGTGTGATCTACTTACCACCCGCCCGCGTCGGCCAAGGCACTTTGATAGGCTTCAAGGACGGGTGCACTATCGAGCCCGTTCAAAGACATGGCGTGAGCCGCATGGAGAGCAGAAGAGGCGTAAAGCCGAAGGTATGGAGGAGGGGAAAGATGGAGAGTCGAGAAAGGAGAAGTGTGGTGCCCCTCGAAAGCGGGCACTAAACTACTTCAAAGGATGACTTGGGGTCGGATCTCCAGATCGCGATGTACCCAATCAAGCCAAAAAATGTGTTGTTTCATGAAAGGTGGGTTCTTGTGATGAACACTCTTCGAACTGCTTCTTCGTCTTCTATTCTCAGGGGCACGTGTGATGCTATTCGTTCGGGCCAGCTCCACCTTGTGTTAGTGCGGCCAACTGGGCAATCCCAATTTAAGAGAGATGAAACACGACTCGGGATCGAGTGCTTCTTTATATAGGCATTGCTACTGTGATGATGTCTGGTATGTTGAGAAGTACATATTGTAACACAACAGTCATACATTGTCCACATGGAATGCGAGATTAATCATGGGGGTATGACGGTATCGATTGCCTTGTAGGGAGAAATAGTCAATTGAATGACTACGTAGTCAGTTGAAAATAGTCAATTGGAGATAATTAAGTAGTTAAAAGAGTCAGCATCAAGATAATTACTTGTCTACATCTAAATAACCTCAAATAAACGCAGCATTCCCAACTCCGCCGCTCTCCGGCCCGCCAAACATCTCGGAACTCCCCGAAGGTGGGGATAACCTTCTTCAGTTAAAAGAGTCCGAGTCTGTCTTCAATCCCTTGACAATATCGTATACACCTGAATCACATAGTCCTTGAACTACACCATGGCCAACCTTCCCCCACCATCGACGATCCCATCCCTACCCCAGGAGGAGCAGCTTAAAGTACTCGATACACTTTTCGAGCCCTCTCCGGAGCTCCACAAACTGATGATCCCCGTGCTGGCCAACCAGCCTTTTTCCTCCTATACAGCTCTCATTGAGGCTGTAGGGGGTCGTATGTCTGCACTATCGGCGCCGAATTCCCCGATCGACCGAGACGTGCTCTTCGGCATTTTGGGATCGCATCCCCGACTGGGTCGGGCCCCAGCCAACCCAGAACATTTAAGTGAGCTGAGTAAGAAGGAACAAGCCCAATTGAATCAAGGCGCAGAGGAACAGGCGGAGAAGTTACGAGCATTGAATGCTGAATACGAGGAGAAATTCCCGGGGTTACGGTTTGTGTAAGTTCAACTGATGATCTTCGATGTTTAGGGCTGACTTGAATAGCACATTTGTCAATGGTCGCAGTCGCGATCTGATCATGGTCGAAATGCGCCAACGTATTGATCGGGGAGATGGGGAGAAAGAGATCGAAGAGACCATTCAGGTAAGATGTTCGTATCTAGACCTTTGAGCTTTGGATGTTAACTTGAGTAGGGGATGTGTGATATTGCAAAGGACCGAGCGAGGAAGCTTCAGTCTCACATTTGAAATGAAGTAGAAAATACTCCGTACATAGCTCTAATAGACGAACCTATGGAATACGATCATGATATCGAGATAAGACAATATAAATAGGCAAAATAAGCAAAGATCATGCCTAAGAAGTAAACCGTCTGGAAGGGTCCAAGTCCCCACCGTCGCCCCAATTTTGATGTCATCCACGCTTATCCGATCGTTGCCGCTTCCTTTTTTCCCTTTTTTTCTTTAATTTTTCTTAATATTTCCATCTTAACTACTTGTATATACGAATATACTTCACTTTACTCTTCTACCCCCCATGCGCTTGAACAACTGAACCCATGGCGGAGGGAAGCGACAACCTCTCACCAGTCGCGACGACCCCCGCGATCGCCAACCCCCTCAGAGCCTCGACATACCCCGCCGGTAAGTTGGAGTCACGGCATTTGGAATTCAATTCGGCCTGGCTTGAGGCTTTCTTCATGCGCCACTGGCTGCGACTGAACTACCCCGCCTATTGCACGTGCAAAAAGCAAATAAAAACAATAAATCGCATACCAAGAAGAGGCTGAGGCTGACGCAACTATCAGGCTCGGCCACATCAGAGATCCCATCGGGCTCAACCCAAAGTCTGCAAGATGCCCGGAAACCCAATCGCTCACCGGTCATTGGTGGCCCGGTGCGAGAATCCACCTGGAATAGTCCCCTCGAGGCCAAGACCGAGTCAAGTGCTATAGATCCATTGTCGCAGGTAAGCACCGAACTGCAGGAGGGAATACCGCATCAACGTATTGGCGCATACTTTGCGGCTGATCCGGTCATGTGTTTGGCGACTCGCGGAGATGCAGATACGGGGATGCAGAGTTGTGGAGCAAGAGCCGGGCTGACAGGAAGACTGTGCTCCATCGTTTGTAGCACATTATCCAACGGACCAATACCCAAAAATCAATTCCTCTCAAATTACTTGGGAGGGCGTCTTACGAAGCAGAGGCTGTGGGCTCCGAGTACGGCCAGTCAGAACAAAGTCAACCACTGGGGGATTCCACGTCTACGAAGGGCCCCAAGGAGAAGAAGTGAGTTATTAGACCGAAACTTCCCGCCTATCTTGGAATCATCAGTTACGCCGAAAGTTTGTGTCGCCGGGCACTTCCGTGCTGGGCTTCTCTTTGCGCCTCCCCGCATAGTCCAATTTAGAAGATCCCATCACCGGGAGTTTTACGGCGACGACATATATGACCAGTGGCTGACCTGTGTTTACTTCTTGTTCCCTACAGAAAAGTCGTCTCATTCTTCAGCCGAATCATTGGAGGCAAGAGAAAGGATCAAGTCTCTGAAGCGGAAGATGATCTCTCGGAACCAGAGGCGAGCCGCATGTCCGTCGACGCTTCCCATCCAATTGGATTCATACCTCGGCATCCTGCTCCATCCAAGTACTTAAAGGTGCGGGCTCATTACAAAAAGGTCAAGACGTTTGATCGCGTATTCTTGGCCCAAGAACTGGAGGGCAGCGGTCCGTCGCCGAAAGCCGCAGATAGACGGATATCCGGGTCCTCCGCTTTGACGAACAATGGCGAGAATACCGGAAAGGCCGTTTGGGCACTCATGTTTTCTAAGGATGGTAAATATCTCGCAGTGGCCGGCCAAGATCGCAAGGTTCGAGTATGGGCGGTCATCTCCACGCCGGAGGAACGTGAGGAAAGCAACGGAGATGCAGAGCCCACGCCCGTCGACGCGCAGGAGCCTCCCAGGTTAAATGCCCCTGTGTTTCAAACTAAGCCTGTACAGGTATATGAGGGGCACACGGGTAGTATATTGGACCTGAGTTGGAGTAAAGTACGTATCCTAAATATTCGAATGGGTGGGAGACATGCTAATTTGCGAGCCAGAATAACTTCCTTCTGTCCTCGTCTATGGACAAAACGGTACGACTATGGCATGTCTCTCGACCGGAATGCCTGTGTTGCTTCCAGCACAGTGATTTTGTGACCTCAATCCAATTCCACCCCCGTGACGACCGGTTTTTCCTTGCTGGTTCTCTCGACACAAAACTGCGACTCTGGAGCATCCCAGACAAGAGCGTGGCTTTTGTGACTGCTGTACCCGACATGATCACGGCAGTAGCATTTACTCCAGATGGGAAATACTCCATTGCCGGGTGTTTGAATGGTATGCTTAACATTTATGACACAGAGGGCTTGAAAGTATCGTCGCAGATTCATGTGCGATCAGCCCGTGGGCGCAACGCCAAGGGTAGCAAGATCACGGGAATTGATACGATGGTGATGCGCAAGCATGACTCTCAGGATGAAGCCGAGGGCGATATCAAGCTACTGGTTACGAGCAACGACTCGCGCATCAGGTTGTACGACTTCCACGGCCGGACCTTGGAGGCCAAGTTCCGCGGCAATGAGAACACGTGTAGCCAGATCAGAGCGACCTTTACCCATGATGGCAAGCACATAATCTGTGGAAGTGAGGACCGCAGGGCTTACGTGTGGCCAATTGGACCGTTGAATGGAGATTCTGAAAAACGGGCTGTGGAGGTATTCGAGACGCAATCCGCCATGGTGACAGCTGCAATCACAGCCCCAACCCAAACGAAACGAATTCTGGCGCTGTCAGAGGACCCGATATTCGACATCTGCAACCCGCCTCCAGTGGCTCTCGTCGGTCCAGAGAATACTCGCTCACTGAAAAATGCAAGCGCAGGAAAGGAGAATGGAGAGCTACACAAGCGCTCTGTATCAGCACCTCGCCACTCCATAATCAGAAAAATGGCACACGAATCGCCCACATACCTCGCACGGTCCGAGCATCCAGGCGGAGACATAATTGTCATTGCTGATTACTCCGGCAAGGTCAAAGTGCTCCGACAGGATTGCGCATATCAAAAACGCCGGTCCGAGAACTGGGACGCCAACACCATCTCACGCCGCATCCTCCGACGCTCAAACTCCGCCCGTCGCAGCGTCGCCTCCCTCGGCAAAGAATCCTCCCACAAAACACCATCCGAGCGCATAATCTCCTGGCGCAACTCTGTCGTCCGCCACCACCGCTCCAGCACCGATGGCTCCCGCTCCGGACTCCGAACCCGCAGTCCATCCCCCCAACACCGCCAAGCAAGCTTCAAACTGTCCGTATCCCGACCCTCAAGCCTGGGCCCCCAAGAATCCCTCTCCGCCTTTACATCCCCACCGCCATCCCCGCGCCGCTCCCGCCTCGACACCACCCGCACCGGAGCACACGGAAATGGCAACGTTCCTGCCAACCAACCACGCCCGGGAGTCGCTGCATCATCCGCAGATCTGCTAGCCAACGGCGAGGTAGATAATAATCCCCTCTGGCTACAGGGCGACCACAGCTACGCGTACTGGAATAAGATCACGCACGACGCCTTGGCCATGCACTCTCGGAACTCGAATGACTTGCTCCGTCCGACTACCAATACTTCGCGCGAGCGCAAGATAAGTGTCTCGGGTAGTATCCTGAGTAGCGATTACTCCTCCGTTGGTGATACCGAGGACGATGTATTGAAGTGTGATAATTGTCGCGGGACGAGCTTCCGCAGTGTCAAGGGTCGGGACGGGAAGCAGAAGCTGATCTGTTCGCAGTGTCATCGACCTGTTTCTTGACTTCTCTTGATTTCTTTTTCTTATTTCTTTGTGGATGCTGTTACGATCTACGATCTACGATCTATCATGTTCTGGTATACGATTTTGGTTGGCGTTTTTGTTCCCTGTGTATATTGGAGGGCTGGGCTGTTTCCATCGACTATATGTTCTGCTTATTGCATTGTGGATATTTTGTCTTTATATGTACAAAATCGTTTTCATTTGGACCCTGGGATCTGAGCAGGGTGTGTATAGTATCGAATGCAAGGGGAATATCAGATGAACTACCTACGTGGAACGATCACACATTTACAGACGAGGCTAGAGATCGCATAAACCCAAGCCACTTTTCGTCAAGAATAGAAAATACCCAGCTACCTAGTAAATACACAAAAGAATCAAGCAATGATCCCAAATCTGGAGGTGCCCGAGCAAAGCAAATTGATGCCAAGACATGGAAAAAGCCGCCAGCACACTGATAACCAACTCCACATCTCTCCCCGTCACCAACTTCACCAATTCCTCCCTCGAGCAGTGAACTCCCAAGGACAATTCACAGTTCAATCTCACTCACACAATTCAATCGCGACTCATCCCGCAACACGCAAACCAAACCATCAACGACCGACCCTCCGCATCCCACCAACCTCACCTCCACCAAGTCTCGAACTCATTGCAACCAACTCAAAATGCCCTACCTCCCCACTTCCCAGGCCTACCTGGAACAATCCGCGCAGTTATTACAAGCCTACCCAGACACGGTAAGACAACCCCAACCCTCATTCCTCCATGAGATTTCCAACTCCATCCACCCCCACAGCAGACAGCAACACCTCCCTCCAGCCCAACCCTAACCCCCCCCAAAAAGGAATAATGAAACTAACCAACCCAGACCCGAATCGTAACAAAATACAACTTCCCAAGCACACGCCCCGCCAACCAAAAACGCATCCAGAAATCCCAAAAGAACCCCAAAGCCGGCGATGCATCAACCCCAACCGTGCCAATCGCGTCCCTCACATTGAAAACATTCAATCCTACCACGGGGATCTGTCTGCACTACCGCACGAATAAGGCACAGGAAGTTAGTCGGCTGATTACGAGCCTGGGCAAGCTGGCTGCTGGTGCGGACGTTGCGGGGTTGGGGTTGTCGAGTGGGACTGGTGATGTGGAGATGGTTGATGCTCCGGTGACTGCTCCTGCGGCTGGGACTGAGGAGGTTGGTGGGAAAGGGCAGGGGCAGCAGCAGGGACAAGGGAAGAAGAAGAAGGGTGGGAAGGGGAAGAGGTAATCTGGTTTACTGTGTATTAAGGGGGGTGCTGTTGTCGTTGGCTTTTCTAGGATTCATCCGAAGATGAATAGATGCAATTCTGAGATATTGGATACAAAATTGGTCTCATTGAGGCTGGTTACTACAATGCAAAGTTACAGATATTAATCATGTGTTCTGTAGACATTCAGAGTAGAAGTACGTGTATTAGAAGCGTTGGTGAAATACAGGCACATTTACACAGAGACAGAGACATTGAGTAAGTAATACAAGACCTAGATAGATACAAAGCCCACCATCCATCCAGACATAGAGTCCAGGACAGACCAGAAAATAAAAAAGCAAGCAAACGCCATTCCCATGCGCGCCTCGGAACAAAGCATCAATCAATAAAGGTAACAGAATAACGGCGTAAGATCACGTGAAAGGGGAGAGGGTATAGAACAACACAAGAGGGGACAGAGAAGGACGTCTAGAAATCCTCATCGAAGTTGAGGCCACTGCTGGGGACCTTCTCGCCCTCGGCGTTGACCTCCTGCTTGGTGCTGGCCATGACACCAGCCTTTTGGTAGTCACCGACGCGCTTCTCGAAGAAGTTGGTCTTTCCAGCCAGGGAGATGGACTCCATGAAGTCGAAGGGATTGGTGGCGTTGTAGTACTTCTTGTTGCCGAGAGCCACGAGCAGACGGTCAGCGACGAACTCAATGTACTGGCACATCAGAGTGGCGTTCATGCCGAGCAGACCGCAGGGGAGAGCGTCAGTCAGGAACTCCTTCTCAATGTCGACAGCCTCAATGATGATGGCCTCAACAAGCTTGGCGTCGGGACGGTGGTTCATGTGGGAGAACAGCAGACAGGCGAAATCAGTGTGGAGACCCTCGTCACGAGAGATGAGCTCGTTGGAGAAGGTGAGACCGGGCATCAGACCACGCTTCTTCAGCCAGAAGATGGAGGCGAACGAGCCAGAGAAGAAGATGCCCTCAACGGCGGCGAAGGCGACCAGACGCGAGGCAAAGGTTGACTCGCGGTCGTTGATCCAGCGGATGGCCCATTCGGCCTTCTTAGCAATGCAGGGAACTAGGGTCATGTTAGCCAACTGAACTCGCGTAGTCAGAAGATAAGAGGCACATACTGGTATCAATAGCGTCGAAGAGGTATGTACGCTGCTTGGGCTCCTTGATGTAGGTATCGATGAGCAGAGAGTAGGTCTCGGAGTGGATGTTCTCCATCATAATCTGGAAGCCGTAGAAGCAACGAGCCTCGGGGATCTGGACCTCTCCACTGAAACGCTCGACAAGGTTCTCGTTGACGATACCATCGGAGGCAGCGAAGAAGGCAAGGACGTGGGAGATGAAGTAGCGCTCATCATCGTTGAGACGGTTGTGCCAATCGTGGAGATCCTTGGAGAGATCAATCTCCTCAGCGGTCCAGAAGGAAGCCTCGGCCTTCTTGTACATTTGCCAGATCTGTTCCAGACGAAGATGATTAGCATCGATTTGAAGATGTCCACTTTACGCGTCCGACGCGTCGAAGACGTGACTTACCTCGTGGTACTTGATGGGGAACATGACGAAGCGGTGGGGGTTCTCCTGGAGGAGGGGCTCAGTAGCCTCCAGCTCCTTGGGAGTAAGAGCACGCTTAGGCTCCGCGGTCTTCTCGGTGGCGTCGACGGGCTTGAGAGACGCGTTCTCCTTGCCAACCGACTGGAAGTCGAGCTTCTTGGCGGGTGAGTCACTCATCTTGAGGTTCTCGAGGGAGGAAGCAGCCTAAGAAGGGGAGTTGTGTTAGTCAAATCGAGGTTCACGACGCGTCAGGCGCGAGGCAAGAAGCGTGACATCACGAACCTGCTTTGAGGGAGTGAGTTGAGCAGCCATTGGGGCGAGTCTATGTGTATAATATGATCACAAAACGAATCGTGAACGCAAAAACAGCAATTAAGAATGAGGTAGAAGCTTGGAAAGTGGGATGAGAGATTCAGAGTTGAGACGAGGGAAAAGAAACTCGATTAAGTACTGCCCGATTTCTCTTTAGCGCGACGTGCTAAGTCACGTCGCACGTGACCGCGCGCAGAGCTTAGGTAAAGGCGCGTCGTTCCAAGGGTCCGCTTCTTACCTTTTTGGGTCATGCCACTTGGTTCCCAGCAACATCCGAAGATTGTCTGAGACCATTCCAGCTCCATACGTACTCCATTCTTGTGCATACTGAGGAGATGAGGGCATTCCGATCTTATCTCAATCTATTTATTCTACGATCATTGATCAATGGACGGAATTCGACCTTGATACTGAACTAGTTATGCCTACATCGGAATCATACGCAGTAAATACCTGTAGCGACCTACACACATCACGCATCAGACATAAGCACGACCACGCGTCTCCATTTTTTTTCCCTCAATCTCCACTATTGGTGATTTGATCATGATCAGATAAGCCAGAAAGCCCACCAAAACACGCGACGCGACTGAAAAACAAACCGGCTTTACGGATTTATTGGATTTTTCCTTGGCCTAGATCCAGGCAGCAGAACGTCTCATTCGCCAATTTATCACTCATCCTTGTTCGATGGCGTAAGGGACTTCAGCTCGGCTCTCCACACGCGTTCCAGCTTGGTCCAATCAATCCGGATATCCGTACTCCGTACACAGCCAGTCCTGCTCATTATTCCTCTTGGAACTTCGATCCCACGGTGATAGCATTCAATAAGTTGGCATGAAGTTGCAAATACATACATAGCAACGCCCTGACATGTGGCAGCCCTGTCAAGTACCAGGAATGGAGGAGCTGGCACCCAGGAGATGGCGCCCTTTACCGCATCCAGAAGTTTCTCGGAGGAGACCCCGGCAACAAAGAGACGTCGATCAATAACCGGGTTGCGCCGTGCCCCGTACACAGTATGTATGTTGTAGAGTCGTACTTCCTACATAAAGCGAGGGGTCTTGCCTGTCCCCATCTTATGTGCTCAATTGCATGAAACGCCTCTCGCAAAGGACTAGTAGTAGTACGGTCATCTGTATATTGACCTAGGCTACCCAGGGCCTTGAAATGTGGCGAATGATCCCTTGCAAGTGCCTTTCAGGCTCGGTTTAAGGTTTGGGTGCACTGGCAACCCCCACATACTTGTGGTCTATTCAATGGACTAGTGGGAATCGTAGGGAGGTGCCTTGCATCGCCACGTGTTAGCGCGTTCTCGCGTTTCGCGCCCTACGGGGGACCCGACTAGGTAGTATTAGGACAGGTAAACAATTCACACAAATATATTCCTCGTGCTGTGTGAGCAATATTATGTACAGACTTTCCATTTCAATACACGAGGGTACTCTATAAAACGCCAGTTCGATATCGAGTCAAAAACAGCCATGCGACATAGCACATCCCGAAATGGAACCCCAGCCAGACCAATGCAGACAACGGTAATGGATCTCGCGGCAAGATCTCTGAATATAAATCACATGAGGCTTAGATTCCTTCGCGGAAAGAATCAGGGAGAATACGATCCTCGACCCGGCGCATCAGCTTATTAGTCTGCTCAGCCAGACTCAAAGTCAAGATCTAGATGTGGAGTTAGCTGGTGAATGACAAAGCAACGATCGACTCCAGAGATATCACTCACGGTGTGGGGCAAGATGCGGGCTAGGTGAGCGAAGAAGCCCTTGTAAATGGCGAGGGGACCCTCGGTGCGGATCGTCTTGAATAGACAGTCGAAGACACCGCCGTACAGGTTGCCAGTCTGATTGTACATGCGGGCCATGATCGTGTCTAGAAAGCAAAGTCAGCGAAGAAGAGAAAGTGCCATCTTCAAAGGGACATACCAGGGGGATGCATGAAGCAGCACACAACGAAACCAGAAGCTGCGCTACTGGCCAGATGCAAAGCGGGACCCTCCTTCATGTCAAGGTGACGGGTCAGACGGCGCTTGGCGAAGAAGTATGTGGGGAGTTGCACGGAGCTGCCGAAACTGGTACGGATCATAGCTGCATCGACACCGCGATAGATACCCCGGATACCCTCTCCCTTGTAGATCTTAGAGAGACCATCCCATGAGTTCTTATAGTTGTGCTGAGTGCCGACAGGAAGGAACGGTGAGCTAGACTGAAGGCGAGTCTTGACAAGGAAGAAGGGAGATCCCGCTGCAGCTCCAATTACACCTGAAGCAGCTCCTGCGAAGACATTGGCACCCAGTGACTGGACTTTAGGATCATCGTAGATGGCAGTTGTGACGCTCGCGCGGATAGGTTCGTAGAAGCCCAGACGGCAGCCGTTGAGCAGGACCTGGTAGATATACTGAACACATGTGTGGTTAGCCCAGGTGTTCGAGGGGTCGAACAAAGGAGGCATGACATACAGCAGATCCGATACCCCGGAATAGACCCCGAGGTCCTTCATTCTGAAGAATGACCTTGACGCCGTGGAACACGCCCTTGTATTTCTTTACTGCCTCGGTCTTGGTCTGCAATTCACCCTGCAACTGAAGCCTTCGGACCGGGCATAGATGTTAGGACCATAGCTCATCGGATATGACATGGGCAACACGAACCGAATCTTGACGGTCTCGAAACTGTGAGTGACAGTGACCGCACCGCATGCTGCAATGCCACCAGCAATGAACGCGCTGTTCAACCACAATTGCTGTTAGCGCATGCTCTATACATCCTGGTCGCACATATCTCACATACCCTCCAGTGGTAGCCATGCTGGTCTATGTGCAATATGTGTCGAAGATGACTTTGTTCAAGATTGTCGGTTAGCGGAGGATGATCGGACCCGCAGGACGACACAAGCGCGGCCAGAAGCGGAGGTTCCGCAGGAGGTTTGCGAATTGATGAGACTATACAGCCTGGTCGCAACTAAATTGTCGGTAAATGCGCAATGTAATCACCTAGGCCAGATTTTGAAGAAGTCTGAAAAACGCCCAGAGATAAGCCGGGGACTCAAAGCTTTACATGCGGCGAATCGGCTCGGTTAAACGCTGATTCGCCAATTCAACCAAGACCTCCGGCGTCGGCCCCGGAATATTTATGTCAGCCAAGGCGGTGACCTCAGACCCCGGCTAGCGCAAAAAAGCCCCGGAGCTTCATCTCGGAGCTTGTTGTTTGGACGCCCTAGCTGTTTCTCACATTCTCCCTGCTTGATAAAGTGCTGCTCGCACTTTTTGAATTATTTCAGTACTCTGATCGCTCCTGCATTTCCTAAACTGACAATTCATCATGACCGAGGACCAATCCACACCTCAGCAAGCTCCGCCCGCTGCTCAAGCTCCTCTCAAATCGCAGAAAATCACAGATATTGTTGACACCTTCCGGCCATCTAAGGTGAGCTCAAGCACAAAATTGGCGAGACAGCGAGATCTGACAAAGCTTTTCTATAGGGGTTTCACCCTTGCAAAAAGGACCCATCCAAATATGTGACTTCTTTGGACTTTGACGACCAGGGCGACTTCCTGATCGGCGCCGGCAACGATGATAGCATGCACGTCTACGACGTGAAGGAGGGGAAATACAACAAATCAGTGGCAAGCAAGAAATATGGTGTTCATCTGGCGAGATTCACCCACCACTCCCGTCAAGTCCTTCACGCGAGTACCAAGATTGATAGTATGTGCTTTGGAACCGGGGTGCTTGAATCCCTCGCTCACCGTTTACAGATAATTTGCGGCTACTGGACCTCCACAATGAGGGATACATTCGGTATTTCACTGGAAGTAACGACCAAGTAACCTGTCTAGCGCTTTCACCCGCCAGCGATGCCTTTATGTCTTGCTCCAAGGATGATACTGTGACGCTCTGGGACCTGAATTCAAGGAATCCGCAAGGAAAACTGAATCTTGCGACGCCATATCTCGCTGCATTCGATCCTTCGGGCGCCGTCATTGCCATTGCTTCCCAATCCACATCCTCAGTCCTTCTCTACGATTTCCGCAACTTCGATAAAATGCCTTTCTCTACCTTCGACCTTGCTCCATACGAGGAGAGATGCACACCCTCGACGCGTGGCCGGGCATGGACTCGGTTGGAGTTCTCCAATGATGGAAAATATCTGATGCTGGGAACAGACTACCATGGTCACTATGTTCTAGATGCCTTTGATGGTACAGTCAAGGCTTTCCTAGCCGGCAAGAGTGGAGCATCTGGTCGTGCTGCGCCTATATCCACGACTGGCAAGCCTCTCGGACAAGGCGATGCATGCTTCTCCCCTGATGGTCGATATGTTTTCGGTGGCAATGGTGACCAGCATGGCATGCTTGTGTGGGATCTGGGGCAGATCGGCGGCGGAGACATCAACCTGCAGCCCTCAGCCCGGCTGTCATCTCCGAGCCGCACCGCCATGGTGGAATACAACCCGCGTTACAACATGATTGCCACCGCTGACAAGGAAATCATTTTCTATGTACCCGACGACCATGGCAAATCGTCCGAGAAGTAGATCCAGTCTCAGATTTCGAATGATCTTACAGTCTCAGCCAAACCCCATCCCAAAGAACACTACAAGTCTGGGAACCATACGAAGCATCTACCGAACAGACACCACCATTTTCTCCACTTGTCACATACTGTCGAAGCCCAGGAGAATCGTTCTATTTGAACATGTCTAGCAGATAGCCGAACCTCATGGTTATGCTCTTCTATTTTTATCTTTGCCCACCAAACTCCGCGCCGTGTCACAAATCCAGACGTCTGGGCCCCTGAGGTCATCATCGCCATCCCTGTTCTTCTCAATGGTCTCCTCAATCTGCTTGTCGATTGTGCGATTGCTGGAGATGGTCGTCAAACCAGTGACCCAGCCGTATAGAAACACGCTATAGTTGATATCCGATAGGCCTTTCTCAACTTCATGCACTACTGGATGGAGGCTACCCTGTGCCTTAGCCGAATCAATCACCTGCAGAGCTTCAACGACCTTGATGGGGAGTTTCCAGTCCGTGGGGAGCTGATAGTCGGACAATTCTTGGAACTTCTGGAGGATAGCCTTGCAATCCATTCCGTCGTACGGTGGTTCTTCCAGCAACATCCGAGTCCTGCTCTTCTCGGTCTCTGTTCCGATTGTCTCCACAATCTCACGGAAACGTGTGACAGCCTCTGTGGTAGCGACGAGTTCACGACCATCCATGGCCGGCCAGAGCTCAGAACTTAGCAAAGGCTTTTCCCGTTCAACTTCGATTTGTCGAACGATGGCCCTATGGAAATGTGGTGCCAGCGGGATGTCCTTGATGTGTGACAAGTCAGATACCAAGGCAAGCAGTAAAGTGCAGTCGACATTCAAAGTCGAAGTCAAGTTCTTGAAGGGCTGAGGCAGGAGATGATCCAGTCCGGTTCTCGTCTCAGTGGGCGGAGTCTGGCAATCAACCCGAATACCATAGCTCCGCATCTCATTCAAAATAGCATCAATCGCAGGAATTTTCCCTTCCTCAATCTTATGCATAACAACCCGTAGCCGAGGATGCTTATATCTAACCCGAGTAGCATCAGCCGCCTTCCTCAGATCCCGAGCCAACTTGATGAGCTCCAGTTCATCGTCATCATCCCCATCCTCTTCATCATCAAAATTCTGCAACACAGTCCGCCCTTTCCCCCCGTCATCAGACCAATCCTCCTCATCACTATCACACTCCCACCCCTTCTTCGCCATCTCAAATAAAAGCCGACTCTCCGAAATAGTCGACACTTTAACCCACTCCTCCCCATCATCAGCAACAATATCCACAAACACACTCTTGCGCTTATCTTTATTAGCCTGTTTCTTCGGCTGGCCATCAGAACCAGCCCTTTTATTCTCCTCCGCGCTTTTCCTCTCCGTCGTCTTCGTCTCCCGATCCCAGTAGAATCTCTTCCCCAGCGCAAGTAACCCAGAACAAGACTCCCGAGCAATACTCCAGACAGCCTGGTAAAACGGTAGATTCGAGGAGCGCAGCGCATGCACCAATCGCATCTCTATGTCGGATGCTTCCCCGTCTCCTGGTTCCGGCCCGGACTCTGTACCACCAACGGCCTTCTCAATCTGCTTACCCAGCCTCTGGAGAATCTTCTGCTCAGAAGCAACGCTCGAGCGGAACTGGCGGACCTCGACGAGCTGTGGATTGCGAAGTGTTGACTTGAGGAGGGATTGGTAGGCGTCTATTTCGGAGAGGAGCTGGTTGCATTCTTGATTGAGCTGGGCAGAGAGGGTAGTGCTGGTCCTTGTGCTTGGATCTGGCTTTGTGCTCGTGTTGTCGACCTGGTTATCATTGTCGAGGTCCTTGTCGGGGTTGGATGGGTCTGCGGAGACGCGGATATGTGCGTCTGGTGCCATTGTGTCGTATCAGACTCAGCAGAGGCAGAATTGTGTGCATGTGTTGCTCGGGAAGGATTGTTCGGCTCAGCCACGTGTGTTTCTCGAGTGGTTAGGGTGGGTTCTCTTTGTTGTTGTGCTGGCGGGGTCCGCGGGGCAGGTGCGATAGAGCTGGGGTGATAAGGATGGAACCAAATAACCTCGTTGGGAAAGAGCAAGTGCACCTTTCGGGGGTTCAGATGTTCGGAGTTGAGGTTCAATTGACCGACTCACTCGTAGGAGCTACTTTATAGGTGGGAGCTGGAGAGTTTCGGGACCTGAGAAGCCGGGAAGCTCCACATGAGGCTCTCTGGATGACTCAATGGAGGACTGCTCCACTTCGTTGCTTCTGGAATCCTATGGTCCGTTTCAGACTAATAATATCTAGACGATTGGTTCTGCTTTATTGGGTCATGATCTCGCTTTCTCCCCTGGACCCCTGGACATCTCTTGGACGAAAGTTGAGAAAACCGGGATATAGTACTTGGGATCTGCCGCATCCCAATGTGCCTACTAAATGCAAAGAACTGTTGCTGCTACCATGGAGACATACAGTATGGCGAGTCCTCGAAATGAAATCAATTTGGAATATCGATTCTGTTGGTTTCGCGATGAGCCTTGTTGATCTGTAGGTTGAGTAGGTTCAACCACTGATCAGTGAGGCTCATCGCGAAATATTCACTTTCGAGTGGTTGAACCTACTCAACCTACAGATCAACAAGGCTCATCGTGAAACCAACACTGATCAGTGTGGTTTCTACACGGCAATATTGCTGGTATGCGAAACGTCGAAGACGAAGACTACGGCGATTACTGGGCAGAGGGCCTACTTTCGAGGAGGCTCCTGCTCGGTGTAATCTGTGTAGTGGTTCGTAGTTGTTAAAGCGAAGAATGCAGGCGTCGCGAACTACCCCTTAATACACACAGACGCACGCTAGGTCACATGACTCTCCATGTTAACTTGTTGCCAGTCCCAACGGAATCATTCCAGTGTACATGTAGCCTTCTACGTGAAGCGAGAGAAGTATCTTGAATCACCCATGTAGATAGATGCATTCCAGCTTTCGCTGTCTCACTGGTAGAGACGCCGTTAAGAACGGATCCAGAAAAAAAGGCAGTTAGGTCCATAGTATAACTAACAAAGAGCCAGAAGAACTCGTATTCAACATAAGTAAGTATTCGAAGGGAAAGTCAACGCCATAACATGCTCACATCCTTCCCCGGCAACAGATTGTACATTGAGTAAAACGGCAACCTCACCAATTACCACACGTCTGCTTCTGATAGGTATCAGCTCTGATACCAACCGGAAACAGCATTCATTATAAGAAAGACCAGCCAAATTCAGGTCTAATCCTTGTCTTTACCGGTGAGTTTCTGTCTCTCGCTGGAATTGCGAGGTGACTCCTCGTCATCAGACCACCTCTCACCATCTTCCTCACCGACGGCGAAGATCGTCTCCTCCTCGAGAGACTCGCGCTGGCGAGGTGCCGAGGAGAATGGCTTGGGAGGAACCGGAGAGAGATCACGACGACCTTGGGCAGCTGAGCTGCCGGGATAATCGGGTGGAGCGTCATAGGCATCTTCTTCGTCCAATCCACTGCCGAATGATCGAATCTCGAATCCATCGTCGTCTTGGGCAAGCTATAATAGATATTAGTACTCGAAGATAAGGCTCTTTGGGATAGGGAAAGCTCCATACCTCGTCACTCATGGCGAAGCGGCGGTTGTTGACAGTCGGTCGCCACAGATAAGCGACAAATCCAATGTCGAACAGGTAGACCAGGTTGAGCCAGCCATCAAGCACAAACCATCTCGCCTTCCAGTGCTCGGGCACGAAGCTTGCGTCACTGCGTCCAGCGAAAGCAAAGGAGTTGATGAAGAAGAAACCGAAGATCACAACAATGCTGCCAAGGATACACCACCATAGCTTCTTATACATCATGGCCTTTGTCTTTTGCTTCCTGTCGACGAGATCCTTCATCGTGGCATTTAGTGAGTTCAAGGTCCACACGTAGAAAGCCGTCAAAGTTCCAGCAAGCGGCAGAACGATCAGAAGCACCAGAGGACCGGCGCTATCTGGGGTAATTGACAGACTGGCAATCGAATAGACAACTGCAAAAATGAAGTGACCAATAGCGAGGATGCGAACAAAGACCATGGTCCGGCCCAGCGAATGCTTGACCACGCCATAGCCCATGCAGACGATAAGGAGAAGGAAGAAAGAGAAAGCATTTCTGCCCGCATTGAGGATTGCCACGATGATCATGAGTGCCTTCGCTCCGCCGTTCAAGCCGTGGCGATTTTGGTATTCTTGAAAAGTCAGCAAACGTAGTCACGCAGAGAAGCAGATCGAGTATCTCACCGTAGAATCCCCACGTCATCAGCTGCTCGACGATCAAAAAGACAATGATTGCAGTGATGTAGTTTTGCACAGGCACTAGGCAGAGTTAGCATGGCACTCATAATGGGAAAACGTAACCCTCAAACGTACAAATGTCATAACGGTTCTGCACGTATAGGAAAGCCCAAAATCTAGAAGTTGGCGTAAGCATGTGCCCGAAGATTGGCCGAGTCCATCAAGTTCCCAAGAGACATACATTCCAATGACAGCGTACACAATGGTCAGAGCCCCATAGAAAGGCAGCTTTGCAATTTGTGCAGCGGGAAGCTCGCCATATGAGTTTCGGAAGGTAACTACCGCATTGTATTCCTGACCGGAATACGCATATGTGCTCACACAGTAGAATCCGGTCTTCCTGACGGGGTATCTGACGGCATCGGGGTTGTTGAGGTGGATGGCTTTCGAAAGGATAGGGTTGAGAGAGACATCGGTAGCGTTGCTAGTGAGAACGAAAGAGCCGAGTTGCTCTTCGGTGCATATCTTTGCTTCGACGTTCGAAGCATCACAGATCGTTTCCTTGGCCTGGAACCAATAATTAGCTGCGCCGCCTCGTTATGCAGAGTTGATAGACATACCTCAGCATCGTCGGACCGATATTGTCCAATCAATGGCTCATCAGTCCATTCGAAAATTACCAAGCTAGCCAAAGGGTCTTTCCCTTCGACTTCCGACTTGCTAAACTTCACCAAGATGAAGGGGTCAACACTTCCTCCCCAAGCTTTGCGACTGTACATCCCTGAGCATCGTTGTCGGTGCGCATCGTCAGATTTCTGCAATATTGCGATGGTCAATCATCGTCATCATTCAAGACAAGGTATGCACCCACAAGTTCAGCATCATTAGCAAGCGCAGAGGTTGCCAATAGGGCTGTCAAGCCCAGGGTCTGGAGCCAGCCCTTCATGGCGACCGTTGAGTTGAAGCGAGACTAGGCGCCGGGGTTCGGAATAAGGTCTTGAAGGCCAGATAGCATCAAGCAAAGGAATCAGCAAGAAGATAGATAGCCAATGTCGTTCAGACTATTCCCGTAAGACAATCGTATGGCTAAGGTGTTGTTAAGCCTGAAAGCAGCCCCAACCCGGGGAAACCTACCGCGCGTGGTCATTATCTAAGCGGGCACCGCCACTTTTTGAGTTCTCAAGGTCGTTGCTTTTTTTTTCGATTTACCAGTGTAATCCAGTAACAACAAGCATTCTTTCAATAGAGCCCACCATGCCGGCAAAGGAGCTGAACAAGCCATGCATGGATTGCAAGAATGCCGAATTCGAGCTCATTGTCCGCCAGAGGCAGCTTTGCAGGTATGCGACAGACAATCTGCAACCCCTCCAGCTCATAGTCACTAACCCTCTGCAGTTCCTGCTTTAGGCGTTTCATCGCACACAAAGTTCAGTCGCGCCTGAGTGTCTACAGGGCTTTTGGTCTTGACGGGCCTCGCAACCAGTTGCTTCTTCCTGTGTCTTTCGGCGTTTCCTCCTCGGTCTTGTTACACATATTATACGCCGATCGCCAGGCCCGCTTGAGCAATGGGCGTCCTCTGGGCTACGACTTCCATATTCTCGTCATTGAACCTTCAACTGTCGCGGCCACCGGTTCTCCCTTCGATAAGAACTACAAAGCACTTCAAAAGAATTTCCCAATGCCAGCCATCACTCGGATACCGTTCTACAGTATCTTTGACTATGTCCCAGAGATGCAAGAAATCATGAAGGAATATGGTGGACCGCAATTCACAGATGACAGCTCACGATCAAATGGAGAGCGGTTGGCTGCCTTCCGTGCATCCATATCTACCGCCACCTCCAAAACGGATATCGATACCATTTTGCTGACAAGACTCGTCGCCGAATTTGCGAAAAAGTCTGGATGTGAATCTGTGATCTGGGGTGACTCAGACAGCCGTCTCGCTGCGAAAGCACTGGCAGGTGTCGCTAAGGGACGCGGAGCTTCCCTCACCTGGCAGGTATCCGACGGCATCTCCCCTTGGGGTGTGAGATTCGAGTACCCGCTCCGTGATCTGTTCAAGGCCGAGTTGCTTCAGTATGAGAGTGTCTGTGCGGAGCTCTCCGACATCATCGTTCCTGATCAACCGCCCTCTGATAACGTCCTTACTAAAAACCTTTCAATTGACGAGCTGATGCTGCGGTATGTTCAAAATCAAGGCGCAAAGTATCCAGGTGTCATGGCGAACGTGGCCAGGACTGCAAACAAACTTAATCCGTCTACTTCTGGCAGTGCACCGACGTGTGCTCTTTGCGCTGGTCTACTCGGAAATGTCACAGGCAATTCAGGGGTTACCGTTGCAAATCAGGCAGAGGATAACCACAGCTCCCAATTCTGTTATGGGTGTATGCGGTCTCGGCCTGGGGAGCTTTGCTGAAGAGAGACCTTTGGTATTCGTGACGAGATTAAACTAATATAAACTGCAAACGTTGAGGGCTATCTGGAATCATTGGCAAACGATCATGGGGTATCTGGGACTGTGATCTCTATGTCTTCATGCATCGCATATTACTTCGCCCCGCCTCGTTCCAAGTCATGTTCTGGATGACCCGCTCCACCAAACCATCTGCCAAAGGAGCGGTTAGTTCGAGGCTGTGTGGCTGGCTGGGGCTTGGTTGGAGGCTCGGGGGCAGCATCACTCCTTCCCCCATGGCCTGATGGTTGAACGTTGTCATATGCCGGTGGTCTGTCGCTCACCACTCCGCCCTCCTGCCTATCAAAAGCCTCGGGGAGACTATTATCGACCTCAATTGTTTGCTCTTGCCTTCTGCCAAGATTCGACGCCGCTTTGTTACCCTTTTGACGCAAGTGGGCCTCAAGAAGGACAGCGTTTCGGGTGTTGGCTTTGTACACTGCATCCGCAACATCGCCGACGAAAGGAATGAGACCAATAAAGAAGTCGATAACCACGTTGATCACCATCTTCATCCGCAAAGCCGCAGGAAGTCCGCCATCGATCTCTCCGCAGGATCTAACAACCATCATTGCGAGTGCAGCGTCGCCAGCGTCGCCAATACTGCAAATTATCAGTTAGCCCTGATCAATTCTCGGCGCTGGTGCCATAGATCCTCGTAAAACTTACAATGGAACAAGACCGATCACACTTCCCCAACCGAAGCGGATACCACACAGATTGCAAAGTGCGTAGTCCAGCTGATAGGCTCTGCGCTTGACTTTGGTTAGGACCTTGGTATCGTTTTCCGAGAGGCCCGGCGGGTTGGCCTTGCGACGCTTTTGTGTCTTTTTGCCAAAAGTGCGACCAAGGCGTGACGCAGGTACTTCTTCGAAGTAGGGGTCCTAGATAGAGATCATTTGGTTAGCCCTGTCTCTCTTCACGAAACGACCCCGGTCAATCTTGGTAGTGCACTCACCTCAGTGCCGAAGTGATTCTTTGCGGTTTCACCTAGCACCCTCTTCCCAATCAAAGAAACCAGAACTTTCGACATATTTGTGTTAGGCCACGCAGTAGATCGCGAATAATGAACAGAAATTTATGATGGAAGAATTTCCTGGGGGAAGTGCTGAAGAAATAGACTATATAGCCTTTGATCTTTGCAGGCCCTATCCACAGGGGTTTCAGTAAGCGCTCGTTTCACTTAATTCCGGCAAGAACAAAGGGCACGACAGAATAGATGAAAAGGGTGCTTGACTTGAAACCAGGTGGATTAATATAGCAATCCTAAAGAACGTAGGGGGAGGTGCCTGAGCCCAAGTGTTTTGCTCGACAAACGTCATTACTCCAAATCTTGGAACCCGCTCACCAGCCACTTGTGGCGCAGTATTCCGTATCTGCACTGCCACCATGTACCTTAGTCACCCGATCATCACGGACCCCGTCCAGTTTGGGCAGCTCCAACATTGCTTCGCTTCCCAACGCCAACCATACTCTGTTCTCTCACTTGCTGTATACACCTCACGCAATCTTTGGGTATTGTCTTCTCCACTGTATACAGCTGCTCTCAGCCTCCACCGCAGTCCAATCGACATTCCTACACAGCTCTGGGTTGGTCCAGCCTTCCTGGTAGCTGCCTCCCTCCACCGTTTGCTTGCTTAACTCGACCGCTACGCTGTCGGATCGAGTGAGCACATTTACTTCTTGACCTAAAGAGTACTGAAATGCCAGCGCAAGTTCACCGATATGATCGAATCAAAGATGCGACTCGAAGACTGTAAGTGCCTGATTGTTGATCGATCGCAATGAGGACAGGTCACTGACTGAGGCCGGTGGGCCGTCTTTAACAGGGCTGGATGACTTGTGCGTCCGCTTTATTATAAACCTCCCACGGGAAGAGCTTGAATCTGTTGAACGCATATGTTTCCAAGTTGAGGAAGCGCAATGGTTCTACGAGGATTTTATTCGTCCGCTCGATCCTGCTCTCCCCTCGATGAATCTGAAGACATTCGCAATGCGCATCTTTCAGCATTGCCCGCTCATGTCCTCATGGTCGCATTATCATCACCTAGCTGCGTTCCAAGAATTCCTTGATTACAAGACCCGCGTGCCGGTCCGTGGTGCGATCATGCTGAATCAGGACATGGATGAGGTAGTATTGGTCAAGGGATGGAAAAAGGGCGCCAATTGGAGTTTCCCAAGAGGCAAGATCAATAAGGGCGAGAAGGACCTAGATTGTGCCATTCGCGAAGTCTATGAAGAGACTGGATTTGACGTACGCCAGGCCGACCTAGTCAAAGGGGAAGATGATGTCAAATACATCGAGATCACCATGCGAGAGCAACACATGCGACTGTATGTCTTCCGAGGTGTCCCCCGGGACACTTATTTCGAGCCGCGCACCCGAAAGGAGATCAGCAAAATCGAATGGTACAAGCTATCAGAGCTGCCTACTCTTAAGAAGAGCAAACAGCATGACGAAGGACTCGCAGTCGCAAACGCGAATAAGTTCTACATGGTTGCACCATTCCTGAACCAGTTGAAGAAATGGATCGCACAGCAAAAGAAGCGTGACGAGAATGCCCTGCCAGGTACAAGCCATATGGCACACACGGAGGGATATCTTTCTATGGACGAGAACGGGCAGTCCAATGGTACTCCGGGAATGCCTCTCGCCAAATTGGATATGCCTAGTGATATTTCCGAACTGGCCTGTGGTCAGGATGCCTCAGATCAGATCAAACACCTTCTGAAGATCGGCGCAGCGCCAGCGCAAGTTCAAACGCCAGGACTTGAATTAGCACAGGCTTCTGCTGTTGATCGTTCCAAGGCGAGCGAGCTCCTTGAGTTGCTGCAGCGTGGAGGCCAGAAGCAAGGATCTTTCAGTGCGTCCATGTCTACTCCGAAAGATACACACGTATCCAGCCTTCAAGCGGCGGGGCACCGGCCTCCATTGGGCCCGAACTTCTTCCCTGGCTTCCCTCAACAGCAGCAGAATATGGGCACAGCTCCCTTCATGCGGCAGAACTCGACGCCGTTCCACGCCGTTCCTTCTCAGCCCCATATTCAACACACCCAGAACGTCAACCAGCTTCTCCAAGGCAATACATTTCGGACTACGGCGCAGAACTGGTACCCCTCACACTCTGCAATTCCCCAATTCCCTCAAGACGCTTCGTCATCTCATTATCAACACCATAACCAACCACCTCTCGCTAGTGGTGCCTTGCCACCAAGTCAGATGCCCGCTCCATTCCAACGGACAGGAGATCCTGAATTCTCTGAATCTGCCCAGCTCACCCAGACCCAGGGCTCAGTTGTCCCTCCGGCGAGCAAGCTACCTCCTCCTAAGCTTACAAGTCATTCTTTGGCACTTTTGGAAGTTTTCAAGGTGAAAACCCCGAAAGGTCCGAGTCCGGCGATGTTGGCGGCTCCCTCGCAGGCACCTTCTCACGTGCGCAAGACATCTCAACACCAGGATAGTCTTTTGGGCTTACTCAAAGGAGCCCAGGCCCCGCGTGCCTCTGGGCCGTCTGAGCCAGTCGAGTTGTCGGGCAAACCTATCTTACCATCTACAACGCCCTCTGAAAAGCAAATTCTTCAGCGACCTCGCGACGCCCCCTACCATCCAGGTTATGCGGGAGCGGCTCTGACATCTGCTACCGTGTCCGGACCCTTGTACACCCGACAGTCTGAAGCAATTGCTAAACCTGTGACCAAATCAACCACTGGAATGACCAAGAAAGGTCATGTGCAGAAACGCGAGAAATCCCAGTCGCAACAACTCTCTTCGCCTATCACCATCCTATCGCGCCCGTCGTCGGCCAAACAGGAGGCAATCTCGCCGAAACCAATTGCACAAGGAATGCAGGTGCCGCCTGCCAAGATACCTGAAGCACCCCAAGCTGTCAACAATTTCAAGCCGCAAATTCTCCGTCGGTCAGACGCCACTGGCTACGAAGCATTAATGGCAGCAGCTCCCCGTGCGGAAGCCGCTGAACGGAAATCGAGTTTGCCAGGCATGGACGCCAACGCACAGGGCTTGGTGCCGCAAGGTAAATTCGACCGTCGACCGAGTCAAACGGCTGAGCAAAAAGCCTCGCTGTTGTCTTTGTTCAGCAAAACGTCTATTTCTCCCTCGGGTGTCTCTTCGAATCAATCCAGGCCACCTGTTGCCTTTAACCTCGTCAGTCCGGCCTCTTCCCATCATCGGCCAAACAGCGGACAATCTACCCCCTCAGATGGCGGCGCACATGCCAAGGTACACCAGACCTCCACACCAAGCGACAAGGCGTTTTTGCTTGGATTTTTGGAGGGTGTGGCCAAAGGCAACAAATAGTTATACGACCCAATAGCATAGCAACATTTGAACATTGTAATACTCCATGTATTATCATTATGTACAGCTCCCAGGTCAAGCCCTGTAAATTGGCCAAGTGTTCTTAGTCTGTTGATCCACAGTGTTTTTGATTCTGCCAATATCCACCGCCCAACGTCATCGGTCGATTTGTAAAGAAATAGATCAGCTCACATTGGCCTTTCAACAACAATTCAGTCATGATGCGTCCACGCCCCTCGGATTGTGCCCGCTGCCTGTCTCGCAGTAGGTTATTTTCAACAACAACAACTCAACAAAATGCTCCCTTCCCGCCGGCAGCAGGGTACAGCCGACTCACAAACCGCGGCCTGATATGCATAACCGGACTCGACAGCACAACCTTCCTCCAGGGTCTAATGACCCAGAACATGCTAGTCGCCAATGACCCGAACCGTAGCATCCGACGCACAGGCGCCTACACCGCATTCCTCAACTCGCAAGGCCGAGTCCTAAACGACGCCTTCATCTACCCACTACCCGGCGCAGAAGCCCAGGGCCCGGACTCAGGCTGGCTAGTCGAGGTAGAAAAGGACCAAGTGCCCGTCCTGTTCAAACACTTGAAGAAACACAAGCTGCGCGCGAAGCTCAAGCTCCGCGCCCTGGAAGAAGGCGAGCGCACGATCTGGTCGACCTGGAAGAACCACGCCGAGCCTCAACGATGGGCTGCCTACAGCCTCGAATCGGACTCACCGTCGCCATTCTCGCCCACTTCTGAAATCGCCGGCTGCATCGATACCCGTGCCCCGGGCTTCGGGTCCCGCATTGTCACACCGGGCTCCGACGGTCTGCGCACCCATTTCCCAGATGAAGAGCAGATTCCTGGCTCCGAGGTCCAGCTGGACTCGTATACTGTTCGTCGAATTCTGCATGGCGTTGCGGAGGGACAGAAGGAGGTTATCAGTGGAGCGGCTTTGCCGTTGCAGTGCAATATGGATATGGCGCGCGGTATTGATTTCCGCAAGGGCTGTTATGTTGGTCAGGAATTGACGATCCGTACGCATCACCGTGGCGTTACGCGGAAGCGTCTTTTGCCTGTTCAGCTTTATGATTTGGGTCAGGATGGGGCGAGTGCGCCGGATACTTTGACGTACGATCCTTCTGCTCAGTTTGCTTTGCCTGCTGGAGAGGCGGATATTGTTAAGGCTGGTGCTGCTACTCGCCGGAACCGCAGTGCAGGGACGTTTTTGAATGGTATTGGGAATATTGGGCTTGCGCTTTGTCGCCTTGAGGTTATGACTGATGTGGCGCTTATGGGTGAAACTCCTGCTCGTCCTGAGGAACATCATTTCAAGCTATCTTGGGCTCCTGATGCCGAGCAACCGGGTCAGGAGGTCGGTGTGCGTGCTTTCGTTCCACCTTGGTTGAGGGAATTCATATCCGGTGGCAAGGAGGCGAAACTTGCTCGCGGTCCTGAAGGAGAGGGTGAACGGGCACGGGAATTCGTCGAGCAATTGGGGGAAGAGGAAGCTGAAGCGCACCGACACTAAATGCCTACATATGACCTTGGAAGCGTCTGCTCACCACATGTATAATACAACTCAGAATGATATGATGTAAATAGCTATGCATCTCAGTTCAACTCAACGCATGCAAATAACGTGTTGGGGGTATCTCTTCTAATTATCTAAACAAACTGTTATAGAATCAGGCTCAGCCTGTTGGAACAAATGAAAACGAGGCGGACTGTGTGGACTATGAAGTATGAAGTCCGTGGCTAAGTGCCTTTGGCTGCTGCTGCGGCTGCTTCTGCTGCGTCTGCGGCTTCATCTTCTCGCGCCAGCTGTTCTTCAAGGGCTTTGCGCTCCTTTTCACGCTGGGCACTTTTCAGTCGCATCATCATCAGTTCTTGCAGACTTGGCGCAGCAGCTGAAGCCTTCTCTGATGGATTGAATGATGATGCTTTTGGGGCACCTGCCGCAGCAGATGCAGCAGCGAAAGAGCCAAATGACGGCGCGGCGCCGGGCTGGGGTGAAGATGTTGTACCTGGGAACTTGAAGGAAGGCTTGGCAGGCCCGTTGGAAGTGGTTGTAGATGGAATCGATGGTGTAGGCGTGGGTTCGGTCTCGGTAGACTTGGATGAGGTATCGGGACCTGTAGCAGCAGGGCTGCCTGTGCCTGGTATGAAATCAGGTTGGCTGCCCGTGGCCCAGAAGACAGACTCAATAAGACTCCATTCGTCATCCAGATTAGCACGCTGCCGGAGCTTCTTCTCGCTATCGAGGACAGCAGCGTGAGCGCTCACAATAGACGAGAACACAACCACACCCGTTGCAACAGTCTTCTTCTCCTTCTTCTCCCCGATACGTTGTCGCTTATCCTTCAGGGCGAATGTATTCTCAATCTTGCCAAAAGGTTTAAACAGCACAGCCAGCCGCTCAGTATCGAGCTCCATCCCACGGCCTTCCCGCACCCAGCGCACTTTCACCGCACGCTCAAGCTCAGGAACCTCCCCGCCGCCCATCTTTGACCGGTCCACCCGCTGGCCGGTCTTATCCGCCGCCCTGCGAGCCTCCTCTTCCTCCTGCTGCATTCTCCTCTGTTCCTCCTCAAGTTCCTTCTTCAATTTCTCCTCAGCCTCGCGCCGCCTCCTCCGTCCGTCCTCCGCGATGCGCTCAATCTCCCGCTGCAGCTTCTCTTCCGCATCCTCATCTCCACCTGCCGCCCAAGCTCGCTTAACACCCTGCTTGACACCAGCGCCACCTAGCTCGGCAGCACCGGCTCTCTCCCGCGCTTCTAGGTCCTCGCGCATTTTCCGCTTCGCCGCGCCCATCATCTCCCGCTCGCGCTGCTTGCGCAGCCGGGCTTCCCGCGCATTGTCGTACAGCTGCCGTACTGATTGGTCGGAGAGTACATCGTAGGCAATTTGCAGGAAGTGGAACTTGTCGATGTCGGCTGCGGTGGGGTTTGCGATCTTGTCGGGGTGGTACTTTAGTGCGGTGCGTCGGTATGCGCGGCGGATCTCGGATTCTGTGGCGGCTGGTTGGATGTCGAGGAGGACATAGAAGTCTTGGCTTGAGGCGGCGTGCGCCTTGAGGTCGTCACTCGACATCTTGGTATGTTATGCGACTGGATGCCGCTCTGGGAGGGTTGCGGAGATGAGGTTGAGGTGTTGGGAATGCAGTTTTCGTGGTCCGTGCTTGCTCTTCAAGGATAAGGGATTTCGAGTGTGTGATAGTTGTCAAGAGGGGATTATGTCCGAGTTATGACTCTAGAAAGTGAGGACTGAGGTGGTGTTGTTGAGATGGAAATTCGAAGGTTCAAGATCGGAGCTTGGGCGGTGGATCTCGAACGCCTCAGGCCGCCAACTGGTGGAATGTGAACTATAACGCACTTGAAGCATCGAAATATACTGCCAATCTTCTGGTGTTTGCCAAGTAACTAATGTGATCATGGGCAATGGACCTACTTCTAATGGTTTGCTATAAGCCTAAAGTACACCTGGGCATAGTGCCCGTTTCTAGGTAGATTTGGCTAAGTTTAGGAAGATATATATTGCGAGGGCAAGTCCCGTGATCGAGGTCGTTGGTTCTAGGTTCTGCTTTGTTTTCTTTTGGAACCTATGAACCTAGGTTTTCATCACCAAGCCATCAGATGACAGATGGCAGCCCTTATACCCTCACAGTCTGCCGTCAAACCTCCCACGAAGCTTCAGTTAGCCCTAGCATTGGCTATCACCAAGCGGAAACCACCAGACACGGACATCAAAGGTAAGAGATCGAGTTCCCACCCTGACCACTCAATGATTGACTTTTCACTCTAGAATACATCTTACAGATCAGACAGTGCATCAAGCGGGACAAAGAATCGGGCAAACTGGTTGCGACGGCGAAGTTCCTCGACAGTGTTTCATTCTGGCAACGAGCATACGAACATGCCGAGGCGGGACAGAGCAAGCTACGCGAAGAAATACATGAGCTCAAACAGTTAAATGAAGCCTTTCTCACCAAATTAAAAGCCCAGGGTGCCCTAAATGATGACAAGTCGCTGGCGAACAAACGCAAGGCGTCTGCTGTTGGCAAGAATGTGAGTGGTACAAATGAGGCTAGGAAGCGCACAAAGCTACCACAGAAGACGATTCCGTTAGCAGATGAAGATGGCAGTGACGACTCAAAGGATGAGTGTACTTAGTTCTTTAGTTCTCATTCTTGACTGAGAGCTAATCTCGTGACAGCCTTGTGCCTCAACGCCCAACTTTGTGCCCTCCAAAACTCCCTACAGCGGAAACCAACCAGCCATTCTGCTGCCAATTCGCTGGTCACTCAAGCAGTCATCCTTTGCAAGGCTACCGAACAGAACTTGATCCAAACTGTTATGAACAAGGCTGCTCTTGACGAGCAGAAATCTTCCCAATCCAAGCAGAGGACGCCGGACATTGACGTTGTGATCAAAGGGACGACAATCGCTTTCCACCTCTCGCATAAAGCATTGCATAAACTGGCCGGAACTTCAAATGGCACGCAACATCAAGGTCAGGTCATCTACTACCTAGTAGGTCTGTTCGAGTCAACCATGACTGCACTTACTTTGCACTGCACTGCAATGTCAAAAGGAAACACACCAACGACAAAGCCAAAACTCAAGAATAGCACCGCGTCTGCAACGAACTCTACTCAGCAGAGCAAGGACATAAAGTTGAAGCCTTCACCAACCCACACCGACACAGCATCACGCCTTGCAGACCTGCTCTGCACAATGGCTCTGTCCCTCGATTTGCAGAACATTAAAGACCAGGAGGTAATGGCAGGATTCCTCTTCCTTATTCTTACTCGCATGGGCAGGATGCTAGCTCTCCATGTCTTCCATGACCTACGACTGCCAATGGGAGTCTGTCCGGGAATGACATTCCCAGAAGGTCTAGAAAAAATGACAGATGAGGCTCTCAAGCCCAACGAGGCACAAATCGAAGCCACGTATCTTGCTCGCTTGCTCGAACGCATGCTTGATAGCGAGTCCCGCCAATCGACTTCAGAGAAATCAGCTGCTCGTCAGTTTGTCGCGAATGCAAAAGACCGTCTGCAGAAGACCCTTCTTCGAGCTGTCTTTGGACCTGATGAGAGTCTGTTTCGGGAGGGGTTTCGACGCCCGCAGACACCGCCTGCTCTGGTGCTCGATGGTGAGGAGATAGAACAGAAAGTGTTTGCTGATTGGCTCACACAGGAGTTATGGCGGATCGTGGGTTGGGATGTGTTGAAGAGTGTGTTTGTTCCGACTTGAAACCTAAGGCTTATGAATCTTCGATTGCACGGGCAGTGTTGTCAAGTGCTCGATTATTCTTGTGTTCGCATTTCTTTCTTGCTTATTGATACCATTATCACCACAGGCCAGCATAGGTATATCAAATGAGAAGATTATGACTTTACTCCAGTTTCAAGACACGGGCAGCATTGCCACCCAGAATCGCAGCCACGGCTTCCTGTTGACCTTCAAAAGTCTTATCGATAGCCTTATAGTTTGTAGTCACGCTGAGCCATTCCTTTTCACCTTCATTTAGGGGCGGGAAGAACGGATGATCAGTGCCTATAGGATCATGTTAGCTTGGATCAATTCAACGTTATCAGCAATGCGATCAAAGACTCACCAAACATAAGACGATCAGTACCCTCCCCAGCAGCCGCAGCAGCCTTCAGCCCAGCAGTTCCATAGACAACAGCATCCAAGAAGATATTCGTCTTCAAAACCTCCCAAATACTCCTCTTCGGCCCAGGAACGTCCCCACCATTGTCCACAAACTTCCGCTCATGCATAATACAGCTCTCAATGCGTCCCGCCAAGAACGGCAAAGTGCCACCCGAATGCGCCAGCAAGATCTGCAGAGTTGGGAACTTATCAAAGACGCGGGACAGCAACATGCGGGTAACGGCAATGGTCGTCTCAAGCGGGAATCCCAGAGCCAAGGGCAGAACATGGCCATAGCGATTCGTAACCCCCGAACCACCAAACGCCTCATTAGGAAGACCATAGTGAGGATGCAGGAAAAGAAGAAGCTGCATCTCGTCCAGTGCCGCCCAAACCGGACCGAGCTTCTCATCATCGAGCCCATTGCCAAGTCCCGAGGTCCCCATAATCACACCACGGATATGGGGTAGTGTCTTCAATCTCTTAATCTCGTTCACAATGATATCTGGGCTGGGCGCACTGAGCGGCAAAGCCGCAAATGCGAACAACGTCGACCTTCCCTTCAGAGGAAGACCTTCGGTGGACTTGTTGTTCTGAGCACAGGTTTCTTCAAGATCATTGTTGATGCGCTGGGCCCATTGCTGGGCTTCGGCGGGCTCGAGGAAGTCCAGCCATGGATTTGCGAGAGAGATTACGCTGCTGTCAATGCCATGCTCCTGCATGAAGCTGATTTTGACGTTTATGTCGGAATAGGATGTGTCCACGGGCCGGCCGCGTTCGTCGATTGGAATGGATGGGTCATCGTCTGATGAGAGGATGATTAGACGCGGCTCCCCGGTGGCTGGGTCGTGGATGTATGGGACTGTTTTGCGAGCGCGGAGCATCGCCATGTACGATGGGGGGTACACATGGGTGTGGACGTCGACTACTAGAGGACGGGACATTTTGGAGATGTCTAATGGGAATGCGAGGAAGAAAAGACTATCCCAGGTGTTTGTTGATACCCAAGTGAGGGGAGACAAGATAAGCAGCTGCAGCTGCAGCTGCAGGAAGCGGGGATATCTTCCCCGCCCTTGGGAGTTGCGATGTTACATTTGTTATGATAAGAATTGAAGATATCGTCGTTTCTATTATCTTACGTATTCTGCTAGAGAGGCCGAATAAGGCATCAGGACCGTGTTATTCGTACAGAAGACGTTTCAGCTTGTCCTCAGAACTGCCAAGGCGCTCCAAGACCCGGAGACCGTCATAATCCCAGTTTAAGCCGCAAGGCTCAATATTGAAGACATCACACTCTGACATAGATATCTCGGTAGCTCAGTCGCTCCATGAATTATATCGTCACTGTATATCAATCTCAGCAAGTGGTCCCAAACAACGGTCAACAACACGGACTTGCACATACACTCTCGACCCCGAAGGAGCTTAGAGAGTGACACCCTTCAAAGAGATAGGCTTCACGTTGGTGAAATTGGGAATGTCGCCAAACACGTCGGCACTGGCGGGGGATCCCAGGGCAGCCTTCAAAGCGTCCTCACTCTCCCACTCAAGGGTAGCCTGAATCAGATACTCAGAACGGGAGCCGTCGAGCGCAGCGGGGAACTTGTTGACGCGCCAGCTGATCAGGCCGAAGCTTTTCCAGGATTTCTCGACGAGAGGCATGTGGGTCTTCATGTAGTAGTCGTCGTTGAATTCGACATGCTCGGGGTTGGGGTACATGATAGCGACGGTGAAGGTCATTTTGGCGGTTTGCGAGAGGATGGAGGGGTGACTGTTGTGTTGAGTATGCGAGGCGGAGTATGCGAGACGGAGTATGCGAAGAAAGAGAAGAAGAGAACAAAGAGATGTCTTGGCTGTTGTGATGAAGTCCCCAATCTGGAGCGATGCTTAATAATAGGTGGGGGGATGGTGGGGGGGGGGAAGCCTCGGAGGCTCGGACATGCCTCCTCCTGGCTTTCTACTGTGTAGGCCGTGGCCGAGGCGCCTGAGCTTGAAAGTGCCACACATTCATCAGGGTGCGACTGGGATAATAAGCTAGCACCTGTGCCTTTGTGCCGCTATTGGCTTTGTTCATAAAATTCATAAGCGCATGATCAATGCCCCGACATTCGACAGTAGTGGAGACATACGTCAAAAAATCTCAAGCCTTAATGGCCATATCCTCGCCTCCAGCAGCGATAACAGACTTGGAAGTTGGAACTCTAGAAAGGTCTCACACGGAGCATATTGCCGTGTGGAATATTGGCCGAACCCGCCGCGACTGGCAGCATGGTCATTGCCACTTCCATGAATGAAGCTCGGCGATCAGCCAAGTGTTATGCAAATGCATTGGTTCGAGGTGCAGCTTCTATACTGTCGATTGGCTGATCTGGGTTGATCAAGAATTGTTGTCACTTGGGCCTTGGCGCAGATGGGGATCTCCAGGTCGCCGCGATGCCGGGCTGCAGTGCTCATGCCGTGGAGTCATACATGGCGGGAAGTATGGAGCTTCCAAATTGTTATTGCCTATTCTTCGGAGGTAAATTCTCACCCTTCACAATCACAGCTAGGTCGAGAATTCAGGCATCTCAAGTGATTTTGAGGCACCATCCATGCCAACAGTAGTGCACGGACCACTGTGGATGGGAGTGGAGAGGGTGTGGCCCATGGTACATGTGGGTTGATCTGCGCTGTCAGGGTTCATCATCATTCATGTGAACATTTCATCCATATGGAGGATGGATAATGTGGTAGCCATGGTGTAATGCCAATGCTGTACAATGCATACAGTCAAAATCCGAGGTAGGCAAGAACGTTATCTGGCTTATCTGCCCAATGTGTGCTTATCTTGTATGCAGCTGACCTATGATCTTTCTTCCCTGTTCATTTCCCCTCTTCTTGTAGATCTCGTAACAATAAGATATTCAGGTGCGTGTGCTCGTTCTCAATTTCTCCTCTCTCCAGCAACCAGTCAAACCCTCAAGCCCCACGCGCCGTACAATGGCCTCTAACTCACCCCAAGAGCTTCAGCCTGCGTCTGCCGCAGTAGACCATGAGGATCTGAAGATACCGGTATGCTCCGTCTCCCGTCTTCATCGAGTCGCTACTAATGGAAGTCTCTAGCTGATCGACTTTGGTCCCTTCTTCACAGGGACCCCGTCCGATAAGCATGCCGTTGCTCTCTCCGTGACGGAAGCATTCAAGACATCCGGCTTCGTCTACCTCAAATCCCATGGAATCCCACCCTCCGTGGTATCCAAAGTCTTTGCATCATCTGCGCGCTTCTTTGCCCGCCCCCAGAGCGAAAAGGATTCTTTAAGTTGGAAGTCTCCACAATCGAACCGTGGTTACGTTGCTATCGGACGGGAGAAGTTAATCACCGTCGACGACACAGATGGCGTCGATACTCTGCGTTCATCTGCGCCAGATATTAAAGAGACCATGGAAATCGGTCGGGAGGGAGTGGAGGGTCTGCCCAATCGCTGGCCTGACCATCTGGATGACGAAGGGAAGGAGTTCAAGGAGACCATGCAGTCTTTCTTTGAAATGGGCCAGACCCTACATAAGCAAATCATGCAGGCCATTGCATTGGGCATGAATCTACCGGAGCATTTCTTCGACGACTTTATTAATGATGGAGACAATAACCTCCGTCTGCTTCACTACCCTCCCGTTAGCAAGGAAGTCTTCCACAAAAACCCTAATCAAGTTCGTGCGGGAGAGCACAGTGACTATGGGTCCGTCACCTTGCTGTTCCAGGACCGACACGGTGGACTGCAGGTGCGCAGCCCTAAAGGAACCTTTGTTGACGCGACACCCATTGCTGATACTATTGTTGTCAATGCTGGGGATCTGCTTGCTCGTTGGTCCAATGACACCATCAAGAGTACCCGTCATCGGGTGATTCAGCCGCCCATGGGTGTGGGCGAGGACTCTGGAGATGAGACTTCAGATGAGTACCCTGCACGATATAGTGTGGCGTATTTCTGTCAGCCAAACCTCGACAAGGTTATCGAGACACTACCAGGAACTTATGGCGAGGAGACCCAAGTAGAAAAGAAATACTCGGCTATCACTTCGGGCGAGTACCTCCTCCAACGATTGACAGCGACCTACTGATCAGTCGTTTTGTGTCTTCGGATTGCCTTGACTGAATTGTCCCGCTATGATACTCCGCGCGCATACCTAAGCATCTGACCTTCTATTTCTCACATATGATAACTACACAAGCAGTCTAACTAAGTTCACTTTCATCGAATCAAAGATTGTACATCTCATAGGTATATGCCCAAAACCCACTCAAGCCGCAGCAGGCACGACAGAAAGCCGACCACCATCTGTAATCACGATGCTACCATTGATGTAGCCACCGGAATTACTAGCCAACCAAACAATCAAGCCAGCCATATCCTCCTCACCACCACCACGAGTAGCAGGAGTAATCCCACGCGGGATCGAGCCATCAGAAATAGCCCGACCGGTGATCCCGTTCTTCTCAAAGATTTGGTTCGCCATATCGGAGTAGTAGAGACCCGGCGCGATGCCATTTACCCGAATATCATAATGCGCAAACGTAGTAGCAAGCATCTTGATCAAATGCGTCGTAGCCGCCTTGGAAGCATTATACGCAAAGCTAAACGGCACCTGCCGAATAAACCCAGCAATCGAGCTGGTGATAATCACCTGCGCCGTCGGCGCGGCGAGAACATCCTGCTGCGGCGCCGGTCGTCGCTTATTCGCCGCCTCTAGCAGCGGCAGGAATGCCAGGACCGTGTAGTACGATCCCGTGACATTAACGTTCATCACATTGTTGAACTCCTCCATGGGGATGTTCCAGAGCTCGTCGCGGATCTGCGACAGAGATGGCGGGGTGCCGTCTGCGGCGGGGGCAGGAGGCTTCATGTATTCGCCCATCGTGCCGCTGTTGGCGATGAGGAGGTCGACATGGGTAGTTTGGGCGGCAACGGCTTTGTAGGCTGCCTCGAGGGAGTCTTTCGAGGTGATGTCGCAGGTGATTGGGATCACGGTGCTATTCGTGGTTTGGGAGATGGTTTCTCGGAGGGCATCTTCGCGGCGGCCGAGGATGAAGATCTTGGAGACTTGGTTGGCGTCTAGGGCTTTGGCCATGATGCGCCCGAGGCCTTGGGTTGATTTAGCTTGGACTTCCTTTTGGTAAGTTGGAGAAGAGTCTTGGATTCATACCACTGCCGCCTCCGGTGATCACGACCACCCGGTCCTTGACAGAGAATAGGTTTGATGCTTGGAGATGAGCCATGATTGAGATTTCAGATGAAGGTATTCAGGAAGTAGAGAATGACTACCAAGGGCGAAGGGCGTTATCTCAATGAACTGCTCTCCCGAGGCTCTCCAAATGTCCCCCGCCTTCTACCCCCACGTTTCCTGTTTTTGGTCCACTTATCGGCGATCGCGCCGAAGATAAGAACGACTTCGCGGAGGAACTCCGAGTCTCACTTCCAAGTCGGCCGAGACATTTCAACCATCTGCCAGATAAAATTCATTCTTGTCGCTTCTGCTGTTAAATCTATGATTATCTATCTCAAAGTGTCTATGGGATTGCCTACCTATCAGTATAAAACCTGTTCATGTTCCCGCGGCCTTGTCCTGAGGCGAAAGGGTGCCCTTGCCCCTTAGTAAGGTCTGCAGTTCTCATCCCCAACATGAAGTGGCCGACAATCATGTCTCAGAGGCTCATAACAGGACTGGCGATACCAACGTGCATTGCTCTTAAGTCACTCTGAATGCTGTCTCAATGCCTGGCAATTCGAGAGTCGGAGATCTCAGCCAAGCTATTCTCACGTGTCACATGAAATGTGGCTTTCAACGCACATGTGTTCAAAATGGGAATCACTGACGCCATACCAGGATCGACGTTGGAAACCTTACTCCGATCCACTAGCAGATCGCCTTGAGCTGAAGAAACTAATTCCATGGCTCCACTGTGCCCGACAGTCTGACAAAGTCTCAACGGCTTCATACGAAATACCCGTTGTTGGGCGCTGATACCCTGTCGAAGGATTCTCGGGTAAACTGTCTAGCGACAATTTGACGAGGACCACACGAGGGATAAAACACGAGGTCCTGCAGGAAAACTGCATTGGCCGCTAATAAGCGGTGAGAAAGAGCCCCTGAGGACGCTGAGAAACATCCTTCTACGATATGGTTGGATAGTCTGCTGCAATGGCACAAAAAGAGCAATAGACCATGCAATCGCGGCTAGGAATCGCGGCTAGGCCAATCCCTTGCAAATCCATCTCTGCATGTTCTGGACAGATAAATGCCGCTCAAGGGAAGCATATTTCCCACAACCCTTTTCCGTTCAAATCTCTCCATAACCCTCAGCTCCCGCAGTTCCCCCCAGACCCCCAGTAAGCAACTCTCTGGAAGAAACTCACCGGTTATACACTAACCATGCAGTCATGCCGCAATGGCTCGGATCCCTGACTAGCCAGAGTGACCAATCTCTGGCCGGCGTCTTCATGATCAAGGGCGAGCCATGGGTATTCGAGAATGCTCGTGGTCGAACCGCGGCTCCATTTCAAGGAGCCCCCGCTGTCGTGAATATCCCCTGGAAGGAGCTTGAAAGTATCCGGAGTTCCTTGCAGAGCCGTGAGCCGTTTACTGCAACTATCATGGGCTCTACCATGGAGATAGTTTGGACGAATGGCGTGAGGATTACCGCCAATGTGCCTCATTGCGATACCTATGCACACTTCTCGGGGGAAGGTAGCTGGCGGACGCAGTGACAAGGGCTGCTTCTCAATGCTTCTTTTGTTCTTCGACGATGATATTATGAGTCGTCCGGCCGAGCGTTATGTGTATTATTTCAGAAGGATTTTGGGTCCCAAAAGGGGAAATGTCTATTTGTGAAGTCGACCCAGAGCCAGCAAAAACAATTCAACATTTACAGCTTTTGCAGAGTTCCATTCCGTCTTTTTGATCAATTACTATGTGTTGATAGTTCAGCTGAGTTTCATCGGCCACGGGTTACTCGTCTGTTCCTTCGATGGCCTTCCGGCACCGGCCGCCCGGATTCGATTTCCACCCCCAAAGGAAGTCTTTGATCGTACCTGCGCAAATTTGTCGGTTCAGGCCTGTGGACGACGAAACCTGCCCCGACGTCATCTGCTGCCGATGCGTCCGGATCCATTGTATAGTCTCAATTTGACATCTACTCGATCAGCCGAACGTACGAAAGGCGTCCCTCTAATATAAGAAAAATGACCAATAAAAACGTACCGCTATCGAACCTTGCCATCTCAGTGTGGCCATCTTCAGTCGGAAATACATTCCGTGCAAATCCATCGACGCCTTAGCCCTGAAGACCATGTCTTCGGCCGCCACTGTGCGGTTGCCTTCGAGGACAAGGGCCCCAGCTCTTGGCCGCGGGCTATTAAATGATGAATTCCTACATCTGCATGCTCCCCAAGGTCCGTACCTATCCGGCAGCTCTTGGACAGTGCAAGTGACTCTATGTCTGATCTCTAGCGACTGAAGAGCATCTTATTTCTTGAAACGAACATTGAATTGGCGCAGACATGCTCTGGAAAGGCTTCATTCTAGTGAGCTTATTGCGTTCACTGCCTCTTGCGGCTGCTTCTCCGAAGAAACATGCCAAAGATGCAAATTCTAATGGGGCGTCGCTGTCAGCTACGAATACGTCTATGACAGCTACCAACACGTCTATGCCAGCACCAACAGTTCACGCACACAATATGTCCCAGGTGCATACGCCTTTCACTGGGACAGCAACTACCACAGGTGCCTTGACTGCCTCTTCAATCGGAACGACCATAACTAGTCTAGGCCTTGCACCCAATGCGACTGGATATCCTGCTGATGGAAAGCTTCACGATCCCGAGCCCGCTGCTTTTGTCCCGGCAGGTGGCGTCGGTACAAACGGGACTGAGCCCGTCTACAACACAAGAAGCGATTTCGACTACCAGTCATTGGTATGTATCAGCATCTCATTGGCAATATGGTTTTGCGTCCCAGGAACTAATTTGGAATCAACAGGCCCTCGCTCTATACCAAGAATGGATCGAACTGGATCTCTTCGAAGACGGACTCCGACGTTTCAACGAGTCGGAGTTCCTAGCCGCCGGCCTGACCTCCGCAGACCGCGAGTTGATCTCCTTCATGGCAGAGCAGGAGATAGGCCATGCAACAATGCTGAGCAATATCCTAGGAGCCCAGGCCCCACAGCAATGCTCATACATCTACCCGTACACTAATGTCAGAGAGTTCATCGACTTCTGCCAGAAACTGACTCGCTTCGGCGAGGCAAGCGTGTATGGATTCCTGCCTCATCTTAACTCACGTGAGGCAGCGACCCTCGTGACCCAAACGGTTACCGTCGAAGCACGACAACAACTGATCTTCCGTCAATTTGAAACGCTCTTCCCGATGGTGGAGTGGTTTGAAGTCGGCGTACCGCAATCCTGGGCCTGGACGCTGCTTGCACCTTACATCAGTTCGTGTCCTGAAAACCAGACGCGGTTGATCTGGCAGAATTTCCCTGCACTCATGATTGTCAATCAGCCCAATCCTTGGAATTCTGGCTTTAGTCCTATGAATTCTACCTCGAAGACGAACAGAACTTCTTCGTCTTCCAATGCTACCTCGAGTATCGACCACACTCTGGGTTTCAACCAGACCGAAGGATTCGCTTTCAATCAAAGCACAGGAGTCAACGAAACAGTCGGACCAGGCCTCAGCGTCCCTAAATCACCCAACGGCTCCGGAAAATTTAACATGACCTCTTCGGGGACCAACATGACCTCCTCGGGAACCAACATGTCATCTCCAGAAACCAACATGACCATCTGCGGCGCGTCCGTCAGCAAGATCCGCTCAACGCCGCTCACATCCGCGGGTCGCCAGGTGCTGCTGCAGTGGGATCTGCCAGGGAAGAAAATCGGTCCCAATAACAGCTACATCACGACAACAAACACGAGCGCCGGCAGCGCGAAGTTTGTTGCTTGGGTATCGCAGCTAAATATTACCTACACGCCTCTACACATTGTCAACGCTGTCAATGCTACGAGCGGCCTCAATTTCACGAAGAGTATCAATGCCACGGATGGCCACAATGACACTGCTGCCGTCAACAGCACGCTCAGCGGAATGCGGGGCTATACTATCCAGCCTGACATGGAAGTGTACGAGGGTCACCCGGCGTTTAACGGGACTATCTTTGTTGCTATTACTGACAGTGATCCGTTCCTGACGCCGTTCAACGTGAGCTTGATTAACCCTCATGTAGTTGCTGGTCCAGCTCTGTACCAGGCGGGTTGAACTGGCGGTGTTCTGTGTATTGGAATTGCGATTTAAAAGAGGAGATTAGTATGAGTTTTGTTTTGTTCAAATAGAATGTTCGAATAGTATCATTAGTCAAGTTATGCGTTCCGATCTATCTTGTCGACCTTGTAGATGGAGCCAACTGGTGAATCATTTTTGCCAACTGGTTAATCAGATTAACTCCGGGCACGGAGCTTATCGCCGAGCCCTCAACCTCACATCTCCACGTCAGTGTTTGTCAACATTTTTGTATCCCCTCAACCTCCTCGCCAACCCCCCACCAGAGCAGAATGGAGACACCAAGGAACCGCAAACAGCGCCGTGCAGCAGCGGGTCCATCCTCAAAGAGCGACGAATTCGAAGTTCCAATGGCCCATCCTCCACGCAACGATCCAACGAACAAACCCACCGTCGAGCGAACTCTATATGACATCATCGCAGAGCGACAAAGTGGCCTCAATCCAAAGGAGGCCACGAACTCAGCTTCAGTGGAAGCACAGGGCATACCCCCACAGCCAGCGGGAACACGATTCGTGACAGTCGACGCGTCGGGGAACCTGGTCGACACAGACGGCGACATCAGCAGCCACCTATCCAACCCCACGCAAAACAAGAAGACCAGAGCCGCCCGCGCACTTCCAAATGACGACCAAGATCTCAAGAAAGACATTGAAGAAGAAAAGCCCCTCCCACCTTTCCTCGACACAATCCTCCTATCCATACCCCTCACAACCCTCCACCTCACCCTCAGCTACCTGGCAGCCCACCAATACGCCGAAACGATCGACCTGCCCAAACTCTTCAAGGACTCTGCGACGACTGCGTTTCCACTGCTCACGTTATTCGTGCATCTAGCACATGGTCATATTATTTCCTTCGGCAAGGGCGGTTCGAAGGGAAAGGCTGAGCCTGCTCTTTCTCTGTTCCCGTTGACAAGAGATAAATTCACCCTTTCTTTTCTGCGGAGACTGTTGTTCCCGCCCGCGCTACGGACGCTGGTCTTTTTGCCTGTTGCGGCCCTTCTGGGGGCACATCTTATTGCCATTACCAACGGGGAGCCGTATTACGCTGTTATGAAGAAGGCGCCTGCTGTGGGGACGATTTGGATTTGGTGCATTTTGGAGCTGTCATTTGGGGCGGCGGTGCTGGGAGCTTTGGGGCCTTTGGTGTGGGGAGTTTGGTGGATGGGATATGGGATTCTCTGAGATAGGTGTATCTGCCAACGATGTTTCATTGTGGACGTAAATGATACTTTGATAAAGATAGACTAACAAGATAGGCCACTCAAAGTGGTTTCGAAGTGACGCTCCTTCCCCTCTGGGGTATAGAACGGACAAAGCATCTACGAAGACAATAGTCTAACCTCAAAACACGCCCAAGTGTAACACCTTGACACCCAACTATACCAGGAACAAAGCTCATTATTCAAACCACCGAGCTTTTGTCCATCCCGACTGACTATATGATTGATCCCTCAACACCGCAATCAATCCCAAAATACCAGCTAAGCACACCACCTTCCATATCGAATCCAATCAAACCAACAATGGCAACTTCCATCCTCCACCCAACAAGCGCAGCAACAACCCTCCGGCAAGAAATATTAGACACAATCATGACCGTCCGTCGCCTCCGTCTAATGGTCATCATCCCCGCCGCCCCCCGCCGCTCCGGCAGTCCCCTCCCACTCGCCTTCCTCTTCATCCAGCCCTTCCTATCCGACTGGGACGAGCTCGACATCAGCTGGGGCTTGTCTGTGCGCGCGCATCCGGACCAGCGCCAGACCTACATCCAGATTGATATTAGTACGTTCCCCGGGGCGCGTGTGTGGGAGGGCCGCGGGGATGATTTTGCGTTTCCGGTTTACGTGCTGAATTCGGATCGGGAGGGGAGGAATTGGCAGTTTTACAGGTATGCGACTAGGAGGACGAGGCTTGATCGTGGGTTGGTGGGGGAGATTGCAAGGTTGACGCTGGGTGGGAATGAGGTTGATTGATTGGTAACATTGACATAACTAGTTGCCTGCATAGTTGACATAGTTGAGGGAGAGAATGAGGTGGCTTTTCGTGTTTGTCTTAGAATGATGGGAGCTATGGACGGTAGCTGTAGCCTGTAGCCGATGGTACAGACCTCAGCTATAGACTGAGTTTGTGATATTGAAACTAGCACTTTCGATCCCTTACCCATTAAGTAGAATGCTCGTATCCAACCTAGTTAACCCTTCTCTGTTTTTTTGTCCCGTCCCAATTCTAAGACATCAGACTCTAGTTCTGTTTCTGCAAGGACGGATATCGATCTGTAGAACCCTGGAACACCTCCGGCCCGCGATGTAACTTCCCGAACTCTACATTGTCTAGACCCGTCAAAGAAAAGTGAAGAGAAAAACTGAATCCAAACCTAACCTAATTCAAAACCTTGCGAACCGCAAACAGCCTGTAGCAAGCTGAGAGAAGAGGTCAGCAGACACCCGAACAAGCCTCAGCTCCAGGCTAGATTCAAAATGACGTCCACGATCCAGATCTCCACAAAAATCCAATATAAATCCCAAAAGAGCAATCCCTGCAACTTAATCGACGCCAATCAATAATTAATCCCAGCCCTGAGACTAGCGTCGATCGCCTGACCCGAGAGACAATGGGAAAAAGAAACCCTTGCAGATTCTTGCAGAGCCAGGAGCCTGGGAAACAATGCCCAAACGGTTCCCGTCTGCAGACGCAGGAGGGTGCATACGCGGATCGTGGCTTGAAGGCTTCACGCTATTGGAACGCGTGGGATCGACAAAATCAAGATCGGGGATCGGATTTAGATCCCCGTGCATATCAACCACGTACCTTTTTTTCAGCCCGGTGGGGACACATACCTGTAGGTAGAACGTGATCGTCGTGAATTTGGGTTTGTGATAGATCACATTTTTCGAGGGCCGGGCCCTGGGGCCTGGGGGCCCGGGATCCGGGATCGTGGGTCTGATCGGATTTCTTGGGGTTTCTGCAGTGATGCTATAGGTTGATGTTGGAGGTTAATATGGAATTATTGATTGGAGGTTGCAGTTGGGGAGTGAGGCTAAAAATGTTGAGTGTCTGTGTTGTACACAGTACTTTGGAGGTAGGCCTGAGGCCATTTAGTTATTCCCACTCCTAACTACTGACATCCATGCCTAGTCTTGTTCAAGGTAGAGATGGTAGATGTTCATGATATTCAGCATGTATGTAACAAACAAGATAATTCAGTGTAAATCAATGTCAGGAGAGAGCCATCGTAAAGTCAAATGTAAGTCGTAAATCAAAAACAATGGTATGTGATGACCCCCCGAAAAAAAAGAACAAGTCCGCATAGACAGCAAATGCAAAAGCCAAATCTCTGCCAAAAATATAAGAAGAAATATAACAAAAAACGCCTCGGCCTCAAAACGCCGTTCCTTCCGTCCAAGTGGGGAGGATGTAGACATCATAAACACATATTGCCATATATAGTAGCGCAGGCAACAAGAGGGTAAAGACTAGGATCTACCCGGTTAGACAGCAACCCGTCCAGCAACAGATGCAGCGGGGAGTTCCCGACGAGCGGCAGCTGCCGCTGCAGCGCTGTCTCCCTCGAAGCGGGCCAGCAGTGAGGCCACCATCTCGCGGTAGGAGTTCATCTGAGACAGGCGGAAGCGCTGGATCTTGCCACTGGCCGTGCGCGGGATCTCTTCCACGAACACAACGCCGCCATCAAGAGCCTTGTAGCTGGCCAAGTGCTGGCGTGCGTAGTTGTAGACTTGTTCGGCAGACAGACGGCTGACAGCTGGATCACGGGAGCGCACGACGAAGGCGCGGGGCACTTCGCCCATCCCGTCTTTGTTCACGCCGATGACGGCGGCGTCGCTGATTCCTGGGAGTTGGAGGAGGACGCTTTCGAGCTCAGCAGGGGCGACTTGCCATCTGGGGGATAATCAGCTTTGTGTTTCTTGGGGGCATAAGGTTTGACATGTGACTTGACTTACCCTCGAACCTTGATGAGCTCCTTCGTCCGCCCAACGATATAATACTGGCCGTTCTTGACATACGCCAGATCTCCAGTGCGGAACCATCCGTTAGGTTCCAAAGCATCGCTGCGCCCTTTGTATGCGTTCAGCAGACCGGCGCCACGCACGTACAGTTCGCCAGGGCAGTCATCGCCGAGGATGTTTCCATCTGCGTCTACCAAGCTAACTTCGTAGCCGGCAAGAACAGTACCAATACTTCCTGGGTCACCCTGTTGACCATAGCGAGTTTGGAAAATTACACCAACCTCGGTCATACCCCAGATCTGGCAAGCATATCCCGCAGGGTTGATGAGGGTGCGGAAGTGCTGCATGGAGGCACCATCAATAGGCGCACCAGCGACACCGACATAGCGCAGCGAAGACAGATAGTCGCTCACAGGCACAGTGGATTGATTCAGCGAGTGAATAATAGCCGGGACCAGATACGTCTCGGAGATCTGGTACCTGTGAACAGCAGCCAAGAACTCCTTAGTTTCGAATCGTGGCAGGACAAACAGCGGGTGTCCATAGCGAACAGGGAATAGGTGCGTCCAGAGCGCACCGAAGAGGTGAAACATGGGCAGGGCCATGAGCCTGCTAACTGGGTGTGGGACGTCGTAATAGATAGCGCGATGCTGTGCGACGATCGCATAGTGGGACAGGATAGCTGCTTTGGGAAGGCCGCCTGTACCACTAGTCGAGAACATGGCTGCGGGCGTGGCTTTTGCGACGACCGGGTCGTTGAATTTCAGCCAGTCGCTTTCGCCGTAGCAGAGGAGGTTTGCGAAGTTGGAGTGTTGAGAATCTTTGCCGGACATCGCGAAGAACTGGCTTACGGTTGAGAAGCCCAGTTCGTGCCACAGGAACAGCTGGGCACAGTGGTCGATGGCGCGGTCATCGAGGACGCAGACTTGGGCTGGGTGGATTCCGCGGTTGGCGGAGACGTCGAGGACGGTGGGAAGGGCATCGCGGGTGGTGAGGATTACTTTTGGTTCGGCGAGGCTGATTATATGGTCGAGTTCTTGCGGGGCGCTGCGTGGGTTGGAGCCCATGTAGACTCCTCCAGCGCCGATGATGCTGAAGAAGAGGGCGGGATATAGGATCTAGTTCACGAAAGCAGATTAGCGTTTTGGTTTCTTTTTCTTTGTTTGCTTTTTCGTCCTCCTTCTAATTGAACTTTCTCCGATGGCTTCCAGTCAAGTATCGGATTTGTGGATCTCGAGGACTCGGGCTCAAGCCTCGATGTGATACTCACGCTATTTCCCAAGTGTAGCAAGACACAATCTCCCGTCTTGACATTATGGGCCTTCAATCCCGCGATCAGAGTCCGGACTAGCTGTCGGAACTGGGCGGCTGTGAATGATCGAGATGGATCCTCGGCATCAATGAACAATGGCTGGTTCCGGTTGTAGGGCTTCGGGCCATCGAAGGTGAAGCTCAACAAATCCGAGTAGACATCGCTGGAGACCATAGTATTTGAAGACATAGTAGCAGCGTCCCAAGCCATGGAGTTAGGGCTTGATGTGAGAGGATATAATGGTTCGTGGATTGTAAAATAATGAGGTCCATGCCCGGGGGTTATATAGGTTAATGTATGAATCCATTTTGTTACAAGATTTGTATTTGATTTTACTCTCTTTCTCTTACATCGTCTTTCTCCCCCTCTCTCTCCGACTGTTGAGGGCTGATTTGGAATACAATGCTTAGGTAAGGACGCGCTAGTGTCAACCTTGATACTCTTTTGGGAACTGTAAGGCGAGTGAACTTGATTGACAATATCAGAAACCGAAAATATAGAAACTATAGGATGAACTCAAAGAAAATAGAATGAAAAATGAAAAATTATAAAATAAAAATAAAACAGTAAAAGGTCATCCGAGAACAAAAAGATGACGATGTCATAGAGAAAAATCGGACAACAACTAACGGAGTCCCCCGTACATGAAGATGTCTCCACCGAACAGGTTCGAACTAAGGCGCCTTAGCGCCATTCAGGTGTGGCGGTCTCGAGATTTCAAATTCAATAAATCGTTTTAATTGAATATTCATAGTTCTGACTAACTCACTAGCCCCTTTACAAGGGTCCTGAGCTGAGCCACACCAGATCGCCCGTTTCCGTTTCCGAGATATAGTTGGACAGTACCTTGGAATGGTTCGTGCAGATCGACAGGATCGTGAGATATGCTCAGAACTCTAATTGGATGATTTCACATTCCGAAAAATGCAAAATGTCAATAAATCGCTGTCTCTTTCTTCACGCCCACGAGCCGGACGGACCATCCCTTTCAGATCTAGGTGGAACAGGGGGTCCGATCCGGGTAGTTGGTAGGCACGATCCAAATGGCCTAGAAGAAATACTTTGCCACAGATATCTTTCACCCCTTCCGTGAGCCCGACCGATCGGCTCGTGAACCCGTGTCCCCGCTGTCAATCCCATGCCTGACTCGCTGCCATGAAGGGATGCACATCCTCTCCTTCCAGGAGTTGTGATTGCCCAATACTCGCAATAGATGCCCAAAACCTGCAGCTGATAGTAAGTGGAGAATATTTCGGGTCATCCGTGTCCTTCCTCCATGCGGAGTTCAATCTTGAAGCCTTGCCCTTCCAAGATCCAGATCCCGCTAACGAAATGATCGACCAACAAGACCGTGCGCCTATCCCATCTGGCAGTGCATTGCACCCGTGCATGGGCTCCCGACACCTCGGTATTGAGGGTAGAGTGTTCGTTAGTGCAATTGATGTCGTAGTGATCCTTGCGGATGTGATAAGAGAGGGTGGGGATTGGATCTGAGTGGGTACACTCAGCTGCACCGGATGATCGACCGCGCATTGTCGAACCACAAAAATAGGGCGAGGAAAGCAAAAGTCCCAACAACACATGAACCCCGATGTCATTACGCGGGTTATTGCATGAACCTCATGGCACACAATGCTGCCTAGATCCATAAACCCACTTTGACATTGTTGGAGGCGCTTTGGTCGCGCAGCCCATAGGGATCCTTGGCCAGTCATTGCCATCCCTCGGCTGCAGATCGCACGCTTTAGTGAAGCCTTTTTGGCGAATTGCCCTAGCTCGAATATCATGTGGTATGGTCGATCATAACCGGTCAACTTGCATCTCCCCCAAAATAAGTTTGCGCAGGTACCGGTCACCAGGGTTGCAATTTAGCCTTCGATAGTGGACCGCCGCATCTCGACCACACACACACACACACCCTTCGGCAAACTTTCGTGGAGCCATTGAAGCTGATTGGGTTGCATCACACCTTGAGCGCATTCTTTTCAGCTCCCTTTCCGGTCTATCCCGTCCACGAAAGGAGTGACTGAACACTGCCTTTGGCGATCAGACGGAAGGCCTTGATGGGCTTTGACGTGGGTCCATCGGAATGCTAGAGACGGCTTCCCCGAGATCGATGCCGAGACCCCGACTATCCATCTGGGAATCCCGAGGGAGCTGAAAGCAAGGGTTTAGGATTGATCTATGCCTGCTGATTGGCAAGATAGACCATGACACTAGTGTTGAGGTCTGGGCCCCAATGTGATAGTGTCATACACCTGACAAGAGGGGAAGAGTCGCATGAGCCAAAATGGGATAGTAGCAATAATAGGATCATACGCAAATGCATTCCTGATCCAGGGCGTGGATCCAAACTCAAACGAGAAGGGCGAAAGAGAATGGGCTGAAGCCGAACAAGACCGAGGAAGATTTGCGAAAGGGCGTCATCATTGTGATGCCCAAAGTATGAAGCCCAAATTGGGAACGATCCAGACTGGCGGGCGAGGGGAAGGAAGGAGCAAGGCAGGCAGGATGGGGAGCTGATCACTAGTAAGGCTGACTTCGGAAAGTGTGTGTTTTGGTTAACATCATGACTTCAAATATGGAGGATTCGCCCCGGTTGGATTGTCAACTTCCTCTTCCAATCTTCTCCACCCCAAGGAATCCCTGGCCTGGTTAGTTTCTTCATCGGCCATCTTTTGAACTCTTTCATCCTGTTAGGAAACCCTGTGAGGACTAGGTTAGCCATGTCGGAGAAGCCTCATACCGTCACCATGCCTTCGCCGGCCGTCATCATCCCCGGCTCGCCAACCTCTAGTGAGGCCACGCTCACTGATGGCGACAGGGCCTTTGAGAAATGCTACTCGAAGGAGTTGGACACCCTGTCTCTCGATACCACAGTAGACATCGATCTCGAGGCCCAGACTCCCCAGCGCAAGCCCAAGTTGTTTGCCTCGACCCGATATGCCATCCTCACACTATATCGGCGCCTCTTCACACTAGTCTTCTGCGCCAACCTTGCCCTATTTGTGGTCATCATGACCACCGATCAAACATTGTTGGCCTTGGTCAACGCCACAGCAGCCAACTTGCTTGCGTGTGGTCTGGCCCGCCAGCCACTGGTCGTCAACGCCATTTTCTTGATAGTATGCTCGATACCCAGATCAGCACCACTTCCTCTCCGTCGCATCGCTGCCAAAGTTTACCATTATGGCGGTGTCCATAGTGGGTGTGGTGTCGCTTCCCTCGTGTGGTACGTGGGATTTGTGGGCGTCATGTCACACCAGTACTGGTCACCATCGGCAGCCAACGCAAGCATCATCACATCAGCAGCGCCCGTTGCGTTGGCTTACATCATCCTGGTCCTATTGCTGGCGATTATCATCGTGTCCCACCCCGCGATTCGAATGAAATTTCACGATTATTTCGAACTCATTCACCGTTTCTCGGGGTGGCTTGTCGTTGCCCTGTTCGTGGCCCTGCTACTGGTCATCTCGCAGCAGGCCAGTCAGGCCCAGAACCAATCGCTTGGCAGATTCCTTATCGAGCTACCAGCCTTCTGGTTTTTGATGATCACGGTGGCGGCTATCATCCAACCGTGGCTGTTCCTCCGCAAGGTTGCGGTGCGGGCCGAGCCACTCTCGACCCACGCTACCCGTCTGCACTTTGACCATGCCATCACCACATTTGGCAAGGGTATCCAACTCGCCAAACATCCCCTCCGTGACTGGCATGGATTTGCCACCTTCCCTGACCCTGCACCTAAGATTGTCGACGGCAAGCCTACCTTCTCATGCTTGATCTCGAAGGCCGGGGACTGGACGACTGCGACGATCCAACAGCCGCCTACCCACCTCTGGAAGCGTGGCGTGCTGATTTATGGTTTTGCATATGCTATGCGTGTTTTCAAAAGAGTGATTGTCGTTACCACCGGATCGGGCATTGGTCCCTGTCTGTCATTCCTCGGTGACGATAACAGGCCCGCCCTGCGTGTGCTCTGGCAAACTCGTGCTCCACAAAAGACATACGGTGAGGGAGTGTTGCACATGGTCCACCAGATGGATCCAACTCCCATCATCCTGGACACCAATAAGTGTGGGCGTATCGACATGGTCCCAATCATCCTGAAGCAGGTCAAAGACTTCAAGGCTGAAGCGGTGTGCGTCATCAGCAACCCTATGCTGACGGGGCGCATCGTTTATGAGCTTGAATCGCGAGGGACCCCGGCATTTGGGCCGATTTTTGATTCCTGATGTTGCTTTTTTGTCTGTCTTCGCATCGCACATACCTTGGCCAGCTTCTTCTCACCCTTGATTTTGGCGCTCTTCCTTCCATTTCCGGAGTTGCAAGTTGATTTTCCAGCATCTGACCAGATATTGTCTCTGGCCCTGGCGTTTTTTTTCGGCGGTATATACCATGATCTGTTTATATTTTTGGCTTTCAATTTGGTTTCTTTCAAGAGGATGTCAAGTGCAGACTCTTTTCTTTCAGGGGAAGCTTCACTTGTGTACATATGTCAGTGCCCCCTAAAGTGATTTGGAATTCCGCGCTATGACCCTGCTGCCTTCCGTCAGGCAAAATTCTCCATAGCCGTGGGATGCAAACCACGACAAACTTCAAAGAACGATCTCCATGTGCGTGTAATTCCAAATATCGTACTGAAAGACTCCACTTGGGGCCAATTAGTGGCCAATTAAAGTGGCGGTTACCGTTGTGATCTGTGCGCTAACTTGCATGAACCAGATTCTTTGTTTGAGTGAGTCTTTTTATTGGTCTGTCTGGTATATCAAGATCGAGTTCTCATGAACTCCATTTTAGGTTATGAACTTATGGCTGCGTTGCATATCCTTGCATCCAATGAGTGCATCCCCCGCTATATCGGGGTTGTCGTATACATACAAAAACTAGTTTTAGCTTTCATCGTTGATGTGGCTCAGTCGAGTGGCCTGAGGCCACTTGTTTCATCTGAGCCGTTGGGGGCCGGGTTATTGGACCCTCCGATCTCCGCCGTGCCTCCTGCCTATTTGGGTTAAGATCCAACCAAGATTCGAAGTATACAGAGTACAGAGTCAGATTTTACAGCGTATATCACGCCGGGCGCCTACGATTTACAATTTACTTACCTAGAGGCTATAGGTAGGTAAAATGACGATTGACGAAAACAAAACAAAAATACTCGAGCAACATCCCAAAACATCCCAAAATGCATTCTGGTCTATATGGTTGGTTACACCCAATCCCACGGCAATATCCAAAATTGAAAGGTAAGCACAGTCTAAACCGGCACGCACATCCATGAATGTCGCGCCTTATGCACATAAGCCGTCACATGCATGCATAGGGGATGGATCCCAGCGCCCCAAAAAGCAAAAAAGCTAAAGTGGACCATAGAAGGGACTTTCTCAAACAAACAGATCTTGGGGATGATCCAGCCTCGCACACAATCCACTATCTAAGCAAACATGAGCGAAAACATCACAAACCTACGCGCCGGGCATTGTTTGCTCGGTGTAATCGGCAATTCAGCATGCCTTTACCGGGGATGATCTACAGGCTACCGTGTGGTGGGAGCTGGTTTAAGCGTGGGTTGGAACTTGGTGGCTTGTGTGATATTGTCGCATGCTGGGTAGGGTGTTTATATGGCTGCTCAGAGTGTTTGCTCTCTCTCGTGGCTGCTGGGGGATTCCAATGGCCGCTGGATGAGGCTTCTGTGAAATCCGAGGAGCTGACTCGTCCGTGCCCGAAGGCGATCTATACGCAGGCGGCTGCCCAGGTGGGACTAGGGAGCAAGCCGGTCCCCGGGGTTATAACTAGGTTGTGGATTGAAGAAACTGCATTGAGAGTGTGTACGATGATTTCCAGAGCCCTGGCTCAGATAACTGGGAAATTGGACAGGAACATTGTTACATTTGGTATATAATATTGAGGAATAGAACGATGACGGTCATTATAGGTTCCAGTGTATCATGAGGTCTTGTTAGTTCATCATGAGTTAGTCGTATGGAGCAAGTATTCATTTCCTTGCACTCGAATAATTCTATTGCATCATGAAAAGGCAAACGCCAAACGCTGACGGTTGGCCCAGAGATGCCGGAAGGACGTAAATGAGATATGGATATCGGATTAAAAGCTGGTTTCCATAAGCTTCTTCAGCTTAGAAAGTGAGAGTGGTTTGACCAAGTAGTCGTCAATGCCTGCGGTTACCGCTGCCTGTTGCACGGGCTCCGAAGCAACGCCCGTGATAGCCATGATGCGGGAGGCCCGGAGTCCTTGCTCCTTCTCGTGTTGTCGGATCTTGTTGGTCGAAACAAGACCATCCATTACAGGCATTGATAGATCTAAAGACATTCACCATGCCGTTAGATATCTCTAGCTGCGGGGGGAGGGGGAGATGTTAGGCGACATTCGAGAAACTAACCCATTAATATCAAGTCGTATCTCCGGCTTGAAGACTGGACCGTTTCCAATGCGATGAGACCATTAGAAGCGGTGTCGTAGCTACATCCAAGCTTTTGCATGAAGGTGGCTAGAATCTGGTTCATGAATGCACGTTAGATCATGAGCAATGCATCGAGAGGGCCCAGGAATGAGGAAGGAGAGCGGTGGGGCGCTGGCTAGACAAGAAGTCACAGCTGAAAGTGAGTTTGCTTACCTTGAGATTGATATCATTATCATCCACGATGAGAACATGCATGTCCGCGATACGGCCATTTGGCCCACTTGGCGTGGCTGCAAGTAGAGGAGGTGGGCAGACTAGCTCGACTGTAGTCTCCTGCGGTAGGTCTTTCGTTAACCTTACAGGTAGGATCTGTGGAATTGGCTCCGAAGGGATAGGCTCCGGGCTGATGGTTACTATGGGCAGAGTCGTAGCCTGAGGAGCATCAACATGGGGCTGTGATACTCGCAACTCCACGATTTTCTCGGCGGCTTCACGGATCTTCTGAGGTCCATATCTGCATCGGAAGTTAGCCCATGAAGGTGCAAAGGAAGGTCAGAGAGTTACATACGGCTGTGATACTAGGATGGCGTTCGGAGGAAGAGAGCATCCAAGTGAGGGCGTTGTGCTGCCAAGAACAATAAAGGACTCAAATTGATGACCGCAGTTCAAACCAGAAGATGGCTGAGCAACGAGAAGAGCCTCGAACTCCGCCTGTTCGATGACCGCAATGTTGCCTTCACCCTTCTCAAGCAACTCTGCCAAGACGACTTCCCATCCCATCCTTGTCTTGAAAACACTGGCAAGAGTTCTCTGAATGGAGAGCTTTCTTTTCGCATCGGAACTCAGAATACCAGTCGGCGTCTCTGTCAAGTCAGGATAGCCGTTGAATCCAATCAGACATGCCTTCAGAGAGCGTTCAGGGCTCTTTCTTCCGGTTGGGGTGGTGCTACCAGCTGGGCTGACAGCGACAAGCTCCTTCGGACGTTGCGCAGGAATATAGACGTCAACCTGGGTACCGACGCCGTTTTCGCTCTTGATTTTGATCTCACCACCAAGGAACTTTACGAGCTTGTGCACGACGCTGAGCCCAAGACCAACACCCTCTGAAAGCGAATTCTCCTGGGCAAACGGAGAGAACGCCGAATTCTCCAAAAAGTCTGTTCCAATCCCTTGGCCTGTGTCTGTAACGCGGAGATGAACGAGATTTTCATCTGCATAAGCGGGGGCTGCGGCGTGTGATAATGAGATCTCAATGAGACCGGACTGCGTCCATTTCATCGAGTTGCCAAGGAGATTCATCACGATTCTCTTCCAGGCACCCGCAACTGAGCGAATTCTCCAGGAACTGGCCTGGTCGATGCTTACTATCACTGATAGTTCATCTGGCGTTCCAGCATGCTGGTTATTAGCCTGTGCGGGGAAGGGTGCAGTGGCAATCTCACTTGCAAGCGACGAGACAGGCTCGGACCATTTCCGACCAGCGTGCAGTATCACAGCGACCTCTTCTACCAAAGAGTCCAGGTCGAAGTCAGAAACAAGACTTGTTGCAGCGTCCTTGCCTTTGCTCGTCTTGAGGCTTTGAGTGGCTGTCAAGTTGTTGATTTTACAGTAGTCCAGCCTGGAAGTTGTGAGAAAACACATCAGAAGAGAATCCCGCTGAATGAAGGGGAGGAAGACTTACAAGTGATCTATTGTGTCCAACAAGGTGAGTCCAGAGGTCGAGATCATGTTTACCATATCACGATGCGCAGGCTGAAGCGGAATATCGAGCAGCAACTCTGCACTTGCGAGTATCCCATGTAGTGGGGACCGAAGCTCATGACTGATAGAAGTCATAAAGTCGAATTTTGAGTTCTCGCTGGCGATCCAGTGTACCCGAGAAACCTCTGAAATGATAGAATCTCCAAAAGCTTTGAAGTAGTGCAGGTCCTCCATGCCTAACGGACGCTTGGATCCATTCACCCATACCAATGTTCCTGCAAGCCATCGTGACTTGTTCCAATCCCACAAAGGATAGAAAAGCACACATTTAGCCAAAGGAAGTTGCTGAGCGAGACGTCTAGATATCTGCTGATAGATCTCCAATCTGTGTGAAGGCGTTTCTGAATCTTCATTTGCAAAGTCTGCGAGATTGTCCGGCTGAATCTTGCTGTCCACATTGAAGATTTGGCCTTCTGGAAAGTGTGTAATCAATGAGTGCAGTAGATCTTCTGTCAGGTTGACTTGGTGATCTGAAGTAGTGTTGCTGTTAGCTGGCCCGCAGCTATAAGCTTGGCCCAACAAGCCACAGTATTGTTCTGCATCGTTTGACGAATTCGAATCAGGTTCGCCCAAAGAGCCGGAGGCTGAGAGCGTGGAAGACGTTGTGTCAGCCTTCGACAAGACATCCCACTGGTCGAGATTTCCGGAGGGTTCACTTCGAACGTTAAAAATAATAATCGGCCAAAGAAAGAGTTACTCACAATTGCGGGTCGTTGCGGTGAGCATCAAGAAATACCGCACCGTCAAGATTCAGAGATTCTTTCAGCAAGACACTAGCACGTGAAAACATCGCGGCAATTCGTTCGGTGAGTGGCACAGTCTCAGGATCCGCTAATTCATAAGATCCTTCCGTGTAGGAGGGAACTGTTTCCACCCATTTTGAGGAGTCATGGGAAAGAGATGATGGCAGTGTGGAGGTTGATCTGGAACAAAGGTTCCGAGAAAATATCGATGCTTCATGTCCGCTGACGCTGTCTTGGGATGTTTCACAGACAGACGAACAGGTACCAGCATCTATTATTGTGGATGAGAGATCAAGGGTTTCATCCATGTCACGTCGGTCGACCGGTCGGTCGACGGGTAAGTCCCAGTCTTCCGAATTGAGCTTCTTGGCAGATGCTTCGATCTGACTTTGGGTTGAGGAACCGATCGGGTCAAATTTCGAATGGCTTCTAACAAAACTCGTCAATCCCTTGACCAATTTCTCAGACCGACGATGGTACTGCACAATTCGCGCGTTTTCCAGATGGTTTGTGATCGAGTCGGCAATTTCCCGGAGGGCAGTAATATCTTCGTCGCTAAATCCCGCTCGTGGCTTGTCGTCTACCACGCAATATGAGCCCAGTACATACCCGGATGGGCTGTACAACGGCACTTCGGCATAGAAGCGGAAGAATGGCCAGTCAAGCACATACGGGCGGTTTTTGTAGAAATCCTCTTTAGTGAAATCCCGAATGATATTGCGTGTCTGATCGGCCGTTATGTTTTCCGTGTCCTGCAACAGTGAAGTATCCTGCCCAGTGAAAAGCCGGATGGCATGCGGACACACTCCCCATTCCAAATCCAAGGTCGTGGCACCGAGGAAAATACCATCATTCGGTCGATGGCTATCTTTGTTTCGTAGAGAAATCGACGCGGTCGCTTCCGCAATGACATGCTGCTGTTCTCCATCGATGATTGAAACAAAGGATCGATTGCATCCGAAGCGATAAACCCCCAGTTGCGCCAGTGCAGTCAGAGTGGTATCGGCGGAGAGACGAATTGTTCTTGTAGTGTCCCGTGAGACTGATTCTATTTGTTTAAGATCTGGGCTTGTGGGAATTTCATCTTGCTGATCGAAGGTGCAGTAGTATCTGTGAAGATCGGAATATGTTAGGTGACCCTCACGGAGCGGGGAAGTAAAAGGTAACTGACTTGGACAATTCACGGATTCTCTCCTCCTCGATATCGAATTCTGGCTGACCCATGATAAATGAGCCAGCTGATTTGATCACCTAGACGTACAGTAAATAAAGGAATTGCCAAGTCCAGAATTCGAAGAGAAAGGAAACGAAAAAGAATGGACTGCGAAATCTGCGAAATCTGGTTTTCAAGAAACCTGACCATGTCACGATTCTATTTTGGTGGGGCACAACCCGTTTCGGCCTCGGTAATAAGTTTCCCCAGCGAAAACTGGGAAAGGACTGGGATGGAACTGGAATCTCGATCTGAATCGATTGGTCTAGACTTCACGAGAGGAAAGAACGTTGGATGGAATGTTCCACTACGCCACCAGAAAGTGTGGCTACGCACTCGTGTGGCTTAAACCCTAAGGCCCTGCCAAGACTCACTGTCCTCCCGAGGGGAACAGAAAATTCACTTCTCCCTACGGGGTACTTTTCTTACTTCAAAGGTTCCCCTCTTCCTTATCAAAGACATACCACATGGAATACCTGAAGTATGCACATGCAACTGCACACACGTTGGTATTGGTATCAAAAAGGAGTACAGAAATCAAAATTAACACAGGGAGCATCTAAGGCTTGCTCGCGATGTGCTCTCTGTCCCAGCTAGCGGCGTAGGAGTAGAGCGGCTTTTCAACTCTGCGCGTGATATATGCCACTATCGTCGAGGCTCTCTTTCGCCTCAAACGATAGGACATCTCATGTTGTACACCTGTACTTGACGCTTTGAGATGGAAGAAGAGGAGCGAACACTGCTATCTGCATATCTTACGCCTCAGGAAATCCAGGCTGCGAAGGACGAGAGAACGCCGCAGGTCATTTCTACGGAACCGATCAGCGACTGCGAAGAGGATGAAATGTCTATGACACAGCTTGAAGCGCGGTCGCAGCCCCAAGTTGCCTCGCAGGCTGTCCAGCGCCCGGCCAAAAATGCACTCGGCAAAAGACGCCGAAGCCCTCCAGCTGACCATATGGGAGATGATGAGGAGATACAGCCCCGGGCTGCCTCGCGGGCTGCCCAGCGCCCGTCCAATGAAGCACCCAGCAAAAGACCCGTAACCACTATAGCTGACTGTCTGGAAGATGATGAGGAGGAACATTATGGAGATGACGAGGAGAATGACTATGGTCAAGAGTCAGAGCGAATGGATCTGCCAGAGATGCAGCAACGAGTCATCTCCCATATGGTCAGCTGGAGGGCTTCGGCGTCTTTTGCCGAGTGCATTTTTGGACGGGCGCTGGACAGCCTGCGAGGCAACTCGGGGCTGCGACCGCGCTTCAAGCTGTGTCATAGACATTTCATCCTCTTCGCAGTCGCTGATCGGTTCCGTAGAAATGACCTGCGGCGTTCTCTCTTCCTTCGCAGCCTGGATTTCCTGAGGCGTAAGATATGCAGATAGCAGTGTTCGCTCCTCTTCTTAGAAGCACCAAACCTTTCGAAACACTACATGATACTTGTTGTGATAGTCCCAAATCTTGCTGTTTACTTTTATTACAATACTTCGCGTTGAACCATGCAAAACCAGATCGTCATTCTGTATCCGTTTCGAATAGGGCACACACCTCTGTCCGCGGCGCATTGAAATCAAAGTACTCTGCATCTTCCTACAGAAGAGGGAATACGAAAAGCCCAATGAGTCATGACTAACACTTCTTCACATCTTCCTCCTGAAAATTGAAATCATCCCACGTAGCTCGATCAGATCCGTTAGGACGACTCGACCGCACGAACCGATTATCCACTCCCTCGACAGTAGCAACCGGCTTCACAATTTCAATATCCGCACCGTATGCGCGCGACGACCAAAGCTCAGTCAATGGCTTGCGACCTTCTGAGACAGCCCCAGCAGGCAAATACAAGTGCGGGAACCGTTGCTGCATATCCTTCAACACCGTCGACGAGATCCGGTCCACGCTATCGCAGTGGCGCAACTTGAAGAACTCAGGCGACTGCACCTTGCGGAGTTCCTCCTGCACTTCATCTGAGTACTGTCCCATGGCGAAGAGTAGGAGGTCATAGTGCATCAGCGAGGCTTTGCCGTGGTATGAGCCGCCGGTTTTCGCGCGGTGGTAGAGACCAGTCAGCGCAGCAATAGCGCCCATGCAGCCTGTGCCGTAGTCGGAGATCGGGAAGGGGGGCACGACAGGTGTGGAGAGGCCCATGAATTTGCCTTGCGCCCAGGCGATGCCAGTAACCTGTTGATGTTAGTTTTGGAGAGATATGCGGTTGAGTGGTTGGTACTGAGTGCTTACACAGTCGGCGATTTGCTGCCATCCAGCGCGGCCAGCCCATTCACCTTCGTATCCGAAACAGTTCTCATTCACGTAGACGATACCTTTGCCGCGCTTTTGGGCCATTGCTGCCATTGCTTCGGCTCCGTAGCCGAGCTTGTCGAGAGCCCCTGGGCGGTAGCCGTCGACGATGACGTCCACTTCCTCGAGGAGCTTCTCGAATTCCTGGCGTCCGGCATCGCTCTTCAGATCAAGGTCTGCTGCGTGCTTGCCCATATTGCCGTCGACTTGGAAGAAGGGAACGTCGGACAGAGTGGGACTGGTGATCTTCAAGACGTCGGCGCCGTACTCGGCTAGAATGCGGGTGACTGTCGGACCGGCGATGATACGACACATTTCCAGTACCTTGACGCCTTCGAGAATTCTGTTGCTTCCGTTTTTCCTGGCTGGAAATTGGGTCGGCGGAAGGTCGCCAGGCAATTTGCTCACTTTCCATGCTGGCTCTTGGACGTTAAGCTTTCCCTGTTGATTGTTAGCTTGCTTGTCTTGGTATACGACATCGTGTAATACTTACATGGGGAGTCTCGATGAAGTCCTCATGCTTGTACGCAGTCACACCAGCCTGGCGTCTCTCCTTATTCATCACTTCAAGCTCGGCGGCCGTGTATTGCTGCACCTTTGGCTCGATCACCTTGATAATCTCCTCATAATCAGTCAAGTCTGGTCGGTGACCTTCCAGTCCAATCATGTTCAAGGTTGTAGTAGCCTCCAGTGACCCATGAATATGGAAGTATTCATCTGGATTCTTAGTCTTGTAAAGATTGGCGGACATACGTCTGTAGCCATCGGATTGGGCAGCCAGTAAATCAGTATCTGTAAGAGTCAATATTGCCTCTTCCCATAGCAGCTTCCACTAATTCACGTACTCTTCAACTTCGATTTCACAGCTGGGTCGAGCTTGGACAAGCCATCAACCTTGGCCATATACGCTTGACATCCGAAAGCAGTGGCACTTTCGAGGTTGACTTGAACGCCGCGAGGTTCCGAACCAGCACCGAATCGCAGGTCCGCAATAGCGGCTGCTACTGAGCCCTCAACAGCCTTCAGAGCGGCGAGTGTTTCTGTCTCTTTAAATGGAATGGGGAAATAGATTTCATTGTGACTGGTAGAGAACGAGACACGGTCCTTGTTCTCGACGACCTCGGGTGGCAAGTTGAAGCGCTCAGCCTGCTCGCATAGTTCCGAGAAGATGCGGCTGGTCTCAAGAACCGGAGAATATGTGGTAGCAGCCATATGTTCCGTTATCTCTTATTTGTGTAGCACTTGCACTGAGATGATTGTCAAATGTATGTTCTTCTCGTCGGTTCGGATTTGATGTCCGAGGACCGGTGGTTGTGGTTTGAGGCGCAAGGATCCGTGAGAAGTGAGAGTTTGTGCAGTGGCAATGTTGGACGGAAGTGCAACCTAATTTAGCCATAGGCATTAGGCAGGTTATATACGGCGGCTGATGATCGGGTCTGGAGGATTTAACTGTTCGGGTGCCGCACCCGTCGGCTCATCTATGGCGGGTATACGACTGCCTGCAATCGATCAGCTTGGCATTTACTTTTGTTCTTTTTATTTTTTGCTCCTCTTGGATATGCCGATTCTCTAATCTTAGTCAATATTTGTCGGAATAATCATAATTAATAAAAGGTTGTTGGCATACAACTTCAAGCCGACTACTGCGTACACCCCGCACAACGCAGATCCGAAAGCGACAGGCGATCGGCCCCCGACTGGATTTTCGGATGTGAGCAGATCGGATAGGTCACGTGAATCACATAGTGTCAAATGTCAATTCGATAACTATCCCACGCATTCATGGCATACAAGTGGTTCCGAGAAGTAACTATTGACATTCTGAGATGACTATTGACTCCCACATCGCACCTTTACGCATGAGCTTGCGACCGTTCTGAAACATTGGGAAAGTTGCCTCGATATGGGCACACGATATCAATACACACAAGGATGGATTCCATTACAGATGTTGCTCTGGTCCCTGACTCCCTCACGACGTAATAGACAAACTGTATACATTGCATGCTGTATGCGACTATACTAAGTAAGTTACGTGTAACTAGACATGGCTGCCTCAAAACAAGCCTTCGGATATACTTTCCTCAAATCACGTGATCGCAAATGTTAACCCCGAATCTCCAATCTCCGACTTTGCGACATCGCAGCTTGGCGACGATGCTATTGCGAACTACATTGCGGCCCAGGGTGCTGCAGCTTGCAGCCTATCGCCCAATCCGTGCCAGATCATCAGTACCATTTATTCGCATTCAAGACGGAACTTTTTACAAGCGATACCCCACGACCGAGGTCGAGGACCCGTCCAACCCACCTCTCTTCCCTGGCCTGAACTTCTCGCTCCCTTCCGCAGTCTCTGGCTCGACCCAAGAACACTGGGCTGTAATTGGTCCATCTGAACGAACCGATCTCCTTCATATCCTCCGCGGCCAGCACATATGTATCCCGCCCGACGCACGTTCCTACCCATACCTTCTCACCGACAAGATCGCCGCCAAGGACCCACGGTTACGTGTGGTGTCCAATGCGGTCCAGTACATTGGATTCAGTGGTGAAGGGTCGGGCGCGATTGGGGGGACCCGGGGCTCATATCTCAGTGCTCGCTATGAGAGTCTGCGGGAGGAGACGGACTGGACGGTGCGGCAATACCTGCGTGGTCAGACCAATTTGAACCCGATGGAAGGCGAGGAGCAGGGCACAGTTCATGATGAAGTCTTTTTCGATCGGGTCGTTACCGATCTTCACATTTCCGCTGTGCTTGACCTGCCAGTCTCGAGTCTGAGCAATGGTCAAACGCGCCGAGCGCGGATTGCAAAGGCGCTTCTGTCAAAGCCGGAGCTGTTGCTCCTTGATGAGCCATTCAGTGAGTGCATTTAGCATATGTAATGGTCCTAGTGATATTCTAACATCTGCCTAGTGGGTTTGGACCCTCCCACAGTGAGGGGCCTTTCTGGGCTGCTTCGCCAGTTGGCGAAGAAAGCTGCCCCGCGCCTCGTTCTGGCTGTACGCCCCCAGGACAAGGTCCCAGATTGGATCACGCATATTATGGTTCTGGGCAATGATCATAAGGTTCTTCTGCAAGGGCCAAGGTCAACTATCGATGAGACGCTAGATGTCTGGGCGCAAGTCCTAAAGAAGAAGCCCGATTTAAAATCTTTAAAACCAGAGCAAAAAGAAATATTTGCACAGAGTCAAGCAGACCTAGAAGCTGGTGTCTTGGATGAAAATTTCATCCGAGACCTGGTGGCACATAAGGGTGAACTAAAATTCCCAGAAGTCGACGCACCATTGGGCGGAGAGGCCATCATTGATATGGAAGGCGTCCGTGTGCAGTACGGGGACAAGGTAATTCTTGGTGACTGGCAGCAGAAAGTGCACAAACAAATGAAGGATGGGCTTCACTGGAGAGTCCGACGTGGCCAGCGCTGGGCGATTCTCGGGGCCAATGGGTCAGGCAAGACAACATTGCTTTCCATGATCACGTCCGATCATCCGCAGACATACGCACAACCTGTCAGACTCTTTGGACGATCCAGGCTTCCGGAAGTTGGCAAACCAGGGATCTCAATTTTCGAATTGCAGGCCCGCATTGGGCACTCCTCGCCGGAGATCCATGCCTTTTTCCCCCGTCAATTGACTGTCCGTGAAGCGCTGGAGTCTGCTTTCGCCGAGACCTTCCTATCAAAGCCGAAACTGAACCTTGAGAGAGACAACCTTATCAACGTATTCCTACAACATTTCAGACCGGAGCTAGATCCAAACTACGCTGCGACGGAGGAGGTGCCAGCTGTGAGCACTCGCCACTTCCCCAAGCTCGGGTCTACGAGAGGTCAAGAGGCAAAATACGTGCCACCGGACCAATTCGTCGACTACGCGGATGAGATCCGCTTCGGTCAGCTGACCGTCGCGCAACAACGCATCGTGCTCTTCCTCCGGACGCTCATCGCCAGGCCGGACATTGTCATTCTCGACGAACCCTTCTCAGGCCTTTCCGCATCTCAGCGCGACAAGTGCCTGCATTTCTTGGAATGCGGCCAAAGAGCTCATAGCCGTATTAGCGGCGACGAGTACCAGTTCACTGGATTAACGGAGAACCAAGCTTTCATCATCATCAGCCATGTGCCCGAAGAGATCCCTGACAGCGTCCGCTACTATCTACGACTACCGTCTCCTGAAGACACTGCTGCTGGACCTACCGATTTCCGGTTTGGCATTCTCCGGGCTAAAACTGCCATGAGGAACCCTCGGACCTGGGATGCGGCTTGGGCTCCTCCGGCTGAATTTGAGAAAAATGCCCGTCGCACGTTCCGCCGCAAACAGGAGACTTTGCCGGTACAGGATATGACTGAGTTCGAATGGTGGACGATATAGAAGTATAGACATGCTGGCTTGGGTTAGGAATCTAAACGTACATACTATAGAAATCTTGTACAATAATCAAACTCCAAATTTATTGGTGTCGAATGAAAGACACTCCTCTCAGCCACGACCAGACTCGCCAGTTAGCTATAAGGAAACAATAGTCCCCCAATCCTGCAACCTGCTGCAATTCGCCAGCACCTCAAGCATCAGCATAAGCAGCCTAGGGGTTCTCCCCAACAAAACTCGGCTCTCCATCACCCACATCCTCACGTCTTTTATCACTCTCCAGCCCATCTTCCCTCCCATCTTGCCAAGACGAACAATGCCGACACCGAAGCACCTATAGTCCAGAATCAGCGAACGCAACCCCAAATACCGGATCAAAACCAGTCGGACTTACCGCTTCGCCGATGTACTGCATGCAATATGGACACCGAACGGTCGGCTTGATAACCTTCTGATGAAAAAGAACCATATACAAATGTCCAACCGCGTACAGCGTAAGACTAACACCCAGGAAATTGAGCACGGTCTCGATGAACACTCTTCAAAAGCATCATTAGTGGATAAGAAGCCCTTAAAACAGGTAAAATTAGACAAGCCTTCATACCCATAAGCCAAGACCAACGCCCCATCCTCTCTCGCCTGGAAGAGCGTGTTATACCCATTCTCCCGGGCATAATTCGGTCCCCTGGACAGAACAGCGAATTTCTGATCCATGTTTCTGTTCAAAAACGGCAGAAGAGAGACGATGGGTAGAACCAGGTCAGTGACGAAAGATGTCACGACCTTCGTGAATGCATTGGCTATGCTTTACGCGGCGTGGATATGTTAGCCTTCTCTCGTCCAAATATTGAGAATGAAATTTGCTTATTTCGCTAGACAATCATGTATGAGATTAGTCTATTGGAGAAACTAACATCAAACCCAAAGCAACTTCGAGGACGTTGTCTCGCGCTGCGAAGTTGATGAACCCGTCCCATGCATGGCGCACTTGTTCCTGGGCTTTTTGGCCGGTGCGGAGCAGCATCTCGGTGCTTTCGTCTAGGCCGCGCATTTTTGGTATTCTTGTTGCGCACCTGCTGCTAGTAAGCTTGAGAGAGGTTAAAAAAAGAAAGTCAAGAACTGGGAGATAAGGTCTGAAGATGGTTGCTTTATCGGATTGGCCGTGTGCTTGTCATGTGTTTGGTGTTATCTAGGGCGGGGGCCGCGGGGCACTCTGGGGTATCTCTTGGCGCTGTTGATAGGCGCGGATCGGCCTGCGGGGGGGCCAATTGGGGCTGAGGATGGAAGTCTCTGGGAGTAGGGAGGGCGATGATCTACATTCCCCATTTCTGTGATGCTATGCTAGTAGTATACTACTCCGTACATCTTGAGGGAGTCGTTGGCTTACGTCATGGAATCTAGCAATTGATACACAAGGACATCTAAATTCACAGATCTGAAATCTGCTCACCTGTACCATTCACTGACCAGTTGGCATTAAAAGTCTTAGATGTATTCTATGGCCTACCCACCCCTCCTACAAGTACTCGCAGCCTCGCTCAAAAGAATGAACACTGAAACCGCCCTAGAATACTCAACGACAGAGACTCCAAAAACCCAGCAACCCAAAGATTCTCAACCTTATCACCAAGAACCCCTTTCGCCCACTGATCCAACTCCGTCTCCAATCCATCACACTCATCCTCAAAGTCTGTCTGATCCGCAAGGTCCCGGATATGCCAATACTGAAGCTTCGCGAGAACAAGCGGGCACTTCGGGGACTCGGCGGCCATTTCTAGTCCGGCCTCCTTGAGCTTCTCTACCTGCACCCAGAGACGCATTAGTCCGTCATATACCCGTGATCTGTGGCCGATGCCGCGGGCATCACCGTTGTCTCTGATGTATTTAGCTAGAGTCTCGACCTCGTCCACGAAGGTGAGGCACGCTTTCTGGAAGCGGGACTGCCATTCTGATGGAGTAGGCTCCAGGTTAGGCATTGTTCTTGGATGGTTGGGGACTTACTGGGAATGGTTTAGCAATTTGTTGGTAATTGATGGTGAGGAGAGTGAGACTGACCTTTTGAGGGATTGAGCGGAGGGTGGGTTATGAGGAGATTGCAGGGATGGGGTTTTATATACTTCCCGGTTAACAATTAGGTCCCTGTGGCATTGAAGCTCTGTTGAAGGAAAATAAAGGTTGCCATGGAGGGCCGTAAAAGCCTTTGTTGAAGTGCTTTCGGCTTGGGTAGTCCTTGAAGTCTTAAATATTGCCGGCCGATCTGATGGCATGGGGTCCGTGGCTTGGATTGGATTGAGAGTGTTGATTCAAGTCATGATCAAGAATTCTTTGTTCCCTTTCAAGGTTGTCAGTAAAGGCCTGGGATGTTGAGAGAAAGTGATCTAGGGCTTTCACGCGGGAGCTTGCAAGGAACAAAGGCGAATAAAGGATACATCCCTAAATATTGGATATCTATGTCAGTAGATTTTATGTGAAATTGCGACAGGCTTGCAGCTTTCGAGCCATTTGGCTTTTGAGTGGTATAGGAGTGTTGTGAATTTGTTCCTGAGAGAAGGTGCCAATGTCCAGGACATCGCTGGCCGTTGCAACTCAGAGTCTCAGACAGAGGAGCAGTGGCACAATTCTAGCCTGTAAGGAATTATGATCGGACTGAGGATAATGCTCTCGGTAGAATAGATAAAAAGCTCAGGGAATGTATGGTGAGACATTCTTGTAAACATCTGAGTCAAGGGGACCTCTGTATGTCTCATGGAAGAGAGTACCTCCGACCCTTTTATTTTCTTTTGCGTTTCGAGATGAGCCAAACGCGGTTTCCTAAGGGAATAACAGTAATATAATCATACGAATGTTCATGACATTCCTAGCAGGTCTCCAGTTTAGAGAATCATGTCGATATTCGAAGACTTTGGACACTTCTCAAGCCTCTATATCACCGTTCCATCCATGTGACGTCGGACCTTACCCGGACCCATAACCTTAATCTTTTGCTATCCTTCTCTCACAACCTGAACTTCTTCTTCTCTACCATTTCCCATCGCTCTTCAATCTCCTATTTGGCAACATGGCAGATTTCGAAGCCAAGAAACCCATTAAAAAATCCGCGGACTGGAATCTCTTGCACCTATCTGAATGTCTCGAGGATCGCCATATCAAGCACTGTATCGCTGCCGACGCTGTCCTCACAACTCTCAATCACCCGCTCGTCATTTGTCAACTTTACCTCGCGGTCGCGGATGAGCAACTTGAAGATGCTCTCGCAGTCATGCTTCAACAAGGACTCCAGCAACGCCCAGAACACGACACTTATGTGGAGGAGGACGCGACCATTGCTCCTCTGGGCTGGCCAGGATATACCCTAGAGTGGCCTCACGCATCTGTCCTCGCTGCCGGGGTCTCTCTCGTTCCCTCCAGTTTTTGGCATATGGACCTCTCAGAAGCGAGCCTATCGAAAAGCACATTCCTACATCCCACTACTCGATGCCGATTTCCAACGCGGCTATTTTATCTGGATTGTATGTCCCTAGATGCCTCTTCTACTCCTTTCTATCTTTATTATTGCTATTATCTCGTGCTAACCCTCTTCTACGTCTAGCTGTGATCAGTGCCCTCGTGAAATCTTCATTGGAATCTGGCCACAACAGGTCTATCGCTCGGTACTTCCAGATGCAGTATCACTATTTAGTCGACTGGCTCTCTTGGCAGTCCCCGGGTATTCTTCTCAGGCTACCGCCGTGTGATAAGTTCTTTGTTGACTTATATGGCACACCCCTTCCACCGAAAACCCGGAAAAGAGTCTGTTTGAACAGGCAGCAGATTCAACTGGGCGTATTAACTGTGGAAAATGCATGGAAGTCAATGCCGATGAAGTTTATCGAGACGATAAAGAAGATCGAGGCAGACAGGCAGCAGAAGATGCGGCGCAAGGCTGCTGAAGTGGGCGCAACCTGAATACCTAGATCTCGGACGTTAGGTTATTAGTTAGGACACCCTCCCGGAAAACGGGCATGGATACCACCGCCATGCAACTTGGTCATGCTTTTCTTTTCCCACTTATGGTCTACATGGTTCAATACTGACTTTCTCACCTTCTAGAAAGGACGAACATTTTATCTCAAATGTGTCTTTTCCCTACAACAATGCGAATACGGTATCTTGGAGAACCAATGAACGACATTACGCCACGATCCACAAACTATTTACACACAACGCATCCCACCTAGAAAAATCACCTCATTTCGGCGGACCATATGACATCTGTCCGGGCGTGGTATACGGCGAGAGCAACGTAGCCCCCCGTTCCCTCGCCGCGCGAGCGCGGTACTCCTCACGCTTCTGGATCTCTTTCTCATCCTGAATCAACGTGCAGCACGTACAGCACGACGCTCGTACGCAATCTGACGCAATGCTGCCCTGTATACCATATGCCTTCCTAGTTCTGGTGTGTTGGACGGTGGCAAGGAGCCCTGTCATCAGTGTCAGCATGACGGTTCTGCTTCGTGCCATTCACATCCTCAGTCTGGGTTTGTTACTTACATTGACAACCACATAGCAGTCCCATCGCGGTACAGGAGCCATTACAGGTCTCGTAGCCGAGCATGTTAGTCGGATCTTCCCTTTTCGACTTCATGGACAGTCGATGCTGCGTTCTTCCGTACAGAATACATGGACAGATCAATCCCAGACAGCAGATGCCGAAGTTCGAGAATTCGCAGAGTCCGTTACTCCAGCCTCCGCCCTTTACTTCTTGGTTTGGATGGAGGCTCTGGCCTGGCTGGTGGTATGCGCTTAGGTCGTTGGATGGGGGATCATGTGAGGTCGCTGCTCTGGTTGGTGGCGGGAAATATGGGGACGTAGGCGACTGCAGCGGGTTTGCGTCTGGTACAATGGTTACGGTTTCGCTTCTTGATGGTGCTTCCGGGTTCACTTTCAAGGGTAGTGGGCCTGGCGAACCCGGGGGCGAGCTGGGGGGATCTGTGTACATGAAGTTTTGGTGGGACATCGGAGACATTTGGGTGCTGCGCTGCTGCTCTTGGATGTTTGTTTGCGACTGTGCGTATGGATGGCTGGTATATGAGAGAGGGGACATCGGGGTGCCGTGACGTTGGTGCTCGGGTGCATTCGCGTACTGGGGTGATATGGTCATGCCGATATTTTGGGGCCATCGGTGCTGCTGTGCGGTGTATATCTGTGTCGCATATGATTGAAGCGGCATGGAAGCGCTATGATGGAGCTGTGGACGGTTCTGCTGCTGTTGCTGCTGCTGTTGTTGCTGCTGCAGTTGGGCTAAAGGTGGATAATTGGCAGGGTGCTCCTCGAGAGGCGGACGGTTGTCTGGAATTATCCCCTGATCCTGATACAGTTGCTCCTTCTCACTTGGTGCGTATGACCACGCTCGCTGGTGCTGTGTCTGGGGTTCTTTGACCTGAGAATGCTGGGGTGCGATCGGGTCCGCTGTGGGAGGCGATTGGAAGTCCCGCTGGTGGGATGCTGGGTGCATTTCGAGCGGCGTTTCCATAAACGAGTATCTTTGGTTGCGATCTCCTGCGATCGAGGTGTCCAAATTCAAGCGACTCATTGTAAAAGGGGTCAGGACCGTCGGTCTGCTTGTGGGCTTGGTGCCAAGGAAGTGAATATAATTGCAATCCTACAGCTTTTCCAACAAGAGAGCACTCAAAGAGTAGTTATGCTCAATTAACCGGAGTTGAATAACTCAAAGTCTGCAAAGCTGTGTCTGACATACGCAACGTCTTCCTCCGGAGGGTCAACACAAGAGGAGGGAGAATAACCCCGTGGACGTGCTGGCAGATAACCTGCGACCGATCGACAGAGGGAGGGAGCTGGGGTGTATAAGCTCCTTGGGCAGTTGCTACCGCACAAGCGTGGTCTCCAGTGTGAACAGAGGCGCATGGTGGAAGGAAGCCGACATTAAACTAGGACTCGAAGAGGAGATAGCGAACCACAGCCTGTCCACAGGAGGCTTGTAAGCGGGGCGTACAAGAGTCAGAGCTCTGCGGGGATGAGGGAATATAAGTGGTCTGTCTGGATGCAAGCTCCCTTTCGCTCTTTTTCCTGGAAGCTGGTTCGTTGAAGTGGTTTGTCCTGGGTTCCTGGTCGTTGGCCCTAATGCATTCTGCTTCACATGGCTGGGGCCGCTGGTTGGCTTGCGACGGTATTGGGACCCGCTCGGCGCCTCCCGTTGGGCGATCACCTTTTTCCATCACAATCACACGAGACTGGCGCTGTTGGCTGGTTTGTACTGATGTGCCTAGCAGCCTAACACAGTAATAACGTTGTAGTAGTATTTGTTTATGCACCTCGCTTAGACTTATGTACCAGGGCATAACTGTATTTCTGGCTATCTTCCCATAAGTAGTAAACTTTGACCCCTTTGGAAAAATGGTGATAACATGACTTAGAAGTCGTCGTTGTCTGTCATGTGGTTGAATCGAATTCCTTGAACCAAGAGAGAGTCGAGACCAAAGGTCGACATGACCTTGGTCTTGGACAATCAAATCACCTGCCACTTCTTGGCTTCCCCTTTCCGTTTTAGTGTTCATTTCTTGCCGCTTTTGCTCACTGAGTACAACCGAGTACGCCCTTGGCACATAATCCTCAGGCTCCACCACCGCGCCTACTTGCATCACAGTACACAGTAACTACTGCGTAGACGTCATCGCTATGACATATGATATGCCCTACCTATTGTAGGTTACCTACAGTCGGTATGGCTTTAATACCTCTCCTATGTTAGTCTCCGTCCTCAACTTCACCGTCGCAACTACCCATATCATACTCTCAGTCTCAGCACATTATACATACCAATAGGCAATAACCACGGTCCCCAGAACCACAGCATGTCTCGTCGCACCACCGTCCCTGAACAGCCCTCTCGGCCATTCACTGTGGGGAGCTGTGTCCTCTACGGCTGTGGAGCAGGACTGCTAGGTGTCGCCGCGTAAGTTGCCCTCAACGCTAACTATCCATGCAACAAGGAATTAACTCAGGTAGAATGACGGTTGGAGAAAAGATCGAACAATTCTTCACCGGTAGGCCTAGCTCATATGTCCCGGGACATACGCTTGAGCGCGTGCTGTCGCTCCCCACTCGGCCTGATTCAGAGCGCTTCGGCTTAAACATGGCCATGCATTACGGACAGGGAGCAGCCGCAGCAATCATCAGAGCTCTTATGAGCGCCAATGGTGTCCGCGGGCCGTTCGCTGATTTTATGTTTATTTCTGTGCGGCTTTTGATTGACCAGACACTGGAGAATATCACCGGTGTTGGGGCACTTCCATGGTGAGTTGACTCCACTATGCACCTAATTTCTTCGGAATTAGCACTGACGGAGTGCAGGACATGGCCGGTTAACGAGCAGGTCATTGATATTATGCATAAGGCGGTCTTTGCATTCGTCACAGGGTATTTCACGGATAGATGGCTTCAATAATGCAACTCCTATCAATGTTTCTCCAAGCAATATCATTGTACCGCAAGGAAGAAGGATAGCGACGAAGTCGACGTAATCCCCTGATTTCTCTACAAATTGAAGGGCAAAAAAAACATACAACAGTGAGGATTCGCTGGTGGTCACCCACCCAACTACTAACTCACCGGCGTGTGGCTTAAGTACGGCTGAGCGGACGGGAAGCCCTGTTTTCCACACCCTATGGTCGTATGTGGCAGTACTATGGTTGAGCTGAATTATAAGACGTCCAGGATCTATTCAAGTTGTCTAGCCCACTTCAGCAGCCTTGCGCCGCATCTTCTGCTTCCTGTCTGCGATCTTCTTTATCGTCTCGATAAAGTTCATCGGCATTGACTTCCATGCATTTTCCACAGTTAATACGCCCAGTTGAATCTGCTGCCTGTTCAAACAGACTCTTTCCCGGGTTGTCGGTGGAAGGGGTGTGCCATATAAGTCAACAAAGAACTTATCACATGGCGGTAGCTTGAGAAGAATACCCGGGGACTGCCAAGGGAGCCAGTGGACTAAATAGTGATACTGCGTCCGGAAGTACCGAGCGATAGACCTGTTGTGGCCAGATTCCAATGAAGATTTCACGACGGCACTGATCAGAGCTAGACGTAGAAGAGGGTTAGCACGGAACAATAGCAATAATAAAGATAGAAAGGAGTAGAAGAGGCATCTAGGGACATACAATCCAGATAAAATAGCCGCGTTGGAAATCGGCATCGAGTAGTGGGATGTAGGAATGTGCTTTTCGATAGGCTCGCTTCTGAGAGGTCCATATGCCAAAAACTGGAGGGAACGAGAGAGACCCCGGCAGCGAGGACAGATGCGTGAGGCCACTCTAGGGTATATCCTGGCCAGCCCAGAGGAGCAATGGTCGCGTCCTCCTCCACATAAGTGTCGTGTTCTGGGCGTTGCTGGAGTCCTTGTTGAAGCATGACTGCGAGAGCATCTTCAAGTTGCTCATCCGCGACCGCGAGGTAAAGTTGACAAATGACGAGCGGGTGATTGAGAGTTGTGAGGACAGCGTCGGCAGCGATACAGTGCTTGATATGGCGATCCTCGAGACATTCAGATAGGTGCAAGAGATTCCAGTCCGCGGATTTTTTAATGAGTTTCTTGGCTTCGAAATCTGCCATTTTGCCAAATAGGAGGTTGAAGAGCGATGGGAAATGGTAGAGAAGAAGAAGTTCAGGTTGTGAGAGATAAAATGACAAACGATTAAGGTTATGGGTCCGCGTACCGGTATACATGAAACCCGTTGGCCAAGTCTCGAAGTTCCCGTCTCAAGTCAAACTGTGCAAATTGTCTAATCTGTGAATACACAATAGTATACTACATTGCGGCTTGCCGACAGGGGAGCCAACAGAGCTAAGAATACAATGCAAAAAAAGTAAAAATTTCATGCTCCGGTTTTACGCCGCCCGAAATTCTCGTGATTCATTCTCAACTGATTAGGGCAGAGCATCAGGTCTTCCATGCTCTGGGTGCATTTTTCAGCAGAGTCTAAGTCCAGAGTCTCCCAAACTTCTCGCGAGGCCGTTCTCAACAGAACAGACGTGAGTAGAAAGTCGTACTCTAGAGGCGTTGATGATCCGGTCATGGACCGTCATCGAGCTCGTCAAAACAACACTCGGTGATAGTAGCTGAGCTTAGCGAAGCTATTTTTCGCTTTCTTTAACCTCACCAGCCGTTGCTCGAGGAGACTATTAGGAGCACATAATAAAGAAAGTGGTGTGTGCCTAAAAAGTTGAACGAATTTAACATAAGAGTATAGTGATATTTGATTTCAACAACAAAGAGACAGACAGAAAGCTAAAGCTAACCATGTATATTCTTGAAGGCCATGCGACTGTTACAGAAAGGAAGGACAGCTGAAAAGCCTAACCTGTAACGGCGACCGTGATAACCGCTTCCCCGATTATGCAATCTAGTATCCTCGGGATTTGTTCTCAGTGTCAAGGGATTTCGCCCGTAGGCGTCCTTGCTTCTCTGTAGGACGTTGCTTCTTTTGGGTATCGGATGTTCTGTCAATATTTGAGGGCAGTAGTGAAAGACCGGTCACTATATCTTGCTTCCCTAGAGGACGTTGCTTCTCTAGAGACTCCCGGGAATCGCGCGTTTTGTTGGTATTCGAGGGCAGCAGTGAGAGGCCGCTTACTGCAAGAAGGTCTCCGATATTGATGCTTCCACTTGGGGCAAGATCACCACAGTCTTCAAAGTCTTTCAGTACCTTATCGATTATCTCCGCCTGGCCACTCATATGTAGGAAGTTGCCAATACAAGCGTGGATTCCGAGCAGATTAGAATCTGGAAGTTCCCAACTTCCTTTGTGAACTTTGAACTTAACAAGCCGATTTCTGGGTAAATCTCGTATCGGCGCTGTTGCGGTATCTGGAAAGGTCTTGATCCGATACTGGTGAGCAACTCCCGTTGCTTCGAAAATGAGTCTGAACTGACCGAATTCGGTGTGGAGTTGGGAGTCCAGCATTAAAACGTTCTTTTCCGAATTGATCCGTTCTGAGGTAAAGGACTGTCAAGAATTGGGGATCATTCATGTATATACGCTAGTCTAGATTTGCCTTAGCGGATGTCGAGATTTTCCCGCTTGGCAAGCGAGACACATAGTGTCTCGTTCCGGCTGAGTTTCCTTCTCCTTTGATCAACTCAAAATCAACTCATTTATCTTTTACGATACGCATTACGATTGGTTCCCCTTGGCTCCTCGAGATTCCACCACATGTACTTCCATTGTTGCTCTTCACAAGGACATATTGCGGAGAACTGGAAAGTAGCGCCTTAGGTTGACCCAAATCGTTGCATTTCTATCCACTGCCTCGCCGTCATTGGCCTGAAAGGATCCAAGTGCAAATGGAATTATGTGGGCCGCTTCAAGATGGGTCGTCATTGCGTTCTGTGGATGGGCGTGATTGTGACTGTAGTGCCCTGTTGCAAGACATTTGTTTCCGTCTCTTTCTAAGCAGCGGTGCCGGAGTCGGGACTGACAGCTTCCGCTGATAGGCTCGATGTTTTGGCTCTTAAGATTCTCGATTGAGTCTTCAACGCCAGAACGCGGAGATGGGGTAATTTCGATTGGTGTTTTGCCGCCCTTTTGCTTTCATAGGGATCAATAGACCAGTTCGGATGCTTTGGACTAGTTGTCGAAGCTTCTCATCGTCTGCACACCCTAAAACGTCCCCCGCCAGATTCTGTTTTCCGTCAGGAGGAAGGATCGTAAAGAAGTCACGGAGGGAGTCCTTGGTTTTGTCAGTCGGTTCAAGTGGTGTGTAGGTATTCAGCTTTCGACCGAGCTTCTAGCTTGACTATAAGTATCGAAAAGAGTAGAAGACATAGAAGGACTCACCGTCTTTGAGGATGATGGCATCCTGCCAACGACCCAGGTTAGGGTGAGCTTGGGGCGAGCTTGGGGCCAGTCTGGAGGGTATGGCAGTTCTAGTCCTAAGCGAAGCGGCCGAAACAGCTGTGACAGTTGAGAAGGCGGTTGATGATAGATGAGTGCGATTGGTTGAAGTCACCACCCATCATGTGACTCCTGACTCCTGAGCCTTGATTGTCACAGGAGGAACTTCTTGAGCGCCTAATTGAGGGAAGGCCTGCCGATGGGCCAGGAAGGGGGAAAGGGGTCCTCTGAAGCAGGCGGGGAAAGAAAATCCGGCGTTTCTGCCGAACTTATCACAGTCGCGTGGAAGAAGATGGACTTATTCGCCAGGGTTTTCGAACAGGTCCTCGTCCAGTGGCACCGTCAACGGATCGGTGCCTTCAGGAGCAACCAGGGAGTAGTATTCCTGCTGCTCTGGCGTATTCGCCTCCCATGGGATGACCAGTCGCCCAAAGCTCACGTCCACCAGGACCTTGAAGTCGTTGAACTTCAGTTGGAGCCGGACCAGAACAGCGTGATAGCAGCCGATCTGGAACAGCGTCGCACAACTGTCCCAGATGGTCTGGCCAGCCTTCTTCATTGCCTTGGCCAAGAATACAGCATCCAATAGGTCGGTTTGCTGCTTCTCAAGGCCGTTTGAATCATCGGAACGGAGGTAGAAGCACCTGATCTTCATGGCTAGGGCGAAGTCGGTTTGCAACACACGAACACCCTCCACGTGCCGCACGTACCCGTCCACCTGATGATAGGTGAAACGGTCGTCAATGGTGGTGAGCAGATCAACGATGACTTCTCGGTATGAGAGCCGGCCCCCAATCACCTCGAAGCCCTCAACGGAGCTAAGAGAGTCGATAACGGTCTGAGACCGGATCAGGATGTCGACGTCGGTTGTCGACCTCTTGTGGCCTTCAAATATTGTGGCTGCGCCGCCGACCAAGACAAAGTCGGCTGGAAAAGACATTTGGAGTGCGCGGACGTATTCAGGATCTTGACGCCATGTTGTGACTCCGGGCTGGTCGACATATTGTTCTGTCGGTAGGAGAGGAAGAAAGGAGGGAAGGGAGGTGTTAAGTGTGATCTATGAGGGGTCTCCCAGGAGGGAAGGTCTATCTACCACAGGCGGTTAGCGCTGACACCTCAGGCGCCCACCTGATAGGTACCTTCCAAGGTAGGTAGGCCACAAGCAAAGCTGATTAACGGAAAGTTAACAAACAGAAAATTTACAGTAACTAACTAGTTACAGGGCTAAAGACAAAGACTTACCTAGTTATAGGTACTGTGTAGATTCGTGGTCATTCGCACCGAAGGTGTCACTGGCCTCTACTCCAGTGTCATTCCTCGGTTGATTGGTTAGCACCCGAGAAGGCCATCATGCTGACGGTCAATGATCTCTTTTGTGGCTTCTTCACAGACACAAATGCCCATAGAATCAAGTACTGTGCTTTGCATAGTTATATGTACTATACTAGTATGTAGATCTCCTAACCGAGATTGGTTTAGTGTCAGCCCTGTAACCATTCCATCATGGTGAGTGTGGGTGATACGAGAGCTGTGAGAACCTGTGACTTGAGGAGGAAGAGATAAAAGGTCTTCTGCGGATTCTTTCTTGTTCTGTTTCTTTTCTTTTCCCATAGTTGTTGTTTCGTCTAAATGCACTCTTTTGTCTAAAGATTTGGCTGGTAACACCTCCGGCTAAGCCAACGCCAACATCCACCCAACTCGGACGCTCCGGGTCCAACCAGAACGCCCGCTTGGAAAGCCAAAGCCAAAAGCAGCGAATCGACCAAATGCAGACCAAAAGGTCGACCAAGCTCCCCAGCCCCAGTTGCAACAAGAACCGACACTCAGGCACCCACAACCCCTGCTGTCCCAGCCACAATCGCAGAAGCACCCCAGCCTCACGCCTGTGCGCTACCGCAACTTAAGCCTTTCCCCAACACCGATCTTACCACACCGGATCGTCTAATACTGCTATAGCCACTTGTTTCCCTTAGGCCCAGACGAACAGCTGCGCTGCGCGCAGAAGACCTCCTTATCTACGGAGTATCGTTTGCTCCTTCTCAACAGTCTGACCGTCATACGATCGTCACAAAAGGAAGTACGAGATATAATTGTGTGAAACGGGGAAAAAAAAGCAGACTCTTAGTAGTAAGTAGTGGCACCTCACGGAGTATAAGTCTGTACAACTGTACAAACTCCATCATTACGGATTTACGGTAGCTTTTCAAGTTACGAAGGTAAAGCAAGTTAGTAGCTGAGTAGGTAGGTAGCTCACGGACCACGGTTGCATGACAACTAACTTCATCTAAACGCCTTGTAGTAGTTACGGAGCGTGGAGTACTCCGTACCTACTGTGTAGTGACCTAGTTACATGTAGTAAGTAACTGATCAGTAGCACCCAATCACAATCACCTAGCGCTTACGGAGTCCGGGAGTAGTGAGACTGAGCGCTTATTAGAGTGGACCTCGATCCTCGCGGCTTTATCGCGTGATGTATGTATTTGTTTACTGACTCGGTGCCCGGACTGAGATTTACGCAGTACTGAGTGAGCCTGACTCTGATCCCCCTCGTAAAAGCGGCAGCTAAAGTAGGAAAGCCCCACCGGGTGGAGGAAAATATGTTACGTAAAGCCATGTACCTAACTATGAACGATCACAGTGGCTAACACGCCACCCATTGAAGGCATGTGATTAGTAGATCAAGCAAGTTATGTAGAAGAACCTGGCCCTATTGGAACAACGTGAGGTTTCCAGACTCGACAAATCTCATCAGCAGATCAGAGCTGAAGCATTTTAGCTCTAAGCTCGCGTTGATCTCGAAAGTATTAGTTGGCTGACATTCGGAACACTTCCAAGGTCGCTTCCAAGGTTGTTCCTGATCTTGATCGTTGTGCCTTGATAGTCCTCCCTAGTAGTACTGTAGAAGGAAATCTCGGTCAGACAAGGTGTTGCACGGAACTTGGTTGCTTTTTATATATTGTGAAATGGAAGTAGAAGAGACAAGCCCAAACTTGAAACGAAGAAGAATGAAAATGAGTAACCTTCGAGTACCTGGTGGGAGAGGCAAACTCGCCCTTGGGCTTTTTTGCCAGTGACTTCATCTTCGACCATCTTCCAAGTTTCACGACATCTTTCTCTTCTTTTTTTCCCCACTTTGAAAGCTCAGTAGGGATATCTTTTGAAATCTTCTTTTTCCTTCCCTTGATTATTTAGACCCCTCTGTAACTATTCTGTGAGGTTTCGAATTTTTATATAAAAAAACAAGAAAAAACAAATTGGATCCACCCAAGGCGGTGACGGACGATCTCCAAAGGGCTATCTCCCAAATTCCCCGTTTGGGTTCTCTTGATTCCTTTAAATCCCTCCTGCAATTTTGATCCCGGCATTCCGACCGATTTGAGGTCAGCTCTATCCACCTGTAAGATCTCTCCTTCTTCAAACGTGCGCTTTCTTTCTCTCGTCGTTGAATTCCGCAGAATTAGACATCTAACTGTTGCCTATCTGGACCCCAGTCTCCAGTCCTAGTCTATCATCGCCCAATCTCTTCTCCCCCCTCCTCCTATCACGATAACGGGCCCAACCACTCCGGTCTGCGCTGCTATACTATCCGGACATTGTACTTGACCAATGTCCTCCCCATGTCAGATTCGCCGTCCGTTCCCGAAGATCCTTGGCCAAATCCCCTGGTGACATCTGCTGTGCCTGCCCAACATGATTGCTTCAAGGATTCCATTCATGGACGTAGCCCACGTCACCACTTAGAGCAGGGCCAGCATCTGTCCCAGGGGCCTAGAGAGGTACCATCGCCATCCCGCGCTGAATCCCCCACGGCCCACTCTTGGTCTCATCCCCCATCTCGATTACCCATAAAAAGGACGGCGACCACGCCGCCGGAAAATACCGCACACCCAGATCTTGTTTACAGACCTCAGCTGTCAGAACGCGATAGCATTTTTGCAACTCACTACCTCCCCTCCGATAGCGGTGCAAATACCCCACAATTGCCCCCAGCACGGGCTCAGAGCAATGAGCGCCAGGTCAATCTAATTCCTAGCCTTGAGGATGCATCTGTATCTCCAAGTCCATCCATCAAGGTCTCTCCCCACCGTTTTAACGTCGACCCTTCCCCCATGGAAGTTGACGTCCACAGACATTCTCCATTGCGTTCTTCCACTCTCTTCCCATCCTCCGACGTCCCCCGCGTGTCTCTGCTGCGCGCATCGACCTCGCCGACTGATGATTCGATCCCGAAAGTAGAGGCCGGCGGGCTGGCTCATCTAGGGTCTCAGCGGTACAAAGTGCCATCGGATGACAAAGGTACGAAAACCAGTCGTTTGCAAGGCACTTCACCTGAACAAAGTCTCCTACCACCCGCATTAGATGATGCCTCTCATACTTCCGCGACCGGTGGGAATCTCTTGCCCCACGGTCCTCCGGAAGAAACCCCCCAACCCCATGCTGCCCTTGAACGAAGCTCAAGCAGAGGCCGTCGTGGCCGAGTTGACAGCTCAATTGAAGCTAATTTGACCAATGCGGAGCCGGCTTCTAACGTTCGCAGCCGTAAGTCTAGCCACTATTTGGGCCTCTTCAAAGAAAATACCACATCGCCGGACCGCAAACGGTTGCAAGATGAGCCCAGGGATCATGTCAAGAACTATGAGCAAGAGCCACATTGCTCGGAGAAGGGAAACACGCTTCGTAAAAGCATATCACTCCCCTCGCTTGGCGACGGTCCCTCTCTTGAACCTCCACCTGAAGCTGAGCCGCATGTACAAGACGATGAGCCATCTAAGCGTCGCCCCACGGCGCTGCCTCGGAATCTCCTTGAAGAGATCCGAAACTTCCATCTCACGCCTGGCGGTCATCATGGATCCTCTTTCTCGGAAAGTATTCCGACTCAGTACTCAGAGCGCGGCCGTGATTACTTCCAGGTGGAGTCTCATGTGGGAGTCTCCCCCTCGGACTTATTCGAGCAGGAAGAGGGGTCCAGGAAATATGGGGCCGAGGAAGAGGAGAATGAACAGATTTCTTCTGCGGTCTACTTCCCCCATGAGCGCACGGTGCCTGAAGGGGTCGAGGCGCTACAGCAATATCCTGAAGGTCCTCATGATGTACGGCCAGTTCAGTTGAAGGCTTCAGAGAAAGGCCAAGACTTGATGTTAGTACCTCAAGAGCGTAGCAAGTCCCCCGAAAAGGAAATCAGCCATGTGGATATATCCTTTCGATCTAAGAATGAAAGTAAGATCCTCTATGGCGATATACATTCTCCACGAGAGCATGAGCCAGAAAAGCATTTGCCTCTGAGTACCATCCCTGAACGCAGCTGGGATTCCACATACGAATCCGATGTGGATATCCCGTCAGCAGATGAAAGTCTGCACTTTGCCAATGAGGAGACCGATCTGACCGATGAGGCGGAAACCCCAACGGCAACACCGACACAGCGTTCTCGGCATCTCTCTCGCCCCAAATCCCAACCCCCGCGACCTCTCGGTGCCGTGGAACTGAAACCTTACCGACACCAGGTTGGCGGACACACAACCGTCTTTCGGTTTTCGCGACGTGCTGTATGCAAGCAGCTCAACAACAGAGAGAATGAGTTCTACGAACGCATTGAACAGAGACACCCGGAAATGTTGGTGTTTCTTCCCAAGTATGTGAATCCCACCCCTGAGAAAGAGAATTTTTAGCTTGCCGAATGCTAACTTTTCGTTCAAGATATATCGGAGTGTTGAATGTCACATTTTCGAAGACGCCGAAACGTCCAAAGGATCAGGCCGATCTTACCAATGGAAAAGCTCAAGATGCAACGCGTGCCAATGGAGCTTCGGCGTTAAGCGCCCAGCTGCTTGGACCAGCGGAGTCGCAAGAGCCACAGCGGATTGTCAGCCAGTCCCAGGTCACAGGTGTGATACCCAAAGTGATCCTCGAGAACAATCGTCATATCATTCCTGCCGATCTATTCACCCGCCAGCAGCGACCGAAGACGGCGTGTGCTTCAGTGAGCCGCGCACGATCTGTCGACGGTCTTCAGGGGATGTCAGCAGAGTCCGACCCATCGGCTCTGGCCAAGCGAGCCAAGATATGGGGTGCCACTACTGTAAATCTTAAACTACAGGAGCAAGTCCTCCGTGAAGTATTCAGCCCGCCTGCGATTCATCATCATCGACGCCATGCTCGGGGTCACGTTCATCTACCGAGGGCCAATTCCGACTCACCTGCCAACCTCCCCCGCCGAGGGAACCTATCGGAAGACCACACAGCTAGCAGTCGACGGCTAGCCCCTGGTTCAATCACAGCTCTAAAATCAGAAGCGATTGACATCGTGCCGTCTCCCGGTGAAGGACCTGCTCTTTCATCGTCAGCATCGACTGCCCTGGAAGCCAACCAAAACCGCCTGGAAAAGGTCAAAAGTGAAGAAGAGACTAACCGGGCAAGCTCGCTTTCTCGGGTTTCCCACCCGCGACGGCGGCATTCCGGAAGTGGTCTTCAGAGACGCGGTAGCTTGAATTCTCGGAACCAGGGCGAGCTAGTATTCTTCGATGACGATGGCTATGGTGGCGATAAGGAGGACGACATTTTCTCCATGGAAACCGATGCATCGATGCCTTCGAACACTTCTTCCATCACCAAAGCCTCATCTTCGCCAATGTCAGAGGGTATCTCGACCAGTGATCACCATGCAACCGACGGTTTCCCTCCTGGCAGACTTTCCGATCCATCCCGCTTCCAACCAAAGGAACCGGTCAATACTGTCTTGCCCAGCAACCCGAAGGAGGCGCAGATGAGAAAGGACGAAAGAGTGCAGTTCTTCTTGCTGCTTGAGGATCTGACAGCTGGTATGAACAAACCCTGTGTGCTAGATCTCAAGATGGGTACTCGTCAGTATGGTATCGAGGCGAATGAGAAAAAGAAGAAGTCGCAGCGACGAAAATGTCGGTCGACCACTTCACAACAGCTCGGTGTGCGGCTCTGTGGCATGCAAGCCTGGAACGTCAAGAAGCAAGAGTACATCTTCGAGGACAAGTATTTTGGACGCGATTTGAAATCCGGTCGAGAGTTCCAAGATGCACTCACTCGATTCCTTTACGATGGCGTCAGCTATGCCAGTGTTGCCAAGAAGATTCCTGTCATCCTGGAAAAACTGGCTCTACTTGAGCACATGATTCGACAGCTGGATTCATACCGTTTGTATGCTAGCAGCCTGTTGATCCTGTATGATGGAGAACCCGAGTCACCTCCGCAAGAACTGATTCCTTCCAAAAGCGAAGGCACATCACTCAAACGTGGACGGACGGATGATGGAAATCGCACAATAGACGTTCAGTTGAAAATTGTGGACTTCGCCAATTGTGTCACTGGTGAAGACAAAATGCCCCCAGATACACCATGCCCGCCTCACAATCCGCACGATATTGACCGTGGATATCTGCGTGGCCTCCGCACGCTCCGCATGTATTTCCAGCGGATCATGAAGGAGGTCTGTCTCGAAGAGTTCGTGGAACGAGGTGAAGGTGAAGCCATCGCGCTGGGCTCCCAACCCGCAGCTCGTGAAAGACCTTCTGACCAATATTGGGATGAAACCATGATGGAAAGCGACGCCGGTGAAGTCAGCTTCTAGTTTCCTTTTGTTTCCCTTGCTATTTCCATCATCGATGTCATAGTCCACTGTCGATACGTGGCGTTCGGGGGATAGAGCATTACTCCCACGATGATATGCCAGCATTCATGCACCAGTGCCTGACCTGGCCTGATCGGCAACGACCCTACGAAATAACGATCCCCTTTCCTCATGAGTGCTTCTATAATCCCCGTCAACGCCTGGATGCATTTAGAGTCGTTTGGTGTTGCCCAAATTGTTTTTCCTGTTTCATAGACGCTTCTTGATTTTGGGCGTGTCTCAGTTTCCCACTTCAGTTCTCTTGTCTTGTTGTATTGAATACCCCCCAATGTCTCCAATGCCTTTTTCTTTCGGTTCATCTCCAGCATGGTTAATTCTATGGTTTTATTTGTACATGGGTGTTTTCCTGACTCTAGACCATTAAGACCATATCACGGTTTATCACCAGCATTTCCATTATCTAAACAAATAATTCTGTCCGTGAACTAGCATCACATGCTCAAATTGACTTGACTCACTCAGTGTCATCTCGTAGACTCGTCCATGTAATGGGTCACGTGAGATGACTCCAACTCTCTCCGCTCCCCTCTCTTCCCCTCAACTTGCCTCGGTTGAGACGACAGCTTGCAGTTGAGATAGATCCGTGATCTTTAATGTGCGACAGTGATACATAACTCCACATCAATTGCGACCCTTGGAGGCTGACCACCGATGACGTAGCGCCAACTCAAGCTCGTCAACGTGCACACCGCATCCCCGCCCTTTCAAGCTCCAGCACGCGACTTGGAGAACAACAAACGTGCTCGGCGGGTGCTTCACAGTCTGATCACCAGAACTTGCGATCTCAGACTTATCCTTCACCTTCCATTTTTCTCAATATAATTCCATCTCACTCTAGCCTCCATAGCATCGGTTACAGATCCCAGCACTACTGGTGCGGAGAAGCCAAGCACCATGACGATAGATAAGCGTGACTTCGACGCAAACCGCCCACTACTCCAAGATGTCGACGCAGGGCATGATACAAATGAGCGAACCCCGGAAGCGTCCCGGTTAAGGCCTGGATCACGGCATTCGCGGAGCTCCGCTGATGACGGACTCGGGTTACGAACTGATGATGGGCTATTGAGTGAAGTCGTCGAGGAGCTGGTAGAGCGAGATAGGTTGAGAATGCAGAAGGAAGTTATCCGCGTACTTAGCTTTGGCTGGGGGGTTATAACTTGGTAAGTGATTCTTATCCCATTGCCGTCTCACATTGCTGTCGCGTATTGCCGTCGCATGCTCTGGACGAATGAAATGAGGTCCGAGGGCTGACTTTTATGTTTTTGTTCTATTCTACAGCTTAGGAGCTGGCAGTATCACCGCGTTCTCATTATATGGCCATCTACTCCTTACCCGACTTCATTATTCGCAGCTCCAGGTCAATGCCGTTTCCATCGCTGCGGAGATCGCAATGTACCTCCCCGTACCCTTATTCGGCTACTTATGTGACCGATACAGCCCTTCGCCGCTGTCCTTGTTCTCGGGGCTGGTATTCGGAATCGGGTATCTCCTCGCTGCATTCGCATATCAGAGCGGTCCGCCTGTCGATGTAGGCGGATCTGGATGGCCATTCTGGGTGATGATTGTGGCGTTTATCGCTATTGGCATGGGTACCAGCTGCATGTATCTGGCGGCTGTCGCAACATGTGCCAAGAACTTTGGCAGGGGGAAGCACAAGGGGATCATGCTTGCTGTTCCAATTGCGGCATTCGGCCTCAGTGGCATGTGGCAGAGCCAGATCGGGATGTACCTGTTCTGCGAACATCTCGAGGATGGAAGTCATGGTGACCTCGACGTTTTCAGGTACTTTGTGTTTTTGGCGGTGCTGCTGCTGGTCATTGGCGTTGTCGGTACCTTTGCATTGCGCATCGTGGAAGAAGATGACAAGTACATCGATGAGACGGTCGAAGAGCTGGAGCGCAGTGGATTACTCGAGGAGAGTGATTTCTTCCGGCCACGTAATGAAATCAGACAAGCGGTTGAGTATGGCACATTCCCTGGGGTTCACGACGAGGAACAAGCCGAGCTATCCGACGAAGAGCGCGAGCAACAAAGACTCGAAAAGGAACGCGAGGAAGAAGAGCGCCGGAAGAAGAACTGGCTGCTCAACTATGAAACCCGTATCTTCCTACAAGACCACACCATGTGGTGGCTAGCCGCCGGTTTCTTCCTAGTCACCGGCCCCGGCGAGTCATACATCAACAACGTAAAGTCCCATTCCTAATCCCCCAACAACCACCAAACTACAAACTAACATCTAAACCCAAGCTGGGCACAATAATCCCAACCCTAACACCCCAATCCTACCCCCCAACCTCACCCCCCACCCGCCGGCTCCCCCTCAACCCACGTCACAACAATAGCCCTAACCTCAACAATCGCCCGCCTCCTCACAGGCTCCCTCTCCGACTACTTCGCACCTCCAGCAACACACCTCTTCGCCACAATCCCCAGAACCCCGACGCCGCCCTCCTCAACCCTCACCCTCTCCCGCATGACCTTCCTCATCCCCTCCGCCATCCTCTTATCACTAGGCTACCTCCTCCTCGCCTCCCCGCTCCCCCTATCTCACCCATCCCTCTTCAACCTAACAACAGCCCTAATAGGCTTCGGCTACGGCGGCGCCTTCTCGCTAGCGCCCATCATCATCTCCGTCGTCTGGGGCGTTGAGAACTTCGCCACGAACTGGGGTATTGTGGCTATGATGCCTGCTGCGGGTGCCGCGCTTTGGGGTGTCGTTTACTCGGCTGCGTATCAGCACGCTGTGGATGTGGATTTGGATCGCGGGAATGGCTTGCCGGATGGGCAGTGCCACGGGTGGAGGTGCTATGGGTTTTGGGCTGTTGGGTGTACGGTCAGTGTTTGGGTTGCTTGTTTGGCTTGGGTGCTTGCTTGGAGGGGGTGGAGGAAGAGGGGGGTTGTTGTTTAGATTTAGCATGGATGGTTTTTTTCAAGTGGAGGTTTGATTTGGGTGAATATAAGCTAGCTAATTTTGTCTTCTTTCCATTTACTGGCGTTGATTTGGGGTTCATACATCTTTGGGGCTTTGCATGGATATAGCTGGACGGTTCCAACTTATTGCTCGTTTCCTGTGGCTCGGCGAACTGCTACTACCAACCTACACTACCGAAACAATGGCAGGTAGACTATAGACGAGGCAATGTAGTGCCTCTACTAGCCAAATAACCAAAAATATACACAGTAGATAACCCAACACGCCAAATGCATGCGGGTTCCACAATCCAAAAGAGCCACCAGGGTAGCTCGAGCCAAAAGAAACCTGAAGGCAAGAATAACCAAAAATGCCAGGCCAAAAGACGAATCTAAACGTCCATCGAGCTGGGATCAAGCCCAGTAAACACTTTGTACAGCCGCTTACTAGCAGCAGGCCCAATACGTGCATTGGTCAGGGACCCGTTCTTATTTGCGGATTTCTGTAGCAGTCAGCAAAATGGCCCCAATCCGCGTACAATATTGAAATTTCAAAAGCAAAGAAAGAAAGAAAGAAAGAAAGAAAGACAACACACCTTAATATCCTCCAACAACATAGGTCCATGCATACGCATCGCACGCGTCAAATCCGTGACACAAGGATACTGTCCTGCAATTCCATAAGCCATCGGCGCCGTAACACGAGTAACCTGCTGAATCATCTTGACAAAGGTATCCTGCTTATCAGCACCAGTCTTCACCTGTCCCGTCTCCATACAAAACGCCGCATTATGCGCTTCCTGTCGTTCCAGGCGGTATGGCACAGTCGAGATATGCTCCGTGAAATTCTTGATCCACTCCGCGGACTCGGATGGAGTATTCGTATGGTGGATGAGACACGAGTGCGTAACTTGTAATTGGAGTAGTGCGTCTTCGACGGTCTCGTCGTCGACTAGGGGCGCTGCGTCGGGTTTCTTCTGTTTTCTGGGACGGCCACGGGCGGTCGATGTTGGTTCTTCTGCGGCCGTGGGTTCGGCCATTTGGCGGAGGACTTCGGCTTGGAAGGCTCTGTTGCGGGCGTTTGCGTTTTTGCGCATGAAGGGCGTTAGGCCTTCGATTAGGTAGATGGCCTTGCAGTCTGGGTAGGCGGTTTTGAGACGGCGGACGTGGGTTTCGAGGCTTTCGGGTGGTTCTGAGTTTGCGTCTGAGTCTGAGGATGGATTTGTTACCACCATATTTACGAAGTCTTGTGCAGGGACGAGACATAGCACGTGGTTTTCGTTTTGGATGAAGAAGGGACATGGTTCCCAGTAGCGCAGGGTCTGGTTGTATCTGGCGTTCATTTTGCGGCGCCATTTGACGACGTTGGGAATTGGGCTTGTGAAGAATGTATGTTGGACCTCGAGGCGTTTCATGAACTCGACGGTTTGGGTGCCGATGCTGCTGTCCATGAAAGAGTTGGCCAGATCGACGATCATTTCTGGTGTGGAGTCTTTCTTGTTCACCTTGAGCTTGTTGACGCTCGCGATTTCGGCGACTCGTTGTTTCTCTTTCGCCTGTTCCTCTTTGAGCTTCAGCTTGCGCTCTTTTTCCAGTTGGCGATCTCGTTCTTTCTGCAGCTTTGCCTCTTCGCGTGCTTTAGCTTTTGCTTCTTTCTCCGCGGACGTGAGTTTGCCCGTCTTCTTAGCTGCTTTCCGCGGTGCTGCTGGTTCATCGATGTCGTCATCGGAGAGGACCTCCGCAGTCGTGGTTTCCCCACTGGCGCCTTTCCGAGTACCAGCTTTCGTTTTTGCGCCTGCGCGTTTTGTGCTGGATGTGTCGTCATTGCCAATGCGAGCTAAGAGCCGAGCCGTCGACTCAGAGAAGATGGGTTTTGAGGCATTTGTGTTTCGCGAGGGGTTTAGTAGCTCAGAGAATTCCGGCAGGCCGAGTGGGTCGCTGAATTCTTCAATTTCGCTGTGAATGCGGAGGCTTGATGACTGGGGTTTCGTAAGGTCCGTAAATTCATCATCATCATCGTCAAGCGCTATGATATCCGAATCTAGGAGGTTTGACCTCCGCGGCAGGGGCCTCGGCGGGGGAGCTGGAGCCGAAGAAGTAGGAATGATCGGGTCGGAATCTTCAATACGTGACTGTGCTGTTTTCTTCTGCGCTGCGGCGCCCAAGGGCGGCAAGTCAAGATCATCATCAGATATAGAGAACCAAGGCTCTGTCTCTGGAGCTGGCGCGCGGGCTGCGTTTGTTGTGGTGACATGTCGCAAAGAAGAAGTGCCTTGATCGCTCACTCTCCGCTTCTTGGCTGGCTTATCGAAGATATCGTCATAGTCGAAGAGGGACGCATCGACCGAATCTGACGAGATCGGATTGAGCTGAGGCAACGGACGTCGCGATGGAAGTTCGGCCGGCTTTTGCGATTCCGGTAGCTGGCGATCGGCTGAAACAGGGGGGTCGTCCGATGAGAGGAGATCTATGACTTCAGGCATTCTGGGCAAGCCCAATGCCACCAGGGCAGGGTGGTTAAGAATAAAAGTGAAAGGTGGGCTGATAGAGAGGAACGCGATGCGCAAGACGCGGCGTCGCTGCGGACAACGCACGGGATCATGTGACCGCCATCGCCAGCGGGCCGCGGCTGTGAGTGAGCAATGTACGGAAGATAGGAGTAGGAATCTGCAGAAGCTAAAAGCACAGGTATGAAGGTAAATATAATACAGAATGGTATCAAGAAGCTATCGCTCGAAGCAAAATTGCAGCCATCATTGCAAGAACAGCCCCAATTAGAGCGAGAATGGCAAAGACCTGTTGCCACCCGTTGAATGGCCTTCCCTCGGCGTCGAGCATAGTGGATATCTCTTCTTCTAGCCTATCCCCCATGGCAGTAAGCGAGAACTCTTGCTGCGCCCTTTTTTTGCCAGCAAGAGCCATGCGTTTCTCGTCTTCCTCGGTCAATCCGTAAAGTGCCTTGTCCACCACAGCAGTCCACTCTTCATCTGCGTGAGCGTCCCGGAGCCAGCCCGTTTCGCCCTCAACAATTGTCTCCAGTGGGCCGCCGGTATTTGATGCTAGTACCGGGAGACCAGCACGCATTGCTTCCACGGGCACAATGCCAAAGTGCTCGTTGATCGGGGTATAAAGAAGGAGTTTCGATTGCGCCAACAGGGTATCCTTGAATGCAGTAGGAACAGAAAGGAGGAATAGGACGTCGATATCGTCGGGAATTGAAAGCGCGGATAATACTGTCTTGGAGGTCGCTGTCTTCAGCCCGAGACTCGTCGCAAGCTCATCCAGCTCCTGGTGATATTGCACATTCTCCTGGACACGATTGTCGTAACCGCCTGTAAATAAAACGCTACATTAGCATGTTATTCAAGACCAATCCTGCGCAAGAGTTTCTTACCAGCAATCACCAGTCGCGTCCCTTTCCTCTTCTCCGCACCAAGTCCATTAAAAGCACGAATCGCCAGCGCCATATCCTTCTTCCGTTCGAAGCGATTGATGCTGAGTAGGATCTTCTTCCCACCCCAAAGAGGATCCTCCTCCGCCTTTTCGGGAATTGCAGGTCCGGCATCCATATCGACACACGGGTAGACCACTTCCACGTCACCCAATCGGTCCGAGCCAAAGACGTCACGCACCACCCGGCGAGAGAACCTAGAGTTCGCAACGACCCGATCCGACGCGCTCATCGCCCAGCCTTCAAACCAATCAAACGGAAACCGGTATAACCCCTTTGCCAAGCGGAGGAGGGAGCCCCCCCTCATCTCGACGGGCGAGCAATTGATCCGGGAAATGACAGTAAAACAATATGCGCTGGCGTCGGGACTTTCGCGGACGGCCAAATGACTTCAAAAAGGGCACGCAGGCCGGTAACTGGTCCACGATGAAAATATCGTCTCGAACTTCGTCGTCGGTGGTGGTGGTGGTCTCCGAGCTTCCCCTCGTGCCAAGCTCGCCCAGTAGCGAAACGGTCAGGTGTAGTTGACGCAGGGCAGCCATGAGGATATGAAGTCGGCCGCAGATATGGGCGGGGAAGATGGTGTTGCCGCGCACGCGGACGTCCAGCGTGCCATCGCGCGCCTCGTCGAAACAGTGCGTCTTATCGCGGTGGGAGGTGTAGATCGTTACGCGATGGCCTCGGTTCTGAAGGGCCAATGCAACATCGATGATAAGCCGCTCGGCTCCTCCAATGCCTAGATCCGGGTGGATAATTGTCACATTAGAGCGCTGAAGGCCCATGGTGAGTTATTTCGAGAGCTTGGAGCTTGGAGCTGCCGTTGCGACAAGCTTAAAGACACGTGGGGTATGGGGTACACGCATCATGTGATTGGAGTATCAATGTCGCAAAATATTTCACTTATCCGATTAGATGACTCGTGAATCCTAGGTACCAGCTAAATTGCAGCAGCCTAGCAGGTTTCGAACTGACCATAATATTGTGTCATCTTTTTCCTGAATGAGAACAACATTAGCCGCGACTACAGCAAACTCGGGCTCCAGGCAGAATGGATAATGTCCATGTCTAGAGAGGGCAGGCTTTCACAATGGACGATTGATTACCAGAAGCTCGTCGTGGCTCAGTTCTTCGAGCCACTGCCAAAAGCCCCCCAGAATTCATGTCACCAGTTCATCTTGCGCCATGTTGCTCAGACAAGGTAGTAGCTCAGTATCTGGATGGGACCTTGATGCGTGAGTTTCAGACTATGCATATTTGAAGTGTATTAATGAAGTCTTCTCTGTCTGCAGGGTTCGTGATAACTGAGATGCGTTTCTCTAAACTGTGGAATTTGAGGAATTTGGCAAAGTTCTGAAGCGAAAGCTGCATTGATCTGGCTTGCCTCGCCGTCGGCATCGTACTCATATGCTTAAAACAGTCCGTGTCGGTTGAGGAACCACGAGTTCGCCGAGATCTTGTCCATATCGATGCTCGAAAGAGCCTTTAGGGCGCAGAAATCAGATTCGGGGGATTGAACCCCGCGTAACATCCCAGCGATTTGCCAAATGCAACAGACCCTTGTCCTCGCTCACCAGTCATAGTCCAGAAGGCTATCAGAATAACTAAATGCTGTAAGGAAAGATGTGTTTTAGGCCCATGGTGTTTGCTATCAACTGCACCGTCTATTTGTTACCAGCCTCAAACCTGATTTGTTTGTGCCAGCTAATGCATGTTACAAGGGCCGTGATTATCCGACCACCACTGGTGAGGTGGTTACCAGCAAGATACACCACTCCCAGCTGGATACACCCATGCTACGCAGTCCTATCCACGCAGGGTACCCCGCCTTTGCCCGGGTAGCTTTGCATTGCTGCTTTTTCGCCCCATCTCTAGGTACCTCTCATGCCCGTATTGAAGTATAAAAACCTCAATCTTTTCCGGCCCCCCAACAATCAGTCCTGAAACAACACGACACTTCTGGACCTCTTCCATTGACTAGCAAGCTTCTATTCTGCAAGTCAACTCTTCTTCTACCCCCCAAGCGTTGTACAGTCGCTGTATTACCGAAGATGAACGGCCAAGCCTTGAACGTTGCCGATCCTGAGCAGCCTCATTTTGCCATTCAAGGACAACCTCCCTGCCGCTACTGTGATAGAAGTACCGTTTAAGTTACGTACTTCCAACGAACGAGAATGGCAACGGTCATCGTCCATACTACCACTGCCCAGGATGCGGAGAATTCTCCTGCTTCGGGGATATGCGAGGTATATTGGCGGAAAATCCCACATGCGCTTGTGGCGGCGGAATGCAGTTCAGCAGACGTGGCATATCAGGTCAGGGTCCAGGGGGCGGAAGAGCTGGTCCCCCGCGGTCAATATTCTATCGATGCGCCACAGGGGGGTGTGACGTCTTCGAGTATATGTTGGACGACCAGGGCAAAATTGCGATTTATGCTGGTCCGGTCACGAGACATGCTTTGATAGCTGCGGGATTCTGAGGGATTCCGAAGGAATCATTCCTATATGAGGTACACTCTGCTGCTCTTTTATCTCGCATATGCTCGGTGAGGTGGAAAGACAGCCGTTTCTGGCCTCAAAAGCTGTCATTATCGGCACCAAGCCCACTCGTCCTCATATTCCAGTTGGAAACAGACTAATTGGATTTTGTCCACTACCGCCCCAAGGGAGTGTGATAGTAGCTAATCCCGACGATCCACAAGGTCCACAACGAGTAGAAGAGCAGTACCATTTGTACGAAACCTGCAACTCTATTAACGAGCGAAAGCTCCGGATGGAACTTAGACTGGAAGAAGAAGACGAACGCCGAATTGATCCCCGTCGATTGCGCGCAAAGGTCTGTACAGCATTGAAGAATTTACAGTGAGGAAAATCGAAAATCAGCAATGGATAATAATAGACATCTACAGTCATGAGGGCTTGTTTCATGAGTGCGATAGATCAAGAATATGTGACAGACGGGGTAAAAATGGGGGGAAATTTGGGCTATGGCACAAGGTATTGACGGCAGTGGAAAGTGACAAACGTAAAAGCTCATAATACAAGGAAAGCGGCAGGGAAAATGGGGAATCCGAAGAAAAAAGGGGGTATGGAACAAGAGACGAACGAAAGAGAAAGATAAAAATAAAATAATAATAGAAGAAGTCACAGAGAAGGAAAAAGTGTACAGCAAAAGAAGTGAGAATGCAACGATCGCTTTTGATGAGCGCTCAAGCAAGGTCAAGTCAGAAATGCCTAGAAGCAGTTGAGGGTGCTCTTCTTCTTCTTCTTGTTCAGAGCCGCCATGCGTTCTTCGAGCTGGGCGCGCGCGGCCTCGGCTTCGCGGCGAGCACTGCGCTCTTCTTCGACGGCTTGTAGGGACAGACGAGCAGAGCTGCGCTCCTTGCGGAGGGACGCGAGTTCGTCCTCGAATCCCCAGGACTTTTTCTTCCAGGCTTCGCATTCGCTCTTGAGCTTGTTGCTCTGGGCCTCGAGATCGCTAAGCGCCTCTTCCAGGGTCGCGGTCAGCTGTTTCTCGGCGTATAGGTGTTTCTCGATAGTTCGAATTCGGGCTTCTTGGTCTTCGACCATCTGCACGCTGGATAGCTCTTTGCTGGCGTGGCGAGAGCTGGGCGGGGACACGCTGGAGGAGCCGTTTGAGTGTGAGGCGATGGTGGGGAGGGGAGGAAGAGGGATTGCCGGTGGAGGCGAAGGGAGAGATGCGGCGGAAGAGCTCTTGCGGAGGTTGGATGTGAGGGAGCTGCTGCGGTCGTGGGAGCCATCGGCATTTCCGCTATTCTTGATTTGGAGCTCAAGCTGCTCGATCCGCAGTTGGTAAGTCTGGATGTCGCTTTCGTAAACCACGATCTTCGCCTTGGCTTCTTCCAAAGCTTGATCACGCTCCTGCTGAATGACAGACAGACGGTTGTGGTGTTGGTCGAAGCTGTTGGTTATCTGTTCCTCAAGCTCTTCCACGAGACGCACGCTCTTCTGCTTTTCAAGGGTAATTTCCTCAACAAGCGCTTCCTTCTTCTTAACTTGTTCGTCCTTCTGGCGAAGAGTGTCCTCCAGTGTAGCCACCAAGAGAGCCAGCTCATTAACCTTGGCGTCCTGGATGTCGTGCTTCTTGGTGAGTTCGTCGAAACGGCTCTCAGAGTCCCTGTTAGCCTCCAGCTGCTGACGGAGATCCTCATTGGTGGTCATGAGCTCAGCATATTTGTCAGAGAAGTGCTGCTTCTGAGCAAGGACATCCTGGATCTGATCCGGCAGGCTCTCGGCGGACACCTCGGAGTTGAGAAGCGTCGACACGGCCTTGAGCAGCTTAACCAACTCGTCGCGAGACTCCGCAATCTCCTTCTGCAAAGCAGCCATGGATTTCTCATGTTCGGCCTCCTTCTCGACGAGGCGAGCATCATGCTCGGCCTGGGCAGCGGCCTTAGTACGCTCCTCTAACTCGGCCAATTCACGAAGGTGGGACTCCTGGAGCGTTTGCAACCCAGTCTGGTGAGAATCAACAGCCGATTTGTGGGTGGAGATTTCCTGCTCAAGCTCAGCCATCCGGGAGGAAAGACCCAAGTCAACAGCGCCGGCATTGGTGGCTTCCTCGGTGGTGGTCTGAGTAGCCAGTTGATCCTGGGCATCGGAGTGAGACTTCTCTAGAGCAGCGATTGTGGCAAGCTGAGCAGCGATAGTAGACCTATGCTCTTCGATGTCCTTCTTCAGGCTATCCACAAGATCCTTCTGCTCGACACGGTCACCCTCAAGTTCACGAGCGGTTACTTCTTTCTCAGTAGAGTCATCTCCAGTAGCAGCACGCTCAGACCGCATAGCCTCAACCGTAGCCAAAGCACTCTCCAGCTCCGCGAGGGTGGTAGTGAGCTGTGACTCGGAAGCCTGCAAGGACTGCAGAGCACTCTGGTGCTTACCCTGCCACTCGTTAAGCTCACCCTGGAGAGCACCAATCTTCTTGTCCTGCTCTTCGGCACCGGCATCCATTGCCCGAGTGGCGCTTTCCTGGGACTTCAACAGACCCTTCAAGGTCTCAATCTCGGCCAACAGCTCCTTTTGGCGGCTTTCATAGGCCGCATGAAGGTCGTTGATCTGCCTCTCCTGGGAAATAACCTGATCGCGCAATTGTGACACCAGAGCCATGTCTACAGGCGAAACACCCTGCAAACTGGACCGTTCTCTCGTCAGGCCAGAGATGATGGTCGCTTTCATCTCCATCTCTTTCTTGACACTCTGGTTCTCAGCTTCGAGGGATTGGAGACGCTCCATACGGCTTTGCAATTCGTGCATGGTTTGATCCAGATGGTAGTCAAAGTTGTGCATAGCGTCCGGCTTATCAGCGAACTCCTCGGATGCAAGGAGTCGGAGGCCGGTAAGGGCGCGGGTAGCACGATCAACTCCTGACAGAAGGTTCTGGCTAGTCATGCGTCGGATCATCTTGAAGCCGGGAGTCGTAGGGGGTGAGCTCGACTTCTGGCGCTGGGCCTCGGCCTTGAGCTTCTCGACCAGTACGAGAATCTCTTCGTGCTCGGTTTGCAACTCCGTATACTTCTGGGCCATTAACTCAGCACTCTCCTGGTGCTCGGCGAGCATTTTGCGCATATTCTCCGACTCTTCGGGGTCCACTGGGCCTGCAGACATCACCTGCGGGGTTGAGGGTGCGGATGACATAGCCTTTGATCCGTACTCAGAGGATTCGCGCAAAGTGGATGGCTCCCCGGCCGAGGATAATTCCGAAGAGAGTGATTGCGAGAATGAGTGTTGTGCTCCAGACTTCGTAGTCGGAGTGCCTCCATTTTCTAAAAAAGACACCGGACGCGGCGTGACCTCGTTTTGAGCATCGTTTGCCGAGTGGCGCGCTTCGTCAATCTTGTCTTGGCGAAGCTCAGCAAGAGCCTTGAGAGCCTCCTCGTACTTGGATTCGAGAACCTCGAAGTCACCGATGGTGTTTTCGTGCTGCATACGCAGGTCGAATAGCTCCTGGGTGACAGTCTCGAGCTTATCGGCGACGAACTTGGACTGAGCAGGGCTTGAGGTGGGCTCCTCACGCAGCGCCTCGGAGCGACGTGCCTCTAGCCTGCTGGTCGCCGTCTCCAAAACCTTTAGGTCCTCACCCGACTCGTGCTCGGATTGCTCCGCGGACTCGTGCTCGTCCTCCATGATAGGGTCGATGAGATCCTCATCCGATTCCGGAATGGCTGTCTCAACTGCTTCGCTGAGAACATCCAGGGATGGCGTGTGTCTATGCGAGATCGACATACCCCTGGTCTTGTTATAGTGGGCGCGGTCAATGCCGTTGGCACCTTCGCGCCCATCAAGCTCATTGAGCAGATGGTCGAGCTGTCCGAGACCTCGCTGGCGCTCAATGACGTGTTCCAAACGCATCACCTCGCGCTGCATAAGCTCCATGTCCTGCTCACCCTCCGCGAGACGTTCTTCAAGCGTAGAAATATACTCCTCGCAGCTGGCTTCGCTATCACGGGCTCGGCTCAACTCCTTGCGTAGCTCAGCCACAATGGCAGCATGCTTTTCCTCGCCCGTAGTCTGCCCGTCAAGTTTAGATTCCAGTTCGCGCAGGTAGGTATCAGTGTTGGCCTCCCGGTCGAGCAACTTTTGTACACGGGCCTGGAGCTGTTCTTTGGTCGTCTCCACATAAGCAAATTTGGTTTCGCGTTCGAGCAGATCACTCTCAGTGGCGGACAGCGAGGCCCGCGTGTCAGAAAGGGAAGACTCCAATGTCTGGATAGTTTTCTCGTACTCCAGAACCATCTGCTCAACGGACTCGGCGAAGGACTTGGACCGCTGCATTCTCTCCACGGACTCCTGCCCAATCTCGGAGGTAACCTGGTCCGCTTCGCCATTGGTGGCAGGCCCATCGGAATCATTGGCCATATTCGAGATAAGCTTGGCATGACGCTGGCTGAGAGAGTTATAGCTTTCTTGGATATCTAATAGCTGGTTCTGCAGGTGCTTTTCACGTTCGTTCTTGCGTTCACTTCGCTCAGTGGATCGTTCTTCACGTCGTTCGTTGCCTTCACTGTTGCGAATCTGTTGGCGCAGGAATGACACCTCGGCCTTGAGCCGGTCAATCACAGCCTGCTTGTCGCCGTCATCTGCGATTTGCTGGATGCGGGGTTTGCTCTGAATTGCTCTGGCCCGCTGGGCATACGAGATCGTATTCAAAGTTTCGCTCAGGTGGAACTCGGCGGGAGTCACACAGGCAATCATGTATGTATACGCGTTTCCGCCAAGGGAGTCCTGGAGGAGTCGGGTAAGCTTGGAGTCTCGGTAGGAGACGTGAGAGCCCTGTTGGCGTGAGGAGAGTTGCGAGATGACTTTGCCGAGCGCGGCCAAACCCGCATTGATCGAGATACCCTCCCTGGCGCGTTCTCCAGAGGCGCCTGTGTTCTTCAATCGCTCGCTACCCGCCAGATCGACGAAGTGCAGCTTGCTGTCAACCGTGACGGTTTCTCCGGCGTTGAACGAGTCCACCGGCATCGACATGCGCTTCTCCCTCATCGGGGTCGAGGGCGCTTGATTTGGCGCAGCTTTGCGCTGGACGAGGTTTAAGCTGAAAACGGCATGCGACCGAGATGACTTGGCGTTGATGGCCGTAGAATCTGTTTGTCGGATGGCAGAGCCAAAGTTCAGGGCGCCGATGAGATCCTCAAAGGAGTTTATGTTAACTTGGTGCAGTCCGGTCAAAATAATGCGGCCCCTGGGATCCTCGCGGATAGACACGACGTTGCGATCCGTTGCAGCAGTCGACTCGGGTAGCAGTAAATCTCTCAATTGTTCGTTATAGATCTGTAGGACGGGTCAGAAAAATGAAACACCAGCAAATCGGGTTGAGAGATGAAAAGCGCACCTCCACATAGGTAGCCTTCAACTGCCAAGTCTTCTCTTTCTCCTGGTTCAGCTTTCCAAAGCTTGAGGCGGAACTCATTGAATATCGTTGAGGTGTTCGAAGCCCAGTGGTCGAACCATTTCGCATGTGTTTTGAGGGACCGTCTAATTTATCGAACAAAGCCTGCGCAGCACGGGAGATGATACCTAAATCGCACATCCCCACAGTTAGTTCCGAAGTAGCATGGTCCATCAGCATCTTTCAAACTCACCCATGTCCTGCACTTTCTCCTGCTCATTTGGGCCCGAGGTACCCATGGTGAAAGACTTTCCCGCCCCGGACTGGCCATACGCCATAATCGACACATTGTAGCCCTGCAGAAACGAGTTGACACTTTCACTGACATATTCCCACACCCCCTCCTGCTCGGTCGTCTCGGGGAAAACACGATCGAATACGAATAACTTTTGGCCCGTGGGGGATGTATCGACAGTAAGACTGGTTGGCGCGGTGACATGAACCATGGATCGCTGGAATCGCTGGGGGATCAATTCGTAGCCCGGGTCGGTCGGTTTCAGTGGTGGTCGTACACGGACAGCTGCACGACGGTCAGTTGTAAACTCGCTGGTTGCCGGCTGCTTTGTTGCAGGTACCGGGTAATCCATGTGAAATCCTGGGAGATAATTAGAGGGGACAGGATAAGAATCCACATACCGACTTTGACTGCAGTCTTGCCATCCTCGTCCGATGCACGACTTCCACCTTGTCTGCTGCTCATGCTTAGGCGACTGGTACTACGCGGAGTGCGCATTATCCCGCTCATGGGTCGCGCGGGCGTGCCCGTTGGCGAAGCCGGCGGTGACATGGTCATCTCTTCTCCCCAAGAGACCACACCAGGTGGAAATAAAATAGAAGAAATTGAAACGATGCTAATCAATAGCAGGCGTAATCATGAGGCGCAGAATAGGAATAGGAGATGTCTGGAATGTGGAGAGTAAAGTGTCAGTGCCCCTTAATTCTTTTTTTTTGGATGATTTTCTTGTGTTGAACACGTTAACACGTTGAAATGTCAACATAACACAAACATTCGTACCTTTTGGTGACTCCCCAGATCTGGAACAACTTGTGCAGGGGAAAAGTAGGGAGGTAAAATAAATCATCAGAAAGACGCAGGTCTGGAGAAATTGACACCGTGCACTGGCCAAGAATAGTTTAGCGTCTTAAGATTAATTCTTCCTTTATTTTCAGGGGCATCGACTTTGGCGTCAACTTTGACATTTTTCCCCACGCTGTCTACCAGGGTTCACCATATCTCCCACGAAGTATAATCTAGTTAGGTCCGGAGTAGGAATCTGGTTTTCTTTTTCTTTCTTCTTTATTTCTCCCATACGTATGGGGATGCTGAAGAATGTCCCCCTTTCATAAATACTCCGGACACATGGTTCACTAGCGTTCGGCCTTACATCGTACATGGACATCCGTCTCGCGGTTCATCTTCGGGACTATGTGAACTAACTCATAAACCATGCCACTCTCACCTCTCTCCCCCCACATCTACTCCTTATCCTAAATTAAAGGTACGAACCAAGGAACGTATCAAAAACCTTAAGGTCTAAGGATTCGTTTCAGGTGTTAGGAGTACTTTTAGCTTATCCGTTTAGTTCGGGGCGAAAAGAACAAAAGAGGGAAAAGAAAAAAGAAAACCTATCTGAGGTGCTTGTTTCTTCTACGAACTCATAAGAACCAGCCACCTCATGGACTCCGAATGCCGATCACTGCCGTTCACTTCCTGACGGGGTCTAATCAGGCCAAGGACGGGCCAGCCAGGCCAATCTGGTCAACTTCTCCTCGAACCGAGACCCACAACTTTTACCGATAGGAGTCCGGCCCAGATGTTCGAGGACCTGGGTCGATGTCCACTCTCTCCAGAAATTTCCATATCGAGTCCCAAATCCAATCCACCTTCAATCGATATCGAAATATGGAGTACTCTGTACCTGTGCGGCAATAGCCTCATCGATCCCGAATCTGAGGTATCCCAATCTTCTTTTTGTCACGTGGAAACCGGAGACTTTGATGATGCAGAATGTCAAATCTCTGTCAGTTTGACTTTTGGGGAATTGACAAGGTGGTCCACTCACAAAAACCGTTGAAGGATCGCCGATTCTGGGGCATAATCTTTCTTGGTTCATATGCAAGAGCCCGTTGCTTATCCCATTGCTTATTGCCCCGTAGCAGGACTATCACACCGTGCCTATATATTACAAAAAGTGAACAGGACATGTGCACAGTATTTTTTCAAATAATATCAACAAAAATCATCTGTCCGGGCAGTTGTTAGTATCCCCACTTGTGGGTGCCGAGTTCCAGACGCGTGTTTAGCGAGCCTCCCGTCAACTGGCAAACCTCTAGCCAACTGGCAAGGCTATCCCTACGACCTACCTTATCAAACCAAGTTAATGTTATTTGCCTCGTGGACTGAATTGAATTTTATCATGTCATTTGAAGCATATCGCAGGGCGAATATCATCAGAATCCTCGCTCCCCGAACCCATATCCCTTCACAGTTCATGAGTGTCCTCGCCAATGCTCAACGGACCCTTCTTCACCATAATCGTCAGAACCTCATACAGAACATCAGCAGCAGCCCTGCAAGAATTCAAGTGTCAGTCAAATCTCTTTCGATCAGATTCATAAGTCTCAAGGGCGGCACATACATCGTCGACAATTCCGCATTGGTATCGTAAGCCGGAGCCACCTCGACAATATCGGCACCAATGAAGTTAATCCCATCAAGGCCACGAATGATGGTTCGAAGTTCGCGTGTGGACCAGCCTCCAGTCTCTGGTGTTCCCGTAGCGGGGGCGACTAGAGTAACAAAGTCAGTATATATATTCGACAAGCTCGCAACTAGGTACCTCCGCAGAATACTTACAAGCAGGATCCAAGGTATCGATATCAATTGAGAGATAGACAGGGTTCTCAGTTCCAACTCGGTCGCGGATTTTCTTGATAATGCCATCGGTTCCTAATCACAGCACGCATGTGTTTAGCAGGGGAACATCACCAGACGACGCGTACCACCCGGATAGATCATAGGTACCAATTGTATCAATCTCACGAGCTTCGACAATCTCAAAGCCACAGTATCCATCGTTCTCATAGTCCGATGGGCCAGACAGTGTCGTGCGGATACCGGCGTGAATATTGGTGTCGTTCCTCAGCAGGCCCTCCATCGCAGCGTGGTAGAAGTATGTGCCGTGATTGATAGCAGCAACCTTGCTAGGGGAGCCTCCGAAGACCTTAGGCTTCCACGAATCCCTAGTAAGTCAGTAGTCAGCCCCAAATGCGTTCCGAGTCGCAGCAAATGCATGGATCCTCACAAATGACTATCGAAATGAATAACCGTCACTGGCCCGTAGGCTTTATTGATACTCCGCAGCAGGGGCAGGGTGATCGTGTGATCACCACCGAGGGTAATAACCCGAGGAAGAGTCTTGCCAGCGCGTGACAGACCAAGCTTATCAGCGTCGGTATAAGGCTTGCGCATCAAGACGCTGTTGTGTCCTTCCTCGATCTGCTGGATGGCCCAAGCATTATCGTATCTATACCGGTTTGCGATGGTCAGCTGAGCAGCTCCGCACATTCTTTTGCACTTGTTGTGTTCGGAGTCAGCTTATGTCCTGCGACTTACGAAGTGACCGGGACATCGCCACAATCCAGAATTCTCATATCGCTAACGAACGGGTTCGCCTGTAGGGGGACATTGTAGCCACCGCTGAAGGCCAATTTGCGTGAGCCTTTTTTCGTTTGAACGATGGCATAAGCTTTATGTTCATCAAGGGGAAATACACACTAGAGATTCAGGCGGCGAGAACCTTGTCTGATTCCGCTGGGACCGAAGCGGGCTCCGGGTCTGTAGGAGGTACCGGTGTCGAAGGGGGCACCTGGTTGAATCAAGACAAACTGGTCAGATATATGCTTTTGAAATCGCTACTCTTGAATGTCGACTTACCTAGGAACGCGATATCATACTTCTCGGCATCACTGGCCAGACATGGGAAATAGGGCAGGCGACCGAAAGTTGAGATCCCGGAGAATACGGAGTCGGCCTGGACTTCCAGTTAGAAATTGCAGAAGAACGGTATGAATACAAAAGAGGCTGGACGATATTCTCACCTGAGTGCCACCATCACCAGGCAGTGTGTTGTACCAAATTCCTTGGTGAGGACCAGCAAGTTGGGACTGACTGCTGTGGTCACCATGAGCCGAAGCGATAACAGAAAGAGCAAGCAAGCCCACGAGTGAAGAGATCATTTTCACTGTCAAGATTGAATGTAAGATGGTCGATATGACAGGAACGAGGACTTCTTTGACGCTTTATGTATGTCATGCACTGCAGAATGATCATCGATATCTAGATTTGTGCATTGTAACCAGTGGGCCGGGTATTCGATGCACCTGCACATAATGATGACACAAATTCTCCTGACATTGCCTAAATCCAGACACGATTGGCAACATAGCTCCAACTGCATAGTCTGGGTCCGGTTTGGAGAAGATGTTGGAGGCAAGATTGCTGCGGCGATGCATCTACTCCGAGCTCTCTAGTAGCCTTCCTTTCTGGGTGTTTGCAGTAGTGCCTATGGCTGGTAATAACTGGGGAGCATAGATATGCTACAACGGTGCATCATGCAAGTCATAATGTACGTCGATCCCAAAAGGGAAAACCGGGGGAGAAGTCTATATATGGGAAGTAAGGTTGAAGTCTGAAGATGATAGGCAATGGCAAAGATAATAGGAACATTTTAGTCAAATTTTGATAGCCATACTATGGGCGACGAATCGCACCACTACGACATAACCCCTATTACGGTTCACCGCCCTAATCACCGCCTGTATGATTATCGTTTCGGGTCTGTATGTAATATGAGGCACATGGCCCGAACTGCGTATGGCATCTTGATGGACATATGAAGCTATCATGCTATGTAACTTTGGAATTGACATCTATGCTGCCATTGACGGATATCCGATATTCTCCGTTGCCGTTTACGTCCCATGGATCTACGTTGGGTTCACTGGCGGTACGGCAAACGAGTTTCTAGCCTAATCCCTTAAAACCATTAGTGCAAGCTTCTACCTCGAGCTATTCGCTCTGAGTCCTCAACTGGTTGCTCAACTAAGCCTACTAAGGTTACAGTCTTGTATGGGTTCTTGGCCCGCTGTGTAGCCTTCTGTGTGGCCGCCCCTGCCTCTTGTTCATGTACAGGCCTAAAGAGGAGAGTGCAGGGGGCATAAGGGGAGTGGATATCGGCTCAGGTATGACCGTATGACCTCCTCAGCAAGGGTATCAACCTTCTTCTTGATGGCCGCTGTTTTAGTTGCAGGGGCAGGTCTCTTTCCTGCCTTTCTCGCTGAGCCAGAAGGTGCCTACCTCCGAAAAATGAGATGAACGAGGAATTCATTGCTCTGGGTATTCTGGTTGAATGAAGAGCAGAAATCCCGTACAGCACTGATCATGTGACTTGTCATTGGACGGTGAGATCAGTTTAGCACGTGTATTGGCCATGATTCCGCAGGCGCGGATCAGCCGATCACCTGCCTGCGCCTGCCATCTTTCTGGTACTCCGGCCATATCAGGAGTTCGTCTCATTGGGGAGTGATTCCTTTGTCGGCCCGACTCGGTCTCCAATATCCCGCTGGATACGGGCACCCAGTCGGACCGTCGTAGACCTTTGCAGTGGGCTAGGTATGGCCCCGGCCGTATACGGTATGGGCCCCCAATAAAGCCCATACATATAACCTGTCACCCCGACTCACCAGTATTGGCGCCCATAAACCAATCATTAATGCGTGGTAAAAAAACAGGCGCTGTTTTTTACGCATGTTCTGTAAGACTATACAATACAACATCGGCCCGACGTTTTACCAGACCTAGATTGGCAGTTCAACTCCCTAGGCATTAATATCTCAAGATTAAACGCCCAGGAGCTGGTAATGAAGGTCATAGATAAAACCAGCTACACCGAACACTGCAGTCTACCAAGGTTATGGAAAGAAAATGTCAATTTCATCAACATTCCGTAGTATTCTGGCACTTGGAGAATTAGCAAGTGTCAACATGTGGAAATATATATTTCACGTATACAGAAGTAGGTGCATCTTTCTGTTGAAGTATCGGGCACGTATGACAATTTTGATAGCCAACTTCATGATTTGTAGGTTAACAGCATTGAAAATTATATCAAAAGATAGCTAATCTTTTACTGTTTATACCTACACCCACAGAAATGGGATACTCTAGCTACTCTGGAGGTGAGAGAGGGTTAAAGACCTCCCATGAGCCATGGGGTGAATGTCTTGGCGAACAATTTGGCGGGGAGATGGGGAGATGGCCCGGGGGTTCCACCCACTTACTCAGGCCAACTTCCTCCACCAGCTCACTTTACAGAAGGGCAAAGCACAGTGCTAGGAGAGGGAGGCAGTCAATTAGCTATATACCCATTTACTACTTTAACACCATTAAATCGATATGTGTTTCTATCTGTTTTATTGCAACCAATGAGGGGTGATACCACCTTGGAACAATACCATGGTAACCTTCCTAATGTTCTGCCGGGCAGAAAAGGGTTATGTCGTAGTGGTCCGATTCGTCGCCCATAGATAGCCTTGGAGACAGGCATAGGGCTTATCCAGTGTCGCTCATTGGCGAATTTGACTTGGTTAGTAGCCTTGATCAGGTGATCGACGTCCGAACACCGGAGTACATGTATGATGTAGCAGCTAGCTAGCTACGGAGTATAACGGTCATTGAGCTGTTTCTCTCTCGTTAGTGTTGCACTTATGTTACTGTTTGAGAGTATTGTAGTTATGTGTTGAGCTGTGCGTCTGGATAACTTGGGTTTGTGTTTGGGTCCAGGTGGGTAGGTCGCCACTCGCCAGTTGGCGACGTGCTTAGGGCTTAGTACATTTGAACAGCAACCTACCCTAAGAAGTTACTGTGTAAACAAAAGTTGAACAGGCAGTGGATCAAGTTCTATAGGCATAGCCCGGCAAATAAATCTGACGGAGAAAGTTGAACGAGTGCGGGCTCTATCCTGGCGGATCCGCTACTCTTCACCACCAGCCTCCAAACACTCATGCACATCCATCCGCAGGAACGCCTTTCGAACCTCCACATCCCACTGGCTGCGAGCAACAATAACCCACTCCAGAATGCCCACCAAGTACAAAGCAATACACTGACCAACCCACAGCCCCTGTAGTCCCCAACCATGAAACGCAAGCCAAATACCCAATGGCAAAGCACCGCAGTAATAACTCACCAAATTGACAAAAGCCCCAACATGCTGCCGTCCCATGCCTCGCAAACTACCCCCACAACTCCCATTGAGTCCATCTGCAATCTGGAAAAGCGCCACATACGGCAACACCTCAGCAGTAAGCCGCACAACGCTCACATCATCATTGAAGATCTTCGCAAAGTGATCTCGCGTCCCAATAAGAACAGCCAGCACCACCCCGCCGAAGCACATGCTCAGCATGGCAGAGGTATGCGCAGCCCGGGCCGCTCCAGCACTGTCCCTACTGCCGAGCAGATTGCCGATACGAGCGGACGTTGCCACTCCAATGCCGAATGGGATCGTGTTGAGGACTTGGTCGGCTGTCATGATGACACTTTGCGCAGCAAGAGAGACTGTTCCTAGTCTGCCGGCTGCTAGAGCCACAATCTCAAAAGCCCACCATTCTGTGCCGACGTGTACAACACCGAGGAGGGCGAGTCTGGCGAAGGTGCGGAGGTTTTGGAATGCCTCGCGTGACCAACCACCCCAGCACTGCCAGCCGTTGATAAACCGTGCATAGAGGACGAGCAGGGCAAAGGATAGCCAGTAGCAGAGGCCTGTTGCTAGGGGGACTCCTAGGAGTCCGATCCCGAATGTGTAACAGAATAGGTAGGTGAGTGCGGCGTTGAGGGGTGATGTTATTAGCAAAACGTATGTGCCGGCTCGCATGATTCCTGCAATTTGCGCTTAGAACATTGCGGTCACAATGAGTGGATGAAACAATCACATACCTTGAGCCTGCAAGTACTTCTTCATAACCTCAAAATAAATGTACCCCAATCCACCAGGAATCAAACACGTCAAGAACCTCGCGCTATCATGCGAAAGCTGTGGATCCTGGCCAAGGAAGAGAAATACCGGCTCAGAGCAGGCCCACAGGATAGCAACGGGGATATAGAAGAGACCCAGCACCAGCAACCCGCGCTGAAGCAAGATTCCCAGGTCATGTTTGTTGGCACTCCCCGTAAAGGAGGATGAAGCAAGTGTATCCAAGGCTGTTGTACCGCCCAATGCAATCATCCATGCGGTGACCATCGCGAACATCTGCGAAAATGCACTCGCCGCTAAGTTCTGTGGCGATGAGCGACCGATTATCATCACGGACACAGTCTGCAGGCTGTTTTGCAGAGTGTATGCCATGATCACCGGGATTGAGTCTCTGAGGAGTAGCCAGAACTCGGTCCAAACCAAGCGTCGTGAGAATGGATCTTCTTCTTCGTTTCGTGCTGAGATCTCGTTCCTTGCTGGGACATCGTCGATAGGCTTGGAGAGCAGTGAAGTATACTCGTCTGGTGGAGAGTGGTTTGGTAGACTGTCATGGCTGCGGGGGTCAAGCATGATGTTCAAGCGATCAGAGGCGGTTTTCTCTTTGTGTCAATGTCTAGGTCTGGATAGTCTGATTTACTGAAGTGTCGTAGGTGATATGGTGGTCCTTCCATACGTTTAAGTGGATGTATACCTAGTATCTGATTCAATTGATCATTTGCTCGGGTGTTGTATTTTTCTCCACTGCTTCGACTATTCTATCGTTTTTCGCAAGGTAAGATATACGACATAGTGCGTCGAGTCCGATCTCGGCTTCCGGCCAGTCACTGTGGATGACTTGATATGCGACGATTGATCGTGCTGGAGCCACGTTTCGATGGCTTCTGTTCATGCAATTCGGAGCAAAATACAACGGCCTAGTCTAAGCCTCCGGAACGATGTCAACAGTACTTTTGTTTAGCGTCTGATGTCCTTATCAGCAGCAGTGGAGAAGGAGGGGCATCGGCCTTCTCCAGGCTTTACCTGAAAATGGAAGTTCACTAGAGTTAAGCGTTCCCTGGCAGTTGGGGTAAGAGATCCATCAAGATGATAAGATTCAATAGTGGCGTCGATAGATATCTTGAATAGCTTCTGTCATTATGGTGACTGTTGCCAATGAACTCGTTACCTATCGTCTTACTCCAATTGCTGATATGACCAAGGTGTACCGCGGAGATGGCGAGATCCCATGCAGACATTATTCAAGATGAACGATTATCCAGTCTATTCTTCTGGTTCCATCTCCAGAGGAGATATAATTGCCAAAGTCCGGTGTGGTCAATATTCATAGGTCGTATCCCCGGCGTGGAGGACAACGTACTAGAACCCCGGAGATCCCCCCGCGGTGAACGTAGCGCCTCAGGTCCCAGATGTAATAGCACTAGCACATCAACGGCTTATGTTAATGCTCATTCCATGTCCAATCCCTAATCGACTGCCCATCTTATCTTTAAGTCTTATCATCTCTCTGGATCGGTTGATTGGTGCATTTTGACGGATTTCCTTCTGTTGCGTTGATAACGACCGGACATTTTAGGAAATGATGATCGCGACGTCTATATACACAGTACAACATAGGATACAGATATTCAATAACCAGATGTTGATCTATAGTAGATGGATTGACATGGAACTACTTCATCTGTATTCTGGCTGCCCAACAAGTGTAGACAGTAGCGGTCCATAGGAAACTCATAACTACACCCAAATGATGAACATGTAGAATCTTACCTCCTAACAGTTTGACAAGTTTAGCTGAATCTACTGCTTAGCATTCTTTATGTGGCGTTTCAAACATGACATATACATCCTGCAAACTCAATTCAATGTATTGCTGATAAGCAAGCTTGAACTGCCCCTGCGTGAGAGACTACAGCAAGCCAATCGAATATCACTCGTTACATGTACCTTGAGCTTTCCAGTACAAATGGAGCCCTGATTCCTTCTGAGATACTCCTGACGAATATATGCCGACTAGGTATTGTCATACCTATATCAGAGTCATATACTAGCAGCCTCTGCTTTCCATGAACATGCCTTCAGCACACAACAAAACCGATACAATGACATCCTCAGCAACAGATATAAAAGAGAAAGAACAGTCCAGGGAGAAGGACAGCAGACACATTGGCTCCGATGATCAAGACAACCAAACACACACGTCCATGGCCCAGGGACAAATCCTCTACCATGCGGCTGTCGGTAAAAATGGAATCAGACTCCATCCACAGCCTACTGCAGATGCCTTGGATCCCTTGAACTGGTCGAGGCTCCAGAAGCACACTATATTGTCTATTGTCATGTTCAAGTACGTACCGCTGTAGTCCCAAGAGCCACCTTTTATCCCAAGTCGCTTCGCACTTCACTTGACAAGGGCAAAATGACACTGCTAGCTTACTAACGCATCATCTTCCTTTGGCAATAGATATTTCTTGTTCACATATCTCACAACCACTACGGTACCGTCATTCCCAGAAATTCAAGACCAATACAAGATCAACTATTCGCAAGTCAACTGGACAGTTGCTGTGCCAGCGTTAGGGCTCACCGTCGGCCCACTCATCTGGTCATCGCTTGGTGATATATACGGTCGTCGATTAATATTCTTGATCGGAACGACCATAGCATTGGCCTCAACGGTCGGTGCTGCTACCGCTGGCAACTATTCAAGCTATATGGCTGCCCGTTTCTTTCAAGGCTTTGGAGTGAGCCCAGCATCGACCGTTGGAATGGCTATCGGTACGTCTGCGCGATATCTTCCCAGCAAAATGCATATCTGACGTCGAATTCTACCCAGTAAATGATCTATTCTTCGATTATGAGCGAGGCCAGAAGCTCGGTCTCTGGGTTTTAGCATTGGATTCCGGATTGCTTCTTGGTCCTACTTGTGAGCATCCCCTAGTTCTTCCATTTTCACACCAACGAACCAAATCCTAAAACCAATCTTCCATAGTCGGTGGCTTTTTGGACCTCATCAACGCCGCATGGATCAATTGGTTCAATGCAATTCTCTTCGCCATCTTACTGCTCCTCGAACTCGCCTTCCTGCCCGAAACCCTTTACCCTCGAAACAAGATGCTGCAACAAATGCCTCGTCTACATGGACACAAAGCCCTCCCTACAGATATCGAAAAACAACCAATGGGTGAGGATATAGCTCTGCCTGCCCTTTCGCCGGTAGAGGCCTCACTGTCTGATCTACGGCGCACGAAACATCTCCCCTTCATCAATTGGCGTCCTATTCCCGGAATAACCCATCCCAAGCCTTGGGACTCACTTATTCGGTTTGCGTTGACCTTTCAGCTACCTACTGTTGCCATCACAGTGATCGGGTATAGTTTCGTTTGGTACTGGTGGGTTCTGTCGGTTATTACCATGGTACCCGCGGCATATCCAACATATTCACCTCTCATCCAAGGGCTGCTGTTTCTTGGATTACTCCTCGGGACTGTAGTATCGGAAGTTGCTTGTTCTGGTCGACTGAGTGACTATATAGTCAATAAACTGTCAAAGCGGAACGGCAACATTCGTGTGCCAGAGATGCGGCTGTGGTTGGCGTATCCAGCTATGCTGCTCACTACTAGTAAGTTACACATTCATTGGGAGATGGCATTGCTATGATTTCACTATGAATATGATGATGGTGGCTTACATCGTGATTTTTTACCTAGTTGGTTTAATTATCTGGGGTATCAGCATCGACCAAAATTATCACTGGATGGTCGGCCAGGTGGCATTCTTCTTGTGTATGTCCTACTCAGCAAATACGCGAAGATGAACATAAAGCTAACAGCTCCGAAAGTCGCCGCCGGTATCCAAATTGCCAACATGGTGACGAGCAGTTACGTCGTTGACTGTTACCCTTTGCAAACAACAAGTGTGATCACCTTCTACGCCGTTTTCCTCAATCTAAGTGCTTTCATCAACCCCGTATGTCCACCTACCTTGGGAAACCCTGCTTCCATATGGCACAATGAACTAACAGAAGCTGACTGGTTGCTGTGTGCAGTTCTTTATTGCTCCGTGGCAAGAGTCTTCCGGCTGGACTTGGACTTTCACTGTCCAGGGGATCATTGTGCTCGTTGGCGGTTGGCTAGTTTTTGGTGGCTTGCATAGATTCGGCGCCTGGATGCGCTCAAAGGGGCCGCAGCCGTCGTGGGTCAACCCAGAATTTGATATGGATCCTTGATACGGTAGGTTCCTTGTTCAGATTCGCCTGTCGGGGCATTTCCAACTGTATTTTGCTGCTATAAATTGTTATGAGCACTAGCTCAATGCTCTATTCCAGATGGACTACCTAAAGGGGAGTAGAAGATAACAGGCTCGGAAAGCTAGAGAAGAATTAGATTTGTAGATTAGTTACAGTACTCCATCGCTAAAGTATTGACAAAAATGTCTATATAACAAATGTGCCGAAACAGAACGGTATATGCGAGAGAAGCCAACAGGGGATTGCCCCGACGTTATGGAGAAATGCCAGCGATTAACCAAGAAATATTGATGCGACAAGGTGAGTGCAGTATAGTTCGTTCTCGAGTTCAAGCTCATTCGCTAGCTTTTACCTCAGCCTGGGTCTGAGACAGACTGGGAACGTTACCGCCCTTCAGGTAATCCTCAAGCTCACCGACCTGCTTGCCACCCTGAACCCAGCGTTCACGGTAGGCCTCACGTCGCTGATCAGCCAACGTGTTCAAGGCAGGCCAGTAAGTCGCGTGGTCGTATCGGAACTCGACATCACCACCGACGGACTTCATGAGATGGCTGGGCGGGACGTGTTGACGCAGGTCTTCATTGAACTTGAGCTTTTGCCGAGTATTCGGGTCAATGAAGGGTGTGATCAATTTGAAGAATCCCCAGATGACGAAGGGCACTGTGGCAGGAGGTTAGTGGCTTATCCTTGCAACCTTCCAGGACAGACAATCACTCACCATTGATGACCAGAGCCCGACCAAGTCTCTCGGGGTAATGATTCTGCAAAAAGCCAAGCGTCTGCTTAGCCTGACCGAGGCTGGCGTTCTGGCCGGACTTTGTCTCGTTGAAGTTGACCAAAAGGGCGACGGTCTCCTGACCAGGGCCCATGAGATCAATGGCGCGCTCCAGCATGAACACGAGGTGCTCGAGCTGGCGGTCACTTCTCTCCGTGTTCTGGTTGGAGGGCAAGAGGTAAAGGCAAGGCCGTCCGTGAATATCGTAACCCAAAAGGACCTGTTTGCCTGTCTCGTTCTCAATGGAGATATAGTCGGGTGTTATTTTCTTCAAATCATACTCGCGACGCCATGTGAGAGTACTCTGGAGCCGAGTCTCGGCCTCGGAGACGTTCCACTTGGTCGCGCGCAGGTAGCGCAGGAGACATTCGCGGGTTAGCCACATCTTTTCATCGTCGGTGATGGGAGACGTGGGCGCGTTCTTCTCCGCCTTGGTGGGAACCGTGGTCCATGATGAGACAGTTTTGAGAACGGCCTCGTACTTGGATTGTTGATCCGCAGTGAGTTCGGCGGGTGCTGCCGGCTTAGCAGATTCCAGGGGCTTAGGAAAAGGTTTCTGGATGAGACCATCTGCGGCAGACGTAGGAAGCTCGAGATCAATTGGCTTCGTGGTTAAAGTAGACTCGGCCGAGGCGCTGACGGGGGCCGATTCCGCCGATGCCTGTACGCTGGGATCGGGCACAACGCCGCCATTGGCGGATGCAGTAGCTTCTTGTTCGACGCTCGACATGATGGACTATGATCTGAGCCTCAGCTATACAATGGCATATGAAAATTCAAGGATTAGAGAATAGAATATGGGGGTGAGAACCAAATCAGGAACTTTTTATGATCGACACAGCTCCACTCCGATGCCAATGCTCGAATAATATTACTACTTTGGGCTGATTAGGTCAGCGACACGCTTTCACGCGTCTTTCGCGTGTCTGCACTTACAGCTCCGTTGCACTTCCAACACACCATCTCGCCACCATGGACGCCGAGGCAGAGCTCAACGAGCACTTTGCGGGCACATTCCCCGATGGAATTCCGAAGGATATCCTGACTGAGCTACTTTCCATGCTACGAATTCATTCGATCTCCGCGGAGGAGCTCTTCTACAAATGGGAATCATACAGCATAAAGATGGGCGATGGGGTGACCTTGAGCATGCAAACAGTGCGAGGCTTCAAACATGATATTCAAGAAGCTTTGGAGCGCGAAAGTCGCGACAAGATCGGCCGACACGCCGACAAACGAACAAACATGGGAACCCCGCGGGGCGCGGCTGCAGCCAGCGGCGATATGTTTGGGATGTTCGACCAATTGACACCAAATGCCTCGAACGTTCGAGCTGGTAATGGATTTGGATCAGCAAAGCGAAAGGCGGAATTCACCTCACCAGCTACGCCACGAGTCAGCAAGTTGGAAAAGCATGGACCACAAGCAGGCGCAAAGACGCCGACCGGAACACCTGGCGATGGAATGCAGTATGTTTATTCTGGAGTGTGTATAATACATCGGGGTGCTGATATGAAGGACAGACCAGTGCCATTCTCCGAACGACCGAACGCCGGCCAGACAGTAGAAACGCTCAATGCGCACCTCTCCTTACCGGAATCCCTAATGGCGCCGTTCCCCGAGTCGCGCATTAAGCCTACGGCGAATACGGATCTCAAGAAGTTCGGCTACAAACCTATGGGCATGAAGTTGTCAGAAGCCTCGGAGATTCTAGATGATCGCATCGATGAATTTGCAACGATATTCCAGGCACAATTCGATTCGGACGAAGTTACCTTCGACAGTGCAGCCATCCAGAGCACCAGCGAGATTATTGCTGTTGGGCGCATCGCTTCAGACAGTCTTGAAGGGAAACTGAACGCGGCTTCTCTTGTTCTTGAGACTTCGCGCCGGACCGGAGCCGGCAGACGAGTCCCCTTGAAGATGGACTCGGTACCTTCAGCAAACTTCTTTCCTGGCCAGATCGTAGCTCTCCGCGGGATCAACCCTTCTGGCGAATACTTTACCGTCAAGGAAGTGCTTCCAATTCCCCTGCTGCCGCCAGCAGCATCGTCAGCGGTGGCACTCGACAACATCAACGAGCGACTTCATGGCGATGTGAACTCACCACTTAATATCATGATGGCGGCCGGCCCCTACACATCGGATGACAACCTGGACTTCGAGCCACTGCAGGAGCTGTGCCAAAAGGCAGCTGATAACTACGCCGATGGGTTGGTGCTACTAGGGCCATTCTTAGATATTGAGCATCCGCTTCTTGTATCGGGTGATTTTGATCTGCCCGATATCAAGGGTATCGACCCTGACACAGCTACATTGTCTATAATATTTCGACACTGCATCTCAGCACCGATTGCACGACTTGCAGCGGCTGTCCCAAGTATCACAATCGTGATGGTTCCATCTGTTCGCGATGCCATCAGCCGACACGTCTCTTTGCCTCAGGAACAGCTCCTTAAGAAGGACCTGGGTCTGCCCAAGCAGGTCCGCATGGTCTCAAATCCTGTGACGCTATCCTTCAACGAATGCGTCATTGGCATGTGCTCACACGATGTGCTCTCCGATCTTCGTCGTGAGGAGGTCTTGCACGGTCGACCTGAGGAGGGCAACTTGCTCACTCGTCTGCCCAAATATCTCGTCGAGCAACGTCACTTCTTCCCTTTGTTCCCTCCCACAGGACGGGCAGGTCTTCCAAGGCCCGCGACCGAAGGTAGCATGGCTACAGGTGCCATGTTGGATCTCCCATATATGAAGCTAGGCGAGTGGTGGAATGTTCGACCCGATATTCTCATTGTGCCTAGTATGCTGCCGCCTTTCGTGAAGGTACGATATCCCACAAGTCATTTCTTCTACGTCTAACAAGGGTACTAACCTCGTTGCTTCTACAGGTCGTTGACAGTGTGCTAGTCATCAATCCAGGCACACTTTCGAAACGCCGCGCCGCAGGTTCATACGCCCAACTGGCTGTCCACCCCCGGGTGATCGCGGAGGATGAGCGCGAGCAAAAGCAGCTGGGCCACAAGCTGTACGAGCGGACTCGTGTCGATATCACTCGAATCTAAGGGCATGCATTCAGTATAATCATATCGCATTACGCGCGGCGTTACGGCTCGGGACAAGCTGGACCTGCAACCATTTGATATTGGCAATCATGGGAACAAAATCGCAAATGGAATGAATCAATGATCTTCAAAACATAGAATACAAGCATGCATCCAAACATGGGTATCATAATAAGGGGCTATCTACTCCGTAGCCCTCCATAAACAAAAGCCAATGCTCCAGTAACAGAACGCGACACACATAACATGCGTAGGTGCAAATGACGACGAGCAAGAAATATCATCCAGCCAGAACACCAAGAGCACATTTCCCAATCCTCACTCATCGCAAGGCAACAATTCTACGCCCACCCATCCTCCTTCCAGACTCCCTAACCCTCACAACCGGCGCCCCAGCAGCCGCCGCACCACTCCCACTAGCCCTCAGCGTAGCACCAGGCCCAGGAGTCGCAGCCGCCGCAGCACCACCCCCACCAGGACCAGTCCCCGACCCAAGATCAGGCCCATGTCCTTCGCCGCGAACTAGCGCCTCAAGACCCAGATCTCGCCAAATAGCAGTCCGTCTGCGCTCCATGGCACGGGCAATTCCGAACGCCGCATGCTGGTCTGGGACGACATCGTCCTCGTCTTCTGGGTTTGGGGGCTGGTGTTGGGGTGGGAGGTAAATGTCTTCGATGGGGAGGTAGGAGGGGATTGTGGCGGGAGAGGTTGAGCCGTAGGTTACGGCGTTTGCGCCCGCGTTGGTTGCTTCGCGGTTGGCGGCGGAGGAGTTGTGGGGGTCTGTTATTGAGTGGTTCGTTGTTGATGTGTGTGGGCGTGTGAATTCTTCAAAGTAGTTTGCTAACCGGGGCTGGTGCATGTGTAGGTATGTGGCGGAGGAGTCTTTGCTCTGTTCGTTGAGGGGTTAGTTTGAGGTTGCTCGGATGTTTAGGGATTGTGGGAGATTAGTACGGCGGGCTGCTTACCATCGTGGATGATGTTTTTGTTTCCTTGGTTTGAACTGGGGTTTGGTTGTGTTGTGGGTGCACGTGAGACTACCGTTTCGTCTCGTCTCAATGGAGTTGATGGTTGTTGATGGCAGAATGATAAGCTGGTGTTCACACCGCCTAAAAACACGAGAACTACGAGTCTACGACAATCCTATCCCAACTACTCCCACGCGTCGGTTAATTATGCGAGCATGTTTGTGACTTGGCAGTTAATTTAGGGCTCGGCACGAATGCATATTCGTCGTATTTTGAGTCATTCGCATTCGCGTTCGTGATTCACAGACAAGACGAATACCGTCATTCGTCAAGCCAATATTCGTGCGAATAATTGTGGACCTCGCCAAGACCGTCTCCAACCAATAAGAGAAAGTATATTGAAGTCTTCCAAGTTCCAGTCACTGGGATTATGGGTGGTCTGTGCTCACCACGGTAGTATATTGTCCACGTGACCAAAAACGACGAATATTCGTCGCATACACAAAACAATTCGCATTCGCGTTCGTCCTGCAAAATATCGACGATTACGAACGCGAATGACGAATATTCGTGACGAATACGAATTTATTCGGCATTCGTGCCGAGCTCTAGCAGTTATGTACTAAATATTTTAACCTGGTTTACCTGTGCTACTGGTCGCCAAAGTGTAGAAGTCTAGTGTATCTAGTGTCTTGGAGGATATGGTGCACATGAGTTGGTCTTCATACTAGTAGTGCCGTTCCGCACCCAGGAGGAAGTCCGATCACGTGGCTTGTCTTGACAAGGCTTGAAGGAGCGACCCTGCAGCCTCAGGAGTCAGGTGCTATGTGTCAGTGTAGAAGGAGCCTGAGTTGTCTTCGTTCCTTCCATCAACCACATTGCCGATTTTCCAGGCCAGGTGGCCCGTGGGTGCCCGGGAATACCGCGTGCGGGATTGGACAAGCACCAGCGCCCTCAAGCTTGAAAGGCGCCCATCAGGACAATGGCAGGACGCCCGGGGCTGGTCGTATGATGGTATGGTTATAGGGTTTGGGGTTCTTGGTTGCACACCGTCTCGTCCGATGTCTTTCAAATCCAACTGGAACTGTTGGTTTGAACATGTACCCTTCTCGTTTTTCTTAATGCTTCAGGCTATGCATTCTCCGCATCTGAATGTCATTATGTCTCATATTGTTTGTATCGCTTGCTCGGCTGGCTCTGTCCATACTGGTATAGATTTGGAGCCTCAGGCCCATATGGCGGCAGCTGCGGCACAATGAGGTGTTTGGATTAGCGACAGAGTCGGAATACCTTCAGAGAACCACAGTGACTGACCTAGAAAGAACCAAAACCGCTTTGAACCTTACCGCCGTTATCGACATCTACGGGCAACACCCATGTAGTCCACGAACACGTTGATTTTACAGGGTTTGTGGGACAGGCAGGACGGGTTAAATGTATGGCCAGATAGACGAATGGCTTCAACATTGAGGTCTTTCTCTACCTTGAAAGATCAGAATGATACCTAGAAGTGTACATACTTCTATATGAGCACGCCCTTGCCCAGAGGAAAGCAGAAATGGTCTGTCATGGTGTTCTGTAGTTGCCTTGGATACGACGAATCTACAACAACCTCACACGTCAAAAGTCTTGTTCAAGGATCAGGACGGGATTAGCCCGTATGACCTGGGATTGGCCGGTGATAATTTTAATTGGAGAATTTCTACCCAACAGAAGTAGACAATAGGAGAAAAGGAAAAAAAATTGCAATGATGCTTGTGGCGGGTGAGTCGGCGTCGGTCAAATGATGTATCGATGTAGTCGCCAACTTAGCCCTAAGCCTCGACTCGACGCCGACGGCTTCACGATCGACGTCGTCGACGACGAGCTCAGAGTCGGAGAGGGATATAAATTCAAAATGAGGCACGAAAGATTCATCTCTTTTCCATCAACCAACCTCCAATTCTCTAAGTGTTCTCCCTGGACTTCTCCAATTATCGCTGGCCAATACCAAGTGATACAGCCTAATCTCCTGATAATCCACACAGAAGGTATGTCGCCGACGATGAACAAGGTATTATCGTGGTTGGATAACGTTGACTTGCCATCGTCGCCAGAGAAGAGTGAGTCGTCCTGAGTCTTGCTATCCTCCCCCTTCCCAAAACCTACCAGCCGCGATCGACGACGACTCGCTGTCCGATCGCGTTAACGAACCTCGCGTAGAGATCATTGCTGACACATGAATACAAGCAGGCGATGCTTCCAACCTCGAACTGGACCATTATAAGACCGAGTCGCCATCAGTCTACGCCCGGCCGCCGTCTGATATAGGAAGAGGTGAGTCGTCCCATAGAGGTCGTCAAAGAGCAACGTCTTCAGCTTTTCACGACGACTAGGTCGACAGTTGTTGCCGGCCATGTCGATGACCGCTGCCGGTCATGTCAACGGCTGCTGCTGACTATGTCGAGGACTCTTGCCGTGGTATGTTGCTGACCATTGTGTACCAGTATCCGACAAGAGCGATGCCGATATTCTCGAGGACGGGCTCGACCCCATCTGGCCTGAGGTCTTCGGCAGTCAGCCCTTTGATCAACGCAATGCCAATATTCTCGAGGGCACGATTGACTCCGTCTGGCCTGAAGTTGGATGGCCTGTCCTTTACGGTGAGCTTCCTGATGATGAGCTCTTCCCGGGTGTTTTCCCTAGATTCCAGCGACAACAGCGGCAACTCTGAACCGTTGGCGGAAAGGCGATAAGCCAAGCAATGTTCGCCTGGAGTCGAGGCAAAACCAGTCTCCCATGGTATCGTGGGCCAGGTGCTCCTACGAGCAGTTACCCAAGAAGATGTGGTCAGAGATGACGCTAGTCATCGTGCTGAGGCAGCAAGCAAACAAAAAGATGTTGAGCAGGGTCGCATCGTCATGGATACGACTCAGGACCGGAAGATTAGCCACGAGGGGAAAAGTGCCAAAGACGAAGCAAACGACGCAGTCGACGACAGTGATGCTAGTCAACGTGCTGAGGAAGCAAGCGAATAAGAGGATGTTAAGAGACTTCAGCCAGTCCCTCGGCGTCAGGAGTCGGCCAAGGGAGGGTGGAGTTACTGTCGTCAGCTGTGTCGTTTGCTTTGTCCTTGGCACTTTCCTCCTCGTCGCTAATATTCCGGTCCTGAATCGTATCCATGATGATGTAATCCTGCTCAGCATCCTCTTCTTTGCTTGCTGCCTCCGCACGTTGACTAGCATGCTCAATGACTCAATCTTCTTCGGCAACTGCTCGTAGGAGCACCTGGTCAACGACACCATGGGCAGACTGATTATGCCTCGACTCCAAGCGAACATTGCTTGGCTTATCGCCTTCCGCCAGCGGTTCAGAGTTGTCGCCGTTGTCGCTGGAGTCTAGGGAAAACACCCGGGAAGAGCTCATCATCAGGAAGCTCCCCGTGAAGGACAGGCCATCCAACTTCAGGCCAGATGGAGTCGATCCCGCCCTCGATAATATTGTCATCCCGTTGATCAAAGGGCTGACTGCCGAAGACCTCAGGCCTGATGGGGTCGAGCCCGTCCTGGAAAATATCGGCATCGCTCTTGTCGGATACTGGTACACAATGGTCGTCGGCGCCGAGTCGAGGCTTAGGGCTAAGTTGGCGACTATATCGATACATCATAGGTTTTGAACGGCGCCGACCCACCCGCCACAAGCATCATTGCAGTTCTGGCTTTTCTCCTGTTGCCTACTTCTGTTGGGTAAAACTTCTCCAACTATGGCCGACCAATAGAAGCCATACGGGCTAATTACACCATGATCAATAAACAAGACCTTTGACGTGAGGTTGTTGTAGGTTCGTCGTATCCCAGGCAACTACAGAACACCATGACGGAACATTTCTGCTCTTTTCTGACTGAGGGTGTGTTCATCTAGAAGTATGCACACTTCTATCATTCTGATCTTTCAAGGTAGAGAAAAACATCAACGTTAAACCCATTCGTCTACCTGATTCTGCCCAGACATCCGATATTTAACCCGTCCTGCCTGTCGGTTCTGGGGGCGGGTAGTCGTTTTCGTCAATACCCAATACCTAATCAAGAGCGAGAAACGCGAACCTGTCTGCGAACCGAGTACGCCACTGGGAGTACCTAATGGGACTACAGGAGGGGAGAACACAGGGTGGTCGGGAGGAGGAGAAGTGTGTCTCAGGCCCTGTCCTATCCATGCGATGAAGCCTTTTATATCACAAATGCTGAGTAATCCGTAGCCCATTTCACCACGATCATAGTGCATAACTATATCGAAATGCCATGGACTGATATTCAACGTACGAATTTACATACTGTGGACTGTGTGGGACAGTCTATCCGATGGAATGGTTGTAGGAGGGAAGTTTGCGGCAGCCGGAGCGGAGCGCACGGACTCCCGAAAGTCGGACCCGCCAACTCCAAGCCTCAGCCACGCCCGTCGGGCCGTCGCCCACCCATCTTCACGTGGCGTGATCTGCACGGGGCGGACCGCACACGGACCCGTAGCCTTATCTACGACGTACAGATATGCGTGCATACAATGCACATCGAATCCATGAATGTACATTGTATTCAGATTGAATATGTATATAAATTAGCACGGATGAAGTGGACGTATAGCTAGTGCTAATAGCAGGATCACGCATATAGAGAGCTCGAACAGAAACCAAAATCAGTGCACTCCGCAACTCCTGAAAGCTATGGGTTCTTCTTCGGCAAAAACAAAAAGGATGAAATACAATAAATCAGAAGTGAAGGCGGAACAACAAACTGGGCTAATAGGTTATCTTGAAGGGCTATTGTTCCCAAAGATACATTGCGGTTACTTCAATGGGAAGGAGCCGAGCAGAATTTTCTGTGTTCTATTGATCCGTTATCCTATTAAGGATGTGTGCTAGTAGTTGCCGTTGAACGTAATTATGGGTTCACTTGTGAACAAAGCAATCAACTTCCCATTGGTCGATCAGGGTGATCCTGGATTATCCAATCAAACACAGGGACTTCTCTGATCCGTTCTCGTCCAGGAGTATAAATGAAATCTTCCTCTTCCTCGAATCTTTCTTCTTCTTCTTCTCTCCATTATTTTTAATTATTTCAGTTGAGTATAACATGAACACCAACCAACATCAACAACCAAGTCGCCCCCATCCACAACCACCTTAACCCCCACCCCAAGTAAGTCACATCGGCTATCATACCTTGACACGTCCCTGTACTCGATGATCTATTCATCCATCCATCCATCCATCCATCCATCCAAATCCTCAACCGCCGGTCCCTCTTCATTCTCCTCTTCCGTCCCAAACGCGCAACCTGCTGAGCCCACCCCGACGCTGACCTATTGTTTAGTGCAATTACTGTGCCTGCCGTCGGCACGTTGATTGCGTTTCATCACCCCGAGCGGCTCCACCAAATGCCTGGAAAGGGTGGCTCTGCCCAAACCATGCCATCTCTGAAGACATGGTTGCTATCAGGGACTATGACGTCGCAGTCCACCCAGGCCATATTCTGCGGCCGCGTCTCACCGTCAAAGATGTCTTGAGAGGTGACATGGTTCGGGCACAGCCACCCTTTCCGGGCATTTGGTGGAGCCGCTCGGGGTGATGAAACGCAATCAACGTGCCGACGGCAGGCACAGTAATTGCACTAAACAATAGGTCAGCGTCGGGGTGGGCTTAGCAGGTTGCGCGTTTGGGACGGAAGAGGAGTATGAGGAGGAGGGGCCGGAGATTGAGGATTTGCCTGAGTTTGGACCGACGCTTGTTGCGTTGGGGGAGAGGATTTGGAGGACGCAGGCAGAGGTTACCGTATGTTCTGCTGCCACACTTTGTGTCGGGATATATCCGCTTGTGACTTGGCGGCCTGCGGTCGTATGTGCCGCTCGGCGTTGTGACCGCCGAGGGCCTGTGTGTCACGTGCGGGATCCAGGGGCATATCCCCCTAGCCTCTAGGTACCCTTAGACACACAGATAGACATCAATCAATCAAATCGAATACAATCCACACGTTGCTACTATAGCACATCTGTCCACTTAGCTGTGTACACAGGACCTAGCTGGTGATACCAACACTTTGCGCAACGGATTACTCGTTCGTTGGGTTTGGTGAAAATCTATGCTACTTCGAGGGAGAAGTGCTCGCCTTAATGGCAAGCGTTAGGATCTGTATTTCAATGCGAGTATGATCACGCCGAGAGAAATGAAACCGAGAGAATTTACAGAATTTAATAAGTAATATTGAACAAAGAGTAAGTTATCCACCCTGACAAGTAAACGAAGACAAAGCAAGCAAGTATCCATAGGCCCTCTGGCCCACTGAATGCATATCGTACACGTACATTGATTTAAATCAAACAACGGAAGTGAGATGCTCACTTCTTGGTGAATTGGCGCTTTTGCGCCGGCTCCTCCGTAGCCTGGTCGTCTGAACGTGAGCGCTTGCGACTCGACGCAGGGATGCGAGGGGAGACCTCTGTCTCGGAGTGTTCCTCAGAAGAAACCGAAATAGGGCTAGATGAGGGGATGGGAACGGGAGCAGAGGGGTCACTGACTTCAGCAGCGTCGGCGATGTGGCTTTCGCCGACGGAAGAGGCTTGGCCACCGACCAGGGAAAGCAGCGCGATCGCTGCGTTGATCTCTCGGCTCCCGGCGACCAGGGCCCGGACAGCGCTTAAAATCTTGTCAGTTAAGGCCTCACGGGGACCCGAGGCAGGGTAGGCATTGCCCGAGGTCGAACAGAACTCGGCGATCATCTGCCTGGTCAAGTCCAGGCACTTCCACTCGATCTGCCTTTGTTCCTCGAGACCACGCCGTTCGGCGTGGTCTTGCTTGACCTTTCGAATAAATTCGAGGACCACGTCATCTGCAGGCACGCGTCCCCTCTTCCCCCCCCAGGCATCGTCGAACAGACTCTCGTCCGCGGTGGTGACATGATTTGGGCACATCCACCCTTTCCAGGGATTGGGTGGAGCCGCTCGCGGCGGAGTGAGGCAATCAAGGTGCCAATAGCACGTACAATAATCGCATTGCACGATGGGCCGGCCACCGTATATCGTGCCGGCACACTTCGTGCAACGGATTAGTTGGCCGTTGTCATCGAATTCTCGGAGATGGTGAGGATGGTCATATGACACGAGAGTGTGACCCCCTTCCTTGGCTGGCCCCGGGACCTTAGTTAGTCGCTCGATGTGGGGCTTCAATTTATAGAAACTGAAATTTGTCGGATTGCGAGCGTAACCATCTTCATCGGAGATGATCATCTCACCCACTCCTTCAAAATGCTCCTTAATAGGCTCAGGAACCCGGTACTCCGTTTTCTTGTAGTAGCCAGCTCGCGCGATCAGCGTCGAGAAACTGTTGCGGACAGAGCACTTAGGGCAGTGCCAATCACCTTTCGGGGGATCCTTGGGATCCAGGGGAGGATCCAAGCATTCGTAATGGTACGAATTGGGACATGTATCACAGCACAGAAGATCCCCTCCGTCGCCACACTTGCTGCACTCGTCACTGTTGTCTGGCGGCTCGCTGTAACGTATCATGTTAGCATGTAGAACAGAGCAAGTCATGTCAAGTCACATCAGGAAGGTAGTTCACGTACATGGAATTTGGCATCTGCCGGGCTGGGTGTGGTCCAGACCAATTGTTGAAACGGACAGAGTAAACAGAGTTGGACGTCGACGACACATCCGAGAGGGTCGTGTCAATAGAGAGCGAGCGTGAGCGCTCAGCCAGCTCGTTCTGGTGCCGGTCAGAAACAACTGACTCCGGAGGTTCTGAAGCCCTGACGAGGGGAAGGTCAAGAATGGACCTAGTAAAAACAGGGAGGGAACGCAACCGATCAATTGGGTCAGCGGTAATTGGGTCAGTGGTAATTGGGTCAGCGTTGTTAATTGTGTAAAGGTGGTGAATAGCATCTGGCGGACCGATCTCATCACGAACTGCGCTGGTGGGAATGATGTCAATCTTCGACAGCTGTAGCAAACGGGCACGCTTCTGTACCATTTTTGCGTCGTGATTGGGATCTGACTCCCACTTGCGTTTGCGTCTGTACGCGTTCTCCTCAGAACGGACAGGCTTCTTGGGCCTCTTGAGCGGGGCCGTGTTCGACTTTCCGCTCATAAATGCCTCCCGAAGTCGAGGACCGCTTGTATCACGATAGATGTCAGAGACCTTGAAGGTGTCCACCGCGTTAATAGTATCAGCAGTAGGCTGGCCGGTCTCCTTTCCAGAGACAGGATCATCTGAATCAGGCGGGACGTAGTTCAGGTACCACTGACGGGCATCATTGTAATCGTTCTTGAGCAGTGCCATGAGAGCAAGTCGCAGTAGATTGTCAGCACTGCCATCGGAGATGCTGGCAATCAGAGACATCTTGAATTCATCATCTCCTGCATTGGACCAAAGGTACAGCAGACTCTGAGCTGATCGCTCATTGCCACTCTCGAGGGCGTGGACGATGGCGACCTCCATGGCCGCTCGGAGTTTGAGGAGATCATATTTGTCGGACGGTGGAAGTGGGATTGACTTTAGCACGGCGACATACTCGTTATCCTCTGCACTTGCAAAGGGAACCGGCTCAACAGGGGTGACTCGGAGGCCCTCGGCGTCCGGGATTGGGGTGTTGCGATTGGTCGCATCAGCGGGGGATACGACATACTTAGAGATCGAGGTAACTGCTGCTTCTTTGGCAAGTTCCTCATCATAGAGCTCGACGGCGACGGAGTTCTCAACACCGCTCAGGCGCCCATCTTGAACGGGGCGCGGGATGTGGGCGGTAGCGGCTGCGACGCGCTGTGCAATTTGTTCAGCGGAGAGCGGTCTCACGCCAGCAGCCTTGTATTCGGCGACCGATGGGTATTCCCCCAGCGGTCTCATTATCTGCTCAGTCTGAGGCCGAGGTTTTGGTTCTGGCCGGGCCTTCTTCTTAAGCTTCCGTGAAGCCGCAGGTTGAGAAGAGACCTCTCCGGACGGGGCAGGCGCAACAGATCTGTTAGGGTTAGTGCCATGCGCTCCGATGCCCCAACTTTTCAGGCTCAACTTACTTGGTCTCTTTGGTTGTCTTTTTGGCCATTTTCTCGGTTTTTTTTGTGCTTTTCTTTTTCTCCTTTGCCGCCTTCTTCTTTTCCTCCTGTGCGGTGTTTTCTTCCTCTGCGGTCTCCTCCTTGGCAATCTTGTTTTCCTCGTTTTCCTTTCCATTGTTCGCGGCATTCTCTTTTCCTGTATAAAATGAATTAGCATTGATCATCTTGTAAAGTTTCAAAAGCAAAGTGGACAGGAAAAGAAAAAAAGAAAACAGAGAGATGTCACATGTGGCAAATCCCTATTTTACCTGAAAGATGCAACGCCTCGTTGGTTTCTTTCCCCGGCCGAGATGTGATCATATCAGTGGGAGGGCGACATGATGCCTTGAGAGACACGGTCTCCACATCACAAATGTCACAGGACAGACATAGTAAAGACGAGGGACCAGGCGAGAGGTTGCTGCAGACAGAGAGAGAGGCAATACTTACGTTTCTCGAGAAGGCGCTTTGAGGCTCGGCGGATAGTCTCCATCATCTTGGAAACAAAGAATGAAAGTGAGTGGAAAGAAAAAGAGAAAGTGAGGTGACGATAAAACAGGAGAGACGAAAGACGCAGTAAAAAGACGACGTCAAAAAAGACGACGATGAACGACGGAGTTGAAAGTTGAAAGTTGAAAACGAAGACGAAAGATGAAAGATGAAAGATGAAACAGCAAAGGGCAAATAGAGAAGAGAGAAGTGATATGACGAGGAGAGGAGAAAGAAGAAGAGAAAGAGAAAGAGAGGTGACGATAAATAGAAGAGACGAAAGACGAAGTCAAAAGACGCAGTCAAAAGACGCAGTCGAAAGATGAAGTCGAAAGACGCAGTCGACGCAATCAAAAGATGCAGTCGAAAGATGAAGTCAAAAGACGAAATCGAAAGACGACGACGAATGACGAAGTTGAAAGATGAAAACGAAGACGTAAGATGGAAGATGAAACAGCAAAGAGCAAATTGAGAAGAGAGAAGTGATATGAAGAGGAGAAGAGAAAGAAGAAGAAGAAGGGAAACGAGGGAGACTAAATAGTCCAGGAACACGACATGGGGGACCTTCCATTTTGGATCAGCGTTGTTGTGCTCAGGTGAGTTGAATCGAGAGAAACAATGAGATACAATACACCTGAATAGCCTTGACTTCCAAGGCTGCCTTTCCTATTGTTTCGAAGGTGTTACCATTGTACTTCAGCGTAGAGAAACATGGCTAGGTACCTACCTCTATTGATATTCAGTGTCTGCCTGTGTATAAAGGTTCAATAGACATCCCAGATGGGGCCTATTCAGCTTATCCTAGCTAGGCAGCCAGTCCACCGCACACCATTTGTCGTAGACACACAGCTTAGCCTTCACGAGATGAGATTCATACACATAGTACTGGACCCATATCTCCTGGAGAGGCTTGACCAGAATGCGCTCAAGTCGTAGGGCCGGCAAATGACCATGTCACCAACTTATGTTCAGCGTCAGTCGTCCAGAAGTATAAATAAAATCTTCCTCCTCCTCGAATCTTTCTTCTTCTTTCCTCTCCATAATTTTGATTTTTTCGGTTGTATTCCTTCGAGTACACCATGAACTCCAACACAGACAGCCAAGTCACCACCCACCACAACCACCCGACCCATCACCAAAAGTAAGTCACCTCAGCTTGCATACCTTGACCACGTGTGCTCCCTGTATGACCCTTAACACATCCCTTCACCTGTACACATCCATCCATCCCATGCCTCTGTTCATCCATGCCTCTGTTCATCTATGCATTTGTTCATCCATGCATCTGTACATCCATCCATCTGTTCATCCATCCATCTGTTCATCCATCCATCTGTTCATCCATCCATCTGTTCAAGCTTCCATCTGTTCAAGCTTCCATCTGTTCAAGCTTCATGACATCTTGTCTGACATCCTCTTAGCACAATGGACAACGGAGAAGGACCAACGCTCCCTGAGGCACCCCGGCGTCGCATGGGTGTGATCCCTTTCCATGGCGCCGTCCCCCGCACGGGATCACCTTCCTGGTTGGCCCCGCCACAGCCCAAACCGCATCTTTCGGATCCTCCAACATCCGAAGCCAGCACACCGACGGTGCTCGGCAATCCCACGACCAGATTGCGGAGTCCGGTCAAACCCAGAATGGGTCACACTCCGGGGAAGATTTGGCTCCGCATGAGGGTTGCATGGCATGGCTGGAGACCAAGCAGTACTTCAACAACACGCAGGAGAAATTGGCTGTGCTGAAGAGCCCGGGGCAGAGCACTCTCATCCGAGGTCATGGGGATAAAGCCCCTGAATGCCTTGTGTAGATAGTCAGGAATGTTATAATTTTCTCTTCCATTCATTTTGTCAATTCGTATGGGAGATTTCACAGCTTGGTGTCGCCGTCGTATCCCTTCTTTCACGACCCCCGCTTTAGCCTGTCATATAGGTTCCATAATAGGTACTTCTAACGTAGTGTAGTTAAGGTTGGATTACTGTACGCTGATGCAATTGGATAGATGTATACACACCTACTATAATGTCACTCATCTTCGGATACATTCTTTATAATTCCTTTATATACTATAATTCAACACCAGATCAGACACGTCACGTGTAGGAATGAGATTATTGGAGCAATTCGTAGGGATGTAGTCTTGCCAGTTGGCTGGGGACTTGCCAGTTGGCGCAAAGTTTGCCAACCGGGCGTCTGAAACTCGACACCCACCAACTGGACAGAATAGCTGTGTTGATATTTTATTTAGAAAGGTACTGTACACCTGCCCTGCTCAACGCTTGCATATAGTTAACGCTTACAGGTACACGCTTCACGACTCGCCTGTTGGGTGATTTACCTATCTCTCGTGCGGCCCGGGGTTGGGTCTTCCCGTCTTGTACTGGCGACTTTAGGAAGTATGCAGCTCTGTGCATTGTTCCCTTGATTACACGGCTGTTTCTCTCAACCATTTCCAATCTCATATTCATTCTTTATTTATTTGAAACCTTCGGTCGGCTATGCCACGAGCATTGGACAATGCGCATCCCGACCCATCCCAACTTGACACCAACTGCCATCACGTCCCATGACGCTGTCGTCCACCTCCCGAAGTTTCTCCCGTTTCGGCATAACCAGAGTACGCGCAATCCTCTTTGCAATATGGAGCTTGGCCGAGCTACACCTACTCCAGCGCCGGATATGCGATGCAGACCACGCTCACCCGGGGATTGACCACACAAGCAAGGATGGATATACATCGCAAGCGTCAATTGCAACAATGAGGTGGTCCTGCGCACCCACTGCCCGCCGGGCCGGAGCGAAGCCCTCGTGGAGCTGGTTACAAAGCTCGGAATAGGGTACGATAGATTCCCATTCCAATATAAAGAACCCAAGTCGCAACTCAAGCACCGTAGTTTCGTACACAGACAGCCCCCAGGACAGTTTTCAATGTTGACGTCATCCCATCTCCGATGACCAATTTGTTCCGAAGTTTCATCGACAAGGGAAGGCACCGGATAAGTTAATTGTAGAACCGATCCATAGACCATAAACCATCCGGCCTTGCTGTCCACTTGTCTCAGTATATCCTTCCGCATCTTAGCCTCTGTAGCATAGAGGTAGGCAGCAGGGTGCAGTTCGTGGCTGTTATAAACAGGCTGTTGTGTAAGGGGGCGGCGCTATCCGAATCGTATCCGAATCGTAATGTCTCATTGTCTGTCGCAATATGTGTCAGTTACAAGTTGCTACCCCCTAGGTTGGATGGAATACCTTTGTTCTGTATGGAGATTCTCCAATATTGAAGATCATCATGGCGCCCTGACTCGCGAGGATCCAAGTGATGTCGGATGGTTCATATTGGCTCGAGCATCTTGCGTCTCTTTGTCGACCACGCCGAGGCGACGGAACGCCTCTAGGATGAGTTGGAACGTAGGTTCATAGAGCCGGAAGTAAGTTATCATGTGGCTTGAAGACCTGTACTGGCCATATGTGAATCGGTCCCTGCTGGCAGTGTCCGGGTCGCAAGTCGCGAAGATACGGAGATTGATATTGGTGTTATGGCCTGGATACGGCAGATACCAAGACATACACCTGGGGCATCCGTCTGAGGCAGAGGCGTTTTTGTCAGTACCGGGCATCCGTGTCAATAGAGTAAATAACCCACAGGCCTGTCATACTGACTGTAAATCCACGAGACGTCGAGGATTGGCGCTGATGCATCACCGACTCTGCTAAGAGGGGACACTAGACGAAAAAAGAATCTGCCCTTTTCCTAGAGGCTTAGCGCAAATGCGATGAGCGGGGCCCGGCGCACTGTTTACTATGGGCCCGCGTGCTGGACCATACGTAGTGTACTTGGCGACCGCCGACACTAATCCATGATCTGACCGAATCGAGATTTGAAGGGTAAATACTGGCTACAGGCTGCATATCTACATCAAAAGGCCATGTACTGGTATTCAAAGTACGAATTTGCATACTGTGAACTGGGTGAGACAGTCTATCCGAATGGTTGCAGGAGGGAAGTTTTCGGCAACCCGATGGCACGGACCCCCGAGAGTCGGGCCCGCCAAGTCCAACTCCAAGCGTCAGTCATCCGTCTCCACTCTCCACGTGGCGCGATCTGCACGGCACGGACCGTACACGGACCCGTAACCTTATCTACGTCGTACAGATATACAGTCGGACACAAGACCTAAAACTTATGCCTAATCCAAATTTGGGTTACATAGGTATGTGATTAGGGCTCCAAAAAGTGTCTCAATAATCCGGACATGGAAAGCAAGTAAGGTCATTAATGTAGGACAGTAGCTATCATTTTTACCCGACATCAAAAGCAAAGGATCGAATCATACGAAGGGGAGATACGATGCCGTACAATATTTATTGCAGAGGTCCTCAGCTTAGCGTGGTCACCTCAATAGACGATTTGCGCTAAGCTCTTGGAAGTGGGGCCAAAAAGAGTGTCTCAGAGTGTTCTTGTTGCACCGGTTTCGAGACGCACTGTAACAGAGAAACTCTCAGAGATTCTCACTAGTCCTATTCAGCGCACATCTGAACTTGGCAGGGTTTCGTACTATAATCTAGGCCGTAGCCGCTATGCGTGATACAGCCATGAGATTGGTTGTGGGGGTCAGCATAGCATCATCTTATTGTAAAGCTATAGGTAATGATGTAAGAAGGACTGAAGATATGCTCAATCAAAAAAGTGCATTGTGAGCGAAAACAAGATTTTGATCAGAAAAGCAATATGCCTCACTGTAGGGCCGGACGGTCTAAGTATCCAACAACTGGCAGAGCTGTCTCATTCGTCTATAGAACAGGCAGCAGCGCGTAGGTGAGTCATTGTACAGGGGTCGGTTTGAGGCCCCAAGTAATGGGACGTCATTTACCTCTAGGCACTTCATCTTGGCGAAAACAGCATAAAGACGCCCAAGACCGCAATTCAAAGCTAGTATCATTTCCACAACCTCCCGCTGGTCGAAAAGAGTCGTATGCAAAATGACAACCATTCTCGATGTCCCGGGCAGCAGCCCCCCGAATCCCTTCACCACGCCCATTCAAGCCCTTGTCACTACCAACCTTTCCTCAGCGCCAGTGCCAGCGCTGGACGAAACAGCCGCCTACCTTGTCACCTCTATTACTACCTCTCCGGACCCCGCTCACGCGCTTTGGATGCTCTGGGATGCCTTTTTTACGGCCGTCGTCACCTCTTCAACTTCACACGACCCTCGCCTAGCCCTCCTCGACGCGCTCCGCGTGCAGCTACCGACGCAGCCTAACAACGTACCCTCGAGATCCGATGCGGAGCGACGACTCCGTAGCTACACCGGGGCCGATGGAAAACTACAGTGGCAGACACTGCCGCGCTTCGGCGCGCAGTGGCGCGATGTGCATGACATTCTTGAGGCCTGGCGCGATTGGGATGGTGTGCGTGAATCGAGTGCAAAAGACAACTCCACTGCCATTACTTTAATCAACAGCGGTGACAAGTACTTCCTCCGCTTCTGCGGTTTCTCGGCCGCGCTGCTCAAAGCGACCAAGGGTAAAAGCGAGGGTGCATCCTATATGGGTCTTGTATGCATGCCGCGATGTGCTGGAGAGCCAGGGACCCCAGTCCGGCCAACCAAAAGCGCACAGGATGACACCGGAGCAGATGTGGGCGCTGGATGTTCGAGTAGCAGCGATCTGGATACGGGATGGGGGCCGGGCACTATGGGAGGCGGATCACGAGGAGCTGCGGCATCACTGGGCAGCGGCGTTAGATTACAAGACGGAACTATGGCCGAGAGATGACGGGTTGACACGGGAGCGGTGGCGATTGTGGGGCGATAGGTTGTGGGCTTTACGTACAGAAAAGGGGATTTTAGGTGAGGAAACTGGAGCGCTGGTTACAGAAGCCGCTGAAGCTGTTGACAGCATTATTGAAGAATCCTCGGCCTAAAGGTATTGAGCCCTTCCTACCTACAAAAAGTCCTCGAAGCACTTGCATGCACTATGTAAATCAAGGTGTCGCTCACGCATATTACAGTTCGTCCCGAAACGGGTTTCACCACCTACACTCTTCGATTCATTCTCAAAACCTGATGCCAAGATATACCATACCATAGTTGGAATAGACGCGGAATATCAAGAATCCAGTAAGATATCTATACTGTAATTTATCCTCAGGGATGTATTACTACATGTATTGTTACCGCACAGTGTAAATGTTATCGAAGTTTCCATAGAAATAAATGTAAATGTGGAAGCAAACGGGGAGCGATCTTGTGTATCCAATAAACGAATGTATGTCTGATCTCTCTATCTGATCCCTCGAAGGGATTTAGGTACGATACAAAAGTCACATGATATATCCTGAATGGGAATAATGGGATAGTTGAGTACCCAGTATTGTCCCAGTATTTCCGACAGTAAACAAATCAAACATGAGCTAGTGCCTCGAGGATTGGGCAAGGTATCGCTTCATCTCCGCACTTAGGTTCAAACCACCTTCTCCGATCACATAAAAGTCGCGGTCATCGTTCCGATCGTGGTGCTCGGAGAAGGGATCTCTATGTCTATAGACTATCCATTTATAACAACTTCCGCCCTGATAGTAGGAATAGTCTCATAGATCGTATCTTATCTTTGAGCCAATAGGTGCTAATCGTCCCATTCGGCCAAGGTATTTCCATGAACACACCTAAAGGTTCTTGAGCTGGAGCTAAAGGGGTGGATCCAGTTTCGGCTGTAGCCAAAGCAGCAACAAAACCCTAGACGCAAAGGAACCGGCAAAGCTAAGGGCCGTTGAAAGGGTTGGATATGCAGCACGGAATAGTATTTGGGTGCGCACCACTCGACCTGCTAGATTCCGCAAGGAAAAGTATCTGCCATGCCAGGAGGTAAAAGGAAGGACAAAGAGGCTCGTCAGAAGGACGATGCTCAGCAGCATTATTAGATTATACGAGACGAACAGGAGCGGAAGCTCATTCGCTCCGAAACTGGAGAATGCTCATCTAATTAAATTGATTGACTCATCCTGATGAAGCTGCTTTATTTCAAACTTACGTATTCACGTCATCGATTGCCTCGGGCGTCATGGGATATTATTTTTCATGATTTGCTTGAGGAACTAGGACTCCGGCCGGGAAGAGAAACAGGACGTCAATTTTTGAAGTGGGATATCGAGGTATCAGCTGGGTTGAAAGTACAAGTAAAAACACTATTCTAGTTATTTGGTGTACGAACTAATACAGACCCACTGACAAGGATACTCCGGAAAACTCTTAATATAGTCTAGCGTGTCTTGGCAATTAGGATTCAGGAAAGAATCGAAGAGTGCAAGTGGTGACACCAGTTACGGGACGTACTGTACATTCAGCAGCTTTAGCCATTTGCGAGACAGTCAGTGATTTGCTCAATATCATATGCTGGATCATTTCGAGCTTTGAGGGAGGGAGCCTTGGCGCCATGTTGCGAACAGATGGTGGGAGAATAAGGGCGTTGGTTGGAGATCGTTAAACGGGGGAACGATGGGAAACCGCGAAAATGTGATGGAAAGCAAATCCATCTGCTCACCTTTGCTCACTCCCTTGCTCAGTGAGCAGATGAAATTATTTTGGACGAAAGGTCTGGGGCATGCTGGGGAAGACGGAAGTTTGCGGCAACCCGAGCGCACTGACCCCCGAAAGTCAGACCCGCCAAGCCTCAGCCACTGATCTCCACGTGGCGCGATCTGCACGGCACGGACCGTCCACAGACCCGTAACCTTATCTACGACGCACAGATATGCATGCATACAATGAATATCGAATCCATGAATGTACATTGTGTTTAGATTGAATCTAGTATATGTAAATGGATTAGTAAAACTGATAGTTGGATGTGTAGCGTGTGCTAACTGCAGGATCACTCATATAGAGAGCTTGAACAGAGACCAATATTAGTGCCCGCCGCAACTCTTGAAAGCAATGGGTCCTTCGGCAAAGAAAAGGAGAAAATAAAATAAACCATAAGTGCAGCGGAAGGGTTCATAGGTTACCTTGAAGGGCAAGGGCGGCCCAGGATACATTTCAGTTGCTTGGGAAGGAGATATGCAGAGATTTCTTTGTTTTATTGATGGATGCAATATCCTATTAAGGAATTGTTCTATTTGCCATGTACAAACGGGATTGTGGGTTCACTCGTGAACAAAGAAATCAATTTCTAATTGGTCGATTAGGGTGATCCTGGATCATCCAACCAAACACAGGGACATCACTGATCTTGTCCTCGTCCACGAGTATAAATGAAATCTTCCTCTTCCTCGAATCTTTCTTCTTCTTCTCTCCATCATTTTGATTCTTTCAATTGTATTCCATCGAGTACAATATGAACCACAACGCAGACAATCAAGTCTCCCCCACCTACAACCACCTGACCCCCCATCAAAAGTAAGTGACATCAGCTTTCATACCTTGACACGTCCCTTCACTTGTACTCGATGATCCATCCACATATCCATCCACATATCCATCCACATATCTATCCAACCAACCAACCATCTGTTCATTCTTCGTGACATCTTGCCTGACATCTTCCTAGCACAATGGAGAAAGGAGAAGGGCCAAGGCTCCCTGAGGGACCCCAGCGTCGGAACGGTGTGATCCCTTTCCAGATGGCGGCGCCTGCTTCCACCGCGGCACCTCTGGACCCCCCCGCGCGCCCCGAGGAGCAGAAGCGTCCTGGTGCCCGATTTCTGGGTGCCACCACAAGGACCGCTGGCTATGCTGCGCCTGTGAACACCCCCCAGCCCGCGCCTAAGAAGCGCCTGGGGGGTCTGTTCCCAGGTGTCACCTTGGGGAATGCCGCCCCTGCTGCGCCTGTGAACACCTCCGAGCCGGCGCCTAAGAAGCGCCTCGGGGGTTTGTTCCCAGGTGTCACTGTGGGGGCCGCCCCGCTGCAATGTGGTCCTTCTCCCAACCCTACCTCCGACAACCAGGGTCCCCTGCACGGGATCACCCCCCTGGTGGGCCCCGCCACAGCCCAAACCCCCTCTTTCGGATCCGCCACCATCCGAAACCAGCGCCCCGACAGTCCTCGGCGATCTGAGACTGGCCCCTCTGAGGCAGTCTCCAGCAGCAATGTCCCCGCCAACCCCAGCCACCAGTTCCAAGAGCTGCGTGAGATCAGCGAGCTGAGCAACGAGCTCGCTGATGCCGAAGGGACAAGTGCTGGACAAGAGATCGAGATGACTGACTCCACGCCAAAGGAGTCGTCGTCGCAGCCGAGGATGTACGGCGGATTCATCGTCCCCGTAGAGACTGCCCGCCATCACAACCCCGCAGACATCGCAAACCTGTCAGCCCAATTTGATGTCCTCGAGGCTCGCTATGAGGAAGCCAAGAGGGCACTGAAGGAGGCTGCGGGCGACGCAGTTGCGCTGTGCGCTTGGCGGGGCAAGTACGAGGGCGACGGTGATGCCTGGACGGCGCTGACGGACCTCATGGAAGAAATCGACGACAACAACCTTTACCAGCGCTACAGAGATGCGCAGGCGCATCTCGACGAACTCCTTGACCAACAAGTCGATTTACTTGGCATGGAGTTCCTGAAGCGCAGGCAGAAGCACGGCCGGCGTGCTATGCCAAGGAAGGTTGCGTCTCAATCGGCTCCACGAGGTTCGCGATCAATTAAGCGACTGGAGAACGCCACAGATGTCAGGCCGAAGTGGTCGGCTTTCACCAAAGCGACCGGCCCCACCGTTTCCAGTCCATCCCCCCCAGTCAGCCGCAGGCTGGGCAGGACAACGGTGAGGGCCCGAGCTCAGGTGAGAGCGAGGCTAGCAAGACTGCGTCCAACGGTGAGCTGAACCCGCCGACCAATGGCTCCAACGGTGCCATGATCCCCGCGCCCGTTACTGCCAGTGCGTCGTCAGATGCAACTCCGCTGGCGAGTCAAGAGTCATTGGAGGCTGGCTCACTCTTGGGCGCATTCGAGGCCATCTGCGGCGCCCTTCAGTCGCTTGAAATCACCCCGTCAGTTCCTTCGCCCGTGGAGGGACATGACGTGATGGCGAATTCCGCCGAGCGCCAGATGGCCGAGTCCAGTCAACCCCAGGATGGGTCACAGTCCGGGGAAGTTTCGGCTCGGCCAGATGGTTACATGGAATGGCTGGGGACCGGGGAGTGCCTGTCGATTGCGTGGGAGCCTTGTCACGGGGCACCACACATCGACCAGATTCCACAGGGAGCATTGAGTGCGCCAGCTGTCCAACAGCCCTCTCAGGCTCCTGTGCAGATCGAGTATCACCGGCCCAGCCATTCCAAAGCAGAAAAGCGCATGGGACCCGTGGCGCCATGGACAGAGCGCAAGAAGCAGATCACCAGAGCGACGGTCGTAAAGGCCGGCTCTGAGCTGCTTGCTCGGATTGACAAAATCCAGCCAATCGCACCCACCGGGTGCGTCGGGCAAGTCGCAGAAGACACGGTGCGCAAGGCCGAGCCTGAGTTGCTTGCCCGGGATGAGTCAATCCCAGCCCAGCCTGTCCAGGCAGTCCACGTGCCTGTCCCAGCGCCCCCAGTGCCGCAAGCGCACACCCCGAGCGCCGTGACCGAGAAGGCGCCTGCTCTGGAAGTTGGGAGTCAACCCGCTGCTCCGCAGCCAACTCCCATCGTGCCAGAGCCCTCCACGCAGGTCCCACTCGAGGCAGCTATGAGCGTGTTAGCTGTTCCGCAGCCAGCTCTGGCCAAGAAAGTGCGCTTCGCGGCTCTTCCAACGGAAGTGCCTACCCAGGCAACTGTGAGTGAGCCCGCTGGGTCTCAGCCGCTCCAGACTGTTTTGGCCGCCAAAGCGAAGGTCGCCACCGACGGAGTTGTGAGTGAGCTTGCTGCCTCGCAGCAAGCCCCCACTGCCTCGGAGCCTTCGAGCCGAACAGTCACGAGCGCTGTGGCCCAGCCGACTCCGGTTGTTCCGGATGGGACGGAGAAGGTCGCCGTTCAGGCAGTCGTAAGTGAGCCTGCTCTCTCCCAGCAGGCTCCTGCTGCCCTGAAGCCTTCTCCGTCGGAACAAGATAATTCTGCTTGGTCTGACTCTGACGACGACGAATGGTGGCCTGCGCTTCAATGGCAGGCCACTTCGGAGTCAGACCCGTCTGACGAAGAATGGTGGCCCGCTCTTGAAAGCCAGGCCCCTTCGGAGTCAGAGTGGGATTCGCCAACGCTGACCATGCCCGGATCCTACCCCCTTGACACGCTCGATGAGGTTGTCGAGGCTCCAGCTGCTACTGAGCTGGCCCCAACCCGATCACTGTCGACATCGCCAACCTCCACTGGGGAAGACCCGATCAAGCCGCCTCCTTCCAGGCCGGCTCGGGAGGAACCAGACTGGAGTTGGTTGATTGTCGACCGGCCAACACACGGGAGCTTGCGGACTGGTACTCGTTCGCATCTCGATGTGCTGTTGGCCCAGCGTGAGGAGCGTAGACGGGCAGAGTCGGCGCTCATCTCCTCTCTTGAGGGGCTGCAGGTCACAGCAGCCTCTTGAGTCTCTACCTCCCTTCCTTGAGGGGTTGCAGGTCACAGCAGCCTCTTGAGTCTTTACCTCTCCTTTCCAGGTAGCCAGTCCCCAAGACGCTGCGGCAACAGGGACAGCCCGTGCGGGGGTTAAGGGCACCGGAAGGGTCGAGGATGCCGATAGCCCGGCAATGCTCAGCCAGGAACAGGCTGCAGGAGAGCGGCGGGACAAATCGGGCGGCAGAGAGACGCTTCTGGTCATCAAAGCCAGGAGTCCAGTCCCCCGCCCCACCCGTCGCCACTGCTACGTCTGAGGCTGACATGCAGGAGGGATCGGCAGGAGGGATCGGCTGTGCTGCAGAGCCTGTGGGCAGGAGAACTCTCCGAGGTCAGGGGGATGAAACCCCTGCCTCCCTTGTGTAGATAGCCATGAATTGTATGATTTTCTCGTCCATCCGTTTTGTCCATTCATATGCGAGATTGCACAGCTTGATTTCGCTGTTGTATCCTGTCTTTCACGACCACGGCTTTGTGCTGTCCTAAAGGTTCCATGATAGGTACCTATAGCGTAGTGTAAGCTCCCATTACTGTAGCATGATGTAACATACACAGACCTACTAGGTAGATTGTAAACCATACTGCGATTCAATCTTTACCATTCCTTTCTATACCATAATCGCTACTCCTATCCTCAGCAGTGCATCCTTACTCATGATTTGCTAAATGCATAAAACGTCCATGAGGCTCATGCTAGTCTGGTTTCGGGTGTGGCCTTCCATAAAGCGTATTGTGGAAGTTCTTCTGACACTTATTTCATAGAGAGTATATGCTAACCTGGCGTACAGGAGGACCAATTCACAATTTCCAGCTCAACATGGTCCTCGTTTCCATCAGTCCACAGTACCTACCGAGTACCATATTGAGCTGTGAATTGCGGCCTATCACGAGAAGGCGATGGCAGACTCCAGAGTATGGCCTACCGGGACCGGCGATACATTGGACTTCCCTCTTTGGGCACCAGTTTGAGGAGCTGCGTGAGGAGCTCTTCTCTGATTGAACTCACTGTTATGCTGAATCTGGCAACCCCCGTGGGCGGATGAATCAGGGCCAAGGAGATGTCGGATGTTCGACACGGTGGCGGCGCAGATAGAGACGATCCTTACCAATGCGCAGCTACTTCTTACATGGTCCTGGTGGGACCTACGAGTACGTATTTTGATACCTCTTATGTTCTACAGTAACTCGATATATCATCGGCAAAATCCTCCTTTACCACGCGCACTGGCCACACAAGCACCCCAACTTTGCAAGTTTATAGGTACCTTTGCCATATAATTCAACACCAGATCAGATGCGCCACGTGTGGAAGTGAGCTTATTGGGGCAATTCGTAGGAATGTAGTCTTGCCGGTTGGCTGGTGACTGGCCAGTTGGCGGAAAGCTCGCCAAACACGCGTCCTGGAACTCGACACCCACAACCTAGTGGACAGAATATTTTTCTTGATATTTTATCTAGAAAGGTCCTGTACACGTGCCTTGCTCACTGTTTGTATATAGTTAACAAGGTGGAATTACAGGTACACGCTTCACGACTCGCGTAGGTGTTGGGTGATTTAATTCTCGTGTCGCCCGGGGTTGGGTCTTCCCGCCTTCCATGGAATACTTCACTTTAGGAACCGTTAGGTAGTATGCAGCTCTGTGTACCGCTTCCTTAATTTCATAGCTGTTTCTTCTAATTGCATCTGCCTCCAGCTGATATTCCTTTCAAAACTCCATCCGGCTATGTCGAGAACATCGGACAACGTGCATCCCGACTAATCCCAACTTGACACCAACGCCATCCCTCACTTCCCAAGACGCTTTTGTCCACCTCCCTGGCCTCCCGAATATTTTCCCGTTGTTGCATAGCCAGAGCACTCGCGATCCTCTGCAGTATGGAGCTTGGCCGAGCTACACCTGGTCCAGAGCCGGATACACGAAGCAGATCACGCTCACCCCGGGAACCGACCACGAAAGTAAGAACGGATATACCTACAACGCAAGCGTCAATTGAGGTCAACGCAGCAACGCTGGGAGTTGCGGGCGGAGGCGCGAGCGCCCCGTACACGCCGCCATTTTGCAAATCTTAGCCGTATCCTTGCAAGAGGCGGCTTATTCAGCCGGGCGGGTGTGTTCCACTTACTATGGGGATTACCAAGAAATGGCAGCACATGATTAGTGATTATGTACCATTTCAAAAGTACCACGGGTGGGGCGGTGGGGCTCCCCCGAAAAGCGGCAGCGGGTACGGGCCGGGATCTAGGTACATCATCCATACTCTGCAAGAAACAAATGTCGGCACTACTGTTGAGATGGTGGCCAGAAGGGCAGATAAGAGAATTCGAGTTCTATGCTATGAACTGAGAGACTAAAAAGCAAAGCAAGCAAGGCGGGCGTTCTACTCCTCCACACCGTCTGCAGCTCCATGCAGAAGGCCAAACAACAACAAAAGAGCACTGCAAAGCTTCGTGCTATAGAAGCAAGAACAAGAGGCTGGCAACGAGCCGCAAAGATCTCTTCTCCAATCCCGTGCCATTGGCTCGACGGTTGATGAAAAGATGGGACACTGATGGGGAAGTGCTAAAAATTATGCCTATCGTCGGTTGCCCGAGACCAGATAGTCCTCCAGCGATGTGCAATGCGAGAGGACCACCTGTGGTGCCTGTCTTCTTGATCACAGACACCAAGGCTAAGTAAGTACCTGGAAAGAAAAGGGGAAGAAGAGGAAGAAGAAGAAGAAAGAGGATGGAGGTGAAGGTGATACTCATCGACGATGTCACGCGACTTACCTAGGCTACATGCATGGAAGGAGCGAGCTGTGCAGAGTTGTTCGTGTATCTCTACTGGGTGAAGCCATGCTCAAAGACACAGGGGCATACGCGATGAAAATCTCTTCTCCAATCCCGCGCCACTGGCGCGAGGGTTGATGAAAAGATGGCCCCTTGATGGGGGAAGTGCCAAAAAATATGCCTGTCGTCGGTTGTCCGCGACCAGATAGTCCTCCAGCGATGTGCAATGCGAGAGGACCACCTGTGGTGCCTGTCTTCTTGATCACAGACACCAAGGCTAACCTGTAAGTACCGGGAAAGAGAAGGAGAAGAAGAAGAAGAAGAAAGAGGATGGAGGCGAAGGCGATATTTATCAACGATGTCACGCGACTTTCCTACATGCATGGAAGGAGCGAGCTGTGCAAAGTTGTTTGTGTATCTCTACTGGATGAAGTCACGCGCAAAGGCACAGTCTACAGAGGCATACGTGATGAAAATCTCTTCTCCAAACCCGTGCCACTGGCGCGAGGGTTGATGAAAAGATGGGCCCCTGATGGGGGAAGTGCCAAAAAATATGCCTGTCGTCGGTTGCCCGCGACCAGATAGTCTTCTCACGATGTGCAATGCGAGAGGACTACCTGTGGTGCCTGTCTTCCTGATCACAGACACCAAGGCGTGGTAGGGTTATAGTCTGAGGAGAGGAGAAGGAAAACCTAGAAGAAGAAAGAGGATGGGGACGAAGGCGAGATTTATCGACGAAGTCACGCGACTTGCCTGCATGCATGGCAGGAGCGAGCTGTGCAAAGTTGTTTGTGTATCTCTACTGAATGAAGTCACGCGCAAAGGCACAGTCTACAGAGGCATACGTGATGAAAATCTCTTCTCCAGTCCCGTGCCACTGGCGCGGCGGTTGATGAAAAGATGGGCCCCTGATGGGGGAAGTGCCAAAAAATATGCCTGTCGTCGGTTGCCCGCGACCAGATAGTCTTCCCGCGATGTGCAATGTGAGAGGACCCATCTGGGTGTCTGTCTTCTTGGTCACAGACACCAAGCGACCCTAAAGGTGAGGAGAAGAAGAGAAGAAGAAGAAAGAGGATGGAGGCGAAGGCAGTATTTATCAACGAGGTCACGCGATTTACCTACACTTCTGAGCTGTCCACGTGGGAGCACGTGGGATATACATGTCTCCGGTGCTATGTGTAGAAGGAGCCTGAGTTGCCTTCGTTCCTTCCATCAACCACATTGCCGGTTTTCCAGGTGCTAGGATGCTCTCCCGGCAGGGTGCCACGCTGCCCAGGTGGCTGCCCGTGAATACCGCTTTCGGGACTAGACAAGTATCAGCACCCTCAAGTTTGAAAGGCACCCATGAGGACAATGGGAGGAAGGCCGGGGCTGGTTGCATGATGGTATAAGGGTATCCAAGGGCTTGGGGTTCTTGGTTGCACACCGTCTTGTCCAATATCTTTGAAATCGGACTGGAACTGTTGGTTTGAACATGTGCCCCGTTCGTTTTTCTTCATGCCTCAGGTTATGCACTGTCTGCATCTCAATGTCTCATATTGTTTGTATCGGTTGGTGGGCTGGCTGTGTGTCCATACTGGTATAGCTTTGGAGCCTCAGGCCCATATGGCCGCGGCCGCGGCGCAATGGGGTATTTGGATTGGCGACAGAGTTGGAATACCATCAGATAAGCATAGCAATGGTGTATGTTTTGATTTAGTATGAAGTGATATCCCGTTAAACTGTCGTTATCGTCTTATAGTAGTCCACGCACAGGTTGATGTCGCAGGGTTGTAGGACAGACGGGAAGGGTTAAATGTCTAGCCAGATAGACGAATGACTTCAACGTTGAGGTCTTTGTTTACCCTGGAAGATCAGAATGATAGAAGTGTACGTATTCCTAGATAAGCACGCACTTTCCCCAGAAAAAGCAGAAATGTTCCGTCATGGTGTTCTGTAGTTGCCGGGGATACGACGAATCGACGACAACCACGCCCGTCAAAACTCTGGTTCATGGATCATGATGGGAATAGCCCGTATGACTTGTATCAGTCGGCGATAGTTGGAGAAGTTCTACCCAGCAGACGTAGGCAATAGGAGAAAAGCAAAAATTGCAATGATGCTGGTGGCGGGTGAGTCGGCGCCGTTCAAAATGATGTATCGATGTAGTCGCCAACTTAGCCCTAAGCCTCGACTCGGCGCCGACGACTTCACGATCGACGTCGTCGACGACGAGCCCAGAGTCAAAGGGAGGCATAAATTCAAAATGAGACATGACAGATTCATCTCTTTTCCATCAACCTCCAGTTCCGCAACTGTTCCCCGTGGACTTCTCTTATTATCGCTCAAGTCATACAGCTTAATCCCCTCACTGTCCACCGAAAGGATATGTCGTCACCGATGAATAAAGCATCATCGTGGATGGAACTCGTTATGGGGCCATCGTTCCCAGAGAGTAGTGAGTCGTCCGAGTCTTACCGTCAACCCCCTCCCCTCCCATCCCAAAACCTGCCAGCCGCGATCGACATCGACGACTCGCTGCCCCGATCGCGTCGACAAATCTCGCGAAGATATTATTGCTGACACATGAATACCAGCAGGCGATGGTTCCAATCTCGCATTGGACCATCATCACACCGAGTCGTCATCGGTCTACCCCCCGCCGCCGTCTGATATAAGAAGAGGTGAGTCGTCCCATAGAGCTCGTCGACGAGAAACGTCCTCAGCTTTTCACGACGACTAGGTCGACAGTTGTTGTCGACCATGTCGATGACTGCCACCGGCCATGTCAACGGCTGCTGCCGACTATTTCGAGGACCCTTGCTGTGATATCTTGCTGACCATTGTGTACTAGTATCCGACCAGAGGGATGCCGATATTCCCGAGGACGGGCTCGACCACATCTGTCCTGGGGTTCTCGGCAGTCAGGGATTTGATCAACCCGAGGCCGATATGCTCGAGGACGGGCTCGATCCCATCTGGCCAGAGATTTTCGGTGCTCAGCCCTTTGATCAACCTGATGCCGATATGCTCGAGGACGGGCTCGACCCCATCTGGCCAGAAGTTTTCGGTGCTCAACCCTTTGATCAACCTGATGCCGATATTCTCGAGGGCGGGATCGAGGCCGTCTGGCCTAAAGTTGGATGGACTGTCCTTCCCGGGGAGCTCCCTGGTGATGAGCTATTCCCTGGTGTTTCCCTAGACTCCAGCAACAATGGCGGAAACTCTGAAGGGGTGGCTACCCAAGATGATGGGGTCATCGAGCACGCCAGTCAACGTGCTGAGGGGGAAAGCGCCAAGAACAAAGAAAACGACGCAGCTGGCGACAATAACCCCACCCTCCCTTGGCCGACTCCTGACGCCGAGGGACTGGCTGAAGTCTCTTCTGGTTCTGTTCTAACATTTCCAGAATTTATCCTTCCTCAACCACGTCGTCGTCGGTTCCTCCCCGACACCACCTCACCTTCAATCCAAGCCGTATGTCGAAGGAGTGAGCGTCTTCAGGGCCTTGAGCAACCGAAATCTCTCCTTCCTCCACCACGTCGTCGAGTCCTCACCGACCAAACCTCACCTGCTATCCAAGCTGCACGTCGAAGAAGTGCTCCACTTCAAGCCTTTGAGCAGCCAGCACTTATGCCTCGTCGACCACATCGTCGTCGAGTAACCAACCCAACCTCACCTCCGGGCCCACGTCGTCGAAGTGCGCGTATTCACGCCCTTCTACATCCAACCGAACCCGACAATCGTGACCTGCCTGGCTCATCTCGAACTTCGAGATGATCCAAGCATCTCACAGTCTCATCCATCATGTTAGAGTCAGGGTGTTAGTACACCCCCAATTTCGATCAATCTCCACTCTTTGTGCGCAAGGCACCCTGCCCCATGTCCCCTGAGAAAAACAGAAAACACCAAAAAAAAAAAAAAAAAAACAACGCTCCCCAACACCAAAAAGAAAGGCAAGAGCCAGCACAAGTCCACCTTGTCCGCCAATACGCCTTCAACATCATCATTCACCTCTCCCAGCAGCGAGCGTTCTCCGGCCTCCGCAGGCTCTGGACAGCCTCAGACAGGCATCATCCGACGTGGACTGCCGGTTCATCTTCCAGTCCTTTCTTGAGCACAGTGGCATGAACGCTCCTCCTGAATCTGATCCTGTTTCTCTTCAAACATCCAGCAACAATGTCGATGAACAGGCAGAGGACTTGGAGACCGACAGCAACAGTGGTTTGGATGACACCTGGGCCGTGCCCGTGCCTAACGCCAAGGACCCAAGGCAGCTCGGGATTGGATGGATGTTGACCGGAATTTGACATGTACTTAGGCCGGCAGAAAATGTAACATCACTGTATTACCATTACACAGTTCTCAATAAGGTAGAAAGCACTCCGTATCGTAATACCATAGCAATCTCCAGTAACGAACGCCTCACATCGAGTTACATATGCCCATAGTTAAGCCTTCACCGCTGCGTACACCGCCATTGCTATAACACTCATCGAGCCCCGAGGATAGTACGTACTGAGTTCTTAAACGGAGACATGATGTCGGGGCGACAAGGCCATAGAGAGTGGTCTAGTACTAGTAGAGACTACAATAACATAATAAATAACATTAACGGCACATAACAAGTTGAACTCACCTTCTAATTACGTGCATCTAGTCATGTGTTCATGGCTTGGCGCGACACATGAGCCAGGGACAGCGACCCGCGAACCCCCCAAGTCCAGGCGAATACCTTCTAGGGACGAAATTGGGAAACGACCTAGTGATCTATTCAAGTCTACAATGTACCAGCGCCAAACGCCAGCCGCAGATACCAACCAAATACCGTAAGCAATAGCTTTTTAAGAGAACCTAGAGAGGATACCACAGATGAATAATAAACCACGACGCCTCAGCAGTCGGGACCACTTCATGCTTTTTGATAATGGATACATATTGAAGAGTTGACCTTGCCCACGCTTGAATTCCGTGATCAGCAAGCTAACATAAAAAGAACCCCCACACATCACAGATTCGTAACCATACGGTGGACAATTGGCACAGCACTAGGCGGCAAACTGCCCATCTCCGTAATGACCATATCAACGTACTCAGCAGGCGTAACATCGTACATGATGTTGAGCAGCTGCAGATTGGGAGTGTTTCTCCAGTTTGCAAGAGGGGACGCGGGAGGTTTGCATGAGACAGGCAGCTCAGGAGGCGGGGGACGGGTTGCGCCCTTCTTGCCCTCAGGGGGAGGGGGCACGTAATTATCCGCAGGATCGCAGACGACATACGCGGGGGGAACACCGGCGGGCAGAAGCTCGTCGGCGTCAGCGATTTCGTTAACGACGATGCTGTCCAGAGCGACGCGATCGGTGAACTTGAGTGTCTCGCAGCAGACGATGACGGGGATTTCGACGCCGCTGGCGCGCTCCTTGGCGGACATGGCGACGAGGGCGGTGCCGACGCGCGAGTAAAGGCCGCCGTTACTGGTCATTGCGTGGGCGCCGAGGAAGACCTTTGTGGCGTCTTTGATGGCGTGTGTGATGGCGTGCACGAGGGAGTATTGGACGTCGAGTCCGGCTGCGGCGAGATCGCGGGCGAGGCTTAGGCCTTCGAAGAGGGGGCGGGAGTCGATGATTGATACGCGGAAGCGTTTGCCTTGTCTGTGTGCTAGCAGGAGGGTCTCCTTGACGATGTTGCTGCCTCCGTATGTGGCGATCACGTCGCCGTCTTGGACTTTTTGGGCTGCGCTGTCGGCGATTACCCGGTCGGCGATGGTGATTTTCTCTCGGACGAAGCTGTCGATGAAGCTGCACAGATTGGTCTTGGCGATGGATTCGGGGGTGGATGGATCAACCGAGGCGATGGAGAGTTTCAATGCACGAATGGCATTTCCCTGGGTGATGGAGAGAGGGCGACATGTCGAGAGGTAGGTGATTTGGTGCGAGAGGTGTGTAGTCAGGTGGCGAGCCAGCGATGTGCCCAGAGGAGTAGTGTAAGATTCGATGACCTTTTAAAGCGACTTGTCAGTATACATGGAGTCTTTCTCTGGGGTTGAGCTTAAAAGAAACATACCCTTTTAAAAGCGACCAACGTAGCCACGCAACGCGCACTGCTGCCGCAGACAGTATAGTCGATCAACTGCATACCCAAGGCCAAGATGGCAGGGTGTACTTCCTTCGTCACACCGGCGACAGTGCTGCGACGCTGTTGACCGTACAAATGCCCGAAGATAGCGACCTTCTTATCATCTCTCTTTTTCTTCTGCTCCACGAGGACGGAACCAGTCTGCGCAACAGCACCGGGGCCAGAGCCACGGCGCGCATGCGGGACGCGTGGTCCCTTCTGTGGACTACCAGCAGCAGCGCCAGAATCCTTCTTCGGTGTGGTGGGTAGACGAGGCTGGCCTCCAGCACCAGGAGTGATGGTGACATTGTTCGGAACACCTCCGTCCTTCTCCAATTTCTCTCGGGCGCGCCGGGCAGCCTTCTCAGCCTTCGCCTTCTTCTTTAATTCAGCGGGAGTGAGTGGTTTGTCGGCGGCGCCATCGGTGGGCGCGGGCGCATCGCCGGTGGGCTGGGCGGGTTTTGAGTCGCGGATCGGGAGAGTCTGCGGAGCGACCTCGGTCGCAGGTTGGGACTGCCCTGAGGCTGATGAGAGAGGGGTGGATAATTGCGCAATAGGCGCTGGATTGGATGATTCCGACATTTTGTCTGGAAATCAATTATCGTGTGAGGAAGAGTGATTTGAGGTTGGTGGGGAGAAGAAAGGTGGAGAGTTGACTCACGGAAAAAGAAATGATGCCATAAGCGGCTCACCCGACGGCCGAGCCCTAACTTGCGATTCATCGCGGAGAACAATAGAGACAATTTCAATAGAGACTACCTCAATAGAGAAAACCTTAAACCTACAATAGAGATGGCCTTGAATGAGCAAATTAGTGATTTACTGATTACTCTGGGTGAATCACACTTTCTTATCACAAGACTTGCGAAGTGAGAGATGTAACTCGAACATCGGATACAATCTACCTTCTTACAATGATCATATGATGACTTTCAGTCAAGAGTCAGGCCTGAAAGAAACTCATGATACCAATTATCAATGAAGGTAGTCAGCCTTGAAACATGCATGTCATCAAGTGTCTCATTATTCATCGCAGCAGCTCGCTATCGGAGAAAGAAGTACACACGCTTGGACGCTTCTTGTCCCAAATCAAACAAGTTCTCACAAAGACCCAAATCAGGGAGGCAAAAGAGCAGACAAAAAGTCACCGCCAACTCCGTTCAATCCCTGTACACCAAGAAGATAAAAATAGAGACATATCCACATATCAATGATTGCCAGCAATGGTTCCCAAAGCACGCCGTTTATGAGTCCCAGGGTCTTTGAGCGGACGGAACCGTTCGTGGTCTGTAGCAAGCTTCCGCTTGAAAACACTCAGATCACCAAGGAGATCATGCATATAATTCTGCATCCGTTGGGCCTCCTGCTCGGTGACCTCATCAGTAATTGTGTCATCATCCTCCCACATATCCATATCAGATTCGGTATCTGATACAACGGGGGAGTCTTCAGGGGAGCCTTCGCGATCTTCTGGATCATGACGGGGCGGTTGATTTTCATCACCCACGGTGATGTTGCTTGGCTTTCGCTGATCAAGGCTGATGGCGGGTATTGGGTTCTTGAGACTCTCAAGTGCCAGTTTCAGATGCATGCGTAGAGCGTCATTCTCAGTTTGCAATTGTCGTATCTTGCATTCGCTGACCATTTTGTTCTCCTCCATGAGTCGTTGCATCTTCTCCACCTTTTGCTGATACTCCTCGAGTCTTTCATCGGAGGCTTCAGATGCCCGCTGGTTAACTGCTGCCTGGCTCACGCTGAGCTGAAGGGCGCGAATGGTTTCTGTCATCTCCGCAATCTGTCGATCACGCTCAGCTGCCGTCATTTGGTCCTGGTTGACCCGAGCTCGTGTGCGAATGTTCTTGGCTTGGTCCGCATAGCGAAGGGTAGAGAGTGTTTCTTCGTAGTCTGCAGGCGCGATACAGGCAATCATCGCCGTCTTGGAGTTGCCGCCCAGACTGTCCTTCAATAACCATGTCAATATCGAGTCACGGTATGGTACCAGCTCCTTGCCCTTCCGGGGGCCACGAATCTTCTTCGGATCTGCGAGAGCCGCAATGACACGTCCCAATGTAGTCAGGGATTTGTTGATATTTGCACCCTCACGTAGTCGAGCACCAGTCGCTTCGGTGGATTTGGCGCGCTCGGAACCTGCCAGATCGACCAACCGAATCCGAGCAGTGCGCTCGGTAGTTTCATCCGTTGACAAGTCGTGGTGGATCTGTTTTAAAGTGATAGTAAAGACTGCGTGAGATCGGGATGAGGTGTCGTTCATCTTGGTGCTAGCCGTAGTTCTCGAGACGTCACCCTTTCGCATAAACTTCATCAATTCATTGTAGTTTCTTGCGGTGACTTCGGTCAGGTCCTTGACGTACGGTCCTTCCGATGGCGATTCGCGAATGCGGAGATAATGCGGGGGGTCCGTTCGTGGGACCAAAAGATCGCGAACATGCTCATTGTACACCTCGAAATAAGACACTCGGACGTTGTAGCTGATATCGGGGGAAGGCGAGCTCTCAATGCGCTGAAACAAATCCTCACACGTCCGAGGGATCAAACCAGGTCTTTCTGGCGTTCCCATCATCGTGTAACTCTTTCCCGACCCCGTCTGTCCATATGCGAAGATACACGTGTGGTATCCCTCAAAGTTGTGATCCAAAAACTCCTCACCGAGGGAGTTATACACATCCTCCTGGTGTGCATAATGCTCATCCTCCTCATCATGAGACCAAAAGGAATTGTCGAACGTAAACGATTTATCTTCCCGAACCTTGCCACGAGCCTGCGACTTGGGTATTCCTTGGTCGCCCGGTTTTGGTTTTGGTGCTTTCAGTAATGTCACCTGCGTATTCGGGTCCATCTCAATCAGACATTGGGCCTTGCGCTCGATCTCTGCAAGACGAAGTCAGACAAACATCCTCACATGAGCGCATCTTCGCCCCTTCACACCCATCTTTAACACCTACCTCGAGGTAAGAACTTCCGTACTCGAACTACGACGCGCACATTTCCTCCAGGTGTCGGGCTCGCCATCTCATCTCGGTTATGGGGTACTGCGAATCCCTCCCGCGCGCGGAAGGACGGACTTGACGCTGTGGATCGGAGGGTGGCGGCGGAAGCGGAGGTGGATATGATGCTGGGAGAGGTGATTCCTGTCGCGGCTGATAATTCGGATGATGCGGCTGACGATATCGAGCCCGGGCCCGGGTGGCCGATGTGGTGGTAGAAGCGCGAATCTAACGCCATGTCCCTACTGTTGTGCTTCAATAGCTGTACACAAGAAGTGACGGCGTCGCGTCGTCGATCAAGGAGAGATTGGTACATGCAATGGATTTCAAGGACAATGGGGGATATTTATTATGAATTGTGTTATAGGGGATGTAGAGAATGAGTGAAAGAAGGAGAAGGAGAGGGGTTCGTTACTGTTGCGCGTTGTTTTTCTGGGGAAATTCAGTTCATTGTAAACACACCCCAACCGTTTAAAGCCACATAATCTGCGTTCTGGTAAGGAAAGAATGAAGTTCAAGAAAGAGCGAAGATTGAAAACAATATGCAGTTCCACGGTCCATTTGTGAGGTGAGTTTGGGTTACAAGGCACTAAGTTGTCTACAAGATGCGTTGCCACAGCAATGACCACGCTATCACTCCACATGAACCCACTTTCAACCGTCTTGTATTCTCACATGCACTTTATTTGTCCCTAGCATTAGATTGAGACAAGGTGTCAGACATGTAGTTACAGGTAGTTGCATTCAAATTTGAATCTCTTATGGGGTTATTGGGCTATTATAGTATCCATGAAGGGTTCGATGGGGGAAACTGCTCATAACGCGTCCACGCTAATACAAATCTCAATTTCGGCTTATGTACAAAACCAAGACGATGCAGATTCACACTCAAGCAAAGTCAGAAGTCTCCGCATTCATGGCATCGAACAGGTCAGATTCTTCATCGCCATCGGGCTTTTGCGCCTGTGGAACCCAGTTCGCATCGGGCACTGCATTGCCCGATTCATCCATGTGCTCACTCAAGAGCTCAGCTGGGCCTATTTCGCTGTGAGATGCCTTCTCCGTAGAGTGCGACTTAGTCCTGTCGGCAACTGCCTTGGGGTCTTGACGGAAGACAGCCTCAGTGATGGAGGAAGAAGGCATGATGTATGTCTTCAATGGTTAGAGCGTTAGCCATCACTGTCCTTATAAATCGAGTGTCACCTCCCCACCGTCGTCTCTTGACACTCTTCGATATAATGAGGGGTTGAAGTGGATAGCATACCGAGTATCTGTTATGTTTGGAAATAATTGATTATTCACATTTGATTCTTGATGATTGAGACTGTCAGGATGAGGAGGAAGAGTGTCTCTATTTATGATGATCCGGGGTGGTGGCAATGATTTGACCATGACGACTATATTTACCACCACTTGGGCTATTCCCGCCCTCGCCATTCATAGATGCATCTAGCTATCCCCATCGATTCTGTTCTGCTCTGCAAGAACATTTGGGTGAGCCAGTCACTTGGTGGTACTGGGTGAGCCGGTTCCACGGGTCCTGGGAAATGGCATCAGAGGAGCTTGCCACGAAGGTCTGCTCGGCTGTGAGTCGTTTCCAATATCTAGATGGTGGCGATCGATCCGTATTCATTTGGCGGTTGTTTTTCAAGAGCTTTCCCCAGGTGGGGAGGATTTTATGAGAGCCAGTAATGTACGTGAGATCACCTACAGTACCGCTGGGACGAACAATAACGTTGGTGACCAGCGGCCATGCTGTTGGGCGAAAGCGAAAGAAATCTAACTGTCCGATGTCTTTTGCGGCATGATCGATAGAGCCTTGTCGAAAGGTAAATGCTTGGTAGCTGAACATGTCTATAATTCAAGCACCCGAACGTAAAACCTGTATTAGCATCGATCTATGTCTATCTATCACATGGAGTCGTACACCACCGACACATCTATCTCTCTATAATATTAGCGCCAAGCAGCACACATCCTCATCTATCCGCGCAATCTTTTCGCAGTCTTTTCGCAGTCTATTTCGCAGGCGCAGCCTTCCAGAACAACCACCCGAACGCAGCAACAAGCTTGATGCCAGCAGCCATCCACAGAGCAGACTCCATACCACCACTGCTCTTACTCAGCCAACCACCAACAATCGCACCGATCAGCAGAGCCACAACGCCGCCCACACGACGATTGCGCTTGACATTGCCCGTCGGCTTGTCCGTGATCTTCGGATCCGACGCGATGTCAAAGTAAACACTAGTCAAGACCACCGTCGGAATCTCATTGTATCCCAGCGAACGACTGCAAGTCATTCCACCCGCAGATTGGAAAGCCAGCAACGCGATCGGGATCAACTCAAGGAAGAGCGGACCGCCGTCCAGCTTCGCGTCATCAGAAGTGTGAGGGATGAGATCGGCCTCGATCAGCGCCACAGCGATGATAATGAGCAAAGTCTGCACGAGGAAGGAGACGAAGAGTGTTCCGCGACGGACGGCGCCGACAGCGCGCATTGCGATCGAGAAGATCATCGCGCCGAAGAAGAAGGCCAGGATCGAGACCAGCGACTTCAGCCAGCCGAATGGCTTGTTGTTGGGTTGGTTGGAGGCACCGAGACCGAGGAAGATGGTGTTTCCTATTTGTAGGGGAATTGGTTAGCTGTATTCTGTTGCGCTCGTCCGCACCCCCCTGGCGGGAGAGCGATCGGCTTAGATTTCATACCGGTTTGCATGCCGAGGAAACAGGACCAGGCATTGTATGCGCTGCTATCACATAGGCCTGTGAGGAAGCAGAGGAGCAGACAGACTAGGTCTGCGTGCGTGGTTGTCAGATTCTGCTTCCATCGTTGGGTGACGGTGGTCTTTTGGGCGTCGGGAGCGTCTGGGGAGGCCTCGAGATCGGGTACAACGGGAGTCTCTGTTTGCTTCTCCATTTTGCCAGGGATATAGACTTGAGTACCTTCACGGGTATCTAATTGAGTGACCGTGATCCTGTACAGAGTACTAGCCTGGGATCGTACGATGTACAAATTTTTCACGTTCCTCGACGGCACGAGGCGAGCTCCGTGGCGATCTCCGAGGCGAACACTTAAGTTCTCGGCCTTTGGTCCGATTTCGGGCTTGTTGTGACGGGCAGTACACAGTAGACTTAGTACTCTCACAAATATCTGTTTATCCTATCTTCAATACTATTTTCTGAATTATCTTATGGAAGTAAGTAGTAACTATTTTCAGCACAAAATAGTGGAGCGCTCGGATAAGGCTGAATCAAGGACCCATGGCAACCATCTGACAGCTTGGATCAGACAGTTGAAGTTATCTAAAACGCACCATTCTCAAGCTCCAATGGAACAATTTTCCCATTGATATAACCGGCTGCATTCCAGATTGTGCGCAATTTCCGAGCTAATCACACCAGACTGTGCGGCGTCCGTGCCATCCTTGTAGATTTATGTCCCTGGATCGGGATCACATGACAGTCCGTGCGGGAGAGAGGTCAATTCATCTCTCACTTTAGTGGCTTGCCCTCTTTGCCTCAGTGCCTTCAGACCTATAGAATGAATCACCCGGCCCACTTAGTCGTCAGAGTCAACCGACGACATGAAGCCCTGACAAGTAGGTATCTGGTCAGAGCTGCGGCGCTGCCGGATGTGTGAATGCCCTCCTGTGGACCTGGCAAAGACATCTGCTGGGTGATTGGACCGGCCGTCAGAAGGCGAAAGCTGTCTGAGGGTCGTCAATCGCCGGCGCCGGGTTTGTACTGTGGCTGGCGGAGGTTTAGATGCATGGGTGAGGAACAGCATGAGAAGGCGCGTTCATGCCACTGTGCCCAAGAAAGGACTAGAAGATGTACACAGTACCGGCAGCCTGCAGGCATCTCGGCGGCAGCTTGCGGCTTGCGGCTTACTCTTGTGATTGTTAACGTTGGATGGTGCCTCTACAGAGGCTGCAGAGTTCGGAGGACGCTCGCTGCTGCGAGGGATGATTGAAGGTGTATTGGCGGAGGAGGTGGACTTGTTACGGCTGTTGCTCTTCTTTTTTACGTGGGGGAGCGTTGTTTCTTAAGAAGTTAATTTTTTTTTTTCATTCTTTTTATTGCTTTATTTTTTCCTTAGGGGTATGGGGCATGGTGCTATGCGCACAAGAGTGGAGATTTGATCACAATGAGGAGGTGAGCTAGCGCCCTGACTCTAACAAATGGTGGTGGACTGTGAGCTCACGAGGGACCTCGCACTGACGGATCAACTGTCCGCGGAAGGTCCATCTGACAATCAGGGTCTGGTTGTCGGGCCGGTTTGGTTGTAGAGGGGCCTGAATACACGCACCTCTTCGACGTGCGGGTGAGATCGTAGGTGAGGTGCTGTCGGGGAGCAATCGACGACGACGTGGTGGAGGAAGCATAGGGTCCCAAGATGTTGGAACACAGCCAGAAGAGACTTCAGCCAGTCCTTCAGCGGCAGGAGTCAGCCAAGGGCGGGTGGTGTCACTGTCGTCTGGTGCATTGTTTGCTCTGTCCCTGGCTCGTTCCCTCTCGGCGCTAATATTTCCGTCATGAATACGATTCATGACGATGCTTGCTTCCTCCGCACGTGGGAGGAATCGAAGACGACGTGGTGGAGGAAGCATAGGGTCCCAAATTGGAACAGGACCAGAAGAGACTTCAGCCAGTCCCTCGGCGACAGGAGTCGGCCAAGGGAGGGTGACGTTACTGTCGCCGGCTGCGTCGTTTTCTTTATCCTTGCCACTTTCCCCCTCGTCGCTAATATTCCGGTTCTGGTCCTGCATCGTATTCATTTCATCCTGCTCAACATCCCCTTCTTTGCTTTCTCCCTCACCACATTGACTGGCATTCTCGATGACCCCATCATCTTGGGTAGCCATCCCTCCAGAGTTTCCGCCATTGTCGCTGGACTCTATGGAAACACCAGGGAATAGCTCATCGTCAGGGAGCTCCCCGGGAAGGACATCCCATCCAACTTCAGGCCAGACGGCCTCGATCCCGCCCTCGAGAATATCGGCATCAGGTTGATCAAAGGGTTGAGCACCGAAAACTTCTGGCCAGATGGCATCGAGCCCGTCCTCGAGCATATCGGCCTCGGGTTGATCAAATCCCTGACTGCCGAGAACCTCTGGACAGATGAGCTCGAGCCCGTCCTCGGGAATATCGGCATCCCTCTGGTCGGATACTAGTACACAATGGTCAGCAAGATATCACAGCAAGGGTCCTCGACATAGTCGGCAGCAGTCGTTGACATGGCCGGTGGCAGTCATCGACATGGTCGACAACAACTGTCGACCTAGTCGTCGTGGAAAGCTGAGGACGTTGCTCGTCGACAAGCTCTATGGGATCACTCACCTCTTCTTATATCGGACGGCGGCGGGGCGTAGACCGATGACGACTCGGTGTGATTATGGCCCAATGCGAGGTTGGAAGCATCGCCTGCTGGTATTCATGTGTCAGCAATAATCTCTACGCGAGCTTTGTCGACGCGATCGGACAGCGAGTCGTCGATATCGATCGAGACTGGCAGGTTTTGGGATGGGGGATGGGGGGTTGATGGTAAGACTCGGGCGACTCACTCTTCTCTGGGGACGATGGCCAGTTCACCATATCCATCCACGATGATGTTTTATCCATGGTCGACGACAAATCTTTTCAGTGGATCGTGAGGGGATTAAGCTGTATGCCTTGGTGTTGGTCAGCGATGATTGCAGAAGTCCAGGGAGAACACTTACAGAATTTGAGGTTGATGGAAAAGTGATGAATCTTTCGTGTCGCATTTTGAACTTATGCCCCTCTTCGACTCTGAAGTTGTCGTTGACGGGTGAATCGTGAAGTGCTCGGCGCCGAGTCGAGGCTTAGGGCTACCTAAGTTGGCAACTACATCGACACATCATTTTGACCGGCGCCTACTCAGCCTGGAAATTTTGCTATCCTCCTATTGCCTACTCATGTTGAGTAGAACTTGTCCAACTATCGCCGACCAATATTAAGTCATGCAGGCTAATCCCATCATGATCCACCGAAAGGATATGTCGTCGCCGATGCATAAAACATCATCGTGGATGGATAATGCTGACTTGCCATCGTCGCCAGAGAAGAGTCAGTCGCTCCAAGTCTTGCCATCAACCCCCCATCCCCCATCCCAAAACCTGCCAGTCGCGGTCGATATCGACGACTCGCTGTCCGATCGCGTCGACAAAGCTCGCGTAGAGATTATTGCTCACACATGAATACCAGCAGGCGATGCTTCCAACCTCGCATTGGACCATAATCACACCGAGTCGTCATCGATTCTGATCGTTCAAGGTAGACAAAGGCCTCAACGTTGAAGCCATTCGTGTATCTGACCAGACATTTAGCCCGTCCTGTCTGTCCTACAACCCTGCGACATCAACCTGTACGTGGACTGCTATAAGACGATAACGACAGTTCAACGGGATATCAGTTCGTACTAAATCAAGACATACACAATCGCTATGCTTCTCTGAAGGTATTCCAACTCTGTCGCTAATCTAAACACCCGATTGCGCCGCAGCCGCGGCCATATGGGCGTGAGGCTCCAAAGCTATACCATTATGGACACAGAGGTTGCTGTCTTGGGTATATGACTGTCAATCGCCAAGGGTTAGCATATAGTCTGTAAGGCAGCAGGGACACAGGCAGGGAGTCAATAGAAATTGTCAACACAAGTTTGAATTCAGAACAATTTGACACCGTATATCATTGGATTGTTAGTACATAGTCACAACCGATATCTGGTGAGTGGAAGACCGACTGACTGACTTGAGTCTTGAGGTTGAATTCTTGACATCAACGCGTAACAACCCGAATAGATGTTGATGAAGATGTGTTTGAAGTTGGTTCTGTGAATGTATAGCTTCCACAGTTAGGAGAGGACGTGTTGTTATTGTTGCTTAGGAACGCGTCTGTCCGGTTATCATATGACCGTGGTCGTGGTGGTGTTGGTGTTAAGCGGGGCTGGGCATCCTCCAGTGGAACGTTGACTCCTGTTGAGGTGATCCCAAATGGTAAGTCCGCAAGTTGGCTATTCAGTATTCCCTTCCATCGGGTACTTGATGAGTAGATCTTGGAGACCGAATGGGACTTCCAGGTCTCATGATACGAACAGTATCGCCACCGACTCGATGAGAATCCACGCTGGCTCTTCTTCCGGTACTTCTACTTAGTTTAAGACAGCGTGAGGCTTATTCGTGCCCTTGAGTACCCAGATATCGATGTAAATGCGCATGAATACAACCTAGGCAGTGAGCAACTACATTGACCCATCATTTTGACCGGCGCCGACTCGCCCGCCACGAGCATCATTGCAATTTTTGTTTTTCCCCTTTTGCCTACTTACGTTGGGCTGAAATTCTACAATTATCGCCGACCAATACCAACTCATGCAGGCTAATCCCATCATGAATCATGATCCATGAACCAGACTTTTGACTGTAAGGTTGTTGTCGATTCGTCGCATCCCAGGCAACTACAGAACACCATGACGGACCATTTCTGCTTTCCTCTGGGCAAGGGCGTGCTCATCTAGAAGTATGTACTCTTCTATCATTCTGATCTTTCAAGGTAGACAAAGACCTCAACGTTGAAGCCATTCGTCTATCTGGCCAGACATCAGACATTTAACCCGTCCTGCCTGTCGTACGAACCTGTGAAATCAACCTGTGCGTGGACTACAAGGGCGGTGCCCGTAGATGTCGATAACGGGGGTAAGGTTCAAAGCAGTTTGTTATTGCTTCTAGATCAATCACTGTGCCTCTCTGAAGGTATTCCAACCCTGTCGCTAATTCAAACACACCATTGCGCCGCAGCCGGGGCTATATGGGCCTGAGGCTCCAAAGCTATACCAGTATGGACACAGAGCCAGCCCAGTAAGCGATACAAACAATATGAGACATTGAGTTGCAGACAATGCATAACCTAAGGCATGAAGGAAAACGAACAGGGTACATGTTCAAACCAACAGTTCCAGGCGGATTTGGAAGACATCGGACAAACGGTGTGCAACCAAGAACAGCAAGCCCTATAATCAACCCAATATCATCTTGCGACCAGCCCCGGACTTCCACCCATTGTCCTTATGGGTGCCTTTCAAGCCTGTTTCAAGCCTGAGGGCCCCGATACTTGTCAAAGCCCGAACGCAGTATTGACGGGCACCCACCTGGGCAGCGTGGCACCCTGCCGGAAGAGCATCCTAGCACCTGGAAAGCCGGCAATGTGGTTGATGGAAGGAACGAAGGCAACTAAGGCTCCTTCTACACATAGCACCGGAGACAAGTATGTGTCACGTGGGAGCACGTGTACAGCTCAGAAGTGTAGGTAAATCGCGTGACCACGTTGATAAATACTGCCTTCGCCTCCATCCTCTTTCTTCTTCTCCTTCTCTTTCCGGGTACTTACTTAGCCTTGGTGTCTGTGATCAAGAAGACAGGCACCACAGGTGGTCCTCCCACATTGCACATCGCGGGAAGACTATCTGGTCGCGGGCAACCGTCGATAGGCATAATTTTTGGCACTTCCCCATCAGGGGCCCATCTTTTCATCAATCAGCGAGCCAATGGCACGGGATTGGAGAAGAGATTTTCATCGCATATGCCTCTGTGTGACGTGTCTTTGAGCGCGACTTCATCCGGTAGAGATACACAAACAAGTTTGCCCAGCTCGCTCCTTCCATGCATGTAAGTAAGTCGCGTGACATCGTCGATAAATATCACCTTCACCTCCATCCCCTTTCTTCTTCTTCTTCTCTTCTTCTCCTCACCTCATGCGTGGCTTGGTGTCTGTGATCAAGAAGACAGACACCCAGATGGTCCTCTCACATTGCACATCGCGGGAAGACTATCTGGTCGCGGGCAACCGACGATAGGCATAATTTGTGACACTGGCAAGATCTGCTGAAATAACAGAGTCCGATAACTCCGAATCAACAAGATAACAGATAACTAAGCTGAGGAGAGAAGAGAAAGGAAGAAAACAAGAAGTGACGGGTCACGGGAGACAAAAGACAAAAGATTAACTAACTGCACCAACCAACCCCAAGTCACGTGATCTGTCTCTGAGTTCTGGTCCTGACTCGAGACTCCTGTCTCTGTCATATGATCCCATATGATCCATCCCATAACTTTTGGCATTTCCCCCATCAGGGGCCTATCTTTTGGCTTTTCATCAATCCTCGACAGGGTGAAGGATGAAGCAGTCAGCAGACGTCAATGGTATGCCATACAGCCATAATGCCAGGACTTCTCGCACTCGGTGCACCAGGGGATCTCGACAGTCACTACCCCGTCCTTAACGCCGATGTACTTTATTCCCTTATTGCTTCTGGCACCGAATCAAGAGAAGGTCGCGATAATGCTGTGCCGATTGTCCAACTCCACCGTATGGTCACGAATTCGTGATGTGCCAGCGCACTGCCAGGTGCCTCCGTATGCGGCATGTCGGGGATTTTTTATTTTCGCTTGCACTGCAATATGATCACGGAATACAAGCGTAGCACGGTAGCATTAGCAAGGTAGGTCTTCATCATATGTATTCTGAATTAAATGGAAGCAACGAAGTGGTCCCGACTGTTGAGGCCGTCACGCGTGAGGCGTTGCGGTTTTATGCTTTGCTGTGTTATCCTTTCGTCTCTTGGAAACTATTGCTTATTATTTTGGCATCTACCTGGCATTCGGTGTTGGTACACAAATTACTGGCTAGATGTGGGCCACTCGCTTGGCAGGCCATTCTCGCCCAAGCGAACGAGGTCTCTGTCTCCACTGTCAATATATCGTTGTTCCGGCCAACGATGGCGCGATATCCCGTCAATATGGCTCATGCCGGGGCAAAGCGCAGGATGTTAAACGATACTTAGCTATGCAGTGTTTCCTAGCGGAAATTTCTGCTCCCATCAGTCAATATGGCCTCCGAAATCCCTTCACCAGGAGCGAGCACCCCGATCAAGACAGAGGAAAAAAGCCCTCGGGTTCACATTCAGCCTCCTGTCGGCGGCGATGCTGCGCTGCAGTTACTGACTGAAGCCGGTACGGCCGGTGTCCTTGACCCTGAGACATCCAAACGACTTCTGCGCAAGATCGATCTGTACATTCTGCCACTGATCTGCATCGTGTACTTCCTCCAGTACCTGGATAAAATCGCCATCGGCTACGCCAGTGTCACGGGCATGCCCGAGTCAGCGAATCTCGTGGGCAACCAGTTCAACTGGGTATCGAGTGTATTCTTCTTCGGCCAATTGGCCTTTGCATTCCCCACGATGCGCCTCGTGCAAGCATTCCCCCTGGCCAGATACGTCGCCGTCAATGTGACCATCTGGGGCGCCATTTTAGCCTCCATGGCCGCGTGCCGTTCATACTCTTCCCTACTAGCTTGCCGCTTTCTTCTCGGCGCCGCAGAAGCCGCCGTCGTCCCCGCCTGGGTGGTCTTCACCTCGCAGTGGTACCGCAAGGAAGAACAAGCCTTCCGCGTGGGGCTATGGTTCAGCATGTGTGGATGGGCGCAGATGTTTGGCGGGTACGTGGCGTACGGCGTCGCGATTCACGTCGGCGCGGATCCAAACTCGCCACTGCGTGGCTGGCAGGTAATTTTCCTGATCCTCGGCCTATTGACCGTCGTGACTGGAATTCTCTTCTTTTTCATCTTGCCTGATTCCCCCGTCACTGCGGGCTTCTTGACGCAGAAGGAAAAGGCAATGCATGCCGAGCGTCTTCGTGGCAACGGCCAAGGCATCGGCACTAATGTCTTCAAGAAAGCTCAGGTCTACGAAGCCCTCAGAGACCCCCACACCTGGCTGTATGCTTTCTGGGTCTTGGCGGCAAATGTGCCGAACTCCATTGCCACGAGTTTCGGTAACACCCTCGTCACTGGCATGGGCTACTCGAAAACCGATAGTCTCCTCCTCGTCACACCACTCGGTGCCTACGAGGTGGTGGTTTTGGTCGGTCTGACGTATCTGGCTATGAAGACCAAGCACCGGCTCTTCTGGTGTATCGTGGGTCACATACCCGGTATCGTCGGTGCGATTTTGATGGCGACGACCAATAAAGCCCCGGCACTGGTGGGATACTACCTCTCCGGAGGTATTCCTATCGGCTGGACGACGATCCTTGCACTCACTAGTACGAATGTGGCTGGATCAACCAAGAAGATCACGGTCTCCTGCATCCAGACGATTGCCTACACTGTCGGCAACATCATCTCGCCCCAGACCTTCCAAGCCAGAGATGCTCCTGGCTACTTGCCAGCTAAGATCTCGATCGTTATCCTCTATTTCCTTATTACGGTGGACCTGGGCCTTATCTGGTGGGTGGGGGCCCGGGAGAATCGCCGCCGCGATCAGGAGCGGGAGGCGTTAGGTGCTGCGTACACTGTGCCGGAGAACCAGGAGTTCCTTGATCTCACAGATCGGGAGAATCGGGAGTTCCGTTATGCGATTTAACATGATCTCGCTGGGTAGATCTGTGATTGGGCGTGGCCAGTTGAGGGAAGTAGATCAAAAAGCTCAGTGCAAGCTCTCTATTCTCATGGTTTCATTTGATTGGGTACTTATATAGAAAGTCTAGACATACATGTACTGACTACTGCTGAATAGAACTTAGAGTGAAGGCAACACCTTGAACCAATGTACAAAGTTATCGATCACGACAGCAAAACTCCTTTCAAGAAAATCAATCTACAAATTTCCAAGTCCTCTCAACCTCACAATCAACCCCAGTAATATCCCCCCACTGCAAACCCCCCAAACCTGCGGCCTCTCAACAGCATCAACAAAATGCTTCAAAGCCAGCACCATCTGCCCCGCCCATCGCTCCTTACTAACCCTCCCAATCCCAGTAGCCAACGGCGTCAGCAGCACCCTCTCAATCTTCTTTCCCTCTTCAGACGCAGAGCGATTAAACCCCTCAACCCGACACAAAAGACTCCAAACACACTCATAAACAACCTCACGATCCCACTCCACATTGCCCGGCTGCCTCATCGTCGGACACATAGCCACCCACTCACAGCCGTAAACATTTTTTTTTAGTTCTTCGGGGAACTCGACAAGCGTGCACGAGCCGGGCGGTGCGAACCCTCGCCATTTTTCGTAGAAGACCCTCTGTGCGGCGCGGGTTAGGGCGTGGTAGTCGTTGCGTGGGCTGAAGGTTAGGGAGATCGCGTTGTCGAAGGCGCCGTCGAGGCGGGCGTAGGAGTTTGCCGGGGAGACTATTAGGTTGAAGGTTGTGCCTGCGGGGAGGGAGTTTAGGCGTTCGTTTATGGGGGTTATTTTTATTTTGGATGAGTGTTCCGGCCAGAGTTGGGTGATTGTTTGGTTGAAGGTTGTTAGGAAGGTGGCATCCACGCAGAGGAGGAGGATCTCGGGGATGTTGGATGTCATTTTTGGGAATTGGGGGTTGGTGGTGGGAGGATGGGGTGAGGTTGGAGGTGGGTATTTATAGCGTAGCTACGGAGTAAAAAGGACAGATTACTTGTTTTAAAGGCTGGAAGGGACGATATCGATAATTGGATGGTGTAGGACTGTAGGTGGTTGTGTAGGATGAGCTCAAGGCATCAACCATTTACACAGCCCCCCGTATGTGGGGGCTTAAAATGGCTAGGTATGTCATTTTTCGTACCTAGGAGATGGAGCTAGCATGCAATAGAATGCATAGTAGGCGGCTATATTCTCTGTGAAGCTAAACAGTTACACATCGTATCGGATGCTCATGACATGATCGCCAGGCAGAAATGGAGATTCGGACATCAGTTGAACTATGACTTTCCTGTTTGAGAAAAATGCCCTATGTTTCTATGATCCTAGAACCTGGGATCTGATGATAGCTACGATTGACAAGCTTCAAATGTGCATGTAAATTTGTGCAAAATGCTCTACTATATAACTCCATGTACAAAGTGAACTCACTCGTCCAACCCAATATCCCTCTCTTTCCTAAGAGTGACCTCTTCCCCAGATTCAGCCCCTCCAACAGCCTGACTCTCCTGAGTCGACACATACCGAACCAAGCTTTCACACAACCGATCCAGAACCCATTCCGGTTCCGACTGTTTGGCAACCAGGGGGCTATTCTCTCCGATCCAATCCCAATTGACAAGCCCATACTCGTCCTCTATATGGACGTGGCTTTCCTCATTTGCCGCTCCTTGTGAAGCCGATTCCCTCGACCGCGGATCAGTAAACTGAATGAGACGGGTAAACTCGACCCACTCTTCATATGAGTAGTGTTTCCGCTTACTTTCCCGGGCATGTCTCGTGACGCGGCGAATAGCAAAGGCAAGCTGTTGCGCAAGCTCAAGGGACGACGGATCGCGGGCAAGTTCCTCGAGGGTTTGGCGGGGATGGGACTCGGCTAAGCTATCATCGTGATGAGGCTGACCAGATTCCACAGAATCTGAACTGGCATCGGCAGCAGCGCCTTCGAGTGTAAATCCAAGCTCGACCCGCTTTTTGCTCTGGCGAGAAAGTATGAACTGGGGGAGGCCGGGGATCCGTGCCAAGAATGACTTGTAAAGGTGCGATTGAGGGAGGATGAGGTAGTTGGCGACTACTTCGGTGCCGTGCTTGAATCTGGCGACGACTGTGTCACTCATTTGGGAAATTAGCATCGTCATGGTTGGAATGGCGATTAGAGACCATAGTACGAAGAATGGTCGGGATGCGTTGGACTGCGGTGTGAAGTCTCCGTAGCCGATGGTCAGCAGGCAGCAGAAGCAAAAGTAGAGCGATTCGAAGTAGGTCATGGGCTCTAATTGCCAAAACACTACTGCTCCGCAGGACCACACGATTCCGAACGCAATGATGCTGAGGATCAAATTATTCCAGCGACGGAAGCGCATGGTATCATGCTGGATGCGACGCATAGCATCAAACCGGTCTTTTTCTTCACGCATGACAAGAAGTCTGGGTCGACGACGATTTGGGGTAATTGCATCGATGGTGTTGCGAAATGGTCCATGGCGCCTGGCTGATGTGTCTGTTTGGTGAGCGAGAGTAGGAGCACTGATCTCGCCTTCGCTGCTCGGGCGTTTCCCGGATCTGAACTCGTCACGGCTGATTGATCGCTGGAAAGTAGAGTGCCGTTTATGTTCAATGTGTTTCCGAACGACGTTATCGTAGTGAACCTCGCGTGCGAATTTGTGAATGCTCCCCACAATCAGACCGACAATGATGACCCCAATGACTGCATACGGCCAGAGAACGCCGCGGGCAACAGAGCTAGTGGCAGTTATATCACCAAATCCCAATGTGAGGATGGTGACATCGCAGAAGTACAATGCATCCGCGAAAGAGATTCCTATCGCTTGCTGGAAAATGGCAGCGCCGATTAAAAGCCAACATCCCAATGCACTCATCTGTAAGATCAAGGTTCGCTGCTCGTCAGTCAATGAGAAATGCTGCGGGTATTTGCCCAGAAAGTAGCCCAGCATGTTGATCATGAGGATGGAACTCAAGACAAAGTATAAAATTGCTGCAATGACGGCACTCCAGTATGCCTCAGAGTACAAGCGATCTGGGCCTATCGGTGGTGCATAGATATTGGTAGCAAGGGTAACGCCGCATAGCTATAGAGAGCATTAGTTCTGGAGCGTCAGAGACCAGATGAGATACCTACAATACCAGTGGCACTGAACCACAAGATGATAGTCACCGGCAAAGCTATAATATAGCGCACGACCTGGGTGAAGTTGAAGAGAAGAAAGGCATTGCCCACGATCCCGCAGACAAGCGAAATTGCATTCAAAGCAGTGATCCTATTTGCGGCATTAGAGAGTTGTTGTTGCTGATAGATGTTGCTCCATCCATACCAGTGAGGATCCGGATATCCTTCTTGGACGAAAGTTCCAGCAGGACCCTCATTCATCGTGATGATCTTGCTTCGCCATGGCATAACCAGTGCCACAATTGACATGACATTGGCAAGTGGCCCTGTTGCAGCAGCTACCAGGGGAATAGCCGTCGATGCTACCCACCATGACTGTGGTTCATCATCTTCAGGCGGTCTCATGGTAAACTGACTCCGAAACCGTTCCCACACTGATAGCCCATCAGAGTCGTTGTCTTTGGGTGTCTCAACTGTAGTGGATCCATGCTGCATTGTTCTGTTTGCATGACCATGCACGCAGAATAAGCAGCTGGATGTTCGGATATTTCTTGCAAATGCGATGATCGGTGTTCGCAATCTGTTTCTCCGCTGTTTGAGAACTGAGGTTCAGTTGAGGCGTGGAGAACTTCAATGATCATATCCTCATCTGTCGGCGATAGAACCTCTCAACAAGGAAGAAATGCAATATGTTGATAATTGTGCGCTTTTAAAGTGCAAACAATTGAATGCATGTCACGAGCGATGCCAACTTTGCCAAGCTTTAATAAGGATGGACCATCCCCACATCTGCCACATGCGTCATCATTATTTCGGCTGCAAGACTCCGACCCCACTACACACGTTTACACAGTACGTTGCTCCCGAGTCGTGCTATTCTTGGTCGCTGCCATTTTGAAGAATTCAATGACGGATGAGAAGATATTGATTGTGGATATGTCGAGATTTCTGGATAGCAGGCAGTTGTTTGCGCCCCGACGCCGGACGGCACCGGGCACTGGAGTTTTGAAGCACCGACTCTAAGAAGACTCTTATCTTGTTTCTGTTATGTCAGTACTATCAACCAGGAGACGCAAATAGACCTATACAACAAACAAAAGACGAGTTGAGAGTGACTCAGTGCGCCGTTCAAAGATGTCCACAAGTCTGGAAGCTGCAATCTCGTGTACCAAGGTTCTTCATAACCCACATTAATTCTTCCGAATAGCCAAGAAGAGGGTAACCCCTTGGACATAGTATTAGATCTGCTTGTGAGATCAACCATAAGTGAGTCTACCTCCGAGTTTAGTATATGCTATAATGCTACAAGCCTACAACTAATCGCGGCTTATGCAAAGATATGGATCTGACAAGACAAATAAGGTTGCATGAGCACATGGCTTTACCCAAAAGAAAACGGGCGGAGATCCACCTCATGTTATCGGGTTTGTTCCCACCTCCAAAGCCAGTCGCCTTCTGCGCACATACGCTCTACCTCGTAATTGTCTTAGTCTAAGCTATCCGGACTCTTAGACCCTTTTCTCGGCTCGCCTTTGAGTCAATATCTCACACAAGCTCGGTATCATTCCAGAAATCCAACCAAACAGAAGATCAAGCATCCTCCATCTATCAGGCACATTTTCTCCTCTTGATCACTACCTCAAAACCAATAACACCAGACACTTTAATTCCCAGGCCAACTATCTATACTTCCAACCCATCGCACGTACAAAAACCATACAACAAATCCTAACACCCTCAGATACACAGTAAAGCCAGAAATCAAATATTCAACCCCTCATTATCCCCCACCCCTGCCCTGCCCCTCAATCATGATTGGCTCCTCGGGTATGTATCTCGAACGTGCATATCTCCGTACTGCATGAGAAAATTCCACAGGTCCAAGCCAATAGCAAGCACCGCTCCCCGGCATCGTTACATGCCGCAAATCAAAATCATCGCAGGGGCCTACACTTATATTGAAAAATGTGACATCAGCCCCCCGTCATTACGGAGACAGTACCTGCTTTGAGGCTTGCAGGCAAACGGTCAAACCGGCCGATCTAACATGATCAGCCACTGAGCCAACGTCGAGCTGAGGGGGTTCAAGTAATTGTTATGCTGGTAGCAGGGGTTCGTTCTATGCATGTTCAACTTACTGTAGGTCGAAGATTATAACTACTAGGCGGGGTAATTGATCCACTTTTGTACTGGGCAGTGTATCGATGACTTGCCGCTGAGGGGAGGGGTAGCTATCACATCACATCACTTACCCATCTAGCATAGGGTGTGACCGTTACCTTTGTGGTTTACGTGGAAATAATATCTGATACAGGTGAGTACACGAGTAACTCTGGAGAGGACAAAGTATAACGAGTGTGGTTTGGTTCTATCGGATGTTGGGGGTCGTCTTTCTATGTACAACCCGATTTCTCCTCCGACCCAACATCGACATGAAAAAAGCAAACAGAGTGCGTGAATGACAAAGGAAATAAGCAAAAGTTTCGAAATCAATAAAACGTATATGAGACGCAAGATGGTATCATCGAAGCAGAGTGACACGGGACTTCCAGACAGAAGCGGATCTGCCAGAAACGAAATTAAATGAAGACGCCAGAAATGAATAGGACGCCGTCCTTGAGAGAAAAGCAAAAAAGCGAAGGCGCCGAGACTCAACAAAAAATTCAAACTGTCGTCCACCCTTGGACAAGCATCTATGAATCGAAAAGCCAGATCAACACGCTCCAAATGCGAAGTGTCAAATGCTCCAGTAAGAAAAGCAGTAGGAAATGTCTCTCTCTCTCTCTCTCTTTGGGGTATCGCTCCTTCGGCAGTCGGTATAAAAAGAATAATAAAATGAAATCAAGTATGAACATCCTATGCAGCCGTCGGGCGACGCAGGATATCTTCGCAGTTGGCGTCAAAGCGCATGTTCCAGAGACGGATACTGTTCATGAGCTTCTCGGTACTTTCAAGCTCACGGTCGCGACCGAAAATCGATTCGACAAATTCGATACCGGCATTGCGACCCATCGATACAGGTCCCTTGCCACCTTCTCGCTTGGCGGCCTTCCACATGTAAAGTTCGCAGTTCTTGAGGAGCTTCTTGAATCGGGACCAGAGACGCTCGCCACTTTCCAGGAAATCCTCGACGACTTCCTGCGCCTCCACGCGCTGAATGCGAGGGAGACATTCGTCGGCCCGCTTTACTTTGCCCGCCAGCTTAATCAACAATAGCCACAAGTCGCCCGCGACGTCGGCCATGGGCGTTGAGGCCCCGTGATGAAAGACGGTCCAGTCGTAGATCCACTTGCCGAGGGAGTTGGCGTCGAATACACTGCCGAGGAGGATGATGGGTGCCTCCGTGGGGTCCCAGTTCTTGATCGAGTAACCTGCGGGAATCCCTGCGCGCTCGGCGTCATCTTCGGTGGCGATGGGTGGCGGTTTGGCTGTGGCAGGAGGGGGTTTGGGTTTGTTGGGAGTGCGAGTTGAAGTCGACTGACGTCTGGAGCGGGAGCGTCTGGCCGCGTCGATGTCCTCGGAGTTAGGAGCCTGGGTGAAGTAAAAGTGAGAATCAGCTGGCTGTGGTTTGCGGTAAAAGGTCGAGGTGGTGCGACGATGCTGGCCGGAGCCTTCTCGAGCGGGCTTCGAAACCGGGGGACGGCCTGGGCGACTGGGACGGGGCTCGCGGGTGGTGGTGCGCGGGACATCGAATGCTTCGTCGACCACATCCACGAAGATGGGTCGGGTCTGCGGCTTCGACGGCTGGTATCCATAGCCGAGGCCATCCCCCGTAGGATGACCGGTCGTGGAATGGTATCGGTGGTGTTTGGGCTTTCCCGCAAAAGAAGCACTTACATGATCGTGCTTTCGCGATGGAATGCCATAGTCTGGGGTTGCTTCGTAGAAGCCGTGGGGGTAGCCCGAGTAGCATGGCGTTTCTTTGGTAGCCGTGTAACTGGCCTTGCGGTTGTGTCGTCGCGAGGTGCCCCGAGGTGAGGTGTAGGAGTTGGCGAACTGAGAGGCGTAGTAGGCGTATTGAGGTGAGGTAGGAGGCGATTGTGTGTAGTCGTAGGTTGACCACCCGTGTGGTGGACTGGAGTAATGGTACATTATCGCACGAGCATATGGAGCACCAGGCGATCAGATGTAAATGGAAGCGCAAGCCGAGAAATGCAAAAACGGTCCAGAAGCAGTTTTAATGAAATCAAGGGAAAAAAAAGAACACCAAGTATATTGTACAGGATATCGTGCACCCAAACAGAGATCGACGCCGACTTTAGGAACTGCAGGTCAGATAGGTTTTTTTTTTGTTTTGATAGGACCGTCACCGTGGTACGGTTTCCGATCGAAGAGAAGAGGGTTGAAACTGAATGTGCTGAGAGAGCATTTGAACGTTCTTCGGTCAATCCGAGGAATAGAGAGAGTCCGTTGAGGGGATCCCGTGGAGAATCCAGTACTCCTGTTGATAAAGGAGCTTTTGAGGAAAGAAAGAGCAGAGAGTTCTCCGCTCCAAAAGATGTAATGGCTTTGGTTTCAGTGGAGAGAGGTGGAGAGGGAAAAAATTCAACCCAAGGATGAAAGGGAAAAGGAAAGGAAAAGACGGATCCCAAGTCAGCGCCAGTGATATTGGCACAGGCCAATCAGTGTGTCCGCTAGTCACCAGCGCGTGTGAGTTGGCTTTGTGGGTTGTGGCGTTTGGATACGTCCTTACATGTATTGAATTTCTTGAAACTCAAGGTAATCTATTCATTGTGTCTTGAAAGAGTTATTTTATTTGAGATATTATTATTTCCGCCATAGGGAGAATACTCCGCTGGTTTTATAGCTGGTTCTCGAGGTCAGACTCATTATGACTCAACCACCAGTGGCAAGCACTATCGAGTGACCATTCTGGTTGTAACCAGTACTTTCTCCATCGCTCGCTAATCCGTTCTATCCCAAGACCAGCGACTCTCTCCTACCCCTCAGACTAGTCCCGATGGAGACTCTTTACCCCCGAACTCCAACTACAACCTAACCCGCTTGGCTGACTGCCCCTCAGGTATATCGGGCAGCAGTTAACTGGATTTTCTTCGATATCTTTGACTTTGACTCTGCAAGATACAAGGCAACTAATAAGCGGGCTGTTTTGGCTTTTCCTGAACTGACTCACTCCAAAAGGAAGACAAGAAAACAGGCCTGATGTCGCCACTAAGACGTAGTTTAATTTGCAAGAATCTCACTGGCTGCCTTACAGATGTCGGCCGATGGAGCAAAAATAGGTAACCCCTCTATTAGCTGGCGTGTCGCAGTTGGGTTGGATGAGCCCAAGGCCATGTGCTCGACTTCCAGAACCAGGGCTTTTTCCATGCCTTGTACGATCCATCTGCATGAACGCTATCGTTAGTTGCAGCACCACAGGTAATACTGTTGGGGTAATCCTCATATGAACTAAAACATTAATCTATCATACTATCACATAAGGATGAATATACTGCTTGCATGTCGAAGTTATCTACACAGTAGTAGTATAAGCTCCATGTATGCAATGCTCGATGAAACAACCTTAAAGTCGGTTCCATGGTTTGGTCCGACGGCATCCCAGATTTGACGACGGCTCATCCCGTCTCGTCCAGTGGTTCAGACTCCACTTAAACCCCAGAATTTCGGACAATATCAAGTTATCAACTGTAAAAAACACGTACACGTTGCCATGGCAAAAGAAACAGCTAACGAGCTCCATCAGAGTCCTTTCTTACACACACATCCACTTCGCACTGCCATGTTGGGCAACATCACGGGCCATGCATAGGCTTTACCGCCGAGTCGCTGGGCAGCAATCGCTATTTTGGGTAAGAAGACAGAGACTTTACAGACCGCAACTTGATCCGGACTAAGAATCAATGTTCTCCTAAAGGGACAAGAAACCTTCAGCCTAGTTGCAAAAATAGTAAAAGTATTATCAAGTATGAAATCGAGGGCCTCCTTGGCGGCTGTGTACAAGACGTTGGGATCGAAGCCACATAATGGTGAGGCAGTGTTCACGAACCATACGCAAGATTCAGTCATATTTGAATCGCTAGCTGTCGTCGACTTTTAGCATTGGACGCTTCTAGTTTATTTGTTTTGACGTGGGGCACCGAACAATAGGCGACTCGCTGTCATTGCGATCGCAGTCGGGTTCAAGCCCTAATCTTCCTTGTTGGGACTGGTCTGGCACCGGCTAGCGCTACGATATGTACAGTGTGCGTCATCACCGGCAGTGTCTCTTGATTAAGCTATGCCAATATTGCATACGATGATTGCATTAAGAATGTATGACTTTTCATCCATATCCCATGAAAAACATGTCGCTGTATAATGTAAAGTTGTAAACAACTTGGACAAGTCTGCCCAGCCACAATACCACAAAATACAACAGAGCTTTTATTCCGTATGTTCACGCACTGAATAAAGGGGTGAAAGAAGGAATTCCCAGCTGGTCCTTGCTGCCCACACAAAAGAATCCCAAATCCACCCCTGATTCAAGGGCCTTGTTTTTCTTGAATGAGTCAACCCTTCGAGAAAGCCCCCTTGTCTCAGCCAACCAAACAGAGGTCAAAAGCACCTTCCTGCACCGCTGATCATCTAGAGTTGCACATGGTTTAATTTTCGTTCGTTTCTTTTTTTTTTGCTTTTTCCCAGAAAGAAAAAAAAATTAGCCCTCCCGCCTAACATGTCCCTAATCGTGTTCTGCAAGCTAGATCTCACATGCAGGTAACTAAACAGAATTTAACAGATTGTAAAACTGTGAGATGTATCTTCCCAAATCAAAACCCAGACATCACATACACATTCTCCTCGACCCTCACAATGCTACATTCGCCTCCTTCGCCTGAAAGCTGACCCCAGCTGAACAAAGGAATTGATGTGGATATGCCCGGGTAATATTAATCTGCCTAGCGCGCACCAAAACTCGCCTAACAGCGGACCCCAGGATGGAACTTCTGGAACAAGGTTCTAGCTCTAAGACCCAGAGCCGGGACTTCCCATCAAGGCCCTGCACGGGGCCAACGGGCATATTTCCCTCGGCTGTAGGAACATAAACCTTGAATGCCCGCACGGGCACACACACACACACACACACACACGCAGAGGCTTCCTTTCTACGGATACACCGTACCCCGGAGCGAAACTATTGGCTCTGTTTAATTTATATCCCGTGCTTCTTGTGCGACTCGGCTTAGCATGACTCACCGTCATTGTGCAGAGGATCATCACATCTCCATACGGAAAATATAGTGCAACGGAGTCGCCGTTTGACGGGCTCAGCTTCCTTGCGCGTATGGGATGTTGCCTAGATGTTGTGGGTACTTGTATTCCGGACGGATACACCGTACCGCATGACAGATCGATTGTAAGCGGGTTTCAAAGTGGGTCTGTACTTGGGTAATTTTGGGTTTGATATTGAGACTGCCAAGACTTGCGAATGAGAACAATAATGAAGACGGCTTCTTTGTACACAGTACTCCGTACTCCGTAGCATCGCATACATAAAGGTAGACCTCCAGCAGCGACCTTCCTTAATATGGAGTATGGTTCCCCTGAAATTCCATTAAACAGTCTTTGAATAGATATTGGAAGAAAAAGGCTTGTACAATAAGATAGATCATAGCTGTATCACATCCTGCCCCCTTGCACGAGCGGGCCGCGGGAGAGTCAACAAACTTTGCTTTGGATCTGGGTGGATGATTCCTTATTAGCATTTTAGATTAGGCCTGCCGCCTGGAAGAATACTAGCGGTCGGGAAGAACGAGGCAAATTAGAACTTGGCATACACTATTGATTAGGGCTGTTACGGAGTCATTGGTGCTTCCGTCCTAAGTGCGTGCTGATCATGTAGGGCTTGGATGGCTGCCCTTGCCCTGTGCCCTATGTGACTAGCGGTGCTTGGTACTTTTGTTTCGCCGTTGAGGGAATAGCGCCTCCGTTGAGGGACGTAGAGAATCGAGATAGGGAAAGGTCTTTGGTTGGGCTAGACGTGTTTTATCTATCTTCGAGTGGCTTACGATAGATAACCCCTATTATTGGGCCTTGAAAGAAACGGCTGTAACTTCCAAGGTCGGGACAAAGAGGACTTCCATCTTGTAGATAACAGGCCTGATGTTGGACCCAGTGGTCTGGTTCGTTAAGAAGATAAGGATAATCAAGGATGTTTTGGGTTTCAACGGTCGTCATAAGATTGGGAGGTTGTAATCTATGTACTTGTGCGTGTAAAGCGCCAATAATCCGAAAAAATAAGAGTCGATATGTAGACAGCATCAGCCGAAGGCAATAAATACTGTTACACATATAATGGTATCACATTGCTAAAACCCAACATACGAGTCGCTGATCCTTCGAACCAAAAGAAGAAATAAGTCCATCCCACCAGAGTGCTGAAAGCTGACCCGCCAACATAGAGAGTAGCTAGACATTATAAAAGATAGAGAGTAACCCCCTATGCAACCATGTACTCTCCGTCGCCCCGCTTGGCCTGCATCACACGGGACCACCGGAAGGCCTGCGATGCTGGCGCCCTGCCGCTAGCCAGCGGAGGCGGGGGACCGAGCTCGCTAGGATATACTGGGAATGAAGATTCGTCGGAGTGATCGGCCCAGATCCGTTCGAGGAGCTTCAGACAGGAAAGGTTGTTGATGAAGCCCGAGTCCTTGGAAATATCCTTGCAGCGCTTCCGTATGATGGCGCGGTGATCCTTTTGGACGCACTCCGAACCGACAATGAACAGTGGCCACAGCAGATACACATCGGATTGCACGGTGATGATGCAGTGCATGGCGAGCTGGACGAGGTGCTGGATCCGGCCATGGCGCGATGGTAGGGTCGGCTCCGCGAGACGTTCGCAGTAGAGTAGGGCAGCATGACGGAAGCACTCCGAGATCTGGTAGACGTCCTGGAGATTCTCAGGTGCGACTTGATATCCTGAGGTAACGGTCGGTGGCGTAACATAGGTGGTAGAGTTCCAGGTCATTGTGGATGCAGACAACGGAGGTGAGGGGAAAGGAGCTCCAGCAGTCGTAGCAGGTGGGTCGAATCGCCAGGACTCGAGTCGCTGCCTGAGCGAATACCACTCTGTCCAAAATGCTGGGGAGGAAGGCCGACGGGATGAGTCGCTGCTTTGGGGTGGTGTGGGAAGAGTGAATCCGTTGTCCGGTGCGTAGCCCATTCCTGGGTTTACCGTTTCCCATCCGGGGAACAGCATATTAGGAGGGAGAGAGGTGGTAGAGACGGCAGCGTCACTTGGGCGTGCTAGATTAGGCTCTTGGTCCTGACTGAGGAGATTTAAACGTCCCAACTGGGAGATCAGCTTGAATAGACGGCCATCACAGCCAGCCAGGTTCTCTAAGCCCCATTCTCCGTCTGTTTTCGAGCTGATCTCCAAACATGTTCCGCGAAGTTGCACATCACGGTCATTGGTAGTTGCCGTCAACGTATCAAACCACGAGAACATGCGAATGAACCATTTAAGATCATCCGATATGACTCGGGAATGGCGCATTCGAATTGCAAGAAGTCTCGTTACTCCAGCAAACTGGGACCGGAAACTCGCAACACCAGTATCGCAGCCATGGAAAAGACAGAGTATCAACAATGTCGCCAGGACGGAGTCTGACAACCTGCGACGAGGGTCGGCCAGATCGGCATTCAAGGCCTTGACGGCCATCCCGCGGTGATGGTTTTCTTCTCTCTGATATCCTTCCACCATTGAGATGCCATATCGATCTTGGAAATCTTCATCAGTCAGGGCGCGATGAGCCATCGATGACATGCGTGCTGGTAAGGTTCTTTCTGTCGAGAGGTGATTGTGTTCTCGTCTCTGGCGAAGATTACTCGTCGCTAATGTTGCAATTGCCTCCTGCAATGCCTCACTCTCCATAGCTAGACGGATGACGTGAGTTCGGAATGGATTCGTGGGGGTATCGAAAGCGACAATCATCGGAGCAATGACTTCGGCATAATAGCTGATGAGATAACGGATACGCGGGGTCCGGCCCACCGATCGGGCTAGAAGTAATTGGGAAAGAGACGGGGAGTGAGCGGCGTTCCAGTACATCGTATGATTGGGATCATGTTGAACCTCCTCCTCATCCGTCTCTTGTGACGTTGGGGGAGTAGCACCTTGACCTGAGAATGAGGCTATTGCCGGCCAGACCGGAGAACCGAAACTAGCTGTGGGACTTAGGATAGGAGCATATGATTGAGGCGTTTCTGGAACCATGGCCTGGTCATTTGAAATCAACGGCCGACTTGGTAACGGCAGCCCTGTAGCAGCACACGTCGTCGACCAAGATTGTGGATCCGGCATATCCATTACCCAAGCCATATTGGAAGATATATCGACAGCATCTGGCATGGGCGGACTGCCTTCCTGTTTCACGTTCGGAGTTGTCGCGTTGAATGATGCAGTTGTTGGGCCAGTGCCCGGAGGTCCGGGGGCTGAAGCATAGGCGGGAGCTCGGGACGAAGAGGGACTGCTGCTATCTGCCTTCGGTGGTGATTTCGTAGTGGCCGTGGATTGTACCTCCGATTCCATCACCGGGAGCTTCTGCCCCCGGAGTTTCCCTCGACTTGCAACACCCACGCCCCATGTCAACGTCGTTTTGTATCCGGAACATTCGCGGCCGAGGTCGAGGCACTGAGAGCAATAGGGTCGGCGTCGGTCACATCGTGCTCCTCGTTTTGCGCAGGCGAAACAATCGTCGGGGGCCCCGCTGACCACGGTCCTTTTGCGGCGTTTTCGGATCGGGACATTCACATCTGTTTTGCGGGATTTTCCCTTAGGCGCGGGGTCCCGCGGGAGACGATCTGCGGTATTGGAGGTCATCTTCGACGGGCGTGGCCGATGCCCGCACGGGGGTCCATCCGTTAAGACTGAGGTTGTCGATTGACGAAATGGACTCTCACGGGGGGGGCAGTACTTTTGAGTTCGGATTTATAATCGGGGGGGCGGATTATCGAATCTCGATCGGATCCGAATTGGGGGATCTTTGAGGATCTTTGGGGAAGAAGATATTTAAATAGAAAAGTTTCAAAAGACTCCTGAGTTCTGCAGAGACCGAAAAAGAGGGAATGATAAACGAGGGAAAAGCCGTATTTGGGGGGAAGTGGGTGGATATGGGATCTTCCCAGTGGAGGCTGATCCGCGCTTGAGTCGTTTAATCGACAAGAACTGAGCGATGGGGCGCATCCTTCCAACAGGCAATGAGTGGTCCCACTGTGGTGATCATGAAATCATTGAACTATTGGTTGAGTCTCACAGTCTCACATGCGATCTGGTTCGACTTTTTTCCATTGCCTTGCTGACATTAGTACATATCGGCCTCGGCACTGGCAAAGCGGGTTACATGGGTGAATGGCTAGATCTCGAGTCACTTCAAGTACTCCGTAACAGACATATATAAGACTGAATGACTCCGACATACAATGAGAGTCTAGAGAGATTATGATGTTCAAGGAGAAGTATCGTACGGGGTACATCGTTCCGATCAACCTTGAATCCGAACCGCCAAGCCTCTGGGCTAATCTTCTTTCCGCCCAACCCGCAGACTTTCTGGACGATGCGCCACAACCTGCAAACCCCCTGCCCGGCATCAATACACTTGGGATTGGGCAATATCCGGATACAATTAACCGTTGATTTCCTTGACTTCTGGAGGGAATAGTTGATCGGCGTGGCCGTGCGCCCGCTCACTGAAACCCCCTGGATCCAAGCGCAAGTTGCCGACACAACCATTATGGGTGCCTTCCGACCAGGGAAAGCGAGATCGCTCGTGCTGGCGACGCTCACCTTGATCTTGGTATGCACTGTCTACTTTTACTGGTCGCCAACCACCGCATCCTCCACCGTCTCCTTAGTACCCAACACAGCATTCGAAGTGCCTCTCACTGAGCGCCAGAAGGATTTCTGGAAAGTCCTTCGACCTATCATCGAGCGCCATAACCCGAATGTCCCCGCTCCGGAAAAACGAGGAGATATCGAAGCTCAACACTTTGACCCCACGAAGGATATGCCGAGGCCCGACCTGACGGGGATGAGCGATGAAGATGTACGCAAGATGGAAGAAGCGCATGCGGCTTTCATCGAGGATGTCAAAACTTCGGAGAAGACACTGAAGCCAATTCATACCAAAGGGAAACGGGGATTGGTATCAACGGCCGGTTCCACATATCTCCCTGTCTTTGTCTCATCGCTGCGGATGCTACGCCGTGCGGGGTCAACGCTGCCTGTTGAACTATACATGAAGGACGCTACCGAACATGAGAAACAGGTCTGCAAGGATGTACTTCCCAAACTTGATGCGCAATGCTTGCTGCTGTCAGATGTGGTGGGTAAGAATATCATCGAGCACTATCAGCTCAAGATCTTCGCGGTACTTTTCTCCTCGTTTGAGGAGATTGTCTGGATGGATGCCGACTGCTTCCCTCTCGGGAAGCCGGAGGATTTGCTGGACTCGGAACCATTCAAATCCAACGGGTTAGTCACATGGCCCGACTTTTGGGCGTCCTCCGCATCTCCGTTGTACTACAGAATTTCACGCCAAGAGGCTCCTTCTATGGCTGCCAGACAGTCATCAGAAACCGGTGCATTTTTGGTCTCTAAGAAGACGCACTCGCTGGCTCTCTTAGTGGCGGCGTATTATAATTTCTACGGCCCGTCACACTATTTCCGCTTGCTAAGCCAGGGAGGCCCTGGCGAGGGAGACAAGGAAACCTTTATTCATGCTGCCATGGCTGTAGGTGCGCCTTTCTATACCGTCAGTGAGAGGGTGCAAGCCATCGGACATGCAAATGCAGGTGGGCTGTCTGGATCAGCTATGGCACAGTCTGACCCCCGCGAGGACTACGCCTTGATCCAGCAGGATAAATGGCGAGTCAAGGATGAGGCTGTTGCACCAGCGCCTCATATCTTCTTCATTCATGCCAACTATCCCAAGTTCAATCCCGGAGACCGGATCTTCGGCATGGGCTGGGAAACAACCCCTACCTTGAAGGAGGACGGCTCCGATGGACGCGCCTGGACGGCGCCCCCAGAGACCATCCGGCGCTTTGGATATGATGTCGAGAAGGCTTACTGGGAGGAGATCAAATGGGTGAGCTGCAATCTGGAAACGGCGTTCAAGACCTGGGAGAACAAAGTGGGCCTTTGCCAGAGAGTCGAGGAATACTGGAGCCATGTCTTCGCTGAGCCGCATGATGATGACCCCAAGTTTGTTCTGGAGGCCTGATCCCAGGGCTGACTATGGTGCTATTGTACCTTGGCCTGTCCCTTCCCTCCCACCTCCCAACCAAGACTCGGTGATTGGTATCCGAGTCCCCTCCGGCAACATGCCTCCTGTCGAGACTCGAGGCTCGGTTGGTTCGCCCGGGTATCTGCAGCGACCAACTTTGTCTAAAGTTTCCGGTTGCCCTAGTATCCCTCCTATGCGACCAACCCACACTTCCTTGGGCAACTAGCTGCAGCGTCTGTGATGCCTGCTCCTCCGGCTTGTACATACCAAATGTGCAGTAGCTTGGCCCTCCAAATATTCCAAGGGTCTCTTGTATATCGCATAATTGTTCATAAAAAAGCGATCTCAGTTCTATACATCTTAGTATATTCAATGTCTTACAATGGCACAACCTTTTGAACCGGTACTCCCATCGCTTCATCTTCGAGTAGACCGCCAGTAGGTAGGTGTCCTCGCTTCTCGCTTCCGGGCATCACTGAGGCACTTGAGGTGCAGAGCCATGACGCCATTGGTCGTGTGCGGAGAGGAAGTGCTCAAGCTCAATAATTTGAATGTAGCTTTATGCTTAAGATTCGAGCCCTGTCATCCATTGCAAGTCTACTAGGTACGACAGCCTTTTTGATTGACATTTGACAAGCAACACTGTCTACAATCCGGATTCTACACCATCCAGAACTTATCTTCGAAGTAGGTATTCATTCAGTGGCCCGTCTATCAAAACGTTGACCAGATATCATTATTTATCGTACATCATGTTTCAACAACAGCCCCAATCAGAATATTCGTGGAGTATTCAGTAACGTCATAAACACAAATTTAGTGCTTAATTCCCTTCTCACGCAGACGCTGCTCATCCTCAGCCTGGAGCTCGGCATCAACCTGCGCACCCCTGGAAGGAGTGTTGCCGTGTACACGAGCCTGTAGAGATGATCGTTAGCAATTGCACGTTTTCAATTCGCGCGTAAAGCAGATGGAACTCACAGGCTTGGTAGGATCTTGCTTGCTCAATTCAGCCTCTGGGTTGGACTCGTTGTTGTGGTGGTGGCTAGGATCAGACTTCTTCTCCTGAGAAGCCAGCTTGTTGGCAATGGAGCGGCCATCCTTGGAGTCGAGGTTCTTGTGGCTGTGAGGCATGCCCTCGGCGTAGCGGGCACGCTCTTCGAGGTCGGAGACAGGGACGTTACGCTGGTCACCGGCCTCATAGAGGGAGCGGGTACCGACACTGGAGTTGCCTGACATTTTGTGTGGATGAGAGAGGATTGATTTGAGGTTTTGAGGAGAGTAAAGAGAGCTTGGTAGATAGTGATTGAGTAGAAGAGTGAAGGTTGTGTTAATTGATTCTGCTTATTTCGTTCTCAGCTTCAGTCTTATACTTGGGTCTGGATTGTGATGTCATGCTGGAGTCACTGAGATCATAGTGGGGTCGTAGCCCAGTTTCGCAGGCAATGACAGAATTGATCCTTGCTGGAGTCTGATGGGAGCTGCTCTGGGTCATTCTTTGAGCTTCTTGTGTACTTTGCACAAGATAATGGTGTAAGCAAGGCAGTATTGCCCGGCGATCTGTGACATCGTGAGCTACATGTCGTGGCTTGGCTTCCCGCAGTGACTCCACTCTTATAGTTGGTCACGTACTAGTTGGAGGCAACATGTATGAACTTATATGTTCTTACCTTTATGGTTGTATCTGTTAATATCTTTTCTGGGGATGAGTTATATCTGTGCTTGTTTGATTGCGATCTAACTATCGAGTCCGCTATCGGCATAGATCATACACAGTATGTCGTAGCCTTCCTGACGTAGGAAGCTCTGAACTAGTATTCCTACCAAGCTCACAGTGTCGACCTAATGATGTTCTCAATGATAGCTCTCATTCAATTCCCGAATCAAACTCTTCAAATGAGCTCAAAAAGATCGTAGACTTCTATAGTATCTACTGCGTACTATCCTCGAGAATACCTTTGACCGTGCAGCGACCCACTCCGGCCTCGGAGAGCACTGCGATTGGAATTTCGAGAAAATCACTTTGTACTGCGTACACCGCATATTCATTATACTTCGTATGCCTAATGTTCTAATGTTCTCCCGAATACCAATCCGAGCCAGCTTAAAGCTAAAGAACACAATCTATTCAATCCCTGTCCAAGCCTACCAGCCGCCAAGAACCATGAGTTTCACCACCGCGGAAGTCCAACCCCGCTACCACCAACTCTTCACCGAGCTAGAGAACCGCTTCAAAACCACCAGCTTAGGCAACGACAAATGGTACATTCTAGCAATCAGCACCCTAGTCGCCAGCCCCGACCCTGAGCGCGCCGACCAGCTCTACCTCTACCTCACCAAGCAAGCAAACTATGCAACCTCACCAGCCCGCCAAGCCCTGATCCGGCGACTGCGCGAGGCCCTCGTCAAAGCCGTGCCTATCGTCGGAGTCTGCAAGCCCATCGAGGCCATCCTGGCAATCAGCGAGGTCGAGCGCGACGAGGATAAGGATTACACCTTTACCCGCGAGAACTGGCAATGCGACCAGGCCAACCACGAGCGCGGCACTGGGTGGTTGCAGAAGCTGTATGCGCGCAACACGACCGACACGCTGGATCTGTTCAGTGCTCATAAGGATTTCTCCTGGCTTTCTAAGGAGATCACTTATGGCTTGTTTTTGTCAGATCGGCAGGTTTTGGATGATCTTGATACGCAGCTCGTTGTGCTGCCGGGTATTATGAGTCAGAATTTGCCAAAGGAGACTCATTGGCATATTCGGGGCACGAGGCGTATTGGTGTTCCTAAGGAGGAGGTGCAGGTTATTTGGGATTGTGTGCAGCTTGTGGCGAGGTTCTTTGATGTTAAGCTTCATAAGGTGCCGACTGTTGATGCGGTGGAGTACGATGTATAAATCTAGGCAGTTTAACCTAAGATTTTACGGTCTTTATTATAGCTGTCAGATCAATTCAGATGTGTAGGTAGACTGGACAGCGTCCGATCCATGCTCTCCAGAACCTGTTGCCCGTCCATGTACTACTATGTGATAAATACGCCACCAATAATTCAGCAATGACGGCGTCTTTTCTTTCTCAACATCAAGTTACACCCATATATCAGATTAACTCTGTCTATTCGCTTTCACTAAAGCGCCAAGCCCAGTTTCCTGCACGCTCAATGTCATCGCTTGCCTACTCGAAGATGTCGCGATTCAAACATTTGCTCCTCAGACTGCTGCGTACTTGGAAGAAAATACCAGAACCCCCCGCTATACTTTGTTTGGATTGAGGCGTCTTACAAAACATCTACCAACATCTCTCAGTACTCGATCAAGTTTGTCTATCCCTCAGCTGTAAAGGGCTCTTCTGTCTATTCGGGACAATAGTAAAGCACAAAGAACTTGAGTTTCCACGCCTCTTACGGATCAGGAATCCAATACTTTGCGTGAACAGTCGGGGTGTGCTACGGAATCAACTCCTTCTTCGACTCGAAAATCGCCGTTGGGCTTACTGTGGCAAATGTTTGAAGCTCCATCCACGGAAGGAATTTTCAAGACATTCATTGAGGGAATCAGCTCTCGAGAGATCGTGCACACACTACGCTGGCATAGCTGATCTACGCCCTTGTATCTCTTTGACAATCCGAGATCGAGACAAGCTTGTTAAGATCCTCAAATTGCCCGCGAAGCTAGAAAAGACCAATTATGGCTTATTTGAGTATGGAGTTCTCGACACAGGAAAGCCTAGTCTGAGTCACAGCTGTGATTTCAAATATGACAATTGGCCTAGCTATGATATGCGGGTCATTCTGGTGTTATCTCTCACAGAAACTGACCAATTGTGTGTACTAGCTCAGTATACCATGAGCCTTCACGTTCCCAAAGATCATATTTATGCTGAACCAAGTTTTGCTTGCCCCCATCTGGGACTTTCAAGTTACATCCCCTCAGCCTCGAAAACCCCTCCTGGATACAAGAAACCAGTCCTTTCAAAACCTGACATCGATCTCTTGTCTCTTGTCCCAGAGAAGAAATTCCTAGGAAGATGTGATAGGTGCCAAACGCTGATTACAAAACATGAGTTGCCTTCGAATCAGATTGGGTTCTGGGTGATTCGAAATCTGGGAAGGTGTGGATGGCCTACAAGCCGTCTTTGGTTTAGCCAATGTCGTTTAACAGGAGCGGCTTTCTGGGCAAACGATATATACTGGTGAGTTTAATTAATAATTTGTGGGGAAAAAAAGAAGACATATAACTAACATTATACTGCGGGTTGCAGTCGCGGAGCTTGTCAAGAATGAGAACAGAGCTCCGCGTTCAGTGGAAAGCTTATTGCCTGGAACACAAAAAGAAGGTGGCTTCAAAGACAACGCGAAGCCTGGAGATACTTTGATGAAGAAATAATGACAGTTCCTGTTGTCTCCTGCATCTACACATTTGTTAAATGTCTTAATCATCTGTTTGCCTGAGGATGAACTCTGCCCATCGTTGCTCAATCTAAGGTAGCCTAACGAATGTGTTAGTTATACTATCGACTCTACTACCCAATATATTAGCTACTGGTTGTGTTATTGTTTGTGTGCGTGCACGAGAAGAGTAGAAACAGAAGACATGAGCAGAAAGTACTTCATCTACGGGGAAAGCCATCGCGAAGGCAGGTGCATTCATCGTAAAGGAAGGTACAATAGGGAGGAAAGAACGTATGAATTTCCTACAGGCACTCGCAGGCAGGAACTTCAAACCTAATTTGAATTAGATCTTACATCTGAGTGGGTAGAAAACTATTCATTAAAGGAAATATTACAGTTGAGTCCGGTCTACTCCCACAGGAATTGAATGATTGGAGCAGATGGCCCTCTGATCTAGATATCTTGAGATTAATTATGATTATGCTCAAGTGTCCATGGATTGAAGTAGTTGGTTACTACTTGAAAAGCTTTTAGTTATTGACGAACGGGGTAGGAACAGATGTGCTTAGAAGAGTAGCTCCATGAACGATATTAGTTAGCTCTCTAGTTAACTAGGTCACACCTCCCCACTACAATATATATCAACGGGCGATAGGTAGGTACTACGTCGTGTCCAATTTCCGGGCAGTTGTGAGCTTGCAAAACTCGAGACGTTTGAAAGCCCCTGATTTAGATTAACAATAACGGATAACTCCCTATATGTCACAGAGCAATTGGAATTAACTGATCAATAAATAATCACCTTCCAGAAAGAAATACTGCTCAATGACATAGTACGGTGTCCGGCGATAACAGCCGATAAGGAAAAAAGTTCGAAAGCGGCCGAGCGCGGGGGCCATCAACTTTTGAATCTCAAATTCTTTACCCAAACACAACATATAACACCTCAATTAGCCCAATATGGTCAAGCGGAAAGAAGTCGAAGATGTCACCATGGGTGGCACCAAGCCAGACGATGAGTCGTCCGACGAGGTAAGTCTCTCAGAGCTGTACCCCAGACTGTGCACCAATGAATTGCTAACAAGAATGACGGCTACAGGATATGGACATGGTCAACGTCGACTTCGAATGGTTTGACCCGCAGCCTATCGATTTCCACGGCCTGAAGAACCTCCTCCGCCAACTCTTCGACAATGACGCTCAAATCTTCGACATGTCCGCGCTGGCCGATCTGATTCTCTCCCAACCGACGCTGGGATCAACAGTAAAGGTCGACGGACACGAATCGGATCCCTACGCATTCTTGTCAATCGTCAACCTACAGGAACACAAGGTTCGTGAACCCTCTTCCCCTTATTTTATTCATTGTACTGACAATTCTGGCTCCAGGACAAACCCGTTATCAAGGACCTGATCGAATACCTCAAAACCAAAACCTCTTCCAACGAGTCCCTTTCTGCTGCCGCCCAGCTTCTTACGCAAACCCCCATCCCTCCCATTGGTCTCATTCTGACTGAGCGGTTGATCAATATGCCGTCCGAGATTGTCCCTCCTATGTACAACATGCTTCAGGAAGAGATCGCCTGGGCTATCGAGGACAAGGAGCCCTATACCTTCTCGCACTACTTGGTCATTTCTAAAAACTACGAGGAAATTGAGTCGAAGCTCGATCAGGAAGAGTCACGGCCCCAGAAGAAGAAGAAGAAGGGTGGTGATAAGGCTGAGCGTTTCTTCTTCCACCCCGAAGATGAAGTGGTGGAGCGCCATGCGGTGTGCACTGGTTCTTATGAGTACACACACAAGTCCGATGATGGTCACTCAGACTCGAAGCGCGCATTCCAGGAACTGGGTATCCGGACGAAAGGTAGCTTGATCTTGATTGAGGCTGCTAAGTTTGAGCCTATGGTCAAGGCTCTCACGGAATATATGTCGTAATCAGTGTGAAGACTTTGGGTCTAATACATTTCATGTCTAATACGAAACAATTTATGCTCTAGCTCATTGGCTTCTGCTGGTGTTGTTTGCCATCTGTGATACGGGGGTTCATGTTGCATCAACCATGTAGACTTTTTTATAAATGCAGCTAAGCTATGGCATAGGCATATCGTAAATTCATAATATCTCCCTCTTCACTCCCATTGCGTGCCCTTGAGTCTCTGCATGAGGTACTCAACCTCAACGACCTTGGTCAACGGGATGACGCATTCCTATTCGAGTAACATTGAAAGTTAGCATTTCACACCCAGTAGAATTCAGGATACGATTTCTCACCTTGTACATAGAAACCACCGCCTCGACGTTGATCTTGGCACCATTCACGTCAGGGAAAGCAGGATCGGTGCCATAGGTCTTAGCCTTCAGACCCAAGCGCTCAAGGACCTTCTGTTCAACAGCAGAATTGGTAATAGCAGCATCAATACCCTCACGATCCTCGGCCTTGATCAGACGCACAAAGGTCTCAGGATCCTTCTGGAACTTGGACTCAGCGACGAACTTTCCGAAATGAATGCGACGCGACAGCGCCTGCAAACAAGCAACGTCGCAAGTCGCCGCGGAGCCGTAGTTCTCCTGCGTCTCGCCACGGTCCTCCCGTCCAAACTCGGGACACACCGCCGGCAGCACCTCCTTGATGTACCGCTCCTTGATTACGTCGTTGACGCAGACATCGTTCTCGTGCAGGATGCGCGGGTATTCCAGCGGCTGCAGGATCGGTTCCTCGAGCACATCTGGGAAGAACGGATATTCGTCCGGCGATTGGTAGCGGCGCACTCGGGATTGGATGCGTTCTTGTTCGCGGAGCAGGTAGTCCAGCAGACTGAGGTTGCTCTTGGGGATCTTGACGCCACCGGGAGCGTAGATTGTCTTGTTCAATGGGAATTGGGCCCGCTCGATCAGATGGAAGGTGATTGTGTCCTCCAGTCGACTAGGCTGGAATGTTAGCGGTTCTTTGTTTATGGTTGGGCCCAATAGAAATATATCGTTTTGCATGGGTATAGCATTGGAGAGCTGTGGTGGGGGCGGGGAAAGGACTTGGGATTTCAGCTAGTCCTGAAGAAAGGTGGGAGCTCACATCAACTGGAAGCGGATATTAGCAAGGTCCAGTGCCTTGGAGACATCGGACAGGTCAATGGCGGCATCCATGGCTGTGGAGGGGAGTTGTAGAGGGTGAGAGTCTGTGGGACTGCGAAGTCGGATGGCCTTTAGTCCACTCTGCCGGTCATCTTCTTACTTATACGCCCCAGACTAGGGGAAGTGCGGAAATTGCTGTGTCAGAAGCTCTGCCTCGATATTTTAGGCTGCATATGAAAAATTACAGAATGACCGGTGAATCAGCATGCGCCAGCCTTCAAAGCTTCGTATAATGATCTATCGGATTCGCCGATTCGGGACTCGGGGCCATATGTGCCTGAGGTAGCATTTTCACCGTTTAGAAACCCGAACCATACAACTCAAACACTGCGATCGAGATCATTACCGATCCAAAGCTCTTCAACTCTGTCAAAAGCAAGCGACTGACAGCTGGGCAGCTGGTTTCAGCCTGTAAAGATACCATACGGCTGCACGGCAGTACCCGGGGAACGCGGTAACCTCGCGTGGGCCCTCCAAGCCTCCTACAACCTACCACAAGCTCCTCAACTAACCTTTCCACGTACCGCATGGGTTTTGGTTGAGCCCATACTGTTGGTCTCATGGAGAACCAGCGCCGCGATGACTCGCCATCGGGCCTGTCAGATATCGTCGAGGGCGATGGCCTACTGGGCACCGGCTTAACGGTAGGCTTTTTCCCATCCTCCGATGACGCCCCCACCAATATGCAAGCTGACTAGGTTACAATTATGAATGCAGACTCGCCATATCGAAGCTTTTGGAAGAAAAGTAACTACTACCGCAGGACACCTGATCGGACCGGGCGAACAGAATAACCACTTGCACAATGCCATGACCGACATCCACCGCGAGCTGCGCCGACCGACCACGCAGCGCAGGGTCTTTTCCCTAGCTCAAACCACACCTACCGACCTCGTTCGCTCGAAGCTTTCCACCTCCGAGATTCAATCTCGTGCCCTTTCCTCGCTCCCGGATGACCTTCTCGCCAACATCCCGGAAGATACCAGCTCCTACTCCCTGTTCCAAGGCTTCCAGGCCTCCGTCCCCGAAGAAGAGAAGGAGAAGAAACGACACCGAAGGCGCAGCTCTAAGAGCAAGCTGCTTAAGGATGCCGAGAAAGGCGGCGCACTGACTGCCGGCCCGGCCGCGCTAAAGGAGCAGCGGGAATCGCTGAGCCGCAAGCTGGAGTTGATGGGCATCCGAAAGAACATGTGCAGCGCGGAGATCCATGAAATTGACAACAAGGTCGCCAACCTGCACAAGATGCGCAAGATTGTTCTGGATCGATTGGCCGGATTGGAGATGGATGAGGCGGGATTGGAGCAAGAATGTGTGTCAACCTGGATACATCGAATTATGGAATTGGGAGCAAAACTGACTCAAAATGACAGTGACCGATCTCGAGAACAGGTTGGAAGATTTGCCAGAGGAGGAATCAGAAAACACACCAGTTGCGGCAGGGACGCCGCAATTAGAAGGCAACGATGATTCAATTGTGTCCTCCGGCGACCCAGCGATGGACGCTTCGTTTATGTCCGAATCAATCTACGAGAAGTTGCCTTCGCCTTCACCAAAAAGCCTACGACATCGAAGTAACAGTACGGATACCCTCGGCCTTGAAACCGAATTGCAACTGACGGCGTATTTTAGGGAAACGATCGATGCCAATTCTACACGAACACTTCGCCCCGGGTTCCCTCATCAAGGAAATAGAAGCGCACACCGACACGATCACTGCGATCGACTTCGACTTTCCATTTGGAACTATGGTCAGCGCTGCACTAGATGATACTGTGAGGGTCTGGGACATGAACGTTGGCCGATGCTCGGGCTTCTTGGAAGGACACCATGCCTCGGTCCGCTGCCTGCAAGTTGAGGATAACATCGTGGCAACGGGCTCCATGGATGCCTCTGTCAAGTTGTGGGACCTGAGCCGTGCTCGGCCCACAACTCGAGACGGGCGCCTGAACAAACACGAGCGTGACCAAGAAGAAGCAGCACCAGAGCACAATCTCCCACCACCGCCATCGTCTGACCTCCGAGACTGCGAGGTCTTCTCTCTAGAAGCACATGTCGACGAGGTGACTGCGCTCCATTTCAAGGGCGACACCCTTATCTCCGGCTCCGCAGACAAGACACTCCGACAGTGGGATCTAGTCAAAGGCCGCTGTGTTCAGACCTTGGATGTTCTGTGGGCCTCTGCCCAGGCATCCTCGACAATGATGGGAGGAGAGTCTGACTGGCGACCATCCGGCCGCACGCCCGATGCCTCAGCCGACTTTGTTGGCGCAGTCCAGTGCTTCGACGCCGCGTTGGCATGCGGTACAGCAGATGGCATGGTCCGCCTCTGGGATTTGCGTAGTGGCCATGTCCACCGGAGTCTTGTAGGTCACACAGGGCCGGTGACATGTCTTCAGTTTGATGATGTGCATCTGGTCACAGGCAGTCTTGACCGCAGCATTCGGGTGAGTCCTTCCTATCTTCGCTTCACTAAGTCTTTTTTTCTAACATTTCATAGATTTGGGATCTGCGCATGGGCTCTCTCTACGATGCTTATGCCTACGACAGGCCAATCACTGACATGATGTTTGACGCGAAACGCATTGTGGCTGCTGCCGGAGAGAACGTAGTCAAAGTCTACGACAAAGCCGACGGCCACCAATGGGACTGTGGTCCGGGTGTTGGCTGGGACGAAGAAGGCGCCTCCCCTGCCATCATCGAGCGGGTTGCTCTTAAGGATGGCTACCTTGTGGAGGGGCGCAAAGATGGCACTATGGCCGCTTGGACGTGCTAGATCTGTAAGATCTTCTTTGTGAGGGCGTATACCTGGGGTTTCATCTTCCTTGTCCCCGTCTTCACAGCCTTTCCTTGATCATGTATAGTATTCAACCTTCCAGTGTCTTAGTAGGTACTGGGCAACCCAGGAGTGGCAGGACCATGAAGTCAGGTTATTTTGTATACAGTGGGAACCATGTCCATCTCCAAACCGATCTGAATCGTAGCAAGATCAGCCTTGAAACCAAAATAGTATCACCCGTTGTAGCAGTCCGAGGCGTCAGGATAACAAAGAGACTTAGCAACAAAGACTATGAAAGTGAGACTGACGGACTGGCATTTGCCATAAAGAACATGAAGAAATATTAAAGACGAAGCATTTCCATTGAAAGTGCCACATTCATTACACAGTAGACAGCGGAATCGAGTTGAGATTCTTCGCCGATCTTCCCTTTGCGCTCCACCATTTTCCCCCATCTACCTTTCCTCACTTCAACAACACTCTCTGTTTCCCGGTCGCAGCTTGCCCAGATTATCGCTCTTGTTTAAACAGGGCGACCTGAAATAAATCATCATCCGCCTCCCGCATTGCCTCGGCTGGCAGCTGCAAGTCACGTTCCGTCGCGTCTGCGCGTCTCCCCCGTCGCGATCTACAGGCTCTCTGATATCCACAGACGGACTTTCGGGGTCTGCATGGTTTCATTTGTTCTGTGGTAAGTGTCTATATTGTCAGTCTTTTTCCGTCCTCGATCCTCCGGGCAACCAATTGCGCTGGTCTGCTATAGTCGCACATCGCGCCGCCAGTCCGTGTCGCGCATTGAGGATGAGATAAGACTCAACGTGTGGGAACGCAATTCGAGTCGGCATTGTGCTTCTCGTCTTGGAAGGCTTCTATTTACACATTATACATGTCCAACACCCTGGACTTGTTCTATTATACCGTACCCATCGAGTCCGAAGCTAATCACTCAAGTAGACACAAGAACAAACTATACCGTGGACTCCATTCTGGGGATTACCAGGAAAGATGGCGCCCAAACGCGCTGCACGCCGGGCCGGCGCGACTCCTGCACGATACCAGGAAACACCACGCCAGGGATCCTGGCTTGATACTATATCCAACATCCCGATCGGAGCAACGTGGGAAATAGGCGCATCTACGACAACCGCATTACCCGACGACAACTATCTACAGCCTGATTACGGGTATAACGGGATGGGCGACGGCGTGACTCGGGAGCGAGCTGCTGCGAAGAAAGGGCGAAAGCGCGAACCAACGCCCGACCAGGCTCAGCTTCAGCAATCACTATACAGTGCGGTATCAGACCAACACTCCGACAAAACTCCTTCACCTCCGATCCAACATTCTATCTCGACCGATTCCAGTCCAGTTCAACCTCCTTCGCAGCGTCGATTATCAAATTCCCCTATGTATCCGTCACCACTTCAGCGGCCGGGCCACAGTGGTCGAATGAATAGCTCGCCATTTCGCCATAGCTCTGTTGACAATGCTTCTGTGGCATCTTGGAACCTGGAGCGGGATATCAACGATGATGACTTGCAGAGGACGCGGCCGAGCAGTCATGGGCACAACATCACAGCGCCCCCTCGACGTGTTTCTGGGCTGGCTGGCATTTACGAGGAGAATGAAGATGTCAAGTCGGAATACGCATCCAGTGTTTATGAATACCAGGACGTTCCCCAAGTAGGCTTTTTACGTCGATGGCTATCGTCCGAGGGAACGGAAGGTTCCCAACGGAACTGGGCTCGGACTGTGTGCTTGCTACTGTTAGTTCTGAGCTTGATGTCTATGCCCCTGCTCGTCCCGAAGGCTCGCGATTATCTGTATCCCGACGAATTCGACTGGGTTTCTTCGGAGACAAGCCTTCCCAAACAGGAGGTTATTCACAGCCTCCGGAATCAGGTATCCAAAATGGACGTTCAAATGTCATCCTTATCGAAGGAGATGAGCTCTGTTCGGTCGCTTTCCCTCATCCATGATTCGACCCCTACAGATGCAATCCACCGGAAGCCGGTGCACAAAGTGAACTTCCTGTCAGTAGCATTGGGCGCCATAATCGATCCAGCGAATACCTCCCCTACACTAGGATCGAAGCGCAGCGCTTCCATGCGGGCCGTTCTCTGGGCGAGTTCCTTCATTACGAGGATCCCAGTCCGATCACAACAATCCCCCACGTCCGCCCTTACCTCCTGGGAAGAAGTCGGCGACTGCTGGTGCAGTGCCCCTCGCAACGGCACGTCACAACTATCCGTCCTCCTCGGCCGCGACATCGTAGCCGAGGAACTGGTCGTCGAGCATATCCCCGTGGGCGCCTCTCTCGAACCCGAGGCAGCACCTCGCACCATCGAAGTATGGGCCCGCTTCAAAGTAAACCGCCACAAAACACCCGTCAAGGCCAAATTAACACCCGAAGCCGCACCGGGCCGCACTGGCTTTTTCAAAGTCTTCGGCGACGCTACAGTCTCACAAACGCCCCCATCGACCGATGCCCCTTCGTCCCGGGAAACGGGTCTTGGTGGATTCCTCATACCGGGGATCGGGACCCTGCACGGGCTCCTCATGGATCTGTTGCAGCGCAGTAATCCGTTCGAGGACCCGAGCGCTTACTCGGACGACCCGATTCTCGGTCCTAACTTCTACCGCATCGGGAAAGTTGAATACGATCTCCATGGACCGGATTATGTGCAGTCTTTCAAGCTTAACACGATTGTTGACGTTAACACTATTCGTGTCGATAAGGTTGTTTTCCGTGTGACTGAGAATTGGGGTGCGAAACACACTTGCATCTACCGTTTCAAGTTGCATGGACATGTCTAAGCCTGCTATGGATTCTTCTCTCTTCCTTTTTCGTGCTTCCCTTCCTCTCATCATGTATCTACCCCCCGGAGACCGGGTTCTGGCTGGTCTAGGATCTGGACAAAATTGTGCTTTGCGATGATACCTTGCATGACTATGGCGGCGTTATATCTTTTTCCCGGGGTTATTATTTTTCTTCCAAGGTTGCGAGTGCAGATTAGATATCATATGATAGCCATGATTTTATACCTGTCTCCTGTGCTTTGCTCTGCCATGTTCTCGTAGGGGTGACTCGCGGCTTCTTCGCGGAGAAGCACATACAAAGGACCCATTCCGACCTCCGCTTGCCAAATGCCAATCGTCTGGGTGCGCACGTGCAGGCGTACACAGTTCACTCCAGCGTACGACCGTTTGGCATAACTGCTACCTATTGTCCGCGGACAATGGTCACTACTATGGCATGCGCCGAGAGAATTTTTGGTGGCTTTGAGACAGCTACGGGAAATATGATTGCTGAAGCGGATCGTTCGGAGATTTATGGGCTTAGTATAGTCCATTTGGCGAAGGCCCTAGGTATTCAGGCTGACCCTATCACGGTGGATCAAAAGAACTCTGACCAAACAAAAAGTCATCGTAAAAATGGAAAAAGAGAAGTTTAATTTCACCAAGACGGATTACAATATAACACCGTATCTTCAATATGAACGATCGATGATCCCGTATTCATCCATGGAACAATGAAAGTAGGTTTTTCTTCTGCTCGCCCTACAGCTTTATCTTTTCACCGGTGCAAGAGTTGGAGCGTTCATCCCTAGAAATAGACACCAGCACCAAAGGGGTCTTCGCTTTAAGGTACATCAACCCTATGCACATGTCTCATCAGGCTACTGACACCTAACAGCAATCAGCATATAGACCTCGTCTTATTTCGTTCTCATTCTTCTGACGAGCCATGGTATATTCGGTGGCGAGCCAATCCATCCATGAACAGTGGCTCAAAAAAAAAAAAAATAGGAAAGTTCATCCTTTTCTTTTCGCAAACACTAACTCGCTCGACAGCTTTGACATAGGCTTCCGTGATCACAGCAGGCCTCAATTTGCATCGGGACTGCTTCTTGCCGTCATTGCCATCGACCAAGGCGCAATTTACGGAATCAACACTATAGAAGACTTGGCCCAACAGCAGTTCCCCGAAGGGAAGAATGAAATTCCCCTGCGCTGGAAGGATGACGCGAAGGAAAAGCCTGTATTCATGAACGTGACTGCCCAGGGTGCTCAGGATCTGGTGTTGGCGACAGAAAGGTGCTGTTATTTGCTTCGCCAGCTCTTCAGGAAAGCAGAGTATTGGGAAGATCCCACAATACATGATATCCGCCGAGCACTTGGAAAAAAGGTTGATGGTAAGGCCCAGGTTCTGATATCCTACACTTCTTGGGACATAAACTTACTCTCCATAGGGCGATACGGATGGTGCCACGTGATAGATAAACCTACCTCTAATAATAATCTCCAAAATAGTTATAGGTATAACTAACTACCTAGTTATATCGTATAGTTGTGAATTGTGGTTGAGACCGGAGGTCATCATCTTATCAGCTATCTTATCAGCTATCTTTTTTAGGATTAGGCCTGTACGACCCATACCGATGGTATCCTAAATAGGTTTAGATCAAATGGCCGGACCCCGTGATTTATCCCCTTCCTAATAGGATTTAGCCTAGGATCTTGCCGGCAGTATTTGTTGCACTTGCACTTGCACTTGCAAGTGGAGAAAAAGTGCAGAACATCCCTAATAATCATGCAAATTTAATCGAGTGCGTGTTGATTCTAGAGACCTACGTGTGTGCTCACCCACCGAAAGCGCTAGTGTTAATACTCATCGTGACCAAGCAGCTAGTCCTATCGTGGTTAGTGCGGAATGTGGGGTTGAACAATTACAGTGGTGTCTGAAATGTATTTATCCTCCGGTACGGAGTACATTGGGAACCACTGTAGTATCTGGTAGGCTACTGTAGATTTGGGGGTCTCCGAAGGTCGCTCGGACCCCGGTAAATCACTGTATTCGACGTATTGTCAAACAATACAGCACTCTGACGAATTACCCAGATTGTGGTGGAGTTTCCGTCAACGTTGCATCCAGTTTATTTAAGTACTAGGGATTCTCCATCCTCCTCGACCTCTCCATTCCCACCCATTAAAGAGATACCTTGAACCCACAGAACTCCGATAATGGGCAGAAGAAAACCCCGCCAGCAAAACTTCCACCTGGAGGATCTTCCATGGGAGAAAAGACTCAAAGTCACCCTGTACAATAAAGACGACTGCAATGGCGCGATTCGCGGACAAAAGATTCCCGGTGGCCTCGGACTGAAAGTCCACCGCTTCGCCGTGATCCGTGGCATTCGACACCACGACGGTTTCGCCCACGAGTTACGCGGTGTCGCACCGGAATTCACTCGTGCACTCAACGCGCGTGCAATCATGAGCGGAGTCATCCCGGAGATCAATGACTCCTCCGAGATACCCTATTGCATCTGGTACCCGGAGCCTCCGCCCCAGGAGACCCTGCGCAATCTGGTGAAGCGTTATCCCAACATGATATATCACGCTGCTCGCGCCTGTGCCGTGGCGGGATATTATGATCTTTACTCGGAGCTTCAGGTTCTTCCCGAGGTTCATGTTGCCGCCGAAGCTCGCGACGCTCACCTGGCAAGGGGGAACAAAGGCAGCGAAGCAATATACGAGCAAATAATGTCGAAGCATTTGAAGTTCGAGATAATGAATGATTATGATCGATCCGTCAATCTTGAAAACCCGCGTCCGGCACATTTAAATGGAGATACGGCGGTTTTTTCCGATCTTACTGCCCACATGCTTCACGCAGGAGTGGACAACAGTCCTAAGCTTCACGTCGATCTTGTTGACTACATCGAGTGGGATCCGGACGAGTACAATACGTATAACCACTTCAACATCACTGAGGACTTGGGAGTCGACGATCATAGTTGCGGTGCGCCTGAGCCTTTGGCCAGCTTTTGGCCACTTCTGTATTCGCCTCTCCCGGCAGATCTTCCACCAGTGAATAAAGACAACCTGATCCTATCGGCTGCATATACAGGTGACGTGGATCGATACGTACGCCTTCGACGCCCACAGATGATCGAACAAGAATTCCACGCGATCATTCTGGGGATATACCATCACCCCCTTTGGGCGCGATGGTGGAGCACACAGGTGCCGGAGGTTCCCGAAAGCAGAGAGGAGGTATCCATACGGCGCGCAGTTAATGTTCGACGCATCATCAGTGACGATATCACTTGTATCACACCTGATAGCCCAGAATCGCTGGTTCCTCGCACAATCTGGTGGCCTAGTGTTGCTTCTCCGGTGACCTATGTGCGTCTCGCACGGAAAAGGCCTGATATGATTGGTTCTTGTCTACGAGCATGTATTGTCGCAAATTACGAAGGGGCATGGGATGAGATTTTGTTTGGGTCATCCGATACCCCGAACGATCTCAAAATAACTCGACTTTCCAAAGTCATCAGGTCGCATATCTATGCCGAGGCTAAGGATTCGCCAAATCCGCACTACATGAACGACATAATGTTGCTTGGAACAGCCAGCGTGGAGGAGCTTGAATCCGGTGTGTACTACCTGCATGACATGCGCACTGCGAGATGGACCTATTCGCCGCGCTCAAGTGCCGAGAGACTTGTGATTAAAGATGAGCCCTTCGCGTTGGCATCGGGGGAGAGCGCCACAGATGGACTTTCGAGAGAACCTAGTAATTTGGGATTCACAATTTTCGGCATGGATGCAATTGGGCTGGATGATAAGATATGGGATCAGAGAAGCCAAGTTGAAGTCCAGGAGATGTACGACATTCTTGATGCCAGAGATCTTTCAACATAGTAGTACATTACATTGAATAAAGCAACGGCTTCAGTCAACCCCTCCTAGAACTATGTACCGCGAGGTCAAGTGCCTATGAAAGTCTTTCATGTTTAGGTATTAGATACATAGAAACAAAAATCATAGGCCGTGTACCGCGGACGATTGACGCCAATTGCTCACAACCTCCGAGGCCAATAATATCTGCCTCGGGCAATTACTACTGTATAGATCTGATGTTTACTCAGTCCAATACCAGTGTAACGCCTACCGTGGAGCGCTCATTCGTTGTGGCACACACCTCCCAACATCCTGTATTTCGCTCTCTTGATCTCTTGAATATTCGCCGCATGATTGTCGTCCTTCGGCGTCGCATCCGACGTCCCATCGGATTCTGAGGCTTTGAGTGTCCCAGCTCTATAAGCCTTGTAGTAATCATTGATTGATACTGTCACTTTCTTCTCTCGCTGAATTGCATCGACAGCAGACTTCAAATCGCAGTCTATTACAACTTTGCCGTTCGGAAGTATCTTGGAGTTGTCATCCCTAACCAAACCTTGGTAAACAGGTTTAGCTCCGTTCAGATTCGCTTCGTCATATTTGGTTCGAAGAGCCAGGCTGATCGTCAAGTGACTTTCAGCAGTACGGATCATATCAACCCGCTTTCGAGCAAGGAAAGCGTCACTGAATGGAGGGTGACTGGGGTCAGGTTGCTTGCTCTTGTAAATATCGCCAATAGCCCTGTTTAATTACTGTGAGCACTGGGAAAACTGTCAGTAGCACTGGGCTATTTAACGTACTTTGAAACTTTTTTGAAGACATTGGGCACATCATAGACCTTTTCAACGACTCGAGATAATGCCATGTCTTTTGTTATGCCGTTGTCATCCAGCCACTTGGCCCCTTCATCTACAGAGGAGGGAACGTAGTCCTTTCCATTCTGTTTTTTATAGGCTGCAAATTTAGACTCGATCATGGCCTGATCTTTTGACTTAGCGATCCATGTAACGAACTGGGCGAAGGAGCACGACTTGCACGACGTAGCAATTTGTCGATTGGCCGCGTCGCCATATTGCTGCTCCATCTGGTAAGCTGACCAGTACCACATTCGCTCATAGGCGCCAGATAGACCGAAGGCAGATATGCGAAGGGCAAAAAATGCCACGAGATAGAATAAGATCGTTTTCATTTTGACGGTGAAGAAATGCCAACGGAAATCGTGGTTTGGAAGGAAATATGATTAACCTGGCATTTGAATGCGAGACTTGCAATGTGGACTTGGGAATCAATCATACTCTAACAAGCCGTTTACCCTCGCTTCGCTCGGGCGGCTTGAAAGAGGTTAGCTGTATGTAATACTCATTTCGATCTATTCATTTCCTTAGTCTCTCTGCGCCTTGAGTTTCACCCTGGCTGTGAGCCTCTCGTTTTCGAGATCGGTGTTGTCGGAAGTTAGCATGCCGGTAGAATATTGTTCTACATAGCCGGTATAACCGTATAAGTCGGCTTCGCCTTTCTACCTGGGGATCATACTTTGCTAGCGCTCCGAGCTAAGGAATGAACCAAATGGGAACAGGACCGGCTCCCGGGGTGGTAGAGGAGGGTGTGATTCTAATTTCATTTTGCTAGCCCCAGACCATTCAAACCATGTACTCCATAACATGGATTTTATGCAGTTGTTTAGTGAAACATCGGTAGCCTGTAGTCCAGCCTCGTTCAAGTCCGTGCGCGTGATCGTCCGAGGTTGGGAGCCGAACGACTAGACAACAAGTGTTCTACACAGAAACTCTGTAAGCTATGCTAACGGAATTCGAGATTGAGTTGCGGAAGCGCGGGTAGATCTTTACCTATGCATTGGTATAGAGACAAAGAACCAATGTTCGAGGCTAAGTTTTTGGTCTACAGCAAGAACCAGCAATACCAGAAACCTCTTTTTCCAAATAAATGGTAAACACTAATAAAATGTGCCTAGTATAACTCGGCTATTCTACGCCAAGATAGGCTAAGAAATCTTAGTTTGCTTAGAGTGAAGAGCGGAGGCTTCTTGAATGCAAGAAGCAATTACAAATTGCTTAGTCGGATCTCACCGTAAAGTCTAGTTAGTTAGCAGCGCGAAAATTAATCGAATACTAGCATCAATCAGAGGGCGCCAAGGTCAAGCAAATTGTGGCGTAACATGGCGTTGGGGCCACCCGCTGCAGACAGGTAGTAAACGAAGTTGATTCTGTTGGTTCTTCCCCAATCCAAGGGTACGTAAGTTCAAGGTCCTTTCAACCTCGCTTCCACTAAATGTTACAAATGTGGAGAATTCTGTTGTATTTCCGAATTCAAGAAAGTCCAAACGAATATTTTCTATTATTCAATCAATCCCAGCAGGCCAAGGGAGATTAGTCCCTTGATTCGCAGTCTCATAGGACATTTCCTGTTGTTGCCCTTTCCTGTCCGGAGTGCTCCGGATGTTTTTCGTATACGGCAGGAGGCTAAGCGTTGTATATTCACATGGGCCTTGGGGCTACTGCAGGTACGGAGTGCAAGGGGCGAAATCTAAGTACTTGGAAGGGCTTAAAGCATTGCGGAGTTACATTCAAAGCACGGAATAAAGCCGAAGCTCATTTCGGATCGAAATTATGCTGATATCTGTGGAGTCTGAAAATGCCTCTCAAGATGAAATATCTGCTGGCAGCCTCTGAATTTGCTAGCATTGTTCCCAACATCAGGGCTCACTCAGTCTGGCTCAAAGCCCATCCTTTTCAGATACTGCCGTTCATGCTCCAAATACTTGTTTGAAAGTGTTATCAGTGGATATTTGACAGGATCTTACTTCTCCATCTCTTGCTCGTTCATTCTCTTCTCTTTCATTTCCTCCCGCCTTGCGAAACTGTATTGAACATGGGGTTGCTGGTCAATTTGGCTACGTTTAGCCAAGTGGCCGCCCTAGTCAGCGCAGCCTCCTCCCATATTGTTACGGATCCATACGTCGCAACTCAATGGAATGCGTGCCCTTCAACTTGCAATACTGGTGACTCCAGTCACTGGGGCTACTACAGTAATCTTCGCATCCTCAAAACCTGTGACGAGCCAATGCTTCTGAACTTTGCTGTCAACAATCCCATCCGAAACCAGGCAAACCCCGGACTACTGGCTTGCTCTCTGTCCGCTGATGACACCTTGCCATCTGCAAAGGTTCAAATCGAGGCCGCCGATACCAACCTGTATACAGCAAAGGATGTGGAGCTGGAGGTCGCTTCTCGCGGCGATGCAGCAAGTCAATACACACCCCACGCCGAAGCTGCGGCAAAGCTTGTGAAATCCCAGTTTGATAATGCTGGCGGAATATATACTACCATTGCCTTTGGGTATTCTAATGGAGTTGCTTTGGGCGCTTACATCGGCTCTGCTATAGCAAGAGACAACGGCATTCTTGCATCTTTCCTCGACAAGCTCAGCAAGGGAGAGCTCAGCACATCTGGTTCTATGATGCAGGTTTGTGACACCAGTCGTTCATCAGCATATACTGTCGGTGTTGTATCTGAGGCAAACTCCAACAACAAAGAAGCTCTGTCTGTTGTTCAAGAAGCCCTTGCCGCCTGGAATAGGGGTGAATGTGTCAAAAGTTACAAGAACAGTCGAAAATCAGAGATTACTGTTGGGGAAGTTGTCCGTCCGAGTGGGAAAAGCTCTCAGATTAGCTCCCATGCGAAAGCCCATGCCAAGAAGTCGCACTCAAGACTCCACAGTCGTGCAGACTGCAGAACTATACAACTCACTACTGAACAAAGTTGTACGGAGCTTGCTGCAACCTGCGGTATCTCGCCTGCTGACTTTACAGAGTACAACCCAAGCTCGACTTTATGTGCCAATTTACAGAAAGGTCAACACGTTTGCTGCTCAGCTGGAACTAGGCCTGATTTCGCACCCAGCCCAAACCAGGATGGAACTTGTGCAACATACAAGATCAATAACGGGGATCTCTGCAGCCAAATTGCTGCCGCACATGATGTCACTGTTGATAATATCAGCGACTGGAATAAGAAAACCTGGGGATGGCAAGGTTGCGGAAATCTCCCTTTGAATGGTAAAGTACAATTCCTGAGCTCAAAACACTAGCTTTCTGGGCCTGTATCAAATCTGAGATCTTATGCTAATAATATAACAGGCTACATTTGCATCAGTTCAGGTGACCCACCTATGCCTGCAAACGTTCCGAACGCCGTCTGTGGGCCACAGGTAAACGGAACCAAGAGACCAGATGATTGGGATGATATTTCGGGCCTCAATCCGTGTCCTTTGAACGCCTGTTGCGATATTTGGGGGTAAGTCTTCAGTATTCCAAAACTCACCGAAAATATAACTGATCCAGTTAACAGTCAATGTGGAATCACTTCTGAATTTTGCACGCCAACGAATGTAAGTTTTGAGAGAGGAAATATACTCCTTTCTTCCAGATTTTCTCCAAAATTTCTACTTGCAATCAGGCTGACAGTCAACAGTCTACTACTGGAGCTCCCGGCACGGCCGAGAAAGATACAAACGGCTGTATCTCCAATTGTGGAGTTTATATCAAATTGAACACAGGCATCACCAGTGAACCGGCTACCTTGGCATATTACGAGGCATTCAATAATCAAAGACCATGCTTGAATCTGGATCCACAAGCTATCATGACCCTTGAGGTAATTGGTGGTGAAGATGGAAGTTTTGCCATCTATTTCGCGTACAGCTATATCCATTTCGCCTTTGCCAACATTACCGAAGACTTTCAGGTTGACATAGGCTCTGTCAAAGACGAGTTCGACGCATTCAAACAGTTGGCAAAGCCAAAAGATCCCACCGGACAAGAGATCAATCAGCGCAAGGTTCTGTCTTTTGGTGGCTGGTCGTTCTCGACAGATCTGGACTCCTACGCTATCTTCCGCAAGGGGGGTCACAGATGCTCAACGCTCCCAATTTGCGACAAATGTTGTCCAATTTGCCGCAGACAATAATCTCGACGGTTTGGACTTTGACTGGGAATACCCCGGGGCTCCTGACATCCCGGGCATTCCAGCCGGTGATCCCGACGACGGTGAAAGATACTACAACTTTTTGAAGGAGGTTCGAGACAAGCTTCCATCAGGAAAGACCGTGTCTGTTGCTGTCCCAGCATCCTTCTGGTATCTCAAGGGCTTCCCAATCAAGAAGATCTCCGATGTTGTGGACTATATTGTTTTCATGACATACGATCTCCACGGTCAATGGGACTACGATAATCCCAATGGATCGGATGGTTGCGATGGTGGCTCCTGTCTTCGATCTCATGTGAATGAGACTGAAACTGCTCTTGCGTTCGCTATGATCACCAAAGCTGGTGTGCCAAACAATAAGATCTTCGGTGGAGTTGCCAGCTATGGGAGATCTTTCGGGATGGCAGACCCCTCCTGCTACGGCCCAACATGCAAGTTCACAGGCCCGGAGTCGGGAGCCAGGCCTGGCGAATGTACTCAAACTGCAGGCTATATTGCAAATGCAGAGATTGAAGAGTGGCTTTCTGATGAGAATGAGAAAATCCACACTTACTACGATGAAGACAGTGCATCGATGATCTCCTACTCTGAAAATGGTACCTGGGTCGCTTACAGCAATGAGGCCAACCGGACTGCCCGTTTACTGGACTGGTGGCAAAATGGTCATTTCGCTGGAACTGCTCTATGGGCACTTGACCTTACCGAGTTTGTCAGCGAAGATTCTGATGGCTCAAGATTGGACGCTATCTACCCGACCAACTGCACCCAGTCTTTTGACAACATGGATGATTTGGAGGCTGCGACTGGGCTTGATGACTTCTGTGTGAACATCTACCTGATGCAGGCATTATCAGGAAATCTTACCGCGTCTCTCGAAAAGTACCAAGAGATCTTGGACGACGAGTACGACAAGAAATTCGGCTGGTATGAGGAAGCCGTCAGGAAATCTGCCCCCCTCAGTCTACAATCATTTTTGAAGGCAAATGATACCAAATATTTCGACTGCATTCAAAATGGAGATGCAGACTACACGAATCACACAGACAAAGGTTGTGTTCATGACAGAGAACTTGGCCTTGGCGTTGACGTGTACTGGAGCGTACATGACAAAGAACAGTTCGAAACAGACCTCACAGCAACGACAGGAATCTCACCTGAATGGCTTCGGTGGGATATGGACCCGGAATCATACCATGACAGTTATACGGGGAACGAGGGAACCACTACCAATTACGGAAAGCCATGGTTGAAGACGGATTACACAATTGATAACCCTAAGGACATGATTTCAAAGCGACTGCCGAATATCACTGCATTCCATGAAAACCTGGATTTCACGGCTGGGCTCGCCAACTACAGCTTCTACTCAGGGGATACAAGTGATGTTGTGGATGGAGCGTCAACACTTGTTTTCATGGTATCATCAGCCGTGACGAGTATGTCCCGCGTTGAGGACATTGGGGAGGACTACGAGGAGCATAAGATTATAAATGCCATTTTGTGGTTTGTTACAGCTGTTCTCTTCCTGATTCCCGGTCTTCAGGAGGGAGCGGAGGCCTTGGAACTTGGCACTCTGGCAGCATCTCTGAGAATGATTGGAACCGCTGGCGATGTTGGAATGAGCGTATATGATGTTGTTAACATCAAAGAGAATGGTCCAGCTGCTGTACTCGGTATACTTCTGGCCGGCGCTGGGGCTCTTTCCATGATCAAGGCCCCGACTGGATTTGCCAACGCGGCCAAAGCCCGAAGAGCGATTTCCGCGACGCATATTGACGCGTTGGGAACTGAAGTCAAGGGTGGAATGGCCCAAGTTGAAAAGTTGATACAACGGTGCTATTAGATAGGGAAGCTAAGTGGAAGGTGTAAATAATTCGAGGCGACCTTTTGTATTAAGAATCCAGTCACTGACCACTGTGCACTACGGCGGACCTGTGCACTGTGAAAGATGCCCGTAACTTTGTTGTTTATCCCGAATGCATGGAGCTATGGCTAGAATCATATTACTCTGTAATGTCTGTATACCACCCTGAATGTCCCCAATGGTAAATAAAAATCCTTTCTAAACTCAACGACGAGGGGTTCTGAGTTCATTTCATTTAGCCAACAGGATTCTGTGTTTAAAGCCCAGTATCGCCTTCCCAGGAGGATTGGCGTAAGCGATGCTGCTGGTCCCAGGATTACACCACGCAGGCCGGGCGCCATTGGATTAATCGAAACCGCAGTCAAGAGCGGCATCTGCGCCAGCAATTGAACAGGCACATAGCACTGACGATATACCATCTCGCTCTCTACGCCGGTCGGCAAGGCTGGCAATGCATTCTGACCGGGATCCACACGTCCTGTGCCGCTAGCAACGTCTGGCCGGGCTGACGGGCAAATATATGGTCATGGACGGTAGGTGGAGACCGTTCGGTACCTACGTCTTGAGAGAACAGGATCTTGCTTTTTTTTACATGAACTGTGCCTCCATAGATGTCAGAAACCTACTGGCAGGGCTTTAGACACCATTTCTATGGACCCGATTCTACAGAACGTTGCGCAGTACGTACTATAACACAGCTATGTAGCGACAAGATTTATCAACCTTGGCTTGAGCTGAATTGGGAGAAAGAGGCTTTCTGAGGATATTTGTTCACGCGCTAGTTTTGATGGATCACCGATGTTCTTTGTTTCTGCCATGATACAGTATGGGTGCGGTTATGAGACAGAGAGACTGATCATATACTGATCCGAGTCCTGCCTGCCATCCCCCTAATCCAAGCTTTCCTGAGATGTGCCATGCTGAACAGCCATAAAGCAGCTGGGGTACGACCATTGCACGGTATACATGCCGGAGGTTGATGGTCCCTGTGCCCCATGTTGAAAATGCGAGTGCTGGCAGAGCGGCGAGCCGCTTTGTTGCTCCCGCTTCTACCTTCTCGCGGTGGTGGTCTCAGCGAAGCTTGGTGTCCATTTGGATGCCCAAATAACGACATCACGTGGAGGCTTTAATAGTGGCGTGTCACAGGCGAAGAGCATATGTCCTGTTCTTTTCAGGATCGGTCGCGATAACACATCGTGGCAAACGCGTATGAATTCCAGGAAAGTGGTCTGTTGAAGTCGGTTCTCGGCCTGCTCCTGGCGCGCTTCTGCCTGCTTCCGGAGAGCTTCTTCCTGCTTTTGCGCTTCTCTTTCCTGCTCAAAGACTAAAGAGTGCTTTGTAATCAGGTGAGATCATTTGCTGGCCATGTGTTTGACGGGAGGAGAGGCGACGAGGTTGCGTGTGAGTGTTTAAGGGAGTGCCTAGGATGGACCAGACGGACGTTGGATCACGTGGCAACCACAACCCGGGGGGCCGGGAGCGGATTAACACCAATCCTTAGCAATTCCCTGGGAATTGCTAAGGACCCTTCACCCCAACTTTTTGCTAACTACATAGCAAAAAGTTGGGGTGTCCTTAGCAGTTCCCGGACGTGCTCAGTTTTACTCAGTGAGCAAAAAGCGGCTAGGGGTGAGCTCTAAAGTGGAAAGGGAAAAGTGAAAACCATGTCGGGCGGCCTAAAATCCGGGATTCTGGTGTATATGAGTCTGACAGGGGTAATCACCCCCCGTAGCAGCGAATACCAACACGCGAGAGCCACAGGGATCTGGGATATGATGCGCTGGCTCACGGGCGCCAACCGCATGGGCAATCGCATGGGTTGTGTGATATCTCCCCAAAGCGCTTAAATAAAGACACGGGTTCCCAGAATTCCAGGGTAGATTCCAACGTCTGACTCGCAATTGCATTATTCCCAAATCAACATGTCTTCCGATATCGAAGTAGTCTCTAACTCGACATCCCAGCAGTCATATACAACCTCGGCAATTACATTCCCTACCCTGCTGGAGCCCCGCTCACCACCAACGAATGACGAGGCGAAAGCCCGGATCCAGGAATTGTATGACTCCGGTGTGCCGTTCTTTACCAAGGATGCGATCCGGGAGATCTGGGAGCAGATGCAGCGTCAGCTTGGCCAAGGAGATAAGGTTGTCGTCAAGGATGTTACCGGTGCTAAGCTTGGATGTGAGGTGAAGCTGGGGAAGACTGAGTCATTTCGAAAAGGGGAAGAACGGGTGAAGTGTGAACTTGTTTAGTATGATTGACCTATATTCCATAATCCAGGATGCAAGTCTTGGGATGCTGAAAGCAAGCTAACATCGTCTAGCCACGAACTCGCCTTGTCATATAGGTGCGCCTCACAGCTCAAGAGAGAGATAGACTATGACTGGGACGAGCAAGTTCTAGACAGCGTTTATGCACCGATACTTGTATCGCACCATCTATGCGAGCTTGATAGCACCAGCGAAACAAAGGAAATCATACCCAATACACCGATAGGAGAGAAAGGAGCCGTCGCTCTTGACTTCCAAGAGAAGCGCAAAAAGTGGGAAGAGAGCTCGACTTGCAAGAAGTTCTTCGAGACTTTAGCTTCCTCTGCCGGTAGCCACGAGATCAAAAAGATCATCGGCTTCGCCTGTGGCAGTCTGTCATTGCCGAATAACAGCCACTCAGCTACCGAGCATGCCTTGCTAGTCTCTGTCCGAGACTGGCTGAAATCCCGTGACGGGGATAAGGAGGCTGCATGCTACGTCCAGGACCCGATGAATACGTCTGTGGACAGGGAGGTTCTGGCTGAGGTTGGGTTCGAGGTTATTGATGATCCGCGTGGATGGCTTGAGGTCGATGAGAAGTCTTTTGTGATTTCTATTGCGCCTAATGTGCCTGTCAAGGAGATTATTGCGGATATTGCTAGGCCGGCTGTTGTGATTTGGTTCCGTGTCAAGGCTGAGTCGAATGATGAGGGCGGGTAGGTTTCAAGCTCTTGTCTCTTGCACGGGTTGTTGTGTTTGTGATTTGCTGACTTGACTTGGTCTAGGGACACTGATCCGGACTCGTCGCGCGTGAGGGCTATGATGGAGGAGTATGAGCTGTTTGAGCTTGAACCATATGATGACCTCGCTGAGAATGTCGTGGTTTATATACGGAAGTCTGGTTCGGCGACGAAGTGATGTTGACTGTAGGTAGGGTCATGGAAGGTCTATACAGAGTGTGTTTGGCAATGGAAAGATATGCTTCCTTCACTCGGCTTGGGTGTGAGTGTCCCTGATCCCGCGTAGGAGATTCCATCCACGCAGCAATGTAGACTTATGTCACACCACCTGGGAGACCTTGGGATCCACATTGGGGTGAAAGAGGGATGTCATGGGATATCATGTGCTGGCTTGTGAGGCATATGTGGTCGTTAGGGAGATCTTCTGCCTCCATCCTGTTTGTTGTTCTCACTTCTCTCACCTCTCTCACTCCTCTCTGACAAAGTTCTACTGTTACCACTTCTACTTCTACAAACTAAGGTCATCATGGGCGATTTATCCATTTTCCAGGCCACTGTGCCGGCAAGGTGGTCGAGACAAAATCCCAACTACCGCGAGGCACCCCGTGCCTTGTTTCACCTAAGAGACACGGCAACCTTACAGGAGGTCGAGACAAGTATTGACCGAGCGTACACGTCCGGGGTGCCCTTTTTCACCAAACGCGCAATCCAACATGTCTGGGACCAAATCAAGCGCAATCCGGCACCAGGATCACCCATCCTCTTTAAAGATATCACCGGCACACCAGTTGCGTGTAAGGTGCAAACTGGCCATGTCGAGTTTTGGAGACGACCTGATGGATCAAAGCTGCAATATGTGTAGTATGTTCACCCTTCTCGAAATAGCTACATCTGGACCGTGAGGACTAATATCATCAAGCAAGGAAATAATCCTCGGATACGACTGTCGAGCGTCCCTCAGAGACCACCTGGCGAACCACGTGGCGAGCGGCTTCCGTCCGCAGACCTATGCACCTTGCCCAATCTATCTCCAGCATGTGGCGTCGGAACTGGATATCGAAACCAAGCAGATTACTCGAGGCCCAGCTCCCCTGAACCGTGAAGTTACAGAGCGATCCATGGAAGACAAGACCCAGAGATGGATCAAGAGTCCAGCTTGCGACAAACTCAAGGCAATCCTGTCATCGTCCGTGAAGGACCATGAGATTAACAAGATCGTTGCTTTCTCTCTTGGTTCACCGTCCAAGCAATGGGCCAATGACCGTGGCCTTGAAGTGTTTGTGCAAATTATTCGTGTGCGATCTGAGTTCCAACATGGGCTTCTCAAAACCCTGTTGGAATGGCTACAAGGGCGGGGTGACAAAGATCAAGTCCGTTGCTATACACAGGATCCTCTCTACACAGAGGTGGACAAGCAGATCTTGGGCGAGTCCGGAATCGAGGTGATTGGCGATCCGCGTGGATGGCTCGAGGCGGATGAACGTTCTGTTCTGTTCACAGTGGCTCCTACTGTGCCCGTGAAGGAGATTATCGCGGACATTACTCGACCCGCCGTTATAATCTGGGATCGAGTGGGATTCAACGATTCGCTTGGTAACGGAAATCCAAAGTGAGTATCTCCTCATCATCTTGCACTCTTCTTTCTGCATACGTTTCCTCCGTGACTTATTTGGTTAATGGTTCTTTTCTTGATGACATTACTGACGTACTTTATAGTCCCGACCCCGACTCGCCCCGAGTTCGACAAATGATGGAGGGATACGAGTGCTATGAGTTCGGTCCGCATCCCAAATTGTTCTGCAATATTGTCGTCTATGTTCGGAAGTCGGTGGCTGCCCCGGTTCCTGGTGAAGATGGCAGATTCACCTAGAGTGAATGCTTGTCAACATCGAACAATACATAGTACACATGGAAGCGAGGGAATTCAACATCCCGAGTATTAGTTGGGGTCTTGTAATGCCAGGACAAGTAGTGCCTGAAGAGCTGGGGGTCAAGTGTACCATTACCTACATTCAACATTGGGCATTTAGGTAGCATGTACCTAACCTAAGCTGCAGTTTCAATCAATCAATGATCAATGTATCCCCCCGTTGGACAGTAGAACCAATCAGTATGGCTGTAGGGTAAATTGAATGAGATACAGCTGAATGTTTTGATGGCCAGATACGTGGACAGCAGTGCCGCTACCAAGGACACGCTGTACACTTCGCGAGAGATAAACTGAATGCTTGACACCATGGAACAATCACTGGTAGCACCGAGGTTGTTACAAGTCCTGAGTATTGGTTCGGATCTTGCGATGTCAGGGGTCAGGACACGGAGTAGTGCCTGAAGAACTGGGGTCAAGTGTACCATTGCCTACATTGGGCATCAGGTATCACGTAAGTAAGCTGCAGCCTCAATCAATGACCAATGTATCCCCCTGTTGGACAATACGCCGTAGAACCAGGATTGGGCATATATCGACTTCCCGTATAGCCCGCGTACTTGCAGCCTGAGAGCCCCTCATTTAAGATTGAAACTGACAAATGACGAGTGAAGGAGAATATGAGCATCTGATAGAGAAAAGAAGTATTTTCTTTCTATATTTTGTTGATAATTCGTGCATCGTGAGTTGGGTAAAGAAGAAGACTCCACAACTCGGTCAACTCCACACCGAATGAAGGCGGAAGATCTTCGACTCCGGACCTTAACCTCTGGTCACGCGCTTTTCGTGCATTGTAACCAACCGCAATGGCCTCTGAGCGAGCGATTGATCGGGAAGAGCGACAAGGCCTGGTGAGTTTCTTCCTAGCTTTTTTTATTATTCTCCCCCCTTTCCGGGGAGGAGGGAATGAACCCCTCTTTATAGACACTATGGAGGGGATCGGAAATGTGAACCTCGCCCAGTCGTGTTTCGGCAGTCACCACATCACCTCCCATCTGGATCTTGACTAACGCAGCAAACAGCGTGCCATTCGCGATTTTCTAAAGGCCCGCAACTCCTACGATGTCCTACCCCTCAGCTTCCGACTCATCATCTTCGATACGTCGCTTTCCGTCAAGGAGAGTCTTAACTGTCTGATCCAAAACGGTACGTCCCCTATTTTCCCACTTCCTTGATCGCTTTCTCTTCCCTAGATCTGAGAACTCCCAGCTGACTACGAACCGGGAATCGGGGAGGTACAGGTATCGTTTCAGCTCCGTTGTGGGACTCCAAAGCGTCCAAATTCGCCGGTCTTCTGACCACCTCCGACTACATCAATGTTATCCAATACTACTTCCAGAATCCCGCCGCGCTGGACCAGATCGATCAATTCCGCCTGGACAGTTTGCGAGGTGCGTTGGGCCACTCGAGTCGACCTCCTGCAGGTACACCCCGCAGCTAACAGGAATATACAGAAGTTGAGAAGGCGCTAGGCGTGGCGCCACCCGAGACCATTTCTATCGACCCAGAGCGCCCTCTCTACGATGCCTGTCGGCGCATGCTGGAATCGCGCGCCCGCCGTATCCCCCTCGTCACCAGCGATAGCCAGACCGAGCGGCCCCACGTTCTCAGCGTCATTACGCAATACCGCATCTTGAAATTCGTCGCTGTCAATGTCCCCGACACGCAGCAGCTGCGTCGGCCGCTCGGCGAACTCTTGCTTGGATCGTACGATAATGTCGCGACGGCTTCGATGGACACCCCGGTTATTGATGTCATTCATATTCTGGTCGAGCGCAGCATATCCAGCGTGCCGATCGTGAACTCGGAAGGTGTTGTCTACAATGTGTTCGAGTCTGTCGATGTCATTACCTTGATTAAGGGTGGTGTGTACGACGACTTGAGTCTTACTGTCGGTGAGGCATTGAAGAAACGTTCTCCGGTAGGTGACTTCCATTTCCGGCGATTTCAGTATACTTATGCTCTATAGGGATTCCCCGGAATTTACACCTGTTCCTTGAATGATGGACTGGATACTATCTTCGATACGATCCGCAAATCAAGAGTGCACCGTCTCGTTGTCGTGGACGAGCACTTCAAGCTCAAGGGTGTTCTCACTCTGAGTGATATCCTGCACTACATTCTTCTCGAGGGCGAGAATGAGGAATCATGATCGCTGAGTTGGCCCCCATAGGTATTTCCCCATACATATTCAGTTTTGCATTGTTCCGGCGTTTTGATCTCCGGTTTTTGGATCTTCAAGGAGACGAAAACGAAGATAACATATGATCTAACTTGGGACATGGGCCCGGCGAGGCCATGGCTATCAGCCTATCTCAGGCAATCTATGTTGATTTTTGGGCTTTACGAATGTACAGAGGTAATGACATGGTTTCTACCGGTGTTCTCTTTTGTAGTGCCACTGGCACAGAAATAGACTTGGAGAGATTTCAAAATCTCGCCAATTTGAAGCATTTTCCTGATTGTGGTCTTGACTGTCCTTGCCCTAACTGGTGTTCAACGTAGTTGCCTTACCTCAGCTCCTTCCTCGTGCAAAGACCCTGCCCTAGCCTAACATCTCGTGTAAACCGCCCTTATTACTTCTACAACTCTTCCTCTCGTATTCCTTAACCAATTGAAACCATGCGACGCCTGAAAACTGTGTTCCGGTCATCCAAGTCCGATAACCCTGCCTCTCGTTCCGGCGGCTCACGGCGCCACCACTCGCATGAGGGAGATCCAGTGAAACCTCCATCAGACACCACTTCGAGGGAGGTAAGAGATGAGAGGGAATTGGCTGCAGTTGCGAGCGATAATGCTGGCGAAACTCGGGCGAAAGCTCAACATGCCGAAAACACCGGCGATCTTTCTCGGTCGAAGAACGGCACTAGACGCCTCAAGAGGATGGTCAATCGTTTCCGTGGCAGCTCACAACAAGATGAAGAACCGATGACAGAGCCACAGCCTCAAGAGCAGCAGGAGGCTGCCCGCAGAGAGTCGACCGTCGGACCCCTGACCTCTAATCCTTTTGAGCTCGAAGCACCTGCCTCTGCTCCTGCGCCTGCAGTTGCTCAGGACCCAACTCCGAACCCAACCACTGTCAAGACAGTGAGGTTCAATGAGTTGACGGAGACTCGAGAGGCCAGTGTTCAGACTTCCAATTCCCAACAGTCTAGCCCGACGAGAGACTGCCATGATCGTCCCCAGGAAATCCCAGAACCTGCTCTGGAAGCCTGGGAGGAGTGGGTGCGGCCAGGACTGATGCTGTATGAGACTGAGCAACGTCAACATGTTCCCGAAGTCTCGGACCCGTTCTCTGATGGCAAGGCTGTCGACAATCAAAGTCAACAAAGTCTAGAAGCCCAGCAGGCAAGGCCAGGACCCTCGGGGCGTGCGGGTCACAACCGAGAGACATCCAGAGGCTCTGAAGCGAGTCAAGCGACACTAGATTCAATTGCGGAGACTGATGTCGATGCAATTACCCCAGCTCCGCTCCCACCTTCCCAGACAGGCTCAGTCCGCAGCCAAAGTAGTCGAGTTAGTTGGACTAGCACCCTCGACGGGCAGAAAGCGACGTTGGCCTTCAACCAGATGGCGACTCAGTTCGGGGTCCCGATTATCATTCCCATTGAGGACGCTGCAGTTGGTACAAGTGAGCTCTAACTTGCTTATGCTTGGATTACCACTGACAGTGTCTAGCAGCAGGAGCCACTCCCGCCACAGAGGAAGAGACCGGTCGTCGTAGATTCGGCTTTCTGGGCAAAGTTCGCAAGGTGCGATCGAATCTGGCTGTCGACACGGCACCTCCCTCACCAACTCCCAAGCTACGACGAAGGAAGACATTTGCGAACCTTCGCCATCCCAATCCGATGACTTCGTTGGAAGGAAGGTCGATCGAGACTTTGGCTCGTCTTGGAGGACATGCGTATCTCATGCATACAGATTTGGCTCCCTGTCCCGCACAGCTGCCCGCGTGCATTGTAGCGATGTTGAATTTTCTACATAAATATGGTCGGTGTTCAATTTGTTCTACGCCATGACTTAGCTGACTTTGGTTCCTACAGGGCTGGAAACTCCGGGTCTCTTCATCCATCGCGGCGACGTGAAAGCCGCTATTCGCCTGTATGACCACTACTCTGAACATGTGCTCACGGCTGAGAAAGAGGAGTCCAGAATCGACTTGACGATGCGTTTGGTTGCTATGCCCACGCTCAGTGGAGGTACAGACACCGCGCCAGTGCTAAGTGTGGCGTGGACGCTAAAAGCATTGTTGGCGGGGCTTCCCATCGGGATCCTCGGGAGTGTCCGGCTCTACCAAGTCTTGAATGCCATGTACCATCACTCCATTCCCAATCCCATGCATCCCCTCCGTGTCCCAGCCTGCATCGCTGAAGCCACTCCCGTTACTGCCGCCCGGGTGCAGCTTATGTGCCTCGCTCTCATTGCCCTGGTGCCGGAGATGCAGCGCGACCTGATCTGTTCGGTGTTTGGTCTACTTGCCTTGATGGTGAAGGACCCCAATCTTCGGGACCAGCAACCCGGGATGGAGCTCCGGGAGCTTAGTGACCCAGTGGCGAACCCGAACTTCCATGATTTGGCACGGGCATTTGGGCCGCTGCTCCTCGGGGTCAGGGGGCGAGAGAACCGAGAAAGAAAAGATGCTGCGGCCCAGGTGTTACAGGAGGTGGAGGAGCAAAGGGTGGCGGGATTGATGCTCAATAATTGGCATTATGTCCATCGGCAACTTCAATACTGGACGAAGTGTCGATACATGGTGAGCAAGGAATAGAAGGGTTCCGGTTCATGGGTTCTGATTGGACTATTCTAGAAGAAGCTGTATACTTCCAAGTGTTGAGATCCCCACTTCAACCCTGTTTTCTGCTGACGGCATTGAATCCTGTTGGATACCATCGTTTGGGTTCTTTTGTTTATATCATTATTTACCTTGATCAGGTTTCAAAGAACAGGGTCTGGAGGGGTCTAAAAGGGGGGAAATTCGGGGAAATTCTATAACTAATCCAACATTCCTTTTGACTGCTTAAGTACCAACTGAGTATGACTTTTATTCTTTCCCGTCCAAGGTTGCTTTTCTCTTTGTCCATGGTGACACCAAGAACTTTCTTCTGCTTCGCTCGGATCTGCTGGACCGTAGGAATTCTTGTCCGACCGTGGCTCCAACCAGGTCGACCACCACCTGGACCTCATCTTCTTCAGGCACCGGCCAAACGACCGTGGATCTTTTTCCCTTTGCATTTTGAGTTGACCAACTGCGTTTATGAAATTTCAGTCTTGACGCCCGAGACTCAGGCTTTTCTGTGGTTAGGGCAAGAGCTGTCAAGTGTCTTAGCTTCAACTTTGAACTGTCAAGCCTTACTGCCTGAAACTCTTAACTTTCCTTCTCTCTTTCCCTTAAAGAGGAACCGGAAAAAGTTACTTTCCAACTCTCAAAAAGCTTCCCTTCACCCATTTTCCCCTCTATCATGTCTACCAACCTCAAATCTGCGATGCCGTCAGGCCTACCATCAGGGCTGCCTACGGGAATTGCAACAGATATCAATCTCGGTCCATCACCATTTACATCTTCCTTCTCAGGCGATTTCCTCGGCCTTTCCATTCCAGACGACGAGCAACTGTGGGGGCTAAGCCCAGTTTCACCCATGGGCACCGGCTGGGACAAAGCCGACTCGGCAGCATTTGCCAATTCAGCCCTCGAGCGGGACCTCAAAAACGCCCAAGTCCGCAATGGTCAACCAACCCCGCCCCCGTACGACGACCAAGGCCGCGACCTATCGGGCATGGACGTAATGGAGACAGCGAGCAAACGCCGCCGTGTCCGCGAATACAACACCGCCGCCGCCAGTCTCAGCCCGGATCTCGATGATGGGCCACATGACCGCGTCAAGCGCGCCAAGTTCCTCGAGCGCAACCGTCTAGCCGCCAGCAAGTGTCGCCAGAAAAAGAAAGAGCACACCCAGAAGCTGGAAACCGATTACAAGGAGCAGTCCGATAAGAAGGAGCAGCTGATGGCGGAGATCTCCCGGCTGCGCTCCGAGGTCCTGGGCTTGAAGAATGAGGTTCTGAAACATGCGCAGTGTGGTGATGAACCGATCAAGCTGCATCTTGCGCAGATGGTCAAGAAGATTACAGACGGCGATGTGCCGCAGCCTGCGTTGCCGGGGCCGTCGCCTGTCCCGCTTCCTGATAACGGGTCCGTCTCGCCGATCGACCCCACTCCCGTTCCTGTGACGTCGGCTGCGGTGCCGGTTTCTGCGTCGCAGGCGCCGACCTCTCTGTCGTTTGGCTTTGACGATCCGTTGCCGCTTGAACCGGCTGCTGTTGCGGCGGCGGAGGCGTTCGAGCAGCAGATGCGGAGGGAGTCGGAGGCTTCACTGGTTTCAGAGGGGTCTTATTCGTTCTCGGAGGATCCCTCATTCGATGATTTGATCAATGTTTGAGAGTGGGAAGATGTGATGTGATACGAAACTCCTATTTATTTTCCCCTTTCACGTCTGCGAGGAGGTAATGGGCAGCAGGTCTGTCAGTCTGGCGTTGGATGTGGAAATTATCGTTAACGATATTTGTTGAATTGCGATCCAGTTGCGGTAACTGGAGGGTGTCTGGCGTTCTGACTCCGGCTTGAGTAAACGGATCAAGCCTTGGTTTATTGTTTTTGTTCCCCTTTTCTAGCTGTCTCCATGGGGATTGACTAGAAGCAGGCCGTTGCTTGATCATCTGGGTAATCGGCTTGATGAGGATGTATCTTTTATGAATAACATGAGCTCAGATGGAAATGTATTGTTTCTATCCATGTTTTTGTTCTGTAGTTGGGTTGTCAATATCTATTCAGGCAGATCGGCGACGGATTTACGCGCCGGACTTTTTTGGTCGATTCCACGATTGCTGTGGGGAAATTGCGCCATTTCATGTGACTGCGTATCACTTAACTAGGTACTGTACCTGTATGCTAAGATCCACTACGATGCATATGTATTTCTATCTCTTTTTCCTCCTACATAATTGACTGGATGATCTATGCCAAGCCATAAATAGCTTCTTATCACCGCCCCTTTCCTAATCAGGCATGATCTACTTATCTGATGTGGCCCCATGTGGGGCCTTGAGTTTCCCCGCAATTCCGTCTTGAGTACGTAGACTGTAGGCTGTACGCAGTAGTGCAGGTTAGAGCTTAGGGATCTGAGAGTCAATGCAGATAGTTATAGTAGGTCTACCCCTCACTCCTTTTCTTTCCTTTCTTCGCTATTCTCCCTATTGCGTGTGTCGCTCTTGATCGATATATACTCATTCCCGTAACAATGACCGCTAAACGACCCAACTTCCTCGTCATCGTCGCCGACGACTTGGGTTTCTCCGATGTAGGCTGCTTCGGCGGAGAAATCCACACGCCAAACATCGATAAAATCGCCCAAGAGGGACTCCGATTTACTGATTTCCACGCAGCGGCAGCATGTTCGTACGTATTCTCTAAGTAAAAAAAAGCCAAAAAGAAAAAGCAGTGAAGGATAAGCTCACAAAACCAGCCCCACCCGTGCCATGATCATGACAGGAACGGACCACCACATCGCCGGTCTCGGCAACCTAATCGAATGGACCAACATCTCCGGCCAGAACGGTCCCAAGGGCTCCGCCATGAGCACAGCGCCCCAACGCGGCATGCCCGGCTACGAAGGCTTCCTCAACGAGCGGGTCGTAGCACTGCCCGAAATCCTACGCGACGGCGGATATCACACCATAATGTCGGGCAAGTGGCACTTAGGTCTAACCCCCGAGCGATCCCCGCAGAAGCGTGGCTTTGAGCGCTCATTCGCCCATCTACCTGCCTGCTCCAACCACTACGCCTACGAGCCAGAGCTGAAAGACAAAGACCAGATCCCTACTTTCATCGAGGCGAGCTATATCGCCCTGCACATGGAAGACGGAGAGTATGTGCGCAAGCTCCCCGAGGGATGGTATTCATCTGATGGCTACGGGGATAAGATGGTCGAGTACCTGAAAGGATGGAAAGAGTCCGGCGGTAGCGAGATCCGTCCGTTCTTCGGGTATCTCCCGTTCACGGCGCCACACTGGCCGCTACAGGCTCCGCGCGAGTACATAGACCATTACCGCGGCGTCTACGACGATGGGCCTGACGCGCTGCGCCAGAAACGACTGCAGCGGTTGAAGGAGCTGGGCATGGTGCGCGAGGATGTCGAGGCACACCCTGTGCAGGCGGAGGAGGTCAAGCCGTGGGAGGAATTCAGCGCAGAGGAGAAGAAGAAGTCTTCAGTGGCGATGGAGGTCTTCGCTGGTATGGTTGAGTGCATTGATGCGAATGTCGGGAAGGTAGTTGAATACCTACGCTCTATCGACGAGCTGGATAATACGTTTGTCTGCTTCATGTCCGATAATGGCGCCGAAGGCGCTGCCTACGAAGCTTACCCAATGGTGCAAAACGGCGTTATGCCCCATCTACAGAAGTACTACGATAACAGCCTCGACAACCTTGGAAACGGAAACTCCTTCATCTGGTATGGACCCCGCTGGGCGCAGGCTGCCACTGCGCCTTCACGTCTGTACAAGGCGTATACGACCGAAGGCGGCGTCCGCGTCCCCTTCACCTGTCGCTTCCCTGCCAACTTCGATCTCCGTCCGGCGGGAGTTACAAACGGCATTACAGACCAGTTCGCTACCGTCATGGATCTAGCCCCGACAATACTGAACATGGCACGACTAGAGCATCCGGCGCCGCGATACCGAGGCCGCGAGGTCGTCGAGATGCGCGGACGCAGTTTCCATCCCTGGGCGGTTGGTAGAGCGGAGAGAATCCATCCGGTGGATTTCATCCAGGGATGGGAGACGTGTGGAAGAGCTGCGCTGCGCTGTGCGGACTGGAAGATTGTTTTCATTCCTAAGCCGAAGGGGCCGGAGAAGTGGCAGTTGTATAATCTTGTGCAAGATCCCGGGGAAATTCATGATCTGGCAGATAAGGAGCCGGAGAAGATGAAGCAGTTGCTTAAGCTTTGGGATCAGTATGTGCTTGAGACGGGGGTTGTGCCGCTTTGTCCGGATTTGGGGGAGTTTTTGGAGGCGACGGAGGCGCAGATGCCGGAGAATGCTTGGATGGAGTTTGATTATTGGAAGGAGGGGGCGAGGGATAGGCCGGGGGAGTTTACGAGGAGGCCGCCTAGGTTTCAGAGGACTGTGAGGCCTTTTTAGGGGGTTGTACATTTGAATATGGACGACGGACGTCTATGTGAGTCCAAACAGACTGAACAAATGAAAGCTTTTCTTATCGTTTTGGATTCTACCTTCCTTTTTAACTACCGCCATGATTCCATATGAACACACAAGCCAAGCATACGAAGTCAAACGAAAGCAATATATGTGGCCGGCATTTGACCCTGTGAGTCTCCAAGCTTCAATGCCAGAGCAACCCTAAAGTTACCCCGATTCGACCGCTGGATATGGAGAAAGGTAGAGCCTCCGTAGAGGTAAAGGACGGTGGACAGAGCGGTGATTGGAGAGGAAGAGGCAATTCGAAGTATGATTGGTGCAGACACAAACTATTTTGGAAACCCCGAAATGACTAATTGCATCACGTGGTGGCTCATCATACCGACATCTATCGACAACAGTCTGCACTTCCATAGCCATTCTGCCAACCCCCTGGTTTCGAAGGTACCGTCAGAATGTCAATTTACCTCTGGCACTGTTACTCGGCTGTAAGGGCTACTTGGAAGCTACTTGTTGAAGGCGCATCCAAGGTCTTTTCTGGTATATTTCCGCTATTTTTCAAAACATTCTCATCCAATCCTTATAAGCCGAATGATCTTGAGTCCAATGATACCGTCGACGCTACCTCAAAAACTCTGGACTGCGTGGCCTATACCTTACACCCAATATTTCAGTCTGATCTGAAAATAGTGGGAATAGGAGCTTCTGGTCAAGTGTACGAGGTAGATGAGGAGATAGTTCTCAAGAGTTGCCGCCTTTTCAAACAACCCGGAAGCGACGCCTCTGACAACGACCGATACCACTACGCTTCAGATACTATTTTTCTCTCGGGCTTGTTACAGGATGAACGACTCGTTCTACGGCTACTTCAAAAGTGGCCACATCCTCACATCATCGAAGCTATCGACACTGATCAAGTCGAGGGCATATTCCTTCGCAGGTATCAGACGTTGCCGGAGGGTGCGATGACCACACAGCCCACTCGAATTAGGTGGTATCGTGAAATTACCGATGCTCTTTGCCACATCCACAAACTTGGAATTGCTCATGCGGATATAAGAATTGACAATATCCTCCTTGATAGCCAGGGCTCTGCTATTATTTGTGATTTCAGTGCCGCCAGTCCGTTCGGTCAACCAAATCTCGTTATCTTGGACCTTCCACTTCCAGTGAACGGACCTTCGCCAACTCTTTCCGAGGCAACTGATATGTTCGCAATGGGCTCGCTTATATTCCAGGTTGAGCATGGAATCAAACCTGGATTTTCAGTTGACACAGATGGTGAATTGGTTTTGCCTGAGATACACACCGGTCATCAAGGCATCGATGTGATTATTCGAAATGCTTGGCTTGGACACTACAGCCGCACCTCGGAGATGCTAGAGAGCCTTCGTTCACTCGACAGTCAGATTAGCCAAGGTGTTCTTGATACCCAAAATACCCAAACCCACCCAGTACCAACTGCTGCTTTGAAAGAGCGAATCAGAAGATGGAGAGAAAACCGCGAGAGAAATAATGGTAAGAACCGCCCGTTACCTGAATTTACCTGAATTTTTATCCCTGTTTCATAGCAACTAATGTGATCCATAGGATGTGTCCTTGATGGCATGCTCTCAGAACGCCAACTACAAGTGCTAGCTGATTCCTATGGCTTGAACAGAGATGCTGAATCCCGCTTCGCTAGCTATCATGTGTCTTACTTTACACATGATGCGCAACTAGATCTGAAGTCAGCAATAGACTGGCAATGAAAGGTGGTGGATGGCATCAATATCAATAGTATGCCCATTCCAAAATAAAAGTGCTCCCACTGCATTATTGGGAAGGCACAACTTGCGCCCCGTCGGGCACCAGTGCTGCACCGATCTACCAAACCAGGTGAAATGGTCTACCTCGATCTCGGGGGTGGGGGCAAGGTCCCACCTGGCCTCAGCGACTCCATAAAGAACGGCAATCAAGCCCGCTACTGGATGATCGACGTCGATGACTTTGACGGCTGGGAGGGTATTCATTTTATGACGCACAAAGATCAGACGCCAGCACGCATAGCCTGCAAGCGGTATCAACAAGACCGTGACATCGTCGTCAAGCAATTCTGTATTCTCGAGGCGGTAGTGAGCACGCACAGCTGATTTGCGAAGCTGTCCGTCGTGGATTTTGGCCCAATTCTTGACAGTATAACTGTCAAATTCGCCTCCTCCGTCTGATTGGAAGGCGGCAATCTGTTTCCTTGCAGCTGGCACTACTGCCTCTAGAATGCAGAATTGCTTGACGACGATCTCACGGTCTTGTTGATACCGCTTGAAGACATCAGCTATGCGTGCTGGCGTCTGATCTTTGTGCGTCATGAAATGTATACCACCCCAGGCGTCAAGAACATCGCCGACGGACTGACCAAGCCACTAGCCGGACCACAATTCCTACCTACGAAGGTACTGTGTACTGCCCGGGAGTATGGCCTGCCGCATACAGGGACCCCCTGTACCTGCATATGTATACATACAGACCGCCTGATGGTGCCACTGCCCGTGGAGTACTGAAGTGTACTTCCATTTCATGAGACAAACGACTTGCTTAATGAGGGGGCGAAAAAGGGAGAAAAAGGGAAGCGGTAGAAGTGCACCACTTACCTAGTACAATTCGGAGTATGATTGGTGCAGACAGAAAAACAGGACTACGATTGGGGTAGAAGCGGGTGGAGCATGTTCGCTATATAGAGACGCTATGTATTATAGAGATATGGCATATGGGCCCAATTCCCAATAAATTCTAAGAAACGATGAAAATTACAAGCTATAGACGATATCCCTATTCAATCCACTGGAGTCCCCCTCGGACGAAGTCGTCGTCCGTCGGGCAATGACCTCAACGACCTTCCGGCGCACACCCTCGCGGTGAGCGTATTTCTGGAGGAAGTGGTCGACCACAGGTCTCCGCGAAGGGTGACCCTGGCGTACAACCTGCTCAATCTCCTTCTCGGAGGGAAGAGCAAAGTGAGCGTGAGGGTATTCGCGGTAATCTTTCTCGCTGAGAAGTTCGAGGGCGGGCTCGCCTTCGGGGATTGTGAAGAAACTCTCGACGATCTCATCCGAGACCTCCTGGAGAGTAGCGGGCTGCCACTCAGCCTGGCGGGGAGGCTTGGACATCAGACGGGACTTGACACCCTCGACGAAATCAGGGTGGCGCATGAAATTGTAAGCGATCTGGCGCTCGCGTTGGAAGGTCTCCGAGATGCTCCAGTTCTTGCCGAGACGCATCTGGCGCAGGGTGACCTTCAAGGAGGTCGGAGAGCGGCTCGCCAGGTACTCTAGCGTCTTCCGTGCCCACTTCTTCTGCTCAGTCTCCTTCTCCAGGGCCTCGATGATCTCCTCGATGGTGTTGAAACCGAAGCAGCGGTCAATGGCAGCGCGCAGGCTGCCGGCCAGGAACATCGGCTCCTCCTCAAGCGTGGGGAGGCCGACGGAGAACTCGGCGATGGTCTTGTTGACAATCTCATTTCGCTCGGGGAGCTCGACGTGGTCGGGGAATGTTAGCTCCGAGAGACGCTGTGTGACATTGGCCAGAACGCTCGAGTGCAGGTAGTGTGTGGCAATGCCTGCGTACAGAGCCTGAACACCCTTCAGACGCTCTGAAGTCAGAGCGAGGTATGTGCCGATTTCACCGTCAAGACGAGGCAAGAAGAAGGAGCCGCCGACGTCGGGGAAGAAGCCGATGGTGGTCTCGGGCATGGCAAACAGGGTACGCTCTGTCGCAATGCGGAACGGGGCGTGCACGCTGAGGCCAACACCTCCACCCATGGTGATACCATCCATAAATGAGATAACGGGCTTCGAGTATGTAGCGAGCAGGTGGTCGAGGGTGTATTCGGAATCGAAGAAGCTCGTCGATGCTGCTTGTCCTTCGGGTCCTTCCTCGTTCTTCAATGCCAGGGCGGCAACGTCGCCTCCTGCGCAGAGAGCCTTGTCGCCGGCTCCGGAGATGATGATCATGCTGGCTAGATGAGACTTCTCCCACTCCTATACGTCCAACGCTTAGTATTGCATGCCTCCGATCTTCTGTATGTCCAAACTAACCTTCAACCGAGGGAGAATCTTGCCAACCATCGAACCGTTCAGGGAATTGAGCTTCTTGGGTCGGTTGAGCTCAATGCTGCGGAGGCCGTAGATCGAGTTGAACAGAACGTCGTCCGGTGAGGTCGACATCTAAGGGTGTTAACATTGATCGGGCTTCCGAGATGTGCATGTGCATACCGTAGCTGTTGACCGAAAGGCAGGGTTGGTCACCTTGGCGCGTAGAGGCATGGCTGAAGGAAGGCGCGAGGTCCAGCTCGGCGAGGCGAAACGATTGACTTGTCGAAGTAACATTACTGGAATATGACGAAAACCAGAAAGGGGGAGATGTGGTGTGACTATCAGATGTTCTCCGCTTTCCTTTGACCTCGGGAGGTTTTTCGCTGGATTTTCTCTCCGCTCCGACTCTCCGCCCATAACCGAGATGTTTGACATCATTGCAATCAGGTACATGATCTGATCTTAGTATAGTTTACTAGTTCTACTTGTTACGGCAATAACTGGTGGTAAGTAACATAGGTTATTATACTACCGGCAGTCTTGACTGTCGCCTTAAGGTAGAACGTGATAACGTAGAAAATCTATTTGTACAGAGCTAGATAATGCAAAACAAGTGAAATACAATATGATCACAGTCAATTCCACGTAGACTCCTTCCGGCTAAACTCCAGTGGATACACCCTCTTTCCGTCTGCTGTAGGCGAGAAAAGTGTGTCCACCTTCGCCAGGTCCGTAGAGTGCTTCAACAGAATCCTGTGAAGGGCATCCTTCTCAACAACCAGTCTTCCCGTCTCCAAAAGATTCTTCACATCCAAGTCCTCGAGGCTGATAGCTCGCGCGTGATTGCCGAACTTGTCAACCGCATCAAAGAACTTCTCATTCGGCTGATGCGTGATGAATGTAGACCGGCCCTTCTTCCACCAGCCGTGAGCCTGGATAAAGTTCTTGATGAAGAACGGAGTCGCATCGTCATGGATATCAATTTGGTTGTCGACAACAATCAATTCACCGCGTGAAAGTCGGTGGCTGAGGGCAATGCGCCAGGCTTGGTCGTAGATCTTCCGCGGCAGATCGGTCGAGAAATCGCGAGGATGGGGTCCGTGGGCGACACCACCACCTCGTCGAACGGGTGACATCTTATCGCCTGCACGCGCACGACCGGAGCCCTTCTGTGCGTACAGCTTCCTGTGACTACCGTGCACATCGTCCCTCCACTTGGTGTTGGCGGAACCTTGGCGGGTCGCATCACCCTCGTAGATGACTGCGCGGTGGAGAATGTCGTGGCGGATGGGCATTTGAAGGAGTCTCCGGGAGTAGTGAATGAGACGTGTGGGTTTCAAGTCGGGCCATTGGTAGGTCATGACTTGGACAGGGGTTGGGCCTCCAGGTCGCTCTGCACGTTCGGGAATAGCATCCTGAGTCGCCACTGCTGGTTGTGTCTGGGCTTCAGTCGCCATTGACCGTGTAAGACATCGTTGCTATATCATTTCGATGGACTGTCAGTAACTGCGTCCTGGAATCGGAGCCAGAAGAATTCTCGTGCACTAACCGTCACTTGGTTCGGGCCTGCGATGAGACCGCCCGAGCTGCGTGACAGCAGCCTCAGCGACCGAATAACGTCGTTACCAGGCATTGTGAAAGCCACTGCGTGATCGACGTATAAGTTGGTGTCTAAAGTCGTGACTGGAAGCAAAAGTTGATCCCGGGCGGTGGGTGGTAGCAGAATCTTGGCGTCCGAACAGAAAAAGTTCCCCCGGAAAGACAACAACATCCGATCCTCAAGGACAACCCCATAAAACACTCCATAATCCCTCACATCATGGCTCACTGCGAGCGGGCTTCGAAGCCCCTGCTCCAATGCCTTCGCAACACCTACTCTCGAAGCGTGGCAGGCGTTCAACTCCAGACGCGAGCCTTCCAGACGACCGCCAACGTCCGAGAGGCCGAAGCTGAATCCGCTAGCCTACCTTTCCACAAAGCACCCGATCCCTCTCTGGTGACGAGTCCTCGTTTGGAGAGACGGTTGCTGCGACAGGGAACCGCTCCGATCGGGTCTCGCCGTCGCCGTGCCGCGCTCCAGGATTCCGACAACATTCCTTTCGAACAGCTGCCCTACCAATGTTTCCAAGAAGCCCGGAAGATCCTACTCGCCGATCGGGAAGAAAAGTTGAAGGAGATTGAAACCATGAGGCAGCGCCTTGCGCGACAGGAGGCTTTACCTGTCGAGCAAGCCGGTGGTGAAAAGGCGAAGAAGTCCCGCATCACTGCCATGCAGTTACACCTGGAGCGCCTCAAGATTTTGGCCGATATCAACGATCCCTTGGTGAAGCGAAAGTTTGAAGATAATGAAGGTATATATGTCTGGCCCAATTGACTCAATTTGATGGAGACTAATCCTATCAATTCAGGTGACATGTCCAAGCCCATCTACCGCTTTTTGGCCGACCGCAAATGGCGCGAATACCGTCGCAAGGTTCTCGTCCAGCGTATCACGCAGATGAAGGTCATTCCGGATGTTCTGCCTCACTGCGACCCCGTTGCGGAAACCAAGATGTACTTCGGCAAGCACCAGGTCCAAGCCGGTGAATTCGTCGAAGCGAGATCCAGCACAACCCCGCCCAAACTCGACGTGCAGATCTTCGAAGGTGGTGAAAAGCTTGTCACCATTGCAGTTGTTGACCCCGATGTCCCCAACGTCGAGAACAACAGCTTCGATTATAAGACCCACTTCCTGGCCGTCAACGTGCCCATCTCGGCCACAAACACCAAGGTCGATCTCGCCCAGCTCTTGGAAGACTCCCAGGTCGTTCTCCCTTGGCTACCGCCTGTCGCGCAGAAGGGCAGTCCCTACCACCGTCTCTCCCTTTTCATCATGGAGCAAAAGGACTCTCAGCCTCTTGACTTTGCCGCTGTCAAGGCTAAGGAGAACAACCGTGACACCACCCTCCTTCGTACCCTTCAGTCTCGCTACCATCTCAAGGCCATTGGTGCGCACCTCTTCCGTACTCAATGGGACGAGACGACCCTGGAGGTCATGAAGGAGATTGGATTCGACGGGGCCAAGGTTGAGCTGCGCCGCAAGAGAGTCGAGCCTCTGCCATATAAAAGACGTAACCCCTCTTCGTTCCGTTGATCGTTTCGTCTATCCTGTTTTCATGTCCAAGCCACTTGAGTTTAGATTTGTATTGTACAATTTGATATGTATGAATATGCACACTGATTTAATCCCTCGAACCGAACTCCACGTGTATGCCTAAACAAGGACCTGACAGCCCAAATGCAATAAACCCCGGTATTGTGTACATGGTATAACCCTCATATGCTCTCCTCCACCTGCGCCGGCTGCAACGGATTCCGCACCCACTCCATCTTCGAGGGCGGCCACACCCTCGCAACAATCTTCCCATTAATAAGCCCCATAGGCACAGGTCCATAATTCCTCGAATCCCTAGACCAAGGAAGATTATCACCAGCCAAGAAAACATGTCCTTCGGGGATCTACCAACCCTCACACGCGTCAGCAGCCAGTCAATTGAAACCACCCCAGAACCACAAAACACAAAACCCACCTGTATCATATTCCCCTGCTTCCCAATATCCACACTCAACGGCGGATCCTGACAAACAAAATCCCCCGGCATCCCAACCACCCGTTTCGCAACATGCACGCCCTGGAAGTTCGGGTGTCCAAATCGCACAACATCCCCCACCTCAATCCCCTTTCCGTGTCGGTGCAGCCGCGATATCAGCAGCCAGTCGCCGCGCACATCGAACGTCGGGTACATTGACGGGCCGGCGCTGAGCTGGATGGTTATCAGGTGCTCCCAGATCAGTGCGCAGGCGCAGAAGGTGCCGGCGCCATTGAGCGCGATTCGGCCGAGGGTGCGCGCGTTGGCTAGCTTGAGCGTTGAGCGGAATAAGCGCTCCATTGTTCTGGTGTGGATTTTGGGCTTTGGCGCAGATCGAGCTGAGATCGAGTTCCCGCGGCCGCGGTGGTTCGGTGATGGTCATGTGATCAGACGGGGTGTTTAAATTTCGTTTTTTCGTTCCGCTTTTTCTTCGTTCATCATCAGTTCGGTCAATCTGTGCGGGGTTACCAGCCATTGATACGGGATATGAGGACATTCGATACGATATCCAAGGGTCTTCCAGCTATATCAGCTGCTCATTAATGTTTCGTGAGTGCTGGGCTGGAAGATTCTGGATTTTCATATCTCAGGTTCTGAGCAACTCTTGCAATGATCGGAGATTGCTCGAATGGTTGATCTTCCTCACGTAGACGACACACATCCCATACCCCTACCCTCCCCTACAATCCCATCCGGGATGTCCGCTTCTCCAAATGCTAGAGCTTGCCGTCGCCGAAATACATAACCAGGACGAGCACGTGTGGAATATGAAGCAAGATGAATACAACCAGCCTTTCTATATGTTAGGTTGTCCCCCAGTGTGCCTCAACCTTGACCCCATTTAACTATGGGACTGGGATCTTGAGACATGCGTAGCGGGGAGACATCTCAATTACCTAGACAATCAAATATCATTTTTCATTTCTCGTGCTATCATACTGTTATGTAAGTTCTTTTCATGCCCTCCAGGCCGATCAAGTAGATTTCTTCCAATCAGCATCTAGCAGTCGGTTAGTCCAAGCACACAATCAACCCCAATTTACCAGGAATACATACCAGGATGCTTCTCAACCGGCTCAATCCCCTCTCTTTTCTTCGCCTTCTGTCGATAATCCACACCAAACCTCTGATCCCGCTCTTTGAGCAACCCATCCAACCCCTGCGGATGCACAAGCTTAGCTTCCTCAGGCGACGTAAGACTACCCATCAACTGCGGCTGACCCATAGGCACCGGATCTCCCCGATCAACCTGCCACAGATGCCAAGTCTTGCCATAAATCGGGGCAATGTCCGCCATCTCTGCGGTCTCAGCAGCTTCCCACGCAGCAGTAGGCACACCAGCCGGCGCCGGCATGATCAGCATACCGCTCTTGACCTCGAATTCGTGCGTGTGCCACAGCTTGCGCTCTTCCTCAGGGAGGGTCTTGAAGATTCGCGGCGAGACCATGTATTCCACGCCAATGAGGCGGGCGTTTGGATTTGGTGAGTCGTAGATTAGGCATTGGCGCATGTCTAGTCAGTATTAGCGGGACGATATTTGGGTTGGCTGGTGTGGATTGTTAGCATACCCTCTGTGAGATGAGTGCAGTAGTGATTCGCCTCGACGCATCGGGTTGGGTCGTTGGCGTAGACGTGGAATGCATTGAGATGGGCGCAGATCTGTTTGACGGGCGTGAAGTCCTGGACCATTGAGGCGCCGGCCTCGAGGACTCGGCTCTTGGTCGAGCGTGGCTCGCCTGGTATTCCACTTGTTTCGCCGCAAGGGTGTTCGTGGTCTCCATCATGTCCGTGCTCTCCGTGTTGTCCGTGACCTCCCTGATGGTGATTCCCTTGATGATGGTTTCCCTGGTGTCCGTGATCTCCCTGATGATGATTGCCCTGATGTCCTTGATCTCCTTGGTGGTGATTTCCCTGATGGTGATTTCCCTGGTGATTATTGCCCTGGTGATGATTTCCCTGGTGGTGGTTTCCCTGATGATGAGCTCCACGTTGTGCCATGTTGCTAGATTGCACCTTGTGACCTTACGTTCGAAGATAGGTGTGGTGGTATTTGTAACTGTTGAGCCTTTTCTAGGTCAGTATTTGATAGAAGCAGAATTGTCCTCGCTGAAATATGTATTTTTTATAAGAGCAGTTGCTCATTGACTGGAAGTCAGTTCCTTGTTAACTGATGTATGCATTGACGTCACGATGATTATCTGCTTCTTTCCTATCTGGGCTAAAAGTGTACACTTTGTATACCACCCGCCTCCACCACCACGAATCCTCGTCCTCTGTACCTACTGTGTACAACCCTAATATGAACATTCCTACCTCTACCTCAAGTACATACTGTGTACTCCGCATACTTGGAAGATAAATTCACTGCCGAACATTTTAGCTGCCCAGTCACGTGCCACAAAGACATCTTGCCCCTTTCCTATCTTGACTCTTCAATGCTCACACTGTACTTGTTTCGATGCAGGTTCCCCTATTTTATGGTCTCGCGTGAGAACAATACTCATACAGCAGGCACATGTGACATAAGTTCTTCTGTTCCAGCCAGCGCCAGCATGCTGCCTACATACGCTCTACCATCCACTGCAGTCCATTCAAACCCATGGGCCATCCAAGACTTCCACTTTATTTACGTCGAGGTATGGACTTCGATCCAAAGCTTCCTCAAGACGTCCAGGGCCTCATCAGACATCACAATAACACGTGGCGGTTGAAGTTAACTCATGGCGATCTAAGCAGTCTGAACATCATTGTTCGCGATGATACGTTGTCGGAATCGTTGACTGGGAAGCGGCTGGTTGGTTTCCTCGATATTGGGAATACACGACAGCCTACCAAGTCAACCCGCAAAAGTCATTCTGGATCAATGAGGCTGATAAGTTCCTACGACCAATGCCCAGAGAGCTGGCAATGGAACAGATCCGTCAAAGACGTTTTTGAAACATTATGTTCTTCCATCAACTTATATGATGACCTCTCGGTCCTCCAGCAAATCGAAAGTTGGAGGTTTCCTGATGTCAAAGTCTCCCTGTCCATCAAATCGGTGCTGGTCCTTCTTGTGTTGGCAATATTCCATCGCCTTGTTTCTAACTGTGCTCCACTCGAGGTTGCTCGTGCCTAAAGCCTTTCCATCGGCCTTGAGTCTTTCGAGCGCTTCCTTTACCCATCCAACGCAATTCCACCCAGGCTCGCCTTGTCGCATAGGCGTATTGCGCAGGACTTCGATTGTGCGACGTCCATTCGCTACCTTGCCGACCATGATACGAATGAGCAACATGTGGGTAGCTCCCATATTACAGTCGAGCTCTTCATACTCCCAGGTAGGGTTTCCTCCCGGATCTAGTATTTCCTTCGCGTTATAACGGACACCATTGGAATCCTCGGTCTCCATTTTGGGTCCTATCATCACAGCCCAGTGATACCTGTTCGAGATACTGATATTAGCTCTGGCCGCTTGCCGCGAACACCATCATGGCGATGACTCACGTGTCCTCCTTCCCTGGCATAGTAGGTCTGCCACCTCGTGCATACAGCGCAACGTATATCCGATCCTTATTGGAGGGCATTGCGAGTGGCCTTGATGGATATGGCTAGTTGTTTGGGCGGAATTGATCGGTCGTCGACACATATAGTGTAACTGTGCTTCAATTGGTTTATACCAGTCGCTTTTGACACCTTTATAGCTTGGAGGCCCAAATATCTCATATATGATCTCTGGCAATCTATCAAAGCGCCATTGGCGCCCCCAGATGTGGTTCGACGTGATTGGAGCTTCTTGCAGCACCTACACCGACCATCTTCTGAAATTAGAACGAATTCCCTACATGTCTGTTGTCAGATGGTGTGCTCTATTCTCAGGCGAATTAGTGGCTCATAATATCTGCTGAAACACCTAGTCAATCCCAGCGACAGCGGTAAGGCTCATACATGTATGTAGGCGCCGCCCCGAAATAGAAATCCAGCGATGATATCACAGCCAAGCACGGCGGCTCTGCTAGCGCCGCGACCTGGTAATTGTCGTAGTTTCCCCTCATTAGACGGTCTCAGAGCATTCCAATGGTGCTGGTTGTTTAGTTCTAAGTAAAGCGTGTCTCTAGGTCATGAATCATAATCGAATTAGTCTATTTCGTACATGCTAACCTACTATATCAACGGTAGTGATTGAAATCAGGATTTGATATACAGACCTGCCCATCGTACTGCCTATATCAGACTTACATTCACCTCTCGATTTCTAGGTCTAGGCTTAACTGTCCCTACCTTACCCATCCATAATCCCACAATTGATTCATTCAGATCATCTCTCCACCAAACCCTTGATCCCGCCAACATCAACCGAGGCGGAAAGCATGCTCGCTCGCAGCTCAAAGAACTCTTTGAATCAACACTGAAACCATAGATCGCTTCGTATAACATGGAGGGCATGAATAGCACACATGCCAAGCCCAAAACCAGCACTATAAAACGACCCCACTACAGCACAAACGGAGAACGGAGTCAATAAACGATAGAACTCCACAGATCTACAAGATTGCGCTCATGCAAAGTGTATTCTCCATCTTGTTGCAGAGCCACCCGAAATCAAATGTGTCACACTTTCTCTAGACCTAAGTAACTTGTACAGTAGTGAGTAAGTATCCCTCGTACGGATGCATGTTATAAGTAACTAGGTTGTGCCTACCCACCACAAAAGCAAAAATAAAGTGGGAGACGGGAATGACTCCATTCCATCCGATATGGAAATGATGTCCGTGGGGGCGGAGTTGGATGTCGAACTGGGGACAAGTTTCGGGGTGTTTTGTCGAGTTCCACTGATCGTTGGTCTCTTTTGTTCTTTTCTTCTGTTGATCACTTTTAGTCGAACAGGGGTTGTGCCAAGGCTCTGCTTTTAGGGTGATCTTTCAATAGTTGTTTGAGGCAATATGCACACAATCTGTACTGCGTATGGAGTGCCTAGGTATGGATCCATGTGTCTTGTGGCATACACAGCACAACACGCAATGATATGGCTCCAACAGAAGTAGGGGCCATCATTGCTGGAATCAGCGTATCCGTATTGCATTTCCCGCCGGGTCGACCGTCGGCGTTAAAGTATGTATGTGGTTAGACGTCGCACAATGCGGTCTTTACAACATACCTATGTGTGTATGTTTCTGCGGGGGCGGAAGCACTGTATATCACATCTGTGCCTCGGCATACATGCCCAAGTTTCTGTTCCACAGAAGATGCAAGTGTGTCCGGTGTGCGGTGAGGAGTTAGGACGGATGTATATATCCGCCAGCGCGGAGTCAAATCAGAGGTTGGAGTACATTGCATGTGTGTGATAGGCACGATTTTGATGTTGGTTACCCGGTTTGGGCTAACTGGATTGAGGCCTGAGCGTCTTTGGTTACTCCCGTTTAGCTTTGAGACTTCCAAGGTTGAGATGAGACGGGTGTTGTAGTGCATCATGAGTTGTTGTCTACAAGTCTCTAATCTTACTTTTCCATGTACTGTGTTATAGTTATACGCCGGTGTACTCCGACATCTTGAAACATTCAGCAAATTAACACAGAACTACGATCAAAGCCAACATTCTACTTGGAACAGAGCAAGATAGCATGACCAGTCATACAACTGTTGTATCTCCCGATACTAGCAAGTGTGCCATCTCACTGCAGTTCGCACACATATACCCGTGCGATCAGCTGCACCGGGCTTCTTCTGGCGATACCGGCATGTTCCAGGTATGGGAGTACATCGTATGTCGGCATGTCTGAGTGTGACTGTTGGAGTTCATGAAAATAAACTAGTAAGAGTAAAGTGGTCATCCGAATGGAGTCTTGTATACGAGACCCCCTCAGGGATCAGCCCCTGCATAACGAGATCCTCGCATTTATGATTTGGCTTTCCAATAGATCAGCGAAGATCAGATCAAGTCGGAATCCTCCGGTATAAAAAGGATAAGCGCATAAAGGAATGTGGATCGCGGTTAACTACATTCCAAGTCCCGAGGAGAAAAAAAAAGAAAAGAAGAAGTGACGGGAAACTCTTTAATTTCAATAGAAAGCTCAACAGGAGAACCTGATTGGTCCAGCCCCGGTGTTTTAGGAACCTCCGGAAAGAAACCACGTTGCCTTGACCGCCCGTCTCTTGTCTTCCTCCACTTCCTGGCCCAGTTACCTGGCTTTGTCTTGTTATTCACTCCACTACGGAGCACTAGTCACCAGTTTAGTCCTTAGTGACTCGGAACGGAGTCGATAAGAAACCCGCTTGCCCCCCCACTTCCGCCGCACCTGGACCTTGCGTGGCGTTGGACCAGCGTATCCGAGGCTGCATTTTGAACTGACGCCCCCGACACGGCAGTTCCTTTAGTTTCTTTGCCAAGGTTGACTTGGGGCTTCGATTATGCTTTATGTGTCGGCATTGCACAGGAACTGGACTGGAAAGACGAGGCGATGACGCAAATTTCAACCGTGAGGCTGCAGTTTTCATCGTGCAGGCTGCAGTGACCTTACGTGTCTCTATTCTGGCCAACTAGTTACCTAATTAGGTGCGTAGTTAAGTGGTGTATTATCAGAGCCCTAGGCGCTGTGTCACAGGACCCTTGCAAGGCCTGGACTATGGTTGAAACAGTTGGCATCGTCCGGTTTCGAAGCACTGGGATTTTTCACAGCCTATCGGCGGGACGGCAGCACCGAGGTCTTGGTTTCAATGACATCTGGGTTCGTACCAACTGGGTCATAGTACGGAGTACACCCTAGTCACATACTACTAGACTACTAGTAGTCTAGTACTAGAAGAATCCAGGCGTCGGAGGATAATCCGCGATCGTCGAGTCCTGAGAACGGCCCGCCTGATGGGGACTTACGGAGTAGGTACCAATGGATTGATTATTAGACTAGGAAGGATACAACCATAAGCGAGGCCGCTTTCACCCAGACACATGTATTTTCATTAGAATCCTTTCATATTCCCTTCTTTATTTGAATGTGCCATCCCATCACATTCACATCACAAGCAACAAAGAAAAATAAAAGCGCACGGGGAGCAGAGTGAACCCAAACATTACACCCGTAAGGAGCTGATGACATGACGCTAAGGCAAGCCAAATTGAACTGGACCCGCTGCTCCCGCATTCTTTGGGGCTAAGGGGAACCGGGCAATCAGAATCTCCCTGGAACGTCTGGAAGGACGAGGGAAGCTGCGATCGGCTGAGGGGTGTTGGATTGGTTCACTAGTCGTGTTTCTAGTGGGCTAGGCGTCCTGGAGTGGAGGCTGGCCGAGAGTTAATGGTGACCGCTTATTCTAAGGCTTTCTAAGGCTATGCTACGCAGTACAAGGTAACTGCGCACAACGTGCCGGACTGGTACTAGTACTTGGGATCAGGCACACTGATATAGTGGAGAGACATGGTAGTTGGATACGGCACTGTGGCCTTGGATTGTCTGGTATGCAGGGTAGGTTTCTTTGGGAATCCTCGTATTTGCTGGAGTTGAACATGGAAGTTGGAACGAAAGTGTACGCAGTATGCTGTAGCCTGTAGCCTGTAGATGCTCCTTTAGTATGGCGATTAGACCTTGACCATTGACTTCGTGGTATCTTTCTGGATTTGGAAAGATACCCCGTCCATCTAATCATGCTTATGTTGTTACTTTGTATGGTGTGCTCGGTGCATACCATCGACGATCGGCAATTTCAGATTTGGTCAGCGGGTTCCACCAAGGGGAGAAGTTTGATAGACAAATTCGACAGATCCCCCTGGCCTTTCCTTTCTTCCTTTGTGGGATTCCTGCCCTGTGCAGAAAGTGGGTCTTGTAAATTCCGATATGGGCTTTCGCTTCATGCCGTGTTAAGTGGGTTTGATGTTTCGCATTGGTTTCTGGGAGATGGATCGTTCGGGTAGGGGTAGAATGATCCTGTGTTGTATTGTTGCATATGTGTGATAGACAAAGCGCCTAGGAGGTTGTAGTGAAACTTCTTAATTACATATGCTTTCTCAATAACTGGGTTAGAAAATACTAAGTAGATTAGTTCATGAGGGGAAGGAAGCCCCCTGAGCAAATGACCGGACTTCCCCCGGGGATTGGACTGTTTTTGGCTTTGGCAGCTAAGCACGATCAGATCCGCCCGGCCACGTTGTGAATGGTGGCTCTGCTCATTTCGGTGACACAAAGTGGGTTCGATTGAATTTTCTTTTTTACTTTTTTCTTTTCTATTTCTATTTTAGTTTTATTTCCAGACCAATTCTGGAAATTGGCTTTGCTATGCCCCGAACTTCATATGTTAGGGAAAACGACGTAGTATGTACTCCGTGTACACAGTAGCAAATAAGACTAACATGAATGGATATGATCTGTAGCTGCCGACAGAATAACCGAAGATTGACCGGTCACATCTAGACCGTCAGCAGGGCTTGAATACTCCGTTAATCTGGGTGAACTCAAAAGTCAAGCTCACGCGCGGGTTCAACGCTTGGGATAGCCGAGCTTCCCGCTCAGATTCCAAGCCTCCTTTCCTACGGACAACGGACAATCTTCGCATATTTTTGGTGGCGTCTGGCTTGAAGCCCATGAAACAGGTCCACCGTTGAGGCACTCGGATCGATGCGCTACCATTAGCTACATTAATTGGCGCCCACGGGCCACCCCTCTTTTTCTCAGGTGATACTAGAGAATGACCTCGAAATGTTGATCCTATGGAAAATGTAGGGAGCCTAAAGGTCCAAGTTTCGACTCAGCCAACCTGGATGATTGGCGGTGACGAGTCTGGGATAGGCGACATCAGGATTGAAGGATGTATCTTATACTTAAAAGATCATCAAAGTTGAACATTAATTCCAGACTGATTCATAGAGTCAAAGATAAAGATCACAGTGGCAATGATGCATCTCCTGCATCATGTACTCCGGATGAAGACTTCATACAAAGGCAACTACTACACAGTACATAGAGGGGAGGACGTGCATGAGACTAGGAGAAAATATAGCAACCTCACATCCGGGTATGCACGGTACAAAGCAGTGCTTAGATCTAGACCGTTTGAGGAAAGGGGATCCAACGATGACAAGTGATTGCAATCTGGAACTCCACTTTTGAATCCTCCCCCTGTCGAGATTCACGGATGTACGGAGTACGGAGTAGTCGATCCTTCTACGGAGTATGATGTTCGTACGGTAGCCCATCACATTGTAACCCTTGCGTAACGAGTTGGTGACGCTATGGTTGAACTTGTAAGGCAAGAGAAGGAGGGTAAGAAGGGAAATGGAAGGGACAAGTGTCCTGTACACCCTCAATTTTCCCGAGGTCGCTAACTTCTGATGACATTCTTAACTAGACCTAAGGTAAGTGAGCAAGCAAAAGTCTAAGAGGCGTTCAGCCTTGGGAAATATTCGCAGATCGGGATCACCATACAGGCAGCATTCCATGGGCGGGTAAAGAGCCAAGGTTCCTGACTCTTGGGATCTGCCTTTTTTTGGGTTTGATTTTTCATTTTTCACTTTTCTCAAGTGGATCATGTACCATTCCTATTTAGGACATACATTCACAGGGGAGGGGTCACCGAACTATAAAATAAAAGTAAAATTTAATCTAAATCCACTTAAATCCACTTAACTGAGTAAAACAGAAATCAAAAAAATAAAAAAGAAACACAGACTAGGCTGGACTATCTCCACCTTCCAACACATACTACCAGACCTGTTTAACCTGTTTAACCCGATTAATCTAATTCTATGACTCTTTCCCCATGTTCGCCTCAAAAGCATGTTCCATGTTCCCACAGGTCCGATCCCACCCTGCTATTTGACTGCACTCCGGAGTAATCCCCTATAGACGGGCTGATTCATGGATTCGGTTCCAGTTCTTTATTTGTGTCTAGCCTTCTTTCGTTAGTGTCAACGTCGTGTCATCTTAGCATGTGCATCGTGGAGTTGGATCGTCCCTGGATTCCCTTATAACATCTGCCTTGCCTGGTAACGGGATCTTCATTTAATCTTCTTACCTGTCGTGCCCAGGTGGTTCCTAAACGGGGACGTCGGCGCTTTCATCATTTACCTCCACTCTCCATTATTCAACCCTTTCTACGTAAGCGATTGATCAGCTCCCTCAAAACGACTATATACTGACTTGATCCCCTCAGCCAACTACGGAGTACTTTAATCAACATTTCTTCAACCTTTACTTTCAGCTTTTTATATGGACAACTGCTGGAACTCTCAGCCATCTTCAACAGGCTCTCAATGGCTTTCAGACAATGCTTCTGATATTCAGCCCACCATGCAGGATCTGGTCTGTGCTTTCCCTCGGCCGAGACATTCTAGGGTCATGAAGCCCCGTAGTGCAGGCAACAGTCCTTCAGCTATGACCAGGAGACGGTCAACGGTGAATCAAAATGTGACGCAGGGCATGCCCACCCAGTACGAGGCTTCCCTGGAGCAGGCACTCTTCGCCTCCGCAGCCCGGAACTCACGTCCGATCAGCTGGCACCCTTCATCGGCAAGAGCTCGGGGGTCTCCAACCCGTACGCACCGAACTTCTCTCCGGATAGCTATGCCGGTATGCCAGACATGGCAGATCAATACCTCAGCCCCTCTGTCTATGGCAGCGAAAACATCATGTCATATCCCGTGACCGCGGACCCTTCATTCTCCGCCACCGACTACTTCCCGGCCTACACAGCCATGCAAGAGGACTTGCCACTTCCGCAACAACCCTCGGCCTACATGACCGGCGCGCAGGCTGATCCCATGGCATGGGATGTTCCCATGCCCTCTGACTTATCGACAATCTCACATCCAGCCTCCGACAACTGGTCCCTGGACATGTTATCGATGGGCACCAACATCCCGCCTCCCGGGACCACCTGTCCAAGCTACGTCAGCGTTCCTTCTCCGTGTGAACTGAGTTGCCCATCCACTCCGGACTTCCTTCCTATTCAACAATTCGAGGACCCCTTCCAGCCTACGGAATCGAAGAAGACCAAGGGTGAAGAGGAACTTGTTGGCATGGGGCTGTACAGCCAGCCAAACGGCACACTGGCACGAGCCCCGCAAAGCAAATCAGGCAAGGGTTTGAAGCTCGAGGAAACATTTACCCCGTCCGAGGAAGACAAGGACGAGGCGGATGCAGAGGCGGAGGAGGTTCAGCAATTCCAACCACCACCACCAAGCTATGCTGAGAACGCTCCTACCATTCGCCCATCAAAGCAGCAGCCCAGACAACCCTTGAACCTGCTCCAGCGGTCATTCTTCTTCGACCACGATGAGGCGGATCAGCAGCCGATGGCCGCACAGCCTTTCACTACCTTCAACCAGCCTTGCATGAACTATGGATATGGGTGGTTTTGAATGATCGGAGCCGGAGCATATTCTTATCTTGCATTTTAGCATTTCTGTCTACCAGCGGCATAGCATGGCGTTATCATTTGATTTTATTTTTTTGGCGTCGGATACACGGATAGGATACCCTGGGACGCATCTAGCTACAATTCACTTTAGGCAGGTGTCAATACACTGCAATCTAGCTCACCACATCCTCTAACTCTGAAGTCGAAGTAAACATAAATCGTAGTATCGTAGGATTACACGTCTACCTAATGAACTAAAGTTTTTGAAGTATAACCACATCCTCTGATTGGCCACCATAAAACTCAATCCCGGCAAAACCCCCCAAAAGGAACAACAATCCCCCGAAAATCTTTCGCATATCAAACTCAAAGTCAAGCAAAGCAAGAGAAACCAAAATCCATCCAACAACAAAATATTCAATCCAGGAAAATGGCAAAAGTCATTTTCACAGCTTGGAAATCCAAGTCCCAGCTACTCCAAGTCCGAGATGAATTCTACCCTCCGCCCACCTACACAGGGCCAGATCTGCGCTCTCACGGCTGTGCAGTGGTATGTTCACTCCTCCAGACTAGATGGTGCTCCCTCTGTTCGAAATATTAGCTTGCTAACAAAGTGCTCACAGGTCGAAGCCTGGAAACTTCGCGGCAACGTTCCACACCACGTCGAAGCAACAGCGCTATTAACAGATGCAATTCTGCACGACGACGCAGACAGGAATTCCATCTTCTCGATTCGGGCTACGTATTCTGCGGCGTTTTGTCGGTGAGTTTTTTTTTTCTTTCTTTCTTTGTACATGTTATGTTGGATTTCATACATGCACCCCAATCCCCATCTATGTATAAACTGACAAAAAAATCAGCTTCGTAACTGGCCTCGTAGATACAAAAATCCACGGCGTTCGAAGAACAATGTTCCAACGTGCAACAGACCTGGGACTCCCAGCTTCCTTTGTGGAACTCCGCCATGAAGCGACGCATCGCGAGCCGCCGTCACTAATTGTGCTACGCAAGGCTGCACAGCGCTCATTAGAGTGGTTGTGGGTGAATTACTGGGCTTTTGTCTCTGATGATGCTGTCGACGGTGGCTCTGAAGAGGCTGTTAGAGCAGCGATATCTGAGGCGTTGCAGCCGATACTTGCTGTCGAGGAGAATAAGAATATCTCCAAGAAGAAGAGGTGGGAACGGGCTGTTTCGGTTGCGTTGCGGCTTGTTGAGATTTGTAATGGGGCTGTTTGTGGGAGCAGGATTTTGGCGAATTTGCTTGTTGAGGGGGGTTTGTTGGTTCCTGGGGATCGGGGGTGAGTTGAATTCCCCTTAGTTTCTGGAATTTAGACTGGGTTGCCTAGCTGGGTGAATGCTAACATCTGGAATTCCAGACTCGGAGACTCCATGACCGAAGCATTTAAACGGTGGAATCCCGTCCTGCAAAAAGTCGCAGAAAGTCATCCAGCTTTCTTGAGACAGCTAACGGAAGACCTGGTCAACGAGCTTGCGTTCAAGAATACCGATGCTTCAGACACCATCGGCGAAGCATTGTACCTGTGGATCGCGCATATTTTCACTTCTACAGCCTGGGAATTCCACCGTCAAGCCTGTTCGCAGAGCTATGTTCTGCGTGCTTGTGATGAGAGTCCGCATCATTGGACGACGATGCTGGGAGAGCAGGTGAGGAAGCAGGCTGGGAAAGCTAAGGTTCCTGCGAGATCTGGGAAGAACCGGGTCTCGAAGGTTAGCACTGCTCGGAATGATTCGCATTATGCGCCGGCGCAGCTTTCGGAGAAGTTGGTTGAATTTGGGTGGGGGTACTTGGAGAAGTGGGATAGTCGGCCTTTGGGGGTTGTTTCGAGTCATTAGGTTGGATGGATGGATGTATGCGCTGCTGGCGGCGTTTACTTGTATACACATAATACTGGCACATTGATATGGTACCATTGTCCTCTGGCCTGAACTAATGACATACCGAAGCAATCCTGCCGTTAGGATGACATTGACCTTGGAAGTCCAGAAACCTCAGTCATAAAGGTCATTCCAGAACATAATATCCTGGAGCTCCTCTTCACTCAGGGAGACATTCACGAAATGTTCCCTTTGAGGCGTCCGAACCCTTCGATGGATTTCACCAGCCGTCTTCCAACCGAAGAACCCGGCCATTTCCCAATCGATAAGTCCCACGATCTTGTCATTGTCCACAATACAATTGGATTCGGTAAAATCATTGTGCATAAAGCTCAAGTCCGCATCACCATTAGTGTGTGAAAAGATAATATCCCCTTCCAGGGGACTGATCCGGCCATTACAGCAAATACTAGGATCTTGGACAACATGGGACCGAATCCGACGTCCGTCTTGAGGCTTGATGGTATGCAGCTGGCCTAGTATCGCCCGTGTTTGCTCTTTGAAGGACTGCTTTTGGCTTTTTGAAAGGTATGGCCATGCAACACACAGAGCAACGCCTGGAAGTCTTTCTTGGATAAGTACTTGGCGACCACGTATCTGAGGCAGTGTAAGTATTACTCCTTTAGGGGTATTCAGGGTAATAGGTAACAAAAGAAGTGGAAAACCAATACCTTCCCAGCAAAGTATATCTCCGGTACTCTAATACCTGTGAGTACGTCCTTCGCAATAGAAATAGCTTCGACCTCATTGGCATCGGCGAACGAATAATCGATCTCAGGTTCGTGGTGAAGATGACTCGATTTCACAATAATATTTCCAAGTGCGAACACATCACGTCCACCTTCGTCGGCAGGATAGATCCGGGTAGACTCATCACATAGGCTAAGTGCGGACTCCCAGTATCGCATTGCTTCGGCAGAATGACTCCCGATGTGCTCTGGTTTAACGGAGAAGTCGCCTGGCTTGGGCCGATACCGTCCGTAGAGCGGGATATCTGCATACAAGTCAGTGGCTGGGATGTGTTCTGGTTCAGTTTCATATGCATGCATTGTTGTAGTATAAAGTATTGACCAGAGTGAAGTTTTGGGGAGTATGTGGGAGATCTTAGGCTCTGGTAGCAGAAGACGTCAAGACGAAGGGCGGACAGCCTATTTCATTTTCGAGGGCGCACGGTCACTGAAATCAATCGCGAGGAACGCTATATGCTCACGTATTACCAATGAGAGTAAAGCATGGACACAATGTTAGGTTGTGTCAAATGGGAGAGCCTTATTCTGCTGGAGATGAGATCTACCAAGACAGACATGGCTGATTTCACGATATTTCCGCCAATTTCGGCACTCAATTAATGCATCCAATTCTCAAGGCTTCACGTTATGACTAGGTATAGGATAGATTACAAGTCTACAACATATCTTCCGTTATTCAAGACATCGAGAGTTCATGTCAATTTTCTGCAAGCTGAGCTATCTCGCACTTATAAGCACGAAGTGTCCGCGGTCGTCTTCGGTGGACGAGCGACGTCCGACTGGACCAGAGCGTTCAGATCCACTGACGAATCGTTCCCAGTTCGTCTTCTCTTTGCCGATGACAGATTGGCGGAAAAACAACCCTCGTCGATGTCCTTGTATTGCTCGCGCCGGGTGAGAGCGTCCCAGAACTTCATAAGCTGGGACCAGGCATACAAGTACTCCTTGTCGTCATTGGCCTCCTTGTGGTCGTGGCAGAGCTTTACCTGGACGGCAATGTTGGCATAGATCGACCGCACATACCACTTGCCGAAGCCTGAACGTTTATCAATTATCATAGTCCAGTATGGGCTTTGCCCAGTAGAACACCTCCTCAAACTTGTCCGGAGTGAAGTTGGTCTCAAAGTGTACAATCCACTGAACGAGATCATGAAGGAGCTGTACAATGTACAAGGTTGTCGGGTACTGAGCTATGATAGCTGAAGAAGGAAGAAAGTGTGGAGCTATGATATGGGGGAAAAGGGATAGCATCATGCGGCAGTGTGAGAACTCAAACAGGAACTTCAAGGAAGACCTCCGAATAGGATGCTGGGGGTGTCATCTGCACCGCTGCCGTCTGGGAAATCTGCCGGCGTCACCGCAGCCCCCAATACGCGGGGGGTGATCCGGGGCCAAGACACCGCGACCAAGAACCATGATCTGTATCCGACAAGAGATGCGTCCAAATCTCTGGAACCATCAGGAGGAAAGCAACCGTATCACAACTCTCAGACATGGTTATGAGACCTAATATGAAGACGAGCGAGGAAGAGCGAGTGTGTTGCTTCTATGGGTCCGCGAGCACGGAGAGCAGTGTGTACTCTTCGGGATCTGGGTGAAGGATGTGAGCATCATATCCGCAAAGTAGTGGTAATTGTTAAGATGACATACCGGAAAGTTCGAAGCTACCAGCAACCATTCACCCCGACCACTCAGGTAGGTAGGGTGTTGGCTGGTAGGTACCGAATGGTACGAGAGAAGATCACAACCTCCGATACAGAAACGGGAGTAGCAAGGCCGTTCGATTTGTGGCCCATCTTTATATATACCTCTCGATGCTTCCTTCTTCGGGTCCTTTTTTCCAGCGAAGATAACACAAATCCAATCCCACATGAGTTTGTTTTGGGTGTAATTGAAATCGTGGTCAAAATCGACTCGACAAACGTCGAACATGGTCGCTTCGAAGTCAGGTGTAAGCAGCTGAAGCTTTCTTCCTGGTTTGTCTGTCTGACACTGGTTGAGAGCTTGATGAAATCCTGCCATTCTTGTAAAGGCCCGACGGTTGGTCAATTCAGATAAGCGTGAGTGACCGCCGATGCTTGATGCTGAATCATCTTTGATGATGACACACTTGAAGCGTCAGTAGACAGTTCAGCTGGTGCAGTTGAAGCGGCAGCACTAGGACTGCGTTCCGCATCAGTCATTCTAGCCGGCGTAAATCCCTCTCGCTTGACTCGAACGGTGGTTTCTGCTGATAGTTCCCGCAGAAGCTTGAAGTTGATCTCGACGCCAAAGTTCAACTGTCTGAGAAGGTTCCTGGGAACCAGAAGCCGATGATGATTATGATGATGATGACACGGAGATTTGGCACTTATGAAGCACCAACTCTGGCAAGTGTGAAGGTCCACTTCAGTGTTCTCCCCATGTGATGGGGAGTTGCGGAAAGGCAACCCGCACTATCCATGAGGAGACCTATATATCGAACGAGGAACATTTCTTGGAGATTCGCTCGTTTAAGGACCACAGGTCTAGGCAGACGCTCGAAATTTCACGTGTGGTGCCTGGCAGCATGCTAATTCCATCCGAGTCTCTCCGGTCTGAACGAGAGCTCTATATATATAGCTAGATGGTTGGAGTCCCACTTTGGCTAGTGGAGGGCAACATCTTGAAGTCCGAGTGAAGAAGAGCTTGAAGAGAGGAGGTGAGATAGAGGTTGGAAGCTTTGTTGATGTACTCCGTAGATTGCCAGGACTTTGTATCTCTCAGATCCACGCTAGTCCATTATAGGTAACTGCATGTCGTCATCCTTAACGGGTGGCCAGATGATCTCACGTGATCAAGCAACTCCGGCCTATCGATAACTATGGACTTCCCCCAAAGAGCTCCCCCGCACTGTATTTGATCTCTTCTTTAGTGATGAACTTCCTAAGAAATCAATTAATTGGAAATATCTCGAGTAAATTCAAACCACAGGCCAGAGCCATGCATATCACATCAATTCCCATGTGTATGTTGGTCCCGCGGTCCACGCCATCTACATTACCAATCCATGATGGTTCATTTGCTGACTCGAGGATACTTTGTAGGGACGGGGAAGGGCAACAACTATGCCTACCTTGTGACGGATGAGCCGACTAAGCAATCAGTTATCATTGATCCTGCCAATCCTGAGGAGTGAGTTCTTGGATGAATGGAACATTGCCTGGGCTGGACTGATTGTATGATCGCAGGGTTACGCCGGAGTTGAAGGCTCAGATTAGTGCTGGCAAGATTGATCTGAAAGCCATTGTCAACACTCACCAGTATGTGGATGAAGCTTTCCTAGGCTGAAAAAGAGGCCAGATTTACTGACATATGCTGAAGTCACTGGGACCATGCTGGCGGCAATGAAGACATTGTAAGCATGCTTCTTGGTCTGTGAAATCCTCTCCGAGCTGACATTCGCACCAGTTGAAACAATTCAAAGGTCTGCAGGTCATTGGTGGCAAGGATTGCGCATCGGTCACCAAGACCCCGGCCCATGGCGAAGAATTCAAGATCGGAGATCGTATCTCCGTGAAGGCACTGCACACTCCTTGTCATACGCAAGACAGCATCTGCTACTACATGCAGGATGGAGACCAGCGCGTCGTCTTCACCGGCGATACTCTGTTCATTGGTGGTATGCTATTACTTGCAGACTTATGTCCGCGAATGACCCCTACTAATTTCCACTAGGATGTGGCCGTTTCTTCGAGGGAAATGCGGAGGAGATGCACAAGGCTCTGAACCATACCCTTGCTGCTCTCCCTGATGATACCAAGGTTTATGTAGGTTGCCTGGCTTATTTCGCCCGTTCGAGGCTTGTACTGATTCCACCCAGCCCGGCCATGAGTACACCAAGGCCAATGTCAAGTTCTGCATGGCAGTATCCCAAACCGAGCCCATCAAGAAGCTCCAGGCGTTTGCGGAACAGAACACGCAGACCCAAGGAAAATTCACCATTGGCGATGAGAAGGTAAGTTGTACTGCAGCCATTGTCTTGTTTGGAGCTAACAATTTCTAGCTTCACAATGTCTTCATGCGTGTCAATGTAAGTCTCTTTTCCTTTACCCGTATATCGGCCGTTGCTTATCCGAACCGCACAGGACCCCGAGATCCAAAAGGTAACTGGCAAGACCAATCCTGTCGATGTTATGGCAGCATTGAGAGAAATGAAGAATTCCATGTAGACTATGCAGATAGCGTACAATTCCAGATCATATTGGGTCTCCGATAGATTCTCGTGAGAAGGACGAGAAATCCCGAGATAAATTGGACTGCCAAGACATAAAAGCATAGAACATGAGGACTCGTATAGAATCTCTGCAAATGTCAAGCAAAGTTAATTACCTCGAAAAATGGTGGTTGACTCCAACCGTGGTTGTCTTTTCCAGGAGGGGGATCGACGTCATACCCACTTTCTTTCATGCCACCGACGCCCGTCGGACCAACGACAGCGTGATCAAGCAAATATTCAGTACTCTGCGCGATGAACCAGGTTGTGGACGATGTAAGTATTCTAAGATGTATCCTGGCAGCATCTTCTAGTCTTCTAGTGATTGACCGCTATGTACTAGAGCCATGGAGGGGCAAGCGACACAGAAGCTCAGAACCATCTCGAGGTACGCCGGCTTGCCCACGATAGCTGTATAAAAGCTAAGCGCATTTCACTACCCAGGTAGTATTCTATCCTGACTCAAACCACCGTCGCAAGTCCTCCCTCGTCACTATGGAGAAGCCATCGATCCAACCCCACCCAGCCCAGGATGACCAGGTAACCGCCTGCTACGTCCACTCACTCATCGCGAGCGAATGGGCCACACCCGGTCATGTCAAAGATACAGAAGAGGCGATGCGGACGCTAAGCAAGGGCGAAGATGAGCCACTGAGAGATATCAAAGGAGGCGCGCCAGATGAACTGGTCTCGGTGGTGGACAAAGACGACAGCAAGGGCATCATTAGGCCCATACCGACAGTCATTGAATCCAGACATCTGACGAAGAGGCAGCTGTCGGATATGGCCTGGAATGTGCGGAAGCTCTCCAAGAAGCTGGGAAGCATCAAACTCAAGCTCACCGTGAAGAACGTCTTCGTAGTAAGCAAAGCACAAGACGAGTCCCTGGTGAGCTTAACTCGCAAAGTTGCACAATGGCTACTCTCCGAAGACCGGGACTCACTATACACGGTCTATGTCGAGCGCCGCCTCGAGGCTCACCCAGATTTTGGCGCGCTGCAATTGATACGAGACGAGCCGTCTGCGGAGGGCCGGCTCAAATACTGGGATCTCAAACTAGCACAGGAAGAACCGCATCTGTTTGATTTTGTGATCACTCTTGGCGGAGATGGAACGGTTCTTTACACCAGCTGGCTATTCCAGCGGATTGTGCCGCCCGTACTCTCATTCTCGCTGGGATCACTGGGCTTCTTGACCAATTTCGACTTTGCAAATTATCAGACTAGCCTCCATAACGCTTTTCGGGATGGCGTCGTCGTTAGCCTGCGCTTACGCTTCGAATGTACCATCATGCGAAGCAAAGCGCGACTTAATGACCCGAATGCGAGATCTCTATCCGATCGTGACCTGGTGGAGGAATTGATTGGAGAGGAGGGCGAAGATACATTGACGCACACCCCGGATCGGGTGTATGAGATTCTCAATGATGTTGTCTTGGATCGGGGGCCGAACCCAAGTATGTTCTTTTCCCTTGGATCCTGTCCTTCTCGTTGGGGTGTTGTGTCGACACAGACTGACATCTAACCAATTCTTAGCTATGTCTCAAATCGAACTGTTCGGGGACGACGAGCATTTCACCACTTTGCTTGCCGACGGAATCTGCATTGCTACGCCTACTGGATCGACTGCTTACAATCTCGCTGCTGGCGGCTCTCTTTCACATCCAGAGAACCCCGTCATCCTTGTCACCGCCATCTGTGCCCACACGCTTTCCTTCCGACCCATTATTCTACCAGACACGATTGTTTTGCGCATGGGCGTGCCGTATGATGCGCGCACGAGCTCATGGGCTAGCTTTGACGGACGAGAGAGGTGAGTTGTTGTACAGCAGCGTGATTGATACTGCTCTTGAGTTGGCTAACAATAAACACCAGAATTGAATTACACCCAGGCGACTATGTGACAGTGTCTGCCTCGAGATATCCCTTTGCCAATGTCTTGCCGCCTGGCGGGCAGGGTGAGGGCTGGGTGCACAGCATCTCCAAGACTTTGAATTGGAATTCACGGCAGAAGCAAAAGAGCTTCAAGTAGCTCGAGCCTCGGAGGTGTCTATCTATGTCTGATCTTTGTTAGATTCCACTGGATGGTTGATTTGGAACGTAATTTATGATCAAAATCTATAAAATGATGTGACTGAACTGCTGAGCTGCCAGGGAGACAGGAAATGAGCATACTGATCACCTCAAATGGGAGATATCCCATTGCTTCACTGTTCCAATTGCTTCTAATGGAAACTATGTAGTTGATTCTTAAGAAATCAAATACGTACTGTGTAATTCTCTTGTTATTTTCACTTGTTATTTTCAAAGTGGACTCTGAAAATTTTCGCTTCTCAGGTTGGTTTCCGGGGCAGCTCCGCTCGGCCCTATAAAAGGCCATCGCCCGGCCCGAAAACTTTTTCTTCTTCATCTTCCTCAACCAACCCGGCTTTGGAGTCTGATGTCGACTACCACCGAGTTTATATTGAGCACGACACTCTTATGAGAGTATATCTGACATATACACATATGCAGATATACTCTCATTCAACTGACTTGGTAAGTTCCGACTTTTTTTTCTCGCATTGCCCAGTTCAGCCAACGGCTTCGGCCGTTCGATGATGAAAAACTTCCTACATTCGCAGTTTCCACGCTAGTCGTCGTTTGAACCCAATCAAGACGACATTGAGCGGAATATCTTCCTTGGATGTCTGAGAACTATTTTGGCTGTTCTTTTTGAATCATTTTTGAAACTTTTCAGCCGAGACATGTGCTAACTGTCTCTCAGGAATAGGAACCTCCTTCGTGCTTTACCTTACTCTCCCATATATCGCTTGCAGTGGCAGTCTTGACCTGTGTAGTCACTGTCGCTGGAGTGGCTCGTCGGTCATTTGCTTTGCACAGCTCAACGTATTCCAAGACATTCTGGGTTGGTGCATTGCAGCATTACTGTGCGAGCGGGAATACTTAGCATAGAATCAATCAATGGCATATCTGTCTATCAATATCTTCCATACAACCATCTTCCAGTAATCTTGTAGCAAACTTGTAGACTCCAATACTGCGTAAAATGAAGCCCTCAAAACCTTACAGGACTGCACCCTAGCGCACTGTGCTCCGCCGTACTTATCGCATCCACTCTCGACAGCCTAAACACCTCAACCTCTAATCAGCACTTCACCCCGACATTGGAGCTTCCTCGAGTCTACCTTGACTTGAATCACACTCCCATGGCGGCACCACCCCGACATGCCACCATGCTGTCCATCAGCAATGGCGGGACAGCCCAAGGGACCGACCGACCACAGACACAACAAGCACATCAGCAAGTGCAGACACAATCACAGTCCCCAGGCCTCCGAGTACCCTCCAATCGCAAAACCATCTACGACCGACACCTAAACCGCAGCCGCAATGCCGAGCTCAGCCGAGCAAGCTTCGCCTTCATATTCGGCGAAATGGTCACATACGCTCAACGAAGAGTAACAGGCATTCAAGACTTGGAGAAACGGTGAGTTCTCACCTCCAATTGCGAACCCCCAAATCCCAAATCCCAAATCCCCTTCCCATATTCCCCCAATGCAAACCGCTAATAATAACCAGCCTAAATGAACAAGGCTACCCCCTCGGCCTCCGCCTCCTAGACCTCCTCTTCTACCGCTCAACATCAACCTCCACCTCAGCCCTCACAAGCTCCTCCTCCACCTCCTCCTCCCCACCCAATCGTCCCCTGCGCATCATAACCCTTCTGCACCTCATCCACGGACCCCTCTGGCGTCTCCTCTTCGGCCGCGCCGCAGACGCCCTCGAGCACTCCGTCTCACCCGATACGCCGAACGAGTACATGATCACCGACAACGACCCGATGGTCAACACGTACATCAGCGCGCCGCGCGATATGAGCATGCTCAATTGCGCTGCTTACGTTGCGGGCATCATCGAGGGTGTCTGTGATGGGTGTGGCTTTGAGACCAAGGTTTCGGCTCATAATCAGCCGACGGATTTGTGGCCCAGTCGGACGGTTTTCTTGGTCAGGTTTGGGAGTGCTGTTATGGAGAGGGAGAAGGTTTTGGAGAGGGCGGGGGTTAAATAAGTTGTGGGCTGTGGTTCATTGGTTTTGTGTTGGGTTGATCCTGTGGGCTGGGCCTCGATACTACGATGCTACGGGGCTTGGGTGGTTTAGCTCTTGAATGTCAAGTGGCTCTGGTGCTCTTCCTGGCTTTGGTCGGTTTGATTCCGGTGCTGAAAGGCCCGAAGTCCATGCAAGTACAAGGCTGGAGGATCGATCCTGAGGGTGGATCTATGTACAAAGCCCCTTCATTGTCGGCCAGATATTCAGAATAGATTTCCTCCAGGAGAGGATATGCTATTAACGTACAGAGCATTGGCATGTCGCTCAAACGCAGATGTATATGAAGCAGGTTCAATCCACGTAGTCAAAACACGTAGCACGATCACGCTTCAGCATCCACCCGCCGACGTTTCTCCCGATCATCATAAGGCGACGGACTCCTCTTCCTCCTCTCCCTCGACCGACTGCGCTCCCGATCCCTCTCATCCTCCCTCGGCGAACGATCCATCCGCCTAGGCCTCACGACACTAGCATTAGCTCCCGTCGGCCCACGATCCCCCTCATCCCTCCCACCAAACCGATCAGGCATAAACCTCTCATCCGTAACACCAACAGGCGGTCCATCCCTCCTTCTCCGATTCTCCAACCCATCCCCAAACCTCCCCGTATCCTCACTCCTCAAATCCTTATACCTCGTCCTCCCCTTCTTCCCCAGCTTCGTCATATCCCGAACCTGCATATACTGCGGCAACGTATCCCGATCAACCTCATCCTCAAACCTAGCCCCCATAAGCGCCCTTCTATCCAACCCCTCCTTCTCAACCTCATCCCTGAAGAAAGCCCCCTTATGGAAATACCTCTGCATAAAGCCCGTCTCACCGCGCATCGCATCCCTCTCCTCCTTCTGCTTAGCAATAAACTCGCGATCTTCCTTCTCGCGCTCTTCCTCCGTCAAATTGCGCCGACGCTCGATCTCTTCGCGCTCTTTCTCAGACGCCTCGATGGCTTCACGCGCCCGCTGCACGCGCTTCAGTTCCCGTAAAGTCCACGCAGCTTTCTCGGCTTCGGGGTCAAGTCCGTCGGTGTCGTCGATGGCTTCTTCGTCTTCGGCTTCGACGAGCTCGTCGTAGTCCCAGGCGCGATTGGCGCTCGAGCGCGCTATGGCTTCTTTCTCGAGCTGGTCGCGGATTAGCTGGTCGGCTTTTTCTTGTCGTTGGGCTAGGCGTCGCGCTTCGGCTGTTGCGGCTTGCTCGGCTTCGGCGGAAGCTTGGGTTTGCGCTGCTGTTGTGGCGCCGCGGGCGTTCTTTTTTATGAAGGTGGGTCGGAGGAGTTTGCGCGGTGCTTCGTCTTCGGAGGATTCTTCTTCAGAGCTTTCTTCTTCGGATTCTTCTTCGGATTCTGAGTCGCTTGCGACGGGGGCAGGTCTAGACACGGGTTCGGAGGTGTCGGTTGGTACTGCTTTTGGCGCTGCTGGTGCCGGCTTGTCCTCTTCATCTGTGACGAAGCCTTCTTCATCGTCTTCTTCTGTGGCTGTTTGGGCTGCTACTGCGCCGCCGGGGAATGACGTTGCTTTGGGCGCTTGTTGTCTCCGTTTTAGGGCCTCGGCTCGTCTGCGTCGTTCTTGTTCTCTTTGTGCTTCTTTTGCTGCTTCCTCGTCCTGCTCTTCTTCTTCTTCTTCCTCGTCGGAAGAAGGCTCCTCGGCGATGGGTTTTCCCGGACGGTAGCGGGCTGGCTTGATGGGGTTTTTGGTCATTCCCCGAGACGAGGAGAATGGAGGAGGCATGGTGAATGTGGTTTATGGAGGGATGGTGGGTATCAATTTGTAGTGGATGTAGAGCTGTGTCTTCTGGAATCTGCTTCAAGGACTTATAATCATGCCAGAGGCATCGTCTGGTGAATGTAGGACCCGCTTGTTAATTGACGTATGGGTTGAAGCTTTTGCCGGAGATTGGTAGCTAGTCTCACGTGATGATACGGCAGCTTGAACTTGTACTGCATAGACAAAAAAGGAGCGTACATTAAGAAACTGAGAAAGATTTCACAGCAGCTGCAGATCTACTCAGAATACTCTCAAATCCTCATTCCTCTCTGCTTCAGTGCTTACAAGTTACAACTCATCACAACTTCACAAGTTACCCCCATTCAATTCCCTCGAGATCCATCTTCCCAATTTCACCAATTATCACCACGTGACCACGCGTTTCCCGCGCTTCGCGTCCACTCCAACCTCTATCCCGCCCAGCTCAATTCACCAAAACCCAACAGCAATAGCAACACCAAAATAACCACCTACACCTACCATTGAAAACGACAACCCCCAAATACTCAATACATCAATTTGCAAACCCAAACACAAAAATGTCTCTCCAAACCCCCCGCATCCTCCCCTCCCACCTGCACGCCTTCCACCCCTCCTCCAGCACCGGCTCAACCACATACACCGTCCGCATCCTCGGCACCGTGACAGCGCTACACGGCAGCACGGGCACACTCACCTGCGGCACGAACGGCGATGTAACACTTATCCTGAAATCCGATGCGCGTCTGCAGGTTGGAAAGCTTGTTGAGGTTGTGGGGAAGGTTACTGATTTAGAGGGTGGAACTGTATGTTGTCCCTTTCCTTTTCTTGCGAAGATGAGAGATGAGAGGTGGGTGCTAATTGCTTGTTTAGGGATATGCACTGCGTGTTCTTGGTTCGACGGAGTGGGGTGATCCTGCTGATTGCGGTATGTATGGGGAAAAGAAATGGGAGGGGGATATACATGCTGATGCTGATTGTTACTAGATTATAAGATCTATGAGCAGGTCGTTAATGCTACGCATCGGTTTACGCCTATTTTCTACAGTGTTGAGTAAGGGGGAAATGCGGGAGGATACCTCGCTCTCTTGAGGGTTGGTTTCTTGGGAATGAAATGTTGTCATTCGGTGCTTTGGGGAGGAGATGGTCTGGAGAGCTCGTTCGCGTCTGCTCTGATTCCCCTGGTTTTTGCATTTTACATATGAGGTTATGATCAAAGCTTCTTCAAATCATTGGCATTGAGGTGCACTTTATTGGACCTTAGATATAGGATCTATGGATGTAGTTGGGAACTGTAGCTAGGTATACCGTATAGACGTATAATGGATTGGTTAGACCACCTGAACCTGCAGGTAGCCCAGCACAGATAATGGCCCAGGTTATACTGTTTACATGAAACTACAAGCTCGGAAGCATTATTATTGTAATCTTCATTCTTCTAACATAGTAATCGTAAAAGCTATCAAGATCCACAGAAGAATATCACAGCGAGAGATAGATCACTCCACTTATGTGGAATGCACTATCGGAATTCCATGGAGATACTCCAGGTCATAAGTCAACAAAGCCATAAATCAAGGCAACATTTGAGATCCGTCGGGTGTATGTGAGATTAACCCAAGACCGAACGCCGTCGCTAAAAAAAACTGCACAGAATCAAAGACGAAAGGGTTGACACAAATGGAATGGAATGTATCACTGTCTTAGACAGAGTTGACGTGTTGGCCTGAGGATTCTTCGGCCGACTGACCCTTGGATAAATCAGCAGGGTGGGCTTCCGAGCTGAAGAACCCAGAGTCAGGAATAACAATGTCATTAAAGTTGAAAGGGAGGAGGTCGGAGTTGAAGTCCTTGTCGTTGGGGTCAGAGAACAGAGTGTTAAGCAGTTCGTTCGCAGGAGCTTCATAGCTCCCGGAAGACCCAGCGGGGGAGACGTAGTCAGTTGGGAGCCATTCAGCCCAGTTGTCACCGAACTTGTCGTTCTCCAGTCCGAAGAATGTGTTGGGCTTGTCCGACCCGTCGAAGATGTCGAGGATCATTCCGTCAATGGTCTCGAATCCCTCTGGCAGACCGTCGTCGGCAGGCTGGGGCGCCAAAGCTCCTTGCTTGCCGGGAGACCTTTGCGACCGCGGCGATGACTGAAGGTTTCCATGAATTTGTTGGATTCGCTGCAGACGCTCGGCGGACAGTCGAGTTGGGGTCATGACTGAGCCAAGATCCTTGGTCTTTCGGCGGTTTGGAGAATTTGCAGGTAGAGACAAACGCTTGTCGATCGCGTTGATCCGCGGGTTGCGTCGACGGGGAGTGGGGCTTGTTGAATCAAATCCAATGGATGGACTCTCGAACAGCTCGTCGAGGTCATCTCCCGGGGTCGGTGCAAGGTTCTCCTTGTGCTGCACCGGCTTATCGCCCTTGCCCGAGGCAATACGAGGGCTACGACGCGGGGAGCAGCTGTTGACCGCAGAGGCATCAAGCTCCTTCAGTGGCCCTTCGTTGTGGGCATTTTGGAACAGCGACCTTCTCAACGGCTTGGGGGTGAGGCTGTTAGAGTCTGGGATCGGGGTAGAGCGGGCTTGGGCACGGCTCGCTGGGCTGGACTTGACAGCGCGCCGCAAGGCCTCTCTGGCGTCCTCTTTGGACCAAGTGCGCCCGGGCGTTTCCTCTGTCCCGTCCAGCTCGGCAGTGGTCGCTCGAGGGTCTCGTGGAGAATACTCCGCGTCATCATATTCTTCCATCTGGGGAGTTTCTCCCTCCGGGTTCACAGAAGACGCCTCGGTGGGTGCTGGTGACGAAGCCAGAGGCTTTTTCGGTGCGGCTTTGCTTCGAGTCCGAGTAGCAGGACAAGAATCCACGGAGCCAGTTGCGCGGCCCCTCGCCGGACGCTTCTTGTCTTTCTTGGCCGGCTTGGCTGCTCCTGGTTTGGTCCACTTGTCTTCCGGACGCATGTTTCTGAACTTGTGGAGCCACAATCCACACGGATTGCAAAAGGTCATCTGTGACCACTCTTTGTCATCCACTTCAAGACCCTTCTTGAAGATCTTAAAGCGCTGTAATTCGCCCTTTTGATTGCGGTTCACGGCCTCCCAGAAAAGCATCGAGGAACACTTCATCATCTCTTCTGCCACACTCTCGCCGCCCTCAACCGTTCTCACCCAGGCTCGGCGCCAGCTGGCAGTCTCAATGGAGCCACAATTCTCGCAATACGGCGGAATCATGCCTTCTTGAACGGCCTTATCAAGGCGAGCTCTGATGTTTTTCGGGACAGGCTTCGACGCTTGTTTCGCCTGTTTGGATGCTTGCTTCGGTTTGGCCGGCTGTTTTGACAGGTTGGAACTGGGGCTAGCTGTCGTGCACGGTAAGAAAGTAACATCCATGGGTCCAGCAGGACGACAGGGCACAATGGGGTCGCTGGCAGGAATCGGACGCAGCGTTCGTGGAACCTCAACGGGGAAAAGTTGTGGCGCCGGCGCGAGAGGCTTTGGCGCCAATCGCTGTGCACCAGAGCTTGAAGGTCTCGTTCCAGTGGCTGTGGCGGGACGAGACGTAGCGCGAGATAATGGACGTGGCGCCTGCTTCGAAGCCGGCTGCGATGGAGCATCGTCGATTGTAAGCGGGTCGTTGTTGGTTCCTTGGCCATTGCTGATGGTGCTCATTGGGGAGGTTGCCTGTACTGTCGTTCGAACAGAACGCTTCCCCTGTGTACTGCCGTGGAACTCTGCCATTCGATGGTCATCCAGGGGCATAATGGTGTCATCATCCTGGAGGTCGTCCAGCCCAGTGCTCATGAAGCCGGAGTCATTATCGAGGGTCATAGTCGGCAAGACCGGGCTTGACCTATTTGTCAACCGGCTGTCAAATACTGGAGGCGACGATGGCATGCTGAAGGACGGCTCAAATAGGCCTTGGTAGCGAGTATCATCGGGGGACTGGCCGGTGGCGTCTGTGTTGGGGATATCATCGCTCATACAGTATGGAGATGTATATGAAGGCGGACAGGAGGAAATGCTCATGGTTGATGACTCCCGCAACATACTACCAGCGGGTCGGTTGCGACGGGGGAAATCAGAAGGCCGAGATATGGGAGTGGGAGGACGGACGGGTTCCTCGGCGGAATGCTCGGCCACAAGAGCTGGGTTCACGGGAGTTGGACGGTGGATTCGTACGGAGGCGGCCGAGCTGGCCGCCACTCGTAGAGAACTTGGTTGTCTTTCGATGTTCATGTTCGACTTTCCAGGCCAGTTGGCTTGGTACACCTTCGCCCTCTTCCGGGGTGGATTCTCGGTGGACTCCTCTTCATTGCTGTCATATCCCGATTGAATAGAGCGTCTTCGGTTGTGCGAAAGCTGGCTTTGGTTGTCGCAGTCCCGCATCGAAGCGCTCGAGGATGGGCGGATCATATCGCCATGAGGAACGGTCTGCTTAGAGTATGACTGATGATATGCAGGAGTGGACACTCGACTGCCGGCATATGATTGAGAGGGCGATACCGAGCGGACCGAGCCACTGTGGTGGAAAGAGGTAAAGTCTCGCGGCGTCGAACCTTCGCTTAAGAGTTGGTGGAATCTCTCGATCCCAGTTTGATTCATTGGAGATCCATGGTCATTTTGGCTTTGGCCTCTCGAGGATTCCATCAAGGCAGGGGTTTGGCGAACGAAATTTGCCCATGATTGCGTATCTAAATCACCTACAATGGAGTTAGCAAATACCGACGCATCCCCATGCTATTTCAAGACACTCACTCTGAGAAACCGTAGGCACAGGCACCAGCCGCAGCTTGACCTCCAGTGTCTCTTGGGCACCCTTAGAGAAGAGACCATTCAACGGGTTCTTGCAGACTCGGCCGGTGATCATCGTCTTGGACTGGTTGGAGGCAGCTTCTGGCGACGAAGAGAAAGTGGCCAGCACCCCTGAGAGCATGCCTTGGCCGACAAGCGGGGTTTCGTACTCGGAATAGTCGTAGGCATAGACGGTATAATCCTTTCCTATTTGACCCACTAGCTCCGGGCTGAACAAAGAGTGCGTAAGTATCTTATTTCGATCCATTGGCCGGGAACAGACATACCTTGCGGAAACAATAGCTTGGATGCATGTCTTCAACTCGATCACTCCAACCGGGGTGTTCTCGTCCAGGTAGGCTGTTTGGATCTCAAGCACGTGAGGCCACCGAGCAAGGCAATTGGTCTTATTGTCGTTGTCGAATGTGTAGAGGACTTTCACTATAACATGGCCATATTTAGTTCTGATATCACCGGATCCCAATGGGAGTGTAGAACATACGCCTCATAGAGCGGACATCAATGCCATCCTGAGAATCCATCTCTTAAGACTTCGCGTGCCACCATGCAAGGCGGTAGAATAGGACGGTTTAGGTATGAGTTGTGAGCGTGAAAGGATTGGAAAAATGTGGAAGCTGAGAGGTGTAAGAGGAAATCGAGGGAGGTGGGTTGAAAGTATCGATCAAGCCATTCCACGTAGAATCGGGGGGTAGAACCAAAGGAGGTCTGAGCGATCAGCGGTGCATATCTAGTCTGGCCGACTGGCAACGAGAAAGGTTATGCGTAGTGGAGTGGTCCTATGCTGCAAGGTTGGAATGTCAACAATCGAGAGCTGAGCAGAGCGGAAGGAACCAAGGGCAACGCATTCCAGAAAGAATAGAGATAATCATTTGAGAGATCATAGATCGCTTCTTACCTAGAGATGGTATAACAGAATAGAGAGAGCATTCATCCCACTAGCTTGGAGGTGGAGGAAGGGGGAAGTGGGAAGAGAGAAGCCTTGCATACGCGGGTTAAGCTATCTTGAAGATCTCCAGCTTGGAACTTGTAGACCGCGACACGCGACGTGACAGCCAATCGCGACCTCGGGAAAAAAGGGCTAACTTAGCGCGACGGCCTTAATTTCAAGGTTTAGGGTGGCTAGTGTGGCTAGTGTTAATGTCTGAGGTATCCGGCTGTAAGTGTGGCTCACGCCTCGATTCCAAGGGCTGATGACCGCCTTCTTGTTTTGGAAGATTTCCAATTCTGCAGACCTTCCCACGTGATCTACCGCCTTGGTATCGATCTGAAGCTCTACAGCAAGATGGCTTTCTCACGTCAAGAACCGATCGCCCCAGACAACCCCGATCCGAATTTGAACGTCGACTACGACTCGGCGATCTTGCATCAACTCTTCAGATTCCGAGTGACGATTCTACTGACACAATGTCTACTCCCGAGCCCACAATCCAGTAAGTTGGCACTGCTATTCAAGGACCCAATCTCCGAGAACCACCAACTAACGAAAGAACAGGGAATTGCTCGCCAAGCCGCGTAGCGAGTTGACGTAAGTACACGCATCATATCTCAACAACAATATATCTCCCCCAGCGGCGCCGGTCACCGTGACAGATCAGCGATGCGTTGAGTCTCCATCTGGTGGTTACGATCAGCGGGGTCTGTCTCCGACGCCTGCATGTCCGGGAAAATCGGTGACCGCCATTCCCCTGTCACATTCCCAAGCTGCGCACAACCATATACAGTTTGAACAAAGCTAATTTGAACCCTGCGTCTCAACAGCGAGTATGAAGTCGGTCGTGTCGGTCACTACGAGCTGACCCACGGTCCTTTTTCGCTTCTTTACAACGCCTGCAACAGCGGCCAGCAGGTCCTGATCAACACTCGCGGCAATCGAAAGCTCCTTGCCCGCGTCAAGGCCTTCGATCGTCACTGTAACATGGTTCTCGAGAACGTTAAGGAAATGTGGACTGAGAAGCCCCGCGGTGGCGGCAAGGGCAAGCTCGTTAACAGGGATCGTTTTATCAGCAAGATGTATGTGCGCTATATGCGGAAAGATATCTATCCTTGGGTCTTTGTGTCTCTAACGTTTCCTAGGTTCGTGCGTGGCGACGTTGTCATCCTCGTGATGCTGGCCTAAGTGCATCTCTCAATCACTGCGATATCGCCAACTCGGCTCGAATTATATGTTGACGGACGGTGTCGTCGAATGCTCAATCGATACCCTTTGTTCTTTTTTACGGTTTTCATATGGGGTTTTTTATGGTTGCTTTTGGCTCCTTTGTACCAAAGCATTTCGGTTGTCATACTGGGTTGTTTTTTTGTTGCTTCTGGCCTGTTCTTTTTTGTACCGAAGCAATCATCGGCGGCACAATGAATGGTATGATTGAATTAGCACTTCCGAGCCGATCCAATCTACTCATGTACGAGTACTCCGGTGGTTTTTCTCTGCCACCGCTCCTCCCTCTCCGTATTAGTGCTCTGACTTTGCCGCTTTTGCTCATTGAGGGCTCAGCATAGTGATCGCTATATAAGCACTCTGACCCAGGTGCCGACTCGTACGTTCCCAGCCCCTCAGATGTTGGGCAGTCTCCCGCCATTTAGAGACTACAGCGCAACAAAAACACAATACAAAGAAAGTATTAATATATTTACATACAAAAACGACCATGATCAATGGAAACCAGTTCCAAATCCCCCAAACTACCTCACCACCCAACTAAATCCCCTCCGCAACACCCCCCAAAAACTCCGCCAACCCATAAGCCCCGGGATCAGGAACCTTCCCAATCCACTCCCCCTCCCCGCCAACATAAACACTCCTCCCCAGACTAGCCTTCATAGCCTTGGTCTCCTCCGTCCCCTTCCAAGCCGCCTCCGCCGCACCCTTTACATCCCCCGTCTTAGCCAGCGTCTCAATAAACGGCGCCAGCGCATCAACCAGCGTGCGATCCCCCTTCTGCGCCGGTGTGTACTTCGCCAGCGCAGTGAGCGAAGACTGCAGCGCACTCGCCCAGATTTCCGTTGTGATTTTGGTCGGGACGTCGGTGTTCTGCGCGAGCAGGCCGTGGGCGAGCGCGTTTAGGAAGATGGCGTAGATGGCGCCGGAGGTGCCGTCCATGACGTTTTCGACGACTGTGACTATCGAGGCGAGGGTGGCGACTATGTCGTTCGTTGGGGGGTTCGTGGTTAGGTGGGTGAGGATTGCTTCGGCGCCGCGTTTTAGGCCGACGCCGCAGTCGCCGTCGCCGACGATTGTGTCGTAGCGGGTTATGTCCGGTTCGGCTTTTATTACGCGGTTTAGACCGGTTGTTAGGGCTTTTTGGAGGGTTGAGGGGTCGACTGTGTAGGGTTTGGGTTAGTTTTGGGTTGTGGTTTTAATGGGGGAGGGGTTATTGGACTCACGTTGGAGGTTGGAGTGAATATCCTCAGCCAGATTGGATGACGTTAGCTCAACAGGCTCGTCTTTGCGGTTATCCCAGGTAGATGTGTTGACAGGCGCAGACCAGCCAACCGCCTCGGCGGGAGCATCCAGTAGCTCCAGCATAGTCTTGCCCGCGCCGACATCCTGCTCAGCCAGCTTGAGGAGCGAAATGCTGAAGCCAAGACCATTCAGACTCGTCAGGAAAGTACCCTGGATCACGCGGACCATGTTGACCTGGTAGTCGCGCTTAAGCTGGCGATAGACCTCATCGGTGATACCGGCGAGCTCGAGCGGGCTGACGCCGCCGAGGTTATTGATGAGCAGGACGAACTTATCCTCAGGCTTACGGGTGACGTAGCAGCGGTCCGGGTCGTTGTGGTCGAGCAGCTGTAGAAGCATACCCTGGACCAGCTCGACGAGGTCGAACTTCACGCGGTGCGAGCCGGGCTCGTTGTGGATGCCCATACCTACTTCGACCTCGCCGTGCGGGATCGAGTCTTCTGGGAGACCGCGGCCGGGCACGTGGACGTGCTCAAGTGATGAGCCTAGGGAGACGAGGTTGCTGTTGGCTAGCTGGGCGAGGGCGTAGACTTCGTCCAAAGAGGCTCTGTTGGAGAAGCATTAGCAAAATGATGTCTGCCCAGATGGAGAGGGATTATCGCAGTTAAAAAAAAAAAAAAAAAAAAAAACGTACCCAGCCTCCGCCAAAGCGCCAACCATCTTCAAGATCAGCACACCACCACCGATGCCCCGACGACCGACCTTACCACCCTTGACACGGCCAACGCCAACATCATCATTGATGGCAAAGAATTGCGTCGGAATACCAGCCATACGGGACTTCTCCGCCGCCATACCGAAGTTCATCACATCACCCGTGTAGTTCATGGGAATGATGAGCACGCCGTTCTCAGTTGGGACACGATCAATGACCGCGATGCGGATCTGCTCCGCAGAGGGCGAGGCAAAGATCGTGCCTGCGACTGAGGCATCGCAAAGACCGTGGCCGACGAAGCCCGCGAAGGCAGGTTCATGGCCTGAGCCGCCACCCGTCACGATAGAGACCTTGTTGGCTCTGCGGGCAGCATCTGGGCGGCGGAATATGATCTTGTTCTGTCTGTCCAGTGCCAGTGATGGGTTTGTGAGGGTAAGGGAGTTGAGCGCTGTCAGGACCAAATGGTTTGGGTCGGTGAAGAAGTGTTTGGCTGCATAGGATTAGAATCTTTGGTGGTTGCGGAGTGAGTGGGGACGATCTGAGGATGATCTGGGGTTGATCGGAGGTGGAGCGAAAACGTACTCTGCATTGTTGATCAAAAGTGGACAATATGGATTATGGAGTGGGTATATGAGATGAAAACAATAGTTCTCAATGGAATTGGACCGGGCAAGTCGTATAAATAGTCGTAGGTTATACACTCACAAGAACCAGCCGTCTAATAAAGATCGAAACAGGCGTGTACTTGGGGAGTTGCGGGGAAAAAGTGGGGGAGTTCTTGGGACTGGGTATAGACCGGGATCTATGCCGTGGGGGAGGTCAAGAAGTATAGAGACCACTTACTCTGTGAATGGGGAGATAACCTCCCTCTTTATGGCGACAATTTCATCTACTCAGACTACTCTGTAGATTGCAGTCTGACTATTTTCTTTTATTTTTTTTTTCTGCTCACATGAACATCGTGAAATCTGGGCAGCTCGGTCTGGATCTGCGGGCCGGCTTACCCTCTACGGAAATCCCGCTATACATTCCCTGATGTTCTACACGGAGTATCTAACAGGTTTATTTCCAGGGAAGGCCGAATGCATTTCTCGTGCGAGATACTACTGTGTACTACCTACAAGTACAGACATATATGCATCTCAATTGAGTAGGTTTGCCGGCATTCCTAGAAGCACCTACCACCTCTTAGATGTTTAACAAACAGATCTTCATATGTGATTCAGTTGATAGTGGAATAGGTACGGAGTACATAATTCATATTTAACGACCGAGATCGCCGGAGTTCGAGCTGATCTCAATCAATTACATCGAGATGATTTCCGTTTTCAACGTCAATGACAATCATGTTGCCACGGGGCCAACGGGGATACCGCAAGTTCGCAACTTTTCTAAGTGGAGACACATCATGGGACCTGAAAAAAAAAGAAAAAGAAAGAGAAAGAAATAAAGATCTACAACAGTACGCAAGGACATACGAGGAAAGCCTGAAAGGGCTGGGCATCCCCAAAATCCGGTGCTGTCAGATCCAGGGGGGTGGAGTGTTCGCAGGTCATTGGGGGGATGTTCATGATATCCATTCAGTCGGGGCTGTGGAGATCAGGCAATTCTCCGTCGAATCGGGATAATCGAAGGATAGTCACGTTGATGTACGCAGTAAGGTAAAGATATTCTTAGCCCTAGTCATGTAGGTACGACCGTACGGAGTATATTATGCTAGGTTCAATGTCAGGTGCCTACCTAACGTTATCACACATCCCCACACTAGCAACCACAACGCATCAACGCACTCAATTCTCGGCATTCATGTCTCCAGAGTCCAGACCCTCGAGCTCTCCCCGTATTGGGATCACCTGAATTAGCCATCGGCACTGGCCGAGCCTCCGAGGTGGGACCGGAGCTACTCCGACTTCTATGGTTATTCAGCTTATTCTTTACTTTGATACCAACGACCGACGAACAACTCGGCATTTCCCGAGGGCCCGGGAATACAGTCTAGTGGACACTGTCTACAATGTTGAGAGCACAGATGGAATCTCGTAGACATCCTTCGGCCCATCCGCCGAAATTCAGCTACAAAAGTGCAATGAGCTGACCCCCACGCCGGAACTGAGAAGTCCACTTCATAGCAAGATCATAGCAAGAGATAGGAAAACGGAATAGAAAATCCAGATGTGTTCATTCAGTGGATACAGTAAGCGCACTCAAAACAGACCATGCCTTATGCCATGTAGCTATATTGATTCGTGCCTTCTTTGCGCTCAATATACTCCTTCTCGATCAACCTGCGGAGGAACAAAAGGTTAGCTTCCATCGAATACAGCCCTCAGGATGCAATACATACTTTTCAATCTCTCCCTTGATCTCCGCGGGCTGAAGAACACCCCGACTCTTGGTGGCACTGATCACCTCCGAGATCAGCTCGGCATGGCTAAGGTTTTTGCGGCTCTTCATGATGCGCACAATAGCCGCTTGTGTCTCGAAATGGCGATCGGCAGCTACCCGCTCGTGCGTCGTCTTGGTCTCCTCCTTGGTCTCCTTCAATTGGATCTGATTGATCTTGATGCGGAGTTGTTTGTCGCTGAAATTGGCATTGTATGAGAATTGGTCGGTCGGGTTCACGTCCTTGCCCTTGGGGGTCTTCGTGAGGACGCGGTACTTGGCGCATGCTAGTGACTGGAGAGTCCGCGTCAACTCCGGGTACGCTGGGTACGACGTTAGTTGGGAACTGTTCATAGTTTAGGTGCTTCTGCTCTGGAAACAACTTACACAAGCCGGTCGCTTCTTGGATCTGGGAGTACTGCATGCTTTCACCGTCGGGGATATCATTAAAGAGCAGCAACACGATGGCCTGGAACGAGCTGACCACCAGATTCTTCTTGCCAAGGGGGAAGTTTGCGTTCAACTGACAATGCGCCAGCTGATGCTTCCAGGTGAGCTTCCGCCCTGTGTGTTTAGTATGGTAGAATGACTCAAATCGGTTGATCGAGCGTGCAATAATAGATGGGATCCGCACGGGAATATCGGGATAGGACGGCCATGAGGCGGCAGACAGCACATTGACTTCGAATTCGAAGGGAGACCGGCCCCCTCGCTCCTCCTGCTGAGACCGTTTGAAGGCTGTCATTTCATCCGCAGCGGTGTCCATGTCGTTGAACATGGACTCGAGATTGTGAGTGAAGCTTGAGCCACATTCTATCCAATGTCAGTACGAGCGCATATCGGTAGCATTTTCGATGCAACAAACCGTTCTTTAAACGAGCCAACATGCTCTTTTCCGCATCATTACTCGCGCTGCGTTTCATCAAGAGACGCCGGGCCAGATCATTCTTGTAAAAGGCTTCGAAGACAGCCTTTCCATGTACAAAACGGAAAAGGTCGAGAACTTGATCCAGCTGCCGGTCCAGTTCGGCATCGTCAGAAACTAGGCTAACCTCCTCGGGTTTCCGGCCTGGTGGCAGCTTGTAGCCGCCTTTGAGCAGCCGATCCACGTATTTGGCAATCATTTCGCCTGACTTGGGGTTGTCTGTGCCGCCTGTAGACTCCATCTTCTTTCCCTTGTTCATAAAGACACCAAAGGCTTCCCGGAGCACATGGCCCAAGTCCTCATCTGACTCGAAAGCAGTGATCCAAATATCATTGACCTTCTGTTTGAATTGGAGGAGCTCACTGATCATGTCGACCTCTTTACCTTGATCAAACAAGATATCTTCACCTTCTTGGATGATGTAATTCCTGAATGCGGGCTTCAGCTCGAGCCTGAGACCTTTTCGTTCGAGTAGACCGTAAAGTTGTTTCAAGGCAGTATTGTTGCCGGCTCGCATCAAATCAAGAACCTCCTTTTCACCCGTCAACAGCCCCGTTCGCTTTGTGACTAGAGTCTCGTCCAGGAGCTCGGATAGTTTAAGCTTTGTACTTCGGTTGAAAGAAAACAGTCCGCACCGCTCCACTTCGCGTTCAATCAACCGATGAGCATTTTCGACGTATGCGGCGAGGGTTCCTGACGCCTGCTGTTGAGACCAAGCATTCACATACTTCTCAGACTCGGCCATGAACAGAGGCTCGAAGTCACTGGTATAGACATCTAGGTTGTGGAACAGCGCCATAGCCTCTCTTAACAGATTTGAATCTGCTAGGGCCTTTGTATCCGCATCTCGATCAGCAGCGATTAGATCATAGGCGCCGTTCAAAATCTTTGGCTTTAGACTGGCGTCAGAGAAGATGTACAATCGGAATTGGATCAACCCCATCTCAAGGATAGTCGGATGTCCTTTTGAATGCAAGAGGAACGACTGATCGAGGTAATAGAAGATCCAGCGGATGGTAACCTGACAGACAAGGAAAGTCAGCGGTGAACTGTATTATCAACGACTCCATGCCACATACCAGCTTTGCACGCCAGGCCGACCAGGCCTCAATCACCGCCCGCAATGCGTCAACATCAGTACTACCTCCAGCCCTATTAAGGAGATTCTTGCGCATGTTCCCACTGACAAACTCCTCTTTGCACCGATCCTGCAGCTTGCTTGCCAACAAAGCCGCCCTTCCCTGGCGGCAAACGTTCTCCCCACCTTTGTACAGCTCTTCCAGCGAGCTCTCCGGCTTCCTGTCATTGAAGATCGCCGTCAAAGCCGCCTCAAATTGCTTCCACACCTTCTCAAAATATGCATCTTGGTTGAGCCGCGGACCAGAACGGAGGTTCTTGACAACGAGCTTTTTCGCACCGGTGTGAGGAGAGAAGGGGTTCTGACGAGCATTCGTGTTTAATCCCGGGGTTCTGGCAGGCCCGTTTGATCCAGGTAACCCCCGGCCAAGCGCAGTGCCCTGTCTAGGCGGAGACCCGGAAATCGGATACATCGTATGCGAGGCTGTGTTGGTTGTGGAGGATGAATGCGGGGGAGAGGGTGACAGACGAGATCGCTTCTGGGATTTTGGATTATTCGGTTCAGGTGTGTGTCTCCCGGAGAAGTGCTCGGAGATGGTTCGTTGTGATCGCGGCTGCGATGGCTCTCCTTGATCAGAAAGCTTCCTCTTGCCTGATGATTGGCGCTTACCGCTCTGCTCGGTGTCGCCTCTGGAGATCTGCTGCATCTACCCGGTTCAGCCCGATAGGGATTTGGGGCTCTGGTTGGATTAGAAATAGTATTAGTGACCGAGCAGGAAGTGACGGGATTGTAGTTGAGGGGAATCGACGTTGCAGCTGGGCAGTTTGGCTCCGCACGGCGATAAGATACGGAGCACGGAGCACTATTCCATTTAGCGTTTAGTCTGAACCGTCGAGTCCACCTCTATCTTAGTTCCTATAGTTAACTATCGGGCTACTACTATTGTCGACTTATTTGGTGATTTATACGTTCTATGCCTTCCTCTCATAGTTATCTACCGCTAACAGTAACTTCTAAGTTACTAAGTATTACTAATTTACTATTCGCAAGTTTCCAGTTCTCACATATGACTTGACAGGCTTATGTTGGAGTTGTCCGGCTCAAACATCCTTTGGCGTGTTCCAATCTGGCAATACTTTCTTCTCCAAGACTGTATCTGGTGGCATCATACCTAGATTATGACTTATGAGATGACTTAGTCCCCTTGGTAGGTGCTATGCCCAATCTTGGGTGTAAATCCGGGCACAGATGCCTAGTGGACCGAGAACGACAGGACCTCCGGGCAGAGCTCTAATATATGGGCGACTACGAGAACTAATCACAGTAAGTTTACAAGTAGTAAATAGATAGAACACTACAGTTATGTATATCATTGGACGCATTCAACAATGCAATGCTGGTAAGTACACATCATCAATGTAATATCCAGAAGACCGTAAACGAACTTTCTGCTCATAAAAGATGCCAGATGGTGAGTGCAATAAGGATTCATGAAGACGGCATAAGCTCATAAAAGCATAAAAGCATAAAAACAAACCCAATCAATCCACCCGCGGGGGACTCCGTGATTTCTTCCCCATAGGACTGGCGCTGGTTCTGAAGATTCCATTAGCTTCTGCTTCGTTCCCCTAAATCACTGCACAGCCAGACCGGCCAGGGGGAACATACGATCGTCGGCGCTCGCCTTCTTTACGGAATCCTTCAATAATCTTGGCCATCTCTTTGCGGGATCCACTGGCATCGATCTTCCGCCCTCCAAGGCTCATACTCACCTTCTCACGTGCACTGGCCATCAGTAGCCGCTTCAGGAGTAGGTGCCGCATGTTCATGCACACAAAGACGCCGCAATCGCTGCCGCCGTCTTGCTGGGGAGAGTCGTTCAAATGTAGGAACCGGATGGGTATGTTCAAGAGGTATCCGAATTTGCGTGTCACGGTATCTGCTTCCCAGACATTTCCTTGGTATAACGAATCATAGTGAAATGCAATGCGGTCAACAACGGAGATCAGTAGAAGGGACCAGTGTGTGCCTCCTTCTGCTTGGCTGACGTTGCGGCAGTCGTTGATTGGGAGAAAGACATGGGTGGCTCGACTGAAGTCCGGGAGTGCTTCACGGAGGGTGCGAGGATCGGGGGTCTGGAGGATCATGAAGCACATGCTGGGGCGGAGGAGAATGATGTTGGAGTTCTTGTACTTGGTAAGGAATTCGTGCTCGAGGTATCTAGAGCAAGCAAGTTTGCGATCAGTGCTATGTTCGGCGCTGTGCAAGTATGACTGACTCGACGTCGGGGACTTACTCCTCCCAAAATGAGATGATCTATGACAAATTAGCTCAGGTGCCCCAGCCAAAAGGATAGTGTTGCCATTCAAAACCCACGTTATCTGTGAGCCAATCGTCCTTGAGGGTTTGCATGTCCTCTCGTGTCACTGCAGGCTTGTTAGCCATCTGGAATCGGGGTGGTCACTTCGGGCTTGTTCGCATACATCGCACGTCATAATCTATTAGCAGCCGATATCACCCTGTCAGTATACCCATCATATCACCCAGACAAGGTTCTGGTCATGCACTCACAGCTCAGAAAGGCATCATCTGGGTTCAACTGCGCAAATCAGTACTTGCGCCACCAATATCAATAATGACGTCGCCTCGAGTGAAACTCACCTTGTCACCAAACCGCCCACGCACCTTGCGCAATTTGTTGAGGCCACCATCCAGCATGATGGCGATATGCTATGTGCGATGAAATCGATTGGAGAAACGAGAATATTCTGCTGAATTATCAATGCCGCGAATGCCGCGGTATGAAAGCAATAACTGCGCCACAGTCGAGACCGCGCAATGAGTGGGATGTTCTGATGAGAGCTAAGACAGACTCCACAAATCGCGGTTGATGAACGGGGCAGATCTTTGTGCAGAACTTTGTGCAGCACTCGAGTTCGAAGGAACGCCCACGTTAGACAAAATGAGATGAGATATCAGGATGCTGTGGCAAGCAAGCTAGGAGGCAAAATGGACGTTGGCAATGTCCCAAATAACGGACTCGAATGTTCGTACCCCCCGTTTCTGCGCTGCAGCGCCTGAGTGGGACCGGTTGGGACCTCGGGATTGGGCGGGTTCTCGGAGGGGGAGGCCGTCAGCCTTATGGGTGGCGGAGAGAAGAAGGGGGGCGTGATATGGTGACGGGGTCTGGATGATGCGATTCTGAGATTCTCAATGGCGCTCGGGAGGTAATGTTTGGTCGGGAAAGCAGTCGTGTAGATTAGGTAGTGGCCGTGCAGAGGGTTGAAGATCACCCGAGAAGGAATGAATGCATGGACCAAGACTGTTGTTTGCTGCTACTGGGACAACGGGATAGGGAACACGGAAGAAATGGAGGTGACAAATATATGCGGAGTTATGTATTTATGAGAACGCAAGATAACAGACAAAATGCTCAAAAGAACTTGACTCAGGCACTTCCAAAGTTCCAGGTAGGACTGATCGGGCGTCACATGCGGGGTCACATGATGCTGCCTCGTATATAGAGGAGACAAAATTGAGCTGTTACGACAACATAGACGGGCAATACTGGGCAAACTGCGAGATATCGTATACCTGAGCGCTCAGTTCATATCAGGGCTTAAATGGTCTGTAGGATATCACTAGAAACACATTGCATTCATAAAAATAGGGGTATCTAAAAGTACATCCCAGAGCTCCAGTATCGGAGCAAGCTCAGAGCCTCAGATCATGCGATGTGATGGGATGGAGATGAGCAACTGGGGGAAATTGAAAGAAATCAGGCAATAAAGATGAAAGCAAGGATCGCAATGTAACAACAAAAAGAAAGGGAAAACATGACCATAAATCATCAGCATGAGGTGGCGTCGAACGGAGTCAGACCCTGAAAGTAGAGAAGCAGACGAGGCAAGAAGGTAGCAACGTTGCAAAGCAGTGCAGTCACTTATGTTTTTGCCTCGGTCTCACGTATTAGTTTGGAAATATGGAAACATGATCTGGAACAGAAAGCGAAAAGAAACCGTGAAGGTGACCCTGTAGTCTTCTGTAGTCAACATCAAACAAGGACTTTTTTCTGTCTTTTGTTTTTGTTGGAGATTTGGTCTTCCACATCTCATAGAATCTCGCAGTAGATTGAAAATATGGCATCAGAGTCTTGGTTCAATCGTCAATTTTGACAACGTGTCGGTTCCAGATCCATCCCACTGTGCGCGTGCTATCGTCCTGATTGCGAGCAAGCCAGAGCTCGCCCTTCTCTCCGATGATGTCAAAGACATCCCCGCTAACATAGGTCAGATAAGGATAACCACCCTCTGTGCGAGTCTCGATGTTAAAGTCACAAACGCTAGCGGCGCAGAACAACGTCGCAGGCCCCGTGAGAGAAGCACTGCGTTCACCAGGCGGATAGTTATCGATTGGCGTATCGGACATGGGCATGGCGGACGAGAAAAATCCCGAGTATCGATCAGTAGGGGAGGTTGGTGCATTGCTGGAGTGCGAGGAGCTGATGACATCCGTGAGGAATGGTGTGTCCAGGCTAAGTCTCGGTAGGCTTGGGAAAGGTTCGACATCGCTAGTTCGAGGAGGCGCAGGAGAGCTGGTGACTTGTTGCAGCAGTTGGTTGGGAGTATCGGAGACAACTCGGCCAGAGAAAATGGAATCGGCGCGATAACGGCTGCTGCGTCTGGACTGGTCTTCCATCAGGGGGGACTGGTATGATTGGCTGCCAACGCTGAAATCACGAGAGACTTTTGGTGAATCTGAGGTCATGGACCCAGATCGTCGCGCACTGGAACTGTTGACAGTGGAAGGACGGCGAGACGACATGGGATTATGCTCACGCTCCGTGGGCGAAACAGGCACCAGATTAAGCGAATGGGCGAGCAGCGATCCGTTGCAAGAGGTTAGCTCTTCCACTCGAGCCTCCATCAAGATGTGTTCACTATTGAATTCACCAATGAGCCTCTCGAGGTCGCTGGGGAACAAGTCCACATGGACTCCAATCTTTTTCTGCAGTATGCTATACCACACAGTTTGAATCTCGATGAAGTTCTTCAAAGTTGCTTCCATCAGTTTAGAAGTCAACGCATAGAGTCTAGGCAATTCATCTTTCAAAGTTTCGTTGAGAGCCAAGAATTGCTCGCCTTGATCGGTGGTCTTTTTGTCAGGCTTGTCGCCGCGGTCCTGAATGGCTTTGTAGCGTGCATATTCAGGGAGTCGCTTGTCACGCTTTCTCATGACCCGCTGGGGTGCATTGTAAAGTCCGAGAAGTTCAACCATCGGTTCGATAACCGTTTTGCGGACGACGGCAAGCTGCGGGAAAGGTTAGCAGGCTGACTAGAATATACATAAGAACGCGGCTCGGCTTACATGTTCTGGAAGGGCAGTCGTCACAATATCGTGCACTGTCATCTTGAATTGGCGCCACTTGGCCTCCAGCTGTGGGTAGGGAGATGGAGACATGCCAATGATGTCTGCAATGGAGTCGGCATACTCATTGAATTGGTTCACATAGAGTTGCACATCCCGGGAATAACTCTCAACGTCTCGCATGACCACCTGCAACTGGAAGTAGCCGTCCCCAAGCTTCTGCGCCAGAGAATCATAGACTTTGTCCTCAAACAAGTCGGAGAGGCCAACTTGCTGTCGGAACTTTTCCGTGCGGCGACCAAAGGCTTTAGACAGACCAGCACGCACATCAGACTGGTTGCGCTTTCGACCGACAGCTTGGCCTACAAGTTCTGCCCGCTTCTTCATCGCATTGATACGATGAGAAACATTGGTGACCTCCTCCAGTGCAGCGGCAATCATCGCCCGGTCTGGGTGGTCGTTTGGCGTAGACTCCAGCAGGTCGCGTAGAATGAGAGGGTATTTCAAGATTCTTTGCACCGGTTTAACGAGCAAAGAGTCCAAATCCCAGGCAGTTGTGAGATCGTGTGCACAATTCCGACATTCGCTCAGCCAAATCCCTACATTCGGGATGCGCTGCAAGGCCTGAAGTTTTTTGTTTGCAGAATCGTGGTTTTTCAGGTAATCCGTGTACACCTTTTCCATCTGTGTCATATAAGTGACAAATACCTGGCCGACAGATGTGGCGCGATCCTTTTCAAGATCCGACATCCCTTCGTACTCCGATCTTTCATTGGTTTCCGAAGGCATGGGATCAACAGCTTGGTTGGTGCGGCTGCGTTTGCTGGTCCATCGTTGAGACGCTGGCATGACGTATATGCTTCTAGCCGCTTGCTTGAGATGATACAAGAAAGTGTCGGAGAAGTTCGCGATTTGATCGGAATTGCCAAAGAGGATTTTGACATCATCAGCCTCCAACAGCGTATTCGCGGTGCTCTTGTAGATGTCCTCAATGACCATCATATCATGGCCAAAGGTATGCTCAGTATCTACCAGTTCTTTGATGATGTGACGCCGCTTCTTTAGACGTTTTTGCTCTGGAGAGGGTGACATCTTCGTCCCAGCCTGCACAGTTTGCTCTGTGGACGGAGCAAGCGACGTGGCGGAGGAACCAGCAGCTGCAGGAGATTGCAGAGATTCTAAGCGAAGAAGAGAAGAGTCCTCACTGCTACCAGGACTGTGCTTCGCATCTCTAGGAGCAGTCTGGATACTGCGGTTGAGTTCAACATGACCTGAGCCTATGAGCGAATCTCCACTGGCATCAAAAGTTGAGTTTGTCGATGGCGGAAGGAGTGTTGATGCCGAAGGAAAAGGAACAGAAGCGATGCTTTCGACGTGAGACTCGGTGCCAAAGGACAATGCATTGTTGTTGTTTGTGCTGGTAGCACCAGCGTCTTTGGTTGTTGAAGACACCACGCGGGGTGTGAGCACTCCGTCAGTACGCATACCATCAACCTCAGCACTTGGGGTAACAGCGCCGTCTTCAGCCGCAATTCGCATCCAATCCATGATAGAGGGAGATGCGTGTTCCCAATCATCACGCCCCACTAAGCTCGCTGTGTGTGAGTGCCTAGCGGAAACGGGGACATCCTGGAATCCTGGCACGACGACCGGATCGTCGGTCAAACTATCAGGCCGGCCTTCGTTATGTGCATCTGTAGGATGAGATCGGGGCTCTGCAGGAGGAGCCTGTATTGCCGAGGTAATGTTGTAGTTCCTGCCTCGTGTCAACTCTTCGAGGTAGAGTTGAGTGACACGCTTTGAATCCCATCTACCCAGCCTCGCCAACTTCGGAGGAGTAGAGAAGTAATTGGTGCTATAATTACCAGATGTCTGAAGTGTGTTCGGCCCCATAACACCATGGTCCTGAATTGGAGCCGACGATTGTTCATCCGCTATGGAAGCAGGTCTTGTTGAAACGGCTGAACAAGTCTCAGTAGGTGGTTCCGTCTCACGGCCATGAAGAAGGAAATCATCACCGCTCTCATCACATTGCTCGTCACAGGTGGAATTCTGGTTTTGCACCGAGGACCATGAGCCGATGCTCCATCGGGTGTTCATCTTGTCCTGAGACTGTTGTGCTGGCGCACGGCAAGGATCTTGAGTATTAGTACTACTAGATGAATTGTAGTAGGTCGTATCTCGAAGCATGATCTGAATGGACTCCCTGTCGTCGTTTTCTGAGAGGCTGCAGTCGGGTTCGTCGCAGGAGTCATCGCTCGGGCTGGACTCGCGAATTTGCATGATTTGACTGAGAAGAGTGCGATGAGAGACACTGGGGTTTCGTTGGAGCAGGCCGGACTGCGGCTCCGGATCAAAAGTGGTGACATGGGTCTCATCAGAGCCTGTCGTGGTAGCCGACTGTGGCCGGCCATCATTTCCAGGTTGGACATCACCTGAAGTTGTTGAATTTACGCCCTGTGTAAAGCCAAGAGTGGGAGAGTCCATCGTTGTGTGCGGAGCTGCCGTCTCCGACGTCGATACGACGGTGTTGAGCTGCAGCCGGGGAGTGACGCCGACCCCGTTCTCCTGATATTCGACTGAACTTCCCGGCTCTTTGACTATGGTAGCCATTTCATCGGCCGTGGCGTTGGTCACCGCCAGACTTGGGTTACTTGGGTGTGCATCCGCTGGGTATTTGGTATTCTCATCCGCTTTTTGGTCTCGCACCAAAGCGGGGCGATGAGGCTCGGCAGCAGCGGATCTGATTTCCCTTCTTTCATTCTTAATTTCCTGAACACTTGAATTGGTTGTGTGTCGATTGATTGCCTGCTGAATATGCCGGCGACGAGCATCAAAATCAACCTTGCCCAATTCAGGTAATTTGCGCTGAGGCCGAGACCTTGAGTCGTTAGAATTGGCGTGTTTTTGTATATTCAACACGGTGTCTCCGACCTTGGAGCGCGGGGACACCAAGGCACCATGTGAAACGGGTTGTCGGGGCCGTGAGCTGCGCAACTGAGGTGACTGTTTGGCGGGCGGTTCAGTGATGTAGGCTTGGAGTCGCCGACTGGATTCAGATGTTTGATTATGGATTCGGCCACTCGTTGGATCTCGTCTGGGACGGGAGCTTGTCGCAAACGAGGTGGGATCATCTGAGGGCATGCGGGGAGGACTGTGTTTGGGGGACGGAATAGGAAGGCGGCTACTGCCTTTAGGCGGCGAAGTAATGGCAGCAGATCGGCTGCTGAAGGTCGGGTTGGAGGAAGGTGATAAGCTTTCGGGACCGGAAGCAGTGATAAGACGGTGTGAGTAGATAGGAATGCGAGACTTGGAATTGGGACTGTCCGGGGGCGAGCCGTGACCGGGCTTAGCCCGCTGCAAGGGCGCGGGTACTGCCATTTCAGGAGTCCACGGATCTGCAAGGGGTTCTCTTGTTGTATGCAAATCGCTCAGATTTCTGCGATGGTTGCCGGTGTTTCTTATCCCGGCGTGAACCGCCTCCAGAGAAGTCGTGTGTCCGAGATACCATGCGGTGGGGGTAAGCGGTGGTTTGGCAGAGTACTGATCGTGTGGCTCGAGGGATGATGGATTCGGGCTTGGAATACTTCCATCCGACCCGCGACGTTGCAGCCGCGAGATAGCACTGTTGTTGACTTTCGTGTCTATCGACAATAGTTCACCAAACAGTGATCGGCGAGGGTGAGATTTCGGGATTCGTTGAAACAAAGGCGGCGGGATACAATCGTTCGCGCTCAGAGACGGCTCGAATTCCTCGGTCCCCGGAGATGAGGGCGTCGAATCAATTGGCGCTCGAGGATGGCTAGTGATCGAATCTGGTAGCGAATCGCGATACTGAGAACGCCGTGGTAAAGCACGGTGTCGCTCGCCGTCACCACTCCCAGCAGGACTCACTGTCCTCGAAGTTGGACCTGAAGGTAGAGGAAGGACCTGGTCGGAAGTCTTGTTGAACCTGTTGATAAGTTCCTGGGTCGAAGGTTGTCGTGATCTCGTGTGGTTCGAAGGAAACGCGGGTACGGTGGCAGAGGGTTCTCCTAGTGTTGGGGAATCCGAGATTGAACGATACGGTTGACGTCTGGTGCGCGATGACTGCAACATGTTTGTTGGCAGGGACGACACTCTGTCACCGGCTGTAGGATGATCGGCCGGCGCCATGCCCGTTCTAACACCCCCGGAACCTTCACTTACATTGGAGGAAGTGCCTGACAGGGCCCCACGCTGGCGATAATAATCAGCAGGGTCTGGGGACTCCCGTCCTCTACGATCTTCCAATGGATCGCCCGACGACAGGTGATTGGCGGAAGTGTGGAGATTATGAAGTGGGTCGAAGCCTGACGGCAGCGGAGAATACGTGGTCGGTGATCGTGCCTGAGGGGAAAAAGAGACGGTCGGCGAGTCAACTAAAGAAGCGGCAGTGTGGTCATGGGTAGATTGGCCAAATTCTGGCGCCGGCGATTGTCGCCCAAACGATGGCGGCTCGCAATGCCGGATATCAAAACCCTGCTCGTCACCGCCAGACATCTTGCATGCTTCAGGCCGACAGGTCGACGTGGACTGGTCGCGGCCTTTCGATTCTGGGCGGGTTAAGCTGGTGCGTTGTTCCGGGATGGTCGCCCAACGGGAATGTCGCAGGTGAGCCGACTCAGGCTACAAAGCAATCCTCTCGGGTGGCGCACCCCATCCAGCGTTCATATTTGAGACACTCGTCAATAGCACACCAACTTTCGAGGGGAAATCTCCCCCGCCAAAACAAATAAGGAAGGTTATTTGAATGGAGTTCGGATCGGAGGAGTCGGGGAAGGTAGAAACAACGATCGGCCAGTTGCCGAAAGGTGTAGCTTGTGGTGCGGGATGGAACGAATAGGAGAATCGAGGTCGTGACTGGCGTTGGGTCTAGCAATAACGGACGCTGATAGGTGACGAGTTTGGTAGTTGAGGGGTTTGAAAGCGAATCCTGGCAGTGGGCCAATTTGTTAGCTCTCCGGGCCAATCCGTCACAATGGGCTGACCTACCTAAATACACTAGTAACAATGAGTTGAAGTGCAGCAGTGCCGATCCATGTGAAGAATAATGAAGAATGATATTTGGAAGTAAGAGTTGCGGAGATGAGAAGAGGAGAAGAGATAAAGAGAGAAGAGATCGAGAAACTCCACAATCATCCACTTGAAACCGATTAAATGAACTCGACCTCGGGAAGGAAAGAGCGGATTTCTTTGTGTACATTGTTAGGGTAGGGCAGAGCTACCGGAGATTGAAGTTCGACTAGGTTCTTTCCCTTTTTATTTTGTGGCTACATTTAGATTTGTACCTCTATTGACATGTACCATATGCATCTTACACGTCTACTGCCTTGTACTGTGTACATGTATCTAACTCTAAGATCCAGGAACGAAAAAAAGCTTCCTTTCTCCCCTGAGATGGATCTAATGAGATCCATGGAATGACGCAGTGGAGACGCACTGACGGGCCTTTCTAGACCGCCCGTTCCATGGTTCAAATTGTTGTTTGTATGGTGGCTTTAATTGGTTCCTGATCTTTTTTCACGTGGATTAATTTTACGGAGTAAAATGAAAGCCTCGAAGTTGTATACTTCCATGTGTTGTCGTAAGTACTTTAACAATTGTCCTGAAAGGTCATCCATGCACTCAAAGTGCGATTTACCAGATGAAGCTATCATATGCGGATATGCCATTATCCTAGCTCCCATTCGTCCTGTTTGCCCTGGCGTTTTGACGCGTCGCGCGTCCTTAAGGCTTCATCCTCTCAACCGGTTGACACGCGACGGCGCATACTAAATCTACAGTGACTCGAAAAAGGAGAGGAAGGCTCGAACACCCAGCATGGGCAAAAAGCGCAAGAGATCCATCAAGGACCGCGGTCCTGCGCCCTCGTCTCACCCGGGTATCACCACATCTCCCCGCCGTTTCAGAACTCCCCATGCCCCAATTTCCCTGGGAAGAAAAACAAATCATCCCGTTATCTCTCTGTACTACCGAAATGTCATGCCCCTGCGGGAATACCTCCTTCAGCAACTCCCCGTGACTTCAAAGTCGCGTCGGCGCCGTATTCGAACACTAGGCTCGCGCGCAGAGCAAGACCCTAGTGTACAATCTCAAACATTGGTGGAACTCCTCGACTCCACTCTTGTGGGTGTGCTGAAGGAGTCCTCTCCGGCAGTCAACTCAGAACGACAAAAGGAATATTCGTCTTTCACTCTGTCGCAATCACGATCTATTCTTGACAGCACAGATACGGGGCCGACCTGCCTGCAATCTGAGGTGCGTTCAAGTGCTCGAGTCATTTCATGTATCATTACGCTGATCCTTGTTGCAGGTGGTCGATTTTGTGATCTGGAAACTCTTCAACAGTGGCTCGAGACCTCAGCATCTGCTGGCGCATGGCTTTCAGCGCCCAGCCATGGGGCGGGCTGCCCAGGACACTAATATCCCAGGAGTTGTGTCTCAATTTCCAAATAAGAATGTGGAAACTGTCAAAGGGGGCGCATGGGCAGAGATCCTTGGCTTGCTCGGGAGCAATGGGGAGCAGATCATGGTGCAGCTCCTTCTCGATTGCGGAATCTTTGCTGCGGTCAACGCCCAAAAGGGCATTTATTACCAACTGAGTGGTATGGTTTGGATGAGGTGTAGACACCATTTGCCTTGATTTTGCTGATCTCCTCCTAGGTTTACCGCTCTCGGTCCTTGAGCCTCTACGCGATGCTTCTTCGGCATCCAATGGGCCTGCTACTACAGGGCAGACTGATATCTCATTTAATGGTCAGAAACGTCCCAAAGTGAACAGAAAATGCAACCAAAACTCCGATAAGGAACTCCGAAGTCCAAACGGCATCGTGTTTCTACGGCGACGCATGCTCTATGGACGAACAGAGTCCAAAAGAGAAGTACCCTCTGGATTAGGACAAGAACGTATGGGCTTCGACGTTATATCTCCGAATCCCCAGTTCGCGCTAATTTGCACTCTAGATGTTCTTAACCGCTTCTCTTCGCTCGATTCGACGGCGCAAACAATCCACGTGATGAAGTACATTTTCCCTCGACAATTTGGACTATCCAATATTTTTACGATAAACCCAGATGGTCGCAACAATATGGACCTTTGGAAGGGTAGCATGGCCCGTGAAAGTGAGATATCTGAACTGGAAAACAAGGCACGGCTGAAGCGCCCGGGGCTTGTAAACGAACACGCAGGCGCAGATTGCAGCGTGAGAAGTACCAAGGTACCTAAGAGACTTCGTGGAAATACCACGGAGCTTGTTCGGAAGCTGCGGAACCGCAATGCACAATGTCCCTACAGAGAATTGCTGCAATACTACTGTCCAACCGAAGTGAGACATTCTTGTTTACAATGACTGGGATCTCTAGCTGACCTTTGACAGCAAACTGGACCCAAGAGACTTGGCGCTTTTGCTACCTCCACGCCAGGTGCCAAAGACAGGGAGCCAATTTCGTCTTGTCAGTCAAATTTGGTGACACAGGTGACAATCATCAATCAGCCATCGTCAAACGGTGATTTGGTGCAGCCTTCATGCGATGGCTTGAGATCAGGGCCGCGAATCGATCCATCTTGCGGGACAGATTCCGAGCGATTGCCGGTGATTCAACCTGGTCCAGGCAGTCTGACCGACTATGCCACTCCGGCTGCTTCGGTGTCGGCATTTTGTCGAGCAGTGATCCAAAAGTTCATTCCCCGGCAGTTTTTCGGCACCGGACCTGATGGCGTTTCGAACTTTAAGCTGGTTCTCAGACAAGTTGATCGGTTCATCAAATTACGTCGATTCGAGAGTTTAAGTCTGCATGAAGTATGCAAAGGCGTCAAGGTTCGTGATTGTTTGTGTCAATTTGTTCGTCTGAGACGAAGGGCCATACTGATCAACTCACCAGATAACAAGCATTCCATGGCTGGAGCCACCTCAGATCCAGACTGTACGATCTGAGACAAGGTCGAAGATTGCTTTATCCGATCTGCACAAACGCACCGAGTTGCTTCATGAATTCATCTTTTGGGTTTTCGATTCACTTCTCATTCCTCTCGTTCGTTCCCACTTCTATGTCACCGAGTCGCAAACGCACCGAAACCGTCTGTTCTATTTCAGGCATGATGTTTGGCAGCAGTTGACCCAGCAACCTTTCGGGGACTTAAAGGTAACTATGTTCGAGGAGCTTGAGCCAGAGCGTGCCCGCCGCGTACTCTCACGGCGGGCCCTCGGTTTCGGTGCCCTTCGTTTACTCCCCAAGAATACAGGTATTCGGCCCATCATGAATCTTCGCAGGCGGGCCGTGACGAAATCATCATGGGGAAAGGGGCGCATTTATCTTGCTCCCAGCATCAATTTAAGCGTCACACCTATCTACGACATGTTGAAATACGAGAGCCAACAGGCTCCCCTCAAGCTAGGCTCGTCAATGTCATCTGTTGGAGATATGCATCGCCGGTTGAAATTGTACAAAGAACAAGTGTCTATGCAATCCCTTTCGACATCTGAGCCTGGAAGGTCCAAACTCCCGCCGTTATACTTTGTCAAGCTGGACATAAAAGCTTGCTTCGATACTATTCCCCAGCGGAAGTTGATCAATCTTATCACGGAGCTGGTCTCTGAAGAGAACTACAACATCTCGAGGCATGTCGAATTCCAACCGCCTGCTTCCGTTACCCAACCAGGCAAGCCCACACGAAGATATGTGAACCGCGCCGCGCCTGCCATGAGACCGCAACATCTTCCAGATTTCATCCATAATGAACCCTCGGCGCGAAAGGCCAACACCGTTTTTGTTGACACCGTATTCCGAAAAGACCATGATGCTGGGGATCTTCTAGACTTGCTTGACCAACATGTCCGCAATAACTTGGTGAAGATAGGCAAGAAATACTTCCGCCAACGCAACGGTATCCCTCAAGGCTCTGTTCTATCCGGTCTCCTCTGCAACTTCTTCTACGCTGAGCTGGAACGAGAGATGTTACGTTTTATCGACCCCAAGCACTCTCTCCTTATGCGACTCGTGGATGACTTTCTCCTCATCACAACTGAACCGGGCGTGGCAATGCAGTTCTTGGAAGTAATGATCCCGGGTCAGCCATCCTACGGCGTGCAAGTTAACGCAGCCAAGAGCATGACGAATTTCAGCGCCGCAGTCGATGGCATTCTGCTTCCTCGCCTGGAAGGATCACCATTGTTCCCGTATTGCGGCAACCTCATCGACACACACACGCTAGAAATCCATCGCGACAAAGACCGTCTTCTGGAGGGCGGCGAGTCAGCCGCTGCCACTCTTTCCGACTCGTTGACTGTTGAGGCCGCCCGCTTGCCTGGCCGCACCTTCCACCGCAAAGTGCTAGCCTCCTTCCGCCTGCAACTACATCAGATGTACATCGATGATGAACACAACTCGCGCGCAGTTGTACTCTCCAACTTGTACTCCAGCTTCGTCACTGCTGCCATGAAGATGTATCGTTACATGAAGTCACTTCGGGGACGTGCGCATCCCGGCCCTGCCATCATAATCCAAACAATTCATGACCTCATCTTGCAGACGGCTGGCACGATCCAAGCCCGGCGAGCCGATAAGTCGAAATCCTCGTTATCGTGTTTTGCCCAGCGGTCCCATCTGCAGTACCTAGCTTCCGCGGCATTTCGGTTTGTTCTGAAGCGCAAGCAAACGCGGTATGCGGTGGTGTTGCGCTGGCTGGAGTTGCTGGCCAAAGATTCTCGACCCACATCGGATTCCGAGGCGTTGAGGATGACGCAGGTGGTGAAGAAGGGAAATGCCATGTTTGAGGAATGGCGATTTTAGATCAGCCTTGGAGACCTACATAGAGTGCTCTGTGTACTCCGGACAGCTTACGCCAAGGAACATATGTGAGCGATTGTAAGACCAATTGACCCTGTTTAAGATTATTGTATTATCGTCCAATGAAATGTTTAGATACTAAGTCCAGACTGTCTGTTCACATCATTGACATTGTAGACAGATATGTGAAAAGTACTCTCTACACAGTAACTAGTCCTTAGTCCGTCGATGCGTAAATAGCAACATTTCCAAGTACACAGTACAAGGCTGTGTAGGTTTATCCCTTCCCCATCTGGGCCCAGATCAGATTCTCCAAAAATGTACTGAAAATACTTCCTGGGTACTTCATAATTGCCCTTTCTGCACTAGTGGCATGAGGTATCGCCGAGGTACCCTCCCGTTCCCGGCCAGACCGAGTGCAGCCTGAGGCTCCGAATGCAGAGCATCACGGTTGTCTCTTTTCACTCTCTTTGGACTTCCGTGTGTGTGCTCGTCTTCGTCTCTCTTTTCCATATTTGTTTACTTCTTCTCTGTCTACTTTCCCACATTCGTTCCTTGTCTCTCTTTTTCCCACTCTTAAAACAACCCCTGGGCCCCAATGGTCACCCCGTAATCTCGACTTCTCCTGATCCCTCTTTACACGACTACGCCTGATCTGGACTTCATCAGGCTGCGGCTGAGCCTGCAATTCATTTCTACATTGACCGACTTCTATTGCGCTGTTTATCTCTTTAGATCCGATCAGTCTCGTCCAAAATCACGATCATCGCGTCCGTTCTCGACCCCTTCCAGCCCTCCCGCCAAGTTTCTCCCTGTGTTTGTCCTGCTCTGGTAGATCATAATCTGCGGGGATCACCACTTGCGATAATTGCATGAGACCATGACAGCCGTTTGCCCGACACCAAATTCTCCCCCGGAGCTCTCCGGGTCCAAATCCTCCAAATCGTCCTCATTCCATTCTTCCTCCAACCGGGATGGCCAGGACAGCATCTTCACGGACATCTCGAATTTCGAAGACATTGGCTTGGAGGATGATTCCCAGATACCCTACGCCGAGCCACCTGGCTCCTACGGCCGCGCAGGCGTAATGGCACGGTCGCCCACTGCCCGACTGTCAGTCAAGGGCCCTGTGGCCTCAACCCGCGACCTGACCGCTACCCCGAAGCCCCGCAAACGAAGCCCACTACCACCGATGCACCATGTATCCGCCAGGGTTCCTCAATCGGCGAGTTCCCTCTCGGCGAGAATCGGTAACCGCAGGGATTCGGGCAGCACACTGCAGTCGCCCGGTTTGACACCCAACCCCCCGCGTCGCTCACGGTCTGTCTCACCACTGCGGCCGACATCCAGTCGTTCCGCCTCGAGCACTAGCTTAGCGTTATCTCCACTATCCGCACGTGTGCCTATTCAAAAACAGACTTGGCAACCGCATCGCAAGTCGCTCAAGGATCTGGAGGACGAGTATCATGACTCGGACGACGAATTACCGGACGATGCAAGTTTGTGGAATATTCCGATTTCTCCGCGCCCAGTTCAAGACCGAACCCCATCACGGCCTGCCAGCCCGAAAGGTCGTAGCCCAGGGCGTCGACCGCTGCCTATCCATCATAGCGTAGCGGAAAGTGATAAGCCAGCCTCGCCAGAGAATACGGCCAAGGCATCACGCATGAAGCGTGTGCAACGATCAAGCTCCGCAGGACCGGAGCGTGGCCAGATCTCGCCGCGCAACCCCCGCACCTACTCATACAACAGTTATCTATCTGACTTGTCCGAAGAGGCAAAGATCATCACCGAAGCTCTGGAGCTGCATGCTGATGATAGGGACCGAAAGCGCGAGGAGCATGTTCAAACCGGTGCTGTGCGAAAGCCTAGCGAGGACTCGCATCGAGCATCTCGTGAGGCTATCGCTTTACCACCTCTGCAAAAGTCCAATATCATGATTGATCCTTTGCCCATCAGCAAGGAGAAAGAGAAGGTCCTAACGCGGACACGCCCCAGCTGGCTTCCGCCTAAGGACCAGAAGGAGGAGCGGAAACACCTAAGACAGTACCAGCAAATGATGGCCCAGTCTAGGGAAACTGGTATGTGTGAACAACAACACTGAAGGACCATCAACGTTCTAATCGTGACTCCAGAGAAACGCAAAGCTGCCAAGGACGCAAACGCGCAGTGTGAGAAGGACAATACCCGATCGACATTGCAAAACATCTGGGATGAATACGTATGTCCGCATTGGGACCGAGCTCTGCGCGAGCCTCGGATACGCGAGCTGTGGTGGCGCGGTATCCCGCCTCGCAATCGGGGCGCGATATGGAACAGAGCCATTGGCAACGAACTCGCATTGACTGATGAGACCTTCACCAAAGCATTACGCCGAGGCAAGGATCTTCAAAGCAAGAAAGACGCAGAAAATGAGAACAACAAACGGCTGTTAGACTGCTTCGAGGCAATTGAGGCGGACGTGTCCAAGGCCTTCCCAGACCTGAACCTCTTCCAAGAAGGCGGTCCACTACGCGAGACGCTCGTCGATGTCTTGCAAGCATACTGCATGTACCGCAGCGACGTAGGCTACATCCACGGCTTGCACACTATCGCCGCCCTCCTCGTCCTTCAACTCCCCACACCTGCTTCCGCCTTCATCGCCATGGCCAACGCTCTCAACCGACCTTTACCCGTCGCATTCCTCACCTGGGACCGCGGCGCTATGGCTCGTTCTTATTCGCTGGCATCAGACACTTTGCGCTACAAGTTCCCGCGTTTACACGCGCACTTGGCCGAGACCCTCCAGCTCTCCAACGAGGAAATCTGGGAGCCGATCTTCCGCTCGCTCTTGACAAACGGCCTGGATCTCGAGCGTATCTCACGTGTCTGGGATTGTTGGGTCTTTGAGGGCGATCGCGTGATGATTCGGTCTGCTGTTGCCGTCCTTGGCTGTCTCCAGACCCAGCTATTTTCTTTCAAATCGAATGATGAGAAGTCACGTCTTATTGTGCGCGATATACTGGGCTGGGGTCCCCGACATCCCGGAGCCAACACCCAGAAACCGAATCGACACAGTGCCCCTGCCGCTGCTGGCTTTGGCGGTGGGCAAATTGAGAATCCCGGCGTTGCTGATTATTGGGTCCTTACTGCTACGGGCGACGAGGACGGGTTCATGGAGGCCGTTCGAGAGGCTGGGAAAGTGCGCCAACAACAACAGCAAGAACAACGCTAAGCTGTGTTGCCTCACACTCTCAGAACTTGATATGGCCTTGGCATGATTTGCTTCCAGCTCTCGTCTCTTATCCGTCTTTTCTTCCTCCTCCCTCCGTTTCTCTCCACAACGCATATGAAGCCTTCATGGAATCTGATGTCCACTCGCTATCCCAGAGAAAGAGCATCACATCACGGCTTGACCAACGTGTTGTCTGCATCTCATCCTGTACACACCTGCCACTCGCTGAACCTACATCACAAACCTTGTGAACACCACTCGCTTTCCTCTTCTTCTCATTCTTACTTTCCAAAGCCAGCACCCGATATTCTTCGCTGATGATTGGTCTTGGACACATCTTTTACCCTCTGATTGTTTCCACTCTTCCGCTACTTCTCCATCTTGTATTTTTAGCCGTTCTGACTTTCATGTCCCTTTGATGCATGCTCGTCCTTTCCTCTTTGGTACTTGTTTAGTGGTATTACAAGCAGAACTCGGGTGTTTCCATCTTGGATTTATTTTCACATTGTATTGGGTCTACAATAGAGGTAATAATCACTGAACCTAAGCCAAATATCCATAATATGTTCTATTATCACATGACCTTGCCTAGCCTAACCTTGCCATAGGGTATGAGGATCAGTCCAAAGGATATGGTATGAAGCAGCTATGGCGCGATTTATTTGCTCAATCTTGAGAACGAACGACAATCAAGCAAAGAATACCACTCTTCCATTCTAGCTATCCTGTGCGGAGCCAGACCAAAGGTAATAATACGACAAGAATGCGATATAAAACATACGGAGCGGTGGCCCTCATTGCAACCCAAAAGTACCTATCATCCAGCTCTTGAACTTTCCTCACGGAAGGGATGTGACCTCAACTATTTCTTCCAAGGGATACCTCTTGGCCCCACGTCGCCCAAGCCACAGTAAGACCAAAGGTTGAAGGACGAAGGCAAAAACCAAGACGTAACTACTGATCACCTTTCCGTACAAGAAAACAAGCGTGGAAGCATCCACACCTCTCCAGCAAGCCGCAATAGCAGGCAGCGCCAGAAGAAGGCAAACAACAGACAGGCTAAGAGCAATGTACCCTAGCCCAATACCAATCCAAAGGTGGCGCGAAATATTGCGTCGAAACCTCACCGGGTCAGGTTGAGAGGCCGCCGTCTTCCTAAGCATCCACCAATTGCGGAAAGCGTCCCTTGATATGGAGGTGTAACCCATGAACAGCCCGATAGCAGCACCAAGCAGAACGAACCCAATGTTACCCGCTAATTCAGGTGAGATGCCAGTGAACATTCCGAGGTATCCATGTTCTGGCACCGTGTCACGGCAAGTATACAAGGTATCGTTCGTCTTCATCGCGATATGCTCGATAGTCATGTTGGGGTTGGCGACTTCGTCTCGCTTGTGCATGGGAATGATGAAGTGACGCCAGGGGATCTTGGGGAAGCCGCCTATTGGCCAGCCAGCTTGCTCGAGGTCGGAATCGCCGAAGGGGAGACGGGATATGATCTCTACGTCTCCGACCCAGATCTCGTTGATGGCGTTGCCTTGGTCGTAGAAATGGTCTGATTTTACGCCGCGGACTGCGGAGACTTTGTTGCCCATTTGGGGCTTGAGGGGGTTGGAGGATGTTATGTGATAACAGGAGGTTGTTTTGATGGTTCTTGATAGAGTGATAGTGTGACTTGAGGGTACACACCGGGTATCAGGCTATGAGGAAGACAATGAGTGAATGGAAAGGGCGATGGTTATCTGGGGCTCTGAAGATATGCTTCGGGTGCCACTCGATGAGGCTTGGAAGGAACGTTCCATGGTGGAAGGAAGGTTTGGTGGAAAGAGCTCTGGTAAAGTGGTCATACTGGCATCATTTGCAAGATATACTTTGATTGGGCATCTAACACACAGCTGGGAGCTAAACCATGACCATATCCCAGCTAACAGCTTGCAGGTAAACAAGAGACCAGAGGGTGCAACCCGGATGCCGATGATTGTCAGCAACTCGTCCTGTTTAGGTAGTGGTAATTCACCAGGATACTCCTAAATTAATTTGAGCGAGCATAATGCATAGAACATATTCCCATTTTTCCCATAAATCATAATGCTGGAAGAACAGTCAAATATCGATATGACCCCGAAAAACATGAAGCCGCTCTCAACTTAAACAGTTCCAGCAGCAAGCACATAACCACCATCAACAACGATAGTCTGCCCATTCAGATACTGGTTACAAGCAGTGAACAGCACAGCACTAGCCATATCTTCATCCTTTCCAGGCCTCGAAGCAGGAACCTTCTCACGATACTTCTCAGCCGGAATGAAACTCTTCTGTCCCTCATCACTCTCCCCAGTAGTCATCTCACTAGGGAAAACGCCCGGCGCAATATTATTAACCCGCACACGCAGGTTAGAAGTATATATCTCATGCGCCAGCATCTTATTCAAATGAATCGCCGCCGCCTTGGAGGCATTGTAGGCAAAGTGATGCTGGGAGACCTTCACAATACCCGAGATAGAAGTAGTATTAATCACAGTGCTGGACCAGCCCTGTTCACGCTCCGAGCCTTTCTGCAGAAGCGGCAGGAAAGCAGCTGTCATGAAGAAGATCTGCGAGACATTGGTGCGATAGACGGAGTCCCATTCCTCGAAGGTGGCGGCTGGGTCGTCGAAGAGGTTCTCGCGGAGCTTGGTTGGGTCTTCGGGTTCGACTTCTTGGGTGTTACCGGAGATGCCGGCGTTGTTCATGAGGATGGAGAGGTAGCCTTCGCGGGTGGAGATCTCGTCGACGAGCTTGCGGATCTCCTCTTTGTTGGTTACGTCGGCTACGATGGGGATGATTTTGCCTGGGATGGGGTTTTCGGCGCTGTCATAGAGGGCGGAGACGCGTTCAAGCTTCTTTGCGGTTCGGCCAGTTACGTAGACTTTGGCACCGTTGACGGCGAGAGCTTGCGCGGCCATTAGGCCGATGCCTGAGCCGCCGCCGGTGATTAGGGCGACTGTGATTTGTTAGAATGGTTGTTGTCGGTGGGGTGGTTAGGGGGATTTTGAACTCACCTTTGTCCTTGACACTGAAGAGGTTCTCCAGCTTGAAGCGCTGGTTACTCTCTTGGGCAGCCATCTTGGTCTTTTTGGAGATGGGGGATTGTTGGTTGGGATAGTTTGTAAATTGACGTAAGGGTTGAAGAGGAGTGAGCTTGGGCACTCGGAGTGAGGAAGTTAACGTAAATGTGGTGTACTTGGGAAGTGTCTGGGGGAGGTGTCGAGTGGGAAGATGAAATCGCGGCATGTCTGCTTGAGTTACCAATTTATAGACAATTGGACAAGCAGATGCGTGGAACAAGTCATGGGTTATTTGACGATAGCGTGACAAACGCCCAAACCTGTTCGATGGAGTAGTTTGCCTGGTTTTGTCTGCTCACTCTGCATCATTTGTAGGTCATTCTTCCATTGCTGCCACGATCCAATCAATTCCTTCAATGTCTAGTTGCTACGGTTAAATCCTGGCTTAAGCCGGTTCTAATGCATCATCCAGGAAAGTCTGATATGTTGAGGTTCTCCATTGGTTGTCTTGGTAACATACTGTACTGCGTAGGTGCGCATAGTATCAGAATGACGTCAATCATCATCTATATGTTCAAACGCGAATGCTTCAAAGGAGAGGTCGGATTTAAGATTATGCTTTCCGACTTGGATCTTGTCGGGCCCGGATTTATTTATACCCCTTCCAATTAAAGTTATGCAAGCGCACGTGATAGGTTACGGACTCGTCCGGGAATAGTATTTCCCGCCGCAGCTCCTGAGACTCCTCGCGCCTATGTTTACTACACGACGAGCATACTCTGTTCTTGAATCATCTCATGCATGTACACAGTCATATTATGTCCAAGATACTTATTACTTGTTCATATGCAGACGCGTAATCTTCTCAATTCTCTGCGAGCTCGTCTTCCAAGCCTGCGGACGGTGAGCACACAAGCGACAGGAGGTATTACTACGAAATCCGTCAATTCAGATAAACATCACAACGATGAGCAGCATGAGCTATTCCGGTATACATCCGGAAGATGGATGTACGTCTTCGTTTTGGTTGGATAATTCTAGCAAGCTGATGAACTTTGAGTTTCAATGAACATTTACGCTTATCGGAACGCCAATTAGAGTTCGATGTCTCTGCGCTAAGAAGCATCGTTGCCAGTTCATCTGGCCAAGCAATAACCGACATTGTTGACTTTTCTAAATTATCGGAGGGCGGATACAACCGTGTGTTCCAGGCACGTTTCAAGGACGGACAATGTGTCATCGCGAGATTACCCTATCCGTCCACTACACCTGAGCATTACGCCGTGGCCAGCGAAGTGGCAACGCTGGATTATCTGCGGTTACATGGGATTCGTACGCCCAAAGTGTATGCATGGTGCTCGACGAAATCAAACACGGTTGGCTCTGAGTACATTATCATGGAAAAGCTCGACGGCATTCCTCTTGGTGAAATATGGTACTCAATGACGCCAAAAGAACAACACGGCATGATGAAGCAGATTGTCCATTGGGAGGCGCAGCTGATGTCTTTGAGCTTTCCTGCGTATGGGAGTATCTACTATCGCAAGGATCTCACGTCGGAGAAAAAGATTTCTCTACCAGGGCAGCATGACGAGTTCTGCATGGGACCAATTGCGCATTATAGTTGGTGGCACGATAGAAGGAATGTCTTGGATGTTGACGCGGTCCATGTAAGTGGTTGCTTCTGAGCCTCCTTGCCGATATTTTACTGACTGCCAGGAGGGCTGCCATCTACTGAGATATTTCGAGCTGTTGGTGAACGAGAGTTGTCTTGGACGAAGCTTTACGCGAAACCCCGCCTACCCTACGAACGTCTCTACAGGGAAATCTATAAGTTTCGCAAAGTCTCGCCTGATACCCACATCCGAAATCTCTTGGATTATCTGAGGTTAGCACCTTTTCTCGGATTTGGTGCTGGAACAGCACTTCATCGACCGGTCATACGACACCCCGATTTCCAACCGAACAATATTCTTGTGTCCAACTCGAACGAAATTGTCGGTTTTATTGATTGGCAACATTCTTCCATTCTCCCTCTAGGTCTTGCAGCTGGAATTCCGCAGCATTTCCAGAATTACGGTGATCCTCTTTCGGACGAGCTTAGACAGCCCCCGTTAGAGCTTCCATCGAATTTTGACTCTTTAAGTCCTTCCGAACAAGCATCAGTACGTTTGACTCATCACAAGAGGTTGGTTCATTTCTTCTATGCCGCTTTTACTATGCGGTTAAATGAAGTGCATTATGATGCTATATTCGATAACTCTGCTATACTACGTCAAGGACTCTTCAAGAGCGCGGGTACTCCATGGGAAGGGGACTCAATTACACTCAAGACAGATATGATTCGCGCCATACAAAGCTGGGGAGATGTGATTGCGTCTGGCTCTGTGCAACCTAACGGAGGGGCACCATCTTCGCCCCCAATTCAATATTCAGACGAAGTTGTGCGAGAGACCCTGGATTTACACTCTCAACAAGAAGAAGCTGATATTGCGATGGAGCAAATGCGTCATGCTTTGGACGTCGACGTAATGGGTTGGGTGTCGAACAGTGAATATGAAGCTGCGAAGGAATTGGCTGGGGAATTGAAAGCCAGAATGCTCGAAGCTGCTGAGACTGCTGAGGATATTACTGGAGTTCGTGACCATTTCCCTTTTGATGACTTTGATGAGAGCGTTTCACCGTGATAGGACGCCATGCTGGAAATGTAGACCTGCAGCTTTCGATGTTGACATTAAGCTTAAAATGTGGGGATAAGCCATAGATCTAGCCAGATCGGGTGCATCTCCGGTTGTACCAATCACGTTCTAGATATGGATCCCGGATGATACCCGCAACCTACTACGCAGCGTATGTAGTCTTGAACCCGCCAGGTGAATGAAGGAAGGTTCACGCGCTTTACGATGCATCGGGGATTGTAGCGTGTACTCTAATGAATTGTTACAACGATAAATAATTGAAAGTGCAAAAGTGCAAAAGTGCTGGATTCCTGTCAGCCCGCCCATATTTTGAGATACCGTGTGTACATCAATTGTTGCAACCTGGTCTGACGATCGTTAAATGCTGGGACGTTATGAAGCACGACGATCAGTATGAATACCTTGCGTGCCGAGTCCACCGATTAATCCTTATACCGACCCTCGTGCCTCATAAGTTATAACCTCCCAGTACTTAACGACCTCAGACCAGGTTCCAACAAACGATGCATGGTCGCCACGCTGTTTGACATCCCACCAAAGCATGACTTGCATAACTAGGTTCACCCATACTTGCTTCAGGTACCATTGTCCGATTTTGCTAGATCGATTGAAATCTAGTATCTTTGTGGGCCAGATGGAAGAAGACGATGTTGAACTTCGTGACATCGGAGGTTATGTTGAAGTAGTCGAACAAGTCTTCGGTGCTGTGCATATTCGCGAGTGGCGTATCCTTCGTGAGGAGTATTCAATCTCGTAACTGATTTGTGCCTATAGATGTATTGATTAGATTAGTCGATGTGCGCAGTCCCTGAACTTTGCGTGCTTTTCAGTGGCTGAGTTTCGATTGGCCTGTTGACCATGACTCCTGAGGTCCACATCCAGGCACTGCACAGAAGGTCAGATGCACGTGAGGAGTCGTGTAGCACAAGGGGTGTCCAGCTGATGTCGAAGGATGTTCAGAACAAATCAAGAAAAGATGAAGAGCACCCACGGCGAGATAGAGAGAATGCAGAATGTCGACAGTTCATCTCGACCGTTCATCTCGACCGTTCATCTCGACATGAAGCAAGATGAAGCAAGATGAAGCAAGATGAACGAAGATGAACGGTCGAGATGAATGGTCGAGATGAATGGTCGAGATGAACCAGGATGAACAGTCGACATGAATTGTCGAGATGAACGAGGATGAACGAGGATGAAGATGAACGACGATGAACGACGATGAACGAAGATGAACGGTCGAGATGAACGGTCGAGATGAACGGTCCAGATGAACGGTCCAGATGAACGGTCGCTTGGTTCATCTTGGTTCATCTTGGTTCATCTTGGTTCATCTTGGTTCATCTTGACCGTTCATCTTGACCTTTCATGTTGACCTTTTATCTGGACCGTTCATGTGGATGAGAAGGGAAGTGGATGAAGAAGGGAAGTGGGTTTTCAAGAGTAAGAGATTCAAACTGATCGATGTACTCCGTAGTGTCAGGTGAGACGTCCATGATCCCACTAATCCTGGAAGGTGCGTACACACATAGGCGCCAACCGCATATATCAGGTGACATGATTGAAAGGTAAAATATGTGCGAGCGCTAGGCAACCTTTCGTCGCTGGAAATTACGGAAAGTCGGGCCTTCTATGGCCTCAGTTGCTGTCATTCATGCGTCGATGTCACAGGTCCTTATATTCTAGTAGTAATGATATGATATTTACTATGGAAGACGATAAAAATATGCACTTTCCAGACAGAGACATATTCACAGCTTGGACTTGGTAGGAAGTGCCTCACTGACAGGGACGACCTCAACCATCATCTTGCCGGTGTTGGCACCAGCATAGAGATCTATAAGACCCTGAGGCGCAGCCTCCAAGCCACCGGGCACGATGTGCTCCTTGCGCTTGAGCTTACCCTCGGCCAACCAGGAGCCCAGCTCCTTCAATGCAGTCGGGTACTGCTTCGCGAAATCGAAGACAATGAAGCCTTTCAGCGTGATGCGTTGCGACTGTCCCCAGTTAGCCATAAGTTCCCGACAATCCACCACTCCGAAGAATACTCACAATCACATTCATAAAGCTAGCCGGACCTTGCGGCTTAGCAGAGTTATACTGACTGATAGCACCGCAAATAGCAAAGCGCGAGTCCTTCGCCGCCCTGGCCAAACAAGCATCAAGAATCTCACCACCGGTATTATCAAAGTAAACATCAATATACTCCGGCGTAGCCTCCTTAAGCTGCTTCCTCCAATCGGCATCCTTATAGTTGACAGCCGCATCAAAGCCCAGCTCCTTCACCAAGAAATCACACTTCTCCTTACTCCCTGCAAGTCCGACAACCCGCTTAGCACCCTTGATCTTCGCAATCTGGCCTGCGACCATCCCCGTTGCTCCAGCAGCACCAGACACAACCACTGTGTCACCCTTCTTCGGCTGTCCGATCTCCACCATACCAAAGTAGGCCGTCAGACCCGTCATGCCGAGCACGGACATGGCGTCCGTGGGCCGTCCGCCAGGTGGAACGATCACCTTGTCCGCCTCCTTGGCGCCGACCAGGGCATACTGCTGCCAGCCAGAGTAGGCGACGACCCAGTCGCCGGCGCTGTACTTGGACGTCAGACCGCTGCCGACGGAGATGACCTGTGCGATGCTCTGTCCCCGCATCACGGCACCGATCTCGACGGGCGCGATGTAGGAGCGCTTGGCGGTTAGCCATTGACGCATTGCTGGGTCGAGAGAGAGGTAGTGCACGCGCACGAGCAGTTTGTCTGCTGGCACATCCTTGGGGATGGGAGTGGTGTTCACGCGGAAGGTGCCATTGGTGAGTGAGGGGTTGATAGCCGGGCTGGGCGCCGTAGTGTAGATAATTTGCTTGTTGGACATTTTGGGTGGTTATTCTGCAATAGAGGCTGAATAGGAAGAAGGATTCGAGAGGAGAAAGAGGAGATAAATATTGCCGATGAAAAGTACTCTGGGGTATGATCGGGGACTATCCAAATTAGGCAAACAGCTCCTTGTGCCTCGGCCCCCGGTCGGTTCAAAAATTAATAAGCTTCATCCATCCAGATACATTATTAATCGACATAAAAGATGTTCGTTTTATGCATCTTCGGAGTACAAGATATCTCGTACTGGAGATCAATCGATGGCGAATACAATAAGTACGTGGTACAGTACTGTGTAATTCGCCTACTCCGTAGTCTGCGGCGTGCGCTCATCGTGACGTCATTCGCGCGACCGAATGTATATAACCAGAACCAGCACAAATATTGCTGCGATTGAACACATCAATATTTCTATCAGCAGTATATATATATTGCATACCTATCACAATAATGGCTGCCAACTACCAACATAACGAACAATCCCAACGAGCAGGCTATGCCAACATCGGCGCCGCTTCCTCGACCGGCGCACCCGGACACCCAACAGGACTCCAGGATACACGATCAACCTACGACGCCTCCAAGGGTGTAAACCCAGCCACAGGGGCCGCCTACTCAAAATCATCAGGGGGTGGACCTACGCAGACACATCAGCGCCCGCTCTCGCCATCGCCGGCTCGCAGCGATGATCGGATCATCGGGGATGCACCACTCCCGCACACGGCCAGCACGGCGCAGCGGGCTGAGATGCAAGATCGCCAGGCTTCCGGGTCGAAGGCTTCGCAGGTTGGTGAGGGTGTCGGCAAGGGTGTGATGGGAGCTGCGGCTTCGGTTCATGTGAGTTGATCCAGTTCTAAATGACTATTGAGTCACGGGTGTCAATGGGTTCTAATCGGTTGGTTAGGGTGCTGGAGAGTCGTTGCGAGGCGCATTGAATACTGCGGTTGATAGGGCTTTTGGATCAAATGAGGGCGCTGAGCGGAATCAACAGATTGCGGATAAGGGTGCGGAGGAGATTCGCTCTGGTCAGTTTGCGGGTCATCGTTAGCTTGTATGATTAGGGATTAAGGTATATGGTGAGACATGTAAGTAAATTGAATGAAGATAAGGGTTTTTAAGGGTTTTCATGTGATATTCAGGATCCAGAATGTTCTAGTCAATTTTAGTCTTGCAAGTGCCTAACCTTATTTACCCTTCGCTGTCACCAATATGGATTATCGCATAGAATATCATGGAGTGATAGTCTGGCAGGGGATCGATATCCTGATTTCAATGGTGATTGGTGAGCGTTAGAAAAACAGTCTACAGCACCCAACGAATAAACAAACACCGCTAAGCATTGCCCAGACAAGCCAAGCAATTAGAGCTGATCTATTGACTATCAAACAAATTTATCATCCGGGCCACCCGAGAAGGCTGTGCTGGGTGGAACCCGCCCCCGTTTCCGGCCATTTATTGAGCGGATGCCCGCAAATCCGAGGGAAGCGGAATAAAAAACACTTCTTCACCAAGTATACATACAAATCTTGTACAGATTGACAGGGGAAAACCTGCTTACAATCTTGCATTGCTTGCGTCGATCCACATTTGCATCATAATACATGAAGTCCATCCAATCTTGGAGTTTGCGGGATCGCGATAGTTGCACATTGTACGACTTCATGCTGTGACCAATTCCAGAGCTCTCTCTTTTCTGGAACTTCCTCGGCATAATTGTTATGGCTTCAATTCCCGCCGATCGGCCAGCTTCGTCGCGACTAGGACCCGAGGCCGCCGCAGCAGCCGCTATTTCAACACCCCAGAGCCGTCAGCCGTTGTATACCTCCGATACATCCTCGAACCTGATCGTCTCGGATTCGCCCTCTCACTACTCGTCCTTCTCCAGCTCCGATAGCGATGAACCAATACCACACTCGATCGAAGTCACCGATGAAGATGCCGCCGGCGACGTGGTGGGGGTCAGTATTGGCCGCGAGCAGAGCCGCATGAAAGCTCGCGCGACACCCTTGGAAGAGAAGACCCGGGCGCTGGAACATCATGGCGGCTATTTTGCGACGATACCGGATACCGTGGGCGAGGATGGTTTGTTTGCGTCGGAACTCACTGCGGAGCCTCAATCGTTGGCTGTGCCTGAGTTGGAAGAGACGAATGTTGGAAAAGCACCGCATGAACGAGGATCCAAACCTAAGCCTCAGACTACAGCCCCTTCGGTGCGGCAGACACCACCCAAGCAATGGCTTTCACATGCCCCCCGCAGCGATCTCTTCGCTGCAACTCCCGGGAAGCCTGGGCCCAAAGATACGGCTGTCAGCCAGCGGTCTGGGTTTGTCGGAGCTTTGTTGAAGAATACACTGCCTCGCCGGCCACGCGCATGGTCCGGCGAACTCAAAAAGTTCCTACCTGACCTAGCCTCTCTGAAGAAACGACCGTCGCTCTCCTCGTTCCGAGGCGCCAACGGCCAAAACCGAAACCGCAGTCAAACGGCCGCTCCCGCAGTTAAGCCCAACCTGGGGTTGCCGAAAAGAACTGCATCGCTAGGTCGGCGTCCACCAGCGTCACCTCCCTCACCGAGCAGCATAAGCATTGAAGATGACGCAGAAGCCGCCCAACCAATATCTGAACTGCGTTCACCAGATGGGACCTCGGCTGCGAAGCATTCTTTCGCAAGGAGGCCTAGTACGGCGATAGCAGGTCGCCCACCCAGTCTCCGGAGGTCCTCCTCGGATCAATCGCTGTATCTCCGTGCCTCGTCCACAGCATCATCCTTGGAGCAGCGGCCGCTATACGAGAACATACACTCTCAAGTGAATAGTCGGTTCAAGGCGATCAAAGATAGTCTACAAGACTCTAGCAGCAGGCTGCTTAGCAAACCGACTCTCCACCTGGATATCCGTCCTGATTGGGGCTCTCGTTCGTTCTTGCCGGACATGGGCAACGGCCCCGCGAGTAACGGCAACGGTCTTAAGGGAATCGAGAACGGGGAAATACCACGGCAGGCTACTAGCACACCTCCGCTTCCCCGCATGAATAGCAAGCCATTGCACCCAATTCTGGAAGCAGCAATGGCAGATCTCACGGGTGATGTAGTGATCCTAGGAGGCTATCGAGGCTCGATTCTGCGCTCCGCCAAACCACCTCATCGTCAACTTTGGGTGCCGATGAAGGTTGGCTTGAACCTGCGCAAAGTCGACTTGGAAGTCGGTCTGAACCCAGAAGACGAGGAACGTATGGAAGAGACCATCATTCCATCTGGAGTCCTCTCCCACGTTGGTCCCGTGGACGTCTGCCGACGATTGATGAAGCGACTGCGCAAGAGCGAAAACGCCATGCGTGGCGACCTGCGCGTCCACGACTACGGATATGACTGGCGACTCAGCCCTGAGCTGCTCTCTCGTCGGCTCATCGCCTTCTTAGAAAGTCTGCGTTGCAACCAGGAGTATGCACCGGGTGAGCCCGGACGCGGCGCCACGGTCATCGCACACAGCCTCGGCGGGCTGATAACACGCCATGCCGTGAACGAGCGACCCGACCTATTCGCCGGTGTTGTATACGCAGGCGTACCACAGCACTGCGTGAACATCCTCGGACCCCTCCGCAACGGCGACGACGTCCTCATCAGCTCGCGCGTGCTAACAGCCCAAGTAAACTTCACATTCCGCACGAGCTTCGCCCTCCTCCCCGAAGACGGCCACTGCTTCATCGACAAGACAAGCAAGAAAGAATTCCGCATCGACTTCTTCGACCCCAAAACCTGGGACGACCACTCTCTCTCCCCCTGCATCAGCCCCGCCCTCCCAGTCCCACCAGCAATAATCAGCAGCGTCAGCAGTCTCGGTCTCAAAGACCTCCCTCTAATCGGCAAGCGCTTCTCCATGAACCTGCGCGACGACACTGAAGACCCTCTCACAGAAAACCAAAACTACCCTCTCCCCCCAGACACCCATAACTCCGTAACCGGAACAACAAAGGACATCACCGCCAGAAACCCATCCCATACCTCCCCGCACAACCCAGCCACCCACATGGCCGAAAAGGCCAACCCGGCAGATGGTATCATCGGCCCAGGCACGAACCCACGCAGCAGCGCCGCAAGCAAAGCTGCAACAACAAGCACCATCCCGCGCCCCGCAGCAATGGCCTACCTACAGCGCACGCTAGCCGAGACAAAACGCTTCAAAGCCAACCTCGCTTTCCGGCCCGACCATCACAGCGAAAATAGGTACCCGCCTGCGGCGGTGCTGTACGGCAAGACTGTGCCGACTGTGTATGGGGCAAGAGTTGTGTCGCCCGAGGCTATTAAGCAGGTTGATGCTTATGATGATCTGGCTTTTGCGGCGGGGGATGGGGTTTGTCTTGCTTCGGCTGCTATGCTACCGCCTGGGTATCGGATTATCAAGGATGGGCTGGTGAAGACGGACCGCGGGCATGTTGGGTTGCTGGGGGATCTTGAGGGGGTGGGACAGTGTCTGAGGGCTTTGCAGAGGGGGAGGAAGGAGGGTGTTGGGTTGGGGGTGAAGAAGTTGTGATGATTTCTTGTGTTTGGTTCTGTTTTGCTTGAGCTTTGATGATACCACTTTTGCTTTGCGTTGATGAATTTACATATGGCATGTTGATATCTATATCCAGGATGTGGCTATTATATACTAGGTGCATTTGACTTCGGTATTAGTATATTGCATGAAAACGAATATTACTCTCCAAGGTACCTGCATACACGCTTCTATGCTTATTGGCCCTGTACCATCCATTCATTCTATGTAGTTGCTTTTCATCCTCGAAGTCCAAAACCATCAGAACAAAAGAGGCTATCTCAATAAGACCAAAAGAAGAAAGGAAAACCTGGAATATCCGGAAGTCCATGGAAGACGGTATATAAAGAAGAGAAATGCTATAAAACCCCCAAAAACAAACCAAATCATTGTCATCAAATCTTTAATCCGTACGCGAGTTGGCAATAGTCATGACCAAGATATCAGTAGCGCCAACCTTGCTCAACTCATCCATTACCGTAGCAATGCGCTTCTTCTCCACCATAGAACTAACAGCAACCCAGTTCTCCTCCTCGAGCGCGGTGATAGTAGGCGCGCGCTTGCCGGGGGTGATCTTCGACGCGACGGGCAGCTGCGCGCGCGGGATGTTGTATTGGCACAGGACGAATTTCTGGGCGGTGATGACACCGCGCAGGCGGGAGGTAAGGAGGTTGAGGATGTCGCTGTTGGATTCACGGGACTTGACCAGTACCGCGGTACTGGAGACGACGGTGTCGATAGCTTTTAGGCCGGCTGCCTTCATGGTCTCGCCGGACTCTAAGCGGAAAAGAAAAGGCAGACATTAGCAAACAGTTTCGAACGGTTTCGAACAGGGCAGATTTTCTCCTGTTTCTGTAAGTGTAACATACCAACAAGATCGACAATACCGTCCGCAACGCCGAGCGCACAAGCAGCCTCCACACTGCCACCAACATACTTGATCTTAGTGGCGAGCTTCTGGCCAGCCTCGGCGCCCTCCAGCTTGCGGAAGAACGCCTCAGTAAGAGCGGTGAAGCTAGTCACAACGTTACGGCCAACGAGGTCCTTGGCTTCTTTCAGCTCGCCCTTCTCGGGAACCTGCACCTGCAGCTTGCAGCCGCCAAAGCCGAGATCGAGGATCTCCTCCACGTTGGACGCCTCGCCGGCGGATAGGGTGGCATCGTGCTCGGCGACCTGGTCGCGCCCGGTAATGCCCAGGTCGACGCGGCCCTCGCCGACGAAGGTCGGGATGTCGGCGGCGGGCAGGAAGATCAGAGCGATGGGCAGGTTCTTGACGAGGGCGATGTCGAGGCGGGTTTCGCGGCGGAACTGGACGTCACAGCCGGCGAGGAGGTCTAGGGTTGCTTGTTGCAGACGTCCTTCTGTATAGTTGGATTTGCGCCGTTAGTTTTGTGAGGTCTATAGCTTGGTTTCTTGTTTCTTGTTTGGGGTTTATGGTGCTGCAAGCAGGATTGTATGAGTCACCGCTGTGGGAGGGAACTTGCTTTTGGGGACGGCGAAGAGAAGGCGGCCTTCCAAGCTGTTAAGAAGTTGATTGTTAGTGGACGCTTCGTTGTAGACAATGTTATTGGCATTGACTCACTGGTTGACGAGATCCATGGTGATAAGGCGCGGCGGCGCGGGGCTTCACGGGTTTTCGGAGGCGGGGGATAGAGTGATCGGGGATCAATTGACTGCGAAATTGAGTCAATCGCACTTCAGAGAGCGTGGATATGTCTTAAGGTAAATATACCAAAGCAAATTGTATGCGGAAGAGTCAGAGAGAGAGGACCGTCTTGCGGCAGAAAATGGAGGGGCAGTCGGGCAGATCGGTTCGGTGAAATTAGTGACGAGACCGGGGGAATGCCGTACCTGGATAGCAAGCAATTAGCCCACGTGCTGGGATTATGTGGTTTAGGACTATCTGGAGTATTTACAGAATACGTTGCAGAGGCTACGATGTGCTTCAAGCTCGATTCAATATGGCAATTGTCTGTGAAGCTGGAAGTATTCCATGGTCATGGTGAACGATATCGGAGTCTGAGAAAAATATGTTCTGCCTGAATATGCCTTAATGCCAGATTCACCAGGTGTCAAGTTTGCCAAGCGCTGACTCATCTTATGCCTGACGGCTCAGGTGTCCAGCCCTGAGCCCTCGCGTAATTTGCACGAACCCACACAAGGCAAATTCCACTTCAACACTCTCTTACTCTCCGTCCAACCAACTCCAACCCTCGAGCTCAACGCCCTCTCCTTCCGTTCAAGATGGATTCCAGCAAGCAGCCCGTTAAGCTCGTCAAGGTGACCCGTGTCCTCGGCCGCACCGGTATGTGCTTTTTCCCAGCTTCTTGAAGCTTCAAAAACCCACAATTCGATATTCGATATTCGCGGGGTGCAACCCTTTGCGCCCCATCGCCCGCCACAAACCGATGAAAAATTCAGGCACTTGGAGGAATAGCAATGGCTAATTGTTGGTCTTTAGGATCCCGTGGTGGTGTCACCCAGGTCCGCGTCGAGTTCATGGACGATACCTCCCGCAGCATCATCCGCAACGTCAAGGGCCCAGGTATGCGATATTGATTCCCTTCAATCCGGTCGTCTTTGGGGTTACAAGAGGAGGAAATGCATGGATTGTTTTATTCATGCAATGAAATGAAGAGAAACCCCATGTCGAAATATTGAATTTTGTGGATCGACCCAAAAACGAAAAAATCCACACGAACCAAATCGCTAACATATAACTTTCCGCACCAGTCCGCGTTGACGACATCCTCTGCTTGCTCGAGTCCGAGCGCGAGGCCCGCCGTCTCCGTTAAACCCCCCCCAAAACGAAATTTCGCTCGCGTCGTCTATTTTGTCTCTCTTCTTCTCTCGCATATCCCTTACGACCGGTTGTTCATGATCACTCTTCGGCCAAAATCGAGTCCCCCGTTTTTCTTTCCTGCCGTACCTTCAACCTCCTATCTTCTACAGCCCTAAACCGCGCTGCCCAATCATCCCCGCCAATCGACTCTCGAGGGTTCCCGTTCTCACGAATTCCCAACGTTTCAACTGGAAGTGATGGTTTGGGTGGATTGACTTCTTGGTTTTTTATACTTAATGCCGAAAGTCCCGGAAGGTTGATTGCGGACAATCGATCGTGAGAGAGAGGAGCAGAGTGCAAAAAAAGATAATAGAAAGCCTTTTTTTTATTTGATACGAGAAAACGAAATCAGGTTCTTGCGCGAGGGCTGGTTTGTGGATACTTGTGGCACGGTCTGGTCTGGTCTTGATCTTGGTGTTTTACTACATACACATGTCCCTTTTGGGCATGCTTGCATGGGCTCAATGCGACAAACGAGGTTGTGATGTTGATTCTCCGATTTCCTTGTACCAGCTCTCTCTCCACCGGTGCTTAGAAAAGAACGCCAATTCGAGCCAGGCCTGATCGACAAAAGGAACAATGGAATCAAAAAAAAGTTTGAAAACTTCCAGTCCAGCCTTGTCCGGGTCGAGGTTTTGAAGGCGTTCGTAGACATCTAAGCCGCATCTAAGCCAGTGTAGTTATGGACATGGCTTCTAGATCGTAATATGGCGGCTTATCCTCTGTTGGGTTCGTGATGATCGCCATGCATCAAGTGGTATTGATATCTAAGATCTAAGATCGCGCTAAACTCATACATAATTGTACAACCGAAAATGTCCACATAACTACAGCTGCTCCGCACTCGCCATGAGTCTATCCAAGAGCCCATCATCAGCACCAGACTCACCATCCTGAAGAACCCTCCCAACAGCCCCGACAAGCCCAGCCAACCGCTTCCGCCTTATAGACTCCTCCAACTCCGCACTCTTCAGCCTCGCCACATCAATAACAGCCGCCGGCAAGTTCGCCAGCCGTGCAACATTCAACCCATAACTGCGATGCGCAACGCCCTCGGTAACCTCATACAAGAACGTAATCTCCTCATCCCCAGCCTCACCCTTACCAGTCTCCGTAAACCGCATATGAACATTGCGAAGCACATGATCTGGGAAAGAACGCACCATGCGCGAGAGATGCTGATAATGCGTAATGAACAGGGTAAGGGACTGAATCGAGCGAACCATGTAATCCAGCACGGCCTGCGCAATAGCAACACCATCATGGGTGGAAGTGCCGCGGCCCAATTCGTCGAGAATAACCAACGAGCGAGGCGTGGCTTGCTTGAGGATATCGGCTGTTTCGGAGAGCTCGACCATGAAGGTTGATTCGCCGGCGAGCATGTTATCGAAGGCGCCCATGCGCGTGAAGACTGCGTCTAGGAGACCTAGACGTGCGGAGAGGGCGGGGACGTAGGAGCCGATTTGGCCCATGATTGCGATTAGGGCGACTTGGCGGACGTAGCTGGATTTGCCGCCCATGTTTGGGCCGGTGACGAGGAGGGCGCGGGTGGCGTCGTGGTGGAGGTTTGTGTCGTTGGGGACGTAGGTGTCTGTGAGGAGTTGCTCGACCATTGGGTGGCGGCCTTGTTCGATGTGGAGGCCTGCTTCGTCTGTGTATTCTGGTTTCACGTAGCCGGGTTGCTGGGCTATTTCTGCGAGAGAGAGGAGGCAGTCGAGGGTTGCGAGGGATTGGACGCAGTCTCGGAAGGTCTGGTATTGGGCTGCGATGTCGGATAGGAGGGCTGCGAATGCTTGGTCGCAGGCTGCTGCAAGGGCTTCTTTGTGTTGGTCGCGTTCTCGGGTGAATTGGATGACTTGTGGTGTGTGGAAGCGGGAGACTCTTTTTGTGCCGCTGACTTTGACCCATGATGCTGGTACGCGCTTGAGTGCTGGGGAGTTGTTTTCAATCTCGATCAGGTACTCGATGCCGGATACTGTTGAGTATTCGACTTTGCCTCGCCCTATAGTTGACGCTGCCTCTTTGCGGTGTTCTGAGAGGGAGTGCTCAATGATTCCGATTTGGAGCTTATGTTCGCCGATTTCCTCGGTCTCCTCTGCTTCGCGGAAGAAGGTGTACTTGTCGTTAGTTCGTGCGGCGTGCAAATTGATCTTGTCCAGGAACTTCACAACCGTTGCTCGGATCGTTGGCAGAGAAGCAATAGCCTCGCTAATCAGCGATGATTGGAAGCCAGTCTGGGCAGGCGATATGATATCTGCAAATTCCATTGCGATCGTCTGCATTGCTTGCAGGACGGTGAGAAGCTCAGGTCGTGTGCACTACGCAGCATTAGTACAGTGATACCGATCATGTTAGGATAGTTGTCTACCTTTCCATAGTAAATGCGAATCAAGCTCTTCTCCAGGTCACTCTTGACTTTACCAAGCAGTCCTCTTACTCTCTCCGTCAGAACCGCTCGTGCAGGATCAGTAAGCTCCTCCACAGCGTTCGTTCGCTCTTCGAGGCGCACTTTATCCAGCAAAGGCCGTCCAACCCATTGCCGTAACATCCGTTGTCCGAACCGTGTCTGCGTCCGATCCATAGTCCAGAACAGACTACCCCTTGTCGAGTGATCCGTCTGATTTTGATAAATCTCCAAACTGACCAACGTGTTTCCGTTCAAAAGCATATGCGAACGAGCCGAGAAGGGCTGGAAGTATTTCGTAAGGTCGAACACATGCTCCAGCCCATATTCGGTCATATGGTCGATCATAGCCGACAGACAGATAGTCACCTGCTCCGGCAGGCCAAGGACGTTCTGAAGCAGTCTCGCAGCCTGAGTATCCTCCTCATAACCAGTGGCCTTCATCTTTCCCGCATAGAACTCCGTTACATGGCTGTGGGCCTCAGCGGCAGATGTCTTCTTTTTCTGGGCCCGTTCGAGGCGCACAGCATCGCCAAATACGTTCATCTTGCTTCCTGATAAATGTTGCACGAGCTTTTCACTGGCCCGAGACATCTCCCCGACAATCAAAATCTCGCAGGGAGCAATGTGCAATAGTCGAGTTTCGATCTCACTACGCATGAAGCCATCCTCGAAGTCATCGTAGATGACATCACCGGTAGCAGGCTGCACAGCAACAATTCCCACATGGACGCGCTCATCATTCCCAGGGCCCTTGGCATTGGTCTCCGTCATACAGAGCATGTACCCAGTGGCAGGCGAGGCGCCTCCCGCTGCCGGAGCAGGGCCATCAAGACCTTCCGCGTCATCAATGTAGGTTCCTTTTGTGTATAGGTTGGTCAATTTGCGCACAAATGGCGCATTGCGGTTATCACCCGCAGCCTTAAGCGCAGCGGTCTCAATCTGTCGCACCACGCCGACCTTGTGGCCGGCTGTAACGAGTCGCTTCACATGTACATGCAATCGATGCACCGGAATACTAGCTGAAGCGAACCGACTCAGATGTGCCTCAGATGGATCTAGAGGTCCTGGTTTTAGTACGTCGTCGGTAGTCCTCTCACGCAGAATGTACTTACGTTCATCAAATCTGAATTTGCCAGGAATGCACACGATTCCCAGCTCCTTCGCCGCAATGCGCGCATCCTCGCCGAAGAACCGGAACTTATATCCCACCTCTATTACCAAGACTGTGTTCATGTTCTGACGCTTGATCTCAATAACCTGTTTCTCCATGGGCGTGAGCTTGCTCCCACCCTTCTTCGCACCCTTGCCTTTAGTCGGGGGTGGTGCGAGCTCCTCGTCTTCCTCGGCCTCTACAGCTTCAGCCTCCGCGTTTGCCGCATCATTCACAGCAATTCTCGCGATTCCAACCTGGCAATCTGGACCACCGAGCTTCTGGACAAATTGCTGATGCAGTTTCTCCTTCTTGTTCTTCCGCTCTTCTTGCTCCGGATCCGTTTCCTCTGTAGGAGCTGGAGCTACAGCAGGAGAGCTCTGGAATTTGAATACATCGGTGCGCTGACTACTGCTTGGCTGAGATGTGTGCTCCAAGTGCATGCTTGCCGCGACTCGGATCGGCTCCTCCGCCTCTCTGTCGGTGGTCTTGGTTCGCTTCGGTGCTGGTGCCACGATATCGTCATCATCCCCGTCATCATGGTTTGCTCCGGGAGCATTGTGGTGTTCCGGTTCCGCGTTCTCGGCTGGCAGCGATCGCCTTTTCTTGGATCCATTGGCCGGGGTGCGTTCGGAGTCTTTAGGCGTGGACGACGGTGCAGATTTCTGGGAGAAGAAGCTGGATATGCTTGCTTGTTTCTGTTTGATACTTGGAGATGGTGCAGAGGATTGCGAAGATTGAGGTGCCATCTTGGCGAAGATTGAAACAGCTTCCACCGCAAGGTGCGGAGTGGCACTAGTATGGGACCGGGTGGTTTCGAGTCGTGATGGCAATATGCAGATTTTGCGGGTCTCAATGCAGAGAGATTTGACCTCTTCTCGTTTTGAAGAGTATCAAAGATGCTTCGATCCAAAGATCGTATGAGTTTGCACTCCGCATTTTACTCGGAGCTCGACGCGTACCAAACGCGCTGGGTTACCCTCAGACCTTATCACATGATCCAAAGTTCTGCAGGACTTTTGGGGGAGCTAAACCTAATTGGATTGCTTGTGTCTAGGGAACCTGAGGCAGCATTGCTGCAAACAGCAGGCGGTATATTGCAGATTCACCGCCTTATTGAAGGCGGTTGATGATTATGATCTTGTTTGAAGTAGAACGAAATTTGATATTGGGATATCCGCGGAGATGGAGGGGCGTCTTGTCATGGCGATAACGCTGATGAGGGTTATGGCGGGTCTCAGCCATCCATCATCCATGCTGTGTGTGTTTGGGGTATGTCAATGAAAATAGGTACCTGTTTCCATCGACGCTGCTTCGTCGGTTATATAGCGATTCATGGAAGATCGTAGGCGAACATCAGGCTGAAAGCATAGCATCGACGTAATGACCAGCATCACTACACAAACGAGGGAAACGATAACTGAGTACGACACAATTCAGCTCAAGAATGCCCATATCATAGTGACTCAACGTCTCTGTCCGTGTCGGAATGGCAAGAGGGCAGGGATACAAGATGCAACCCCTGCCTCGGACGAATCTTGTCGTGTAGATTGGATGAGCCAAACCTATGGATTACGTTGTAGATCCAGTCGGGCTGGTAAGTTGTTGCGCCTTAGGGCAATATTTTGCTCGGCACATGGACCTTACAACATGGATTCAGCAGAGAGCGATTCCTTGAATATCTGGCCAGCAAGTCTACAAAACTACCAGTAGCCAGTCAAAGTACAGATCTTACAAGGAATCCTGAAGATAAATCTTACGTTTTACAAAGAAGCAAGAAGCAAGTTCAAATGCACATTGTTCATACCGATGCAGGCTAAAGGCATGATAATAATATTCAGCATATGAAACAGCCCAAACCAGACGAGAGAGATACAAGTCGACGCCCGGGGATAATCGCCAATGAAACAAAGTAGTAAGGGCAATCAGCACGGATGCGAGTAGTTTCGTCGGGTAAGGGCAAATCGTGGTAAACCACCACGTTGGAGTTATCGTCAAATTCTCAATTTTCCAGTCTTGTCTTGCAACCATAGCGTCTTCATCCAATTCGGAGACCGGCACACATCATGTATCATCAGTTGATCCAGTAATATTCGCCCGCAAGTCAGTGCGCAGGGGTGTCCAACAAGGTCAAAAGTTTATTTCAGATCGACCATATCGGCAATATCGGCCATGTCGGTCTCGGTCATCGGGGCCGCCAGGAGATTCGTGTAGAAGAACTCTTCCTCCTCCGGAATAGTTTCCTCGGACGGGATGTTCTGGTCGGGCGACAGCCAGGAATTCTGAGCTCCGACATATTGCTCGTGATGGTTGGCATAGAGTTTCGGAGGGGCTTGCAGGGGAGCCTGCAGAGAAGCCTGCAGAGGAGCTTGCATAGGATTTTGCATAGGACTTTGCATAGGAACTTGCACCAGAGGGTTGTATCGATGATTGCAATGAAGTCCAAAGTTGCCGTTACCGCCATAGGTGCCCTGAAGTCCATAGTAGCCATTGCCGATACCATAGCCACCAGTATCCGGGTAGCTGGCCAACGAAGTGTTCGAACCATGAGGACCAATGCGACCCTGGGGGTTGAAAATTGGCTCAAGGTTTTCCTTGGCAACGATTGGAGCCCCGATTCCGGACTGGATACTGGAGTTTGTCTTTCCGTTCAAAACGAGCCGACTCGGGGTAACGGTATCAACGGGTCCTGTGTGTCCCAAGTTTTGCTCATCATTGATTGCCTGCATTTCCTGTTCTCCATCGGCGAAAATGTTGAAGCGGCGCCGTCCTCGATTGCCGTGGGGTTTGTACGTCAGATCATAGTCTTCGTCAATGGCATCGTGGGGCTGAGTGCGAGCAGCTCCAAGGCCAGAACGGCGGTTTGAAGACAGCTCAACGATTGATTTTGCCTGAATGGCGTTACGGCCATTGCGTGCAGTAGTTTTCTGGCGTTTTCTATCTGCGGCCCGGGGCACATTGGGATCAGCTGTCGTCAAACGCTTGCTCGACAGGCGGGTCGTGCGCTGCTTTTGGAGCGGAGTCTCTCCTTTCAGCGGGCTGTATTCTTCAACGTTACCCGTAATCACTCTCTCTCTGAGCAGCTTACCCTCAGGATTGTAGACCAATTCATTGGGCTTAGCAAGCAAGGAAGCCATTTCCATCTGCTTCAAAACAGAGCCGTCCTTCTTCTGATTGCGTTGACGACGCATCTGCGGGGTAGCGGAGTCAAAGATATCCATTCCTGGCCACTGAATGCCCTTGAGTCTTGCCAATTCCTCAGCCCGATCCTTATTTATGCCAGTGCTGCCGGAAGCCTGCATATGGTTGTCAGACTCGACAAAGGGATCAGAGGTAGGTTCGCGAGAATCCCAGGTCCCGTCCTGGCGGTTCAGATGATGCGATGGGGTCATAGGCAAATCATGGCTGCTCAGTGTTGGCAAGCTGCCAGGTGTAGACGGTGTAAACCTCGCATACTTTTTCTCTTCACCGTTGTGACAATCAACCAGGCGAGGGTCGAGATAAGCGGAAGCTGAATCGGCAGCAGGGGTGATGGACTCCTCCAACTCGACGTTGAGAGCTCGATTCACTGTCTGTCCAAAGGTGGAGGTTGAAGCTTGTCCTGACTTCTTCCTCTGTTTGTCCTGCTTGTGCTGCTTCTCCAACCGTTTCTCCAAACGGGAGGAAAGCTTCTCGGCGAGACCGTGGGAGTCAACCCAGTTATGGAATTGCTTGAGTAGTTCGACTGCGTTGGGATCACTGGTGCGGAGCTGCAGCTTGCAGAGGTGCGACAAGTGGGATTTCGAGGCCGCATGGGTCAACAGATGCGAGACATCACAAAAGCGAGGCTCCCCAGGGCAGATAATGCACAGGAGGGTGGATCCATCCATGATGCAGGAAGGTAAGATAAGCTGGATAGAAATGGAAAGGACAAAACAACCAAGCTGCCCAAAGCAAGCAGCCAAGAAAGTAGATGGTAGGGGTCGACGAAGGTGCAACGGAGAAGAGGAACGAAACGAGGGCCAGAAATGTTTATGTAGGGGTGCCTGCTTTTGGCAAGCAGGTCGGTGTTGGGGAAAGTGCATGCTTGGAACCAAGGTTCACTTGGTTCATAGAACGTGACATACACCGATAGGCACGAGCGTCTTCCCGATAGGGGAGTATGGGAGTATTCACTTCTCAATTGTCATCAATGTGTCTCATTCATAACTCATCCTCAACTGTCGAGGCCAACATCCACTTATCAATTGGTCATTGATTTACATAGATGTTGAGTATGTATGTACCACAATGTCTTAACAGCTCTTTGGCAATTGTAGGATGATATGAAGCGGAATAAGTCATAGTGGTTATCGTTCTTCTCCCTCCAGACTGTATCCTGTAGTCCATAGGCATTGAACGCACAGGTTATTCAGGTGGAAGGTATTCCCCATAGGGATTCCCATAGGGGTTCCCATCCACCCAAAGTCTAGAGGTACTAGAATTGAAGTCAATACATCTAGTATCGGCTTCTGGGTATCAATCAATGCAATGCATATCAATCATTACCCCGCAAGGCACCTCGCCGTGATCGCCTTAGGCATACAACTGCATCAGACAGTCAGCATATCGAAAGTATAAAGGGGTCACGTGGAAATGATAACACACTACACCGGATCAATCTCTTCTAGCCCATTGAACTTCAACAAGCTCAGCCCTGCAAGGCTGAAATGTGTATGATATACATCCACCATATTTCCTGGACGGTCAGCGAACCCACCAGCATCAGGGTCCTATCAGGCCGTTAGTAACAGTCCCCTATGCTGCATTATAGGATTTGACTGACCTGGCACTGCAGAACAAAGGCAGCGAGCTTCTTGCCATCGATCCAGTGCAAACGGTCGATCATAGCAAGGCTTGACCCCACCCACCAGCTATAGCAGGCATCGGCGAGTTTTTCTGGTCGACCATTGAAGCCTCCACTCTCGATCTGCCGTTCACTAAGCCAAGCTCCAAGGCGATCTTTATCGACCAGGTCCAAGCGACCAGCGATGGCCAAGGCACCAATGCAAGTAAAAACCTGACCGGCGTGGGACTCGGCGCCGGGACGGATTCCATAAGCTCCGTCCAGGTTTTTGCACCTCTGAATGTGTGCAACGGCTGAGGGGACATCGACCAAGCCCAACAGGCGCAAGAGTGATAACGCATTGAGGGCGCCGTATAGAAATCGGGTATCTGTTTCACCCCATTGGTCCCCCATGAAGGAGCCATCTGCATTTTGCAGGTTTGCAATGACTGTGATGCATCAGCATAGGGCCTTCAATACTAGCAGGACGTATGAGGGTACGCCACGTACAAGAGCCCACTTTCTGCTTGCCACCTCGGCCTCGCTTCTCGAGTTCATCGACAGCATCGATAGTTACGAGGATCTGAACTGCAGAGACCGTGTACAGCATATGAGCGTCGTGACCTGGGGCAGCACCAAAGCCCCCACTGTCATTTTGGCATGAAAGGACGAAGTCGATGGTCTGATCGCGAGGTAAGGTATTGGGATGGCCGAGGGTATGCAGGGCCGTGAGCCCCCAGTATACGCCGTTGAGCCGCAGGTGTTCGGTCAGCCAATATTCCAGCTCGTCTCTTCTCTATGTCAATCAAAGGATCAGATGCTGTTTATCCAAAATATGCTCAGGAGCACGCACGGTGTCCAGGTTCTTGATGTAAGCCACATGCTTCGAGGTGTGCAGCTCATCACCTGCGGGGCTGCTAGTAGCTCTTCCCGGACCTAGAATAGCCATGACGAGGGGACGATGGACACTGCACACTGCTTGTCAGTGATTCAATAAGGACCTTGTTATGAGTTAGCGACCGGAGACCTACAAGTTTGTGGACTCGAAATCTTTGAGCCGGGCGGTGAAGCCAAATGGATGATCTGTGCTCTAGAACATCTAGAGCATCGAGAACTCATGCACCCTGGCACTACTGGGGCCAGGGGGGTTATATTGCCTTGAAGACCAGCCTCAGTGAATGGGCGCGGATAGGTCACCCCAATTGTGACTTGGAAAATCAAAGAAGCCTCGAAAGGTTGTAACGTTCATTAATGGTTGTTGAATGTTGGCTATTGAGAACGAGCGAAATGGAGCTAGCGTGGAGCCTATTCGAGGGCGGTGTGTAGTATTGCGGGCTCCTCGTGATTTTTTTCGCCACGGTCCACGGGTGGTGCCTTCCCCCGCAGCCGGCTTCGGATAATAATTAATCCGACACTCTGAGGGCAGCTGCAAACCCCAGGACGTACATTCCCAACTGGTTACCTCAACCTGCCAACGTCTAGAAGAACTGCACCTTTAGTCCTCTACGGTCGGAACTTCCACAGCTTATGGTCAATGGCTCTGATGTCGTGAAGGCTGAGCCTGGGGATCTCTATGTTCGCACTTCGCAGTGGTTCAACAACGTCTCTCCGTTCGGAATAGCTTCGACGTCTAGGAAGAAGAGTGAATTTGGAAATCTTTACGGTCGGAATGGCACATTGCCTGTCATGATATCTCTTGGAGGGATCCATTTGGAGGGCATATTGCAGTTTGGGGGAGTTTCCGCAGCCCTAATGGTCTGAAATTTTGATTGTTTGACGTCGGGTAACTAAGCCATCTTACATGGTTAACTACTTATGCCATTCCTATGATAGAAAGGGTACAGACATAGACTCCCACGGTGAGCAATCTTCTCAACCAGCTCCCTGAGTCCCTGCCAGCCAGTTCCCTGGATAATGTGCATAATCATCAGTTTCTCATAGTTAGAGCACGGGCATCCTAGATCCACTCGATGATGACGCCCGTGCACCCTAAGCGGCGGGCAAGCGCACTCTGGAGAGTGCTGTCATTCCGAGGCGCTACGTAGTTTGATATTCCCAGCCATGTTTCAGAATGGAGGAAACCAAGTGGAGATGCGTCGTGGGTAAAAGGAGGGCGGGGGGCGGATAACAACCTTGGGAAAGCCATAAGATGTACAGTGTATCCAACTTACTGTGTATGGAAATAGAATGATGAATTCATCCTTATGCAATGAGAGATAGGTGAGGTGCCTCAGTAGATATGAGTGTCTCAGTAGGTATGTACACATGCATAGGACTCTGGGAATCCACGATGACCTGCATACGATAGGATCCATGAGGCCGCATTCAATGGATTTCGTTTCCTTAGAGAAGCTAGCGTGCCCTAAACGTATTTTGAGCACTGTAGCTCCGTTTCTTCCCACGTTACCTATACTGCGTACAAACTTCCAAGGCTACAAAGGTGCTTTTACCCAATATTGTACACTGTCTCACCATTGTAGATGGGAAATCTCTTTGTTTCTAAAATTGTCTTTGAAACAGGATGTTCCCACTTAAAAAGTCATCCACTATCTACTCAGGCCTTTATTGGTAGAAGTTGTATGGGTTGGACCTGAAACCCGGGCTAAACTAATTCAGAGGGAAAAGTGGAGGACGTTTCCGAACATGGCCCCACTTTTATGTTTAGGTGATTACCCCTGAGCAATGATTCCATCCAACGGTGGACCTGGAGTAAATACCCCATGGTCATCGAAGATTCCAAAAGAACTCCAGGGTAGCCAGTCACCTCCAACGAAGCCGACGTCATTGAGATAAATATGCGAGAGGACGGGTTCCGGTACTGGGGTATCGTGATCTACCGAGCCACTTACAAAAGCGAGATGGACTGGGAAAAGTTCCTCCGCCGGTTCCTGGGCCAGGTCCGCCAGGCACTAGAATACTAGGTACGAAGATCTCGACATGTGGGATTCGCTCCGGCCCACGGTGATGGTCGGTTTGACGGAGCGACGCCCGCTCAGACACGAGACGCTTTCAAGGAGTGGGCGATGACGGCCTGTGAGACGGAGCAAGGGGTGGTGTATGAGCGCAGAATAGGCGTATGGAGCCCGATATCGGCTTTGTATCTCGGTTGACGACCTAGGAGGCGGTACAGTCTGTATTAGAGATTCCGGAGGAGGAATTGGATGAGCTAAATACGACTGGGTTTGTGGTGATGATCAATGGATCCAGGATGGTGAGTGCCGGAGATGGTTGAATGGGAAGAAGACGATGATGGGTACGGGCCACTGTACGGAGTACAGCTGTACGCGGCAGGATGTGGGCTGGTTGAAAGTTCGCTACCTTTAGGTATGATCGAGCGCAAATTGTAGCCTCCACTACGATGCGCAATGGTTCGGATTGGGGCCTTGAGTATCGACGGCTACAGGCTATTTCTTTTCATTCTTGTAAGGGTAAAAGTAGCCATCCTAATCTGTAGACGATGAGATTGTCCTACGTATATAGAATTGGAACCTTGGATTGGAAGATGTGTCCGCTTATGTCAGATTAACTCTGTCCTCGTGATTCAGCACAACCATGGATCCTCCGGGAAGGGAAATCAGGCACAGAAGATTTGTGTTAAACTGGGTCTTCGATCGGCCAATAACAGAACAAAACCATTGTAACGTCAGGAAGGCGGATCAACTCGATGTGGCTCATAAAGTGGAGGGCTCTGATCTTCTTTGTGTATAGCCCTGTACAAGCCCACTATGATCCTGATCAGAGGTTATAACTCGACAAATGGCATTTAGTTCCGTTCATCCAAGTGTCCGAGGTTTAGGGGACCCGAGCCAATGTCAATTGAATCAACTGAAACTATGTTACCCACGGAACTGTCAGTCCAATTGGGTGATGCGCATCGTCACTCGGACTTATTGGACGTTGACGTTTTGCCCTTCAGGGGATATCCGATATCTGGTGGGGCATGGCAAAAAAAGAAAAGAAAAGAAAAGGTGAGTAGGTATCCACTTTGGTTCTGTTCCGCTCTTTTTTGTTCTCTTTTTATCCATTGAATTACTCCATACAAAGTTGCCTACATGAATAGGGAATCCTTCTAGATGTTGTGATAGTAAGATATTCTATTGAAGTGGAATATATTCAAGGCTACCAAGTTCCGCTGAGGGCCTTACTGTATAAATATCATAAATTCATAATTATCTAAAGTAATCATGATTCATAGAATAGTCCGTATTCCTGACTCGGTACTAGTGTGGCTTGCCTAACTACTTCCAAGGTTGGTGCTCTTTGCTCGGACTAGTGTACCGCTAAGTCTATTAGGAGACTGCGTGACTTGACCTCTTTTTTTTTTATCTACGCGAAGCTCCTTATTCTTTCAACCTCGCAATCTCTTCAGCCTTGATTTTCATTCTTCATTTTCGGGCATATTCGTTTGACCTTGATCCACACAACTCCCTGGCTTACTGACACCCCCCTTCCGCACTGCCGATCCCTGACTTCGAAGCGCCCAAAAGAGGGGGAATCCGAACTTGAACTTTCACTGAACAAGCCCCGTTCTGAACTTCTGACAACCTTGGAGATATCAGTGGAGTCATTAGACCGTAATATGAGGTTTCTGGTGAGTGATCAACTGAATCGGAACGCGAACCCGACCATTGTCTCTACGATCTCGTTCCTGGCCTTGTCTGTCCACAAAGAGTCGAGTGGTTTCTTTTAACTCCATGGGGTTTGCCTGCATATGTCACCATATGCGGTCTCACCTGTCTTTTTTTGGCTCTGTCTCTTCTTTCACATGTTGTGTCTTTGATTTCCCGCTGACTGTATAACTGGCGCTTCAGATCCCACTTCGTCCTCGAACCTCCATTTGACCCGAAACTGTGAATCTTCGCCCTTGCAATCACTCGTACACCCCAACGTCTAGGTGACATTGCCCTTCTACCCCATCCAGATTCAGGCAGAGTCACTTCCTTTCAAGACAATACGATCAGACCTCGGGCGTGCGCATTGATACTGGTACAAATCTCTCAGCCGCATAAGTGACCTGGGTCTCGTCGCCGGATCAGGGGCATCTTGCAGCCCAAGGATAATTTCATCTAAAGCTGTTACGGGGCCTACATTTCGCGAAACCTTGATCCCTTCAAACCTTCGCACGCATTCTGGACCGGTTCCTCAATTACCGCCCAACATGTCCAAGCGAACTTCAGTAGTGCCCAACCTCGATCTAAGCCACTTCAAGATCGAGTCGAGGAAAGAGAAGATTAGTTCGCCTCTGACTCCAAATCATACCAGCCCAGACGGACCCTTAACTCCTCGTTCGCCCAAGTCTGCATCCAGCTCTCCTCTCTTTAAAGGCGCAACCATTCGCCCTGTCACGCAAGACTCCGAAGGCAAGGCACCCAGCCCTACTCTCCCAGTTTCTCCCAGTGCAGCGCCCGACGAGCCTACGACACCCGGTATCACAGCCATTCCTCAATACATCCCTTCCAAAGAGTCATCAAAACACACGCGCGATGCATCAAGGTCATTCTTCGGCACTCTCAAAGCACCGAAATCGTCTCACAAGTCACAACGATCAGACGGTTCGGAGGTTTCGACGGAACTTCCTAAAAGCCGAGGCAGTTCTAGGGAACGTCGGACAGAGATGTTTTCGAAGTCATATGAGTCAGCGCCTGATCTTCTAGGGACACTTGCCCGATCGAATGGAGCGGAAGCGACTAGTAAGTATTTCTTCCTGCGACTGTGCGAACTATATACCTGACAGTATCCTCCCTTATAGGCTGGAGCTCCAATAAGACTTCGCTTAATTCAGACGGCAAGAAAGTCGGCACAGATCTCGAGTCCGCCGCGCCGAAGAAAAACAAACAACGATTTGCCAGCCTTTTGACTCGATCTCGCTCAATTCGCGATGACTCCGGAAACAGAGGCCCAGCCCGACGCCCGTCTACAGGTCTGGCGAAGCTGGAAGAGTTCAATCCAAGTGCGAACACAACTACGAACCAGCCGCGCTGTGCGACTGCACGCCCTGAAAATGCGGTTCGGGGAGGTCTACATCCCCCTGAGCGTCAAACAGACACCGTGTCTTTGCGCAAGGAGCGCAGCCACGGCAACATGGTTACATCTGGTTCCTTGGGTCAAGTTTCTGGCGCCTCGGCTAGCCTTCTCAGTAACCTGAAGTCGTCCTCAAGTGGCGCGGCAGACCGCATTGGCAAGGCCGGCAAAGGGTTCTTTGGCAAGATCACTCGCAGTGGTAGCACCAATGAACGGGAGATGGTGACTGACGACTCATATACGTGCGCCGTCATCAACCTCCCACTCATTGAGCAGACGAGGAAGACCCGCATTGCAAGGAAGATCCAAGGCTGTCGAGATAAGACCGAGTTTTGGATGCCTGCCTTACCGTACCGCTGCATCGATTATCTCAACTTCAAGGGCTGTGAGGAAGAAGGCCTTTACCGTGTCCCGGGTAGCGGCAGGGAAGTCAAGCACTGGCAACGACGTTTCGACACGGAACTCGATATCAATCTCTTCGATGTCCCTGATCTCTATGACATCAATACGGTTGGGTCTCTCTTCAAAGCCTGGCTTCGTGAGCTTCCGGATGAGCTCTTCCCAAAGGCCACCCAAACGATGATTGCCCAGAAGTGCGAAGGCGCCACGACGGCACCGCAGCTACTCAAGGACGAGCTTTCCAAGTTACCACCATACCACTACTATCTCCTCTTCGCCATCACCTGCCATCTCAACCTACTACACTCGTATGTGGACCAGAACAAAATGGACTACCGTAACCTGTGCATCTGCTTCCAGCCCTGCATGAAGATCGATGCATTCTGCTTCCAATTCCTGGTCTGCGACTGGAAGAACTGCTGGCAGGGCTGTTGGACCGAGAAGGAGTATCTTGAGGTTGAGGCGAAAATGGACGAGCGCGATATCGCGGCCTCGGAAAAGCTCCAAGCTGCCGAACAAAGGGAGCAAGCTACTGCCAACCACGAGCGAGCTGTCTCCTCTTCCAGCAGTAGCGCCGAGGACGAGGTGCCCCGCCCGGCGACCGCTCGCACCCGAAAGACTCCACCAAAGAATATCGAGACGCACTCCAGGAGCATCTCTCAGCTCCCCGAACTCGGCCCTCCGCTCTCTCCTATCAAAATCTAAGATGCTTTGGACGACGACTTTGTCTCGAGTGCATACACGTGCTCGTCATTAGCCTGCCTCATGTGACATGCTTTCAAATCGGCCGGCCCGATTTTGTTCTATCTACAGGACTAGATAGGACTGAACGAGTTCACTCGGGCTCGGCTTTTCCGTTTCTCTGCCTCCATCATCTATCACCTCCCCAACCATTATCTCTCACACGCCTCTTTCGCCGGCTAGCCTTGTTCTCAAGTGGCAAGTCTAACGTCTCTTGTTCTCAGCCATATCTGGATATCGTCTATCCTATCCTTTCCATTCCATTTGTACATCATTTTTTTGACATCAGCTCCGAAAATGGCGAATGGTGGGCCTCTCTGCTTACTCGCGCCGTTTGGTTTCAACTGCATCTTAAACGTTTTTCTCTGCTATTCACCATCTATTTGCAAGCGCAACCTCATTCTATGCTTTGTTTGATATTGCGACATCTTCAGATTCCCCTCTGCGGTTAACATTTATTACCATCACTATTTGCTATGCGTCTCTTTCCTCGACCTGATTTTTGAGCAATAGGCGTTTCCACTTTCATCTAGCTTTTCTGTTTCGATTTGTGTATCTAGCGTTCCTTGCGAGGACTGTATAATAGATCTACTTTTACTGGGAAAGGCACTTTCGGTTGGAATCATCCAAGATATGTAGTTTCTGGTACAATAATTTCCGTGGCTGCAGATAGATAAATCAATGCTATCCAATGCTATCGAGCTATTGAGGAAGAGCCATCCCAAATATCGACAGATGCAATAAGAGTGCTTTTGGTGAATCACAGTATATCCACAATACATGAAGAATCCCATTCGACTCCCAACCCCAACGCCAGAAGGAAAAAAGTCAAGACAAGAGAGGTTTGGGCCCCGCATACATAATTCAGGGCACAAACCCCAATAAACCACCTCAATCAAACCAACCGCACTCACTTAGCACGGGCAGGGTTCGACCTCTTCTCATTCGAGCGCTGCTTACGCTCATTACGCTTAATGCGTTCCTTGCGCTCAGCATGCGACATACCACGAATAGAGCTTCCACGAGAATTAGCCTCCTCCTCCTTCTTCCACTTCTTCTCATCGACCTCAACAAGCCACTGGTTCTCGTCGTCCTTGTTCTTGCCCTTATATCCCCAGCGCGGCACCCACTCGCCAGTAGCCTCGTCGTATTGCATCTTCTTGCGGCGCTCCTTGTCCATGCCGGCGGCGCCGGGCTTCTGGTTGTACTTCCCGATGCCCTTCTTGCGTGCGAACAGCTCCCATTTCGTGGGCGCCTTGGGGGTTGGCAGGGGCTTGTGGCGCGGGAGGAGGATGTTGGGTGCGGGTAGGGTCAGAAGCACGCCTTCCGAGACGGAGGTCTTGATCTCGCAGGTTGTCAGGAGCTGGTTGAGCAGGACCTGCACGCCGTCGCGGGCTGTGGCCTTCAGGGAGTCGTTCAGGTTCTCGCCGGCGGGGAGCTCGAGGGGATTGGGGTCGTTGACGAGCAGGTGGCCCAGGTCGAATGTGTAGGGAGTCGGCTTTGAGACGGTGATGGGACTGGGGGGAGTGTTAGTAACTGTATTTTGGGGTCTTTTTGACTCGAAGATGTCGGGTCTATGAAGTGTGTCCTTACAGTCTCTCGGGCTTGGAAGTAGCCGCAGGGGCGGTGTTCGCCATCTCAGTATCAGACATGGCAAATACTGGCAGTAATTTGGTAGTCTGTTGATGTTCGAAAGTGGTATCAGGCCCTAAGAAAAAAAATTGGTGGTTATCAGATACACCCGCTTTTTCGCATTTTCTGCCATGACTAAGGCACCGTGACCGCCTTTCGTTCCTTGGAGCGGGCGGAATTCGCATCAAATAATTGAGCGAACTGTTAACTGCTGTCTCAATCTTCAATTCCTCACCCACCCTCCACCCTCAGCACTGGTTGTCCCGTCACTGGCCGTGCCGGTGTTCCTGACAACCACAATGGCTTCCTCGTGGTGCTGGAATTGCCTCTCGAGGCTTCGTCCGTTGTCGCGAGCACTCACTGCGCCGTCCGCAACGCCCCGGATTTCGAGCGCCCCCTTCCACTCCACCGCCGTGCAGTATGCCCAGCCGGCTAAGAAGAAGGGAGGCAGCTTGACTGTCATGAAGCACAGACAGTCAACCAGTTTGAGAAGGAAGAAGAAGAAGGTCACTGAACGCTCGCGTCCGCCGGCCGTCGGTGAGCGCAAGGCTTTGCGGAAACGCATTGTCCTCAGCAACCCTAATGCTCTCGAGGTTGAGGGCATGTTGGATCTCTCCCCTGAGACTATGGTTGATTCCCGTCTCCGTGGTACTGTTCTGGGACTGCCTGTGCCTATGATTGACCGATTGAGAGCAGTGCAAGCGTTCAAGCCCAAGCAGGGCTGGTCGATATTCCGCCGGCCTGGAACAGTTCTCCGCCGTGATACCATTGAGATGGGCCGTTTGTTTGAGCAGATCTCTGGGGAGGGTGACAATGCCCAGAAGGGCAAGGTTGTCAAGAAAATTGTTACTGGTATGAAGGGATCTGGCAAGACCGTACATCTGCTGCAGGCTATGACCATGGCTTTCTTGAAGAATTGGGCTGTTGTCGCTATTCCTGATGGTAAGTTGCTGGAATCCTTGGGAACTGTGTTTTCCAATTGTGCGGCTACTGACCTGTCAATCTTTCAGCTCGCGACCTCGTGTCCGGCGGCACCGCCTATGCCGCCATCGAAGGCTCCAACCCGACCCAGTATGTCCAGCCCAACGCGACCTCGGCTCTATTGTCTCGCACCGTCGACGCAAACCGGGAGCTTCTGGCTAGCCTGAAGGTCTCCCAGAAGCATCCCAACTTGAAGATGCTGAAGCCCAACTCCACCCTCGAAGACCTTGCCAAGCTTGGCTTCACTGATCCTGCTGTCTCCTGGGCGGTCTTCCAAGCTCTCTGGACCGAGCTTACTGCCACTGCCCCCGCTGAGGGTCTGGAGAAGAACTTCCAACCTCGTCCTCCCATGCTTGTCACCGTGGATGGTTTGGCACACTGGATGACAGAGAGTGCCTATCGCTCCGCTGATTACAAGCTGATTCACGCCCACGATCTGTCATTCGTCAACCACTTCCTTTCATTGCTGAAGGACGGTGACTCCCTCAAGAACGGCGGTCTCCTCCTTTACTCCACCTCATCCTCGAACAACCCTAACCCCGAGGGTTTCAAGATTGCCTTGGACCGTCTGGCCGCCCGTCGGGCCGGCATCAGCCCTTCCTCGCCCGAGTACCCGCATCTGTCAGCTTACAGCGATGCGGATCCTCGCGTGCTGGACTTGTTCCAGTCCGCCGAGAAGTCACTCGAATTGCAGACACTGAGCGGCCTCACCCGTGAGGAGACTCGTGGCTTCATGGAGTACTTCGCCCGCAGCGGTTTGCTGCGTGAGATTATCAATGACCAGTGGGTGAGCGAGAAGTGGAGCCTGTCTGGCGGTGGTGTTATCGGCGAGCTCGAGAAGCTCGGTCGTCGTGTTCGTGGCACTGTGTCTGCTTCGAAATAGAGGGTTTACGTTGCATTTCTTTCTCTTGTCTTATCCCCGGATTTCGTGTTTCATGTTGCCGCTGTATATCGGATGCTAGGGTTTTCCTTGTGTGTTCTTCCCCCTGTACTTTACAAATCTCACTTGGTCTGCTTGTGTCTGTATGCATATAATGGACTTTTTTTTACCTTCACATCCTTGGTCTGATACCGGTCATGAGATTGAGTCTAACAACCAGCGCGACACAAGCCAACAACGATTTGGTACACAATCAACCTTCCAGCTCTCACAACCCCATCCACATTCGAACTCCAAAGCCCGCTCACTCATCCAACTTCTTCGGCCTAACAGCCCTCACTAAATCCGGATAATCAAACCTAGCAGCAATATTCAAAAACGACGAATTCGCCGGATGAGCCTCCTTCGGCAAATTCTCCGATCTGAACAAAAAGTTCATCGGGAACCCAATCTCAAACTCATAAGCCCCCTCAATCTCCCCAACCTCCTCATCCGACAAATCCAACCCAAGCCCCTCAATATTACTAACCAAATGCTCAACCTTCCTCCCACCCACAATCGGCGTCACATACGGCGCCTTGCGCATAACATACGCCAACGCAACACTCGTCAACGCAGTGCCCCGTCTCTCCGCAATACCCTCTAGCACCTTCGACACAGCGATATCCCGCTCCGTCGCTGGCATCTGCCGGCCAGGGTTGTTGCCGGATTTGGCGATTTCTTCCCGCTGTGCGGTTGTCTTGAAGGAGCCGCCGCCGAGGCTGGCCCAGGGTGCGAGTCCCATTCCTTCGGATGCGGCCATGGGGATTATGTCGCGTTCGAAGTCGCGGGTTGCCGCGTTCCATTTGCCTTGGTAGACGGAGAACGGGCGGAGGCCGTGGTCGCGGGCGTCTGTTGCCATCGTTGGCGGGTTGTACGTATACACATGGTATGTGTAGTTTTAGGGGTGGACGTGGGTATGGGCAGACTTACATTGATTCGCCTTGGTCACGATCCACGCTGGTGTATCACTGACACCAAGATACAGGACCTTTCCAGAGAGAACCAGCTGATTGAGCGATGTCATGACTTCCTCGATAGAGGTGCTGAAGTCCCACCAGTGGACGTAGAGCTATTGTCGGGGTTTTGTCAAAGATTGCTTGCGCGAAAGGTCAAAGGTAGTAACCTACCAGGTCAATATAATCGGTCCGCAATTTCTTCAAACTAGCCTCAACAGACAACTTCATACTCTTAGCATTATTCCCGACGAAGTTAGCCTGGATCTCGGATGGGACGTGTGTCCGGAATCCAGTTGAATACTTCGTTGCGAGGACGATCTGGTCGCGCACGCCGCGGGACTCCATCCACTCGCCGATCCATTTCTCGCTGTCTTCGGCTTGGTAGTTGTTGGCGCTGTTGCAGTTAGGTTAGACAGCAATGGATTAATTGAGAACCTAGGCCGCGCAAAACGTACGTATCGATGAAGTTCCCGCCGTTCTCATAGTACGTATCCAGAATCGCGAAGGATGTCTCTTTGTTGCATTCGCCGAGACCGTCTTTCCTACATGTCTTATGTTAGACATGTGCGACGTGCAATGGGACACGGAAGTATGGTAGAATTGTATGATACGTACCAGCCCTCGCCGAAGTTCATGGCACCCAGACATAGCGGGCTTACCTTCACGCCGGCTGTTGGGGCGAGCAGGCGGTAGCGGCCGAGGTGGGATTTCGGGGTTGGGGCTGAGGTGAACATGATTTATTCAGGGTATGGACTGTAGCTAAGAGCCTAAGGAATTGGAGCTTGTTCAATGGGTTTCCAAAGATATGAGGTGAAGTGACGGGAGAGCTCTCTTTATAGTCTTCTACGCGGGGTCAGATGGGCCTATTAATAGGTGACGAAATACAGTAGTTAGCTTTTGCCTAATTAGTCAACTATGCCTGTCTCTCTATTGCTTAATTCCTAAGTCCGGTTGATGTGCATAAAGTAGCTTCATTAAGGTGTGGGGTTCGCTGTTTAGGGTTAACTATCTCCGAGTATGAGATGCTTCGGGGACTTTCCCTTCCAATCAATTCTCTAGAAATGCAGCTAGCTATAAACAAGCAACGTTGTGGAGCTCCTTTAGGCTCCAGCGCCAGAAGTACCGGTTTCCATTGTAATGGCCCCCTCCGTATCCTTAGCAACAGCCTCATCCTTGTCCTCATCCATCTTCTCGTCCATCTTCTCGTCCATCTCCTGCTCCTCCATCTCCTGCTCGTCCATCTCCTGCTCGTCCATCTCCTGCTCGTCCATCTCCTGCTCCTCCATCTCCTGCTCGTCCATCTCCTGCTCGTCCTCTTGAGGAACATCTGCCCCCCTCGACCCCAGGTATTCTGACGCGCCGGGGGCATCGATCCAATACCGCGTGCACCATCGACTGCTTCAATTGCATAATCGCTTCTGGCTCGGGATTCCTACCCACGAGTATACCATCCCAACGCTCTACTCTTGGAGAATAAGTCACCGGACCCGGCGTCCAATCAGGGCTCCCAAATTGCGATCTATCCTTGCCAGTAGAAGGAACAAGTCCCCTGCCTTGGCAGCGGGGACACTCACAGTTTTTGCCAAACATTTGACCGGCCTGCATATTTTGACCAGTATCTTCGTCAACGGTATCGCCAATCCTGTACCGTTGGTACGGAACTCTAATCTCTTCCCCAGCTTTGATACCCCGGTGCGCCCAGATAACTACGCGGTTGGGGACCTTGCGATCGTATCCCCACTGCGCGTTTTCGTACGGACGACATGAGTGATTGAACATGCTTAGCCCGGGGAAGATGTAGAGGTTTGAAAATGACGGGTCCATCGCGGAGAAATCCTCAGCCTGTCTCATCATTCTGAGTTGGATTTCTGGGTAGATCATTGGCTTCAGGCCGTCGGTTTCTGTGAATGTTTCCTTCTTGTCTCGTCGTGCATGTTCCCAGGGTACAGCGTTGACTAGAAATTTGCGTAGCACGATCTGAAGAACCCAGGTGTCGAACGAGAGTTCACTGAAGATGTCCACTCCGAGGTTCAAGAGAATGTCGAAGGGTACCTGGATATTGGCGGCGAGGGTAAAAGGGAACCAGCTGTCTTTCCAGGGCTCGTTGGAGTCAGTACCCGCCTCGAGGATGAGGAGTTCGTTAATCTCGTGCGCGAGCAGATTGGGATCTTCTTGGCGACGGTGGAGCGTAAGTTCGAGGACGCTCTTCAAAAGCAAACTCAGAACAGTGCCGTGTTTCTCATTGTTGTGCGTGAAATACTCGTTATTAGCCCACGTCGCTACATTAGGTCGCATTGCATCATGTAACCAGCCCCAGTCTATCCCACAGAACTCGCTGAAATGGTATGTCCTGCGTGCAATTTCTCTGCAAGAGGGAGCCATGCCGCGTGATTTTCTTTGGTTCACGGGACAGAAGAACAGACCGCCCACATAACCTCTCTTATCTGGCGAGGGACTGCAAGCACATATCATGTTCAGACACATACAATCAGGTGAGTGCTTGAGCCGAGCTTTGGGATCATCTGAGTGTATCGATTTCCAGTTGCGCTTTGTATGGTCCAAGCTGAGCTCCGCTTGACAGTTGTCACAGCGCGGAGCATGGAGGGGTGTTTGCTGCGATCTGCTTGCAGATCGTGCGGGATGAGATGTCCGCGGATTACCGGCTCCTCATAGTGAATTAATGTTCCTGGTTGGATGTCTGTAGTGGCGAAGACACCTAAGCCGTTGAACGAACCGTCGGCTTTGCGAATGGGTTGCACTTGGCATATGTTGTCGGAAACGGCGGCATCTGCACGAGTCATGAACATATTTGCGTTCAACGCATTGATGAACTCAGGTGCTTCGCGTTTTACGTCTGCTTTGTCGTAGGGATATCTATCAGCGCCGGAGATCCATCCTCGGCTCCACTCGTGCCCATACAGAGATGGATGACGCTCTGATGGGTTTGCTCTCCTGCGCTCAATCTCTTCGCGAACAACAGCGCTCGCTATCAAGCGTTTTCGAGGAATAGAGACATCGCGATACGGGATAGGTCTTTGAAGCTGGCTCTCCATATGTTCGGTGAAGTCATCCCAGCTATTGAGTGCTGCGAGGCTGAGACTGGTGATACTGTGAAGAGCGTTCTTTAGGGTTGGAATAAAATAATTGATACCATTGGCTTTCCTCATTAGCGTAATCTCGGGCCTGCGATCATTCGACGTCTTCTGCCCCGCCATCAAGTGCTGCTGAATGGCATCCCAGACCCTGGTGTAAAGTCCTGGGCGCTTGTTTCTTTTGCTTGCAATTGTCAACACTTCACAGAGAAGCTCGCCACGATAGGCATCTCCAATGGCGAGATCGAAGTAACCCAGCAGGTAATGGCAGTACCCACGGCTAGCCCAGTAGGTTGGATTGTACGGGCTCAATTTGATTGCCGCGGTGTACATATCGAGAGCAGACATATCTGTTTTCGTAGCGGGACGCATGACAGGCTTTGGTTCACGCGTAATGCCCCAGTGACTCAGGTCGCTTAGTTTCAATACACCGAATCGTTCATCGCATTCGTGTTCCCAGAGACGACGTTGTAGTTCCTCCTTCAGCCCGTCTGTGCGTAGACCCCTCAATTCCAGTTCCTCTTTCAGTCTATTGCTGGTCCAAAGAGTCGGATCTTTGACATTGAGGCCATGTATGAACACTTTCTGTTGCATTGCCTCTAGTCCCTTCACTCCGTTATAAACCTCATCCAGTCCCTCCGCTGCGAACCTGGCTCGTGCATCATCACGCGAGACCGGCAGAAACGGGCTAGTCATTAAGTGCTCATAAACATTGTTGGCCAACACGTGCATTTCAGCTCCGCCTTCATCCGACGCACGAGTGTAGGGCCGATCTTTGTGTGCCCTCCACGCGCGCCCGAGGGCGTCATCAGGCTGCTGCCAGAACCGACGTGCAAGAAAGGCGTCATCCTCAGTCAATGCTGGAGCTAGTGGCACAGTATCGAAAATATCTGGCCTCTTTGGGTAAGGATGTGGTTTGAGGATGTCGGCCCCGGGTGGTATGCGCCATAAGCTTCTCTGTATGCCCATCGTGATATCTGGCACAACTTCCAAGGCCAAAATATGGGCAGAAGAGTAACCTTGCAAAGCTTCAGGCTAGGTTTGGGGTAGTAGAGACTGTGAATGCAGACAGTCCCATGAATTTGCGATGAGAATATAAATGCGAGATCTTTCGCATACTTGCCCAAGGACCGGACTGGCTCAAAGTAATGGCAATACTCTTGGACAAAGAAGAGATGCAACATCGTCCTCGGTTATTTTTAGAGATGAACAGCTTCGAGGTTAGGGTTCAACAAAGGACTGGGAAGAGATGTTAGTTCGAGGCGACAAAGATAGCCCACCAATATCCTGGAATGAATGAAGAAATTGAGAGCCCGCAGTCTGAGCCCTGAAGGCTAGTGACTAGTCTAATGGTTCATGAAGTCGGCTTTTGCGAGTGGCTGTAGCCCTGTATACTCCATAATGTTGAAGTAGCACGGAACGGCCCGACAGGAACAAAAGGAGGACTGTCCATGCTGTCATCTAGAATCCTCTGTCCTGCGGGATTTATTACCCTTGATTGAATAAGTTGAACATTCGCTTCCTGCTCCAGTCTTAGTCAAATCTCTCTGTGGTGTAAAAGAACTAAAATGTTGTAGGAGTCGCACCAGCTCGGAGTTTCGGGGGTGAACCGTGCTGGCAGCTGACCGCGTGCTAAGGCGCGTGCCCCATCGATCTACGGGCTGACTTTTTATAAAGACTCAGGGGATTTTGAGATCCCCTTGCTCCTGTCTTTGTACTGTTTCACCTCTCACCATGTATGGACAGTCAAATCCTCCTTCATCACAGCCCGAATGGCGACTTCCTACGCGTCCTTCGCAGCCGTTGCAGTCGGGACCCCCACCACCTCCTCCACCGCGTCCCCCGCCTGCTCCATATTCGCCCGCTGGATCTTATTCACCAGCTACATATGGTCCGATCTCTCATCACCAAGTTCCAAGGCTATCGTCTCCAGCGGGTGCGGACAAAACCACCTGGGGAGTGCGCTACAATAGTCAGAGCCCCGGTCCTCCATTGCCGGTAAGTCGAATGTTGGTCCGACTATCAGGGGCAAATCACTAATACTTATGTAGCCTCGACCTTCAAGTACCGAGCAGTCATACACATATGGGCAGTCTTCAAACCCATCTATCGCACCGCCTGTCCAATATCAGGCGTCCCTAAACACTCAGCCGCCCCCGCCTCCACCTCCACCTGCATATACTCCGACACCACCAGTCGGTGTTCCACAACCGCCCCCAAAAATCCCCCAAGGATTTCAAAATGCACCAACGCCTCAAACGGATCAAAAAGGGCGAGCGCCTCTGCTCGCTCAGGGTGTAGGGCCAGCTGCCATGACGGGATCTTATGAAACTCGCCCGGCGCCTGTCATTAATACCAACGCAGCTTCTACTGGCGCGTCCGCTCTAGGCCCTGGATCACCGTCGGATTGGGAACATCTAGTTCCTACGCCCGGAGAATTCGATGATGCGGCTTGGTTCCCACCCCGCAAGTCGCCCCCTCTACATCAACAGGGGTTCCAACACCCTCCAGGGCCCCCAAGCGGTCCTCCTAATGTGCCGGCAGGACACATATATAATATGATCCTGCCACAAAGAACGGATACAAATGAATCGTATGCAAGTGCTATGTCTCGGCCGACACAGTCGGGACGAGATAACGCAGGCTCGCCCGTCAGTCCATGCACAACACCGCCTCCATTGGTTCGCTTGGACACCAGCAGCACCACCACGTCCATGGGAAGACATTCCGAAAGCATCGATAATGTAATAGAGGCGTGGGTTCGCCCATTATCCCCTGCCGGTAGACCAGTTCAACCCGAGCACGAGCGCCGCTCTAGTTCATTTCATCAAACTAGTCCAGTCGAGCGCTCACAGTCGGCGCAAGCCGGACCCTCGCTTGATGAGCAGTTGCATTCGAGCTCGACTAGCTCTGCACAAATGGTTGAAAGGTCCACAAGTGCGGCACCGACGAAGGACCTAGATCCCTTTGAGGACCTCGATCCTTGGTCTAAATCGTCATTACAGCGATATGTCGCTATGCTGCGTAAGGAAGCAGTGGCTGATTCGGATGAAGAGCGGTACAAAATCTTTACAGCATTCATGTCCAAAGAGACCAAACTTCGAGAGATTCTCTACAATATTGAGCATGAACCTCAGAGTACCTCGGTGACTACACGGACACCTGACTCCGCTCCTCAACCAGCACCGTCAGTCCCCAGCAAACCCGAACCACCTATTGAGTCCGGGCTGATACCCGTTGAAACGGAATATACGCCGTCGCTCTCCGGAGCAACAGGTGATGATGATGACGTTCGCAGCGAGTACAGCGCGGGCGGTCGGCCTCTTCTTGGTAAACAGGCGCGACAGGGGTCTCTGTTCTTGCCCAGCTCATCCACCCCAGTCTCGAGTCGTTTCTCAAGACCGTTGTCGATGGCCACGTCTACAGATTCGCAAAAGCAAGGCTTGGAACCTCTGGCTACGAACCCCCCGCGGCCCATATACACACCATTCCAGTACACAGAGGGTCCACAACGAGGCTCGGATAACCTCGTCTTTGCTCGCCCGGCTTATCAAGCATATTCTGACCTGCGACAGGCAGCTGTCAGTGGGCGAGTCACGTCGAATGCACCGCCCACATCTCGATTGCGGTCTAACACTGCACTTATTTCGCCGACCGAACAAGACGAAACTTTTCTTGGTCTAATTCGTCATAAAAGCGTCGCTTATACTAAACCAGCTGAGCGACAGTCTCCGCCACTTCCCCTGCTGCCTGAATCTCTTCGTCAAGGCCCACCTGTTGGCCTTGTCGAAGAGCTACGCACCATTGTTTGGACACCTTTGGATAAACAATCCGAAAGCTCCTGGCATATCACGACAAGGGAAGAGCTTGACAAATTCTCTGATGACTTCTCGTACATCCAACAGACTGTTGATCAGTGGGAAGAGACGGCGCAAGCCAGGCGACAAAAGTTGGAACAGGAGCGCCAGGCTCGTCAGGAAGAATCGGAGGCACACATTGACGATCTCTTCAATGAGAAGGTGATCGGGTATGCGGACATCAATACCTTAGAAGAAGAATTTCGGCAAACCGAGGCGCGAGTCCAACTGGAAGAAGAAAGGCATGAACTAGACGATTTCATCAAACATGTCGTCGGCCCCTTGGATGAACGTCTGAAAGATGAAATCTCAGCGCTTCGCCAATTACATGACTCTGCCCTTAATAAACTCGATCGCGACCAACAGGGCGAAGGTTCACCAAAGGAGCAATGCAGCCCTTCAGTGACCATGAGGATGGTCAATGGGATTCATCAAAAGCTTGAGACCCGGTTCCGGAAACGACTTGAGATAGCGCTTGACTGTGAGCGACGACGGAAGAAGGCCGAGCGTCGACCACTTGTGTTTATGGGGGACATGGCCGGTCTGCGGAAATTAGACGGAGAATTTGACCAAATGGAACGACGCAACATCCTAGAAGCATGCAAGGATCGTGATGATCGTGCCAACCGACTCATGGACTTCTTCGATGATGCGATCCTGCATGGGCTTGGTATAAACCAGACTCTTTTAGATGAGGTTGCGGCCAAGGTAGCGAGACTCGATGCATCTACTCTTCGTGCCCCCGGTTTACCGGATTCTGAGATAGAGCAGATTCTCAAGTCTGCGGCGACATTTGCGGCGTCGCTCAAAGCAGATTCAGAGGCCATTATCCGCAGCTCTGAGGATGCGGAAGTGGCCCTCAACGACGCCGACTACGAGGTCTCTGTCGCCGAAGCGCGATATGCCAATGCAGACCCAGATGTCCTCCATCGGTTGGCGGATGAGAAGAAAAAGGAAGATGACAAGATCCGCGCCGATATGGACTTAAAGTTGCAGAGCATTCAGAAGGGGCCGGTGCATATTGAGACCACAATCGAGCGCCTGCTCCTTGCCTTGCGCAACGAGCCCCGAGGCGCAACCCCGGTCTTTCCTGCTCAGGCGCCCCTCCCGAAGAGTCCCCTCAACGAGGTGCCTCTTCCTCCGAGTCTCCGCCCTGCAACAGTCGCTCCTGTCTCGTCTCCTAGTCCAGAACCCGTGAGCCAAAGCACGGACGAAGATCTGGAACACAAACAGAGGCTTCGGAGAGCTTTAGATGAAGCCAAGAAGCGGAACGCCTCCAGATAACGCTCTTGGCACTCTCTTCCGATATCTTGGGTTGAGAGTAGGAATTTGAACATATTCATGACGCGACGAATTTCCTTCATGCTGATATACCCTGTAACCCTTGACGAGTTCTCTTTTTCTTTTCTATTTTCGTTGTCAATTTCCACAGTCGATACCCACAGTATGCAATGTACCAGTTGAACCAAGGCTAAGGCCAAATGACTTGATTATTGTGCTTCGCACACGTAGTTGACCTGGAATTCACCAATCCTTACCCACTTGTAGATCGTAGTGCTGTCTGAGTCCTCCTTGACTTGGTGAAGGGCTAGATCGACCTAAACGAGATTGATGTGGACACCGAAGTATGCCTAGTTCGGGACAATCGCATAGCATGAGACGGATACTTTTTCCCCGTTGCTGCACGAACTTTTTTTGACTGAGCATTCCGCGCCTTTCCTGTGTTTCCTTACAAGCATGAAGCATCACAATGTCCTGGGTTTACTGCCTCCCGATCTGGTCTTGGTACTCTGATAGTTGATTTCTTGCTCTATTTTTTCCTACTCTTTAACTCTTTAAGAGCCTTCGTCGTTCGACCCCGATGCACTTCGAAAGCAACAAACCAATTGCCCTCTCCTACGCGCCATTGTGGCTGCGTCATGGACAGGGGCCCAAATCAGTCAGTGATCCAACGTGCAGGACAACACAAGGAGTGCACGGACGAAATCTACGAACCATCAAGCACCACGCTCGGAATTACCTCCTACGCCTCTTTCGAAAAGGATCGCAGATCAAGGCACAATTTTTAGGCGCTTAGGGATGGTGATTGGCAAGCGATAGCCAAGCCCCAGGGCTAGACGCCAAAGCTGCCGATCGCCAGTGTTGCGCAGTCAAAAGTGGCTGCCGCAGCTCAACGGGCCTGTCTCCAGCTGTCTCCGTTGCTTGGGCCACACCAACTTGCAGGGATAAGGCATTACATCGAGACCCAATACCCAATTTCACGGGTCCCGCTGCGCTGCACAGCTTCTTGCGTGCTATGCTCGGATTCGCCGCGCCGTCGCACTATACAATGGGTATCGAGTAACTTGCGGCCGAATGAACGACACATAGCCTCCTGCGCAGGAGATTTGGGCTACTCGACATATCGTCTTTTGAATCGTACCTGTTTCGGTTAACTTCCGGTGATCCACTTCCTTTTGAGCCATATGCAAGGCAGACCCGGGATATCACCAACTTATCGTGCGATGGGCTTGGAATTACCTATCGAATCGGAAAAGGAAAGACTGCGGCGGCGCCGGTCTGCCTCCCCTCGGCTGCGCTCGCCGTCCCTGGAGATCGGAGTATTGGCTTCTTGCCACTTCCGCCAAGCAGCTAGTCCTCATCTTGGTTTGTAATGACTGTCGCTGTCATTTTTGTTGATGCACAGGGATTTCACTGCGCTTTTTCGCTTTTCCTCTTCTGAGGCATGGTTGTCGCGTGGACAAAAGAAAGCCACAACAAAGAGCCTCGGGCCCCCGGGCTATCCGAGTGGGTGGCATCTTCGCAGTTCTCCGCCACAGAAATCGCCAGTGTGCAATCGTGACCAACGAGGAACGCGCCCATATTGGCGGGTCTAACGGATGCTGCATTGGGACTTCCAGAATTCTTTCAATTTCCTTTCGGTTGCTCGGGCGGCGATCGCAACTTCGAAGTGCTTCTACTTGGTTGGTAAGTGCCTACAGCTTCAACGATATTACTGTACAAGGGTAGTATTTCTCCGTCCCTCGTTGTGTCCTTGCTTTTTGCGGTGTGATACCTGCCACTGAGGGGTCGATTTCGATATTGCCAACAGCGTCTACTATGCAAATACGAGATGCAAGCTTTGCATTGGCCAACTGTAGAACAGCCTTCTCGCAACTCTCTGTGATCAGCATACAACATGCCGATATTAACTTTTGATTCGAAGTTACATTCCCTGGCAATTGCATGCATTGCTTGTGGGGAAGACTGACTGCGCAACGTCTTTACATGACATGGCTCTGTGTCCGGAGACCGCCATAGCCATGCCCAAATCTACCAAGAATGTGCTCCGGTGCCAGCCACCAACCCCGGATATGTCCATAAGAACCTCCGTTAGTGGACGTCTGTGCGCTGCGCGATGATGCTGATCAACGACAGGGTACTAATGCTAGGCATGATTAGACGGTGCGGCTTTGTTAAGACATCATCCCTTCGTTCTCTCCTGCGCGGCACATCTCATTGAGCCTCTTAAGCTTTTCCCCCTCTTCGCCACCTGATCACTTACTTGCCTTTCTCGCTAAGCGCCGTTGGGAAAAAAAAAATCTTGCAAATCTCAAGATTGATTCCTCCCCTGGAAGATCCAAGATACAATTAATTTGCGCAGGTGAATTGGACTGCGAAAGCATGAAAATCATTGTGCCTCTCACAATGGCCCCTCCTTATTTAAAGCGGGCGCCAGGGAAGCCCGTTCCATGGTTCAGAGTACCCGCTTCCGTCCATGGGTCGGAAGAACTCTGTGAGTCTACGAAAGTCCACCCAGTGGGAAAATACATCAGTTCTTCGCTCTCTGTAGCCCCTCTTTGATTTCCTCGTCTACCGCCTCCCTTTTCTTTCGTCATGTCCGCTCCAACACGACAATTTAACAGGTTGTCCATTGGTCGGAATATGTCAGAAACGACCCTGCCTGCCAGAGTGGCCCGCGCGGGTCGGCCGGACCCTTCCGACGACGACAGTGATCATGGAGAAGACGACAGTTCATCGGAGGAAGGCTCCAATGGTGGAGACGAGGCAGACAAAGAGGACGAAAGCAGCGATGAAGAGGAATCCGAATCGACTAGTGCTTCTGTCCTCGCAGCGTCAGGCATTGCGTATGACTTAAGCCAACTAGATTCCGAGTTGGAAGCCAGTGCCATTGTGGGTTTGAATGGCGGTTTTGATGTTGTCAACTGTGGTTCTACTGCCGCAGGGTATGACTTCCAGCTATTGGATCGACCGCATGTGCACATTGGCCCAGACTCGACCACTTGCAGCTGTTACGCCTTCAAGAATCGACCGGACGGGGCGTGCCAGCATATCTTCGTAAGTGTTTCCTGTTGGGGGAGGACTAGAAGATCATAGAGCTCAAAACGTCCATACTAACCTCGCGTCCCTTAACAGTGGCTTCTCGACCAACTGCACGGCTGCTACCTCTCTGCGCCTCAGTCGATCGAGGTAGCGCTGACTCCAGATGGACGCCCAGACCGCCTCCCGCGCATTGAGTCCCTCTTAAAGGGTGACTTAGGGTCGGTTGCAACGCGGCTCGAGTGGCAGTACCTACGAGACGAGGACTCGACAGGCAAGGGGATGACGCGGACAGAAAAAGTCCGGGACATCTTCTCTGCGTTCAGCAGCCGCACTCTTCCAGAAGACACCCGACGGGACTTGACAGAGACGATCGAGCAAGCACGCACAGCAGAGCAATGCGTGGTGCAGGGAGATTTCGAGGCGACCATGTTCCGTCTGGCAGTTCATGATGACGGGGTATTCAACAGCCTCTGCAAAGCAATGCCTGCAGGCGCATGTGCGGCTATCTACTTTGACAAGATACAGGAACAGACGCGCCGACTACTCAACGACTTCGACCGATACTGTGTGACTGGCGAATTACCTGCAGAACCCGTGAGCCCCGGCTTGGGTGTAGAGGTCAGCGATGTCGTGACACAGCTTCAACGGGCGGTGTCTCAGATTACAACCAACATTGCAGCCCGTGCCCCGCATGGCTCTGAAGGTGCTGCCGAGGCTCTCGTGTCGCTCTTAGAGTCGGTCGTGGCTCGCAATAATGATCCTCTCGAGGGTAATCCTCTAGGCCGCGAGAGCTTCCACGGTGAAGACGAGGACCAGCGCAATCTGTATCATTTGCTCATCGGGTCGGTCGAAACAGACTCCGAAACAGACGCGCGGCACTTTGTACTACACGCGCTTGAGGCTCTACCGCCTGCGGACCTCCACCAATGTGCCAACCGGCTGCGCGACATTCTCCGCAAGATCGAAGTCAACCGTGCTCCGAAGCCATACCTTATTCATCTGGGCAACATTATCCGTATCGCTGAATCTTCTGGCTCCGGTGCAACAGGATCGGGGCAGAAGCGACCAGCGACTGGAAATGGGAATTCGGGAGGATACTCGAAACGAACCCGATGAACTATTTCCATTCTGTCTTTCTTTATGCATACACTTTGTTATTTTGTTCTGGGAGGCTATCGTGTTCATTCCTTGCAATACCCCTCCTGCATCTTGTCTTTGCGTTTTTCATCGGTGGTGAATCGTCCAGCTCTTTTTGTGCGTATATCAGCCATGTCATTCATTTCCTTTTGATGTCTACATATCATCAGAACTGTCGGTACATTTTGCTACGGTCATGTACATACGCAGCACTGTTACGTGCTACATCATACAACATACGCAGCCCCTCGGGACCGAGCCTACAAATCCACTGTGGACATCAATTGCCGTGACCACCTAGTCGGAACTAGAAATTCCATTAGTGTCGTCATCCGATACCCAGTACTACGGCCTTGGGACCGCGCGTCCACGGTTGGCAGGGATAAATAGCCCCGATATGCAAAACTGAACCATGGATCAACTTCCGGTAAAAAGTGGGTCATCCAGATTTTGGGATTGTTCACTTTCCTTGGACGCAAAAGCACTCACGAATTAGCTCGAAGAAATTCCACCCCCGAGATCTTTCGAGCTCCAGCTCGGAATTCCCCCATGGAACGGGGTCGGCACTGATTCCGCACATCCAACCTTGGAACCTTTGAAATCCGTCTCACATCTGATAATAATCTATCTGTAGCTTAGAAGACCCCTAATCATAATAAAACCTGCCGGAGAAATCGGACACATTTGATCTCAACGTGCCGCTCCAAGTTCTAACACACGTCCAGTGCACAAGTTAAGTTCAATGATCCTTTGAAACGACTCACCAATTACCATTCTTGTCTCCGGATTTACAGCCATAGTCATTAGTAATTACCTACACGATTTCGGATTTACCTAACTAGTGCGCTCTGGTTTCAGGCTAGCTACTACTAGTTAGCACGTGAAGAAAAATAAAAGTGGTCCGCCACGTTTTCGACAGGAATGTCTTATTTCTTCGTCCCCACGAGGATATCCATTCAAATATTAATGACGTACGAATGGGATTCGGCACCGGGTCCGAGCCGAGTTTAGGCCGCGCCAAAGAGATCGAATGCTTGTGCTTTGTTTGTCTGGGCCGTGCATAACGACTTTGTGCTCCTGGTGTTTTCTCTTATTTTTTTGGCTTTTTAGGCTAATGTGCTTAGGGCTGTGTGAGTACCCACCTGCTGCAGGGGTGATATCTTAAATTTGTACAATGGATTTGTTATTGTATGTGAATGGGACTAGTGTAGGGCTTGATGGTCTGTGCGGGTAGAAGTTGTGGCTGATGGTTAGAGGGAATGATATGGATGGAACGTGCTTCGGTTCTATGGATAATGATGTGGAATTGTGGATAAGACACTGCTGGTGACCTTGGTGTTGGTGTCGGGCTGCTAGAGGCATGTAGAAGGATCGTACACCTACGATGGATGGACCATTTTTGAATTCAACATGTTTCGTTGCCAAACTATGCGAGTGTTCTAATTCTATCTCTGGGAATAGAGAGCTTGGTTGTGACACTCAGGCTCAGTCAAGAGTCAATGACAGATGGCATCCAAAGTGATCTTGTTGCTTCAAAATGAGAAGAACTACCAACCACCGTACATTATTCATCCTGAGTCGATAGAAGTTGAGCTTAATGAGCTAAGTACGAGGAAATATCGTTTCGCTTCCCATCTTTACCAGGGTTTGAGTGACTTGACCATTGGAACGTACCTCGATCTTATAGATGAGCTCCGTTACCTATTTCGTCGACGGCCTCCGCCTATGTAGGTATTGGCGCATGATGATTCCTTTGCCCTGTGACCACACAGATGAGCTCCGTTGCCTATTTCGTCCACGGCTTAGATAGGCATCGGAGGTGTATTGACGCATATTATTCCTTTGCCCTGTGAATCACTCCTTTTACCACTTACAACCTCTTCACTAAATACCTACCCATCACCAACAATAACATTTCTACTATTTCTAAATACAAAATGACTCTACATCGCCAGCAACCTATCAGGCTCGAAACCCTCACCCCCTACACAGATTGGACTCTATGGATGCATGATCTCGAGTTCCACGCCCGGCTCGAAGGAGTCTGGAACTACTGCAACCCCGATGCCCCAGACGACGAAACCTCGGAACTCCAAGAACCGGAGACGCCACACATCTCCACAGTGAGGCCCGGCGCCACCTCTATCGTTGATCTAGGACAATCAGACTTCGCGGAACTGTCCTCTGTGGTAAACCAATACTGGCGTCAGGTGTCCGCCTACGACAATATCCAAGACGGTCTACGTACCGTCTTCGAGCTCATCAAATCCCACGTCGACGAACACCACTCAAATCTCATCAAGTACGCCGAAACCCCGCGGGAACAACTCACAATCCTTTCTCTCGAATTCAAAAAGCACCACCTGGCGCAAATGCAGCCAGAGTGGGAGCGTATCCAACACCTGGCTCGAAGCCCCCAAGTACAAGAACTCTTCGAGCGCTGGAAGGACCTTTTCGCCAACTGCGTTGAATACATTGACCAAGACGTCCGGAAGGAAGATGCCTTCTGGGATTGTCTCGAGCCCGCGACGGGCGCGTCGTCGAGCTCGGCGCTGCATTCACAATACTGGATTGCGAGCCAGAATTGGGTTCGGGATTTGGAGTATATGGACCGTGTTGTTAGGGCTGCTCAGCTTCGTTAGCAGGCTAGAAGGAATTGGGGTCACATCGTCTCTCGGTTTTCAGTTGACGGTTCTGGGGCTTCGGGAGACACTGAGTTAGCGACTCCGACTAAGTGTGCCACTCCAAGCTCTTACCATGTGGAAGAAGAGTGTACCCTGCCTCCTGTATCTTCTTTTGACTTTTTGAACGGTCAATGTGGTACTGTGCGTGGTCTTTCGGTGCTTAATTCGGAGTACCACGGTGGTGAGGCTAGCTCTTCAACGTGTGTGGAGGATGGCTTCGGAGGGGACGATGAGTGTGTCCGAGAAATGATGCAGGGTTCTGGTGTGGAAGGGATGTTTGATCTTATATGATGTTGTTTCTATTATGCGTCTGGGAAATACCTATTTGCTGCTATGTCTGCGAGGGCGTTTGTTTACTGGATGGGCTATTTGACGTCTACTTGTGCTTGAAACTACTGAACTTCGATGTATAGTACTGCGAATGAATTTACTTTTCAATCTTCATGTGATCTTGGCTCTAGATGAACGAGAGGTCTGTATGCTTTGCGTTCAAGTAATTCTCGTAATATCGTGGACATAGGTAGCTCAAGGCGTCCCGAGGTGTCCTCAGACTGTCTTCTCATACTACACATGGGTTTTAAAGGCTGTCCCGAAGGTGCCGTCTGTAGTAATTGGCTTCCGGGGTGAGGTGCAAGATGAACGGTCAAGATGAACCAAGATGAACCAAGATGAACCAAGATGAACCAAGATGAACCAAGCGACCATTCATCTCGACCGTCCATCTCGACCGTCCATCTCGACCGTCCATCTCGACCGTCCATCTCGACCGTCCATCTCGACCGTGCATCCTCGTTCATCTTCGTTCATCCTCGTTCATCTTCGTTCATCCTCGTTCATCCTCGTTCATCTTCGTTCATCCTCGTTCATCTTCGTTCATCTTCGTTCATCCTCGTTCATCTTCGTTCATCCTCGTTCATCTTCGTTCATCCTCGTTCATCTTCGTTCATCCTCGTTCATCTTCGTTCATCCTCGTTCATCCTCGTTCATCTTCGTTCATCCTCGTTCATCTTCGACCGTTCATCCTCGTTCATCTTCGTTCATCCTCGTTCATCTTGGTTCATCTTGGTTCATCTTGGTTCATCTTGGTTCATCTTGGTTCATCTTGGTTCATCTTGGTTCATCTTCGTTCATCTTCGATCATCTTCGTTCATTTTCGTTCATCTTCGTTCACCTTCGTTCATCTTGACCGTTCATCTTGACCATCTTTAGACCGTCCAGCCTTACCATTCATCCTGGTCATCTTTTGATCGTTACCGGTCGTTCAGATAAGTTCAGATCACTGCACTTGACTCTCGTCCATTTCAGTCCTGACCACCTCGCAATGTCTTCTTTCGATTTTGAATCTTTGACGGGACCCTCTGGGGTGGGTCAGCAGGACAGGTTCTGTGTCGTTACTGACCAATGGCAGCCTGTCATTGACAGCCGAGCCGGATAATGATACGGTATCGCACTGCCGTATTTCCGTCCGCTCATAATGCACATTTGGTCCAAAGTATCCATCAAGGCCGGCTGGCCCAATGGCAAGGCGCTTGACTACGAATCAAGAGATTGCAGGTTCGATCCCTGCGTCGGTCAATTTTTTTGTGTTTTTTTCTACATTCACATCATCAAGTCAACTTATGTCTTTTTTCGCTCCCATCTATTTCTATTCTCAATTTTCTGTCTCATCAGGCAGAATAAACAGTTATTGGTACATTCAGGGGGCGGATACGCTCAATTGGTGCAGAAAGCCACGGGCAGATTCGCATTCTCATCCATGCCCGGGGGATATATCCCCCTATCCGTTGAGTGTGCATACATTCGTCCTACAGCGGGCAGACCACAAGCAATTTCCCAAATTTCCAATTCAATTTGATAAACCGGGCTGGATGAAATCATGAAAATATAGGTACCTAATCGCACAAGATGCCACACTACGAAAGATCAAGTACAACCCGACCCTGCAACTTCCCCTCCTCCATCTCCTTAAACACCTCGGTCAACGCATCCATCTTCTCCGTCCTAAAGTGCGCCTTAATAATGCCCCTAGCAGCAAACTCCATCGTCTCAATCGCCTCCGTCCGATTTCCCACCGCAGAACCCGTAATATTCAATTGCTTACTGATCATCGCAGACGGGAACGCCGACGCAATAGCCTGCGGCTCATGTTCCGGAACGCCCACACAAACCAGCGTGCCATTAAACCGCAGCAACGGCACAGCCTGCGCATAAGCCCCATTCGCAGCCGTGCAGACAAGCACCGCATGCGCACCCAGTCCATCCGTCAGATCTTGCACGTGCTTCGTCAACGCGGCGCCTTTATCGTCCTTCGGGAAGGCTGTGATATCAACGAAATGTTCCGCGCCTGACTCTTTGGCGATTCCCTCTTTGCTGCCGTGGTCGATGCCGATTACGCGCAACCCCATGCCGCGGGATGCTAGCTGCACGGCGAGATGGCCGAGGCCGCCGCCGGCACCGGAAATGACGACCCATTGACCGGGGCGGGCGTTGCTGCGCTTTAGTGCGGAGTAGACGGTTACGCCGGCGCAGAGGAGGGTGCTGCTGCGGCGGAGTCGAGGTCATCAGGGATGGGGGTTACGTAGTTTGCCGGGCCGAGGGCGTATTGTTGGAATGTGCCTGGAGTGTAGTAGCCGGAGACTTTGGAGTTGAAGCAGACACCGTCGGAGCCGGCCTGGCAGGGTACTGTAGGGTTTGGTTAGTTATTTTTTTTTTTCTTTATGAGGGTTTGGTTGGGATTGGGATGGAAGGAGGGTAACGTACGGCAATTCCCGCATGCGCTGGAGACCCATTTGATGCCGACGCGGTCGCCGACCTTTAGGGTTGAGGACTCGGTGCCGGGGCCGAGCTTCACTACTTTACCGACGCCTTCGTGGCCGCCGACTTGGCCCGGCTGCGTTGGGTAGGGGAGCATGCTCCACTGGTAGGGGATTAGCCGCCTGAAATATGGGAAAATGGGAGACTGTAGGTATGTCGTACTGTGTTGGTCATGATACCGAGATCAGAGTGACACACGCCGGAGTGTGTTCTATCATTGTCAGTACTATCGCCACGAGGGAAGTTGACTTAGAACGTACAGGTTAATCAAAACCTCGCCGGCACTAGGCTCTGGCACATCGATATCCACGATTTTGGTCGAAATAGTCCCAGGCTGGTCGTAGATGACGGCCTTTTGCGTCTTTGGGATCTCGGAGATAGTCATTGTGAGTGATGTACTGATGGAATGTGTTTAGCTTGGATGTTGAGGATTGGAGTCAGTCAGAAGAAGGAATGAGCATTGGTAGAGAGATATTCGCGGGGTTTAAGACTAGATATCCAAACGATCCCTGATTCCAGCCCTTCCCCGCTCATGCCAAGTTAAAGAGGAGTCAAAAGCGGAGAAATGTGTTGGATGTGGAGAGAACGACGGAGTCTGGAGACGATCCGCGGGGTGGGAGGCTTTGGTATTGACGGATCATTGGTGTAACCTTGGATACAACCTTGCTCATACTCGGATAGGAGATGTGCATGCCTCGGATATTGGTTATTTATTCACTGCGCAGGGTATTTATGTTGCTCGTTGTGCTTAGCCACGAGTATAAGTCGACGATGACGAGAGGGGGGAGGTGGAGTCGCGGGATGACCTCGGCTGGATTTGCATGAGACCTGCAATGCAATGCATGCTGATCTACGCTGATATTTGTATGTGAAACGGGGCATAGAAGAGGAATAACCAGAAGGGGTAAATAAGAGTGCACAGTCAATAGCAGACAAAACAGATGTCGTAGTACATATCGCAAATTGCCCTGGTGATGATTAACTCACGTGAGGTCGGACTAACCAGGGCTTGGTTTTTAGATAGAAGACAAATTATTGCGCTGATAAGATCTTTGTGCATGCTAATTCACTCAATATACTACCGAAATGTTTCTATGTGCATAATCGAACATAACTCAAGTTCACAATCGAAAGTTTATGCATAAGCCGCCCAGCCTACACAAATTAGTAACTCGTCACGGATAGGGAAGAGCGAAAAATACCGCAATACAACAGAGCGAGGTTTCTCTCATCGGTCGCCTGTTGAACCAATTCATTCACAGTAGCAGTGACACTGAGCGTCTTGCTCAATTTCTTAGCCACCACAGTTAGCGCGCGATCAGCCTCACTGGGCTCATTTTCATTCTTGGACATGTTGTCCGCGCCAGGCAGAGCAGGTGGCCCATCCCCGGCCTGGTTATCCTGCATCTGCATCTTCTTGATCCTGATCGGAGAAACAGTCCAGCTGTACAGAGGATCATAGCGCAGCACATCAAGGATCGTCATGATACTATACGATTCTTGGCGCAGAGCCTCAAGAGTGAATTCACAGCAGCGTCGGAAGACACCCTCCGTCTTTGTGATACCAAATCCGTCGACAAGATCGCGCGTCAGACGGAAGGGGACGACCTCCGGAACGGGCAGAACGCGCCCTTGTTCGAAGGCTACACCGAGATCAATATGTACCACTTCTCCGGTCTTCTCGTCGAGCAGGATGTTATGTCCATGGCGATCACCGAGACCGAGCACATGGCCGAGGATCGAGATCGCAGCTGTGCTTCGTGTGTAAGCTAGTCGCTTGTTGAACCAGTCATCTGGATTCTTGAATTTTTCCATGAAGAAGAATTTCATGACGGGCTGGAAACGCTCGGTTACGTGACGGTAGACGCGGACGCGCTGCTCAACAGATTTGGTCTGCGCGTCGGCGATGTGTTTCCGGCAGGAGTTTGGTTTCAAGTCCCGTCGGTAGTACCTTTGATGCGCGGGCATCAGGTAGTCATGTAGAGGAATGGTGTTCGGGACGAACTCAATAATTCCTGCGCTTGGGGTCAATGGTAGAACCTTGTACGTTCGAATGCCTAAGCTCCGTTGGCGTGTTGGTTGGTGGTCTTTCAGAAGGCTGCTGACTTGCTCGAATACTTGCTCCATTATGGCGTCTTGCCGCAGGTCGTCATTTCCTCCTTTGAACTGTTGTCTTGGTTAGTTCAGAGACGCAGAGAGCGGTCGAAGGAAGACTTACCAGCTGCTTGTAGCGCTCACCGTTGGACGCAACGGCAGTCACAATTTTAGGCGCGCTGACACCGGAAGCAATTGTGAATTCAGGTTGGAACGTGGAAACTGCGGGAACTTGACTGTAGTCGCAGTCTGCACGGAGGGCTATTTTCATCGTCGGTGGTGGCAGTTTATAAGTGACGGCATCTTGCCCCAGGCGCTGGCCAGTTGGCAAGTTCTTCAAGGGGACTTTGGCTCCGCTCTTGTACTTGCTGTCCGGTTTGTCGACTGCGAATCGCACATAGCTGATGTTCACATTGTGCACGGCAATCCACGTTGGGCCGATCTTACTATCGCGCTTGAGATCATCCACAAGGTTGTTTGCAGCGTTGAAACGGGAGTAAGATGATGGATCTTTGCCTCCCTTGGACTTGCTGCTGGCGAATATTTGATACATGCCGTGGAAAGGATGCTCAACACAGATTCTGAATATCAAACGAGTGAGTAAGGATTGGAAGTCGTCAGTAACATCGAGCAGACGAGAGGACAATTGATTCATCAAAGATGCGAACTTTCGGCTGGGGACCTCTTTGAGATACCGAGAGACGGCTGAATTTGCAATCGCACTATCCGATTTGTCAAGCCAGAGTGCACAAAAACGTAGTGCATCATTGTTGTAAGTGTCACTTTCCCTCAGGCAGAGGAGGTAGTTTGTGAGGCACTGCTTTAGGAAAGCTTCCCGGCCTCGCAGCAAACGCTGATATTCTCGATCGTCCAGGTCGAACCATTGCTTTGCCTTGGCCCGATAGTTCTGCAGATAGTCTTTCTCCTTGCCCGTGGAATTCTTCATCATCTCCTCCAGGCCAAGGACTTCTCTTTCCTTCCGATCACGCAATTGTTCGATCCTCTTGAAATCTTCAAGTCCATCTGGGTTCAATAGCTGCTGATCGCAGAAGGTTGCAAACCCGTGATAGACTCGTCCGGCCTCTTCTCCATCGGAGCTTCCTTCCAGCTCTTTGACTGCGGGATACAAATACTGCTGGACGATGGATTCGGGATTTTCCAAGCGCGCCTCAGCGACGTGGTGTCCCTGAATGTGTTGTTAATACTTCTCATAGCACTTAAGGTGGTCTCATCGAGCGCGCTAGCTCATGCAACTTACCAAGGTCACTAGCAATTCAGCCCTACTAAGGGGGATTGCCTGCGTAAGAAGATCATTCTGGCCCTTCAGCTGCTGGAGCATGCAGATGGATGCGGCCATCTCTCCTTGATCCCATAGTACATTGGCAAGGTCGAATTTTGCAGCCGCGTCGATATTCAATCCCAAATCTGCGCAGGGTCCGGCAAGCTTCAAAAGGCTCATCGCGGACTTGAGTGACGCCTGCGAGATACCATGGGTTCGTGTGATCTCCAATGACTGTCGAATGACTCGTGCTTCTAGCAGTCGTGAATTCTCAAGACTCAATGTAGCCTTGGACTTGAGGATATCGCTTTTTCGGATGGATGAAGATAAAGCCTCATGCCAGGACAGAATTTCTCCGACCTCATGATAGCTGCTCTAGTCAGTATACCATAGACAATGCTGCAATTTCGATCCACTCACCTCTCCGTTTTTAACCAGCTGCTTCTCGCCAAGATGTTCTGCCATTCTTTCTCCATATCTTCAGGGCACGATGAATGCAAAGTGTCACTGATTTCGGTCATGATGCCCAACGCGCGCATTGAACTTCGCAACTGGATAGCAGACCGACCAGTTTTGAGAAGAGAATCCAATGTAGCCAATAGACCGCTTTCGACCGAGCTAGTGACTTCGAGGAGAGAGCCTGATGTATTGAGACTTTGGAAGGTTCGGAAAATGGTAGCAGATGGTGAGGAATCCAAGGGCGATATTGGAATATCCCATTTCTGAAGACTAGTTGCAGCTTGCAACATGCTGTCAAAGGCAACAGGCGCATCAGTTGCACTGCTCGAGGCAGATAGCATTGTATTGGAGATACCCTGAAGGTTGGTTGCATTCAAAGCCTTCAGAACTCCATATGACTCCGCAGTGCCAGACACCTGTAATTCGCTGTCGTATTTTGCACTTTGAAACAGGAGATTTTTGAAACCGGAGCTCTCATATTCTAACCGCTCCATGACACTAGTCAAAGATGAGCTCTGCTGGATGCCGTAGAACAAGTCGGGGTCATCTATGTTCTTGAACACATCATGAAGCAAAGCAGCTGGCGGCTCGTATTTCGCGCGATGTCCCCGCTCAACCCCAAAGATTCTGCATGTTTCAGCTTCCAGGAAAAGCAACGAAGTTTTATGCAAGCCACAACGATGCGCAGCCGAGGACGCCTCCCCTAAGTCCAGGTTAAGCCATTTATCGCGGTCGAGTATCGAATTTTCAACTGTTAAAGGTTGATTGCGAAGATAGAGAATGCAATTGATCACAAGCTGAGCATGAGATAGCGTGTCCTCATCAACCTCACGCAGTACCTGTTGGAAGGCCGTGGAGAGACGTTCCTTAACTCTAAACCCTTTCTCATCCGTCTCTGACAGCAACACATCGTGTACGATGAATGGCAACAGCTGCACTGCTAGGCCCGGAGTCACGCTGAGGATCTCGCGGAGAGAGCCGATGACTGGGTCTTTTATAGCATTGCATAAGAACAAGGAAACTCTGCGAGCCCAATCGGATACTGAGAGCCCAGAGGTGCTGGAGAACGAAAGCTCAGAGGGGTTGGCTACTGTAATTATTATCGGTTCATGCGGTGAAAGCGAAGGTAAGATGGCGGGGCATGTGTATGCCTTCCAGTTGAGAGCTACCATCAGAGACCTCGGGATCACATCACCGCAGCCTCGGAAGTCTGGATCAGCTGCGATTCTGCTGACGATCAGTTGCAAAGTGCGCTCAACCAGACCAGCTCCAAAATGAATTTGTACGTGTAGCATATCGCAAAGGACCCGAAGAATCTTGACCTTAGAGTGGCAGAAAATACCAAAAGACAAAGAAGCTTCAGGGGGCTGCAATAGCGAGAGGTCTTGTTCTCGAAGGAGTAATTGATCGATGCTTCCAGTAGCAGCAAAGGATCTTCCAATAACGCGGGCAGCCCAGAGCCGATATTGTGACCCTCCATTAAACTTCTGAAGCGTGTGCCATAGAGAGACGACATGTGAAGTGGAATCCTGGTCTTCATGGGAGGACGGAGTTCCATTGGCGGAGGTCTGCTCGAACTCTGGGCATAGGAGCGACAAAACGAGATCAGCCACAGGACGACTTAACAGCGAAGAAGACGAATCGCGATCTTTGAGCACCTCAAACACCAAGTCCTTCCCAACTTGCCCTCCCGATGGGGTATCTGATTCTGAGAATCGCTCAGCCAATGAGACAAGCCGGTCAAACGTGGACTTTGTCTCGGTGTCCCAGTCAGAGGAACGGAGGTCTTCAAGAAGCTCCACTAGCCATTGGTAGAACCTTTGGGCATTCGATTGCACTGCTCTCAGCTGACCTTCCTGAGCTGCGTTTTCAGGCAAAGAGGAAAACAGTGTCCGGAGAGTGACCAGCGTTGATACAGCAATCCCCGCAGTAAAACCTGGCGTTTCACGGAGATAAGATTGGCCTGCCTCGAGTAGATACCAAAAGACACCAAGGGCATCTTCAGAACAATGGATGTCACCAAGGAAAGGACGCAAGGAGCCGAGTGTCATTTCCAGAGGATAATCTCGAAGCATGAAAGGGCCAACCACGCATACTAGAATTCTTATCTTGCGAATCACAGAACAAGCATGAAGCGAACCAAGAGCGGGATGTATGGATTCAAGGAGTGAACGGCAGACAAAAGACACCAGCGATGGCGTCCATATCTGTATTGCGTCAAATTCAAATCCAGCCCGGACGCAGAGGAATTCCAGCTCGTCGAGGAGATAACGCGCTCTGAATGAGGGTTGTTGATTTGCTGGCAGCACAATTTGGGACGTGCTTTTGCTGATTATCTTCTTCTGAATTTCGACTGCGTAGTCAAAGTCCTCACGCTTTGAGAATGCTCGTTCAATCTGCTCATAGTAGTCGAGGGATTTGAAAAACGCCGCGACGATCAGCGGGAACTGCCTTTCGATTTGTGTCATGAACTGGGCTTCGCCGAGCAGCTTGCGCAAACGGAGTTCGACGCTTATGCGCTGATTACCTTTTTCTGGTGGGGTTGTGATATCTCTTGCGATACTGTATGCCTCGGCTTTGTGGAAAGAGCCTGCCACAAGATCGTAATGGGGAAGTTTGAGATAGTCCGCAAGTTCAATTGTCTCCTGCTCCTTGGCACGCATCACCATCTGCCCAACAATTTCATCTTTGACGTCTCGCAGCATGTCTTGAAGGCTGTCATATCCAAATATACTGAATGGCATCGACATTATACTCTGGGTTTCAGCCCAGGTATAGAGGATCTGAGACGAGAAAAGTCGAAAGAGTTCTTTGGCATCTTGCAGACCAAGAGCTCGAGAGACCGAGGCCATGCATCTCTCGGCATACCAGAGTGATAGTGGTACTTGAGCTGGTGTCTCAAAGAGATGGTATATGCTTCTTCGCAGCAAAGTATGCCATCTCGATGCCAATTTAGAGAGCACATAAAGACGGAGGGCGATTCCATCGACCCATTCTGGATCTCGGGGCAGACTATCCAACACGTCGTCAAAAATGGCATCGTGATCTTTGAGAAGAAATCGCTCGAATAGAGCAGGGATACATTGTGCAACGTTGAATTTGACTTGAATACCGCCTTCCCGAAGGATTGTGAACAGACTTGTTCGTGGTGACGGAAGATGCTGCTCACTCCCGTATGACGGGCACGTGTCAATCACACATTTGATAAGCCCAGATAAAGCAATGTAGACCTTCGGAGCTGCGCGCTTTCTGGCCAAAAGGACTTCAATGAACCAATTATACAAATCCATGGCGGACTCTCTCAAAGTATCATCCGGCCCGTTCGTCCATGACTCAACAAAGCTCGTCATCATGCGGATGCAAACACAATGCGAAGTCTCGCACCGTTCCATTTCATAGGACTGAAGACACTTTTCGCCTAAGTCTTCCAGAATGGCGAGAAGTTCAGAGGGCTCCGATTTCGAACAGAGTTGGAAGATACCAGGCAAAGCAGCTTGGGCTGCTAGGAGATCAGACCCATCTAAGCCTGTCAAGTATTCGACAATAGATGAGGGCACACCAAGTCCTGCTTGGGTTCGTATAAATATTGATAGCTGAATAGTCAGAGAGCGTTGGTATGAGTCTGGGTCAAGGAAAAGAGACGGAGAACTCCGGTTCATGGTCAGGATCGTCTTATCGGTCACCAGCGAAGTTTCGGCCATGAATCGATCGTCCAAATCCATAGGGTCGTCAGCCGCAGATGGGCTCTGTGCGTCGTGGCGGAGACGCTCGAGCAGCGTACAAAATGGAGCGATAAGTTCTTTTAGACTGTCCCGGATGGAGGACGGAACGTCAGGCCCTGTCAAAAGACAAAGAAGCGGCGATAACAAGTCCAAGCATGAGTGAATGAATGCGGGTTCATGCGAATGAGCTGCAAGAAATTCGCATATGTCGCCCCACAAGCTTTCACAGTTCTGGTGTAGATCGTGTGATCGCGACTGAGACTGCAATGACTGAGGGAGACAGGCCATAAAGAGGGAAGCCACAACACAGAAAGAGGCCAGAATCTGCAGGTTGTCTGGGGTGATGTGTGACCGTTCTTTAATCATGGCCTGCCATGAAAGCAGAAACGACTCGGATCTCACTCGAAGCAGATCCAAGATCACTAGGTCATCAGGATCCTGCCTAGAAGAATGCTCCAAGGACCATGTTTCCTGCAGGCTCCAGGGGTTAGCGGCCATGGAATTTGTCTCAAAACCATAGTCTAATAGCTCGCGGTTCTCATGAAGAAAGAACCAAGTGCGAGCTATATGCCCCATTGGTCCGGTGACCTGATAGCGGGGGATTGAAAAGGACCGATTAGTACATGACAATAAAAGCCGGAGTAAATCTAGGGGCCGGGCATATGCAGCTACTCTAGCTGTTTGAATGCGATCAGTCACCGAACCTACATCATGGCTGTTAGAACGAGGAAACAAGAACGGTTGTACCTAGGGTCTCATACCAGCCCACACTTCTCGTAGCCAGCCACATATCTGCGTTGAGGCTTGCTGAGCCGACCCTGGATCGAGCTGTGTCTTCATCTGTGCGATGAAGGCCCATAGCCTCAATGACGAGTCCGATATAGCAGATGGCCTATTGGCAGAAGCAAAGAGTGACCGTGTTGTTTCCATCGCCACTGAGTAGTCCAATAGATCTGACTCCAAGATCATACTCAATAGGTTACACGCAGCCCTAGATGCCAGCGGAGACGAGAGCGCACGTGTGGTGAGTTCAACCACTCGCGGCCAGTGGGTTCTGAGTTCCGGTGTTTTGGCCGTCGCCCCTTTTGCGATACTGAGTTTAGGCTCGAGTTAGTATGCTGGCTTCTCATAAACTCCAAAAATCTCTTTGGGTGCGTTTCCAGGACGGGTAGGCTATCCGAATAGGATTTCTGGAAACATTTCACATACCTTGTCAAAGCAATCATGGTCCAGCATGAAACAGCGGCATTACCATCAGAGATGCCAAAGATAAGCTGCTCGAAGAAGGATTGTTTGGTCTCAAAGTCGACCTCAGATTCAAGGAATGGGATCAGTTGCAATGCGCATATTCTTTTTGTACCTGTGGCCGATACGGAGTCTCGAAAGATGTCTTGTATTTCAGAACTGAAGCGCTGCCTTTTGTTTGAACCTTCGCGCGCTGCTCTAGATTTGATTCGAGTATTGCTATCCTCTGCTAGCTTGCGTAGCTCCGCGATCAGCCAGATAATGGTCCAATTATGTTCTGATCTAGCAGTTCCTAGGCGAGGCCCATAGACTGGCCTGCCCTGACATGCTTCACTCTGATAGAGGGTCGTTTCATCGACTTGTAGAACCTCCTTTTCAGATCGTCTAATGTATTCTGAATGGAGTGTGTTGGCCAATCCATCAATGTCCTGTGCCAAGGAATCAGATGGGTCTTTCCGGACAGTGTCCTCAAGAGCAATCACCGACAGCATCAGGGTGTCAAGCAGCTCCTCCTTGAGTGTCGGCAGCTTAGTTGCCCATAGACGCCGGATGACCGGAATCAAGTCCAAGAGAACCGATCGGACAAGTTCAGTTTGATCAAACAGTACTTTGGTAACGACTGTATTGATGCTATTGAAAGCGAGCTGATGTGCGTTCCCCGCAACAGATGACTCGACAAACTCCCCAAGTCCCTCAAGTATGTTCTGGGCGGTAGTTTGAAAAGGAGGATTTGGATGTGTTGTCAATAGTTGAATACATATTACAACTTCTTCAATAGCATTTCTATTGCCAAGATGCTTTTCCTTGCTGACTGGGGCAGGTGTCGTAGCCATCCTAGAAGGGGTGGAACGGCTGTCGTTGGCATCTTGATCTTCGAGGACAGATTGATGCCTCCGGGTGCTGAGTTGGCTCTCTTCGGGTTTGCAGAGGGTAATACAGGCAAGACAGAAGCTCATGAGACTCTCCCAGTCCTCTTCGTCAAGATGTTCTGTATGAGGGCGGTAGCGTAGAAGGGATGCCAAAGACTTGATATAATCCAGGCTGAGGGGTTCCCACAGACCTTCCCCTGGAACCGGTATTGCTTCCGTGATATGGTCGATGATGGCGCGAACTGTCTTAGTTCTTAGATTCTTCAGGAAGAGATCAACCGCGATTCGGAGTACGGAAGCACATGTCGACAGGCGCGATGTTGAAGAGGTTTTGGCGGACTTTTGTGCTCGATTGAATAGTGACCTTTCTGTTGCGACGAACCGGAACAGTGATTCAAAAATCTTGTGGCAAGCCTTGTCATTGAGAGATTGCCTAAACAGGTAGCATATTGATTAGTTACTTGATAGCTCCCAGGGTTGTTTATTATCGGGGGTAGTCGGACTCTTACAGCTTGGAACTCTTCTTATTTTGCTGCAAGATATGCTTCAAGTCTACTTAAGAATCAGCACCAGTCTTTCCATATTTCATGGAATAAGCAGAATCATCCTTACCAGCTAAAGCATCCGAACGGGCCTTCACCTTGTCTGACGCGAGAAGGCCAATCGTCTTGTCAAGAAAAACTTCCCCCATCGCGTCTTTTATTTTGCCGTCTGGTCCCGACCGCGAGAGGAACAACTTCAAAATTATCAGCCTCAGCAATTCTTCTGGCCACGAACAGCAAAAGCCATCTCGGATCAATCTGTTTGCGAGCAATCGAGTCGATAAGCGCAAGGTGATTGCGCTGGGAAGTGGAGTGGCAGTATTTGCGGAAGCTGTTTCACCGCCCGATTTTTGTCGCGTTCCTTCCGCCTTGCTGGATTGGAACAAACAGAGAGCTCGAGCTTCACTCCTCAACTTCACCCCGCCGTCATGGCAGAGCTCCAAGATACCCGGAACGGCCTGCGTGGTCTGTATCAAGATCTTTGCGCTCTTTCGGATTGTCAACTGTCCAACCTCGATCGCTTGTGTATCGAATTAGAAACCCATATTCGAGACTTCCGCAAACTCCTAGACAAGCCAGCAAAGAACAATGCCAGTCGTCAAGCTGTGCTGTCGGGTAAGTGGAATCAGAGACCTTAGTCGATTCAAAGAGACCTGTTTCTCCTCGTTGATAAGCCACTAACGTCGAATGCAATATTCTAGGAAAGATCACCGTGGCCGACGTTGACTACTCGGTGAACCAAGATTTCCAACAAGGAGTGTTACAACTTGCGGATGCCCTCGACATCGACGAATTGGAAGCTGCGGCTATGTTTTTGGTCGCTCAGGAAGATTCTCAATTGCTGGACAGGCCTCCGCTGATCGCTGCGATTATAAGCTTCCACGAACGCCGCCTGTTTACCCTCGAGTCTCTACGTCTCTTGTTCCGCGAATCGCAAGATTATGAACACGAATCGGCCCAAGAGATGACGCGCGATGCACTGGCTCATGTTCTTGACATCAAGAACGGCAATCTGCGCAACGCTTCCCTCTTCGCACGAAAAGCCCTGACTTCAATGGCCGACATAGAGAAATGGCTGTCGCTTCTTGGAGATCAAGTTCAGAAGGCCTCAGTGGTTGGTCAGGAGGATGATCGTGACATCATGGAAGCTATTGAATATCAACGCGTCAGTCTGCAGCAACAGCATGAGTCCCTTGGGGCGATTCTATACTATATGTTCAAAGGCACATACACGAGCAGCGAAGACTTCCGCGTACTTGTGAGTCAGTTGAAGAATCTGGATCGCTTCGACGGGCTCTTGTTTCACTACATCCCAGTCGCAATCAGTTCTTTTGTACAACACGGTTCTCCCGAGGGTTCGGGATCCGAGAAGGAAGCCCGAGACCTGCATAAATTGATCAAGGATGGTCAAGGCTGGAAGTTGTCAAATTTCCACGCCGCCTTTGTTGCTCTGTGGCTCTCGGTATACAGTGCATGGTACTTTGACGGACTTTCCTCGCCCTCTGTCGATGAACAAAAGGAATCCGAAGAGCGTGCGAGCTTGTTCATGTCTTCCCTCGATGATGGTGCTCTTGACTTCATGCTTGCAATCTGCTCGAGCGTCAATACCGAGGAGTGGGCGGATCCCGCGCGCAGCGAACTTGTGACACTGCTGCTCAGGGAGAGTGTCGTATCATTGCCCGACCCGGAGCCATGCTCCCCCTTCATGAAAGAGTTGTTGATGGAGAACTTTGAGGTTTTTGTGGAATCATGTATCGCAAATATGCCTGATGCGGTCCGACGGTTGAAATCGGAAGAGGACACACAACGACTAGACCAGATTACTGCACTTAGAGATGGCCTTAGTTCCAACCTCCACCGTGGCTTGGTAGAGGCGCGAACTCATCTCGAATCTCTTCTTATGATCATTTCGTTTGCCTTTGAACACCGAGAAGATGCGGCTCAGGGATTTTGGGCTGATCCTGATGGTAATCTTTATGGGTTCCTTCAGTGGGCGTCCAAGAGGCAGACTGTTCCTCGCGTCAGCGCTTTCTGCGAAATGCTATGCTCAATCTCCGAAGGTGAAGAAAATGCAGCCGCGGCGCATCGGTTCCTATCAGAAGAAGACAAATTCATGCCCTCTAAACTCAAACGATCCACGACAATGAATTGGTCGCAAATGTTCGCTGAATTGAAACTTTACGCATCGCGGGTTACCGAGAAGTCTTCCAATGCAACAACCTCGCAAGGGATACTGGGGATGTTTCGGCCACGGAAACCGGAGCCGGCGGAAATGAACGAGCCCGAAAGCCCTGTGATGCTGACATGCTATCTTCGATTAATGGGTCATCTGTGTAAACAGAGTGAACTTATCCGAGATTGGATGCTCCAAAACGAATCTTTCAATGTAATTAGCACCCTGTTGGATCTGTGCAGTGGGCCGATTCCGTCACATCTTAGGGCAACGACTTTCTCAACACTCTCAGCGCTCATGACCGGCAAACTTTCTCTCGTTGGGAAGGAAACATGGACCCGTCTCGACGATTGGTTATCGGGAGGAAGCATGAGTGCATCGGGCATTGGCAAGGTTCCTCTGGTCTCGAATCCTGCCGTATGGCACCAGCAACAAGCTTTGCAAAAGATTGGACAGAGCTTTGATCAGACGAATGCGTTTATCGTTCTTCTTAATGCACTTGTTGAGCCCTCACCCGACTCAATTGACGACCCCATGTCACTTCCTTTCCCGGATACCTTAGGTGGAACCTACCGTATGTCTGGGATAGAACCTTACATTGACTTCATTTTGGGTCATGCGTTCTCAAGGAAGATTCAAGACCTTAACGAATATCAATCACGTCTTTTGAACTTCAACTGTTTGGGCTTTGTGGTGGCAAGCCTGAAGTCATTCAATGAAGACCTGGTCTTAGTTCTCAGTCAACCGTCCGTGTCCGATTCTCCGACACATACTTCCTCGTTGCTCACCTATGTTCGATCCCATCCCTTCGCACGCGTGGTAGATTGGCTTTTCAACGAAGATGTGCTCAAGGCTTTGTTTGCAACCTCCAAACAGGATGTTTCGAAAGTTGCCCTTGCATCATCCGATTCTGTGCTGGTTCTGACCTTGCATCGAAGTCTGGAGGTCATGAACCTACTTCTAGACCTTCAGTCGACATACTTCAACATTGTTAAGCCGGTGGTGAACTCACAGCCCGTACCATCTCGGACTGTTGTTGCCAACTCCTCACTCGCTTCATTTGAGGATACTGTATTGAACAATCTGACGCTCATCCCGTCACTCTGCCTTTACTGTGGCACGGCGCATGCGGCCCTTACTATCATATCGATGTCATTACTCGAAAAACTCACCAGTTCTAGAAAGCTCAACAAGATGAGTTCTCCAGAACTTATCAAGTGGCAATCATCGAACAAGATTGTGGAGGTACTTGCCTCTGAAGTTGACGTGGATAGCATCTCACGACCTCTTGTAACGCAAATGGAGGTCGACGTGAGAGAACTCGAATTTGGGACAGATGCCGCTGGTTATGTCATCAAAGAAAGCCTTCTTGCCCTTTTGAACAGCTGCCTGGGAACGATCACGGATCGTCCGACAGTAGCCCATCTACTGCTTGGCTTCGACTGTGTAGGCAATATTCTCGATGTTTCATCGGAAGGGCTATTTGCGAATCAGAGTTCCTTGTTGCATGGCATCATTTACTTCCTGAAGAGTTATCCCGAAATTATCGATGGCGGCATCGTATCTTGGGCTGTGCATCTCAAGCGTATGGCTTTGGAGGTGCTGAAGCACCTGTGGTCGTCGAAGTTGGCAAGCTATTACACTCTTGGTGAAATGCGCGCTCACGCCTTCCTGCGTGACATGTTCTCCTACCAACCCATCATTGGACCGAACACCTCCTGGGATGGATTCACTGTCGACATGGAGGAGTTTTGGTTCACAGACGCGACGACAGCCTTGGCAGAATTCCTGCTGTACCGGAGTCATTTATTCACATATGCGGCAAGTGAAGTCCGCTCGACGGCAACAGCTAGATCACCAGCCCTACATGCCGAGATTCTGGCGGTCTTGCTGGGAAACACAGTTTCGGACAATGGTGAACCACTTTCCAGTCCATCTGTGTTTGATCTTTTTGATTTCGCAGATCTCGATGTTGGCCGCGACTTCAATGTTCCCCAACTCTCTTTACTCGGTGATGTTGTTCTCCAATTGGAAGGCAAGCGGGAAGAGGGGGTATACAGCATGGAAGAGGTAGAAGAGTTGATTCAGATGCGCAGAGCAGGACTCGCGGCCAATGGAGCACTCCGCACGGCAGACGAGGAGCGGTTGGCAGCAGAGACACTCGAGCTGAGACAATTCATTGTTGCATCAAATCAGGGCAAGGTTATTCAAATGAATCGCTATCACGCCCTCCGGTCCTGGGTGGAGCTCGTTGCTACGATCATCACTTGCTCTGCTATCGATGAAGGAAGCAGGCCGGCTTTCATTCTGCATTCGATCCAGCTGGTTCTTCCCAAGCTCGCAACAGCAATTGAGGCGGATCTTCCCGAGGCGGTCGAGCTAGCTCGACTGGCTGATTTGCTGGTCGGTAGACTTGGGACCGAAGCATCGGCAATAGAAGCATCGCGAAGTGGAGATGTTATCGACGAAAAACTCCACCAGCTCTTCCAACTCTGCCTCCGAGGCATCAACCTGGCGACGGGGAATGTGCTGTTGAGAGAAACGCTTTACAGTATTTGTTCCCACTACATCACACGCATCACGTCGTCAGCCACCAGCCACGAAAACCTCCGCGTGCTTAGTCAACGGGTCATTAAAACGGCCGGCTCTGGGTTGATTGAGGCGCTGTGCGATGACGCCTATACCGGCCAAGAGTCTTGCCGTGCATCCGCTCTCGTGCTATTGAATTGTTTGTCTGTTTTAGATCGACAAACAGATTGTGTTCTGGCTGAGTCCATCTCACGGTCAAACTATCTGAGTCTCTTCCTCGACGCCTTGCGGTCTCTTCCTCTTGAACTCCAAAATGCCCAGACAAATGGTCAGTATCTGCCCCTACCGAACGATCATGTTCTTGTATTAATCGCACCTACTAGACACCCCAGCACTACTGGCATACTATGAGTTGCTCCTGTCGTTACTTCAGCGGCTATCACAAACCAGGAACGGAGCAAACAGCGTGCTTAACTCGGGTCTATTCCAAGCGGTTCATGAATCGCGGCTTTTCGCTGCTGATCCAGACATTGGCATTGGTTGGTATATTCCTCTACAAACCCAGTGGCAGTTGCTAACCTTGTCAGATATTGAAAACCCAGATGCCCTTCAGAGATACTACGACCTCCTTCTTTCAGTTCTTCGGGTCATCGTCTATGCCGTCTTCTCCCGAGGAATCCAAAATGAACAAATCAAGGAGCACACTCGGAGATTCTTGGCTGAGAACCGGCCATGCATGGTGGGCATCTTCAAACGATCTGCCAAGATAGGAAATACGTCAAATGCCCATCACGAAACTTTGTTGGACTTGGTCAAAGCATTCATGGCTCTCGTTAGCGCCACCGATTTTATGGAGGTTGGTTTTCTTGCAATCTACCGGTGGATGAAATGAAGACTGACTTTTCGCATAGTTTGAGGACCAGGAAGTCCAACATATCACTCGACCAGCATTGTTCTCGTGAGCCTTTGTCTAGTGATGCTCACTGGAGAGTTGAGGAAAAATGCATGTATCATTATGACCCGGTGGAGTGCAGGCGGTTTCCAGGTTGAGCGATTTTTAGTTTGAATTTCATTGGCATCATATCCAAAGCCGGCGTGTGTAAATGTTATCTGCCCTGGACATTATCGTCATGCCCTGTTGACTATCCTACCTATCCTTTAAGATCGGATTGGAACAAGGGCATTGTAATGTTATCAAGCGCATTTGGCCAAGAGCTTTGATTCGTGTCATCCATGGACCAGATATTTGCCAAATGCCCACTTCCGTCCGCCCTGGGGACAGCCGTAGTGCTCCGCTTGTTCTGCTAGCCACGACTCCCACCCCTTGTGGAATAAATTCAATGCCCTCTCGGATCTCGTCTCCCGGCTACATGTATACAGCAGTGCAATCATATGGATATTCGTGGCCTGGAGATGCCGCCGCCGTAGGTTCCTGTTTCCTTGCCCAGACTACTTCGTTACCATGAGATGAGAAACCCTCCCGCCGGAAGGTAGACTCCGATGTTTAGACAGAGACTGCATCCAGTCTTCGACCTTCATCGCCGTCTAAACCTGGACTGGAGGAGTGGCTCTCCAGGTGCACGCTTGTCCGGAGACCGCCCTGGCTAAGCCAAGGCGGATACTCTGGCACTGTCTGACTTCTGAGGATATAATATTCCTTTCCTTCCCCTTCTCTCTTCTCTCCTCTCTTTGTCACTAATCACTATGCCTTGATGCGTTAACTATTTTGAAAGGGGACGGGGGCTGAAAAATGGAGCACTTCAAGAAATAAGAGCAATGAAGCATGTATGAGACATGAGGGTCATCAAAAAGTAGTTCACAAAATACTGCCGAAAGATTGTTCAATAGATGCCTCAGAGAGTCATTAAGCGGCAGCTAAGAAAGGAAAGCTGTCAAACACGTGATAATGTCATAAGTCACATGACTGCCCCTCTCCCAATAAGCCGTCGAAGCCGATTTTGGAGATAGTTTCATTCTTCCTCTTCTTTTCTCCTCCACGAATCTGAGATACTTATAGCTCACATCTTTCATCAGTAATTTCGAGTAACTGTCAAAAGCCCTGTGGTACGTAGAGTGGCCTTTATACAATCATATGGTGCCAGCTTTTATCCCTATCAGCCATCGACACTCTTTGCGGATAGCCACCTCCTGATCCTAGTCAAGGCAGTCACTGCAAGGCCCACGAATCCGATCCAGCCTTCGAGTCTAGCATCATCTTTCTCCAGGAGTGCCCTCACAATGAGCAAGCCATCAGGGAGTTCCAAGCCTGCCCCATGGCGTCACCTGCTTGACTCTCATCTAAAGCAAACACCCGATTGGGAGTTTACAATCGCGACAGTTGCATACGACGCCCAACAGCGCCCTGTACCTCGCCTGAGGACTTGTGGCTGCCGTGGATTCTTTCCAGAACATGATCTCCACCCCAAGGGTCAGGAAGCTATGGACCAGCAGGTGAAGGGTGGTGGCAATCTACCAGTCTTCGAAAGTGATATGCTGTGCTTCACCACTGATGCTCGAATGGAGAAGCTTTCACAGCTGGAATCGTCGGGTCACGCAATTGAAGCTGTATTCTGGCTGAAGGATCTTATGACCCAGTGGCGCATTAAAGGCACAGCATACGCAATTGGAGACCCAAAGCGGGAAAATGAACAACAAGAAAAATCATCCAGAGCTGAGATAATGAAGTCATTGAGAGTGAAGGGTGGTAATGGACAAGACGTGGAGGGATGGACCTGGGAGAACGCTGTCACAAAGTACTTTGCAAACCATTCCCCTGTTGCGAGAGGTATGTGTTCTCCATGATGTTGGCTCTCTCGTGTCTGTATTTGCTCCGTTGGAGATGCTGCACGATATAGAAAAGCCCCGTCTGTCTGTCATTGCAGGCTCATACTCACTGATGACTAGGCTGGTTTCGAAATCCCCCTCCAGGAAAACCTAGGGTCACGGTGCCCAGTGAATCTGGTCTTGGTCTAGGAAAAAAGGTCACAGATCTTAATGATCCAGTTGCTAGAGCAAACTTCCGTGTGGTTGTTATAAAGCCGGAAGAGGTTGAACGTCTAGACCTTACCAATCAGGAAGATGGCAAGAGATGGAGTTGGAACTTAACGGGAGGTGGCTGTGATGGTGATGCTGAATGGAACCAGACGGAACTGTGGCCATGATTTGTACACACAATCTGGAAAGAAAATTGTTGTATTGCTGCTCCTGAATCTGGTCAATGAGTTTCGTACCGAATCTAACTCTTTGCTGGCTATTGTGTGAGGGACGCAGTTTCTGAGTGTGAGAGCATTGCCTAGTCATATGACATCTCTTCGATCGTCGTCGTCGTCTCAGGGTGAGAGAATTGCCTAGTCTCATGACTTCCTTTTGATCGTCGGCGTCGTCGTATATAACGTCGTCGAACGCTTGCTGCCCACAATCAACTTCTTCCTCTTTTGCTCTCGAGAGTCGACGCCCATCCTTGCAATGTATTTCAAGACGCCCCAACTCGTTACGCCGTCTCATACGCTGTCGCAACAACCAGGTTTTAAAACCTTTCAATGCAATCTTCCCTCCCATCTGCCATTAGTAAATCTCCCCTGTCCATCGCTTCTTCTTTTTGCATCGCAGAACCATCACAGCTGACCAAACGCACGTCAACAGTGGCCGACCAGGATATGAGAAATAATGACCACTAGACCACAACGAAAACCCAGGTTCCTGTTTATGGCCTAGGGAGACCTTATCCCAGTGTATCCCAGTGTATCCGACTCTGACACAGGAGATGGCGTGCCGAAAGTGCAAGGCGCAGAGAAACGCTGCACGAATCTCAACAAGCCTGCAGATGCGCCAACCCCGGCAATGATGCCTGCCACACCCGTTCGTGCTCCTTTGGGCCGTAAGGCCAAGGCCACCCACGCCGTCGCTAAGGTACGTGCTTGATATTACCTTACTCTCACATTGTGCTGAGTGTGCTCTGACTGGGACTGAACTAACAAATTCTTACAGGAGCTGAGCCCCGCTCCCAGCAACGACAGCGATGCCCTTTCGTCCGCCCCTCCCGACGTTGAGAAGAAGTGAGCCGGCAAGGAGCAGGACACCTTGAAGGCGGCATGCGCTCTCTCAATCCACAATACATTCGTCAAGGAGCTACAGAAGAAGCTCGAAGGATATGAGGAGAAGGTGGTCGCAGCCAATGAAGCGTGCGTGGCTGCCCAGGCCTCCGCTGATGCTGTCCAGCAGACCGTGGACACCTAAGTCGCCACCTGGAAGGCTAGCAACCAGTAGGCCGCGTAGGCTGTAGCCAGGTCGAGTTATGATGGACCAGGTTACAGGTGCCTATCGCGCGGGTGAGCACGCGATGGGTCCTGGCCCGGTCGGCAATGATGCCCGGTTACATCTGCTTTTTCGGGAGATCTTTTTTCTTTTGTTTTGTTCTAGGTTTGAAGCAGCTGTCCCGACGCAGAATGGATGAATTTTCGAGATCAGTAACTATGACAGCGGTGCCAACTGGTCAGTGCTGGTTTGGCGCAACTAGTGAGCTTAGGTCTTCCCTTCTCGCCTTCTCTTGAATGGGCCATGAAATTTGGTCTCTTCGAAGGACTAATACCTATGTGTCTAAATTGCAGATCGCTTTCTGGCAGGGGGATAGCTAGCAGTGTAGATTTGGAACTGTCCAGTCTGGGATGTCAGGTACTATTTGTACGAGGTGACCATATAAAAGGTACTTTAGCACAGAATATCTTAGAATCTCACGGCCCTGTAGTAGATTGCCGACCATCCTCTGGGTAATTTAAATCCATCCATGATCCATCCTTGAGGCGTTGAATCCCGGGCGCGACGAACAGTTACTAATTGACTTTTCCGATTTGTCCGACATAACCGGGCCTGTTGTCACAATTCCTCGCGAATACTTGGTTGCTATCGCTGAAGATAGCAGTCCTGCCAATCAAACGATCGAGCGAGAGGAGCCCGAGGACCGAGACAACAATCGAGAGGGATGAACAGCCATTTCCCGACAACGGCGGCCCTGATGTCAATCTTCTCGAGGGTTATGGCCTGAGGTGTCACCGGACCCTCCCATAGCCGAATTTGACCAGCACCATGACGAATATGCTGGAGATGGCAGTTGGCCCAGGATTAATGGCCGGGTACTGCGGACGTGTGGTCGCTCTGGACCGATGCAATCCGGAAGTAGACTTCCTTGCTTGCTTGAGTTGCTTCTCTGTCTTGTTTTGGTTTCCCTTTCCCCTTTTCCTTTTTCTCGTTTCTTTTTCGAGCTGTTACGCTGTAAAGCCCAAGATCCTCAAATTCAAAGAAACCCGACAGTATTTTCATGTCGATCCGAAAGACAGTGATAATAACCTTAACTAAATCTTAATGATAAGCGTAACAAATAACCTCAAAAGTACAGATTCGGATTAATCCCGGAGACACCTTCGCCGGTCTCGGAATATTGATAGTCCGCCGTACCTTATTGTACTAGTGGGACTGTGGGAGAACCGCGCCAGGTTACAAGTTACGGCAGTGCCCAGGGCTCAAGGGATCAGAACGAATTCTGCCCGTAGTGAACCCCTTACCGCTATTTATACCGCTAGAACCCATTGCCTATTGCAGCCTATGTTGTAAAATTATCATCTCTGCAAGAACCGAGATGTGGAAGAATATCCGACATACATAAGCTAAAGGCACTGAGGCAACGATGCTCCGCAAGGACCTACGAAGAATTGGAGGAATTCCGACATGTATTGGCTGAAGGCAACGATGCAGACATGCTATGATGCTCCGCAAGAACGGAGAACTAAAAGAATTTCGAGATGCATGGGCTAAAGGCAACGATGCTCCACAAGAGCCGAGTACTGGAGGAATTCGGACATGCATTGGCTGGAGGCAACGATGCTCCGCAAGAACCGAGAACTGGAGGATTCCAAGATGCATGGGCTGGAGGCAACGATGTTCCGAAAGAACCGAGATGTAGAAAGAATACACCTACATCGTTTGCGCGCGGGTCCAGCACCTCAATCATGAGTATCAATAGATATCCTTGAATATGTGAGTCGAGCATAGGTCCTTCTTCGACTTCAAGAACATACATCGTTGCCTCAGCGTAGACTAACGGTAACCAGAGCTTCTGGAGTATTTATACTCGAGGCTTGCCCCTTGTCCGAACGTTCCCAATCCCTAGGTTCCCACTTATTCCGATTATTCGACATCCACACATCATCCACACATCTGCCGATAACATCATCACAATGAAACACCCATTTCGAAAGGGCACCAAGCCCCAAACCGTCGATCAGTATTGGCACAATCTCCACATCAATGATGATGGCACGAAAGTCGAAGTTGTGCAGTGGATCCAAGGAATCCAACGAATCCAATCCCTTGAGCCCTGTGCACTGCCGAACGTTGAAGGTTCTGGACTTCTAATCCCCTGCTTTATCACCAGTGGACTGCTTCGATTCAAAACACTCGATCTAATCTAAAGCATGTGCCCACCGCTGTTACGAGGTGACCATGGTCCATTGAGACAACACCGACTGGTAAAGCTCAACTTGTTCCAGCTTGCTACCGATGCACTTTTGTCAGACCTACACGCTACGCTTGACATGTGGCCATATTTGAGCGACCTCAGAGCCACCTACTGATGTCCTCGTATGGATGCAGGCTACGTTGAATATTACAGACCGGAGAATAATGGTCGAATGACACTGTCATGGACGAACTTCCAAAGAAAAAATTGCGATTCACTATTTACAATTGCAAAAAAGAGGAAACAGGGCAAAACAAGACTAATCCTCAGCCGGCTCTCCATCTCCCTTCGGTGGAAGGTCCATGCCACCTTCCGGGCGTCTCGAACTGATTCTCAGGCTGGTGCTGCAAAGGGGGCTCGGGCTCGGCGCCAGCCCGCCTGATCTGGTCCTCGAGTTGTGACACTCGGTCGATCAGCACCGTCATGTTCGCTTCCAGCGCCCCTATCTGTCTCTCGTGGCGGACGACAGTCTGTTGGAGTAGCTGCCAGACGAAGCTCGCCGGGACAGCGAGGAACTCGCTGCCTGCAGCGGGGACCTCGGTGCCCTCAGCGGGGTTGACATTGTTGGCTGCGGGGGTCGTGGCACTGATTGCGGCTGGGGCTGCTGGTGTTGGCACTTGCGCCCGCGCAGCCCGCGAGAGACGTGGTTTGGGTTCCGACAGACCCCACTGCCCGGGAAAGGCACAGCGAAGGGCACGATATAGGTCATAGAGGCCGGATATGGCCCCCTCCTTCGGCTGCTGTTGGAGTTGGATTGGCAGCATCCCGAAGTCGTCGCTCATCTGCTCTCTGAGCATCTTCGGGGCATTGGACCGCTTCAACAAATCGTCGGCGGGGACACCATTGTTCACGAAGGCAGGCTGGACTCGGTCGTGGATCCGTTGTATCCACTGCACAACTTGGGCTTTCGTGCCATCGTCATTGATTTGGAGATTGCGCCAATACTTATCGACGGCTTGGGGCTTCATGCCCTTTCGAAATGGGTGATCCTTTGTCATGATGCAATCGGCAGGTGTGTGGATGATGTGTGGATGTCAATTAATTGGAATAAGTGGGAAGGGATTGGGAACGTTCGGACAAGGGGCAAGCCTCGAGTATAAATACTCCAGAAGCTCTGGTTACCGTTAGTCTACGATGAGGCAACGATGTATGCCCTTGAATTCGAGGAAGGAAGTACGTTCGAATCACCTATTCAAGTCTATCTATTGATATTCACTATTCAGGTGCTGAACCCGCGCGCAAACGATGTAGGTGTATTCTTCTACATCTCGGTTCTTGCGGAGCATCGTTGCCTTTAGCCCATACATGTCGGGATTCCTCCAGTTCTCGGTTCTTAGGTGCGGAGCATCGTTGCCTGTTAACCCATATATGCCGAAAACACAAGGAGTCTAGCCAGTCCGGTCAGACAGGCAACGATGAGGCCATTCGGATACAAACTACCACAAGCTATTCGCGAATCATTCGCATAATGCGGAACATGCGCATTATTCATACGGCTCAATAGCGGTCATTATATGAAGGTGGGTTTGTTTCGAGAGATCCTGCTACAGTTACCAGTCTTTAGCTGTTAACCATTGAAGATGGAAGAGCGCAATGGCAGCATGGGCCTAGAATAAATAGATGCACTGGGAGAATACCGAGAAACGGTCCAAGAAGCTACCTGCAGATATTTGGTGGTAGATGTGCGTTATTCTGTCATTGTCGGGATATTCAAATCTAAGATCACCCCGTCTTTTGCTGGCGTTAATCGGATCACTGGCGCAATTTTCCCACTACACTGGAAAGGAGTAAAGAATATATGTGCTATAAGAAAAGCCCGCTCAAAAACACCCATGGCACTGATACCGGGTGAGTGAATCTGCAATGATACCCTTGGGCCTTTGTGGCTTTGCCGCTGGATCAATAAACTTTGGGATGGGCAGAATGAAGGTAGATTGATAGGTACGGGATAGGTCACAGGTGTGATCAGAATTAGATTAATGTTAGTTCGACGAGCTCATGCTACCATTCAGAACGCGATATGACAAACTGGATTTGATACTGTACCTCAGAATGTTCAGATTTATGATCAAAGGCAGCAGTGGCGTGGTACCTATAAAGGCTTCACTATGGGCAGAATTTGTTTTGATCCCCTCCATCCCATGCCCGTCCATTGAGCCATTGAGCCATTGAGAAGAGTCAGAAGACAAAGCGAACTACTTAGCTTTTCCGTAACCACACCTATAAGTTAATTCATTCCATAGGTTGACACTGCTCCTATTTCATAGCTAAGAAAGTCAGTACGGATACAGCTCTCTCAGCCCTCTCTTGCCTTCGTCTGTTTTTCTGTGCTTCCATGACAGCGGTGCCAACTGGTCAGTACTGGTTTGGCACAAGTATTGATGAAAGTCTTCCGATTATAGGATATTCCCTCTTGGAATTTCAATAACAATATTAGTATCTAAAATATAGCCACCCCTAACGAAGGTAATAGTGATTTTTAGATGTACCTTTCGATTATCATATTCATACGCGGGGTGTCCACCAAGGCTAAGAGCTCGCTCTTAACCCAAGCTCGCAGAGCGATCGGTTAAATGCGTTCCTCCATCGCAGAGTGCAGACGACTGCCAGATATCAAATCTCCGCTCTGCCAAGAGGGCTGCGCCTCGGAAACATTTGCGCACCTCACACTCGTGTCGAAGCAGGGTCGCTCCTTGCCAAGACAAGCCACGTGATCGGACTTGCTCCTGGGTGCGGAACGGCACTAGTATGTTCCGGAGAAGACAAGCGGAAGAAAACCTCCATATCAAGATGGTTCTACAGACAATCATACAAGACCAACTCATGCGCACCATATCCTCCAAGACACGAGATTTAAGATTATTATTGGATACCACTAGACTTCAACACTCCGCTGCCCATGGTACGCGCCAGAAAGGCAAGGCCTGGCTAGCCTGGAACTTCCCGACGGTCCACGGACACTCATTAAGGGCAGCGGTTTCCTGGGACGGCTCCGCCCAGCGGCCGGCAACCTGGTTCTTTAACCTGGGACGACTGAGTGACAACAGGCTTGCAAGGGAAGATAACAAACCAAGACTTGCCTGAGACCAGACTTGAATGGTAAATACTGATTACATAGTACATATTGAAGAGCGAGAAACGCGAACCTGTCTGCGAACCAGGTCCGCCACTGGGAGTAGTGTCACTACAGGAGAGGAGAACACAGGGGTGGTCTAGAAGAGGAGAAGTGTGTCTGAGGTTGTCCTATCCATGTGATGAAGCCTTTTATATCACAAATGCTGAATAATCCGCACACCGCTCATTTCACCACGATGGCGCAGTTCTCCCACTACAATATCTATATCGAAAGGCCATGTACTGATGGTCAAAGTACAAAATTACATACTATGGACTGGGTGGACAATCCACCCGAATGGTTGTAGCCTTGTAGGAGAGAAGTTTGCGGCAAGCAACCCATGCGCACGGACCCCGCCACGCGTTAGCCCCCCGCCCGTCCTCACGTGGCGTGATCTGCACGGCACGGACCGTACACGGACCCGTAACCTTATCTACGACATACAGAATTACAGATATGCATGCATATTACAATGAACGTCGCATCCCTGAACATACATTGTGTTCAGATTGAATATATATGTAAATTAGAATAGGATAAGTGGATGGATAGTTAGTGCTTGTACCAGGCATCACACATATAGAGAGCTCGAACAGAGACCAATGTTAGTGCACGCCGCAACTCCTGAAAGCAATAGGTTCTTCAGCGAAGAAAAGGAGAAATGAAAATAAATCAAACGTGCAGGGGGAACAGCAGCCTAGGTTCATAGGTTACCTTGAAGGGCAACTGTTGCCTAAGATACATCACAGTTACTCGGGAAGGAGAGATGCAGAGATTTCTTTGTTCTATTGATGCGTTATCCTATTAAGGAAGTGTGCTAGTATTTGCCATTGACAAACGTAATTGTGGGTTCACTAGTAAACAAAGAAACAACTTCCCATTGGTCGATCAGGGTGATCCTGGATTATCCAATCAAACACAGGGACTTCTCTGATCCCGTTCTCGTCCGGGAGTATAAATAAAATCTTCCTCTTCCTCGAATCTTTCTTCTTCTTCTTCTTCTTCTCTCCATCATTTTTGATTCTTTCAGTTGAGTACAACATGAACACCAACATCAACAACCAAGTCGCCCCCTCCACAACCACCTTACCCCCCACCCCAAGTAAGTCACATGAGCTATCATACCTTGACACGTCCCTGTACTCGATGATCTATTCATCCATCCATCCACTCATCCATCTACTCACCCATCCACTCACCCATCCACTCACCCATTCACTCACCCATCCACTCACCCATCCATCCAGCCATCCATCCATCCATGCAAATCCTCAACCTCCGGTCCCTCCTCCTCATACTCCTCATCCGTCCCAAACGTCGCAAACTGCTAAACCCACGTCCGCGCCGACCTATTGTTCAGTGCGATTACTGTGCCTGCGATTGGCAACTTGACCGTATTCCCCGCCCCAAGCGGCTCCACTGAATCCCTAGAAAGGGTGGAGGTGCCCCAACCATGTCCCCTCCGCGGACATGGTTTCAAAAAACACCTTTGAGGGTGAGGTGCGGCCGCGTCGCGTTCGGCGGCCGCGGAATATGGCGTTGTTGGACTGCGACGTTATAGTCCCTGATGACCCCGATGACAGTCCGTTTGATGAGGCAGGCGTCCCTACAGGGGGCGTCGTGCTGGATTTTATCGGCGCGGTCAAGGCACAGCACGCCAAACGTCGGCGGCTGAACGAAAAGAGGAAATCGAGAGGAAGTGCCTGGACTTGACCAGGCAGATAATGGCCGAGTTCTGTTCGACCTCGGGCGATGCCTACCTTGCCTCGGGTCCCCGAGAGGCCTTAACTGAAAAGATTTTAAGCGCTGTCCGGGCCCTGATCGCCGGGAGCCGGGAGATTAACGCAGCGATCGCGCTTCTTTCCATGGCCGGTGGCCAAGCCTTTTCCGTCGGCGATGTGCCCTTCGCCGACGAAACCAGTGTCCCGTCTGCTCCCGTTTCGATCACTTCGTCTACCCCTATTTCGGTTTCTTCTGAGGAAGAGTCCCCGAGACCGAGATCCCACCTTTTTCTTCAAGGCCCCAGGGGGACCTGAGCCATCCTCAGAAGAAACCGAAATAGGGGTAGACGAAGTGATCGAAACGGGAGCAGACGGGACACTGGTTTCGTCGGCGAAGGGCACATCGCCGACGGAAAAGGCTTGGCCACCGGCCATGGAAAGAAGCGCGATCGCTGCGTTAATCTCCCGGCTCCCGGCGATCAGGGCCCGGACAGCGCTTAAAATCTTTTCAGTTAAGGCCTCTCGGGGACCCGAGGCAAGGTAGGCATCGCCCGAGGTCGAACAGAACTCGGCCATTATCTGCCTGGTCAAGTCCAGGCACTTCCTCTCGATTTCCTCTTTTCGTTCAGCCGCCGACGTTTGGCGTGCTGTGCCTTGACCGCGCCGATAAAATCCAGCACGACGCCCCCTGTAGGGACGCCTGCCTCATCAAACGGACTGTCATCGGGGTCATCAGGGACTATAACGTCGCAGTCCAACAACGCCATATTCCGCGGCCGCCGAACGCGACGCGGCCGCACCTCACCCTCAAAGGTGTTTTTTGAAACCATGTCCGCGGAGGGGACATGGCTGGGGCACAACCATCCTTTCCGGGGATTTGCCGGTGCCGCACGGGGCGGAGGAAGACAATCGACGTGCCAATGGCAGGCACAGTAATCGCATTTGACAATGGGCCGGCGTGGAGGTGGGCTTAGCAGGTTGCGGCGTTTGGGATGGAAGAGGAGTATGAGGAGGAGGGACCGGAGGTTGAGGATTTGCTCGAGGAGTTTGGACCGACGCTTGTTGCGTTGGGGGAGAGGATTTGGACGACGCAGGCAGAGGTTACCGTATGTTCTGCTGCCACACTTTGCGCAACGGATTACTTGTCCGTTAGAGTTGGTAAACATCTATACCACTTCGAGGGAGAAGTGCTCGCCTTGATAGCAAGCGTTAGGATCTGTATTTTAATACGAATATGATTACGCCGAGAGAAATGAAACCGAGAGAATTTACAGAATTTAATAAGTAATATCGAACAAAGAGTAGGTTATCCACTCTGACAAGTAAACGAAGACAAAGCAAGCAAGTATCCATAGACCCTTTGACCCACTGGATGCATATCGTACATGTACATTCTCCGAGCTGCTCAGCACGTCGCCAAAAACACCAGGGGAGTTGCGGGGCCCCGTTGAGTCAGGAAGACGAGGCCGGAGTCGTGGGAGAAAACACAACATCGAGAGTTATGTGGCCGCTCAGAGCGCAAGCAAAGAACCGAACATCTAAATCAAACAACGGAAGTGAGATTCACTTCTTGGTAAATTGGCGCTTTTGCGCCGGCTTCTCCGAAGCCTGGTCGTCTGAACGTGAGCGCTTGCGACTCGACGCAGGGATGCGAGGGGCGACCTCTGTCTCTGAGTGTTCCTCAGAAGAAACCGAAATGGGGCTAGACGGGGTGATGGGAACGGGAGCAGAGGGGTCACTAACTTCAGCAGCGTCGGCGATGTGGCCTTCGCCGACGGAAGGGGCTTGGCCACCGACCAGGGAAAGAAGCGCGATCGCTGCGTTGATCTCCCGGCTCCCGGCGATCAGGGCCCGGACAGCGCTTAAGATCTTTTCAGTTAAGGCCCGTTCGGCGTGCTGGGCCTTGACCGCGCCGATAAAATCCACCACGACGCCCCCTGTAGGGACGCCTGCCTCATCAAACGGACTGTCCCCGGGGTCATCAGGAACTATGACGTCGCAGTCCAACGACGCCATATTCCGCGGCCGCCGAACGCGACGCGGCCGCACCTCACCCTCGAAGGTATTTGCCCCAACCATGTCCGCGGAGGGGACATGGTTGGGGCACAACCATCCTTTCCGGGGATTTGCCGGTCCCGCACGGGGCGGAGGAAGACACCCCACGTGCCAATGGCAGGCACAATAGTCACATTTGACTATAGGCCGGCCACCGTAGGTCGTGCTGGCACACTTTGCGCAACGGATTATTTGCCCGTTGGCATCGAATTCTCGGAGATTACTGGGATGGTCATATGGAACGAAAGTGTGGCCACCTTCCTTGGCTGGCCCCGGGACCCTAGTCAGTCGCTCGATGCGGGACTTCAATCTGTAGTTAGTGAAATCCTTCTGATTGCGAGCGTGACCATCTTCATCGGAGATGACCATCCCATCCACTCCTTCAAAATGCTCCTTGATGGGCTCAGGAACCCGGTACTCCGTTTTCTTATAGTAGCCAGCTCGAGCGATCAGCGTCGAGAAACTGTTGCGGACAGAGCACTTAGGGCAGTGCCAGTCACCTTTCGGAGGATCCTTGGGATCCAAGGGAGGATCCAAGCATTCGTAATGGTACGAATTGGGACATGTATCACAGCACAGAAGATCCCCTCCGTCGCCACACTTGCTGCACTCGTCACTGTTGTCTGGCGGCTCGCTGTAACGTATCATGTTAGCATGTAGAACAGAGCAAGTCATGTCAAGTCACATCAGGAAGGTAGTTCACGTACATGGAATTTGGCATCTGCCGAGGTGGGTGTGGTCCAGACCAATTGTTGAAACGGACAGAGTAAACAGAGTTGGACATCGACGACACATCCGAGAGGGTCGTGTCAATAGAGAGCGAGCGTGAGCGCTCAGCCAGCTCGTTCTGGCGCCGGTCAGAAACAACTGACTCAGGAGGTTCTGAAGCCCCGAGGAGGGGAAGGTCAAGAATGGACCCAGTAAAAACAGAGAGGGAACGCGACCGATCAATTGGGTCAGTGGTAACTGGGTCAGCGTTGTTAATTGTGTGAGGGTGGTGAATAGCATCTGGCGGACCGATCTCATCACGAACTGCGCTGGTGGGAATGATGTCAATCTTCGACAGCTGTGGCAAACGGGCACGCTTCTGTAGCATATTTGCGTCGTGATTGGGATCTGACTCCCACTTGCGTTTGCGTCTGTACGCGTTCTCCTCAGAACGGACGGCCGTGTTCGACTTTCCGCTCATAAATGCCTCCCGAAGTCGAGGACCGCTTGTATCACGATAGATGTCAGAGACCTTGAAGGTGTCCTCCGCGTTAATAGTATTAGCAGTAGGCTGGCCGGTCTCCTTTCCAGAGACAGGATCATCTGAATCAGGCGGGACGTAGTTCAGGTACCACTGACGGGCATCATTGTAATCGTTCTTGAGCAGTGCCATGAGAGCAAGTCGCAGTAGATTGTCAGCACTGCCATCGGAGATGCTGGCAATTAGAGACATCTTGAATTCATCATTTACTGCATTGGACCAAAGGTACAACACACTCTGAGCTGATCGCTCATTGCCACTCTCGAGGGCGTGGACGATGGCGACCTCGATGGCCGCTCGGAGTTTGAGGAGATCATATTTGTCGGACGGTGGAAGTGGGATTGACTTCAGCACGGCGACATACTCGTTATCCTCTGCACTTGCAAAGGGAACCGGCTCAACAGGGGTGACTCGGAGGCCCTCGTCGTCCGGGATGGGGGTGTTGCGATTGGTCGCGTCAGCGGGGGATACGACATCTTTAGAGATCGGGGTAACTGCCGCTTCTTTGGCAAGTTCCTCATCATAGAGCTCGACGGCGACGGAGTTCTCAACACCGCTCAGGCGCCCATATTGAACGGGGCGCGGGATGTGGGCGGTAGCGGCCGCGACGCGCTCCTCAATTTGTTGAGCGGAGAGCGGTCTCACGCCAGCAGCCTTGTATTCCGCAACCGATGGGTATTCCCCAAGCGGTCTCATTATCTGCTCAGTCTGAGGCCGAGGTTTTGGCTCCGGCCGGGCGGCCTTCTTCTTAAGCTTACCTGAAGCCGCAGGTTGAGAAGAGACCTCTCCGGACGGGGCAGGCGCAACAGATCTGTTAGGGTTAGTGCCATGCGCTCCAATGCCCTAAATTTTCAGGCTCAACTTACTTGGTCTTTTTGGTCTTTTTGGCCTTTTTCTCGGTTTTTTTGTGCTTTTCTTTTTCTCCTTTGCCGTCTTCTTCTTTTCTCCCTGTGCGGTGTTTTCTTCCTCTGCGGTCTCCTCCTTGGCAATCTTGTTTTCCTCGTTTTCCTTTTTATTGTTCGCGGCCTTCTCTTTTCCTGTATAAAATGAATTAGCATTGATCATCTTGTAAAGTTTCAAAAGCAAAGTGGACAGGAAAAGAAAAGGAGACAACAGAGAGATGTCACATGTGGCAAATCCCCATTTCACCTGAACAATGCAACACCTCGTTGGACTCTTTCCCCAGCCGACAAGTGATCAGATCAGTGGGAGGGCGACATGATGCCTTGAGAGACATGGTCTCCGCATCACAAATGTGACAGGACAGACACAGTAAAGGCTAGGGACCAGGCGAGAGGTTGCTGCAGACAGAGAGAGAGGCAATACTTACGTTTCGCGAGAAGGCGCTCTGAGGCTCGGCGGATAGTCTCCATCATCTTGAAAACAAGGAATCAAAGTGAGTGGAAAGAAAAAGGGAAAAGAGGTGACGATAAACAGAAGAGACGAAAGACGAAGTCGAAAGACGCAGTCGAAAGTCGAAAGACGCAGTCGAAAGTCGAAAGACGCAGTAAAAAGACGCCGTGAAAAGACGACGACGAACGACGGAGTTGAGAGTTGAAAGATGAAAACGAAGATAACAGATGAACGATGAACGATGAAACAGGAAAGAGCAAATAGAGAAGAGAGAGGTGTTATGACTAGGAGAGGAGAAAGAAGAAGAAAAAGAGAAAGAGAGGTGCCGATAAAAAGAAGAGACGAAAGACGCAGTCGACGCAGTCAAAAGACGCAGTCGAAAGTCGAAAGATGCAGTCGACGTAGTCGAAAGTCAAAAGTCAAAAGATGCAGTCGACACAGTGAAAAGACGCAGTCAAAAGACGAAATCGAAAGACGACGACGAATGACGAAGTTGAAAGATGAAAACGGAGACGAAAGACGAAAGATGAAAGATGAAAGTTGAAAACAGCAGAGAATAGCGAAGAGAGAAGTGATATGAAGAGAAGAGGAGAAAGAAGAAGAAGAAGGGAAAGGAGAGATACTAAATAGTCCAGGAACACGACATGGGGGACCTTCCCCTTTGGATCAGCGTTATTGTGCTCATGTGAGTAAACAATGAGATACAATACACCTGAATCGCCTTGACTTCCAAGGTTCCTTTGCTATTGTTTCGAAGGTGTTACCATTGGGCTTCAGCGTAGAGAAACATGGTTAGGTACCTACCTCTATTGATACATTGACTCATTAATACCTATTGTGCTCTATTGATATTCAGTGTCAGCCTGTGTATAAAGCTTCAACAGACATCCCAGATGGGGCCTATTCAGCTTAACCTAGCTAGGCAGCCAGTCCACCGCACACCATTTGTCGTAGACACACAGCCTAGCCTTCACGAGAGGAGATTCATATACATAGTACTGGACTCGCCTTCACCCACCCCATCTCACGGTCACCCACAAACCCACCATCTTTCAACACCCCCGTAGGTCAAAGATGTGCTCGAATTCACGCCAGTGGACATCCAACTCGACCCGACAACCAACCCGACAATCAGATCCTGATTGCCAACTGGGCCTTATGAGGACAGTTGATCCGTCAAAGCGAGTCCACTCATGAGCTGCTCGGCTGATCTTGACCTTCGAGATGACCAAAGCATCTTACAATCCTTCCATAATACGTTAGAGTCATAGTGCTAGCACCACCACGATCTCAATTGCATCTCCATCCTTTGTCCGCAAGGCATCATTCCCCCCAAGAAAAACAAAAAGAACCAAAAAGGCAACAACTCCATCTCTACACCTTTAACTATTCTCCCGCAGCAGCGAGCGTCCTCCGACCTCTGCAGCCCCCGGAGAGGCATCATCCGACGTCGACAAGAACAAGCCGCAAGCTGCCGCTAACATGCCTGCCGATACGTCTTTCCGGTTCTGCCTTCAGAACAGTGGCATGAACGCCGCTCCTTATGCTGTTTCTCACCTATGTCTCCAAACTTACCCCAGCCACAGTACGAGCCCGGCGCCCAACCATTGGCGACCCATCTGCCTTCACCTATCCATCCACTGGGTTCGGACAGCTTTCGCCCTCTGACTACCGGGCCAATCATCCAGCGGATGTCTTCACAGCAGGAGAGCATTCGCACGTGCCGGCAGATCAGAACCACTTCCGTCTTGGACAGCTTGACCCCACCACCGGCAGCTCTGGCCAAATGTTTCCTGAAGCAGAGTATTTGCATATCTACCTCAGCAGTGAATTTGATGACACCTTCTGGGCCGTGTCTAGTGCCAAGGGCCAGGGCATCTCAGGATGTTGACCGAAATGCGCTGAAATTGTCATAGGTAGTTTAGGCCGGCAGAACATGAACATACCTGAATTACAACCTGTTTCAAAGCCCTCACTGCATGTTGGAGAGGAAGAACTGCGCCACCCCCAGAAGTAGTGCCTCGGGGGTCACGCTTAGATGAAATCTTAGGTTACACCGCCCATCCTCCTGCAAAACACAGGCAAACACACAGAAGGTAGAACACACGTCTCTTCTCCTATGAACCGTTATTCAGTATGATTCCCATAAGTTTCCAGTAGCCTAGTAGGTGCCAAGACGTGACGGTGCCCAATAGCTTGTTGTCGGGCGGCGCATTGACGTCGGGCTGGACCAGGACCTTTTGTCATGGTCCTGGTCACTGGCGATGAAGTCTGGACATGATGTGCAAAGTCGCGATACAGGATCCGAACAGTAGTGACGAAGCAGCCGCCGAAACAGTTGTCTGCTTGGGAATAAACAAGGTAAGGATCTTGCCTGGATCTTCTAGGTTTGGACATGTCAAGACTCCAGACTATCTAAGGCTAAGGTGTTGATCGATGTTTATAGTCTTTTGGTCGGGCTGTTACCCCTGGAAAGTGTTGTTGAACTAATGGCACGCTGACTACGGCTGCCAACGGTCTTACATTACCTAGTGGGAATTTGGGAAAATACAACTGAATTTCAACCAACAGCTAGAACCTGTTCCTCCTGGTCCAGTTCCCAAAACTGCGGATTTAGCTTTCCCTCGGCATTAGCCCGCTGTAGCAACAGCTCTGCCTCTTCAGCCGCATTCATGCACCTCAACTCTTGGATGCAATGCAGTCCGGAGAACACATCGGTAATATGCGCCTGTATCCCACGCACGCGGACAAGCGCACGATGCCAGTGCTCGAAGTCAAAGATTGTGATTTGCGCATGACGGAAGTCTTCGGAAAGGCCGGTTTCCAGATTGAAAGGAATGTTTATGCCGAGATAGATGACTAGATCCTCTGCATAGAATCGCTGTAAGTCGTATCTGTCCTTATCCGACAAATCCCCAACTGCTTCTTGGGCCTTTTTTATTTTCCGCGCAGCTCGGTCCTCCTGGCGTCGCGCGTATCGAGCCACACCTTGCAAGGCGGATTGGACATCTGGCGTTTGCTCGTTGAGGTCAGAGAAAAAGTCCAGGAATCGAGAGATTGATTGGACGCTGATGACCGAGTCGATGGCGGATTTCAGGTCGTTGATAGTTCGGCGAAGCTGTGGAGGGAGCCATATGTCAGCAGGTGTTTTGTCCGCGTTGGTTGCGACATCATTGGTTTTCGACTTATTGGTTGTGGTCAACTGAGTGGCAAAGAGAGATCAGTATAAGCTTCCCATTGAACATCTGGGCCGAGGGTTTCACTTCTGTACTTACTTCGGCCATCTTTGGGAACGATTGTTGGTCTGCCCCGGTGGTGCTCGCTTTGACACCAAAAGGTAGGAATGAAGATAGAAAGATGGGCTGGAACTGAAGCCGGAGATGTGATAGTTGAAGGATCGAACACGGTTTTGTTGAGAAGCTGGGATCTCCTTATTTAAGTGACCATGACCACGCAAGGTCGAAGTCCGCGCGTTGTTTGTGCGTCTACTTCTCTTTATTCTTGGCCATTACACCCTGACAGTATGGCCCAGGGGAGCTATGTCAACTCAAGGTCAGTCATATGACCACGGAAGCACAGCCGTTGAGTGTATACGGCTCTCACTTTGACCACCTTTTCCTCTCTCACTTTAAAACAGTCACTGTTCCACTCTTTGGTGTTTGATCTACCTCTTTTGCCACAGGTAAACCTGTCAACTATCCACCTCAGCACCAGAATACAGGACACCAAGATGGGAGCATACACGAATGCATCACTCATGGTACGTGTAGACGTATTTGAGTTCCCAACCTCAGTTCTCCGCTTTCAACCTCATAGGTTCAAGACCGTGTTGAAGTCTCAGGACTATATAACAGCCCCTTCTCTAATCTAGGACAGAAGAAGCTTCGTCCGGCTCAGTCATTTACAGTGACCTAGAGACGATGACACATCGGATAGTACTTTTCGATTTCTGTCGTACATGAAGCACGGATACAACCACGCTCCACATCCTCGGCCCAGTCTCACCCTATCTTCTCCATCACACGTCCTGCTGGGGATTTACTGTTGTGAGCTTGGAAAAACCAGCTGGGTTGACTGCAGAATGAAAGCTGGCCTGCTTCTTTCATCGATAGTGTGACGGTTAACGAGTGCCTGAGGCAACTGCTCAGGCAAGTGAAGCAGACAGGGTCACTTGACTAGAAGTAGAAACAGGAAGGAACGGCGACAAGGGAAGGAGCAGGGACGCGAGGAAGAGTTTGTTGATTTTTTACCTCCACTTGTTACCCTGGATGCAGTACGGCAACGAACGATCTTCTTTTGTTCTTTTTCTTCACGAACCAGCCATCGACCGTAACAGATAGCAGAGCAAGCTATTATCGTGACAACGAGCTCTACCAGGTCCAAGGACCGGAGGGCGTGATAGCGATTGATTTGAATCACCTTGCCCTGATTTGATGCAAGAATGAATTGTCTGAATTGCGCTCATGTGCCCTGCTACCAATCGCTCCTCGTCCACCGTCCGAAGTCCTCCATTGGCCGCGACCTGTCCTGTGCGCATATAAAACTTGGAAGATGAGATCGCCCTAGTCATGACGACACAGTACAGTATTAAGCCAAATAACTAACTACACAGTGAATCCAGGGTTACGATGCACGTAGTCATATTCAATCTTCCTCTTCCATATCGTATGTCATAGGTAAGGCCGCAAAATGCAAATATTTCTACATACTCACCCCACTCTGTGTCGCTGTCTCTTCCTTGCTGTATGGTACTTTTGTCGTCCGTAAAATACAACTAGAATCGATCTCTGCACCACTCAAAAGGGGGTAAAGTAAACAATGAGGCTCCACTACTCCACTTTAACCGAGCCACACAGCGACCTGGTCAGCACCCAAAGGATTCGCGCGGGGCTAAAAGCCATGTGCGAGATGATCTGTAACTTGGTCTCCTTACTAGCGTATAATTGCCTTAAGTACGGAGTATTTCAAAAAGATACAGCTGAGCCGTCCCGTAATCTTCGAGCCCTGTACGAAAAGAATTGAATGAGACATTAACTTAGCCTACCTACTAAGAAGTAGAACCCTGCACCCTGCATCTTGACAGGTGAAAGTTAATTGTCATTCCCCTAATATAATCTCAGCTGCCACAACCATCATCGACCTAAGAAATCCGTGTCTAGACCATGCATGGCAATATGATAGTCACACGGCTCTCCACCTAAAAACGCCTCCCAACTAGCTTCCGGTGCCTTGTTCTCTGTTCAATTCGCTTCCGCTCAACTATGCCAAGCACACACGCTGCGAATACGTAGTTTCACACGAAGAAAACATCTATGGCTATGTCAATGCATTTGTCGTAGTAGCATATGCTTTGCATGACTCCGTATATCACTCCTATTCTAGACTAAGGGTTTCCAGGGTAACATCGGGAAGAACACGTCCCACCGCATCTTCAAACGTGAAACATAGTACTATACATAAGGGGCTTGCCACGTCGACGATGCGGGGATTGACAAGATCCATGTGGCTCAATACATCTGTCATTGTTATTCGTTCAGATATCCTTCCAGTAAGTGATACAAGAAAAGGCCGAACTTGTCGTAGTCAACAACGACCTAATATACAGAACCTCCTGAAAAAGAAAAGAAATTCCACGTGTAATTATTCTCCCGTCACACTGTTTTAGCAGACTGTTAACTAGAATAGGAAGGAGTCTGTACCAATCACTGATAAATGCTAATCAGCCCCCACAACGGCGGGCCATTGATCCTTGTAAGTGGCTTTCACTTGCTTGGCACATCCCTGGAAGACATGGATTGGATGTTTAACCTCCTGTCAAAGTGGACTAAGGCAGGCAACGGCAACGGGCGTGCATTCGCGGACATTACCGTTGAAGGTGGTGTCTGAGATTTATCGGAAATTGGTGGCCGATGAGCCTGCGGTGTCATGTTCAGTTTACGTAGCACTGAACCCACCATAAAACGTCGGGGTCTTAGTGTATCCGATGTGCCTTGTCGACGGAGCAACAATGTTCAGCAAAAGTCAAATTCCATCATGAATATTTACTAGAATGATTCGCTGAACTGAACGCAGAGAGCCTCGGAGAAATAGCACCAATAAATGAAGAACGCCATATCCAACGCCGTGCCCGAGGAACGAGTCATGAGCCAATGCAGGAGGGGATAAATATCCAAAAAACTAGGAGAACATCAGGTGTAATGTGATCAAAGATAGTAAGCAGGAGTAGAACAAGTATCGCAAAAGAAAAGAGAATGAAACATGCAATGTGCTGCTATATGCGCCCCAAAACCGCAAGTCAGATCGCAATCACAGATGCAGCAAGGAAATAAGGTCAATCAAAGAGAAGGACATGGTATCCGCAATGGATCAAATGTATCAACTGGCTGTAACAGGCTTGCTCGAAGGTTTCAACACACGCTAAATCGCTAATATGAGGCCAAAGGTAGGAGAGTATAGGAGGGCCATCTGTACCCAACGTTTATACTCGGATCCGAGATGAGCGGAATGCAGAGAGATCAATGGACTCAGCAGAGAGGGATGAGTTATCATCGACTTCGATGGTGTCCGCGGTTGTCGAGGAGGGCTTGTTCGCAGCGAATGCAGCGACCCTGGCGAGTCGCGCTGCAGAAAGAGTCGGAAGTGGCTTTGGAGGCCCTTCAATCACAGATCCGTCTTGTTGTTGTTGCTGGTGCTCTTCTTGCTGTTTCTTTTCCGCCGTAATACGGTCGACCTCATTGATAGCTGCCTCGAGTAGCATTTTGAATTTTTCCTCCACACCGTCCAGTTCCGTCCCACAATCGCCGGATCGGAGTACCTGGTACGCTGCCGTCTCACAGAGCGAGTGAGCAAGCTCTAGTTGTTTGTCCGCAAAGTCGAATGGGGAGTCTTTTCGCAGGCCATTGGTTCCAGAGACACCGACAAGCCCAGCCGTGGTTCGGGTGCTGCGAAGACACGAAAGTTGTGCCGATGACTGCCCCAATCCTCCTGCCACGCTCGGGTTCAAGTTCACACCTTTGTTTAGCAGACCTCCGCGCAGCCCCGTGCGCGGCATCATTGCCATCTGCCCTCGTCGAAGATTGTTCCTGGCCACTCCAATATCCCGCACGATTTCCTCCAGGGTCTTCTGTGTGTGACCATCATAATCAATGATGACGTTATGCCGTGTGCTTACGAACGCGTATTCCTCGTTGGACTCGATTGATAGGGCCTCCTCGGTACTGCGCTTGCGCCCAGAACGTTGAGTTCGCTCGGGCGCATCCTGTGTTGTTGCCAATGTAGCGGGTTCTGGACTGGGGATCTTTTGTTGAGCAATCGGAACAAGGTCATCGGTGTGAATGGAGCAAACGGAGCTGTTCTTTCGCCGGCGGGGCTTGAAGTTTGTGTGTCGCCTGTAAGCCTCGGAGTATTCATCGTGTTTCTTGTGGGTGTGTGCTGCCAGCTCTGAAACGCGGGTGATCCAAGCAGGTAGATTGTCTTTCATATGGGTGAAGGCCCCTAGAGCATCCATTGATGCCGTGGCCATGATAACAAACGTTTGAATGTCGGGGTTGTCGCGTCCTTCTGGATTCCCACGCTTTACGCAGGGATAGATATGACAACTGCAAGTACTATATTTGCACTATATTTGAAGTAGTTGCAGTGTTCGTTCCGTCATAAAATCGTGAGCTCGACCAGGATCGCAAAGAGTTGTGTTGAAGCAGAAAAGAAGAGGTGTTGCGGAGAATGACGGGATTGGGGTGCAGGTCGGGAAGAAAAGCAAGTGGGCGGTCTGTAGTAACCCCCAACGAAGAGATGTGCGTTCGACGGGATCTGCAAGTGAAAATGCAAGTGACGGTGAAGAGAGTCTGGGGAGGGGAAGAGAAGAGGGCATAAGGGAAAGAAAAGGACCTTTGGAAAGATCGAGAAATTCATTAGGAAGGCTGGTATGGTACTGGTATGGTAAGAACCTTGCTTGGTGACACCGTACCAATTTGAGTTTCAGTACGGAAAAGACAGCCGTGGTCCCCATGGTCCCCGTGGTCCCCGATTGTGATGTATTTGATATTCACATTCCCGCACATCCCAAGGCCAACTGCATCTAGTAGTTACCCTCTGCCTCTCTGTCCTTTCAGGATTATATCATTGGTCCGCTTGTACTACTGTATGATTTACTCGAGGAGCGGTGAGTTAGAATTGCATGTGCCAGTTGATGCAGTCGACCTAGAATAGTATTGACAGTGTTGCTCTAAAAGACAACACTACTACTCTAGCTTGCTTGATGGAGTTGGCAATTGGACACAATAGCAAGACTTGCATACTGCTAGCACGTTGGCCCCATGATCTTCAACATGACGGAAGATCCTGCTCTGAAAAAAACGGTCTAACTTCTCAATCGCCCATTCTTCGGTGGACCGAAGGTCCGAGTTCCTCGGCAACCGTATCGCAGCATATATCCCGTACGAAGTATGCATAGAGAGATAGCTGATGGAGATCTCCGTTAAGCAAGGCCAACAGAAGGAGAAGAACATCAGGGATCGTACAGTCGAATTCGACAAGCAACAATTATCTCATATTGTCCATAATAGAGCCGATGGATACTATCACGCGGATACCTGGCGCCGAGAAAGGTCTGAGTCTGACACGTAACGGCCGCTTGTTCACTTCGGGGACCAAAAACCGGGGACTCGGGGATCATTGGATCCCCTTGTACCGGGGAATGAAATAGCACGGTATTACGGGGTACAGAATGGGGACCTGGGGACTTGGCACACTTTGAGGTGGAAGCCGGACGATCCCTCCCGCGGAAGACCGGGAAGAGGCCGTAGTTGAGCTCCTTCAAGGCCCCACCGCACTGATAATGAGCTGTGATTCGATAATCGGCGTCAATCGACCTCTTTCGAATGTCCACTGTGGGTCTTGGCCGTATCGTAAACTTCCTGCAATGCACCTTCGCTAATACATTATGCGGTACTGCGTACTCCGTGCAATAACTCACATACCAAGGTCAACGACTCTGCATCCTCATCATATGTACATCATAAATTGATCGCTATTTCATGGAAATGAACAGTATGGGATATAAGCACAGAGGCTACTCCAGGTCCAATTTCAGCTGGTGTTTCAGACCGCCCTTGGGGGCCTATCATCTATGCAGATCAACATACTGGGTTGATTCCAAACTACGGGGGCATACGCAGTACTGTGTATCTACATAAAGATCATAACTAACTAACTAGGTGATAGTCAGCCTTATGGATCGCCGATATCAAATGAAGTACGAGAAGATCGTGAGTGCGCCCACGGGTACAGACAAGCCTTCGTTGATGGAGAACTTCCGGCAGGTGTCGTGCCGCCCTACGGTGGTAATCAAATGTGACTTTGTGAGAAAAGTGCCTCCGTACGTCGCCGCGATGTCCCTGGAGCACCTTGCGTGACCTTGGGTTCCGCGAAAGAATCCTCCCTGCTTGGATGGAAGCAAAAGTCTCGAAAGGACGACCCGTTCAAGAGAAAGGTGCGTGGAAGTGATAAGCAGGAGAGTATCCGGCAGAATGACTGCTCACTACCCCATCCAGTGCCACTGGACTTTCCTCCTTACAACTTACACCTACATGTACAACTACATACTGAGAGCTAAGTTACTGATCTCGAAAATTCATCCATTCTGCATCGAAACTCGGGGAAGCTGCCAAACCCTTAAAACAAAAGAAAAAAGAACCCCATTTCTGCCTCGGTCTGGCTAGAGGCCTATTGGTCCCTAGCCATCCATGTGGCGACAAAGGTCTCCACGGTCTGCTGGACAGCATCCGCGGAGGCCCTGAGAGCCACCAACGCTTCCTTGGCTGCGGTGTCCTTCTCCTCAAACTCGTCGAGCTTCTTCTGAAACTCCTTGACGAAAGTAGGGTCGATGAAGGCCGCTTTCAAGGCATCTTCGGGGAAGGGCGGGGGCTGGAGCTCGCCCACACGGTTGGAGCGGCGGGTGGCCGCAGCATGCTGCTTGGCGGCTCCCTTCTTCTCAGTGTCAGAAGGGACGGACGAAAGGGGATCGTTGTCGCTGGGAGCGGGGGCCAGCTCCTGTAAGAATGTGTTAGTTCAGTCCCAGTCAAGGCACACTCAACGCAAGGCGAGAGTAAGGTAATATCAATCACGTACCTTGCCATGGGCGTGGGTGGCCTTGGCTTTACGGCTCAAAGGAGCACGGAGGGGGTGGCAGGCGTGGTCGCCGGGGTTGGCGCAACTGCAGGCTGGTTGACATGGCTGTTGTGTTTCTTCTGCTTCTTGCACTTTAGGCACGCCGTCTCCTGGTCGGTCACTGTTGACGTGCGTTTGGTCAGTTGTGATGCAAAAATAAGAAGTGATGGACAGGGGAGACTTACTCATGGAGGATGAGATGAGATATTGATTGAAAGGTCTTAAAAACGGTTGTCGCGACAGCGTAACGAGTTGCACGTCGACTTTTCGAGAGTAAAAGAGGAAGAAGTTGATTGTGGGCAGCAAGCGTTCGACGACGTTATATACGACGACCTCGACAATCAAAGGGAAGTCATGAGACTAGGCAAGGCTCTCACACTCAGATTCTCATACTCAGACGACGCCGACAATCAAGGGAAGTCATGAGACTAGGCAATGCTCTCACACTCAGTAACTGCATCCCTCACACAATAGCCAGCAATCTGTTAGATTTGTCACGGAACTCATTGACCAGATTTGTCACGGAACTCATTGACCAGATTCAGGAGCAGCAATACAACAATTTTCTTTCCAGACTATTGTGTACAGATCATGGCTACACTTCCGTCTGGTTCCATTCAGCATCCTCATCACAGCTACCTCCCGTCAACTTCCAACTCCATCTCTTGCCATCTTCCTGATAGGTTAGGTCTAGACGTTCAACCTTTTCCGGCTTTATAACAACCACACGGAAGTTCGCTCTAGCAACTGGATCACTAAGATCTGCGACCTTTTACCTAGGCCAAGACCAGGTTCGCTGGGTGCCGTGACGATGCTTCTTCTTGCCGTTCATTTTCTCGCTTGGGGTCTCCGATTGCATATGCTGTGCCCTTAATGCGCCACTGAGTCATAAGGTCCTTCAGCCAGAATACAGCTTCAATCGCATGACCTGACGATTCTAGCTGTGAAAGCTTCTCCATTCGAGCGTCGGTGGTGAAGCACAGCATATCACTCTGGAAAACTGGTGAATTACCACCACCCTTCACCTGATGGTCCATAGCTTCCTGACCCTTGGGGTGGAGATCAAGTTCTGGGAAGAATCCACGGCAGCCACAAGTCCTTAGACGAGGTACAGGGCGCAGTTGGGCGTCGTGTGCAACTGTCGCGACCGAGGAGTGGCTCTCCAGGCGCATGTCCGGAGAGCGCCCTGAGGCGGATACTCTGGCACTGTCTGACTTCTGCTGAGGATATTCCTTTCCTTCCCCTTCTTTCTTCTCTCCTCTCTTTGTCACTATGCTTTGATGTGTTACTTTGAAAGGGGGCGGGGCTGGAAAATGGAGTACCTCAAGAAATAAGGGCAATGAAGCATGGATGAGATATGAGGGTCATCAAAAAGTAGTTGTTCACAAAATCGCTAACTACTGCAGAAATTGTTCAATAGATGCCTCAAAGAGCCATAAAAGCGGCGGCTAAGAAAGGAAAGCTGTCAAACTGCAAACATGTGGTCATGTCATAAGTCACATGACCGCACCTCTCCAGTCCCAACAAGCCGTCGAAGCCGATTTTGGAGATAGTTTCATTCTTCCTCTTGTTTCCTCCTCCACGAATCTGAGATACTTATAGCTCACATCTTTTATCAGTAGATTCGAGTAACTGTCCTCAAAAGCCCTGTGGTACGTAGAGTGGTCTTTGTACATTCATATGGTGCCAGCTTTTATCCCTATTAGCCATCGACAATCTCTGCGGATAGCCCTACACCCCCTGATCTTAGTCAAGGCAGTCACTGCAAGGCCCACGATCCAGCCTTCAAGCCTAGCATCATCTTCCTCCAGGAGCGCCCTCGCAATGAGCAAGCCATCAGGGAGTTCCAAGCCAGCCCCATGGCGTCACCTGCTTGACTCTCATCTAAAGCAAACACCCGATTGGGAGTTTACAATCGCGACAGTTGCATACGACGCCCAACAGCGCCCTGTACCTCGTCTAAGGACTTGTGGCTGCCGTGGATTCTTTCCAGAACTTGATCTCCACCCCAAGGGTCAGGAAGCTATGGACCAGCAGGTGAAGGATGGTTGCAATCCACCAGTCTTCGAGAGTGATATGTTGTGCTTCACAACTGACGCTCGAATGGAGAAGCTTCCACAACTGGAATCGTCGGGTCACGCAATTGAAGCTGTATTCTGGCTGAAGGATCTTATGACCCAGTGGCGCATTAAGGGCATAGCATATGCAATCGGAGAACCAAACTGGGAAAATGAACAGCAAGAAGAAGCATCCAGAGCTGAGATAATGAAGTCATTGAGAGTGAAGGGTGGTAATGGACAAGACGTGGAGGGATGGACCTGGGAGAACGCTGTCACAAAGTACTTTGCAAACCATTCCCCTGTTGCGAGAGGTATGTGTTCTCCATGATTTTGGCTCTCTCGTGTCTGTATTTGCTCCGTTGGAGATGCTGCACGATATAGAAAAACCCCGTCTGTCTGTCATTGCAGGCTCATACTCACTGATGACAAGGCTGGTTCCGAAATCCCCCTCCAGGAAAACCTAGGGTCACGGTGCCCAGTGAATCTGGTCTTGGTCTAGGAAGAAAAGGTCACAGATCTTAATGATCCAGTTGCTAGAGCAAACTTCCGTGGTGTGGTTGTTATAAAGCCGGAAGAGGTTGAACGTCTAGACCTTAGCAATCAGGAAGATGGCAAGAGATGGAGTTGGAAGTTGACGGGAGGTGGCTGTGATGAGGATGCTGAATGGAACCAGACGGAACTGTGGCCATAATTTGTACACAATAGTCTGGAAAGAACATTGTTGTATTGCTGCTCCTGAATCTCGTCAATGAGTTTCGTAACGAATCGTAACAGATTGCTGGCTATTGTGTGAGGGATGCAGTTTCTACTTGTGAGAGCTATATGAGAGCATTTCCTAGTCTTATGACTTCCCTTCAATCGTCGGCGACGTCCGAGTGTGAGAGCCTTGCCTAGTCTCATGACTTCCCTTTGATTGTCGAGGTCGTCGTATATAACGTCGTCGACGCTGGCTCAACTTCTTCCTCTTTGCTCTCTCTCTCTCTCTCTCGGTCAACGCTCACCCTGCAACTTATTCAATTACGCCGTCTCATTACGCCGTCGCGAAGACTCGATTTTTAAACCCTTTAAGAAATCTCTCATCACAACCGCCATCAGTAAATATCCCCTGTCCATCACTTCTTATTTTCCATCACGCAACCAGCACAACTAACCAAACATACATCAACAGTGACCGACACCGAGATGGCATGCCCCAAGTGCAAAGCTCAGAAGAAGCGTTGCACCCACCTGAACAATCCTGCTCCTGCACCAACCCCGGCTGCCATGCCTGCCACCCCCCTTCGTACTCCTTTGAGCCGCGAGGCAAAGACCACCCATGCCCACGCCCACGGCAAGGTACGTGATTGCTATTACCTTACTCTCACCTTGCGTTGAGTGTGCTCTGACACTGAACTAACACATTCTACAGGAGCCGAGCCCTGCTCCCGACAACGATGCCGTCCCTTCTGACGCTGAGAAGAAGGGAGCCGCTGCGGCCACCCGTCACCCCCGTGTGAGCGAGCTCAACCCCCCGCCTTTCCCCGAGGACACCTTGGAGGCGGCGTGCGCTCTCGACGTTCACACCACTTTCGTCAAGGAGCTGCAGAACAAGCTCGACGAATATGAGGAGAAGGTGACGGCAGCTAATGAAGCGTGCGTGGCCCTCAGGGCCTCTGCCAATGCCGTCCAGCACGCCATGGACACCTGGGTGGCCACATGGATGGCTAGCGACCTGTAGGCCGCTAGCCAGGCCCAGGCAGATGGGGGGTCTTTTTCGTTTGTTTCTTTTGGTTTTTTAATGTTTTGACAGCTCCCCCGAGCCGTGACGCATAATGGAAGAATTTCGAGATTAATAACTTAGCTCTCAGTAGTTATGTAGTTGTACATGTAGGTGTAAATTGTAAGCAGGAAACCCCGGGCAGTGGCACTGGCATGGGGTAGTAAGCAGTCATTCTGCCGGATACTTTACTGCTGAGCACCTCCACGCACCTTTCTCCTTACCGGGTCATCCTTTCGAGACTTGGGAGTCCCAAAGGAAAACGCTCAGCAACTGAAGCTGGGCGTCCGGTGGACGTCAACTCCCCTAGTTCCTACATCAGGAACCAAAGGGAGCCCCGGAGGTCACCAAGCGTTTCTAAAGGAGCCAACTGACGAGCAGGAGCCAACTGGCAAGTAGCCTGTTAAGCCAACTGGCCAGAAAATTCTGCCCAAGGCGGACTCAGAAAGTCCTCTAGGCACCTTTCAAAACACCTCCAGTTCCAGTTCTCCACTATGCTCCAGGATCGAATCGACGTCGACAAGTACTAGATAACACAGTGCACTGTTCCCCTGGACTCTCTGGCCTCTGCTTCAGGTATCATGGTATGAGCAACCAGCAACCTGTTCCGCTGAATTACCTATATTGGGTGAAGTTCATTCCGGGTGAAGTTCACAGAAAAGCAGAGCGCTCTCTAACTTGACCTGGCATAGTGAGAGACAATGTAGTGCATTAAAATGTCGCGGTGAATGTTATTGGTAGCTTGACCGAAGAGACTTGGCGAAGCACCTCAAGTTGATGGAATTACGGTATTACCTAACACAAGCTGTCAGCGAAAAGCCCTGGGCTGCGGGCCGACTGGATTCTGGGTAATAAAACATACCCTACTCGCCACAAGTCAAGTACATTCTCGTAGGTGGCAAGACGAATGGATCTTAGTTTATTTTCAATCAAAGACCCAGGGTCGATAGTTCCTTGACCGAGAAGAAACGATGGACCATCTAAGGAAATGAAAGGGAAGCACCAAACACAAGCAAACAATCCCAGGCATGTAATATAGATGATAATTTATGTACATTCCAAAGTTACACACTTCCAAAACTCCTCGCCTTTGTCTTCCTTGCCTGTCTCTCGTCTAGATGGCCCTTAAACGCGTAGATCGCGCTGAGAGACATGCCCAATCCAGCGAGACCGATTGCCAGATACAATGCTCCCCTATATCCTTTCAGGACATCGCTAGGAGTATGACCGCCATTGTTGACGTGCACTTCCACCGTACCAGCGAGTCCCAAGCTCAGTGAGAGGCTGTAGTTGACAATCGTCGTCACCAGCGATGCAGCAACGCCTTGGTGCTTTCTCTCAACCGCATTGGACAACATAAGAGTAGCTGCAGGGAATGACATGTCCATGCCCCAAGGGATAACCAACAAGGCGACAAATGTCAATGCCCAATATGTCTGGTGCACGGGTGCAATCGCCATCAGGACATTGCCCAAAGTGAAGGCGCTCATGGATAACACCATGATCCATCCAGGCCGCATGCGACCCATTAGCCACCCTGTGACAACACATGCAATGATCCCCACCGGGGCGACAGGGAAGAACTGGGCGGATGTTAGGAGAGGAGATGTCTGGCGGAACAGCTCTTCAAATCGCCAGAAGTAGTAGATCCAGATTCCGAATGAGCCCCAGCCACAAGCGACACAGCCAAGGACAAATGAGACATCGCGACTGAATGCGTGGAATGGGATGAGAGGGTGTTCTGCCACATTGAACTCGACATAGATGAATGCGGCAATGAACATGATGCCAATAATCAAAAGCACATAGACATATGGCTCGCGCCATCCCACTATTGGCGCTTGATTCCATGCAATGTTGATAAAGATCAACCCGGCGATGCCACAAGCACCACCGAGTACATCAAGAGCTTTGAGCAGGCCCACGAAAGACCTGTCAAAGGGAGCATCGTGGTGGATGGAGGGGACCACGAGCACGCCTAATGCAGCGCAGGCCAGTGAAACGATAGCTTGGGTCCAGTATGTCCAGGGCCACCAAGCCAGCTGGGAGAAGAGTGCGCTGAAAACCGCTCCCAGAAGTGCGCTGTTGGGTGCAGTGGCACCGAACACAGCGAAGATCATGTTCTTTCTCTTTCCTGGTTGATAGGTGGCTCCCAGCAGAGCCAATGCGTTGGGCAACAGCATTGCGGCACCGATGCCCTGGAGAACACGTGCGAAGATAAACAGAACATAGCTTGAGTAGACGCTGAGTCCTGCAACAAGAGACCAAAGGGCAAGCCAAATGAATCCAATGATGAACATTCGCCGATAACCGAATAGATCGCCACAACGACCAAACACCAGGATGAATGTGCCCACGGTCAGGGAGTACCCGGCCATAAACCAGCTCAAAATGCCTGGTTCGTCAATGCCGAAGCTATCGCCAACGATATCGAGTGCTGAGAGACATACCCCGACATTCGTTTGTGTCATGAATTGCCCCATGCAGACGACGGCAACGAAGAGAACCTCCCGAATAGGTGAGAAGGTCGCAGCGATAGACTGCGCCGATTGAACGGGCTTGATGATGTTGTCTTCCCCCATGGCAGACCGCAACGATCATTGACAATTGACTTTTCCAAGGTGTTTATGAAAGGAACCTAGTGAAGGACATCGAGTGGAATATTTATTTCTTCGGTAGTTCTTCGAGCCATGACCCGTGGTATATCCGCTTGGCCAAAAGGCTCATGGCGTAAGACAAAACCGGGTCTTGTATGGGGACGATGACATTAATCCTGCAAAGTGACTATCAGCGTGACCTATAAAAACGCCCATCGGCACCCTTTAGTGGGCCTCATTGTCCCTTAATCCACCTTGAACCGCAAAACACGTGGGTCGGCACATGGCGGGTCATATATCCGAGAGAAAATTTTAAGTTTTATCCGATATCTCGGATATTCGGAAATAAGTATCATTTCCCGCTCCGGCCTTGGTGTTTCACATCCAATGATCAGGTCAGTCAAGATCTTGCAAACGCATCGAGGTGGTCTTTCAAGTGTGGGGGCAAGCTTGAATACTTTGGATACTTCAGCATATTGGAGTGCTTTAGTGACAATATGTCGACCAGAACCTGGGACGTCTTAAACGCTGATGTTGACTTCAAACTCTGCACGTCGTTGCATAAGATCAGATAAGCTTCTCGCGTGCAACTTCGAGGATATTCGCCGATTGGGCGATGAGCCGCTTGACCCACCACGTAACCCGAGTGACCAGAGCGACGGTTCTGATGCCTGTGTCTATCTTTCTCTGCCAAAAAGGAACAGGATTTACTAGGTACTAGTAACTATGCCTTCTTCGAACCAATGAATTATACCAAAAGAAGGCTTAGCACGGTTCATTGAAATGGAATCCTGGTTAGAAATGGGAGTAAACAAAAAGGCAGCAAGCAACTATTGACGCAGCCAAAAACATGATGCACTGACGGGGAATCGAACCCCGGCCACTACTTTGGAAGAGTAGTATTCTACCACTGAACTACCAGAGCGAAGGAGACATAATTTGAGATCTGCAACGAGTTTCGAATTCGATTTTGTTGAATGATTTTTATCGGCACGCTGTACCTGGGGATAGTGGTCACATGACCAACTCTAACCTTGGGACCATCGTCTCGGCCCGCACCTTCTTATGTGCTTATTTATCGTGGACGTCGGAGTCGTTATGTGGTAGTTATATCGGATAAACGTGGTGTGTACCTGGGTTCACCGTAACTTGTGATGAACCCCTGCGCCACTGCAGCGTTATCTTAATTCGAACAAAGTCTCATTCATGTTCTATCAATAATTCAAGACTTGACTAAACAGATATCATCACTCATAACCCCTTGCTCCGTGTATTTAACCCATTGGAAATGCTTAGAATAGCCCGGCCCGGAAGATAGACAGCACAACCGACAAAAAATGAAGAAGAAAAAGAAGAAGAACATGGACAACCGAGTGACAGAAAGTAAGATCTCGTCTCACATTTCCTCAAAGGCACAGTCGGGATGCAAGACGAACATGATCTTGCTGTCCGCTTGGTCGGCGCCTTCGGTTCCATCTGTGAGGCCGGTTCCAGCAATGCGCAACAGGATTTTGTCCTACAAAGAAATCTGTTAGTGACATGCGCCAAATGCAGATGTACAGCTATTGCTGTAGGAAAGAGAACACGACGAACCTTAACCATGCGTTTCAAAACCTTGCCTGCCAATTCGCGCTCACGCTTGTAGTCCTCCTCGGTGTTCAATTCACCCTCAATCTGCTCCAAGTACCAGAGCACAAGGTCTTCCTCCTCGACACCCTCGCCCGAGTTGACCTCGTCTTCATGTACTCGCCTGACCATCTGATTGAGGATCTTGGCGTACTTGTCAAAGGTGATCTTGGTCTTCTGTCGTTCCGATGAAGCGGGGGCCGGGACTGGCTCCGCGACATCGCGCATAGGGCTATCACCCTCGTCGTCGCCGTCAGCCATCTCGTGATCTTCATCGGCGTTGGTACGGGTAGGCTCGTCCTCGTCGATCTCGACATCATCCTTCTCAACAGTCACAATACTCTGACGGAGAAGATCGTACGCCTCAACGACGAACTTGGGAACGACTTCCTCGACACAATTGGCCTTGGCGACGGCCTCGGACAGACGGATCAAAGACTCGAGTTGACGGACAGTGATACGGTATGAAGAGCGGCCGATACCTCCCTGGGCATCGTTGGAGCGCAGTTCCTTGTATTTCTCAACCAGCAGTGCCTTTGCCTCTTCGGTGAAGACAGGGCGGAAAGTGCGCGCGAATCTAATGTAGCGTTGCAATTGTTCTGTGCTCAATTCTGGCTTGACGGCCTCGTCGCGGTTCATGTGCACGTTGACAATGTGCTCGGCAAGACTGCGGTCGACTGACTCCTTGGGGTCATCGCGGATGACAAAGAACACATCGAAGCGACTCATGATTGGGGCACTGAAGTTCAGGTTGTTCCGGAGGGTCTGCTTCGGGTCGTAGCGGCCGTTGACGGGGTTGGCGGCGGCAAGGATCGATGCGCGGGCATTGAGGGTAGTATGAATACCGGCCTTGGCAATGGAGATTGTCTGCTGTTCCATGGCTTCGTGAATGGCAACTTGATCGGCGATATCCATCTTGTCGAACTCATCGATGGCGCAAATACCACCGCCGTTCTAGAGGGAGAAAGTCAGCCGAATTTATCATCAATTTTAGCCAATCTTAAAACATACCGCAAGCATCAGAGCACCAGCTTCGATGGTGAACTCGCCTGTCTCGGGGTCCTTTACCACCGAAGCGGTCAGACCAGCTGCTGAAGAGGCTTTACCACTGGTGTAGACTGCGCGAGGATGGAGAGAGCAAATATACCTGGATTGTTCGTCAGTGATCGAAGGCCTTACGTGGAGCATCTCGAAAAAACATACTTTAAGAACTGACTCTTACTAGTCGAGGGATCGCCAACAATGCAAATATTGATATCACCACGTAACTTCAAGCTTTCAGCCGACGTGGATTTGCCGACACCACCAATCAGCTGCAGAAGCAGACCCTTCTTAATTTGGGTGTGACCATAGATCATGGGTGCGATTGAGTCAGTCAATCGGGAGTAGATATACTCAGAGTGCACCAGTTGCTTGAGATCCTGTACCTCGGCCGGCGTGAGACTCTGCAGGAAAGCTTCTTGGGCCGATTCATCTCCAGCATCGACATCCTGGTTCTGGTTCAAGGACGCCAAGATGTTATTTGACTGGCCGCTGAGCTGCTGCTCCGGCTTTTGGCCGGGGGTAGTCGTGTCTGGCGTAACCATGCAGGAAAGGAAGGCCAATCTATACGTCAGATCACGTACACCCAGAGATTTCAAACCAGTGACTCCGCCACCACCGACTTCGGTGCCGCGGAATGAAGTGTTATCGCGCACGGCTTCAGGGCGCACACCGGGAAGACCCAGTTGACTGACATCAGGGACGACAATCAAGGTACCTGTGAAAACGCAACGTTCACCGGCCTTGGCGCGATCGACCATCTCACCACGCAAGATGACGTCCATGGTGCGGGGCATACTACCAGTTGGAATTTCGTGGGACGATTCTTGGAGTTTGATCTTTTGCCAATCGACGAACGTACTCTTTCCGATATCCAAGCGCCATCCCACGCGGTTACCGCAAGTTGTATTGGGGCATTCGGTTGGCTCTGTGTATTTGAAAGTCTGCTCAACACTGGGGACGACAGTCTTGCAACCTTCACAGATGAAAGTTCCCAATGAGAGTTCCGGCCGGACTTCAGATGTTCTCGTAACTGTGCCGGAGACGGAAAGCAACTTTCCAATCTGATTCGTCCGAAGCTGTCGCAGTCTGGAAACCAAGGGCAGATTGTAAAATGCAAGTGCAAACAGCTTGTCGGTTTGCTGGTGACGGGTCTTCTCGCGTATTTGACGTTCAAGGTCAGGGTTGTCTTCCATGCCCGCATATGCCGACGCAACAGAGGTACTGGCCCGCGAGGAGGAGCTGGCAGTCATTCGGTGGGAAACGAAGTATTCCGGTTCGTACTTGGCGATTAGGTTGTGCAGACCCTTGGTGAGGAAAGGAAGGAATCGATAGTATTGACCAGCAATGGCATCTGCCAGGACTGGATTATTGATGTGTGTGAAATCAACGTAGAGAGTCGATAACTCGAACTTTTTCATTCCCTTGATCTGGGCGATATAATATTTGTCACTGAGGAGTTCTCCAGAAGAAGGCGGCGCAGAAGATGACGGTTCATCAACGTATGACTCGAGTAATTCTTCGAATGCTACCCGAACTTGCTCTGCTGCATCGTCGACGACTGGCGGTGGCCCAGGGGCATATGGGTTCCGCATACGGCTGACAGCAGAGCTCCCCGGTCCGACAACCTGGTCATCTGGGTAGGTATTCATATCACTCATGGGGCCATTCCCGTCCGAGTGTCGAGAGCTGGGCAAATTGTCTGATCGGAGGTTGTCACGAGAGGGAGCAGAGCCCAGCTCGGACTGGAGCACGGCATCGAATAAGGAAGACATGAAGAAGAGTTAATGGCCTGGAAATGGCCGGCGAAAAATGGGGTTTAGGCTCTCAGGTCTTCGGGAAAAAAAGGAATGCGGAGAGGTGATATCGTGGACTCGAGGTTGCTATCTTAGATTTTCGTGGGTCTCCTTCGCGGTTCTCTTGGGCAACTAACGCGCGACGCGAACGCGTGTCCGGATAATTGGTTGATCCTATACCGGCGCGTTAAGTGGTTTCCTGATTATGTAAGTAAATGGTCTAGCCTAATCGAGTAATAGGTCCTCTTCATCACTCCGTACTACAAATAACATTTTTGAATTTTCGCCAAGCGCCCTGCCGTCATGAGGCGCATAAATGTCAGCCTTTGAGTTTCATACGTATTGCATGACCTGCATTGTAGATGGTGCCTCTCACAAGCCAGGTTTTGTGCTGAGCATATACCTAAATAGCGTTACAGCCCTATCTTTAGGGCGTAGGGTTCGAAGCCTAGACGGTTCCCGTTCCCATGGATCAAAAGTTTAGGCTGCACGATGTGGATCTAACTATGAGCGGCTTCTTAACTCAATTTCCCGGGCGAAGATAAGATTTAGATATGTCCGAATTCACGACTTGCAATTCACACCTACTGTGCGTATCAGCGTATGTTGGTAGTGTGATCCATACGCACACAATATATTCGTTACAACCGAGTTGAAGCCAAGTTGGATGTGGGGTGAAATTGAATCAAGTCTCCGTACTACGGAGTAGTTGGGAAGCACACAGAAATGTAGCTCCACAATCAATATCCGAGGTATCCCAAGTTTCAAGTGCCGGGAAATAGATTCCAGGCTTGAATTTTGATGTTATTTACCGGCACTGGCTGACACTGGACATGGGGATGGATAACTGAACACCAAGGTCAATACGCCAACAAAGCGATTGCTCTAGACCGGCGATAAACGTCTTAGGGCAGTGCTGACTACCATATTACTAAAACAAAAAAATAGAACATAAATCGCAAAAACTGACTGCCGGTTTATCCTTTGGGTAAATGGTTGATACTTGGCGCTTATATAACAACGCCTCTCCCCCCCGGGATGCCCACACTTGACCCATCTGAAACCCGTTCATTCCCTACTCGGGGAATTATATGGCCCCTCGCATTGCATCTGTGAGTGTCTTAATTTAGCGTCATTTCCTTGACCACCCTTCATTGCGTGCACATCCTACCGTGGCTCTACTAACCCCGATAGGACTGGTGTCTTGCAATGGTTTCTTTCAAATCCCGAGTCCTTGGCTGGAGGAATCTTGGTGATCTTCCGTCAGTGATACTACAGCTCTGACCGCTTCCTTGAATCGAACAACGAAACCCATGTCTTTGCAGCTCGACATGGCTGAACACGAACGACGGCTAGTATCGACACTGACCAAGCGAAACGGTGAGCCTTTGTCAGGCCCAGCTGGTACGGATGTCTCGGGTATGCCTCCACCCCCCGCCTCTACCACTGACTCCCTCACTCTCGTGGTCAATCAAGCTAAAGCTTTGTTCCAATAGCACAACCTGTCTCTCAAGATGGGCCCCAGACCACTAAGCCTGGAAGGCGACGACGCGCCGCCGAACCGAAGAATAAATTACCCAAGGCCCAACACTTCTACTTTGTCGACCGGAACTCGTCATCCAAAGAAAAGCGCGCTCATGTTATGCGTCACCATGTACAGGAGAAAAGGAAACAGCGCAAAATGTCGCATGAAATACCCTCCACACAGCCAATCACGAATTCTACACCATGCCCGATAGATGAATCCACACGAATCGTTCAGGGGCCTCCACCGGTGTCGGTCTCGACAGCTGTACACAAACCCCCTAACGGCGATACTTCGGTATGGCAACCGCATCCATCTGCTCAGATAGCCAGCCACACCGAAATCCCAGACAACTTAGGTGTAAGCTCAGCCGCCCGAGATGACAGAACCGAATGCTAATACTGTGGTTGTATCTCAGCTCCAAATCATGTGTCCGAGCATGAAATCGCAATCTCACCCTTCTCTGCCACAACACATTGGCTCTCCAATCACGATAATGGATGCCTCTCGCAAGGATCCGTTCTCTAGTCTGCCGATCGAATCCCACACTATGGATCATGAATTGGCCGACTATTGGAGGAACAAGTTGTCGTACTGGTCCGGACAAAACCTCCACGTAAAGAATCAGATCTTTCGCACGGCTATGGGACATCCTCTCTCCTTCGAAGCAGTAGTCCTTTCATACTGTGCACGGTGGAAAGCGCAGCTATACGATTTACCCGACAGTTGGGAAATCCAAACCCACGTGGGCCATGCCGCGAAGTCCGTTGAAGAAGCCTTCTCAGGCTCGGCGCCAGTCAACACGGGTGTCTTGGCAATGTCATTTGGCGGAATGGCCCTGCACGAAGGACGCTTCGGGAGCAAGCAACTGGCCCAGACGTATATCGACCGCGCGGTTCAGCTCATGCGTCCACGCACAGGAGCCAATCGGCCCGTCGAAGTCTTCATACACTACATTAGATACCTTATGATGCCCCCAAACCCCGAGATGACTCCGACCGATCACCAATGGCTGCTCACCTTTCTGCGTGGATCCGAAGACCTCATGCGCCGACACAGCACCCCTGAATACCTCTCCCAAGTACCCAGTCGGGCTCAAGCGTTCCAAATGCAAAGTCCGCTATTCTCTCTCCTGTCCAATGGGCCACGTCCCTCCCAGGTTCCGCAAGAGTCGCGCGTCTATGTGGTTCGAGACGCGCATACCCAAGAGGTCAGCCAAACGGCGGCCCTCATCTATATCACGGCGATGCTGTGGGAATATCAGGAAAACCCTGATAAGACAGCTCGATTTCTCCAATATCTCAACACGGCGGTCAAACTCCACCATCTCGATCGGGACCCGGCGTGCGAAACCCTTCTGTGGTTACTGCTAGAGGAAGGGTATGACTCCGATCTACGAGACCCTGAACGCGGATGGTCTACTGGCGCGCTTCTCAAGGTGCACAAAACGCTTCGGCCGGAACTTCAGTTCCACTTCAATGAGATTCTTATGAGTTTCCTTTCTTTGTCGACACCTGTTCGTGGTATCGACTTTTTCGAAAAGGAGCTTCTACGTGGTAAACCTAGTTATCAATGACATATTGGTTTAATTGAGGCTTTTTACAATTTTGGAAACCGCCACCTAATCATCCGTGATATAATACATTGCGAGTTAATTGCCAAGCTAGGCTGGTTCTGATTAGGATGATCTGAGAACCGCCCTTGACATCGACGGGACCTAGGGCATATCCTCTACGGATTCGTGGTAGACGATCCAGCCTGGGGCGCCTGGGCAGTGGGAACGAAGTTGACTTCCCGCATTTGCGCCACACAGACTCACAGAAAGCATTTTAACCAAAGTTTGGACACTAATATCAGGTTTCTCTGGCGATAGAAATTGTTGCACCGCGAGGAGCACAGAGCAAGTTTGCACAGGCGATTTTATGCTACGTAGGTATCCAGCATCGCATCCCGTAATAAGGCTTGATTCTGCTGATGGAAGCGACATTCTTCAGTTTGGCGACTTTTTGTCCGGTCATTTGGTTTGCTAGAGAGCAGGGAATCGGTATTCATTCGTGTATACCGATTAACTAGCATCACGGCGTAGTAATTTGTTTGAGGATCCATTGTCTTTTTCCCAACTACAACAAGCGAGGGAGATTCGTTGGCAGTCGCAAGGTCACCCCGGGGTCGTCAGGACCCATGGTCCAATCGGCTTCCTTGCTAGTTACATCCACATGGTTGTTAACAAGACAGTGGACTTTTTATGGGCGATGGTAGCTTGAACAGTGAACACCTTTGAAGGGATCAGCGTCGGCCTCGACCTGCAGTAGTCGAAAAAAATGTTTGCCGAATCCGGCTGCCAACTCTTGAATCGCGTCGACTACGTTATATCCCCCAGACAGCGGGGTCGGAATGGATTTGCGTCTGGACTCTGGAGACACGATAAGATCGTGTAATTTTCCGAGACCCAGCAGGCAAAATGATACGGTTGTGAGCTTGTTTATGATGTATGTTGTGAGCAACTGCCCGCAACGGTGGCATTTGCGCTTTGTGGAGCTTCCAGGGGTATTACCATTGGTGTCTCCACGAAGTCCTACTCCGGAAAGACACAAGGTTCTCTGATCAAGGTAATGTGCCTTTTGTGTCTATGCTTTTAACCATGAAGTACTTGCTGCATGTTTGCCACTTTGCGGTCGTGTCATCATACATGCATACAGGAGTGCGTATGCCAATTGCCGCCAAGGTCGTAAAGCGATCGACGAATGAAATCGCACACCTGGAGCCAATCCCTCCTGTGGATCGGCACTGAGGGTCAAAATCTGGCGCCAAGGGCAACTAGTGGACTGCACTATTGACTAGGATCTCGGTGGCCAGTCCATTAAAGTCGCACGTTGGCAAAGTTAGCGAGCTCTCGCATAATCTTTACCTGAATCTCAGCCGCGCCGCAAAAATGGGAAAATCGATAACTTGGTCTCATAATGAACTGCCTCTCAAGAAGAGGAAAAAGAAACCTCCTTATAGACAGATCATGAACCATGGGCACTGGGGGTTTGCCCCAATCCAATCAGTGATGTTGCCAGAAGTTCTTTGAGAGATGGTCCTAACCGAGTTTATACAAATCAGATGCTGATCAGTGATCTCACTTGCTAATGTGGATTAATGTGGGCGACGCGGTATGTGGGAGAATGCGCTTCGGTGGTGTGGAGATATCTCAGCCTTCCGTAGGTTGTACGGTTGTACCCCGTTCATATCGAATTCCGCATGAGGATGCACTTCTTCGCCTGACGTCTTTCCGACGTAGGACCATGGATTCTGTTCCTTTTATTTTTTTTATTTATCCCGAAGACAAGACTTAAGGCCCCGGAAACGAGGGTCAAAGACTGACCTCACAAAATTCATGCTCCCCTTGTGTCTCCACTCTCTTGATTTGTATTGTATGACGCTTAGACTGGAGGTTCCTGGTACTCGGGACCCTTTGTCCTGCCAAGACATTCCCATGTGAAAAATTCGACCCAAACAATGTATGGGGGAGTAGTATCGGCGAAAGGAGATGCTCAGCACATTTCAACGAGTATTTCCAGTGTTCACAGCATCCATCCCTTGCGCTAGTTATCAATAACCCCTGTCGATTGAGCGTCATGATCGCCCTCGGTTGAAGTAGCTCATTCAGCTGTGGCTGGGCCGGTGTGGCTGAGATCGGGCTTGTCCGTGACCCGTGTAGAAGCTCAGCAGGAAAGGATCGTCCATGTGCTCGGAGACCGAGTCATTGATTGCGATGAACCAGCCGATCTCAGATCACATTTCGATCAAGTCTGGATCAGCCACTGAGTGGCTACTGGAGTGGATATCCTTCGTCAACAAGGTGTCAAGGAGTAATGCTAGTTAGTTAGAGAAGTTCCAAGCTAGTTGGCACTTAGCAGTTAGCACATGTCAAAGCTACAAAGAAAATTAAAATTAAAATTAAAATCAACACGAAAATTCAATTTGAGGATCGAATTACGTCGTCCGATCGTAGATCTTGGGCCCCTCTGTGCAAGTTTGGGATGGGATTCCGACTAAACTTTATCTTCTCTCGATTCTCCCTTTTTCTTCTTTTCCCACAACCTGGGGAAAGACTCATTTTCTTCCTATTTTCTGTGAATATAGCTTGGAATATACTCTGGATATACTCCAAAACATATTCGCAATGGCTTTCGACACTGTCCACCGGTTGGTGGCCAGGAAAGAGGTATGCCCCCTGTCGCGCTCACAAGCTATCTGTTTACTGACAGAAAAATCCTAGAGAGAGACCGATGCCTCACCATCTCTGTCCGCCCTGCTTACCACGCTCATTCCTGCCTTGCTCGCGGCTGTGGTGATGCTGATACTCTTCATTATCCTGCGTAAGAGCCATCGCAGAACCTATATGCCCCGTACCTACATTGGATCCCTGAAGCCATGGCAGCGCTCCCCCGATTCGCCGACCGGAACCTGGAACTGGATCAAGGCTATGTACCGGCTTCCCGACACATACGTTCTGCAACACCACTCAATGGACGCGTATTTGATGCTTCGTTTCTTGAAGCTGTGCTCTGTCATCCTGTTCGTGGGTTGCTGCATAACTTTCCCCATCTTGTGGCCTGTCAATGCCACGGGTGGTGGTGGCCAGACTCAATTGAACATGTTGAGCATTTCCAACATCGACGAGACTCAATACGGTCGCTACTTCGCACACTGTTTCACGGCTTGGATCTTTATCTCCTTCGTCTTCTTCATGGTGACTCGCGAGCATCTATTCTATATCAACCTGCGCCAGGCGTACCTTTTCTCGCCCGCCTACGCCAGCCGAATTTCATCGCGCACTGTGCTATTCACTGCCGTTACCCAAGATCTCCTGGACCGGGAGAAAGTTCGCGACATGTTCGGCCGCGACAAGGTCAAGAATGTCTGGATCGCGACTGATACGAAGGAGCTCGAGGAGAAGGTCAAGGACCGTGATTCTGCTGCTATGAAGCTCGAGGCTGCCGAGACTAAACTGATCGTGCTTGCCAACAAGGCGCGCGCCAAGGCCCTTAAGAAGCAGGGCTCGGCTGAGAACCCTGAGACTGAGATTGGCGACGGCCAGTTCGATGATGAGTCCGGCTCTGTCGCTGCGCGTTGGGTCGAGGCCAAGAAGCGTCCTACTCACCGTCTCAAGATGCTTATTGGCAAGAAGGTCGACACCATCAACTGGGCCCGTTCTGAAATCGGCCGTCTCACTCCCGAAATTGAGGAAATGCAGGCCAAGCACCGTGCTGGAGATGCGAAGCTGGTTTCGTCCGTCTTTGTTGAATTTTACCACCAGTCAGATGCCCAGGCTGCCTTCCAGTCTGTGGCTCACAACCTTCCCCTCCACATGAGCCCCCGCTACATCGGTTTGGACCCTACCCAGGTGATCTGGAGCAACCTCCGTATCAAGTGGTGGGAGCGCCTCGGTCGCTACTCAGCTACCCTTGCCTTCGTCTGCGCTATGATCATCTTCTGGGCTATTCCCACTGCTGTTGTTGGTGCCATCTCCAACATTGACTCTTTGACCGACAAGGTTCACTTCCTGAGGTTCATCGACTCCGTTCCGGGATGGATCAAGGGTGTCATCACTGGTCTTCTGCCCACTATCTTGATGTCTGTCCTCATTGCACTGGTGCCCATCATTCTTCGCCTGATGGCCAAGTTGAGTGGTGCTCCCAGTCTCGCTGCCGTCGAATTGATCGTTCAGAACTGGTTTTACGCCTTCCAGCTTGTCCAGGTCTTCCTGGTGGTCACCCTCGCCTCTGCAGCTACTAGTGTCGTCACTTCCATTATTAATGATCCCTCCTCCGCTGCCTCCTTGCTGGCCAATAATATTCCTCGCGCATCCAACTTCTATATCTCCTATATCATTCTTCAGGGATTGTCGTTCAGCTCTGGTGCCCTTCTCCAAATTGTTGGGCTGATTCTCAGCAAGGTGCTGGGCAAGCTGTTGGATAGCACTCCTCGCAAGATCTACTCTCGCTGGTCAAGCTTGGCTGGTCTCGGATGGGGCACAGTCTACCCTTCCTTCACCCTGTTGACCGCTGTTGGTATGTTCAATCTCGATGCCACATGAATAAGTTCGTAATTCTAACCCACTGTCATAGCAATCATCTACTCCTGCATTGCCCCGCTCGTTATGGGCTTCGGTACCATCGGTCTCTACCTGTTCTACTTCGCCTACCGCTACAATTTGCTATACGTCTCGAACGCAACTATTGACACTCAAGGTCGCTGCTACACTCGTGGTTTGCAGCAGCTCACCGTGGGTTGCTATATATCCATCGTTTGTCTGATTGGTCTCTTTGCCATTGGTTCTGCTGCCAACCAGATCGCCGTCGGTCCCCTGATCCTGATGATCATCTTCTTGGTCTTTGTCGTCCTGTTCCACCTCGCCATGAACAGCGCCATGGAGCCCCTCCTCAACTACCTGCCCAAGAACCTCGAGCTCGAGGAGGAGAGACAACTCGCCGCCGACAAGGCTGCCCTCGGCGCTCCGTACGAGAATCCGGACTCCGACGATCTGACCGCTCCCACCGGCTCCACCGTGGCTCCGGCCGACAGCGGTGTTGCCGGCGCGGACAACGGCGTCGACAAAATCGACTCCGCCGAGAAGGGTGTCGTCGACACTTCTTCTTCAGAGCCAAAGCCCACAGAGCCAAAGCCCAACCTGTTCACCAAGTTCTTCCGCCCAGACAAATACGCTAACTACCACCAACTGCGCAAGCTGGTTCCCGGCGGCGGCGAGGCCATGTCCTACCCACCAGAGGCCGAGCGCGATGCCTACTGCCACCCGGCCATCACTTCACAGCCCCCTCTCCTCTGGATCCCCCGTGACCCTATTGGTGTCAGCGCCCAGGAAGTCGCGCACACCCAGCGCGTCATCCCCATCACGGACGAGGACGCCTATCTCGACGAGAAGTGCAAGATCCAATGGAACGTCGAGAAGGGCCTGCCCCCCATCTACGAGGAGAAGATTGCCTATTAAGCGCTTTTCTATCTTACACCGTTCCTCGAGCTCTCGATCGAATCTTCAATCAACGATATGTCCAACCAGCCGGCAGACGCGTGCTGTTCTAATTTAAATATAAGAAACATGTCCTCTGCCGGCCATGTTTCTTCTGGTCTACTGTGATACCCAGTCGGGCCAGTTCGCGGGAACTGGTCGGCTCCAACCAGGAGTTTTCTTTTTGTTGTTTTGATCTATCTAATATTGGTTCCGGGCCCGTACGGCCCGGGCCTCTCGTTTTTCTATAATATCTAAATTAATCACATGGTGGTCCTTTGTTCATGCCTCGAGTCGAATCACCAGGTCTCATCTGAATAAAAATTTCTAACGACCAGAACCTGTCCAAATCCCACTCACATTATCAGGTGCGCACGATAGATAGTAGAAGCTGTCGGAAATACTGGGACAATACTGGGTACTCAACTATCCCACTATTCCTATTTAGGATGTATCATGTGACTTTTGTATCGTAAATCCCTTCGAGGGAATCAGATAGACAGATCAGACATACATTCGTTTATTGGATACACAAGATCGCTCCCCATTTGCTTCCACAGAAGCTGCTATTAGTATTATCGAACATGTCATTCCACTTCCAGAATACCCACAAACACATGATAGTGGCTATGCGTATGTAGTCAACCTCCGGAGACCGTCACATGGGCCAGCGTACAACGCTTCCATACGGGTTGGTACTGTATAACTTCAGTCAGCTGTGACTTCCTCTTTACTTGCTCGTTGTCATAGACGGTTCCAAACAATATTTAGTCCCGAATTTCCTCGGACTCTTTGCTTTCTTTCTCCTTTCTCCTCTCTCCATTGCCACTGGCTTTTTCTCATTTGCTTCATATCATTCTTCACCATGCACTTCGTTTATATAATTATATTCCTCCCCCGCCTTTCTCATCCCCCCGCTGCTGTGACGATCCACCTCCTCTGAAGTCTTGCCTTGTCGATGTGGATGAGGACTTGGAGGAGCTCCCATCTGACGAACCATTCGTCCGGAAGTCTGTCCATTTCCCGGATGATGTGGACCTCGTTCAGGCGAGGAGGAATCCAGCCCGAAACCTGCCCCCGCCTTGCTGGCGTGAGAGCATCACGCTTGACGGGGGTAAGTATCGTTCCTCCATCTGATGGTTCTGCGAGCTGACTGGGATAAATTACAGGTGGCTGGTGGGGGTCTGTGACTCCGGCGCACATATCGAGTGGTATTCAAATTCCCGGTAGGTAATCTTCCAACATTCTGTTTGACTTTGCTGCTTTTGCTCCCAAGTCACCCCAAGTCAGAAGCAAACGTCTCACCCTCTGATTCTAACAAACCATCACATCCCAGCTGAAGTCGAGACACCACCAGTGAGAATACTCTAGTGAGAAGTGGTGCGCCGTCTCCCGACCCAAATACTTGGCACCTCCCTCCTTCGAGGCGATGGGAAGACGAACGATCTGGCAGAGTCTGGACACGCCCGTCAAACCCCATTTCCGAGGGGCCTTTCGTGATCTACGAAGATCCTCCTGACCGTGAAGTGCCAATGATCGAGCCAGCGGAGCTTAACGACGTAGTCAACAACCGAGAGAATGAACAGCCATCTCCGAGGGGCCTCTGTATATTGCTGACCACACAAGCTCAGGGCAGAAACACGCGTTTCCGAATGAGACCGTGTAGAAGGCATCAGGACGTGTGATGGGTCGTTCGTGGGGATACCTGTCCTTATTGCACTCTACAGTGTGGGGGAGATGGAGAAGAGAGGGTGAGACTGAGACGAGGATGTGATCGTATCTGTGCTTCATGTATGACAGAAATGGAAAGTCCCTTCCAATGTGTGATGGTCTCTCCCTGTAAATGACTCAGCTGGACGAAGCTCCCGCTGTCCTAGATTAGAGAAGCTCGAGACGGAATCCATGTGATATTTATTGAAAGTATCGACCACTCAGGCCACATACCACTGAACAACAGAAGCGTTCCGGGCTATGATCGCAACCACTTGGCCCCTTGGGTCACATCCCTCTACGCCATGCGCCGTGTCTACCAAGAGGTGGTAGTCCCCCAGATGCTCTATGGGGTCGCCGTATGGTTGTGCCTCAAGGCAAGGACAATGCCTATGGAGAACGACCCAAAATCACACCGAGTACACCGGAATCTAGCAACGCGCCGCCCAATTAATATCTGGAGAATTCAGGTCGACCAGCACACCCGCACTCAAAATGGAGCTGTTCCATCTATTCATCGAGCTCCATCTGTAGCAAATGATCGAGGAAACAGCTATCCGAATCCTGGCAAGATTAGCCTGGGCTCGGCCAGAGCGCCTATGCTGGTTACGCCTGCGCACGACCAAAGAGACCAAGGTTAAACCTTAGCGGGCGCGTACCACTGGACGCCCACCAGTAAAATACAAAGAGAATACCGAATACCCCTAGGGCCTAGGAGGCCCGAAGTGCGTTTGTTCTAGCGCCATGGGGGGCACGAATCCTATGCGTCATTGAAGGAGCGGTAGCTGCGTGAGGAACGCGGCTTCAGACCAAGTCCCTCTTTCAAGGAATCAAGACAGTCTCACAATACTAATACAAGAAAAACTAAGAAGGAGGCCCGACAAGATGAGACCCCTCCCTGGCAGTCTTATTCTTTACCGACGGCAGTGGTCTTGAGGACCAACTCGCCAGTTGGCGCTTCCGCCGCCGCGCCAAGCAACAACGTCTTCTGCGACGATAATTGGGAACTTTGCACGGATTCATAGTGTATCTTGACGTGCTCGACGGCATTGGGATGGTGGCTGCCAAGCTCCAATACAACCAAGGTAAGAAGATAGTCATCACCGGTTGTCAGGTTGCTATCCAGGCAGTGCAAAATGCAAGGCCACGACTGACCAGTTGGCAGCATGTCGGGAAGACTTAAAGAGCATTTTAATCTCATTTATCCATTGATCACATACGAGCCCTCAGACCAGCAGCCGCACAGCACACGCCTACGTCAGGCATGGTTACCCTCAACATCCGCTGGGTTCACGCACACGTGGGCGTAACTGACAATTGCCAATTGCCAATGAGACATTGAGACTCAGACACTTCGACAGGTTAACTTTAGACTCACCAGTTGTCACATGACCTTCGCACGTGTCAATATTTGCCTGAGGCGGTTATGCGCAAGGCCTTTTTTTTGCCTTCAGACATCAAAGTCTGCAGCTTTTAAAGCTGACGATTCAAATGTCAATCATTCTATAATCTATGCCCGAACCATCAGTAGATAACTATTCGCCTCTCCGGAGTGTCTGATCCTTGTTCACTCTTTCCATCTCAATGTGTCTTTTACTGGAATGCATGATATCTCAGGAGTCAGGACATACTAACACGGAGGTGAGCGAGAGTGCGACACTATGTAGGTAAAGGATAATCAAGAAACCAGGACCTCACTAACATGGTGGAAGCTTCCAAGGTTACACAGTACACTGTATACAAGCATGACAAAGGCTCGAACAATTACAGATCCAAAAAGAAATGCAAAGAGTTTAGGAACTAATTGTGCATTTCTAAAGCGAAGAGACGCTAATCATAAACAGAGTGGTAGGACTGTGACAGACCTACCTCAATGTCAAAAGCAAAGAAAATTTGACCATCGCATTCATGGAAAGAATCTCCCCGTCCCAAGAGTGGTATCATACCAGGATAAGACAGACCTGGCGAAAGGAAGAGAAGAAAAACAGCAAAATGAGAGAGCACACGGGGTCTCTACTTAGCGATCCTCGGTCTCCTCGTTCCGGTCGTCGCTGGCCTCATCATCCGCCTCGTCCTCAATCTCAGGAGTGGTCGCGCGGACCACCGGTCGGTGGAAGTCGAGGGTGCGACGAACGCCAAGGCGACGAGCACGGGTACTGTGAGGACCGGTGCGATGGGGACCGGTGCGACGAGGACCAGTTCGCCGAGCGGGCTCACTCAGAGGCAGGTGGGCGTAGGGGCTCTCAAGGCGACGTCCCAGTCTAAGTTGACCAGTTTGCATAGCCCGATCATCATAAGTGAGATCATAGCTATCGCCTTCCTGGGTCGGGTCGGTCCAGAGCGTCCACAGTACCCGTCGGCCATTCCTAGTGGGCCAGCTGCCATCTCCAGCATAGTCGTCACGGTGTCGGTCGAATTCGACGATGGGAGCGTCCGGTGACAGCTCAAAAGTGTCGACGGAATTGAGATCGGGTTCGATTGTAGCCGGATTCACGTTCTCTTGATCAGGGCCGTTGTCACCAAATAGTTCTTCATCCTCCTGATTATTGGCTCCGTCATCAGGCTCCTCTGGCTCGATCGTTGGCTCTTCGCGGTCAGGAGGATCTTCGTAGATTACGAAAGGCCCCTCGGAAATGGAGTTTGACGTGCGGGTCCAGAACCGGCGAGAACGTTCGTCTTCCCAATTTGAAGGCGGGAGGTGCCAAGTATTGTTTCCAGACATGTCGGACAACGAGATATGCGTACTCGGGGATTGTGGTTCGGCACTGAGGGAATTGCGAGTGGTTGAAAAATCGTCTTCCTGTCTTTGAGGGTCGAGGCGGGTGGTGTTGTGCTCAGGGATATCATATGACGAGTTATCCATGCTGGTTTCAGATCCCTCACGGTTGAGAACTCGGTTGTCCCCTGGGCTTGGAGATGCGGCGTGCGAGGTGTCGCGTCCAGGCATAACAGACGATGGGATATTCACACTGACTTCAGATCCCTCACCAGTGGAACGTTGGAATTCATTTAGACCTTCACGTGCGAGGCACAAGATGTCACTGCCCGAGTCTGCAGACGGGACACGACTTCTCACTTGAGTTCTCTCACCAGTGGTGTCTAACTCTTCAGGTGGGATGTAATAGTTTGCTAGAATTAGAGGGTGAGATGTTTGCTTCTAACTTGGGGTGACTTGGGAGCAAAAGCAGCAAAGTCAAACAGAGTGTTGGAATATGACCTACCGGAGAAGTCTAATGCAACTAGGTATTCCCGCCGGTGTTACAGAACTCCACCAGTCAACCTCGTACCGGTGCCAGTGAGGCGGAGAGTCTTCGATGGCAGCAGAGCTGTCTTCAGCAACAACAACCGAGTATTCGGGCAAATCAAGAAAGTCAATTAGTAGCTGTTGGTCGCGGGGATTCGACGTCTCAAAGAAGGATTGATGAAAACTATATAGAGGATGGTTCCCACTCTAGGACCATGGAAGCGCTCGTCAGATAGTTGGCCAAACAGAGGACTAGGTATGGGAGCTTGCTGTCGCGGACAACTTACATTTGTCATCGTCGCCCTCTACGGGGAGGCCGGCGTCAGACGCACTGGTGTTCTGTCTCGACATATTGTCGCCCTAACCACGCCCGGCGTCAGCGTCGGTGTTCATGGGCCACGCCAGTCTCGATCGTCCAGGTTCTCTCAACCAATTATGTCGAATCATCTGCTCTCGAACCGAAGACGTACCTACCACTAACATTCATATTAGTATCTTGGGCATGCAGAGGAAATGGCACATTTCAGTTTCCAACTCGAGCTTAGCTTTGTCTTGAAGTCCAAGTATCAGACAAAAGGATAGCTCGAGAGATGACTCGGTTCTTTGAAGTCTACTTACTTTCACAGAAAGAGATGGAAACACGAGAAATACTTGCTTGTGTTTGAATCAAGTTCGAATCAAGCGATTGGATGGTAAAGGATGAGAAATGGAAGAAAGGCAAAGGTGGGAGATGGGAGAGTGCCTAAGAACAAAAAAGCCGCTGGCTGAACCGATCAATAGGTGCTCTATATCCTTGGTGCCGAGGATGTATTGCAAATGACTGTGAACCGTGAGTCTCATGTTACTGACAGTGGACAATCTCATGAGTTTCAACAACATGTCGCGACGGTCGACGAGGTTGTCGACACTACTGACTTACGCACTAGGAGAAGGAAAGTCTAGGTAGCATCAGAGGCAAGCTACATGAAGATGAGCCATCTATTGAGTATCTACGATTCTCTTCGTAAGGATTGACTTCTATTCATGGCCGTGAGTCGTGACAACCCGTGGCGCTTGTCCTATCTTATTCTTTGGAATGGATCTCATAGATCGGCGCTTCAATGCGGGCAAGCTGGTTCACGTGCGCCTGAGGTAGCCATCTGGAACTTCCCATCGACTCATCGAGTTTTCTCACAATCTCACTTTTATTTATGGCTGTGACAAGAAGTGTGGGCTGTTCCGGTTGTGAAGTTCAAGTGCCCCCCGGGATCTTATATCGACGCTGCAATGCGGGCAAGGATTACCACGTGCATCCACGTGATATACCCGGACCCGGTTAGGCGGGATTGTGAAACAAGAAGGGACTTCGACCAGGGGTTTATGCTTCTCGGACTACCTCACAAGCGGTACTGACCTGAAAAGCAGAAAGGTACTGTGTGCAACAGGTGATTCGTGAAATTGGTGGCAGTCCATGAAATGTTCTTCATTCTACTCAACGATACAGGATCGCCAAACTTAACGGAGAGCACTCTTTTGATCAATCGCACGTGACCTGTTGCATCAAACATCAAGCTTACACCATCCATGAGGTAGACTTTTAGAAGATCTTCTGTGCTAAAGTGCCTTTTAGTTAAACTGACGGCAAACTCCAAGGTCCGACGGCAAACTCCTAGGTCATACTTACCCATATCCAGTCATCCAAAATTGCCGGATTTAATGCAAAGGTCATATATCATCTCGCTTTTCTTGGCATGCAAGATCGGACGCATGATCGCATGCAAGATCTCATGCAAAATCGAATGAACGGAAGAGGCGGTGGGCTTGAAGCAAGGCTGTCAGTCTTAGGTTACAATGGCAAGCAAATCAAACACCCCACTGACCAACGGACATGTGGGATTCAAGTTTTAGCAATCATGGAACTGGTATTTCCAGATTCCCGTAGCCCGCATGATGATGAACCCTATAACGGAACGACAGCCTGGGCAACATGAAAGCTGAGCAAGCCCACAGGTCAAGAAGCCTAGCACTTATTGACGAGAATGTACGCAATTCCGTCTTATGTTCATTCGACATACATCTCTCCTCCGCTGCGACCAGCCTTCTCGGTCATGCTGTTGACGATAATGACATCAACCGATCGCGAACGGACAACAGAGCTTTGTTATCCCCTATTTTTAACGTTCAGCGAGTGGCGGTTTACGAAGTAGTGTGAGTATTATGACCGAAGTAATCCGAACAGGATCGTGTAGGTTCAGCCTTGCATGCCTGACATTATGCATCTGAGATCTCTAATGCAGACAAAGATCTCCTACGTCACAGGTGGGGCCACTAGAGCCAATTAGTTCGTTGCAAGGATCCACTGTATGCGCTGAAGATTTGTGAGTGCATATGGGAATAGTGACAGTAGCTCTCAGATCAAGTCGAGATGATTAGGCAAAAATGCTATAAAATCATGGAAATCATAGCCGTAGCTTTGAGGAACATTCAAACACTTTGTCTTCGGAATTGGAATTATTTTCACATCCACAATGGAATATACAGATTTGCAGCCAACCGCATTTGTTCCCCGTCCACTCAAGGTGGTAGTTATAGGTGCAGGGTAAGCCTTAAACCACTCGGACCGGCCAGCAGACCGAGCTTACGCTTCATAGAATTTCTGGCATCCAGATTGCCCATGATCTATCTTGTCAATTTCCCGGGATTGATCTTGAGATTTACGAAAAAAAACCCCGACGTTGGTGGAACCTGGTATGAGAACAGATATCCAGGGTAACATATGAACCTGAAAATAGTCCTTTCCATATCTCACATGAAGATCTAGATGCACATGTGATGTCCCGTCGCATACATATCAGTTCAGTTGGGCACCAAATCACAACTGGTCTCAACTCTATCCTGCTGCATTTGAGATCTACACCTATCTTCGGGATACGGTGAATCAGCATGGTCTCAGGAAGTTTATGCAATTCCACTGGCGATGCGTCTCAGCCAATTGGGATGAATCTGCATCCAAATGGACAACAGTGTTTGGACATACCCAGTGCAATGAAAAAAAGGTTGTGATTTCCGACGTGTTGGTGTATGCCGTCGGCCGACTCAACAACTACCGCATACCTGTTGTGGAGGGGCAAGATCGCTTCCAAGGGCGTATTGTACATACCGCCGCATGGCCAGATGATCTCGTTGTTGAAGGGGCGCGAGTAGTAGTCATTGGAAATGGAGCAAGTGCCGTGCAGTGTGTTGCGGCCCTACAACCAGGTTTGGTCATCTCTCTAAGTCTTGGCTGATCTGTACTAATGTGGCCTATTACAGTGGTATCTAAGCTGGTCAATATTTCTCGAGGGCCTACCTGGATAGTACCCCATGTACTTTCGGAGGATGGCTCCGTCCAAAAGGATTGTCAGTCTGATCAGAATGAAGGAGGCCCGAATTATCCTAACTTTTCATGTCAGATACCGCCCAAGAGAGACGGTCATTCCAAGAAGACCAAAAGTTTTATTACACTCATCGCATTGGTCTTGAACAAAAGGTCGCTACAGGGTTCTCTGGCCTTTGGAATGGAACATCAGCCCAAGGACGGTTTACCGCCATGTGCAAGTCATTCATGGAATCCAAGGTCAAAGACCCAGCTTTGCTGAATGCTCTTTTGCCTGATTTTCAGGCGGGATGTCGTCGCTTCACTCCAGGTCAGCATTACTTGGCTGCCTTGCAGCAGCCCAATGCAGAGTACGCGCAGGGCTGCATCGGGGAGCTAACCGATAGCGCCCTTATTACTCAATCGGGGAAGACATACCCGTGTGATGTCATTGTATATGCGACTGGGTTCGAGCCCTATCAGCCGCGGTTTCCGATCATTGGGAGAGATGGAGCCTCCCTGGATGATAATTGGAATCGTCGAGGACCATGCGAGAGCTACATGGCGGCCATGGTGGCCCAGTTTCCTAACTTCTTCGGTTGGTCAGTGTGAAGCTTATGGGTGGTACGTGCTGATATTTCTTAGCATTCAATCCTCCCATATGCCCAGTCAATGGATCTGCTATTCCGGGCATTGAAAGAGCAGCAAACTACATGATCAGGGTATTGGATCGTCTGCAAACTGACAACCTGAGTTCCGTCTCCGTTAGGATTGAGGCACAACAAGAGTTCAACAAGTGGGTTCAGTCACGAATGGCTGAAATGGTGTGGTCTGGGCAGTGCAGCTCGTGGTGTAAGCCTCTCCTAAAGTGAACGCAATTGACCGTACTAAGAGTCTCCAAGATAAAAACGACGATGGTAAAGTTATGGTTCCGTGGCCCGGGACACTTCTGCACTACTATAGGGCCACCGAACTCATCCGCTGGGAAGATTTCGATCTCCGCCACCGCTCTGCAACTCAGCCATACGGCAGCTTCGGGAATGGACTCACCGAAGATGGATTCGTGCCAGAAAAGTTTCCTTGGGTGAATGTCCCAGACGAATCAAGTCTGTGCGAAAAGAAACGGGCCATAACATGCTCATTGGTGGGGCACTTGCGAGCTTCTTGGCCCTGTTGGTCGATTTGGACGATCAGTGCAATTATTGTCTGGATGCCTCGATGAAGAATGAAAATGAGCGGTGTGGTTCCTGGAACTAGGAAATGCATAAAGATCTTGCAGGAAACATGTTTTACATGCTCTTAAAGTTTAAATCGAGACTAGGTTGCGGTGAATCCACATGTACCATGTGTTACATGCATGTATTTGCTAAGATTATTGTACGTAAAGCTGCAAGCATGTGGATATCTAGACGATCTTATACAAATGACGATCTTATACAAATATGCCATCAACAAAATCCCACCAATTTTCTCACGAACCAGTTCTCTTGATCGGCACTTGAGCCCCCGCATTACTCTCCTATATCAGTGCTGTCTGACGTTCTATTTTTCGTATAGCTGGAAATAGCATTAGCGAAATCAGATTCCGTTCGTTTTGTTTCTTCGAATTACGCCCATCGTCTTATCTTTTTCGCACAAAACCACTGCTCCTCTTCGCCATGCAACCCCCGAGCGAGGTTTCCGGGGAAACCCATCCGGAGAATACCCAGTCAATCATCACACGCTTCGAAAAGGCTGTCGAACAGTTTCCTGATAGCCTAGCCGTCATTTGCACCCATCAACCGGCCAATTTGTATGGGTTCGATAGCCTCACACCAACCAACACAGTCCATGAGCAGCCTGGCTATCTTCGTTGGTCGTACGGCACTCTCAGGCAAAGTGTCCAGCGACTGCAAGAAAGCCTGGCGGTGTACGGCCTGGTGAATGACACGGTGTTCTTCGTCTTTTGTCAGAATCAAGTGGAATGTCTCATTTGCACATTGGCCTCATATACTCTCGGCTGGATTCATGTACCAATCAGTCCGGAGCACTTGTGCAATCCACAGGAGGTTCTCCATATGGTGAAATCGGTCACCACGAGTAAGAACCCCGCTAAAATTGTCGTTCTAGCGAACAATGCAGAAACTGCTAGGCAATTCGATCGACTAGACCTCGGCTGCGAAATGGTCAAGATATGCCTCGGCGGCGATCAGGAAAACTGGATTTCGTTTGAATATCTCATCCAAAGCCTTGATTCCGAAGAGTCCAAACTGGAAAGACCTGGCACTTGTCGAGAAGAGCTTTCTGTTTTCTTTACGAGTGGTACAACTTCACTTCCCAAAGGCTGTCTGGTCAAGGCAGCTCAGTGGTTCGATATGTTGGAGCCATCTTTGAGTTTTCGCTCTGCTGGGCCCGGGGATTTGGTCAATGTTGCTGTCCCAAGCCATCACGCTTTTGGCTACATCTGCATGACTATTCCACTTCTACGCGGTGCTTGCGTGGTCCTAACCGGTCTCAATTTCTCCCCCCAGAGTGTGGTCAAGACACTGGGCCTTGAAGCTTGTACTCATGCAGCGTTGGTCCCCACCATGATACATAGCCTGATGCAGATGCTTGAGGGAACAGACACCAAATTTCAGAGCCTGAGAAGTGTGGTGTTCGCCGGAATGGCTTTGAACTCGGACGTTGTGCAAAAGTGCCAGAAGTTCCTCGGCATTTCGACAATTGAAAACTTTTATGGAATGACGGAAGGTGCCTTCATCTCCACTGGCCCCATGGAAGATTTGAGCACGATGACGCAGGGTGAGGTTGTTTCCATTGGAAAGCCTGTTCCTGGTGCACAAATTCGCGTCTGTGGTCCCGATGATCGCTTGCCCGTGCCGATAGGAGTTCCCGGTGTGCTCCATTTTTCAGGTCATTCGATGATTGACCATTACCTGGACTGTGAAACAGATAGCTTCTACGAATCTGATGGCCGTGTTTGGTTTGTGACTGGCGACCAGGCATTTGTCGACCAATCAAAGCAATTATATATCGTGGGAAGGCAGAAGGATATGATCATTCGTGGGGGAGAAAATATCGCGCCTTCAAAGATTGAAACACTCCTGGCACAGTCACCTCAATACCACGCTCTTGATCCTCAGGTCATAGCAGGTGACGACTTTATCGCAGGTGAAGTCCCTGTGGTTGTGACCAGGCTAGCTACGAGCCATGGCGTGGAGAAGATGATGCAAGATACTATACGTGAAAACTTGGGAATTCTCTATGTTCCCAGAACATTCATTTCACTAGATTCTCTGAGCCTCGATGACTACCCTCGCACCTCTTCTGGAAAAATACAAAAGGCGAAACTGAGCGAATTAGTGGCTGCCTACACGCGATCTCAAGCATCCCACGACACTGACAAAGATGTTTCACCCCCAAAGCTCTATCGTGATATTGTGGCTGTATGGTCACGCGTGCTGGGTATTCAAGCTTCGCATCTTGATGTTAAAGCCCCCATAGCGCAGCTGGCTGACAGCATTCTTATGCTAAGTGCCCGGGAAAAGATCAGAAAAGAGACGGGACTCAGTGTTCCGCTTCCACAGTGGCTTGCAATTAACACGATTGCAGATCAGATAAGCATACTCGGAGAGATCGGCACAGAGGACATTGCGAATGAACATGCAAAATTCGTCGAGGAGCTTCCTTCAGGTCCCCCAAATGTGGAAGATATGGTCCACCTCGGAGGTGATGAAGGCGGATTTGGTACCACAAGAAATGCGATTGAGAAGAAAATTGCGGCACAAGGCTTCTCTTGGGACGATGTGGAAGACGTTTTTCCCTGCACAGATTTTATCCAAATGATCTGTCGGTCCCAAGTAGTCGACACCTGGAATATTCGAACCTCTATTGTTTCTCAGAACGCAAGCGTGGAGGTACGTGCTGTTAAGCTGATCGTTTCATGCTGTATGTGATAGCTTACTTGTGCAACAGGCAATTAGGACAGCCCTTGAAGCCACTTTGATCAATAACCCTTTGATGCTTTCGTATATCGTTGTGGATGACGAAGCATTGGGACGGGAACTTGGTCTTCATGTCACTTTGCGGCGTAACAAAACAACACTTGATCGATGCATTGTGGATTATGGTACAGTCGAAACCCTGCAGGACCTACGATTCATCACGATGAATTACCCTTTCAAGGACCATGCGATGTTGCCAGGGCCATTGTTCCGTGCCCTCATCGTGTTTGTTCGGGAAACCAATTCTGCAGCTGTCGTCACCAATGGTAAATTCTCCTCCGTGTCTACTCGTTCTACATTGCTGACATATATGTATCAAGTTGCCCACGCTGTATTGGATATCACATATCACTCACTCTTTCACGAAGACCTCGATCGTGCGCTGGGCTGTCAGCCACTTCAGCGTCATTTGTCATTTAAGGCCTGGGCCGACACATATCACACACTCCGAAAGTCTCCCGTAGCGGCTTCTGGTGCCAGATTTCATGCAAGATATCTACGTGATCTGCAAGACCACAAGCAAGTCCTCTGGCCGCATCCGACACATCGGCTCGTCGTATCCGCTGAACGTGCCATGATGGACGGACATGTGATAACTTTTGCCGCCCCTTCATTTATCCGCCTCCAACGGAAGCATCCGAAACTGACAACGCCTATCGTGCTCAAAGCGGCGCTTGCACTCATGGTGATTCTGCATACGAACCACACACACGCGCTCTTTTTGAATCTTGAAGCGGGCCGATCAAAGTTTCCGTTTGTTCATAAAACCTATCCATTCATAGATGCACCAGATGCTGCCGATGTGGCGGGCCCGACTTTTGGCGGAGTATTGAATTTGATTGCCTACCAGCCAACGGAAACGGTGCTCGAATATCTGATCAGGGTCCAGGAAGAACAGAGAAACCTGACAGAGCATGCCCAGGTTCCTTGGCACGACCTTTCTCAACAAGTAGGGTGCTCAATGGAAGAGCTCCTACCCGCTGTCGCAAACTCATTGATATTCAACTGGATGCCTGGCCTTGGGCCAGCTATCCTTGGCGAAAATCCATATCAGAATATGGCTGTGACACAAACCCATATCCGAACCAGACTGGGAATGTTGGCTAGTGCCGGAGCTGGAGGGGTGGATGGAAGCCAAATTGTCATCTTCCTGCAAGGCGCATTGGCGAACATGTCATCGATGTGGGTGGAACGCGCAGCCGAAGAAATGAAGCAAATTGCGCTGTGGTTGGCGGAAGAAACTTCGTTGCAGATGCCCGTCATGGAATTTATAAAGTCGGTTGGCGACGTTTGAATTGTTTTTGGCAATGGCAATGTTCTTGTTTGTCGTCGCGCTTGTTGTGGCCTCTGGCCTGCTAGCGCCGAAATTCAGCAACTTGGAGTTGGGGCAGCCTCGAGTTGGTGTGTTGTTGGACGGCCGGGTGGTGGATGCACGAGACTGTTTGATCTGACCCTACGGGAGCCGCCCTGGCCCCTGGGGCGATGCCCACCATATATAACATCATTCATGAAAGCAATCCCCTACCTAAATATGGTTGTGACTTGTGGGACTGTCGAAGCAGGGTCGCTCGGCGCTCCTTGCCAAGACAAGCCACGTGATCGGACTTGCTCCTGGGTGCGGAACGGGACTAGTATGTTCCGGAGAAGACAAGTGGAAGAAAACCTTCATATCAAGATAGTTCTACACACAATCATACAAGACCAACTCATGCGTACCATATCCGCCAAGACACTAGATACCACTAGACTTCAACAGGGACTTTCTCTCTGAAGGTCCTGTCCGGGTCCTGATCCGTACAACGTCGAGGCTTCTAAGGTTACACAGTAAACAACTGAAGCATGAGGAAGAATCGAGCAATTACACTATTACAGATCCTACAAAGAACACAAGGAGTTCAGGAACTAATCGTACATTGCTAGAGTGAAGAGACGCTAATCACACACAAGACAGAGTGGTAAGACTGTGACAGACCTACCCCAATGTCAAAAGCAAAGGAACTTCATCATTTCTTCATACATGGAGGGAATTTCCCCCTCACGGGCTTGAGTATCATATCAGGATCAGATAATCCCGACGAAAAGAAGAAACACAACCAAAAGAGAGAGAATGCGGGATCTCCACCTAGCGATTTTCGGTCTCCGCGTTCCGGGCGTCGCTGGCCTCATCATCCGCCTCGTCCTCGATCTCAGGTGTGGTCTGACGGACCTCCGGTGGGTCAAAGTCCAGAGAACGACGAACGCCATCACGACGAGCAGCGGTGCGATGGGGACCGGTGCGACGAGGACCGGTGCGACGAGGACCAGCACGACGAGCGGGCGCACTCAGAGGCAGGTGGGCGTAGGGGCTCCGACGGTCACTACCTAATCTAAGTCGACCTGTCTGAATTGCCTGACTATCATAAGTCAGATCGTGGTTCTCGCTTTCCTGGGTCGGGTCGGTCCAGAGCGTCCGCAGTACCCGTCGGCCATTAATCCTGGGCCAACTGTCATCTCCAGCATAGTCGTCATGGTACTGGTCAAATTCGACTATGCGAGGGTCCAGCGACAGGCCAAAGGGGTCGACGGGATTGACATCAGGCGCGATCGTAGCCGGATCCACGTTCTCTTTGTCAGGGCCGCCATTGTCGGAAAATCGCCCATTTTCATGGTTATTGGCCCGGTCACCAGGCTCCGCTGGCTCGATCACTGGCACTTCACGACCAGGAGGATCTTCGTAGATCACGAAAGGCCCCTCGGAAATGGGGTTTGACGGGCGTGTCCAGACTCTGCCAGATCGTTCGTCTTCCCATCGCCTCGAAGGAGGGAGGTGCCAAGTATTTGGGTCGGGAGACGGCGCACCACTTCTCACTAGAGTATTCTCACTGGTGGCGTCTCGATCTTCAGCTGGGATGTGATGGTTTGTTAGAATCAGAGGGTGAGACGTTTGCTTCTGACTTGGGGTGACTTGGGAGCAAAGCAGCAAAGTCAAACAGAATGTTGGAAGATTACCTACCGAGAATTTGAACGAACTGGGGCCAGTGCGAAGGAGAGCCTTCGGAGGAAAGCATGCTGTCTTCAGCGATAATATCAAGGTATTCTCTAGGAACGGTGATCACAGGCCCGGTCGAGTCAGACAAAGCAAGAAAGTCACTTAGCGACTGTTCGTCGCGGGAATTCGACGTCTCAAGGAAGGATTGATGAAAACTACCCAGAGGATGGTTTCCAATCTAGGATTATGGAAGTGCTTGTCAGATATTTGGTCAAACAGATGACGAGGTATGGGAGGTAGCCGTCGCGGACAACTTACATTGTCATCGTCGCCCTCTACAGGGAGGCCGGCGTTAGACGCACCGGTGTTTGGTCTCGGCATATTGTCGTCCTAACCATGCCTGGCGTCAGCGTCAGTGTTCATCGGCCACGCCAGTCTCGACTTTCCAGTTTCCCTTAACCAGTTATATCGAATCATCTGCCCTCGAACCGAAGACGTACCTAGCACTAACATTCATATTAGTATCTTGCGCATGCAGAGGAAATGGCACATTTCAGTTTCCACCTCGAGCTTAGCTTTGTCTTGAAGTGCAAGTATCAGACAAAAGGATAGCTCGAGGGATGACTCGGGTCTTTGAAGTCTACTTACCTTCACAGAAAGAGACGGGAAACACGAGAAATGCTTGATTGTCTTTGAATCAAGTTCGAATCAAGCTATTGGATGGGTTTTTAAATCAAGTTCAAATGAAGCGATGGGATGGTAAAGGATGAGAATTGGAAGAAAGGCACAGGTGGGAGATGGGAAGTGCCTGAAGAACAACACAACAGCTGGCTGAACCGATCAATAGGTGCTCTATCTGCTCGACGCCGAGGATATAATGCAAACGATTGCGAACCGCGAGTCTTAGACCACTGACAGTGGACAATGTCATGAGTGTCAACAACAAGCCGCGACGGCCGACGACAATATCACGACGGTTGACGACGTTGCCAACACTACTGACTTACGAACTAGGTAGGAGAAGGAAGTAGGAGAAGGAAAGTCTAGGTAGCATCGGAGGCAAGCTACATGAAAATGATCTATGTATCGAGTATCTACGGTTCTCTTGTTAACGATTGACTTCTATCCACGGCCGTGAGTCGTGACAAGACGTGGCGCTCGTCCTATCTTTGGAATGGATATTTAAATCAACGCTTCAATGCGGGCAGGCTAGGTCACGCATGTCTGGGGGAAAGAGGCCGGGGCCAGGGGAACCTTTCCATCAAGTCCCTTCATGGCCCTGAGAAGGATTGTGGGTTGGTGTGGGTGTGAAATGCCCCCATGGGTCTTATATCGACGCTGCAATGCGGGCAAGGATTATCACGTGGATGTGCACGTGATATATCCCGCTAGGGCCTATTCCCGGGCGGGATTGTGATTTGTGAACAAGAAAGGTCCCGTCGTTTACACAGTATCATTCTCGAACTACCTCACAAGTATTGACCGGAAAAGTACCTATGACAACAGGTGAAATGGTGAATGGGATGTTAGTCCATGGAAAGTTCTCATTTTTCTCAACGATACAGGATCCCCAAACTTGACGGGGAGGGCTCTTTGATCGTTCTGCGTTCACATGTTGGACTGCAATGGATCTGTGACCTGTCGCATCAAACATCAAGTTGACACCATGAGGTAGATTTTGAGATTAGGTACCATTCATTCTTTCCTATCTACAGGGCCATGAGGATTTGAGAAGATATTCCGTGCTAAAGTACCTTTTATATGGTAGCCTCGTACAGATAGTACCTCGGGCCTCGACCTTCTCTAATCTAGGACAGCAGAAGCTTCGTCCGGCTCAGTCATTTACAGTGAGAGACGATCACACATCGGAAAGTAGTTTTGATTTTTGTCGTACGTGAACTATGAAGCACAGATACACCCACATCCTCGGCTCAGTCTCACCCCACGTCCCTGCTGCCTTTCGCACGTTCACAGACGAAGACGTTCGATTGATCGAATTTGGCGACGGTACCCACCAGCCCCCTACAATTGATGACCATGTCAGCTCACAGAAGCATCAGACACCCAAGGAAAGATACTTACCCCAGTCACCGTCCAATTGAGCCTCCCCACGCTCTGTTGCCTTCCGCATATTCACAGACAGAGACGTTCAATCGGTCTTACCTGCAGCAGCGACACCGACCAGCCACCTGTAATTTATTCCAGTCAGCTCACAGAACCATCAGAGCCCAAGAACAGACTTACTCCTGTCGCCACACAATCAAGCCACCACGCGTTCTGCTGCCTTCCGCACGATCACAGACAGAAACGCTCGCCTTCGATCCTAAATAGAAGTTAAAGGGCAGAGGCCTCGGGACGAGAACAAAACAAAACGCCAGACGCCAGCAAGCACGAACAACAGGCTATTTTTGGGGGGCTTTGAATTTCCGAAAAAGCAAACGGCAAAAGCCTCGAGACAAGAAGAAAACAAAAAAAGGAAAGCAAAACAGGAACAAAAGACGAAGAAATCATGCCCTGCCTTTGTGAACGAGGCAGTGGACCCTGTGGACTGGCTATCAGGATCAGGTACACGCCGCAGCGATCAGGATGAACGCATATACGGCTGGCATGGCTGGCGCAAGTCTTGGGAAGATAAACGCCAGCACAAACAAGACCCAACTGAGGTGGCTGGACCAGGCGCGGACCATGGGCCCGACCTGGACGCGGGTTTGGACGACCACACGTGAATGTCCAGCCTCAGGAGAGTGGGATGTGAATGGCGCAGCCAAGGACTTGGGTACAGGCGACAGGGGCGATGTACCAGAGGAGCATGATCCGTCTAGATTGGGCAGGGCTTCCACCAGTGCAGCCATCTGGAATGCGGTCCCAGGAGCCTCCAGATCAGGGAGTGCATGCTGCAGCGCTGACATATCGAGGGTGTGCCTCGCAGGAAGCGCACTTGACAATTTCGACATGTCAAAAGCCGGAGCATGTGAACCGTCAATGGCATGTTCAATGGTTAATCCCTGAAGGATCACTGGCAGTGGTCCGCACTCAGCTGTCACTGGTGGTTGCCCACGGAAGGAAATTGTCGCACCAATAAAACAATCGGCTCCAGGCGTAGCCTGGGAACCATCCGAGGAAGGTTCGAACCGGGGATAACTGGGCTCAGTGGCATACGCAGCACCGAAACGACCGGGACATCGCACGTGCGGCCGAGCAGAGCGTGCTTTGGGTCCTCGGTGTTTCGGTGATTTCAACTTCTGGCTGGGGAGCCGATTGTTGTTGGCTGACCGATGGACGAGTAATTGATGAGGTCCTTCCGCCACTTGTCTTCAGCCACCCTCCCGAGGAGCGGGGTGTTCTCACGCCAGCAACGCGGGGGGAGGTGACGGGCTGTAATCACTCTCACCTGAACGAGGTCCACATCATCCGCGAAGTGGACAGGCTTCCGGACGAAGGGTTCGTCAGATGGGAGCTCCTCCAGGTCCTCATCCACATTGACAAGGCAGGATTTCTTCGGAGGGGGAGCGTCGCGGCAGCGGGGAATGAGATGAGCGGGCGGAGGAAGATAGGTGAAGTGCATGATGCAGAATGATATGAAGTATTGGCAGTTGCTTTGTGGTATCAGATGCTATGAAGCAAGTGAGAAAAAGCCAGTGGCAATGGAGAGCCCGAGGAGAAAGGAGAAAAGAAAGCAAAGAGTCAGAGGAAATGGGGGAATAAATGTTGTTTGGGACCGTTCATGGCAACGAGGTAGTCAACAGGAAGGCACAGCAAACTGAACCTATACCAAGGCAGGTGCGGTAGTGGCCATGGAAACGCCACGGAGAGTGATTAGGGTAAGGAAACCACGACTTCACCAGGGCAGGAACCATCAGATTTCGGAACATCTATATTAAGTAAATATGAAACTAGGTATACAAGCTAGATGTGAGGGTACCCATGTAAACGCCATGAAAAGCAGTAACTAGGTTATGGAAACAGAGAAGTCTTCACCTCCATGGCTCAGATCCCAGACTGGACAGTTCTAAATCTACACTGCTAGCCATCCTCCCTATCAGAGATCCATCTGCAATTTAGACAAAATTTAGTCCTTCGAAGAGACCAAATTTCATGGGCCATGGCTCATTAAAGAAAAAAGGGGAGGAGGGAAGACCTAAGCTCATGGAAGCCTCGATCAATTCGGTGATTCTAATCACTAGTAACTACCCATAAAACTAGGCCTTCCCATCTCTACCCTGTATTCTCTAGGTAGCTTCTCAAGTCCGGCACGCCTCTTTGTGCGACGTCTCTCATACTGGTACTCGACCTCAACGATGCCAATCTTCAATCGCTGAGCGTTGCGCCGTTGATTCTTATTTCTTTTGTGACCCCCAAGTAGATATAGATTCCCGGTATCTGATTGGTGGGGGATGCTAATCTGCCGGGTTTCACCGATTGACATCCAAAAATTTTGGGACCTACATGCATGATGCCACAAACGAGAGTCACGTGACACGCGTACCCCCTATTACAGACAATTAGGTAGTCAGACAAAAGTGAGAGAGACCATCCGATACTGTAATTATGTCTTATGTCCTGTTCACATTGTGTATAGTTAACACTTACAGGTACACACTTGACGTGTTACTTTCCATGGTGATTTATCTCTCTCAGTCTCCGGGCCTCACTCTGAGTTCAATTGGGTCTTGTATCTTATAGTACTTCAGAAGCCGTCCCTCTGCCCCCTGATTTGGCCCGCCGCTCTCCTGCAGCCTGTTCCTGGCTGCAGGCTGAGCATTGCCAGGCTATCGGCGTCCTCAACCCTTTCGGTGACCTTAACCCCCGCACGGGTTGTCACTTGTCCCCGTTGCGGCAGCGTCTTCGGGACTGGCCACCTGAGAAGGGGAGGTGAAGACTCAAGAGGCTGCTGTGACCCGCAGCCCCTCAAGAGATGAAATGAGCGCCGACTCTGCCCGTCTACGCTCCTCACGCTGAGCCAACAGCACTTGGAGGTGCGAACGAGTAGCGGTTCGCAAGCTCCCCTGTGTTGACTGGTCGACAGTCGGCCAAGGCCAGTCTGATCACTTCCGAGCCGCCCTAGGAGGAGGCGGCTTGATCGGACTTTCCTCAGAGATCATTGGTGACGTCGACATTGATCGGGCAGGGGCCAGCTCAGTAGCAGCTGGCGCCTCCACAACCTCGTCGAGCGTGTCGACACCGTATTGGATGAACAGATGCATGCATGTACGGATGCATGCAATGAATGGATGAGTGGATGGATGGGATGAATAAATCATTGTGTACACGTGAAGGGAAGTGTTAAGGGTCATACAGGGAGCACACGTGGCCAAGGTATGCAAGCTGAGGTGACTTACTTTTGGTGACGGGTCCGGTGGTTGTGAACTTGTGGTGGGGGGCGACTTGGTTGCCTGTGTTGGAGTTCATATTGTACTCGAAGGAATACAACCGAAAAATCAAAATTATGGAGAAAAGAAGAAGAAAGATTGGAGGAGGAATCTCTCATTTATACTCCTGGACGAGACTGACGCTCAACATAAGTTGGTGACAGGGTCATTTGCTGGCTCTACGACTGGACCGCATTCTAGTCACGCCTCTCCAGAAGATATTAGTCCAGTACTATGTGCATGAATCTCCTCTTGTGCAGGCTAAGCTGTGTAAATACGACAAATGGTGTGCGGTGGACTGGCTGCGTAGCTAGGATAAGCTGAATAGGCCCTATCTGGGATGTCTATTGAGCCTTTATACACAGGCAGACGCTGAATATCAATAGAGCACAATAGGTATCAATGAGTCATTGTATCAATAGAGGTAGGTACCTAGCCATGTTTCTCTACGCTGAAGTACAATGGGTAACACCTTCGAAACAATAGCAAAGGAACCTTGGAAGTCAAGGCGATTCAGGTGTATTGTATCTCATTGTTTACTCACATGAGCACAATAACGCTGATCCAAAAGGGAAGGTCCCCCATGTCGTGTTCCTGGACTATTTAGTATCTCTCCTTTCCTTCTTCTTCTTCTTCTTTCTCCTCTTCTCTTCATATCACTTCTCTCTTCGCTATTCTCTGCTGTTTCAACTTTCATCTTTCATCTTTCGTCTTTCGTCTCCGTTTTCATCTTTCAACTTCGTCATTCGTCGTCGTCTTTCGATTTCTTCTTTTGACTGCGTCGACTGCGTCTTTCGACTGCCTCTTTTGACTTCGTCTTTCGATTTCGTCTTTTGACTGCGTCTTTTCACTGTGTCGACTGCGTCTTTTGACTTTCGACTTTCGACTGCGTCGACTGCATCTTTCGACTTTCGACTTCGCCTTTTGACTGCGTCTTTTGACTTTCGACTGCGTCGACTGCATCTTTCGACTTTCGACTTCGCCTTTTGACTGCGTCTTTCGACTTTCGACTGCGTCTTTCGTCTCTTCTTTTTATCGTCACCTCTCTGTCTCTTTTTCTTCTTCTTTCTCCTCTTTTCGTCATAACACTTCTCTCTTCTCTATTTGCTCTTTCCTGTTTCATCGTTCATCGTTCATCTTTTGCCTTCGTTTTCATCTTTCAACTCTCAACTCCGTCGTTCGTCGTCGTCTTTTCACGGCGTCCTTTTACTACGTCTTTCGACTTCGTCTTTCGTCTCTTCTGCTGATCGTCACCTCTTTTCCCTTTTTCTTTCCACTCACTTTGATTCCTTGTTTTCAAGATGATGGAGACTATCCGCCGAGCCTCAGAGCGCCTTCTCGCGAAACGTAAGTATTGCCTCTCTCTCTGTCTGCAGCAACCTCTCGCCTGGTCCCTAGCCTTTACTGTGTCTGTCCTGTCACATTTGTGATGCGGAGACCATGTCTCTCAAGGCATCATGTCGCCCTCCCACTGATCTGATCACTTGTCGGCTGGGGAAAGAGTCCAACGAGGTGTTGCATTGTTCAGGTGAAATGGGGATTTGCCACATGTGACATCTCTCTGTTGTCTTCTTTTCTTTTCCTGTCCACTTTGCTTTTGAAACTTTACAAGATGATCAATGCTAATTCATTTTATACAGGAAAAGAGAAGGCCGCGAACAATAAAAAGGAAAACGAGGAAAACAAGATTGCCAAGGAGGAGACCGCAGAGGAAGAAAACACCGCACAGGGAGAAAAGAAGAAGACGGCAAAGGAGAAAAAGAAAAGCACAAAAAAAACCGAGAAAAAGGCCAAAAAGACCAAAAAGACCAAGTAAGTTGAGCCTGAAAATTTAGGGCATTGGAGCGCATGGCACTAACCCTAACAGATCTGTTGCGCCTGCCCCGTCCGGAGAGGTCTCTTCTCAACCTGCGGCTTCAGGTAAGCTTAAGAAGAAGGCCGCCCGGCCGGAGCCAAAACCTCGGCCTCAGACTGAGCAGATAATGAGACCGCTTGGGGAATACCCATCGGTTGCGGAATACAAGGCTGCTGGCGTGAGACCGCTCTCCGCTCAACAAATTGAGGAGCGCGTCGCGGCCGCTACCGCCCACATCCCGCGCCCCGTTCAATATGGGCGCCTGAGCGGTGTTGAGAACTCCGTCGCCGTCGAGCTCTATGATGAGGAACTTGCCAAAGAAGCGGCAGTTACCCCGATCTCTAAAGATGTCGTATCCCCCGCTGACGCGACCAATCGCAACACCCCCATCCCGGACGACGAGGGCCTCCGAGTCACCCCTGTTGAGCCGGTTCCCTTTGCAAGTGCAGAGGATAACGAGTATGTCGCCGTGCTGAAGTCAATCCCACTTCCACCGTCCGACAAATATGATCTCCTCAAACTCCGAGCGGCCATCGAGGTCGCCATCGTCCACGCCCTCGAGAGTGGCAATGAGCGATCAGCTCAGAGTGTGTTGTACCTTTGGTCCAATGCAGTAAATGATGAATTCAAGATGTCTCTAATTGCCAGCATCTCCGATGGCAGTGCTGACAATCTACTGCGACTTGCTCTCATGGCACTGCTCAAGAACGATTACAATGATGCCCGTCAGTGGTACCTGAACTACGTCCCGCCTGATTCAGATGATCCTGTCTCTGGAAAGGAGACCGGCCAGCCTACTGCTAATACTATCAACGCGGAGGACACCTTCAAGGTCTCTGACATCTATCGTGATACAAGCGGTCCTCGACTTCGGGAGGCATTTATGAGCGGAAAGTCGAACGCGGCCGTCCGTTCTGAGGAGAACGCGTACAGACGCAAACGCAAGTGGGAGTCAGATCCCAATCACGACGCAAAAATGCTACAGAAGCGTGCCCGTTTGCTACAGCTGTCGAAGATTGACATCATTCCCACCAGCGCAGTTCGTGATGAGATCGGTCCGCCAGATGCTATTCACCACCTTTACACAATTAACAACGCTGACCCAATTACCACTGACCCAATTACCACTGACCCAATTACCACTGACCCAATTACCACTGACCCAATTACCGCTGACCCAATTGATCGGTTGCGTTCCCTCCCTGTTTTTACTGTGTCCATTCTTGACCTTCCCCTCGTCAGGGCTTCAGAACCTCCGGAGTCAGTTGTTTCTGACCGGCACCAGAACGAGCTGGCTGAGAGCTCACGCTCGCTCTCTATTGACACGACCCTCTCGGATGTGTCGTCGACGTCCAACTCTGTTTACTCTGTCCGTTTCAACAATTGGTCTGGACCACACCCACCTCGGCAGATGCCAAATTCCATGTACGTGAACTACCTTCCTGATGTGACTTGACATGACTTGCTCTGTTCTACATGCTAACATGATACGTTACAGCGAGCCGCCAGACAACAGTGACGAGTGCAGCAAGTGTGGCGACGGAGGGGATCTTCTGTGCTGTGATACATGTCCCAATTCGTACCATTACGAATGCTTGGATCCTCCCTTGGATCCCAAGAATCCCCCGAAAGGTGATTGGCACTGCCCTAAGTGCTCTGTCCGCAACAGTTTCTCGACGCTGATCGCGCGAGCTGGCTACTACAAGAAAACGGAGTACCGGGTTCCTGAACCTATTAAGGAGCATTTTGAAGGAGTGGGTGAGATGACCATCTCCGATGAAGATGGTTACGCTCGCAATCCGACAAATTTCAGTTTCTATAAATTGAAGCCCCACATCGAGCGACTAACTAAGGTCCCGGGGCCAGCCAAGGAAGGGGGCCACACTCTCGTGTCATATGACCATCCTCACCATCTCCGAGAATTCGATGACAACGGCCAACTAATCCGTTGCGCAAAGTGTGCCGGCACGACATACGGTGGCCGGCACATTGTTCAATGTGATTACTGTGCCTGCCGATGGCACCTTGACTGCATTTCTCCGCCCCGGGCGGCTCCACCGAATCCCTGGAAAGGGTGGATGTGCCCAAACCATGTCACCTCTGAAGACATGGTTGCAACCAAAACCTTTGACGGGGAGACGCGGCCGCGTCGCGTTCGGCGGCCGCGAAAGATGGCTGTCATGGACAGTGACTTGATTGTTACTGATGACCCTGATGAGAGTCGGTTCGATGACGACTGGAGGGGGAAGAGGGCACGCGTGTCTGCAGGGGACGTCGTCCTCAACTTCATCACCGCGGTCAAGCAAGACCACGGCAAACGTCATCTCAAGGAAAAGGAAATCGAGCGGAAGTGCTTGGATTTGGCCAAGCAGATGATCGATGAGTTCCTTTCAAATCAACGGAGTCAAGCTGGAAGCTCGGGCGCTGCCCATATTGCGTCAGGTCTCCCTGAGGCCTACAAAGAAGAAATCTCTAACGCTGTCCGGACCCTGATCGCTAGGGGCCGAGAGATCGACGCCGCGGACGCCCTTCTTTGCATGGCCGGTGGCCAGGCCTCTTCCGTCGGCAAAGGCCACATCGCCGACGCTGCTGAAGTCAATGACCCCTCTGCTCCCGTTTCGGATACCTCCTCTACCCCTATTTTGTTTGCTTCTGAGGAAGACCCGGAGACCGAGATCGCCCCTCGCATCCCTGCGTCGAGTCGCAAGCGCTCACGTTCAGACGACCAGGCTTCGGAGGAGCCCGCGCAAAAGCGCCAATTCACCAAGAAGTGAGCATCTCACTTCCGTTGTTTGATTTAAATGTTCGATTCTTTGGTCGCCCCCTGAGCGGCCACATAACTCTCGGTGATGTGTTTTCTCTCACGGCTCCGGCCTCGTCTTCCTGACTAAATGGGGCCCCGCAACTCCCCTGTTGTTTTTGGCGACGTGGCTGAGCAGCTCGGATAATGTACGTGTACGATATGCATTCAGTGGGCCAGAGGGCCTATGGATACTTGCTTGCTAGGTCTTCGTTTACTTGTCAGAGTGGATAACTTACTCTTTGTTCGATATTACTTATTAAATTCTGTAAATTCTCTCGGTTTCATTTCTCTCGGCGTAATCATATTCGTATTAAAATACAGATCCTAACGCTTGCTATCAAGGCGAGCACTTCTCCCTCGAAGTGGTATAGATGTTTACCAACTCTAACGGACAAGTAATCCGTTGCGCAAAGTGTGGCAGCAGAACATACGGTAACCTCTGCCTGCGTCGTCCAAACCCTCTCCCCCAACGCAACAAGCGTCGGTCCAAACTCCTCGAGCAAATCCTCAACCTCCGGTCCCTCCTCCTCATACTCCTCTTCCATCCCAAACGCCGCAACCTGCTAAGCCCACCTCCACGCCGGCCCATTGTCAAATGCGATTACTGTGCCTGCCATTGGCACGTCGATTGTCTTCCTCCGCCCCGTGCGGCACCGGCAAATCCCCGGAAAGGATGGTTGTGCCCCAACCATGTCCCCTCCGCGGACATGGTTTCAAAAAACGCCTTTGAGGATGAGGTGCGGCCGCGTCGCGTTCGGCGGCCGCGAAATATGGCGTTGTTGGACTGCGACGTCATAGTCCCTGATGACCCCGATGACAGCCCGTTTGATGAGGCAGGCGTCCCTACAGGGGGCGTCGTGCTGAGTTTTATCAGCGCGGTCAAGCAAGACCACGCCGAACGTGAGCGACTAAAGCAGAAGCAAGAGCTCAAGCGGAAGTGCCTGGACTTGACCAGGCGGGTGACCGCGGAGTTCTTTTCGACCTCTGGCGCTGGCCACCTTGGCTCAGGTCCCCCTGGGGCCTTGACGAAAAAGGTGGGATCTCGGTCTCGGACTCTTCCCCAGAAGAAACCGAAATAGGGGTAGACGAAGTGATTGAAACGGGAGCAGACGGGACACTGGTTTCGTCGGCGAAGGGCACCCCTATTTCGGTTTCTTCTGAGGAAGAGTCCCCGAGACCGAGATCCCACCTTTTTCGTCAAGGCCCCAGGGGGACCTGAGACAAGGTGGCCAGCGCCAGAGGTCGTAAAGAACTCCGCGGTCACCCGCCTGGTCAAGTTTAGCAGTTCGCGACGTTTGGGACGGATGAGGAGTATGAGGAGGAGGGACCGGAGGTTGAGGATTTGCATGGATGGATGGATGGCTGGATGGATGGGTGAGTGGATGGGTGAGTGAATGGGTGAGTGGATGGGTGAGTGGATGGGTGAGTAGATGGATGAGTGGATGGATGGATGAATAGATCATCGAGTACAGGGACGTGTCAAGGTATGATAGCTCATGTGACTTACTTGGGGTGGGGGGTAAGGTGGTTGTGGAGGGGGCGACTTGGTTGTTGATGTTGGTGTTCATGTTGTACTCAACTGAAAGAATCAAAAATGATGGAGAGAAGAAGAAGAAGAAGAAGAAAGATTCGAGGAAGAGGAAGATTTTATTTATACTCCCGGACGAGAACGGGATCAGAGAAGTCCCTGTGTTTGATTGGATAATCCAGGATCACCCTGATCGACCAATGGGAAGTTGTTTCTTTGTTTACTAGTGAACCCACAATTACGTTTGTCAATGGCAAATACTAGCACACTTCCTTAATAGGATAACGCATCAATAGAACAAAGAAATCTCTGCATCTCTCCTTCCCGAGTAACTGTGATGTATCTTAGGCAACAGTTGCCCTTCAAGGTAACCTATGAACCTAGGCTGCTGTTCCCCCTGCACGTTTGATTTATTTTCATTTCTCCTTTTCTTCGCTGAAGAACCTATTGCTTTCAGGAGTTGCGGCGTGCACTAACATTGGTCTCTGTTCGAGCTCTCTATATGTGTGATGCCTGGTACAAGCACTAACTATCCATCCACTTATCCTATTCTAATTTACATATATATTCAATCTGAACACAATGTATGTTCAGGGATGCGACGTTCATTGTAATATGCATGCATATCTGTAATTCTGTATGTCGTAGATAAGGTTACGGGTCCGTGTACGGTCCGTGCCGTGCAGATCACGCCACGTGAGGACGGGCGGGGGGCTAACGCGTGGCGGGGTCCGTGCGCATGGGTTGCTTGCCGCAAACTTCTCTCCTACAAGGCTACAACCATTCGGGTGGATTGTCCACCCAGTCCATAGTATGTAATTTTGTACTTTGACCATCAGTACATGGCCTTTCGATATAGATATTGTAGTGGGAGAACTGCGCCATCGTGGTGAAATGAGCGGTGTGCGGATTATTCAGCATTTGTGATATAAAAGGCTTCATCACATGGATAGGACAACCTCAGACACACTTCTCCTCTTCTAGACCACCCCTGTGTTCTCCTCTCCTGTAGTGGCACTACTCCCAGTGGCGGACCTGGTTCGCAGACAGGTTCGCGTTTCTCGCTCTTCAATATGTACTATGTAATCAGTATTTACCATTCAAGTCTGGTCTCAGGCAAGTCTTGGTTTATTATCTTCCCTTGCAAGCCTGTTGTCACTCAGTCGTCCCAGGTTAAAGAACCAGGTTGCCGGCCGCTGGGCGGAGCCGTCCCAGGAAACCGCTGCCCTTAATGAGTGTCCGTGGACCGTCGGGAAGTTCCAGGCTAGCCAGGCCTTGCCTTTCTGGCGCGTACCATGGGCAGCGGAGTGTTGAAGTCTAGTGGTATCTAATAATAATCTTAAATCTAGTGTCTTGGAGGATATGGTGCGGATGAGTTGGTCTTGTATGATTGTCTGTAGAACCATCTTGATATGGAGGTTTTCTTCCGCTTGTCTTCTCCGGAACATACTAGTGCCGTTCCGCACCCAGGAGCAAGTCCGATCACGTGGCTTGTCTTGGCAAGGAGCTACCCTGCTTCGACACGAGTGTGAGGTGCGCAAATGTTTCCGGGGCGCAGCCCTCTTGGCAGAGCGGAGATTGGATATCTGGCAGTCGTCTGCAGTTACTCTGCACTCTGCGATGGACGAACGCATTTAACCCGATCGCTCTGCGAGCTTGGGTTAGGAGCGAGCTCTTAGCCTTGGTGGACACCCCGTGTATGATAATCGAAAGGTACATCTAAAAATCACTACTACCTACGTTAGGGGTGGCTATATTTTAGATACCTACTAATATTGTTATTGAAATTTCAAGAGGGAATATCCTATAATCGCAAGACTTTCATCACTACTTGTGCCAAACTTCAGCGAGGGAGTGATGCCTTTCTCGTATGCCCCGTCTCGGTTTCTCGCCCATTTGGCCAGTCGCCACAGACCCTGTGGACCGTCCTCAACGACCTGCTGTACTCGGCGTCGGTGTGCTCTCGACAACTTCTTCTTGAGGAGTCGTGATTTCACGTTACGTGCTTTCGTATAGCACATCCAATCGTAAGCATCCTGGGTTTTCGTATGTCTGCGACGGAGGCGACGAACTTCTTCGACTGCAGCCTTACATTCATCGTCAAAGTCGGGGTTCGACCACTCAGATGGTCTTGTCCATGGTGTTGACTCCTCGATCGCCGTTTGGATCACGTCGATAAGCCCCTGGCACTTGGCCTCTATCTCCTCTGGTCCTGCTTGGTCCAGGCCTCCCGTTTGTAGGCCCTGCTCGATCTCCTGAACGAACTTTTTGTCATCAGTTGCGCTCCAGTTCCTCCTCTTCTGTTGTGGGGCGATGGGCGTGACGATATCGAGTGCAGTCCTGATCGGGAAATGGTCAGATGCATGCTCGATGTCATCGGCCCTCTCACAGCTAATTAGTCTGTCGAGCAGGTTGGCCGTTATGAAGGTCAGGTCGATCACCGACGACTGATCGTTTCGAGACCAGGTGGGTGTGCCCGGTTGTGTCGTTAACTCGAGTCCCCATCCATTGACGATTTCTAAAAGTTGCTCAGCCTCCCGATCGGCCCTGGTTCCTGGCCCTCCCCATCTCGGGTGGTGTGCGTTCATATCTCCAAGGATGATATGCTCTCCATGAGGACGTTTTGACAGCTCAGTCCTTAGTTGTTCAAGAGTCCCGCCGCTCGGTCTGTTGTAGATATTGTGGACGAAGAGGTCTGTCCAGTCTCTTCCATGATGGGCTTCCCTAAGCTTCAATATCTGGTAATCCTGTGTGACCAGTTGGCACGACCAAGTGCTTGGGTCGAGCCTTTTGGACACAAATAGGCATACTCCCGGCTGAGAGAGATTCGATGCTTGGTTTCGGGTTGGTTCCTCGGCCGCTTTTGGTGGGTACATCAGCTGGAATGCTGCTGTCGCCGGTTGGTGCGTTGTGTGTTGGAGTTCGTTCCTCCACGGTTCCTGCACGGCGACTACGTCCGCCGTGAGCACACTCCCGTCTCTGAGGAACGAGGCCATTACTGGCCATGACTTGTGTACGTTGTATTGCAAGATCGTAAATGGTTCCATTGATGGTCTTGCTCATCCTCGCTCCCTTCGCTGGCCTCGTGCCACACCTCGTCATTGGGGTCGTCCTTTGAGTTGTCCAATTTGGTTGTCGCTGCGTCCGCCGTAGAAGCTGGCGGGGACGATCCTAATATGAACACCTTTCTATGGTTCGTGGCGTCCTTGGTGGTGGTATCCGTGCTATCTCGCCGCGCGTCAGGACGAGGGGGATTGGCTGAAGCGGGTCGGATGTTTAGCCATGCATCATCGTCTGGCTGCTCATCCATTGTGTCCTCTGGCTCGCCTATCCGACGCTTCTTCGAGCAGGATTGGAGCCTCGTTGTCCTTTGGCTCGCCAGCGGCACCAACGCCAGTTTCTCAGCCCTCTGCCTGTTTTTCGACCCTTTCGGGCGTCCAGGGCCTCTCTTGGACTGGGTGAGGTCGGTGGTCGGGTTTTGGGGGACCTGCAGCGGCTCTTCCACCCGTTGTCACTCCGCGGCGTGTACGGATGTGCCGATTCCCTCTTGTTGTGTGGTTTCTTTTCTGGTTGCCGTTGCTCCTCTCCCAGCCTCCGTTGTCGCTTGGAAGTGCATAGACACTCGGTGATAAGCAGGGCAATTGGCCAGCGCTTGCTTGGCCTCCTCCATTGCCTTAGTCTTTACCGGGCATTCCCGGCTCGTAGGGCGATGCCCTTCGCCACAGTTGGCGCACTTAATTGGTGTCGTGCGTCCCTTTGCCGATGAACACTCCCAGGTCGGGTGCCCGCCAGCGCAGTGGCCGCATCTGCTTTCGTTGGAGCAGTGTGATTGGATGTGCCCAGGTTTCTCGCACTTCCGGCATAGTTTGATCCGCCCCTCACGGCAGAATCGCGCGGCGTGGTGGATCTGACGACCCCAGATGACTCCCGAGGCGATGGCGCGATTAGCCACAACTGGGTTGGTGAACTCGATCAAAATCGAGCCCTCCGCCCTCTCACCCGGGCGTGTCATCCATCCAAGGTACTGGATCTTGGCGTTTTCACCCCAGTTGTTCTGAGCTAGTAGCTCAGTCGCAATGGACGCCATCGTCTCCGGAGAGACCTTCATCGACCGCACGGGGATATGGTATGCTACCACTCCCCACGAAGGTTCTTGGGCCACCGAGCCTGGTCCAAAGGCTCTCAGCCACGCAGTTTGTTTGCGGAGGGCCTGTGCCCCTGCAGCACTGTTGGCGATCATCGCCACATCCCCGGACGGCAGCTTGCGGGCAGCGACAAATGAGTGCCCACTCGGGGTCTTTTGACCCTCAGCCCTCTCAACCAGGTCCTTTGGGGTTAATTTCCGGATTTGCTCCCGGTTCCCCCCAACTTTGACCACCACCTCCCGATCCTCGCGGGTTTCAACCACCCCTGGAGACGGTGAGTTACTGTCCCGGGTGATGGGCGCCGCAGTCGTGGCCTGGTCTTTGGCGCGGAAGCTGCGCCATGCCGCCGCGGGATTCATCGTCGGGGCAGAAATCGTGGTTTCTATCTGCTGAACTCGTTGGTTCAGGCGTTCGGTGTTGGCGTTGATCTCAGTCAACGCCTCAAGCACCTTGGCCATCCCCTGGCCGTCGCCCCTTTGGGCGTTCAACGCGTATCTGCGGACAGAGCGGATGAATCCAGTGACATATGGATCCTCCGTGCCACTGTTTTCTATATGTTTGAGCACCCGTAGGGCTCCTTCCGCGATCTCATCCATGGATCGGGGCGGGTCGTAATTTTTCTCGGGCAAAGTTTGTGCGTTCGCGCCCGTCGCAACCATCACTGCTATCTTCCCTATGAAATAGGTATCAGATTGTAGCTCTTGGAGTTACGGTTACGATGAGCTAATTCACAAGGCCGTTGGACATCTGGTTGTTATGTGTAATAATAGAAAATCATAATGTAATCATAAATAAACGGTATTTAAACAATACATATTATCTAGATGATACAGCGAGCGGGTTGTAGTTGCCTGTAATTTTGTAGTCGCTAGATAATAAGTCGTGGTTAATAGAACTAGGAAGAGGAATGGGGGCGCTTCTCTGGGACAGGAACGCATGCCCATCCGTTCGAAATCAAAGGGTCCATAGGGTCCGCGAAACAAAAGAATTTAGAGCTCGTAGAGTGCTTCATGGCCAAATCGGCCCAATGCATAATCCCACATACTTCTCCATCCTCCAGGCAAATCGATTCCTCCCCTGCACGCTGTAGCCGTACAAAACTGAGCCACAGATACCTGAACGTAGTTGTGGAGCAGTCGTAATCATGGTGTCGTTGGTGGCATAAATGCCTTGGTGCATGATGACATATTTCCCGTCGGGCGGGTTCTCTCGTCTAGGTATCACGGAGGAAATCCTGTCCTCTCTTACATCCCAGCACCCGTACTCCGGCACATAAAAGGCGCTGCCGGCCGGTAACGAAGCTGTCAATGAAGAATTTGTCTCCTGTCTTAACCCCGGTGAATGGGATAAGGACTTGGGCTGCTGTTTCGATATCTAGGAATCTATTGCTAAACGCAACAGTATCGTCCAGCTTGGCAAGTCCGATGTCGGTTTCGTCGATACGTTCCGTCACATAACCGACCCTCGAGTTTGCTTGTAGCACTCGGAAATGATTCGGATCTCCCAGGTGATCCAACCTTTCGTCGAACTCCCGATCCCAGCAGTGACACGCAACGGTGAGCCTCTGCTCAGAACCCTTCTCCACCAAGGCCCCAACCGAGACGGCATCCTCTTGATCAGAACAAATCATCGCTCCGGGATTAAAGGACCCCGTAGCAGCAATATAGTCGGAGTCGTCTGAAACATAGGTTTTCAGATCTGCTGGCTTAGGGGCTATAAGCCGTTCCCACTCGGTATTAGCGAGCAATCCATTCGAGTAGGTCAGTTCTAACGCGAAGAGTACTCACGGACACATGGACACTGGTGCCCACCGAAACACCCACATACGCCTCAATGCCCTCCATGGGCATGAAGTCCTCCATCGGATGAACAGTTGCTGCGTTGGCGGCCGCAGCAGGGGAGAGATAGAGCCCCAGATGATGGTTGAGGTGCCACCACCGGTTGCTGACCCCCATATTATAATGGAGGCCCATGGCAGCAATCAGGTGGCGGGAGTCGATGAGCTCGAGGAGGCGGGACCGTGCGAGGAGTAGTCGGTGAGCTGGACTGAGAGATGGTTAGCATGCGCAGTTGCTTCGATGCCGACAGCAGATACTTACCAGGTTATGGCCACCCTGCCCAGTGGAGACCAAACCAGAGAGATTCTTTGGAGGAGCCTAAAGCTCGGGGCTCGGATAGGGAGCGGCTTCACGCCAGCTCAACCTGGAGGGAGGTGATGCCGTGGGAGCCATGGGAGGCAGGAGCAACAGCGGAAATGGAACGGACTCTTCATCCATGCGGGGGGGCGATATGTAGCTGGGCTTTGCCCTCGCAGCGACTTTGGACGTAGAGCTTCCGCCTCCGCAGATGTCCATGTCCGGAGAGTACTCACGCACACATGGACACTGGTGCCCACCGAAACAACCACATACGCCTCAATGCCCTCCATGGGCATGAAGTCCTCCATCGGATGAACAGTTGCTGCGTTGGCGGCCGCAGCAGGGGAGAGATAGAGCCCCAGATGATGGTTGAGGTGCCACCACCGGTTGCTGACCCCCAGATTATAATGGAGGGCCATTGCTGCAACCAGGTGGCGGGAGTCGATGAGCTCGAGGAGGCGGGACCGTGCGAGGAGTAATCGGTAAGCTGGACTGAGAGATGGTTAGAATGCGCTGTTTCTGCGATGTCGACAGTTGATACTTACCAGGGTATGGCCACCCCGCCCAGTGGAGACCAAGCCAGAGGAACTCCCACATTAGCACCACCCGGAGGATCCAGGCATTTGCGGTGCCTGGGACCACGAGTCCATGACCACGACCAGGTTGCTGTGGAGCTCTGAGAGCTCCCAGGACAGGACGAACATGTCCGGTGTCGCGGGCCCCCAGAGCAGCTCGTCAAACAGGCGGAGCTGGTCCCACTCCAGGAGCGTACCAGCCCGGTATTCGCCAGCGAGTACCAGGAGGTCGTCCTTCTTGAAGGAGGGGAAGAAATCGACAGTAGGACGAAGGGAAGTAGACATAGGAGCAGCCATGATGTCCAGCACCGTTGTAGGGCCACGACAACCACCAGGTTGCTGGAGCCCAGAGAGCTCCCAGTCCAGCACAAACATGTCCGGTTCTGCGACCCCCTAAAGCAGCTCGTCAAAGAGCGATAGCTGGTCCCACTTCAGAAGGGTCCCGCCAGGTACTCGCTAGCGAGTACCCGGAGGTCATCCTTCTTGAAGGAAGGAAAGGAAGGAAGAGAGATGGGAGGGGGCGAGGAGGGAGGGGAAGAGGTAGGTGAGAGGAGAAGAGGAGGGAGAAGGGGAGAAGTTGTTGGCAATCAGTTTATAGTAGTAGCTCAGACATTGTTGCCTAGGGAGCGGAGTTTACATAGCTCTCTGTGCTGTTTATGCAGCTTAAGCTTGTCATATGACCTATGCCTCAGGGTTTGAAGGTACTTAGGATCCCCTCTGCCTCACACTTATCAATCTACCCCATGTCTCTCACTTTTGACTCCCACTCATATTTCCCAAAATCTTCGAGTCTATAGATCTTACTATATCTTACTATAGCTATGTCCTCTCTGACTCTGACATTCCAAATCCAACTCCAACAGATCCAAATCAAATCCAAATCAAGCACCCTCCCTCATCCCGACCAAAATACACCCAGCCCCCATCATCCCAGCCCCAACCCACCAAAGCCCACCCACAGCCTCGGAGAAAACAATCATGCCCAACAGCGCCGTAGTGAGGAAATTCGACGCCGTATTCGTGATAGACACTTTCGTCGTTGACGGGCCGGCAGTTAGAGCGCGCGTGAAGAGCGCCCACATTATTACATTGCACAGGACGTTGAGACCTAGACAGGCCTTTTGATAACGAGTTGACCGTTAGTATAAGAATGAGAATAAGGATAGAAATGCAATGATAACATAGTAAACAGTAGCAACCAGGGGAGAGTAGGGGCATGGGCATGGACAACATACACCTCTAACTATCATCTCAATTACAGGCGATGACTCCAGTCCGAAGAGGTGGGCGAGGGATTGCGCGAAGGCTGTTGTGTGGTTGTCTGTTGTTCTAAGGAGGGTTAGGTCAGTTTAATCTGTTACACGGACGGGGCTATCTCGGGGTATATATAGCATATAAGCTTGTATAGACTCTAGAGACTCGAGAGAGGTAGTATAGCCTTTTCTCTTGAATGCGATTGGGCTGCGTTCACGTACAGTTTCGCGAATACTCCGTTCAATGCGGCGAAGGCTCCGCTCGTGATTGCGAGGATGAATCTGATGATCGAGGGGGATGTGGAGGATTGGGGCTTTGGCGAGGGCGATGGGGTGGACATTGCTGCGGATCGGTCTGTGATTATATCGGTTCTTGGGCTGGGTATACCCCCGCTACCAGAAAGCGATCTGCAATTTAGACACATACATAGTAGTCCTTCAAAGAGACCAAATTCTATGGCCCGTTCAAGAAAAAGCGAGAAGGTGAGACCTAAGCTCACTAGTTGTAACTTGTGCCAAACCAGAACTGACCAGTTGGCACCGCTGTCACGGAAGAACAGAATTACAGAAAAATAGATGAAGGCAAGAGAGAGCCTCATCCATACTGACTTTCTTCGCTATGAATGAGGAGTCTATCAAGACACATCAACTCATAGTTGTAGTCACGGAAAACCTAAGTAGTCCGCTTTGTCTTCTCAATGGACGGGCCACAAAGTGACAAAAGGCTTTGATAAACCTCGAGATTTACAGATTCAACATCAGAATCTCAGAATCTCAACCACGTAATGAATGGATTGAAGCTGATCGGCCATCTATGGAGTCAAAGTATAACTCTACGAGCGACTATTGTACGAAGTACATATAGCAGGGACCCAAAAGAACCATAGATCAATACCAAGCATCCACCACGCGATCAAAGCTTTTTCTCGAGTCCCAGGTCGACTCGTCTGCACCAGCACCAGAGAACGCAGTAAGGACATATAGACCCTTGAGAGATTTCAGAATACCAGGTGAAAGGATGATGGGGAGAGGGGAAAGCCCGGCAAGAGATGCAGCGTGACCACCAGAAAACCAACGCCAACGCAGCAAAGGCTTGAACGCGGAGAAGGGCGGTTGCCAAACACGGGCTTGTTGTGCGGAAAGAGTCATGAGCAAGTACATTGGAGAAGAGGAAGGAAACTGGCAATAAGAAAAAGCTGGGTATTGTTTCTCAAGGGGAAATACGAGGCTGTCATGCGATCTGTATGGAAAAGGAAAACGAATATCATGGCTCCCATGCCTGTACATCGGCTTCACCAAGATTTGCGTAGATAATCATGAAATGGTCATTGAGCAGAGGTAAATTGTGTGCAAATGTAAATGGGATCATAGGGTTTCGTTTTCCATGTTGTTCCATTTATCTAAACTGACCAGGCCCAACCATGCCGCCACGTGGGTCAACGCCGCCGGGCTGACCGAACATCTCCAGAAGGTGGTGAGACGAAGAGGGAGGGCCCTGTGGGCCAGGGTTGCCGGGTCCGAAAGGTCCCTGGGCACCGGGGCCAAGTCGTAGCATCGCTTCGGGATTCGGCTGCATAGGAGGGAATCCGGGAGGAGGGCCAGTCATATATCCAGGAGGTGGCATCATGCCCGGAGGCGGACCCCGAGGGAAGGCCTGGCGCTCGTTCATTGGAGGCGCAGTCCCGGGCATAGGAAGCATGCCGGGGGGGGAAGTTGGGGTTCATGCCGCGACCCGGGGCGGGAATTCCAGGGGGAGGACCCATAGGGCTGGGTACATTGCCTTGCTGCGGAACAGGCTGGCCAGTCCATCCCGGGGGAGGCAGATGTTCCAAGCCTGGGGGTCGATGAAGAGGCATAGGGGGCTGATTCGGTCCCTGAGCCCGGGAGCCACCCGGGGTAATAGGACCGCCTGGGGTCATAGGGCCTTGATTCCCCTGAGGGAATGGCATGTCGTCAAAGTACCCCATAGGTGGGCCATTTGCAGGTCGGCGGCGGAGCTGCTCGGAATCCGGTCGCTGCATGTTGGCAATTGCCGGGTCATCAAGGAAAGCCGGTGTCTTTTGGCCAGAAAGACCTGGCGGAGGACGTGGCATCCCCTCTGGCATTAAACCGGGAGGGGGTGCAATGCCCGAAGAGTGCGGGGATGGATTGCCCCCTGGGGGGCGGGCCGACGCGGACTTGCTGCATCAAATGGAGCAAGTGTGAGTTGGCCCCGCCCTGAACCATAGGACTCTCGGGCGCCGGGCCCATGTAGTCAGCTCGGCCAGAAAGTTCTCTGGAAGGAGACGGTAGTGATTGGGCGGCGTTTTGCTGCTCAGCATGCAAAACGGAGGAACTACGCTGCTGCTGGGGCAAACCTGCCTCTTGGGGTGTAGAATTCTGCGACCGCTGCCCGCCAAGCATCTCCATGATGCGCTGAAAACCAGCTTGATCCGCGTTACGGGAGGGGAAAGGCATACCCTCAGGTGCCGGGGGTTGTTGCTGTTGCTGTTGCTGAACCATGGCATTGAATAAATGCATTGACTCAGGCTCTCTAGCAGGGCTCTCGGGCATGGGGCTGAACAGGCCCGCGAAACGGGACGACTTTCCTGGTTTTCCAGGAATAGGGAAGGGATCCTTCTTGGCGGTTAACTCGGCAGCGACAGGGGTGCTGGCCTCTGGCGACTGAGTTGGAGCTTTAGGGTCGCCCAAGAGACCGAAGAAGCGTTCCATTGAATTGTCCGATATGAACTGCGCAGCAGAGTTGCTAAAGATCTCGCCGTCAGTACGGCGAACCTCCGGCTTTGGCGCTTCAGCTGGCGCCTCTTTCTTCTCCTCGGCATGCGCTGGGGCTTGCGCGGACGATCCGGATCCAGCCTTCATGCGCTCCTTCCAACGCTGGAAATCTTCCTGGGTGTGTGCTCGTCGGGGTTCGTCTCGCTCATTGGCATCCAACCATTCGGGTTCTTGTTCAAATTTGGCACCTCGATTCCATTCACGCTCGGGGCCGCTTCGGGTTTGATTCTGGCGCCATTCTCGGTTGCGCAGAGGTGGCTTATCCTCATCAGCCTCAGCCCCCTCACGAGCGGCATGTTCATCGCGGAACCAACTTCCTTCGTATTTAGATCGCGGGGGCTGCCCTTCTTTCCGGATGGGAAATCGGCCATCTTTATCACGAATAGCTCGATCAGCATTGGGGTCACGGGGACCTTCTTTGTTTTCCCATCTATCAAATTCCCCATTGCGTCGAGGCTTGCGCTCCTGCTCTTCAGGGCCGAATGTGCGACGCGGGCGCCCGGCACTCCAATCTTCTCTCTCACCCCGGCGGCTAGCCAGTGGACCTGGCTTGGCATCACGTCGCTCTGATTCATTGTCCTGAGCATCGCGGTCCTTGAAAAATTTATCCCTGAAATTGAATCGGTCGTTCTTCGCGTCATCCGAATCGTTTGTGCGAGCTGGTCGGTCCGTCAGATCGAATGAGCCTTTTCCGCCGATTCGAGATGAAGCAAATGCTGTTTTTGGCGGACCTAGCACAATGTCTTCTGAAGATATAGGTGGTTTTGGTCAGCAAATTCAGCCCCCGTATCGCCCATGGTGCTTGATAGCACAAGGGAGATCACTGTACCTGAGTTAGAATTCCGGGAGATATGTTTGGGTTCAAAAAAGCTCGGCCTTCTGTTCGTATTGGTCTCAGATGGATTATTCGTATCACGGGTAGTATGGGTTTTGCGTTGTGTGGTGGTTGGGTCGGGTTGAGGCCTAGAGTACGGTCAGTCTCCACGTTGACAGTGTGGGCAATCCGACGAAATTGAAGCATCGACACAACATACATCCATTCTTCAAGCGGTGGCAGTCCGGGAGGCTTAGCGACGAGGGGCGAGTCGCGGAGCCATAACAGCTCGTCGATCTCGTACCGTCGCGCCATGGCAGCTCGGGCTGTGAATTTGTGCGTAGGGTGCTCTTCAGGACGACGATGTGTTCATTGATTGAGTAGAGAGCCAAACTGCACGAAATATTTGGAAAAAGGGCGAAGGTGTAAAAAAAGGATAGAAACACGATGGGGCAATGGAAAGTAGGAAATTGAACCGGTGATCGTGGAGAAGAGGTGAATGAGGAGTTGAAAGCACACAAGCCACTTTGTGGCGATAGTGACAATCTTGGCGGAGTCTCGGAAGCCAAGCTTTCCCAGCATTAGCCAGTTGACTGGCGGTGAGGGGTCAACTACGGATATTGGCGATCAGTTTGCATCAACTGACACGTTTGCAAGTCCCCATTTCGATAAGCATCCATAACATCAGAGATATGAAGCACTCTCCAGTCGCTACCTAGCGGCGATATATACAAAGACGGCGAATCGAGTTCGGTACGCAATGGTCACCGAATATTTCAAGCCACAGCTTCGTACCATGAATCCGTCAAATAGCACATGTGATCTACAAGGTCTCCCGGCGCCCGATGGTCTTGGGATTTAACTGCGACGCTCAGCTTCGCCTATCTCAAATTCCAGATCGAGCATGATTTCCATAGTAAGCATGACCTGTTGAACCGACCACGGACCACCTGATTAATGCAGACGGGAGACCCGGCGAACCCCCCTTCGAGCCTAAACGCAGGGTGAATGCAAATGCTAAATACTGTGTAGCGAACAGACTCATGTACCTAGATGGTAGGCGAATATATGCGGTATATATTTTATTTGATTTATTTGACGTCACAACCTTCCGCAGTCGCTCCTTTCCGCAGTCCCTCTATCAACAGTCCCTGCTGGACCTACTCAGTCTGACCCAGATGGTGTTGGAGAAGACGAGTCATCGATACGCGAGCACCGGCAGTTACACAACGCTGAGAGTCCTGCTCGCCGTGATCACTCAGAAGCGATTGCATACCTCGCACATCGATATCAACCTCGCATACCTCGACTCTGTGCTCAAAGAGAGGATCGTGATGCACTACCCAGCAGACCTGGAAGACAGCATCGGGAAGGACCAAGCTTGCCTGCTCAAACGGAGCATTTACGGACTCAAGCAGTCCGCCGCCAACTGGTTCAATACCTTGGGAGACCACCTGATGAGACATGGCTTTGTCAGGTCCAAGGCAGATCCATGCCTTTACACCAAGCGCACTCAGGGGGGCGAGATCATCTACATATTCGTCTATGTAGACGACATGCTGATTTCATCGAGGAGACAAAGAAAATGGTCAACCTCAGATCTCGGCCCACTGGCGCATTACCTCTCTTTGAAGATCACCCACGATCGAGAGGCAGGCACGATGTCATTGTCGCAACGAACTTACGGACGCTTTTTGGGTGATTTTGAAAATTCAGTCTCAGGAGGAAAATCCGAATTTCTCCCAACACCGGCGACGACCATCGTTCAATTCCTACAATTTCTATGGAAAATAAGTTCAAATGATACAGCCAGTCGTCAGAAAGACTTTGAACAATTTTTTAGAGCCTCACGGACCTGGCTGGCGAGATATAACAAAGATTAAATCTGGTCGGAAAGAGTTGTCCTTTCAAGCAGCCGGGCTGTAATGGATTTAAAGCGAGCTAATCGGGCTAATGAGAACATCATCATCAAGCTACCTATATCTGGGCATATCAAATTGCACTGCTTCCACTGTTTATGTTGTCCAATCAAAGCCAAACAACCGATTGAGCCGAGTTCTACCTAATATATAGGCCACGAGTCACTTGCCCTACTCTGCTACCGGACACCAGTCATAGTTGCCCTTCTGGTTATTACCCCACCACGATGGGAATGGGTGCGCAGGTCCACCAGCTCCGAAAACAGCAAATGAGAGGATGAAGAGGACTGTCAGACTCGCGCCATCGAAGGCGCCTGCAATCAGATACGAGTAGTCCTTGAAGATCCGCGGCTTGTAGTTTCGGAGGTAGTACTGAACATAGAATCCGCCGAGAATCCAAGTGAAGAGGACGCAGGTCTGACTTTGGTTGTAGGGAATGTAACCAGCATATTGGATAAATTGGGGTATGTTGACTTCCGCAACATCAAGCTTTCCAATTCTAGGGACGAACTAAGCATCGGTCGTCGTCAGTTTCAAGTAGGAGGAAGCGAGAGTTGGACATTTTGCTGTGAGCTAACTTACGTAGTAGAAGATGCGGTGGACAAGCACGGCTCCTGCACCAACAGCTATACCGATAGGCACAGCGCCGTACGGGGTACCGATCTTGTAAATGTAGGGAGCCATAGCCCATGATGCGGCATTCGTGTTATAAGCTTGGATAGTTGCACCGCTCCAGGACGAGTTTCCGTTACCATCGCGGAGAAGGTCTCGGTTCCCGGACACAATGGAGATCATCACAGCGTAGTTGACAAAGGCGCCAAGGATTGTGCCGTAGAGCTGTGTCAGGAACATGACGCGGGGAGGAATTTTGACTGGAGATGTGAGCTTCTTTCCAGTTCTGCGGGTTTGATCAAGGTAGAGATATACTCACGATATTCGCCCATCTTGAGATCATTGGAGAGATTGACAGCATTTTGGATGACGTTGTGGGACCAAACAGCGAAGTACATGTTACCGACCGGGCGTCCCGGAAGCAGCAGTCCTGCAATCATCTTTGACAGATTGTTTGTAGCAATACCATTTCCGTAGCGAGAGTAAAGGATGGTGCTCTATATCATGGTGATGATTAGCGCTGCTTCTCAGTGTCAGTTCCGAGGATAGGGTCACTCACAAAAGGCGCAATAATAGTGCCAATCAGCAGCGATACGACGTATGCCCAGGTTGGCAGGGTGATGTTCTGAGTTGTGGTCACAATGATTCCAATGACGAAGCTGCCAACAAGTACGACAATAAACCACCACCACGGGGTCTCCTTGTAGTGCGTGGCCATATGCACATGGTGACGATCATCAAATCTGCCCTCTCTCGCACTTTTATAGGTCTTCCAGATATCTTTGCCCCAGAAAAGGATGCAATGAACGATCAGGGCGCCAATTGCAGCGTTGGCCATGAACATTGCGAATGCGAATGTTCCAGTAACCGACGGTAAGCCGTACTCGGCCATCGCGTCCTTATCGAGCACACCACCGGGAAACACACTGTCCAAAGGATACGCGGTCCCGTTTGCTGTAAGGAGTCTGGTCGACATGAATGGCAGCGATTTCGCATGCCAGCCGTTGCCGTAATAAATGCCTATCATGATAATGAAGCAAGTGCCAAGTCCCAAGGCTTGGTGCACCTGTAGGGCGAGAGGCAGCGAAGTTTGAAAAGATGTGAGCTACAATCGTTAGATAATCTCCTAGACCGAACGATAGTTATAGAGGGCATTATCTCACATATTGCCAATCAAATGAAAGCGTGAATAGGCCAAGACCTTCATTGTTGGTAGCACCACCGAAAATATTGGTCAGTACCGCAGCGGTGTTACCAGTAGCCTTCTGGGCAGCTAGGCACTGTAAGAGTTCAGGTCAGAGAATTATATCCGAGGGAAGTTAGCTCAAAGAGACCCAGAGGATCAACAACTAAACATGTCACGTACCGGAATAGAGACGGAGTTCAACCATGGGAAGATGTAGGCAGGGATAATTTCATAAATTGACATGCCAGTAAAAGCATACCAGAAATATCTCAGTGGTTTCGAGTTCTTGACTTGCTGCCAATGAAGTCCCTGGAGAGTCTTGACGGTAGGCAAAGTGCTCCAGTAAACGGCCTCAGTATGCCAGACAGCGATGGGACGCATGACTCCGCAGAGCCCATAGCCAAACAGACCAACGGAGATAGTGCTCAAAATCACGGTCGCCGCGCTCAAGGACATATTATAGAAGAGTTCCTGTGCTGCAAACACCGTTGCCGTGCCGGAAGCGTTAGACGCGGATGTAGCAGTGATAGCACAGATAGAGTGCTCTTTCAAATTCCATGGTCCGTTATTGAAAAACTTCATCACCTTAATCCACAAAGGTGGTTCCCCCTGGCCGCCTTTATCTCTCCATCTAGCTTCGAATTTATCGCCACGGGGAAGGAATTTAGCCCAGGCCTTGCCAAGGAAGTAAGAGATGAGCACAATGAATGTTCCCTGGATTGTGATCAGAGTTGGTTTGAACTATGAACGAAGACGTTAGTACTCAGAAGCTCTGCAGGACATGTAAGACTTGGATTTACCTGATAAATCTGGTTCATCACAGCCTGGAAACATGCAAGCGCGGAGGCAAGCACGATACTTCTAAACGTCAAGACATTTTCAAAGTCATCTCGAAGAGGTAGCAGATGAATGGCCGCGTCAGCACCGGTAACGATGATTGCGCCCGGGTTTTCATCGCCTTCATCGTACGGGGCTGTACCCTCCAGTGAATCGGGCTTGACAGCAAAGACAGTGGTCCCCTTTTTCTCATCAAAGGCTTCTGCACTGATGATCGAGTCCACACTCCTCTCTACCGGTGATTCGGACATGATGGTCGGTGGAGACATAGCATGCGCGTGGTCTTTCTCGAAACAGATTAAAGATCGCGGCAGAGTTAGAAGTCATCATGATCTCTTTATGAACCCATATTGGAGAGCATGGAGGCTTATCGGGCCATAGTTAGGAGTTGCCACAGGATCATGATAACATGCAACCTTAAAATGAGCAATCGCGCTTGAATCGATCGCACATTTTCTTCCAGGGTGTATTGACAAGCCACACGGGGCAGCAAACCCTGGCTCATGTCTCAAAGAAAAGACGCCTGCGGGGCATGATAGCATTTTCAACTGAGATGGCAACATCCCAGAGCTCGGATCCTCGGACATTTCCATCCTCTTTGGTCCCTCCAGGACCCCCAGGCCGTGCAAGGTTGCAATTGCTTTTGGCTCAGACAGCACTTAAATGCCACCGGCTTTACCAAGCTTTCTGTCTGCCGAAGAGATATCTATTCAGCAATAATTTGACTGTCAAGGCACTAAGTGGGGTAAGGGGATGGAAGAATACATTCCAGCTAGCACACGGATACTAGCACGAAATACGTACACAATAATATGGCGTCCGTTAACCTCAGTAGGTTTCGGATGGAGCCGTTTACGCTTAATGGCAGCCCGGACAATGGGCTGAGCTTGGCGGTTTTTGACCGAGCTGGATGTTACCTCCTTGATATCTTTGGCAGTCGACTGAGTCTATATCCAATAGGAGCAGCGAGCTTGAATCACGATACACCAGTTGGTAAGCGGCGCTAAGCGCATCCATGGATAATTCGGGGTTCCGACGGCGCATTTACGACAGATCCACCTATTTCGAGATAGGGCTCTGAATAGTGGATTTTTCCGTACTTCCTTCCCAATGGGGAGCTATCTTCGGAACAGTGCCGATATTAACCACGTTGAGAAGTATCGCTGACCGAGGTCTGAACTCTGACTCTGACTGTCTCCGCCATCACCAGTCTAAGTCTTTATGACCGTAAGATATTCTGCTATCATATTCACAAGCACAATGTCTCCGGGGCCCGTCAGAATCAGGTTAGGGATGTGTGCTGTTCTTCGGAACTTCGGAAGAAAGATGCACGTGAATGACGCTGCCCCTGCCCCCGCCCCCCGGGCCCCGGCGGCCCGGCCCCCTGTAATGGAGACCCCACCCGACGTGTTCACTTTGATCGTAATACTAGAGCTACGAACAAGATCAAGTCTACTGTGTAAATGAATACCCAAATAACAGCCGAAAGTCTATGTGTCCAGAGGCAGAAGCCCAAGATGAAGCCAGAAAGATCCGGAAAATAGGCATAAATCGATTCAACCTTGAAACTGCTCCTATGCTACTAATGGCCAGGTCAGCAGGGGCCAGGGAAGCTCGCATTGGGTCGAATGTCGATGGCCTTACATCTTGAGCTACTCTACTAGGACAGCAGAAGCTCAGGCTCAGTCATTTACGGTGAGAGACGATCACCTGACACATCGGAAAGGACTTTTCCATTTCTGTTGTACATGTTGAAGCACAGATACGACCACCTCTTCAGCCCAGTCTCACCCTCTCTTCTCCATCTCCCTCGCACTGTATGGAGCGAACGTATCTGCGCCGTAAATTTGCGTGGTTAGCATGTCGAAGTGATGTACAGAGGAGCGGAGTCATACTCACACGGTTGAGGGAAACACCACACGACTCTGTCTGCCTTCCGCACGTTCACAAACAGAGACATTCGATCGATTCGAGTTTTGACGACGGTAGCTGCCGGCCACCTATGATAGATTCTCATGTCAGCTCACAGATATAGGAAAGATGCTTACCCCCATCGCCAACCAATTGAGCCACCACATGTCCTGCTGCCTTCCGCACGTTCACAGACAGAGACATTTGATCGACCGGAGTCGCGGCGACAATGGCCACCAACCACCTACAAATGATTCTCATGTCAGCTCAGAAGCATCAGACATAGGGAAGATACTTACCCCTATCGCAATCCAATTGAGCCTCCCCACGCTCTGTTGCCTTCCGCATGTTCACAGACAGAGACGTTCAATCGGCCGACCCGCGGCAGCGACACCCGCCATCCACCTGTAATTCATTTCAGTCAGCTCACAGAACCATCAGAGACCAAGAACAGACTTACCCCTGTCGCCACACTATCAAGCCACCACGCGTTCTGCTGCCTTCCGCACGATCACAGACAGAAACGCTCGCCTTCGATCCTAAATAGAAGTTAAAGGGCAAAAGCCTCGGGACGAGAACAAAACAAAACGCCAGACGCCAGCGAGCACGAACAACAGGCTTTTTTTTGGGGGTTTTGAATTTCCGAAAAAGCAAACGGCAAAAGCCTCGAGACAAGAAGAAAACAAAAAAAGAAAAGAAAACAGGAACAAAAGACGAAGAAATCATGCCCTGCCATTGTGAACGAGGCAGTGGACCCTGTGGATTGGCTATCAGGATCAGGTACACGCCGCAGCAATGATGAGGAACGCCCATACGGCTGGCACGGCTGGCGCAAGTCTTGGGAAGATGAACGCCAGCACAAACAAGACCCAACTGAGGTGGCTGGACCAGGCGCGGACCATGGGCCCGACCTGGACGCGGGCTTGGACGACCACGCGTGAATGGCCAACCTCAGGAGGAGAGTTGGATGTAAATGGCGCAGCCAAGGACTTGGGTACAGGCGTCAGGGGCGATGTACCAGGGGAGCAGGATCCGTCTAGATCGGGCAGGGCTTCCACCAGCGCAGCCATCTGGAATGCGGTACCAGTAGCCTCCAGTTTGGGGAGTGCATGCTGCAGCGCTGACATATCGAGGGTGTGGCTCTCAAAAAGCGCACTTGACAATGTCGACATGTCAAAAGCCGCAGCACGTGAACCGTCAATGGCAGGTTCAATGGTTGATCCCCGAAGGGGCTGTGGCAGTGGTCCGCATACAGCTGTCACTGGTGGTTGCCCACGGAAGGAAATCGTCGCACCAATGAAACAATCGGCTGCAAGCGTAGCCTGAGAACCATCCGAGGAAGGTTGGAACCGGGGAGAACTGGGTTCAGCGGCATACGCAGCACCGAAACGACCGGGACATCGCACGTGCGGCCGAGCAGAGCGTGCTTTGGGTCCTCGGCGTTTCGGTGATTTCAACTTCTGGCTGGGGAGCCGATTGTTGTTGGCTGACCGATGCGGCGAGTAATTGATGAGCTCCTTCCGCCACTTGTCTTCAGCCACCCTCCCGAGGAGCGGGGTGTTCTCACGCCAGCAACGCGGGGGGAGGTTACGGGCTGGAATCACTCTCACCTGAACGAGGTCCACATCATCCGCGAAGTGGACAGACTTCCGGACGAATGGCTCGTCAGATGGGAGCTCCTCCAGGTCCTCATCCACATTGACAAGGCAGGACTTCTTCGGAGGGGGAGCGTCGCGGCAGCGGGGGATGAGATCGGCGGGGGGAGGAAGATAGGTGAAGTGCATGATGCAGAATGATATGAAGTATTGGCAGTGGGTTTTGAATATCAGATGCTATGAAGCAAGTGAGAAAAAGCCAGTGGCAATGGAGAGAGGAGAAAGGAGAAAAGAAAGCAAAGAGTCAGAGGAAATGGGGGAATAAATATTGTTTGGGACCGACCATGGCAACGAGCAAGCAAACAGGAAGGCGCAGCAAACTGAAGTTATACCAAGGCAGGTGCGGTGGTGGCCATGGAAACGCCATGGACGAGTGATTAGGGCAAGGAAACTACGACTTCGCCAGGGCAGGAACATCTACATGGTCGGGTAACGCTGAAGCTATACAAGGTGTGATTCACCGGTGGCCGTGGTAACGAAGTAGTCAGGGCAAGTAAACAGGAAGCTACCTATGGCGTCGGCGTCGCCAGGGCAGGAACATCTACCTATCGAGATTGGTTGAGTAAACATCAGGTTATACGAAGTAGATGTGAGGGTGGCCATGGAAACAGAGTGGTTAGGGCAACAACAAAAGGAAAACTAGGGGAACTACGCCTTCACCAGGGCAGGAACATCAATATGATTGCACTGGTGCAGTGATGGTCGACGTATTCTCTCCGAATCACTTGGAGTTGGTCGCATTATTTGGAAGAGTCCCCAACTTCTCTCAACAATTATCGGATCGAGATATTGGCCTCACATTTTTTAGCCGGAATCAGCCCGACAGGAGATTTCAGGCTATAGCACTATAGGATTGCATCTTGGAGCAGCTACGGATGCCGCAGAAAAGCCAGGAAGGAGATGAAGAGCTATAGATTGAAGCCGGTCTTTTTTTTTGGAAGACTGCGTGAATATAAGTCCATTCAAGGAATTGCTTGAACTCGACGGAAGCAGCTTGAAGAAGTTAATTGCAAGGGAATTTCTATGACGAGAAAGAATGATAACACACTCAACATAGCGTATTGTGACCTCCAACAAGATATATGCCCAGGCAGGAAACGCCAATGCCTATAATACAAAAAGTGCAATACTTCAAACATGCGCCTGAATTTCATCAACGACCCGTCCAAGGGTTCCATTACTCCATCCATCAACGCGCTCCCGATCGCAAGTCTCATATAGCTTACGCGCAAGTGCCGCGAGCAGAGCAGCCTCCTTTGCGTTCGCCTCTGCGGCTTGGATCTGGATCCAACTGATGACACCTGAACGGGTGATCAAGGTAGTGCTGCCACCTACCTGAGCGGCGCGGTAGACAATGTGCAGGATCTTTCGACGAGCTGCTGGGCCGAGGGATGGGGACTGGTAGAGGGAAAGAATACGTTCGAAGACGTTGGCGCGGCGGTAGACCTCCATATCCTATTCGTTATATTAGCAATCGTCATTTTGGGGAGGAGTAACAAAACATAGCAACTTACAGCCTCTGTACGGAGAGCCTTGACAAACAGGTTCAGCAGCCAGTCGATCTCCTCGAAGTATCCGTCGTCCAACTCTGGCTCGTGAAGCAGGATCCTGTCAACCCAATATGTAGGGATCTTCTCAACCTCCCACATCGGTGCCTTCTGCAGGAACTTGTTGACCTTGCCGTAGACCTTGTGCAGGGGGTCCGTAAGAACCGCCAGGCAGTTTGCGGCGCACTCGCCAACTATCCATGGGACAGGTTTCTCCATGCCGATTTTGTTGACTGTTTCAAGAAGTTCTCCAGAGAGAGTGAAAATGGTGCGCCATTCTGCGTAGGTTGATTCCTTCAGTTTGGACATGAAGCGGATAATGGCGGAAAAGGCCTGCCTCCGAACTTCTTCGTGTTGAGAACATAAGCAAAGCATCAGCTCGGCAATGTGGCCCTGGTCGACTGCTTCGTCAAGGTCCTCCCGTTCCCATTTGTGGAGAGCATTATGCGTAGTGCCCTCCGCGGGGAGGAATCCAAAGATCTCATCGAGATCAACGGTGGGGGCTTTGTTGGACGAAATGGGGGTTTTCGAGTCAGAGTCGATATCCATTCTGTCCTCAATTTCGGCATCCTCCACCTCTTTCAGAGACTTCTTGAGAAGGGATCTGGTTTTCTTGGTCTCGGTAGCTTCCACCAATGAATCCCGCGCAGCCTTAAGTATTTTCGTGCTCTCGCCCGCTTGTTTAAGATTACCCAGAAGGCTTGCGATCCAAGCTCCAACAGCAGCTTCTGTGGATGCATCGCCGCTCTTGACGACAAACGGCCATTGCTCAACAATGACAACAACAAGAGCGCTAGCAGTTTCAGACGCATCCCCGGATAATGACTCTAGCATATCCAGATAGTGGACAGGCTTTTTAGCGACACGCGAGGCACAGTTGTCGAAGAAGACCAGCTGCTGATGCAAAGCATCTCCCTCGGAATTTTCAAGACTGGACAAAATAGACACAAATGCATACGGGGAGCTCTGCAAGACGGAGTTTTCCACTAGAACGGTTTTGAGAAGAGTAGAGATGCTGCGCGAAGAGTCTTTGTCCGAAGTTCCCATCAGAACCTTGAGGATCGACGTGAAGGGTGAATATTGCATGGATGCTGGTTTTTGCCACCACCTCAGTGAAGCGGATTGTTGTGCGATCTGGAGGATGCTCTGCAATTGACTCAGTAGCGACTCGGAGTCATCTGCGCTAACGTCTGGTGCTTCTAGTCGCTTAAGCACATCCACCAAGACGAGCGAGACATCGAAGTTCTCCTCCAGAGCGATGTCCGGCATTACTTCATAGTAACATGTCAAGAGTTCTGCCACAGCCTCCTGTTGAGTCAGATCTTCCTTACCGGTTCTGCGGAACAAGAGAACGACATCCTTGATTGCAGGGCATCGTCGAGAGAACTCTGTTAATAATTTCGCAGAAGCCTGATTCCAAAATAATTGACCTTGGCCGTGATCTGCCTGGAAAAGTTTGAGAACAGTCCGCAGCTTAGTAAACGCAAGAGTCAGGATGCGGACAGCGAACAAGGTGATGATCTCCGCATTTTGGTTGAGGCAGCGGGTCATAATCTTCTGGCCGAGAGGACGAGGCAGAATATTTTCAATGACAATGGAAACAGGCGGTGGCAGGATTGGCTGCTTTTCCTTCCAACCAAAGTTAGCTGGGACAGGCAACTGCACTGTAGAGAAGAGGAAAGCCGACTCGGCCATCCATGAAGGGGTAGCCTTAGGGTCTGAAATGAACATAGTTTTCCTCGTGAAATAGTCCGCGATGAGCTCAGGTGCCACCTTGAAGATTGTAACGAGCAGTTCGATCTGAAGACTGTCCACATCAGGCCGAAGGCACTGGATGAGGAAGGAAAGTGAACCGTTTCTCACGGGAATGTTGTCTCGGTATTTGTCGATGTAGACGGGTGAATCGAGGCCCAATTCAATGCATGCATCATCATCAGCGGTGAGGGCCTCGGGGTCGCTTCCAGCTGGATACCAGCCTGTCTCGGGCAATAGAACGCCAAAGCCGGCAGTCTTGCAGACGTTCATCATGACTCGATGAATCTCATTGGCGATGACGACGCCGCCGCCATCATTAGGTTCCTCTGACTCTCGATCGTAGCCATAAAGCGTAACCAATCGTTCGAGATTGTGTCGGTTGAAGAACTTGCTCTTCGATTTGCGCGACAAAGCGGCATCCTGTACCACATCCCTCTCAATAGCTTTGATGATTTCCAGAACCGTTTCACGCGAATCCTTTCGGACGTATTCGAGGAAAGACCTGGTAATCTTGTGCTGTTCAATGATATCGCCTTTCTCGGAGGCATGCTGCACTCTTAGGTTTGCTAGCAGATACCGCTGGGCGTTACGTCTGAGTGTCGACTTGTGCGACTCATCCTCGGAGATCTCCTGTGCTTTATTGGGGACCAAGAAGACCTCCAATCGCTTGAAGGTGATGTAGCGGCGAAGATATAGCTGTCGTGCCACTGCTCCTCCGTCAAAAGTCACAATCTCCGTGAGCAGGCGCAAACACGGCGAGATCAAATGCTCTTTGGACTTAGTCGCTGTCAATCCGCGATTGAACAATCTCAGTTGATCCTTCTGCAACAGATGCTTGCACAGGGCGATTCCGAATTCCCGGAATTCCAGTTCCGAGGAAATGGTCTTGAGGAAGATCGCGAGAACGGAAGGCACACTGGTCAATAAAGGCTCATTGTTGTTCCCATCACCGAAGGTCCAAGATTGAATCAGGTCCGGAAAGCAGACTGAGGTCTCATCCTCCTTTCCGGAGTTCGTAATTTGCTTATCGCAATAACTCTTGAGGACACGCAATTTCTCCCCTTTCTCGTTCTGGTTCTCCGCGTGTGCGATTGAGATCAGGAATTCCTTGAACTTGATTATGCCTATACGGTAGTCAGTTTCCGGCGACTTTCGACTCTCGCAAGCTTGCGACCTGTCTCACCTTGCTTTGCCAACGGGGCATTTTGCTGGACGGCCAACAGTTCGCGCAACTGGGCAGCTGATGTGATATTTGATGTGACAGTCTTCTGCTCTGCAGATTTGGGGTCATCAATCTTCCTTCTCTTTGCCCGAGAAGGGTGTTCTGTGATGTGCGACATGACTGATGGGTTGGGGTGTTGTATTATTTTTTTCTTTGGCTTCAGATTTCCTCGATGCCTTCGACATTTCCAGCTTGTTGATTGGTCCAGAACTCCCCGCCCGGTGCAAAAGGTGGATACACCGCTTTTTACTGCCATAAGAATACCAGGGCGGTATGGGCTTATCAGAGTGGATCCCGGTCATGATAGCTGCGGGTACATGAGGCATCGATTTGTCTCAACACCTATGGTCCATGGATGTCACACACTCACACTACGTACGTGTTTAGAGATTGGATGGCAACATGTGCAAGTGATAGGTATGCACCGAAACCAGTGGACCTGTAAATTTTGGCACTCAACGACTACCTACGTCATAATCTCAACTGCCCGTGTGAAGTCCCTACGTCCCGCAAGTGCAACATAAAACCATGCCGGCAGCCCCAGAAACTAAAATACCGTATTTTCGGCTTGAATACTGTTGCTGCCATGGTATTTTAGATCATATACCGTTGAGAATAATACAGTATCTCGGAACAGACACCGTGTCACTATAGGTATTCTCTGGAGTATTTCAATCACACGGGGTATTTCTAGGAGTATTTCGATCACACCAGGTATTCACTATGCAAATTCTTTATGATTTTCTAAATGCCACCCTGGGCCGACCTTTATCCGATCCCAACGTCTGCGCTTTTCACAGGCGGGCACAGTCCTGTGATTAGGTACAACTCACTCGAAATTAAACATTTCCTCCCCCTCTTCGAGAGGCTCCTCGTGCCCACGGTGCCCCTCTTTAGGTTTCCTTACCGGTAGACTTGCTGGGAGTTTAGCGAATGAAGCCCGGGTGATGTTCTCAAACATATCAGGTTGGCCCATCTTATTCCAAGAGAGACTTGCCAAAGACGAGGTCTGGTCGAGCGAAGGCGACGATGGACCGAGAGCAGAGGACGGTGTCATGCTGAAAGACGTGGATGGGTCGAGAGCAGGCGGCGATGGGTAGACAGGCTGTGAAACCTGGGTATTCTGATCATGGCCATATTGGCGTTCAGAATCAGGGGTTGGTGATTTAGAAGGTTGTCTTTCAGAAGAAGTAGGTGGATTGTCCGAAACTAGCGGCTCGGATACTCGCAGTCTCTTCGGGCTTGTTGGCCTGGTAGAGGTCGCGTGCTCTTCGGTAGTCGGTTGTTGTTCCAGAACGACCACTGGCGACTGGGTTGAGGTATTGAGGTTTTGGAATAAGATGAGCCAACCTGATATGTTTGAGAACATCACCCGGGCTTCATTCGCTAAACTCCCAGAAAGTCTAGCGGTAAGGAAACCTAAAGAGGGGCACCGTGGGCACGAGGAGCCTCTCAAAGAGGGGAGGAAATGTTTAATTTCGAGTGAGTATGTGCACATATAACAGCCTAGAAATGAGGCAATGAAAGCATGAAGGGGACAGCGATACGAAGTGCTGTACAGATACGGAGGACAGCAGAGATACAAGCTGTCCAATACGGGGGAGGATATGAATGCGATATCCAATACAAAAAGATGAAAATGAATGAATGACTCCAGTAGTGAAACTCTAGACATGAAGGAATTCAGGGGTTTGTGTACCGACAGCCCTCGGAGGAGAATTGATCCGACTAGGGTGGAGCATAAACACCAGAAGCGCCAAAATGAGAACCCTCTATACCTGACAACATACTACCCATATGTACCTAAGAACAGGACTGTGCCTGTGAACAGCGCAGACGTTGGGATCGGATAAAGGTCGGCCCAGGGGGCCGGCAGGGGCAGGGTGGCATTTAGAAAATCATAAAGAATTTGCATATTGAATACCTGGTGTGATCGAAATACTCCTAGAAATACCCCGTGTGATTGAAATACTCCAGAGAATACCTATAGTGACACGGTGTCTGTTCCGAGATACTGTATTCTCAACGGTATATGACCTAAAATACCGTGGCAGCAACAGTATTCAAGCCGAAAATACGGTATTTTAGTTTCTGGGGCTGCCGGCATGGATTCACCCAAACTACCTATTTTAGAACATGGACGGGGCGGCATGGGTTAGACTACATGGACATCATGCCCGGAAGCTACAGCCCTGTACCTATATCTCACCCTAACCTTAACACCCTACGGGCATCTACCTAGATATAGTAGAACCTAGAAACATCATCATTGGGAGGTTCCTCGTAGATATAATACAACCTTTAGGCCAACGAAGACAACTCCGTTGTACCTGCTAAGTAAACAGGTGGATGCAAAGACACAAATCTAAAAAGCAGGACGCAAGAAAGGAAAACACAATTGCAACCGCAGCTGGTATCTCAAAAAAAGACCAAAATTAACCCCAAGTACCACCACCACCACCTCTTCCCTGTCGCCGCTGGGCAGAGATACGCCAATCGTCTTCGCCAGCAAAGCGGTTGTGCAAAGGCTGGATGCGCTCCGCCTTCTTGCGCTTCGACAGCCGATCTGTAGGGGCAACCTTGAAGAAGGTCGGCGCCGCCTCCACGAGCCATTTCGGCTCGATGGCAGTGGTGCAGTGCATGTACTCCTTGGTTGTGAGGACCAAGGTGTGGTAGATGACATGCTCGGCCGGTTTGCCGAACATCGCGGAGCTGGGGTGCATATACACAGGTGTGCCTTCCACGAGAGTCTTGTACCCTTCCTGGGGATCCTTGCGGGCTGCGTTGCGGAAGAATCCGGTGCAGAGAGATTGCCGGACTTTCATGGTATCCCGGCCACAAGAGACGATGCGGTGCTTATAGCGGTTCATGATGCCGAGGAGCTGCTGGCGCACATCTTGCGCACGCTTGATTTGCCGTGCTTGAATGAAGTTTTCGAAGCACCAGGCGTTGTTGAAGTTTGCGTTCTTCCACCCATTGTACACATTAAGTAGGGTTAGATGATCGCCGTGTGGATCGTGGAATTTGGCCTTCTTCTGGTCTGCTTGCTGCTGTTTCTCTTTGGGGCGGTAGAAGACTGATTGGATCGAGAGCATGGCTACAATGCTCAACATTTCATCGGAGCAGCCGGCATCCACAGATGCGATGAGAACCTTGGCAAGCGCAGGCTCCATTGGGAAATCAGCCATCTTACGTCCGAGTCGAGTCAAGAGACCTTCATCGTCAAGGGCTGACAAGGCATATAGTTCTTCGAGGGCTGTCAACATAGTGTTCGTCGGTGGAGGGTCCATGAAATCAAAGTGGAGGAGGTCGTTGATTCCCATCGCCTTGAGCATGAGAATAGTGTGCGAGAGGTTCTGACGCTGGATTTCGGGAATAGTCGTTGGAAGCATTTCGGACTGGTAGGCGGCCTCAGTATACAATCGGAAACACTTTCCAGGACCAGTTCTTCCGGCACGACCAGCTCTTTGTTTGGCCTGCGCTTGCGAGATTGGGGTCACCACAAGAGAGTCCATGCCGAGTTTCGGGTCGTATGCGTTCTGCTTCACAAATCCGGGATCGATAACGTAGTAAATCTGATCAATCGTGATCGAAGTCTCGGCAATGTTTGTCGCGATGACAACTTTACGTCCGCCTGGGGGTGCCGGATCGAAGATTCTACTCTGCATCTCACTGGGAAGTGCAGAGTAAACAGGTAGGATGACCAGTTCAGGAACTGTCGGCCCTAGTGCTTTCATACGCTCAAATAGGATTTCACATGCTGTGTCAATCTCTTCTTGGCCCGTTAAGAAGACTAGAATGTCACCTTGCGGCTCCGTCAGGTGAATTTGCATGACGGTGATGAGTGCGGCATCTAGGTAATCGGACTCTGGCTCCTTGGAATATAGGACTTCGACAGGGAATGTTCGGCCGGGAATAGAGAAAATAGGACAACCGTGGAAGTATTCGGAGAATTTCTCAGCATCCAGCGTAGCGGATGTAATAATGAGTCTGAGATCGGGTCTTCGCTTGACTGTCTTCTTCAACAATCCAAACAAGATATCAGTGGCGATAGTGCGCTCGTGGGCCTCGTCGAGCATGATCACAGAGTATCTTTTGAGATCTGGATCCAGAAGAATTTCTCTCTGGAGCATTCCATCGGTCATGTATTTGATCTTGGTTTCTGGGCTGGTGCAGTCCTCAAAACGGATGGTATATCCAACCTCTGCTCCGAGCTTGCAGCCAACTTCCTCGGCCACACGTTTAGCCACCGACATGGCGGCGACACGGCGAGGCTGGGTGCAGCCGATTATTCCGTTGTTTGCATAACCGCCCTCAGCCAGGTACTGTGTCAACTGCGTGGTTTTCCCAGAGCCTGTGTCTCCGACAACGATCATCATTTGGTTGTCTTTGACAGCATCCAACAGTTGTTTCCGGAACTTGTAGACTGGTAGACTCTCGCGTTGTTGCTTCATTGACATTGTTGTTCGCTTTCCGAAGGAGGCATTCTTGCCCATCGTCACTCTCTTCCACTCTGGCAAAGCCTCGTCCTGCTTGGGCTGCTGTGCACTCCGCAGATCGGCGGCAAACTTGCGTTCCTCTGGTGCAACCATGGGGTCCTGCCACTGCGCGTTGAGATCGACATTAGCAGCCTTTTCAGCTGCTTTGTCTTGTGCTTCCTGCTGCTTCAATTCGCGTCTCTCCTTGGCAAGATTGGTGCCTGCCATAGCAGAGCGGTTCATCGAACCATCGGGAGCCTTGACGACACGGATAGGGGAGAGTTCCAGAGATTGCTTCGTCTGGCCAGCCAGGAAGGGAGGCTCCTCATCTCTGACCTCAATATCGACATCTTCCTCCTCTTCGAAGGTCCCCTCTCCTGTGAGCGTTGCATTATATTCCTCGTCAATATCGGGATAATCTGCGGCAGAGGCAACACCGGAGGCGATCAGCTGCCTGATTTCCCATCTCTCTGGCGAAGTCATGCGCTTTCGGTTGCGCATTGGCTGCCCCCGGATCCTTCAATAACGGGCACATCAGAGCTGAGATTGCCGTATCTGTCATCGGCCGTTGTGCCATCGAGACGTTCCATATTTGCACCAGAAGCGAGACGCTTCTGGGGAACAAGGTCCATGCCCGTCACTTGATCCACTTCCTTCATGGACAGTCCGATGCGAGTGCCCTGGATACTGGCCACTTTGACTTTGACTGGTTGTCCACGAGAAACCAAGTCGGACGGATGATTTACTCGTGCTCCTTCCTGCATCGCCGACACATGAACAAGACCATCAACCTTCCCCTTGACGCCTTGCAAGTTCACAAAGGCACCAAAATCCTTCACACCCGTCACAGTTCCATCATAGACTTTGTAGAGGACCGGGTGATCATCCAGTTCCTTAGGTGGAGGACGGCGGAAATCTTCATCATCGTCCCGATCACGGCGTCTCCGACGGTCACTGTGGCCGTTGCGGCGGCTGTCTTCCCGGTTGACATGTTTCTCAATCGATCTCCCAAATTCATCCACGTAATCGTCGTATTTGCTGTGTCGCGGGGGACTTCGAGACCTTGATCGCGAGCGGTATTTATCTCTCCGTCGCCCGCGGTCATAATCGTTGTGTCCGGGACTGCGGCTGCGCTTCCTGCTGCCGCGGTCGATTTTCGGCGCCTGTGGTTTGTCCTCCTTTGCTTTCCCAGCTAAGCCCTCCAACATCGCGAAAGTATCGTCCATTGCGCCCGCCTGTGCATCGGCCTCATCTGCTCCTCCACGGTCGAGGTAGTCGTCTTCCTCCCAGCGCTTCTCCGTGTCAGGAACCGCAAGGCCCTTGAACACGCGGGACTTCTTTGACAGAGCATCAAGCAAGTCCATGTCGCCATTTTCCTCAGAAGCCCCGTTGCTGGTTTCCGTTTTCTTCCCTTTGTACTTCGGGTGCATCGTAAGCACCATCCGGTCGACACTCTCTAGGAGACTCTGGGGGAATTCGCCGCCCATGTCGTCGAAGAACTTCTTGAATTCGGAGAAGTTCCCATTGCATTTGATATGTTGATCGATCACGAACTCTGCGAGAGTCTTGTCGGCGATTCCCAAGTGATTCTCGAACTCGTTCGTCACTCGCGACACGAGCGAGAACAACTCAAGGGACTCGAGGTCGTCCATGGTGGGTGGGAATTAAAAGGTACAATCAGGATAAGAAACAGATATAGCAGCTGGACAAATGGGTTGTATATTGGCGAGTGCGCAAAACACTGCTACACTGTAGCTCTTGAGCCTGTCGCAGTTCGGAATCTTGAAGACGGAAAATCAGTGTGGCCGAAGTTGCCACTGATAAGATAAGGCGGTATGCGCGATGTTCTGCTCCAAAAAATCACATGCTCCAGTAGTCTAAATCACATACGGTCTACAGTCTACTTGTAGTCTCTTCGGGTATCGGAGATAGGTTTTATACAGCTAATATACATGTCTATTATTCTTACATCCATCAGAATTTGTGGACTTCCGTGTCGTAATATGACTCCGTCGGTTCAGAGTCTTCAGAGTCCTTCAAGTCGGCGGAGGTGCCATCGTCTTGGCTGGCGTCCTGGCCCTCTGCCTCCGGTGATGGCTCGATTAATGAAAGATCATCTGAGTCGGAAGCTTCGCCTTCCGTACCTTCCACGCCCTCCGCACCCTCGGAAACAGGTTCGCCGGACAAGTCGAGTCCCATCTCTCCTTCGCCAGAGGGCTTCAACCAGTCTGGAGCAACACCCATACGTTGCTGCTCCAACAACTGTTTCTGAAGTGCGATCTGGCGCTTCAGAGAAGCACCCTGCCGCAGTCTCTTGTTAGCGGAGAACTCGGTCAATGCTCGAACCATCCGCTCTTCGACAAGCTCCTTGACGTGACTCGCGAGAGTTCGGTCAGTGAACACACCACCGAACCGGAAACTGAGCCATAGGTACAAAATGACTGCCCGATGAAGACTCTCCAGATCAGCCATGTAACTATTGCTACCAGAAACTTGCTGTTCAAGCACTTCCAGGTTAAGATGGTTGATGTCTAACAGTCGACCATCGTTATGGTCGGCCACGCAGTCCGCTAGAGCGCCGGTCACATCACGCGAGATTTCACTCTTGCGGTCCATGGGAGACACCATGAATTTTAACTGATCCTCAAACGGGAGTCCTTTCACGGTGTCGATAATTTCGGCATTCCCCAACTGACTGGAAGGGTCACACAAAAAGAACAAGGGATTGACCTGGGCGATATCCAGGACACGTTTGATCAGATATTCGAAAGGTACACCTGGTGGGAAATAGGCTGCGAATTTTCGAAAGACAGATTCTGGGGGGAAAATACCCGCGGCACTGAGCGGCGGAGGTTCCAGCTTCATCGCTTGCTGGATATATGGAAGATCGACCTCTTCCAGACTCGTGATTAAACCCACGTTAGGCTCTTCGTTTGTGCTTCCTGTGGCGTTGGCTGCACGATATCGCCCTGCACGTCCACCAATCTGTTTGATCTCCGGTACGGTAAGTCGTTGAAGTCCACTTGGGAGGCGTTTGACAATGGTATCAAAGATGACACGCTTGCAGCTCCTATTGCGGGTCAGTCCAAAACTGTATAGCTATTGAGTCAGAGAGGATGATACTCACAGGTTCAGACCCATTCCAATGGCGTCGCTTGCCACGAGAAAATCGTAGTCATTGTCGGGGTCGTTGAATAAACTTGCCTGCTGCGTCCGAATCTCTGCGGGCAAGCCACCGTAAACGATGGCTGCCCGTCTTCCAGTGGTCTTTTCGATGTCCGCTTTCATAGCATGTATACCTTTGCGCGAAAAAACAACGACACAGTCGCCCTTCTCAAGGTTGTGGAGGTTGCCTTTCAAACTGTGCGGCATCACTTCCAATCCATTCAAACGTTCATAGCGATGGATCTCTAAATTATCTCCTGTAAGGGCACATAATTCTCGAATCAATGGCACTGAGCGAGTTTCGCCACACACATGCAGTTCGGCCGCTTGCGCACCAAGGAAGGCTCGAGTCCATGCCCAACCACGAGACGAGTTGGCAATCATTTGAATCTCATCAATCACACCCACGTCGTATTCCTGACCCAAACTGACCATCTCCACGGTATTACTAACAATACGCGACACTTCATTATTCTCCGGAAACTTGACATCGTCACCAGTGACGAGACTGCATGGAACCCCGTCCGCCTTGAAGCGTTGATATACTTCTTGCGCAAGCAATCTCAGTGGGCCTGCATAGAAGCCATTCTTGCTTTTCGCCAGTCGTTGTAGAGCATGGTAGGTCTTCCCGGAATTCGTCGGCCCGACATGGAGGTGAATCGTTCGCCGCATCGACCGTGCGCGTGGATACCATTCGGCTGGCCATCGAAGGTCTGCCACTCGCTGCTGTGCGTCAAGAACCGGCTCTGAGAACCTGGCGGTGATGCTATCAGAGTACATGAGATATTCTATCTCCTCTCGTAAACCCTGGAGTCCGGAGGCAAGATAGGCCTTTTGCAGCGCTACCTTGATATGCCGAAGGGGTCCGTATTGTGCAGATGACTTGCTTTCATCCAATTTGCAAGCATTATTTATTTGCCGTTCAAAACGAGTCCAATCCTCCAGCGATTCGCCTGTCGTGTTCAGCTTATGGTGGACATCGCGCAGGGTTGCCTCCACCAAACCGGTGAAATCTCGTGCTGCTGCAATGTCTTTTCGGACAGTTTGCGAGGCGGACCTCTGTACAAGCGATTTAGGCTTTTTCTTGTCGGTAGGAACGGGCTTTTGCTTCCTTGATCGTTGGAGGGTATGAGTTGTGGTGAAAGATCTTGTCGCGAAACGAGTCCAAGGTCGCAAAGCGTAGAGGGAGCGACTACCGGCAATCCATGGCTGCATTCCTGCACCGGTGTTCCCAATCACGTAGAGAGGGTATCAGAGACAAAGAAAGCTGGACAGGTAGGTGAAAACAAAGGGGAGTGGGATGTTAAGAAAGAAAGATTAAAGGTGACAAACTACGGACAAACCCAAAAAGTTGGCGCTTATCGACCAGATCCACTTCCCTGAGCTCCAATGGTGGGGAACAACATCTCCTTCATATACCTCAGACGGCCACCTAACTACTCACTCACTGCGATACTGGATCTTTCGCTAACCAACTCATTGCCACTCTTCCACTTGGTCGTTTATTCTTCTATTTGCCCTAGTCGCTCATCCTGAAGCCCCGGATTGTGGGCTGCCCGCTAGCATGGGCTCCTCAATAATCAACATCCAACGCGACAGTCGGTGACCTCTCCCTACTCTTTGCAAGAACACTGGCTGACCGCGAAATCTTTATAATAGTTATACTGAATACCATTCGCAATGCCGGCGGCCAGGAGGTGAGCCCGATTCCCCCGATCAACCCCTCTACATCGGATACTGACGGCATCCCCTAATAGTGGAAAGTCTTGGTAGTTGATGAAAACAGCAAGAGATTGGTCAACGGTGCTGTGAAAGAGGATGAAATCCTCAATCTTAATGTCTCTAGTGAGCCAGCCTTGCGCTTTGCGAATTGAGCAACACTGAACAATGCCACACTACAGACGTCGAGCAACTCGAACATCGCCGGCCGCCCAATCAGGATATGGACGCGCTGTACATCTTGTCGCCGGAGTCCTACGTTGTCGATTGTTTGATGGCAGATTTCGAGGTGGGCCGATACAGAAAGGCCTACTTGGTGTGGACTTCATGTTAGTGGGCTGTCCGCGAACACCAGGAGTTTGCGACGTCATTTCGCTCACACAGCTTATAGTCCTTGATCCGCAGCAAAAAGCGCGGATCGACCGATCTCAAATGGCGCGCGAGCGCATTGCGGACTTCCATGTCATGAACATCAACTTCTACCCCCGAGAGTCACGCCTGATCACATTCCGAGATCCGTGGAGCTTTCCAACACTCTACCACCCCGGTTGCAATAATTTAATTCGAGGCCACTTGGAAGAGTTAGCTCAAAAGGTGAAGGCCCTTCAAAATGCATTGAAGCTTGCTTGCTGACTTGGAAGCAAGGTCGTCTCTCTATGCGCTTCGCTGGGTGAATACCCCATAATTCGGTACTACCGTCCCCGGTCTCCAAACCACGAGGCTGGAGTGATGTGCTCTCACCTAGCACGTTTTATCCAAAGCGAGATGGACCAATTCGCGCAGTACCAGCGCGACTTCCCACCACAAACAAATCGCCCACGAGGTGTATTGCTCGTAGTCGACCGTTCCATGGACGTACTCGCGCCCCTCCTTCACGAGTTCACTTATCAGGCCATGGTCCACGATCTTCTTCCCATAAATGAGGGTGACAAGGTTGTCTACAAAACTGTTGTCAATGAAGGCAGCCCCAACCAGGAAGTCAAGGAGATGGAAATAGGAGAGAATGATCGGGTTTGGGTGGCCTATCGCCATATGCATATGAAGGATGTTCTTGGGAAACTAGGCGAAGACTTTGCCAAATTCCGAGCAGCAAATCCTCAGTTTGCGAACGAGTAAGCTGAGCAAACCCTCCTCAATACTCGAATCGAACCGCTAACTTCAGGCGCTAGGGTTGACAAGCACAGCGTGAACACCATTAAGGATATGTTGGGTGGACTGACAGAATTCCAAGAGGGTAAAAATGCCTATACGCTGCACCTCAACATGGCTCAGGAGTGTATGAACTACTTCCAATCCCGTAAGCTCTTGGAAGTAAGCTCCAACGAGCAGTCCTTCGCCACGGGTCTTGATGAGAACTACAAAAAGGCAAAGAACCTAGCCGCGCAACTTGTCCAGCTCCTCGATGATGAGGCGGTCATACCCCAGGATCGGCTTAGACTGCTACTTCTATACATCATTTACCGCAATGGACTGCTGGGTGGAGACATTCGAAAACTCATGGCGCACGCTGGCCTCCCACCGAAAGACGGCGCAGTGATTGCCAACCTTGAGCTCCTCGGCGTGCGTGTGGAGAAGCCTCTCAAGGACGATAAACCATCGGCGCAATCTATCTTCAACAAGCGGAACCCACCCCCCGAATCAGAAGAGCTCAGCCTAAGCCGGTATGAGTTGGCAGTCAAGCAGATGCTGGAAGACCAACTCCAGGGTACATTAGACCCAACCATTTTCCCCTTCACACGCCCACACACCGAGGCGGACAGCGCTCTAGCCGCGCAAGAGATGCAGTCACAGCAGGCGTCTCTGCGCAGCGCCAAACCAACCTGGGCACGCACAAGATCCGTGGATCAGCCTCGCCAGCGCATTATCGTTTTCATGGCTGGTGGCGCCACCTACGGCGAGTCACGATCCTGTTACGAAGTCTCAGCAGCCTACAACAGGGACGTCTACCTCGCCACAACGCACATGTTGACTCCAGAGCTCTTCCTCCGCCAAGTTGGAGACCTCAGCGTAGACAGGCGGCGTCTCAATCTCCCCTCTGAGCGCCCAAAACCTACCGCCCCAGCCCACCTCTTCGAACGTGAGGCCCCTCCAGCCCCAACTCCGCATCCCCAGAAGAAGAAACCGGTCTCAACGGCGCACCTCAACCCCCGGCCCCGCCGGAAGCACTGATGGCTGGCATGTCGATCAGCCCGAATGGGAGCGCGAGCAGCCGCAACTCATCGGGCAGCGGAAAGCCTGATAAGAAAGACAAAGAAAAGAAGGAGAAGGAAAAGAAGAAGTATCGGTTCTTCTAGCTTCGTCTGTTTCTGTTTCTTTAGTCTGGTCTTGCCGTGTCCAAGGTCTCCATCCAGTGCTTTTGTGATACCATTCTTTTCCTCGTTGTGTCTCTTTTGGTCTGGTCTGGTCCCAAGCATTCAAGGCGCTACTCTCAGCGATTTTCGATTTCTCCCTGAAACAAGTCCAAGACTTGAACCGGGAATCTTTTCTCTGCACTACATTCTAAGCCAGGTTCAAATCTGGACGTTTAGTTCATTTGACAGTATCTAGTGCAAGCACATACAATCCAAACCAAGCACTCAACTAATAACAAATCCCAGTCATGCAAGCTATAAAATAATCAAGGGTATCATCGCCACAAACACTCATAAAAAAACCATCCTCCCACTTCAAACAACAATCCAAACTAAACCCCCTCCCCAAGATACCTCAAAACCTCATCACTCTGATAAAAAACCTTCCTCAACCTCTCCGCCCTCCTCCTCTCCTCCGCAACCCGATTCCGCACCTGCTTAGCATTAAGCTTCTGCACCTTCGGCTTCGGCGGCGCCCTAGCCGGCAACCGATCCCCATCCGCATCAAGCCCAGTGCCCAGACCAGCCGTATCGTGCTTGACGCGCGGCTTAATCGGTTCTCGAATCCCCTCTCGACCCGCTGCACCGAGTCCGAGCCTGCTATCTGGATCCCAGCCGTAGGTGGATAGATACCGCAGACCGGCGCGCGTGCGGTCCAAGTGGGAGGGGGGGGTGGGAGTGGGTGAGGCAGAGTTGGTGGGCGAGGGATGCTTCGTGGGGGCGGGGTTTTTGTATTGTAGCGGTTGTAGTGTCTGCTGTTGCGGGTTCTGGCTGTGGTTCTAGGGGGAGGTTACAGATTTCGCAAAACACGGAGTCCGGCTGTGACGCAGATGCTGGGGGAGAGGCGACTGTTGTGTCTGTGGGTGGGGCGGACTGGGTGCGGATGGTGGGTGATGGGGGTCGCTGGGTTGGTGTACTCGGTGATGTACTTGGGGCTTGTTTCATTACGATAGAGAGGTATTTGTCCGCGATGCTGGTTCCGGAGGAGGAAGACGGGGTTGGGGTTGCGGTGGTTGTGTCTAGATCGGAGGAGCGAACGAATTGTACGCGTTTGCGACGGACTCCCGAGGTGAAGGGGCGGACTTGCTCCGGGGGGAGGTAGTAGTCTTCTTCATCGGAGGCCATGATTGCATATGCATACCAGGGCTTGCAGAAGGGTTTTGAAGAGAGAACGAAGGTCTGAGAACGTAGGAAGGAAGAATGTCGAGGGCGGAGCGGATTTACGGTGGCGATAAGATAAGAGATAACCAGGGCTCCGTCTACGTGGAGGAAAATAGCCCTTCCAACCTTGGAAGAGCCACACAGCTCATCTCAATCAGCTATGCCCATCCCAATCATTGCCCAAGGTCTCAGGGAGGGTGTCTCGTCCATCCCGTATGCGTGGGAAATCCTCCGCGTAGCACCATGGGTGCTAGTACTCGCCGCGTTGAAGTACTACTTCGAAGGAGCCCGCAATGGCTCGGAGCGGATGATGCGGTCCAAAGTGATCATGGTGACGGTACTTATACCCCCCTACAGCCTCTCCATCCCCGCAACCAATCAATTGAGCAAAATCTAACTAAAACAAACTAGGGCGGCACATCAGGAATAGGAGCAGAAGTAGTCCGCGAACTCGCAACGCGCGGCGCCCAAGTCATCCTGCTAACCCGCCAACCGCCGTCCGACCTCTTCCTCTCGGAATACATCGACGACCTACGCACAAGCACAAACAACCAACTAATCTACGCCGAACAAGTGGACCTCTCATCTCTGCACTCCATCCGCACCTTCGCCACAAAATGGATCGACAATATTCCTCCCCGCCGTCTAGACAGCATCATCCTCGCCGGCGGAACAATCGAGCCCTCTAGTTCCCGACCCCTGACCACAGACGGCATAGACCCAGAATGGCAAGTAAACTACCTAGCCAACTTCCACCTCCTCAGCATCCTCAGTCCAGCCCTACGCGCCCAGCCCGCCCACCGCGACGTCCGCGTCATCTTCGCCACCTGCTCCAGCTACATTGGCGCGGACTTCAGTAAACTGGATATCGTGAAACGCGGGAAGCAGACGGTTATCTCCAAGCGCACGGATACTAGCCCTGCGCTGTACGCGCGACCGAAGGGCGTATACGCGCTCAGCAAGCTTGCACTGACGATCTTCGCACATTCCTTCCAGCGCCATTTGAACGCGTACAAACGGCCCGACGGTCTGCCGCCTTGCACGAGGGTTATTGTGGTTGATCCAGGCTTGGCGCGGACGCCCGGTATGCGGCGCTGGTTGACGGGCGGTTCGTTGTGGGGTCTGGCGGTTTATTTGGTTACTTGGCCGGTCTGGTGGCTGCTGTTTAAGTCGCCTGTGGGCGGTGCGCAGAGTTTCTTGTATGCGGCTATGGAGCAGAAGTATGGGCGTGGTGAGGGTGGGTGGTTGGTTAAGGAGTGTCGGGAGATGGATTATGCAAGGACGGATGTGAGGAATGATGAGGTTGGGAAGAAGCTTTGGGAGTTTAGTGAGAAGATGGTTGAGGAGGCTGAGAAGGAGAGTGCTGTTATTAGGGCTTTGGAGAAGAAGGAGAAGGAGGTTGAGAAGCAGAAGGCTGAGGCTGAGAAGACGAAGAAGGAGAGAGAGGATGCGGGATCGAAAAGGGGGAAAGCTGATGGGTCGAGGAGGAGTCGGAAGGGTAATAAGTGATGCATATACCTGTGTGGGTATGCATGATATCCATATAACTATCGAATAGACTACGACGTATCTCACTGTGATAAGAGACAAGCATCACAAAAAAGGAAATTCGTTTCATGTATTTTACCAACTAGCTCTTCTATATTAACAGAGGCAAGTCCCCTTTATGAACTCAGACAAGCAATTTACTTCTTAAGCTGAGCAAGCAGCTCAGCAGGGGGCTGCTGGCGGTAACCCTGGGGGTTATTCTTAGTCCAGAGCCAGAGATCCTCGCAAGCCTGCTCCAGGGTACGCTCCGCCTGCCAGCCGAGCTCGGTGTTGGCGCGGGTAGGGTTGGCAGTGAGGTTGAGAACATCACCAGCACGACGGGGAGCAACCTCGTAAGGCTGGTCCTTGCCGACAGCAGTGGAGAAGGCACGGATCATCTCGTAGACGGTGCTTCCCTTACCGGTACCCAGGTTCCAGGCGCGAACACCGGGGTTGTTGGCGCGCAGGTAGTTGAGGGCCTTGAGGTGGCCGTCTGCCAGGTCCAGGATGTGGATGTAGTCACGGATGGCGGTGCCGTCATGGGAGGCGTAGTCTGTGCATTGTATTAGCTTGGGAAAGTTTCAGGGAAAAAAAGTGCAGTCTGAGGGGAAGTCTTACCGTCACCGAAGACCATCAGCTTCTCGCGCTTGCCGGTGGCGACCTGTGCGAGCAGAGGGAGGAGGTTGTAGGGGACACCCTGGGGGTCCTCGCCCATGATACCGCTGGGGTGGGCACCGGCGGGGTTGAAGTAGCGGAGCAGAGCGCCGTTCCACTTCTTAGCCTCGGCCTCGTTACCGGCCTTGGTGGCGTTGTTGCGCTGGGCATTGATCACGTCGGTGATGGCGGTCTCGACGGCGAACTTGGTGTTGCCGTAGGGGTTGGTGGGGCCGAGAGGGCAGTCCTCGGGGATGGGGATCATGTTGGGGAAGCGGGTGGCATCGCCGTAGACGGTGGCGGAGCTGGAGAAGACGATGTTGGTGACGTTGTGCTTGACCATGGAGCGCAGCAGGTTGATGGTGCCGTAAACATTGACAAGGTAGTAGTCGAGGGGCTTCTCGCCGGACTCGCCAACAGCCTGAGGGGTAATTGCATTAGTTACTGGTTGTAGACTTCGGGAATGCGCAATTGTGTGATACATACCTTCAGGGCAGCGAAGTGGATAACGCTGTCAATGTCGGGGTGGGCCTCGAACACCTTGTCGAAGGCACCCTCCTCGGTGACATCGAGCTGGATGAACTCAGCCTTCTTGCCGCAGATCAGCTCAATACGGTTGAGGACTTCGGGCGAAGAGTTGTAAAGGTTGTCAGCGACAACAACCTTGTAGCCAGCCTCCAGAAGGGCGAGGGTGGTGAACGAGCCAATGTAGCCCGTGCCACTGCGGGTTGTCAGTTGTGATTACAATTGAAGACCATTGCGATTGCTTACCCAGCAACAAGAACTGAACCAGAAGGCATGATGGTATAATGAATGAAGGCTAAAGAAAAGATGGGGTGGAGAGTACGGAGTAGAAAGCGGACGAGGGGCAGCTTTTAAGGGGAAATTGGAGGTGGTGGGGGCATTTATCTCTCACCAGATTTATGACGCGGCCCAGGCGATCAACATTTGGTAAATTGGTTTTCAACTTGGATTTGTCTCGCAATTACAATTGTCGCAGTCTCTTGCCTCTCGCCTCTTCATCCCCTATTTCCTTCTGTAAGATCAGGTCAATTGATGTTCGGAGCATTATGTATGCGAGTTGCGACCATTGTAGCGGTGAAATAAACACGAATCCACTGGATTTCTAAAAACGGGCAAGATATGCAAAAGCAGATGCATATCTCCTGAAACTGTCTGCAACCAAAAAGACCGTGTCGTTCAGATCCTCGTGGCTGTCAAAAATGTCCCGGAGACAGCAAGGGGGCCTGCATTCCTCAAGGGTCCAGGCCGTCCCCGGAAATTTCTTGGCATGGAGTATCTTTACACTGTTGATGTTGAATTGGGACAAAATGAAGAAAAAGAAAAAAAGAAGTGAAATTGGTATTGAAAAGAAAAAGAGACCGGTTAGGGCAAAAATACAACCGGAGTTTTGGCATGATCAGGGTCCCGTATCCCCTTCGCGTAGATGGTAGATCGCCCTAGAGGACAAGTTGCGTTTTCAGCAACGTCCGTGTCATACTTGAGACCACTCATGGATACTCAAAGTATCGGGACTGATTCAAGTCTTTGAGACGCGAGGTCAGACGCGGACACGACCACAGTGTGGCGGCAGTGATAGCCAGCGCGCCGAAAGGGGTAAATAGCCCCAAATTGTAAGGAAGATAGGCCAAAAAATAACTGGCTACGACCTTAACCCAGAAGCTCAACGTCCAGACCAATGGCCCGCATGAACAAGTTGACATTGCTCAGACGCTGACTGCCCATGTCGGCAGGGAGCGTCTTGCTGTAGCTCACAGTCTCCATGACACGATCCCTGCAAATTGAATATTAGCTTTATTAGTGATATCATTGGGGCTAGACGAGGAACTCACTTGACGGCAATGACCAGGCGCTGCTGCTGTTCGGGGCTGGCACCAATGCCCACGGCGGCAAGGAACTGCCACACATACATGTCGTCGCCCGAGCTAATCGTTCCGGGGAAGATGTCGTTCAGACCGAGCTCCAAGGTATCGAAAAGGATATTGAACTTCTGCACCCACTGCTGCCAATCGTGCTCGGAAGCCTGGCCAGCCTCCTTAACAATCTCGGCACGACTGAGCAACATGGTTAAAATGCCCAGACCAACCTTGGTGCGAGCCACTGTCTGCACATGGGTTTGGTTGATGACCAAGCCCAAAAGACCAATGATAATGTTGAAGGGCGCTTCGTTCACGTATCCCAGAAGACAAGGCATGACAGCCAGGGAGAAGAGGTCAATCGCTTCACGCACACCAAGCGACGGCTGGGCCTCACCCGGCACGGGCTGGGCGAGGCGAACCACGTCCAAGCTATCCAGATGAACAACAATCATAGTGAGGATGGTGACACGCTGTTCCTGATCAATGTGGCGGAAGATGCGAGGGATGGCCTTCTTGCCCTTGGGGTATGACAAGAATGCGATGAAGGGGTGTGGTGTCGTCGAGTTGGGCACGATTGGCTCCATCACCTTCAATGAGCGCCACAACTTCTGGTTGAGGGAGTGAAGCTTCTGTCTCCATTCCATGTGTACTTGGATCGCCTCGGCGTCGCCCTCCTCGGGAGGCGGTGGCATCGTGCGCTCCATATCTTCCATTGCCATCAAAGAGCTGTAAACGCCCTCCAGGTTAGTAAGAATTGACTTTCGGTCACTGAGACTGAGATCCGACTGCTTTTTAGGCTTGGGTCCCTCTGAGCTATCGGGACGCTTGATGTTCAGCATCGGCTTGGGCGCCTTGGCATTGCTGAATGAGATCTTGCCCAAGCTGCCTTCAATGATGAGTTGCTTGTTCTTGGGCTTGGCCTTGGCGGCTTCCACAGCCCGCTGAACCTGCTGCTGCATTCGCTGCATGTGGTTGTCGGCACTCTGGAAATGGCCTCGGCGATGCCCACCGAGCCTGTTGCCCGTCTGAAACAGATAGGTCTGGGCGAAGTGGCCCAGGGGTTGGTGGGGGGTGCTGACGTGGGGCTCCCCGAATCTGGCTGTAGACCTGGTAGTAGAAGTCCTCCGCCAACACAGCCTCCGGATCCGAGTCGGCAACGTTTCCAGCAGCTGCTACCAGCTGTTGCAATTGGATACGAGTAATGAAGTTCTTATCCTGTGGTGTCATCAGACCATTGCCTCTGGACAAAAGGAAAATCTTGTGATTGCGCTTCGCACGCTTGGCATCCTCCACCAAGTAAGCATTACGCTGCTCTTCGGTGAGGTCCCTGAGCTGCTGTGGGTTGGTGATCACCGGAATCCCGTTGGCGGAGGTCCGGTTAGGCAAGGGCACTTGCTGTTGCTGGGGGAGATGAGGCAGCTGGGGCTGCTGAGGGCGCTGGGCCTGAGGAGGACCGACATGGCGGGGACCAGCAGGCGGCATGCTTTGCGGGGGAAGGTTGGCGTTCTGCATCATATGCAGAGGCACACCGGGTGGCATAGGTCCAGGGCCACCATAAAGCTCTGGCATACCAGGCGGTGGGTGTGGCATACCCGGCGGTAGGTGGCCTTGTTTTATCTGTGCATGCAGGAACTCAGGGGGAACCGGGGGGAACCCATCAGGGAGGGTCTGGAGATGCTGAGGTTGAGGATACTGCGAATCCACCATAGATCGCATGAACGCTTCTGCAGCGGGGGTCGAGGTATTATGGCCTTGCTGGCGCATTTGTGCCTCCACCTCTTCCAAGCTCATCATTTTCCGGCTGGCAGTAGACGCAGCTGGGGCAGCAGCGACGGGCTCGGGCTTCTTCTGCGAGACACCCCAGACACTGGACTTGGCTTGCAAGTCGGGAATATACCCTGGGTCCGAGTACTTCTCATAGCCTGAGCGTTTCGTCTTCGAGGCAGCCGGCTGAACGGCTGGAGCGGCGGGCTGGGGAGCGACGCGAGCAGAATTGGGATTCTGCAGGCTGTATCGAACCTGTTCCTCGCCAATAACATCGGAAACCTGGGCGGTCTTTCCAAAGAAATCGAAGTCCCTTCCAACCGAAGTATCGGCGCCACCTGCGCCAAACGTGTCATCGTTGAACTCGTCCTGGTCGTCGGGAAGCTGGTCTCCAAGACCATCGTAGGTATCCTCGAAGTCAATCCTATATTAAATTCAATACAATGTCCAATTTCCGGGCCAATCGAGATAAGCTCACACGTCGTCATCCTCCAGCGCATGGGCTCGAGCGATGTCCGCAAAGGGATCTGAAGTTTCGAAGAATCCCTTACTCCCTGAACCATCGCGGTCCCTGGGTAGTTTAGTCTCGAAGCCAAAGAAAGACATCTTTGGCTGCGATGAGGAAGATGGGAAACAGGTGGGGAGGTAAATAGCTTGGTGGGGGGGACGTTGAGGAAAGGTGCGATCGATGTTCGGGAAGTTCTGGAGTGCGGACGCCTCAGGCAGAAATGGTATTCTTTTGCCAAGCCACAGTGTCGATCGCCAATGCACCTTTGGGGATGCGTAGGGATCGAGATCGGGAGTAGGCTTTAAAGGAGGAGACTATCTACTGAATGAATTATTCAAGGCTTTACTGTGTAAGAATCTACGTGGTACAATAAGGTAGACAACAATGTGGGATGACAATAAAGACACAGTTAACTAACTACCATGTTACATTGAGACAATGAAAGAGGAGAATCCATGCACTCGATCATTAGAGAAACTGGATTTGACGAGATCGAATGATGACAAGTACGTACTCCGGACCCCAAGTCCAGAGATAAAAATACATCCCGACTCGTATCCCCTGAGGCTTGAGCAGTGGAATGTCTCAAATCGGCTGACACAAAAGTGGCTGAAAGCGGCTGTCATTGTCTAGCACCGCGGCTCCATTTTTCACTTATCTTTCCATCACCCCTACTGTGTAAAGCAACCTTCATCTTTCGGGGGTATCTATCACTTTCTTCTATCTCATTTGGGATTCATGTCGCTCGCTTTTTAATTCTCCATATTGGCACGTTGGTCTAACCTCTGTTGTTGCCTTGCCACTCGTAACGGGAAATCATCCTCCCCCCCCACATCGTCATGTCTGTCTCTGTTCGATATTCGCGCTACCTGGTCTTTGCCTTCGCGGTAAGTATTTGATCTCATCGCCGTTCGTGAATCCCCGTCGCTAACGATGGCCAGGCATTGGTGGTCTTCTTCCTCTTCTCCCGATCCTCCATTCCAATCCCGACCACCAGCTTAACATCCCCTGCAACTAAACCCCCGCCCACCTACGACTCAGTAAAATCGCAAAAACCGCAAACAAATGTTACGCAACAAGGCGCACGCGTCAATGCCACCTTTGTGACCCTGGCGCGCAATTCCGACCTGTGGGACATGGTCAAGTCCATCCGCACTATTGAAGATCGTTTCAACCGCAACTACAACTATGACTGGGTCTTCCTGAACGACCACGAGTTCGACGAGGAGTTCAAGAAATTGACTACTGCGCTGGTGTCAGGCAAGACTCATTATGGTGTCATCCCGGAGGAACACTGGTCGTACCCAGAGTGGATCGATAAGGACAAGGCCAAAGATGCGCGCGAAGAGATGGATCGCAAGAAGATCATCTACGGCGGTTCGGAGAGCTATCGTCATATGTGCCGTTATGAGTCTGGCTTCTTCTTCCGCCACCCGCTCATGATGAACTACGAGTACTACTGGCGCGTCGAGCCCAGCGTCGAGCTCTTCTGCGATATTGACTCCGATCCGTTCCGGTTCATGAAGGAGAACAACAAGAAGTACAGCTTTGTCCTCAGTCTGTACGAGTATGTTGCGACTATTCCTACCCTGTGGGATAGCGTGAAGAAATTCACCGGCAATCACCCCGAGTATGTCACCGAGGGAAATGCCATGGAGTTCATCAGCAATGACGGCGGAGAAACCTACAACAACTGCCACTTCGTAAGTTACCTATGGGATTTGATCAAGCCTCGACGCTAACTTTGCTGCTAGTGGTCAAACTTTGAGATTGGCAGTTTAGAGTGGCTGCGATCTGATGCCTACATTGACTATTTCACATCTTTGGACAAGGACGGCGGTTTCTTCTATGAGCGATGGGGTGACGCACCTGTTCACTCCATCGCTGCCTCCCTGATGTTGAAGAAAGAGGAAGTTCACTTCTGGGACGAGATCGCCTACTACCATGTCCCATTCACGCATTGTCCTACTGATGAACAGAAGCGGCTGGACTTGAGATGCTCTTGCCAACCGAAAGATAACTTCGACTGGAAGGATTATTCCTGTAAGTTTATGACGTGGGAATGCCCAGCGAGCCAACTAACTGTGATATAGGTACCAAGAAGTGGTTCGACATCAACAAAATGCAGAAGCCGAACGGATGGGATGTGAAGTACGACTGATTTTCCATGTCCTTCTAGCTGTAACGCCCGGAGCGTTTCCTTTCAGCGACAATGCGCGGGTCGGTTGTCCTCTGGATACAAAGCGCCGCGCGGGAGGACAGTGTCACCCATTTTGCGCGGCATCGACAGAACTACATAGTGTAGTGGGAGAACTGCGCCACCTTCAGAAGCGATGGATCAGGCGTCATGCGTTACGTTCACCGCCAATCCTCCTTAAGAGGCGCACACCCACACAGAACAACACATCTCTTGTCTTATGAACAGTCTTTCAATATGATTCCCATCAGTTCCCAGTAGGTGTCAGGACGTCCCTGCTACTGTCTCCTGAGCTGCAGTCCTCCCATCGTCCTGTCTGCGAGTCAGACCACGTTCGCGCTCTTCCCACTTCAATAGGTTTCTCTACGTACACAGTAAGATATGTCGAAGATATCTGTGTTAGTTCACGCTTGGTCCTATACTAAGATAACACTCCTATATAATTCTGTTTATTCTGTGACGTAATTTCTAATAGCTCTAACTAGGTGGACAGAAAGGGTTAGGGTTGAACGTTATGTACCGCCGACTCGTTTCCTTTTACTCTTTCATGTCATTCCATTCGAGCCAGTATTGACTTTCGCAGGCCCAGTACTTTTGTGCCCTCTTTCTAGCCTCTTGTAATGTCGGAGTCGGATGAGATTCTCAGCCCTGCTGTTTCATCAACTGGATTCCCTACCTTTGCCGAGGCCAAATTATCCCTCGATGCCGCGCTTGCAAGCTACCAGTCAGATCCCGAAGATCATACTGACGACACAAAAAGGTTCCTTGAGATCTGTTTTACCTACTTCCCCCTCGAGGGGCAGGTGAATCTATCTGATGATGTGCGCGGCTGCAACGACAACGACGAATTCCGGCAGCTTGCCAACAGCATCGATACAGACCTGTTGCGGCCGTTGCTATCCAAGGGCGGCAAGACCCCGCCATCACCCCATCTCCCCGGTACCCTCGCCTCATTTTTGAAGATTCGGTCGAAGACCTCGACACAGCGACTCGAAACAAGCAAGTACGCCTTCACCGGAACTGTTTGAAAAGAGACGGCTACCAATGCACCATCACCAAGCATTGGAGCTCTGAACACAATTTCCCTCGCGACCAACCAAGAGGAATCTTACACGGTGTCCACATTATCCTTTTTGCTCTTGGGAGCTTTGACACTGATGATGAACAGCGCCGAATCTCTGAGATATGGACACAGATTTTCCGCTACTTTCCGAGTCTCCTGTCTACATTTGATATGCCATCCGAAGCTGTGAATCGCGAGGATAATATTATGATGATGCTCAATGCCTTCCATGGCGGGTTCGGTCGCTTCCACTTTGTTCTTGAGGCCACTTCGACCCCTCATCAATACCGCATCAAAACTTTCCCGCGCCTCTCAACTCTCTGCGAACTTGCATTGCCAAGGGACAGGCTGGTATCATTTACAAATCAACACTCGCGCATTGATCTCCCTGGAGCCGCTCATTTGGAGTTCCATGCAGCAATTGGAAACATCTTGCATGCAAGTGGGAGGGGAGAAACGATTGAAAAGCTCATAAGGAATCTAGGGGAGACAGCCGGTTCAGTATTATCGCAAGATGGCAGCACGAACATCAGCAATCTGCTCCCAGTCAGTCGCCTTTCACTGCTAGTCTCAAGTTCACGACAGACAGCAAGGTGAAGCAGCAACCGGCTTAGACTGCCAAGAACAGGGAATGGGAAACCAAGAGTGAACTAATATTTCCAGTGAGTGAAGACAATTACATTATCACCTAATACTGTTTTGTGTGATCGACCACACTTGTTCGTCAAATACGATGTACCGACAAGTTCCAACACCGTATCAATTATCTCACCTAGGCCCTTGTCGTTGACAAACTCGTGAACGGATTGACCAGCTGGAACAATGTCAAACCCCCCAGTACCTCAAAATTGCGCAGGTGGAATTATCAAATGTCCTGGGAGAGGTGGCAAGCAAAACCGCATTGAAGATGCTTCGACTCCATTTGACAATCCCGGCGTATGCATCAGGATAAGTCCAGGAATATCATTTGCGAAAGGGTTGTATGTCTGTTTTCAGGATGACATTTAGCACGAATGGACCAAGAAGACATTGAGGACCATCTGAAAGAACGCCCAGGGAACTTCAGCTCCAGATGGAACCCTGCGCGCGTCCAATCACGGAACATCCAACCAGCCACTAGAGTGGACGAGCTACGACTTTGAGCCCATTAGATCATCCAACCGTGCCAACTGCTGAGGTGAAACCACCCATCGAATCCGTCAACCAAGATGGAATGGAAGCAAACCCACAATGTTACACTTAGTTCTAGGTTTTGTGCTGAGTGTCCCGTCAAGACAGTCAGACAGTCCTTCCCAGCAAAGGATACTCCTGGATATATACTGATCCATACGCCATGACATATTTGTTTCATTGCATACATCTGGAGTCAAATGCCCTTCCCGGCAACACTTCTATAATTTAGAGAGGTTCATGAACATGGAAATACTGGGAAAGACGAGCCTCGAAAGATAAACATGATAATAAACAGTCGCAATCAGTAGTGTTACATGCATATACGAACAGAAAGAGTGGCCCATGCGAAGAGCAACTCGAATCCCAAAACAATAGCCCGATGAAACGATCTCTAGAGAATAGCAGATCCAAGCCCAAAAAATGTACAATCACACAAACAGGTCAACCAAAACCAACCTGTCCATCCAATCCACCTTAGTTAGTCTTCGGCTTCTTCGTGCCATACTTCGAGCGACTCGTCATACGACTTCCAACACCACCCTAAAGCCAAAGTCAGTCCCAGCCTCAAAAGACATACCCAGTAAACAGGTATATAACATAAACAAAAAGGAAAACATACCAAATCCATCGCACCACGAACAAGCGTATACTTCACACCTGGACAATCCTGAGCACGTCCACCGCGAACCTGAACAACACTATGTTGCTGGATATTGTGGCCTGCAAGAACCCAATTAGCCAAACCATCACTGATTCCCATTGAGAAACCCCAGGCACTGAAAACAACCCCCAATGCCAAAAATCAAATCCAATGCAAAAACTCACCTTCACCAGGAATATAAGCAGTAATAACCTTCCCCGAACTCAACCTTACTCTGGCAACCTTCCTCTCGCCCGAATTCGGCTTCTTAGGCTTCGTAATACCAGTCTTAAGACAAACACCCTTCAGACCCGGCGTATTCTTCAGTGCCGGAGACCCACCCCTCCGAGCCTTCTGTCCAGTCCGGATCCCGCGACGGACCTGGTTGTACGTTGCGCGGATGATCGGTGAGCTGGAGAACTGGCGCGTGGCCGTAGACTTTGCAAAGCCTGAGGAGAAGCCGGTAGCGGCTGTGCGGAAGACGGGGCGGAAGTTGAAGCGCGAGGTGATGGGCGCTGCTGTGATGGTTTTGGTTGCGAGGGTTCGGCGGAGGGGGGTTGAGAGTGCTGGACGGCTAACAAGGGTCCGGAGGGCCCGTAGGGCGATTGGGGAGAGTAACTGGGACATTTTTGTTTTGTGTTGTGGTTGGAGTCGGGGATTGTCCTTTTTTTTTTGGCTTGTAGGTCGAGAATTGGGGAATCCGGACTTCTTGGATTGGTTTGTCCGGCACGTGATGTTATCGACGCCGAATTGCGGGTTTGGGTTCTTTGCGGTTCCGGAGGAGCTGGACGCGAGCACCTTTACTCTGCCTGGGACATCGGCGGTGTCATTTCCCATCCTCAGCCTTCCCTTTTTCCAACGCTTCTTGCCTTTCTTTCTTCCTTATTATCTCGAGCTTCGAACGAACATTTCCTCTGTGCAATCCGTTTCGAGTCGAACGCAAAGAATCCACCCTCATTCCGTCATCATGGTACGTTATCAAGCTAGACCCTTCATATCACATAAGACATCTACTGGAAACCCATTTCAGCTAGAGAGAAACAAAACCACCCATCTATTCCCGTCCCTACTCCAAAAACCAAAAAAAAAAACAAAACTAACAAAAAACCCAGTCCCTCCGCTTCATCCCCCAAAGCGGCAACGCAACCCAAACCACCAACCTCACAACCCGCCAACAAGGCCCCCCCTCAAAGGGCGCCCCCTCAGCCCCCGGCCTACCCGATACGCTCCGCAACAAGCTCACTTTGCCCGCCAGCGCAACCGCCTCGTCGACAAACATCGGCAGCGATGTCCCGTCATCGACACACCCGCTCGAAGCCCGCCTGATGTCGTGGCGCGCGACGCAGGAATCGATGAAGATGGAGGGTTTGCGTCGGGCGTATGGGATTGCGGAGCCGGTGCGTCGTGGTATGGAGCTGAAGATTGTGCGGGATGGAACTTTCAGACCGGCTGTGCTGGGTGGTGTGCGCGGTGGGAATGTTCATGAGGATATTCTTTGTATTGGGGGGAGGGATACGGAGGTTCAGTGGGAGGATATTTATCATGGTATGTACATGTTCTGGACTTCCTTCTCCTCTTCGAGCTGGATTCAGGGGGAAATGGGAATGTGTTTGAGATTTTGGCTAACTGGTATTTGTTTTGCAGGTGATGATCTTCGTGAGCCGCCTTCTTTCCATGATGAGATGGAGAAGAGGCTCAAGATGGATTTCTGAATCCGATGGATGATGTGTTTTTGTGTTTCGTTGCTCTCCTGCTATTCTACTTATGTCCCTCATACTCCTATCTCATGTCGTCGATAGAGTGTAGATGAATGGGTTTGATGCATTGCGGGATGTCTGTCTATCTGTCTATCGTTGGGATGGATAGTACAGTATCCTTCCATATATTGAATCAATCCATATTTCTACCAACTACTTTGACAGAAGAATTCCCCATAATGTCGTACGTCTGTCTGTATTGTGACGACTGAACAGCTATCTACCCAACACCTAGGTACGACTTAGTATGCTACAAATACCAAGACTGGAACATGTATGCACTATGGAAGTTATTCAATATGTGACAAGGAAAGAGGCCAACTCCTCAAACGCCCTGTACACTACGACTGACCCCAAGCGGGGATGGAAATGTAAAGGAAGGACTCAAACAAGAGACAATGAAAAAAAGGTGCCAGATCGTAAGTACACGAATCCTGGGGATAATGAGAAATTGCTGAATCAGAAAGGAAAGTCGGATTGGAAGGGGGTATATTTCGAAAATCGGGAAGTCGGAAGGGCAGCAAGAGGAATGAATAATGGTGACAGCAATGCCAGGAAAGCAAGGAATAGATATGGATCTCCGTTCGAACCATTGAGAAGAGCCCCGTAGACAAGACACGAAGCGTTCATGGATTATCCATGAAAACAGGGATCGTGACTCGTATTGTGGGGTAGAGAGGGAAAGGAAAGGCCAAAGGCAGAGAGACTCGGGGGAGGAGACATGACACGTCGAGTTATCATGATTCCAGGATGGATGTTCACTCAGAAAGAAAAGTCCAAACGCCGACTCCGGGGCACATGTTCAAACGACAACAGGGAGCCAAGCTCGCCAAGCTCGATCGGGGACATAAATGTTGATCCTGCGTCCAGGCAGGATTAGACGAATCGCTGCAATGACATAGGCATATGGATGAGGGATGTGTAGGCGGGAGAAACAGAAGCAATAAACAGGAAGACAACATGCGTGGAGCAGGTTCCCACTCTTGAAAAGGGCGCATTGCGCAGCAAGACTATAGGATGACGCAGCGACATCCAGGACTGCGCTCACTGGCCTCATTCTCTCGGCTATATTGTGCCTTGGCTCCCTTCGCATCTTCCTCGTCGACGACTTCTTGGGGTTTGACGGTCATGTGCACGACATTCGGGTGTTCCTTGCTGAACTTGGAATCTGCTCGATCCGTTAGCACAGGCCTTTATACCTAGTTCTTGCCGCAACAATAACGTACCAGAAACAGGCGATTTATCATCCAACAACTTCCCGAACGAGATAAGACGGATAGAACTCGGTGACGAAGGACGAGGTTCCCAATCTGCCTCGAGTTAGCAACGCCATTCTTATATTCCCCAGCGAATCACATCCACTCCATTACGGATGTTGAAAGACAAGCCTTACCAGATCGCCATTCGCGCCAGATCAACTCCTTAAGCGTATAGACGCTCATCAAGAACGGATCAGAGTTCTCTACATTAACCGATCGCTTCCTGAGGTATTTCCCATCGATGGTAAACGGATGCCGCGACCCTGTCGTCAACAGCAACGTAATCATCAATGACGGACCGACATCCTCCTCGACTTCCTTCCCCGAGCCGTCATCGGAGCGCTCGACCGACGTATCGGGCGCAGTCTTGGGCTCGTCTGTATCCATTGGGGCCGGTGTATTGCTTTGGGCCAGCGCGACTGATGCGTTGTCGGTGGCAGGCGGAGGAGTGGAGGTCGTTGTCGGTATCACGGGGGCGGGATCGGTTTCGCCACCGAGGCCAGTTGCGGGGTGGATCTGGGTCTGGGTCGCGGCAGTCCGGTCCAGCGGCTCGATGGATGGGATGGATGTATCGGCGATAGGGTCTGGCTTGGCTGGAAGCTCTGCTGTTGGCGCTGAGGTCTGTTGTTCCTGCGGGGATGTGCTGGTCGGGGGTTGGGGATCGATATCTTTGGCGTTTGCCCCGGACTCCGGTTTGTCTGTTGAGGACATGATGTTGGGATGTCCCCCGGTTTGCAGTTGGCAAAATTGACTGCGCTTTTTCTTCTTCCCCGGTTGCAAAAAGGGGCGCTATTCGACGGTGGTTTTGGAGAATGGATTGAGGTAGCTGGAATGGGGTGGAGAAGGTCAAAGGAGAGGACCGATCGCTTCTTATGAGGAGTCGATCTCAGCGGGAGGCGCAATAATGCCTCAACAAGTGAATGAAATCTGCTGTACAATGGACGATTACTCCAGGTTGGTATATCGAGGTTGAAGGTTGAAGAGGAAGGAAAGGTGAAAGGCAATAGGGGATCGGCAGGCGTGGTGAGAAGCCAATTAACCCTGCTTGAAACTGCGCAATTCTTCCAAATCTTTCCCCTATTTTTTAGACAAAAAAAAAAGAAAAACAAACCGGGCTAAGTTAGTTAATTAACCAGAAACTAACTATCAATTGGCGACTTGGGGAACTATTCCTAAGCGAAGAAAAGATCAAGCTTGTATGCTACTTACTGTGGGTACATCTCTGGATAGTTGCATGAAGAGACAGGTCACTTTCTCCACATGTGTAGCTCTGTACTACAACCAGATCTCATGACAAGATAGAGAGGAAATTTCTCCATGTGGAAGCTGGTGGATTAATTCTATATAAATATTCATCTTTCATAAGGTACCATGGAGCCGAAAGACTCGAGTACTGGGCCATAATTCATTACCTCGCTCAATCCAGTGGTTTGAAACTGCAAACAAGCATGTCACACACACGAGAGGGCCGTTCTGACATCGGCGTGAGAACGGGTAACCCTCCAGGCATGAGACTCGTGCATATGCAGGGGAGGAGTCTGAAGGTGGAATGGGTGTATGCAGATAGGGTATTGATATAGCGCATGGGATAGGAAAAAGATGGAATGAATCCATCCGAAGTCGCCGATGTCTCAGACGTGATTCGCGCAATTAATTCTCCTACAAGCCTGTGTATATTGCTGGAGGGCCCAGCCCAGGATTCAATAAGGGAGGAGGCTGGTAGCCGACACACGTTGTTGACAAGTCATGGCCATGGGAAGGGGTTGAGCGTGTTTTAACCCCACAAGAGCAGATCAACTTAAACCCAGCCGGCATACTGCTCCAGCATTTCGTTCTTTGCGCCTTCAGATCCGTGCCGCACACCTAACAGTCGCACATTGCCGATCTTGCCTCCAAAGTCGTCCTCCACGGAGCTCGTGTAATTCGCAAGGTGCTCTCTCAGGCGCGCAATTACAGCCTCATCATCGCGAATGAGGAGCGCGATGGCATCGTATCCTCCAGCCCCGGGGACAACTCCGCCAATAACACCCTCGATCTCTGAGACACTGTCTAAGAGCTCGGTCTGGACACTCGGTTCGATGGGGACACCCGTCAAGCGGGTCAGCGTGCGAATAAACTGACGCGTCCGCAGAATCAGAGCGCGAATATCAGAGAAGTCACGATCGGGATTAGCACCAGGATGTTGAGCCTGGCGCTTGAGCTCCTGACGCAGTCGCTCGTTGTTGTTCTGGAGGTTAGCCCAAAGAGTATCCGCTTCCTGGCGGTTGTTCTTTCGCCACTCAAGGACCTTCTTGACCATCGACGGTGTCTGGGAGCCACAGTCCACATCGCACAGCACCAGCTGCATACCACGGGGCAGCTGCATGCCGAAGTCGACGCACTCGGTGTCCCATGGGTGCTTGGGGTCGGAGTCCTCCACAATGGGGAACAAGCGCTCCTCGAAACCAGCCGAGCCTACATCGCCAAGGGACTCCAGAATTGAAGGCGAGAAGCGTCGGTAGAGACAGGAACCATAGACTGCGCTCGCAACGTCGAATCCAGATCCGACCTTGCCCTGTGCTGCGCAGTGGGCTGCCTGAGCGAGATTGTGGAGTTTGTCGCGTCCAGCACCCAGATCCTCGGGCTGCATGGTGCGGTGAATGACCAAAGCGGACACGAGGGCAGTGACCAGCGCAGCCGAAGAGCCCAATCCCGTCTTATGGGCTTCAAAGAGAGGAACTCCGAAATTCACAAAGCGCCCACTCCGTCCGTACGTTGCCGGGCCCTTAGAAGTAGCCGTTTCGGAGTAGTAGTCACTATCAGCCATGATGGTAACGGACAAGGAGCCAAAGTCCTTGGAGTCGGCCACATAGCTGATGTAGGTCAATGCATAGCTAAGGGAGGTCTCGACAAACGGGTTGCGCGGGCTAAATAAGGGAGAATATTAGTCAGTCATGGGTTTTCGCGCCAAGGGTAGATACAGCAAAGCATACCCATCGCCTTTCTGGATAACCTTGACACCACCACCTTCCCCGCAGCGCTCCACACCATATTCCCAGATCGCATCGACAAATTGGGGGGATCGCACAACAATTGTATCCTCCGCATTCTTGGCCTCAGCGCCGGACCCAGACGATGCCTCGCCAACCGGTCCAGACACCGACGTCCCGCGGCGGTGACCCCTCCTCAGTTGTTGGACGATAACATGGATGCGGGCATCGAGCGCAAATACGGTACCCGTGTAGCTGCGATCGAGCACCAGATAACCACCGGTTAGGAGGACCTTGCCCGGCGCGGACAGTGCCGTGACGGAAGTTGGTAAAGGAGACATGGAGGGTATGGGTGTATTGGAGATCGAATGTTTGTGGGGAAGAAAAAGGGCCGGGCACAACGGGGGGGGGGGGGGGGGGGGGAGGTTGGAGATTGTCGAGAGTTTCCCCTGGGTCACGGGGGGGAAGGGGCGGGTCAATAGCGCAAAGCGAAGCAGATAACCTTGGAAATTGGAACCTTCTTGAATGTGTTGGCTTATGCCATGCAGATGCAGCTCAAAACAGACAAACAGACAATCTTCCTAATTATCCGCGGGGTGTATGGAATTATCCTAATGGGGACTAGTGTGGACTTCATGTCGCACAGCATAAAACTAACCTGGTCTCCTTGGGTAACTACAGTACGTGTATGACAGTATGAGGCTTTGATATTTCGAGGCATATGTATATTATCATGAAGTATAGAAGTATTTGTAAATGCAAATGCCATGAAACGCCATCGCGCCACACAAACTCCTCTAGAAAGGAAAAACAAACACCCGATGATATGTCCAAACCCCCTTCCAATATCCAAAATCTTTTTTCTCTTGACTGCGAATGTTCAGGGAACGTAATGTGTTGATATGTGTTGATATGTGAAGATTCCAGTGGAATGACCCGAGAGAGAGGCGACAATGGCGGGGTTGAGGTCACAAAGGGCTTGTGACACATCCTCACATAAGGTTCGACTCAACCACCACAAAACATGAAGGCACCCGCTCCATTGTCGAAACAGACAACTTCACATCTCGAGTGAAGCTGGTCAGAAACCTTGCTCCATCAAGCCTAAGCCATCGGTTTCTGCGCAATGATGCTATAACTTGTCGTGGCCAGACGCATGCGATCCATCTTGACAAAAGCCTGACCATCAAGACACAGACGATTAATCAAAGTCTTGAAGTGACGCGGCAGCACATGCACCTTGACCAGAGCAAGGATAGCCTGTCGCAGGGTCCGGAAATATACATCGACGGTATCGATAAGCGGAGCCTGAAGACCATCGATACTAGCATTTTGCGACCGCACAACCTCAAACCCAGCCTCCCTAAGTGCCGCCTCGAGACTCTCCGGCGTGGGTGTACCGACGGCGCCAATGAGCGGCTTCACGCGACGCATGAGCTCCGCGTGCTCCGGATTACTAGGTTCATAAGCAGGCAAGCTGACCCAATCGAGCAGGGAGATCATCGAGCCAGGCTTGAGAATGCGGAAGATCTCACGGAACAGCGTCGGCAAGTCCTTGCACAAACTCAAAGCCTGAATCTGATAGAAGGCGTCGAAGCTTTCGTCGGCGAATGGCAGCGGGAGCTCATTAAAGTCCTGCGTGATGAAGGTATTGTTGAGTCCGCGCTCGGCATTGAACGTCGTCGCTTGCTCCACCTGGTTCGGGTCGATGTTGAGGCCCGTTACTTGCGCGCCAGTGTATTGCGCCATGTGGGCAGCGACGCGTCCGCGCCCACAGCCCAGATCCAGCACCTTTTTCCCCTTTGTGAGTCCGATGTCGTGTGCAATTGAGCGCTCGTACAGGAGCTGGTTGTCCAGGACGCTGGTCTTGGGTCGCATCCAGGGCGGGATGTACATTTTCTCGACGTCGCCGAGCGCGCAGAGGTGGTTCAGGACTCCGTAATAGGATTTCAGACATGCGCCGACTTTTTCTTGATAATTGGGACCCAGCTCCTCTGTCATTTTTTTCTCGTCGGACCAATCTAGGTTATAGATAACGTATGAGGCCATGAAATCGTCGACCTCTTTCGGTGTCAGGTGCGCCAGGTGTCGGAATGAGGTCCAGAAGGTCTTCCATCGTTTCGGGGATGCTGAGTTGTCGAGGTCCTTGCCATGATGACCGAGTGTGGCTACCAGCGCATTGTGTTTCTCTTGCGCGATCTCGTCGAGCGAGCTATCGCTCTCTGAGCCTCGGTCGCTGCGTTCGGGATGGCGTGCTGTTTCGACCAGTGTGTGTGCCACCATGATGTAAAAGCTTTGTACAAGCTACTATTACACAGTAATATACAAATGGGTATATTAGGTGTCGGTGGAGGCTGGAGGGTGGGTATGTTTTGACCAGCAGTCTGGGGGGCTCCAGCGCAATTTATAAGCACTGCGCTGCGAGCGAAGACAATCCTTTTCTCCACGGCCCGAGACGAGAAATCATTCGTCAAGGAAGATGTATGGTTAGTAACCACAGAGTGGATTTTCTCACCAGACATGGAAGCTCGTACCGGCTATCCCGGCAGTGGCTCGAATCAGACGGCAAGGACCCAAAGAATGGGGCTCTTTCCTTCGGATAACCAAGAATCATACATCCTTGCTAACTGCTTCTGCTTCACTTTTGCCATTACTTTATGGAAGGCCTCCGCGCTATCCCCGGGTTCCGAACGCTAGCTCCGCCGGCAGATTAGGGAGGCCGTTATATGCGAGACCAATATGCCAGGCACGGATGACGTGGGTAGGGTCCCTAAGGAAATGACCATCGTCATGAGAACGACGATCTAGGCCCACTCTTATAGTTTGGATACTGTACATCGTACATTGTATTCTATATCAGTTTGTAGTACATAACAAGCAGCGAACCACCATCATTGCGCATGTCGATCATCCCACATGGCCCCATGGGATTACACATACGCAGTCTACTGTACACAGTACTTCTGCAGACACGGCCCATTCCTCACTGGACTTCTTCTTAACCGCCAATAGATCTTACCGGACATTTCCTCCGGCTCTTGCCGCACAACATTTTTCAGCATTAAGCATTAAGCGTAAAGTAGACGTGACGTCAACCAATGCCCCATTCATAAGGCTGTAAGCCAAAAAGCAAAGCGAATACGCGACTTCGAGGAGTATTTCCAATTTGGTCGAATCTCGATTCATGATTTCTAAGCCGAATAAGCTGACAAAGTTGAACCTTGGAAAAATCGATGCCCATCCCGTGCACGAGACAAGCCTCAGAGGTTATGACGGAACTTGATAGCTTTCGGGACCCACTTCGATCGTCCCGTGCGAAAACTCAGATTCTCCACACAGACCCTGTTCCGTATTGCCGGGTCACGTGGAGGCCAGATTGAGTATTATGCTCCTATCTCCGTAGACCTTTGCGGCGAGAGGATGTTGACGGTGAGGTCGTTGCACATCCAGCGTCTCAGGGGAAATACATAGCAACATCGCTGGCAGTGACACCGGTATGTCATGGAGCATACATAAAACCGGCTATTCAATCGGTCCATGGGCTAGCGACCATGTCGAACTAAATGTACAGGTCCTTGGCATCGCAGACTTCGGAATAAGACCCATCAGCATCTTCAAGTGCTACCTAGCTTTTCTACATTTGAAGTGGGATTAGAGCTTTTAATGATTCTATTGGTTTTCTATTACAACTTGTTTCGATACATGATCCATCAGTAGATGTTGAGATGGAGACCAGAAAGGAAGCGAAGAGAGTTGGATTTCTATCCTACGAACTGAGAGACTAAATAGCAAACCAGGTGGGCGTTCTGCCGCTCCACACCGACTCCAGCACAAAGCAGGAGTCCAAACACTTGTCCAGTTCGTCCTCCTCCACAAAGAGCACAACTGATTAAGCGTTGCAGCACAATTGCCAGAGAGACGGGAATGCTAGGCATTCTGTTACGTGTTCAGGATTGCCGATTGCGGAAAACGAGACAGTAGGATGGAGAGAAATCAATTGAGCCCGCTAGCCTTGTTGACTCTCCCCTCCTTTTGTAGTTCTGTCATATGTGCCTCTTTCACGCCATATACGATTCCTGCTCTGGTGCTCGGGGACTCGGCTCTCCGCATTATGCGAAATAGCGAAATTTCTTTTCAAATTCCACTCTGATCCGGGTTGGTGCCGCGTTTAACTATGTTTGCTCCGAGGCTAGTCTCCATCGACTGCAGCAATGGCGTATGTGAAGCAGTGGCGGTCAAATCCGCAGGACCACAGGTGCATTGGGCAACACCGCCGCACTAAAGTCCGCTTTACCCCGAACATCCCTGCAACCGAACATCTATCCAAGTTTAAATAACTAGATAACGTGTAACTACTCCGTAACTACATAAAGTTGACTAGTCAAGAGTCCTATCAAGATGAGGGATTTATTTTCACTGTTGTGAGCCCAGGGGTGAGTGATTGAAGTTCCGGTGTACAATTTCATACTAATAATCTTCCCAAGTGGCTTCCAACCGATATGGGCGGTGCCGATCTCACAGTTGAAGAAGGGGTTAATGCGGTTCTGAATGTCATACTATCAGCTAATGAAGAGTCTAATGGCTCTTTCAGAAATGTGGATGTTCCTGGATGGGAGATTTACAACGGCGGAGAGATTTCTTGGTAGAGTTGTGATAGAAGGTCACTTCCCAATGTGATGGTGCCTAATTTAGTCTTTCCTACCTTATAAATTATACTGTTCAAGGCTTGGTCCATTCAGACCTTCAGTCCTGAGTTGTGTCTTGATTTCGAACATTTGAACCGTACAAGCTGTCATATCATAAGAGGTTACCATGTTCCATAGACCAAGTAAAATCCATTCACTTTTGCGCGCAAGCCTCAGCGCGGGCCTGAATCGACTTGCTAATAGCAGGGCGTTCCTGCACACGCTTCAACCAGCCAGTGAGATTGGGGTAGTTCTTCTCAAGATCGAGGTCAAACTGCGCAGCAAGAACATACCACGGAACGAAAGCAGCATCGATATACGAGTACCTACCAGCGACAAGATACTGCTTACCCTCGAGGGCACGATCGAGCACACCCGAGACACGGCGGACCTCGTTGAAGTACCGGTCAATGGCACTCTGAAGCTTCTCGGAGTGTAGACGGCTGAACCAGACCGCCTGGCCGAAGTAAGGGCCCTGACCGGACATCTGGAAATGCAGCCACTGCTTGGCAAGGAAGTAGTCCTTAGAGCCGGGGGCGAAGCTGATCGAGTTTTGCTTGTCATATGTCTCGATCAGGTATTCGACGATTGCGCCGGATTCCCAGAGGGCGAAGTCTGTGTTGGGATCTTCGATGGCGGGGACACGGCCGTTAATGTTAATGGACTCGAATGCCTCTTTCTTCATGTCGGGGAAGTCGACGATCTTGTGGGTGTAGGGGATGTTCAGCTCTTCCAAGACCATGATGACCTTCCAGGGGTTAGGGCCGGGGCCGTGGCCGTAGACGGTGATGGGCTTGAGAGACATTGTGAGGGTTCCGGTGAGGTGAATGTTTGGGATAGGGGGTTGAGAGACCGGAAGGTATAGTTTGACTGTGCAAGGCGTGGGCGAAGGACACTTTGTATAGCCGATCGAGAATTGGAGCTCTTATACCTAAATCGAGCTTTGAACCCCTCGGAACCCCGCAATTGTCTGATCAGGATCATCAGTCATCCTCCAAGTGGATATTCAAGTTGCTGACACATGTAGGCATAGCAAGTAGACGAAGTACCATGGAATGAGTATTGACGTCTTTTGCCACGCGTCGGACTTTCGGTCAAACTTTCATAATTGACTGAAACGTTGGGTGAGAACAGTAGGAAACAGCACTACCAACTGTAAGTTGATCATCATAGAAGCCTAGTCACCTATGTCAAACAGATGGCTTTTTGGATGCCAGTACCTTGGTAAGGCTATTCCAGAAACAGTACGTTAAGTAATATATGTGGAAGAGCAGCAAGGGCTGGAGAAGAACAACGTAGACTATATCGTTGAAAACCGAGTACTGAATTCTCCTTTGTATAAAATCATTTTCTGTCCTAGCCTCTTGGATTAGATATTCCGACTGCCGGACTGCTACTGACTTGAATGAGGTCTCTAAGCCCGGTCGAGATCCCCGTTCCTAGGGATGATACCCTTATAGAATGTTTACGCAGCCAGATTAATCGGGCCCACGCCCTTTCAGATGGGGGCAAGGGAGCGAAATGCGAAATGAAATGACCAAGGGTGTGATCTCCTACAACAAACAGGTTTGAGAAAAGATTTGTCGTATACTGTGAGGTACAACCAAGGGAAGTAGGGCAAAGCGATAGACATCCATAGCAGAGAAAATATCTTCGAATGCCGAAATCTCACGCCGAGCTCGGTTGTCGGTCTGCGGGAGAATGTACTAATCTGCTAGCGATGATGATTCGGGAGCTCCGCACCGGCACCCCGCACCCGGCACCCGGCACCCCGCATCTCACATCCCGCATCCCACATCCCGCATCCCGCATACAAGTAGTAGTAGAACTGCAGTACCAAGCAAATTTTGGTACTGTTTCCCGGTACTGTTTCACGGTACTGTAGTACCTTTTACTCATGTATTAGCTTCAGTGATCTTTCTAGCCACCTTACTTATGATATTTCTATTGAAGCAATACATTGAAATAGCATTAATCGCTCTAGTGATATTACGCATTCTAACTACGTTTTTATTATAAACGACATACTGAAAAATACAGGGCATTTCTACATAACCTATGCACGTCACAAGTGTAGTCGTATTTGCACGCTGTTTACAGTACTGCAGTACTACCGTCGCAGTACCACAGCACCGAACTAGGTCCTTTGGTACTGCCAACCCACACTTTGGTAAATGAGTGACTGGGCCCGCTTTTTGTAAGTTGATTGGTGATCAAACTACCAAAATAGGAAGTGTATGATCGGGACTCTCTAGATTCAAGCTTCAGGATTATCTAGTGACTTAAGTCGCCCCCAATATGCCAATATACAGCCCACAATAGGGTAGGGAAAATGGCCTGTTATAGTTCATCCAGAGCCATTCCCCGCACTAAAGGGTGATGGACCAAGTAATTCTTATAAATGCGTGCTCACTGCATCGAAAACCTCGCTATTCCCCGAACTAGCTGTTGTATCCTTCGATTTGATAAACCTCCAGTTTTAGACTCAGGAGCTGCCCAACATGACCGACGCGACCGCATTCCTATTGGACTTTACGGTCAGTCCCCCCTGCAAGCTCTTGACCATTTGACTTGGCAACTAATACACTGCAAACAAGACGTTTTTTTAATATCATCGACAATCAATTAGTTCAGACATCGGAAACACGGCATGGGATCAACCCCGCTAACACAAAGCCCAACCCGCCGGTGCCTATCTCGACTCAAGATGATCTCGTCAAGGCAGTCAATGCGGCCCGGGTTGCTTTCAATGGCTGGTCCAAAACCACTTGGGATGTGCGACGTAAAGCCCTGCTTGCATGGGCCGATGCTGTCGATGCGAATGCCGACGGATTTGCGAAGACCCTTACCATGGAGCAAGGAAAGCCTCTGAGTCAGTCAAGTATGGAACTTGGAAAGGCAACCGAATGGATCCGCGGCCTGAGTTCGATCGAGATCACCGACAATGTTCTAGAGGAAACGAAGGACCGGAAAATTATTCAGCGCTATACGCCCCTCGGCGTGGTCGGCGCAATTGTGCCTTGGAACTATCCGGTTCTTCTGGCAGTTGTCAAAATTGTCTCTGCCGTATATACAGGAAATTCTGTCATTGTGAAACCATCTCCGTTTACCCCATACTGCGACTTGAAGTTGGTTGAGCTGGCCACTCGCTTCTTCCCTCCTGGGGTTGTGCAGTGTCTAAGCGGTGACGACTCCCTGGGTCCCATGATTACTGAGCATCCTGGGATTGATAAAATCAGTTTTACTGGATCCACTGCTACCGGAAAGTTGGTTATGGCTTCATGCGCTAAAACCTTGAAGAGGGTTACACTGGAACTGGGCGGCAATGACCCGGCGATTGTCTGTGAAGATGTTGATATTGATGCCATCATTCCCCAGATTGGCATTCTGTCCTATCTCTGCAGCTCCCAGACTTGCATGATGATCAAGCGACTCTATGTCCATGAGAAGATCTATGATGATTTCTTGAAAAAGCTTGTCGCCTTTGTCAAGACACTTAAAGTTGGCGAAGGCACCGAGCCAGATGTCTTCTTCGGGCCTATTCAGAACCAAATGCAGTTCGAGAAAGCCAAAGAACTTCTCAGCACCATTTCTACCGAGAAACTGAAAGCAGCACTTGGGGGCTCTGTCGAGCCCTCGTCCGGATATTTCATCCACCCAACCATCATTGACAACCCGCCAGAGTCGTCCCGCGTAGTGCGGGAGGAGCCTTTTGCGCCCATCCTGCCAGTCATGAAATGGTCCAACGAAGACGACGTCATCAAGTGTGCAAATGGCCTGGAGACAGGATTGAGTTCTTCTGTCTGGAGTAAAGACCTCGAACGCGCTACCCGGATTGCCGATCAAATGCAATCCGGTAGTGTATGGGTGAATAGTCATTTTGACCTTTTGCCTACTGCATCTTTTGGTGGCCACAAGCAAAGTGGCATTGGAGTGGAAGGTGGTCTTGGTGGTCTTCTTGAGTACTGCAACTCACAGACCCAGTGGTTGAAGATTAAAGACGATACCGGGCATGAGATGGAGTGAGAGTGTCGGCTGCACAGGGTGTTCGCTTGGTTGTCCAGTATTGCGCTGTCTGTTGGCATCACGGTCTGTGGGGTGCCAGGAAGTGATCCTTTCTCGACAAAGTCAAAGTCTCTCGTTGATCATAGTATAATGGGTATTTTCTGAGACCAACAAGACGGGGACGCACTGGTTGTTGTTTCCTTGCCCATTTCTCGTTTGGTGTATTCGGCTATCATACGATTGACTATTTAAACAAAGGCTATGCCACAGTCTGATACGTTGATTTCTCATTTATTACTGCGTAATGATTTCCTGCACATCATGAGTGAAATGAAAATCAATGCTTTTTTGTATGTCCTGTTGATTGTTGAGGATGTCGCTTGGTCTTCTCTAGCCTCTAACGGTTTATGGGTCTAAATCCGGTATATCCAAACTACATACTCCGTATGCTAATTAGCCCAACGGGGACTTGTGAGGAAGCTTATGCGCCCAGTTTTCGGCGTGCCCATCATAGTCCCCCGCTCATGTAGATCCGAGGATTGACAGACCTCGTACACGGCACGCACCTTGAGTTATGTCAAGCAAAAGCAAATCTAGAAACGGCGAAACAGTCTTTTGTCAGAGTGTTATTCTTGCTGCATCCGCTGTGGTCCGCGATTCTCGATATCAGACCCGTACTGTTTCGATCTTTCCTGCCATGTTACCTTGGGTCCATATTTACCAGGTCGTGCCGCTTCTGCCGATAGGTTGTCCTCCCTATAGCCAGTTTCAATTACTGGGCATCTGGGCTGATGTTGCAAGAAGACAATGCACCCGGCTCCAGATTTTTTATACTATTTTCACCAATGTCCTATGATTTAGCAATCGCTGCATCGCTGTGTAATTCCTCTACTGGCCCGCGGTCAGCAATGACACTCTATCTCGATATGAGCTAGCCTCATGAGCCATTTCCGATCGTGAGACCTTCGTCGTAGCATCTAGAACCGATATGCCGCTTTTATGAGCTATTGGCTTCCTCGCATACTCTATTTTCTGGATTGTTTCCGCATTGGCGGCATGTAATTCGCGGTCATCTTGGCGTGCGCTCGGAACGCTGTTCTTAGCCCTACGAGACATAGCTGGTCCAGAGGCAAGTCTTCGCTTCTCCACTCATGGAAGTTTCGTGCCTGCGTAAATGTCTTTTCTTTTCTGCTTCTTCAAATTAGTCATTGTATAGGGAGACAATTTTTGGGTCGTATAGGTTGACCGAAGAATTGAGCCTGCCTGCCCTTTTTTTATACCTCCTCTACGCCCAAAGCACCGTGTATGGTTACAACGCTACTTTAATCAGAGGCCAAGGCCGGCGCCTCCCTCCACGCATTACGAAGCCTAGCAGGGTCAAACTGTTGTGTTGAAGGCTACGGCATGTGACCGGCACGGAAGAACCACTCTTCCGTGCACTGGCCAAAACACCCTCTCTAGCCCCCTGACGGCTCCTAGTTGATTAATCCATCCAATGCACAAGATATATCCTGAATCCTACATCTGTAGAATCAACACAAACTAGGGTGCCTCACTGAGTGCAATGTGAAAGATCTACCAAGCAGTGATAATCCCCCAGATGCTCTTTGGGGTGTCCGTGTGGTACCACTACCAACCCATGCTCATCAGCAAGCCCAAGGCGCTCACAATCTGCAAGCTTTTTGCGACAATACAGAAGCAAGCAGCATGTCTGATCAACGGAGCCTTCAGAACGACGGCAGCAGAGGCGCTGAATACCGAACTTCACCTACCGCCATCTCTGTTCACATGAACCGATTGGTGAAAGAAACGGCCCTGCGACTTCGAACAGGACCAGTATTAGCTGTCCCACCACTGATGCTGTGATGCCGACCGGCCGAAGAAAGAGACTGGGCTGGATGGACACCAATGGAGGCGCAGCCCTGGAAGGCGGACGGATGCCTCACGGATCACCCGGGAACTTTTTAGGACTGCAGTGCCAGGTCCACTGTACTCCCTTGATCCAAGTGGGCACACGAGCGGCAGCCGACAAGGATGAGCGGCTGGAACAAAGGGGATATGGGGATGCTATGTGGTGAGATGTGCTTCTGGTCCCTACAGCCAGAAGTGGGGACGACGCTCATTTTGTTTTTGTATCATTTCTTTTGTTATAGTCTACATTTTTTCCATTCGAGGGCGACTGGCCGGAAATGCGCAAAGCGAGTTTCCAACAAGTCGTCCAGTGGGCTGGCACCCACACTTTCCAGCTGTCGGCAGGCCTGGCAGCAATCCCGCATAGCAGCTTATACTTAGAGCGAGCTACATCGGGCTCTCTCTATCTCTACAACGCTACTTTGACTTATCTCGAGCCATCTCTCCGGGGCTCAGAATATTTCTGCTAGCAATAGAATAAAAATGAGTAGGTACACGATATGAGTGGAGATAGGGATCTTGGCTACCACTAAAGACCTTTCTTGTCACAAACCCCGATCAAATAGGTAGAACGGATTTTCAGCGGGTTACCTATGGTTCTGGTCACTTGCATATATTCTGTCACTTGCGCGGACAAACTTTGACTAGCAGACCTTCTTGCTTCACGAACCACCTGATTCAATTGTTCATTAACATCACTTCATCACACATAGCTCCTTGCTTTAAAATACAGGTAATGACTTACCAGCAGGTCTCTTTCCACACAGCATCGGGATTTGTGAACGCTACTTCAAATCGATTGAAAAACGTTGGTATCATCTGTTAAATTTGCTTTAGCATCGATTGCCTTCCGAAATTCAATATACGCGTTCATTTCTGGGGGGTACTTGATTCACCTTGCTCATCTCCATCCAACTGATATCTGGAGTAGGTCATGTCAGTTCTGAGAAGACCTTGGAGTAACTATACAACACATACTTTTCCCAATGCAAACTCGAGCACCGCCGCCGAATGCAAAAAAGAAGCGTTCTAATGAAAAATCAGCATCACAAAAGGATTGTATGTTTTAGCTGCACATGGTCACATACTCATGTTACCGTTGTCGCCAACCAACCATCTTTCGGGACGAAATGTTTCAACATCTTCTCCAAACACACTCTGGTCCCTGTGGACAACCCAAGGGTTAACGCCCACTGTCGTCTGTCAGACTCTGTCAGTATGTTGTGCAAGATGACTAGGAGATCCAAACTCACTCCACCCGGCAAAAAGCAGCCGTTGATCACTATCCCCTCTTTAGGTACAACTCTTGGCAGGCTCATACCAACAGCCGGATGTAGTCTCAAAGCCTCGTACATGCATGCTTGAAGGTATGGCATCTCGTCCGCCTCGTCCAATTTAACTGGGTCGGAGAGTTTTCCTTGCTTTTGCCGGTCATCAATTTCATCCATGAGTTTGGACAGACAACGAGGGTTCTTCAACAAGTAGTAGATGATAGACCTAAGAGAGATAGCCGTTGTGTCGGATCCAGCAAACACATTTGATGCTGCCATGGACAAGATATCGTCGTCTGACATCTGCTGTTCTTTTTTGGTTTGGACATCATATAGCTTGGCAAGAATATCATGCTGCTCGCCGTTAATCCCTTTGCGGCTCGTCACTTCACCAGCTGCGATCTGACGAAGCTTTCCATGCCGCGCAGTAATAGCCAGGTGACTACCGATGATAGGTGTCAAGTAATCATGTATCCAGTAAAGCCACGGGACCTGACCAACCCACGCAGCAGAGCGAAGAGCGTTCTCGATTTGGCTGAAAGCACCACTATCTGTACCATTTTCGAGAAAGCCGAATGTCTTTGAGAATGTAATCTGGCCAATCACGTCTTGGAAAAAGTCAGTTACGTCTTTGGGTCATAGCTGGCGTTGGAGTACCAAGATGTCATACCAAAGGCAAAAAGTTGCAGCCACTTTCCCAAATTGATTACCGCGTCGGAACCATGTCGTGACATGCATTGCATGAAACTCTCCAAAATCTTCTCGACTCCTGGTTCAAACTCTTTCAAGCTTGTCATGGAATAAATGTTGTTCACAAGTCTTCGCTGGGTTCCGTGAATACCCTCATCTCGTTCTGCGAATAGATCGAACTTGCGGCGGCCCTGCCAGACACCTTGCCTTGCGTGGTTAGATTGTAATCATTTCGGTACCTTCGTTGGCCGACTCACTATACCAGTCGCTCTTCCTGAATTTCGTGCCCGCGCCTGTTGTTGGGTCGATTAGCATTAATATTCTTTTGGAAGAAAGGGTTAATATCTAGAACTTAGTGATTTCATACCATATATGGCCTTAATAGCAGCCAGGTCAGCCACGCTCACTTCTTTGGGGCCGACCCTAACCAGTTTACCATGTTTTTCATGAAGGTTGAGCATGACGCGATGCAAGTCGCCCTTGTCCGAGTGCTGCACCATCCACAATCGGGAGACAGACGCCGCGAACGGGCCTGGGATTTGGGCCAATGGGCCGAGGAATCGGACGTATAGGACATACAAAATAAAGAAGAGGCCTAGTAAACAAATAGCGCTGACACAAAGCTGGCCCCGGGCTCCAATTGGTAGGTCCATTTGTGATAGCAAGGGAATGTCGTCAATAGAGTCCATCTCAGCTAGTAGAAGTAGCTGCTTTAGTCGATAGTGGAAAGAAAAGCCACTGATAATGAGAAATACAAATTGTGTTGGAAAGAATCGCTTCTAAATACCCTTGGATGAAGGAGGCTCATAATTTTGTATCGGTAACTATGTTTTACAGTTCCGAAACAACTGTTCCGACCCGGGGCGTACTATCTCGTTATTCCCCTTATCCCAACCCAGGATATCGTCCCGCTTGAGGTTGGGGAATGCGGGGCAGCGGGAATACCGGAAGTGGCGGCGGTTTTGTGGGGTCATGGGGAAGGGCCGTCAGCTTCTCGAGTCATGTGGAGCATGTTGTAGTTATTGAGTGGAAAGATAGTTAGAATAACCAATCAGGTCCATTCGGGGTATTTCAAACGCCGCGTAAGCTTGTTATGCTTACAACAAGTACTACTCTTACGCTTCTACAATCAAACAGCATACTCTAAGTCGGTTTCATCTGCGGCTATACCTAGTACAGTACGATATATACCTGGTAATAGAGGACTCCTTCACGTATTCATAGCGATGAAATATATTTACTACCTAAAGGTTGTGGTGGAGTACACAAATGTTCATAATGATGAGAGGTCCACCGCTAGCCTAGACGGCACTTGCGCATAGATCCTAGGTATATGCCCGTGATATGCCCAAGCGTGAATGATGGTATCGCAGCAGACATGGTACATCCGCACCTCTATGCGCGATTACGCGGTGACATGGATATGTTTTTATCCAGATTCATGATACCGGAACCCATGAACCTTATCGTCCTCGCCGTCCTCGCCGTCCGCTTTTATCGGCATCTCAGCTCTAAAAAACCTTCTCGGTACATCATCGATAACTGCCGTAAACCTCTTCTTTCTTTCCCTCTCTTTCTTCCATCTCCTCCTTTCTCACACACGCACACTTTCTCTCTCTCCACAAATAAACTACTGATATAAGGGGGAAAAGAGAAAAAGGAGCATAATTATCATGGCAGAGACCGGTTCTCCTATCTCGGATCGCTCGGACCCCCCAGAATCCCCCCATCAAATAATCAGCTGGCGCAGAAACCGCCTCGTGGACATCATCAAGCAGAACGACCTCACTCAACTCCGTCAATTCATCGCCTCATGCCCTCCCGAGGCTGTGATCGCCCCTGGATCACCCTACTTGGAGGACACCTTGTTCAATGCAGCCTCATACGGCAGTCCTGAGGCTCTTCGCATCATCTTGGAGGTGTACGCTGCGGCCCCGGACGTTGTCGAGAGGTTCAATCTCAAGTTCTGTCTGCTGCTCGACGCATGTGGTGCGGCAAATATTGATGTGGTGCGCTTCATCTTGGACTGCCATGACAGTCCGGAGAATCAGTTACCGCTCGGGCCGGTGGATTTGCTTCAGAGAGATGACTCCGGAGATACGCCGATCATCGCGGCTGCAGGGTCGCTGATGAATTTTGATAAAGCCGCAGATGAAGTAGAAGATGAGACTGAGTGGATTCAGGATCGGATTGCGAGGGGCAATCAGTTTATTCATCTCCTTCTTGACCAGGGCTGTCCAGCGACAGATGTCCTTCCCCCTTTGCCAAATGATCTCCGTCCTGGGGGAAGTCAGGTGCGGGATAGTGTGCTTGGGCTTGCTGTGTCAAGGGCCAATGGTCCATTAATTCAACGGCTCATTGACTCCGGTGCCGATATCTACCTTAAGCATCAACACTTGCATCATGCCATGGTACCATTCCAGTTGAGGATGACAAAGGGTCACGCGTATGATGTAACGACGCTTCATCTGGCAAGTTTCTTCTACAATCCTGATGCGGTTAAACTGCTCTTGGATCATCAACATTACAAGAACAATACCAACCCTGACCTGGCTTCCTGCCGTGACAGTGATGGGCGACTCCCACTGCATTGGGCAGCTAGCGGCCCTGGAGGTTTCAACTGTAGACTCCTGGATAAACAGCTGAAAATCACAGAGACCATTCGACTGCTTCTTGACCATGATTCTACTGGTGTCAACCTTGTTGACAACACTGGATCCACGCCGCTGCACTATGCTGCTATGTCCCACACTATGTGCGGTTGTAGCCAGCACGCTGAGCTTGCTATCCGCACTTTACTCGAATACGGGGCTGACCCCCGGATCCCCGATGGCTCTGGCCGTACCGTTTTACATCTATTAGGGTACCACTCCACTCAATGTGAACCCATCGAGACCACACTCCTGGATTTAATCCTGTCACACGGTGCCAATATCAACCATGCCGAGAACAACGGTAAAACACCATTGCACGTCTTTGCTCAGAATTTGCGGCAGGTCTCGGCGGCAAAGTTCTTAATTGGGCGTGGGGCGGATTTCCGCGCTCGGAATACTGTCCGCGAGACGCCCTTTCATGCGGCAGCGCGGGGGATTTGGAATGACCATGTACGCCGTGATCGGAGAGATGAGGAAGTGAGAACTGCGAACAAGATCAGGCTTCAGGATGAGATCATGCGTGCTCTGCAGGAGGTTGCCGGGGAGGATGCTGCTATGTTGATGAGCCAGCCAAATGCGGAGGGTAAAACTCCGCAGGACTTACTGGAGGAGACGAGAAATCGGTGGCAGGGAAGGGGGCAGCCCATACCAGACCCCGGAAGAGGCAGAGGCAGAGGCAGAGGGCAGCCAGTAGGAGCATGATAAACGTTCAGGAGGAATATCTCATAAGGGTAGCCATCGTAGCACTTCTGACTCTTTTTGTGAGGGGTCGGGGTAAATGACATCAACCAACCAACCAACCACCGTAGAACTCTATCTGCCTAGTCCCAAGACCTGAATATTTGCTTCCACTCCATTTTATCATTCTTTCGATCCTGCCAGATTATAATTCCAATCTGGGCCACGCAAGCCTCAGAGGCTTCCTCCTCGAGTTTTGGGGAGTAGTTGGCCTTTGGAATTAAAGTCTCAATAGTCGTTGCTCCAGTCCAGCTCCCCGAAATATACTCCGTACGAAGTAAGCAATCCCATTGCTGATCCTATCGCTAATAAGCCCAATGAGAGGCAGTATACCGAGGCGTCATGATGTCTTCGTGAGCCTCTTGAGGTAGAAAATTAACGAGGTGGCCAACCAGAATGAATGGCTGACCTTGTACAAAGACATATACTCCGTTGGAAGTACGGATTAGAGTATATAGCGCAGATCATTGTACGCATGTAGAGAGACTGAGGAGAGCTATGGCACTCCAATGTGGAGCTTGGAGTAACATGGGCCAATAAACTCCTTGCAACAGGCACACAAAAGCCCCATACGGCTCCGGTTTCCATCCGTAAATAGAATATTCTATGCAAACAGTTCAAACAGAGCTGAAAGGTGGGTATTTTCCAGGCCATCCAACATACGTCATACAAACATCACGCCTAGTTAATTGGCTACTGATGTTACTCTGTGCTTCAAGAGCCGAATCCAACTCTCAGTTGCTCCTTTCAAATTGCGCAGAGTATCCCATAAAGCTCACAGAAACACCAATCAGGCCAATAACTCGAGAGAAAGGACGCATATATAGGCAGTACGGAAACATCGCCCACACTTTCGCCCGTCGAGCTAACGGGAGACAAGCAGAGCAGAACCTGGCTGGCTAGTCTACTGCAAGAATTTATTTCACCCTGCTACACAAGTTAGAATTCCTCTTAGACAAGTCCGTGACATGTCCACTTTTATGCCATATTTCCCAGGCCCCCCATCCAAGCCTTCTTCTCGTACTATGTTGGCCAATAACAGTTCTCCATAATAATTAATAGAATCCATGCAACGTTACTGAAGCTCACAGTGTAAAGTTTTTCTGCAAACCTCACGAGAGCTTCCCATCAATGCATATACGGAGTTATTCATACATATAGAAATCGCCTTGTCTCTACGACAGTGAATTGTACACGTGCGATAAACCGACCACATAGGCTATCTAGATTCCCTTAATTCCTCGGGCCGATAAGTAGCTGTGACTGACTTCAGAACCTACTATGTATAGAGAACTCTTGTGTATTGAGGATCAATCCACGTCGGAACCACCACTTATCGTGCTTTACGCTCAGTAACTTGAACTATTAAAAAAAAGCCATAAATGGTACTTTTAAGTCGCTGAATTAATTGCAAAGTTTCTAGTCTGGTAGAAGTGCCGCCTTGGTCTTACGACTTCATGTATGTTGTTCCGGTGTATCTTTATCAACAAGCTCCAGATCCTGGTCGGTTACTAGTTTTGGGGCTGGATAGTAGGAGTTCTTGATAGGTCAGTCGACTTTTCATCAGAGACATAGTTGGAAACATACTAGTTGCGAGCCAAGGAAAGCCCAAAATCCCGAAGCATCTGCTGATAAGATAAATACTTGGCCGGTTTCCCGAAGGCGTATGCCCACACAGACATCAGCATCGCACATCTTGCTATATTCGGCCGCTTTTTTCATAAGGCTTGATTTTCGATGACCTTGTTTTTGGCGCTTGGACTTTCTGACCGATTTAGATCGATTGGACTGGGTGGGAGAAGCGGAAGCCATATGAAGAGACGCGTCACCGTTGGAAAAGACTGAAGGAAACAGGGCACTAAATAGTCGCAGGTATAGTCGAATGGCTCTCAGGGATTCTTAAGACTACAAACAGGTACAAAACGGCTCTCTTCATGTTCATGGGTTTTCGCGTTGAAAAGGAGTGCTGCGCTCCAGAACCGTGGTCTTTAGAGTTCATGGTCAACGAATACCAGAAACGGCCCCCGGCAGGTGATGAGTTCACAGCAGGCAACGAATTTGCGTTGAAAACCACGACCAGGGACGATCGAGGAATCCGCGGTCCAGAAACTGCGGGTATTCGAGTTCATGACCAGCAAAACTCTGAAACGGTCACTCCAGTAGGTGATGAACGTAAAATGTGCCTAACAAATTTATTGCCACGCCCATTTTGACGCCTAGCACGGAAGGGAGGGAGCTTGGTTCGTTCAAAACAATTAATGGTGTCCGAGGAACGCATCAAGTCGAGGTCTGTTTATAGCAGGGAATTTCTGATTTTGAGGGCCAACAGTACTGTAATCTGTGCTCGGAGTGCCGCGGACTAAACCCAGAAGGGGTTAGCCCCAGCGGCGATCAGCCCTAGCCGTAAACCTTTATTCTTAATATGGCTTAGTTATGTACTTAGCGCTGTCCGTAAACTCCTTTGTCCATGGATTTGAATGGGGCTATCGGGTCCCAGCTGTTTCGACGCAATTAAAGGGGAATCTATCGTCTTCCGAGACAACTGCCAAAGCTAAACCATTTGTAGTTAAGCCTACTTGAGCTTAGCAAGCTAGAAAACCGGGGGCGGATCATTGATATAGACACGCCTCCTTCAAAAACCCTCTGCCCTGCAACACCTAAACTCTGCCAACTCTGCCTTTCTACTCCGATTAGTTCTCCTCGCAGTCGTCCAAATCTCATCATGGAAGCGAAAATCCCCTCCGGTCCCTCTCCCGGACCGGCTCAGAAAAAGCAAAAATCAGACCACCCTATGGGGCGTATATTGGAACCCATTGGGTTCTACAGACATCCAATCTTGTATGACACATTTCCTAACTCTCAGGTGCTAGCTGCTAATCTGCTCCGTGGAGGTTCACGCTTGGCATTTTCGCTTTTTTCTTTCTATTTACTGTCGTTTGTCAACGATACTGTGATGCAGATTCTTGTCGTTATTACCGTTGGAACATGATGTCTGTCTTTGGAATGTTTTGTTTCGTTTATAGCATGTGGGTTGACGGCGCCCGGAAGCTTGCGGCGCAAAGCAGACAGCGGGAGCTGGAAGATGCTTTGCGCGATGAGAAAACGCTGGTGCCTGCTTCTTCCGAGAAACAGAGGATGGAAAAAATATATCAAGATTCAAGCTGTTAACGACAGCGTTGAATGGTATGGCTTATGTTATCTTGAAGCTGATCCAAGGTGTTTGAGATCAGGTGTTTGAGATCAAGAAGGATGTTGATTTTAACACTACCGTGACCGGAGCGTGTCTTGAGAAAGATGCGGCCGGTGAGAAGTAGTGGAGGGTAGAATCAAACGATGGCTGACGCACGCACTGTCGGTTTTTGCTATCCTGCGCTGGCTTCGCGGCGGAGCGGTATTACTGCGGCTGTGTTGCCGGCTGTACTATTCATCTATTAGACATGCGATGAAGGGTCAAATGTATCATTGCTGTTCTGTCTCCTTTCGGAGGTTTGGATGAAACCTGTCCTGCGTGTTTAATATAGACACGGATATGGCGCCAGTCACGGTAGCGACGAGAATAGATAGTTGGCACGAGCCAATATACTTGTCGAAGCTGCCGTTGATATGCTGTACCGTACGTTGTTTTCCTGTGTATAGGTATTGTCAGATTCCAGACCTGAAGGTTCAAGTGAAACGTAGTACTCATAGGGAGGGGAATACTCGGCCATCGACTGCCTGCAATAAGATCGAGCTGATGAACCGGGTATTGCACCGAGTAGCTTATAAATGGTCATTCGCCATAGCTACTCCAGACCCTCTGCTCCCTTGGGCTCACTGCTTTATGTCTAGTAAAACTTCGAGCTATGTCTTCCGTTTGGTAGATCCATCACATAAACAGGTGATGGGGTAGGGAGGCCGTCTCGACGGCGGCGCGCAGAATTTCTAATATCAGACATGTCAGCCAGAGGTGAGAGGATCATTAGTTGTCTATTGATTGTGGCCCGTGGGCATCTGAGCCTGTGCCTGTACCCAAGGGCGGGTTAATTGTCCTCGCTGGTGTTGAATCTCGAAAGGCCCTTTGGAATGGATTGACATTCCCTTGAGCAAGTCAGTGTGGGTGTCAACACACAGGAGACATCAAGGTAGATGGAAAATAAAAAGTATTTGGCCCAGTCGAGATGGAGTGTAAGATGAAGAGAGAGCAAGCAGAACGTGACGTCAGTTGTGATTGTGTGAAGATATTCAAGACGAGAAAAGGAAAGAAATGTTGGAAGGAGAGACAGTGAGCGTTGGGGTAAATTGGTAAGCATCAAGATAGAAAAGGCAGGAGAAAAGGTAAATGGCTTTATACAGCGGGATGGTAAGGGAAGGGGAAGGGAAGGCTAACCTCCTATTAATATGGAAAGAGGGTGAGGCGTGAAGAGATGGATTGCATCAGAGTGGAAGGAGTGGAGAGGTGAGAGGATAGGAGACAAATCAACAAATAATGGGAGATGAGGGGAGATGAAGAGCACCAGGAAGGGAATATGTGAATAGCATCAAAGTGGAAGGAGAGAGAGGTGAGAGGATGGGGATATGTGAATAGCATCAAGATGCGAGAAGGTAGTAGGTATGACCAAAGATGAATAGCATCAAAATATACCAAAAAAGTGCCCCATTACCTACCAGTGGGTAGGTACTCCAGACCGCTCCTGGACCATCAGAAAGCCCCGGGGGGGCTACGAGGCTTCTCCAATCTTCATCGCCTGCACCTCCACCCTCTGTACTAATCTACGGCCTCCCTCCTAAGTAACGCCGTCCGCTGCGACAGAAGTCCTTTGGGTCAAAGCGCGGAGGGTTTGCCTAGCGTAGTGCTTCGAGAGAGCTTTGGCACAGAGGAATCCAACCGGCAGCGGCTAGCAGAGTAGGATCACGAAGAGGGACTGGCATTAGCCTGGCAATCGTGGTTTCCCATCGAAGGAGCCCTAGACACCCTATTAACCACTAGACCACCGGGGGGGGGGAAGGTTAAATATAAGTACAATTTCTTCCTCATAACGGAACAAATGGTCACGGGGAATGTCACTGGGAGATTTAGATCGGCATCTTGGAGGCCTTATAGGGGGGTTGGGATATTCAAATTTAATACATAGGATCTGGGGACTGCTAGCTACCTGTCTGCGAAGTTATAGAACAATTGCACACGATATGGTGATGGTTGATGGGAATATAATTTTCTTGGGTACATCCATCTCGAGACAAACATGAGGCTATTCAGAACACAACTTTATGCGGTTGTCATATGACCTCAACCTCGAGGTTGTGGGTTCAATTCACGACGTTATCAGAATTATTATTCTATGAACGCATACCATTTCCTGGTTTTTATGACAAAAGAAGAACATCGACACATGCAGACGGTAGACCCTGTTGGCCTGCGTCGCCATCCAGTTCGCTTGAGTGTTCAGATCCACCAGATTAGGCCAGCTTTTTATGATTCTATGGTCAACCACTTCCACCTCGCGTAGCTCAAAAACTGTACTTTGCAGAGCTGGGAGTATGATTCGGATGGAAAGGGTGACAAATGAGATCCAAAGAACTACCCAATGGCGGCGACGCGCGGCATTGATCGGGGTGAGAATTGTTTGGCCGAAGTTATAGTTGATGAAGAGGACAGCCGCTGGCGCTCCCTCGGGTCGGGACAATTGGAAGTATGGTTCCCGGCGGAGGACATCGAAATCTGTGACTTTACACACCAAGACAAGCACCAGGGCAACGATTCTAGGCAGGTAGTTATAGAGGAAAGATTGTACAGGAGAGATGTCCTCCGTGTGGGTGAAGAATAACAACCCCCCTTCACGGTCGCTGTACTGTCGTAGTGCTTCCAAAGCCAGAAGCATCGACAACATCAAACATATAAGGGAGATCAGGTACGGCGGGCGCAGAGCCAGTGGGCGCCAACTCCGGGGTTCGCGGGGCGTTAGCGATCGAAAGGGGGCAAGGCGAGCTGTCTCCCATCTTTTGTTAGGAGTGGCTCAGTGAATACACGGATACTTTTGTTCACAAGACATAGTACACGGTGATCGGCACGTGAGAGGAACTCGATCGTCAAATAGAATACTTCCACCGGGAAGTAGCCGGCTGGCGGATGTTCCTATTTCCATTAGCCATGTGCTTGGAGGCACGGTCGTTGATAGGTTACAGACCGGTCTCATTGCTAGTGATAGCATGTAGATCCCAGAGGGCACCGTGATGCGCTGTTCACGAGTCAACGTATCAGTTACACGCTCTTTGTTTTGGACAGTGGATCAAGACACTTGAAGCACCGGTGGAACTGTTGGGAATCCTGGAGAGCTGAAGAGCGAGAAACAAGCCAGAAGGCAGAAAAGAGCAGAAGAGGTAAGTTTTCCTGTGTTCCCATCTCCCGCAGTGACCACCCAAGGTATACTCAAGACCTGTTCTCGAACACCACGACGGTTCGCCACAACAGCTAATCACAGCAGGGCACCGCAAAGCACAACTCTGAGCCCAGACAGGCGTGGTTCCGACGCCTGTGGATTAACTCATCGTTGGGGCCTGAAAACCACCCAAAATCAGTCTGCCAGGACTGGTTATGATATATACCAATGAGAAATCCATTGACAAGCGAGCAGCGTCGCAGAGACCAAGCTCCGATGGCCATCAGCACGACCATCGTAGGTGCCGAACGACGGACACATGTCATTATAAGATCTCGACTAGTCCAAGAAGTCTGATTTGGGGCATTTTCCGACCCAAACAAAGAGCCAATCCATCTGCCAACCACAACGGATCATAAGCCATGCCCAGATTCTATGCACCTATGCTAAACGCAAGGTCATAATCCGTGGTAAAGCGACAGGACGCAGGGGTGTCAGACCCTCTTCGCCTTGAGAAGGCCAATCCTCACGGAAAAACCCTTCGGCGGTGAGTTACAAACCAAAGGCCACCTGATCGCTACTTGACCGCCTACTATTCTGCACCTCAGGGGGTGGGCGCAGTCCCGCCAGGCACCAATAGCCTATAGGCATTGGAGACCCCGACGGAACTTTGTACCTTACTACGGTCACAGCCTCACAGCCTCACAGCCTCACAGGCGGCTCCGGCGGGTGACAGTTACATACTAAGGCCTAAACCATGAATAAAGTTATGCCACAGTTGAAACTTGAAACAAGAGCGTCATTGAATGTCAAGTTTAAAGGCGAAATAAGTCCGAAACAAAGGCCGTTAAGACCGAGTCGGCGAGTCGGGAGCCCGACTGGCCGGGGAAGGGACGATGCAGGTTCCGGGAGGGAGGAGCAAGAAAAAGAACCGGAACGGAACGTGACTCACTCTAAGAGACACCCCCCTTTTCCACGGTTCCAACAGGGAAGACTTTGACGCTGATTGGCTGGTATCTACTTCTGCATTTTCAGCCACCTGACCCGATTTGAACTTTTGGATCTTGATCGGGGCCAGTTGTACTGGTGACTTGGCTCCGGTGTATTCGCCAACCTCCCCGCTGAAGGAATTCAGCGCCACAAGGTGCATCTGATAGGCCAGATACAATTTAGCAAAGTATCTGTGACAATAATGGACACGTAGATTCAGGAATCTGACAGGGAATGGGGAACGGCCAGAAATATTCCCGCACGACTACATTTCGTCCGGAGTACTACCAAGAGGATTCTCCGGAGAAGATCGGCCCTAACAACCAGGGCCCACTGTGAAACTCCATCTCTTTCCAGAAGCCTATGCAAATATCATTACTTGGCCCCCTCGGTCATTTTTTTTGCCCAGGCTTATTCTCCCTTTACACATACTTCTTGGTCCTGTCAACACAGGTCATTCTAATTTCAATCTTCTAATCTCATATCGGCGCGTTCATTGGCGACAGGTTGTCGTCAAATGAACCTGCACTTTCGCTATTATCTTGAGTGCAAGGTAAGAGAAGCACGTGGTCATCTCGACAGAACACAACTGACTTTCCCCAGCATTGCCTCTTTGCTCTGAAGAGGTCACCCGATAGATAAATGGTTTTCAAACCATTCACCCACCTCGCGCGCCAGAGTCTCACCAAAGCCTTTACTCACGGCTATGCTCAATCCGTAGTCGCCGCGTCGCAGACCTACGCGTCGACAGCCCCCTTCAACCCGCTCGTCGCTCAACCAGCCAAATTCTCCCGAACAGTCCAATTACAGAATGCATTCTCCAACGCGTCTAGTTCGTCTAATGCTGGCGCGAAGGCCAGCCAGGGAGGATCTGGAAATGGGGACGTTGGTCTAGCCGCTTATTATGCTGCCTGGCAGAAGGCCCAACAGACTGGCGATGACAGCGATTGGGCTCAGTTCGAGTTCAAGCGCCGCATTGGATGGAAGCCATCGACCGGGGAGGCTGAGAATGTCCCCGAGGATCGGGCTGCGTCCGATTCGGTTACGCCCCATCCTACCAAGGCTGCTATGAACGAAGATGTCAGTGCCCAGGTGGAGGAAGCTGTGGCCCGTGAAATCCAGATTCAGGAGGAGAAGGCACAGGCTGAGGAGGCCGCGTTGAGTGCCGAGGCGACTGTGGAACCTGCTCTCGAGGATGTTGCCGTCGCACAAGAGGTCTCCGAGGCTACCAAGATTGCCTCGGATCGCATTGTGCAACTGGCAACTTCCGACAGTTTTGCGGAGATCCCCGCGGCCTTTGAATCCCTCCTTAGAGACGGACTCACTCCAACCGTTGAGGCCTACAATGCCTTGCTGGCCGCAGCCATCCGTCTTCACTCCGATGCAGCTCAGGCTGTCCCGAAAGCGCTCGATGTCTACTCCGATATGCTTCGCCGAAGGGTAATTCCCGACGAAGAAACTTATGAGACTCTTGTTCAGCTTTTGGTTACCCGTACCCACGACATCATCAAGGCCAAGGAGGCATTGGAGCAGGAACGCGTTCGATTCGGTGGTATGGAAGAGCCTGGCAAATTCATGCTCCAGTCGAGTGAATTGGAGCGGGATCTTCTCGCCGAGGATACTTCCCTGTCCATTGCCGTCAAGCTCTTTGATACCGCCACCGCACGACACAGCCAGCACGTATTTCCGCTTGACCTGTACCGTCACCTTATCATTGCCTGTGCCAAGGAAGGTAAGGTGGAGGACATGATCCGGATTTACGCACACATGGAATCGCAGAAGATGACTCCGCATGCCACTATTTTCCCGTCCATGATCACCGCATTCGCTTCCACTGGTGATCTCCGCAGCGCAGTTGAATGCTACAATGAGTACCGAGGGCTCGCTGTCTCTGACGATACCGGTGTTTTCAGCATTGTTACACGTCAGGATGGTCAAGTCTATGCTGCTCTGATCCGTGCTTACCTCTCCTGTGGCAAAGAGGAGGGCGCCATGCAGTTCCTTGAGCGGATTCGCTCTTCTTTCAACGATGTGACCGAGGCCCGCGAGGATCGCCTGTCCGCAGTTGAAGCTTTGATCATTGAGGAAGCACTCGTGCAACACTCGCTCAACATCGGTGATCACAGTAAGGGATTGGAACAGGCTAAATCGGAGTTGTCTGGCGAAGTCCGGGATCAGGCCATATCTCGCATTTGCATTGCCGCGGCTGACGCAGGCGATCTTCCCACTGCTTCTGCAGCATACGATAGTCTGCCTACCGCACCGGCTATACGACAGAACCCGGCTGTCTCTCTGATGGCCCTTCACATTCGCCAGGGCAATGTCTCGGCTGCGCGTGCTTTGTGGAACATGCTCAACGTGGTAGGTCAGGCAACCCCGGATCTGGTTCAGCCGACAGCCATGTATGCCGTCGCTCTGCTCAAGAGCGGAAACGTCGAGGAGGGTCTTCACCAGGCCCGCAACATGTTCTCGCGCATTCGCAAGGCTGCTATGGATAAGCCCGCTACCGTTCCCTACCCTGTCCGAGAACAGATTACCGAGTCGCTTCATCTCTTTGGTCGCGTCCTCATGGAGTCCGCCGCTGTTCTCTCCCCTCAATCATCGATGACCTTGCTCTGGTCCATGGTTGAGAACGGTGGTCTAGTGTCTCCTCTGGCCGAACACGCTGTCGCTAACCTTGGTCCCATGGGTATCTCCCAGCTCAAGCCTGTCGATCTCACCCTCGCACTCCAAGTCCAGGCTGGCATGCTAGTCAGTGGCAGTTCCATGCTCTTCGATGTGGCCCACCATGTTCGCTTCGCACACATGCTCGAGGTTGCTCTGTCTTCTGCCCTCCCCATGGATCTCTACACCACCGGTCTGGTCGACCAAGCTGTTGCCAAGCTTTTTGTCAGCCGTCCTGATGTCGTCAAGAAGTGGCAGGATCATCTGGAGGCGAACTCTCAGGTCTCCGCATCACCCTCTCAGGTCTTCTTGTCTTCGGATCGCCAGAGTCCCGTCTCCATGGCGGAGACCTCGATCACGGCTCCTTCTGTGGGCCCGGAATCGTTTGATCCTTACGCTCATGCGACTGACTTCCGCGGGTCTGCCATCATTGCCGAGGAGCTTGAGAAGACCAGCGGACGTACCGAGACTCACCTCAACGAGGCTTTGACTCGTCTCAACAACATGCGTCGCATTGGTCGCCACCCGCGGTACGTCACTTACGCCAAACTGATCACCGCCGCTGCCAAGGCTGGTCGCATGTCACTGGCCCACGACATTCACCGCATGGCACGAACTGATGTTCCTCTCGATATGAACTTCAGCGTCGTCAAATACGGCTGGGTTTCTATTCTGGACGCGATGGTCGCTGCTTGTCTCACCCTCGGCGACCGTCAGCTAGCTGCCCAGTACCACCAGGAGCTTCTTACTCTCGGTTCTGCGCCCTCCGCCAACACTTTCGGTTTGTACATCACCACATTGAAGGAGTCTACCAAGACTTTCGACGAGGCCAGTGAGGCTCTCAAGGTCTTCCACCGTGCGATCGCTGAAGGAGTTGAGCCCACTTCCTTCCTGTACAACGCACTGATCGGCAAGCTCGGCAAGGCTCGCCGCATTGACGACTGCCTTGCATACTTCGCCGAGATGCGTGCCAACAACGTGCGCCCGACAAGTGTCACCTACGGAACCATCGTGAACGCTCTCTGCCGTGTAAGCGATGAGCGCTTCGCCGAGGAGATGTTCGAAGAGATGGAATCCATGCCCAACTACAAGCCTCGTGCTGCCCCTTACAACTCCATGATCCAGTACTTCCTGAACACCAAGCGTGACATCCGCAAGGTCCTGTCCTACTACGAGCGAATGCAGACACGCAACATCCAGCCCACCTTGCACACTTACAAGCTTCTCATCGACGCGCACGCCTCGCTCGAGCCCGTGAACATGGCCGCCGCCGAGGCCGTCCTGGAGTCCATGAAGGCCGCAGGCCAACACCCGGATGCCGTCCACTACGCCTCGCTCGTACATGCCAAGGGCTGCGTCCTGCACGATCTCGAAGGTGCACGCAAGATCTTCGACACCGTGATCTCCGACCGCCGCGTGCGCCTCCAGCCATGTCTCTACCAAGCCCTGTTCGAGTCCATGGTTGCCAATCACCGCGTTGCGGACACCGAAGAGGTCGTCCAGAACATGCACGCGCATAATATTGAGATGACCGCCTACATTGCCAACACGCTCATCCACGGCTGGGCGGCTGAGGGCAACGTGTCCAAGGCCAAGGCTATCTACGATAGCATCGGCATTCAAAAGCGTGAGCCGAGCACATACGAGGCTATGACCCGCGCTTTCCTGGGTGCGGATGATCGTGTCAGCGCTGCTCGCATCGTCCAGGAGATGATGTCTCGCGGATACCCTCCTGCGGTGGCTGGCAAGATTCACGATCTTGTCGGGAGTTCTGCCAACCTTTAAAATTCTCTTGCCCATATTTTTTGACCAGGTGATACCCATTTAATGTTCATGTTGCTTCCCTATGATCTCTCTGCCAGGGCTGGATCCCTGTGTTGGGTTCCCGGTTCGGCGTCTGCAAGGGTGGTGGGATATGCCTGGTGGAATATCTGCTATCTGCTATTGGTTTTTTTTTATTTGGCATTCAGCGAAGGGTCGGCGTTATTCTTCTCAAAACTGGCGTCGGGCATGGCACTGTATACCATTTGTCTTCTCTTTTTACTGCGTTTAGACGCATCTCAACTCTTTCTCTGCGTCATAGACGCAAAAATGAAATAAAAAAAGTATTGAGTCAAATGTTCTTCAGTACTCCGTACCTAGGTTGGCCTCTTATAGTTGTACTCTCACCCAGTGGCATGACATCTCGGAAGTTCCCGCTGAGACCAATGGAACGTTCAGGGCTCCCATTGCGTCAGTTTTCAGCTTTCGTAAACTTGGATTCCTTCATATCTCTGTTGAAGTGTCACATCTATCTTATTTAATTACGACTTCTTTTAATGCAGACTCGTTTGCCAGCTACTTTCCATCCACTCGTTGACTCATTCCTCCGCACCCGCGTCATTCTCCGCCAACCCCGCCTACCTCGATATTTCTCATCCAGGCAATCGAACAACCCAACAATGGAGAAAAGTGAAGCCCCTACAGACGCCCACCGGCGTCCGAAGAAGCTGATCTGTACGTGTGTACCTTAAACTACACCATACTTTCCTCAACACATCAGATCCCAGAAAAACCCTACAGCTAGCGAACTACAAGCTAACACTCACCTCTCACAGTCGCACCAGGCGACATAGCCCCAGCCTCCAACGAACCGATTCCAGAACCCCCAGCCGCACCCATAACCCAAACAACCTTGGAAGCCATTCGCACCACCACCTCAACCCCAACCTCAACGACCGAAAACGAAGTGCTCTCTCACGCAGCCCGCGCCCACCAATTCGGCGCAAACCCGCCCCTGACAATCTCCCAAATCCACAACACAAATCCCCTCCACCAATTCAACACCTGGTTCCACGACCCCCGCCTCCCGGCCTCCTCAGCCCCAGAAACCTGCACCCTAGCAACAGCCTCCCTCCCCTCCGGCCGGGTCAGCGCGCGCGCAGTCTACCTCAAAGAACTTGACGAGCGCGGCTGGGTCGTCTACAGCAACTGGGGCAGCCGCGAAGGCAAAGGTGGACAGGTCTTCGGACTGGGCAAGGAAAACGAACTGTCCGCCATGCCAGAACCCGGCGTCACCACCGAACTTGAACTCGGCACAGGCAACAAATGGGCCGCACTGACGTTCAATTGGGCGATTATCGAGCGCCAGGTTCGTGTTGAGGGATTGCTGGAACCGCTTAGTCGCGAGGAGAGCGAGATGTACTGGCGCACCCGTGAGCGCGGGAGTCGGATTGGGGGATGGGCGAGTTGGCAGAGTCGGGTTTTGTGGGAGGCGGAGCCGGAGCAGTTGGTGGAAAATCAGCGAAGGAAGAGCGTTGCCGCGTTGCAGGGGGACAGTGGAGAGGTCAGCGTTCCGGTTGATATTGATCGGACGGATGATGAAGATGGAAGGGCGTTGCTGGAGGCGCGGGTGAAGGAGATGGAGGACAAGTTTGCTGGCGTTGAGGATGTGCCGTTGCCGCCATTTTGGGGTGGTGTTAGACTTGTGCCGGAGTCTGTGGAGTTCTGGCAGGGACGTCGTAGTCGGTTGCATGATCGGTTCCGGTATGTGCGAGTCGGGGAGGATGGAGAAGGGGGTCCTAAGTGGAAGCTTCAGAGGCTGTCGCCATAGGTGTTATGGCTGCATATCTACTACATTTAGATGTTAGACGTCCAAGCAATTAGCTCGAGCCAAGCTATATCAATGCCCTATAATAACCAACCCATTGTCTCATGTCGATCCATATCAGCTATCTCATGCCTTATCAGTCTTGGCATCCCATCCAACGTCAACGTCACTTCAAACCATCTCAGCCAACGCAATTGAATATAGACAGCCAATCCTATACGCAGCCCAAGAACCGATATAATCACAGGCCAATCCGCCGCAATGTCCACCCCATCGTCCCCGCCAAAGCCCCAATCCTCCACATCCCCCTGGATCATCCTCGCAATCACGAGCGGAGCCTTCGCCGCATTGAACGGAGTATTCGCGAAACTGTACGTGAACGCAGCCCAAACGCATTCAAGAGAAAAGGCTATACTACCTCTCTCGAGTCTCTAGAGTCTATACAAGCTTATATGCTATATAGACCCCGAGATAGCCCCGTCCGTGTAACAGTTCAAACTGACCTAACCCTCCTTAGAACAACAGACAACCACACAACAGCCTTCGCGCAATCCCTCGCCCACCTCTTCGGACTGGAGTCATCGCCTGTAATTGAGATGATAGTTAGAGGTGTATGTTGTCCATGCCCATGCCCCTACTCTCCCCTGGTTGCTACTGTTTACGATGTTATCATTGCATTTCTATCCTTATTCTCATTCTTATACTAACGGTCAACTCGTTATCAAAAGGCCTGTCTAGGTCTCAACGTCCTGTGCAATGTAATAATGTGGGCGCTCTTCACGCGCGCTCTAACTGCCGGCCCGTCAACGACGAAAGTGTCTATCACGAATACGGCGTCGAATTTCCTCGCTACGGCGCTGTTGGGCATGATTGTTTTTTCGGAGGCTGTGGGTGGGCTTTGGTGGGTTGGGGCTGGGATGATGGGAGCTGGGTGTATTTTGGTCGGGATGAGGGAGGGTGCTTGATTTGGATTTGATTTGGATCTGTTGGAGTTGGATTTGGAATGTCAGAGTCAGAGAGGACATAGATATAGTAAGATATAGTAAGATCTATAGACTCGAAGATTTTGGGAAATATGAGTGAGAGTCAAAAGTGAGAGACATGGGGTAGATTGATAAGTGTGAGGCAGAGGGGATCCTAAGTACCTTCAAACCCTGAGGCATAGGTCATATGACTGCATAAACAGCACAGAGGGCTATGTGCACTCCGCTCCCTAGGCAGCAATGTCTGAGCTACTACTATAAATTGATTGTCAACAACTTCCCCCTTCTCCCTCCTCTTCTCCTCTCACCTCTTCCTCTCCCTCCTAGCCCCCTCCCATCTCTCTTCCTTTCTTCCCTTCCTTCACGAAGGGTGACCTGCATGGTACTCGCTGGCGAGTACCTGGCTGGTACCCTTTTCAAGTGGGACCAGCTGTCCCTCTTTGACAAGTTGTTTCGAGTGGTCGCGGAAGAGGAGATGTTCGTGCTGTCCTGGGGGCTCCCTGAGCTCCACGGCAACCTGGTGGTTGTCGTGGCCCTACAACGGTGCTGGACATCATGGCTGCTCCTATGTCTACTTCCCTTCGTCCTCCTGTCGATTTCTTCCCCTCCTTCAAGAAGGACGACCTCCTGGTACTCGCTGGCGAGTACCGGGCTGGTACGCTCCTGGAGTGGGACCAGCTCCGCCTGTTTGACGAGCTGCCCTGGGGGCCCGCGACACCGGACATGTTCGTCCTGTCCTGGGAGCTCTCAGGGCTCCACAGCAACCTGGTCGTGGTCATGGACTCGTGGTCCCAGGCACCGCAAATGCCTGGATCCTCCGGGTGGTGCTAATGTGGGAGTTCCTCTGGCTTGGTCTCCACTGGGCAGGGTGGCCATACCCTGGTAAGTATCAACTGTCGACATCGAAGAAACAGCGCATGCTAACCATCTCTCAGTCTAGCTTACCGATTACTCCTCGCACGGTCCCGCCTCCTCGAGCTCATCGACTCCCGCCACCTGGTTGCAGCAATGGCCCTCCATTATAATATGGGGGCCAGCAAGACAGCAACCGGTGGTGGCACCTAACCATCATCTGGGGATCTATCTCTCCCCTGCGGCGGTCGCCAACGCAGCAACTGTTCCTCCGATGAAGGACTTCATGCCCATGGAGGGTATTGAAGTCATCGACGAGGGTGGTCACTTGACCACACTTGAATTGGAAGGAGCTCCCCCAAACAAATGGAAAACTTCGCGCATGTAGATTCTTTCTCCTCACAACCCATTGCAGTTTTCTCATCATGGCAGATAGCCATCGCCATTCGCCCCCGTGTAAGTCTGACCCCTACGTGTCATACCTCATGCCCATCTTACACAACAACTATCCATTACCTCCATCACGTGGAAATCGTTTCAGCCCAGGTGATGGAAGCCTTGGGCTCGGAGGACCCCAGATATTCAATCGCTTCAGAATGAGGAATAAGAATGGTGAAATGCATGCTGATCATTGCTAGAATTGGTGTACCCACTGCCGTTGCGGAGGGCATACGCTCTCCAACTGCTGGCGTGTGCAACTTGGTGCCCAACTTGGTGCCGAGATGGTCCGGGTGGCCATGGCTCCACCCCACCCCTCCCGCTCCCGCTCCTCCTATGTGGGTGTTTTGGTCGGCACCAGTGTCCATGTGTCCGTGACTGACCGTGAGTAATCTCCGGACATGGATGTCTGCGAGGAGTCATACCCCCTCTGCTGCTCCTGCCCCCCATGGCTCCCACGGCATCACCTCCTCCAGGTTGAGCTGACGGGAATCCGCTCCCTATCCGAGCCCCGAGCTTTAGGCTCCTCCAAAGAATCTCTCTGGTTTGGTCTCCACGAGGCAGGGTGGCCATAATTTGGTAAGTATCTACTGTCGGCATCGAAGCAACTGCGCATGCTAACCATCTCTCAGTCCAGCTCACCGATTATTCCTCCAACCCCCTCGAAATCCTCCACTCCCACCACCTGATTGCTGCCATGGCCCTCCATTATAATATGGTGGTCAGCAACCGGTGGTGGCACCTCAACCATCATCTGGGGCTCTATCTCTCCCCTGCTGCGGCCGCCAACGCAGCAACTGTTCATCCGATGGAGGACTTCATGCCCGTGGAGGGCATTGAGGCGTATGTGGGTGTGTCGGTGGGCACCAGTGTCCATGTGTCCGTGAGTACTCTCTGGACATGGACATCTGCGGAGACGGAAGCTCTACGTCCAAAGTCGCTGCGAGGGCAAAGCCCAGCTACATATCGCCCCCCGCATGGATGAAGAGTCCGTTCCATTTCCGCTGTTGCTCCTGCCTCCCATGGCTCCCACGGCATCACCTCCCTCCAGGTTGAGCTGGCGTGAAGCCGCTCCCTATCCGAGCCCCTAGCCTTAGGCTCCTGCAAAGAGGCAGTACCGACAATGTGCTGACTTGGGCCCCATCCTCCCTGGATGTCTCGAGCGTTGCTCCCTCCACACGATCGAAGAAGCTGTATGACGCTATGCGTCAATTCTTTACATTGCTTATATCTTTTGAAATGAATATGTTCAACCTCGTTAGCACGCCCACGAATAGCAGTCCCATTAGTTTCCTTACTACGTAGACGGTATGTACGTAGTACCTGAGCCTAAAGCCCGGGTTTGCGGCGAACTGCCCAGAGGCCCAAGGCACTTACCAAACGCTGGCGTGTTCCATGTATGGTGTTCCAACTATGAGACATCGCTGCTAGCTCTTCGAGAACGGATTCCCTCGCTATGCAGGGCAAATTCTTGATATACAACCAACGCATACTTCCGCATACTTCCCATGGATGAGCTGAGGTGTAAAGGCGCCAGAGCAGGGGATATCCTTGCCAGTGCGCCCGAAATATGATTTGGGGCGCACTAGCAGGGATCCCATAATCGAGTCTAGCATCTAGTGGCTTACCATGTGACTTCGCCAATCTCGAATCACTCAATCAAGACCAGTATCACTACACCCCGTACGATCAAAGCGATGCTCTCCACTCTTCAAAAGCCTTCGTACAATCTTCCACTACATCTATACCCAGGGTTTGCCTCTGTCGAAAAGAAGACAACCATGTCCAATCACTCTTGCGGGTGACACCTGCATATCCCAAGAGGAAATCTCGGAATGTTTGTATAAACCCATCTGGGATATGGAAAGCCCTTCGGTTCATGACCGCACCCTGGACGTTCCGGGTTGTACGTGCTTTCCGACATCTCTCATAGAGAGCCAGCACCGCGGCTGTGAGATCCTGGGCCGAAAATCGCGCTGAAATAGAGGAAGTCCCGGAGCCTTTGGGATCCAAATAACGGGTCTGCAGTAGACCGAGAAGTTTACCAACAACTGCGCCATCTTCGACGGCCATGGCAGCCCCTTGTGCTTGATATGGCAGGGTGGGGTGGCAGGCATCACCGAGAAGAGCGACAGAGCCCTAGTCAACACCTGTTAGTAGTTTCGTAATGGGAGATAGCGATGTAGCTACCTTAGTCCATGATTTTAGCTCGGTAAGATGGGTTAATTTCCACTTATATACCGACTGCACACAAGACACCAGCTTTTGTAGTCTGGAGAAGTGATTAGCGACATGTCAATGTCAAACAATTCGGACGTCCTTACGTTGGATCCCAATCTGCATAGCTTTCTTGCATCTCCTCGATATTACCTTCCTCTTTGCGACAGTCCAATGACAAGTTGTCAGGTCGCATGAGAACAAGATTGTACTCGTTTCCACCACGGATGGGATAGAATATGGTATGCTTTTCTGGTCCTAGCCAGCTTGTGACGGCGACCTTCTTACATAGTTCGTTGATATTTTCATCACCCAGGGCCTCCAGCTGCTCTCGTGAGAACGTTGCTCGATAAGCCATATCGCCCGTCGGGACTGGAGAATGAGGAGCTCCAAGAACGGCCTTTCTGGCCGTAGACATTTGGCCTTTTTGTCGTCAGACAAATCACATTGAATTTCCCAGAGATTAATCAAACCTACCGTCAGCACCTATCACAACATCCGCTGATATGCGTCTCCCGTCTGCGAGAAGCACAGCTGGTTCTTCGGTGGAGATATCCACTACCTCTGCCCCTAGTACAAGAACCGCACCCAGTCGAACTGCTTCATCAAGAAGAATACGATGATAATCCACGCGATGAATGATACTGCACTCGGGTCAACGTTATCTTGGATTTCAAGATTCCAGCAGGCAATCACCTACACCCACGGCGCCCCAAATTCCTCCGTGATATCGTCTCCAAATGGCATCGACCGAAGAAGATGGCCATCCTTGTATCTCCGGAAATCTACCTCTTGCACCTGACTCCCTTTCTCGAGTAGTTGGGGTAGTAGACCGAAGTCGCGCATTATCCTGGAGCCATTCGGTGGGATTTGGATGCCCGCTCCAAGTTCGTGTAGTTCTTTCGACCGCTCGAGGACTTCTACCTCGATACTTTCGCGGCGACAGGCAATTGCACAAGCTAGACCACCTAGACCTCCGCCGACAATAATAACTTTCATTTTGGTTGGAAAGTGTATGGGAGGAAGTTCATTGTCTATTGAGTGAAGTGTTATCTCAACGTGAGCATCCGAATCAGGCTTAGCGTTGTGGAACAGGATTTCCCAGCTTTGATCCACTCGTGACTCGAGCTTCCGGCTCTTTCTTGATTCTTCAATATCGTCAAACAATGCAACTTTTCGCCTGGCCTCGATCACAGCTTTTGGAAATTGGTGATCAAAGATGGTGTCCAGCATGGCTTCATCAGCATGAACAGCTCGTCCTCACCCAGCTGTGGAATCTCAGCTTGCCCGGGTGGAGCCGCGGAAGTCTGGCCACACAAGCCTGCGCAGTGTTCAAGGAGCATCTGAACGATCTCTCATCATACACGGTGCTAGACGTTTGTGCCGGTGCCGGCGGGCCTACTCCAGTTCTTGAATCAGAGCTTAACAAACAGCTCGAGGTCGAAGGTCGAGGACCTGTTCAGTTTGTACTAACTGACCTCTACCCTCACGTCGAAGAGTGGGAGCGGATCTCGAAAAAACAGCAAAATGTCACTTACATCGAGACTCCGATCGATGCTCGGGCTATTCCTCGAGTTGCGGCAAGTCTTAAGAAAGAGTGCCGGATCTTCAATATCTGTTTCCATCACTTCGGAGATGAAGATGCAGCGGGCATTTTGAAGAGTGCAATTGAGTCAGCGGACTCGTTCATGTAAGCGGCTTAATCGGCAAGGTTTATTTCTCTAAACGACTAATTTGCATTATTCCAGCATATTCGAGATCACAGCACGCGACCTGTGGACTTGCTTATGCTCGCCTTTGGTGTTCTTCTGGACTTTCTTCGTGACCATCGTCTGGTACTGGAGTTCGCCAGTCCATCTTCTCTATACATTCATTGTGCCTGTGGCCCCGTTGACTATCTGGATCGACGGATTCATCTCCTGTCTCCGAACACGCACTACAGAGGAAACCTGGAAACTATTGGACCAGCCGGACCTTGATCTCACCAACTGGACCTTTTATAGCGGCAAGAAGACCGTACAGTTTCCTTTCATCACTTTGTATTACCATGTTGGCATCAAATCATGATGTCAGATGGGCTATCAAAATGTACACTATGGTATGTAGCGCCAATGCATCTACCTAATCATCCACGCATATCGCCTTATAGCGGACTCACGACTTCCAACTTGCCTTCTAGGCTCTTTCGCCCCGCAAGAGGGTTCGTGTTTATCCTTCCATGCCATGTCATGCCGCCATGGTTGTACCAGACTGAGATAACTACTGGCTCCTATGAGCATCGAGTAGCGGGCGTTCGGTTGTATTGGGTCATCATCATCATCATCAAGCCCTGACTCCCACCCCTTGTAATCGAATTCAATGCTCTTTCGGACCTCATGTCCCCTCGACTACATGCATACAGTAGTGTAATCATATGGATGTTTCTGCCTTGGTGAAATTGTAGTTGCCTTTTGTTGTTGCCCTAATCACCTCGTTTCCATGGCCACCCTCACACCAGGCTACTTTGTATATCTGATGTTTACTCAAGCAACCTATAGATGTTTCTGCCCTGGAGACGCCGACGCCGTAGTTTCCTGATTCCTTGCCCTTACTACTTACTTGGTTACCATGGCCACCCAGACCCTCACACCTTGGATAGCTCCATCATTACTCAACCACGTAGATGTTTCTGCCCAGGTGAAGACTTCTCTGCTTCCTTAACCTAGTAACTGTTTTTCGTGGCGTTTACATGGGTGCCCTCACATCTAGATTGTATAACTACCTAGTCTCAAGTTTACTTAATATAGATGTTCCAATATCTGATGGTTCCTGCCCTGGCAAAGTCGTAGTTTCCTTACCCTAATCACTCCTCCATGGCGTTTCCATGGCCACCACCGCACCTGCCTTGGTATAACTTCAGTTTGCTGTGCCTTCCTGTTGACTTGCTCGTTGCCATGGACGGTCCCAAACAATATTTATTCCCCCATTTCCTCTGAATCTTTGCTTTCTTTTCTCCTTTCTCCTCTCTCCATTGCCACTGGCTTTTTCTCATTTGCTTCATAGCATCTGATATTTCAAACCCACTGCCAATACTTCATATCATTCTTCATCATGTACTTCACCTATCTTCCTCCCCCCGCTCATCTCGTCCCCCGCTGCTCCGACGCTCCCCCACCTCTGAAGTCCTGCCTTGCCAATGTGGATGAGGACCTGGAGGAGCTCCCATCTGACGAACCCTTCGTCCGGAAGTCTGTCCACTTCGCGGATGATGTGGACCTCGTTCAGGTGAGAGTGATTCCAGCCCGTAACCTCCCCCCGCGTTGCTGGCGTGAGAGCACCCCGCTCCTCGGGAAGGTGGCTGAAGACAAGTGGCGGAAGGACCTCATCAACTACTCGTCACATCGGTCAGCCAAGAACAACCGGCTCCCCAGCCAGAAGTTGAAATCACCGAAACGCCGGGGACCCAAAGCACGCTCTGCTCGGCCGCACGTGCGATGTCCCGGTCGTTTCGGTGCTGCGTATGCCGCTGAACCCAAGTCTCCCCGGTTCGAACCTTCCTCGGATGGTTCCAAGGCTACGCCTGCAGCCGATTGTTGCATTGGTGCGACGACTTCCTTCCGTGGGCAACCACCAGTGACAGCTGAGTGCGGACCACTGCCAGAGATCCTTCAGGGACTAACCATTGAACCTGCCATTGACGGTTCACATGCTCCGGCTTTTGACATGTCGAAATTGTCAAGTGCGCTTCCTGAGAGCCACACCCTCGATATGTCAGCGCTGCAGCATGCACTCCCTGATCTGGAGGCTACTGGTGTCGCATTCGACATGACTGCGCTGGTGGAAGCCCTGCCCGATCTAGATGGATCACTCGGTACATTGCCCCTGACGCCTGTACCCAAGTCCTTGGCTGCGCCATTCACATCCAACTCTCCTCCTGAGGCTGGGCATTCACGTGTGGTCGTCCAAGCCCGCGTCCAGGTCGGGCCCATGGTCCGCGCCTGGATCAGCCACCTCAGCTGGGTCTTGTTTGTGCTGGCGTTTATCTTCCCAAGACTTGCGCCAGCTTTGCCAGCCGTATATGCGTTCCTCCTGATTGCTGCGGCGTGTACCTGATCCTGATAGCCAATCCACAGGGTCCACTTTCTCGTTCACAAAGGCAGGGTATGATTTCATCGTCTTTTGTTCCTGTTTTTCTTTTCTTTCTTTTCCTTCTTGTCTCGAGGCTTTTGCCGTTTGCTTTTTCGGAAAATTCAAAAACCCAAAAAATCCTGTTGTTCGTGCTTTCTGGCGTCTGGCGTTTTGTTTTGTTCTGTTTCGAGGCTTTTGCCCTTTAACTTCTATTTAGGATCGAAGGCGAGCGTTTCTGTCTGTGATCGTGCGGAAGGCAGCAGAACGCGTGGTGGCTTGATTGTGTGGCGATGGGGGTAAGTCTGTCCTTGGACTCTGATGGTTCCCTGAGCTGACTGAAATGAATTGTAGGTGGTTGTGGGTGTCGCTGCTGCGGGTCGGACTGATCGAACGTCTCTGTCTGTGAACATGCGGAAGGCAGCAGAGCGTGGGGAGGCTCAATTGGATAGTGATAGGCGTAAGCATATTTCCTACTTCTGGTGCTTCTGTGAGCTGACTGGAATGAATTACAGGTTGCTGGTGGGTGTCGCTGCTGCGGGTCGGACTGATCGAACGTCTCTGTCTGTGAACATGCGGAAGGCAACAGAGCGTGGGGAGGCTCAATTGGATGGTGACGGGAGTAAGTATCTTTCCTTGGATGTCTGATGCTTCCGTGAGCTGACACGAGAATCAATCGTAGGTGGCTGGTGGGTACCGTCGCCTAACTCGATCGATCGAACGTCTCTGTCTGTGAACGTGCGGAAGGCAGCAGGGACGTGTGGTGAGACTGAGCCGAGGATGCGGTTGTATCTGTGCTTCATAGTTCATGTACAGAAATCAAAAAGTACTAAGCTTCTGCTGTCCTAGAGTAAAGAAGCTCGAGATATAACCTGGAATCCAAGTGATATTGATTGAAAGTATCGACCACTCGGCCCCCATATCACCGGACAACGGTGATTTGAATATGTTCCATTCGCACGGACTATGCACACACATATGAAGAATACCAATAGGATGACGACCATCATGGCCGGGCATCAACCTACTCAATTGGATGCGAGCTTCCCTGGTTCTCAGTAGCATACGAGCAGTTCCAAGGTTCCAATACATATAGTTGAGTGGAGATAGGCTCTCCCCCTACAGTATTACTCTCAGGGTCACTTTGGATTCTAGGTTATGTCGGCATCCTTATCTCCAATTAAGGAGACAAAACAGTCAGATAGTGATAGTTACAAAGAATACACTCCTATCCACATGCATGCCTCGTACTATGCAGCTTCTCCAAATCCCGCCTTCTTCAATATTCCACTGGAGAACTCATCTCAATTGTGGAGTACGTAGCCAAAAACAGAGCACTGTATGTTCAAGCGTCCTGACCTTTCCGAGTTTTGTCAGCGAGGTGCCTGGCAGACGATGCCCTTGATGAGGAGGTCGTTTGTCATCATCGTCAGAGTCACTGTCCTCGTCTTCGACGTGAGTGAGCTGTATCGTATTGTCCGATTGAGACTGGTCCGTTGTGGTGGGAATGGTGCGAGGGTGGGTGACCCCTCCACTCTGCTAAAGGGTCCAGCTCGTTCTGGCAGCAATGGTCTGGTCTCGACGTTAATCTCCGTCTCGATATCTCTGAGGCTGGATAGCTAGATCAAAAAGGTTGAGCGCACAGCGATCATTTTCCTCCTCGGCAAGGGCCGTGCCGGAGGTTCAGATCCTGCGGTTCAGATCCTGCGGACCGGTGCCTCCCTGAGACAGTTAGTCCAGATAGCGAGTAAAGGCCTCCCTTTGAACACATCATTTATTGGTCAAGAAAAGAGCTATTAGATATTTCTTGGATTTATTGCTTCTCCGAGGGATCATGGTCAGAAAGCTACCCTTGATGGTCTCTTCCAGGTCCGTTACGTTAGATGAGCCCGGACTTCGTGCCGAGCCAACACAGCAACACTTTCGCACGGTTCGCGGCTGGAGTCGCAAATTATGATTATCACGAGTCGATACGACGATGAGTCACCTGCGCATCAATCGAATTGAATTCTCTTCCAGATACCACCCTAGGTACTCAAAAACTTCCTCGCGATCGCCCAGCTCTTTATGGGCCTGCACCTCTTCCTTTTTCTTTTGAAGAGACCACCTATCCCGCATCATGGCTACAATGAATTTTGACTTCTCACGCCCCGTTGCTCTACCTTCACCCGAGCAGTCGTTTACAAGAACGCTTGCTGAGGGGCCAGCTCCACCATCAAGAGATGGCTCCCCCCAGGTGTCGCCTATTCCCCCGGCTGGTCAGCCCGTTTTCGAACAACTTCCATCATCAAAGATCACAAGGTCCCGCAGAATTGCAATTACTACGTTGCTAGTTTCAGCAAATCTTGTCCAGGTATGTAGACCACGAGGTTCTCGTTCCCTAGAAATTCGAAGGCTGAATTCGATCTCGCCAGATGACTGTTAACTTTGCCGGGATTGCTGGTGGTAGTCGGCTGAGTCAGTCCATGGGAGTCAAGAAGACATACGCCTCTTGGATTGCAGCAAGTTATCCGTAAGGTGTCATCAACGCGCTATTCGGATGGCAAGGGAAAATAGTACTAACGCCATGGAGACTAACTCAAGGTACATTGGTTCTCATCAGTGGTCGACTGGGAGATGTCTATGGACACCGAGAGCTTCTGCTTGCTGGCGGGGCATGGCTCAGCATGACCACGCTAGCCAGTGCGTTTTGCAACCACGCCTTCTTTGCTTTCGTCATAACGCGAGCTCTTTCAGGCTTAGGGGGCGCCTTCATCATGCCAAACGCAGTAGCCATGATCTCAAGCACTAACCCTCCCGGTCGTGTACGGAACCTCAGTTTGGGTTTCTTTGCTGCATCTGCGCCCATAGGTGGTTATTTTGGGGCATTATTTCTCGGTGCATTCATGGAGACGACAGAATGGAAATGGTTTTTTGTGTTTATGTTAGTCGGGCCTCTAGATCTCAAGTTCGGACACGTGCCATGCTAATTACTCGCATTTCTTAGTGCCAGTCTCGGTGTCATCACATTCCTCGCTATCTGGGCACTGAGCTCCCGCGAGACTCCAGTTGACCTGCATGGCAAAATTGATGTTGTGGGTTCTGCTCTAGGTGTTAGCTCACTGGTTCTCTTTAACTTTGTCTGGAAGTAAGTGTGGTTGCATCTCACAGCTATGCTATCATGATGTGGAACAAGCTAACTTTGTCGTGATAATTGCAGTCAAGCCCCCAGTGTCGGATGGCAAACGCCTTATGAGATTGCTCTCCTACTTCTATCCATCATTCTCTTCGGTGCATTCCTCGTTTGGGAGAAGCGATATACTGCCTACCCAATTATGCCGCTCGAGATTTTCAAAGCACCATGCTTCCTCGTCGTTATCCTGGTTGTTCTTCTCAACTACATGGCTGTAGGTACTCTGATCTGGTACCAAGTCCTGTGGTTGCAAGAGGTTTGGAAATGGACCCCCCTTGAATTTGCCGTCGGCTGGACACCATTCGTCATTTGTGCCACGGCGGCCGCCTGCCTTGCTGCTTGGCTGGTTCCTCGCGTATCAGCGCAATGGATTCTAGCCATTGGGACCTGCACGATCCTGGTATCAAATGCACTAATGGCAACTGTTCCACTCCATCAAAGCTATTGGGCCCAAGTTTTCCCATCTGTTGTGCTCTTTGCTTTCTGTCCTGACTTAGTATATACCGCCGGGCAAATCATTGCTAGTAACTCTGTTCGTCGGCATCAGCAAGGTATTGCGGGCTCTATCATTGGCACGTTAAACCTCTATGGGAATAGTCTCGGTTTGGGATTTGCCTCCACTATTGAAGGTCAAATTAGCAAGAGTTCGGGAAGCCAGATCTTGGGTTACAGATCCGCACTCTTTTTTGGTGTTGCAATTAGTGTTCTGGCTCTCATACTTGATGTCGCGTTTGTTAGACTGGTAAAGGATGATCGTGAGGGATGGGCTGAAGAGGATCGCATACAGATAGATGAGAGGGAACTTGCCAACCTTGCTGAGACCACTGGTGCTAACCGTCTTGCAGCAGTCGAAAGATTGTGATTGCAAGTATTACACGAACGTCGCCATTTCCTGTTACCAGTGGCATCACAAGTCAGTCATTGGAAATAATCACCTCAAACCTAAGGTGGGAAGGTTTGAATTGATCTTAAACATTTCGGTGACATGGCAAATAGTTCTTATCGTTAGCTCTGTGGCTCGGGGATGTTTATCCACAGATTCTGGGGTCGTTGTTGCTTCCCAGAACAGTCTGTAGTCTTTAGTTTATACTAGACTAGGTACTGTAGCATGGAGCCATACAGTAATGTAGAACTAATGGCATTCTTGACAAACTCATAAGAATACTGTAATTTACAATGATGGACCCCAGGTACCTAGACAATGCAAAGCCGACGGAACTATATCCTAATATGGACTAGCCGGAGCATTGGTTAACTAAGCCAAAGGGCATTACCAAATACTCAAAATGGCCAGGAAACACACTAACTAATCTAAAGAAGCAAGCAAGCAGAGTAGTTAGTAAATGCCTGGTATTGCAGCAAAATGTTCTATCAAGGTATAAACATCACTTCCCCATTACATTTCATTAGATCATAGGCCGATCCTCTCTATCCTCCAATTCAACCACAGCATCATCATCCGTCCCATCCAAGATATCCGATCTCTCAGACTGCCTAGACCCATTCCGATCTCGCAGCCTGACCGGGCGACGAGATATCTTACCAGATACAAACCCAGCCACCGTCTGAATAAGCCTCCACAAGCGATCTTCCAGAGTCTCCGGGGCCGGATTATTCAGATGCCCACCAAGCCCAGTGAACTCCGACGAACTAGTTGCAGCCAGAGTATGTTCCTCGGCTTCGACCTTGAACTGGTATTTCAGACAATCCTTGACGGTCACCAATCCGGTGAGTCTCCCGCGATGCTCGACGAGAATAACACGCGGACCCATCTTTTTGAAAATCTCCATGACTGTTTCGAGAGGGTGGCGCGGGTGCACGGTCAGCGGTGTGTGGTCGACATATCGGGAGAAATCGACAAAGGCGGCTCCGGTGCTCCGCTGGATTGCATCGAATGTATCTAGTGAATGGGTGTGTTGTGAGACGGATGCTCGGCGTGCGATGGCTGCCTCGGCTGCCTCTTTGGTGAAGGCACAGCGGGCGTTTGGAGCGACTAGTCCTTCGTTGCGGGCACGATCGATGGCGTACCGAAGCTCGGTTCGTCCGATGTATCCCACTAGGACTTTGGAAGTGCGGTCTTCCACGACTGGGAAGCCTTGGAATCTGTTGTCTTTGAGGAGATGCTCTGCTTCGCGGACGGGGAAGTCTGATGCTGGTAGTGAGAGAGGACCGGTGGTCATTGCGTGGGATACGGGCACGTTGAAAACGTGGTCTTCCTTATTGTCTAGGAATGGGAAACCGTTGAACCAGATCATTCGGTCAGCGATACCGCCGCTGCCGAATCGGTCGCCAACGGCTTTGGTGATGCCAACTACTATCTAGAACAGTGTCAGCCAGTTTCCGAATGAGATAACGTCGTTGTGATATGCACTTACCATAGTCGGCAGAATGTATGTCAGCGCGCCAGTCAGCTCGAACATGATGACCGTTACGGAGATGGTCAGATGCATGATTCCACTGAGCGCTGCGCCGGCTCCCAGAAACGCATATGTTCCCGGTGTAATGCAAGGCACATCTGGGTCACACGAGGCGAAGAAGGCAGATTGAGGGAATGATTCGTGTAATGCCTGCACCATGATTCCGACCATTCGGCCAAACGAAGCCCCGACGGCCATCGAAGGTACGAAGATGCCGGCCGGCACCTTGCAGCCGTAGGAAATTATCACCAGGCCAGTGCGAAGAACCGTCGCGATAGCTAGTGAGAAGATCATTGACCACCGATTCTTGGCCCTATCATGTGTCAGGAGGCTTTCATGCAAAAGTGGAGGGTGATGTTCATACTCGCATAGTCCATCGTAATCATGGCCGTTTTCGCATTCACGGAACAGAATTTCCATCATCGCGGTCATATTGATTCTCAGGAACATATTAGGGTAGCAGAGTATAGCAGTGAGCCCAGCGAGAACAACGGACTCGGTTATAGGCCACTGCGATAAGTATTTCTTCCGGAATGCAGCCATTCGGAGGTTCCATTTCATCACGAAGGCACCGTAAAGCCCACCGAAGATGCCGAGGCCAATAAAGAAGATAAATTCGAAAAAGTGCCATGTGCGGTCATACTCGACTTGAAACATGACCAACTGGCCGGTTCTGAAAGGATTAACAGCCTAGGAATGGATCAGCGGTAGTCCGGGATTGATCTAATATGTGAAAAACTTACAGCTAGCACACTAGTTGCCACCAAGGCACAGAAATAGCTTCGCCAGAGAGTCTTGAGCGGGAAGTAATTTGCCATTTCCTATTGAGAAGTCAGCATTCATACCAGGAGCTAGAGCACAATCAGACTGACCTCCAGGGAGAACAGCACGCCTCCAATCGGACTTCCGAAAGCGACAGCTACACCAGCTGCTGCCGAGGCAGTCAAGATCTCTCGGGTCTTCGACGCATTCTGTTTGTATTTACCAAAGAACCGCGATATCACGTTGCCGGTGCACACAGCAAAATGCACGCTAGGTCCCTCTTTCCCAACAGATAAACCCGATGCAATAGCTAATGGGAGCGCAATGGATTTGATTAGAAGAGTCCAGGCACCGAGGAAGCCTTTCATCACGAAGCCAGCAATGATGCATTTGATCTCTGAGATGCCAGAGCCTGCCGCATACGGCGCAAATGACTTCACTAACACTGCGGCAATAGATGAAAGTAGCAGCTATTCTCGGGATTAGTAAATTGGCTCCTGGTCACAATAACAGCAAGACTTACCGCGCCGAAGAAGTAGAAAATATAGTTGAATAGCCCGAAGGAAGTCCAGCGTTTCCACTCGGGACATTCTATCAAATGAAGTCAGCTTATGATCGCGATGTCCCCGTTGCACAGCTTGTTGAACATACGACCATTCTCGGCACCCCAACAGCAGAACGACTCGTTGAGGTAAAATGCAGTGGTGCAATGGCCCAGCTTGATATCAGAAAGCCATTCCGTAATGATGTTGAGCACAGCCGAATTCAATCCAATTGCCAAGCCCACAAGCGTAACAACAAGCCATGCCTGACCTGCATCATAAGACTCGTACACTTTACGTCTCCAGCCAAGGATGCCTTCCTGATCCCAGAACCTCGTACCACTGCGCCGTTTTGCGCGCCGCCGCGATTGTTCATATACTGCATCTTGAATCCAGTCTATCGTGGTGAAGTCTTCATATCGCTTGATCTCATTGATCTCTTCTGGAATGGCGGGGGTTCTTGGTTGTCGGATCGGGCTTGTTCGTCGATGGGGGAGATAGCACGACCCGATGGCCTTCGCACATTGCGGCGCTCTCTTGAAACGGAGTGAGACCTGGAATCGGTCGGGGAGAGGTATGAAGAGGTCATAACATCGATCGAGAGGGTAGGGTCAGCATAGTCGACTTGAGCCGGACTCGATAATATGTCGGTGTCCGCGGTAGAAGCCACACGTCGCCGCGAGAAGAGAGGTCTCGTAGCTGGAGATTAGATACTCTGCCCCAGGGTTCTTCTTTTAGGTCCCAAGGTTATTATCGAAATAATAGTAAGTAGTAGGGGTGAAGAGAGCTCTTCGGAGTCGATGATGTGACAAAGCGAAGTCGCCAAGTATCGATAACGAAGCCTCCTGAGATAACGCCGCGGCCAACGCGTTTTACTCTTTCTCGACTCCACGTTCGCGCCTACGTGCTTCAAACGAGATATAGCATTCAATACATGCTGCAATCCGCACACTTTTGTTCTTCATTCAATATACTTCACAAGGCTCGACAATATGGCTCCAAAGGCTGTGGCAGAGCCGGATGAGATCACCGGACAGAGCGCACTTCCCAGTACGTCCTATACATCGTTCCTACTCGAAAATGCCATATACTAAGCAATTATACAGTTGCTCGAATCAAGAAGATTATTCAGTTGGACGAGGATATCGCACAATGCTCGAACAATGCAACCTTTGTCATCGCAATGGCTACCGTGCGCCCTACCCTTGACCCAATCACTTCGGAACACCGACTAACTCTGGATCTAGGAAATGTTCATCCAATATCTTGCTGAGCAAGGACACAATGTGGCCATATCTGAGCGGAAGCCACGCAAGACTGTTCAATACAAAGATCTCGGTTTGTTGCGCCCGCCCTGTCCACGGTCAGCCAGAGGTCGAATGACATGTGCTAACACGCACTAGCTGCGGCGGTATCACACACAGACAACCTTGAATTCCTCGCCGATGTTATCCCTAAGACTACCACCTACAAACAATTCAAAGAGAAGAAGGCAAAAGATGCGGCCAACCAAAGCGTCCTGGAGAAGGGACAGCGTACACTCAATGGTAGCGGTGCTCCCTCGGCAGCAGCAAATGGCATGCCCAAGGGAGATGCCACCCCACACAGAGACGAGTCAAAGACTACATCGCCGTCGGTTTCTCGGCCGATGGTGCCTGTGAGCGCACTGATTGCAGACCGAACAGTCGAACCCATGGGGAACCCTGACCATGATGTTGAAATGCGAGATTGATTGCGTTATATTGTTCTTTCTTTACCCTAGTCATTTGCATAGGAGTTCTAAGGTGATGGGTTTACGCTGGTTTTGGCTTTGTATGGTCGCATTGGGTCGGCTTAGTTATTACCGACAGAAAACGCAGATAGCATAAAAGATTGAATTAACGAGTCGAATTTGACAGTCATTAGCAGTAATAAATCCAGTAACAACTCGATAAACAGTAATAGTATATCAAGCAAATAGTTATTCAGTTGTAGAAGAAGTTCTGTTAGGGAGTGAACGGGAACCGACCAGCCAATGACAGGCCCCGTGATTCCGATCGCTAGCGAAAGCTCTGGCTCCAACTTCAACTTCCGACTTCATCCACCCTCTGCCTCACCTCGCTCTCTCCACATTCGCGGCTCAATTTCCCCCCGTGGTCAATTGCCCTCACAATGTCGCTCTCCTCCGCTTCCAGCACTCTGCTGCGCACCGTCGCCCGGCAGCAGCTGCCCACTTCCCGCGCCGCCGTCGCCTCCTGCCAGCAGCGGAGGGGAGTTGCCGATGCGAAGTCGTCATTCGAATCCCCTTTCACCAGCGCTAACGAGCGTGGCTCGACTCTGAAGATCCCCGACTTCAGCAAGTACAAGTCCAACAAGTCGGCCCGCTCCAACCAGGTCTTCTCCTACTTCATGGCCGGCTCCCTCGGTCTGGCTTCCGCTGTCGGTGCCAAGGCTACTGTCCAGGGTAGGTTTCTTCAATTTTCGAACACGAAAGAGATGGGAATCATTATTGGCATGAATTCGAGACGATTGCACAAGGAATATTGGAATATTCGGGGAAATTCGGCGACTTTAGAACAACTCATGACTGACGCTATTCTTTCTCTCCAGATTTCCTGGTGAACATGTCCGCCTCCGCCGATGTCCTGGCCCAGGCCAAGGTTGAGATCGCTCTCGGTGCCATTCCTGAGGGCAAGAACGTACGTTTTTCCATCCGCCATTCATCCGATCCATCCATATCTAACGACCTTACTTAACAGGTCATCATCAAATGGCGTGGAAAGCCCGTCTTCATCCGCCACCGTACCCAGGCCGAGATCGATGAGGCCCGTGAGTCCAAGTGGGAGGGTCTCCGTGACCCCCAGCCCGATGAGGACCGCGTTCAGCGTCCAGAGTGGCTCGTCATGCTCGGTTAGTGAAGAAAGACGCCATTCGCGCACAGAACATCCTTTCTAACCATCCTCTTCCCTATAGGTGTCTGCACTCACTTGGGTTGTGTCCCCATCGGTGAGGCCGGTGATTACGGCGGCTGGTTCTGCCCCTGCCACGGTTCCCACTACGATATCTCCGGCCGTATTCGCAAGGGTCCTGCCCCTCTCAACCTCGAGGTTCCCGCCTACAGCTTCCCGGAGGAGGAGACCCTGGTTATCGGTTAAGCGAATTCCGAATACACTCCGTTTTTATCATCGCCGGTGGTGTGTCTCATTAGATGGATGAGATAAAAGATAGAAGGGTGTCTCCTATCTATCTGTGTATGTGCTTGTGTGTTGTTTTCTTCCCTTTTTTTTAGACAGAGCGGCCGTGTGTCTTGTCAAGATTAAGAGACCTGTGTTTTAATATGGACAAAAAAATGAGCCTCTTTCTTCCCTTTGTTTGTCCTTATCTTCCTGAGTCTTGGTCTTTCTCCATGGCGAGCACACGAGCCGTGGAGTTGGAGAGGCTCAAGCCAGGTTCCTGGCAGTGCAGAGGATGTCCTATGGTCTCCTTGAGTACATACTTTGTTATTTAGTGTATCGCCTAGTCATGTTATTCCCTTTGTTCTAGATCATTTGGTTTCGAGTAACAGTAACTGGAATCAATATCAAGGCTTCGCTGTTTTGACATCTCGGCTCTCCATGCTTAACCATACACTAAACTCGAGTATATCCAAATGCAAGTCTATTTTCAAATGTATGTGCAAATACACCCACCCTAGCTAAAATGGTAGGTGATAATCAATGACTGAGATCACGCATGCTGAGATCTTCCGTTAGGACAATATGATATGCTCAGGAATTCTACCGCGATCCGATCAGGGCAAAGAGTAGACCCGACACAACTGCACCAGCCGCAGCACTCTGAAGCGCCACTGTAGTAACGTCACGCTGGGAGACAGCAACGGCCCGCTCGCTGAAGACCTCATGGGCCACCTGCTTCCAGTAGTCCACCGACGTAACCGGAGAAGAAATAATTGATAGACGAGTCTGCAAAGACTGGGACGCACTGGCATCAGCCGCCCCAGTAGCAGGAACATCAATCTCCACCGCGGCAAGCTTCGGCTCCGTCAATAATGATGCAGTGTCCTCCAACGTCTCCTTGGAATCAACGTCTCCAGGGAGGACAGTGTTATTCGGCAGAGCCGAGAGCGCAACCGCGCTCTCAGCAATCATAGCCCTGCTCAATTCCTTCTCTTTCTCCAATGCTTCAACGACCTTATCCTCAAAGCCCTTAACGAGTCTCTTCCTTCGCCACGGTTCAACAAGGATCTGGAAAACGAGGAAAAGTAGCACGTTCACGCCCATCAGACCCCATGTTCCCCATGTCGACATGCGACGGATCTTGTCGGACCAGACCTGCTCCTCGTGGTACCGCGAGAGAATGCTCTTGCTCAGTTGTGCGGCAGCCTCTTCGGCTTCGCGTTCGGAAGCTGATAGTGCCTGTGCGGTCTCTGTCTCTGCGACTTCGTTTGTGTGGTCGTTGCGGTAGAGGGAGGTGAAGCGCTCCAGGTCAGTTGAGGACCAGGCGTGTTTGCGTTGGAGGAGCTCGTTGACTTCGCGTTGGGAGGTTGAGCGGCGATTGATTGCGGCTGCGTACTCTTCTTTCGCTTTCTTGACTTGTGCTCGGGCGGTGCGGAGTCGATCCTCTGTTAGTGAGCTTTGGATTAGCTATTGAACTCGACTCAGTGCTAGGGTTGATTAGGCTGTGCTTGTGCTTACCGTGGAGATGGATGTCGTTTTTCAGAGCTTCGATACTGGAGTAACCCGTCAGGTCATTTAGTCGTTGTCCGGCTACGAACACGTTGGACTGCACATTGTCCATGAGTGTGCTGAACTGCTTTGACCATTTTGACCGACGGCTTTCCAAATACGATGGTAGACCACCGCTCCTCGTGCCAGCAGCATTGGCTTCATTCTCCTCCCTGGGAGCAGTCTGCTTCTCTTCATTTTCATTTTGCGGTGGTTGTGGACTCTGCTCGGGCTCTGGGGGAGGAGGTACCGAATCGAGAGAACTGCCCGCCTCAACACCCGGGATCGGGGCCGGGTCGCGCGCTGCGCGCTCCTGTTCGGCGAGTTCTTTCTCTTTTTCCCTGATTAACCTCTCGGTATTAGCGGCGAACCGCTGCCTGTCATCGAAGGCGTCGTATTTGGGCTGGTGTTGGCGGAATCGGCATTGTAAGCAGACGGAGAAGCTCCGCGGAGTCGGTCTGAGGGAGAATGCTGTGGGTGGGCGGAATTGCGTTAGTATGGAGGTTGGGAGTTGGAGGCTGGATCGAAATGATTGCCTTATTAGTTGTGGCAGAGGCTGCATGGCCAGAATTAGGGCCACTGGCTCGTGGCGGGTTGTGTTGTGCAAGTGCAAAGAGAATGAGGGTCGTTCCGGGTCGGGACTTGGCCTCGGATAGCCTTATCAGATTGGTCTAGCTGGAGATGTACATGTGCGGTTTCCTTCGAACTGTGGGATAATTCAGAGGCTATCTTGATTGCTCTTGGCTCTTGTCGATTGGATCGAATACAGTGAATGAATTCCTTTGGGGTGAAGGAAGGAATTTGTTCGATTTCTCCAATTCTCCGAATTTGTTCTACGAGACATCCATAGCTCCGAGTACCTGAGAGAACTGAACATGCCGAAGGAATGGAAACTCGATATTCTGATATTTGTTAAGTGCTTCAAAGTAGTTCGATTCATTGTATTCCAAGGTTCGTAGGTTGCAGTTCAGTTCAAGAAATAGGGAGTCCGTCAACCCCCGATTAGCAGTGATATGTATCGTCAAGACCTAGCCCGGTACCTACCACCTCGCCCGTTATGTGTAAAAATTGTAGGTAGGTATGGATGTCCGCCAACTAAAGCCTCTACACTTCCATCATAGAATGACCCGTGCACAAATATTCAACCAGCAATAGACATGGAATGCTATATACCCAGGACTCGACGGAAAGCTCGCTTAATGTGGAATGCCTCCAGAATCAAGAGGTAAAGCTAATAGCCGCACCAGAGCCTCGAGAGAGCAGACTCGATCAATAAAGCGATAAAAACCAATATTACATAGAACATGCCTTCGTAAAACTCATAAAGCAAAATGCATCGGTAAAAAGCCGTTTACAACAGCAGAGTGGAGGGTATGGAGAGTACACCTGGCTCGGGATCAACACATCAATCAACGATACATAGGCTTGCGCGCCATCCACAAGCACTGCTAGCGAGTCCCTGCACAGTCTCACTCGTGATTCTGCACCTTGTTATCGCCCTTCACAGCTTCAGCATAAGTGGGCGGCGGGTTGGCGCTGCTGCCACCAGCGTTCCCACCATCTCCACTCTGGTTCTGTGATTTATTCGCCGGGGCAGGCGCCTGCTGGGGCTGAGCATTGACTGTGCCATATCCACGCTGGGGGTGGGCTTGTGGGTGCGGGTGTGAGACATAGTAGTAGGTGACGTTTCCGTTCTCGAGATCGCGTCGTCGACTCCCGCCACCAGGGATGGGCTCGTAGACTGCCTCGTCATAGTTTTGTTCCGGATACTTGAGGATGATGTACCATGCATGGATGAGGCCCGGGAGGAAGCATAGCAGAGTGAGAGTTATGTTGATGAAGGAGTCTGCGGTGCAGAACCCGGTCTTGATCCAGACTGGTGAGGGGTATATTGATTAGCATGCTGATCATAGAGATATGGCGATGTAGGGGAAGGGAAGGATATTTGCGCGCTTTGGCTTACCTGCAATAGGTGGGAAGAAGACGGCGAGTACTGCCAGGAAAATGTCGGAGCTGCACATGGCTCACGGCTGCTTGTGGGTTCTGATAGTAAAATGTGAGTTGTCAATAGTACACAAGATATGTTGCAATGCGTTAGATGCCTCCGCCGTTGGACTTTAGGAATGTGATTGATGGTAGACTGTCCGCAGATGAACCGCAGGTTGCCCCGATCAGATGATGTCAATGGTCACATGACTTGTCACTGACACGAGAGTCACGGGACTCTGTTTACTGTCTGAAGAACTTGGATCTACTCCATATTTCAGGGAGCTTGCTATGGTACACTCACTTACTCCGTACACTCTCAAGTAAAGGCGTCTGAACTGATTATTATCGCTTTGATCGTTGTGTCGAGACCGCACCGCCTTCGAACTCGTCAGATGCCTGCAAAAGCGGGGGTTTACTCCGTACACCTTAGGCTATTGTTGCAATAATAATAGCGGTCTCAAGTGCGCTAAGTATTTGGTACCTGCAGCTGCCAAGGATATGCTTACAATGACCAGGTATCCTATACTTCTGCAAATTGGGGTAATCGGCATAACCCTCGCATGCTCAAGTGATCTCTTGATAACTCATATAATGTGCTATGTACGTACTATCCGTACACAGATCCAATATAACGGTCTGTCCTGCATGATGCAAGGCAGTTGTTCGGAAGATAATCGAAAACTCTTCGCCTGCTAATAATATTCCTGGGATTTTACCGAGACGCGGGCCACCGGCAAGAGGTGATAGCGATCGTCCTGTTTAAGCACGCTAATGGGTCCCTAGCGAGGCTGGTGAGTGGAGGATGGACCGCGCCAGAACCGAACGGCCCTGACAGGAAATGAACACAACGCACTCAGGAACAGAGCTGTTCGTCGCCAATCACAAACTCCTAATTATCTGTGGAATATCAGTTGGGTTGGATGTTGAGATCAAAGAACAAGAGTCCTAGTCTACTCCGTAGTCCTGGAAGTACTGAAAAAGAGAGAGAAAAAGTAAACAAAGTGGAACAACACTCCACCCCCTTTTAAGACCAGTCGACTCGATTATTGCGTTGAGATTCTTATATTATTTGTAACTATCGTGAAAATATTACATTAAGCTTAGCGCCTGTACAGTTTATGCCTTCTCTCCGTGTTTCATAATTTCTGCCCTTTCCTGAACCCAGTTCGTCTCTACCCAGCCCCTGTTACCCACAAGCCCAGACCATCTCAGAGTCCAGTCTTCTTCCAATCTTAGAAAGACCTTGTCATCCTCTTCTTCACTCCCTTTTCAATTCGAATTCCGACCTCCAGGGGCTCAACCTTTTTCCTTCCGGGCGTTGAGAACCCGAGTCACTCGTTTACCTTCCTTCGCGTTCTTCTTCTCCTCGGCATTGGGGCAGTTTCGGTGGCCTGGGGTCAACCATTTTTCTCTTCTAAATTCGTTCGAATCTTCATCTGGACATGCAGTTCGTGCCGACTACGCTTTGAACATTCTCGGTCGCAATTGACACATTCCGCGGCTCGAATCGCCCCAAGGAAGGTCCATATATACCGTGCCGCCAATTTGCGCCCGACAATGTCAAACTCTTGCATTTCCCTCTCAGGGTCAACTGCGTGTCCTGCCTGGAGTAGCTCGTCTATTTCGACCAATTCCAACCTATATTCGACCTTGTGAGTAGGAACGCGCCTGGTCAGACATGAGATGATTGCTGACAGTGCGCTACTAGCCCATTCCTCAAAACAGTAACGAACCTCACACAGTTCGATGATTCATTAAAAAACTATGTCCGAGGGACATATGTCTCATCAAAGTACGTGTTGGTCATCACCAAGGTACCGGGGAGTGACTAACATGCGCTCATAGGTATGAGGACTTGCTCGGTTGCCAAGGCCTCAATTCGAGCGCCCCTAACGACTACTATGCCCAGTATACAACTAGTGTCCTGTGTAGCAGCGTCGTGCAAAGCTCAATAGCCGACTGCAAACTTTCGACGAATGACTCATTACCAATCTGTGTCGACACATGCGCACTTTGGGCCCGAAGTGAGCAGGAGACCGTGGCCAATACCGACCTATGCGGCAAGAGCAACAAGGACTCCACGGATCTGATTTACGCCGAATTGACCATCTGCCAAAAACCAAGCGACGCCCTTTCTGGAGATTGTGTCAAGGGATCTGCGAACGAGCCCGAAAACTGTGGCTTTGCATCGAACACCATCGGTCTCTGCACTTATTGCGTCAACGGCACTGACAGCTGCTGCACGAAATCCAACGCGACGACCCGCTGCGAGGGTGTCGCGGTGCCAACTGTCACTCTACCACCTCTCACTCCCTCTCCGTCCGCCACCGCAGCTGCTAGCCATGGCCTGTCAGGCGGCGCCATTGCTGGAATCGTGATTGGCTCCGTCGTAGGCGCCGCCATTCTCGCTTCTCTTATCGCCTTCTTCTGCATTTTCATGCGCCGCCGCCGTCGTGAAAATCGGAACGAAGTTGCCCTCAACCAACCGAACCCACAGCGAAAGGGCGGGTCACCTTCGATGCAGCAGCCTACAAGTCCAACATACAACATCGTTCCGGGTGGTCGTGTCACACGGATGTCCGCTCTTCGCGAGATGCCTAGTTCGTCGCCTGCTTATTCGCGCACCTCTGCAGCCATGTACGGAAGCGGAGCCAAGTACAGCGACACGTCAGACTCAGAAGGCATGAGTGCCAGCCCAGGGGCTATGTCCAAGAGGATCCCTCCTGTGACTGGGAAACGCCACGGGTCACTTTCGAGCAGTTCGGTTCTGGCTGGACTAGAAAGCGACAGCTCGCCTCGCTCCGGTCCCACGAACCAATACTCTTCCCCCGAGCAAGTAACCAGTGGTCGATCAGAGCAGCTGTCGTATTTCCGCGATTACTACTCCCAAGATGAGATTCATGCGGGAGACAAAGTAGCCGTCCTTTGGGCTTACTCCCCCAGAGCGGGCGACGAGTTCGAACTTGACCGAGGTGAGATGCTCAAGGTGATTGGCATCTGGGACGACGGCTGGGCGACGGGTGTGCGACTCCCTGAGCGAGCCGAGGACCTAGACGTGAACCATCGCGAGCAGCGCGACAGTGGCGTCTCGAACGGCTCGCGCCTGCCTGGCACTTCGTCACCCTTGCCATCAGGGGAGATCAAGGCCTTCCCTTTGGTCTGCATCTGTCTACCGCAGCACTGGCGCAAGATCATCGACGGTGGCCAGGAAGACCAAGAAGTTTGAGCACGGCTCTCAATGCTCAGTTTTTCATGCAACTTACGTCTTGACGACAGCGTGTTGATGCTTCTGTTTCGTCTTCCAGCTTTCGCGATCGATCCCATGTGCTTTTCCATACACCTAGGGCTGGCCATCCCCCCCCCCCACCGACCCCAAGGTCGCCTCAATGCTCTTTTATACTCGTATTCGATATACCCCCCATTTTATGACGGTGTCATCTCGTCCTTTCCCTATCTTTGACATTATCTTACCTTCTTTCTTCACTTAATATGTGTGGAACCGGTCGCTGGCGAATCGGACTTGGCCATTGTGCTCTTTGACCTAGAGCATCTCTCGCCCTGTCTTTTTGCGTACTATACATCGGACTGCCACTTGGACCACTTCTATCCCGATGGATGACCCCGCCGAAGGCGGGTTGCTCAGAAGATATCGGACACATATAGTGCACGCTTTAATGTATGTACATAATTAGACCAATTTCATCAAAGCTGGACCTTGCTTGACATGCAAAATATCGTCTAGATACATAGAAGGAAGAGTGAGAGCTACTGAGGAGCTCTCTGTTAATTCCCCCACATCGGCTTTGTATCCACCCGTCGGCAAGTTTGGGAAATGGATTCATCCGGGCATTTCCAATCACGTATTTCCAACCACTTGATTTACTAATCCAACCCCTCTTGGAACCCCGGAATACGCAATGAAAACACATAATGGCGTCTATCACTTTATATAACTTACCTTCCTCTCCCTCCCTCCCTTCCTCTTCATTCTTTCACTCCGAACCTACCTAAGACCAACACATAATGTCCTCCCCAAAGCTCATCCTCTACACCAACCGTCTCTGCCCATGGGCCCACCGCGCACACATCGCGCTCAAGGAGACCGGCCTCGAGTACGAGGAGGTCACAATCGACCTGAACACCCCGCGCGAGCCGTGGTACCTTGAGATCAACCCCGTAAGCCCCAAACGCTCTCACCACAGCCTCACCATCCCGACATTGCATACTAACACCCACCCTTCAGCGCGGTCTCGTCCCGAGTCTTTCCTACAACGGGGAAATAATCACCGAATCCGGCATCGTCGCCCAATTCATCGCCGACGCGCACCCATCCCACCTCCTCCCCCCCTTCCTCCCCAGCTACAAACGCCCTCTACCGCGCACGTCTAACCTTCTTCGTCGACGCCTTCTTCAGCAAGGTCGTCCCGCACTTCTTCGCTAGTCTGCGTGCTGCCAATGACGCCGAGCGCGATGCCGCCGCCGAGCAACTGGTCGCTGCTATTGTGAAGGAGATTGAGCCCCTGCTGGCGGATACGGAGGGTCGCGGTCCATTCTTTGGTGGAAGTGAGAAGTTGACTTTGGCGGAGGTTCAGTCTGGATCTTTCTTGCTAAGGATTCTGGGTTTCGCGAAGCCGGAGCATGGCCTTGTTTCAAGCAAGTTTACTGCTTTGCTTGAGCAGACTCCGAGGTTTAAGCGCTGGGCTGAGGCGACTGTTGCGCATGAGAGTGTTAACTTTATCTGGGATGAGAAGGCTAATGCTGATAAGATGAGGGCTAAATTTGCGCCTAAGATTTAGGGATAGGTCTGGTTTTGATATTAGGAGGGTAGGAATGATCAATGAATACTTCAACAAAGGTCAATGCAAGCTTACATGTGTAAAATGTAGTATTTGGTACATGCAGACAAGAATAAATCATCTCCTGTGCTTCAATCAACCACTTAAACCACGTCAGTGGCATAGTGGGCCTGGGACAAAAATAGCCATTTGACGTGTCCCATGGTTGAAGGCCAATTTTAGCCTGCAGATGCCCACATTGGCAGCGTCGAGGCTCAACTGTTCACTCCTGTACATCTATGATATGCAGCTAGACTAAGTTGCTAGGAAAGTAATGTGATTTTGGACAACCCTAATGCTGGCAGCTGTGCCTGGTACGGATTACCTTACACAAGTCACTGGAGATTAGCCCCGAGACAAGGGAAGAGAATACTTAGTTAAGGAGCTTAGGCTCAGCAATAGCTTACGCGGAATTTCTATATCTGTGATCATGTAGCAATGCCCTCAATGACCTAGTCCTGAGTAGTCAAGCTAGGAATAGATTCAGTATATCAAATCTGCGCATGTCACTCGAGTTGTGAACTCATAGCCTCGTACCGAATACTGCAACGATGGCGAGTCTGATATCACGTGCAGCCACCCCCACCATGGCCAGGGCAACACCTGGGCAACGATTCACCCCTCAAACTCCATCTTCCCCGTCTCATACGTCTCCGTTGTTTGACCTCCGCTCCCTTCAATTCCTGTAAGTAATTGGTGAGCATGCCACTTGGAACACCCTCAACAATCCGAGAAACTCAGAAAACCCCTGAGTTTGCCCCATTTCAGCCACTGACATCGCATGCGAGTGTATCTAGACAGCCTTGTTTTTCTGTCACCCTCATCTAAAAAGCAGACATGTCGGTTAGTACTGATTCATACCCCTATGTTATAGAGTCTCAAGTCTAACCTCGATTTTGCGCAGCTCGCATCAGGGTAAGTCATCGACGTCTACACTTCCCGCACTCACGATCGGTTTCCCCTCACTGCTACCGTTTATTGACACTTTCCCCTTACAGTGTCCAGATCCAGGATGACTGCATCACCGCCTTCCAGGACTTCAGCCGGAGCCACGGAAAGACCAAGTACATCATCTACAAGATCGCCGATGACAAGAAATCGGTTGTCGTAGACTCAGTCGGCAAGGACCAGGACTACGAGGTCTTCCGTAACGAGCTCGCCGATGCCAAGGACAGCCTCGGTCGTCCCTCCCCCCGCTACGCCGTCTACGACGTTGAGTACGAGATTGCTGGCGAGGGCAAGCGGTGCGCATCCCCGTAATTGAGATTGTTGGCCTCCCACTGACCTGATTGTGCATACAGAAGCAAGATCATCTTCATCTCCTGGGTGCCTAGCGAGACCCCCACTCTCGTAAGTTTCCCACTCGAGTCTGGCTCCAGACCCAATAGCTAACCCTTTCGCTTCCTTTCAGTGGTCCATGATCTACGCCAGCACCCGTGAGGTTCTCAAGAACGCTCTCAACGTCGTCACTTCCATCCACGCCGATGACAAGTCCGACATTGAGTGGAAGACAGTCCTGAAGGAGGCCAGCGGTGGCAAGGCATAGATGTTAGCGCCGGCTGGATCCGGGCTGCGCGACTGGTAGGGGTGCGCCCTTGACGACCCCGCGGAACGTTCAACTCATAACCTTCTCTGCACACCGTTGTCCCGTTTTTCTTAGTTGCAATGCAAGACCGTTACGACTTGGCCCGTGTTTCATATTCATTTGGCGCGAGGCCCGGAGAGTCCTGATTTCTTTTTCAGCCTTTTCCCCTAAACTCTTTCCAAGCTTTCCATCATGGCTTGAGTTCCATCTGTATCAGATTGAGGGTATCGCGGGTAGCGGACAGGTTGCTGCATATTGGCTAGATTTCATATGATGAGCTCAAATGTGTCGTTCTGGTTGTGGAGTGTAGACTAGCTAAATAATTGGCAGCTCCTGGCCTTAACAACTAGGTCAGTGGTCGACTGGCTGGTGTGTATCCGAGCGGCTAAAGGTTCCGATGGTGGTTAAAAGACCCGAGAAGCTGGCTGAGATTGGAGAAAAAGACATACTGTCGGTCAAATAACGAATACTATTCCATAAACCACCAAGATCATGCCATATGGTGAGAATGATGATGCTTATCACGGGCAGAGACCCGGGTTGGGTCAGGAGCCAATGAGAAGGCAGCCAAACCCAAACCGCGCTAGTCCCGACCGGATCCTCGCCTTTCCACCTCACCACAAGAAACGTCTTCAAGTCATTCTCCATCCACGACCCCCCTCGACTCTCCCCTCAGCCGTGTCCTGGCGTGCTCTCTGGCTTTTTTAAACTCACAAACCGTCTTTAACCTCTCCAATTGAACCCAATTCGACGTGGTACTGCCACCTCCCACCTGCCGCACAATGTTTCTTCGCAACGCCGCTCGCGCTGTCCCTCGCAGCACCGCAGCCATCCGTGCTGCCCCGACTGCTTCTGTGAACGCTCTGCAGACCCGCTCTGCTTCGGACCATGCCATTCCCAACCCCACCCTCGCCAACATCGAGAAGCGCTGGGAGGGCATGCCCCCTCAGGAGCAGGCCGAGCTCTGGATGCAGCTCCGTGACCGCATGAAGGTCGACTGGCACACTATGACCCTCCAGGAGAAGAAGGCCGGTACGTTATATCCTTATAATATGTGGACGTGAAAGATGCACTTTCACTGCGACTACCCTGCGACTTCCGAGGCTATATGCCATGGAATGTCCGACCCCCCTCAAATGCACCAGGATTGTTCTTGCAATTGGCCATATTCACTGACATGTATCGCTTTTCTGATATAGCTTACTACATTGCCTTCGGTGCCCACGGTCCCCGCGCCCAGGCCCCCAAGGGTGAGGGCTGGCGCATCTTCGGCAAGGTGGCCCAGCTCACCGTCGTCTCCGTTGCCCTCTTCTACGGTATCCACTCATTCGCCGGCAAGCAGCCCGCTACCATGTCCAAGGAGTGGCAGGAGGCCTCCAACGAATACGCTCTGGTACATATTTCCTCATCCTCTTCCGACCGCCGTCGGAAGAAGTCTCTGCCCCTGGCAGCCCGATTGAACGATGCTAACCTATCGCGCTACAGAAAGAGAAGATCAACCCCATCCACGGCATCAGCAAAGAGGGTTACCAAGGCAAGGGCTTCGTCCAGAGCCCCCCTCTCGAGAAGTCATAAGTGTGCCGGTTTTCCGACCGGGAATAATTTGATATCTACGCATGACGGACGGCGGCAACCATCGCACGACCCAGGAGTCGTTTCTATTCCAAGCTACTCTTTCTATAGCCATGTTCAGCATGTCTATGAATCGGAGGATGGGCCTCCGCCCGTGCGCGCAGCCGTCGACTGTTTCCCATTTCTATCTTTGTTGGCCAGCATCCGAAAATGCGTGTATCCCGTACCGTGCTGTAATCAATGTATTCCTTTTGTAGCCATAGAGAATATGTTTTTCATTTTAGAATATATATCATAGAGCGTATATTTGTATGTTGTATGAATGTACATGTAGTATGTCCTGCGCAGGTCCGAGATGGCTTGCGGTACTACGGAGTTATTCGGAACCAATGCAGAAGTGCGGAGAATCCCTGTTTTTTCACAGCGGGACACGGTGGTTTCGATGGTGACGGAAGAATAACATGATGGATATGATATTTTGGATCTAATCATGAGTAGAATCACAGAATAATATGCATTTTATATGCTAACATAACATTAGCTTCAAGGAGGAGTATAAGTTCCGGACAATACGTTCTTATAAGGTTGACCCGGTTTCGGACCTAACACGTCAGAGATTTCCCATTCCACCTCGGACCAAAGGGCCATTGACCTTGATACATGCCAATTCCAATACCCCTGATAGTCAAACCCAACTGATATCTCACTAGAATATATCCTCAGGTCTTTTGCTTGGAGAACGATGTCAGGTTATTCAGACAATGCTGTGGCTCCCTGCACCCGGCCGCCAAGCCTGGGTGTGTGTGCGCGAATTCCAGGGCAACGGGCTGAGCTCCCTCGGTCAACACTTCACCACGGCACATCAAAGACAGTGAAGATTGAGATATCATTAAATTAATTATTCATATTCCAAAGAAAAACACTTCTAAACATTTAGATCAAGCTGTATTCCTTGTAGAAAGCTCAAGTTGGTGTTCGGTTCATCACGGGATCGTCGGCAAAACCGCCCCGGAAAGGCTAAGGGCGACCAGTCCCCATCCACCAACCTCTTCCCTTCCTCTTCTTCCCTCTTTTCCCGTTCCAACCTCACCTCTCCCTTTCATCACATTTAGCTCTTCAACACCGTCATCATGTTCAAGAGGTATGATTTTAAGATTTCAATATTCTTGATCTTTCTCTTTTCATTTTGATACTAATTTTAATTTCTCTAGCGGTCTCGCCCGGTCCTTTGGGAGGGCTGCTTTTGCCCGGACGACCCCCGTCGCCCGCGCCTTCCAGCCCATCCGCTCAAATGCTCTCCCGGCTCTTGCTCGTTACGCTAGCTCCGGTGCCCACCTGACCGGCAAGGTTCACCAGGTCATTGGTGCCGTCGTTGACGGTACGTGTTGTCGACTCCCTGATCGAATTGGGACCCTCGCGAAAATCTTTTCCCTGGACCCAATCCATCACCAAAACCATCGCAATCAACCCCAAATCATCAACAAAACCAGAATCTGACTTTCTATTCGCCATTTTACAGTGAAGTTCGACACGGATAACCTCCCTGCTATCTACAACGCTATCACCACCACCAACAACGGCCAGAAGCTCGTTCTGGAGGTTGCTGTACGTGATCTGATTGGTGGAACCTTGATTCAGTCGCATCAAAGCTAACAATTGCCTAACAGCAACACTTGGGTGAGAATGTCGTCCGTACTATTGCCATGGACGGTAAGCTTGAACCCCCTTCTCCCCCTTTCGTGGCCACCGTGTCGGTCTCCTTCCCGATCGGGAGACCCACCGAGTGCGCTGTCCCGACAACCAAGAGCTGCAACTAACGTCATGTTAATAGGTACCGAGGGTCTCTCCCGTGGTGTTGTCGCTGAGGACACTGGTGCTCCCATCAGTATCCCCGTCGGCCCTGCCACCCTTGGCCGTATTATCAACGTCACTGGTGACCCCATTGACGAGCGTGGTCCCGTCAAGGCCACCAAGTTCGCCCCCATCCACGCTGATCCCCCTGCCTTCGTCGACCAGTCCACCTCTGCCGAGATTCTCGTCACCGGTATCAAGGTCGTCGATCTCCTTGCCCCCTACGCCCGTGGTGGTAAGATTGGTCTCTTCGGTGGTGCCGGTGTCGGCAAGACTGTGTTCATTCAGGAGCTGATTGTAAGGATTCATTTTCCGATCCCCTTTGTGAAAATGTATAATTTGCTTACAATTTTCCCCCTTTAGAACAACATCGCCAAGGCCCACGGTGGTTACTCCGTGTTCTGTGGTGTCGGTGAGCGTACCCGTGAGGGTAACGATCTGTACCACGAGATGCAGGAGACTGGTGTCATCCAGCTTGATGGCGAGTCCAAGGTCGCTCTCGTCTTCGGTCAGATGAACGAGCCCCCCGGTGCCCGTGCCCGTGTTGCCCTGACCGGTCTGACCATTGCCGAGTACTTCCGTGATGAGGAGGGTCAGGACGTGCTGCTCTTCATTGACAACATTTTCCGTTTCACCCAGGCCGGTTCCGAGGTGTCTGCCCTTTTGGGTCGTATCCCCTCTGCCGTCGGTTACCAGCCCACCCTGGCTGTCGACATGGGTGTCATGCAGGAGCGTATCACCACCACCCACAAGGGATCTATTACTTCCGTCCAGGCCGTCTACGTGCCTGCTGATGATCTGACTGATCCCGCCCCCGCCACCACCTTCGCTCACTTGGATGCCACCACTGTGTTGTCCCGTGGTATCTCCGAGTTGGGTATCTACCCCGCTGTCGACCCTCTCGACTCTAAGTCCCGTATGCTCGACCCCCGTATCATCGGTGACGAGCACTACAACACCGCCAGCCGTGTCCAGCAGATGCTCCAGGAGTACAAGTCTCTCCAGGATATCATTGCTATTCTCGGTATGGACGAGTTGTCTGAGGCTGATAAGCTCACTGTCGAGCGTGCCCGTAAGCTCCAGCGTTTCCTGTCCCAGCCCTTCGCTGTCGCCCAGGTTTTCACTGGTATCGAGGGTACCCTCGTTGACCTGAAGGACACCATTGCCTCCTTCAAGGCCATCATTGCTGGTGAGGGTGACGATCTCCCTGAGGCCGCCTTCTACATGGTTGGCGACATCCAGGCTGCTCGCGCCAAGGGTGAGAAGATTCTGGCTGAGCTCGAGGGCAGCGCCTAAATGTAATTTTATCATTTGCTAGCTAGCGCCGTCATAACTTTCCTCCGTCTTCACAGCCCTTCCTCTCCTGGCTCACTCTTCCCCTTCCCCTTGTTCCCCTTTTTCTTTGTTGGTTCTCCCGGTTTCATTTAATTCCCTTTGTCAGAACATTCAAAATGTTCCAACGTTGTACGCGGACAACAACCATTTCCCCTTTTTGAGGCGTGTACATTACCCGATCTAAGAGAGAAAGCCAAATGCAACAAGAAAAGGGATTTGATTCTTCTCATTCTCAGTTCCGCTGCATGGTCGTTGTCCGCGTTGTTGGGAATCGTTGTTTGTTTCTTTCTAGACTCGCTCCGAAAGGACGAGCAGGGAATATGAAGTTACGGGGAGATACTGATATCGAAGATTGGTCTTTGGGATTTGGAGCTTGAGCTTGGGGTTCTGTTGGGCTTGGAGACGGGGAGAAATGCTTGATGAGCTGTCTATGTTAGCGAGTCGATGAGATTAGTCAAAGCCGGTCTGGATTGGAGATACCTTACACAAACCCCTTGACCGGCGTGTTTCATTATTCTGTGTATTTAGAGCTCAAAACCTGATTCTCGACATCTTTTCCTTTGTCACTTGTTCCTCTCTTTAGTAGATTGCTGTAGATGTGGCTGTATCATGTAGATGTTAGTATCGGTAGGGCATGTCTTATTAGGCTTGCTCATTCAGGGTAGGGCTAGCTGTCTGTAGTTCATCCTAAGGTTTCATAAGTTCGAGTACATCCAGCAACCTACCTATCATATGAATTCATCTAAGCTTCTCTTCATACCTAATGTTTCTCTCTATATCATCTGCAATACAAGCTTGTCTTAATCCACGCTCTCTAACTACCCATGGATACTACAATGAATCTTCACGATAAAACAGTATATGAGATATGCAAACCAGGCTAGACAAAGATTTAAAAAACAAAAGAAGATGCAGATATTAGACACGAATTAGCCAGACTCTAAGACAAAACAGTCCAAGCATATTATAGCAAAGATCAGAGAGGAGCACTGTTAGGACCAGCCATGACGGTTGGTACTCCAGTCAAGACTCAAGACTCAGCCGCATGTAGCTACGACGAATGTAAGCAGCGCAGCTTACAGAGTGCTTTCCAGAGCAAGGACCTGCAAAGAAAGAAGATGTCAGCAAAGTACCCGAAGAAGAGATAACACAGAGAAAGGGAAAAAGAGAAAGAACATACCAAAGCCGTCCTCGTAGGAATATAAACCTGCACAAAATTCTTCCTCCCATTCCACTCCAAATCCGTCGTAAAGAACCTGGTCTCCTTAAGATTCCTCCCCAGCCCGCCAAACACCTTATCATCGGTATCAAGCACAATACGATAAGTGCCGGCGACCTCAACGCCAACGCGATAATCCGTGAAGCTCTTGGACGGATTGAAATTGAAAATGAAGAGCAGACCGGCCCTTTCAAAGACAAGCACTTTGTCGGTCTCGTTCTTCAAGCTGACGTACGCCTGCGGAGACGCAAGCCAGCCGTACTTCTGCTCGGCGTGCTGCATGCCGCGGTCGAATTCGTTCAGGAACTGGTAGCGGAGGAGTTTGTCTTCTGTTAGGTTTAGCTGGCGACGGGCGTACCAGAAGGAATTGTTGTTTCCTTCGCGGGGGAAATCCAGCCATTCTGGGTGGCCGAATTCGTTGCCTTCGAAGTTTAGGTAGCCTTCGCCGCCCAGTGAGTGGGTTACTAGGCGGATCATTTTGTGGAGGGCCATGCCGCGTTCGATTACCGGGGTGAATTCTGTGAGGGTGGACATGTGGGTGTACATTTCTTTGTCGCAGAGCCACATCATTAGGGATTTGTCGCCGACGAGGCTGGGATTTGTTAGTTTGGTTTTGCGTTTGTGGAAGGGGAAAAGGGAGGGCTTACGCTTGGTCGTGGCTCTCGGCGTAGGCGATGGTCTTCTCCCCGTGGCGGCGGTTGGTTAGGGTGAAGGAGAGGTTGCCCATGTCCCACTCGTCGTCGGTGCTTTCCTTTAGGAGCTTGATGTACAAGTCGGGGACGGCCATGGCTAGGCGGTAGTCGAAGCCGACTCCTCCGAGCTTGTGGGGGAGACACAGAGCGGGCATGCCAGAAACGTCCTCGGCGACTGTGATGCACTCTGGGTAGAGTTCGTGTAGCATCTCGTTGGCGAGTGTCAGGTATGTGAGGCCCTCTTCGTCGACGGATGGGCCGTAGTACTCGTGGTATCCACCAGAGAAGCCACTATTTTTCAGTTAGCGAGGGGGCGCATAGAGTATAATAGAGAGCAGTTGCACATACGTTCCGATACCATGGTGTGTGTAGAGCATGCTGGTCACGCCGTCGAAGCGGTATCCATCGAACTGGTATTCCTCCATCCAGAAGCGCAGGTTACTCAAAAGGAAACGCAGCACCTCGTGGTTCCCATAGTTGAACAGACGGCTGTCCCACAGCTCATGTCGGCCCTTGGCGCCCCCATGGAAGTAAAGGTGATCCGTTCCATCGAACTCATTGAGTCCATCAATGACGTTCTTGGAAGCATGGCTGTGGACCACATCAAGCAGCACAACCAGTCCAAGACTGTGGGCAGTATCAACAAGCTCCTTCAGATCCTCTGGAGAACCGTAACGGCTGCTGGCCGCGAAGAAGTTATTAACCTGGTATCCGAAGCTAGCATAGTAAGCGTGCTCCATGATGGCCATCAGCTGGATGGCATTATATCCGAGATACTTGATGCGGGGCAGCATATTCTTCGTGAACTCCTTGTATGTCGCGACCCGCGTCTCGGGCGACGAGATGCCGACGTGCGCTTCATAGATGCGCAGGCTCTCGGGCTTCTTGGGCCGCGGGTGCTGGAACTTGTAGCGCTCTTCCGCGGGCGGGTTCCAGAAGACAGCATCGTATGCGGGGGACACTGTGAGGTCTTGGACCACACGCTTGATCCATGCGGGGAGACGGTAGATACGCTCGCCATTGGGGAGCACCATTGTGATCTGTAATTGGTTAGCGCGCCCATCTTCTATCTTTTTTTTTAATTCTTATCAATGGGCATGGATGCTTGCCTTGATCTTGCTGTCATGGGGAATAGCGGCCGCGCCGTCCTTTGCCGGAACCGTTACATCCCAGATGCCGAACTCGTTCCTCGTCATGGGGTTGGCCTTGGGGTCCCAGTTGTCTGCCAGTCTCAGTCGAAGCTCCTGAATCATTTCCTGTATAACGTACTAAATTCGCCGACCAAAGAGGCCTCAACTGCATTGGGGGCCCATTCACGGTATCTAATCTCGCCGTTTGGTTGCGCATGCAGACCGAAGGTTTCGTAGCCCTGATAAGGGAATTAGTATGGTGAATCGTAGTGAAAGGGGATCAATTCACCTTGCTGAACTTGTCCAGACCACCTTCTGTCTCTTTAATCGTCTTAGCCCAAGTTTCGACCACTTGGAATCTGTGTTTCAAGACATCGCGATGCGGTTCCAGCCATGGGTCTAGCTGGATGACACCTGTAGGAAGTACAATTAGTACAAGATTCAATTAGCATTTGCATAGTAGCTCACCTGTGCCATCTGTGGGAATGGAAGTATCTGTCGACATTTTGAGGGAAATTGAGAGCTTGAGGGGGAGAGAAGATGGGGAGAGTCTAGAGGTCCAGACCCAGATCAAGGAAGTCTAGCGGGGAATCTCAACATGTGACATCAACCCCTCAACGCTTTGTCGATATTTTTAGGGCTTTAAAGTGGAATTAAAGTGGGATTTTATTTTCGAATGCTCTTCGTTCTATTCTATTCATACGTTGACCCTCTAATTCTGAACAAGATCCTTCTCCAAGCTGCCTTGCTTGAGTGGGGTTGGTGGAGAGCTCATCGCCGGGAACGGATCCGCTGTCAGGAACAGACCCAGGCAGTTTACCATAGCTAAGCTACATACTGCGATAATACTTCCCACCTCCTATACTATTCTCGTTCTCTATCATGAACTGTGTCCGAAAATAACACAATCAAGCAGGTACCCGTCTAGGCACAGAACAAGGTCACACTGTTGAATCTCTACATGTTGGACAACTTCACTCGTCTAGGCGGCAGGCCAATCTCTTGCCGTTTTCCAAGTGTGAGTCTGTCACTGTCTGTGCCCGTGACTCTATTAGCCCTAGACAGGCGACCCAGCATTGAATTCAAGCCTTGGCTCTTCTACTTCATACATATGGCTATACAATAGACTGCACATCTGACGACTAGTAATCTTTGAATGCTACTCCAGAAATAGCCATCTTTGTCTTGCTCAAGGGCAAAGACTCGACAAAGATTCAAAGAATACTCCCCTTGCATCGCTGATTGTCTTCTTTGTCCACGAACATAGTCTTTGTCTACTAGACTCATCCCTCATCTATGAAAATCACATAAATAGGCTGGAAGTAACCACCCTTCAAACTCTCATCACCAAGCAACTCCTCCTCACAGTCACAACACCCATCCCAATCCAGAACCAGGTATTTACTTCCATCCCAATCTCATCCACACCACAGCCATGTCTCACTGCCCCGTCCACCGCCCCGATGGAGCCCACAACTACGAGAAGCAATTCCTCGCCGCTGGCGAAGACTTCATCATCAAGTTCTGCGACGAGCGCCGCTACCTCAGCCTCGGCGACTCTCGCCGCTCCAAGACCATCCGCAACCTCCGCAAGCTCGTCAAGCAGCTGGACGCTATTATCGATCTCGCCGAGATGATGGCCCGCTACGAGCCACGCTGCAGGACTATCCGCTTTAAGCCCACGGACCACTTCCACGGTGAATTCCAGCGTCTGGTCACCGAACGCATTACTCACCCTATAGTGCAGGCTATTGAGGATCTGGAGGCCGCAGAGGAGGCGGGTCAGGAGCTCGACACTGCTGACTTTATGGTTGCTAATGATTTGTTTCAGATTCAGGATTATAATCCTTTGTTGACTTGGGAGCCGTTGCCGGAGAGTATGGTTTATACTGAGACTCGGTGGGGTGTTCGTGGTGTTCACTGATTTGGTGAGTTTCAAGGTTTTATTGGTTTATTGTAGAATGTTTTGATTGAAATTGAACTGTGTTTGGTCTAATTGGCTTCATCTTCTGGACTTGTAGACTAATCACGAGAGATTAGATCGTCTAACTAGTACCTAACTAGAGGATGTGTTCTAACATCTAATTATAGCACGGATCGCGACATCTTCACTTTTACTTCTCTCAGTCTATTTGAATTTCAACTCAACCTATTATGTAGAATTGATTATATTCACCGTTTAATATCCAGAACACAGACCATTTCGAAGCAGCCCACAGTAACAGGGGCAAAAACACCCGATCGGGCGCTGCACGCCACGCCCCGCACAGCCCCCAACCACTCGGCAATTTAACGTCGAATTTCACTCTCCAGGCCCATTGCCGATTCAAAACTCAAACATGTCACATACAGTAGGCAGCCGCCCATCCCAGACCACCGCAGCCCGGCTGCTAGCCGACACCCTATACGAGTTAACGCGCGGGACGACACTGACCAACCAAGCCCACAACGAGCTCGGGTCACTTCTCGCCGCATTGACCGCGACCGAGACGTATCTCTCCTCACTAGATGCAGGCTGCGTGCATCTCGCAGTCTTGAATAAAAGAGTGCGGAGTTGTCATGGCGTCCTGCTGGAATTGCAAACGCTGCAGTCGCAGCCCGATATGGTTGGAGCTCAGAGTCAGGTATCTGAGATAAGAGCGCGGCTTTCGTCGGTGACTTCTGCGCTTGATGAGGTCAATGCGAATTTGATGATGTGTGTCGATGGTTAGCTTTGGGTTTTGTTTGAGTGCGTTTTTAACATTGCTATAGATCGTGTCAGAGGGAGATTGAGCGTGCGGTGAGCTGTCTTGCCGATGATATTGTTGCTGGAAAGCAAGAAATTTCGCTTGTGACTGATGTCTTGAATTGCTCAACTTCTGAGAAAGAGGAAGCTTGGACACGACTGCAGAAGGCACTGGCTGCTGCCGGTATTGCTCCGCAATTGTCAAGTGAGAACCATAGTCTCATTATGTCGACTTTGCAGAAGTTCAACGAGGTAGATGCGCTGTCCATCGCCGAGGAGCAAACAGCACCAACCGATAGGGTCTCGGCTATGGAACCGACGCCAGTGCAATCGAAGCCTCGGGAGAACCTGGACGACGAGGACTGGTTAGCAGATGAACCCATTGGCCTTCCATTCCTCCCACTTCCACCCAAAGGTCTTTCGTTTTCAGATAGACCACGTTCATACCAAGAACTTCCACCAAAAAGCGTTTCATCCTCAATTAGACCACGTTCATACCCAGAACAGGTCCAGCCCTATCCCGAGAAAGAGGCACTTCTGGAAGGGAACCTCCCAATCCCCATTCCAACAGAGATCAAAGACTCTACCGACACCAAAGAGAGCTTCCCAATACCCCTTATGATTGAAATCCAAGATTCAACCGATACCCAAAAACAAGCCCTACCCACCCAACCATCAGAGAACTTCCCAATCCCAGTCCTCACCGAACAGCAGGAAGAATACCGCGACGCCAACCTCCCAATCCCCATATCCTTACCCCCATCTCCATCACCATCTCCAATCCCCCCAAAACCAGACCTAACCCCCTTCAAAGTGCCCCCAACCCCCAAACAACCCCACCGCCTAACCCGCCTCCTCTGGGACCTCACCAACTCAAAGGAACCCTTCATAACCTCCATAATAACCGGCAACCACCCGCAAGTGCAATCCCACCTCCTCAAAGGCGCCTCCCCAAACACCCAAAACACAACCTCCCAAACCCCCCTAATGGCCGCCGTCTCCTTCAACCACGAATCCATAACCCGTCTCCTCCTCGCCCACGGCGCAGACCCAAACACCCAATCCCTCTCCGGCGAAACAGCCCTCAGCGCCGCCGCCAGCCGCGGCTACGACCGTCTCGTCCGCACCCTCCTCGCTTCCGGCGCGGACCCTAACGCGGGACAGAATACAGGCAAGACGGCACTGGCACTGGCGGCTGCGTACGGACAGGACCGGATCGTGGAGCTTTTGCTGGGGTGCGGGGCGGACGTGGATGCGGTTGGTGGGAAGGGGGAGACGGCGTTGGCGGCTGCGGCTGTTAATGGGAATATGAGGGTTGCGGGGATACTGCTGAAGTATGGGGCTGGAGTGGATGTTAGGGGGGTTGGGGAGGGCGCAGACGCCGTTGTGGAAGGCGGTTATGGTGGGGGAGATTGGGATGGTTAGGCTTCTTTTGGTTTGGGGGGCGGATCCGTTTGTCAAGGTTGGGAGGGAGTCGGTTATGGAGTATGCGAGGAGGTTGAGGAGGGGGGAGGTTGTTAAGCTTTTTGCGGAGTTTGGGTTTTATCCTCTAGGGAGGTTTCAGTATTGTTGATGTTAGAGTGTGGGTTGGGGTGTTTTGTTTGGTACATTGAATCGGGATCCATGGATATGGTGGATGAGTGCGGTATTCAGGGCTTGCTCTATGTGGTAGTGTACTGTGTACTATCATCAACTTACACCAACACGTTATATTCAAAACAGTCTCTCGCATCTAAAGGAGGCAAAGAACACAATGCACGTTGTACTATCCTACATGTACTACCAAGATAGCAAGATCAGCTTAATTCCTAGCCAAATCCCCTGGATCTTAGTTATTATGCAGTACAGACCAGGTTAGACATAGACCCTCAGGCTCAAATTCTGCCTTACGAGGACCTCGTCTCATTAGAAATAGCACAGAGCCTAACACTCAGCCTCTCACTCTCTTGAAGTGATGCCCAGAGGGGCATTGATCAGTGGCGGAGCCGCAGTGGGGGGCTAAGGGGCTGTGCGATTGGTTGGCATTGTGATCGGCGGCTACGTCGGGGGCGTAAGAATGGATCTCGAACCGCCCCCAAACGGGGTAAAAGGCATGATTTTGGAGGACTGGGATATCATTTGCTGAGATTTGGGATAACCGGAGAATTCCAGGGTTGACATGTCATGCAGGGTACAGTTCAGAGGCAAATGCTAAACACGAGGTTGGCTATCTTGCCTCCTTGGAGATCTCCATCGAGATCTGCATCGTTGGTAGGAACAGGGGATATTGTGTAAGGTCTTTGGAAAGTGATATGATAGATTAATCGGTCGCAAATGAGCTGAATTTGAGATTCTTCTTTCGATACAGAATATGTCCAGTGTTGAGGTACTTTGTACATAGTTCTTAGGGTTTAGAGCAAGACGTCACAACTTGACCTCTAACATCTAACAGGGCAGTGTCTCACCTGCATGCTCCCCACATAAAACCCCAGGCAGTGCAAGAATCACAGCCTATCCATTAGCGACGATCCCACTGACCGCTCTCCCCGTACCCGTACCGACTTTTATATTAATAGCATCCGTATCTCAAGCCCTGCGGCTCTGCCATTGATCTCCATCAACCTCCTCAGCCCTCCCTCCATCATACACATAAATACCTCCTCACATCTCCCCAAACCAACATCCCCATAAGCCAGCTGCAAAATGCAAAACCCACACGCAGAAATGTACCCGCACAACCCAGACGCCATCACAACCGACCCATCCCACCCACCCGCAACCATGGCCCCCCTCAATACAGAAAAACAATACCCGCACCAGCCAGAGCCAGCACCAGAGTACGAAGCACAGATAGGCGAAAAGACATACCCAGGCCAGCAGCCTCCACCGGGACCACAGCAGTTCTATGCGCCGCAGACACAGCCCCATCCGAGCGGGTATGCTACTGCGGTGCCGTTACATGCTGTGCAGTCTGCGGCGACACCGGTTGATTGTCCTATATGTGGGGTGAGGGAGATGACGAAGGTGGTGCCTGTTAGTGGTGGGACGACACAGTGAGTGAATCTTTGAATACTTGATCTTGTACTTGATCTTGGTTTTGCTTTTAGGTGTCGGCGCTGACTGGTTGATAGTGGTTGGGCCGCTGTATTGTGTTTCTGCTGTTGTCTTGGCTGCATCCCTTACTTGATGTCGTCGTTGAAGGATGTTGAGCATTCTTGTGGACATTGTGGTGCTAAGCTGGCGACTTGGCATAATAGTGGACGGGTGCAGGTTTTCCAGAATGGTCCGAAGAAGTGATTTTTACTGTGTACATGTTACGTCTTATTTATGGCTGATCTGATTGAAATAATCTGAAGATATTATTTTTCGATGATACTAGTGGCCCTAGTAAGGTATCATAAGATGTAGGGCCAAGACACTCTCGGAATGGACCTCGTATCCGACAGCAGATGATCACTTGACCAAGACACAAAAAATCAGAGAGTAACTTTGAACCTCATAGACAACTCATCCTCCCAACCTAAGCCTTGGAAACAACCAAAATGCTCCGTCTAATCTTCACAACGACAACAATAATAACCACCTCCACCGCAATCTACCTCTACACCTTCCACGCACGCCTATCAAAACGCATAACCCACATCTCCCACCACGGGCCCCTCACCAAAGCCCCAGTCAAACCAAGCATCCAATCCCTCCCACCCCAACTCTCAAACAATGATAGCAATGACTTCATAACCCTCTACGACCGAGCCTCAAAATGCATCCCACTCTCCACCCTCCCCAGCCCCGACATCCCACACCTCTTCACAAACCTAGTCCGACGAAACATGACCGCCTTCTCGCGATTCCCACAGGCACTGCTTCTCGCCATGGCCAGTAAAACGTCTGAACAGAAGCGCAGTTTCAAGAAAGAGTATCTTGCAACGTCGGATTTCGAGGTGGGCGACTTGGTCTGTGGTGTTTATCGTGTTGTGTCGAGAAGTGCGGATCGGGTGGAGTTTGAGATGGCGATGGAGAAGATGGAGTTTGTGCAGGGGAGATTGGGGATTAGTTACAGAGAGGAGGGTGGGAATGTGGTGTTTTGTAGTGAGACTGTTATGTGGAAGAGGGCGGATGAGGGGAGGAAGATGCCATTGGAGAGAGGGGTTGTTAGGTGGTTGCATGAGATTGCTTCTTGGTGGTTAATTGATTCTGGGGTTAGGTATTTGGTTGATTTGGAGGGTTAGGTGAAGTTCAGTGTTTGTTTCGTTTCGTGTCGTGTCTATTGCATGAGACATTGTGTACATTGTGTGAGTTGGATATAATGGGTTTGTGATGGTTTGGATATAATGGATGTTTAGATGTTTTTTCCCCTTCTTTTCTTTCATTACTTCTCTCTCTGCAAATGTTTAGTCGGGTATTCTTGTGAATCTCTTTGTCCAGATCAAAGAGTATCAAACTGAGACCGACAAATTCCCTTGGCCATCTTTGTTCACTATCCTCATTGTTCCCCTTCGACTCCGACCTTCTCACACAGGAATCCCCCAATCTATCTAGACAAACTTATATAAACCATGATCCTCATGATGAATAACACAGCAGAGCACTCCCTCATTGATCCCATCCCGCTCTCATCCAATCCACTCCTTCAAAATGTGCAAACACACCTACCATCACTACCCCAGCTGCGGCCACATCTCCAACTGGAGCATGACCAGCTGCCAAGAATACACCAACAAGCTCCGTCTGGCCGGTCCAGAGCGCAGCACCGCTTGTACGAACATACATGCCTCCCACGACCTGCTCCTCTCCGCGCAGCCGAGTATGTGCGTGCAATGCGAGAGCGACTGGGCCGAGAGTTTACGTCGCGAGAACCTCCCCAAGGTGTCCAGAGCTTATCGGGTGATCGAGGGCTTGGATGTGTCAGGCAATCTCATTGAGATTGAGGCGCGCATGGTGAGTGGTTCCTATGGTAGGGATACAGGCCGTGCTGACTGCGCTACTCAGGTGTTCTTGGATGATGCCAAGGTGGACACCCGTGAACGCCTGGTGGATGAGAAGGAAAAGGCCGGTGCTATCTTGAAGTTGTCTCGTAGGAATCCGAAGTCGGAGGAGATTGCCGCTCGGATTGTGGATTGGACGGAGACGGTTTCTGCTTCAATTATTGATGCGGACGTTAGCGGCTGTCAGCTTGTGGAGACTGACCTGCCGGACGTTGAAGAGACATCGGAGACACAGAGTGGAAGTTGCAGTGAATCAAGTGACTGTGGCTCGCTGTGTGGATCTGCGCTGATGAGATATCATATAATCAAGCTTCGGGTTGACGAGTATCTTCGACAGCGAGAGCTGGAAGAAGAGATTCAGAGGGATACCGACGTTGACAAGCACAACAGCGAGACATTCGGTATCGATGAGTGTCCTCCTGCCGTAGATGACTACCTTGATACCCCAAAGATCACATCTATAGACCAAACAGAAACCCAGAATGAAGAACCCAACTCACCCTCTATCAATCAAACAGAAACCCAGGACGACGAACCCAACTCACCAATCGACATCGACCTCCTCCAGCAACGCATCGAAGCAACCGTCCGCAAGCGCATAGAAGAAAACAACACAAAGCAAACCCATCAAACAGCCATCTCCACCCACCTCGACGCAGCCCTCCTCCAAAAAGACCGCATCTCACGCCTAGAACGCAACGCCGACCAAGGCATCGAAGAAGACCCCCATCTCTGGGCCACCGAGTCCGACACCGATCCCAACCCTACCACCAACACCTCCCGCACCGCCACACGCAACCACGCCCTCCCCCAACCCATCATGCACCTCTACATAGGCACCCTAACCGCCTCAACCGCCTTCGAAGCGCACACCCGCGGCCTGCGCAGCATGCACCCAGGCCCAACCCCGGGCACGTGGGAAGGGTACATGCGGGCATTCTCGGCATCGGACGCGAAACGCATGGACCTGCAAGATCCCGTGCACGTGCGCGGGTGCTGCGCGTCCCGACCCGCGCCCTTCCATCTCTTCTATGGACTGATGCACGCGTCGTCGGAGTACGAAGCCGGGAGACGCTGGCTGGAGGATATTCGGCGGACTGGAAGGAAGGGGGAATTTTACGGGCTTTTACGGGCGGATGATGAGGGTCAGGCGCGGGGGATGGGATTATCGGAGATTCGACATCCGTGGGGGTGTTGTGTTGAAGGTGGGTTTGTGTTGCCTGAGAGGGTGAGACATGTTTATCGGGGGGTTATGAGTGGTTCTAGGGAGGAGGTTGGGGGGAGGGGATTTTGTGTTGAAGAGGAGGGGCATGAGGGGGAGGGGGAGGGAGAGGAGGGGTTTTATAGGGGGTTTGTAAAGGCGAGTAGTAAGTTGGAGGCTATGCAGATGGGATTGAAGGAGGTTGAACATGCTGATGATTGTGATGTTTGCGTGACCGAGGTTGCAGGTGAGTTGTCGATCTCGGTGCGGTATTATGGTTACATGTACGCCAAGTCGGAGGAGGAAGTTGTCAATAGGGGTTTACAGGGTGTTTTGCTTGTGCCGGGGTTCGATATCAAATACTCGGGTTATGTGCGGGCGAGCTCAGAGGAAGAGGCTAAGGCGATGGGATTGTTTGAACCTGCGCGTATTGGGAGTGATGATAAGCCGGATGGATTTCTCGGTTCTTAACTTCTTTAACTTCTTATTTTATGTCTGAGTTTCGGCACATTTCGTGCATTGACTCAATTTTAGGACTTTTTTTATCTTCTCATCGGTCTGCGAATTTCTGTGACGACATTGTGGGATCGGGAATCGACCGAATCGAGTCTTAGATGTTGATCTTTTCTGATCTTTTCTGAGGGGTTCATGGATGGAAACAATAGTCTCGGAATTAGATGCTAAACTACATTTGGGGACGTTTTAGAAGGGATGTATGAGCTTATTCATAAGTTGTAAGCTTTGAGGTATTTATCTCTTCCAAGGAACTCTCAGTTATTTGTATTTCTTCTGTCTCACAGAGACACAGGCAGAAATGCCTAGAGGTACTGAGAGAATGTGCCCTAATTACCCCTGAATCTACTACTGACAAACATTGATTCAACCATACTGCACGAGGTTAGATCTCGATCTCATCACAGTCACATAGAAATGGAATTGTGCTCAACAAGGTGATTCAACAAATACAGGAATGATCGCCTTTGTCTCCAGCTAAGTTCGTTAAAATCGATAGTTCGTGCAGTGGATTCAATAAACCTCCCAAACTTTGCCCTGCCAAGAGATCTTATAATCTCCAAACATCATCTCTGGCCAATCACACTTCCTGCCCACTTGACAAATACCGTGCTGGAGGTAACTGGAGTCCTTTTCACTTCCCCACTTCCCATCACAACGGCATTGCGACGGGACGGCCTGCGATCGGAGCCCCACAACGCAATGTCCCAGCAGAGTAAATGGAGTACGCAACTGGCTCTCTGCCCTCTGTTGGCCAGTGTTGGCCTTTGCTGGCCCTCTCCGGAGTACTAGCCCTGATCCTTCCACGATCGACAACATCGTGACGCCGAAAACCTGGTAAGAGGATCCACCCACATCGTGCATGTGCTACAACTCCCACGGCCCTTAAAAAGATCACGACCCGGCACTTTGGAAGAAGCCAAGCGCTATCCAACTTCACACACATTCCTTAAGCACTCTTTGCTCTTCTTCCACCATGGGTTCCGAATACGGTAACACGGCTGAGACCAAGCCGCAAATCGATCTCGGCCCAGTTACTATCTGGTGGGCTGTATGGGCTTGTGTATGGACATCTGCCCTCGTGGCCGGTATGGCCTATCTGATTGTCCATCGCAACATGCCCACCTTGAGGATTAGAGGCCTCGCACTGTCATTAACGTCTATCGTTGTCCTTCATTTATACTGGGTGCCGACCCAATTCGGAACTATGCTCGGCCCTGTCTTGCCGGGAGATTGTGGCTATTGGCTTATGGGGACTTTGTTGCCCTGTGGCATGGCCCTTTTCCATGGCTCTAACACTCGTTTCCAACATGTCGCTAAACAGCAGCGGAAATTTGCTCTGGATGGCCACCGTCTGGTGGAGTCTACGCCTATGGAGCAGAAGGATGGGTTGCTCAATCGTTTCAAGCAACTCAGATATACTACTAAGATTCTGATTTATGTTGCTATTGCAATGTTCGCTCAGGTATGTTTCTCTAACACTCTCTTTCTCTGTTCCATGCTAACTTTCCAGGTCTTCCTCACAATCCTCATGTGGTTGATCTCCCGCAAATACCACGACTCATGGGGTATTCCTGGCACCGAAGTCACCGGTACCCCGGCAGAGAGACTCGCAAAACAGGGTGCAGGATGGGAATGGTGGCCCGGTGTAGTCTCGCAGTTCTTCTGGTCCTGGATCGTTGCCCCCATCGTTCTCTGGAAGTCCCGCAAGATCCACGACACCCACGGCTGGCGCGTCCAGACCATCGGCTGCGCGGTTTCCAGTCTCCACGCTACCCCCATGTGGCTCATCGGTCTCTATGTCCCCGCCATGGCCCCAGTCAATGCCGTCTGGGTGCCTCCTCAATGGTGAGTTCCACAGTCCCAACCCGCTCAACACAACCACTAACACCCAATAGGATCTGCCTCTCCATCATGATCATTGAAATCTTCACCGTCTTCCTCCCCTGCTGGGAAGTAATGCGTCACCAATCCCTCCGTCAAGAAACCCTCGAATCCATCGCCCGCTGGGAACAAAAGGTCAAATCCACCGGCTCGGAAGCCAAATCCGTCAACTCCGACGCAACAGTCGTCGCCTCCCTCATGTCCGGCTGGAAATCCAACTCCTCCAGCAGTACCATCAACTCCCGCGACAGCATCCTCACCATGGGCGCCCTCGAGCACGTCCTCGAGCGCAACCCCGCCCCACTGCAAGAATTCTCCGCCCTGCGCGAATTCTCCGGCGAAAACATCGTCTTCCTCACCAGCGTCGCCGAATGGCGCGCCCACCTCCCCGCAGCAATGAAAGACCCCGCAGCCCGAACCGATAAGAAGAACCGCGACGTCATCCGCCAGCACTTCAATCGCGCCCTGCACATCTACGCCGAGTTCATCAGTACCCGCCAAGCCGAATTCCCCGTCAACATCTCGCATCAGGATCTCCGCAAGCTGGAAGAAGTCTTTGAGAAGCCTACGCGTCTTTTGTACGGCGAGGAGCGCGAATGCGATCCCACTAGTCCCTTTGACAAGTTTACTTTCGATCTGCCTTCTCCTGCTTCTACGGACTCAGAGAAGACGATGCAGGCTTCTATGGCGGGCGATATCAAGGACCGCGTGCAGTACTGGGGTGATATCCCCGAGGAGTTCAATGCTACGGTCTTTGATGCTGCCGAGGCTAGTATTAAGTACCTTGTGCTGACGAACACTTGGCCTAAGTTCATTAAGGATCGTCGGACTTCGGTTGATTCCTTTGAAGCTCTCAAGCTTGAGGTTTAGATTCTTGGATTTGGCCTTTGTGCATGCGAAATGAGTTCAAGTCGTTTGATATGAGTCGGGCTGTTGTTTATGGATTCTCTCTTTCTAACTTTCTTTTTCTTTCTGGGTACTCCTTGCTCTCGTTGAAGGGTTGTACATATTTGTCCCTTTTGGTTCTTTTGGTTGGATATAATTTCTCTGGATACCCACATACTACGCAGTACATACTGTCTATTTCTTATTGATAATATTATCGAAATATTCTTTTCTTCCCTTTCTTGTGACTTAAAACGTACTACCTATCCATGCTTGTATGCTTCGAACCAGACCCGGGCCGCATATATCATGTCTTTTATCAGATAGGTGTCTAAGGACGCCAACCATCTCTTATGATACCTAAAATCTGATCTTTCACCGACAGCAGACCTCTGATCTAGTGGGTCTCGTATTGTTATGCCTCTATTGCTATCTCAACCATGACTCCTGAGTGTTTGCTGCGCCTTCCATTCGCCCGATCAGGAAATTGGGCTGCCTCCGGGCCTCCGGCCGAGTCTGGGCGACAATTCTTTTGACTTCGGACGATATCATGCTGCATGCTTCTACCTAGACCAGCCCTAAGTCGGCTGATACATACAAATCAAAAGACGCAGCTGGAACCAAGTGAAAGAATCAAAAAGTGGTATATAGAATATAACAAAAGTAAAAACAACTGAAAATGCAAAGCCCTAAGTTAACACATCACAGCCCCTACCGCCCCCCTATTTTTCAAAAACCTTAATCACACTAGCACTCCCCTCACCCCCCAATCCAGCCCTCTTAGCCATATACAACACACTCAACGCAGCATTGCCCAGATTCAACGGACAATGCAAATCCCTTGCCTTCTGCACGGCCTTCTCCAGACGCGAAACAGCCTCCTCAAGTTTCTCACCCTCAGCACGACCCTCAATCATCTCCAATCCCTTAGTCATGAACTGCCGACTGGAGCCAGCAGCATCGCTGACTAGTTCATAGAACTGCTTCAGATCGACATTCAAGAAACGCGCAAAGGACACAGCCTCAGCCGCTGCTACGAGGTTGGTCACTTCCATCATATCCAGCACTAACTGCGTAGCTTCGGCAGTCTCGTCCGCAGACATGGCGCAAGCGACTTTCGTAATGGGCTCGGCGAAGTACTGTCGCACCATAGATGAATCATCGACTGCGCCGTATCCCTGCAATAAAGCGGAGAGATAGACCTGTTCCGCAGTTGAGCAGAGGGGTGTTGGGAATTGGCTTTGGCGTGCGGAGGTTGTGATGATGCCCTAATCAAAAACCAATTAGCACCAATACCAACACAGACAATTGAATCAGCAGAGATAGAAAGTTCCAAAAACTCACCACATCCTTAAGAATAATAGTCAAAGCACTAGCACCAGGATGCCAATCCTCCTCAAGCATCCTCTGCAACCTATTCTCATGCATCCAAGACCAAGCCCGACTCCCCTTAATCATCTCCGCAGTCTTAGCAGCATCAAGTCCCAGTTTCGCAGCAAGCCCTTGCGCCTCACTAGCCCCCAGAATATGAATCCCAGCAAGAACCTGGTGCACCATCTTCATATTACTGCCCGCGCCAATACCACCGGGAACAAGATACAGTTTCTTCGCATCCGACATCTCCTGCAACAGGAAGCGGCCCTTTTCGAGCGCGGAATCAGATGCTCCGGCCATGATGGACAATGTGCCTGCTGCGGCACGGATTGCGCCGCCAGAGACTGGGGCGTCGATGAAGTTGATATCTGCGCGTCCGACTGAAACGAGCTCGGCGGAGACGGATTGCGCGTAGGAGGCTGGGACGGTGGAGCAGAGGAGGAGGGTTGCGTTTTGGGGGAGAGCTGTATATGTATTAGTTTCAGCCTTTCAGGACAAAAATGTATCTAAGTTGAAAGTGTGGCTTACCTGCGACAATACCCTCGTCACCGAAGAGCACGCTCTGCACCTGCGGCGCGGAGGCGACCATGCAGACGTAGTAATCGTTGTCCTTGGCGGACTCTTTGAGTGAAGAGGCGGGGATACCGCCTGCGGCTTTGAAGCGCTCGACTGATGCGGGGAAGACGTCGTAGCCGTGTACGGGGTAGCCTTGCTTGACTAGGTTTGTGGCCATGCCGAAGCCCATGGCGCCGAGGCCGACGAAGCCAATTGACGGTTTGGACATTGCTAGGTATTGGAGGGGGTGTACCGGTTGAAACTTGAGTGGGATATAATATGGGCGGAGCGTCGCTTTTGTATATGCCACAGTAAAATCAATTGTATCTATCAAGACTGGGCGTGGGGGTTTTTATGAGGGAATATGGGGGGAATGGATTCGGGAGAACTCCGAGGAAGCCCTTGGCTGTCGCTGCGGGCCGAGTTTTGGTGCTTTGCCACGGGTTAGGGGCTGTCCGGGGTTATGGCTGGTCGGTTAATACAGATCAATGCCGAGATTGTTTTATTGTTTTCTCTGTTCTCGTTGGTGGAGTTGTTGGGTGATGGGAATCCGGGGAGTGGACGGATTTTTCCCGACTTTGTTTAGGCTGAATTTACTCTTGGCTTTCTTTTTGGGTATCTTGTGTACGGACTACGGAGTACAGCAGTAGAAGGAATGTGTATGTCATGCAGATTTGACCTTTAACCTAAGTATGTGTAGTAAACACGCCCGTCTATGCTGCTTATGGAATCCAGTTACTGCCAACTGGTGGATGTTGCCAGTCTTGAAAAGACTCAGACCTGTCCAAGTGGCTCGCATTCAATTGTCAGTGTCTTTTCGTTTCTTATAGAGTAGAACGGCAATCGCTCTCATTTGACCTGCTTAGACTAGGTACCTTGTTGATATTTGCTCCAACCATGTACTCATTTTGCATGCTGGCTCAACAAGACAGACTTTCAAAACACAAACACCCGTGGACACTAGCAGATGACAACTATCCCACACTATCCCACCCCACTGGCAAATTGCACAAGATAAACCCCACGTTACCCCAGCCAAGGCCCCAAATCATCTCGTGATGCCCCGCGATAACCAAGTGACGTAACCGGAGTAACTCCGACCCCCAGCCTCGGACCCAAAGCGACCCGATCAACACAACCCCTCGGAGTATATAACACAAATATCCATCCTCGTTCCTGATTCCCAAAGCCAAAAATACAAACCCTTTTCCAATCCCCTCACCTCCATCCAAACACAAAATGCCCAAAGAAAGCCTCAAAGACAACCGCGCCCTGCGCATCCTCGACCACGCCTTCGAAAACCACTACGGCGTGCCAGCCATGTGCTGCTACAACGTCGAAGGCATCCTAGCGACCGTCCGAGCCGCAGAAGCCAAACGCTCGCCGGCGATGATCCTCCTCTTCCCGTGGGCCATCCACTACGCGGACGGCGTGCTCCTCCACGCGGCGGCCGAAGCCGCGCGCAAAGCCAGCGTCCCGGTATCCGTGCACATGGACCACGCGCAAACGCCCGAGATAATCCGGTACGCGGCCGACCTGGGCGGCTTCGACAGCATCATGGTCGACATGTCGCACTACGAGAAAGCCGAGAACCTGGCCCTGACGCGCGAGCTGGTCGCATACTGCAATGAGCGCGGGATAGCGACTGAGGCGGAACCGGGCCGCATTGAGGGCGGGGAGGATGGGGTTGCGGATACGGCGGATTTGGAGGGGCTTTTGACGACGCCGGAGGAGAGTAGGGAGTTTGTCGATACGGGCATTGATTGGTTGGCGCCCGCTTTTGGGAATGTTCATGGCGAGTATGGGCCCCGTGGCATTCAGTTGGAGTATGAGAGGTTGAGGTCGATTAATGAGGCTGTCGGGAAGGAGGTTAGGCTTGTGCTGCATGGGGCTGATCCGTTCACTGAGGAGATTTTCCAGAAGTGTATTGATTGTGGGGTTAGCAAGATTAATATTAATAAGGTGCTCAATAATGAGTATGTGAAGGTGCAGGCGGAGAAGGCCGGGAAGGTGCCGTTGACTACGCTGCTGGAGGAGGCGACTAATGCGATGCAGAAGGCTGTTGAGGGGTGTATGGATCGGTTGGGGTCCAGTGGGAGATATCCTAAGGCTTAGGGGTGTTTGTATGTGGAAGTGAATGTGAATGAAGTGTTCTGATCGTCTTATGTTAGATGTTATTATTTCCGTGAAGTATAAGAATTAAATTCTGTGGATATATGAAAATGATTGCCAGAGAAACAAAAGTGCCACCGATCCATTGCCAGAAATGAGGTACAAAAAAGAGTGACAGTGACCAACATGGGCACGTAGAGCAGACCAGAGAGCATATACTTTGGCTTAACGACGGAGACCAAGGCCAGCAATGGGACGGCCGACAAGACCTCCAACAAGAGGAAGACCCTCGACAAGACCGCCAATGGGACCAGCGGCAGCAGCAGAAGGAGAAGCAGCGGCACTGGAAGAAGCAGCGGAGGAGGAAGCCCTGGAGGAAGGAATGAGAGCGCGAGAAGAAGAGGGCGAAGGAGCCTGCGACACCGCAGGAGCCTGAGCCTTAGAAACAACAGGAACAGGAGCCTGGGAGACGACAGGATCAGGGAAGCTGGTAGGAGCAACGTGGGCGTGAGTAGGCATAGGCGCGATCTCGACAGAGTGAGTGGGAGTGGGCTTGTGCATGTGAGTGGGCTCAGCATCCACAACGGGCACAGTAGGGATAGCCGGAAGAGCACCGAGGTCGGTAGTCGCCTGTGCAGCGGGAGGCTTAGGCATATCGGGCTTAGCCATGGTGGTGTGGGTGGGTGTCGACGCCGTTGTGTGGGCGGAGTGCTGCTTAGCGACCTCGGCTTGCTCCAATGCCTCCATGGCAGCAGGGAAGGGGTTGTCGAATCCCTCGTCGCTTTCCTCGACGGTGCTAGCGGCTGTCGGGTTGAAGGGGAAGCCGCCGGTGATGTCGCCGAAGCTGTTGCTGCCGGGCTTGGGGGCGGCGGGGGCGGCAATGGCGCCGATGGCGAAGAAGGCCAGGGAGATGTATGAGACGTGCATTATGAAGAATGGACCTTTAGTTGGGAATTGAAGGAGAGTGTAGAGGGTCGGAGGAAGAAGGAAGAAATGAAGGAATGGCTCGCGATCGGGGTGTAGGGATTTTAGGGCATTTATGTAGAATCTAGGGTATCTGATGGACTTGTTGTGATTCTCGCGCGTGTCCTCCATGCCTCGCGCTCTTATTGTCGATGATCAACATCGCTGGGCTGGGTATGACGTTCACATTGCAGTAGGCTCATGGCAGGGCTGGTGGAAGGGCTTGAGAGTTGGGTTTGAGGAATGATCGCCCCAAGACCTGCCCAGGAAGCTTGTTTCAAATATGCTCTGTGAAAGCGCGCAAGACTCGGGGCCGTCCCTGTACGGAGTATGATATCGGAGATAATGATGAGGGGACATATAGTTAGTAGGCCTCGTGCATGGGAGTCAAAACTGGATTGTACTACTACAAGCAATTCGTCTGATTGTTTTACCGAACTAAACACTTCTTAACATCTGTTTGTTCAATTTACTTAGGGCATATGATCATGGAAGAAACCTGATTAGGGCTCCAGATGAGGTCGATGACATAGAGTCTTCCGTTACTCCGTAGAAAGCTCCCAAATGACAAATCTAACAATCTGATGGCCCTCTAATTATCACAAGGGTGCTTGATGAATGTGGAGGGGGTGCTCAGGCACGCGGGATGAATCTCCCTGGCAACCCTAACTACCCCTTGCAGCCAGCTAATGTGACATCCACGATGTGCGAGTATCCGACCTACTTCCCTTCAAGGCTAGCTAAATGGGAACGGAGATTAGCTATTTTTCTCCAGCGAAGTAATCCCGAGATCCGAGATCATATCATGTTGGATTTGATCTACGTATACAACGTGCGCTTTGATTTGAGATGTCATCATATGTGCTGGTAGGTTGCATCGAGCATGATCCTGCCCCTTGATAGTAAGCTTTCATTTGGTCTTTATGTTTAGGCGTTTCGGTCACACCAGACAGCATCATTTCAGTTCCAACATTTCCTTGGTTTATGTGCCAGCCTGATGTTCAAGTTACCAAACGTGGATCTTTGAGGTAGAACCTATGACTGCACCTTCAATGCGGCTGAGTCGGATATAGATAGTTGTGGAATTCCACGTAACGTATCACGGGCATCTTCAATTGATACTGAGAAATCCCATGCTTACTCCTCCACAAGACCTTTCACCGTAACCCTAACCCCAAACAAACCCTCCTTTGGACACCCAATTCCCAGATCCCGATAAACGCAGATATTGTCAGTAGTCGTCTCATACAGTTCAAAGTCAATGCGACGAGCGATGTGGGCAATAGCAAGATAGACCTCTGCGTAGGCAAGGCTGGACATTGTTAGCCTTGTGAACCGGAGATTGTGATATATGGACAACTCACTTCATCCCCAGACACTGTCTGCTGCCTCTCGTAAACGAGACAATATACCGAGATAGGTACTCGCCCTTTTCCGTGGCGCGGGTCCAACGCTCTGGGTCGAATTTCTCTGGCTCTGGGAAGACCGTCGGATCCATGTGGACGAAGTAGTTTGACTGACTAACAGGAGTCTGCGAGATGGTCAGTAATTGAAGAAAGTTCGTTGCTACCCAGCCAGTATCCACTTACTCCTGCAGGAATAACCCAGTTCTGATATACCATAAGCTCAGTAGGCGAAACACGAGCCAATCGAGCTGTCATGCCGTGGCTAAGGCGCAGACCCTCATTCACGACGCCGGTCTGGATCAATCAATTAGAAATACTCACAAAATCAAATCACCGGAACCCACCAAATAAGGCAGCTTCTCCAAATCCACCCACGAAGCCTTCGACAAAGGCTTCTCCAAAACACTCTTCAACTCCACCCTCAACTTCGCCAAAACCTCCTTCTCCTTGATCAGCCAAAACATCGCCATAGCAATAGCCCTAGCCGTCGTCTCCGTCCCAGCCCCAAGCAACAAGGCCGACTCATCCTCCAACCGATCAAGCGTCCTCTCCTCCTCCGGCACCGACAAATCCGTCAACGCATCGAAGATAGTCCCCCTCCCCTCCTTCTGAATCTTCTCCAAACTCTGCTTCTGCAACGTATCCTTCGCCTGTTGTCTAAGCCGACTCTTCAAATCAAACAAATCCGCCATCTGCGGCTGCAACCACCTCAGCAGCGCAGGCGGTGCATTCCGGAAAATAGTAATCAGAAACGGGAAAAACCGATTAACATGCCACATCACCATAAGCCCATTCACAGCATCAACGAGGTCGTTACTTTCCGCCCCCTTCTCTCCGTCCAGGTACCCGTAGCTCCAGCCGTAGCAGTAGTCTGTAATGACGTCGGCGGTTAGCGCGGCGAAGTCGAGATGCAGGTGCAGGACATCGCCGGCGGCGAAGGCTTGCTCGAAGCGCGTGATTAGCTTATCTACTTTCTGGTGGATTAGGGGGCCCAGGGAGACGACGGAACGTTTGGAGAAGTAGCTGCTTAGCAGGTTTCGGCGGAAGCGGTGGTGGTCGTGGGTGATTGTTCCTACGAGGGAGTTGGGGGCGCCGAAGGCGATGGCGTAGGTTGGGTCTTTGGAGCGTTTGCGGGAGGCGCTGGCGTGGATTTCGTCGTAGTAGGTTGAGTCTTTGATGTGGATTTCTTGGGGGTTGATGCGTACGATTGGGCCTGTTTATAGTTAGCGGGTATATTTTGATTTGTTATAGCCTTTTATATACGGAGTACTCACCATATTGCTCGTGCATGCGCTCAATCTCCCATATATACATGCCACTCTTGATCACATCATAGTAGAACTCGTAGAGATAGGTTGCGGCAGCGAATTTTGGTCCGGGGAACTTGGACAGTGGGTGGAAGTACAGATGGTACACAGTGCGCAGGACCAGTAGTCCCAGCAGCGCCAACACCACGAAGGCCACGTACGAGGAGTCCATGACGATAAACCAATTCATAGACTAGAGAACGAACGGCGCTTGAGTCCGTATTATAGCCGGGGCGGGGACATTATATATTTTTTTTCTCTGTTCTCTTTGCAAGGAAAAGAGGAGAAACGCACCCTAGACTCTAGAGGGAGGTAGTTGCATAATGATTCAAGTTATAGGACTATCTCCTTCCTAATTGAATCAGCCTCTCACTATAAATGCAATAATGCCAGAATGGCAGCACGTCCGCGCCGCTAACGGGGTGTTCTGGCAACTGCGATTCGTCAGTTATTATCCCGGTTTATGCAGCTGCAGAATGACAGTCCACGCTAGCGTTCCGGATACGATCCTTTGTCCGAACATAGTAAACACCCCCCGGTCAACAATGGACGATGATCCCTGCGTAATCCCTGCTCGGTTTGAATCGTGGAGGTGAGGTACAGCATGCATGGCTGATAATACCCCTCGTGCGAATTCCGCCACTTCACCGGCCCAATTGAAACCCCTGGTTGACGTGCGGTAGTGTGCTTTTTAGCTGCAGCGAACTAGAGGGACCAGGCAACGTGGACGAGAGGGGAAGTAGGGAATATACATGGCTGAAGAAGAGAGAGAAAAAAAAAACACAATGGACTATCTGGTAATCGAAACCAGGACCTCCCGCACGCTCGCAGTTATGCGAAGCGGGCGCACTACCAACTGTGCTAACAGCCCAGCTGAGTAATCGATTCGTCCTTAGAACGGTTTATAAGCGGACTTGCCCTGGACTTGGTGGACTTCGGGGTATTTGGGGTTGAACATATAGCCGAGCCGAGGAAGTCTAGCCCCGACAAGGACAAGTGTCTTGGGACTTTCGCTTAGCTGGATTCTGGAGCGGACCTCCAGCGATATATGCAAATCCGGAGTATTAGATACAGAGTAGTATGTAACTATGTTGTAGATATTCTTGGATATGAACCGACATCAGATGTTTATGGTGTATGATATGATACAAAGATACCAAAGGTCGCGCTATAATCATGAAGCCGAATAGACTACCAATGCATTTCTGTAAGAAACAAAGGTCCGCAATTTACACCTATGAAAACATCCATGAAATAGGGGGAAAAAGAAAAGGAAAATAGTAAATAGAGACACAGAGGAAAGGCAAAGACGTTGGACAAAAAAGAAAATTCCGCAGTACTCCGTTTTATATCCACAAATCTAGACGGCCAACATCTTCTTGATCTCGGCAATGGCGCGGCCCGGGTTCAGGCCCTTGGGGCAAGTCCGCGTGCAGTTGAGAATGGTGTGGCAACGGTAGACGCTCATGCTGTTGTCGAGAGCGGCCTTGCGCTCCAGGGTCTTCTCGTCACGGGAATCGGCCAACCAACGGAAGGACTGGAGCAGGATGGCGGGTCCGAGGTACTCCTCGCTGTTCCACCAGTAAGAGGGGCAGGAGGTTGAGCAGCAGGCACAGAGAATGCATTCGTAGAGACCGTCGAGCTTCTTGCGGTCCTCGGGAGATTGACGGAATTCGAGACCCTGGCAGATGTTAGACGTTGTTAGGGAGACTGTATAAGAAAAATACTCACGTCTTCGGTGGGAGTATCGCGCTGGAGATATGGCTTGATGGACTTGTATTGCTTGTAGAAGTGGGTCAAATCAGGGACCAAGTCCTTGACGACGTAGGTGTGAGGCAGAGGGTAGATGCGAGACTCGGCCTTGGTTTCGGTAGGAATGCGGCCTATACAGCATTAGTTTCTATCGGATGCCTTCGGATGCAGAAAAAACGCGTTGTAGACATACACAAGCAGGCAAGAGTGTTAACACCGTCGATGTTCATGGCGCAAGAACCACAGATACCCTCACGGCAGGATCGACGGAAAGTCAGGGTAGGGTCCAGTTCGTTCTTGATGCGGATGAGCGCATCGAGCATCATAGGGCCGGTCTTGTTGAGGTCGAGCTCGTAGGATTGCATGGTGGGTTTCTCGCTAGGCTGATCCGGGTTCCAGCGGTAGACCTTGAAGGTCTTCATTTTGGGCTGCTTGGAGGGAGTAGGCTCGACGGTCGCATAGGTGCGAGCGAAGGCAGGCCGGAACATCGGCCGCGATGCTGCGATCAATCGCGAAGTGGTGCGGAGGGAGGCCATGGCGGGCGATCGGAGGTGAATAAGGACCAGGTGGAGAGATTAGAATTGAGAGATCAGGTTGACGATATCAATCAAGAGAACAGGAGAGAGGAGAGATTTCAAGTGGAAGTTCCACGTCCAGTCACTGTTCAAGTCCAGAGGATCCAACAACAAAATGAAGTCCAAGGAGTCTTTCGCCTAGTAACCTCGGGTTTGACGGGGTCGGGTGTGTAGATGCTGACATCAGCGAGTACCCGACCAATCAGAATTAGGACGTTTGCAAGCCTCGGGCGGACACGGCGTCAACAGCAGAATTTGGGGTTTTGTCTTCTGCCGATACTATGCTCCGATGTGTTTTAGTTATATTGTCTGCTTGGTCAATGGGAGTGTAAATGTTATACGCTTCATAGGACTCGAGAATTTACACTCCTATCCCCCTCAGTACCTCGATTGATCAATGATCCCCCGTCAAACCCACAAATGTGGTTGCCTCAGGCGTCAACGCCACTACCGCTCGCGTTGCCGAAACAACACCGAGCGGACGGCACATGTCAACCTTCAAGCTTGGAACCGGCAACACGGAAACACGCTCACGGTCAACATGTGCCATGTTCATGAATTCATTATACTCGCCACTAACAACTAATCCCGATTCACATAGTTCTGATGCCACTCATAATCCCGATTCTCCGCCAAAAGAGCCCGAATAGCCTCACGTGGAGGCACAGGTTGCCGTCCGAGCAGGTCCGCCATGAGCGGATCAATAGTGCTCGTCTCCCCCTTCGAAATAGACTCATACCAGGAAATCAGTGCCTTGAAGAAACCCTCCGACTTCCCGCCCTCATCGTCGGCCGACTTTAACCGCACAAATTCCTCCGGCGAAACGATCTTGAACTGCACGTTTCGACCAGTCGTCTCGTTAATCACATCTACAATCTCGGAGAATGTGATGGTCTGCTGCGCGGTGAGGAGTACAATCTCCCGATCATGCCCGCCGCGAATCATCAGTCGTGCGTTCGCCTCGGCGAGTTCCGATCGCAGTGTAAAGGCTACCGGGCCGTCGAAGGGAAGATAGACGGTTTTCGTGCTGGGATACCAGCCCAGGAAGACCGGGAAGGCGTCGAGATATATACCCTCGCGAATGGATGTGAAGTTGATATCGGCCCTGGCTGGTGTTAGTGATTGCTGTATTGGGACGCCGTGGTCGGGAGTCGGCTTACTGCCTCAGCATTTCTTCGGTCATCAAATGAGCTTGTTGGACATCTGCTTTTGAGTGGGAGCTATATCCACCGAATGCGAGGGATGTATACCAGACCTGTGACCCCGGTTAGCTGCAGATTCGGGTGATTTGCATATGGAGATGGATGACTTGCGTGTTTCACATTCATCGTCTTCGCTGCATTTACGAAGTTCTGGTGTTGCTTGCGGCGCTTCTCGACGTCGAAGGTGTTCGTGCTCACGAAGAAGAGGTTCTCGACGTCTTTGAATGCGGCCTCTAACGTCTGGGGGTCGTCATAGTTTGCCAATCGAAAGGCGATCCCTCGGTCTTCGAATTGTTTGTGGCTTTCCTCTCTTGAGGAGGCTGCTGCGTATTCTGAGGCGGAGATATTGGCAGCAAGGTAGGAAATGACGCCTGCTCCGAGGCCGCCAGTCGCTCCAGTGATGAGGTATTTAAGAGTCATTCTGTAGAGGTGTAGAGGTGTAGATAGCTTACGGATCAAAAGCACAAGCCGATGGTAGATATTGAAGTTGATATTATATTCTCAAGCACTCCCAGACAGGATGTTTCTCTATGCATATAAATGAGCATCAGATGATACTTATTCCTTGTTAACGAGGTATTCAAGTATCGAAGTTTGAGCTTGGTAAGCGTAAGCGTTGTTAAATAAGCAGCTCGAGGATGAGGTTCATTTGAGCAAATGAGATCGTTCCAATCGAGGCCCACAGGAAGAGTCTCGCGTTGTGCTACACCCGAACGGTCCGAACCTTGCCATGTGACTATCCTGTGCACCTAGCTAGTACTAGCGAAGACGCCGAGATGTACCTATACTTCAATCAACCTTGCATCTGCCCTAATAACATACAGTGTAACAGTCACCCACCCGGGGCCACGCCAAACCTACCCAATCTCACTGCAGTTCTACAACCACCACTATGGATCTAAGCAGCAAAAACAACCTAGTTACCCAGCGAGAACCTGAGAGTCACAAACCCATCATATGGTTACGTCCAAACCCTGCCAAATTAAGCGCGCGCTAACTACTTACCCCCCCCCCCCCCCAAAATCAACCCCAGTACCTCGAAACAATTTCACTAGCAACACCCAAGCCACGAAAATAACCCCTTCTTCTCCCTCACAGACCCCCCATCTTCCCCATCTCCCACAGCATTAACCCCAACAGGCCCATCCAGCTGCGCATTATACCTCAACGGGTTCCCAAACTTAGGATCAACAATGTACTCCGGGAACCCGATAAAGGTCCCGAAACTGGCGCGCTTACTCTCGACATCGAGATGCAGCCCGTCTCTTGTCCCGATCCACGGACGGATCATCACCGGGTACTGTCCTGTCTGCTCGGTTGGCGGGTGGACTTGGTGGTAGAAGTAGACTAGGCTGTCGAGCTTTTGGGAGGTGAGGAGGTAGTATTCTCGCAGGGTGTGTGGGTAGTCTGGGTGCCGGTGGCCGGAGCAGGAGTATAGTTCGGCTATGGGGGTGTTGAGGTCGGTTTTGTGGGGGTTTGGGGGTTGGTTTTCATGTGGGCTCTGAGAGGGAGCTGGGCCTGCGGGTAGGTCGTCCATGGGGTAGGATGATGGTGCCATTTGGGTGAGTATAGTGTTGGATTGTAAATTTGGAGGAGCTGGGAGCTTGATTATAGCTCAGATGGATTGATGGTTCAGTGTGTGTGGTGGTGCATGAGAGTTGAGACAGAACTGACAGTGCCTTTATAGATGACATCTTGATATCATGGCCCCTTTTTGGTGGCTATATCAAACTCATTATTGAAACGCGGCGAATGGGCATTTGACGGTTAGACAGCGGCAAGCGAGTAGTTAGTCGCCTTGCTTTTACTCAAGGGAGCCGCTTCCTAAATCGATACCGTGAGAATCGCTCTCATCCAGAAAAACTCTTGAGTCCTGGTCTATAGTAATTGACTTAACGGTTTCAGAGCCAAGGATGTACAGCCACGGCGACAAACGAATAGACAGTGAGGCTGTCCAGACGACTGTCCTGCCAATGGCAGTGATAGAGCGTATCAGCCTCGGTGTTGGTTTAACTAAGCCTCCTTGGATAACCAAGTGAGATGCGCAGTGAAAAAAGAAAAGAAAAAAAGGCGTAGTCAACACCACGTATACAGGACACACAACAAAGAAAAAAAAAACCTGATTAGTTTATGTTTAGGTATCTATCTGTACAACGAAGAGACGACACAAACCCTCTAAGGATCACCCGGCCTCTCAACCCTCCCCTCCTCCACCTGTCCACGACTAATAGCAACCTCATTCGTAACCCTGATCCCAGGACCAGGAACCACCGCCCTCGTCTCCTCACTCGACCTTGCACTACCACTCGATCCACCCCTAATATCTCGCGAAACCGAAACCTCAGAAGCCATCATCTCGTACTCATCCTTCCCATTTTTGGACCAGTGAAGAAGCCGCTTGTTGTCCCAGTTCCCGGAAGCAACACCACTGCTTGTTGTCTTCGAATGTTGTCCACGGGTGTGCAACTTGGTAGAGCGGGTGTGCGAGCGCGTATTAGTCGTATACTCCGCTATATGCGAGAAGACGTTCCCGAAAACGGGTTTCAGGGCTGGGATGGAGAGCGCAATGAGCGTTGCTGCGATTTCGGCGTTCTCGACACACATCATGGGGTTGTAGACCCAGCTGCCGTCTTCGGCCCATTGGCCGGCTGCTACGAGCCAGACGCGAACGGCGGAGATAACGATTACGCTAGATGGTTGTTAGACTGCTGTTTTGCAAAGGGAGGAGGCGTGACGGTTCCACGTACAAGATACCTGGGAACATGACGAAGGATAGCTTGATCTTCTTCTCTGTTGAGATTTGCAGACCCTTGATCAGAGCTGCGGGAATGGTGAACATCACCACGTCGCAGGCTAGAGACACGCCTGAGTTCACCGAGTAGACTAGTCCCCATGTGAGACATGTGTAGGTCCTTGGCTCGACTTGCCATTCGTAGGGCCATAGGCCTGTGACTGGTCGGCAGTGGAAGATCAGGAGGAAGAGTTGGGGTAGGTAAGCGGCGAATAGCAGTGGTGCCGCTATGAGGATGCTCATGCGGAGTTTTGTTGCGGGGGCCGTGAGCCGGTAGTAAAAGGCCAGACCGGAGAGACGACAGAGGAAAAGAGCGGTTGTATAGAGGATGTGGGCTACGAAATCGAAAACCTCTGTATCCCGGACGGTGTCGATTGGAAGTACATATCGGATGTATTCCATGTGTCGGCCGCTTCCCATGTTGATTAGGACAATGGAGAGGGCCGCGAAGGTAATATAGAACAGCTGGGAGGGAATATTAGTTACTGCTTTGTCATATTTGCTCAAGTACCTCATAAGCAACTGTTTGGTTGATGCAGAGCAGCTCGATGTTCCCTGTTTTAGGGTGTAGATCTGGTGTGAAATGAATGGTCTTACCAACGTCACGATGGCTAATGCATCGTCCAAGCCGATCCTTTTTACAATGAATGCTCGGGCATATAATCGTACAATCATCACGAGACCTGTGAAGCATATCATGAATATGATGCCAATGATAGCAGGCCGATCGCGGTCCTCTGCTAGGTAATCCAGCGAGACATCGCTGGGGATTCTCCCTGCTGCAGAGGCTGCAAGGATATCGGAGGGAATGGTCATCGTAGTGTGTTCAAAGGAGCGGACATGACCAGGTGTAGTATAGTTGTGTGTATAACTACAGAAGGTTAACAGAACAGAACGGCAGCGTTGACGCCATAAGGATTAAGGCTTATGATATTCTTTTCAACGCCTCCGAGGCAAGGCAGGACCATCGTTCAGGAATGTGGAAGCGCAGCGGGGCCCTGTGCCAAGACTTTCCATAAAATTCAAACCGAGTCTCAGAACCAAAATCGCAATCCTTCGATCGAGCCTGTGGGGCATCGGATTGGTTTGATTCCGACTATTGTGCTTGGCTTGTACGGAGAGACATGGAACGCTCCTGGTACCCGGAGGGTTGAACACCATCCTTCAAGATCTATTCGTTATTGAATTAGAGCTGCCGGTAGGCTTATACCTAAACAAGGCAAAGTACGTCAAACATGACATAGCGCAGATCAGTCAGGAATAGAGGAGAAAGTTTGAGAGCCGAGTGTTCCGATCTGCTTTCCACGTGGGCACAAAGACAGCAAGTAGCCGAATTACACTAAGCGGTTGTCTTTTCCACCTGCACTCTATCGACAATTGCACGCTGGGAACTGCGTCATGCTCAAACCCAAAGAACAAACCTAGAACCGATCTGAGATTCGCTAGTGTCAGAACCTTCAGCCCAGTGGGGAGATAAACCAATCACAGACTCCCTAGTGGGCACGGCTCTTGAGATCGGACGGAGCACAAGTCGGTTCCGACAATTTGTCTTCTATGGGTCCGCAGAAACTTCGGATCCAAAGCTCAAATGCAATTGGACAGAGAGCCCGATTTTTGTCTCGACTTGGGGTTGTCTTGTAGCTGATATTACTCCGTAAAAGCTCGTGGATTCTGTGCGAGATTGAGTGATTTTTTTTTCATATCGAGGTGGATTGAGGTAGTATCTCGCGAACATCGTGTCCCAGGATAACGGCGCCAAGCATTTGAACGAACCGGTGGAAAGAACTGTCAAATCAGCCGCTGAGAAAGCTTCGGCTCGAGAGGAAGCTGTAGATATCAGCTATGGCAAGCAGTAACGGCAAAAGAAGTGAAAAATGTCACGACTGTTTGTGGAATGCCCGATTGGGGGGCGATTAGTCAGAGTTATGGCGTCGCGCTAACGGGCGGCTCATCCCAAGGTTGTCTGCGCGGGAGTATAACAGTGGACGGAATCCCCCGAACGATTTACACTTTGCCACATGGTTTCGGGTGGGGTTAGAGTCTCAATTGAACATCTCATTCCACCATGGCACCTTTATTGCAGACATTGGTGAGCGGCCTCGCTCTGGTGAGCTCTGTCGTTGCTTCCAAGGGTGCTTCTCGACCTCGGCCTCAGGTCGACACCTTGGTCGAGTCCCAGATCCTCACCGATCCCTATGCCTATGATTTCCCTCGTCTGGGCGCCGACGGCGCCAGTTTGTTCCCTATGCGCAAATGTCATGGTTTCACCTTGGAGGAGGCATCGATCGACCAGATCCAGGCACAGCTGAAGAAGGGGACTTTCACTGCCGTTGAGCTGCTGGAGTGCTACATGGACCGTGTTCACCAGACTCAGCCTTATTTGAAGTAGGTTTCAGCGCTGCTTCAATCTTCTGAAATATTGAATTCTTTCTAACTACCACCACTAGTGCTATCTTGCAAGTGAATCCCGATGCTTTCTCCATAGCTCAGAAGCTTGATCGTGAGCGTGCTGCCGGCACCGTCCGTGGTCCTCTCCACGGCATTCCTTTCATTGTCAAGGACAATATTGCTAGTAAGGACCGTTTGGAGACCACAGCCGGTTCCTGGGCATTGCTCGGAAACGTCGTACCCCGCGATTCTTTCGTTGTCAACCGTCTCCGTAAGGCTGGCGCTGTGCTTCTCGGCAAGGCTGCTCTGAGCGAGTGGGCCGATATGCGCTCCAACAACTACTCCGAAGGCTTCTCTGCCCGTGGCGGCCAATGTCGCAGCGCCTACAACTTCACCGTGAACCCCGGCGGCAGCAGCACTGGCTCTGGAGTCGCTGTCGGCGCCAACCTGGTTCCTTTTGCTCTTGGGACCGAAACTGATGGCAGTGGTATGTACACATCCTTGAAATACATCCCAAACCCCACGCTAACGAAGAACTAGTCATCAACCCCGCTCAGCGGAACGCCATTGTCGGCATCAAGCCCACCGTCGGTCTGACCTCCCGTGCCGGCGTCATCCCCGAGTCAACTCACCAAGACACCGTGGGCACATTCGGCAAGACCGTCCGCGATGCCGTCTACGCACTCGATGCCATCTACGGAATCGACACCCGCGACAACTACACTCTCGCCCAGAAAGGCCTCACCCCCGCTGGCGGCTACGCTCAATTTCTAAGCAACCGAACCGCCCTCAAAGGCGCTACCTTCGGTATCCCCTGGAAGTCCTTCTGGGCGCTCGGAGATCCCGCGCAGATCGCCGAACTCTTCCAGCTAGTCAAACTGATCGAATCCGCCGGCGCAACCGTCATTAACGGTACCGAGCTGCCCCATTACAAGGAGATCGTCTCGCCAGATGGCTGGAACTGGGATTACGGTACCACGCGCGGCTACGTCAACGAATCCTCATATACCTACATCAAGGTCGACTTTTATAACAACCTACGCGACTATCTCGCCGAGGTTAACAACACCGATATTCGCTCCGTCGAGGACCTCGTCCAGTACAATATCGACAACTACGGCTCAGAAGGCGGTCTGCCCGGTATTCATCCCGCCTTCGGCTCTGGCCAGGATGGTCTCGTTGCTTCGCTTGAGACTAAGGGCGTCATGAACGAGACGTATTTCCAGGCTTTGGAGTTCTGCCGCCGCACTACCCGCGAGGAGGGTATCGATGCTGCTCTGAAGCATGGCAATACTACTCTGGATGGTCTCCTTGTGCCACCCGATGTTGCGCAGAGCGTTCAGATTGCTGCCCAGGCTGGGTATCCGGTTATCACCTTGCCTGCTGGCGTTAGTGATGTCTCTGGAATGCCTTTCGGTCTTGCTATTGTGAACACTGCTTTCTCTGAGGCTACCTTGGTCAAGTACGCTAGCGCTATCGAGGATCTGAAGAAGCACTCGGGTGCCAAGTGGCGTCGTGACCTCCCCCAGTGGCGTGGTTACCTGGAGCGTAATTTGCCTGTGATTATGTGATGTAGGCTGAGATGATGTCGGAGTGGATTACCTGATGAGGTGTTTCTGGTGGCATAAGTTCGTTTCATGTATCATATATCACTTGCTATTTAGACTATACGTTTCTAGCGGGCATAATTGATCAATAGATTACTGTTTTCTTTATTCTAGTATGCGAGATATGTTGGCTTCCTGGAAATAGCTAAGATATCGTGTATAGCAAAGATGCTTTCTAGATCAGGGGAATCCTGGTTGGAGATGAAACAGCCATAGATTGCTTTGATCTGCAGAATTGTATGAATTTTTAGTTCTTACACCTCCGTTGTTGGGGTGTTACGTCGGATGCTGGTTGGATTGGGATGCGGAATCCAGATACTATAGGCTCTGGTATGAATATGTGTTTAACGAAAGTGCTTTGATACATGTATCAATCACTATGGTACTCTCCATAGACCAAGGATCCATGTACAGCTGGTCATTGGGTAAGAATGGATTGATTCCAATTGATCATTGACAAAGAACGAAAACAAAATAGACCGTTTCCAACCGGAGCAGTCGAATGACCGTACCCAAGTCGAAGGTTGCTAAGGATAACAAAGTGGACAACCATGTGCACCGAAGTTGGATCAGTTGACGATGATAAGCCCAGGGCCAGCAAGAGTCTCGTTGGCCACACTCCACGCATTCGGGAATGGTCCCTTCGTTGGTGTCACCGCAGCAATGGTCAACCCATTCATCTCATGTGTGTCATAAGGGAACAAGGCCTTCGCAACAATATCGTCTCCCTCGTTCTCGACGACCTGAAGAGGCTCCACGATGGGCAAGTTCTGCTGGTTTATATAAGTCATCCACAGCCTAGTGTCGTTGGTGTGGTGCGAATGGGCGAAGGCAAAGCTGATATTTGCGGTCCTCGCTGTCGGAGTTGTGATTATATCGAGAGGTTGAAAAGTCTTGAGTGGAATGGAGTCGATATTGGGGCAGGTGCCAGGCACGACGAAGCTTTGAATCGCAGTGAAGGCAAAGTTGAGATCACTGGTTGTCAAAAAGGGCAGCTCACTAGGGACTTTGCCCTGCATGATACGAAACCAGCCCTGCTGCTCTCCCTCCTGGCCGACGATGGAAGAAACCTCTCTTGACAGTCCGAAGTCGCCATTCATAGCGAATCGCTCCACGACATCCTGCAGGGTGCCCAGAACGACATCTGTGAAGGTGCTAGCGAGCAAAATGGCTGCATCGAAGTTGTCGACTGGGAACTTGTAGTGGCAAGGCTCGATGGGTTCAATGCCAACATTGTCCAGGGCGTTGTTGGCGTCTAGGGCATGGAGTTCCTCTTGCTGTAATAACAAGTTAGTGAATGGATCAAGCAATATTGATGAAGATGGTCTCATACAGCCAAGATTGTTCTCAAGCTCCTCAATACGTAATCAAGATCATCCTCACTCGAGAAGCGGTACCCCGGGACTTTCTCGGTGATGTTCGTAATCAGTTCATTGAAGAATGCAACTTCAAACAGTTCATTGAATGCGACCAACTTGAGGTTGGTAATTCCGGGTTCGCTGATGCCAGGTGGAGGAGGTCCGTTTGGCAGGGTCCCGTGTGCGTACTCCTCAATCATCTTCAACTGTTTATCGCTTGGATAGGGCATTCCGTGTGGCATGTTATCGTAACTCGATACATTGCGGACTGGAAGAGCAGAGACCAGATGGGCCGCTGCCAGAAGGAAGGCGGCGGTGCGAATGCGCATCTTGGTGTGTATATAAGGGAGTTTTAAGAATTTGTTGGAGAGACACTAGTATCTAGTGTACAATAACAGAGTTGATGACACTTGAAGGACTCAAAATGTGAAGAGAAAAGAGAGATGAGATAGAGCCGGGAAGCTGACCTCGACTCGAAAATGGTATTAGGAAAGAATAGATAGGGAAGGTGCTACTGGAGCAGTACTTCTCATGTACAATATTGCACACATCAGTGAAAGAGATGGGAATCGGATTCCTTGTCTCTTTGCACGGGCAGTAAATATCTCGAAAACATCGTATAAAGTATTATCAAATGAATCCACGCCGGGTGCAACAAGAAAATATAACCTCACCCGCGACATCTAGCGCCAAAGTGTGGCCTGCAAGACGAACATTTAAGCACGCTCGGTGAAACCAACAGTCTCCTTCTCAGTGACCTGGATCTCCTTCTCAACCTGCTGAAGATCAACGTGCGCAACGGCGGCATCATCGCCATCGAAGATCATAGCCAACTCCTCAAGAGTGGGGCCACGGGTCTCAACATAGAAGAAGTAGACGAAGCAAAGCTCAACGAAAATCCAGATCTGTAGATACCGAACAAATTAGTATTTGACAAGGCAAAGGGTTTTCGATAGGGGATTTAGGGTGCTTACGGTGTAAATCAGCGAGAGGTTCCAGTGGTGAGGAAGCTTCTCCCACGCAATGGGGTTGGTGTAGCTAGAGAGAATGGTTAGTTTTGTGAAAATTATGGCGAACTTTCTAGGGCACTCACTTTCCAAGAACCAGAGATGCCTGGGTGGTCAGGTTCATGATCATGATACCCTTGGCGCGCAGACGGTAGGGCAAGATCTCAAGCGAATAGGCAACGAGCAGACCCGACCAGGCGATGGCGTAGAAGACAGAGAAGAGCCAGACGAAAACGACTTGGGGGTATCCAGCGGTGTTGACATCCTGAGTACGTTCGTAGACAGAGGAAACGACAGTCCATGCGAGGAACATGAGAACCATGCCTAGGGAAGAAAGTTAGTACTTGGTGAATCCGGCGCTAGTCAGAGTAGCACGTACCAACAGTAGAAACCAGGAAGAGAGGACGTCTTCCGACTCGGTCAACGAAGAAGGCACTGGAAACACTGACCACCAAACTGAGCAGGGTTTGGCCACCGTTGAGCTATGAAAGATTAGCAGGGGGCCATTTGGCAGGATTCTGGCGTGAGGGGACACGTACAGGAATCTTCTTGGTCTGTTCGGTGATACCCATGCTGTTGTAGATCAGGTTGGTGTAGTTGCTGAACAAGGCATTGCCACTGTATTGCGAAATGATACCCAAAGAGATCAGGAGTGCCAGACGGTAGCGGTTACCCTTGGTCTTCATGAAGTCCAGGTAGCTGCTGTTATTCTCGTACTGCATTTCCAAGTTGATAGTCTCCTTGATCTCGCGGAACTCGAATTGAACGGTGGCGTTATTGACATCTCCATTTCCATGGTAGTAGGTGAGGAATTCCAATGCCTCGTCGTAACGCTGCTTGGAGACGAGCCAACGAGGGGATTCCGGGACCCCTGGAAAATGGTCAGCTACAGACATTCAATCCGATAGAAGAAAGGTGATGAAGACTTACACCAGATGAAAATGATCTGAATGACAGCGGGGAAAACTTGGAGGAGAGTCAATGTGCGCCAAGACCAATCGTTGGGGATGTACATGGTTCCCCAAGCAATCCATGCGACAACTAGATCCAGTCAGCACATCATCACAAGGCAGGGTGTGTCAGATTAGTGCATACCAAGGGCACCCAAGTTCCACAAGCAGTTATAAATAGCGGTGACCTTTCCACGGTGCTGAGGGTGGCAGATTTCGGTGAGGAGAACTGGGGATGCCATCTGGGCAAGACTGTTGCCGAAGCCCAGGAACAATCTACCAACAACGTACACTGAAGAACAGTTAGTACATAGGACGGTGCGAGGATACTGAATAACAAAGCTTACTTCCGTAGTTCTTGCAGAATGTGCCGAGCAAGCCACCGAAGATCATCAGAACACACCCCATCATGATAGGAAGCCTGCGACCCCATCGATCGGCAATGAAGGGACTACTCGAGTCAGCAGAGCCCCATTCCAGGGCTTGGAAGCGGAGAACAACTTACACAATAGGGAAACTGACGAGACTGCCAATCTGGTAGATTGCATTCATCAATCCCAGCTTGGAGCCCTCGGGGGTGTGGAAATACTCCTGCCAAGCATCCAAAGCCTGGGAAGTGTTAAGCATCATTCTATAAATGATCCTGTTAGCCCAGTACATATCAAACAATTAAGTTTAGCACCCACCCATCGTATCCGGTAGTTGCAGAAGCAATGCAGAGCACACTAGCCCAGAAGTAGAGCTTGCGCAGGTTAGGTGTCGACCACCAGTTCACCTTCTCCAACTCAGGCGCAACCTGAGCGGCATCCGTGTTGAGGGTTGAAGCTCCGACGGCGATACCCATCTTGTCGGTAGAGTCTGCCTAGACGAACACAGTATATGTAATATCGAGGTAGGAAGATTCGGATGTCCACCGAGCTCACGACACAGCACAAGAGGAATGCTGAGATTGCGGGGGCTCCCCAACCTTTTAAACAGTTCACATGTGCCATTCTGGAAATATTCAACAATGTGATAATGATATTACCCGGCTAATTGGCACGAGCTCTGGCTGGTCTGTTTGATGTCCAACGGCTCCCTGGTTTCCATGATCGAAACGCCTCTCGGAAAAAGAAAATAAAAGGATCGAGTAAAATTGTCCAAGACGCTAGAGCGGATCGCGTGCAGCGCCGAGAGTAAATGCTCCTAGTCAAGCACTGACTAGCCATAATTGGGACCCTGTCAGACCGGCCCTGGCCTGTAGAAGCTGCAATAGAGTCAAGGGGGAACGGCCCATCCCCAGGTTTAGCTCCACGTGATTGTCGGACCTGTCCTGATCCATCAAAATCCAAGCCACACAGAGTCATGATTGGTGATAGCTGAATTGGCTATAATAAGCGGTCGCGTGGTAATTGGGTAGACCTCGCTTAACATTCTCAGGGACTGGGGATTCCTCCAGATTTCTTTGGATACGAGACAGAAATGTCGTTCTCCCCACAAAAGTCAAGGTCGATTATCCGGGCCGAGTCCCACATAATGATTAATCTGGGGGAAGAAAAGCGGATACTGACGATAATCCTCCGTGTTGATTTAAGCTGTACGATCTGTTCAGCTGCCATTGCAATGGTTTGATCCTGCTCCTGTTGAGACATTTGGTTGTTTCGCGTTGGAGCTTCGTAGACTACCGAACCCGTTCAGGATCTCCGTTGTTCATCCCGTGCCCAATTCAGTAAATGTCCAAGCTCGGACGCCACTTGAGGGAATAGTGGTGTGGTGGTGATGCCAAGCGACCTGGGGCCCCCTGGGGAGAAAAGCTGGAGTTCTTCATTTGCGGGGAACATGCACCTGGCCAGCCTTGTCTGACTGTTTAGCCGGAATACACCCTTGGCAACGCCACTACCCTCGGGTTGGCGGATGGCAAGGATCTTTTTCGATTTCAAGCAACGCCATGTAATAAAGAGAAATGACTAAATACGACTTTATCCTGACTTTGTAGTCGAAGTTGTCGATTTGTATAACCGTGGTCACCGCCTTCCTCCCTTAGCCAGGCAGATGACCGCCAAAGCGGATAAGATCGGACAATTCATGGAATCTCATTGGTCAGATTTTGGTTTTAAGCAGAGTTGGACAACTATGAAAGACACCTTCCCGAAGTAGGTTTACTGCCATTATCCTGGATAATATCGTACAGCCATGAACAGCCATAAAACAAGCCATAAATATACCCTGGTCTTCTGCGATGGGTATTCCTACCACATCACAAACACCGTGAGTCGACAGAATGGCAGCCAACACCAACTACCAGCTCTCCCAAGAGCAGATTGATCACTTCATGCGCTATGGATACATAATTCTATCCAATTGTTTCTCGCAAGAGAAAGCCACCGAATGGGCCGGAGATGTTTGGGAAAGGCTTGGCATGTCGCCAACCGACAAATCAACTTGGACCGACCAATTTACGCACTTGGAAGAAACCAAGAAGGAGCCCGTGAAGACGTTCGCCCCTAAGGCCTGGGCAGCCATGTGCCAGCTTCTCGGAGGTGAAGACCGTATTGCCCCCGAATCGGCCTATTGGAACGACTCCTTGATCGTCAATCTCGGCACTCCCGAGTCCGAAGGGACATGGCCCCGTCCTGCGGATCTCCAGGGGTGGCATGTGGATGGCGATTTCTTTATGCATTTCCTTGATTCGCCTGAGCAGGCCCTGCTCGTTATCCCCTTGTTTACCGACATCCAGAAAGGTGCAGGTGGCACTATGATCTGTCCCGAAGCGGCAAAGTTCGTTGCCCAACACTTGGTAGGTGGTCAAGGCTCTCGGTCCGTTTCGCATCTGCTGACTTCGATTTCTAGTACGAGCATCCCGAGGGAGTGACTCCGTATATGGTTCCTCTAGGCGAAAATAAGGAAGTTCGTAGGGATCTGTCCTTCTACTTGGATATTGTCAAAAACTGCACCGATTTCCATGAGATGACTGGAAAGGTGGGCGATGTCGTCCTCCTCCATCCTTTGATGTGTCACTCGAAATCGGTCAATAGCCTGAGACATTTACGGGTGATCACCAACCCACCGGTGGCCTTGAGATCGCCGTTTCAGTTCGACCGGGATGACTCTTCCCAATACAGTATCGTCGAGAAGAAAACGCTAGCTATGCTTGGCAAGGACAGGCTGCCTGGCTGGACCATCAAGGGGAAGCGAGAGACTGTAGTGCCGGAGAGGCTGAAGAAGAAAAACGCGCCGAGGAAGACCGACCTATAGGAAGATTGAGGGCATCCTTGGACGAACGATCTTAGCCTGGGGGTCATTACCATAGCCGCGAACTCTGTCTTGTATTTATTCGATTGGCCTGAACGCAACCCTATCCTTGGCAACATACGGTTCTGTCTTAGCCTTCAATTGCCTGTCAAGCTTTCCTATCTCCGTACTCTTTCGGGCTAGTTAGCTGTGTTATTTGAGACCTCCACCAAATTGCCAATATCATTTCATTTGAACGCTTTAATCAAACTATGCTCAGGCGTCTTTTCGCCACAGGAAAGCAGAAGAAATCCCTCCAAGCACAGAAACCCCCGTTATGACCTCCCCAAACTACTTGGAACGCCGCGACCGAAGCAAACGTCACCGCCTCCCTCTGTTCACTCGTCATGCTCACTTCCTTCATCAGAATGAGATACCCGTTGGCCGAATTGACGAGCTCCCTGCTCAGTCCAACAGCTGCCAGTCCATGACAGAAGACGTTCAACAACACAACCCCTCCAACAGGGACTGCAACGGCCATACCCCAGGCTCTCATGTAGTATGACATTGTCGTTGGCATGGTGGAAATGAAGCCGCCCTCTTCCTTGGGTAGGTTTTGTATGCGAACATTGTAACTTGAGACCAGAAGGCCGTGGCCAAGACCTGCTGTGAATAACAGGAACACCCACGCAACAGTGGGCGTGAAGCTGTCCAACAGGATAGAGCAGCCACTTGCAAGAGCAGTCAAAGTCCAGCCACCGGAGATGACCCACTGGGTACACCGCAACTCCCTGGCGAGAACAACGCCAACCACCGCAGCCGGCGCAATCGCCAGGCCAATCATGGCTAGCAAGGTAATGCCCGACAAGGTGGTGGACATATAATGAGCTGAAATGAAGTACAGGGGCAAGAACTGCAAGTGTGCAAATACCTAAACTGTATGTCAGAAACCCCATATTGACCTTGAAGAAACGAAAAAGATCACTAACCACAAAGCCATGCAAAAAGCACCCTACATGCGTCATCACCATCATCCTCGACCGGAACACCCTCCTCCCAAACTGCGGATGCAGAGCCCAGTTGGCCTCATACAACACGAGCGCAATAAGCACCGCGCTACCTACCGCAACAGGAACAACAGTCTGCCACTCGCTCCAACGATACGTACTCCCACCCCAAGAAACACCGACCAAAACAGACCCAATCCCCAAAAACGCCAGAGACACACCAGACCAATCCATAATGCGCATCTTACGCAGCGGTATATGCTTTGAAACACGCAAATCAACAGCGAACGGAATAGCCAGCAGGCCAAGCGCACAGAAAATAAAATTGAAGTAAAATACCCATCTCCAATCCGCATAATCAACAAACAACCCACCAGCAACAGGACCCAGAATGGCCCCGCACATGCGCGTCAGCAGAATATAGCATGAATACCGAGAATGGATACATTCCGGCGCTGACTCGGTCATTATCACGAAGCAGAGGCTCATCGCACCGCCGCCGCCAATACCCTGTATCATGCGGCCGATGATCAGTTCCGCAAGTGTCATGGAGCCAGAGCAGATTCCTGTGCCGATTGTTGCGAACACGACGGCAATTACCCAGACGGGGCCGTGGCTGAAGACTTCGCTCATCATTGTGAAGTATAGTTGGCTTGTAGCGCCGAAGAGAAGGTATACTGTATTGGCCCAGAGTGTGCTTGCGAGTGGTGTTTCGAAGGTATTTGACAGATCCTGAATTATATTAGTGTGAGTGACAAGGAGGTATAGAGGATTGGCTGGTGCACTGGTAGCATACAGGTAAGACTGGGATCAAGATAGTGGCATTGAACGAATCCATCATTGCCAGGATAACGATACAGACGAAGACCAGCCATCCTCGTATTCCGAGTCTTCGTTTCTCTTCTTCGAGTGAGTCGCTTTCAAATTGCACTGAGCTTCTCAGTGTTAGGTTGGGCGTCACATCGCCCACGCTGCGGACGCTGTCCGGCACGCCGAAGTTGATTTTCGTTTCATTTTCGAATATCTCTTCCGCTATGGAGTGTCGTCCCATTTGATCTGAGACCGTTCTGTGGAGCAGAAGAATAAATGTATCGATATGTTCTGTCGTTTCTCACGCAGTCTGATTACCGTGGGTGTCCGAGGTTGACAGCGACGGTGAAGATAAAGGCAGCCACTCCTCGGAGATAAAATCATAGCCAGGCGTCATTGGAGTCACCCACATAAACGTGCGATAAAGGAGCTGCAGTCATTGTGGGGAGCCAGAGCTTTCCTCTACCCCTTGGTCCGTCGAGAAACCTGGAACAGGAGTCTGGCGCGGATTCCATAGCCCAAGGGGGCGCTGTAAGTGCTGGCGATTGATCCTAGATTAACCTTCTTGATTTTTTAGTTTAGAGGTTCTTCCCTTCTCAAAGAACTGAAGCCAGACCCCTAGGAATGATGGGTTAGGGGTGTTAGAGCCTGAACGTATCCCGCATTCCAGCCTTCTCATCCCTTGTTAGCTGTCGTGATGGAGGATGATGTATGCAGGTGCACTGGGCATACCGCACATAATGCAAGGATGTAGCTCCTATGCACTGGACCTGTTCTATGTAGAGAAGGTTCCAAGCGGTTGGGGATTTATGTTGTAGGTTGTGGTTGGGGTTGTTTGGGACAGAACTTATTAGGGCAAGTAGGAGGTAAAAACAAAGTCGGATTCTCTTACAATCACAATGTCGAGGCCCTTGATACCGACTCTCCAGCCTCTTGAAGACATTTAAAGACTTCTTTATCTGTAAAATGGTGCTGGGACTTCGCCAAGAGCTTACGGTATATGTTACTCCTTGCTCAATGTGTGCATATATCTCGTCAAACCATGCGCCCGCCATGTCTGGATGATACAAATAAGTACAATGGACAAGCGAAATACACGAGCAAGTTATGGAAGTCTGGAAGAATATGCTACAGGTATCTCGTAGGTTGTTGGCGATATTCACCCCGCCCCCTGCCGGGCGATATATGACAATGACTTTAACAGAAAAATGCACCTACTTCTTTCTACGTGAAGTATATATTTCTCTATCTTGACACTTAGTGATTCGCCAAGCGCCAGAATACTACAAAAACTTGATGGAATTGACATTTCTTTTACATCCATGGATAGATTTGATAAACTGCAGTGCCTAGTGTAGCTGGCTTTATCTATGACCTTAATTACCAGCTCCTGGCCGTTGGATCTTGAGATCTTGATTCTTGGCGGAGTTGAACAGCAGATTGGGAGTTGAACTTCCTAATTAGACCAGGTAAAACGTCGGGCCGGTGTTATTGTACTACTGTACTCCGTACTCCGTATCCGTTGTCCGTTAAAGTCAGGTTTACTGTTACATTACCGGAGCTAACCAATAGAAATGCGCTATTTTAATACACTACCTAGTAATCGTGTCAAAAGTCCTGATTTTAACAGACAAGGGGATAGCCTCACAGACTCGCTCGTAAAGACAGGCATTAAGGCATTGGACATCAGTTTTATGAGCGCCAAGACCGTAGTTATGCATAAGGACTCGTTATGTGCAAACCGAATCAAAATATGTAACGTGAATGCGCCCAAACCGAAGTGCAACTCGACGAATCAATCCCTTTTAACTTGATCGTCTGCTCTCGACGGAGCTTCGCTCAAATCCACCCTCGAGCCCGCCCGAGAGGTCATTCGCGACGCGGCCATCGACTCCCCAGTGGTGACAGCATGGAAAGAGAAGTCCAACTCGCCGACCAAGCTTTTTACATGTCTAGAACGGAAATGATATCAGCAATGAGAAGGCGTGGTCCAACTTCGGAGTTTCTGTTGCAGACATACCGGAGTAACCTATCCACATCACCGACAATGCACCGGGTCGAGATCTGCAGAACTGCAAATGCGGCGAATCCCGGCTCGGCGACATGTCGGAGACTTAGGATATCATGATCTAGGTCCTCTAGGCGTTTGGTGAAACTGTACGGACGTGGTGCTTTTAGGTAGGGTGGTAGAGGTTGTCGGTTTGTGATACTGGCCGAGAGAAGACAAAGTAAAGAGGTGACCTCGTGCGTCGTGACTTTGGCGGTGTTGACCAGTCGTCGGAAATCAAGCATCCAGGCTGTATCGGCGGGGTCGTCGCTGTCGCCGAGGTTCATCAGAGTATCGGATGCGTAACCGAGTAGACTGAGATAGTTCACAATACTAGTGCGAAAGAAGTGTTAGTACCTGAAATGGAGGTGGGACGGGCCCAGGCATACTTCTCAACACATAAAATGATCGAATCGTATTGCTTCTTCGGAAATCGACCGCCGATCGGTACCTCCCACCGCAGGAACCCGGAGTATTCCCGCAAGCCTGCTAGCATGAGCATCTGTTTTGAGAACACTTTGTGTCGCGCTTTCTCGAGCCTCCGACCTGAAGAGCTTCTAAGGATGTAGTGGCCCTCGTCACCGCGCATGCGACCGGAGACTGTCTCATGGATAATTGAGTAGTAGTTTGCGAGGAGATACAGTGATGCTCCTAGACTTTGACGGAGAACCGAGTGCTCGGAGATGGGATAGGGGAAGAACGTCCAGAAAAATGCGACAGCAATACCACCCGCTACAATAGCTAGCCGATAAGGTGCCAAGAGGTAGATGGGGTAGAAAGGCTGTCCATTCGAGGTCGCTACTGCCTCGCCAACTCGGCGAACCTGGAGCTCATAGCCGATGATCATGGTGGTGGTGACGATGCTGATGATGCCTACAACCCGGAAACGGAAGAGCTTGATCGGGATGTAGAAGGCGATGGTGACAAAGATGAACAAGAAAACAAGGATACCTGGGGTCTTTTGACCCGGTATATACCATATCAGCAGACTCGCCACCATTGCAATAGTTGTACCCAGAATTCGCAGTACAAAACTGAAGATACTCTGTCCCGAGGTGGGAGACATGCTGAGGTTGACCATGATCATGGCCCATACCAGTCGCTGGGAAGTAAAGAAGGTCTGTGTGTCGTGTAGGAAGCCGATTACTGCAATAGTCATAGTGGCACAGGCGACACGGAAGCCGTAGGTTGACTCGGACGAGCGCAAAAACCACGGGAGGACCCGGATTTTGTCACCAAACTTCTCGAATAGCGTAGTCGGCGGCAGATGTTCGGGGTCTTTGCGAAGCCTGTACGCTTCACCAAGGTGAAGGATGTTGTTTTGTGTATGAATGTCACCCATATTGTCATCTTCGTGCGATTCCTCCGCGTTCAAGAAAGCCTTGGCCCACTTCCATATTCTCTTGCCACCGGGGATAACAAGTCGAGTCTTCAAAAGTTTTCCTTTCGCCTCAACATGATCGGCATAACGCACAAAGTCAAGCACGGTTTGACCAGTCGAGTATAACAATTGTTCCATCTGGTTTTATATTAGCGTTCGCGATTACAACATGGCCTGCAAAGGAAGACCTACGTATAGAAAAATAAACAGCTGTCGCCGACTACGCTCCATCTGCGTGGCGGAAGTATCCAGAAAATCAGTGTCCAGCAAGTGTGGAGATGTAGGGTGATCGAAGAAGTCGGACGGGAGCTTGATGCCCTTTTCCTCTGCCCATGTCTGTAAAGCGATTCGCTTTGCACTTCGGAATTCCCCAAGTTTCTTTTCAAAGTGCCCAGTAAAGGCCTTCCCCCGGGAGCAGTGTTTTCGGCCGTGGCCTCCACATCTTCGTTTCCCTCCGTTGAATCACTGTCTGGAGATTTCCTAGCAGCCTTTTGTCTGGGTGGCTTTGTTAACCTGAACACATACGAGGTATGCAGCAGCCCCTCGTCGATAGTCTGGATCATGGTCGCAAACGGATCATGTACCGCCCTCATGATATCATTCCACTCGTGAACAACGCGCTGTCGGAGATCCTCTGGAATCACCGGCAGATTGGGATCAATCGGCTGATTCCATCTGTTGTAGTCCGACAATCGCTGGAAAATATCCACCACGAAGCTCAATCCCACAATCGGGATCATGACCTGGCGCAGATGACGAAATATCGTTTGGAGATCGTCAGGTCCCAATTTTCCCAATGCGATCTCACGCTTTGCGAATGTAAGGTCTGCATGGAGCTTGGCGTGGATATCTGTAATTCCTCGGACCGCGCTACGGATAGCTTCCGCTTCGGGGCTGTATACCTTGCCTTTCTTGCCAAATTTCTCACGGGCTTCGTCAAAGGTCTCTGTGCGACCGAAGATGTCGTCTCTCTCCAATGATTCAAAGTATACAGCGTGGGCCTTCAAAGCTGAGCGAAGACCGCCAATGTAGCCAGCCATTTGCTTGAAGACGACCTGGCGTGAGGTCATTGGAAGAATCAACAGTGATGTTGCTGTGGATATACCGAGACCCGTGAGAAACGCTTCTAGCAATTGCCTGATTAGAGAAATTGCAGATCCCATGTTCTGCATTTGCGGAGCGTAGACCGAAGACACATTCGCAAAGATTGCATAGATAATCACAGGGAATTGAAGTTGCGGATATTTGGCGCGGAAGGTGTGTACCATCCAGATTTGGAAGAACAGCCACACACCACTGACAGCAGAGGCCGACGAATTATATGTATCTTTGTGATTAGTAGCAGTGTGTTGGCGCGCCTTGACGCCGGAGAACATTGTCAACAGCGCGAAACACGCGGCTATGCAGACAGACAAGACGTCGAAGATCATCATCTGGATGAATTTTGCGCGGGGCATGATCGCAAAGCCTAAGATGGAGATGATGGCCACGAGGTAGCCCACGGTAGTGAACTCATTGGCAACAGCTTGAGATTGATAGCTGAGTTGGAGATCAGCCTGGTTCTGGTAGACTTGAAATTTCGAGGTTGGCAACTTACATGGCCACAGCTATAGTTGGTGCAATGCCGCCTCTAAAATAGATGTTAGACCTCTCTTTCTGCATCATTACTGCAAACTATCTCATTCCAGGGTTGACTTTTCAACTTACTTCATCATCAAGAGAATGGTAGGCCTGTCCAAGCCCGTCTTCTGCCATCTCTCCTTGATGGAGTTGAACAACGATGCCTTCTCATCTTCAGCGCTATCCTGAGGCTTTCCGTGCGGCGATGGATTGAATGACGAGCCCGACTGGCGAGACCGAACTCGCGACGCCATATTTACAAGGGTTCACACGGACACGGTGATGTACCTCGGCCCAGCCACTCGAGATGTGAATGCGGCATCACCCACGTGATCTAGTTGATAAGATCTTAGATCTGCAACCTTGGAAGAATACAAGTCGATGAATTTATCCGTGTCCTGTCAAAAAGTGATCTCGCGGCTGAAGAAGTCAGGTTGAAGTCTGGAAGACTTTTGCCGATCCCTGCTTCTTTTGGCCTCCCCGCCTTTGGTTCGGGAAGGAGTCCGACTCAACGTCCTTCGCTGTTTGTCTCACTGACTCGACCATATTCACCATCACCACTTTCCTAGTGTGGGAAATATTACAGGCTATTTTACCACTAGACCACAAGTACAACAAAAACCAAGGTTGTAGGTTCTTGTTTATAGCCTAGGAAGGCCTTATCCTAGTCTGACACATCCCCTAGGCTATGCCGACTCGTCGGAATTCGGGCAATATGTCTTACCAGCGATATCCTCTCCCATCTGATATCTGGGCACCGGATCCACAGAGTGCGAGAAGTAGCGGGTACGCGCACGAGATGAATTGAAATGGATTAGGTCCCAATGGAGGGCCTCGAAGGGTTTGTTGTATGTCATCTGGTCTCCGAGAGATCTGACAGTTATGAGACCCTTCGAGGCCCTCCGCTGGGACCTAGACCACTTCAATTCATCTCTTCCCGCAGTAGCATTACTTCGTTGCCATCCTAATCGTACGTAGTTTTACACCTATGTCCATGGCAAGACCCCAAAGGTCGCGAACCAGACTACATTCACGATTTACTCCGTACTGAGAATGCACCTATGCACAATTTGCGCTTTGCCGATACCCCGAGCGTATCTTACCTGCTTAGGGCACTCTTCATTCGGTTCACTACCTAGTTATTCTTCGGACTTTCTGAGCCCGATGGGCTCTGCAGAGTTTGCATGATCAAGCCTTCAATATGACATTGTTGGAAGCCTGGCAAGTAAACAGACCGAAGATAGTACCTATGTTCTAAGTCGGTCCAGTCCTGCCCCGAGATCTAGACAAACGCAACCCTACTTCGACATACTACACAGTATGGATGCGATGGAAAGTTTCCAATTCACCCCGATGTTTTAGATACTCCGACCAGGTCCATCGCGCTATCCTTCAGATACTCCGCGTCGTGTAAATGAGCGGACAGGGTGCATTTGGCCGGAGTGAAGTGCTTGGGAACCAGATATAAAAGTCGAGTCCATTTAAGGACGTTTGGGTTGATAAGACATCCTGAATTTACAAGAAACCCCCAACGACAAGTCCCCTAGCTAAAGAAAAACAATTCATAATGGTCTCCACCAAAATGCACAAGGGTAAGGCCATGGCCATTATAGCATTCCTATCCGTGGCCGCGGCCGGTGCCCCCGCCATGGATCCAGAAACGTAAGTCAAGGACCTATCGATGCATGTGGTATCTTCCGTGCACATATAGCCTTGCACATGCATAGCGCAGGCCTCTTCATGCGCATTACTGAGCTGATTCCGAACCCAGTCCCGCTGTGAGCAGTGTCGACCACCGCGCCGGCATGTCAGCCGATGTTGTTCACGACGGTGCCCACGGCGATATCCACGGCGGTAATCACACTATTTCGCACGGGTAAGTAACACGATAAGTCTATCCCCTTCTCATCTAATGAACATTAAACCTAGACCTGAGCGATACGGTGGCGATCTAACCTGGTTCAAGACGGGACTAGGAGCTTGCGGATGGTACAACAACCCAGGCGATGCGATCTGCGCCATCTCGCATATTGCCTACGACCGCATGAACGTCGACAGCAACCCGAACCACAATCGGCTTTGTGGACGGAAGATCCGTCTCCAGCGCGGTAGCCGTGAAATTGATGTTGTTGTTGCGGATCGTTGTGAGGGATGTAAGGAATTTGATATTGATGTCACCACTGGTGTTTTCGGGAAGCTTGGGAATCTTGATGAGGGGCGTGTGCATATTGATTGGTGGTGGATTTGAATAGGTACCACGCTCTTGTACTTGTCTCCATAGGGTCGCTGTCTTGGAAGCTCGGCTTTCGAGGCTGGCGGGTTCGTATAATGGAAGGAGACTTGAAAGTGTTTCAAACAGGCATTGTAATTGACGATGGAGAGGCTTCAATCAGTACTCGGGCCAATCGGAATCTACCTGCTGTTTCCACGATCGTAGTCCTCCGCGGATATCGCCGATGAATCTCTTTCCGTTCTGATCTAGTCCTAGCTCTTTCATTTTCTTGACGGCAATCTGCGAGTCGTTGCCGAGACGACACACGACGTATATTGGGTTTGTTGAATTAGGCGCGGCAAGCTCAGAGGGCAACCATGAAGGTAACTCTGCATTTTGCAGCCCATTATCGGAGTGCGGTTGTGCAGAGGAATTACCCGAGGATAGGATACTTGAAATGGGAACATTTATGCTGTTCTCCAGACTGCAAATCCCAAATTGGGCCTCGTCACGCACGTCTATTATCGTGTGACTTGGTGCCGAACCAGAAGGAACAGTTCCGTATTTTTGACTGTACTCCGAAGCAGAGATACGCTCCTCAGGACCAAGCAGCGAGGGGGAACTCGCAGATCCACAGAAAAACACATAGTCAGTCGACCCCGATTTGATCGTGTCAAGCGAGACAGTCGCCTCAGCAGAGCAAACTGCACAATTCGCCCGGCGCGAACGAAGACGAATCGTGCGCACAAGGGGTGACGAGTACGCTGAGAAGATATGTAGGGACGGAGGATCGCGTGGGCGGGTCGTGCTACCATGATCTGGTACCCCACCAAAATCAGGCGCAGTGATGACCTTGATCGCCTCCAGAGCCTGTAAGACCCCCATCGTCCCAACGACTGGCCCCAAAATACCCCCGTCCGCACAACTGACCACGCTATCTGCCGGTGGCGGTTTTGGGAACACGCACCGATAGCATGGACCTCCAGCTTTATCGCCCGGTGCCCGCGGCGGGTTGTTCAACACCATCAGCTGGCCCTCGGTGCGCAATGCGGACGCAGAAACCAATGGTTTTCCTAGCAACACTGCGGTGTCTGAGATTAGATAGCGCGTCGCTGGGTTATCGGTGCAATCGAGAATGATATCATAGTTCTGGAAGACCGTTGGTGCTTCTTCCGGTGTGAGATGTGTTCGGTGTGCGATGTACGTGGGATGCGGATTCAGTCTAGCGAATAACACGGGAATTATCAGCATCCAGCTCGACCCCTCTTCCCGGGCTTTGGGATTCACTCACTGTCGCAAGGATTCAATCGCACTGTCCACCTTGTACTTCCCCACATTCTTTGTTTTATGTAGCACCTGCCGATGCAGATTCGATTCCTCGACTGTATCCCCATCAATGAGCCCGATGGTGCCGACACCAGCTCCGGCAAGGTACTGCGCAGCTGGGCATCCCAGCCCGCCGGCTCCAACAAGTAGGACCTTTGCCGATCGGAGTTTGAGCTGACCTGTGGTTCCCAAAGAAAATCATCAGTCTAATTGCTCAAGGAATTGCACCGGAGAATAGGCCCCTCTTACCTTTCAAACCAACTTGAGAAACAATCATCTGCCGTCCATAGCGTTTATATTCTTCTTGAAGTAATGGCCATCGCCTGCCATACCCGTTCCGACTCTCGTGCTGGGGGTCCGCAGACGTCGCGTTCTGAGATTGTGCTGCTTGCTCGGCGTTGGCGAGATCGTGTTTCAGACCTGCAAGCTGTGCTTCAGTTGCAGTGATCTGGGCGCGCAAAGAAGCGCACGTTTCTTCCAGAGATCCCATGAAGCTAGTTGATGCTTTGAGCGTGTGGAAAATCGAAATTTGACGCGTGAGGGGAAATGTGGAAATTCCCCGCCGCTTTTATGTGGGGCTCTGCTGATGGGTATTTGTCCGGGCATCGCCATTCGCCGCATCAATAGGTAACGACTTATTAATGTAGGGCAGGATTGATGGGTTGTGAGCTCACATATCCTCATATTCTAGGATTCTAGGTGTATCTGACTATCTGTCAAGACAACTGTATGTATAATGTAATCTATCACCTATAATCTATTTACTCCTTGTGCTCCGTAGTTTCCCCAGTCTTCTCCGTCTCTGCATGTTCTTCCTGCATAATTTGAGACTTCTCCAAGGTATGCTCCATGTCCGCGCGTCTCTGCTGCTCATCAACAGCACCGAAAATAAGATCCATCTCTTCCAGGGTCCGGCCCTTCGTTTCTTTGAAGAAGACAATGACGAAGGTCCCCATGGCGAAACAGAAGATGCCGAACATGAGGAAGGTCTTCCAGCCAATCTGGTTGATGGCCCGAGGAGTGATCTCGGTGATGACGAAGTTGAATAGCCATTGTGTTGCGGCACCGAATCCGACACCGTAGGCACGGAGCCGGGTAGGGAAGATCTATGAATGCAAGTTTTGTCAGTCATCTGATGGGGTCGATGTGGAATGTCCAGATGGAAGACTCACCTCGCCGAGATACACCCAGGGAACGGGTCCCCAGGATGCTGAGTAGCCGATGACATATAGATAGATCATGACGACCATGGCAATGGATGCCGATGAGACGGAGGAGGCATCTGGATTCGGGGGATGCGTGGCAAGGACTGCACCAATGATGAACATCATGCTAGCCATCCAGGCGGCACCACCGATCAAACTCTTTTTTCGGCCCCAGCGGTCGATGCCGATGACCAGGAAGATGGCTGTCGCAATCACCTTGACGGTCCCGTAGATACCGGTAGCAAACAAGGAGGAATTTGTTTTGCTTAGTCCGACCTGCCAGTGTCGAAGGTTAGATAACTTATGTGTTTTTCGGTGCTTGATATACTCACACTTGCGAAGATCTGAGGCGCATAGTATCCAATGCTGTTTGTCCCAGAAAATTGCTGCCAGAACATAAGGACGAATGCCAGGAAGAAGCGGTATCGGTTACTTGGCTTCAAGCACTCCCTCCAGGTCAAACCTTCCGTAGCCAAAGACTCTTCATGGATAGCAGCAGTAATCTCAGCAAACTCAGTCTGCACAACCTCACTATTCTCAGGCTCATTTCGAATGTAAGCGAGAGAGTTGAGTGCCTCCTCGCGGCGACCATTCTTCATCAACCAACGAGGTGACTCCTTCAGGAAGAACAATCCAACGAGCATCAGCCCGCCGGGGATAATTTGAATGGCGACTGGAATACGCCATTGACTTGTGCCTTCGGGGACATGCAGAGAAACGCCGTAGTTCAGCCAGTAGGCGAAAGTGCTACCAATAACCAGGAACTCCTGGAACAGACCGGCGATACGACCACGGGTTGCGGGCGGGCAGTTCTCACTAACGAACACAGGGGTAATACTGGACATGCCACCAATACCCAGACCGGCGATGACACGTCCGCCGTAGATCAGGCCGATTTCATGATGAGCAGCAGTTTGGAGCGCTGCGCCGACCATGAAAACCACGGTTAGGATCATTAGCGAGTATCGACGGCCCAGTCTGTCGTTCATGTACGCGGCGCCGATGGAACCGAAGAAGCATCCTGCGGTGAGTAGCGAAACCACGTTGGAGGAAACCTGGGCGTTCTTCTCGTCGCTGAAGCCGGACGACTCGACAGGCAGGCCGAAGTCCCTTTTGAAACTCGAAAGGGCCAGGACCGAGCCCATCACGCCCGTGTCATATCCTGGGCGATGCACATGTTAATGTCATTATATCACCGGTCTATCGGAAACCAGCTCACCGAACAGCAGAGAACCCAGGTAGGCCACCGAGGTCAAAATATAGACCCGGTAGTTCTTGAAGTTGACGAACCCCATCTTGAAGAGAAGTGGATGGTTCAATATCTCACTAGGTATTGGGATTGGGAGGAATTGACCCTAAAGAGAAGTCTTCCGCGAAGAAGAAAAAGACCTGCCGAGCTTGGGTGCCATGCGGATTTATACTTAAGCTAGCCCTTAGTGACTCGGTTCAATGCCATTATGCCAAGCGACAAGCTAATCGGCACAAGCAATTAAGTGGCTTTCGTCATCATGCAATGGCGCAAAGCCCCCGGGGTTGCTGGTTGAGACAGTCCGGGGGCACAAATGTGGATCTGGGGGAACGAGTTGGGGAAATTCATGGACCCACTGGATGGAATCTCGCCTGGCAGTTTCTCCATCCATTCGACGATGGTCTTGGTCAGATTGTGCGGTACTCGGCGCCTTTGGCGCGGGGAAGAGACACTGGGGTCGAAGGGCGTTGGCCATTGCTCAGTGGAGCCGCGACGGCTGTCGCCGCAACGGAGCTCCTGATTGGTGGAGAAACTATTTGTCTTTCCGGTTGTCTCCACTCTTCTTAGAAAGGGGATCGATCGGCTTATAAAATCTGGGGTTCGCTTTCAGCTATTCGGATGTTGCCGATATCCATTTCGTCAATCTCAGAGACAATGTGTTAGTATCGGAAAAGCGGTCTGCTGCTCCTTCCTCAGGCTGTTTCTGGTTGACTTCGACGAACTTGAGGTTTCGACCATAAACCTGAGAATTGCATGCGAGCCGCGGCCAACTCTCTCAGCCATGGTCCTCCTTTCCCCCGGCGCGGATATCCTTTTTTCCACTATGTCTTTGATGACTGCTAGATGAATAGCATACAGACTTCGCAAAAATGTCAAATGTTTGAAGCTTCGAGAGTAATTGCCAATTATTGTCGTGGATCAGATGAAGGTTCCCAGACAAATTGGAGATTGCTTTGGGCCAGGCCATCAAAATAGGAAGCTCCAGTCATTGCTGCCATTCTACGTGCATATACACAAACCTGATTGGAACCGGCGTATTATTGAGTACTATCATTTGACCTCGCTCACAAGGTTGGCACGTGCTCCGTCGTTGCCCCAGCTCTTATTGTTCACTCGCACATCAACCCGGGGATGTCCTCGCAACAGCCATGCTATCTAGCAACAATTGAGGCAACAGGCATTATTCGCAAGATGTACACACCTAACACCGAGTCCGAGCACCAAGCACCAAGCACCCCAACCTCCAACATACCTTCTCGTGCCCAAGAGATATCGTCAGATTCCGAATCTAATTGTTGGCAGCCGTGACATGTAAAGCCAACGATAGACTAGGCGCTCGACGTCTCATATGACTCCTTTTCAGCCTTTCGCTTCAGAAACTTTCGATACCCAAAGAGTGCCATAATTCCGACAACCACCAAGAACACAATGCAGAACACGAGGACCACACCACGATTCTTATCCGCCCAATTGCCTCGTTTGATAATTGAACGGCGAGTAGTGGTTGCAGGAATGGCAGGATAGACCAGTCCAATCACGGCCATGCTGTTGGAACGATGGTAGACCGGGAGAATGCTCCTGTGTTAACGTCGGTTAGAATTGATTGGACTCATTGAGGAGTTTGTTCAAGTAAGACCAGCTAACAGCTTGCCTTAACTGAGGGTAATCTCACAGGATACTGCAACTTCTGGCAATGTGATACCAGGGTCTAGAAAATCAGAGTTGCTAGAGTAACGTCAAATATGGAAGAATCTTTTCGTGAAAACACAAGCCAAGTACGAAGACTGACTCGTGGATATCAAATATTGAGTGGGGAGATGCGGCGACCTTGTTGAAAGAATCTCGAGACAAATGCCCCAGGTCCCACGGCATAATCCTCGCCCAGTAGAGAGAGCTCCGGCAGCCGCCGGACAACAAGCATTGCCTATTGATGATGCTCATCGCCCTAGGACTTCAGTCGTTGTATTTACTTGGGCTTTATAGAGGAGATCTTGGTGTGATTGGACCCCTGACTGCCCTACCATGGTTGGTTGAAATGTCAAATGGGAGAACCAAGAAGACAACTTCCGTATAGCTCCGGCGTTCAAGCTTCAACTCTCCCGGTAGAAATGGAGCCCTGATGAGGCGCAAATCCGTTCGTTCTATTCGCATCAGTTCCTAATTACACGGTTTCCGCATTAGACGGAGCTCTGATCAATTTTGTTTCAATAACTCGTGTGGGAGGCGGAATAGGACTCTAGGCCCCATGCCCAGCAGGTGGCTTCCAGCTCTTGAAACTGCTGCGTCACCCATCAGTCATACTTATTCCATGCTCGGCTCATCGAGTGTCTTAACGAGCTGGCCTGAGGAGACCGCTGCCTGCTTGGATAAGTAGGACCAGATATGCAGCTGCTGTATACATGTACCATTACCCGACCCTCTATGTTGCGGTTGTCTTGATTAGAGCTGTTCATGAGGACGATCAATTGTAGGAAGCTTTCAGCACATCATCCAGAAACCATCTTCCAATTTGACGTCATATCGCAGTAACAACACTTTTGACAACATTGACGTTCTAATTCTGCATTGTCTCCAGGCAATCAGTTGGTGAGAGAAAACTCATGGGCATCTCACGAGCCTCTTCGTTCATGTCTGGACCATCCAGTTCTTGGCCTTTTCGCTAATTGGAAAATTTATACATCCCACAACCATAAATGGGACTAGTCGTTCTCGCTTCTCAGCTGGACTTATGTGCTCTGCAAGATCGGAACACCAAGTCGCAAAGCCGGGCGCATCTTGGTAAGTGAAGCCACATTCAGTTAGGTTATGTTCAAAATTCGAAGAAGACAAGCAAAGGGAATGACTGGTCCTTAATTCATTGTTGTGCTTCCTCGGGGGTTGTATCAGGATCGTAGTTACCGGTATGCTCGTCCAGGATCCTTGCGTTTAGCGAGCTTTTTGCCAACTGGCCAGTCTTCCGCCAACTGGCGAGCCTATCCCTACGAATTGCCCCAAGAATCCCACTGCGACACGTGCCGCGTCTGATCTGATGTTTAATCTATGGCATGGTATCAATCTCTCCAGGGTGGGTCACAAACTGCTTAGCAGTTTGGCTGTCCCATACATTCTTCCAGCAGAGCATGCTCTGTACTCCAAGACGCTGAGGCGGAAAACACAAACATGTTGAATAGTCTCTCTACTGCAACCTCTGATGCTGGAATTGCTAGATGAGAATTACTGCTATCAAGCCATTTCGATAGGTAAAATAGAGGGGCATGCTTGAATATCTTGACTTATGTCACAAGGTCCATGGATCATTCAGCGTTAATTGTAGAACAAGCTCCCGAAAGGGTTTCGTGAGCTGAATATAGATTCCCACGTTGGTCAAGGAACTGCTTAGACACGGACTTCGCTGTACTCTAATACCGACTCGTTATAAGCGTCAGATAATTCTGTCTACTTGCATCTAATCGATAACCCTAATTTCAGTAGGTCCGGACTCCTTTCGGCTACCCACGTCGCTAAGCATTCTAGACTCTTGGCGGGTTGTTCTTCTGTCTATCACTATGGCATTCTCGACATTAGCAACAGCCCCCTTAATTTTGCTCTGGCAACATCCTGCGAGAGATATCTGCCCTACTCCACCTTGAGCCTGCTAGTATCCACAATCAGCAGCAAAAAGAATGTTCTGATGTTTAAATTTTAGATCCGCCCATCACCTCGTATCCGGCCCACAGGGCACCAATCACCATTCTCCCTTCACAGGAGGGACCTCGAGCCAAGACTTTAGGTTGCACGTTTCGCACAATCAGGACAAAAAGAGCTAAAGCGTACAGATTTAGAATGATCTGACAGGCATGTACGGGCTCAGTCTTTCTGTACCCCGTATTCTCTGGACGGCGCTGCCGGCCTGCCACCAGGTGCCCGACGTTGAATGCTGCATCTTGCTGCTTCTTGCATGGAGTATCAACGCCATAATACATCTATGTGGAGATGGTGAGGACATGCTCTGGACACAAATCCCACTCAAACATCTGTTATTAGATGAAGCGGTTTCATTATAAGCCTTGCGGCCCGTTAAAATTGGAGCGATCCGTCAATCCTCGACACATGCTAATTAGAGATCGTGTTAATCTGCACCTAAATTCAGCTAGTCCGTCGGATTTCATCGGTGTTTATCCTCGTGCAGTATAGATCGACCACTTCAGTCACCTCAGGCTCCACAGCCGGGGCTTCGACTGGCCCATACACGGCCTAGAAAGCACACCCAAACAGACGAGGCTCAATCTGAATACGAGGTTTATTTCTCCCCAAATGGAACCAGGGTCTAGGGTGTCTGCGTCGCCCGTATATTACAGGCATGTCTCCCTCTCGCACCCTTGGCAGCTGAAACCTCCACACCAACCTTTTTTTCCGATTTTCTCTGCTTCAAACCCCGTGAAGTCATTGAAGCCATCCACATACTCACCAAAATGCTACCGTTCCACGCACTTCTTTTCGTGCCCCTGGTGAACGCATGGACATTCCGCACCACCACCCCAGATAACAAAACTGAGATCGCCCGTGGCGAAGCCTTCCAGCCCTGCACGAACGCCACTATCGGCCAGGACCGCCTGTTCACCTGGGATCCCGAAGGCTCAGATCTCTGCGTCTCGATCTACCGCGACACAGAGTGCAAGTCGCGAGGCGGATATTCATGTACTCTATGGAGGAAGAATGCGAGTGCCCCGTTCGAGGCTTTTGATGTTATGCTCGAGAGCGAGATTGTCGCTAAATCCTTGTCCGCCGCGTACTCGGCAACACACACAACCACCACCACCACCACACCCACGCCGGACCCTACTACTACTACTACACCCGTTCACTCCGCCTCTGCAACACCAACTGACCCGGCTGCGGCTGCGACCAGCGACGATGGTGGTTCTTCCGGCTCTTCGCTGTCTGGTGGTGCTATTGCGGGTGTAGTGATTGGTGTCATTGCTGGTGTTGCTATTCTCCTTGCTCTGGCTGTCTTGTATATGAAGAGGAAGAATAAGAATAGTGCGCCGGTTACTGTCGAGCATGGTGGTTATGGGCCCCATGAGGCGGATGCGACGAATTCTTCGATTAGTGGTACTACGGTTATTGCAGAGAAGGGAGGAGACTCGGCTGTGCGTGCTTTCAGACCTCCGCCTGGTTCGCGGGTTGTGGAATTGGTCGGCGATGAGAGGAGTGCTGAGTTGGGTTCGAGTCCGATCAGCGAAATGGATGGACAGACTGCTGTTAAACCATTCAACCGGGTATGACATATCGTGCGGTGATGTGTTGCTGTCGGCGAGCGGATTTTTCTTGAAGAGGACCTTTACTGTTTGACTTAGTGTTTAGTAGCGTTTGATATCTCTGGGCTGGTTTCATGTTTTCACTTACTTTAATCCATCTTGACTGTATTAGCCCTTTCCTTGGAAGGTTCCAGTTTCTCACATATGATGCCATCTCTATTAGGTATCTCTGATTTGAAACCTCTTTGGAATGTGTGTAACTCATCTTTATTGCCTTCGTTCACAGCAGTCATGTTCAGTACTTATAGCGACTCATGCTCCCGGTTCTAATGCTCTTTCCCAGAGGTACCTAACTATACCTATGCGCACGGCTATTCTCAGACTTATATCCCGAGACTCCTCAGGCTCAGGTACCTTCCTCTCTCACACATCCTTGACGTACAATCTACCATATTATTTATGGAACTCAAATATATAATCTTCCCTTAACAGAAGCCGCAGGAACATCCTGCGCCGAGGTAGTCAGCGCAATACATCCAACATCAGCATCCGGTTGCACATCCCCAAGGTATAATTTCGTATCTTGCAAGTTCTTCGACCATTCATCCGAAGACCAAGTAGAAGATCCTGTCACACCCTCAATTTTGTTCCGTAACAGTGCCACACTGACTGATCCTAGTAGTTCTGGGGCAATCGTTACGATGTGAAGATAGGCACCCACAAGTGCAAAGCAGAAAATCACCAGTGAGGAGATAATGAGCACGGCTAGCCAAGGACGATTGCATTTCACAACGTCTTGGTTACGGATGTTTTGGGCAGTAAGTTTGACAGGGCTGTCTTGGATCTCACTGTCCTTCCCCTCAATATCCGTTATATTGAAGGACCCGGTGAATGCCGAGGGACTGATTCCAAGATAAAGCACCGAATTGAACAATTGAGCGAAACGCGTCTCAAAGACTTGTCGGTCTATGGTATCAGGCGCCAGTCGCCAATCACTGTCAAATTTTCCTACCGCGTGGAACGGGTCGACAAAGTACTCGAGAACAGGTTGTAGACCGCCTGTCCCTTCGGCGTGGGGAAACATATTGGTGAGAATATACAGGATTCCTCCCGGGTAGTGAGGTGGTAGCTTTTCGTCTCCAGGGAAAACCACATCCAGAACGGTCCAGTTGCTATGGAAATGAGAGTCCACTGACCGACGCGCGGAGGATAGGTTGCAAGTATTGGTCGAGTCGTGACCATCCAAGCTCCCACATGTCACATTTGCATCGACGTAGGTCGTGGTGAGATCGCATATGGCTCGAGTGATTGGGGAGCGATCCGTGATGGCCCCGGCATAGCCAGGTGCCCATGACTCCCAGATCATTTTTCGAGCGTTACGAGTCCTCGTCATCGATGCATTATTTGATGCTGAGCATGGCTCGGATATGGCGATCTGGAACTGGTTTCCGCCTTGTGAACTCGACCAGCTGCAGTCGTCGTCGTTGCCAGGTGACGGTGCGTCCGGTCCCGTAAAATTTGTGAAGTTGATTTGGCGTATCGTGTCAAAGACGGGACAAGAGAGAGACATGTAGGCGCCTGGGAGGGTGAAGGATGTGCTGCCTGAGTCAGGCAAGCCGCTGACTGGCGTGCCAACAAGAGATGCATACGACATATTGTTACTTGGAGGTACATCCATCCATTCCGTATCGCCTTTGAGGTGCTCGATAATGGGAAATCGCACATTGCTCCATAGATCTTGGTTGCGGGTGGAAAGTAGCGAGGCTGCCGATATGGAAGCAATCATTGGATTTGCTACTATTGTCATAGCCTCCGATAGCCCTTGGCTGAAGCCGTATTGGTATGGCGTGAAAGTGTCCAGAGTGGTCAACTGGACCGCGGTGCCTGGATGACTAGTCACGATGGAAATCACACGGAGAGACGCCTGACTGCCTAACGGAGATAGGCACCACAATAAAACGGTAAATAATGCCATGAGATTCACAGCGCGGAGTCTGATCTGGGTGAGGAAGGCTCCAGTGATTGTCTGACTTCCGAGACATTGCTCGACCAGCCCGATGGTCGCTCCTTGCGGAGTTTGGATGCGCCAAGAGGCAATACTTTTGATGCTGCTGCCCGCAATTGCGGCGAATAGAACGGGAAATACGGTAGGTGCCTTGGATATGAACACAATGTCAGCTAGTGTTTAGGAAACCTCCAAGAGCGGGTGTAAGACCGGGGCAGCTAACTAACATATTGGGAAATCTCATAAAGCTTGGAGCCTATTGATCCTGGACCGGCAGGACTTCCATCGACACGGGAAACCCATATACCAAACACTGCAAAGAGCGATGCCATCACCGCAAGAAGCAAGTCCCATAGTAGCCGCGAGACTCTATCCAGCCGAGATAGCCTGAGCGGCTGTGGTTGGAGTTTCTGCTCGTCTGTGGGGAGATCGATTGATGCAGAATATTGAAACTCCGAAGAATGATCTCGCTCTAGTTGATACTCCTCCACTGGTACGACCCCATACGGAGTGCGCTGTAAGTTCCTCATCTCGCGATGTTCGATTAAGCTCCGTAGCGCCGACATGCGAGGATGCTTGGCTCAAATGGTGAGACCCCAAGTACCAGTTCCGGAGTACTCTGTCCGACATCATGTCGGTGACATCGGCGTTTCTTATAAAGCGGGGGCTAAGAAAACCTGGGCTTTCTCGGGTGGTCACGATGCGAAGCATTAGAGGGCCCGCAATTGGGTGCGGCAAATCCAGTTGCATAGCCGTCAGGGCTAAGCATGCTGGCTGTCTATCATTGCCTATTAATGGCGCAAGCTCGGTGCTTTAGCGCAGTTAGTTGATTGGGTATTGATTAACCCCTCAAACTGGCGGCCCCTGGGCCGGCCCTGGCCCCATACGCGTCAATGCGTCCAGCCCTTTTCGTACCTTGTCACACCAGATCCACAATTCCACATGTTAAGATTTTGATCATAATTCCGGGGACAAGTACATACTGGACCTGAAGACGCTGGCTGTATACAACCTTGTATACAAACGGTGTTCGGATGTAGCTCATTAGTTCTACCTGTAGAACAATCATTAAAGAAACATCAACTTACTAGTCAGTCATTCTATAAATGGCCCCAAAGAAGTAACTAGCCCAGATGACACTAGTCAACTAATTCTTGCAGTAGTAAGGTTAGCTGCATATGCAGATGTACTTCGCCCGAGTGGAATAAGCCAGGGTCTAGGAAGTTGGCCTCAGACCACTCACTCCGAAATATGGGGGGGGCAGTGCCCTGTATCGAAAGTCGTGTTTCACGTGACGCGATTATTAGTCATTTCTGTTTACATTTCCTTTTTCCCGTTCTCCGTTTTAGGTCGTTACGCGCACCGCTTTCACCGTTTCTCATTGTCAACCTTCACCCCTCTCCCTCACACGTGTTTCTTTGGCTCTACTTTATTTGCTATACGTCTTTATAAGAATGGATTCTCAGGATATCTCTTGCAGTTCTTGACGTAGGAGCCGTGCAGTCGATGAGTCTCACGTCAACAAGCAAGGGAAGCGCAACAAAACTTGCATCCGTCATTCAAAGAAACGTTCCTTGGAGGTCGATGACTGGGCGAATTTCATTCAGGTCCTTCGCAATTGGAATGAGCCAGTGAGTAATCTAAACTGACTACGCGAGTAACTTGAAACTGACGACGCCCTTGCTTATAGAACCAACGTGGGATACTGGACGGCAAATACTTATTCGAGTTAGACGCTTTACCAATTGAATTTGGTCCCTCTACGCGTCCAGGAGAATGAATCTCTTCGAGAGGGGATAAATACGGCAATGCGGAAACTCACCGAGGTTATCTGGACGGAAGGAAAATTCGGTTTCACTTATACATTGACAAATGGCGCAGTCTTGTGTTTTGCTTCGAACCGCCAAGCCCGGAGTTTTATGATGAAGTCCACCGCCAGACCACCTATCCTTTCTGGAAATGTGAACAACTGGTTCTGCGACCCGAGTATAAAGCACTGGCTACTATACCAATAGCAGAAGTTGCTGAACCTAACGTCTCTGGAATTGAATCAGAGTCTGACTCTGACTTCGGTCAAAACGACGATGAATCTGAGCCGGAGGGTGAACCAGTCGACGTCCTCGCGATTGGAACGGAGAACGCAGTACAAGAATTTCTTGACCTAATCAAACAGGAACGCGCAAATGGGAATGCAATTTGATCAGGTCAAGAAATTCTTGTACTGCCTTCTCCGTTTCAATCGCGAGGACGTCGACTGGTTCACCCTCTGGCTCAGATTCATCGTCGTTTTGACCGAAGTCAGAGTCAGACTCTGATTCAATTTGCAAAGTTCCTAGTAAGAGCTGCCCCCGCCGCGCACCAAATTCGGGTATTGGTGGAGGAAGTTGGGCAGCTCCGCAATCAGCGGAGTATGCCCCGGACTTGGGGGAGATACCGGCATCCGGCGACCATGTATCTAAAGTAAATTGAACTGGTATTGGTTGCGGTGTATGTAAAGTGACTTGAACTCGGATTTATTGATAAGTTGATAACCGTTTGAACCACGTGATTCACAACCCTGGCTAGGGCATTAAGCACTCTTTGCGCCTGGGTGCGGAACGGCACTAGTATGTTCCGGATAAGACAAGTGGAAGAAAACCTCCATGTCAAGATAGTCCCACACACAATCATACAGACAAACTCATCAGGTGCACCCCATATCTTCCAAGACACTAGATACTACTAGACTTCAACAGACTGGAGTGGACATTAGACCCGTACTGCCCAACGCCGCAAAGGCGGTGGATAGTTATTATGTCGGGTATGGCAGAGGTGCGAGTGAATCCCAATTTGACTGGGTCCCTTCAATTGCACTGTTTCCCGTGGATCATCAGTGACATTCATCACTTGAATCCATCAAAAAGATCCAGAGCGTTCAACTATGCATAAACACTACCGTTAACCGTTTATCGATCGACCAAGCCAGAAGTGTCCTGCGGGCAAATTCGAGGCTGTCAACGTGGAGAGGCCGATGCAGATGTTTTCTTTGGAAAAAGGAATGTTTCCTATCAAGTACCCATATCTAGACAAATTTGGAGCATTCCATTGTCTATCTGTCTTCACCAATATCATCCTCTCGGGCTGCTTGTCATAACTTATAACACAAAATCAGACAATACACCTCACTACGGGCAAGTCACAATACTACCAGTCTCAACACAACAGCCAGGACCTCCACCGCAAGAGCAACCAGTACCAATACTCATATAATCAGAGAACTTCTTTCCGTTCTTATCCTCATAGTCTTGGCAACCGCAGATACTATGAACATAAGATGTTTGATCAGTTTTTTGTCCCATGATTTAATGGAGTGAGGGCTGGGTAGTTGAATCGGCATTATCTTACCTGGCAGTGGACCCATATCCAGGATAGTCCATGTTCTCGTAGAAGTCGGAGATGGACCATTCATCTGACGGGTCGCAAATCAACAGGTTGAACATTCCCGGCTGAGTGTAGATCTTCCTCTCCATAATATCCGAATAAGACCATTTCAAGGTTGTATCAACGTTTGTATCCACCGGTGGAGTATAATTGAATCCTCCAGCCACAAAGCTATTGTAGCTGCCCTGGATAACGTGGTCAATCGTGAAGTTATAAGTTCCGGTGTCCAAGTCCTGACAGTTCACCACCGTTAGTAGATATTCGAGGCCATTTTGAGGTGGTCAACGTATTTGAATCTCACCTTGTAGCCAGGAGGGTCGTCATATGTAAAAATGATATCATAATCACTTATTCTGCACAGAATCAGATCAGTACCTACCCGAGTAATGCGAACGTGGCAAGGGGCTGGATATTTACCCTTGTAAGTAGCACGCGTAACCATCATCGTGATCCACCCAAGCCTGGAGCTTCTCGTTCCACTTGTCTGTATAGCCGTTGACTAGAAAATAATTTAGCAAGTTTCTCCAGTTCTCAGACGATTGAAGAATTAAAAGCCTTACAGGTGCTCTCATCCATTGGATAGCAGTATAGGAAGACCGCGTCCGCGTTCCATAACGTATTGACAATCGTAGCTTCGAAGATCTGTTGAATATGCTGTTGAACTTCAAGCGCACTGATTTGATTCGAAGCCTTTGGACTGATGATAGGAAGATTCCGTTTGTCCAAAAAGACACCATGGTTGAATAAGTCAATCATCTTGTCGCTGCCGCGAACAATAGTGTCTTTCCAGGAGTCTATCCACTGAGTTTGAAGGGCCTCCGACCATGCAGAGGCCGTGCTATAGAATCATCGTCAGTATAAGCTGAAAATACTGTACTTCTTTCGCCACTCCCCAGAAAGATTACTTACAGACTCAAATTGTCGGCTGCGGTCGAATCAACGTCATTGATTGCGTTCAGACCTTCGGTGACCATGCCCCCGAGCAAAGCACCCGCTGCCGTCACCTCGACATTTCCTGTAAGAGTGGTGACAACCACAAGCATTGTACTAATTGCTGTTAAGAACTCTGACCAAAAGAGGCCCATGTCCGGAGGTGGTGGCCAAGTGAAGTCTTTGTACATGGTCTCTGCGATGTTGCTGAAGTTCGAGGGCATATCACCGGTTGCTGCGTAAAGAGCTCGCATAACCTAAAGGAGAGAGAAAAGACATGTCAGTATGAGATACCTCGGTTGGAAAGATTCCACCATTGTTATGATTGAAATTTGGATGGACTCACGCCGTTGAGATTAGAAATTGACAGAGCGGTGCAATACTTCCAACCTGTACCCTCTTCTGTCGTCGTGCAGTCCGGTGCCCGACATGTATCGGAATCGATTCTAGAGCAAGCTGCTATACTTTGTCCCTGGCCCAATGGGTTCATCATCTCCATGACAAAATCGTCGCCGTCATAATTATCCAGGTATGAGGACAATGCAAGAGTGGTTCCTATTTTATCCCAAATCGAGGAGTCGATGATCCCAGCTAAAATTGTGGTACAAGGTCAGCAATCAGTTCTTTCACAACATGAAAATGCAAGAGCACGGTCCACTGATATGGTAATATAAGGGAAAAAGACTTACAGGCACCAACATCCGCACAGCTTGCATCACTTGAGAAATTAGTACCAAGCCCTTCCAATACCATGGGTTTGGTATCGCAGGAGTAGAAAGTCGGGCTTGTCATCTTCTCGCAATAGTCTTCTGGACAGTAACCATATTCGCAGCTGAAGGCACAAAGGCCAGAGTAACTGGTGTCCAAGGTGGAGACTGGGCAGTAGCTGCCAGTGGATGACATCAATGTAGAAACAATTGTACCCTTCTTGGTGCAGGTACACATGGGACCCGGGCAGAAGTTGTACTGGCAACTGAACTCGCACAAATCTTTGTAGTCATCATTGCCAGTGCCAGCAATACAACCCGTAGTGGAAGTCTCGGGGGTACAACTTGGGAAGGAAGATCCGGTGGCTGCACTGAGAGATTTGCACTGGGATTTAAGCGTACTCTCGTCTCCGTCGAGATCCACAGCCCAATCCGTTGTGCCACCAAAGTTGAGACTCTCATACAGTGCTGTTCGGACCGCCTTATTGGCATCACTCATCCAGGCTACCCACTGCGTGTCTCCGAAAACCAGCGTGTCAGAGTAACTATCCGCATCAAAAAAGTAGTCTGAGTCGGACATGGTAGACTGCGCGTAGTAAATCTCCGCATTGCCGAGATATCCAGCGGTATCGGTACAAGAACCCTTCCATGCCCCAGATTCGGGTCCAGTGTAGGTGCACATTGGGTCATAGCACCCTGGCGTTGACATTTGGAAAGATCGGCCATAGCTAGTGACGCCAACCATGATCTTGCTTGAAGCCACACCAGCCTTAGTGATCATTGACAAGCTGTTGATGGTTTCTGTGAGATTCACAGCGGATCGCAGACAATTTCCGGCAGGGCAGCCAATCTGAGCGTTTTTGTTGTCGTAGTCCCATTGTCCATGGAGATCGTAGGTCATGAAAATGATGTAGTCGACGATTTGGCCAATAGCTTGAATTGGGAAACCTTGCAGGTACCAGAACGAGGCAGGGGCAGCAATTGAGATGGACGTTCCAGGCTTAGAGGATTCCAGGAACTGAACCCGCAACTCATCCAAGAACATGAAATAGTTGATACCATCTTCCAAACTGCCAGCTGGAATGAACTTGATATCCGGCTCACTGGGGTATTCCCAATCAAAGTCAACACCATCAAGGTTATACTTCTCCACAAAAGCGACAATGTTGGAGGCAAAAGTAGCACGGTTATCCACAGTCACTGCCTGGCGGAATCTATCGTATGTGTCCGGGTTTGTAGAGAAGTCCCAGCCACCAAATGACAGAATCTTCTTCCAGTTGGTGCCAAGATTGACAAAAGTATTGAACTGTCCTGTGATATCGGACACATTGACTTTGAAATCGGAGGTGATAGTAGCAAATCCGAGATGAACATGGGTATAGTCTTTGGCAGCGATGCTCTCCACGGACGCGCTCAGGCAGGGGCGTGTCTTATCGTAGCCTTCAAAATATGCGACTTTCCTGAATTCTGAAGGGGCATCGGATTTGACAATTGAAGTTCCACAGTTCGAGATGCAGCCGTTTGTGTTATTCTTCGCAGTGCCAGGGGCCCCAGTACTGGATTCAGTGATGGTACAAAACTCGTCCGTTGTGCCACATTGTCCCCAAACGTCACAACAGGCATTTAGTGGGCATTCGTTCAGTGTGGACAAATTTGTGCCAGAGGGCGGGGTTATTGTGCCAGCGACCTGAGGGCCACAGACAGCATTGGCGACCGGAGCGGGCATGGGAGAGGAACCATCGCTGAGGCAGATATAGCCCCCAATTTGAAGATCATTGCAACCGAACCAGCCCCACGTCTCTTTGTTCCATTTTTCAATATCGTCAGCATCTATGTCATAGGCTGCCGACAGACCCTTGCAGGTATCGTCGGGCTGAACGGTATAGGTGTAACAGGTGCCGTTGGAGTACTTTGAAGGTGTATAGTCAGGCAGTGTGCCTGAGGTACAACAGACATGCTGGCCTGGTACCAAGTTGTTGCACCATGTGGTGGAGCCTGAGTTATACTCATAGAACTGAGAGAGGGTGATGCCACAAGTCGTTGCTAGATCACCACATAGCTGGCCGAGTTGAACCTGAGTGGTGGAACAAGTCGATCGAGGGTGCAAAGCGCGAGCAGCATGACTTGCAGAGGGTTGAATTGTGGGGGTGGCAACTTGGTGCGGGACTTGCATAGAGAAGATGATATTCTTCCGGTCTGAAGAGTCTCCAAAAGAAGTCACACAATCGCCATTGGTCCATGATTGAACCGCATGTTGAACCGCAGCAATGTCACCAGTAGCATCAGCAATTATTCCAAATCCATAACGACTACTACGACTTTCATCGCAGAGCTGCAGGAGGAATGTATCGGGCGAGTTGCTTTCCTTCAATGCAGAGACAAATTCCTTCGCAGCAGTATCTACCAGGCCCTGTCTTTGTATCTCAGAGCCAATGTAGATACCAACTGCGGCCTTACCAGATGTGGCAAAGGCAGTGATCTTATTACAGGAGGCCTGTTGCTTGACGTATTTCTCGAGGTCTTGAGTGACAGCAACAATATCTGACACCTCACTTGATGAACGACTTGACTTCGTCTGGGCCACTTGTAAGTTTGCGGTGACGCTCTTGGTGGTACCAGCATAGGCCTCGCATGAGACACTGCGGGCAGAAAGCGCTGTATCATCAGAATTGACAGTACAGGCCCGGATGCTCTTGTGACTGCTCCCACTGGAAAGTGAGTTGAACAGTACAAAGTCAAGCATCATAGTTTCATTGCACCACGATAAACGGTCAACGCTGTGATAAACAGTCCAGTTGCTGGGGTTGGATCCACTTTCACTGCAGCTCAGTGGACAGCGGCTTAGAGCTGCCCGGACAAGTGCAGGGTTGGATTGAAGCACGCCATGGATAGTAGCAGTTGGACTGCTATGGGCGGTTGCGGGCCGCGACAAAGTTGAGATAGGGTGTAAACGAAAGTAATCATCCAATTCCCCAGGCAACGCACTAACCAGCCAGGACTGGCTGGCCAGTGCGGCAAACAGTGGGTAGAATAGATGCATAGGCAATGTAAAGCAGAAATAGAAAAGATTAAATTCACGAATGAATGGATAGAGTGTTGGTTCCAATATTCTATTGAAGCATATACGAGGAAATAGGATTTTTCTTTATACATCGAACATGATAACCCCATTTCATAACCATTGTGACTTCGGCACACCGGCACCTCAAAAATGTCTTTTCCCTAGCTAGAGTTGGAAGCAATTCAGTCCAACTCAATACGAGACGGCGATGAAAATCGAGGCGGCTCGTCGTGTTTGCTCAATTTCCACATTTCATCCTATGCAACCCAGGGACCAAAAGGGAAGGACATAGTATCCATTTGACCTGAGTAAACTGATTCTATTCGTTACTTGCAAGTACTAAGAACGCCTAAGCATCTATATTCCAAGACTCGACCCCAAAACGCTAGCGATTGTTACATCGCTGCGGCATCAGCTCCGCATAGTCCGCTAAGGCAAGTCATTCCAATACATCAGCACTGTGGGACGCCTGATAATGGCATAGGTGGTGCCCACGTTCCTTGAACGCCCCAATAGTATTGTCGTCTCCAGAGGCAACAGAAGTCATGACATATTCCAGCTCAAGTTCAGTTGGACCTACCTAACAGGAACATTTTATCCAATATAAATGCGAGTGTGTCAGGTTTTCTAGCGTGAGATATTCTATACCCTGCAAACTCGGTACAGAGAACGCGTTTCTGCCCCCCGAGGACGACCTGTTGGCTTTGGTGAAAGTGTGAGCTACAGCGGAGGTGAACACGTGATGAGATCTAGAGAAGCCAAGGTATGGCCAAGGGGAACCAATCCAAAATGAATGGATGGATTGATTGAAGAGAAGAAGAGACAAAGCTGAAGCGAGGATACAATGTGTGAATCACTTACGCGACCCGCTAACCTAGCCGTAAGTTATCTAGTCTAGCGTATTTCTACTACCCATAACTATTCCTCGACAGCTTTCTAAAAGCACTACGTACTAAGTCGGACCGCTTTCCCGCGAAAAAATCTCTTTTCCGCCCTACATAGGGTTCTGCCCAGTTCTAGCCACGGTAAATAGCCGGGATATAACGCAATCTAGTTCCTTGCCTTAGCCTGGGGCTATAAGCGGGTAGGCTATGCGGGTAAAATCTTCGGCGTTTCAGATCTCCGTGCATAAAGCTAACAACAATAGAATGCTTGTCATTGCTTGTCATTGCCTGGAGGAAATAAGCAAAGACAGAAGTGCACGGACGTTATGAAGGTTCGCTAAGAGGAGCGAATGATAATGAAGTATCCACTACTATACTGCCGTAAATGAGGCTCAAAAGAGGATCAATCGAAATTTTCAACTCCTAGTCTCCTACCATTTCTGACTTAGTACGTCTCGGTTACACTTCGGAGTTCGGAGGGGAGAGTCATCAGGCGGACTCGATTCCCAAACTTAGGAAGTAAATATTCCTAGTGATTTACGAGATATTTGAAGATTTTCAAAGAAAAGGGTAATCAATTTTCAACAAAAAGAGCGAGATTTGAAGGGCTACTCGTGCATACTATGTCCCACCGGATTGTCGCCAGGGATCAGGATGTTGAACTTAATCTTCCACATAAAGTCACCAGGGCTGCATTCAAATTCAACTCCAGAGCGTAGGAGGCCTCACAGCTTGAAGGCGACTCTACTGTAAATGCGAAGTCCGGGCTAGATCTCGATTGTAACATTGTAACTCTCCGATTTCACGGATGCGACAACGGTACAACTGACCGGCCACTATCATTTATGGCTTCAGACTGGAGTCAGCCCACTATCCCTCGGTAAAAGCGGCATAAAGAATGTACCGTGTTCCTTGGGAAGCATAAAATCCTCTATAAGTATCACTGTGAGGTCTTTGCTCTCAGGAAACTACCATCTCTCACAGATTCAGAAGAGTTTTTGACCTTTGTTTGCAACCATGAGACTTCTTCGATCTCCTTTGGCTGTCATTGTCGGCACCCCACTGGCTGCAAGCTATTTGGTGGCTCCTCCAGGAACTGCTTTCCCAGGCACTATATCGACTTGCAGTGGATGGGTTGCGTACGCCTCGGGCATGACCTGTGCCTCAATTGAAAGCACATATGGCATTACCGCAGCAGAGTTTGCTACTTGGGTGAGTGTTCATTATAGTTATATCTATGTTTGGGTCAATCAACTAACAATTCTAGAACCCGGACTGCGTTTTGGGTGGTTCATGCTCAGTGATTAGTGGCTTCGACTACTGCGTTGAGGTCAATTACGGCACTACTTCTGCTTCTTCCTCCACACCGAGTGCTTCTACTCAGACCACATTTGTCACCTCTACCACTACAACGGCTGGAAATGGAGTATCTACTCCAACTCCAGTTCAGGCTGGAATGGTTGACAACTGTAGCAGTTTCCATATGGTAGTAAGCGACGATACATGCGCTACCATTGCCTCCGCAGCTGGAATTTCCCTGACTGATTTCGCCGACTACAACCCTGGTGTTGGCAGCGGATGTTCTTCCCTCTGGCTTGGGTACTATGTCTGCACTGGTATCGTCGGCGTGACTGCTAGCAAAACTACCATAGCCTCTACTACCACCGCGGGGAATGGAATCACTACTCCAACCCCTACTCAAGCCGGCATGGTCGATAACTGCAACAGCTTCCACATGGTTGACAGTGATGATTCGTGTCAAACTATTGCCACAGCCGCAGGAATTGCTCTGGCTGATTTCTACTCCTGGAACTCCGGTGTTGGCAGTGGTTGCTCTTCTCTCTGGCTTGGCTACTACGTCTGTACTGGTGTGGTCGGATCTACTCCCACGACTACCGCAGCAACTACAACAACCGCTGGCAATGGAATCAGCACCCCCACTCCCACCCAAGCTGGCATGGTCGGTAACTGCAATAGCTTCCATATGGTAGGCAGCGACGATACATGTGCCACCATTGCATCGGAAGCGGGCATCTCCACCACAGACTTTTACTCATGGAACTCTGGTGTTGGTAGCGGCTGCTCTTCACTTTGGCTTGGATATTATGTCTGCACCGGAGTTGTTGGATCCACCCCCACAACAACCGAGAAGCCTACGACTACTTCAACCGGGAATGGGGTTACCACTCCAACTCCTATTCAGCCTGGAATGGTTAGTAACTGTAAGAAATTCCACGAAGTTGTTAGCGGGGACGACTGTCAGGACATTGTCGACCCGGCGGATATTTCTTATGCCCAGTTTGAAGCATGGAACACTCAAGTGGGCAGCAACTGCTCAACATTGTGGTTGGGCTATTACGTTTGTATTGGAATCCTTTAGTTGGATCCAGATATTCCGAGAAGGGACTAGGACTGGGTAAGCTCGTAGTTAGTGAAAATAAAAAACGAACATGGATTTAGTGTTGTTGTCACTTGTTGACCCCTTTCCCTCGATATGACCCTAGTCGAGAAGCATGAATTCCTTACAAACTAGTACAATGCCAAGATCTGCAGCTCGTGTCGAGTACGAGCTCATGCAGTGCAACAGTACCCAATTTGAGTATACCCAAACAGCTACTACTCCCTCTCCCTCAATTAAGTATCAAGCAGACCCCATTTTTACCCGTCCTTTCTATCTTCCATTACTCGCTCCTCCGAGACCCTACCTTCAAAACCTATCAACACAATCTCCATCGAACGTTACAAAATGGTACGTTTCTCCACCTCGCACCAGCCTCTATTAATTCAGTGAGCTAACACGCTCCCCAGAACCAAAATTCTAATGTTGGACCCTGCCACGTCCATAATAGAATGCGATTGAGGAAGCCACACCTTAAAGACAACCTCCCGACCCAGCTATGTCTTCTATGTACTCGGGCTTTCTGCGTCGACCACAAGGGCTCTGAGGACGGTGTCTGTGAGATTGACCATGAGACATACTATCGTAATCATCCGGCGGCCCAGGAGTACTTGTATCGGACGTATGAGGACTGGAAGAAAGATGGCGAGCAGATGATGGTTGATGAAATGTCGGGAAATGAGGCGGAGCTGGTGGTGGACCGTGGGGAAACAGAAAGTGAGGCCCTGGGCAGACATGGGAATTTCTAGTTTCTTGGATCGCCAATTCGGTTACAAGACAGTGCAACGTATCAAGGTTAGAGTAACTAAGTGACTGTATCAAGACTGATACAGGAATATTGATACTTCGTAAATAACCCCAATATAGACTAGTTGACCTTGGCATTGGAGTTCGAGAAACAATGAAAGAGTGTAGGTGGTGGCACCGGTTTCGAGACGCACTGTATCCCAGTGTATGTATGTGATGGAGAATCATGTTCTCATGGTTCAACCACTTGAGGAACACACTGGAAAGTAGGGACATACTGGAGTCTTGGATTCTCGTACTACTTCGTAAAGGGCATTAAATTCAGGGGGCCAGTCAAGGAACCCCAGCAAATGGACTTTCTTTCTGCTACTAAAAGTGCTCAAAGTCGAACTAGGCCTCGATTTTCTCTAATAACCATGGCGTTCTGCATGGAGGCTCTAAGCCTTGTGGGGGCCTAATTTCAGTGGGACGTCTACTCCGTAGCAATCACCACTCCCATTCGCCTCCCCTGCAAGCTAAGCCTTTCTGCTAGATTTTACGCCGAGTTGGGTTAAGCCGGACTAGGCCATACGCTAGCTGGAAAGACCTGGCCTGATCGTGAGCATTTGTGTTAGGGACTATGTCTGACGGGCAGGGATAGATGTCTCTCGGCTCCAGAATAAATCGGCTTTTCAGCCTCCAGGGGCGTCCGACTACATTTTAGACGAAAACGAGGCAAGGCAGATTCTGAGAATTAGTTAAAACTGGACCCAATTGAAGTCGGGTTCTATCTACAGACTAGTTTGCGTTGTATCGTCCACAGCCCGCGCTAACGTACTGTGTATTTGGTCAGCCAGCTGCGCATGGATGGTTGTTGAGATGATATCGCGTCTACTATGTGTTTTGCGCTGTCCAGCGGCAGCTCGCTTACCGAATACGTTACGGACTATGGAGAAACTAAGTCAACCACAGTTCAGGGTCGCATAACTAGTTAGCCCCTATTCCAACTTTCTCAGAGTCACATCGTCCCTGCAGCCACCATCCGACCCTAGTCTGTCTGGGGCTGGTTGGGCGCCTGCCGTGATTCCCGGTCACTTGAGCTACATACCGGTCGGCTTTTCACGTTTGCCCCCCCCCTCTTACCGGCCTTTTCTTTTATTCTTGCTGTTTCTTCCTTTCTCCTGGTAGTTCCATACCCAGAGAGCGTTCTCCGCCTTGCTCGATTTATTTTCGACGACATAGCACGATGAGACGAATTTTGTCCACACTGGCTTGTTGCCTCCTTCCCCTAATCGCATCCGCGGAAGGAGACGCGAAATACAATGCTTCTCTCCCATTCCGACCGAGCAATATTACAGGACTAAGTAATATCTATATTTGGGTTGGATCGTATGTCGTTTCTTATAATCTTATTTACCTACTACTATATCGTTGTTGCTAACTTTCGTAGGTATTACAATGCCACGACCAAGATAGAGTTCACGCCCGAGATCGGATCAACAACCAACGAGTCTGTATGCAAAAATCTCCAAGGCCAAACATTCACTGCGGAATATGAGTCTTTCCTCGCTATCACTGAGAGGGGCCCTTACAATCAGGGATCAAACCCAGTCAATACCCTCTTGACCCTCTGGAACTCAGATGCAAACCTTACCTCGCTCGACGGGTTACCATGGTCCTCCTCGTCCCTAGAATGGTATCTCGAGTCATCCCCGTAAGTCAGAGCCCACCCTAAATTGAAAGTAAATCCTTTTTGACTAATTCCAATTCTTGAAGTTGGGTGGACCATGCGAACAATCGCTCAACTGACAGCGATGCGGGTATCGAATCTTCCGTCAAAGATGTCTTCAATTTGACCCTATCGCCAGACACTAAAGGACCTCCATACAAACTAACAGGAACCATCAAGGACGCAGACTCGATGCTGACTAGTTTTGACATGGATCTCAAGCCCTGCAACACTTCCACTGAGACCAGCCGGAGTTACATGACGCTCATTGATTTTGATTGGTCTAATAATGCTGGTTGGACCTGGACATATCCTACGGTTGACTTCCAGTTTGATAGCCGAACGGCCAATTTCACTTTAAATGGATATGCCGCTGGGTCTCCCTATTTGATCGATAGATCCGATCCCACAAGGCCATTAGGTCCGGATGAGGTACAGGGGAAGATCAAGGTGTCCTTCTTCGGGGTCATCGACTCTTACCACTCCGATACTTTGGTCAACAGCAGCTCAACGCCCACTTGGCTTCGAACTGTCGGTTTTGGAAACAACTCCGCGAATATAGGCTATGATAATGGCTCTCTTGGCTCGCCCCGTCCATTGCACTGGGGAGCTGTTGCGGTTTGCTCTGTTGTTTCCTTGGCTTTTATGTACTTCTAATTCCCCTCTGACGAATGTATACTGCGTATATGAATATAATTAAGCATTCATCAAGACACTTTGTTTTAAATTTGTTTTTCTTCATCCCAAAATTGCCTATCGCTCCGTATCTTGAAAGACGCCGACTTTTGTTGAACGGGAACTTAGTTCTCCGTGTCACCCTATCTTTACACAGTATACGTTGGTATGATAACTGGTGATTGAATTGCACATCTTGATATGAACATGATTCTATTCATACAAATAGACTTTATGCTTTCGCGGGTAAGGCCATGGTTCGCAGCGGAGCGAATTACCTTATTCGGACGTCACGACTTAAGGAGTGCTCTGGGCAGACGTAGACCGTTCTGCGGATCAACCGGGGAAAGCAACATCGATGACGCTGCCAACTGCAACCAAGTATGATTAAAATGGCCGCCTTGTTCCCAGGAACCGAATGTTTCACTTCCAGCATATCCACGGTTGTACATATCGTCCATATCCCCCTGATAATATAAGACAACTGAAAGAAATACCTAATTGCACATCGTATCGCCCAGCAGCATGGAGCCTGAAGCGTCATATCACGACGCAGACGAAGCTAACATCAGCGGAAGTGATGACATCAGTATAACTGAGTCGCGACCCAACGGCCGCTTGTCGGAAGTTCAGACCATTCGCCCAGAGAACTACGATCGCCGTCAAAGCACCCTGGGCGAGGTCGAGCTAGAGCGAATCGAGACATCGAGACTCCAACATCGCTCAACCGTCGGTTCCGTTGCTGGAATCACACCGCGCGAACAGTGGCTGCCACTCGGAGCGGGCAAGCCTCACCCTCCACCTCTTCCAGACCCGGAGCAATACATAGTGGAATTCACTGATGCGAACGATCCCCTGCACCCTCAGAATTGGTCATTCGGGCGCAGACTGACCATCTCAGTGGTCCTGGCGTATACCACCTTTGTCTCTTCTTTTGCCAGTGCTATATATTCCTCTGCGGTGCAGGAAATCAGTGTGAACTTCCATATCAGCACGGAAGTTGCCATTCTTGGAGTGACATTGTATGTTTTGGGCTTTGCCTCCGGGCCGACAGTATGGGCACCGGCAAGTGAGCTCATTGGGAGAAGATGGCCAATCTGTATTGGCATGTTTGGATACTCGCTGTTCACGATTGCGGCGGCGACCAGCAAAGACATTCAGACCTTGATGCTGACCCGATTCTTTGCCGGCTTCTTCTCTGCTGCCCCGATCGCCATTGTCCCTGCTGTTTATGCAGACATATATAGTAACCAAACCCGCGGCGTGGCCATTGCCATGTTTGCCATGGCTGTATTCGTGGGACCTTTCGCGTCTCCATTTACTGGAGGCTTCATCACCATGTCGCATCTGGGTTGGAGGTGGACTATGTATATTTCGTCCATAATGGGATGGCTCGCCACAGGACTTTGTCTCCTTTTCTTGAAAGAGACCTATGCTCCAGCGGTTCTCGTGGAAAAAGCGGCTACCCTGCGACGACAGACCCGTAATTGGGGAATCTGTGCTAGACAAGAACAGATCGAGCTTGACTGGGGTGAACTGATCACAAACAACTTCAGTCGGCCGTTCCGTATGCTCTTCACTGAGCCAATTGTTTTCTTGGTTTGTCCTTCTTGAAAATTTTCATTACGGCTCCGCTGACTCCCTCCAGATCTCTCTCTGGATGAGCTTTGTATATGGCCTGATGTACGCCCTCCTCGGTGCCTACCCTGTTGTATTTCAAGGAATCCACCAGATGAACCTGGGTGTCGGAAGTCTTCCCTTCATCGGATTGATCATCGGCGAGTTTCTAGCCGGAGCATATATCCTGTACGACCAAAAGGCGTATACCAAAAAGTTGGCTGCCAACAACAACATTCCCGTCCCGGAATGGAGACTTCCACCCGCCATAGTTGGGGGTATTTTCTTCTGTGTTGGGCTCTTTTGGTATGGCTGGACTGGATGGACCAGGTCGATCCATTGGATGGCGCCCACTGCCAGCGGAGTCGTGACTGGGTTTGGCATCTATGTGATCTTCCTGCAGTGCTTCAACTACCTGATCGACTCGTACTTGATGTTGTGGGTTCTACCTTTTCTGATTCTCTGCATTGCGCCTCGCTGACCTTAAGTTTAGTGCTGCATCTGTGTTTGCCGCAAATACTATCATTCGATCAGCGGTTGGAGCTGCCTTCCCCTTGTTCTCCAAACAGATGTTCATCAACCTTGGTGTACAATGGGCAGGCACACTCCTTGGATGTTTGGCCCTTATCATGGTCCCGATTCCCTTGGCCTTCATTAAGTGGGGACCTGCTTTGCGCAAACGGTCTACTTTCGCTCCAAACCTCGACATTCGCCCCCCAAAAGCGGAGAAAGGGCCGGCTGAATCTGTCTAGTGTTGTCTTTGCTTTCATATGGTCACTGTTACTATCCATCGCTTCATAGTCATTGCCGATATTGGTGGAATCTCGCGAATCGGCGCATCATTTGTGGTAGGAGGAGATGTATTGATAGCTCCGAGGTCTACTTCGACCGGAACTTGCCGATTAAGGGCTCGTTTGAGGTATCTGAGTCTTCAAAAGCGATGTTGACTTTCGATATTTTGTCACAGGAAAGAGCCGTGAAATTGGGAGGTACATTTGGCTTACTTACGCACACCTACCGTGCAGAGAGACAACCTACTTGATATGAGAGAGACACAATGGTCAATGGCCATATCTCGTCTCGCAGCATATCGATCCACCCCAAGATCACAAGCCTACATGGCATGCGCCAGTTGAACATAAGGGGGTAATCAGATTCAATAAGCCGCCAAGGCTGCCAAGGTATGCGCGTGGTGCCAAGTTCTGCAGGCATCGAGCTGTACTCTATACCAAGGTTTTAGGCTTGTTTCGTGGCTGACGAACCGAACAGCCCCGATATCTGCGGGTGAGATATACCCTTTGCGCTTTTCATGATTGGGGACACTCGATCGGAATTGGCCGATGCCCAAGATACACCAGAGTGATGGCTTTTGCAGATGTGCATATACCCTCCAGTTCGAAAAACCTCACATACTCGATGTTATGTGATCGGCTCCCTTCGTGATCGCTTATCGAGCCAAGAACGTGTTTATCGGCTCCACAACACACGGATTGTCGTAACTAAGATAAAGCTCATGAGCGCTGAAGGGTTCTTGTCGAGCGTTTTGAGATCACCTCTTTTGGGGATTTGTGTTTTAAGTATCTATTACCCATTTCGAGCTCCATATGATGCCTGAGATATTATTCAATGTCCATTTCATCAGATACGTTAGAGCTATTTTCTTATCTCTCCCACCGGGTTGCCGAGCTTTGACACATGCCGGGTCGGTATGCATACAGCCAATCAAAATCGTTAGCGGCTTACCGCGGATACCAGTCAGCCAATGAAAAGCGAAGCGACCCCACCAAGGCCCAAGAGTCCGAGGCGGATGTGCCGCAAGCCCAGGGCGGCGGCAAAAGTCAAAAAGTGGCAGAAGGCAATTTTTTTTCTTTTTTTCTATTCTGGCTTCTTATCAGCACACTTTTGTTGGCTGAGAGGCGACTTGCCCTCTCCTTCTTTCAGTTATTCTATTTTCTTCGACTTCTACTGCAGGAACACTCCTTATATACTGCGTGTTCCCGACCGATCAGCGTCACTCCAATTAACCCCTCAGTCAGGACGTGATACTCTCTCGGAATGGGTCTCAGCAGCTGGATTGACAATACCAACCTTCGGGTTGCCCGCAGTCCAGTGGGGAAATGGTTCCGTCTAGACGGCTGTGGCCATGTAAGTTGCACTGCTGTTTTATTGCGACGCGTGGTGTCACAGCGCATATCAGACTGGGTATCGAGGCAATTGGACTAACTCGTTGTCCAGCCTAAAGAAAGGAAGGATAGCTTCTTCTTCACTGAAATTCGCGCCGGCCTTGCCACCTTCTTTGCCATGGCATACATCATCTCCGTGAACAGCAACATCACCTCTTCGACTGGTGGAAACTGCGTTTGTCCCGAGGAGGATATGGGAAACTTCTGCTTAAACAATGCCGAGTATGCTCTCTGCACGCAGGAGATCAACCGTGATCTCGTTACCGCCACCGCCGCCATCGCCGCTCTCTCGACGTTCTGCATGGGATTCTTCGCCAATCTGCCGATCGCGCTCGCACCTGGAATGGGACTGAACGCATACTTCGCCTACACTGTTGTTGGTGTCCGTGGTAACGGCATGGTTTCTTACTCGACAGCCCTCACCGCAGTGTTCGTCGAGGGATGGGTATTCCTGGGTTTGACATTGATCGGTATGCGTCAGTGGCTGGCACGTGCGCTGCCATCGTCTATCAAGCTCGCCACTGGTGTCGGCATTGGTCTTTACCTCGCATTGATTGGTTTGACCTACAGTGCCGGTATTGGATTGGTTCAGGGTGGCACTGATACACCGATCGAGTTGGCTGGATGCCCCGATGGAGCGTTCGACCCGAAGACTGGACTTTGCCTGAGCAGCGAGAAGATGCGGAGTGCTACTATGTGGATCGGTATCTTCTGTGGCGGTATTCTAACTGCTATGCTGATGATGTACCGCATCAAGGGTGCTGTTATCATTGGAATCTTGCTGGTTTCTATCATCTCTTGGCCCCGCACTACGCCCGTCACCTTCTTCCCCTATACCGATCTGGGATCGAGCAAGTTTGACTTCTTCAAGAAAGTCGTCACTTTCCACCCTATCACGCACACTCTCCTTGCCCAAGATTGGAACCTCGCGGGCAAGGGCGGCCAGTTCGGATTGGCTTTCATCACATTCCTGGTAAGCTACGGATATCTGTACCCAATGATGACATCGTACCACTAACATGTTCGCAGTATGTCGATATCCTAGATACCACCGGAACCATGTACTCGATGGCCCGATTTGCCAACGTCATCGACGAAGAGACGCAAGATTTCGAAGGCAGCTCCATAGCCTATATGGTCGACGCCATCTGCATCTCTATCGGCTCCCTCTTCGGCAGCCCCCCAGTCACAGCATTCGTCGAGTCCGGCGCCGGAATTTCCGAGGGAGGCAAGACCGGTCTAACATCCTGTGTTACCGGTCTCGCATTCTTCGTCGCCGTGTTCTTCGCCCCCATCTTCGCTTCCATTCCACCTTGGGCCACGGGTTGCACGCTCGTGATTGTCGGAGCCATGATGGCCAAGTCCGCCCAGGATATCAACTGGCGTTACTACGGCGATGCTATTCCCGCATTCCTCACTATCGCCATCATGCCGTTCACATACAGCATTGCTTACGGCTTGATCGCGGGTATCACGAGCTATATCACCCTCAATGGGATCGCTTGGATACTTGAGAAGGTTAGCGGTGGTCGCATTGTCCCGCCTAATAAGGAGGAGTCGGATCCTTGGTCCTGGAAAGTCAAGGGTGGTATGCTTCCGCCGTGGGTCAACCGTGCTGCGCATGGAAAGCGTGATTTCTGGAAGGCCGATGAGGAGTATGCGACGCAACAGGCTGCTGCTGGAGAGGGTGTTTCTCTCTCTTCCGCTTCGGTGGAGCGTGTCGCTACTGAGAAGGGTCAGCAGACTGAGACTGCGCGATCAGTGAAATCGGATTGAAATACTCCGGTGAGAAGATGGGAGTTGTTATAGAGGTTCGCATTGCATGGCATATAGCGGATCCTAAGTATGTTCATTTTGTACAGTTTATTGGATATATTTGCTCATTTACTTCTTACACCTGGTCATACCTGGCATGGACATATTCTCTTCAATAAAACATTATCAAGCATAAAGGTCCCCGCACAAGGCGCACATGCACAATTCGGAAATGCGGAGATTAAACTCTCCAGTTTAACCTCGGAATAACCTTAACCTTGCGGTCCTTGCCGATCGGCTTCCATGTCTAACTAGCCCCTCATCTCCACGATCGACGATTGGTAAGATCCCTAGTTAATATGTAGATGACAAAAGACCTATAAATAAGCCCCCAGTCATAACTACTGCACCGGACTAGCACCCCCCTGTACCACATACAATATTTACAACCTACCATCAACAACAACCCCATAAACAACCCCCTCAAAATGACAACCCACGGCACCACCGATCCCAAATTCGCCCGTCTCCGCACCGTCCTCTCAGAAAGACTCGCTTCAGGCACCGAACTCGGCGCCTCAATCTGCGTAAACATCGGCGGCCGCAACGTCGTCGACATCTGGGGCGGCTACACCGACACTGCCAAAACAAAACCCTGGCAAGAAGACACCCTTGTCGTCGTCTGGTCCTGCACAAAGGTCGTCACAGCCCTCGCAGCAGCCATTCTCATTGACCGCGGCCAGCTAGACCCCGAAGCCCCCGTGTCCAAGTACTGGCCCGAATTCGCCGCCAATGGAAAACAAGATACGAAGATCTGGCATCTCCTCTCGCACTCCTCCGGCCTGCCGCAGTGGGATAAGCCGATTACCATGGAAGACGTCTATAACACGAAAGAGTCGACGGAGAGACTCGCGGGGCAAAAACCTTGGTTTCAGGCTGGTGAGATGTCGGCTTATCAGCTGATGAATCATGGGCATTTGATTGGGGAGGTTGTTAGAAGGGTTAGTGGGAAGTCTTTGAAGAGTTTTATTCAGGATGAGATTGCTGGTCCGTTGGGTGCGGACTTTAGGCTTGGGTTGCCTGATGGGGAGTGGGGACGTGCGGCGGAGGTTGTTGCGCCGCCGGCTGTTGCGATGCCGAGTGGATTGGATAAGGATAGTGTTCTTGTTAGGGCTCTTACGAATTTGGTTACGAGGGCGGAGGCTTCGGAGACGGCTGGGTTTAGGGGGAGTGAGATTGGGGGGGCCAATGGGTTTGGAAATGCGAGGTCGTTGGCGAGGATTGGGTCGATTGTTTCGTTGGGGGGAAATGTTGAGGGGAGGAAGTATCTTTCTCGCAAGACTATTGCCGAGATGATGAAGGAGAGAGTTAGTGGGGTTGATTTGGTTTTGTTTTTGAATATTCGGTGGGGATTGGGGGTTGCTTTGCCCGTGCCGGAGAGTATCAATTTTGTCCCTGAGGGGAACATTTGCTTCTGGGGTGGTTGGGGAGGGTCGATGTTGGTTATGGATTTGGACCGGGGGATGACCATTTCTTATACCATGAACAAGATGGGACAGGGTGTTCTGGGCAACGAGAACGCCAAGGCGTATCTTGATGCTATTTTTGAGATTGTGGGAAGCAAGGGTCCTACTGCTTCTCTGTGAGATGTGTATTTAGTGTGTACAGATGTGACATTATTTTTCATATGACTGGGCTAGCACCAAATGGACTTCGCGAGCCTGTAAAGTCTGCTCTGTATTTAGTCTATTTCCACTTCATCAACAAATGATCTATCCAACACGGATGTTCCAAAAGGGCCAAGCTGATCACTGTCAGCCAAGGTTGCTTCCAAGGCTTAGATAGCCTTCTTGCTCTTAGAAACCTGCTGCCGACTTCCACCAGTCTCGGCAAACACCAGCTCATCTCTCTCCCAGATCAACTCCACCGCAGCGCCAACAGGTCCAGCGAGAGCAGTCAAGAAAGCGACCTTCAGCAGAAGACTAGGCCAACCAACAGTATTCAGAAGCTGCTTGTGGGCCACAGTGTACAGCGAGAGAGCCCAGATGAGCACACCAGTAGTGCCAATGGCATAATCCCACTGCAGGAATACCTGAACACCATCGCCGACACTGCTGACCGTCAGTCCCGACCAAGGGAGCGCAACGATGAAAATGTTAGCCGGGTGGAGAGATTCCCGTACGGAATCAACAAAGAGACCCGGCACAACAACAGTCGCCAGAGAGACAGTCCAAGCGACAATGTGCGTCAGAGACGCATGCATAAAGGCGGAAGCGTAGACCCAGCGCAGGCTGGACATGGATGCCCGTTGGTTGTTTGTGAAGAACGGAGACACAATATAGTAGCCCACAGTGGTCAGGATCGACACATACGCTGGCCATGGCTGCCAGATGGCAATTGCGATTTGCTTCATGTCCACAGAGATCACAGAGGGAGCGGGCAACGACATCGCTGTTGTCGGTCCCATGAATCCGATGATAAAGGTCAGAGGTAGGATAGCGAGGACTGCGCGCGGGATGCGGATGTTATCTGCGTGGGGACGGCGCGCGGTGATTGAGCAGCCGAGTTGCAGAGCGCAGGCCAGTGGGATGCCGAATGCGAAGGTGAGCACTTGGGCGGCGAGGCCAAAGACCATGGGACTGAATTGATCAGTTAGTTTCATTTATTTTAATCCCATCTAAGGTTAATTCAACGCGAGTGCGTATGACATACTATGCAGCAATCGTCCCGGCATTTCCCTTCCTCCAAGATTCCAAAGCGATCAAAGTCCATGCCGCGCCAAAAGTACCAGCAAATGCGGTGCTATGGAGGAACAAGCCAGGGTTTGAGCCATCGAGTGTCGGGTAGAAGAATGTAGTCAAGGTAGCCAGTAGGTGATCGAGCGGCTCGATGCCTGTGTAAACCAGGCGCAGAGGCGCATCCACATTGGGGAGCTTGCCCGATTCAATGGACTTGCGACCCAGCGCATCGAGACCATTGATGAGGGAGAAGTAGAAAATGGCGTAGAACACGAATGCGCTCAGCGAGAAGAGTAGAAATCGCATGGTGATCGAGTTTAACAGTTATCGCTGAGGAGCTCAGTCAAATCTGGGGCAGGGAACCCCATGGAAATTTATAAACATGGGGGCCAATGGCGGGTGCCAAGCCTCCAATGTGAGACCGAGGTTCCGCTGTGTAACGGAGCGGATATTGTGCAACCGATTTGACGATCTTTCCTTGTCGAAGCTTCACATGCGTCATCCACGTTAGTCGGGGCCACCCGAGTGCGAACTGCGAGTGAGATGAGATTCATGTAGATCATGCAGGTGTGGGGCTTTCGCTATTCGTATTCTATTTTGTAGTTACTGATGTTGTACATGTGGTGATTCACAAATACCCATACAAGTACTAGTTACTGTGTTTCTAAAGTATTTAGTACATATTAGATGCCTTATGATGGTATGAACATCATGTACTCCGTACCTGTCGTAGTATCACCATAGCTATTCTGGTTACAATGTGGGGTTTCCCACATGGATGGAGCCCATGCATCGAGCATGCCTAATTAGGCTTAGCGTCAGGTTAAATGAGGAATAGCCTCATAATTAGAGTAACATCAGACCATATGTCCATCCGAGAGATGTGTGTACTGTAGCGTACAGACTTCCGATCATAAGTTGAAGAGAATTTGGAGATTGAATCTTAGGGTTCAAGCTAACTATCACATGTTTGTTTAAATAACTAGTTAAATATGACCTTTTTCATGTTTCTCGTATAAGATCTTAGGCGACAATAATCATCGCTCTTCGTAACTACTATATTCATTCCGCTATTTTATCATGGCTACCTCACTGCCACTCTTTTGTTATGTACGGCAGATATGACCACCTGTACTGGAGTCGGTCTCGAATGGCAATGTCAATGGGGCTGACTTGAGATTGTCTTGCTGTGTGGCCAAAGACACGGAGATGGAATACTTTAGGGTTTTGAGTCAACCGAAATCATTCTGCCGCTTGTCAGATACTTCCTCAGTTTACAGATTCTTCCACCTCTTCCTTGATGGGATCAATTCGCAGGGATGTAGCCTTGCCAGTTGACCGGAGGTTCGCCAGTTGGCGAAAATCTGGCTACCATGAACTGAAGATTACTGTAAATCAAGATGCAGACGCCCAGACAACATATACACCAGATACTAAAGCCAGGCTATAGTAGCTCCGTACCTGATGGACAACCTATGAGATGCAGTGAAAGATAGGTAAGATATAACTAGTGGATTGTCCTAACCCTGGAAGGCTCCAGCTATAGGAGGGAATATCATGAATTACCGGCCTGAAACCCTTATACTTGACAAGAAAGGCCCATATTATCAATAAGAACAAAGGGAAGGTGAAAGCGAAGTTGAAAAGCGAGAAAAAGCAAACTAATAGTTCTATTGTCGAATCTTCTTGACTGCTTCCAGAAAAGCACGTGGGTTTCTTCTTACGCCCTCATCATGAGCGACTCGATTCCCTTGCCATTCCTTGAAAATGAATCGGTACCACGCCTTTTTCTTGCCAACCATAGCCTTGACATGGTGCTCGATCACTGCCCAGGACTGACATGTTTCCACTAGCGCAAGTGTAAGGTATTGCAGAGGCTTGACATGAGGCCGGCGGATCCCGATCGGAGTTGTATTGATGTCGTACGTGAGCAGCATTGACCAAGTTTTCATGATCAGCTCTTTGTCGGACATTTTAGCAAGCCTCTGACTGGGGTCAATGTCGAAAATTGATGGATACTCGGCCCCTGTTTCCTTCCACAGGTACTCGGCTTCATGCATAGCCCCAAGTCTGTACGCGGTGATTTCCGTTAGTTCCTGCACCTTCTCTTTAGAATAGCTAGCTCTATTCAAAACCTGCTTCAGACAAGAATGCAAGCCGACGTTCGGAGCGGCATTGTCGGCACCAGGTTGGGAGGCGAAGTATTCTTTGGCAAGATACTGCAAACGTTTGAGCGACCGTCCGCTAGCGCCAGCTAGCTGACTACCTGGCTGGGATGGGGATGGGGGAACCTGGCGCAGGGACTGCCACCTTTCCTTATATGACGTGAGAGGCAAACCGAGACGGACCTGATAACTGGACTCCCATTCATCATTCTCCGCCGAAAAATGAATCTGTTGCGAATTGCCAAGCGTGCCCATTCCCTTCATACAGTCATAAATAGACTTCGCAAGCTGGATGTAGGTGGGGTGCTCCATCCTCTCTTTGATTTCATCCTCGGCATCTACCAGGCAGCGTAGTACTGCGGTGGCTGCCAAGCTGCCACTGGCTCGTCCAATGCTTCCGCTGAGGGGCCACGACAAGGAGCAGTCGTCCGGGCCTGCTGATGCGATTGCTGTTGCGTCGAGCGGCTGCTGATTCATACCGTGGAGCACCAGCCAGCCGCCGGAGTAACATGAGGTGGTGAAGATAGTGACTTGGGAGCTGTTTAGTAGCACTCGGCGTAAGTCTCCTATCTGAAGGATCGACCCTCCGACCTCAACACCATATTTTGTGGTTCCATGACCGAATATTAACAGCACAAGATGCTCTCCGAGGCGGGCTGCTTCGGTAGCTTGCTCTTGAAGGGTATTGAGGTATCGCTCAAGAAGAATGTCTCTCGGCACAACCCGTAGATTTCCAGTACCCAGTATGTCTGGGAGCCTCATGGTATCAAGCACCACCCGACGGTCACCGTTCGAATCCCCATGAAGGTATTCATGGTACTTGGCGACTAGGGTTTCGGGATCTTCACAGGTCAACCAGATTTGATTAGGCGCTAGTGCTCGTACTGTTAGCAGAAAGCAGATGACCGGAGGAACGGAATATACCCACGTCGAGGGAATGTTGGTGATCCGCCATGTCCTTGGGCCTTAGCATAGCAACGCCAAGATGAATTCCTGCATCCAGGGATGCCCAGATGGGCGCAGCGCGAACCGCAGCTAATGAATCAAAGCCTGCTGCTGTCAGATTCTCTGTCGGCGAGAGCCGTCGGCCCAGTATGCCAGCCACGCACGAGGCAATGGGATCTTCTTTCTCGTCCCGGACAGATTTAGCAATCTCGTCCACAGGAAGGTGGGGAAATTGATCGACGAGCTACCACCGCGTTTCCACGAGGGCAGCGACAAGCTATGTCTGATGTCGAATCTTGTCGCTGTTTTGGCCTCCAGTCTGCACAAGAGACGACCCCTGCTCGTCAATGGCAGTATGCAAGATCGTCTGGGCGTCGGCCTTCAACGCCACACCCAATACCACCACGATTCCTCGAGGACAGCGCCGAGCTATGTCGAGGGATCAAGTTCGAACCAAGGAGCTGGTGAATCGGTACAACGTCGGACAACGAGAGAGAATGTAATCCCAGCCCATATTCAACACCCCCGCTGGCGGGGTATTCTGCTGCTCATGGTGAAAGATGAAGAGGCTCCACCGAAGCCTTGATCAGTGACGAGAAACGGGTGGCAGAGGTAGCGTGCCGGTTCCAACGGTGTAAATGGGGCCCCATGGAGCGTGATGAGTTGCTAGCCTCGTGGAAGCCTCGTTATTACCCCTTCGTCGTAGGAGACTCGATTTCCCCCACTCACGTCGCAAATGGAAAGGGGGTTGGGGGTAGGGTAGGAGTAGCGCACCCGGTGGGGCACCATGGAGTTGTTGTACAGTCTCGTACGGTGGGTATGAGAAGTCGGGCCTATGGTTTGGGGCCCGGAGACATCAGGGATCTTGGCCATGAAATTCTTCGTCTCGCATGAGTGTTTTTCGTAGCTCAGAACGAGAAACTTTTCTTCAAGCCAGCAGTCGCCTTCACCTGGGGCTGCATCATCTTCCATCCACCTGGGGCTGCATCATCTTCCATCCACCTGGGGCTGCATCATCCCCCAGGATGTGAATGAGACGAGGTTTGGTAGTTGAGTATGTGGCTTGGGTATGCGAGAGAGCGCGGAGGCCGCAGGATGTCGATTGGAGAGGGAGTAGCTAATTGTAGCCGCCGTAGGAGGCTCCAGATCCGCCCGTGGAGCGTCGACGATGTGCTCGATGGGCAGCTTCCCTTCTGACGGAGAACTCTTCGATTGCCCTTGGAACAGGCCTGACCGAATCGAAGGCCCAGTCTGAAGCCGGTGTCTTGAGCTGGGGCTGGGTAAGGCTGGATGACGTGGGTTTCCAAACCCAGTGTTATCTTCTCGCGCTTCCAACGCGCGACGGACATGTCGCTGTCTGTGCAACGACTGACGACGGGACTCATTTGTCATGACAGGTCTGCGTGAGTACCGTCAATCAAAAACTCTTCCACCATCGATGATTTCGATCACAGTGGCCTCGATGAGAGGATTGGAGGGAGCGGGAAGAGGAAGAAACAAGAATGGGCCACTAGATGCAGGAGAGCTCTGATACCAGTCAGTCTCACTCTCATTCTGGGATGAGGCAGATAGGTAACTCACCTAGCGCAGGAGTATTTTGAAGGCTGAGAGAAGGGAAAGAAGAAGGAAGAGATGTGGGTGAAGAGCCTTATATAATTATGAAGTGCATTTGATGGAATGAGCATCCTGAGAGAAGTGGGAGAAGGAAGAAGAGAAGTAGAAGACGGAGAGCTTGATATAGACTCCCACTTCTGTAAACGATGCAAACGTGAATAGCAAACAGGCTGTTTGCTAGTTCGTCATATGATGATAATGGAACAGGTAGAAGTCCGATATAAACCAGCCATCTTCGCTCGGGCTAGCGGCATTACCTATGTCTGTTGTGCCAAGCAGGGCTAGGATGCGATGACGCGGGGGAACGTCTGGGAGACAATGCGTTAGGAACTCACGACCAACGAAGTCATGTTGGGTCCCGGTTTGGCGGCCTATAACATGGAAATCGGGAAAGTCAGCCGGGCGGATGGTGGTAGCCATGGCGAAGCATACAGCCCAAGATCTGGAGTCGTGGGGAACTACTTGGTGGGATTGAAATGAAAAACGGTGATTGGGTGCAGTCAAAGCTCGGGGTGGGGAATGGGATGGAAGGAGGAAGGGATCTGGAAGCCTAAGAGCCTGGAGGTCACACCCGACCTGCCGACTGGTACACTAACCGGCCCTTAGTTACGAACTTTTACCAAAATTACAGAGCCTCGCACAGGCGAGCGTCTGTAATTTTGGGAAGAAGTGTAAGGGCCGGTTAGTTACTACGGTTAAGAATTAAAAGACGCCAGATCACGTGATGTCAAGCGGGCAGTCACCGGCCACCGCCTAAGCCCAAACAGGGGAATTTGTTTCCCCACCATAGCTCTCAGTCACGTCGCTGACTGGAAAACCACATCTCTACGTCTATCTCATAGTCGGATGTTGGCTGTCTGCATCGTATTAACAATTTAACTTCGCTTGTGGGACAGGCACATGCCGTCCCAGTACCTCTGACGAGATGCTCCGGGATTCTGATATAGATTTTCTGAATGGGCATCTAGCATCCATATCGCAAGAACAGCAGAAACACCATGACAACTTACAGGATCTCTTGAGTCAATTCAAGAACTTATTGGACGACTACAGTTCACTCAAGAGCGACTATGAGGAGGTCAAAGAAGGTCGGGAGAAGTACAAAAGACAAGCCCGCGGCCAGGTACGAGTCTAGAGGAAAACCCAAGAGCTGCAAAACTGACGATTTCCTAGGACCGTAACCCCTTTGTTCTTGTGCTCATAGACGGGGATGGATATTTGGTGGGACTTGTTCAACCTTATGTTCTATCGATTGATTGATTCAGCTAACGAACCGCTCAGTTCAAAGAACATTTCCTGAAGCACGGAAGCGAAGGAGGCATTAATGCAGCCCGCGAGCTGAGTGACTCTATCAAAGAGCTTATGCATTCGACCATGGGAATGCAGGCAGAACAGTGTCGCATCATGGTTCGTGTTTATGCAAACGTCCTTGGTTTATCAAAGGTTCTTGCTCGAGCTGGGCTTATGGGCCACGAGGCTCGATCTATGGCACCCTTCACTTCATCTTTCACCCGTGCTCAGGAGCTTTTTGACTATGTCGATGCTGCAGAGAAGAAAGAAGGCAGTGATTTCAAAATTAGAGGTAACGAGCATACCATCAATAATTCTGTCCTTTTACTGATCCATGTTCTGCAATCAAGAAATGTTCCGTCTCTTCGTGGACTCTAACCAATGCCGCCACATATATTTCGCTGGCTGCCATGACACTGGATACGGATCTCTGTTGACGCCCTATAGAGGCAGGAGTGACCGTATTACACTCATCAAAGCTTCTGGGTTCCATCGTGAATTCGAGGACTTGGATCTTCCTATCAAGGAATTGCCTTCAGTCTTTATGTCTAAACCTCTAACTAGCGGCAAGCCGTCCACAGGCCCAGCTGGTTTGTCGTCTATCAAGACAAATGGTGGAAATGGCACACATCATGTTTCTAATGGTTCGAATGGTGCAAATTCCGTTAAACCAGTTTGCAAGCACTTCCAAAAGGTATAGAGTGGTCACCGCAGGATGCTATTGCGAGTGAATGATTGACTGACACCAACTCAGGGGATTTGCAGGTTTGGTAACACTTGTATTAAACAACACATCATGCCGAATCAGTCCTTGAGTCGCCAATCATCGCCTCAAAGCCTGGATAATTCACCTAAACAGCTGTGGTCTTCCCCTACCGTTGTCGGTCGCTCAGAGGAATACCTTCGATCCATGCTGCCGATGCCGAGCATCAAAACTGAGGAATTCATTCCTGTCAACAAAGACGGAGATCGTATCGATCCATACTGTCCTCAACCGTCGCCCGAGGCTTTCCGAGAATACGAGGATCGGGCAAAAGAGCACAAAGTCTGCAATAGCTATCATCTCTCGGGAGAATGCGGTGACATGAGCTGTCTCTATGACCACAGCGATGTCTCCAACACCATCATTGATGTTCTTCGTTACATGCTCCTACAGCATCCCTGCAGCCGGGCCGGCGCTTGCCGATCAATCAAATGCTACATGGGTCACCTGTGTCAGAAGGCAGGCTGTAAGGCCGTCAAGAGCTGGCACTGCCGATTCAATCAGAATGCACACCTCCTTGATCTTAAAACAGCGCGATGGGATGTGCCAAGCGACCAGAGTGAGATTGATCAGTGGTCTGTTAGCGACATTTCCATTGGGACAAAGTCGCCTCAGTTTACTTTCTGATTGCTCGCGACCTGTGGGATACTGAGCTCTGGAAAATGTTCATAGAGAATTTCCCTGCCGGGATGTGTCTGTCTGCGAGAGAAGCCTGTAGTTGTAAGGACAGGTGCTCGACGAAAGATTGGGTGCATGGTTAAAGATGGAAGTACGGACTTCAAATGGTCATCTCATGGACTACTTCGTGGAGAAGTAGCTAAACATATTATACTTATATCATCTAACCCCCTCCGTAACCGCAGTTGCTTTTGGTGGTCTGTTGGCACAAAATGTTCCCATCCGGGCCCGCCCCCGGATTGCGTATGCGCCTACCGCGCCCGGCCCACAGTTCCGGTCTACGCCCGTCGGCCCCAAAACTGTGTGATTTCCACTTGCCACATTTTCCCTGCTCTGATTAACTTGACAATTTCCAGATCGACTAAGGCTTGGCTTAATGTGAACCTGAGCTGAGCTGAATGTCGTCAAGGCAGTGAAAGTCCAGACTCCAAGCCAGTCCTGAAAGTAAGCAAACAATAACAGGCTCAGTTAACTACTTCACAGTTATAAGTAATAAAAACGATAGACACCCGGGCCTGCGGCCCGCCATTTGTTCCAGTCATACCTAGAAATTCACTTGCAATAAAATTCTTCAAGCTGCTTCCCTCGAGTTCAGGCAATTCATCGATCCGAAAATTGTTGAGAGCAGTTGCGGACCCTCCAAATAATGCAACCAACTCTAAGTGTTTCGGAGAGAAGAGGTCGACCATCACTGCACCACTGCAGCCATGCGGATGTTCCTGCCCTGGTGAAGTTGTCTGTGTAGTTTCCCTTTGTTGTTGCCCTAATCGCTCTGTTTCCATGCGCCTACATTGTATAGCTTGATGTTTACTCGATCAATCTATAGATGTTCCTACGCTGAAGATGCCGCAGTTCCCTGTTTCCTTGCCCTAATTACTTCGTGACCATGGCCACCCGTGTGTCACACCTTGTATAGCTTCATCGCTACTCAACCATGTATTGTAGATGCGTTTGCCTTGACGAGGTCGTAATTTCCTTGTCCTAATCACTCATGCATGTCGTTTCCATGGCCACCCTCACATCTACGTTGTACCTATGGCTTCACCATTACCCAACCATGTAGATGTTCCTGCCCTGTCGAAGTCGTAGTTTCCTTGCCCTAATGACTCCTCCATGGCGGTTCCATGGAACTTCAGTTTGTTGTCACTTCCTGTTTACTTGCTCGTTGCCATGGACTGTCCCAAGCAATACTTATTCCCGCCCTTTCGTCTGAATCTCTGCTTTCTTTTCTCCTTTCTCCTCTCTCCACTGCCACTGGCTATTTTCATTTGCACTGCAATTGATTATCACGTTCACGATGAACTCCTCTTTTCCTCCCGTTTTTCCTCCCCCCGTCTCTCTTCCTCCCCCCGTTGTTCCTCCCCTCTTCTCTCTCCCTCCCCCCTTCTCTCTTCCTCCCTCCGTCTCTCTTCCGCCCGCCGCCTCTCTTCCTCCCGTTTTTCCTCCGCCCGTCTCTCTTCCTCCCCCTCTTCTTTCGTCCGCCCCCCTCCCCTGAAGTCTTGTCTGATCCGCGTGGATGAGGACCTGGAGGAGCTCCCATCTGACGAGCCCTTCGTCCGGAAGTCTGTGCACTTCCCGAATGATGCGGACCTCGAGCAGGTGAGACTCATTCCAGCCAGGGATGTCTCTCCACCTTGTTCGAGTGAGGTCACCTCGCTCGACAAGGCGGAGGCTGAAGACATCGGCGCATTCGACATGAGTGCGCTCCTGGAAGTCTTGTCAGAACTCGATGGATCGACCGATACGCCGCCCCCAACGCCCGTCCACAAGCCCTTGGAAGTGCCAGTCACATTCAATCCTCCACCAGAGGATGGAGGTTCACGCGTGGTCGTCCAGACACGCGGCCAGGTTGGGCCACAGGCCCACTCCTGGATCAACCACCTCTGCTGGGGGTTGTTTGTACTGGCATTCATCGTACCAAGGCTTGCGCCAGCCTTGCTCGCCGGACTCGCGTTCCTCTTTATTGTTGGGGCATGTACCAGATCCTGATGGGTCGGCACACCATCCACAGAGGTAAGTCAAGACTTCATTCTTCTCTTCTCTTTTGTTCCTGTTTTGTTTTGTTCTTGTCCCGAGGCTTTTGCCGTTTGCTTTTCCTCGAAAACTCACAAAACCCCAAAAAAATCTCATTTCGTGCTTGTTGTCGTTGCGTTTCGTTCTTGATCCGAGGCTTTTGCCGTTTGCTTTGCGTTTTGCCGTTTAGTTTTACCCTTTAGTTTTACCCTTCAATATACTTACCCTTTACTTTTATCCTTTACTTTTACCCTTTACCCTTTCTCTTCTCTAGGTATAGGCCGAAGGCGAGCGTTTCTGTCTGTGATCGTGCGGAAGGCAGCAGAACGCGTGGTGGCCTGATTGTGTGGCGACGGGGGGTAAGTCTCCCCTTGGACTCGAATGCTTCTGTGAGCTGACTGGAATGAACTACAGGTGGCTGGTGGGTGTCGCCGCCGCGGGTCGTACCGATCGAACGTCTCTGTCTGTGAACATGCGGAAGGCAACAGAGCGTGGGGAGGCTCAATTGGATGGCCACGGGGGTACGCATCTTTCCTACATCTGATGCCTCTGTGCGCTGACATGAGAATCAATCGTAGGTGGCTGGTGGGCATTGTCGCCGCGACTCCGGTCGGTCAAATGTCTCTGTCTGTGAACGCGCGGAAGGCAGCAGGACATGTGGTGGCTCAATTGGTTGACGACGGGGGTAAGTATCTTTCCTATATCTGTGAGCTGACATGGGAATCTAGCATAGGTGGCCGGCAGGTACCGTCATCACATCTCGAATCGATCGTATGTCTCTGTTTGTGAACGTGCGGAAGGCAGACAGAGTCGTGTGGTGTTTCCCCCAACCATGTGAGTATGACTCCGTTCCTCTGTACATCACTTCGGCATGCTGACCACGCAAGATTACGGGGCAGATACGTGCGTTCCATACAGTGCGAGGAAGATGGAGAAGAGAGGGTGGGACTGAGCTGAGGGAGGTGGTCGTATCTGTGCTTCAACATGTACAACAGAAATGGAAAAGTCCTTTTCGATGTGTTAGGTAATCGTCTCTCACTGTAAATGATTGTATTATATTAGATAGAGTAGCTCGTGTACAGACAGTACAGTGCCTTCCTAAGCAAAATATCAACAACAATATTCTGTCCAGTTACCGAGCTCTCCACCAACTGGCAAGCTCCAGCCAACTGGTGAGGCTTCCGCCAACTGGCAAGACTATAGTTATCCTTACGAATTGCCTTGATGATCCCACTGCGACACGACAACGCCAGCCACGGAATGCACATGTTTGACCTGTAGCGGCCGGAGGACAGCTTATCATATGGAATAAACCGCCGGTACCATGGATATCGATCTTGCGTAACAGAACAGGGCAGGGTAGAGTCTCGACCCACCCTTTTTTGTATTAAAAGGGCCCTTAAACTGCTTCATCATTAATATTTCTTATTCAAAGGACTATGGTGCTATAGTAATATCATATATACGAGACTTTGTCGACCCTCGCAGTGGACGATCAAAGTCGGACGGACGGAAGGGTCTAAGCGGTTTACTTGAAATTCCATCAAGCGCCAGCGGCCATGTACTTGTGAAGTACCGGATGGCGTGAACTGTAGTGCAGATCTCCACATTGATATAGGCCCTGTACTTACGGCTCAAGAATGGATTGCAGGGAATAACCCACTCCTTCCCGACATGGATCTGCTGGCCCCAGATAATGGGATCTGGTTGGGTGAACGAAACACCCTCACGCCGTTGGTAGAGGGGATACCCGTCCTCGAAAACGGTCGTCGCGACCTGCAAATTGATAGGTTGCTTCTAGTTGGTTGTAGTTGGTGGCCAATCTGACGAATGCAAGTGAACAGTCTCGAAATTATGCACGTTGCCACATGCACGAGAGGACTGACTAGAATATCACGCGAACATGCATTCTGAGAATCACCAACGGCTTCAACACAGATAGGTCGTATTAACCGTTGACAACCATCCCTACCTATCGTCTATATTGGGTTCGATAATTCGCATCAGGCAAGACCGACACTGTTGGGTGCCCGACACTGATGATCTATACCTACGTAATCCCAACCAGTCCCCGGAGCCAGTTCCGATACCATTTGCCAGGTCTTCTCATTTAATTCAATCCCCATGAGCTGCATCCGACGAGGCCGAAGGACTGGAGCCAAATGTCCACCCATTCGACGAGCCCAAGTCATGCTCCTGGCAGTACATCGTCGCCTGTCCCGGCGCGAAAGGAGCAGCCATTATCGCCCCAGTCCTCTACTTCGATTCTACAGGCTTCGCCATCATCTCCCAATCCGCCGATCTCTAGATTGACTGTATTTTCAAACGCAGCTGCTCAGTCAACTGCCACCTCGAAACATACCCTACGGCATGGAACCACCTCTCAGTCTCATACTTCACCCGACGAACCCTCTGGTCCCGTGGCTAACCGCACGTCGCAATCTGCATCAACGAGAACATAAAATTAGTGCATGACCACACATACCGCATCCCCGGATATAAATTCGATTATGCCTTTGACCATCTCTTCCAACTAGACGAGTCCTCAACATAGGCGGCGTAACCTGCGCGGCCTGTATCTGCCTTGGCCACACGCCGGACCGCGGCGGCTACAAACTCGGCAGCAATATCTTCATCGATAACAGTGTGTTCAATCTGGATGTCGCAGATGAGGACCAGTCGGATATACTTATGTGCTGGATGTACAATTGGACGGCATAGAAAATTTATACCTAGAGTTCCATCATTGTGCATGCTTATTAGTATCTTCCTCTGCGACTACTACATAATGGCCTGTAAACCACACACAAGGTCAACAATTTTACTCTATATCTCTGCTTTTATTGTACAATTCATCTGAGAACTTCCACTCAGATGACAACGGTCCTCACTACCCTCACTTCTTCCCCTGAACCTTCAAGTAGGCCTCCCGGACTTCCTCCCGAGTCCCCATCAGCTGAAGCCATTTCCAAATCAGAGGATACTTCTCCAGCGAAATGCCAGCAAACTCATACATCCGCACCCAAGCCTCAAAATGATAATCAACAGCAGTAACGCGACTAGGCAGAACACTCTCGCCACCAGTCTTCTTCAATTGTCCCTCAAGCACATCAAAACACCGATAACTCTGCGCCGTGTATCTCTGCAACGCATCCTCATTCTTCTGAGGACTGAAATGCCTGTAAACCCATAATCAGCCTTCCATCTCTACTACCCAAATCCAAGGCAAAAGAAGAACAAACCGAAACCAATTCGTCTGCCCCATCATCGGCCCAAGCGTCGACAACAGGAAATACTCCCATTTCTCAAAATCCACCAAATCCTGCGCCGAATCCCCAGACGGACCAATCGTATTGCCCTTGTCATACACGCGGCGGATGTAGTTCATGCACGCTCCGGATTCCCAGGCTACGACGCCGGTGTTCGGGTCTTCGATGGCGGGCACGCGGCCGTTCTCATTTATCTTTAGGAATTTGGCCCCCTTGAGACCTTTTTCGGGATCGTCGCTGAACTCCCATTGCTTCACTTTGAAGGGGACGTGGAGGGCTTCCAGGGCCATGGCTACCTTGACGGGGTTGGGACCCGTTTCGTGGGCGTGAAGGGTAAGGGGTTTTAGATGTGCGGCCATTGTGTAAATTGAAATTGGTGGTCTGTCTGTTGGACTTGGGGATGCTGGAGGGAGGTATAGTCCTCGGTCTCGGTGGCTCGGAGGGCGTTGGAGGATGGCCAGATGAGATCGCCATGATGTAATTTCATGGATGGCGACTCTTGATGTGGAAAGTGATGGCGCTGAGGATGGTATATGCTGCTGTGACTGTCAGGTGGGCCAGCCAGCTAGTGCGAATGTAGTACCTACCTACTAGTTTCTGTTCCAACGCTCGTCACTATGTCCCTTCCTTCAGGTCTGCCCAGAGGCCTGAATCATATCAAAAGGGTTTGCAGTACTACCCTTGACTAGCCCCCAAATTGAGACATTGATGAACCAGCGTGACCGGTAAGTGTCCCTCGTACAGCTAAATTCTTCTGCAACAATCTCTGCTCTTCCTCGGGAATGACCAAGCCGCCTCTCGCTCTTTGGCAACATCCACATCGAAGGGTACAATGTCCAACTCCGAGCTTGCGGGTTTGGTCAATGTTGCGATTAAGACAGCAGCCACAACTCCGAGCACAGCAACCCCCCCGACTAGCGCAATCCTTGACAAGTCTTTTGTGCATATACCATCTCAGATGGGACCTTCATAGATCAAATGCCCTGGATAGAAACCCCGCCTGCAGAGAAGTTCGGTAATACAACCATCTTTGGCCGAGGAAGTGGTATCTGATGTTCAACACACGCAGTCTTTCTTTCGCCTTTTCGCTCGAGCTATCGGCTCCCTGTCTGATGGATATCTCTTCTTGAACCACTTCGCGAAGTTCTTGTTCCACGTCGAGAAGTTTAGGCGAGTCATCAACACGGTGGCAGCAGAAGTGGAAGAATTTATCAAAACGGTATCGCTGGAAAACATAAAAGTCCCCGGACTTTGCTTTTCGGGCTTCGGAGGTGGTCATCTCCTTGATCAAGTCTGGTTGTAATCGTGGTCGATTACTGTTCCTCTTTAGGCTGGCAGAAAAAAAACGGCATTCTTCTTGTTTGAAGGTGTTGATAAATATTGTACTGCCATATTCGAAATCAGATTCCCCTTCGTCCACTCAGAAAATAATTCTCTAACCCTATCCTAAGATGCACTAGTCGATATTCGGACTAGCTGCAGATCCTGGCTTGCCAGAAATAGACCTTTGTTTTTACATGACGTAAGATACGGTAATTTCCAGGTATCGCCTTAGAGGCAGCAACCTCGATGCCCTTCCAAGAAGATGTGCCTGCGTCCACTAAGTTCTGTCAACATCTATTCACTCACTGCCTTCTAATTGGGACCCATCGAAGTTGACTGACAACCAGAGCAATTACACATGGAGGCAAGCTACGCATTGAAGTCCTCACTTCCACGGGATCAACTTCCAGTGTTATTGTCTCCCAACCTTGCCACTTCTCTGGCTAGGGAAATACTGAATACAGTCGGAAGGTTTTCAGTGTCCCAGCAGTTAAGACTCCCGTCCTTGGAACTCCACACGTCCTTGGATTCCGGTGCAGAATGAGGCATCATTCTGCTTGCGAACAAAATGTTTTCTTACAGGCCTTGACTGTTGAAAAGGTGCGCTCGATATTAATGGAATATTTGGATGGCATAACACTGTGAGACACTGATAATATTCACAATACAGTCCTCTCGTCTTCTTCTTGAGTCATTTTAATTATCCAGCCTGACACCTCTGCACATGCTTCTGCTGGTTGCTTCTTGTACTTTAAAAGAAACCCCTGAGCCTCCGCCAAACTGAGGCGTCGTTCGGGGAATTTTGCCGCAAACTGAGCTGCGAGGTCCTCCAAGGCCACCGGATCCCCTTTTTCATCCGACGCATCCATCTTCTCCCCAATCATATCGCTGAACATGCTCAAAAACAACCCGTGGAGCTCTTCTCGTGATGGCAACTCAAACTGGATATGCAAATCCACCCTACCAGGCCGAACTAGGGCGCGGTCCAACACGTGTGGCGCATTGGTTGTCATGATCAAGATCCGTCCCTCGTGCGACGAGACTCCGTCAATCGCGTTCAGCAGTACTGAAAGAGAAATCACCGACGAGCCCGCTGAGGGAGGGCCACTGGTGCCTGTCGCAGGTTGGGACGTTCCTACGGGGAGATGGGTTCTCGCCACCGTCACTCCCGCGACATCAATATCCTCCAACAAGACGACGCACTGCGATGGCACCTCAGCAAACAACCGCAGGAACTGGGACTCGGTCATGGTCGAATCCCCCAGACTGAGGACGTATATGTCCAGTCCGAAGGCCCCGGCGATGGCCGATGCGAGACTGGTCTTGCCGGTCCCCGGGGGCCCCGAGAATAGATATCCACGACGATAGGGTATGCCATGGTTGGAATACCACTGCTTCATGCGGGGATGCAGATACTCGCGAATATCGCCGAGGATGGTCTGCTTCTTGTGCTCGTCTAGAATGACCGTCGCGAGATTGCGTCGCGGCCGAGAGGTGACGCGGGTCCAGCGGACCAGGTCGCGCGAGTTGGCGAGAGCGCGGTACACGGTCACGTTGGACAGGGACACTTTACGACTGTACAGAGTGGCCTCGGACAGGAAGGCGTGCAGGGTGGAGAGGGACAGACTGAAACATTGGAGCTTCAGTGGCAATGGGTCGTCATCCGGCATTGTATGGGGCGTGCGCCCGGTCCTGGGCGCGGAATGCGTGAAGTTGATCCATTTGCGGTTGTATACGAATAATCGCGAGCCTTGGAAGGGCTTCAGTTGGATGGACTGGCTGGGGTCGACGAATTGGGTGCCAGACAATTTCAGGTTGCTATTCGAACTGGCGGCAGTAGAAGGGTTCGTAATGCTTTCAGCCTGATTCGACGTGGCTGCAATGACTGATCGGAAATTCTGATGCTGGAAAACGTGGTGGTTCATCCAGAGGAGCACATCATCATAGAGCGTGTCCTCGCTACTGATGTAGACGGTCGTCAAGCAGAGTTTCTCAGCGTATCCATACAGCAGAGTCCATATGGGGCGGGCCGATGCCACCACTGCAACTAATGCAAGGCCCAGGTTCAGGGGGGCGATCGCGTTTCCATTTAAGGGTTTATGTAGCAAGGCCATGGCCGACATGGTTAGGAAATGTTGCCAGGTATCCTCGCAGATTCTTGATTAGGCCTCGGACCGGTTTTGCAGCAAGATGGGACCCTAGACAGCAGTTTTTCTATTAAAATAGACGGGGGTTGATGCCCGTAAAATTATGTGCTTGGCTCCCAGAGGATGTATGGTGTATGAGACCTTACTTTCCATAAGGGATTTGCTGTCCCCAGCGAATCTGTTCTCTTTGCCCTTTTGCAAAACACAGGAAATGGTTCATGACTGACATTTTCCAAGCCCCCTTGCAGATAAACACGTTATAAATGGCCTCCGCTGATCCACCGCAAGTGACGTATCTAGAGGAGTTCATCTCGGATTGTAACTTATTTGGTGTTGATCGGCCCTGTCTCCACATCTCTACACCTGTGGGAGAAGTTGTAAATTTTGGAAGGCACAGGTCTCCTTACCTGGTCTTGGATATCCTTGCAGTGTTTCACTCCATTTCAAGCTCATACTGTACATAGGGCATTCCCCTTCATATGGCTATTAAAGACCAACAAGACCCGTACTCCTGAAATCGACCGTCTCACCTGCTCTGTTCTCATTTCAAACAGCATCCGCTACACGTGTGAACACAAAATGGGTAACATTGAGGAACGGGTGATGAAGATAATTGCTGAACAGCTCGGGGTCAAGGAGGAAGAAGTGAGTGGCATAACTAATCTACAACTCGACAACGATTCACCGTTATTCCACAGGTAACCCGTGAAAAGAGCTTTGTCGACGACCTTGGTGCCGACTCTCTTGATACTGTTGAGCTCATTATGGCGCTGGAGGAGGTGAGAAAAACTCTAAGCCCATATTCATCCCATGTTAACATTCTTGCCTGGATGGCTAGGAATTTGAGACTGAGATCCCCGATCAAGAGGCGGAAAGGATCACCACCGGTAAATACCTCATGAATCCTCAAATGCGGATGTGAGGGCTAATTATGACTCTTTCGGGTAGTTCAAGCCGCTATTGACTACATCAAGCATAGGGCTTAAAGAATGGATGTCCTTTGGTCTGTGACGATCAGGGCTCAGGAGTCAGGCGTCACATGACGGGTGGTAAGTGTGTGTGATACGAGAGCTGTGAGAACCTGTGACTTGAGGAGGAAGAGGACATGTCCTGTGACGTAATACCCAATAATTGAGGCTCACATCATCCGCGAGTACGATGCAAGGAACCGACATTGCCCCTTTTCACTATCCCCTAGGCCTGGGCACCGACATCTGCCACATTCCCCGAATTCGACGGATTCTGACGAACGAGAACCCAGGGCATGCAGATCGGTTTGCCCGCCATATTTTCAACGCCGCAGAATAACGGGAGTTTGATTTCCGGTATAAAAAGTATTTACAGTGCACGCGAACTGTCGCCGATGTCCTCTCATCGAGCAGAATCGATAGCCTCATGCAGGACCGAGGTCAACGAAAACTCTGGAAACTCTCCAGCTGGTTAGCTGGTCGGTGAGGAGGCCCATTTCACCTACCAAGGTCACCTACTCTGCGCTTTTACTGAGATTTAATTTATCTAGGTTTGCAGCAAAAGAAGCGGCAATAAAGGCGGTCTCTCCATGCCGGATCAAATGGCACCAGGCGGAGGTTTTGGGGCAGATGAAACCATCGCTGGTCATTCATGATGCACCACCGATCGGAACCGATGAAAAAGTCCCACATGAGCAGAGAATTCGAAAACGTCTCTCACAGCTGTCTATTAGCCATGATGGAGAATACGCGATTTCGACAGTGGTGGCTGTTACAGGAGCTCCAATGTCCTCTCTGAATTGAAAGTTGAGTTCTCCCAGGAGAAGACCACGGTCATTTGCGACCAGCGGCCCTTTTAGCGTTACTATACGGTAGAACAGTATATTACGTATAGAATCTCCCCATTTTCAAACCTGTCCGGGCAGAGCCCTTCTCTAAGATATTATATATAAAGGTAATGCACTGTTCTCTCCATCCTGAAGAGGCAACCCCATTCGAACGAAGCGCGTGATAAAACGCAAGTTCTGACGAATTGAAATCCCTTTCTGCTCCCGTGGGCGCGCGATCAACGACTGCCTAAAAGGGAGAGTCAAGAGACCTGCCAGTAGTGGATGTCAGGGTGGCCACTACTTTCGAGTAGGGAAGTAATGTACATTGCTGCCCTGATACTGGATTAGTACAGTATCCGTCGATAACGAAACAAAAAGTACCCATAAATTAGTTGTACAGTACTGTAATCGCTGTGGAACTTGATTCTTCTGCCACTAAACCGTTTAAAGTTCACAGACATGAACGTATCATAATCATTTGTAAGATGAAATTTTTATTCAAAGTACAGAAGCCACTTTCCCTATAAAAGCGATATATAATTCTAAACAGATCCTATTAAACCCCAATAATATCTGCCCTACCCGCTTTAAACGACTTCATAAACATGTAGTAGCTTCTTTACGTTTTGGACCTAGCTCGGAATATCCTTTACGAAACTACGAGAAATGCCCTTCTTGATTCCCTCTAGACCACAACAAAAACCAATTTTCCTGTTTATGGCCTAGGGAGGCCTTATCCCAGTCTGACAGAGAGTCCCCATGGCCCTCTTCAGGTCCAAGTATTTCACCTGAAAGGCACAGTAGGACTCAATGAATAACAAAGTGAGGGGAACGGGGGAAATTTCCTCATACAACATGACCATCCGACGATCCCCCAAGTGGCATTCTCTGTGCGTGATACCGGTCCCTCTTCTTCGAAGAGTGCTCCAGTGTTGTTATTATTGTCTGAATTACGTAGGTCTTTCGGTGCTGGCTTGCTAATGTGGGGTTGCTGTGCGGGACGGGCCGGCGCGTCCCACAGATAAAGCAAAAGTCCTGATTGGCTAGAACGACTGTTGATTTGACAACTGTCCCACGGGCAGAAATAGCGGTGAGCTAGCGGTGAATACCAAACCCCCTTTATCTTGTCTCCCTGGTTTCCAGGTGGCCATCACGACCACAGAGAGAATGCTTTCTGTTACTTATTCATGAACCCAGCTGTTTCATCAAGTGTGGTGATACTGATATATGTGAATTTCCAGATTTTCTCTATGGAGATGAGAAAGGAAGCCTATCTGAGCCGACCGTCCTTCTAACTAGTTGACAGTTGACTTTGAAGGCAACTAGCCTTCTGGGCACGATGATCCTGGTACGCTAGGACAAAAACTGATATTATTATTGGACAATTACTGACTAGTTCAAAGGTGTCGATTCCGCAGTGAACTTGAGGAACTTGAGCAACCCTACCAACAAAACATCATCAGCGTGGGTCAATTCAGTATCGTCCACAAGCTGAACAACAAGACCGTCCGGAAAGTTCCCAGAAATAAAAATTACTACAGCACAACTGCTGTAGATATTGAAGGCCGCATATATGGTCACCTGGGCAAACATAAACGGATTGCCCGGTGTATTCGCTGGGGCGATGATTTCGTCGATTTACGATACGAGTGCAACGGCGACCTCGAATCCTACTTGAAGAAAACCCCTTTGCTGAGCTATGCTAAATATTGCTTCGCTCGACAAGCGATTGAGGTAGTGGTCTTTATCCACGAAAGGGATGTTATTCATTCCGATCTCAGCGCTCGTCAATTTCTGGTAGACAAAAGTTGCAAAATCAGATTATCCGACTTCGGCGGCTCGTCATTACAAGGCTCAGAGGCTATTGTGATGGAGAATGCTGCACACTTCCTACCACGAGATGAAGATGCGCCAAACACTGTGCTGAGCGATTTATTCGCTCTAGGGTCCACTATCTACGAAATTCTACTTGGCAAAAAACCTTACGAGGGAATGGAAGATGAAGAAATCCAGCGTCTTTTTTCCGACAAAGTGTTCCAAACACTCAACGGAATAAGAGATCAGCAGTGGAGGACAATTATTCAAAAATGCTGGACGTGCCAGTACAACCCGTGCTTCGGATATTTACGAGGACATTCCATCTGTTTCATGCTTCAGATGCATCCTCACGAGAATCCAGTCCAACTTTCGCAATGGTAAGTCGCGGCCTGCTGACAATGGTGTTCGGTTTGGATGGTGATAACAAATGGTTGAACATGTGATGCTGGTGATCGCCAAAACATGGCAGATTATTCGCCAACCTAACAGGCACAGACAAATCAGATTGCACGAAGTATGTGTGGGACACTTTCCCCTGGCTCTCTTCGACGCGGCGTGTCGTATCTCACAGTTAGGACAAGTACTCCTAGTGCCGGGTTTTCTGGACATTCGAGTCCTGGATCCTGATACCGCCACCCGATAAGACACTATCATTGACATTCCAGTCTCTGGTCGGTCACCTTGAAAATTCAACCGTTGCCAAAGTTAGCAGGGAAGCATGGCGAAACTGCTTGTGTTGTACGGTGAAAGATTACACCGGATTGAGGCATTAGTCGTCGCATATGACTTTATACATATTCTAGGGGCAAGAAATACAAAGACCGGGCCATGGAGTTGTCGGCTTCTGTCGGATCTCCTTGATGTAGAGCTGGATTTGGACATGCACGGGAATCCATGTTATCCTCGTAGCAGCCTTTGGTATAGCAAAAAGTGTTTGTGTGGCAGGAGATGAGACGGTGGTTATTACCATATCAGCAGGGGAGGTGGCCCGATGGTAGTGCCACAGACTTCCACGATGTCAAATGCGAAGACACCAAGGAAATTTCAGCTGCTCCCAGTTCAATGTTCCCAATTTGTGCAACGCGAGATTGAACCTGTGATGCACTATCGGAACTTTGGCCCTGGGCTCTACTACGATTCAGCTTGGGCATATTGTGTTAGCTGGGTCAAGGCAGATATTGAGTGAACCGTAAGCAACGACCGATAATATTAGTATATGCAGAACTAATCTATATGCACGAGATTTGACCAAACTCCGCGGGTGACCCATGGATCATGTTCAATTGGAAAACCCGCCGTACGCCCTAGTTCAATACCGCAACGGCCGCAACGAGAGCATCAAAGGCAGAGCTATGCGTTGACGCATCAACTACAGCCTCAATAGGCCCAGCCCAGTTAACGCCAAACTGACCTTTCTCGTTGCGATCATTATCCCAGATACTATCCGCGCAGCTGGTGATAACCTTTCGGTAAAGGTCGTGCGGGGAGGCTTTCTGCAGCTTTCGCAGGTTACGGATGAAAATCCCCTTGAATTGCGTGCCATCTGGAAGACACTGCGGCTCGCAGAACTCGTGGATAACGTTGTTTGAGTCGGCTAATGTTTCTATGGCGGCTTTTGCGATCTTGTTGGCGGAGGGGAGGTATGTGTTGTTTGGTGACGCTTTGTTTAATTCCACTAGGCCACCGAGGACGACGCCTTGGTTGTAGGACCATCTGTTGGAGGTTCGGATTAGCAAGCTGGGAGAAGCTGATTAGCGATTGGATGAGTCTTACACTGTGGCTCCATTGTTCTCGCAGTTCTCCAACAGTCCATCGTTGATAGTGCCGTTTTCACCGATAAAGTCCTGGGATGTGAACCAATCCCATTCCTTCTGCGCCCAGCGGATGTAGTATTCCTTCCTTTCAGGAACACGGTTCGCGAGGTGTGCCGCGACGGACAGAAATAGTTCGTTCGTGATCGAGTTGACATATGTGCTCGTTGGGTTCCAGGGAATACCGCCGCCGCCGCAATTTGTGCCCCACGCGTCAACCTAGGGACAATAAGCGGCTTTTCAAATAGAAGCACTTGGCTCTCGGGGCTTTACATACCAAGCTTTGGAAAATTCCTTCGGCTAGTTCCAGGTATGTTCCTTCTTTGGTGACGTCGTATGCGCCAATCCATGCCAGGGCCCACCACCCATCATCGTCATATGCCTGGTTGAGCCACTGGCTGGCATTGACGGCACTCGATTGGTGATTGTCGCGCGTGAAGACAGTCTTTATTTCCGGCCCGGGATGCGGATTTGATACCGGCCCAATGTTGAATGTGTTGTTGAAGACATATGTCGCAGTATCCATCACCGACGGGTCGAGGGCAGCTAGATCCGCGATTGTGTTCATGCAGCTTGCGCCATCCCACCACCCACAGGTATCCCAGATCCCGCTCTTGGGGTTATACCAGCCCTGAAGTGTCTGGAGCGCATCGCGGGCCCTTGATCGCGCGTCATCGGCAACCGCGCTGCCAGTGAGAAGTAGCGATATGAGCGAAGGAGCTAGGAAACCGTGGCGTGAGAAAAGCATGGTTGAAAGGATTCAGAGAGACGCAGCTACTCACCCAGATATTGGGGTTGGCAATGCGTCTTCTCTTAAATAAGATAGCTCTGATCTCAATGCCTTCGGTTCCTGGATACATGACAGCATATCCAAGAACAAGTATGCATTCTTGCAGCTGCGGTGCCTTGATTGACAATCAGTATGAAGATGGTCCACTATCGCGGATCATATGGATCGCTGATCTGCAAGGATCGCCTCGTTGTGGGACTGCAGCTCTGCCTTAGAACAACGAAGATGCATGTCGACGGCAATTTAAGGAACCAGCCTTGCAGGAACACCGGTCCGATCTCAGTCGGTTTGTCAATGCTCTCACTACTCCACATGATCAAGGGGTGTGGTCGTTCCGGTGTTGCTGTACAAGGCATACAGGCGGTGTCGTTGATGCTCATCCCTTGCAAGGCCAAGCCCCGCTATTCTTCCCTCAGGTGAAGCAGTCAGTCAATTGAGCAACAGAAAGTGGAGGGTCTTGGTAAGGCCTTTGTCGCGTTCTGAGACCGGCTATGTGCTTATTGTTCAGGCTAAAATTCCTATTTTCGGAATAAAATCACCCGAGTCGCAGATGAGGTTGGATGAAGTGATACACTCTGGTTGAATTTCATTGGCCGATGCTGAACAGCCATCCTGGAATTCGCCTGAGCTCCAAATAGCCAATAGTAATACGATCGAGCTCTCTCCAGCTTGTGTCTGCAATGCAATGCGAATCTGGGGTTGCATCGGAACCAGCGCTTTAGTTCCTTCTGTGCTTGCATTCGGTTTAGACAGACTGCGAGGTAGTGACAGGCCATATGAGACACTCATTGTCTGAGATGCACCACATTGAAATCCAGCCTGACGTCAGCAGCTTCGGTCTGTGTTCCTTGGAATGTTGGCATTCCCGTGGAAGACAGGTGTCTCGGTGTGTTTCCCATGTGTCTGCAAGCCGACTGTCGGCCAAGGAGCTCCACTTTTTCAAGAGAGCTTGGGGTAGTGGTATGTCGCGTTGGTATCACGCTTCAGATGAGACAGACATGAGACGAAAGTCAAAAAGATTGCTCAGTCGGTCACAATCACATCACTGCACATCTCGGGCTGCACTTGAATGCGCAATGAGAACATAAAGAGACAAGCGCTGAAGAGAACAGCTAATGGAAGGAAACCAAGAGCTCGGCATCCCTTCCTTGGATTGTTATCTTTAGGGATGTGGTAGAATTGTCTCACTGAATAGGCCTCTACGCCGCTGCAAATTGTCAGTCGGTCAAGTAAAATTGCTAACATCTGTTGAAGATGAACCGTCGGACCTGATGAGAGAGAACGTCATGTGACAGGGGCACAGGGCTAGCTACTATCCCCTGGCCTCACTTCGTCACCCCTTGATTGCTACCTTCTTGTTCCCTGGTCAAAGTCAATACCTAAGTGTTCGGATTTGGTTTGCATTTAGTGATTCGCTCTTCAGTTTGGGGAAATGCGGCTGTTTGGACGATAGCTATATTTCAATATTGGGAATTGGGTATGGTCTTGGTTGTCTTCGCTACCACGCCTGCCCGATCAGTCGGACTCCTGCTGGGGATGCTGAAAGGGTATTCCACGCTTTCCCGCCCTCTCTACCATGTTACCTGATGCTTATAAATAGGGAGATCGACAACTCGCCTCGGCCGATCGAGAATCCGATGTTACCAAACCCAACGTGGTCTATACGAGCTGGAGAATTGCTAAAGGCCAATTCATCTCAGGAGGCCTCACTGGGATTGTCGAGCTCCTTAGCGATGGGACTGCGCTCAAATCACCATTTTCCAGGGAGTGAGCTCGAAGATCATATTTCGGATATCGCTAAAGAAGCCAGCATCTATCATCGTGTTGGACCACATAAGAGGCTTGTTCGCATGCTAGGCCATTCCAGGGAAGGCCTCAAGCTTGAATATATGAAAACCGGTGATCTCAAGACGTATCTCCGAGCCCACGAGCCAATACCAACAAGCCTCAAATTAAAGTGGGCATATCAAGTCGCAGAAGCTGTCGAACTCTTGCATAGGAACGGGGTTATCCATTGCGATATTAAACCACGAAACCTCTTACTAGATCCGACTTTTGACATCAAGATTATTGACTTCTCTGGCTCTTCATTAGATGGTTCAAAGTCAGCCTCTGGTGAAGGGACCCGGTTTTACCTTCCTCGGCATTGGAGAGACCCGCCGACGGTGGCCACAGATCTCTTCGTACTAGGGTCGACTCTTTACGAGATTTTTCAATGCACGAGCCCGTATGAAGAAATACCTAGTGAGGAGGTTGAAAAATCCTTTACACACAAAAAGAATTTCCTAATATATCTGATATACCATGTGGACAAATTATCAAACAATGTTGGCTATCTCAATTTGATTCAGCGAAGGATGTGAAAACCGCCATCTGGGATGTTTGTCGCAACGTCAACGTCAACTGTATCCCTCATTTCGATGGGTTGGATGTTTCTCAGGATATGTTGATTAGCCCAGTGGTTTTTCGGGAGGATTAGAGCAGTCCACGCCATCCTGTCTTGCCTTGGTACATCTACACAGAATTCTCTCGAAGTTTTGCCGCATGGTGACGGACAGCAAGGATAGTGTGTTGTGGACACAAGGATTTCGCACATACTAGGATCAGGTTGTCAGATGTCTGGAATGTGCTCAATTTGAAAGATACTACCATGAACGCTCTTACAGGTCAATGTGAGCTGTCCAACCAGACTGATTGAGTGCATCGTTGGAAGCGAATTCGGCAGTGGTCAGTAACTTTGGCCAGTGCATCTACCCCTCATCAACAATCTTCGGATATATTGTTCCAGAACTTGGTTTATGGTTCTGTTTGGCCTTCGGTTTGAGGGTGGAATTATTTGAAAGCCGACGGACAGATACCCTGGTAAAAATTACTGACCACCGCCGAATTTGCTTCCATCAATGCACTCAATCAAACAACCGGCATGACCCCATTTGAAGCCTTCACGGGCTATTCACCCGATTTTCATATCCGATCCGAGGACGAATCGCATCGGACGGGGTCTCAGCAGCTTCGGGGAAAGCTAGCGAAGCACTGGGAATTGAAACGCTGTCAAATCGCAAACGAAGTACTACGATCACAAGTGTGATCCCAGGGCTGGGATGCCATCTGGGATCACACAAGGACGAGCCAAAAGAATTCAAACAATAATTTCCAAACAACTATTTATATATTTATATTCTTACTCTGAATAAGCGGCTGGCCGCCTCGCCCTTGTGGGCAAGCAGTCCCTCCTCGGTTCGAACCCAGCTTTTTATGTACATCGTACCTACGGGGCGCATGCGCCCCCGCCCACAACTCCCATCGTTAACTCAAGGATCCACTGGTGCTAGGCCTCGTCCGCCCAGCTTGGTGACAGGTCTTAGTGCATGTCACTAAAATTTTTATTTTATTTTTTTTCCCTTTCTTCCTCCTCCTTCCCCTATCTTAGCAGTAGTAGGGACCCTCCGAGCAGCTGTCTAGCTATAGAGCTACGTCCCTTCGTCTCCTTCTCGGTGTCCCCCCTGTGTGGGTCTCGTGTGGCCACATGTTGCCGCCCTCTAGCTCTCTTGCGAGCCTGTTCTCACCCAGTCGTCCCAGGTTGAAGAACCAAGTTGCCAGTCGCTGGGCGGAGCCATCCCGGGAGAGCGCTGCCCTTAGGGAGTGTCCGTCAGGAAGATCCAGGCCAGCCGGCCTTCTCTTTCTGGCGTGTATCGTGGGCCAAGAGACATGACTACACAGCCAAGGTTGCTCGTGACTAAGTCTTAACGGGTTCTTGACTGATGTAAAGCAGCTTCGACAGGCCCGCTTGTTCAGGCCACTGCCCTGGTTTTCAGCACGCGCATCTTTCGATGGACGCCCTCCAGATATTGAGGCCGGACCAGAACCTCTCACCCCAGGTGTCTCCAGGAGTGCTCCGTAAGCATGCATCATCAGCATTTCAGCTAGAACGACATCACATCCCAGCTGCAGGTTCTCAGTGCGAGTGAGATAGTAAAGACAGGTCGGACCTGGCCCCCTAGGACGACACCACTTTGGCTGGTAGATTTCAGGTCCTCAGTGCGAGTGAGGTAGCTGTTTCTGTCTATTTGCACACCGACACGCGCGTCCGTCCTCTCGGGCCACATAGACAGTCTCGTCGGGTCCTCTCGACCCGTCCGTCACTGCCATGATGTGCCACGCCCCATAGGGAGAAGTCTCCCTACTTCGCGTTACCGGCAGAGATCTCTCTCCATCCGGCCGACCGTGTCTCGCAAAGGTGGCCAGGAGTATCCCCATTGACCCTGCAGGATACTCCAGCTGTCCTTCACTAACCAAACTTGTGTCCCTGGTTTTGCAGCCCTCTCGATCACCCGTAGCTGCGCCTTAACAAATTCGTCGAGTGTCGTCGCCAGAATGTGCACCCCGCTTGGAAAAAAACCACAGAATATCCTAGTCAGAGTTGCCCGTAGCTATGCCTTAACGAGGTTCCGGTTCAAAGTATCCCAGGAAGCTCCTGAGCGACTTGCTCAACCTGCTGCGCCACCAGTTGTATTCCCCCTCGCCACTCAGCGCCATTCCTTGGCGTCTCGCGATCTCAGAAGGTGTTCAAGCTCAGGGGTGTCCTGTCTCCTGCCTAGGCGATACCACAACCACTGGAAAACAAGTCCAGCTTCGGTCTCGAGTACGAGTCGAGTAGGCAGTCGTCGGATGGTTTTCATAACCCGTTTTCCTCTGCTTTGTGTGGGGGTGGAATGGGTGTTGTCGACCACGGAAAACTCTGCAGCGCGACCCCTATTCACCCCACGCGGATTCTTTTGGCTTCCCCTCCACAGAATGAGAGGGTACTGACACCGGACACCACGAGAAGGTAGAAATCCATCGTCCTAAGTGCTTGACGAAAGCAGTTACCTGGCGTGCTCGCCAGGGGCTTTCCAAACAACTAGACATGAGGTTTCGGCTACTACGGAGTTTTTTTTGGGAAAGGGGATCTGGGGTCTGGAGAGTGAGCGTTGTCGTCATCTTAGTTGGTGGATTAGAGGATGAGGTTACCTAGGTCTATCAAATTGAACATCCATTGATAGTGAAACCGGTCTTGAGATTGTGAATTAAGTAACCCCCATGGGAATCGTTAAATAACACCCGAGGACATGAGTCCGTTTCCGTCTTTTGAAGTATGTACAGGGCCCCATCGTGAATGATAATAGAGGTATATAGAAATAAAAGAGAGTGATCAGAGTGATCAGAAGAAAAAGAGACATGAAAAGGTAGTGAAAGATCGTGAGGGAAAATACGTATGATAGGGGATAAGTATATGCATCTAACCACTGAGTGGCTCGAGATATAAAAACATAGAAAGCAAAGTCATCGACTCATCTCCGCCATGCTGCAGGAGGCGGCCGTTGGAAATCCTCTTTACTGGAGCGTCCGCTCGACTCCTCGGCCGGGAACGCAGGCTCATGCGTAATCTCAATCGTGGTATGCTGGAACACTTTCCCAATGGGGGCCATTTCATGGTCATCAGAATGATGGCCCTGGGGGGTGTGCGTGACAATGTTATCCGTTGAACCATCGCGATCGTCGAACGTCCCGCCCATATTGCGCTTGGACGGCTCGGCGGTGATGGTAGTCATATGGGTGTCACCACGCTTGCCCTTACTGCTGTTGAATTTGTTGTAGGAGCGGTCATGGCTGGGCTCCGAGTCAATGATCAAGTTGCGGCGGGTCAGGGTGTACAGGATGACATCGACGAGTCCGGAGCTGGTGATGATGGCGCCGGCGCAGCAGAAGAATGTGATGCTGGGTTCGTCGCGGTGGGCTGTTGCCATGCGGCCGGCTGCGAGTGGCAATGAGAGAGTGATGTAGACGATTGGGTAGATGGTCATGTAGCCGACAACGCGGCGGAGCCGCTTCAGACTCTCCAGTTGGCTGTTGCCCAGAATGGCGGAGGCGGCGATTTGGCGGCGCAACTGGAAATACATCACGGCGTAGAGAACGACGGTGCCGAACTCGGCGAGGAAAATCCAGATGTAGTGAGTCCACAGACGGGTGGTTTCGTATTCTTCGCTGATCCAGCACCAGGCTCCTGAGGGGACGAAAACGTCGGCGCCGTGCAGGGCTAATGGGATGATTACCATCAGGGCCACGAAGGCCCAGACGCCAACGACGAAGAAGACGAAGAATTTGTAGGACATTTTACGGCCCCAGACGACCAGCAGGAATGTGTGGAAGGCGATGGCCAGCACAAACAGGCCACTGCCGGGATCGCCAATTTGCAGCCATAAGCCTTGCAAAAAGCAGGAAGCGGTGCCAGATTGGATTTTGTCCGTTAAGATCCATCGTAGACAAATGATGAATGCAAGAGATTGTTGGAAATCTGCCAGAACCAAGTTATAGATCAGGATGATATACTGGTTGTAACCGATGTATCGTGTATAACTGCCACGCCAGAAAATAAGTCGATAGGTGATGAAGAAGAGGAGTACTGAGGTTGCAATGAGAGACAAAAGGGCCATCACCGCGATAGCTATCAAGCCTCGTCGGTGGTTAGCCGGAAGAGGGTCGATATCAATTTCCGGAGCATTGGACAATCGCGCGGCCAATGAGTATTCATTTCCTCTGGGCATCAAGCCCATGAGAATAAGCGCCGACATTTCGGGACGTTGTGTAGTTGGTTGCTTTCTGAATGTCTGCTATCATTGCCTGGTTGAAAGTTCATATAATGGTGGCGAAGTGGCGTCCTGGGCGTGCTGGGCGTGTTTGCGTCTTGGGCGTCACTGATCACAAATTGAAGAAGCTGAGCAAGAAAAGCGATATAGAAGGCCGGCGTGAGTGCTAATGAATGGAAAATGAAAATATCCCGAGCGTTATAACCTCCCCAGCAGTCCACCTGCAATGAAAGAGAGACAAAGAACTAATTGAGAGGAGAAAGCCACGAGAAAGTTGAAGGAACAGATGCAATGAAGAAAAGAAAGAACCGACAGCCAGACTACTGGGACTGCTCGAACTCAAATTTTGATAGGCCAGAACTTACAAACCACGCTTGAGCCATTCAGCCCATCTATCTGTCAATAGCTGGATGCTCCACGTTGATAAGTTCGGGAAGTGGAAATCTTCTGTGGAAGAAGTATGGGCTCCCGAGGAGATCTCCATAAACCTTCACCGTCCACGGCGTCCATAGCCGTGAAAGCCGCGAAACCCTGTTTCCATACTGACAACGGACATTGTACTCCACTCTAGCCTCTTTAGTTCCGGATTAACTCAGTGTTGCCAGAGTGGGTTAGGGGGGAGCATGTTTGCCACGAGGTGTCGAATGAAACGGCGACAAAGTGTTTAGGCTAGATGGTGTAATTTTGGGTTTCCCCACTCAACGAACAGACTAAAATGGACTGGTTGCCTAAGATGTACCAAGTGGACGCACTAAACATGGAGATATTACCACTTGGAAACGGCGCTGCACACTGTGGAGAGGAGCATGTCCCCAATTTCCAGAACCCAAATCCCGTCCCGCTTGATCACCCGGTCTCCGGATTTCCGTCCAGGCCAAAGCGCAAGTGATGTTCATTGATAGGGGCCTCGGATCGCCCGTCCAGAGTGTTGCCTGCAGGGTAACTGCAGGGGCGATGCTTCTGGAACACTAGTGGGGGGAGATGATGAACAAACGTGGTCTCCACGAGCTTGAAAACACGATGTTTATTTCTTTATATCCACCAGCGGACACCTTCCTAAACGGTCTTATTGTGGCTGGTACGTAGACGTTTGTGACTGGTCTAGATCATATATCGTCAGTCAAGTCGAACAAAGAGATCTTGTGTAACAAAGGAAAACGTTGGCAACAAAAGACTGACCAGGGTATCTTGGCACAAACCCTAGAAAGTATGGCACCCCGCACGAGGTAAACCATATGGCATAGAAATAACATGCAGATACGAGAATTTGTCGATCGAACAAAAGGATTATTAAGATAATATTCAATAGTGGGCATTCAATTTCTTGGCTCTACGATTGGGCCTGGTTAAGCTTCGCTCCACACGACTCTCCTCCACTCACAAATTCTCTTCAGTTCTCCGAGGGAGCTGTTTTCTTTTTTTGAAACCACCGCCAAGTGCTGCGAAAGCTTGCGATCCAAACTCAAAGCTGAAAAAAATCAATAGAAATCCGGGGAGGTCACGCGACCCTAGCTCTTTATTGGAGCTTCGTCATTGAAAGGGTAAATACGATGAATATGGATTAGCTGGATAAAGAAGGCGGCTTACGCTGAGGAATCTGACTGTGCCAAGCTTGGAATCGTCTCCGAGCGGAGATTTGCCCCTGGTGGATGTGATCAACCATTCAAAATCACGGAAGGATGATTACGCACCGGCCGGTCTGCAGTAAATTCTGGAGCCGCTAGCAGGCGATCGTAGAGGCTGATAAATCAAACCTAAGGAATGTATGCCCCGAGTACTCCGTACGTAGATTTGGATGAGAGGTTTGGGGTGGAAATTTTTTTAGATGTCTCAGATGTCGGTCAGGGGAACTCGGGAACTGCCGAGCCGAGTTTTATGTTGTCTAAGGAGGGATGCACAATCGCATGACATGACAGCTGGGTCATGCTGTCAAGCAATCCAACCTTGGAGGCAAGATCTTGCCACCCAGGGCTCATGCTTGCCCCTTAGGATCTCCATTGATTTACACTGTGCATTGACGTACAAGCTATGTAATCTTGTCGGTCTTCCAAGGTTGGACACAATGCCGTGTCTTATTAGAAAGGGGTTGTTCTTAGACTTGCCTTTTTTACTCACCCCGCTTGTCGATCGAAACTCTATGTACGACGTACATCTCGGCGTCGAGAGGGCTTTCTAAACACGTGCATAGACTAACTACAGTAGAACAAGATGAAAGCTTAGCCTAGTTAACTATCCCCTTAACTTTGTTCTCGAACTGTTCCATGGTTCGACCACGGTTCGACAATGGATTATGCTCTGGTAGATGACTAGCAAATTTCTGCTCCCAACCTTCTTTTGCCAGTTAATCTCTTTATGCCAAGCGCATGAGCCAAGGTTTTTACCACGCCAGTCCCACTAGTCGAGAACCTTGGGTAATATCTAAGCTTATTCTGTACCTCTTTGGCAACGGGGAAATCGGAGAAATAGAATCACAATCTACAGCATGTAGGTATGCATGTCTGAATCGATAGGCCCTTTCATTCCTAGAGATTCTATGTAGTACCTATCTTGATGAACTACTAGGTCATGAACCACTCGTGAACTACAGCACTCCGTATGTCCATGCAACTCCATGGAATATGAGACACATTTCTGTTCAATGAAGACATCACAGGTCCCAACTTTAGGTACGGTGTACACAATAATGGCAAATGACACTCACCACTAAACAACGCCACTAGTAGTTACAATATAGTCACAACAAACATCACAGAGAACAATCTTATCAATCTAGGTACCCCTTTCCAAGCTACGAAGCCCCAATCTCTTCAATCACACCCCGAAACTTCAATATGTAACGCTAATCAAAACCACCAATTTAGATCTTCAACTTCTCGAGCCAGACCACCCTAAGATCCACATTAAAAAGTACGAACGGATATCCCATCGCGGTGGTAACCAACAATATGATAGACTATTGGATCGTCCGCCCCTCAGTCAATGCAACACTACGGAGTACTATCCACCTCGTACTTTCGACGCCTGTAATTACATGTGATCGCCCCGTACTCCGTTCAGAGGAAGCCAAGTCCTGGGTTCGTGCACTCATTCCAATTTACTTTGTACGGAGTACTCCGTGTATATTAGGCTAATGTGCATTGATCGCCAAATCCCGAGCAAACTAAACAAATCCCTGAATACAGTGTTTAGTTAGATGCATGAACCATGTGCAGAATGAGACTTAAGAGCAATATCCAATGTAAACAGACACAATACCCCTGAACCGCGCATACCACCTCAGCCCTGTCCCTGTTTCATTTCAAAGACCATGACACATGCATCGGAATCCGGATTATATGCAGGAGATGGCTAGTCTTTCCACTTAGTGCCCACCTCTTGAGGTTAGCACTTGCTTGGTATCACCAATAGTTCGCAATCATTAATGCATTCCCATTAGAACATGTAGCTAAGCATCACCTGAATGGACAAATTTACATGACTACTGTGGTGATTCAATAACTAGTTACCCTGAGACAATATTCAAGATCAGCGACTAGTTTCACTTAAATCTCTCAATTGTCTTAGCAAGTTAGCAGCTAGTACCCACAAAAGATGACAGGGATCGCAGATTCACATGTCCATGTCCACCGGAATAAGCATATGAATTCGGTTCGGCTTCCGAGTGATCGGCGAATCCTTCGGCTCATTTTCGAGTAAGCTGAGACAGGAACCTTCGGAGATAAGAGATAGTACCGAGTATCCCAGACATAGTACAGCGTACGGGCATTTCTTATTCTTACGGTGGTCTAACATAGCGCTACTAAATCATTCTTGTATCATAGCCCAGGTCCACAGAGGACGGAAAGGGAAGCTCATGGCATTCATCAATCATAAGAAACAACAAGCATAAGACCAGTAGGCTAGAATCGATTAATAAATCAGAGATGATGCAAAATCCATAGAAAGAACATAATGTCTCAATGCAATAGTATGGAAAAGGGGGTACGGAGGGGGTATCACGAATTCGTCAGCCATGCTCAACGAACGCAACAGTATATCCGTTTCCCATGCTATTCCTGAACCGATCCCGTTGAAAATGCTGCACATAGAATAGATAGAGCAGAGCAGAGCAAGGACAGTGCATGTATACATCTACCTGCGTCGAGAGTGTCGCGAATCCCGCCGCCCAACAGGATCATCTTCCTCGTCCTCCTCCTCAACGGGCGCAGGCGTACGTCGCTCTGTGCGCCTCTTCGGCCGTCGCCGACGGTTAGAGCTAATATTACTAGCCGAGTCATCCGGTGCAAGAGAGCGCTCATCATCGAGAAAGTCGTCTTCGCCTCCGCTTTCCCACGTCCCGACGCCGGAAAACGGCGTGCCAAGACGCGCTTCCACGTAGGAGCCGCGGCGGCTCTGGTTTGCGACTGAGAGGCCGGCACCACGTTCGCGGAGCGCGCGTCGGACGGCCTCGGCCTTGCAGTGGAGGGCTTCGAAGGCATCTTCCAAAGCTTCCATTCCGAGGAAAATGTCGCGCTCGACTTCGGCTAACGCGGCGATTTCGGTTTCCTCGTCTAAGGCGATGGGCCCGCCGAATGAGGCGGGTGAGGAGGGGCCACCGGCTCCTTGGCTGGGGGGTCGGAAGCTGCCGTCTACGTAGCTCGGTGTTGGGCCGCGAGAGATACCGCCGCCCAACGGCGTGTTGGAGCGGCTGCCCCAGCGGGAGTTGGGCGTGGTGGTTGGGCCGGTGTCTTCTGCGCCGCTGCGGAGGAAGCCGTCGAAGCGGCCGGAGATGAGGATTTCCCATTCATCGTCGCTGATGGCAGAAAGAGTGGCGAGGACATGGTGGAGAGTGGGGTTGTTCAACATGTACATGGCAGTTTCTGGGTCTCGAGGGAGGGAGGGAAGTCGGTAGAGACGCTGGATGGCAGAGGCGGAGGACACAAGCGCAGAGGGTTTCGGTCGGGGCTTCTCGTCGCCAGCTCGCGGGACAGGAGTGGCTGAATTGATGCCGAGTAAGGAGCAGAACAAGGAGCGTTGGTGGGGTTGGAGATGCGTCAGCATGGCGAAGGTCAACGTTTCATCGTCAACCTCGTTGGGAGCGCTGGTCCCCGGGTCGTTTTGCTCACTCAGCCATTTGTCGACCGCGACCTTCGTCTTACGCGACTGCCGGATGAAGTGGTCGCGGTACTCTTCAGGAACGTCGACGTCCAGTTTCTGCATTGGAATATGCTCATCGCCTGGCGCACCGGTGTCCACACTGGTTGGCGCCATCGTGAAGGGCGGCCACATGGGAAGTTCCCGGCGGCCGGACACGAGCTCCAAAACCTCGCCCCAGCTCACGCCGTCCGGCCGCTCGTCGGAGTCCGCTTGTTCGCATATTTGGCAACTGCAGGGCTCGGAGGAGATATCGCGCGCGAATACAGCCTCCAGACGATCTAATAAACGTCGTGCGACGGACCGGTAACCTGTCGCAACCGCAAGCGACCCATTTTTGTTCATGACCTTCTGGTAATCGTCCAACAACCGGTTATATGGATCGAAGATCTTGCTTGCGACAGCCCGGGACTGCGACTGTCCCTGCGAGAATGGATCCGTTTGACCGAGGCCAGCCAGCAGCGCCCTCGACACCTTGTGATCCAGACCACCGTTTTTCAGCAAGTAATCGACTCGAGGGATCGTGGCGGGCATTTCGGGCGGAGGTGGAGGCGGCGGGGGTGCGCCAAATGCATGTGGGTTTGCTGGTTTGATGAAATCGATGGACTCGTCGCTGGCAGTGCGTCGATGGGACATGGCGGATCGGTTCTGAGTACGTGATGGAGGCTTCGTAGGCGGGGTCATGGGTTTCCGTGGGTGCTGTTGGTTGGGCGCGATAGATGTCGCGTCGGACCCGTTCACTGACTCAACGGCATCACGCATCGTAATGTTCGACGGTGAAGCAGTCATCGTCGAGCGACTGGACCGTTTGGGGATTTTCTTGTCCTCGGAAACCTTCGGCTTGGATTTCGAGCTCGACGACCGGGTAGGTTCGCTCTCATCCTTGGGGGTTTTAGATTTCGTAGGGGTCTCTGTTCGCGAGGTCTTGCTACTGGACTTGGATTTGGTGCCGTCATCCCGTTTCGACCGTAAACTCGACGAGGACCTGTTGACTTCCGCTCTAATCTTGATGTTTGTTTTCCTCTTTGGTTTTTCTTCCTTCTCGTCCTCAACGACACTCCCCTTTCTCGAGGACTCATGGTCAAGACCAGTCAGAGGCGGACTGGGAGGCGCATGGTGGTTCTCCGTCCGGTGGTGGCTGGTACCATTTGTTTTCCCATTTGTTTTCCCATCTTCGAGTTCCGTCAAATCGGTCGGGTCCGGTGTGGGGATATTTGTCTTCCGAACGTCCTCCTTGCTATGAGCCTTTGAGAAACCGGGATATGGTAGACTGGTCCTAGATTCGAGGAACGAGGCAGTCCCCGACCGACTGTCGAGTCCTGGCATGGAGGATCTGCGTAGAGAGGAAGTTGGCGAGGTACCGGGAGGAGATTCACGATCCTTGGTTGACGGGCGGGTCTGTGGCTTTTTGGTTGAAGTCTGGGGAGTCTTCGCCTTCTTCCTATCGTCTCGGTTAGGTCTCACGGGGAACATGGCGAACTTCCGTTCGTAAACTTCGAGACCGGCTTCGAGTTTCTCAGCTCATCGGTTTACCTCGTTATGGTCGTGTCGCACCGCCACTGAGGGGAATGTCCTATTTTTGTCTCTCCAATGCTCTTCTGGTCGGCGCTTAAATCGCGTATCGTGTTGGTCGCTTAATCAGGTGAAACCTGGCATTCCGCGGAGTGCTCAGTCCTCGAATGTAAGAAAAAGAAAGAAACAATAAGCGCATTCAGGTACAAGCGCATGAGATCGGTGAAGTGGGAAGAAATGCATTATGCGGTGAACAAGTCTCGGCCCCCGCCTCTTCTAACTGACGTGGTTTTTGCTGCCTGACTACTCCGTACCCTGACATCAGATGCCCAGATTTCTCCAGATTCTCCAGAAAGTTCAGCTAAACGGCCTGAGGCAGGTATATAAAAAGTTTCAACGGTATTATAGACAGTAGTAATAGTAAATAGTTGAATGTTTGAATGTACATTGGTCTGATAGATCGTAGTAGATCGTCACATGAAGAATCTCGTTATTTGGCTCACATCGATCAATCCGCATGCAAGCCATTCCCAGCCTTTATTGGAGATGTCTCGAGCACCCAATTCCCTTCTTCCTCACGAGCAACCCCGCCATATTGCGCAGCTCTCATCGTCTTGTCACTCGCAGCCGTCAAATCACCCGTGTTGTAATCCCAAACCCATCCCTCCTTGAGCCACATCCAAGTAAGATAGGCGCGTAACTCCTTGTCCTGTGGCAGAACACATTTCCATTCCGGCACAAACCCCACCTCGGTGGCATTCGTCCCTTTCCAGTCAGAGGCCTTGCCGCGCAACTCATCACGACAGAAGATTCGCCAGCTATCAAGGGAATAGGCTCCAATGCCCCGGAGATGTGCGATCTCCCAACCGACACGCAGGTCTTCTTCGTCAATACATTCTTCGCGACCAACGTTTCGGCCGTCCAGCTTTTGCGGGTAGTGGAGCTTGCGGTATCTTTTGCGTTTATCCGGGGGGTTGGACAACCAGGTTTTGGCGAGTGTGATGCATTTCCTTGCGCGTTGATTTTGAAATCCCAGACAGTTGATCATCGATACCAATTCCGAAGATTCTGCTTCTGCCATCGCCTCGATTGTGGGGTATCGTTCAAAGACTTTGAACAAGACAGGTAGGGCGACTCCACCCCGGGTACGATTGAGAAAGATGGTTGCAATGAGTAAACGAAAGGGGTCATGCGCAAGCTGTTCCTGGATAAGTCCAAAAGAAGGTGCGTCGATTGGGGGGAATGGAAGACAAGATTCAGGGTCGACTTGCACACGTGGAAAGTAAGGAGAAAGCTTCGGGGCTCTGATCTGTGGAGTCTTGATTGGTTCTGGAACAAGGAAAGAGACGTTTTTAACAGGGGTCTGGGGGTTGATATCTGGAGATTCGGACACATGACGGGGGCTTTTGGGCGGCGACAACTTGACATGAGGATTGGAAGAGTGATCAGATAGATCTTCCCAATCGGAATCACAATCACTCGCATCAGTTAGGGAAGAATCCGAAGACAAGAACTCCGGGGGCAAATTCATCTCTTTTAATAGCTCTTGGGTTTCAAGGGGGAGCGATGTAGCATGTAGTGAAGACAACATCCTCTGCCTTTTCCTTGGCCGAACGACTTCGGTTTTGTGAACTCCCAGAAAATACTTTGACTGAACCTCATCACTTGAACTCATATCTGGCAAATCATTGGTCTTCAAAAATCCAGGTCCCGTAGCGATGCCTCGGCAGGAAACGAGAGCTGAAGGGAGGTCCGCCGGCCACTATCATTAAGCCTCTGTGGGTTTTCTGGAGATTTTGGTGGAGTAGAAGGCACGACGTGTTCTTCTGTGTCGACGGACTCCTCTTGTCGACCTGTCTGTACACCTAAGCTGACGCGCTTTTTGCGCTCCTTTCTGCGTTCGCGTTTGCGCTTGTTCTTCTCTTTTCGCGACTCATTGATCGACGCACGGCGTTTCGATCGCTTTTGCTCATGTGATACTGCTTGCTCAGAATTCGAAGTTGACGGAGCATCAACCGAACCTGCTTCAGCTGACACGTCAAGGGGAGTATTTCCCTGTTCATGTGATGCTGCTTTCTCAGAGATCGAAACTGGCGGAGCATCAACTGAGCCTGCTTCAGTTGAATAGTCAAGTGGAGTATATCCCTGTTCATGTGATGCTGCTTTCTCAGAAATCAAAGCTGGCGGAATATCAGTCGAACCTGCTTCGGCTGCCAAAATCCCTACCGGGACAAGCTCCTGATCAGTTCTCAAAGGATCAAGCTTATCCTGCGGAGACTCAGCAATCACCTCCTCAGGGGGCGGAGATTGGGTCAAGTCAACAATCAAGGATGATGTACTGGGGCTGCCCGGCGTAGCCTTGGTAGACATATTCGGAATATCGAATGTGTCGTCCTGCTCATGCATCGGCTCATCTACCGGAGCCAAAACCTCGGCCTTGCCTTCGGCTGGGACCTCTGCTGGAACCTCTGCTGGAACCTCTGCTGGAACCTCTGCTGGAACCTCTGCTGGAACCTCTGCTGGAACCTCTGCTGGAACCTCTGCTGGAACCTCTGCTGGAACCTCTGCTGGAACCTCTGCTGGAACCTCTGCTGGAACCTCTGCTGGAACCTCTGCTGGAACCTCTGCTGGAACCTCTGCTGGAACCTCTGCTGGAACCTCTGCTGGAACCTCTGCTGGAACCTCTGCTGGAACCTCCGCTGGAACCTCTGCTGGAACCTCCGCTGGAACCTCTGCTGGAACCTCCGCTGGAACCTCCGCTGGGACCTCCGCTGAGACCTCTGTTGGGACCGGTGCTTCCACAGCCACGGCCAGCTCATCATGCGGAACACCATCATGACTGTGACGTCTGTGCTTATCCTTCTGACTCTTCTTGTTTTTCTTGATTTCCTTGTCCTCCGGGTGATCCAAGCTGCTCCTGGTCCGTTTGCGTTTCGAGCTCTTGGGGCGTGAACCTTCCTCGCCATGGACTTCATCCCCAAACGCTGAGCCGGCATCTTCGGATACTGGAATCCCCCGGTCTTCAAGATAAGTCTTTCGAACAAGTTGGATCAATGCATCAATGCCCGCCTCGTCTAGCCCGGCTTTCGCAGCGATCTCGCGGACTTGGCCGGTGAATTTTAGCCTGGCTGAACGTCGGACGGGTTGGGATTGACTCGTCATGAACGAATGTGATGCAATAAACTGCAGTACTTCAATCTGCTTTTCTGGATCTACAGAGGCGAAAATCATGTCTTCAGTCGTGCCTTCGTTCTCAACAACCACCTTTTCGTCAGAATTGGTGTTGTCGATAGGTGCAGCAGGTTTATCGCCCGGCTCAATCTCGATAGCTTCCTCGGAATGAGTTTGCGGAAGATCGTCATCATCGGTATTGAGATCATCCACCGTGACGTTTTTCCTGATCCTAGAGGACGACTTCAACTTCCGTTGTCTCGCCTCCGCAGGTGTAGTGGCCGATGGGGTGGAAAAATGCGGCGACTTGGTCACTTTGCTACGACGATCATCACTTATGGGGTCTGACGCGCCGTCATTTCCATATGAACTCGAGATGCCGGTATTGTCCGCCATTTTGTCCGTCGTTTCATCATGCGATTCTTCGATGCTCACTTCCTCAGAGAGGATGGAATCAACAGTACGGTCGAAGAACCCTTCGTCGAAGTTCCTGAGGGGATCTATGTCGAAGGAAGGAAGGGGAACAACGACAGCGACGTTGCTAAGGCGAGCCATTGTGGTTCAACGGCAATAGTGGATGGTAGATGGTGGGTTCTTCAAGGTAAGAAGTTGGAGAAGGTTCGTAGGGTCCGTAGACATATCGTGGTGTTTGTTTAGGGGGGCATGGACTACTGAGCAAACGTTCTGGTCAGCAGGAGATAAAGCAATCGACGAACCGGAGACGGTACCTTTGAATCTCGAGTACAAGGCCAAAGGCCTGGGGTTCCCTGGTGTTCTGATATGTTGCAAGGATGTGATCTGTCCGACGCGGTGAGTCGATCCACGCTTAACTATGACGGTGCAACGCGACGACGTGTCCGTGGGATTGGTACTTTGTTCTTCAACAAGAGACAACTTTACACCACCAATTATTCACCGTACTTCACGTCGGTCTTGGCTTCCAGAAATAAAGAACTCATGGACCGAGGTCCCTACTGTGGTAGATCGAAAAGAGCAAGACAATCTCGAAAGCACGGACCGCCTCCGATAAGGACACGCCAATCTACGCGTTGACGCGCTCAAATGATCTGCAACATTTGACAGTGTTCAACAATTACAGCAATCACTCGAACTCTTCCTTGTGTATTGTGATGAATATGTACTTGTATGTCTAGCATATTATTTACTTCGACCAAATATCCCACTCTATACAGAATATCCAGCCGAATTGGCCTGTCTCGGCTCACCAGCAGCGTCAAATGTCCCATTGGGCAAGATCCGAATGAGATGCGCAGTGCTCTGTCCTGGAGCGATCCATGTAACATTGTGGCCGCGTGCCTTCATAGAGGCAACCGTCGCATTGTCAAAAGCATACTCGAAAGTGACCTGGTTCGGTACCAGCTGGTCATGTAAACGGGGTTCAGCCAAAGCCTTGGCAGCCGAGAAGCCCTGGTCAAGGGAATGGATGATGTTCTGGACGGTGGCGGTGATGATACGACTGCCTCCAGCGGAACCTGCAAGGAGGAAGAGTTTTCCGTCGGGACGTTCCACTATGGCGGGCGTGATGGAGGATAGAGGCCGTTTTCCTGGCCGAACGTAGTTGGCGACAGAGGGAATGTATCCGAATGAGTTTGACGAACCGGGGATGGAGAAATCTGCGAGACTCTCAGTCAATTTGGACCTTCAAGCGGGGTTCCGCTACATACCGTTCATCTCGTTGTTCATGATGATACCAGTCTCTGGGACCATGACCTGGCTACCGAACAACAGGTTGATCGTAGTGATAACTGAGATAGCAAGGCCTGTGTGATCGGCTGCGGCAATATGAGAAGTGCCAGGGCTGCGATATACAAAGTCAGCCCAGTTCCAGGGAAACCATGCAATAAGAACTTACGTGTCTAGACTCTCCAGTCCAGCCGGATCATAGGCAGATACATTCTGAGTCCGCGCATCGGAAATCTTGGACCGAATCTCATCAATAGTAGCCTGCTCCAACATTTGCTTCTCATACTCGGCCACGCCATCAACGAACATGGGATCTCCCAAATTGGATCTCTACTTCTGTGTAAGCACTCGGTAACCCAGTGAAAAGCGAACCTATTCCAACCCACCTGACCATATCCAAATCGCATGGCTTCGTCCATCCTGTGTGTACTCAAGTTCACGGATTCCTTGGTCGAAAAGAATCCCTTATATGTCGCAAGAATCTTCAAGATACTCATAGCGACAACTCCACTGGAAGGGGCGGACGTGCTCGTAACCTTGTAGCCGCGATAGTCAATCTGCGAAATATCCCGAATAGCCACCGTGTAGTTGCTAAGATCCCGGAGGGTCATTGTACCATTCTCGGCCTGCAACGCATTGATCATGGTCTCTGCAATTGGTCCCGAGTAGAACGCTTCCGCGCCATGCTTTGCAATCGCCGCCAGAGTGTCCGCGTACCGGCGTCGAGTGATGGTATCTCCCAACCCGAGACGAGTTCCGTTCGGAGCAAAGTCAATTGCCCATGTAGGGTTCTTGGAAAGGAAGTCTTCTCCGTCGCCAACGGCCTGTTTCATATATTTAACCAGATCTTCTGTCACTGGGAAGCCGTCATGAGCGGTGCGGATAGCCGGCTCAATGAGAGTTGCCCATGGAAGAGAGCCATATTTTTTATGCAGGTGCTCCAGACCTCGCACTTCGCCCGGTACGCCACTAGTCTCCTTTTTAGCGCGGCTCTGGCCTCCAGGGGTAGATTCTTCCTTACCTTGCCAGTCCGCCATAAATGGAAGCATCCTCGTTGTTCTTGTACATATCCTCGAAAGCTGCAGCTGGAGCCGTCTCGCGGAAATCAATGAACTCGTAGCTGCCATTCGCTGATCTCACAAGCATGAAACCACCGCCGCCAATTCCGCTGTGATACATTCCTGATATTCATTAGTTTCTCCAAAATACTAGTGTATTGCACGTAGTGAACAGTAGCCTCACCAACGACGCCAATACAGAATTGAGTTGCAATCAACTGTCCAATAGTGTCAGTCCTCACACCCCTATTTCGCATTCCCTAACCTAAACAGATATACTCACAGCATCAGCGGCGTTTCCACCCTTCTTCAAGATATCCGACCCATGACGGGAGCAAATCGAACTTTCGCTAGCAACAGCTCCCAGTTTTCCAGAGTCAATTTGACCAAGATGCAGTCCAAGGTCGGCATTCGGGTCTCGCTCGGACAATTTCGGCTCCAAGGGCGATGTATTTGCGCTGGGAAGATGGGTAAGTACCAAGAACAGCGACAAGATAGCCAAAAATCCTAATCTCATCGGTCGTAACATGTTGACTAGATCCTCCCACCAAGTTGTCTGTGGTAGGGTATGTGTCGCAAGAGTCGTTTCTGGCGAAGAGGAGGTTGGCAAGGCCAAAGGGGCCTATGGCACCATCGGGGTATTAATATTGTCAATCACTCCGGGACACCAATCGTCTAAACAGGGAATTGGTTTACGTCTTTTACCTGCTTCTCCACATCTCGGCCATTGATCTGGCAGGGTTGTTGCATGTTACGGTTGGAGGGCATCCACGTTATCGGACGGATTGGTATAGGATCGACAGCCTCCAGATTGCGGAATGCAACCGTTGAACCGGCCTGGAGGGATGGGGATAAGGGATCCAGCAGGACTTTAAAGGTCGGCACCGCTGTTAAATGTAGCGGTGTATCTCACATGTACTGTGTACAACAAAATCATAGATTCGTATTATTCATCACAGGGATGTGCCACGCGGACATGGTACTCAGGTGACCCCGCAGATAAGAAGCTTTTGGCTTCCCCGAAATCCTCAAAGCCGAGTTGGGGTCGGTTCCGAGGCTCTCAGGGGTCCAAGTGCGCCTTATCAGTTTCCCTTTGATGTGATTGATCGAATAGACTGGGGCATTTCCCATTTACTTATTTAGATAGTACCCTGACTACCCTCCCGGGCGTCATTCTTCAACCAGTTGCTCCAAAACATCTGAAGGATTGGGGGTATCAACTTTGCACTCTAATGGTCTAATCTTCGCTTTCCGCTGCGCGTCTAATCCAAGAGGTTGTCTCTACCCACTCCTGCGGAATCTCGTCCAGCGGTTCCAGTGTGGCTAATACTAGCCGACGTCCCCAGTCGCGCACATACCATCGCTGGCACAGAAGCCGCATGGCAATGCCATAATGCAGAAATAGAACGCGGGCAACCCAGTCGCCATCTTGAAGTAAGGAGAGGAACTTCGCATCGAGGTGCAAAGGCCATGCGATAGGACCGCCGTGGAGCCCAAATTTTGGCCACGGCTCGATTGCCTGGTGCAGTTGCTGCCATGTCATTTGGTAGATCGGTTGGTTTGGTCCTTCATGTGTGTGAATAAATGAACTCAGTCGATCCAGCGACGTGAGAATGTTTCTGCCTTGATGATCAGTCTCGCAAACGCTATAAGATCCGTCCCTAATTCACCGGAACATACTCATGAAGACGAAAGAGAATTTGTGGGCTTTCAACGGGCGTACCGCGGCTGTGTCGTGTTATCATAGTGTTCACGAATCAGGGGGGAAGAATTCCATACTGTTTATGTTCCCCAACCTCCAGGCTTTCCTCGGTGTCAGGAACACACAACCAACCATTCAGCTGTGCATAGGCTCCGGCTTCATTTATTCGGGAGAAAAGCATAGCGGGGCCGGACATCAATGTGCGAACTTCGAGTACCACCGAAAGCGGATCCATCGGTCGATTATCGAGCGATAGCACCCGAACACCCATGGCAAAGAGCATTATGAAAATTGAGGCGACAAAGGCTGGTTCATATTCTGGAGGTGAGATGTTTGCTAGAACTTTGCTCAATCCAGAACAGGCCTGACTCTGGTATTTCACTGCAGAATCAATCCAGGAAGCCCGATCGTCGGTCTCTAGCGAAGCTAGATGTAAGGCTGATAGTGCGTGGATGCTGTCGAGCAGGTAGGGACATTCTGAGGCCATGCGAGGAATAATCATGGAGAGATGGTGCGCAGAGAGTCCGTCTTGCGACAGAGTGTGATATGTCGAAGTCATCCACTGGTGGAGTAATCTCGTCTCAAGCAAGCGTACCGTCTGTGGATCTACTGTCGGAATCACGGTGCCGCTTTCCGTCTCATCCTGGCCAGTGGATGATGCCATTGGGCTGGTATCCTCATCTTCATTTGGTGGAGGATAATTGCAGTCCAATTTTCGTTTCTTGCACAGACTGCATTTTGGAACACCTTCGTCACACTAGGGGTTGCGTCAGAACTTATGTCTGGATGATTGGAAACTTCAATTCTGAGAAGGCTCTCAGCCTCTCTCAACCAGGGCAATATCCCATGCACGATGACAGCACGCGCTCACTAACCTTGACATGTCTCCTTTTACACTCCAAGCACCCCTTCCTAGATTTTGTATGGCTGCGACGCGATGGCATTGATGGCTACTGCCATTCAGGAACATGAATCACGATAACTCGAATATAGCAAGAAAACTGAAAAACAAAAAGAGAAGCACAAGCAGCCCCATCTCATATCTCGGACAAACTAGATCCGTGATCCGACCTCGGTCCTTTCTGGGGGATCTGCACATGACACACCGTGATTGGGCAGCCACCGGCTTTTGCATCTCATGTCTCACGTGATTGGCACGTTAGATCTGTGAACCCCTCGACCCGGGGCCCCGGGGGAAACAGAAGAGCAAGGGAAAATAAAATCACGATCAGAGACTGCCTCGGTAGTCTGTAGGCCTTCGACCGGGGTCCGTTGTCGACTTATCATCGTCAGGGTGGAGACCGTGTCTGAGCGTTTCCTGACACGGAACATGATCGACATGAGAAGGGACAATCACGAGATTCTCGGAATGCTAGGATTTTCGAAGAATAAAGCAGGCGATATGAACTCTGATGGAGTACTCAAGTACATAGAATATCGACTAACCTAGTACTTAAGAATGGATATATCAGATCCCACCTGGGCAACTTTGGGGGTGTAGACACAATCTAGTGCGCAGGTGTAAAAGATAAGCTTCCTATCCTGAGCCATCTCTAACATGACTCGGGTAATGAATCAAGACCCGCCCACAATGACTCAGTGACTTTCTATGACAATCTGGAGACTGGATCTTCTTTACTGCGTAAATAGTCCGTGAGGCTTCTCTTATATCGACAAAGCGTTGTTGATTCTAATCTTCATTTGCGTTTCGAGGCCCGTAGATCCCAAACACTCGGTGGGCTATGACCTATCTATCAATGAACACATCTAGCATACCTATACCGCCATAACAAAGCAGCCAATACACAGCAGATATTGAAGCAGCTATCCCTACTCGTCCATGATCTGCTTAGACAAGGATGTTTCGAGGTACTCCGCACATATGCCTATCATGTGGCTTCCGTTCTTTGCTCTCCCCTTCTCCCAGCACCGTCTTTTCTGCCTCACTCCCTCCCCCGAACAAGCTCAAGAGTCAACAGTCGCCCAGTCTCTCTCCTCGTTGTACGAAGTACTCTTCGTACTCTTTGACCTTTGTATTGGCTCTGGTAGATACACAGTGAACCAACCAGTCAAGGAACAGACTAGTGACTAGTCTCCGCTGTCAGCCACGGGGTAGATCCACCAAATCTTGGCTTAATGTGAATCTGAGCTAAGCTGATTACCGTCAAGGCAGTGAGTACAGACTCCAAGCCAGTCCCGAAAGTAAGCAAATAATAACTAAATTAACTAGTTACCTCGTAACTATAACTAACTAACTGATAAAAGTGATAGACAAGACTCAACCTGGGCCTGCGGCCCTCCATTCGTTCCACTCATAGAAATTCCCTTGCAATCAATTCCTTCAAGTTGCTTCCCTCGAGTTCAGGCAACTCGCCGATCCGAAAATTGTTGAGGGCAGTTGTGGACTCTCCAAATAATGCAACTAACTCTAAGTGGTTCGGAGAGAAGAGGTCGACCATCACTGCACCAGTGCAACCATACGAATGTTCCTGCCCTGGTGAACTTGTCTGCGTAGTTCCCCTTCTGTTATTGCCCCAATCACTATCTATAGATGTTCCTGCCCTAGATCCGCGGACGCCGTAGGTTGTTTCCTGTTTCCTTGCCCTAACTACTTCGTTACCATGGCTATCCTCACACCTTCTATAGCTTCATCATTACGCAACCATGTACACAGTAGATGTTCCTGCCCTGGGGTGGTCGTAGTTTCCTTGCCCTAATCACTCCTTCGTGGCGTTCCCATGGCCACCCTCACATCTAACTACGTTGTACCTGTGGCTTAACCATTACCTAACCATGTAGATGTTCCTTCCCTGACGAAGTCGTAGTTTCCTTGCCCTAATCACTCCTCCATGGCGGTTTCATGGCCACCCTCACACCTACCTACTTCGTATAGCTTGATGTTTACACAATCAATGTATAGATGTTCCTGCCTGAAGACAACGTGATTTCATGTTCTCTGGCCCTAACTACTTTGCCCAACCATGTAGCTGTTTCTGCCAAGGTGAAGACTCCTCTGTTTCTTGCCCTAGCTCCTCGGTTCTCTATGGCGCTTTTTTTTACATGGGCACCCTCATATCTAACTACCTTGTAGTTTCATGTTTACTTATTATTATTATAGTCTTACTCTGAATAGGCGGCTGGCCGGTTTCATGTTTACTTAATATAGATGTTCCAATCCATATCTGATGGTTCCTGCCCAGGCGAAGTCGTAGTTACCTTGCCCTAACCACTTGTCCATGGCGGTTCCATGGCCACCACCACACCTACCTTGGTAGTACTTCAGTTCGTTGTCACTTCCTGTTTACTTGCTCGTTGCCATGGACTGTCCCAAGCAATACTTATTCCCGCCCTTTCGTCTGAATCTCTGCTTTCTTTTCTCCTTTCTCCTCTCCCCACTGCCACTGGCTATTTTCATTTGCACTGCAATTGATTATCACGTTCACGATGAACTCCTCTTTTCCTCCCGTTTTTCCTCCCCCCCGTCTCTCTTCCTCCCCCCGTCGTTCCTCCCCTCTTCTCTCTTCCTCCCCCCGTCTCTCTTCCTCCCTCCGTCTCTCTTCCGCCCGCCGCCTCTCTTCCTCCCGTTTTTCCTCCCCCCGTCTCTCTTCCTCCCCCTCTTCTTTCGTCCGCCCCCCTCCCCTGAAGTCTTGTCTGATCCGCGTGGATGAGGACCTGGAGGAGCTCCCATCTGACGAGCCCTTCGTCCGGAAGTCTGTGCACTTCCCGAATGATGCGGACCTCGAGCAGGTGAGACCCATTCCAGCCAGGGATGTCTCTCCACCTTGTTCGAGTGAGGTCACCTCGCTCGACAAGGCGGAGGCTGAAGACATCGGCGCATTCGACATGAGTGCGCTCCTGGAAGTCTTGTCAGAACTCGATGGATCGACCGATACGCCGCCCCCAACGCCCGTCCACAAGCCCTTGGAAGTGCCAGTCACATTCAATCCTCCACCAGAGGATGGAGGTTCACGCGTGGTCGTCCAGACACGCGGCCAGGTTGGGCCACAGGCCCACTCCTGGATCAACCACCTCTGCTGGGGGTTGTTTGTACTGGCATTCATCGTACCAAGGCTTGCGCCAGCCTTGCTCGCCGGACTCGCGTTCCTCTTTATTGTTGGGGCATGTACCAGATCCTGATGGGTCGGCACACCATCCACAGAGGTAAGTCAAGACTTCATTCTTCTCTTCTCTTTTGTTCCTGTTTTGTTTTGTTCTTGTCCCGAGGCTTTTGCCGTTTGCTTTTCCTCGAAAACTCACAAAACCCCAAAAAAATCTCATTTCGTGCTTGTTGTCGTTGCGTTTCGTTCTTGATCCGAGGCTTTTGCCGTTTGCTTTGCGTTTTGCCGTTTAGTTTTACCCTTTAGTTTTACCCTTCAATATACTTACCCTTTACTTTTATCCTTTACTTTTACCCTTTACCCTTTCTCTTCTCTAGGTATAGGCCGAAGGCGAGCGTTTCTGTCTGTGATCGTGCGGAAGGCAGCAGAACGCGTGGTGGCCTGATTGTGTGGCGACGGGGGTAAGTCTCCCCTTGGACTCGAATGCTTCTGTGAGCTGACTGGAATGAACTACAGGTGGCTGGTGGGTGTCGCCGCCGCGGGTCGTACCGATCGAACGTCTCTGTCTGTGAACATGCGGAAGGCAACAGAGCGTGGGGAGGCTCAATTGGATGGCCACGGGGGTACGCATCTTTCCTACATCTGATGCCTCTGTGCGCTGACATGAGAATCAATCGTAGGTGGCTGGTGGGCATTGTCGCCGCGACTCCGGTCGGTCAAATGTCTCTGTCTGTGAACGCGCGGAAGGCAGCAGGACATGTGGTGGCTCAATTGGTTGACGACGGGGGTAAGTATCTTTCCTATATCTGTGAGCTGACATGAGAATCCATCATAGGTGACCGGTAGGTACCGTCGCAACAACTCGAATCGCTCGGATGTCTCTGTTTGTGAACGTGCGGAAGGCAGACAGAGTCGTGTGGTGTTTCCCCCAACCATGTGAGTATGACTCTGTTCCTCTGTACATCACTTTGGCATGCTGACCACGCAAATTTACGGCGCAGATACGTTCGCTCCATAGAGTGCGAGGGAGATGGAGCAGAGAGGGTGAGACTGAGCTGAAGGAGGTGGTCGTATCTGTGCTTCAACATGTACGACAGAAATGGAAAACTCCTTTCCGATGTGTCGAGTAATCGTCTCTCACTGTAAATAACTGTCTTATATTAGAGTAGTGTACAGACAGTACAGTGCCTCCCTAAACAAAATACCAACAACAGTATTCTGTCCAGTTAGCTGGCTCTCCGTCAACTGGCAAACCTCCAACCAACTGGCGAACTTTCCGCCAACTGGCAAGACTCTATCCCTACGAACTGCCCTGATAATCCAACTGCGACACGGTAAGGCTAGCCACAGAATGCTCGTATTTAATTTGTGTAGTGGCCGGACGACAGCTTATTATATGGGATAAACCGCCGGAGACATTTATCGAGCTTCCATAAAAGAACAGGGCAGGATACGTGAGTCTCGTGTCTCGACTTGCCCTAAAAGGGCCCTTAAAAATGCTTCATCACTGATACTTCTTATTCAAAGGACTATGGCGCTATAATATCATATGTACGAATTAATCCGCAAATGCAATCCCCAACTCTCACCACTTAACGCTGAACAACCTCAAAACTCAACCTGGAATCTCGGATTCGTCCGTATCCGCTCACCATACACCCAAAAGATCACAGGCAGCGCGCACAACGCCAAGGCAATAAACCCAAGCAGTGAATTTCCCCATCCAAGCCCTAGAGTCTCATACATCTTCGGACCCGCAAGCGGAAGCATCGCACCGGCAAGGGAGCGGAATACTGTGTTGGCAGCCATAGCCGAAGCAGCGTAGACTGTAAATGCGTCGACGAGGTATGTGCTTACGGCCATCTACATGAACACTATTATCAGTCGGAGTCATATAGAGGGTTGGAGATGGAAGATCGCTACGAAAAAAAAGCCACTTACAAAAGAAATCATCATGCCGACACCCAAAAGCGACGTCCCGATGATAGGTACTATCCAGTGCACTTTGTAATATGCGCTCCAGCCGTACATGAACAGTGAGGCGGGGATGAATAGCGAGCCCGGGATCAGCGGGGGAAGACGGTATTCGGGCTTTTTCTCGCCGCTTCTGGCGGAGAGGTGCACTATTAATTTGTCGGATGTTGTGCCCAGCATAAATAGGCCGACGAAGGATCCGATGCCAATGCCGAGGTAGGAGAGGCCGACTGTGCCTTCGGAGAAACCGTATTCTTGCTCGAAGACGACGGTGATGGTCGTGAAGAGGAGGTAGAGATATCCGTAGATTACGCCGACGTAGAGGGAGAGGAGGAAGACGATGGGGGAGAGGAAGAGCATTTTTGTTGGGCGAACGATGGAGAACATGAAGAGGTCTTTGGGTGTGCGGCCTGTGTCGAGGGCGGAGCGTAGGTTCATATTTCCGGTTTCTTTTTGGAGTTTCTTGGTCTTCCGGGCTAGTAGGGTTGGGGCGTAGGATTCACGGATCGTGAGGATTGAGCTTACAGCGACGGCAGCACTCTGTTTGTGATTTGTTAGATTGATTCAGGCGTGGGGACTGCAGTATTGACTTACTGCCATCGCCAGTACATAGAACGTCCATCTCCAGCCCTTTGCTTGTGCTAGGTATGCGCCAGCTTCGATGGGATTAGCCCTGATAAATGCAAGATAGGAAGGATATGAACTTACCAATGGGACCAACTACAGGCCCAATCATAGGCCCAACCGCCCAAGCCGCCATGGCAGCGCCTCTCTTCTCTTGTGCAAACATATCGGCAATTGACCCGGCACCGATAGTCAGCGGACAACTACCGGCAAAGCCAGCGAGGAATCGAAAGACAACTAGACTGCCCATCTCGGGTGCAACGGCGCAGCAGATCGTCCACACAACGTAGAGAATATTGCACGAATTGTATATCCATTGTCGACCGTATATCTCTGATAACGGTGCAATAAGCAGAGGACCGAAACAGTATCCCAACAGGTATACCGAGACCACGAAAGCCGAGAGCTCAATGTTGGTGACCTCAAAATCCCGGAGTAAAGCAGGTACGCCCGGGGCGAACATGGATGATCCCAGGGGACTATGTTTGGGTTGGCAATGTTAGTTTGGTTCGATTCAAGAAGATTGGAGATGACCGTGCGTACGTCAGGAAAGTGATTAAGGCAATGGAGCATGTTGCTCCGACTTTCCGCTTTGTTGACCAGTTCAGGGGATTCTCGGGGTCATCTGGACCATCCCAATCGACGATGTTCGGGTCGGTTTCTTTTTCTTCTTTCTCAGCGTCTGTGTTCTGGGCCGGGCCTTTTTCGAGATCGGTGCTTTGGGCTACATTGTCGACCACTATTGATTTTTCGGAATCGATCTGAGTTATTTCGTGATTACTCGCCGTCGGAGTAGATCCGTTGACGGACGGAGTACCTGCATCAATCGTCTTAGATATATGCTCTTTCTTTGTTTTTGCTGATGCTATATGGGAGTGGGGCAGTTCCAGTAGGAAATAGGAGAGATGGAACTAACCTTCGCCGTCATTCATTTTGGATGAATCTCCGGATCTTTGAATATAAGCAGGAGATCGTTGGCAACGGCACTCTTCCTTCCGAAGCACTTCCTGTTCGGTCTCTTTTCTGTCTCGGCAATGTATACAGCCCGTCCAGGTCTCAGAAGGCGGGCAAGTGCTCCTGGGCTGTGGACTATTCTGCGAGTCACAGAAGTCAGGTGGAAGGAGCAAATCCGTGAAAGAAAAGAGAGCAGAAGAAGAACAAAGGAGGTCAAAACCTCCGAGCAGACAGTTTTATTAGGACCTCGCGCTAACTTCGGTGCGGTTTGAACCCGGCTATTGCATAAAATCACCCCCCATTTACCCCCCAGTCACCACCATCTTATATTAGATATCCCATCCATTCTAGAATTCTCATTGGGTGAGATTCCAGCCTCTTGGAAGTCACGCTGCACATTGCATATTGGATCTTATGAAACGTGGATTAATATGCACAATCCCGGCCAGATCGGTCGGCAAGCGGTGATATCGAAAGAGTCGGACATCGGACTCGATTCCGCCGAGAGGCCTAAGCTGTAGAGAAGATTGACATATCCGTTGTATTTGTTCCTATTGTCAATGATTTGGCCTCGTCAATTGTATGGCCTCCACTGTTCTTCTCTTTTTCCCCGCGCTTCAAGATGGGGAATAAACATTACCCCCGCAAAAGGGTTGGACGTTCCCCCACAACTTGGCTCCACCTCAAGGAGTCAGGGAGAAATACTCCGTACATAACTTTATGCATCCGGACATAAACCCGGTAGATTTCTTGGCTTTGTTATAAAATCTGATTGAGGTGCAATGATTGGTGGGGTGGTTGGCGAGTTCGGCACAGAAATGCCGAGATCATACTGTTTCAGTATCTCACGACCTTGCTATCTGGTCCCATTGGTAATATGCGGTGTGAACGAACAAGTTGGATCACCTCAACCTTGTAAGCCGGCTGTATTTGCAATGCGAATATATAAGTTCGCATATACGGAGAACGGATGTGGCTATAAGAACCGCTATTTGGCCCATCTCGGCCCCTCGGGTAAAGATTATGATCCATGGATGAGTCTAGATCATTTTGGGAGTCACTTCTTCAGTATGTACGGAGTACATTGATATGTACCTAGCCTCCACGCTCAATGCTAATTTACAGTATATGTACATCTATTGAAAAGGGGCTGATCTCCGCACAGCAAAGAATGAAGAACAAGGTTGTCAGTTTGTCACCCCGGTAGATCATGAACCGGTATACAATGTGCAACATCTTGTTCCTCAGAAAATCATTCTGCCCTTGTTCTGCTTCTGGTTGACATCATAGTTCTTCCAAACCAGAATGCTAGGAATAGTCAACACCAGAATGGCAGTGGAAGCAATGCAGTTCAAGCGCTGGGCATAGCCCCATGTATACGCGACGGCTTGTCGAAGAGGAGATCCCCACGGGTAGGTCGACTGAACGTTGATACCATCTAAGTAGATCTGAGTGGCGTTCGCTTTCAGGTTGTCCGGCAGTTGGGCCGTGAGGGTGTTGACGAAGACATTGTTGTAGATAGCCGCGCCAACGGCAAGCCCAATTGCACCGCCGATGTTCGAAAACAGGCCGATGAGAGCCAACATCATCGGTGTTCCCTCGCGACCACCTGCCGCCATAACCGCCATGTCTTCGCCAATCACCAGTGTGCCACCGGCGAAAGCAATGAAGATCTGACACATGACAACGTAACCGATGCCGTGGTCGGCACCGCGGAAGTAGATCATTAAGCCAGAGCCAAGGAGCATGAGCGGTGCTCCGAAGAATAGGCAAATGTATTTGAAATGCGCGGTGGCCCAGATGACAGCACCGATAATGGGCGAGAAGAAGCAAGAGCCGACGTTGTAGATCTGGAGCATGTAGTTTGCCTCGACAGCGGTGATATCATAGGAGATCAGGACGTAGTTGTAGAAGTACTGGTCCCAGAGTTCGAAACTGAAGAATAGCACGGCGGCGAGTGTGCATGCGCCTAGAATGGTCGGGCGCTTGATCAACTCGTAGCGGATAAAGTGGAATCGTGCACCCCATTTCTCCCATGCCGCGAAAACAACCAACATCACCACTCCCAGAATAATGAGCACAATGAAGCTTGCGCTTGAATATTCCGAGCGCCCGTACTGCGCCAGGCTGAATGGTAGGAGGAACATGACCCAACCGATCATGAGTAAGAAAGCGCCGATAACTAGCAAGGAGATGTTAGTCAAGGTATGAGATGAGCTTTTGATATGGGTATGAATCTTACCATCGAACTCATGAATATAATGGAGAATAGACTGTTGCACAGTCCGACCACTAGGTTTACGGCGGAAAATGCCGTTCTTTTCGGCCTTCTTCTCATAGTACTTGAACACCATGGCAAGGGGCAAGAACACAAACGGCACCACAATGCAGAAGATGCCATAACCCCAGCGCCATCCAAACATCGTGTAGACCGAGTTGGCCGCCAGCCCGCCGGTGAAGGCGGTACAGATGAAAGGAGTTTGCATAAACCCGAAAGCGAACGCTCGGTTCCTCAGACCCGAGGTATCGGCGACGAAGATGTTCAAAATCAGATACACACAGTTATATCCAATCCAGTAAAGCACATAGCCTGCCGCGTATCCATTGGGCCCGTTGCATGCGGCCAGAACAACCATGCCGAGCAGGTAGATGCTGGTCGAGACCACCAGGGCCTCAGCACGACCCCATAGATTCAAGGTCTTACCCAGCGGTAGCTTAAGAACACCGCCAACAATATTCGCCAGGATATAAGCGGTTGAGACCTGTGGTGCGGAGCGGAAGCCTCCTTGGATGTAATTGATGAGAAACCCGCTGATATTCGAGTGAAAAGCCAACATAAACGTGCAAATCCAGATCCTGCATATTCAATCATTGTCAGAGATTCGAGTTCGTCGCCATAGTCCCCGGAAAAAAATAGTGTCGCAGTCGACTTACCATGCATAGATTCCAACCAACGCTGGCCAGCTCCAGACGAGCGCAGCTGCTTCCGCCTTCTGTTGGCCCAACTCCGCACCCTCGGTGACACAATCGGGATGTTGTGCTAGTTCCTTCACATCGTCGAATACGTCGCCATGGCGAGAGCTCTCTGAGCCAGACGCAGCTTCGGTGTCATATAGAGACGAGTCATCGCCGACTCGGACCTCCGACGCCTCCTGTTTGGTGTTTTGCGGATTCGGTGATTGATTCCGCAGTATGGTTCTGTCGGGACTTTCGTCGTCATAACCTCGGTCGGAGACACCCATCACTGGTTGTTAGCTCCGTGAATCCAATCACAGGAGGCGCAAACCGTGTGCCAGATCCTCAATGGCTTTACGGAAGCCGTTGGAGGTTATGCAAAGAATCAATGGGTGAAAGAGGAGATGAAAAGGAGAGGGGAAAGATCTGCAACGTCCGGAGGGGTTCTTTCCCTCTATGTTCTGGAAGCACAGAGGCCCGGGATTCATCGGTACCCAACTGTCTCCTTTTTTTTTTTTTTTTTGGCCGTGGCTCTCAAGACCGGCGATGCGATGAGTTAGATCAGATAATTCAGGGTGGGTGGGTCCTCAATCTGATAAGTCGCCCAATTAGCGGCTGTGGTGGCTGATGGCCGTCGCCCATTCGCCCCTTAATGATGTGGAAGTCTTTGCTATGATTGGTCCACCAAGAAATATTTCTCTTGATCTGGACTAGCGTGAATTTTCCCGGCAAAGCTTGAAAGATCTCGTTCTTGCTACCTGCCACATGCGGCATCCGGCATCCGGTTGCGTCCACAATACGGACATTACCTGGGTACTGTACGCAGTACAATATTCTACGCAGCTCATGGAATCATCTGTCTCACTCGCTCTATTTATCCGTACCACTTGCTACAGTAACATGAGGCTATTTACCGTATCCGGGGTCCCTTGCATGTCCACGCGCTGTCCGTGCATCACTGCATGATCTCGAATAGAAGTCACTGTACATCGCAAGGCAAACTGAACGGATGTGGATCATGACTGTATCAGACTGTCGGAGAGGCCGGAGATGTGTAATCTCGCTTATCAGATTTTAAGATTTTAATCAGATATGCACAACCGGGAAACGCGACGCCAAGCCCCACTTTTCTCAGTGCGCGCGGCTTTCTTATCCGCACGGGGTACAGCGGTAGTCAAGCGTCGCCCTGGTCCGTGGGACGCTCAGCGCAAATAGGGTACTTCACGGCATTTGATCCCAGTGGGGTTAGGTCGTGGTATGGATGTATCCTGATTCCTGAGGCGCTTGGGTCGCTGCATTTCTTTTATGATGTCTTTGTTGGTCGATTTAATCTCATGGAAATAACCAACCCTAACGAAGAGAGCAAATGAACAACACAAAGTCCTGTGATCTGCTGGAGTAGTATAAACTATATGGAAGTAGCTTCTAGACTCATTGGGTGTTATGAAGAGCTCCAAGTTGGAGAGTCAACCATTGATGAAAGTCCCATCTCCAAGAATAGTCTGAATACCTCTTCGAACTAATGGGATGGATTCACGGCAACAACAGTCCGGAAAAGCCATAAGACCGTCGCGTTTGTATGGATACAATCAATATCTACCGTGAAGACGCAGAGGTGGGTTATGAGCAATAGCTCAAGAGGAAGATTTGTTGAAGATAGCTATTCGCCATGCTTAGGGCTGAAGAATATTTGAGGGCTATACAGGCTGACATCACTTGCCTAACCCTGGAGGATCGACTTGCTTGTTAAACAGTGGGCATGAACTAGGACTCAGTGCCTTATAAAAATCGGCCCATATCTGCATTGGAGATAACCCAGGGCTACACTCCAGGCACGGGGAAAACAACCCCGCACAGCGGCACAGGCCGCACAGGGAAGTCCGTGGCATCCAACACTAACACTATTTAGGTTGTCGATCAACAAACAATGCGACGTTACAACACAATCAAATGAGGAGTCTCCTTGCAGGAGCAGTCTCTCGATCTTTTAACCCGCCTCCTGCATCCATCGTACCTTCCATAACTCAAATCTACGATTCCCACGCGTCATTGCGCGTCTCCAACTCCCACATTCCAAAGCGCCATCTGCCGCCATGGCGATTCTGCAGACCAGTATCCTGTACAGTCTACTCCTCCTTCAAAGTGCTCAGAACACGGTAGCAACGCGGGATGACCTTCGCTATGTCAATCCCCTGATTGGGTCAACCAATGGCGGCAACGTCTTCGCAGGCGCAAGTCTGCCCTATGGCATGGCAAAGCCTGTCGCCGACGTCGGCGGCCAGAATACGGGAGGCTTTTCCACTGATGGGAGCAAGGTCACTGGCTTCTCGCACATGCATGACAGTGGCACAGGCGGGAACCCCTCTATGGGCAACTTTCCTCTGTTCCCGCAGTATTGCGAAGACAATATCGTGGATAATTGCAAGTTTCCTAAATCGGCTCGTGCAATTCATTACAAGAATGACTCCGTGGTAGCAAAGCCTGGCTACTTTGCTTTGACGCTTGAAAGTGGGATAAAGGCTGAGATGACGGCGGAGCGGCGCACGGCTCTGTACCGTTTTACTTTCCCCCGAAGCCGGGCAGCGGATGGAAGTGATTTGAATCCGTTGATTTTGCTGGATTTGACCGATTTGTGGGATAGCCGGCAGAATGCTTCCATTAGTCTGGACGCTGATAGCGGCCGGATCAAAGGCAATGGGACTTTCTTGCCAAGTTTTGGAGCTGGCTCGTACAAGTCTTATTTCTGTGCTGATTTTGTCAATGCTGAGGTCAAGGACAGCGGGATCTGGGTCAATGACCGAGCTGGTCCGGTACAGGACTTGTTTGTCACTCGCGGCTTCAACAACTTCTACCTCCAGGGTGGAGGTTATATGACCTTTGACCGTCCACACGATGGCATTGTGACTGTGCGCGTAGGCGTCAGCTATATCAGCACGGATCAGGCTTGTAAGAATGCGGAATCAGAAGTACCGGATTCAGAGGATGCTTTTGACGATCTGCGCAAAAATGCAGAGAACGAGTGGAAGCAAAAGCTCAGCCCTATCAAGCTCACGCCAGGAGGTGTCAGCGACGAGATGATTAGCAGTTTCTGGAGCGGCATCTATCGCACCATGTTATCGCCCCAGGATCTGACTGGAGAGAACCCACTTTGGAAAAGCGATGAACCATACTTTGACTCCTTCTACTGCCTGTGGGATGCTTTCCGTGCGCAGCACCCTTTCCTCACTATTATCGATCCACAAGCACAGTCAAAGATGGTTCGAAGCTTACTCGACACCTTCAAGCATGAGGGGTGGCTGCCCGATTGTCGCATGAGTCTTTGCAAAGGCTGGACACAGGGTGGTTCCAATGCGGACGTTGTCCTTGCAGATGCGTATGTGAAGAACCTCACCGGCATTGACTGGGAGCTTGCCTACAAGGCCATGGTCAACGACGCAGAGAATGAGCCACTGGAGTGGTCATACGAAGGGCGTGGAGGTCTGCAAAGCTGGAAACGCCTCAACTATGTCCCATATCTGGACTTCGACTACATTGGCTTTGGTACCAATTCCCGGAGCATCTCGCGGACACTGGAGTACGCTTATAACGATTATGGTTTGGCGATTGTTGGCAAGGGTCTTGGTAAGAAAGACTACACTACTTATCTATCTCGCTCCGGCAACTGGCAAAACTTGTACAAAGAAGATCAAAAGTCTCTGTTGGAGAATGGCACGGACACTGGCTTTACAGGTTTCTTCCAGCCAAAATACATCAATGGTACTTGGGGCTACCAAGACCCTATTGCCTGCAGCGCTCTGGCGTCGTGGTGCTCCCTCACCTCGAACCCTTCAGAGACCTTTGAATCCAGCATTTGGGAGTACATATTGTGAGTCTACATTCTGCATCTATGGCAAATATTTAGTGCTAACATTGTCCAGTTTCGTCCCTCATGACATGGCAAAATTGATTGAGATGGTTGGCGGCCCGCAGTCCTTCGTGTCTCGATTGGACTACTTCCACACCTCTGGCTTGGCCGATATGGGAAATGAGCCCGTCTTTTTGACTGTATATGATTACCACTATGCTGGGCGCCCAGGGCTGTCCGCCAGTCGAGCCCACACTTACATCCCATCTTCCTTCAACGCCACCCACAACGGACTCCCTGGCAACGACGACTCGGGAGCTATGGGTTCATTCCTAGCATGGAGCTTGATGGGCCTATTCCCAAACCCCGGTCAGAACGTGTACTTGATTATTCCTCCATTCTTCGAGGCCGTCGCCATTACTCACCCTGAAACCCATAAAACTGCTACGATCCGCAACGTCAACTTCGACAAAACCTACAAGAACATCTTTATCCAAAGTGCCAAGCTCAATGGAAAGCCTTACACCAAGAGCTGGATCGGACACGAGTTCTTCACTCAGGGAATGACGCTGGAGCTAACGCTCGGGGACAAGGAAAGCGACTGGGGTACACACAAGGAGGACTTACCTCCGAGTTTGAGTGATTCGGTTGCTGGATACGAGGGAATGTAGATACTCCGGTGGTTTGGGATTGAATACATCCATGCAACTGCCGGGTATTTCACCCAATGACCTTCTATGCTGCGTGGCAGTCTGTCAAATCTGCACATCCAGGGAGTCAGGGACCAGGACCAAATGCTGTGACTTCGCAAGTGAAACCCGGAGCATATCCGATGTGGGTCTAGATGGGCTGGATCAATGATTCTGAGATCCATCGTCCACCGAGTGCAATGGTACGAATTGCGCTTCTATGATTCATGAACTGTATCCTTGTGAATATCAATCGTATAGAAATGTAATCACACAATAACATTTAACTATCTCCAAAGACTACTTTTCCCCGCGGAGTAAGCTGGTGGCCACACATCCATGACTAAGCTGTAGCATGCACCTGACACGTGAAATCATCATCTCGAAGCTCCCTGCTGCAATCATTCTCAAGCTGAAAACCTCACACCTGTTTCGCGCGGGAATATTCCCTGCTCACGAATTTCAATTACCCCCGCAACCTTGGAATCGGACACCTGGCAACATCGCCTTCCCCCAACCCTCAGTCCCCGACCATTGCAAAGCCGACATGGCGAACCGACAGATCACACGACGCATCACCATCAGCGCAGCAATCTCACTATGCCTTATCTTCTTCCTCTTTATCCGACCGCAAGGGCCGCCGAGCCCCGCAATCCGCGCCCCCGGCCACATCGACCACTCCGCTCCGGCCTCCGTGCCGGCGATAACCATCCATGACAGCACCCTGAAGGGAGATGTGGTGATGCCGAAGCTGGGCAACGAGACAGTCAAGTAAGGCGCACTGGGGAGGTTCCCTTGGCAATGGCCGCGAGTGGTGGGACAGATTGCTAATAGTGGATTTGGCGGACAGGGCTGAGTTAGGTCGTGCGACTTGGAAGTACTTCCATACTGTCATGGCGCGGTTCCCGGAGACACCTACGGATGATCAGAAGGAAGCACTGCGCTCTTACATATACCTATTTGCCCGGTTATATCCTTGGTAAGCTTGCAATCCTAGCGTTGTCTTTATTCTTCACGTGTAATGGGCGTCATTGATTGAGAGACTAATGGTTGATTAGTGGAGAATGTGCCGAGCATTTCCAACAGCATTTGAAAAAATATCCGCCCCAGGTGTCGTCGCGTAATGCGGCTTCTGGGTGGGCTTGCTTTATTCATAATGAGGTCAATGCTATGCTTGATAAGCCTGAATTTGATTGTGCCAATCTGGGGGATTTCTATGATTGTGGCTGCAAAGAAGATGAGGGTGGCAAGGGGGAGGAGGGGTCGGCTGCTTCTCGGTCTGATGCTGCGAAGGAGGGCACGAGACAGCACGATGGCCCTGCAGTGGAGATCTCGAAGGAAGAGTGAGTGAATACCTGCTGTGGCGCATCACTGATACCTGATTGGTTGCTAACTTGCGGTGTAGGACTACTCGCGGTTGAGAGGGCGGCTATTGCTTGTTCTCTTGGATTGATACGATTCATTCGCTCTGGCGCATAGCGGTGCATGGTTGCTCTTGGATCTATGGTTGCTCACATTTATGGAGCTGGTCTCCCTTGTACATTAATACATTGTTATAATACCCCGGACCTGTGAATTGCCTTTTTGAGATAGGTTTACCGGTTGAGAGTCCAATACTCCGTCAAGTAACCCCGGCAGCCTGCATGTGCTTCGACCTGGCTCATTTTCTTAGAAACTGATTGTTCCTTGTCTTCCCCTCCGTCATTTCTCCAGCGGTACAGATGCCCCTGGTGCCATCATCGAATCAGTAATGTCGAGAACGCGTCGCTTCGAACGCATTCATTACGTTGTCGAACCTGTCGAAGAGTATCGTGCTGGAGGTTACCACCCAGTCCACCTCGAAGATACTTTCCACGACAGGTATCGGATTGTTGGGAAATGGGCCTATGGCCAGTTTTCTACAGTTTGGATTGCCGAAGATACAAGGTTGTATCCATGTCATCTTCCTATTTCATCGGCTATCAAACTTACTCCTTCATGTCTAGACTCGAAAGATATGTTACGTTGAAGATTCTCAAGGCCGATATCTCAAGTAACAGCCAAGAAAGTTCTATCCTCCAGCACTTGTCGGAAGCAGATACACATCATCCGGGGAAACCCCACGTTTTGCAATTATTGGATCAGTTTGAGCACGAAGGGCCTAATGGCCTACATCTTTGTCTCGTCTTCCCAGTCATGATGTCAGACGGTGAGGAAATTACTATGCAGCAAGAACCACGCTTCCCAGATTATGTTCGCGAGATTTCGAAACAAATATTGCTCGGGTTGAAGTATCTTCACGACCAGGGCCTTATTCATGGCGGTATGTAGGTATCTTGGGGATTGAATGCACAAAACGATATTGATTTGTGAATAGACCTCCAACCAGCCAACATACTGTTCACCCAGAACTGCGACTTCACAAGCGACATGTTCAAGGAACCCGAATTTAGTCCTGTCAAATGGCTTCCAGGGGTTGAAATAGATAACAGTGCTCCGCAGTATCTTATGTGTTCGCAGCGGCCCTATGGAATGCTAGCCAGTGCATCCTCCTCGACACTTCTAGTCAAGATTGGTGATATGGGCGGAGGTATGAACCCCTTTGATGATGCGAGAATGTCGATTATTGACTATAACCATAGCTATGTGGAACACACAAGATAAATCTCGTCCTGTCACGCCCGTAGCGTTGAGGGCACCTGAGTTACTTCAACCCCATTCGTGGAATGAGAAGGCAGACATATGGGCTCTAGGGTGTTTGGTATTTCCCCCATCCTTAATCCCGAAGTGATCTAACTAACCATTAAGTACAGATATTTCAACTTGCTACAAACGAGCCACTATTTCCGATCCTGGCTTGGGGCTGCACGACTGACGAGGTTCATGAGTTACTACGATCTCTCATGCGCAAGCTATTTGAGAACGGCAATCAGAGATTTGCTGTCTACCTTAGTGAGAGATTACCGACTGATTTTGGCAAAGAAAATACCGAGCAACTTGCAAATCTTCTTTGGTCAACATTGCAGGAACGTCCGGAAGATCGAGAATCAACCGCCAGACTTCTTAATCATCCATTTTTAGTTGGATGAAGAGTACCCGAGTCACCAAGCAGAAAGCCGGTTGCTAGTTATCTCAGTGCCCTCCAACGTCAGGGAAAGACGGCTGTTTCTGGCGCCAAAAGTGGCCAATTTCGGCGTCTTTCAGAGGTCCTCATATTCCAGTTTTCATAATATCAACCCATCAATATACCATTGTTATGTTTCGTATGTGGCTTGATGAAGGGGGTCCCTCGCTATATCTCGTACTATCATAGACCACATACTACGGTGAGCGCGTCTTGTGTTTGACTCCTTTAGAATTAGGGCATTTCCACAGACATCGACCCCTCCACTAATCCCATCAGCATGTGGAGACGTCTACCTGCAAGTCATTAACGTCAACAACTGTACTTAACGGTAGTATAACTACAACTCCACTCTCCAAGCTAAACTGCCGATCCCCCCTCACAGTGCATGACCTTGACATCTTACGCGCAGAGACCAGCCTATCTGGTGATCGAAGTGAAAATGGCGCGCATGACCCACGAAGCCTAGCTAGTATATCCCTGAACGAGCACAGGAGACTAAAGTGCGCAGTGTGTCGCACCCAGATGTCTAAGCAACATGCGCCGGACATAGTTACTTCGCATTGTTCTTTTACTTGCAAGCGGCAACAGCGACAATGTCGCGACGTCACACCCTCGTGATACATAACAGATCGGCATGCCTCATGTGGCTATACTTCTTCATACATAAAGATGAGCGGCAGACTTGTGTACATCACAAATCTTCCAAGGTTATAAGACGTTCAAAGGGATCGAAGTGTGGTCGAGTGCCAAAAATAGATATTGGGGGGGGGGCTTGTTTTGAGGGGCCAGTCTCGTTGCTTTCTCAGATCCCGCGATGCTTGTTCTCAAATGAAAGCATTGGGTCTCCTGACTGGCTTCCCACCAACCAGGGACGAATCACGATCATCTGCCGTACTAACCCTGAAACATGATAAATCCAGGGGATGTCCTTCAATTCCATATTTTCATCCTCATAAACCAACAGTACCTTTGTACTTTACTGTGTACTTCGACTCTTGTTCGACGCGCCCAGTTTATCCATACTTCCTAAGATAGCCTAGCGCTTATCCAGATCGGGACTAGCGTTTATTTGCGCGTTTCCAAATTTCGCGAGAAAAAGAAAAAAAGACAGAAAGGAAGAAAAGAAGAACACGAGAAGAAGGCGGGAAAATATTCATACCCAAGTCTCTTAAGCTCGATTATCAGGGCGCATCACTCACAGATTAACCTTATCTCGTTCCAAGGGATAAGAAAACCCTCCTTCTGAAAAACTTCGCAAACCTTCGGACATTCAATCTCTATCGCTAGCCGGTTTTATCGTCTGTGCCTGTGCTTGATAGGATCTTCACTATCAACAATGGTGTCTTTCTCGTGCGAGGTGAGTCCCGTCCTGTTTACTGGTGCCTCGTCTCCGAATGGTCACTAACAACTGTGACAGGCATGTGGTGATGTTCTCACAAAGAAGAAGCTCGACCCTCATCGTGGTCAATGTCGTGGCGCATCATTCACTTGTATTGATTGCATGGTGCATTTCTGGGGAACCGAGTACAGAGCTCATACGGTATGTCGCGGTCCTGTCGCATTATCTCATGGTCCTGGAACAATGAAGGAGGCATTTGCTAACAAGTTCGGCTGCTATAGTCATGCATGAGCGAGGCGCAAAAATACCAGGGCGCTCTCTATAAAGAGAAACCTCAAAAGGGAAAAAAAGGGCAGAACAACCAGCAGAACGCGAAGCAAAACCCCCAAGCCCGCAACCAGCAACCCCGTGTGGAGGACGGCTCTGATGGCGAGGGCCTCAAGAACGCTCCTCCTCCCCCTGCTCCCACACCCCCGCCCGCTGGTGAAGCGAAGACCCTTGCTCCGGCCCCGGTGAACGACAAGCCTGTCAATGTCTTCGATTATCTCGTCACCGATGAGACCCCGAATGCGTCCAAGGTCTCGCTTGCCACGCCCAAGGAACAAATGAAGATGAAATCCAACGCCAAATCGGTCTTTGAGCCCAGCGGAGCCCTGACTCGTGTCGAAACCAACCCAAATACGGACGACGAGGGTAAAAACTACGACGTCGCATACCAGGAGAATGGCTTTTCCTACGGCGCCGGCCACATCCCGCACGCGGAAGTGCCGCCGAACGTGTCAACAGAGTTTGTCACGCCCGCACCTAAAAAGAAGAAAGACCGTCGTCGCGAGGAGAAGGCCCCCGGCACCGTCAGCGAGAAGAAGCGCAAGCGCGGCCAAGCCGAGGTGCTCAGCACCCCCCGCGATGCAGTCGATACCCCGATGATGGACGCCCCCTCCAGCATCATCAACAACGCCGGCACCCCCATGCTGCAACACTCCGGCCTTACCGGCAGCCTGAACCGAATGATGCACTCCCCCTCCGTCGATGGCGACGACAGCCCAGAAACAAACCGTCGCGCCTACCAGGACGCCTCGTCCCCCATCAAGCGCAGCCGCCGCAACGGCAAGGAAGCCAACGGCGACTCAGGTCTCGGCATCTCAATGAAGAACCGCGCCGGCCGCCTCGTTTCCTCCATGTTCGGCGGCTCAGCCGTCTCCAGCACCAATAGCGCAAATGGAGACCACCACTCCAAGGCCGTTATCCGCACCCGACGCGGCAGCTCCTCCAGCGGCGACGCCCATCTCGAAGTCCGCAAGAGCAAGAAGTCCCACCGCTCCCATGATGATCGCGACGAGTCCCGCAAGTCCAAGCGCAAGAGCTCAAACCCCACAGATGGCGACAGACCCTCCCGCCGTCTCAAGCAGGTTGATGAGCGCCGCGGCTCCGCTGACCACGGTCACCAGGTCGCCGTCTACAAGCAGTCCCGGCCGCCGGCGCGCACGGATGAGGATTTGCAGCGCGAATTGGCGTACCATTTCCTTTCGCTGGTGTCGAAGGACACCGAGCGTGGCTGTTCGCTTAACAAGGCGCTTAAGCGCTTCCACCGTGATCTTTCTGATGAGTATGATGCTGATCGCGGCCGTGATCATGGTCGGAGCCGGGCGGACCGCGAACGCAGACTTGATGATGAGAAGGATCTGTTCCGTGCGTTGAGGTTGCGACGGAATGATCGTGGTGAGATTGTCTTGTTCATCTAGAGACTTGTTGGTTATGAAGATGTGTCATTCTTGTGCGTTTAATGAGGTGAATGGGCTGGTTTCTTGCATAGCGCCATGTTTATATTGATGTGCTGTCTTTGATGTTGTATTTTTGTCCATATTAATTCAGGATGGGGCTCAATTGCATCCATAATGTGTACTCTGACTGTCTTCCCTGGTGTCTCTCAACCGAACTCTCGCATAATCTTCGAAGTATCCCGAGGCTTGAACTGAGGAACAACCAGTTTGGCCTGAGGCTGTATGTCCATTTTCCAAGGTCAGGTTAGATTTCGATGTGCTGCAGACACCTCTGCATTGTGTATCTGCAATGGCTCCATCTATTCGATGCCTTCGCATAGTGGAAGTGGGTCAAATATGCACTCTTATGCACCCTGCCCTTGCATAGATCAATGACTGACTTGGTCAACAATCTGCTTCATACACGGTAATACGCAGCACGACTCCATCTCATACTAGCATCTTCGCCAATAGCGAACATCGTACGTCAATATTGAGGTTCCAAGGTTCTGAACTTCCCGAACAACAACCCCTTATGGCCGCTATTGAGCCGTATGAATAATGCTCATGTTCCACACTGCGCGAATGATTCGCGAATAGCTTGTGGTAGTTGGTATCCGAATCGGAATGGGCTCATCGCTGCCTGCCGGACCGGACTGGCCGGACTCCTGTTTCGACATATGGGTTAGCAGGCAACGATACTCCACAAGCAGATGTGGAAGGAATACACCTGTTTGCGCGTGGGTCCAGTACCTCAATCATAGTTTCCTCGTAGCCTAACAGTACCAAAAGCTCACATCGTAGCCTAACAGTACCAAGGACTCTCCTCGCAGCCTAACGGCAACAAGCACTTCTGGAGTATAAATACTCCAGGCTTTGCCCCTTCTCTGTTCTTCCTCTCTTCCTCTCTTCCTCTCTTCCTCTCTTCCTCACACCTTTCCCACTTATTCCTATTCTCGGACATTTCTCCCACCTTCAAGTTCAAACGGCAAAATGGCAACCCGATTCCGTAACGGGATGAACACCTAGCCATCAAGGGCCACTATCCATCTCAAGAAGAAGATGGGGACGCCAAACGCGAGGTTGAGCGGTGTATCCGACGCATCCACGAGACAAGTTGACAACAGCAGCCGCGGAAGGTGCTATCAGCCCTCGACGACCTGTACCACTTTCTCCGTTGCGCCTTTCCGGTCCATCAGCTCCAGACATGGCGACCCCTGCTCTAAGCAATGCGGCCCTTGCGGACCAGATTTCCACACAGACTCTCGTGCGTTTTGAAGGACAGCTGGAGGGGACTCGTGGCAAGATAAGGTAAAGGGCGCTGAGGGGTCCCATCTCAAGAACCCAGATCCGCCACTCCAGACTAGGGTAGAACCCCAGATCGATCCAGCGCCTACAGCTGTCCCTCAATACTCACAAGAATCTGTGTGGAAATCCGGACCGCAAGGGCCGCATCGGCCGTTGATTAGAGTCGCCATGTCTGGGGCGGGGGACGTGGCAATAGTTTCTGGTGGACCAGAAAGGCGCATCGGAAGAAGTGGTACAGGTCATAGGGGGCCGATAGCACTTCCTTCGGCTGCTGTTGTCGCAGCACAGGGAGTTCCCCAAAGTCATCGCTCATGCCTTGATTTGCCTTTGGCGTCTAGACATTTCAATATGTCATTTGGCTTGACCCTCTGGGCTTCAAAAGCAGGCTGTACCTTGTTGTGAATGCGCCGGATCCACCGTTCAACCTCGCGTTTGGTGCCTTCATCTTGGTCTTGAGACGGATCCAGTGGTCTTCGATGGCTCGGGTTCTCATGCCCTTACGGATTGGTGTGTCATTTTGTTGTTTGAACTTGAAGTTGGGAGGAATGTTCAAGAATCGGAATAAGTGGGAAAGGTTTGAGGAAGAGAGGAAGTTCAGAGAAGGGGCAAAGCCTCGAGTATAAATACTCCAGAAGCTCTCGAGTCTTGTTACCATTAGGCTACGGCGAGGAAACTATGATTAGGTGCTGGACCCGCGCGCAAACGATGCAGCTGTATTCCTTCCACGTCTCGGTTCTTGCGGAGCATCGTTGCCTTAGCCCATGCATGTCGGTATTCCTCCCAGATCTCGGTTCCATCTTGCGGAGCATCGTTGCCTGCTAACCCATATGTCGAAACACCAGCGGTCCCGCCAGTCCGGTCAGGCAGGCAGCGATGAGCTTCGTATACAAACTACCACAAGCTATTCGCGAATCATTCGCGCAGTGCGGAACATGAGAATTATTAATACGGCTATTATATGAAACCAAGTTTGTTTTGAGAGATCTTGCCACAGTTCCAGTATATAATTGTTAACCATTGAAGCCCAGAAGAACGCGATGGCGGCGTGGACCTAGAATAGACACACGGGGAGCACACCGAGAAATGGCCCAAAAAGCCACCTGCAGAGATGTCTTGTCATTGTCTGGATATGTAAATCTCAGATCCATCTCATCTTGGAATGGAGCCTGACTCCTGAGACATCCTTTGTAGAGGTGGCACAGTTCTCCCTCTACACCATGTAGAAAAGAACAAAGGATATAACTATATGCTATATGATTATGCTATAACAAAAAGCCGGTCAGAAAATCGATGGAGGAACTAATCCCGGGTGAGTGAATCTGCAATGATATCTTGTGGCTTTGCTGCTGGATGCTTCAGTGAACTTTGGGATGAGTAGAATGAGTGTAGATTAGGTGTGATCAGAATTAGATTTATGTTAGTTTGACTCATGCTGCCCATATTCAAGAGAGGTGACAAACAGCCTAACAGGATTTGATATTGATAGGAATTTGGTGGAAAGTGTCGCTGTGTCGGTATCTGCTGAAGTGCTGATGTTGCCAGTCTGTAGATCGCGGGCCCGCATCTCGGACGCCACCCGGGACTTGGCAAAATGAGTCACGTTATCTAGTTCCTGACTCACGATTGAGAATTTGAGGCCCGCCACTTCGTCACCGCCCTTTATACCGCCCTAAATTGCCGCGCGAGCTTTTATCGTCTTCTAGATAATTCGCCTTGTTGCTATCTTCCATCACCTTCGTTTAAGCAGGCTTTTCTCTTTGGTTGTACCTTTTTTGCACTGCTGGGTGGTTAGCTTTCATTCCTTTCACTCTCTTGTGCATTTCCAATCTGAATAGACCCAACATACCCAGTTCATCACTTATCGCTTGCTTGAAGCTGAGCGCATCCCACCAAGTGAGAAAATACACTGCACGTGTATGATTACGCCACTCAGTCAGACCTCGATCGCATATTTGGCAATGGCGACCGCACAGCCAGAGACTTCAATCCCGGCTGGACCACGACCTCCACGTTCTTCTAGACCATCTAGACGCAGAGGGCGGGGTTCAGGTAATCGCGATGGTCAGCAACCCAGGACTGGGCCTGTGACCGAGAACTCAATACAACCGACACAGGTCCAGCCACAGCAGAATGGAGCACCCCAGTCCGGTCAACAAGACGGAGCGTCTCGCTCGCGGAGAGGAGGCAATAGAGAAGGCAGAGGCCGAAGACAAAGGAACGGACCACCCCGGCGAGAAGGCCCGAATGCAGGAACCGGTGACCAAGAGACACAGCCCCCGCAATCCCGTGGAATGAGAGCGCGTGGGTTTGAGGCTCAATTGACGAGACCAGATCAGTCCGGGAATGCTGTTTCTCTGGACAGTGACCATGCGCTAAGGGCCGATGTACCAGATTTTGTACCCGGCATGCCATCATCTCAAGCAGGACCACCTTCATCTGCGCCATCGACGAAAGGGAAGGGCAAAGCTAGGCAGCCTAGGGCACCGCCGCAACCACCTAAAGTCACGACGAAATCCACGGCCGACGATCTAGCTACCCGAATCCACGAAGACATCTCGCATAATCTGTATGAATGTCCTATCTGCTGCAGCGAACTGGGTCGCAGGTCCAAAATTTGGAACTGTGAGCTCTGCTGGACTGTTTTCCATTTGAGCTGTGTGAAGAAGTGGTCCACGAACGAGGGGGCAGCTGCTCAGAGAGCTTCTGCTCAAGAAGATAGACAGGAGGATTTCACTCCTCGCGCATGGCGTTGTCCGGGTTGTAATCTTTCACAACAGAACTTCCCCTCGAGCTACTCTTGCTGGTGTGATAAAGAAATCGATCCTAAACCGCTTCCTGGTCTACCCCCACACTCATGTGGTCAGACTTGCTCGCGGCCTCGCAAGGGATGTCCGCATCCATGTGATGCAACTTGTCATGCAGGTCCATGTGCGCCTTGTACTGCCATGGGCCCAACGCAGGATTGCTTCTGTGGTCTTAATTCGTCGCAAAAACGTTGTCAAGACACAGATTATGAAAATGGCTGGAGCTGTGGTGAGATCTGCGGTGAGCTACTGCCGTGCGGAGAACACACATGTCCACTTCCATGTCATGAGGGATTGTGCGGTGGCTGCGAGGTTAGCATTGACGCTCGTTGCTATTGTGGGAAATCTCAGATGGAGATGCTCTGCAAGTCGAAAGATGATGAGGAGGACAGTCGAATCGTCCTTGAGGACGGATCAGAAGATGAATGGACCGGCTGCTTCAATTGCGGGGAGACTTGTAACCGTCCCCTTGATTGTGGCCTTCATTCATGTCAGAAGAACTGCCACCCGCAGGAGTCTCATCCAGCACACTGTCCACGATCACCGGATGTTGTCGTCAATTGCGCTTGTGGCAAGACGCCGCTATCTGAGATACCGGGATATACACCTCGGACTTCTTGCGAAGACCCCATTTTGAACTGTCAGAAGCCGTGTGGCAAGACACTGCCATGCGGTCATCCTTGCGATAAATTGTGTCACACTGGACCCTGTGGCGCCTGTTTGCGAAATGTCTACATCAAGTGCAATTGCGGCCGTACTAATAACTTGACTATCTGCCATCAAGGCCAGAATGAGCCTCCCCAGTGCCCACGCCAGTGCAAGGCGACCTTGCACTGCGGTCGGCACACGTGCACTGAAAGGTGCTGTCCAGGGGAGCAAAGGGCCAACGAGCGCCAGGCGGCGCGTCGTAAGCTCAGGTCCCATCTTCGTCCTGCCGAGGAAGACATTGAAGCAGAGCATATCTGTACCCGCATATGTGGCCGGATGCTGAAATGCGGAAGGCACACATGTCCGGAGCTTTGCCACAAGGGCGCTTGCAACACCTGCAGGGAAGCAATATTCGAAGAGATCTCGTGTAATTGCGGAAGATCTGTTCTGTACCCACCGCAACCGTGCGGTGCGAAGCCGCCTGCTTGCAACTTCCCCTGCGAGCGTCCTAAGCGATGTGGCCATCCTCAAGCCCCACATACCTGCCACACGGACGAGGAGAACTGTCCCAAGTGTCCATTCTTGACCGAAAAGGCGTGCCTGTGCGGCAAGCGGGTATTGAAAAACGTGCCCTGCTGGTTGACAGATGCGCGCTGCGGGCAGGTATGCGGACAGCTGCTCAAATGTGGCTCCCATTACTGTCGGAAGGACTGCCATCGTCCAGATGATTGCGAAGACGCAACAAAGCCCTGCAGCCAGCCTTGTGGAAAGAATAAGACGATGTGTGGCCACCCTTGCACGGAGCAATGCCATGCGCCCTATGCCTGCCCCGAGAAAACACCCTGCTCAACCAAGGTCACAGTAACATGTGGCTGTGGACGACTTCGACAGGAAAAACGCTGCAACGCCGCCAAGGCCGTTACATCCAAGGGCCAGGTTCAGTCACCTCAGCGCCAACCAGAGCTGACACCGTTGACCTGCGATGACGAATGCACACGTCTAGAAAGGAACCGCTCCCTAGCAGGAGCTCTCGGCATCGACATCAACCAGACGACCACCGCGCAAACAATCACAGCCGAAAACCTCCCCTACTCGGAAGAAACCCTAGACCAATACATCAAACTTGCCAGCTCAGCGCCTCTAGCAACCCTCCAAACCTACGAGGCAAACCTCCACGCCCTCGCAGCAGCTGACAAATCCACCCGCTCATTCCGCTTCCAGCCTGCGAAAGCAACCCTCCGCGCATTCGCACACTCCCTAGCCGCAGACTGGGGCTTCGTAACAGAAAGCCACGACCCAGAACCGCACCGCCATGTCTTCGTGCTGAAACCCGTTGTCTGGACACCTCCCATCTTCGGCATGGGCAGCGGCTCAACCGTCGGTATTGGCGGTATGAGCGTGCGTGAGTGCGTGAAGCTCCGTGAACGCGAGCGCAGCAAGGAGCAGGAAGCCCGTCGCGTCGCTGCTCTCGAAGCAAAGGCGGCCCGGGAAGCTACCAGGGCTCAAGCTAGTACTGGTGATGGTGGCTGGGCCCAGGTTGCTTCGAAGAGCAAGAGCAGTGGGCCTTCGAGGACTGGGACTCCGGTCCAGAACTCGTGGGTTAGCAAGTCCATTTATGCTGCCCTTGATGGGGATGGGGCCAAGAAGGAACGTTTGGTGCTTCGTTCCGGGGTAGGGGCGGGTAAGTCTTTGCGTGCGAAGACGCCTACGTCTGAGGTTGTTGATAGTTGGGAGGAGGCTGAGGAGGAAGCTGAACAGAAGGAGGAGAAGGAGCAGACGGGAGATGGGGCTGAGCAGGTTCAGGAACAGGCTATCAGTGAGGACCTTGAGGGTAAATCTGAACCAGGTCCTCTGACTGAAGCTCCCAAGGAAGAACGGGACGAAAATGTCCGTACTCAGGCTGAGACATCTGCCTCTGATGTGCCGGTCTAGTTACTGGGTTTTGATGATTGATGAGAATCAAAATAGCATGTTTCAAAAGCCTTGGATATTGTCGTCCATCATTTGCGGAGTTACGTTACTTGCATTATTCTTTTCTGGGTGTCATCACGCATGTTTTGCATCAGGGCATCATAATCAGCATCTCTTTAAGCAACCAATATACCAGAAATCAAGCTAAACAAGTTCCAAACTCCTGGGAATCATCAACACCAATCTCAACAAGCCACTGTAGAAAACGTAGCCGTAGCCAATACCCCTCCATTCAAAACCTGGACACATCAACCTCAAACCCTACTTATCCACCGGCTCAACCTTAACAAACTGCAAACACCCCTCCCCCGTCGCCCGATACGGCCCATGCTTCATCCCCGGCTTTCGATAAGCATAACACCCAATCGTCCACGTCTCCGCAAGCGATACATCCTCCAGCCCGCCCCGCAAAATACACACCTCTTCGATGTAGGTATGTGTTATAGGTTCTGTCTGTGTAGACGCAGCATTTGGTTCATACCATTGGAGCACGGCTTTGCGCTCGCCCGATTCGTTTAGAAGGTACTCCCATACCCCTGGTGCGATCGAGTACCAGGGCTTTGCGGTGGGGGAATCCGCTGGTGTGCCGGCTGGTGGGTGAGGTGGTGGGGTTGAGAATTCCTTTTGGGTGTAGGGCATTTTGGAATGATTTTGGTATTTTGATCGACTGGGTCTGTGTCGGAACTCGGAGATGGTTTATGTGTGTGCGGTGGTGGGGAGATGTAAAAGAGTTGTAACTTGTTTTGAGGTCTAAGTTATACTTCCCCGTTCACTTGCAGGTGCCCGAAGTGCTGACAAATGGATATGTGGCTGCTTCGGTTTAATTTGTTGGGGGGAAATGCATAAAAAGTATGAGAATCAGGTAGTATTCAGGTTGATTTGCAAATGATCTTGTTGGAACTGGTGCAACAAGTTACCACATGGTCCTGTGACCTGGTGTTATCTGGCGCAATCGGCTTATCCGATTGCGCGCGTGCGTTTGCGTGTATGGTCACTATGAGGTGCATCTCGCGATGCTACCAAATACGACAAGCTTACGTCCCCCACCGAGCAACAAACTACAGGACACATAGTCTACGTCACTCTTCTTTGGGAAAAAGGACGAGTTGTAGGCGATGTGGTCCCAAAGAAGAGTGATATAGACGATGTGGCCTCTAGTTTGTTCCTGGGTTGGGGATGTAAGCTTGTCGTATTTGGTGATCCTACGGTTACCCCAGGTCTCTAGGTCAACCTCATCAACGAAAGATTGAGGGACTTGTAGGGTCGCGCCCCGGGAAGTACTCCCAGCGACCGACACAGCCACTGAACTCATGGGGGATCCTCCTGATGCTTCGCCTGTTGTCATCTTTCTTGTTCTTGGCCTCGGTAGGCAGTCTTGTCTGTCGGTGGGTAATCTTGGGATCTGGCGAGGGCGCGCAACGCGTAGAAGTACTGGGATCTGATGCGGAAGTTGTTTAATTGGCAAGAGACGAAAGAGGCAAAGAGACGAAAGAAGGCAACGAGTGCGAAGTATAGCATTTAAACTAGATTATCAATGTGGAAGGGAAACAGAAGGATGAAGACAAGTGGGAGGCGATGAGTTGATAAGCCTTCCACGTCACGTTATCCGAACACATCCCTGAGAAGGCTGAGATCCGCCCTGTGGACTCTTCCCATGTGACTTGCAAACGTATGTCACTAGCTCTTGACAGATATACCATCAGGGTTATGGAGATCCCAACCGATGAGATAGATGCCTGATTTCCGGTTCAGGCGGCAGATCTTGGTTCCGTCAGTTTCCACGAGGGTGCAGGTCCTCCCGTCAAGGAATATACCCGCATCTTCTGCCCGATCCGCAGATAGTAGGTTCAGGTGAAACCCAGGTAAATAGGCCACATCCTTGAGAGAAAAAGATGTGCCATCAATGCTGTCAGTTGGGGTCACCTGCAGGGTTCCGAACCCAAGGATGGTAGCTTCAGTGTCTCCTACTTGGACAGTACAAACAGCCGGTCGATATGAAAAAAGAAGGTCCCTATTGTTGCAAATATGGATCGGGGAACCTGTAGAGTAGCACCAGATATCCTTCTTCTCGGTCTGTTCGGCGGAAGTCTTATCAGTCTGGTTGGTAGATCTCTGGAATTTCTTCAGAGCCTTGTGTATGATGCATTAAACTTGGGCGACTTCGCTGCCCGTTTAAATCGACTGTTTGCCTCCTTGTCGGCTTCCCACCCAGCCGACCTGACAGCAGGGTTGACGTAGGGGCATTCCGAGAAGGAATGATCCCCCCTATTCGGGGCGCTCTCGCATGGGCATCGGTGCTTTTTACCACCCTTACCCGGCATCGCGGCCCTGGAAGGTGGTGGCATGCGCATTCGTGGCATATTTCCGGGGTGTAGTGGCGCGAACTTGCTCAACGTAGAGATTTAGAAGTGCAGGGAACTCAGGGAGGGTCTTGTCAGACACATAGCGGGCCATCATGATCCAAAACGCGTAGAACGCTGGGGAAACAGGAGCGATGGCGTGGAGGAAGTCGATGGTGATTTGTTCCTTATTCTCGAACTCTACCAATCCGACCTGCTTTGCCTCCCAGTAGCAAACGTGCCATTTCAGGATCCAGCGGTCGAGGGCCGATAACGATTTTGGTGGAGGCTGGTTGCGTAGGTTGTACCATGTATCTGCTACTTGGCATTTGCGGAATAAATCCGTAGGAGCAGAGCCAGAGGCACCCTTTAGCATAATGAGTGTATCCCGGAGGGATTGGTAAATAATATGTCGCTTGTAGTCGGAGGTAACAGAGTGACGGATGCCTTGTTTGAGGCGGTCGGTGATCTTTTGGTGATATCGGACCTCGGTATCGTTCAACCTTGGCCGCTTGCGGTCGTAATCGCGGGACAGCATAGAAAGCTACCGATTAGGTTTAGCGCGCCAAAAATCCGGCAGAATTCGGGGAATTCGGCAGAATCATAGGCGGTGGTTATGTCATCGGATTGGCGGCATTTCTCTTAACTATCTGGAGATTTGGAGATTCATTCTACGCAGTATTGACTCCTCAGCCTCAAAATGCCATCATTCCGACTGCAAGGATTCCGATCAGTACTCCGTGGCAATAATGCCCACCTGCTGCGCCATCAGCAGCGCCGCTGGGCACAGGTCCACGATGTCCGCTTCCTCGCTTCACACCACGACCCCAGCCATGTCATCGAGAAGTACCGGGCCAAGCTGGACCAAAAGGCCAAAGAGTAAGCCTAGCCTCTCAATCAATGCAACTCAAACCCCAATGCTTACTTCAAAAACAGAGAGGGTTTCGAATCCATCGAGTCCTTGAAACAAGCCTACGAAGACAAAATCAAAGAGCTCCGCCGCAAAGCATCAACCCCAGCTACCCCCGAGCCCAGCTCTCCCACACCCACTACCGCCACAGCACCAAAAGCATTCAAAGCACCCCCATCACCCACCCCCCAGGAATCCCGTACCACCAAAGCCGCCCGCGCCGTCTCCAGCAACTCCAGCCCCGTCAAGCCCCTCAGCTCATACCTGGACGTCGAGAAAATCCGCGAACTGCCCGCCAAGGAGATCGAAGCCCTATGGCGTCTCCGCTTCGCCGACAAGCCCCACACCATCACGGCCGCTATCCCCCTGGACACGTACCAGCGTATGATCCAGGCCGCGCGCGAGAACCCGCAGTTCATCCTGCCGCTGCCCCGGCCGCAGACTGCTGAGGAGAAGGCGGAGGTGCCCGAGGGGGCGACCGGTACGGCGGCGGAGATTCATTTCCTGCAGTGGGCTTTCCATCCGCCTGCGGAGGGGTCTACGATGTCGCCGTCGAATAATCATACTTCGACGGTGATTTTTACGAATCTCGGGGCTTATAAGATGCATGGCGCGTACGCTCAGCCTCATACTACTGTTACTCATCATCTGGATTTGGCGGATGAGAAGGGGTTGGTGCTTATGCATGGGCAGATTATTCCCGACGCGGGTGTTTCGGCGCCCGAGGCCACTTGGCTGGTTAGTTGTGTGCAGCGCTTCTATGACTTTGGGGGTCAGGCGAGTGGTCGGAAGGGGGAGCTTGTTCGCATGTTTACCCGCGGTGATGTTGAGAACTTTAAGGTTGAGGAGTTGCTGGAGGAGTCTGAGAGACTTCACTGATTTCGGCAATTGTGGCTTGTATTATATGTACTATGTATCTCTCATAAATAGACTGTGCCTTTGGTGATAGGCATGTATTTTTTTACAGATGTATATTCTTTAGGCTCGGTAGTGTCAAGTTACCTGCATATACTAGTACCAGCTTGTTGCACACTTGATAATTGTGCTGGACCCAATATGGACTAAGGATACAACCCCTTATAGAAGCCGTAAGTTATCGGTAATCATACAACAGCCCGGGTGGTCTAGTGGTATGATTCGCGCTTAGGGTATTCAAAACCTGAGCATTATTGCGCGAGGTCCCGCGTTCAATCCGCGGCTCGGGCCTGTTATCTTTTTTCCTTTTTTTTGGATTGGATGGATATATGTGTGCTAGCTAGCATCCATTATGAGACGAATGATCTTGTGCTTTTTCGATCTAGAATCTGGGTGTTGGCTTGTCTGTAAATTGTGTACATGTGCCACATACCGAGGTAGGTACGTACCTATGGATGGATCAGGCGAACAGCCCGGTATCAACAGGATATATATCTGTGCTTTCAGCCTACCTAGGGACCTAGGTACCCGCCCCTAGGTCCCGGCGAGTGGCCGGCCGTGACTATTGGATAGGTAGGTATAGCCCGTAGGCAGGTATGATACCCGAACTGCATGTCTAGACCTATAGGTCCTACTCCCTAACTCACCATCCCGTCTGTCCCCTTTCTCGAAACGACCAGTCGCGCGGCACTGATACCCTGGCGTTCTAATTCTTTCCATCGAGAACACCGCATTCTCAGGCGTTCATCCTCATTTCAGCAGTTTTCACGAATCAATACCTCTTCCCAAGCAACCAATGCTCGTTTCCTTCCCGTTCCTATTTGATTCCCCGTGGCCTTGACTCGCTACGCTTTGCCCTCATACTCTCTTGTTCTCTTGCTCCAATTCGAGGTGTCATTCTTGCGCGTGTTCCTGGCACGGCGCATTCATGCATAATATTAATCTGGGGGTTGGTGGACTTGTTATTCTATTTGATGATGGGTTTTCTTTGTGGCTTGTATTTGTCGGATATCCCATTAAAAGCATTTCTTCCGTATCCTTCTTAGTTCTACTCCTGACTCGTTAGATGAACGTCGTAGTTCACGAGTACCGGTGCAGTAATGCTACGACTTGAAAGACCGTAGGTACTATCTCCAATATATTCTATTGAACTAGATACGCTATGAATGTGCCAGTAGCGTCCGACGACAGCAATACCTAGTCAAGCCCTCGGTCTGGAGTCTGAACATAGCCATCCAAGACAGCGGGAATGTTCCAGTCTGGCTCGAGCTTTCCCCGCAAAGAATGGGGCGGCGGGGCCGGTCCAGTATTGGAGTTCACCACCCTGAGCTGACCGAACAAGCACAGGTGCCATAGCCCGTGAAAGCAAGAATAAATGAGCAAGGCTGTCAAGGTCGACTCGGAGAATGGAGGTGATCACATGTTTCCATACACGTGCTTTGGGTCCGGATTGAAAAGGGAAGGCACCATCCACGCTCCTTCTCATTCGAGAAGAATTGCCTTCCAAATAAGGAAGGCACAACTCACCCTCCTTCTCGTTCAGTTCAGCCAGAGGAAGGGTATAAATACCCCCTCCTCATCTTCTTCTCTTTTTCTTTTCTTTTCCTTCTACACATCTCTTCCTCTTTTCCACCATTGCCATTCTTCTTCAGGTACCACACTATCTCAAGCACCATCAATCCTCAGGTACCATATACACATAAGTACCTCCCAACCTCAGGCCACCTACCTTAGGGACCTTCCTCATGACAAGATGCCATGGCATATGACACATGATGAAATGTTTGTTGTGATGGGTCGTGTCTCTCTACCTTGACTACTATTCCTATCCTCTCTCAACTATATGTCATGCTGTCCACACCTCGGGCATGGTTCTCCACCTCCTAGGTACATCTACTCTTATCCTTCCTCAACTCCATGTCATGCTGCCTCGACCTTCCCCAAGCCTTCAAGTTGCTTTGACTCTTCCATGGCTTGCTACTCTCCTCCATCGACTCGACTTCATCCACTTCGTTTTCCACATGTCAACGTCATCTTATCCACCTCCATTCAACCACTTCCACTCACCTATGTTCAGTCTTACCGTGGCGGGCCTCACGGCTTCAGGACAATCGGGAGACTGATATAGGCACCGCAACCACCCCATCGCAACCGCATCCACCTCGACACACCTATGTTCGGTCTTACCGTGGCGGGCCTCACGGCTTCAGGACAATCGGGAGACTGATATAGGCACCGCAACCACCCCATCGCAACCGCATCCACCTCGACACACCTATGTTCGGTCTTACCGTGGCGGGCCTCACGGCTTCAGGACAATCGGGAGACTGATATAGGCACCGCAACCACCCCATCGCAACCGCATCCACCTCGACACACCTATGTTCGGTCTCACCGTGGCGGGCTTCGGCTTCAGGACAATCGGGAGCTGATATAGGAAACACATCTACCCTACCACCTCCACTGACCTATATTCACTCTCACCGTGGCGGGCCTCATGGCCTCAGGACAATCGGGAGACTGATATAGGAACCGCAACCTTGGCCACCCCCATTAACCTATATTCAGTCTTACCGTGGCGGGCCTCGCGGCTTCAGGACAATCGGGAGACTGGATATAGCAACCGCAACCACCCCACCGCAACCGCATCCATCAATATCTTCTCTCTCGATCATCTGCTACTAAATGCAATCCGCCTATCCATCAATTGGGGCTTCCCATATTAGCTCTTACACCCACCTTCATATCGACTCTCTCAACATGCTGTCTGCCATGCCCATTATCATAGTCATCTTGCAGTCTTTCTTTGTCTTCAACCAACCGCCATTAACCACCATCCACCAAACTGCCCATTCAGGCCTCCAAATATTATCTTTGACCGTCCACTACTGAAAACAATCATCCCTCTACCTTTATCCACCAGCAACTTGACACTGCAATCGACGCATTCGTCCATGGCCTTCATAATCGTCATGTCATCTACAACTCGCCACCACAACCAACTAGCCTGTCCACACCGGTCTTCAATCATCCACCCTGTTCATCAACCGCCTACTCAATACCTATATCCTTACATACCATCATCACCCACCATTGACCGTCCGACCACATCTTATCCACGTACCTACGAATCTTTTCGACTTGGCCTTTCTGACCACTCACTGCCAACGTCATTGACCAACAAGCCCTCTGGCATCCGCATCGACTGCGAGTAATTCACACTGTTAAACAAGAAGGTTCAATCTTCTTACCATCCTGACCATCCGCGACAAACCACCGAGAAGCATCATCCTCCTCCTGAGAGCCTTATGCATTCTAGCAGCCACCTAGTTAATATTGGTTGTGCTGCCACCAAAGAATCTCTACATTCCGATAACCGGTCAAAACATCGATCATCCGCACCCATGGGCCTCCCAGTATCATAAATTCATGAGTACCTGTTGTCTACCACGCCCAGCGATGACTCTTTGGCTCCTTAATTCTTGCATCTCTGCTTATCTTGACCACCAACCACCATTGACCATGCAACCCATTTATCTTCGTCTTTGCGGGCTTGCTCAACGCCATCCATAAACACCATCGTTCAATGGTTACCCACGTGTTGATCATCATCTCGATAACATGCCCGTGGGCTCTCTACCATCCGCCGTGCCTCCGTGCATCATGGCAACCACCTACAATTACCCACCACGCTGCAACTCTCGGGGATGAACCATATCCTCAAATCTCAAATTTACACAGTACTTCTTCACACAACAAGCCACCAGATATGGTCTCACAAAGCGCCTGGTCCACTGCTGTCTACCTATCAACCCATCACGGTCAAACCAGCAATGAAAGTGACCTTCAACGAGTCACATTCTCAGGTTCTTCATACGGATGCCTTCTTTCCCTCCACCTCCCTTTCTCTCGGCGCCTCTACTCTCAGGAGATCTGTGCCTACATAAGAAACTTCAGGTAGCTGAACAAATCATACAATTTACTCAGTCCATTATCTGCTCTTACAGTGTATTGGCTTTGGACCACGCAATTCCGACTTGACTAACTGTATATCCTGATTTCAGTCTTGTCACTACCTCAGTAACACAAACTTTCATATCATCCACGACCATGTCGATAGGTTCAATGGATCATGGAAGCTATGCCCAAACCAGTCCTACCTTTCCATTGACATTACCGCTGCGTCATTGAACAGACCTATAGATGGAAAAGGTTCACACAGCAGATAAAGACCTAAATGAACGCATCCAAATCTCAATTCTCAACTCCATATATAGATCAGATGACAGGAATAATAGTACAAATGCAAAGAGCGGAAAAATGCTGTATACTTTACATGCTTTCTCTCCTCCGACTCAACCCTTCACCTTCTTATTGGGTCCCTTGTTCAAATTCCCACTCCCACTCAAATCCTCATAAACAATCCCCTGCTGTCTATCCTTCCTCCGCTCCTTCTGCCTATGCATCCTCCCCTGCTTCGCCATCTTCTGCAATCTAGCCAAATACTCCTTATTCCTCGAATTAACACCCTCCTCATCCTCAGAGCGCTCGAAAATCAACCGTCTCCTACGCTTGCACATGCGCAGAATATCATTTCCACGCTTGACATCCATCTCATCGAGCTCGTAGTCGACCGTCCATTTACCCTGCGCGCCTAGACGATTGGGACGTTCCACGGGCTCGCCGTTGACTTTGTTGGTTATTTTCAATGTCATGGCGAGGAGGTCTTCGAAGTATTCGTCTTGCTCGGCTGGTGTGTCGACTTCGGTTTCTGGGGAGGTGGATGATTTCTTGGACATGTTTTCGAGGTATTCTTCTAGTTCGATGTCTTCGGATTCGTGGGTTTCAGCGTCTAGGTCGACTTCGGCTGGGGTTTCGGGGTCGAGGTCTGGGTCGATTTCGACTTCGTGTTCAGCTGAGGGTTCTGCGTCGAGGTCTGATTCACCTGCTGAGCTTCCATGATAATCTGTTGTTTCTGGGGCGTCTGAAGGATTTTTAACCGTTGAAACCTAGATCATATATAGCCTGGCAATGAATCTCTACACTAAGCAATAGCACTTTGAGAGAAATTTGTTATTGCATTCATACCGAAATCGGACCTCTTTAATAATTATTTGCACAGAAGGAAGCTTGTTGGCGTGGATAAGTAACGTAAGAAGCAAAGGGCCCCAGAAACAAAAGCATATTAGAGCCACGCCGAGAGCCCGAGATCGGGCCATTATTATAAATACCGCGAGTGGAGGACGCCAGCACGCAAGAAACCGAGAGTAGTAAGAGTAAGACGGGCTTTAGACAAGAACAAAGAGAAAGAGAAAGAAGAAAGCCGCTCTTATCAGAAGGGGAGGTTGACCCGGGGCGGCGGGATAAAGCCAATAGCCAGGGCCATATGAGGTATGAGCAGATCCGTTCGATTGAGTAGATGCGGAGTAGGAATCGTGTCTTGGTTGCATGGCAAGGGGTATCATGGTCATAATTAACAGTTACTGTCAATTGTCTCCTGCTGTGGGGCCGAAGCCAGGGAGAAAGAAGCTTGACAGCCAAGCATTGTAGTGAAGCTTGAAGTATTTGAGCTCTTTGGCGAGAAGAATTAGAGTCGGAAGGTCGAAGGAAACGCTGGGTTGGTATGCCAAAGGATAGCCAGATCCCAAGCAAGAGAAGGAAGTCGTGTCTCAATTCACTGTTTACCAGATAGCACTTCTTCCGTAATAAAAGAATGGATGTGCTCAAAATAGCCTGGCTCAGCAACGGAGTCGTTGTGGCCGCCGTTCGGGAGTGTGCGCCAGACCTTAGTTTCGGCATTGCAAACCGCATACAACTGGGTCATATTTGACGGGCTAGGGGAAGTTAGTCATGTGGAGATCAAGTGTGGAATAGAGACATACGGAACAAGCTCGTCCTTAAGTCCACTCATGAAAAGCACTGGAGTCTTGGTGATCTTTGGTAGCACATCTTCACTGTTCCAATATTGGTGACAGAACCGTGCAAGATACCGTGCGGGGGGAAAGACGCTGAAATCAAGTTAGCATTTCTGACTGAGAGCCATATGACGAGTCCAACATACTTCGGAATCAACTTGCGAATACTTAGGAAAGTGTTCTCTAAGATCAGTCCTGCAATATCACCTTGATCCTCATTGGTAGCAACCAGATTGATGGCCACAGCACCACCGAGACTTTGTCCATAGACAACAATATGGGTATCCCTGGTCTCTGGGCGCTGGCGCAGGTAGTCAAGACCAGTCTGAGCATCTATCTTAATGCCGCCTTCGTCTGGTGTACCCGTTGACATCCCGTAGCCGCGGTATTCGAGCATGAACACATTGCACTGAAGCGTATCCTGCAAAGCTTTGGCAATGGGGACGCGATGTCCGATGTTGCCTGCGTTTCCATGGAACATCAGAATCGTTACATTGCGAGCGGAGCGGCTTGGTCGTTGGCGTAGGAACAAGGCGTGTAAAGACTCTCCGTCGGGGGTGGGGATCTGAAGGTCTTCAAAGTTGGTAATACCAAATTGGCGAGGGCTGGGGACATTCGTGCGTGCATCCACAGGAACATTGCGGGGGTAGATTAGTTCACTGGGCGAACTGGTCAGTTTCGATAAACAAATGTCTTAGATGCGAGTAGCGTACTTTTGCTTGAAGTATAGGAGCCCACTTGCAACCACAGCCAGACCAGAGGAAGCGAGGACCGGAAGCCGCATGAATTGGGCAGCACTGTTGGCCATGTTGCCGATACTCCAAGGAGGAGGCGAAGGAGATTCAGACATGACGCTCGAGTCGGGGCCCTTAGAGTGGGGACCTGATAGCGGATGTGACAAGATGAGCTGTGAGAGGTTCTGATATTGCGAAGTTATCGACTAGCAGATATGATCAAGGCAGCCAGACATGAATACAGCAAGATAAACAACCAACACCAGAGGTGAAGAGTAAATTGAGCTTCAGGAGTCTTGCGGGGAGAGAGATGATAAGTCGATCGCAGGGGCTGGGGCTCACCGCCCGAGCTGCCGCGTTGTGAGCTTCTGCCTGTGTTCATGATAGCATCACCTCTACTTCTTCCCTTACCTCTTCCTTGCCGTTTTTCTGATATATTGAAGCCACCTTTTCTTTACTTTCTATTGCATTTTGACCTCAGCACAAAATGGTCGCCCCGCACGGAACGTCAGGAATGCTCGGTGAAGGTGAGCAGAGCTATCGTCATCCGCCGACAGCACAGCTAACATGTCTAGATGGCATTCACGTCGACATGAACCACTTGAAGTCTGGCGAGGTCAAGTAAGCGAATTACCAATGATACCATCGTTATGAATATATTGGGCCTCTGCTAACCTATTCTTCTTCAATCAGTTTGGGAACCTCGATGTGAGTTGAGCTAGAGCTCTCGAACCGTGCCATCTCCAGAATCCCCGTTAACCTTTCAATAGCATGGCTATCAACTTCAAAGATGGAGTCATTCTTGGTGCAGATAGCCGAACAACCACCGGTGCCTACATTGCCAACCGAGTCACCGACAAATTGACACAGGTGCACGACACCATCTGGTGCTGCCGATCGGGTTCCGCCGCAGACACCCAGGCCGTGGCCGACATTGTTTCCTACCATCTCAACATGTACGGCGTGACGAACGCCGAGGCCCCGACCACACAGGTTGCCGCATCGCTCTTCCAGGAATTGTGTTATGAGAACAAGGACGCATTGAGGTTTGTACCCCAGACTCTACGCTCATGGCTCGAAAATCATGCTGATTGAACAACAGTGCGGGTATCATTCTTGCCGGATGGGATGCACGACATGGAGGTCAGGTATACTCGATACCGCTGGGAGGATCCCTTCACAAGCAGTCATTCGCTATCGGCGGTTCAGGCTCGACCTACATCTACGGTTATACCGATGCCCACTGGCGGGAACAGATGACAGAGCAAGAGGGTATCGACTTTGTGCGGAGTGCTTTGCAAGAGGCCATCAAGTGGGACGGTAGCTCTGGTGGTGTCATTCGTCTGGTGGTCCTGACCAAGGCGGGCGCCGTGAGACATCTCTACCTGCCGGACAACGGCTACACTGGGCCGGGTGTGACAAATTAAATAAGCGTTCTAATATTGCGTCAATCGCCAAATGAAATGGTTTCATGATCCTCGAAGTCGGTCTTCACATGGTTCTTGGCATCCCCAAAGGTCACGTATATTGTGTTTGAAAGCCAATATGACAAGTCTGGGCCCTTGTACCGCATAAGCCCGATGCAGGATCGGGCTATGCAGGGAGACAAGTCCGGGGTACGCAGGTCAAGTAGATGAATCGGAAATGTTCGGCCAGGCTATTGGATATATGCTGGAGAAGGACTCTAGCCGTTCAGGTGTATATGTCCTGGTGTAATACATCACAGGTTCTGTCTAGACCATGGGCTATAGTAGGACATGTCATATACATCTCACATGCAGTTACCCAAAACGGTGGCTATTCATAGTAAGGATCATGTACTCCAATATAAACCAAACCACAGGCCTAGGCATATCTACGTCTCGACTCTTTGGGGAATCGAGAGGTAAGCTTTGTCCCGAAGCTATTACCTTCCATGATGAAGCGCTCAGACAGAACACGGGCGCGTAGATTGTCTTCTTATTCGTCGATATAAAACAGACCAGTATATAAGAAGTCTACAGTCTACACCGTCTTTTATGGGGAAAGTCAAGAGGTAAATAAGTCTGAAGTGGTCTACTTAGTTATTATCTCTTTGGTTTCTCTCACTTCTTTCTCATCTTTCATGTAGAGCAAATAGCTAAGCTGAAGGAATACGAATTTTGCTTGTTTCATCTCTCAGAACTCTCTGACCTCACCTCCTGCCCATTTCACACTCCTCTCCCCAAGATTACGTACCCTGTCCTTTACTCGCTTCCCTACGGAGTACTATTGACTATTCTCCTATTTCTTTTCTTCTTATCACTCTCGTTGCAATGGTCTCGATCGGCAGTCGCTGATCTTGCCATACCTTCGCTTTCTCCCACTCTGTTCGAGACCGGGGGGTTTCCTTGATCTGTGCTCTAGTCTCTCTTAGTGCATAATCCAAGTAAGTATGAAAGTACCCCCTCCCTCTCCTTAAACGTGTTATGCCTTAGTATCATCCACCTTCCTCGGTTTGTTTATATTGTGGCGACACCTCCGCGGCTGCGACCGCCTTGCTGACCGGCGTTCCCGCAGAAACATAGGACATGGGCTCCGTCGTCCTCCACCACGTGTCGGATCAAATCGACAAGATGATAGGCGCAGTCAATCCGGATTCGCTCTATTCTTCACGCGCCTCGTCCCAGCCACTGGACTCTCACTCGAGGTCGACATCCGCCTCCAACACCCCCACCTCTATTGCCCCACCGTCCGTAGGCTCTGCCCGGCTTCCTAACGATGTACCGGCTTACATCGACTACACACCTTCAGCTTCTACACGCGCTCCTTCCACCCCCTCCTTCACTCCGCGACCGCCTTCAATGACGTCTCATTCTACCTTTTCTCCGGATCGTAACTCAACCGCCCCTCAGAGCCACTCGGCCATGGCCGAGTCCATGGCGAGCAACTCGTACTCGTCTAATCAGTCCATGGCGAGCAACTCATACTCCTCTAATCAGTCCGCGCCGGATTCACCACGGCTCCAACCCACATATCAGTCCATGCAGTCGGTGCCAGGCTCCGCAGCCAATTCGCCCAGCCGCATTCGCGTTCAAAGCTTGTCACATATCCAGAGTCTTGCCAGTGAGGACGTCCTAGGGCCGAGCTCACACTCCCCGGGAACTGGATCGCCCCAACGACAATACGAGATTAGCTCCATGCCGGTCACGGAGATCATCGAGATGGTCGCTGGGCTGTTGACCAAGATCACGACCGCAAACGATACGCATCATGAACATGTACATCGCCACATCCCGCCCCCCGAGGGCACTTCCAACCTCAGTCCCCAGGCTACCAGTGTCCTCGCATTCCACGGCAAGAACGTTCCGAGCATTACAATCCTGAGCTATTTGACTCGGATTCACAAATACTGCCCCACAACCTACGAGGTCTTTCTCAGCTTGCTGGTCTACTTTGACCGCATGACCGAGCTTGTCAACCGTGGACAGCTCGACAACCTATACCAGCGTTGGGACTCTTCCGAGAGACCTGCCGCTTCACCTGCTGCAACTGAAGTGCCGGGAGGATACGATCGGCAGGACACACACATGGCGACTCCTCCTAGCTCGACAGGCCTTCCTGCGCAGGAATCGCAGGGGCCAAATGTTCCCGATTCACCTGATTTCTCACCTCAGTCAGATGCCGAGGCCCTTTCACATTTCTTCGTCGTCGATAGTTTCAATATTCATCGACTAGTTATAGCGGCCGTGACCTGTGCGAGCAAGTTCTTCTCCGATGTGTTCTACACCAATTCACGTTATGCAAAGGTATGTAACTCTTATTCCCTCGGATTTGGGGTCTTGCGACTTATTGAATCGGCAGGTTGGCGGTCTTCCACTGGCGGAGCTCAACCACCTGGAACTGCAGTTCCTCCTTCTCAACGACTTCCGACTGGCTATCACCGTCGAGGAGCTCGAGTCCTACGGCACCATGCTCGTAGAGTTCTATGCCCGGGAGGTTGTCACCCAACAACAGCAGCACCAAGGCAGCCTCCCCCGCCCGATCGAATCCCCGGCACCTGACGCATACTCTGACGCTATGTACATGCGATCCCGCGAAAAGCCTCGCGAGCGCGCCGGATATGGACAAACTTCAACTCCACCGTAGTCCATCCGTCCAGCATAGGAGTTTGTTTCTTGCCTCGGCATCATGATTCATTCCCCACAGTGCATGATTCACCCATTGGCATTCTTGTCTTCTTTCTTATACATCGCCCCGTTGAGCGTTTGCTTATTCTCATTCTGCACTCGAACTTGTATCCATTTTCTGATTCCCGGCGTTTCATACCATTTTCCCCGTCCACCTTCGCCCACGCATTGCCATGACACCTCTCTGGATCTGTTTTACCGCATTTACACTCTCACGACTTGTATAGAGTTTTGGTTCTCAGCTGGCCGGGCTGATCGGGTTGTCTCTTTCAACTTATTCCCCCTTTCTGCAACATACAACATCTACTCCGTTTTCCTTAGGGGCGAGTTATCGTTGTCTTCTCTTACATGGGTCGGCGTTATGCTGGCGCTTCTTGCATCGCGAGTCCTTTTACCGGATCACTTTTCTTGCTTGCTTAGGGATACTCTTGAATTACTCTCTAATTGCCTGATTCCGTCTTATGGCTTTTCCGTGCTGTTGCCATAAATCCATCCATTTAGTTCGAAGAGGTATTCCTGGAAATGAGACAGACATTCAATAAGTTGATTCTCTAAATTTGAGCTCTTCACAGGCACGCAATGAATCAGGTTATTCAGAAACACAAGATGAAAGACCAACTCATACACCGGAGTCACATATATTCTGTCTGACATTCAAAGTCGACAAACCTGCAGGACGCACTATCCCTCATTATAAGACTGGCAGCTTATCAAAGAGGAGAGGTGGAGAGAGAAAGGGAAGTAAAACCTCCTCAGAATACAGACCGGTGTCTGGAGTACTCTCCTCAGCCTAGCTAAGGATGTTCCCTAGACACTGACAGGCGTGCAGCCTGGAGGAAACCAGTCCTAAGAACTGCGTGCAGTGCCAGGTTTAGACATCATCTAAACTTTCCCAGGCAGATCACAGCCAAGGCCCAACTGTTTTGGAAATCAGGCTTCTGCCAAGTTGTTGACAGACTCCTCTCTCGACGCCCTGCAGTCAAGGATGTTCTGTTTGTTCATCACGAGCGGCGATGTCATCCAAAGAAGCTGCTGTCGGAGCTTGGATCGTAAGTCTTGCTGGGTAAGAGTTTACCAGGGCCCGTATTCGGATGAAATGGAGTGACATGATTACGGGGGTTGTGAGGTATCATTTTGCGATTGGATATGGGCGAATATTACAGGGATCAACTCTCACCTGGCGGGTCAGGGTCTCATCATCTCATGCCTTCCTTCTTGCAAGTTGCCACAAGACTGCAAAACACCAAGATAAAGAACACTGTATGGGTCCACAAGGCTGGTACTGTGATCTCTAGGCTCTAGCGTTGGGTGGACCGGGGACCTGTCAGTGCCGAAATTAACCAATTTGAGAAGTATCACTGACCGAGGTCTGACTCTGACCATTGACACTGTTCTCTACAGTCACCAGTCTTTATGATCGTGAGATATTTACAAGCACAATGCCTCCGGGGTCGTCGTCAGAATCAGGTTGGGCACGTGTGTTGTTCCTAGAAAGATGCACGTGATTGACGCTGCTCCGGGCCCGGCCCCCTGTAATGGAGACCCACTTCACTTTGATCGGAATACTAGAGCTACGAACAAGATCAAGTGATTCAAGTCTACTGTGTAAATGAATACCCAAATAACAGCCAAAAGTCTATGTGTCCAGAAGCCCAAGGCCAAGGCCAAGATGAAGCCAGAAAGACCCGCAACCTAGGCATAAATCGATTCAACCTCGAAACTGCTCCTATGCTACTAATGGCCAGGTCACCAGGGGCCAGGGAAGCTCGCATTGGGTCGAATGTCGATGACCTTACCTCTTGAGCTACTCTACTAGGACAGCAAAAGCTCAGGCTCAGTCATTTACAGTGAGAGACGATCACCTGGCACATCGGAAAGGAGTTTTCCATTTCTGTTGTACATGTTGAAGCATAGATACGACCACCTCCTTCAGCCCAGTCTCACCCTCTCTTCTCCATCTCCTTCACACTGTATGAATCGCATGTCTCTGCCCATAAGTTTCTGTGGTCAGCATGCCGAAGTAATGTACAGAGGAACGGAGTCATACTCACATGGTTGGGGGAAACACCACACGACTCTGTCTGCCTTCCGCACGTTCACAAACAGAGACATTCGATCGATTCGAGTTGTGACGACGGTACGGCCGACCACCTATGATAGATTCCCATGTCAGCTCACAGATATAGGGAAGATACTTACCCCCGTCGCCAACCAATTGAGCTACAACATGCCCCGCTGCCTTCCGCACGTTCACAGACAGAGACATTGGATCGACCGGAGCCGCGGCGACAATGGCCACCAGCCACCTACGAGTGATTCTCATGTCAGCGCACAGAAGCATCAGATGTAGGAAAGATACGTACCCCCGTGGCCATCCAATTGAGCCTCCCCACGCTCTGTTGCCTTCCGCATGTTCACAGACAGAGACGTTCGATCGGTCCGACCCGCGGCGGCGACACCCACCAGTCACCTGTAATTCATCCCAGTCAGCGCACAGAAGCATTCGAGTCCAAGGGGAGACTTACCCCCGTCGCCACACAATCAGGCCACCACGCGTTCTGCTGCCTTCCGCACGATCACAGACAGAAACGCTCGCCTTCGGTCTATACCTAGAGAAGAGAAAGGGTAAAGGGTAAAAGTAAAGGGTAAGTATATTAAAGGGTAAAACTAAACGGCAAAATGCAAAGCAAACGGCAAAAGCCTCGGATCAAGAACGAAACGCAACGACAACAAGCACGAAATGAGATTTTTTGGGGTTTTGTGAGTTTTCGAGGAAAAGCAAACGGCAAAAGCCTCAGAACAAGACAAAACAAAACAGGAACAAAAGAGAAATGAAGAATGAAGTCCTGACTTACCTCTGTGGATGGTGTGCCGACCCATCAGGATCTGGTACATGCCCCAACGATGAACAGGAACGCGAGTCCGGCGAGCAAGGCTGGCGCAAGTCTTGGGACGATGAAAGCCAGCACAAACAACCCCCAGCAGAGGTGGTTGATCCAGGAGTGGGCCTGTGGCCCAACCTGGCCGCGTGTCTGGACGACCACGCGTGAACCTCCATCCTCTGGTGGAGGATTGAATGTGACTGGCACTTCCAAGGGCTTGTGGACGGGCGTTGGGGGCGGCGTATCGGTCGATCCATCGAGTTCTGACAAGACTTCCAGGAGCGCACTCATGTCGAATGCGCCGATGTCTTCAGCCTCCGCCTTGTCGAGCGAGGTGACCTCACTCGAACAAGGCGGAGAGACATCCCTGGCTGGAATGAGTCTCACCTGCTCGAGGTCCGCATCATCCGGGAAGTGCACAGACTTCCGGACGAAGGGCTCGTCAGATGGGAGCTCATCCAGGTCCTCATCCACGCGGATCAGACAAGACTTCAGGGGAGGGGGCGGACGAAAGAAGAGGGGGGAGGAAGAGAGACGGGGGGAGGAAAAACGGGAGGAAGAGAGGCGGCGGGCGGAAGAGAGACGGAGGGAGGAAGAGAGACAGGAGGAGGAAGAGAGAAGGGAGGAGGGACAACGGGGGGAGGGAGAGAGACGGGGGGAGGAAAAACGGGAGGAAAAGAGGAGTTCATCGTGAACGTGATAATCAACTGCAGTGCAAATGAAAATAGCCAGTGGCAGTGGGGAGGGGAGAAAGGAGAAAAGAAAGCAGAGATTCAGACGAAAGGGCGGGAATAAGTATTGCTTGGGACAGTCCATGGCAACGAGCAAGTAAACAGGAAGTGACAACGAACTGAAGGTATACCAAGGTAGGTGTGGTGGTGACCATGGAATCGCCATGGACAAGTGGTTAGGGTAAGGTAACCACGACTTCGCCGGGGCAGGAACCATCAGATATGGATTGGAACATCTATATTAAGTAAACATGAAACTACAAGGTAGTTAGATATGAGGGTGCCCATGTAAAAAAAAGCGCCATAGAGAACCGAGTAAGTAGGGCAAGAAACAGAGAAGTTTTCACCTGGGCAGAAACAGCTACATGGTTCAGCAATGATGAAGCTATACAAGGTGCCAGGGTGGCAATGGTACCGAAGTAGTAAGGGCAAGAGGATATGAAATCACGGTGTCTCCAGGCAGGAACATCTATACATCGATTGTGTAAACATCAAGCTATACGGGGATAGGTAGGTGTGAGGGTGGCCATGGAACCAGCTCATGAGGGCAACAACAAAAGGGAAACTACGACTTCGCCAGGGCAGGAACATCTACTGGGTACGTGGTTGAGTAATTATGAAGCCATAGAAGGTGTGATGGTGGCCATGGTAACGAAGTAGTCAGGGCGAGGAAACAGGAAACAACCTACGTCGTCGGCGGATCCAGGGCAGGAACATGATAACATCTATAGGTTGATTGAGTAAACATCAAGATACATGGAAAGTAGGTCACTGCAGATGTGAGGATGGTCATGGAAATGGAGAAATTAGGGCAACAACAAAAGGAAACTACTACAACCTCACCAGGGCAGGAACATCCATACGAACTAAGGTAGATAGTCTCACAGATAGTTATCTTCCACAGACCCTTGGAGGTATAGAACCTTGCCATAACCAGAGGACGCCCCGCTAGATTGCTAGGTCGGCCGATGCGTAGTTGATATACTTGTACACCTTATTGGTCAAGCGTGATGTATTTACTGATATGCCGAGCAACTAGTACCTACGCAGTGTATACGTTTCCGCGATGTCTTATGTATTGTGACCCAGAGCCGTACCTGAGCCCTAACCCGGGTCCGTCGGACCTTACCCATAACCATCATAATCATGCACCGGGAGATCGCCGACAGGAAGACTGGATTCGAGCTCCTAGCGTCTGCAGCAATGGGCAATGGGTACCACTACATTATGTATCACGATATTGAATGCTTGAGACCATGATTTTGATTTATTATGCTCAAATTTCGTAACTGAGATTTGCTTTCAATCCCAAGCCAAAGGCGTATGAAATGAAAATCTCAAGGAAGACGCACTGAACCCCGCCCGATCAGAAAAGAAACCCAGAAAGCTAAGGCCCAGAAAGAAAAGGAAAACAAAACATTATTGTATGTTCATGAATCGAGTGGCGCAATGCATGAAGGAGATACAGAGCGTATTTCTCACATCTGCATGGCCTCATCACCATCGACATCCGCTCCACCGGGTATCCGCCCCTCGTTAAGTTCCTTCTCCAATCTCGTGATCTCCTGCAAACTCTTGGCTTCGCGGATCAACTTCTCAACACGCTTACGTTCCTTGTCGGTGAGCTGTACACGAACCCCCTTCTCAGCGGGCGCGCGGTCACTCGGGGCGGAGACGTCGAAAGTGCGAGACTTGACACCCATGATCTTTGACGCAGCGGATGAGGGTTCCTCCTCGGTGCCAAAGAGCTCTTTGGCCGTTTTGCGTTCAGCATCCTTCACCTTCTGGAAGTCAAGGAAGCGGACAGAGGGGATACGCCAGATGACCCAGTAGCGGTAGTTCTGTAGGAATTGGTTAGCCTGGAACTTAGTCCGGCGGTGGCATGACCAATAGACGGAGAGCAGAACGAACCTCTTTGCGTGTTAATGGGTTTTCCAGCAGGGACAAATGCGTCAATCGCCCCAAGTTCCGTAGCGGATCTAGATCCGCTAACTCGGACAGATGATTCGCAGTCAGGACCAAAGTCGTCAGGTTAGGCACTGAAGTTGCTAGCGCCGGTTGGATATGAGTAATGCGATTGCGGGCGAGGAGAAGAGTGCGGAGGCGAGGGAAATGGGGGAAATTCCCGAGGGAGGAGATATCGTTGTCGGTGAAGTCGATCGCATCTTGATCCTGGGAGGTGTTAGCATCGGATTTGGAACGGATTGTGAGTGCAGAATGGAATCCCATTCAGCAGAACAAGCCACAAATGGCACTAAGGAGGAATTGGGTCACGGAGGGGTTTGTTCAATAAAACAAAGCACTTACTTTGGCAGAACCTAAGTTCTCGATTGCGGGGATCTTGTGACCTATACGACCACGCAAAAAGACGACATGAATCCAGCTCTTTATCAAAAGCGCAGTACCTGTTCTTTTCAGGTATGTGTGTAGTGAGGGTACGCACCTCGGAGATCCAGCTCGCGGTCTGTGAGCGGGTTGATGTATGTTAGGGAATTTTGAATGAGCTCAACGGTCAAGCGCATGATGGCGGTAGTGGCTGTTGCCGAGAGCTGTGGGTGAGTTGGAAAGTAAGGTCTATCGCGACGGCATAAGTGTAGGAGGTTAGAAGTGAATTGGACAAGCTCGTTAAATCAAGGTCAGGAATGAATCGGAAGCTACTTGCGCCAGTTTCTCTCTACATCAATTTTGCCAGGCGGTGATTCACGTGATATCACGTTGGCCGCAAATATTGGCGTCGCCGCGTCAATGTTGATGGCTGTTTTAGGTCAAAGACCGTGTACATACATGTGCTTATACGGCTCTAATATCCTTGCTATCGGAGAGACAGGCACTCTTTGGAAATATATTAAATCTATATGCAGAACAAAATTGTCAATCGTTGATGGTACACTTCTCATTACGTGTCAATCACCCGCCAGATGACTAGTCGTCAGAAGCACGGCCAAGAACAAAAAAGGTACTCCAGAGCACGGGGTTTGAATATGATATTAAGAATCGAAAGCAGACAGCCACAACTGAGGCGCTTCAATAGAAAGATGAACTCCGCCATGTGATGAACAGGACAGCGCCGAGATGAATCGACGTATGCCAAACAATCGAACTCCAAATGAAAATGCGATGTGGTAGTGATTATGCGTGATGTGGGTCGTATCAGTCGTCTGCCAGGGGCGTCATGCTGGGTGATTTTTGGCCGTGAGATCTTGTCGGACTGCCGGTTCTTGATCGACGGCCATTGGTAGTAGGGCCTAGGGCGATGGGAGCCAGATGGTCCCTGCTCTCTGTCCTAACCACCAAGCCTGCTCGATCCATCGCGATGCCCGAACCGTTACTGCCCCCGCTGATCCCAAGCCCAATGGTTCCGGTCGAAGTATTGTCGAGCGCGTATTTGAAGCTGGGGGTATTGCTGTTGCTGCCCCAGCTCGACGCTCGCTTGGGCGGTCCCAATTTGGCCGAGCCCGCCTCGGACAGACGTCCACCATCCTCGCTGCCGTCGGACTCAATCGTACCGAGATCGTATTCTTGAGCACCGTCCTCAAGGACGCGCTCATAAGTGGCGCTTCGGCCAAGGAATGGTAGTATTTTCTTGATTCCCTTGCGTTTCTTCGGATGATTGGGATGGGATGGGCCCCCGCGACGCAGCACATTACTGACATGGTTGAAGACCCGCGACCGACGGCTACGTCCGCATAAGAAGAAACCGGCCATGACAATAATGAGCATGAAGAGGACAAAGCCTGGGATCCGGCGCGGAGAATCGCCGTCGAAAAGTGCATCGTGCCAATGCTCACTGTGGAAGCCGTCTGCATCTGGTAGCAGCTGAACGCTAGGATACTGGAAGTCGTCCGGGATACCCTGAACGTTGCTGCCAAAGCCCACTGGAAGAGCTTGCTCGATGTCCAAGGGCACCTGAGAAGACGCATACAAGACGATCTTGCCCAGAGTCCAGCTCACTTCGGTCGAGTCAATCTTGTTGACCGCCTGGAAAGCATCGAGATAACCCTTTTCTTTTCCGTGAGCCAGGACTTCTTTGGTGCCGTTGTGCGTAGAGCTAGTTGTGTCCTCCAACCCTATGCGAGGTACTCCGATGCCATCATGTAGCATATTGATGATCCATGATGCCTTGAAGCAAACCTCGTGGGCCTTTTGCCGATCAATCTTCTTTCCCCATTTATGCTTTTCGAGTCCACGCTCAATCGAGTCCCAGTCCTGAGAGCAGAACGAGTCTACTCGTTCTTGATACGTGTTGAAATCGTACGCTTTATCTTTGTGTCCCATCTCGAAGATTTCGTGAGTGGTGTGCCAGTATTCGCTTATTCCGATGAAATGGTTGACATCAAAGTCAATAGCTGGAACGTGAATCCCGTTTAGCAGGCATGGATCATCTGCACAAGGGGCATCCTTGTCCAGCAATGGGAATGTCTGGCGAAGACATTCGTCGAATTTTCCCGTGCCCAATAGATACGGTTCCACCTCATTTCCTGATACATCTTTGCCGTCAAGTGCGGTCCGCAGCCCACTTGGAAGACAAGGATCAGGCAACTCTTTCACACTCGGCCCAGCTGCCGTTTGCATAGCCTCAAGATAGCGTCTTCGGGCTTCGTGAACCCCAAATTCCAGCCACGAGGTGACAAATACTCTGTGCTCTTGGGTCGACCCATCAATATTCCGCAACCGCAACAGTTTTAGGTCTTCGGCATGTTTCTCGGCTTCTGTAGCATTCGGCGCAAACGCAATCTGAGCTGACGCGCCTCCCATATCTAGGAACCCGTAGGTGTTATGTCCCTTCCCATGGTCGTGTTTTTCCGGCGCGTCAAAGGCCCCCATGAGATAGTTCGTCGCAATCCATCCATATAATCCCTCAGTCACGCCGGGGATCACCTGGATGTGAGCCCCGCAATCTGGCAGCAGGAAATCTGAGTTGTGACGGGCAAAAGAGCAAATCTGATCCAAAAGTATTTGTCGCTCGAGGTTTCCCAGCAGGCGCATGCCCGCAGTTGCAAGGAGGAAGATCGGGGTATCCTTAGCATCTTCAGCTGGAATGATGCTCTTAGCGTGGTCCAATAGTTCTGCGAGGTGATCGGGTCCAATCAATTCAGGTTTGTGGGCGAACGAAGAAACACCTTTTGCGTGTATTGGTTAGCGCTGATGATGTGGAGGATTGACATTGATTCGGGGCAAGGCTCACCAGGTCGTATCTTCTTCGTCCAGGCCTCCTTCGTTTTGATCTCTGGTAACGATTTCAACTCCTCCGGGCCAGCTTTCTGGCGTGCGATCGGATTGCGTAGCCACTGGTAAACGTGTACGCGAGTCCCCTGAGCAGTTGGTTAGTCGCATGATTCCGAGGTTCAAATCCAACTTCGACATACAGACGAGCCTGCGTCCAGGACAACACCATAGCGCCCTAGTAGTGAGGTCAGTTGGTTGCATCTTCCGAATCGAAGGTGGGACCGCATACATTTGCCCATTTGGACTCGTGATTATTCGCAGATCATGACAAACTTGTAAACAATAAGTATTTGGAGGACAATGCCTCGATGAGAAGGCGTGTTCTAAGCGTATGTAAACGAATGACAAGAAGTAAAGACACTTCCAAGGTTGAAGAGAAGAGAGAGCGAACCAGCAGAGCCAAGAAAGAGAAAGATAAGGAGAGCCAGAAACGGCCTGGACGCGACGACTGGGGGCGGTACAAAACGTGACGGGCCGACTGGGAGAGTCTAGTGGCGAAAAGGGGGACGAGGCCCGTCCGCATTAGGGAAAGGACGGTAAGTTATCTGTAAGATAACCAACCCTGACCAAACTATCTTTTTTTCATTACGAACGTCGTTATTTACAATATTCCCAGTTCATTTGTAAGGTTGAATTGACTGAAATAGTGAAAAGTATTGAGATCGAGCATCTATGCAATAAATATAGTTATCAAATATATTGAAGTGTCACGCACATCATGCGTCTAGGCGGGTCTCACGGCAGAGATTGAGCATGGTTTATTTTAATCTTGACAGGGACGGGTTCCACTTAAGTCGGGGATCCATTTCCTCGACCCCATGGACTCTTCTCTGTTATTGTGCTTGACACCTGGACAACCTCTGACATTCCCCTTTCTGCTTACACAGTATATCGTATACTATATCGTATACTATATCGTATACTATATCGTATATACTAAATTGGATTGTTCGGTATGGAAATTGCATCCATTTCACTATCTCACACAGGGCTTACGCTAAATGGCTTAGCGTATGGTAGGTATACGTCAGCGTCCCCCCCAAATCCCCCTTTACCCCCGTGAACCCGGTCAAGGAAGCCGACGCTAAAATCCATTGCGTCACTCTGCGGTCTGAGTGTCGATGAGCTTGGCTATTTATCCAACACATTATTGCGTCTACATGTAATGTATTGGACTACCAAGTGTTCTATTCTTCGATGGAGGTAGAATATCTAAAATTACTCCGTATGTATACAAAGATACCCCATGGTTACCCCAGGTATGTACGGAGTATGTACTATGTAGTCAACTCGGATGGAATGCCAAAGAATTACTGTGTACTACGGAGTACCGATTTTATCTAGCGGCCCGTAATTAAAGTTGCTTGGACCGATAGGACGTGGGTCCGTACACGGTACTGGCTTTGTTCCAATCCCTAATTGTCCAATCCACGTGGGCGCGAAAGCGAGGCCTTCAAGCCAGTTCCGATCCACGATTTTTGGCTTCTTCGGTATCGACGGTAGCTGTGGGACTAAAGGAACTGACGGAAGGTGCTCTCAGATTAGGGGAACTCAATGCTTTGAATCACCTTTCGAACATCTGCCGAGTCTCTGCATAGGTTGCGATATAAGATCGAATCAGTTCGAGGTGAAGGCCGGGAACCGCGTAGCATTTTGGCGGTGATAGAGGCATAGGTAGCAGTAGTTCGATTAAGGATATACCACACGCACTTATACGTAGACCTCATTTTGTGATGGCTTTCACAGAGTATCCGAGACAACAGAAGTTAGACTTCGCAGTAGAGAGACGATTCGGATAGAGGAGTCGATCGGATAAGAAAACCAGCATGTAATTTGTGGGTAGGTGCAGGTGGCTCCGTCATCGTAGGCCTTATTTGTCGTGATTCTGACTAGAAAAACCGTTTCAGGGCATCCCTATTGATCGTGATCCTGGCTGGAAGTTATATTACGGGCTGAAATCGATACTTTTTAGGCATTCCATCCGGGGAAGTGTATGGGCATAACCTACTGATGTGAAACAAGAACGTCACATGTTCTACATACTCTACATACTTTGTACAATCCTGGGGTGCTTGCGTGTCCCCGAGTCACACTGAAACATGTTGTAACTCAAAACAAATGTAAAACATAATTAACTAACTAGGTAAAAGTCCGCGAGCCTCTCTACTTCTTGTCTTCCTGGGCTGGCACTTCCTGGGAGCCAACTACCACGGGAAACTGCCCATTGAGTACGCTCCCGGGCGATGAAGCCCCATAGAAACCCTCGAGAAGCCCCCGCTCACCGATCTGCTCGTCAACAAACTGTGCCCGGTCCAAGCCAACCATTTCCACTTCCTCATCCACGCGCAACTGCATCCCTGGGATATACTTCATAATATAGAGCAGGATGCAGGAGACGATGAAAGAGTAGAGCGAGATGACACAGATCTCGGCGAGCTGTTTACCAACCTGCTTGCCATTGCCGTCAATGCCACCGGTGATCTCAGTAAAGCCATCTAACGCTGCAATGGATTTGGACGCAAAGATTCCGGTAAGGAATGAACCGACCATGCCGCCGATGCCGTGGAGCTTGAATACATGCAGACCCTCGTCGATGTTGATCCACTCATTGATATTTTCAAGGAGGGCGCAGACAATGCTCGTGAGGAAGCCGATGAGAGCTGCAAGCCACACTGACATAAATCCGGCGGCTGGTGTGATGCCCACGAGGCCTGCGATTGCGCCTTCACAAGCTCCCACCACGGAGAACTTTCCGCGGTGCCGGATATAGTCGACGAGCACCCATCCGATAATTCCTGCAGCGGCAGCGGTGTTGGTGTTGAATACCACCAGCATCGCGCGCACGCTAGCATTGAGGGTCGAACCGCCCTATGAGATCGCTGTTGTCAGATTTAATTCCGGAATGAGAATATGTGTGACATACGTTGAACCCAAGCCATCCAGTCCAGATGAGGCTCGTTCCCAAGAAGACCATGGTAACGTTGTGAGGCTTAGCCTGTTTGGGCGAGTCGATATCCCTGCGCTTACCCAAAACCATGGCATAGGCCAATGCTGAACAGCCAGATGCGATGTGGACTGGACCTCCACCGGCGAAATCCAGCGATGGAAGATTATACAGCCATCCGTTGGCGTTCCATGTCCAGCAGGCCAGGGGGCAGTAGACGACGGTCGCCCAGCAGAAGCTGAATATCAGTGTGGGAATCATGTTGCCTCGCTCGAATGCTCCGCCAACAAGAATCAGTACCTGTCACGATGGCTTGTCAGCTGGGGTCCACGGAAAGGGGTCACCTGGAATTGCTTACCGTGCATGCGCAGAATAGAAGCTGATAAAAGCAAAATACGATCTCAGGAAGATCTGCCGAACCAGGCGACGGTGCTATCATGACATTTCTTAACCCGATGTTCTTCAGGTTGCCAATAAAAGGGCTTGCATCCCTGGCATAGGCCAACGAGTAACCCCAGAACATCCATTGGAATGTGATACTAATCCAATTCGTCAAGTCAGTAGGAAGTACACGTTTTGGATTTGGAGAAGGACTCAACGTACACGGCCACAACCATGAATGACTGGAATAGCAATGCCAAAGCTGACTTTCTCCGTGTGAGGCCACCATAAAAGAGACCGAGTCCGGGTATGATCAGGAAAACAATGAAGGAGCAGAGGATGATGTACACATAATTCCACTCGACGCCTGCATATTGAAGGTTGACATTGACCTTAAGTGGATCTCCGCCGGTGGGGAGGGATGCATTATATACGGGCTAATGTGACAAGCCATGTTAGCCGGGTGCAAACACCACGCGGTCATCGCATTGACTTACAGATTCAGCCATCATGAGAGCTAGAGTGGATCGCAATCAAGAACCCTTGTCTTCACTCTAGGGTTCCCAGCACATATAACCTCCAGCAACATGGATCTTCACATGGTTCATGACTAGTAGACAATGATCACCAAGCCCGTTATCTATGCTCGACCCGCAGCCAAGAAGCTCCGCCGGCAGCCAAGAGTTCCAGGCGTGAATGGGAGCTGCCCACAGTTCATGCAAGATCCCCGAGTTTCCCCAGTATCTATGACAATCAGATCAATACCTAAGATAAGAGGACTCGAGATGATATACGGCAAGATAACGACCCGATTCCCGAATGATGATATTTCAACCATCCAATGAGGCTTCGTTCTTGTATTGACCCCGGATCTTACAACCCCCTGGGGTTAGGTTGCCTATCTTATCTTGATCCTGGGTGTTTTGAATGTCATCATTGAATGATAGCAAGCCCTAAATTTGCGATACACCAGTCATTCTTGGTGTAGATAGGTATCGATTGAAAGCAACCAGTCCGATTCCCGAAACTATATCAGGTCGTGCTCGTGCATGGATATACACAAATGCTATAGTTGCCCAGCCTTCATGACATCACTTAGGTATTCCCACAACCGAGTCCCTGGAAATACATAAATGTAATCTTCAGGATCTTCTGTTGTCCGTCTCAATGCAATACATACAATATTTGTGTATCGAATCAAAATTGTGGGGTTTCCTCATGGACCATGGTTGAGCCTCAGAGCTTGTTGCGGGGCATGTCGGAGGCAGCCTGGCAGGACAAGACGACTATCTGTCAATATTCGGACAGAGTCGGAGTAGAATTGAATTCATTGATAGACAAGTGGGAAAAGAGGCCTCAGGCCGGACTTATTAAGATATAGAGCTTGGCTTGCAATGGACGAGTACATAGCATATTTGATATGCTATTCAATGTTCTGTTCTCAGAAGTACCGGCATGATCAAGACATGGGCTAAATCTATCGTCTACCTTTGAGCCCTAGAACCCACCCATTACACGCCATAACTATACCTTTCTTGGGATTTTGGGAGAAGATCAACTGTCCATGACTTATGACGTAGCTGACAAATCTATTCGAAGAGCTGACTCACGATGAGATAGAAACGCTTCGCTGGTTGACGATCGGGATTTGGCATGTCTTGTTCAAGCCTTTGGAACATTTGGCCATTGAATCACGATAGGGCCCAATGTATTGGAGCTCTCTAGAATGTCCTCAGCCTTATAACATGTTTCAGGACCCCAGACGGGAGGCTGTGCTTTAGGAGGATAAGAATAGCATTGGATGTGGCTAGGGCGCCAATATAGATCATCCCTATAGGCTATGGAGTACCTACATGTACCTCTCTACCCCTACATACTCACTTGCCTACATGCACAGTAACGTTGTATCTACGTAGTACAATGTAGGTACAAGAGGCAGCTTGCATACCACAGCCACAGGGAATTGAGGCTCTATTCAGAATTTGGGGTCTTTCTTATTTGGACAAGGCTGACAGGCCGATCGCACTGCAATGAGACGACAATATTGCAATCCGGTTTGAATCGAGAGTCTATGAACGTTTAAGTGGGCGATGCGCCCGGCGCTTGTTCAGCTTGTTCCCCTCATCTCCGACAGTCCGACTCGCTAATACGGATCTCCGGCCCCCATCTTTTTTAAAAATCCTTCTACGAACTTCATCCTCTTATTAGCTCTTGCTTGTCAACTGAAGACTATTTGGGATTCGTCTGCCCAGTCCCTGTCTCACCCCCGCCAACATAAACCAACCTTATATGTTGGAGGCTCCAAACACCACACCACCAGGATTGGAGAACAGGCGGAGACCAGAGAAAACACAACAAATTTCGATATAATTGCGAACCAGCGTGCATGAATTATGTGAATATCCCTCGTCCGATGCTCTTTTGATCTATATATCTGTACTTTTCGAGAGCGATCGGACAATTTTTGAACATGTCGCGCGCCTCCCCACCAAGCGTTCAGGGGCAGTCGCCAGCGGATGCACTCCAAGATTATGCCCCAGATCCTTACCTGTCGACCACATCTGATCCGGAGGAACTCATGTTTCAAGCCAGTGCCATTCTACTTACGCCGCGAGGGAGCCCTGGGCACTCGCACAGTGGTCCGAGCTCGTCCCCCGAAGAGTCTCGAACTGACTCCACCCAAAAACACTATTTAGACCCGAGAGCGGGAGGTTATGCGGACCTCAGCACCTGCGCTTCGCCTCACTCCGATACGAGTATCTTTGTGGAACCGAAAGATATCGAACTACCAAGAACTTCGGGAAGCTGGCAGAATGAAAATTTGTACGCAAATGAAGAGCATAATGTGCCCGTTGGCTCTGCATGGTCTACACCTTCAAATGCCTTTCAGTGGTCGAGTTCAGAACACAATCCGAAATCATCGTCTACGTCGACAGGCCTAGCACCTCATGGAAATACTAGCGCAATGCAGCATCCAATTCCCCTCTCATATCAGTCCGGCCTCGGGGTCTTTAACGCAGGCAGCGAGCTGTCCCAACTCAATGCCTTGGCCGACCAGGAACCCACTACCAATCTTGCGTCGGATGTAACCAGGGGGAGGAGCCCGGTGGTCAAGATCACCACATTTTCTCGAGGCGATTCGCCCGCGGAACGCAGCATATCACCCGGAGGGCGTCTCGGCCAGTCCTACGCACATCTATCTGCGGACCAAGAGGAATCGAGAAGCGAGCATGATGATCGTCACTCGATTTCGTCTGCGCCCGTGAAGCGATCTGCGAACGGCGGGTGGATTCCAAACTCCGTGACCCAACTAGCTGGCATTGACCCTCAATCCCGTGGCAACGAATACGTGCCGAGTCCCAATGACGTTCACAGTCAGCAAGTAAGGAACGAGAAAAACCAGGTCATCTCCCACTGGACTGAGTCTGTGAGTGCAGCAAACAGTGATGCTGGTGACCTCTCGCCTAGTCCACCGCGCCAACGCCCACGCCATGTCTCCAGAAGACTGCGCGCGAGGAGCACTGGGGATCACCCTTTGGAACAAGAAGACTACTTCAACTTGCAATCCAGCGCCACAGACGGAACATTCCCCGGGCCGGGAGTATTAATCCATGAAAGCAGCGAGGACATGAGCGAGAGCGAAGCAAGCGTTGGCACTTACTCTGATGAAACCTCAGCCGAAGTCGATGAGCCTGGCAGATATGATCGTAGCACCCCCGATATCTACACATCTCTGTCACCAACCAAGACAGATGAGAACATCCGGCTTTATCCCTGGCATGACCCCCCTCGCGACCCGACACCCAGATCGCATGCAATGCAGCCATACAGTTCCACACAGGCAATGATAGCGTTCGAGAAGCGCGTACGTGATCTCGAAACTGCATCGCTTGCGGCAACCATTGATAACAACAGCATCATCAATGTCGGCTCATCTCTCGCTAATTTTTCCCTCTCCGAACAACCTAAAAAGCGAGGTAGTTTGTTCAAGCGTCTGCAGGCATCCTCCATACTGAAGCGCCAAGCGTCTGACCTTTCCATGGGTCCGTCTGTTCATTCTAACACCTACCCTGGACTTCCGCAGGATGATATAGAGAACGCACCGGCGAAACAGAGTTACTCACCCAGAAGCATGTTCAACCGTCGCCATTCGCGGTCGCCGAGCTTGAGCAATGCACTTCTTTCAATGACCAGTCAAATGGCTGCTGTTGGGGGTAGTCAGCCTGTGCGAGCTGTGTCACCTGCACCGTCGCCGAATCCAGAGAGGAGCTCCTTGAACATCCAATTCAAAGGTCGAGGCCGAAGCAGAAGCGAGCTCCCCCGACCAAGTAGTCCTGGGCTGATCAATCTCATGACCGCCCACGGGGGCCCACCAGTCCCAAAACTCACATCGCCTCGACTCAGCCCAGACACCGATCAAACAGCTAGAACTACACCTTTGGGCCCTGGTGTCGGTGGCCCCGAAGATGAGAGCGACGGTGACGTGGGAGATGTCAAAGGCGTGGTCATGGAGTTCCCGGCTATCCAGAGTCTTCCAGTCCCAACATTGGAAGGGTTCAAATCGCAGATCATGCAACTGAATCCAAGACTCGAGCCGGCTTTGATTCATCGTCTCGCACACGAACAAGACCGTCGATATAAGATGTTAGTCGCGTTGCAGCAGAAACACACCATTGAGACTACCAGCCGCACATGTAAATCTGGCAGCTTTTGTCCTGCGCAGGGAGGACAACCTACCTTATTGCACGATCCCAAGGCACCCGCCGAGCCTGAGTCGGGACAAATTCAATTCAGGGTGACGAATTTCGGCCACGGACACGAGCAACAGTATGCTCTAGGCGAAGGTACCGTGGCCGCGGCACATTCCCTCCCGGGGTGCCCCTTCCGCCAGTCAGTCGTCTCCCCGCTCGATTCGAGTGCCCCATTTGCTTCCAGGTGAAAACGTTCCAGAAGCCATCCGACTGGTCCAAACATGTCCAGGAAGATGTACAGCCTTTCACATGCACCTTCCCTCACTGCAATGAGCCCAAGTCGTTCAAGCGCAAAGCAGATTGGGTTCGGCATGAGAATGAAAAGCATCGACACCTGGAATGGTGGACCTGTGCGTTCCCCGAGTGCAATCACACATGCTACCGTAGGGACAATTTTGTTCAGCACTTGGTTCGGGAACACAAAATGCCCGAGCCTAAGCCCAAGAAGACCAAATGCCCCAACCCTGCAGATGTCGAGGCTGTGCCGAATAGCCGAAGGGAACAGGATGTGGAAAGGTTGTGGAAAATGGTGGAGGAATGCAAACACAACACCACTCAAGCCCCCCAGGAAGAGCCATGCCGCTTTTGCGGGAATGTCTGTCGGGACTGGGGTAAATTGTCAGTTCACCTTGGCAAGCATCTGGAGCAACTAGCATTGCCCGTTTTGCGACTAGCGAAGCCAAGCACTGCCCCGGCCCCTGTCGCCAGTACTAGCCATATGCAACCGGCCCGGGGATCGACCTCCGCAACCTATCCCTCGGCCGCGATGTATCACCCTGGACATCAAGCACACGAAACGTCATCCGCCTCCCACCTGCAGCCGCAATACGCGATCCGAAACACTAGTACGCCCGTCAACCCTGCGTTCTCAATCAACAACGTTCCGCTAGCAGACTATTCCACCATCTCCGACGGCGAGTTTTCTATGGAACCAGACTCTATCACGGATTCTCCCGCCCCTGATCATTTCCCGGCCTACGCCCCGACAGGGCAGTTTGGCCAGAACACCCTCCTCTCGGCTGAGGCCCAGGCGTATCCCCTGCATCAGAACTCGGTGTCATACCCACCGCCTTACAATGCTGTTCCGAGAACAAATATCTCAGAGATAGCCATGCCACAAAACTCGTATCCTCTTGCCCAATTTCTCCCCCAGTCTTCTCTTTGCCCCGCAGAAGGAACTTATCCTGCTTACCAAGTCATGGAATCCAGTGTCCCCTATACTTCCTCTGCTTACTCTTCTGGATGACGTCCCGAATGCGATCTACAACATACACACGATCTCCCTTAAGGAGTTCTTGTTCTCCTATGTTTTCCCCATTTTTTTCTCTCATTTCCTGTTTTCCTTTCTTTTCTCTACTCATTACATATTCCCCTTTTCCGTTTTTCTGTTATTTACTGTTCACGTCGGCTGTATTACAATAGATGGTGCGTGCTCACGGGCTTTTCTGCTACTTCCAACATCACGAGAGTTATGCAAGCGAGTCATAACCTTATGCATTTCTATAATGATCATGATAATGATACAGCGGCCTCTGTTACTTTTTTAGGAATCCCCAGGCTTCTTCCTCATGTACTGTGTACATATTTCAAAGCCGAAATTCCGTTTCAGACGTATTTTCTGGCGAGGTGCATGGCATATGAGAGATCAGATTTATGTTTCGAGCTATTCCTCTTTTAGACTAGTCTGTTCCCACTAAAACACACGGTTCCATGGTTCGTGTGACAGAACTCGAACGGTAAAAAGAACTTCATCTTGGACATCAACAATGAACACTAACTCGACTCTCGAGGGTCGAGACATTTGGCGTACGATATAGAATCCCCAGCCGAGATATCTTCCCCTCGTTTCAGAAGTCAGACATTCCCCTAGAGCCGAACCCGAAATCCTAATCTCGAACCGACATAACACACTCTCGTATTAAACGTGCGCTGCTCATCCCTTGCATGAACATGGCAGCCAACATCGGTGCCGATCAGCCATGTCGATCGTCTATCTGTCACAGCCCGATTTGGTCCTTGCTTCCCTGCAGCCCCCTCTATTTTGAGGGCAGTATCAGTAATCAGGATCTTCATGAACGGCTGAGTTTGTCTTACTGCCTCGTGCAGGGGTGAAACTAACAGCTATTTGTGTGTGTGTGTGGTTTGTGTCGTGTTGTGATACATGTGTTATGCTGTACTATGTATGGTGGAATTGATGAGCAAAACTGACTGAACCAACCCCGGCCAAGAATAGAGCTGGCAGCCCGGCCTTGGATCCGGCCTCGGCGGGGATGGCTAAGACTTTAGTATTGGACGTTATGTGAATGGCTGTCAGCCTCATGTTTGTTCCAGTTGCTCTCACTATGATCATTACGCTGTGAGTATTTGCCCGGGTTAGAAGGTATTCCGGGGCGGCGCAATCAAGGGATGACATGTTGCATTCCCTGGGCACGCGAGGGTGAACTCGGTTAAAACTTGTGTCTTACCACAGTCGATTTTTATATTTTATTTCGAGCATTTTGCCTAATTATGCAATTCGGCTTAACACATTCCAAACCCTTGAATTGCTATCGCGTGGTGAAGTCAACCGGCTCGGGGCGAAGGTGGAGCTTGTGTGTCTCTCGCGTGTAGGGTTTGGCACTTGCATGCATCGTGAGCCCTTTTAATACGCTGCCCCTCCCAAGACTTGACGGCTTTTCAACGCTTATTTCTCTCTCTTACGACGGCTGTCTGGTCGTATTCTCTCTTTATTACCTTTTATCATATTAAGATCTTATATAGTCATGGAGGTTCGTGCTCTGCTTACTCTACAAATCAGTCATAGTCTAACTCCCCACTCCAGGGCCTTCAGCTGGACTGGAATGACCCCACAGATGATGTACTCCAGAACATCATGACTAAACAAGATGGATGCGATTTGTCCGATCCCAAATCCTCACTTCCCTTCGACTCATCTTCAAGCTCACTACTCGACCTGGGATCGCTTGATCTTGTTCAAAACGACCCCTCACTCATGAGCCAGTGGTCCTCGCTATCGCGAGGTCTATACTATCCCCACACAAGCAGTCAAGATGCCTGGAATCCCTTGCTGGTCACCGGTGTTCCGACCATGCCCAACTCACACATGAACATCCCCGCTCAGATGCCTGACCAGGACTGCTGCTTCTCGCAATACCACTATAGCGAACCCTCTGAGAACGGAAGCCAGTATATAGACAGCTATCATTCTACTGATTCTGGATATGGCGGGACGAGCTGTGCAGCCCAATCCGTTGTTGCTTCTTCGTACGGTGTGGACTCGTCCAGCCCGCAGATAGGCGTGGAGGATAATACCTCAGCCGAATCGGAGCTTTTCTTCGATCGTCCTTACTACGGGTCCGGGCCGTCGTACACATCGGAGTTTGTCAGCTCGCCGTCGCAGTTGGTTAATGGGTCGGTGCGCTGTGATCACGGGTCTTGTTCGTGGGTTGGAAAATGCCCTTCAGACAAGAGGTTTGTTCTATCTACGCTTGCTCCGGGGGCCGTCAGTGCTAACTTCTGCAGGAAACACGAGGCTCGCCATAAGAAGCTCTTCATATGCGACGTGCCAAATTGCCCTCGAAAGGAAGGCTTCGGCACCATTAATGATCTTGCTCGTCATAAGAAATGCGTTCATAACAAAGAACCTGAGCGCGGTCCTAAGATGACGTACATGTGTTTTGGTTCGAACTGTCCGCGCCCGAACAAAAGGTGGCCTCGGCTGGATAACTTCAAGCAACACTTGAACCGAATGCATCATGAAGAGGATGGAGAGATGCTCTTGAAGAAGTGAGTTGGACCTGAGAGAGCCAAAAGTTGCAGCAACTGATTCCTGAATAGGTCTATGGACTGGTATGAGAAAGTCGTCCGTCACCAACCAGGACAACTTTCCTCGGAACAGAGCTCAAGGGACGAGTCAGTAATTGAAGCACAGGAGGATGCCACATCTGTACCGTCGAACACCGAGCTTGAGCCAGCATACGAGTCCACGTCACAACACACCAACGATCTTTTCACATTCGGTTCTATCACGTCAAAGCCTGCTCAATACGGCACGCCATCTGTCGCAGAATCCGAACCATCTCATTTTGCCGGTTTATGCTCCCTGGGTTTATCACCAAATGAAAGTTCTTCGGCGGAGCCTGCCATCACAAAGCCAGAGGGGTCTGTTGTAGACGCGGCTGACAACTTGATCAATGCGATAACGAAGATGGTGAAAAGTCGCGGGCGGAGATCAAGTCAGAGCATCGACGAGGGAATCGAGGTCGAATCTGACAATGCTCCGCTCTCCCAGCCACAACGGCAAATAATACAGAAAGTTCTTTCAGTCGCCCTGGAACGGTTAACCGACGAGAATGATGCCACCACACAGGATTCCGTCATTGAGAAACGGGGGTGGTTTCAATGTGACGCCTGTCCAAAACAAACCCGGCTACGCTGTGAGATGAAGTGAGCTTTTTCCAGATTCTTCTGTGGGTTATTATCGGCTTACTGACCATGAACGTTATTAGAAAACACCAGAAACGCCATGACCGACCTTACGGCTGTACATTCCCTCACTGTGCCAAGTCCTTCGGCAGCAAAGCTGACTGGAAGCGCCACGAGAGCTCCCAGCATCTTGAGTTGCCAACCTGGCTCTGCACGGAATCCAATGGGAGAGGAGGCGCTGCATGCGAGCGGCTGTTCTATCGGCATGATACATATACACAGCACCTGCGCCAACATGGGATCGCTGAATATAAAGTTGCAGCTTCTGCAAGCAATAATAGGCTCGATTTGGCCGAGCAAACAGATTTCTGGTGCGGGTTCTGTAATCACAGAGTCCCGCTATCCAACCATGGTCTTGCGGGCCGGGATGAAAGATTCAATCATATTGATATTGAGCATTTCAAGAAAGGGGAGAGGGGCCAGGATTGGCGCTTCCCGTCCTCGTCGCCCGGGGGAGAGGAGATGGACCGGTGTGAGGACGAAGTCCTCATGTCGAAGGATACTAGTCGAAAATCTTTAACTGCTGGTCAGCGGAAGCGCAAATTTGCTTTGGTATGACATGTCAGGGGTCATGAATATGGAATTCTAGCCCCGTAATATAATGAACTCTCCTGCATTGAATAGGTTATTTGGACCATCAAGACACTGTATCTCAAGTATGAATTGCTATGGCCTGGATTCAAGTCACAATACAATATAGCGCTGAATATCAAATAAGGAACACAATATGGTACAGAATATCCAAGACCAGATTTTATTTCTGGGAAGCAGTCATCTCCCTAGCCTGTTTCTCTAGCGCCGCCACTTGTTCTGCCAAAAATGTTAATAACCATCAAGATAAGGGAGCCATATGAAGCACTATCTCACCATTCTTTGCCACCTTCGTTTCATCCATCTCCAACTTCAACCACGTCCAGTAGAGGACCTGGTAGACGAAGACGCCGCCCAAGAAGACCTTGGCGAAGGGGCCGGCAAAGGCACGATACTGGTTCATCTAGAAAGACAGTTAACATGACGGCCTCTGATTCTACTATTCTACTGATCAAATAAACATGGACATACCCCTTCCCTGTAGGCACTCGGCTTCTGAGATGAGTTGAATGCGGCTTGTGTGGAGGTGAAGGTGCGTCGACTCATAGGAGCTCGAGCGGACTGGAATGACACCACGGCCGGTGTCAAACGACGAATTGATTGTGAAAACATCTTGTAATTGAGAGGACTTGCTGCTTTCTTCTCGTGTTGATGTATGAGGAGAAGAGCCCCAGAGAGATGTCGAAGTTCGCGTTCTATTTTGGGTATAGCGTCTTGGCATTTGATCCTAAGGTGTCGATCTGTTTAATCCCCAACGCCGCTTTCTCCCGTTTCCCTTAAAATACTTTGCAAATGCAGTGTGACACGTCTTAAATGATAGGATAAGTCCTTGGATAGGGCGTGATTATTGATCCAGTCATAAGATTAAGGGGAATTAAGAAAAGAACAAAAGCGCGATGTGTCATGGAAACATGAAAATAATAAACAGAGACGCCCATCGATTCGAGTTATTGCGACGGTACCCACCAGCCACCTATGATGGATTTTCATGTCAGTCACAGAAGCATCTGACGCAAGGAAGCGACCGGATTCAAACAGCTTTTCTGGAGATGCGCAAGTTCGACAAGATGAAGAGATCGGATTACAATTCAGCAAGTGAATACATTGAGGAGTACCAAAAACAATACGTGAACTGGATGGGGTTCTGCAAGAACGTGGTATTGTTTTTGGTACTCCTCAATGTATTCACTTGCTGAATTGTAATCCGATCTCTTCATCTTGTCGAACTTGCGCATCTCCAGAAAAGCTGTTTGAATCCGGTCGCTTCCTTGCGTCAGCATCAAATGTAGGAATGATACTTACCTCCGTCAACAGCCAATTGAGCCTCCCCACGCTCTGTTGCCTTCCGCATGTTCACAAACAGAGACGTTCGATCGGTCCAACACACGGCAGTGACACCCACCAGCCACCTGTAAGTCATTCCAGTCAACTCATATAACCATCAGAGACAAAAGAAGAGACTTACCCCTGCCGCCACACAATCAACCCACCACGCGTTCTGCTGCCTTCCGCACGATCACAGACAGAAACGCTCGCCTTCGATCCTAAATAGAAGCGAAAGGGCAAAGGGCAAAAGCAGAATGCAAGCAAAACGCAAAGCAAAGCACGAAACGCAAAACGCAAAACGCACGATCAAGAACAAAACAAAACGACAGCAAGCACGAATAACACAATTTTTTGGGGGGCTTTTTATAAATTTTCTGGGAAAACCAAACAGCAAAAGCCTCGGAACAAGAGAAAGAAACAAGAGCAAAAGAGAATGGTGAGAATGAAGTCAGACCTTACCTTTGTGGAAGAGGAAGCGGACGAGGAGGACCCAGAATTGGCTATCAGGATCAGGTACATGCCCCAGCAAGAAAAACGAACGCAAGTACGGCGGGCAAGGCTGGCACAAGTCTTGGAAAGATGAATGCCACCACAAACAAGGTCAAACAGATGTGACTAAACGAGGTGTGGGACATGCGCCCAACCCGGACGTGGGTTTGGATGACCACACGTGAATGTCGACGAGAGTTGATTGTGGATGGCATATGCAAGGACTTTGGTACAGGCGTCAGGGGCGATGCACCAGACGATCCATCTAGACCAGGCAAGGTTTTCAGGAGCGCATTCATGTCGTATGCGCCGATGTCCACATCCTTCGAACAAGGTGGGGGGATATCCTTGGGTGGAATGAACCTCACCTGCACAAGGTCCGCATCATCCGGGAAGTGGACAGACTTCCGGACAAACGGCTCGTCAGATGGGAGCTCCTCCAGGTCCTCATCCACATTGGGTAGACAAGACTTTAGAGGAAGCGGACGGTCGCCGCAACAATGTGGGGGGAGGTCCCGGGGTGGAATAAGCCTCACCTGGGCGAGGTCCGTATCATCCGGGAAGTGGACAGTCTTCCGGACGAATGGTTCGTCAGATGGGAGCTCCTCCAGGTCCTCATCCACATTGATAAGGCAAGACTTCAGAGGAGGGGGACGGACGAAAGAAGAGGGGGGAGGAAGAGAGACGGAGGGAGGAAGAGAGACGGAGGGAGGAAGAGAGACGGGGGAGTAAGAGGGTAGTTCATCGTGGAACGTGATAAGAAGTATTGACACTGGGTTTGTAGAATCAGATGCAATGCAAATGAGAAAAAGCCAGTGGCAGTAGAGAGAGGTGAGAGGAGAAAAGAAAGCAAAGAGTGAAAAGAAAGGGGAATAAATATTGTTTGGGACAGTCCATGGCAACGAAAAACTAAACAGGAAGTGACAACAAACTGAAGTTATACCAAAGCAGGTGTGATGGTGGCCATGGAATCGCCGTGGACCAGTGATCAGGCAAGGAAGCTACGACTTCGCCAGGGCAAGAACCTTCCAAGGTTGGAACATCTATATCAAGTAAACATGAAGTATACTAGGCCCGTAGATGTGAGCCTATGTAAATGCCATACAGAGAAGTAACTAGGGCAAGAATACAGAAAAGTACTCACCTGGGCAGAAACATTTACTGTGTACTCCGTACATGGTTGAGCAATGATGAAGCTATACCTACAAGGTGTGAGGGTGGTAGGTCATGGGTAACGAAGTAGTCAGAGCAAAGAGACAGGGGAGTACGAGGAACCAGGGCAGGAACGTTCACGTCTATAGATTGATCGAATAAACATCAAGTTATGCAAAGTAGGTGGGAGGGTGGCCATGGAAACGGAGTGGTTAGGGCAACAACAAAGGGAGACTACAACTTCACCAGGGCAGAAATACCCATATGATTGCACTGCTGTATACGAGTAGGTAGTCGAGTGGAAGATGTCTTTGTGCCTTTGTGTTTGCAGACTGAGGCTCTTGTAGTTTGTCATTCTCTTTGTTTATTCAGGCTTATATACAGCCTGCTTTCCATAGTCTCATGGATCAGTTTCTTCTCCCTGAAGGACCCTGATTCTCCCCATGCCACCACTAGTTTCGTAGCCTCTCAACAGATATAACCCTAACAAAAGCATTTACACAGACGTCGGCCGTATTCCACACATCCAGAATGACTGGACTCGATAAGTACCCATTTCTGATCTCTGTGTTAACGCGATTTAGGCAGGTCATCGACTCATCGTTGAAACTTGATGGCACGGCTTGGCGCCGACTGAGCTGCGATTGGGTGATGGTAGACAAGCTGCAGGAACATATGCCAGATTGAAAAACCCAGACCATAGTTGGTTGATGGTTCAGTGATGGACTGATGGTAGGTATCAAAGAATCTGAAGGTCGAATTCAAGCTCAAGTTCAGTGAGTACCCTTGTTGAAGACTGAAGTTGTACTGTGCACTTCTAGGGCTGCACGAGCCACCGCTGAGTCAGCGGCACATGATCCATTATCAGGTCCATCAAAAGCATCCGGGCCAGAAGGGCAATGAACCAGAGTCAAAAACCAACTTATTCTCGTCTTCTTCACGTCCCTAATTGCCCTCTGACACCTCCTGTCATCACTTTGTCATGTCATCCGTCCACCCCCTCCAATGCTGATTATTGTTGTGTCGGGCCATCGAAATGACCAAACGAATCGATTCAGCTAATTTAGGAAGGGAATGGAGCATCATGATGGCTCTATCCATGAGGCTTTGTTCATGGGCTGATTGAGGATAATGGGCTTTGAAGCAATCCCACCCCCATGGAGAGGGTATCACGTGCAAGTTGTTGACTAATGTGTCAATACGCCACAATGTGGCTGGTGTGCGTTCAGACAGTCAGCCCCAATGAGCGCGAGTCCTTTCCGCCCTTCTTACTCAAAAGTCTTCGTTCCTCAAGTGACCATCGAACTAATTCTTGCTATTAATCTCGACAATTTGCTCTGTGCACTTCGCATGTGTCCTGGTTGCTGACGATCCTGCACGACGCCTGTTTTTCCACGCGTTCCCGAGTCCGTTGAGACCCTTCCACCTCTGGCCCAATTGCGCTCCACCACCGTGCGGCCTCCGCTAACATATTGATCAGCGATTCTCGCCGAGGACGTCCTAAGCTCGCTGCCGTGAGAGGCAATTCCTTCCACCTTTCGATCAGGTGGTTCAGCTGTTGCTGGCGACAACTGTACCATTTGTAAGTGCTGTCCTTCTTGCCCGCAGTGCGCAATTCCAAAGACCTGCTTCCCACTTCTCTGTATCTTATCTATTGTTTTAACCTGTGATTGCTTTTACTTTACTCTTAATTTACCCTCTCATATTGAGGCTATGCGTTCTAACAATCTGTTTCAAAGTGATCCTCTAATTACCGAAACGGCGCCATGGCTCGTGGCGCAAAGCGTACCCTCGACGAGATCGCCATCAAGTCCGACTCTGAGGATGAGGACTACAGTGACCATGGTCGCTCTGCGCGCTCGACTGGCAGGAAGACCACTGGCCGCAAGACGACCGGCAAAAAGTCAAAGGCGGGCTCCAGGAAAAATTCACGACGGGGGCCAAAGAGGAGACGACGCGACTCCGACGACGGAATTACCTCGGACGGCGAAGAGTCATCCGAGGTGTCTGAGGACCTCGAATTTGATGAAATGGAAGAGGACTCCGACGATGTTCAAGTCGAACGGAATGTCAGAGGAACGGCGCGTCGACGCACCACGCAGAGCCGTCCTCCGCTCTACCAGGAACCGGATTCGGAAGAAGACCTTGTCAACGACGATAGCGAAGACGCGCATGGCGAAGACGAGCATGGCGAAGATGAGCCCGGGGCTCCCTCTCCACCCAAGAGTACCATCATTAAGCTCAAACTTCCACCCCGCTACTTGGCTCATACCAAACGCGTGACCCGCCACACCCGTGATGGCTCAGAGGATATCTTCGCCCTCACTAATTCTGGTCGTCATGTTCAAACAATCGAGCAAGGTACACGTAGCCCAGACATGGAAATCTCAACACACCATGTCACCCGAGTCGGCCGCAAGGCCACGCGTACGATCATCGAAGATGAAGACGAAGATGAGGTAATTAACGAGACCACTATCCAGGGCTCGCAAATGGAGATACTAGAAAGCGATGTGCTCCAAGGTGGCGCTGACGGTGACACCTTGCCGGTGAATGATGGAGACAACCATCCAATTGACCAAGAAATGCTGGATGAAGAACACGTCGTCCCCGAATCGGAAAACGGCGATGACAAGAATGTCCAGACCGAAGAACCCGGTAAGCCGTCAACAACCCACCGCCCAGACAGGCTTTTCCAAGAGCAATTCATTGACCAAGTGATAGCAAACGCGGAATCTCAGCCACGTCGATCTAGCCGCAAGCAGCTACTCCGAGGCTCACAGCGTAAGAGCAAAGATGAAGAAAGCGATTTCGAACCAGAGGAAGAGGTTTCAAATGACGAGGAGGAAGATTCAGAGCCCGAAGCGCGAGCCCCTTCCCGTAAAGATTCTCAAGCTCACGAGGAAGCCGAGGACAGCTCTGCTAGTCGGCGCCCTGGCCTGCGCCAGCGGCGTGCTCTAACCCGTGCTCCCACTGAGGAGGCGGAAGAATTAGCAGAAGAACTTGAAGACTTGACATCTGGCCGGCTACGTCGCCGTGCGAAGCAAACGACAGTCGTATACGAGAAGCCGCGTCGTAACCGAAAGGATGTCGATTATCGTATCATTCGGCCTGAGATCCTCCAACCCTCTGAAAGCAGCGACGGCGAAGTGGCTGCGTCTCCATCTCGGCGTGGTCGTGGGGGTGGTGGATGGCAGCGCACTTGGTTTTCCACAGAAGGCCCCTTTGGTGGCACCGGTAATACAGCCATCCTCGGTGGTTCTGGGGGTCCTACCGCAGCTGGAGGAGTGGACAGCGATAGCAGCGACGACGACGGTGGTCAACAGCCAAACCGTACTGGTCTCGTCGCTACTCACAACCACCCAGGTGACCCGGCCCAGGCCTCTTCCGGCGCGCCCGCAAACCTCGGCAAGATAACTAACAGCAAGTCTTTGTCTGACATAGACCCTCTGGGGGTGGACATGAACATCAACTTTGATCAGGTTGGTGGCCTGCAAGGGCACATCGATCAGTTGAAGGAAATGGTTTCTTTGCCGCTCTTGTACCCCGAGATTTTCCAGCGTTTCAAGATCACTCCTCCTCGTGGTGTCTTATTTCACGGTCCTCCTGGTACCGGAAAGACGCTCATGGCTCGGGCTTTGTCCAACAGCGTCAGCTCAGAAGGACGCAGAGTCACATTCTACATGCGAAAGGGTGCAGATGTTATGAGTAAATGGGTCGGTGAGGCTGAGCGACAGCTTCGGCTTCTCTTTGAAGAAGCTCGCAAGAACCAGCCTAGCATCATCTTCTTTGATGAAATTGACGGGTTGGCTCCCGTGAGATCGAGCAAGCAAGAACAGATTCATTCATCGATTGTCTCAACTCTACTTGCATTAATGGACGGTATGGAGGGTCGTGGTCAAGTGGTCGTCATCGGCGCTACCAATCGACCTGACTCGGTCGATCCTGCTCTTCGCCGCCCTGGTCGCTTCGATCGTGAATTCTACTTCTCATTGCCCAATCTCGAGGCTCGTCGCGCCATTCTTGACATTCACACTAAAGAATGGAACCCACCCTTGCCCAGTAACGTCAAAGACGAGCTGGCAGCGATGACCAAAGGATATGGCGGTGCTGATTTGCGAGCACTTTGCACTGAGGCTGCAATCAATGCCGTGCAGCGACGATACCCGCAGATCTACAAATCAGACCAAAAACTCGTGATTGATCCAAAAACAATCGATGTCGTCCCCAAAGATTTCATGATCGCAATCAAAAAAATAGTGCCTTCTTCAGAACGATTTTCCTCGTCTGGCGCCACTGCTCTTCCTCCAAACATTGAACCCCTTCTTCGCCAACCATTGTCTGAAATCAAGAGTCTGCTCTCGGAGATTCTGCCGCAGCGAAAGAAGCTTACTGCTCTCGAAGAAGCTCAATATGAGGAGGTCAATGATGGTAACGGCTTCAGTCGAGAACTCATGTTGCAGGAATTCGATCGCTCGCGTGTCTTCCGACCCCGACTGCTGCTCCGGGGACCCCACGGCATGGGCCAACAATATCTCGCGGCCGCGCTCTTACATGTGTTTGAGGGCTTGCATGTTCAGGCCTTCGACCTTCCTACATTGCTCAGTGACTCAGGCCGCTCCGTAGAGGCGGCTGTCATTCAGCTGTTCACGGAAGTCAGGCGCCATAAGCCAAGCGTCATCTACATTCCCAACATTCACCTATGGGTCCAGACTGTTGGACCTGCCGTGATTTCTACGTTCATGGGCCTTTTGCGGTCGTTGCCTCCTTCTGATCCGGTTCTCTTGCTTGGTATCCTTGAATCGTCAGAGGAGGATGTGGATACCAACCTTCTCAAGCACATGTTCGGATTCTCCAAGCGAAATTTGTATGACCTGTCTGCTCCAGACCATAATGCGCGTCATGAATTCTTTGGAAAAATCGTTGAGTTTGTCAAGACTCCTCCAAAGCATTTCCCAGAACCTGAAAACCGCAAACTCCGTCAGTTGGAAGAACTGGAGGTTGCGCCGCCCCCGCCTGCGAAACCCGAGCCGGAACTTACTCAAGAGGACCTGAAGGCTCAGAAGAGGAAGGACAACTACACCTTGAATCTCCTGAAAATCCGAATCCAGCCCGTGATGGATCAACTCAAAAGATACAAACGTTTCAAGTCAGGTGTAATCGATGAATCTCAAATCCGATACCTGTTGGACGAAGCAGATCCCAACATTGTTACTACTGATCTTCCTCATGACCCAGAAAACGCCTACCGGCCTTACGAAAAAGCATACGACAAACGCGGTGTTGCGGGCCTCCGCGAAACCGCCACTGGGAAATTCTTTTACAACCTGGATCTTGTCACGATCGAGAAGCGCCTTTCAAATGGATATTACAAACGCCCTGAGGATTTTGTGGCAGATATCAAGCGATTGGCCAAAGATGCTCGACAGACCGGGGATCCGGAACGCATTTTGCGATCGAAGGAGCTTGTGGCGAACGTCGAGGTTGACATGACCAATATCACGACGGCTGAACCGGCTCTTGTGGCAGAGTGTGAGAGGGTTTATCAGCGCGAGCTGGCTCGCGAGAAGGCGGCGGCTGAGCGCAGAGAACGTGATCTGGCGAACACCGCAACTGCTACCTCCACTGAGTCTGACCAGAAGGCCCACGGTAATACTGAGCTGGGTCCATCACTTGGCCCCGTTCACCCCGTCTTGGTCCCCACCAATGGCGACGATGAGAAGGCACTATCCCGTCCTGTCACCCCGGCAAACAAGTCCAATTCGACCTTCGGCAATGAGGATCCGTCTCGTGTTGCCGACGCGGCCACTGGTTCCCATGGTGACGGAGATGGCGACGTCTTCATGTCCAATTCTGATGACCACTCCGGTAGCAAGGATACCCAGGGAAGCTCATTCGGCCCATCTGCACAGCCAAAGCCTCCTTATTCGCACACAGCCCCTTCTCAGCAGATTCGCCGAGAATCTGGTCTTTCTAGCTTCTCTCAACGGGGCCCTATGACTCCAATGGCTCCCGGATCTCAGCCGGCCGATTACGTCAATGAAGCGTCCACCACTCAGACCACTTCTGAGAAGGTCACGTCTGAGAATCTCTCCAATCAAACTTACCATACTCAAAGTCCTCATGTTTCAAGAATCGATTACCCTGATCTCACCCAATACCCAGACCGCGTGTCACAGGAAGATCAGTTGCCCGACACTCAGCAGGGCGATAGCAGCCAGCCTTCTCCACGTCCCCGAGACTCGTTGCTTAGCAACGTCGATACCCAGGAGAACAGCGATCTCATCGAAAGCCAGTCGCAGTCGAAGCCGCAGCCTCCGCTCTTCCATGAACCCAGTATGCCAGCTGCTGATGCTTCGAACAAACCACAACCCATGCCGAATGAAGAGGCCCACGAGCCATTGATCCTTGATCTTGAGGTTGTTGAACGTCTGCACACGCAGCTGACTCTGTCGACCAGCGGGTTCTCAGTTGAGCAGCTGGAGCAGATCAACACCAGTTTGATGGACTATGTGTGGCAGAAGCGTGGGGAATGGAACCGAACTCACGTCGCCGACGGCCTCGGCAAGACCTACAATGCAGTGCTTGAAGACATGCAAGAAATGCAGGAGATCGGACCGATTAGCCAACAAACCAAGGACATCTTGGCTAATCTGAGCTTCCAGTGAGAGCCCTTCGGCTATTGCATAGTTGCATACGTTACTCTTCCTTTTTTTCTCTTTATTTCATTACTGTGTCAATATGCTGGCTCGGTTCATATTCCCCCGATCTGATGATGGTTTTGTTTTTACTTTTTTTACCTGCTTTATGGCGAGCTGGGGGTGCAAGCTGTGGATTACCCTCTTTTTTTTTAATTTGTGCAAAGCTCGGAGCTCTGAGAGCCATCTGATATGGGAAATATGAGTAGACTATGAAATCGATAGTCTTAAAAACAATGTCTCTGTGTCTGTGTACTTTGTAGGAATATAGATGTCCGACTCTCATGAAAAAGTGTAGATCGGAACATGTGACGCGACCCACTAAACACCCTGGCCTTTTGAGCTTGACCAACACCACATCTTCTACACAGTACACTTGACTTCTCTCTTCTTACTTACTGGATAGTTTGACAACTCTCGCTGTTCCAATCTCATTTCTCCCTGGATATTCAGCATATTCATCTATCCCTGCCTCAAGGTTCACATCGCCGCAATGTTCGACGTGGACTGGCTCAGTCTCGCCGTCCCAATTTCCTATCTAGGCATTCTCTTGGGATCCCTTGCCACATTTTCCTCGCTTTACCGCAAGCGCAAAGCCCGTACGTGAATATATTGTTTCGGAAATATGCTCAGCCTGTCAAACTTGACCATTTTGCGCCAACGGATCTATGTCCCAGAAAACTAACATTCAACCATCTTAGACAAGGCAGCATCTCTGGAGCCATGGTTCTCTGCTCACATTCAACGCGACATCTACTTTTCCCTCCTCCACCTCGAACCTTCAGAAACCTCACCAAAAGAGAAGAAAGCCCCCGCCATCCCCGACTCAGTCTTGAAGGCTTCTCTTCTACGTCGCGCAGCTGAAGACATCCGTCGCATTATGGCGCTGCGTAGCCAGAAACAGGCTCTCGCAACGCTTCTCCAGCGTGGTAGTGTCGGTGATGATCTCTGGCAGCGATTCCAGCGCGCGGAGAAAGAGATGGAGGACGAGGTCAAGGATGTGGTTTCCGAGGTATGATCTATCCCTACCCTCTTGTCTTGGACAAGCCCATGTTCCCAGTGAACAATTGATGGACTATATTGTTCCGAGTTTTACTAACAAATCAAACAGGCAAACGCCTATGCTCCTGGTTGGGGCCAGATTATCTTCCAGTCCGCCAACGAAATGATGAATAACGATATCTACCGCAAGCGTATGGAGGACCAACAAGGGAAACTGGAAGAAGAACGTCAGTGGTGGAGCAAGAAGAAGTCTAGTATCCAGGAGGGATTCATGAAGGAGTTGGAGGAAAGCTCCCCTGCGGCGCCCTCTACCAGCGCGGCCAAACCTACTGGCGCAACGACCCCTGCCCGTTCTGTCCAGGGGAGCGATGATGATGCTGTTCTTGTGGAGGCGGAAGCCTCGTCAAGCACTCCTGTTCCTCCGCCAAGCACAAAGAAGAAGAGCAAGAGCAAGGGCAAGAAATGAATATACGATGTTTTTTCCGCTAGGTGTTACTTGTATTTTTATATGCGTTGTTTCTACCAGAATCATAGCCATTGAACTCATGTGATCTGTTTCGGTCCGCTACCTATTGCGTACTTCCGTATGCTTCCTGAGCATTCATAGTTGCCCGAGGATCTGCTCACCCTTCACTCAAGGCACCCAGGGAGAGTACAGCTCATAAGAAGTGGAGGTAGAGGCTAATAAAAATACACATTTCGGAGTGTCTGTCCAGATATAGTACAGTCCCATCTTAGGAGGGATCAAAAACAACCCTCAAACGCCACTCATGCTATCTCGGTCCAATGCAATGCTCGATGGTGGACCCGATTAATTACAAAAGCTTGCTATCATCCACCCCCAAGGGCGACCCCAAGTCAATCTGACCGACCGACATTTCTTGCGCCGCGATGTCGAGCTTGTCTTCGACTTGAGCGGGATTCAAGGCGTCTACTCGACTCATCACGATGCGCAGTAGACTAGCCAGGATCTCGAGCTGATATTGACTCATCTCACGTGGATCCAGCTGTTCAATACTTAAGCCTTGCACTCGCAGAGCTTCAGCCTTGCGGTCACCCAACATTTCTAGCAAACGGCTGACTTGGCCAATGTTCTCTTTGCTTCGCGGGGTCGAAGATAAGCGACGGAGGCGCCGTTTCGGGGTATCGGCCGGTACTCCAGCGAGTCGAGCAATCTGGAGTACGATCATACGAGCGGTGATCTCGTCAGGTACGAAGCCGAAATTGGAATGCATTGAGTGCATGACGACCAATGTCCCAGAGACGTCTTTGGACAAACAGAAACATCGCACGATTTGATCGAATAGAGATTTCGTCATCTGCGCCCGGGCGGTCTTCTGGGCGTGAGGAGATAGTTGGGAATACCACGACATCATGTTGGCATAGAGTTGACGTGCTGATGGGAAGCCCGCATCGAAGGCAGTACGCCCGCGGTCGTACTGGAGCTTAGCGCAATCCCAGAGGCAGGCATAGGTTTCCACGTCGGGCCGGATGGAGGTTGACATAGTTTGGAACTTGGTCCAGAGGGCTCTCACGTCTTGTTTTCGAAGTTCTGCGTATAGAAGATGGTTCATAAAGTACGAGTTCGGCCTGATATGAGCATCCCCAAGACATTTGGTCAGGTATTTGACCATGTCATCGTCACCTCGGCGTGTGTAATGAAGAAGAAGAATACAGAATGTCTCGATACTCGCAGGCGGGACCTCTCTCTTCATGAATTGAGGCATACGGACAGACTCTGTCTCATGCTTGAACTGAAGTTGCGGGGAACTCTCGGCTGGTTGAAATCGCTCCCACACGGTATCAATGCGCTTTTGGATCATGGCCCACCCAAGTCGTTCTGCCTTATTTCGTGCACTGTTGCTCCCGTCCCGGAGCCAGCCCGCGATGATCCCATTCAAGTGCTTGCTATCAGGCTTGACACACCGTTCGTACATGAGTTCAATGACCAGAGCAGCAGAATCGACCTCGCCCATGCCGATAAGCTTCTTCATCCAGCTTGCATAGAAGAATCGGTTTTGGAACTGGCGAGGCAGCACCTTGAGAGCGGACAAAGAGACTTTGTTCACTTCATTCTCGTTGATACTTGATGCATGAAGATTACCCGCCAGTCCCAAAGCGGCTTTGTACAAAGCAGTCGAGTCATTTGCCGGGTCTTTTCCTGTGACCATCATATCCTTGAAGATTGCAACAGCGGTATCTAACCGACCCGCCGTTAGGAGAGAAATGCTAATCTTGTCATAGTCGTCCATGGTCATTTCTGGGCCCAAGAATGTCTTAAGCTGTAAATAAAGTGCCCAAGCCTTCAACTCGGCTTCTTTTCCGGGCAGCCTTCCCCATGCTGTGATCACAGGGATGAGGACACGCGGCTGGCGAGTCCGATCGTTTGCCAGGAAAGCCAAAGCGATGTCTTGAGCTCGCTGTGGGTTGTTGTCTGCCGCAAATAATCGCACTCCAAGTTTCCAGTATTCCTCCAGATCCTCCTTCTTCTGAGACAGCTCAGCTTGGTATGCCTCCCACTGTTCCAAAGCAAGGTTGGTGGAACCGCTGTCATGTAGAGATGTAATATAAGACAAAATTTGGGGAGTGGCGAGTGGTCGACCAAGGGAGGTAGCGTCCTGGGCCAGAATTTGCAAATGTGTTGAGCGTGTTCCATGATCGTGCTCTCCTGCTTGCGAATCCCAGATTGTCTCGAGTGCCTTCTCGGGCATTATCGTTAAAAATCCCGGAATAGCCTGCTTGCATCTGCGATACCACTTCCACACATCTTGTCGAGCCCGCTCATCCGACGTCTTTTCTTGGAGTTGCTGTAAGGAAATGTTGAATTTTAACACATAAGGGTGAGATTCCGCGCCTGCACGCTTTGCTGCAGCTGACCGTTTTGCGGCCAGACTTCGCCGTTTCTTAACGTCGTCCTCCCAGTTCTCGTGTTCCTTCGCAAGACCCTCGAACTCCTCCCGTAGCATATCATCAAGCTCCTGGTCGAACACCTGATCCAACCCAGGCTCGTCCGCAGGCTTGGGATTTTCTTCATCGAATTTTCTTAATGCTTCCAAGGCGACTTTTCTGTCTTCTTCAGGCAAACTTTTGATGAAGGGACTGTTGGGGGCAAAAGGTCCCTCCTCTAAGACCTTCAATTCATCCTGGAGCTTTGCGAGCTCTTGTTTGATCTCCTCCCTCTCCTCTATAACTTCGGCTTCGGGATCAACCTTGCGTCGCGTTTTGCTTCCGGGGGACTCTTGTTCGTAGAAGGTGACTTTGTCGTTCGGTCCGCCAAAATCAAGTCGCCGCGGAGCTACGGCGGAGAAGACCCGGCGTGGAGCGCGTGTCGATGGGCTGCGGGCCACATGCTGACACCATCGGGCTCCTTGAATAGCCTGGCGCAGCATGAAGTCTGAAGTTGATTGGTCATCGAAAGCGACCAAGAGGTGGGAAAAGTGAAGAAGTCCAGGTTCGGAAGAGAAGCAATTATCACCCGATTGGGTTTAGCGTTAATTGCGCTTCCGCCCTTTGAAGTCATCCCCATTGCGACAACCAAGTCCCTTTGAACAGCAGCATGGATGCCAATGGGATCGACGATGCCCTGGGCTTGTCAAATGACAAGTCCCAAACCCTGGTATGTCTCGTGATTTGGTGATTTCGGTGTTGCGCACTAACAAAATCGTCGCAGGGTGCGTATATCTACCAACCGCCAAAACACGGAAAATCAGCTGGGGAACGACCCTCGAAGCGCCGTAGAGTATCTGCAACTACCGATGGCGATGACAATTCGGATCGAAAGTGCTTTGTGCCCCTTTTCAATGGAGACGAGGCTGCCGAGTCCGTCCAGTTGCGATATGATTTCTATCAGCAGATATGGCCTAAGCAAGAACATAAGATCCAGGTTAGTGGAACATATCACCGAGTGGTCCGGGCAGTCAGTTGCTTACAATTATACAAGGCTATTCTTGAGGATGTCGATGCTGGAGTTTTGACGGATGTCTTGTCCTTTGTCAGGGATACTTCACCTCAAACGTATGTATCCCTCTCGACGATGGCCATGAATGCACATTAATTGAGGTTATAGCTGCGATGGATGCATTCCTACCGCTATGGTGACAGTTGGTTCGAACGTGTCCTCCCTTAGCAGACTGCTAGCGCGGCTCAATGATCAATTAATATCGACGGAAGAGGGCAGTGTGGTGGTGTTGGAATCAGGGGATGCTCCCAATTTGAAAACAACCTTGAAGAATATCATTCGCGCTGCTATTACGAATACTGACGGCAATGATGGTTATCAAAAGTTCCTTGGAGATCGTGCTGTATGTGCTCGTCAATATCCAATTTTTATATTGTACTAACCCCTCGTCAGGGACCTCGACTTCTCGGTTACGATCTGGACCTTCTCCATGACTATGTGCAGAGGAAGAAGACCAAGAAACTGGTCCTAGCTCTCCAGGATAGCGAGGCTTTTGATCCAGGTCTTTTGACCGACCTGTTGTCTTTATTCAAGTACGGTGGACATTCCAGACTTTGGCCGACATGTTTACTAACCTTTGCTAGATCATGGCTTGATCGTATACCAATCACGGTTCTACTAGGAATATCAACGTCCGTGGAGCTCTTCGAAGGCCGATTGCCTCGCTCATGCGTTGCTCTTCTCCGGGGAAAGCATTTTGAGGTCCAAGAAGCTGGCAATTGTGTCGGCCGTATCTATCAGTCTCTCCAGTGCGACCCAGATACCCAAATCTGGCTGGGTCGCAACGTTACCACCACTCTATTCGAAAACACGAGTGACTATTTCCAAAGTCCGGAGGCATTCAGTCGCAGGGTCAAGGTCAGTACCATCTTCAACCGCATCTTCAACTGAATCCTAAACCTCTGCAGTATGCATACATGTCTCATTTCTTCGCAAATCCACTGGCAGTATTGTTAGCCAGTTCGACCTCAACGATCCTCACGCAGAACAAGCTTTGTGAGGCCATCAGAAACCTACCATCATTTCGAATGTAAGCATCTCCAACTCTCAGACGACATCTCAACTAATGTCGCCATAGGTTTTGTGAGGATCTAGTCGAAGAACAGTCCACGGAGCAAGTCCGATATATGTTAGAGGACGATGAATATCTTTTGCGAGAGACGCCAAATTACCTCAACGCAGGCCAGGAAAGAATGCGGAAAATATTTCAGGCAGTCCGCATCGTACACGCTTGCCTCCAATACACACAGAGTGCAAAGAAGGCCAATGTAGCTGACCTTTCTATTCGCGCACTCTCTGGTGAGCTAGCTGAATCAGCCATTGTGGAAGACATGGTTGCCACGGCGAAAACGCTAGATTCCGACAAGTTGAATGAACTCCTCGCGGATGTTCGGGCTATTACGTCCAGTCCCGAGGTCGATGAAATCCAAGAGGACCTCAAGAGTTTACTGGAAACATGTCCGGACACAGCTCCGCTCCGCAGTGGATACAACATCAACAGCACTGTCACAAAGACCACTGTGGTCCAGCAACGTATCCAGCTAAGCAAAGGCAAAGCTGATCTCTCAGAACAAGCCGCCGAATACACCAACATCGCCGACCGGCTTGTTACCCTTTTGCAAGTACATCTCACGGAGACTCTCATAAACCCACAGGAACTGTTTCTACATGAAGTCTTCTTATTTGATCTGCGCAACCCACTAAAGGAAACATTCGCCCCTCGGCCGCGTTTCGCAATTGAGCGTGCTTTGGCTACTCCCTTTGATTACCTCATATCCTCGTCGGATGTGACTATGAACAAGGTCTCGGCCAAGCAACCCGCCACCGCAATCTTATATCAACTGTACCTTGATTCGGGCGCGCTAGTGAATATTCACGATCTTTGGCAGGCCTTTTATGGTATATTTGAAACGGAAAAGGCTGGTGGCTGTGATGACCGAGTCGTGATGGCTTTGTTCTACAGCGCTCTCTCTGAGTTGAAGGCGTTTGGTGTGATCAAGAATAGTCGGAAGAAGACTGATCATCTGGCAAAGTCAGCATGGATGGGTCTTTAGTTCTAGATCGAGGTTCAGATCGACGTCATGGCATATTTCATATTGTTGAATCAGGCGGGGTATCATGGACATTAGAATACAGTTAGCGAACAAATCAGGACTCGCTCGATTGTCCGGCTTCCAAACACATTGAAGATCATGAAGAGCATGAAAAGCACAGCCGCAGTTTAATTAAGCAATAGGTCGTTGGATGATGTCGTCATTTCCAATCGGCCGTCTGCCGTCGCTCAGCACCATGGCTTCTCTCCTACGACGGCGAAGGGCTTGCTCTTCAGCACTCCCCTCTTGAAGTCTTTGCGACGAAGTTCCAAACGAGCCACGAGCCTGATCCGCAGCCACCACCCAGACGTCGCTGCGCGCCTCATCATCATCGTGATCATTTTCTTCAATTATGTTGCTGCCCATTAGTTCATATTTTCGCAGCTGCTTGAGTCCATCTGGGTGGCCCGAAAGCACGCCGAGGATCGTGCCCATTACCGGGTCATCTAGCCACCAGGTTTTCATGAGAATCACAACGTCCCGTCGGCGAGAAGGCTCAGCCTTTGCACATGGGAAAGGATATCTGCTAAGCCACCGACTAACTATCCCCGCCTCCAGTGCAACGGGTATGTTCCTTGGCGACAACAAGTTATGCAGGATTTTCAGTGCGCTCTTCTCCCCCATCGGCCGTGTTTTCGGTAAGATGGGCGAGTTGGTCGTAGGTGTATTTTCGACATGATCTTCTAGTAGGTTGCACAGGCAGTCGACAATGGCAGTAAAGGTGGATAGATCGGTAAGTCGAGCGTCAATCGAAATTCGGGTCCCTGTACGATATCAGAACCATTCAAACTCTCTGAACCAGGCAGTGTAGATGACATACGGGCGTGGTTAGAGACTAAGAAATTCAATGCATTCAAAGCTCGCTGTTGTTGCACTTTGTTTTTGGATGCCAAATCCAATAATAGCAAGTCACGAGTATCTCCTCTGGTAGATCGTTCTGAAATAATGCGCAATGCTCTAAGAGATGTTAGTTGACTTGCGATGCGGTTGGAGACGGAGTTGTGTAAGCGTACGAGGCTCGGAGGTCGTAGCTCGTGCTTTGAGAAAGCTTCAAGAGGGTGTCGAGCTTGAGAGCTATAGGGCCGTTAATACAATGTCACGGTAAAGAGATATATCTGCATACCTTCTTCTGTTCCCTCGCTGATGATCTTGTCTTCCTTCTCAGGGTGTTGAATTTCTGTCAGATCAACGATTTGACGGAGTTCTGTAGTGATACTGCGAATGACGAAGACCAATGAGACACCTAGAGAAGAGGTCATCAATTGAGTCGATGGTGTTTGACTGAGTGAATGAACCCATACCTACGCAAGCCCATAATACACCATCCCTAGAGAAGGGAGCCATGATGCTTGTGGGAAATTGAAAGTTGGAGAGATGCGGAGAGCGGAGAGCAATAGGCAGAATCTTGATCGGCGCAGCCCGCGGAGGCGGTGTACCTGATTTTTTTGATGAAGATCACGGCGAGTGAAAAAATTCCTAACCCTCAAATTTTAAGTCCAACCACACACAATGCCGCCCTCTCAGCTAAAGCAGCTGAAGGCTTCACTCCGTGAGACTGGAGTTCTTGGTCCTCAGAAGTCCAAGAAAGAGAAACGCCAAAATGCGAAGACCGGCGTCGGTGCGAAGAATCGCAACCAGCGCGAGGCCGCCTTACAAGCAATCCGAGATCGCTTCAACCCATTCGAGATCAAAATGACCAATAAATCCAGCAAGTTTGATGTTACAACCAGAGACGGCAACACAACTGCTGGTGGTGGCGCTCGCCCAGGTGTTACTAAATCACTGGGTGAAGAAAGGGTAGGTTCATACTGTTTCCAAGCTCTCTTAACGATAAAAGCTAAATTTTGATAATTAGCGCCGTGCGACACTTCTGAAAGAGATGAACAGCCGCAACAAGGTCGGTGGACTTATCGATCGCCGATTCGGTGAGAATGATCCCACCATGACACCCGAGGAACGAGCCGCCGAAAGATTCGCAAGAGAGAGCCAGAGAAAGATGCGCAAGGAGTCCATGTTCAACCTTGAAGATGATGAGGATGAGATGCAACTTACTCACATGGGTCAATCTTTGACCTTCGACGGCCCGGTCCAAGACGATTTTGAGGCGGGAGGAGAGTTGGGGGATTTGGAAGCCGCGGAATCCGACGAAGAGTCATCGCGGAAACGGAAGCGACTCGCCGATGGCGATGAGGCCGAGGACCAGGAAGACTTCATCGACTATGGAGACGAAGAGCAGCCCGGGCGCAAGAAAACCAAGGCCGAGGTCATGAAGGAAGTCATTGCGAAGTCCAAGTTCTACAAAGCGGAACGGCAACAGGCCAAAGACGATGATGAAGACCTGAGGGAGGAATTAGATAAACAGCTTCCTGACCTTTTCGAGGCTTTGCGAGGCATCAAGCCTGCGCCCAAGCCAGTGGCAGAGGCGCCAAAGCACGATTTCTCGGAGATGAATCCAGAGCGAGCTGCCATGATGGGGCAATCGCAAAACAAGGATCCAGAAAAGGAATACGATCAGCGCCTCAGGCAAATGACATTCGACCAACGATCAAAACCCACAGATCGCACAAAGACAGAGGAGGAGAAGGCCGAGGAAGAGGCGGAGCGGCTCAAGAAACTCGAGAGCGACCGGCTTCGCCGAATGCGCGGAGAGCCGCTCACTGACGACGAGGAAGACAACATGGATCAGGACGAAGGCTTGGAGGATGACGAGTCGGAAATCGACGATGCTACCCATTTCGGCCTTCCAGCCTACCCCACTGAGACGCGCCCTGAACTCGCCGTTGAAGATGAAGATGATTTTATCATCGACTCAGATCTGGTTGAAACAGATTCGAATGCCAGTCTCGCCATGGATAGTGACGAGGAAGAGGAAGGAGAGTCGTCAAGCGATGAGTCTGAAGGGCCAGATGGGGAGGACGAACTCATCAACGGCATGACCTTACCAACATACGATGCCGCTGCCACCTCGACTACTACCGAAGTGAGCAAGGGATCAGATGGAAAGCTTGCATTCACATACCCCTGTCCCAAGGACCACGAAAGCTTCCTGAATGTCATCAAGGACTTGCCTGTCGAGGAAATCCCAACAGTCATTCAGCGTATCCGCGCCTTGCATCACCCTCGGCTCAAGCCTGGCAACAAAGATAAGCTTGGTCGATTTGCTGAAGTCCTAGTTGAACATGTTGTTTACATGGGTAATGCGAGTGGGAGACCTCCATTCGCGATCATTGAGAATATCATCCGTCACATCCATTCCTTGGCCAAGACCCATCCTTTGAATGTGACGATCGCGTGCCGCGCAGTTCTCCGTGAGATTGGCAAGGAACGCCCACTTGCTCTGCTTCCGGGCGATCTCGTCCTTCTTACTGGCATTTCAAGCTTCTTCCCCACATCAGATCACTTCCATACGACAGCGACACCTGCTCATCTCTGCCTAGCTCGTTACCTGGGTCAGTGCACTACCACCTCTCTTTCGGACCTTGCACGTGGTGTATTTGCCGCAAGTCTTTGCCTTCAATATCAAGCCACCTCGAAGAGATACATGCCCGAGTTCATTAATTATACTTTGAACGCCCTCTGCAATCTTTCCCCTACGGAGCCAACTGTCAAATTTGGATCTTTCCCCTACAGACAGTCGCAGGAGTCTGTTCGACTCGCATCCTCCAAGAAGGTCACACCACGCAAGCTGCAATTCCACGATGTGACCACTTCTCCCTCTCAGCCCGAGGCGCAAGAGGAACTCAAGATTTCCCTCTTGACTACTCTGGTGTCTCTCCTTGGCTCTGCTTCCGACACCTGGGCCGAGAAATCCGCTTTCACTGAGATCTTCACGCCAGCCCGTGCCGTTCTGCAATTCCTCCAGCAATCACTCAAGGGCAAGACATACGCAGCAGCTCGCGAGCCCATTCAGAGCACCTTGAACAAGATCGATGCCCACCTCGCGCAGGCTCGTCTAGTTCGCCGTCCGCTGTTCTTGCATGACCACAAGCCCCTGGCCATCAAGACAGCTATTCCTAAGTTCGAGGAGAACTTCAACCCCGACAAGCATTACGATCCCGATCGCGAGCGTGCGGAGTCCAACCGTCTCAAGAAGGAGTTCAAGCGCGAGCGCAAGGGTGCCATGCGCGAGCTCCGCAAGGATGCCAGCTTCGTTGCTCGCGAGAAGCTGCGCGAGAAGAAGGAACGCGATTCCGAGTACGAGAAGAAGTACAAGCGTCTTGTTGCGGAGATTCAAAGTCAGGAGGGTCGTGCTGCCAACGAGTACGAGCGGGCACGTGGCAAACGGTAATCTTTTTGCATCTTGCATATTGCATATTGAGTCTTTGCTTCTGTTTCCATATATCACACTTCTTTGCACATCCTGTTGGGCTGGTATATACATCAATGTTTTATCTGGCGTAAGGCTGGGAATAAAAGTCAAGTTCATCGAGATATTACGTGTCCTGCTTCGTACTGTACTGTGTAGTAGTGAAGTGTCGATACATTGTGGGTCTATCACGTGCCGTAGATCTTTGAATAATTTGATCCATGGACGAGATCGATCTTCCCCCACACGCTAGACTTCATTCAGCAAAGATTCTACAGCTAGCCAAAAGTCAAAAAGCTTGAGTAGATCAAAGTTCATTTCAAAGTTATTCACATTGTCGATTCATCTACTCCCAAGGTTATATATATACTACTGATATATACTACTGATGTAAGTCGACACCAATACTAGACAGATATTCACACCGTGTCCTTTGTTCCTGTGGCACGGTTTCCATCCTCGTCTCCCCCGTACGGATGAAGATCCGTCGGTATGCATCGCCACCCTTTCCCCAAGTCTGCCATCGCGGACTCGAAGCGAGACGCTTGACGTTCGGATCCAAGTGCACAATGAAGCTTGCCCAGTACGCCTGCATGACAGGTATGATGGCTGCATTGGTGTTGTAGTATGAAGCTGGGGCACCTCCGGTATTGGACGGACCCCAAATGGTACTCACTTCAACTGTATGAGTAACGCCCATTCCCGAGGCCTCGTCGGCCGGGTCTTGTACTGCAAAATGGTAGTTCCAGCTTGGAACACCTGCAGCCGCATAGACGGATGACATGTCGATCCCAGGACAGATGTAGCGGATTTCGCCATAGGCCGTGCTTGCGGGTCGCCAGTAGGCTCCAGCACCAGGAAAGGTCTCGGTCTGATTGGCAGTCAAGTACATACTGTTGATCTTGTTCATCTGACTTTGTGTCATGAACGGGAACTGTTTCTGAATGAAAGTATCGGCGTCGGCAACGCTGGCAACGTTCTTTGGGACAAATATGGTGCCTTCGTTCGTGTCGTCGCCAAAGATCACTGGTACTTTGATGAATTTGCCTTCGTGGAAGAGAGCCAATGTGTGGTCTGGCACGAGGTCTTCGTCAATTGTGGGGCCATAGAGGTACAGTGGCTTGCCCTTTCCTCCTGGGTAGGGTCTGTTCACGTTCTTTCGCTGTAGAGCATTGACATCTAGGTTACGCAGACATGCCAGAGTATTATTGCCGCCACATGCAGTGGCTGAAACTAGCGCATCATAGGCAAACTGGCTTTCGGTGACATTGAGCATTGTGCCAAAGCTCTGTGACTCTGCTGCTGCTGCAACGAAGAGACCCTCGTCTCTGCCGCCATATGCTGACAGCATGAGTGTTATCGAGGCAGCACCTGCACTATCGCCGCCAATAACAACATGGTTTGGGTCTCCACCAAACTAGAGAGAATGTCAGATCATATTCCAAGAAAGACAAGTATCAGCCCGCGAAGAGCGGGAGAAATGATGACTCGACTTACTTTGCTGATGTGCCGTTGGACCCATTTTAGTGCTTTGCGTTGGTCCTTCAATCCATTGTTCAGACTCGCTCCTTTTTCAACCTCGTCTCCGGCGAGGAAGCCATAAGGACCGACCCGGTAGTTGAAAGTGACAACCACCATGTTGTTTCCGGATGCTTCGATCAGACCACTTCCATTGTAATTGGCATTTGTATTGGCTGCAAAGCCCCCTCCCTGAATCCAAAAGAAGACAGGCAGCTTTTTTGAGCCAACTGCTGATGTGGGAGCAAAGACGTCAAGAAACAAACAATCCTCCGAGGTGCCTGCTGGAACTGCCTGGCCTTCACTTCCTGCGGTTGGGATACATATGCTTCCATGCTGTGAGCTGTTAGTAGCTGATTCTAGATGAATAGGCACAGAGTATAAATACCTGAGTCGCTTGCTGGATTTCTCCTACAGATAAAGGATCTTGCGGCGCTGCAAACCGCAAATTTCCTACCGGAGGAGCAGCAAAACGCATACCAAGCCACTGTGTGACACCGTTCGATAGTGTGCGACCCTCATAGCTAGTATAGCCCAAGTCAACTACTGCCGAGGCAGATACTAGGGATAGCAGAGAGTAAAATCTGTACAAGAAAACAGCCATCTTGACCGATGGTCTGATTCCGAACCGGTCGATGCCATGCTTTATAAAGAGCCTTGGGCCCTAAAAGAAAACCCATGTCTGTTAGAGTTACGGTGCCAACACATGCAGAGCTGGCCTTTGAGCCAGACCACGAGGTAACAAAGGCCCTTGCACACCTGTTGGCTGATTTGAGATGCACATAGTAGACGGTTGCAGGGATCTGTACAAGAACAGCAAGGGGCTCCTTTGCGGTCACCAACAGTGTCCACGTGAGACATAATTAATTGTCATTCCCCAGTAGCAAATGACCATGTTTTTACCTGCATCTTCCCGACGATCCTTTGAGCTTGGTTGGTTATAGAATTCAATAAGTTTGCTGCTGCCCAAAGAACAAGTCATGTCAGCCACATGGTCGGGCAGCTGATAGTGAGGATTATTTCCGAGCTCGAAGAAGAATATCGAGTGTGATCCCGAGGTCCCAGCCTGATCACATCTGAAAGACATGAAACTGCCAAACTGGAAGACAAAGATTAGATCGGTCATCGCGGGGTTCCCATCTTGCATGAATAGCTTCTTTGTTTAGGGCTGAGTTCTATAGATAATTAATTATAGTCTTTGACTGGCTTTTACAAGCCAAACCAGGGTAATCGACACTCTGCACAGGGTTCCTTTCGGGCAGACCTGTGACCTGATATAGCGTTCATTTACATGAAGTGATAGCTCAGAAATATTTCAATAATGACAGAGTAACACGACTAGGATCTACCAATTGAGTCCTGTATGGACGCTGCTCTCCCCCTCTACAGGGCTCCACCGCAGTTCCCCCGCAAAACCTAAATCGGCGTTTTCTTTTGTCCGTCTGCGGCTCCTAAACTTCTCTCTCTCTCTTCTCTGACTTCTAGACTTTCATAGACTACGACATTGCTTCTTGGCAAGGATTGCCATGGCTTCCGAAGATGAAGACGACTACATGAATATGGTCATTGAGGAGCCCACCCAAAAAGAAACATTCTCACAAAGGAAGCTCCGCGAACAACGAGAGGTACTTTCCCCATTCCAAGCTAACTAGCGCCACATCTATAAATGGTGAAAGTTCGAACCATCTTTAACACTTTGCTCCCAAATGCAGGCCGAAGCCCGAGGCCGAGTCCCGTCCAAAGCCGAACGCGCTGCACAAGAAGCCGCCCGCCGAGATGCAGCCTTGGCCACTAGTACCCTCAACCCGACCAACAAGGGATTCCAAATGATGGCAAAGCTCGGTTTCAAACCGGGCGGGGTTCTAGGAAAACGTCCGACCGGTGACTCCGACACCGCCGACCCAGCGCGCGCTGAGCCGCTAAATGTAATTATAAAAGAAAACCGCGGGGGAATCGGGCTGGACTCGGAGAAGAAGCGCAAGATTCGCGAGGAAGCCGAGGAAGCCGCGAAGAAAATTAAACATGAGGAGGGTGATTATCGGGACCGTGTTCGTGAGGAGCGAGAGTTGAAACGCACTGAAGCCCAGGTGCGGGCTGCGCAAAAAGTTGCGGAGAGGCTGGATGCGGGGGCGGAGGATGAGACATCGACTGAGCCTAAGAATGAAGGGGGTACGGAACCATGCGCCGACGATAAGGAAAAGCATGATCCGCTAGACCCTAATCAACCGCCTGCAGCTTCTAGAAAGAAGAAGCCTGTCAGGCTTACATCGCAACTCAACGTTCTTTATCGCGGACTTGTCCGTGAGCGTGAGAAGAGAGATAGTGACCGCCTGGCACGCCATGCTCTCCAATCCTCACTCCCCTCATCCTTCTTCCCGAAAGCCCGGCTACCTGGATACGACGATCCGACCATGGATCGAGACGACAAGAAGGCCCTCGGCGACGAAGTGGACCAGAATACCTCCGCACTGGAAATCGAGCTTGAAGAAGAGGATGAGGAGCTCGACGCGTTTAATGCGTTGGAGCCGGCTCAACGGCTACACAAGCTCGTTCTCTACTTACGCGAAAAGCATCGATATTGTTTCTGGTGCAAGTTTGCCTATGAAACGGATGAGCTTGAAGGGTGTCCTGGGCTCACCGAGGAGGATCATGACTGATTCGACGTTGTATATTATTATCCCAGTGCAGCGACGAGCTGATTATTTATGACAGTCACATGATAATGATCTCCTCATGTCGATACATTCCTATATCACGGAGGTAGGACATTCATTATAGACATACCTAGAGCTTCGATCTCTCCCGGTAAGACCATAACATATATACACACGGCCCTGGGTATCATAACATAAAAATAAAACAACCAAACAGAACAAAAAATCAAAAAGGCAAAAGTAAGGCGAAGATATCTGGAGAATGATCCAACAGAGTGTCGTCAAGTGACCAATATGTCCAAGGTCACTCATGCAAGCGCATTGTGTCAATATCAACACTTCCAAATCAGGAACTATAACTATATCATGCGGAGATACGATCCACCAGCTCCTCTACCGAACGATTCTTGCATTTCTGCAATGACTGGAAACAACTCTCACAGATCCTCAGGCAACAGAACACGCAGCGGTGCCGGATCTCGATGTCGAACTTATGACAGGTCATGCATGGCATCGGACACCACATGTTCTGTGCCACGGGCATCGCACGGTGCTGCTGGTAGCACGCAAGGTGTACCTTGTTGAAGGCCGGCGTCACAGGTTCAACGTCCGGGGGGACAAATGGCGAGGGGGCCAGCTCCTCGCGTGCCATTTCCGGAACTGCAAGTGGCGGCTCCGTGCTGTCTGGGGTCGGGATGAAATCTTCCGGTTGTGGGGAGTGAGCGTCGTTGACCAGAGCTGGGACTTGTGCTGGGTCCGGGACTGGAGGTGCCGGGGAGAGGGTCACTGGGGGTGGTTGCTGGTGGGTCCCGTTAAGATCTGGGTGCGATTGCTATTTGCTTGTTGCGCATTCCTGTTGGCCGGGGAGATGCAGATTGTCCTGGGATTGGGACGCGTTCAATTGGGCGCCGTGCTGGGATCCCATTTCGGGATGAGGGGACCGAAGGGAAGTATGGGTTGTCGGATGGGGTCTGCGACGGCGCTGGAATTTCTTCTTTCGGGGGAGATGGGAGCCCCTTGTTTGGCGGGGGTGCCGGCTTGGGTAGTGGCGTCGTGAGGAATGCCGGCTGCGAAGTGAACATTGCCTCGTCGGACGGAACGGATTCGGTCGACTTTTTGTTGTGGAACGAGAATCGCGATTTCGCCATTGCTGAGGACTTCATCGCGGCGAGCGAGGGAACTCGCAGGCCTCGAGGGCGCTTTTCTGTGTCGAAGATTGCCATGTTCGAATATGGCGTGTAATATCGGGACCTGTGAATTAGGGTTAGCGCCCGAATACGCCGTCACGTCACCTCCTCGTCAATACTCCATAGCCTTGCAGCGATCAAAACAAGCACAGGCAAAAAAGGGATCTTACCGCCTTGCTCTTTTTATCAGTCGTGAGTGCCTATTTTACCTACGTGCCTTCTCACGTCCTTCTTACTTCCCACCCACCATGGATTTCCTTCGATCCACCTCAAACGCGTCTCAGTCTTCAACTTCTGAACTCTCATGATCTGGGTTCTCGTCAGTTGAATACGAATCTGAGGATCCTCTTGCGCAACTGGCGAAGGAAGTGAAGCAGCAGCCATTCACCACCAACGAGAGCTTACAAAAGTCCTTGGGACGCCGTCAACGATCCCTTCAGCAAGACCAAACTCGGGATCAGTACCTCGTCTTCACGTCTGTCCCTCCGGCGCAATCTTCCAGACTGAGTGATGATAGGTCGCGAACAAGCAAGTACAGTCGATTCTGTTTCAATGCAGAAACGGGAATCTTGATCGCGAAAGTCAAGCCAAATCCTGCACACGAACTTGCAACAAGATTATTTTATTCGCTGATCTCTCTCGAGCTGCGTGCGATGAACGTCCATCGTGACATGAGGCCTCTCGGTTCGACAACAGTCAAGATTGGGAATTGGAAAAAGGAGGCTGACTGCTGCTGGGCTCCGGCTTCGGCAAATACAAGGCTGAGTTTTGTGGTGGAAGTAGGATTGTCAGAGTCTACGCGACGACTTGCTCTTGATGCTCGGGGTTGGCTTGAGACTTCCTCCTCATCTGTGAAACTTGTGGTTACGATCAGCATTGAACGAGAAAATCCCGAGATCATTTTGCACCAATGGGAAGTTGTTCCCCGAGGATATGGCGTCCTTACAAGGTCATCCTCTCTTTCAGCGCGTTGTACTTCATTCCTCAAATTATCTCGAACGAATAACACGGCATCAGTTACCGGAGAGTCCTACATGAATGGCACAACTAGGACTACTACACAGCTCGATCTACCCTTCGAAAAGGTTGTTGACCGTCCTCCTCACCAGCCCCTGGAGAGAGACTTAGTGATACCCGAGCAAGAGCTGAGAAGTTTTGCCGAGGATATCTGGAGTCAGCAGGGTCTCCTATAAGTCGTCTTTCTTCTGATATGTTATAATGTTCGTTGGCCACCAAGCGGCAGACATCATGGAAGACTATTGATATACTCACGAAGGACGTGTTGATTCATAAGATTTTTGTGGAGGTGCGTGGCTGCCTGAGACTCAAGCCAGGGTCTCATATGATATTCGGGCTGGATTCCTGATGTCTCACGTGTTTGGGAATTGCTAAGGACACCCCAACTTTTTGCTAACTAGGGATACCCCATTTCTTAGCTAATACAACACCTTATGTAACCAAACCTCATCTTATTGGCTCAATTTTCTGCACGACCAAGTGGATATTGCTCAGAGAGCCACACCGCTTGCCCCTTTATCACAATGGGCCTTCGCCGCCTTCAATTTGCCCACCGAATCGCCCGGCTACTAAGGTAAAGCAACCTGTTTGAACGGATATTCATCCATTTTGGAGGCAGAACATATCACCGAGTGACACTTTAGAGTATCTACTACTACTCGGACCTCAGCTACCCATACCCAAGGCCCAAAGATCAGGCGATTCAGGTGTTTCACGTGTACAAGGTAACAAGACTACAACTGGGAAGGAAAAGACGCCGCCTATGTGCTCAAACTGTGGGGAAGTTGGGCACACAATCAGGTCCTGTAAGGTATAATGATTCCAATCAAGTTGTATACTATTTAAGGCATCTTAACCGTATGAAAATCGCGTGTGATCAACTTCAATTGCTGGGGTAACTAAAGTTAGGGAGTTGGGATGTGATGACATAAGATGGGGTGTCCCTAACTAGTTAGTTAGTTAGTTAGCAAAAAGTTGGGGTGTCCTTAGTAAGCAATTCCCCACGTGTTTATGCTGATGACTAATATTGACTATTCCATTCGAACTCTATATCGGATTCCATTTACCAGCTTGAAAATATAACAGTTGAGCGGGCCCTATTAGGCCGCCCAAACGTGGGCCGTAGCCGTAGCGAAGTGGGCTTAATGACGATTGGATCACAGCCAAGAGCGCTAGAGGAGTTAATATAAGTTGAACGATACAAGTCAATATGATAATCCCTAGACATGTACTGTGTTACCACAGTAGGCATTCCAATAAGCTGATAGTATATCATCGATCTACCACCAATATTGGAGTATGCACTATGATGATCTACAATTTCTATATGGTGACACAGTATATCTCGGTACGGAGTATTCCCAATGTCATCATCTAGATCAGATGATCTCGTATGTTCAACACGAGTTATGGAATTGTCTAGGGGGTATATTGCAGCTCGAGTAAATCAGATTCGTTAGATTTTCAGCGATCAGGTTCAGCAACAGGAATATACGACCTGCGTTCTCGTGCAGCCTAGATCAATGGTTAGAAATAGTTCCCATAAACAAGATATGACCCATTTGCCTTACCTCAACGTATCGCTCGATCCAGGGCTTGCAGGCAGCCCAGGCCAGTAGGCCACCCGTCGCAATGATGAAAATAAAAACCACCGCCTCGTCTTTTCGTGAGTCTCGTTCTGTTCTCATACCATACGTCAGTATTGTGCAATATACCGGGACTGACAGGACAGTCCATTCCTGCTAGTCCGCTGCTGGGGTATCACTTACGGAAGCAAGTCGTGTACACATCTTCCTCTTTAGCGCCCTTGCACGTCGGTAGCTCGTAGTCGAGACAGAACTTGCGGTTGCAATCATTGCAATTTAATGATCGATATTTCTGGCCTCGTTTTGTGTGCTCATCGGCTTGCTCGAGTTCGGAGGTGACGGAGGCGCGCTCGAAGAAGAGGACGTGGTCGATGCCAGAGGAGGTTTCGGACTTGGCGGGATTGAGGGGGATGATGGTGCTGTTTGAGAAACAGGTGCACTTGCAGAACGAGGTTGGTGCTGTAAATATAGAAGATTAGTTCCAAGATATCGACGAGGTTCGCGAGTTTGGTCTCCCAGGGACTCTGAAGCTTTGGGGAAGAGACCACATACTAGATGCCACTACCAGTGAGGTGAGAGATAAAACTGTGAGGAGAAGCAACAGCAGTCGGCTGCTGCGTGAGAACCAGGCAGAGACCATCCTGGGCAAAGCAGTTGACGATGCGACAGATCTGATCTGGCCGGCTTTGATGACGGAGGACTGGGTCACATGACCGATACGCAACGCGTATCCTCCGACTCTCCGAGATGTCGAGGCCTGTTCGGTATTCATTTGCTATTTCTGGAGGCAATTAGCTCGATTACATGTTATATTGATGTGATTGAAAGCTGTAGGCTACTAGCAGCCTCGTTATGTAAAGCATCACATCAGTCTAGATACACACTCCCAGTCACCTCTATGTTCGAGACTAATTCACGATTTCCCCTTGAGTCCCTTTTTCCGGTTATCTCTCTGTCTCTGCTCCTTGGCGGCATCACGTCGTCTCTTCTTCCAGGCACGGTTGTTCTCCCCACGATTTTCCCAAAACCATTTCGCGAACTCGGTTTCTTCTTTTTCTTCACCATCTGCCAGGCGAGACTTTGTGACTGGACTGTCAATCATCACATCGTCATCCGAACCATCACTCTCGTTCCACGTCATGTGCCTAGCGGCAGCAGTGGTGTCGGGGGTGGGAGCTGCACTGCGCTGACCTCGGTTTTGCAGATCGTTTTTCGTGAACGGTGTGAATGGTGTCTGAGGCTCGGCCACTTGGGGCTCATCCTCGGATTCAATGTCGTTACCAAAGAAGCTGAAGCCAGTCTCGGCCGCTGGCGCAAGCTGATCATCGGATGCCGTCGGGGCAGCTCGCTTGAAAAGAGCTTCGAGGGGGTGGACTTCCTTGACAAGTGTGTCCGGTTCTACCTCTTGCACAGGCTCAATGGCCATCTCGGCCGAGGCTGAAGGGTTCGGTGTCTTGTCGTGGGTACTCGCGTCGGCATCACTGTCACTTTCCGACTTGGCTGTCTTTTGTTGGAGTTGTGTTTTGGCATCGTCTTCTTTCCCCTCATCTACTTCGCTTTCCGAAACACTGATCTCCTCCGAAGACGAGCCACTTGATGAGGTATAATCTTCGGACTCCGAAGAGACCTCTGGAGAGACCTCTTTCGTCGGGCGTTTTTTCGTCTCTTTTGCGGCCGACTTAGTCGGGCGCTTCTCCTTGGCTCCTGGAATCTTGCCAGGCCGGTAACTGTCCTTGGAGATCTTCTCGTTCGCAGGTTCTCTCACATTCCCCGTAGAATCAATCCAGCCTTTTCCTTCCTCAAACGTAGCTGTAGGCACTGCACTTTCCTCTGCAGTGCGCAGGAAGCTTGGCTGCGTCACCGTTTTCGCAAACTCATGAACAACGTTGTCCTTGAGAGCCTTCTTCTTCTTTGCTTTCTTGTCATCGGGGGCTAGGTCGGATGCCCGGTTGGGCGGGATCGTTGCTCGGAAGAGGCACTCGGATTTGTCGGTGTACTTGGACTTCGGCTGCAATTTCTTCTCTTTGTCCTTCTTCTCTTTCTTTTCGGACTTGCGTCGTTCTTGCTTGGCATCGCTAGTCTCCGTCCAACCTCTCTTCACTTTCCGGTCTGCTGGGAGTTCAAAGCCATCCAGAACACCATTTTCCGGCTCTTGTTTCTTGGACTTCTTGGACTTTTTCTTGACGCTTGAAGGAGCTTCGGGCACCGCATCTTCTTCCTCTCGGTGTCTCTTTGAAGGACGGGCCGCCTCCACTTTGAATTTCTTGCCCTTCAGAATCGACCCATTGAGCTTCTTCTTGATCTTCTCTGCCTCCATTTTTGGCAGAGTGACGTATCCGTAGTTATTCTCTGGGAAAGTGGTAATCTCGTGGAAGGAAATATCTGTAGCCAAGCTGCGAACGGATGCTGGCAGTACAGATGGAAGGATCTCAGGGGTGAAAGGAGTGATATGCAGCCTGGTCGATTCAGTCATTGCCAGGGAAGTGACCTGAAGGTAATGGGGTTTGGGATAATTCCAGAGCTTCAACGCCGCTCTCCGATCTTTTATTTTTTTTTTTAGGCAAAAAGACCTGACCCAGGTTAGGTTTATGCCACCGCCTTTTGGAAATGAGGGACCATTGGCCAGACGTCATCCAGAGGTGGAAGATCAGTTATCGGCCTGATTCTGGCCTGACTGCCTGACTCTGCCTCCAGTTCCGCTTTCAGCAAGTACCCAGTACTTCCTTTCTTTTGCCTATCACTGCAGTGTTTTAGGTACTTGATACTTCATTGGCATCTGGCAAAGTGGCATAGAGAAATATCCTGACATGTCCAGGCTTAGCTTGACTCTGTCACTGGTGACTGTGGACTTATGAGCAAAGTGGAGTTGTCGATGTACATGTACTGCGTAGTTGTCTCGTGACACGACCATGACGATAGATCAACTGAAGATCCTAAATATTGAGAACTCACTAAAAAGAGGGGTGCTTCACTGCTTAGCTACAGTAACTAGTTCATTTGACCTGTCCGTTTTATTGTTCAGCTGTTCAGCTCTCTCAGCTGAGTGTTTCTCCCAAAGTCCAGACCTTTCAATAATCCCAGGAAAATAACATCCGCCACTTCCGATATGATTTCTTATGATTTCTGTCTTTCTCAGTAATTCTCACACTTGAATAAATCTCTTGATCACTTTCTTCCTTATCTTCCTCGGCTTCGTGGGTGTTCCCAGTCAAGTGCTCACCGATCTCCCTTCCCCAGTTACTCCGGACAGATCACAACCCCCGCTCCTAAAGTTACTCCTCTTCCTTCACTCATCTCCAACCCCCATCTCCATGTCTCTCTTTTGACCTCCCCTGTATCTTCTTTCTTTAAATTGTTCCTCGCATTCTACCTTCATCGGAGACCTTTTTTGGTCCATTTCGACCCTATCTGGCCTGATAGGCCGTGATCCTAACGCGTTCGCCCACTTTACATTCCCCTCATCATCTCACTCCTAATATGGGGAACTCCCAGACGAAGGAGTCGCGCTCCACAGCCCCGTCGAGTCGTCGAAGTAACCAATCCTCTGCGGGCGCTCCCGATGCCTCAGGTCGGCCGTATCAAGGCTCGCGATCAGCCAGAGGCAGTCGGCCTGATTTGTCGATTCTCGGAATCGGCAGCAGTCATGACCGAGATGTGTCCACATTAGAACATCGGCGAGAGACAAAACAGGAGCGCGAGGCTCGCCGTGCAGAACGGGAGCGGGTGGCCCGGCTTAAAGAGAGGGAGCGCAGTATGAAGGAGGAGCATGTGGATGGAGGTTATCTTGTGACTCAAGGCGTGTACGTGGGCACAGAAGATTTCAATAAGGCAGTGGTGCGCCAGCTGATGGTAGGTACACCGGGACTCCCACCGATGCGGAATTCGAAGGCTGACTGCTTAGATTGAACGCCGACTGGCTCCCTTTTGGAGAGGTCTCAATGACTTTTCGTCGTCATGGGCTGAGCATCAGCTTATGGCGGCTGCCCGAGGAATGCCCATTCCTCCTCCCGACGAGATCCCTCCGGAGTTGGAGTACAAACTACCCAGGAGCACAGACAACAGGGCTCCTACCGAATCCGCAAATATTCAGCACTTGACAGTGCCCATCACTTCCAGATCACAGTCTTATAACTCAGATGCTTCCCAATCACCTAACCCTCCTCAGTCATTACCCTCCACATCTCCGATCGCATCCGGCACATCGGCCTCCCCTCTCTTCCGGACGAGAGCCAAGACCTTGGCCGCTCTGACCACTTCCTCCAAGCATAACTCTCAGACAGATCTAACTCCCCGGGAGTTTCAGCTCCCCAATGATCCATTTGTCAACGGGCAGCCTATTGAAGTGAACTTGTACAAAGATGCAAGCGAATGTCCTATCTGCTTCCTATATTATCCGCCGTACCTTAACCATACCCGATGCTGCGATCAACCTATTTGCTCAGAATGCTTTGTTCAGATAAAGCGCCCGGATCCGCACCCCCAGAGCATGGAGAGCCGGATCAGAATGCCCCGACGGCTGAGGGGGGGCAGACCGAGTCGACAGAGTCACAGTTGGTTTCTGAGCCCTCGGCATGCCCCTTCTGTGTTCAGCCAGAGTTTGGCGTCACCTATGTATCTCCACCCTTCCGCCGAGGTCTGACCTATATGGCGGACCCGAGTGCTCGACCTTCGCCCAGTTTCGCTTCTCCCGTATCATCCACTTCCTCGTTGTCCTCTGCCACCGCACCTGTGCCAGGTCGCCGCCGTGCCACCTCACTATCCACAACTGACCCTTCGGTTGTTACGACTGATCGGATTCGGCCAGACTGGGCCACCAAATTATCGAATGCACGAGCCCACGCCGCGCGTCGGTCTGCGGCAGCGACTGCCCTTCACACTGCAGCCTACCTGATCAACCCTAGCGCATCCGGCAGTGACTCGCGTGGGTTCGGTATCGGACGGCGAGGGATGCGACGAGCCACCGGCGGAGAAGGGTATAGCGGCCGATCTGCTTCGCCCGCTCTCAATGCGTTGGCCTTTCTGACGGAACGTACCACCACTGGGACCGATCGGACCGGCCGAGCAGCTGGACAAGACACCGATTCCGCCTCTACCGAAGAAGGAACGGGCAATCCGGCCGCGCCTCGCACGAGCTCAAGGCGTAATCGATTTGAAGATCTTGAGGAAATGATGATGATGGAAGCTATTCGCCTGAGTTTGGCCAGCGAAGATGAGCGCCTTAGACGGGAAGAGAAAGAGGCAAGAAAGGAGGCCAAAAGACGGGAGAAGGAAAAGGAAAAGGAGGCCAGGAAGGCAGACAAGGTGGCGCGCAAGACTGGATTGTACAGCAATAATGCTAGCACCTCCGCTTTGGATGTCCTTGGCGAGTCCAGTTCGGCCAAAGCAGTCAACTCCTCCGTCAAAGAGGAGAATTCCATTGGTGAAGAGATCGCTGCTGGCAGCAAAGGGAAGGGGGTCGATCGCTCACTACCGTCAACCACAGAAGAACCGAAGGACCCCTCGCTGCCCGATTCAGCCACACAAGCGGCTGAGCCAGCGGATCAGTCCGAGTCTTTACGGCCATCCCACTTGCGGCATGTCTCCAGTGCCTCCTCGTCTTTCTCCTCTGTTATGGAAGCTACTCCAGAGGATCGCACATGCGGTCAATGTGCTGGAGAGGGCAACAATACTTCCCTTGAGCCCATGTTCAATTTCCGCAGTCTGGCTGCCGTTATTGGAGATGAGGAAAAGACGGATGAATCTGTGGAACACGTCGAGGATACCTCAACCAAGCAACTAACAGAGGGCACTTCCTCGAGTACAGCTCCATCGGTTCATCAAAGTTCGACGGAAATGAATTCCGAAACGACGCCTATTGTCGAGTCTCATACAGAGACTCACAGTAACTCCGGCATCCCTCCCAAAGAACTTGAGACTCGCTCTGTCGAAATCACCAATTCCCCCACGAATCCGGAGGCTACCTCATGAAGATCCGACGTGGTCTATTTTTGTTTTCCCTTTTTCCATTTTGGCTTTACTTTGGTTAGTATCTAGACACAATCCGGTCCGCATGGCACGTTTGAATTAGCCGGCGCAGGGGATCGGTGGTGACAAAGGCATTTTTCTGCTGTTTATCTCTGTTCATCGCTCTACTTCTTTCTTCGTTTTCCATCTACATCGGCTCCTATGGCATCCCTTTCCTACTTTCTGGTCACGGATAGAAATTCTGTTTGGCATCCAAATCCGATTGATACGTTTGATCTCGTGCAACAGTCTAGATTCAGTTTATGCCTGATGCCATAACCTGTCTGTGCACATCAGTCCGGTTTACACTATTTTACTATTTTATGCCTCTTGAGGTTGACTCTATGTAACAATGGACACTACACAATACTGCGTAATGGCCGATTTGTGCCGAGGCGAAGCTTTTTTCCGATCATCCCAAAAAGGAAATACTTCGCTCTTTCCAAGGTTCGCTCAAACTTAGATCGTCTCTCTTCAATTTTTTATCCTCCATCTCGTCCCATCGGAAACAACATACTTACATACTTACACTATATCTTAGTGACAGACCAGGAAAACAAAAGTCGAAAAATCTCCTATTTTCTTTCATTTTCTTTAATTCCCCGAATATCACAAAAGCAAAGGACATCACTCGAGACTAGGAGATAGTGGGTCGCAAGGTTTTGGCTACTACGAGAGGACTATGGCATTGACCCTACAAGCAAGTTCCCATTCATCCTTCGATAGCTTTCCTACAGTACAGCTCTTTCTCCTAGGTAAGCCTCCATCTTCCAGGCTTGTTGCTCATCTAACGCATTCACAGCAATATGCCGTGTTGCAGAGCCCATCGCCTTGACCTCTATCTTCCCTTATTCATGGGTGATGGTCAAGGATTTTCACATGGGCGACGGCAACAATGCTTCCTTCTATGCTGGTGTTTTGATTTCGGCATTTTCGCTCGCTGAGGCTTTGACTGGCATGTTCTGGGGTGGTCTCTCCGACCGCCTGGGACGGAAGCCGATTCTTTTGTCTGGCTCCATGGGCACCATGGTCTCTTTGATCTTGGTCGGGTTAGCTCCTAATTTCTGGGTCGCTGTCGCTGGTCGAGCCCTTGGTGGAGCCCTGAATGGAAACATCGGGGTAATCCAGACGATGGTCGGTGAGCTTGTGAAGCGACCTGAGCATGAGCGTGAGTATTTTGCCTTATCTTTTCAGTGTTTACCTAGCGAAGCTAAGAATTTCTCTTGTATCTAGCTCGAGCATATGCCATCATGCCCTTTGTCTGGTCAATTGGAACGATCATTGGACCAGGTATGAATAGCTTTTATATGGCCTAATTACACCGCAACGCTAACTTAACTATACGCAGCTATTGGAGGCTTATGTGCAAGACCCGCTGAAGGGTTTCCCTCGTTATTTCCGGCTGATGGTCTCTTTGGGAAGTTCCCCTATCTTCTGCCCAACCTTGTTTGCTCTATTCTACTTCTCCTAAGCATCATCAGCAGCTGGCTGCTCCTCGAGGAAACCCATCCAGACATGCAGCCGGGAATATTCCATGAGCATTCTGACCACGCAGCGGAGCATGCGCATTTGGTAACATCCGGCGCAACCGCAAATGCTAGCGCGGACCTGCGAGCGGAGTCGTACGGGACTTTCAATCAAGTCCACCTGCACACTGATGAGAGTTGGAACGTGCAATTCGATGGTTCGTCCCCAGCGTGGAAGAAAACACCGAAACCCAAGGCTTTCACTTGGCGTGTCACCATGTTTGTGATCGCGCTGGCTATCTTTACTTATCACTCGATGACATATGACCATCTGTTGCCAATTTTCTTGCAGGATACGAAGTTGGGAGACTTTCCAAGCTCAAACCACTCACTTCTCAATATTCCAGGCGGCGTTGGTCTTTCGACTCGAACTGTGGGTGTGATCATGTCTACTGATGGTATCATCGCTCTTGTGATACAAAGTATCGTTTTTCCCGTGCTGGCCCATTATCTGGGAATTTGGCGGCTTTTCATCGTCGTTACGGTACTTCATCCAATTGCGTACTTCATGGTTCCGTTTCTGGTCTTTCTGTCGGGCCCCCTCGTTTATATCGGTATATTCACTTGCTTAATCGTTCGCAACACCCTGTCCATCATCGACTATCCTATCCTTTTGATTCTTATCAAGCAAGCTAGTCCCTCAGCTTCTGTCATGGGCAAAATAAACGGCTTCGCTGCTTCCGCGGGAGCTGCATCCAGGACTCTCGCTCCTCCAATTGCTGGTTTGCTTTATAGTACTGGGGCGAAGATTGGATGCACCGCTCTTGCCTGGTGGGGGAGTAGTCTCGTTGCTTTGATTGGGACTTTACAACTGTGGTTTATCCAGCGCAACATACACACCACAGCAAGCGTTAGTTCTGCGGCAGCGTTTCCTTACGTTGCTGTGCCAGAGCAGCATCACAATGATGTTGTCCATATCATTGTCAGTGGTGAAGATGAAGCACATGCTGGGACAGATGCAGTGTCGCATTAAGAAATAGAGCTTTGATTTTTTTTGCCGAAATCTCTCCACAATCAAGAAAAGATATCTGTAGACTGTAGTATGTCCGATGTCCGATGTACTCCGTACATCGTTGTTAGTCGGACGAGTGATTAGATAGTCTGGATGCACCTTCCCCAATCGGGACTAGTTTTGTTTACCCAGCAACGTCAACACGGCAACTCCAATTTGTATACACAAACTCTGCTCTACACAGTACCTTACCCAACACTTTGCTCGGACATTGCCCAACGAATAACTCTGGGGTTGAAGAGAGTAAACCCCTCACCAGAGACGATCACTCACGACCGAATTTTGCTATTGCCCATCCTCATCCTACTTTCGCCATGTCAAATCCTCTCTCACCCCTCTCTCCCTCCTACCAGAACGCACGCGCCCAATCCCAGATGGCGAACTCTTCACCCTTTATTCACAAGACCCTTGATCGGACACTAGAGCAAGTTGCACCATCAAGTCCATTGAAGCCAGAATGGGCAAGCCGTGCCGCACCGAGTTCGAACGCCTATAACGAAAACGAGGACTATTACCCTAACGAACCTGAGCACGAAAACGATGATATAAATGATGCCGAATCATATCAGCCCGGTGCCAGCTCACCGTTTCAGTATGATGGACGCGAAGATACGGTGGATTTCCAAAAACTACGGGAGATGCGACAGGCCTCGTCTCAACCCCACCCACGACTTAGTGCACTAGAGGAAGAGGGCCCAGAAAGCTCTCCGTTCCGTCCTAGTGCAAGAGAGGATACCGTAGATTTCAGATCGCTGCGTGAGGTGCAGCCCATGTCACCGGGACTGGACAAACGTCTGGCCCTGGAGGAGCCGATGAGCTCTCCCTTCCGTCCCAATGCCGACGCGGATCCTGTCGAGTCCCACAACACGTATGAGGAGCAAAGTTCATCGCCACTACCTCACCCACAACTTGAGTCATTGGAGGGAGAGGGCGAGGGAAGTTCTCCGTTCCGACCCCATGCCCGAGAAGACACGGTGGGTTTCCAGGGACTGCGCGAGGTTCAGCCTATGTCGCCTGGCCTGGGAAGGCGGCTGGCTCTAGAGGAGCCGGCCAGCTCCCCGTTCCGCCCTGATGCGCGAGATGAGACAGTCGACTTGGATCGTTTGCGCGAAATGCAAAATGACTCGCCAATCTTCAAAGCGCGGCCATTACCCGAGCCCGTCAGTTCTCCGTTTCGCCATGAGGCAAGGAATGTAACGCCTGAGGATCCGGATCTACATGATGTGAAACACGACTCGCCGGTAGTTGCGAAGTGCCCTTCACCTACTGCGGCACCTAGTTCACCTATCCGCGCCGAAACACCAGACATTGTTGATTCTCCGGACATGCATCAAGTATCACCGGTGAAGCCTGCATACTCCAGCCCTGCGGTTGAGTCGAGTTTGCCCATGCGCAAAGATGCACAGGACACTGTGGATTCTCCGAAGCTACAATCGCAGGAAACGCCTCCGGCTGAATCCAAGTACTCTTCACCTGTTCCAGCACCTAATTCGTCTTCCCGGTCCAGTCCCAAGGAGAGTTCCCTTGATGTTCAGAAGCCGCGCCAAATCTCTCGTGGATCGCTTGGTCTGGGTGGCCGGCGCTCGGTTGCGGCAACTCCGCGCAAAAGATCGTACGATGAAACACCTCAAGATCTTGAGGACGACTTACAGATGAATGACCGCCATAAGAAGGGCATGATGAGCCGACCAGAGCCACTGGCGATTCACATTGATGCCCAAGAGGAACCTAGTCTGCTTCAGGACCAGAGCGTCCTTTCCGCTGCGAATGCTGTGCAGGACCGATCGGACCGATCGGCGATTGAGAACAGCATGATGGATGACAAGCGCAATGAGGGTATGAGCACAGTGCTCCGGGAGGATGGCGACAAGGAGAATACCACCCAGTCTCACGAACACTCGATGGTCGATGATTCGATGGATGATACTTGCTTGAGCACATTCTCAGCCGTGCCAGATCTGACTACATTTGCGAAACTCCGCGCCCAGTCCCCAATGAAGTCAATGCGCGGCAGTGTTGGCCCAGCTTCTCATGTGGACGAGCATCGACGCAGCATCGACACGACTACCCCGAACACCAATCGCAGAGCGTACAAGGCGAGCGCCTACCTCGATGCGAACTCGCCGATGGGATCACCTACGCCAAGACCTAGAGGTCCTCGCGACATGAATAATCAAGGCGAATCTGCCAATTTGCTCGATTTCACTGATCAAATGGACTTCTTCCCTCGCCAGTCCATGCAAAGCGCTCGTTTCTCTCCCTCTCGGCGGTCGCCCATGCGACCTGCCCGGCCGTCTATTCGATCGCCTGGGAAGATGTCATCTCTGTTGGATTTCGATATCCCGGCTGCGCCCACCCCCCGTTCCATTCCCACGGTCACCCCCCGTGAGTTGGAGTCACTCAAGTCCGGTTTCTTGTCTGAGATATCGTCTCTCAAGGCCAATCTCAGCGGCAAGGAGGCGGAAGTTGCCAGCCTCAAGCAGGCAGTGGCAGATGCCGAGAGACGTGTCGGTGAAGCTCTGGAAGAAGTCCGCAATGAAGCCGCTAGCAAAGAGGTGCTAGAGATGGAGCATGCCGAGTGGGACCGCCGAATACAGGAGATGGAGACCGTCCTGCGGTCCGCCCGCTCCGAATTGGTGGAAGGGGAGCGGGAGCGGGAGCGTCTTTGTCAAAGGGCAGAGGAGGCAGAAAAGGCCAGGGAGAAGTTGGAAGGCAAGATGGTCGAACTCAAGAGTCAGCTTTCCGCCGCGCGTGCTGCAGTTGTGTCCAGCAGCAGTAAATCTGGCACCTCTCACCAGTCTTCCAACTCAACGGAGGATACTGCTCGTGAAGTTCAAGATGCGGTTGAGAAGGTCGCTCGTGAACTCCACGTGCTCTACAAAGGCAAACACGAGACCAAGGTCGCAGCCTTGAAGAAGAGCTACGAATCTCGCTGGGAGAAGCGATTGCGTGAGGCAGAGAAGAGGCTCACTGCCGCCCGCCAGGAGAATGAACAACTTCGCCTCGAACGTGATACTGCGCAATCTGATTCAATGGCCGCAGCCGATGCCAGCCTCGTCAGTCGCGAGAACGACAAGCACGAGGCGGAGAAGCGGGTCATGGAGGCCCAAATCAAGGGTCTGCAGCGGGAGATGGCTGCTCTGAAAGAGGATACCGAGCAAATTCGGGCCAATCTGGAGACTGAACGCGCGGAGAAGGGCGAACTCGTTGCTGCTGTTGATGAGTGGTTGGCCATGCAACAGGTCCCCCCATCACCTCAACCTGGAGACCGCGAGACCTCTGTCGCATCTTCCGTACGCAACGACCACATTGATGAGCCCGCTCAACCATCTCGTGAAGTTACGCCCGATGACTTCCGTCGCAGTGTCAGTCGTTCCGTGTCCGGGAGTATTCGACCTCCTGCCGCACAAAAGCGAATCCCTCGATTTGGTGCTCCCAGTGGTCATTCGCGCGGTAACAGCAGTGGCAAGTCCGGCATTGCGATGCCTACTCCCGGTCGCGGGATCATGAGCTCCATCGAGAGGATGGGCCGTGGTGGTGTTTAGGACTACAATGGTCCTGTTTTATTTTGTACTCTTCACATGGGGTTATTTCCCGGTTTGATTGTTCGATACCAGATGTGGCTTGGAGTTATGATCTTTATGCCAACTATTGGCTAGGCAGGGGGAATCAGGCATGCAATTAGATCACCAGGTGATATGAAACGATGTAATGATTTCACCCAATTGTCTCCTCCATGTAGGCAATGTGTACACAGTAGGATTCCAGACATGGCTCTGTACACTCAGCTCCCTAGTCTACAGGATACTGTTGTATCGGCATCTTTGAACCTCACTGATCAGCCGCAGATGGTTTTCGCCACTATGTCCACATGGTGGATCTTCCACCGTAATCAGGAGCTATTCCAGGCTGCGCCGTCGTCTCTTTGTGGATATTACCCCAGTTTTGATCATATCCGCCGACATCAACGACCTCAATGGATTTAGAAATGTCAATCCGGGCGTACTCCAGTTGCAGATCAGCAAATCCCCAGTGGCAACCCCCAACCTCCGAGCATACTCCGTTCTCTGTATCATCTACGGAAATACCATACAAGGTACATGTCGATCTACAGTAGGACCTCTCCCTCTCGGACTCCCGAACTCGCCAATTCCAACTCGGTTCTGATCCGATCTGGGCTTCAATACCCCTCATCATCACAATCGTTAGAGCTTCCCCACTTGGAGGGGCAATGCGCCATGACCCTTGAAAAGAGGCGCAATCCCCCCAGTAGACTCTGTGGCGTCCAGACTCGGCTTTCCCCCGGACTGGACGAAAACGTGGGGTGAAAAGAAAAATGCCGGACTGCCGTCTTGGTTCTGGTGATCTCAATATTTCCATCTCATTCGACGACGTAGAGTCGGATCCGTACTGCCTCTCGGTGTCTTGCAGCCTGTACGATCAAGCAGCGTATCATTGTTTCCCCTTTTTTCCCTTTTCCCGGAACCAAGTGCCTTCACAAAGGTTGTTGGCCAAAACCTAGATGCACGCCGCAACGGTTTTACTGCATAGTGAGAATCGAGAGAAAACAGCTGATGTTCTACTTTAGGGGACTACTACAAGTAATAATAACCGAAAGGTTCATCCGGCTCGGATGCCGAGGCCGGCAATTGTCCCTTGGGTTTGATATTTAACTAAACAACCCTTGGAGTTGGAACTACCCCAGGATCTGATCATTCTTGGGGCTTGCGAGAGGACCAGACTTCAGCTTTGTGGGATCTGGTGAGAAAAATACAGTCACAATACAATACATACAATACAGAACCCAAGACAATAAAAAAAAGCACTGACCTTTTCCGCTGCTGTGATTGGCAGTTCACTGGACCCGCTCGCGACCGCGTGAGAGGAAGAATTCTCCATTTCTCCAGAGACTCCAGTTTGAGGCTTTTAAAGGCGTCATCAGATCTAAAAACTCGGGAAATATTACATTTCAGTGTACTGTAGGATGATATACGTAGTAAAGATTAAGCATAGACCAAATGTCTCTCTGTATATTGTAGTCCGACAACTATATCAATCTGGAGGTACAACATAGGTATCGGATCTTCCGGAAATCGGCACTTCCGCACGTGAGGGTCGGCAGGCCGGGTGAAACAGCGACGGTTGCGGGATATTATCTTAGTTCAGGGGTACTCCGACCCGTTCCATTTTGTGCACTAGAAGTTCTAAATGTTTGCACATATTGCATAGTTATACATCTCGAGGTCCTATCAAGATACCATAGACTGTGATTTGTGACTCTATTACTGTGTATGTATTTCGCAACGTGTTGGTTGACCCTACACAGTAATGGCAAGCATGTCACTACACTGGAGATCCATAAATCCGCTGTACCATGACATTTGTTGACGTCCAAATTGACAACAAAAGCATCTAACTGTGCAAGGCCTGGGCTCGGAAAAATTAATAATTGCAGAATAAAAGAAAGTATAAAAATCCCAACGGGACTAAAATTGTCGCAGAGACGACAACCTGTGCAAGAATGGAGCCTTGAGGGCCGTGCTATTACGTTGACTATGTACAGTGGTGTCTGATTAGTATTTAACCTCCGGTACTTAGGTCCCCACTTTTATTATTTGACCGCTATCTAGACCGCCTACTTTAGGAACTACTTAAAACTCTCGCGTCACCAGCTATTGGATGAATTCTAATTCCCGAGGGTTCTGCCTGGCAGTATTAAAGTGGGTCCTAGGCCCCCAATGTACCGGAGGTTAAATACTAATCAGACACCACTGTAGCTGCATGTAAGGATACAATGCGGGTTAATTCCACATCGGGATTCCCGGGAGTATCGGTCCTCCATGCTTCATGCTTGCATTCAATGTTGATATACGGAGTAGGCCGTCAGTCCGGGGATAGAACCGACTACACAGTACAGATATACTCTATCCCATCAACAACATCAGCTTGAAGGTACTAAAAGAAGCTGCTCGCAAGGTCATACCCACCAAGGATGATCACATTACTCATCGGTCCAGACATGTCCCAAAGAGGGTAAGTTCAGTATTCACTCCACTGGGCTCCGCTTGTCGGAGGCTGGAGGATCCTTCAGTCCAGTCTCCAGTCTCTCCAGTCTCTCCAGTCTCTCCAGTCTTGGTCCTGGAATAGTCGGGGGAATGTGGGAAAATCCTGGCACTCCCCTTTTCCTTGACCCGCAGTTCAAGATCTTCACTATCCGGATTTCGGATTTCAGATTTCATGGGGACTTCCTGTACGCCCATTGTCGATGAGTCGTTGGTGTACATCATTTTCTACTGTGTAGGGCAAGGTCCACCTCGGAGAGAAACATAGCGATATCTGCGTAAAAGGGTAATAATAACATTTAGAAGGCGGAATAAAATAGAATAATGCGGGAACGTACCTCGATACATCGTTAAAATTAATAGAGATCGCAACTTAAAATATCCATTCGAGTACCTACAGTGTACCTTGCCACACGGATAGGTAAAGTATAAACTGGACTTACCCAAAGTTGGACTCATAATATCAGTCTGACTACTCCGTAGTTATCAGTATGAATAGAATAATTACCAGACCATCAGCCAAAATTTTCACATGGCACTCAGATTTCCCAAACAAGACCAGAAGATGCACATCGTAACGTGACCCGGGCCGAGGGACGGTCCACTATGAACAACTGTCTCGGGGCGAATGACGCAGTACCCCAGCTCAACGGGTGAAATATTTTACCGCTCCAGGGTAGGAAGCCGTAAATTACTACATTTGGACTAGTTTGTACTTTTAGTGTGGAGAAGCCAGTAATTTATTTCTCCAGTGGATCTGCTCCCCTCAAACTTTGGCCGTTCGTGGATTAGGGGCATTATTGAGCCATGGTGGAGTGAAAAAGAACCTGGGGCATACTTAAACCTTCATCTTCCCCCAGCGCGCGGGATTTTAGGAATTTGACAATAAAACAGACCGCTCTCCACTCTGTCTTTCCGGTTGTTTGGTGTTTCTTCTTCTCTCTTCCCATGTCAACGTGATATTCATTCCTCTACGGCTTTCTCACCATATGCTCGCTATTTATATGTAAAACATATATCACTCGAATGGTTCCCAATCCACTGGAATATCACAATATGACCGACTCCGAATCCGGGAAAAGAAAGGCTTCCACCGCCGGACTCTCCGGTCACAATCGTCCCGTGAAGAGACGCGCGTCAAAAGCCTGTTGCTGTTGCCGCGCCCGTAAAGTGCGCTGTGACGTCGTCGAGAATGGTTCTCCCTGTACGAATTGTCGTTTAGATCAGGTTGAATGCGTGGTGACCGAGAGTAAACGCAGAAAGTTGGTGAAATCGAGACAAATCAGTATAAGACTTCCTGACTGACATGTGATATCCTTGATAGGAAATCTCGCGTTGAGGTAGAGAATCACTCGGAATCCCCAGAGGCCTTGGACGATAATCCTTTCCACCGTCTCGGTGATCTTTCCGGATTGCCGGATTTGGCGCCGACGTCTCCTTCGCAGTCCTCGGTGGATTTGGACCAGGGCCAACATATGCCCCATTTACTATGTACGTCAATTCTACAAAAAGGAAGAAAGACTTCCCCAGTTTCGGGCTGACCGAGGATCAAAAACAATATAGATCAAAACCAGGCTCAACGCATTGGCTCTGATGACCCCTATCGACGTCGCATGGCCCCTAACCCAGCAGTGCCTGCGTCTATGCCGTTAGCAAATGTGACTACGCAAATCCAGCAACTCTTAGATCCAAATTTTGGCAGCGCCCGGCCTGCCAGTGGATTCCTCCCTGACTACATTCGAGGACTCCCTGCACGACTACAAAAAGAGGATATCGACTACCTGGCAGCCAAGGGTGCCCTGACTATCCCCGACGCAACCCTACGTAACGAGCTACTGAAGAGCTACATCCACTATGTTCACACGTATATGCCCTTACTCGACCTGGAGGAGTTCCTGCAAAACATCGTTCACAACGATGGTATCCACCGCATCAGTCTGCTTCTCTTCCAGGCCGTCATGTTCGCCGGTGTGGCTTTCATTGATATGAAGCACCTGCAGGCCGCTGGCTACCAGACCCGCAAGGTTGCTCGAAAGGTCTTCTTCCAGCGTGCTCGTCTTCTGTACGATTTCGACTACGAGGTTGACCGTATCTCGCTCGTGCAGTCGTTGCTGCTCATGACCTACTGGTACGAGACACCCGACGACCAAAAGGACACCTGGCATTGGATGGGTGTGAGCTTGTCTTTGGCCCACACGATCGGCCTGCACCGAGATCCCGGAAACTCACGGATGGATGTGCGTCGCCAACGGATGTGGAAGCGGATCTGGTGGAGCACCTATACTCGCGACCGACTGATTGCTCTCGGCATGCGACGCCCCATGCGCGTCAAGGATGACGATTGCGATGTGCCGATGCTAACTCTCGATGACTTCGAGTTCCACCCTTTCTCGCCCGAAATCGTGGCCATGGTTGGTAACTCGGAGATTCTCCAAAATGTCAGCCATCAGCGCGAGCTGGCCTTGATGTTCATCGAAAAGGCGAAACTGTGTCTCTGCGTCAGCCACGTCTTGTCTGCACAATACTCGGTTCTCAGCCATAAGTTTGGTGGCACCATGGAGACCACCATGATGCTCGTCCCGAAGAAATCCACAGCGGAGACCTTTGAGGTCCGCAGTTGTGACCAGGAACTGGAGGACTGGCTGGCCAACCTCCCCATCGAAACCCAATATACCCCCTCCAGTGGATCGAAGCTATCCGAAGCAGACGAAGTGCTGCATTCTCACCGTGCCTTGTTGAAGATGGTCTACCTGACCACATCCAGCGCTTTGCACCGCCCACAAGTCCTTCCCGCCATTCCCTGCCCCTCCACGGATGCAGAGCTCCAAGACATGTCCCGGAACAAGGTGCGATTTGCCGCAGTCGAAATCACCGCTATCGCCCAGGACCTGCACTGCCTCGACCTGACCCGGTACTACCCAACCACCGGAGTCACCGTCCTCCTCCCAGCAGTCATCATCCATCTCCTCGACATCAAGTCCACCGACCCAAGCATTCGCATGACCAGCTTGCAACGATTCTACCAATGCATGCGCATCCTCCAGCGCCTGCGCGAGATCTACGCCTCTGCAGACTTTGCCACATCCTTCCTCGAAGCCGCCATCCGCAAAGCAGGCATCCAGCTCACCGTCTCCCCACAAGACGTCCAGTCTTCTTCCTCATCCTCGCGTGCCCGTGACCAATCCACTACCGCAGATCCCCTCGACACCACCACCGACCCCTCCCGCCTCCATACCCTGACGCCCCCGCCGGATTCCCTTGCCCAGAAGATTCCGGACCTCACATATCCCAAACACTCCGGTCCTTCCGCGGGCGGACAGTCTACCGGAGGCCTGTTCGCCTCGACACCGCCCCACTCGGACGGAAGCGAGAACGGGAGCACGAACAATATCAACCATGTCAGTCATAACAAGGACCGCGATGCCTTTGCTATGCCCTCTGAAATGAGCCTCACCGAGCTCATGGATCTGGCAAACGACGCCGAAGTTACGCAGAATGACTTCGATGCCCTTGTCAACTTTGATGATTCAGGCAATAATGACTTCTTTGCCGGTGACAACACGCAACATATGGGTCAGGAGAAAGGGTTCGAGTTTGACGTTGATAACATGAACATGATGTTTGATGGCGACACTAAGCCCGTTGATTTCACCCACCTTGTGGAGACCAGCTTACATGAGGGCGAGGTCTCCAACGTCGCAGAATGAGGACCCTATCTCGGAAGCAACTTGGATTCTAATACGTTTTCTGGAAACCAGAGATGATGAACGCACTTCTACTAAGCCCCGGGTCAACAGTGTACCTCATTCGAAAGATTGCCGGGCACTAAAATTCTTACTGCATCATGTACAATTTCTTTCATTTTGTTATACACGGTATATATTTATAATGATGATGATTTTGACCGCGGATCATCCGTTTGCTCTCGACTTTCCTCCATAAAGATAGGATCCCAGAAATTGGTGGGTAGAGAGATGTCCAGGAACTCTCCGAACAAGGTATCAATGTCCGCAAGCCCATTGGGTACATGGGTATCCACATCACTCATTGGGGGGTGAAGTGGCTCTATTGCGACATCAGCGGCAGTGGATACATTGGCCATTCCATGGCTGCTACTGCGCTGCCTCTTCGCTCGGGGGAACTCATTGCCAGGTGGTGCGAAATGGGTCGTCTCTAGCCCCTTCGACATTGAATCATTCGGACCGGGCTGCTTGTGCGCGGGCACTGTCACATGGCGTTGTGGACCTACACGGTCTGTTCGGGAAGATTGCAGCTGGCCCTGAATTTGGTCCAATGCCCTTTGCCCGAGCCTGGCCATCCCCTCAGCAGAATACCAATACGGACTCAGATTTTCTAACAGTGAACGGCACGCCTCAAGACTGGCTTTCGCTCGGTTGATATGTGTGATAAGCCTGCTTGAGCGGAGTTGTCGGTATGAGACACCCATCGACAGGGTGATTGCGTATGGCACGATTGGAAGTGGTGGAAGGTCTTCTGTACACTCTGATGCGACGAGAGCGTGAATGCGAATAGCTGCTAGTCCCTGCCTGACAGACGAGAGCCTGGTGCTATCGATGTCCTCAGTATGTCTGGATCGGCAGGATAAGATAGCAACAGAATGATAATAGAGCTCCAAAAATGCTAGTGGCGATTGATTTAGTGACTCGAAAGTACGGAGAGGATTCTGAAAGACATACCCAGAGTTGCGAAGTCCAGATCTTCTAGGGTATCCTCCCCAGTAATATCCTCAAAAGAAGGGAATCCCTCCTCCCACCCAGCAGAAGATTCCGCGGAGGGTCGGTAGAACGAGATTACGGTTGCAAGCAGTTCTGACACAGAAAGCCAGACGCCAAATGCCCTTCGTGACTTCGCATTGACTTTGGGTTTGGCAAGCCCGATATCGCGATCAGCGAGCAGAACCGGTCGTCCACCAATACATGCATGCATCTTGTCCAACGTCCAAAGGCACCAGAAAAGTTCACTTAGTGAATCTGTGGAGGTCTGATTTGGCCGATCAAGGTGCAATCCTACCGTTTGGGCCTGATGGATAGCCTGGCAAAGATGTAGAGAAGCTGCCTCGGCCCCTTCATGGCCTTCACAGTGCAAAGACATCAGTGCAAGAACACGTATCCGTGTCAATCGATCAGGTTCTAGCTCGGTGTCCATAGCAACAACCAGCTGCTCGTAGATCTCGGAACAGAATTGGCGTGAGGGTAAGACTGGGCCGTCCGGCACAAGACGTAAGTAGGGGCTGGCCATGGGGGTCTTTGCCGCGGTGAGGCATATGGCTTTCTCAAGGAAAACAGATGCTGAATCCTCTGCTTGCGCATCTAGAAATTCACGATCTACTATAGGCACAATATGATTGACCTTGGAGAAGTAGATGGCGGACAAAGGCAGCCGCATAGCCAAGGGCAGTTGCTCGCATGCTTGTATCCCTGCGGCAAACCGTTGATGGAGCAACAATGCAACTGTTTGACTATCTCTTGCCGTTTGTGAAGGGATATTGGTTGTAGAATCTTTGCCTACGGCTTGTGCCCTCCATCCGCTCCGAGGTTTGGCATTATGTGCAGCTGGCGAGTTGATCCAGAGGCCAATGCGACCCCGTTGGGGGTTCCCAGTTGGCTCATCCAATCTTTCCCGAATCAGGGACTCTGGGTTCAGGTCTCCCACGAATCGCCCGGCGGCAGGGACCGATGACGTAGATGCACTATCGGATGCAGTCCGCACTCGGTCTAGATGACCCGGTGCAGGAGATCGTCCGTGATTCGAACCATCGGTGTTAACTAAACTGTCAGGACCATACTGGTGCAATTGGGGTGGAGATAGAGGAGTTGTATTCAAAGGTTCCCATTTAGGTATCAAATGTCGGCACCGTTTCTATTGGGAGGTTAGACGGAAGTCTGCCAAGCTCACGGTCGTTGTACATGCCTTTGATCGTTGACAAGTGGGACAAGCTCGTAAGGCTCGAGTGCGACCCCGGGACTGGGGAATATCCGCAAGCCAAGTGTGTTCCATCCTGCAGACTTCATCACATCAGAAGTGTTTGAAGGAGAAGCAGAAGCGATTGAGAGTGGCAGATCAAGATAAGGTGCGAAATAAGGTTCGTTATCGATAAGGAGCTCCGGGCGCCTAATCTTGGGAGCTAGATCGGATTTCTACACGGACACAAGTAGAAGGATGTATGAATAGATCTCTACGATGTACATCACTTTTAGCACATGTAAGTATTGACTATTGAATGACTATTAGCTAGTGTACTTATGCATAGAGATCTACAGATCCATCCCTGAACGCCCAAACTTCCCCCAACTCCATAACCGTCTTCCTGAAACAGCATGGTAACATATCCCACAAGACATTTGTGAGGCTAGCAAGGTGATATGTACCTTGCTTAAAACCTTACACTCCTTTTGCTTCAGCCGCCACTAAAGCTTCGATAGCCTCATCGTCATCAAACTCGTCAACCTTGACAGGTTGGATTTTAACCTCGGGGTTTGCCTCGATCGGCGCTTTATTTGCCAAAGTGGTTGAGTTTTCCTTGTCGGAAACACATTTAGGGGCCGATGGGGCTTTCTGGGATGGCACTAAGCTCCAGTCAATCATTTCATCTTCTCCGTACCGCAGAGCAAGCCAATCATTACACTTCTTGAAGTGTCCGTTTTGGAACTATGAATCATGGTATTAGCAAAGAATGTAGTTAGCAAAGCTGAGTCGCATGCATAGGGAATACGCACAAAGCCATTATGCGCGCTCAGAGGACTGGGATGTACAGATTGCAAAATGCAATGCTTCTCTTTGTTGATCTTGGCCACTCTGGTTCCAGCAGGTCGGCCCCAAGCAAGGAAAACCACGCCGTTGGTTCGAACTCGAGCGACGAGATCGATCACCTTCTGTGTAAACTTCTCCCAGCCCTTGTTGGAATGACTGTTGGCCTGGTGGGCACGAACGGTGAGGCAAGTGTTGAGCATCAAGACACCACGCTCGGCCCACGGGATGAGGAGCCCTCCCTTGTCAGGAGGCGCCTCGAAGTCAGGATAGTCCACCTTTATTCCTTTGTATATATTGACCAGCGATGGCGGAGCTCGTACAGGAGCGCGGACAGAGAAGCATAGCCCGTGAGCTTGGTTGTGATTGTGATACGGATCCTGGCCAATGATGACCACTTTGACGGTGTGCAAGGGTGTGTGTCGCGACCTGTAATCTGATCAGCACATGATCCCAGCCTCTAGTAGGGACCTCAGCTTACCAAGAATAGATATCCTCCTCTGGTGGAAAAACCTTCACTTTGGAATCCTTCTCCTTCTTCAGGAATCGCTTCAAGTTCAGGAAATCCGTGCTGGTCAGTTCATCCTTCAAATGGGCTAGCCAGCTCTCATCCAAAGTGTCAATTTCCAATTGCAGTAGTTCCTTCTGTTCCGTCGTCAAGGAGGACACCCATTTCTGCTTATCGAAGTTGTTCGAACGTGAGGCTGGAGTCGAGGTGGATTGTGTGCTCGCAGGTTTCGGTTTTGGAGCTCCAAAAAATGCAGTAATGCTCCCACCTTTGGGCTTCTTCGAGTCTGGACCGGATGTATGTTCTGATTTACGTTTTATGGCAGGGCTAGCCATGATGAAGACAGTTGGGGAGGAAAGAAGTTGAGTAACGATGGATTGGCCCCGGAAGGATGTCCGGGAGCGATAAGATATCGACGCGTTTCGCGCGACGCGACTGATCTGCAAGGCGGAGATTGGCGTTTATCAAAGGATTGAATCCATAGTATGTACGAGTATACGTACGGAGTAGTAGATTTGTATTTCAGTTCTCAACTTGTCAAGATTCCTTATTCTGAAGTAGCCAGGAATTTCCAAGATTCGGTTTACAAATTGGACAACTTATATAATTCACGAATCGGATATATTTCGAACTCAAGCAAGACAACACACAAGATTCAGTTACACATTCAGAAATTATTGAGAGCTTAGAGCTCATCGTGAACATCCGCCTCTTCAGAAGCAGCAGACTCGGTGGGCTTGGGGCTACCCATGGAAGTGACATCGCCACCGCGCTCAACGGGCTTCTTTGCGCCTCCATCCAGGCCATCCACCTGATACTTGCCGTTCTCCTTGATGAAGGAGACCAGATCCTCAACGGTACGGGTACCGGCGTACTCAACAGGGGAGTCCTTAGAACCGGCGGGGTACAGCTTGATGGTGGGGAAGCCAGTGATCGAATCGGGCACATCGTTGGCAGTGGCATCGATCTTAGCGATGGTGACCTTGTCGTTCAGCTCAGGAACACCGGCGTACAAAGCGGCGAGCTCTTCGTACTTGGGAGCAAGACTGAGTGGGGTTAGTTTAGACATGTGATAAACAATCGTGCCGGGTGTAGAAACTTACGACTTGCAGTGACCGCACCAGGGAGCGTAGAACTCGAGGAGGACATCCTTATCGTTGTCAATGACGGTCTCCTGATAGTTACGGCCCACGACAACGGTAACAGGGCCCTCCTGGGTCTCGGGAATGGGCTCCGACTTGACGCTAGGGTCGACCTTGCCGTCAAGAACGTTCTTAATGAACTTGCCGATATCTTTGGCGTCAATCTTCTTGGTCTGGTCGTACGGGTACTTGGCGTTCTTGCTGGTATCCTGGATAGCGAAAGCGGGGAACTTCTCGGGCTCAAGGTTGAGGTTTCCTGCGTGGGCACCGAAGAGCTTGGCATCGAGGGTGACAATGTTAATAGCTCCGCGGTGCTTCTCAGCGATGGGACGGAAATCAGCGGCAAATTGCTCGCGCTCCTCCGCTGTCTCGGCAAAGATATAAGCCAGGGGGATACCGGCCTAGGCATTGTGAACAGTCAGTTTCATTGGATTCCTCTCCTCTTCACAAAACGTGGGATAATTGAAGCGTGTAGACATACCGCCATGTACTTCGAGTAAGTCTCGGGGCCAAGCTCGCCAACAAGGGGCGTGCTAGCAGTCTTAACCCACTCGAGGATGGCCTCCTCCTCCAGCTTTCCGTCATAGACAGCCTTCTTCTCATCGAAGTCCTTGTAGATAACAATTGAGGGTTGCTTGACTCCCTCGGCCTTGGCGAGGGCAGCGTCGTTGGAGGCAGCGAAGAGGAAGTTATCACGTTGGGACTCGGCGAAGGAAGTGAAGCTCTTGTTGGCAGTCTTGTCGTCGGCTGCCACGTATCCGATAATCACAATCTTGTCCAAGGCCTTGAATTCCTCCAAGTTCTCCTCGTTCACGTTGGAGACGGCGGGCATGGACTGCTTGGTCATGTATGAAACGATGCTGAGAAAACGTGTCAATTTTGCTAAACAAAGAATCCAGAATCCAGAATGACTTACGCGTCAGCCTTACGGGCGCCCGCGTAGGGCTTGTGGGAATCCGGGCCACGGAAGACCTTCAGAGTAGGGTAACCGTCCACCTCGTAGGTTCGGCACAGCTCCTCCTCCTCTGTGCAATCCACCTTGACCAAGGGGACATCCTTGGCCTTCAGCTCTGTAGCTGCCTCCTCGTACTTGGGGGCAAGAGCCTTGCAGTGGCCGCACCAAGGTGCATAGAACTCAGCAAGAACCAAAGGATGCTCCTTGACAAAGTCATCAAAGGTATCGGTTGTCAAGGTAATGACATTGGCGTCGGCATCAGCAGCTTCGGGCTCAGCTGCATGAACGGCCGCAGTAGCTCCGAGGAGGCTCACGATTAAGGGGGCGAAGGACCGCATGGTTGTATATCTCTAGATTGGAAAACAAATGAGCTCAGGACGTAAGATAGAGTAGGAAAGATTTAGGTAGAGTGGTGAAGCTTACCAATACAAATGGGATAGAAGAGAAAAAGATCCAGAGAGGGAAGAAGAGTTGTTTTTATGGGGGGGCCCTCGGGAATGGAACGATGAGGACAGTTTGTTCACTTAAGAGCAAGGCTGAGTGGAGCTTTAATGTGACTTGGCTATGCAGGGCTGCAAGGGCGGTTTTGTCTCTTGTCTCTGCACTCCGTACGTTACTGTGTAACATAATTATCAACCTAATAAATAAGTTCTAAGGTTCTTCATTATCTTCATAACTATCTCCACTATTTCTGCTTAATCTATGGGGAGCGGGTTCGGATGCTTCATACACATCGTTCTATCTCAGTCAAGTACTCCGTACACTTCAAATACACTGCAAATAATCCATCTTCAATACTCAATGTCTCTAAAGGTGACGGACACTTCCCCTTCTATCTTATTATAGAATGTTGACAAGTGGCCTCAATCTCTGCTTAGCAACCAATCTCGTATATGTAACTAATTAACAAATGGACCAATAAGCCAATCTTATTCATGCACCTTCCCCGCTGAAACCCCGGACTATTCCATATTGACTTCTGCAGGTGTAATTCCGAGGTCTGACCGTATGGAGAAGAGGTGATTCTTCCATATAACGCAACGTGAAGGACACAACTTAACTACTATCACTCTCCTATATCCTCTGTCACTCCAGCTCGACTGTCAGATATGCACCCATCATCTCTGGATCCTTTAGGTAGACGATCCAACTCAGCCCCCAACACTATGGCGTCCCGTCTTCCGCGGTCAACATCCACCATCAGCATGAGTGGCAATGGGACAATAATCAATACAGCTAGGAACACAAATGCCGGTCGAATCTCACCATAGCGATCTGTAATGGCGCCCACAATGGCTGGTCCGAAAATGCTAGATCCTTTGTCCGTGATTGCATAGAGCGCATAGAACGCCGCTTCGTAACCCGGAGGAATGAGTTGACCAAAGAAGCTTCGACAATATGAAGAGAGGCCACCCATGACGAGACCATAAACGGCCCCCAAAGGATACATTTCCCAAGGCTGGTGAAGACCGAGTCCCACACGTTGAACAGCCGGGATAAACCCAAGAAGTCCATACAGTGGAATAAGCTCAAACAGAATGATACACGCAATGATTGTCTGCGAGGGCCGGAGATTGAAGAGATTTGACACATAACTCCATGAGAATGCACCAAATACCCCTGCAAGCATAACGATCACATTGATCAACCCCAGGGCAGCAGGCTTCATATCCAGTTGTGTCTTTGCGAATAGGACAGCAGTGCCACTAACGGTAGCGATTCCATCACTGAGGAGGAACCAGGCCGCCAGGAATATCAAAATGTCCTTTAACTGTCGTGCTCGTGCGACGGTCTTTCCAAGAGACTTCCAAGCGTATCCCATATATCCAATCCAAGACTGGAGCGGTTTGCCATCAGCACCCAATAAAGGCGGACCTGGCCGAGTGCGTAGCCATAAGGCTGCTGGGATGGTAAATACAAACCACCACAGTCCTATGAGAAAAAGTACAAGGCGCAAGGAGAACGTTGCTGGACGCACGGACATAACCACCAAGATAGAGAACACTTGTAGGATCACTGCACCGATATAGCCTATACCAATGCCATTGGACGATATTCGGGTGGAAAGTTTGAGCTCCAAAGAAGGGATGGTAGCAGGAAACACCTCTGTGCTTTCCCTGTCGGACCCCAATAGCGGTGTAGTGTCATCTGGATTCCTTCGATCAATATCGCTGGTCGAAGTGGCTAAGAGGCCGTCTCCACAACTCGTCCTGTGGTCATCCACCGCAGTGGTTCCTTCGATTTCCCTAATCGATGTATGATGGCGGACCAAAACAGGCAGGAATGAGTTCAAAAGAACGAAAGATGCACCAAAACAAGTGTTGGAAATAATTGCAAGCAGTGCGCCTAATAGGTAGACCTTGGGGACTACAGCCAAAAACAACATTGTCGCAATCGAGCCAATGAATGCAAAGATAACCAGGAGTTTCTTGCGATAGCTACCATGATCAGCAGCCCCCGACATCGAGATTATCAGGACTGCTTGAACTAAAACGCTCAATGAAAAGGTATACAAGGCAAAACTTGCAGTGTTGATCTCAGCGCCGAGAAAATAGATGATGCACTGGCCATCCGATATTTTGGGACGATAATCCAGTGCATCCGAATCTGGAGATGGCAGCGACGGGCTCCAGCTTGCACTGCATGGGGTAGTTCTATCAGAAAGCAGAACACCCCGATCCCGCGCCATTTGCTCAAGCGTTATCGGGAGGAATGAACCTGTCTCAAATCAGATTCAGTCTAGGATGTTGACCCAAGGAATTCATTTTGAGTATAGCACATACCCACGGCACAGACAACGAATACCTCAGCGGCCCAGCCATAGCAGTACCAACCAGCAAGCTCCTTCTTGCTAGTTGGTCTGGTGTCCTCGCCGGGATATTGCGGACAGTCAACATTCCCCTGCATACTCATTGCAAAGAAGATCCAGACTCATAGTCTTAAACTAGACCAACTAAAGCATGGACACGAAAATAGCTTGAAGTGGGCTAGAAGTGAGTTGACTTAACGTTGCTTAGTTATTGTTGGGTGATGGCATCAAAGAAGTGAGGTCATTTAAATAGAGGGCTGAAGTGGAGGAACTGGTACAGGGAGTTATCCATGTGATACACCGTATGTAAGATAAATGTACCAACATGTATTTTCGTATTGTAAGAAGTGTTAATACATCAACATCGTTGGTAGAAACCACTAGACGATCAGTAACGGTCCTTATCCTGTAACAACAATACAACGTTAATTACACATACCAATACCACGATACAAGGGTTTATCAGGCACCAAGGCATCCAATGGAAGGCGGTAATGCATGCAGCGCATCGCGCTTTCAATTAAATCACATCTCGGACTTGAGATTGTTGACCCAGGCCTCTCTGGGCACTCAACCTTTCTTCTTACAGGAACCTTACCCATTATACCTACCACAATCACCTCTTAATCATCTTGATCACCACGACTCAGTTCCTCCACCCGTCGTTTCCTGCCATCCCGCCGGATTGTTTTGCTCCATTCCTAGCATTGCGACAACCCTGCCCTATCACCGAAATAACTCAATTTTTGGTCACAAATATCCTAATACTCAGTTGCTAGACCCATCTCAATCGAGCACTGTTCGATCGAGGGCACTGTGCGCCAGTGCCTACCCTACACCGTCGCCCTCTTTTAAGAGCCTCCAGAGCCTCAGCAGACAGTTGAAGGTCCATCTTACACCCAAGCCGTGCGCCGAGATCTTCCGACTATGAGCGGGGCCTTTTGCGTGCACAGTCCATGAAACATATGGCATCAGACTGAGGACATAATTGTTACCTCATCTTTGATCTGTGCTTCCCTTCCTACCCCAGTGCCGACTGGATCAAGCCCGGAACAGTGTCCGTGTCGGGTCGCTTGTTCTGCGCCGTGCAGGAGGCTAAGGAGGGGGAAGCTGCAACGCGCAAACTTAGGGCAGCAAGGCAATATCTACAGAAATGCCCGGAGTAGTCATGGAGAATGTCAACCTCGAGGGATCTCTCCGACGGCCTGACCTCGACGAGTCCAGAAACGGCGCGCCTAATTTCGAGAATGCCAATAAGTCTGGTCATCACTTGGACTTGAATGGATCATCAGCCCATGTCAACGGTGCATTGACCGGGGTCGCGACGTCGAACCAACAGCCAACAACCATCGGAGACAAGGCAGGGGAAATCGTGCCAACGACGCCGTTCGAACTCCCCCATATCACTCAAGGATTTTTCCCGTTCGGGACTCTGGTGAACCGCTCAGCACAGGAATGTTGGAATGAGCTTTCGGAGTTGATCGCAGAATTAGCTGCGATACATGTGCCGGCCTCAGGTGGCTCAGTTATAACCAACGGGAAACCAGCCGTTAATCAGTCATCGGAAAACGTGCACAAGAAATTGCGAATTCTGGACTTCGCTCATGCCAAGAGAGCCGAGTTTATTAAACTGCTAGTGCTCTCTCAATGGAGTCGACAAGCTGCAGATGTCAGCAGACTCATTGATATCCAGGGGTTCATTCGTACACGACACCAGTCATACGATGCAGCTCTCCAGTATGTTGGTGAAGTGAAAAGAGATCTCGTTCGAGCACAAGTCGCAAATCCGGATTTAAAAACGGCTGTGGAGGTATTGTCAAAGGGACGAGTAACTTCCTTGCCAGACGTGAGCTCACCCCCATGGCATTACGATCTGTAATAAGCTGACACCCTTTCCAGCTCGGCTACAAACCCCGCAAACGACTAACAGCGCAAGCGACTCACAAAAAGCTACTTAAGCTTGATCGGATTATCAGCGTGCGACTCGCATTACACGACTCCGTGCCGCCCCCAATGCGAAATTACCGAGTCCATGATGGACGAGTTACATTCACGGTCCCTGGTGAATTTGAGCTTGATCTCTCAGTCGCAGAAGAGTCAAGAGACTCGCAATTCTTTTTCGTTGATATTCGCTTCCTGTTCTCACCATCATCACCCATTCCCAAAGGTCGAGTGTTCAACGAGCTTGACGGCAAAGTCAACACTCTGCTTCGTGCTGATGGTTTAATGGGATGCTTCCAATTCCTTCATGGTCTTGTTCTTACGAACAAGATCAACATACTCTTCAAGCAATCCATGGAACTTTCTCGGGGGCTCTGGGCGGATTCTCTGCGTATTGAACTACTACATCGAACACTTGTCGTTCAGTATTGGGCTCAAAGATCAGGGCCGAAGAGCTGGCTCGAAATCGGAGTTAAGAGCGGTACTTGCGGTCGCAGCTCGAGCGACAAAAGGTCAGGGACATCCCAAATTGGCATTCGATGGATGCGTGACGGTCAGCCGGTCAGCATCGATGCTATAAGATTCAACCCAGATGAGCTCTCCATGAAATGTCTCCTACGAAGCGTTGTCGCGTTACACACATCACATCTCCTCCTCACTGCATTCACCACCCTCAAACGGCATGTTCTTTTCTCAAGCCATACACTATCACTGAAGGCGAAACTTTCGCCAGAAGAACCCGGAAATTGTCACCTTGATGTACAACTAACGGCCTCTCGTTCTCTTCGGGTTTCCGTTGAACCTATGTCAGGTTCCATCACACTTCGTGGGAAAGATTTGCTTCACGGAACACCAAATCTATTGGAAGGTTTCAGTGGCGATCGGGGTCCCTACAACTCATCGATAGACGAGATACTATCCCGTGTCACTCGGCTACGATGCGTCACTGCGGTGGATGAGATTGAGTCCGGCGTCAAGGCACTCGGTCTCGAGCCTGTGAACCAAAGAGCACTTGGTCTTGATCCTCGCAAGCTGTTCCCCTCTGGTGTGCTACGAATTGCTTTCTTCACCCACCGACTTTGGAACCGGCATTGGATCGCCGCAGCCACCAGCAGCATGGATGGTGACCGCTGGTGGCTCGTTCGACTTCGGCCAGCCGGGCCAACCGAGCCAACCGGGCCAACCAAGACGATACGCTTCCCTATCATGGCTTTCGATAATATGAATCTTCCACAGGCCCATATGGTCGGTACAACACTTGTGGCTTCGAAAAGGCGGCGACTCGACTACACGACGTGCGCCGAGCTGGTCCACGGTCTCACTGGAGTTCTGGCCATTCATGCGAACGCGCGTTATCTGTCAGACCTACCAGCCATGCATATTTGGCCATCGTTGGATGGTCTGCAGCTAGAAACAGATCACAGAGTCCCCGATGTCCTGTTTAACTACAATCCGTCAACACTTCCGTCTGCTTTCCGGGTCACTTTGCCCTTCGGAGTGAAGAAGCAGTCGGATTTCAATGAAATGATTCGGCTGGCTTTCCATGGAATTGACGCCAAGAGCCGCTCTGTCATAATGATGGCTCACGGCACTTTGAAGACTCGCATCAAATCTCTGGTTTTCCTCGTCTCAGAACTAGATTCTTCATTGATCATTGAAGACAAAGGCACTGGGTTTGCGCTTCGTTTGCCCGTGCCAGCTGGGCATTCTCTTGTTGCTTGTCTTCTTGAACGCTTGCAGCGGCTCCAGTGTATCCTCTCTATTCTCCAGTCACTCATACGGAAGGGAATGGAGCCTCGATCTCTGTCTTTATCACAAATCAGCTTTGCCTACGGGCCAGAGAAACGATTCTCTGCGCTCTTTGATATCAGCGTCGAGGGGCCTTCTTTGTCTGACCACATTGATGTCGCAGATGCTATCTCCAAGTCTAAGCCATTATTCCAAGTGAAGCTGGCTATCAAATTCAAGAACTCCAGTCCTCACCGTCGAATCCAAGAGCCCCTCACTGTGGCTTTGAACCAGCGGTCCTCTGAAGGCGGCGTTGAAACCATTCTTCAGCTCTTGGCTCTCACACTTCCTCTTCTGCAGTCATTGGATCAAATTACCCCTCAGTCAAGTCAAGTGGATCCATCAATTGTGCAGATCACCGTCCGCGGGCCTACTGTATACCTCTTACACTATCCTCGGTTGAAATCTCGTTTCCATTTGAGCGCAGTGACCCACCAAGACCGTTTGGTTTGGCTGATAAGGGATGCCAATGGAACGGATCAGTCTGGTCGTGATCAAGTCACAGCCATGATACAAGAGAAAATCTATCAGTCGAAAGGCGATGGTTGGACCGGCCTTGGAGATGGAGTGATCGCGGACATCACCCACGTGGAAAGCCTCATACTTGAACTGCACCAGCGTCTTAGTGCACCCGATCTCCAACTTGACAAAGGAGCCGAAACCAAAGCCGAGCAATTTCCGCAACCAATGCATATGAAAGCTTCGACGCCTGCCGCTCCGCAGCAAGCAAGAGGGAAAACGGATGTCATCACCATTGACTAGGCATCGCAATGCTATCTTTATCATCGATCTAGCCCTAACGATTCTTTGGGATTCTGATTTGTTTTAATACAAGAACAACTTCAATGTGCTCATCACTATGTATTCTTAGACCTACATAGCATCTAAATGTATTCCTGTTCATGATGCGTAAATTTATTGAAACAGCTACATTTTTAACAACGCTGTTCCCTGATCTTCCCTCGGTTGCGTACCACATCATACTCAACCCATCTCGCGGTTGGGGTACCGCCCTCTGGCAGCAAGCGCCCGGGGTTCATAACATGACAGCCTTCATAGGTCATGCAGAATGGCGCAGCTTCGGGGTCTGCAAGTACCAACGCGGTTGGCAACGGGTACAGTTGCAAGGCGGACGCACGATCCCATAAGACTGGCCGCAATGGCAACGGAAACGGAGAGAGTGTTCCTTGGTCCAAAATTGTCTTGACTAGTCTGCGGGCCATCGACGCTCCAGACGAGACGGCCGCAGCCTTGATGCCGGCCTGTTGACCCACGTCGTCTAGCTGGCTCCCGCCCGCAGCAATTGCAGCTTCAGCAGCACCGCTGTTCAATGGATCCTGCATTGTAACGTCTGGATCGCTGTCAAGGGTAGTGTTGACAGCGCAACGTCTCAGCCTCCCAGAGATATCATCGCGAAAGATGGCGATGTCATGCACTGGCCCGAACCATGAAAGACGCGCAGGGTTCGAAGTCCAAATCGCGTCTCCCATGGGTTCCGAGTTCTGAGAAGTGTTTATCTCCGAATTCGCCGTTGCGAATGCACGCCTTACTCGAGAGGTAAACAGGTCTGGGATGGGTTGTCGCGGTATTGTTGAAGCTGCACCGGCAGAGAATGCCGATGCCCAAGGATCATTATCACCCGGCACAAATACAAAGGTCGAGTGCTGCAACAATGCTGGGAAATCGGACAAAACTAGGGCCAACGAGTCAAAGTATTCTTTGTACTCAATGCTCCCAGCTCGACCGCTTCCACTGATGATGGCTTTCCGCGCAAAATTGCCTATCAAGACAAAAGCTTGTGGGCGTTCAGGAAGAGAAAGGTCATTGTAGGTACTGAAGACCTTTCTCAAGGCATCCAGTGTCTTCATGTGGTCTAGATTGACTTCACTCATGATAGCAACCTTCAGCTTGGTTGTCTCCGCTGTTTCCTGATCTCTGCGCAGGCATTGTTCCTGGATTCGTCTCATTCGTGCGCCCTGAGCACGTTCACTTCCGAGTCCGAGAAAGTCGACCCATCCAAATCCACCACTCGAACTCAGCTGCCCGTCATGGCGGCTGCTTGTTCCCAATGAAATATCACGTCGCTCACACGGAGGTCCGCAAATAGATATGCCAACAAACTGACCTCCGATGGCGCCCCCGATCCCCGTATTTCCCCCCAACGCAGCACCTTTCACCATCTCCTCTTCTTCATAGATACCGTCGACGAGCACGATCATTCCTGGCGCAAACCATGCACCATCTTCGGGTATCATTCGGGCGTGTCTCAAGTCCAATGCTACACTTCCAGTCAAGTCCACCAGGGACAAGTCTCCAGTGGGGGATGTAGAAAGTAATCCTAGCAAAAGATGCGAGGTTCCACTTCTGCCCAGCAAGTTTGCGATTGGCGTCAGTTTATAGGATTGTCGCTGGGCAAGATTGGACGATGCACGTTGCAACGAAGGCACACCAGCAGTACCCAATGAGCTCTGAAAGGACTCATTTCGAAGAAGTCGCTGATACACGAGATTGTATCTATCTCGGAATAAGGCAGTCTTGTGGGATGGCGATGGGAATAAGGATGGCTTCGACTTGATCGCTTCAAAGTATTTCTTGTCGACGTTATACGTCAGGCGCGGAAGATCAAAGGCAGCAATCACCTTGAGCCAATTCCTGGGATGAAGTGACAGTTGTGTATCATCTTCCTCGGTCCCTGGGTTTGAAGTATCGCCAGTTTCAATTCGCCCGTCATCTAAACCCAGGCTGGATGCCTTCAAGGGACCATCTTGGGAAGTTGATTTCCCAGAAACCACCCTTCCGCCGCTCATACTGCCCTCGAGGGTTTGCAGAATCGTCTTCAAGGACGCTCCTTTTCCTTCCTCGACAATCACTCCCCCGCCGGCTCTTTTCCATATCTTGGCGACTTCGTCCAGGACTCGCTCTGCTAAGCCTTCCTCGCGCCATCCTGAACCACAATTCTTGCCCACAAATACTGCTAGTGTTTGAAGCGCGGATGACGAGATTGTAAGATTGTGTTTACGGGTGAAGGTCCGAAAAGCCACTGGGCGCAGGGTTGATGGGGGGAGTAAGATCGGGAGAATCGATGTTTTGGGGGAGGCGCATTTCCCTTGGGTAATCTGAACGGACGCGCAGGTGTCCCAAATGCAGGCGAGGATGAAGGAATTGGATCAGCTATCTTGAAGCGATCAGGTTGTCGCGGAGTCGAGTCCATCTTTCCAAAGACGCGAAGACTTCAATGCGAAGTCGTGTGAACGGTGTGATCTGGTTCTGATAAAGATGCAAATCGTAATTCAATGATGCTCTCCGGACACAGAGTTAGAAGAATGGCAATGCATATGGTAGTGTGTGTATGTAAGGAAAGATCTGGGATTTCAATTTGAGACGCGTGACGCGCGCCGCGCCGGAGCTAAAGCTCTCCCTTATCTCTCCCCGTTACTTTTCATTTTCTTACGAGTCACTCCTTACACTGCCTCACTTCCTCCTTCTATCGCAATTCGCCATTATCCCCCATATCTCCCATCATGGTTGATTCACAAGTCCAATCTCCCAACGCCTCGCAAGAGAAACAACTCCAACTCGACGATCTTATTGCACGTGCGGCTGCTAAGGATGCGACCAAAGACCATGATGCTGCCTCGGAGCTATACTCCCAAGCTACTGAACTCCAGGCCGAGCTCAATGGCGAATTATCCCCCGAGAATGCGGATCTGCTCTATGCTTACGGCAAGTCATTGTACAACGTGGCTGTGAGTAAAAGCGATGTGCTTGGCTCCAAGGTCGCCGGTGAGCAACAGCCGGACATCACCACATCTTCGAAAAAAACATCTTCTGCGGGATCTAAATCTACCAAGGATTCCCTTGTCCAAGACACAATCGCCAATTCGATGGCGCAAAAACCATCCTCCGTGAAGCGAGCGGATAAAGAATCGGATTCCACGGATTCCAAGCCATTTTTCCAGTTTACCGGAGACGAGAACTTTGTTGACTCTGAGGACGAGGACGAGGAAAATATGGAGCAGGCCGAGGACGATGAAGAAGAAGATGATTTCGCCAATGCTTTTGAGGTCCTAGATCTTGCCCGCGTTCTCTACCTCAAGAAGCTGGACGCTGCAGAGGAAAAAGACGGAGGTAAAGGGAAATCGACTGAGGTTTCCAATGATATCAAGCATATCAAGGAGAGACTCGCAGATACACACGACCTCCAAGCTGAGATATCTCTGGAAGGGGAGCGTTTCAATGATGCCGTCACGGACTTGCGGACTGTTCTCGAATTAAGAAACTCACTATATCCTTTGGAAGATCCATCGGTTGCTGAGTGCCATTACAAGCTCTCCCTCGCTCTGGAATTTGCTTCGGTTCAACAAAGTGATGAGCATGCTAGCAATGATAAGCCAAAGGTCGATGAGGAGATGAGGAATGAAGCTGCCACCCAGATGGAACATGCTATCGAGAGTTGCAAGGTCAGAATGGCCCAAGAGGAGAAAAAGTACGAAACAGAGAAGGACGAGGATGAAGACAAGGCAACTGCGACAAAGCGGAAAATTGCTAACGTCAAGGAAATCATCGCGGAGATGGAGCAAAGGGTAAGTCTGTCCTGTGGATTTTCATATCGCTTTTCTGAACTTTTAATTGATGATGGTCGCAGCTAATCGATCTACGCCGACCACCTGTCTCGATTGAAGAGAGCGATCAAGCCAGCGAAAGTATGCTGAAGGGAGTCCTGGGTCAAATCATCGGCCAGTCAGCAACGGAGCAGAAAGCTCAGCTCGACGCAGCTAGCAAAAAGGCGACAGATCTATCTGCCTTTGTCAAACGGAAGCCTGCGAAGCAGCCAACTCAGCAACCTGAACCTCCCTCGAAAAGACCTGCCGAAGAGCCCGCAGAAAATAATTCCAAGCGGTCTCGGGTCGATGATGCCTCCTCATAGGTATTCTCGTATCGCCTGATTTCGTCCATTTTATGTATCTTAGATCCCCAATTCGATATGCCCAGGGTATTAATGATTTTCACTAAGTCCAGTCTCGTGTCCTATGATCTTCACATACTGAATCGAGAACCTCTTATTGGCTGCTACTGAATCAAAATGTGGTGGAATTGGATGCAGTAAAGAAACAAAGATTGCTACAGGGTATCTTGTCATATGCAACGGCCTTATTTCAACAAGTGTCCTGCAGCTTATCAGATTCCAAACATGGCGGGTCGACGTTTGATTTCGCGAGTTTTTCGACGTGCAGCGAGGCCCGGACTCCAGATCCCTGCGAAGAGATCCTCGCACTCATCTTCATCTTGGCTGTCAAACTCTGTACCTGCTGGACCGGACTCAACCGCAGATAGATGATTGACTTGCTGGGAGAGATCGACAGTGGATGGAGACTCCCAGCATGAAGAGACCACAATCTTTTTGGTTTCCAGAATGAATTTGCCAACCTTGTACCGTTGTGATTCTTCCTCGGCCGCGACATACTTCCAGCCCAGAACACTGTCGCAGAAGGTGCAAGTCACATCGCTTACGGTGTGTGCACCTGTGACAAGCTGGCGAGGAACCGGGCGTTGCAATATTGTATTGGGAAGTGAGGCCGTAGGTGAAGACGACGCGGTGACGGACATGGCCGTGGCCACGGGTTCTGCCGACACAAGATAGGCACGGCCATGGCGACCCGTAAAACCTTTGCTAATTATTTGAGAGGTCAGGCAAAGATGGGATGCGCAGCCTGCGCAACGTATATAGGAAACATGGCCTTCGAGAGACTTCTGGTTCGTGTTTTCGGTTCCGGGGTCGGGAGAAGAAAGCCCCACAGCATGTTTTGCAGGGACCACAGATGAAGTAAGCAGGAATTTGGGGAACTGAAGAGACTTGATGCGCTCTTTGGGCATTCTGATAAGTTGCCTATAGACACAGACTTGACTCTGACCATAAGCTTGAGAGAAGGTACTAGAATCTATGTAGGGGATGCCGGTGAGGTCATGGCGCTTATCTTTGCCTTATCTTATCTGTCGCGGCTTCGAAAAAGCGGGGAAATGGATGAGCTTTCTCATATATGTCACATGTCACATGTGTCTACTAGATACCTGGGGGAACGTACATAGGTAGTTGAGGGATATACATATCTCTCTCTATTGAGGCCAGTGATACCTGCTATGCAGCATGTAACGTAGAAATCGAGGAATAACTAATGATGATAATCATATTAACGAAAATCGATAGCTGAACAATCTGGAAGAGTCAAATGACCTCTGATGTTTCAACGCTGCAAGCGAACATCAAGTTGTAAAACAAGATCCATAACTTCAGCTCGACTCAGAATGAATGGGTCATGTGATGGTCATCACTAGACTTCAGCAACCAAGAAAAGCCATCTGTCGCTCAGACAGGGCCCTGGATCATCGCTGGTGACCCAGGGTGCTAAGGTAGTGAGGCTGAACCCACACCATCCTAAGCTTCGAACTAACTCCATCTCATCTGTACGCTGCGAGCGACTGACACAGGCAACTATTTGGGAGCATCCAAATGCGGCAATATCGGCAAGTTCATAAAGAGCGATCAATCTAAGAAATGCACGTCAGCGGGTAAACCAGAAGATTACAAACAAAACAGTAAGGTTTCGACCCTCTCAAGAAACACAAAGGGGTACGTACCCTGATTTGAGGCCGTTGTCAAGCACACAATCTTCGAAGAAGACGAACAAAGTCCGCTCCTTATCATGCTCGGCCAGAAATCCTCGATAGATAGCATCCGCTGAGTAGTCCAATACTTCGATCCATCGCTGAATTCGGCCACCTTGGTGTCCGATTTGATTTGGCTGATTGTCAAACGCATCCATCCCCAGCGACTCCTGTCGCACGAAACTCCTCTCACCCAGGAATGTCGCAGACAGTTTGTCACAGAAGAGTCTCTCACACTCTTCCGGAATGGTATGCATTGCCTCCCCCGTGTATTCTGGCCAATTGTTTCCAGGCCAGGTTCGTTCCGCGATGGAATCGGAGATATCGTGGGGAGGACTTAGTAAAGATGATTTAGGCCCCGAAGGGACCTCAGGCATACCACTGTGCTCCTAAATATAGGGGTCAGGTTTCCAATAGTGTGCAATGTTGGGGGTTAGAATTATTTACCGGCGCCCGGGGTAGTGCAGTAGTGGAAGCCGTGGACCTTAGAGGTCGACGGCTCAACACTGTAACAGGTCGCGAGAACAGTGCTTTGAGTGTCCTGGTCGAGAAACCGCTGCATTTGATTGCAATTACTACTGTGGTTGTTCATGTATTTCGCCATGGTGATTGATCTTCCGGATATTTGTTCTGCGTGGAATTTGATAAGAGGACAGAGGTCAGGGTCTCAAGATAGATCGAAACTTGGTGTTTGAATTATGTAGATAATACACGGTGAAGACGGTTGATGATCTAGTAAGAAGAGTTCGAGTAGGCTGATGTTGGGTATGGAGGAGGTAGACGGTGAGGATGGAAGCGGCTTCTTATTTGCCCCCTAGTCACCTGATCATCCCTTTCCAATTATCTTCTAAGCTCATTATGCCAGTTAACTGTGTAGTTCCACATCGAGTATCCTGTTCTTCTATGTGAATATCCATTATTACTATTGATTCTCAAAGTAGAACTACTTATCACGGCATGGCTTTACAGGTGATAGGTGCCCTAGTGCGCATCAATCCCCAACCTGCTTCTCATTCACATTGAACTAACACCAACGCTCAGTGCTGTGGGTTGACAACCACCAACTGAGATTCGGAGTTCATGCCTGAGCACTACTAGGGATGTCTAGGTTATGGCAGATCTTAAAACACATGGGAGAAGTAACTGATATCATTGTTCTGAAATGTGATTGCAGCTAGTTATGTAGTCCACTGAGTGGTACATATTCTGAAGTGCAAGGAGTCTCCCAGAATAGAGGGAGACTAACACTAAGTAAAAGAAGACAACTCTAACTAGATAAATATGTATATACAATGTTCCCCGGATTTCATGGTCTCAATTCTTCAGTCATTATCAGCACCTTTCAAAGCTCTCTGTAATCACTAGGTCGAACGCGTCGGTTTCTAGCCTGGTGACGCTGCGGATTCACAGGTTGACGGAAATATGGCGAATCTTCTTCCCGGGAGTATGGTTGACTGAAAGTTGTTCGTTGCTGGTTTGAGAAGTTATTCATTCCAGCGCCTGGTCCTTGAAAGCCATTCTGCGGCATTGGGAACATCATCGAAGGATCTCCAGTGAACATGTTGGGAAACCCATTAGGCATGCCGCCATTGTTCTGGTCAAACATGCCTGCCTGGAGAGGATTGAAGGGCATGTTCATGGCATTCCATCCAGGGCCCATGACACCAGGAAGACCGTTCATTGCCATGGGGTTCATAAAGCCCATGGCTTCATTGCCGAATCCGGGGGCTGTGAAAGGCATCCCTGGCATCCCTGGCATGGGCCCAAATGCATTGAAAGGCATGTCCTGGCCGTTGAAGTTTGATTGGGCCATACCGAGCACGCCATCTTTGACACTGTCATCCGGGGTGGCATCATCGGACTGGCCATCATCGGCCTTCTGTCTTTTCGCCACGCTGTGTGACTCGGGTTTTGCAGTTTCATCCTGACCAGCAGGTTCATCCTCGGCTGATCTTTTCCTGGATTGTGTGGAACCATTTTCTTGGGCTTGATGGAGTGGGCTGGGCTCTCTGTGAACGGATGAGTCTCTTGGCTCAGCTTCGGAGACTTCAGGAACAGGTGTAACATCCAGGGCGGCAGGAAGCTTTTCCTTCTCCTTCTTGGCATCTGCCTTGTCGGCTTCATATATCTTGATTTTGGATGCTGCCTCGTCATCGGCAGTGAGGTTATCGAGTAAGACTCCCTCTGTGGCACACCCGGGGCAGACAAAGTCACTTTCAATCAAAGCGTTCGATATACAATCATTGCAGTATGTCCTCTGGCAACATGGTGTCTTTGTTGGCTCTAAGAACATCCTTTTGTCAATCGGGCATTCCAGCCCTCGAGCTTGCAATGCCTTGCTCTCTTCGGCTGCTGCTGCTTCGGCTGCTGCTGCCGCTGATGCCTTAGCCTTTTCCTGATACAGCTCCCAGGCTGCCTTGTCGGGCTTTGCAATGACAAAGTCACCGTCGGCATTCACCATGACCCCTGTATTCCTCAGGTCTTCAGTAGAGCCATCAGGGGCCAAGGATTCCGGTTTATCAACTTTGGTTTGAAGTGAACGCGGTATGCCAGTTGATCGCTTGACTCGATATTTACCATCAAATTTGGGATCATTATTCGTCGGGCATGCTTGAATCCAATGGCCTAAATATACATACGTTAGCGTTTAGCAGAGGAGTGGTCTAATCCAGCATGCATTGCGTACCTTTTTCTCGGCATCGATAGCAAAGATACCCCGGAGGCGGAGGGTGATCGGGTACATTGGCAGGTTTCCCCCTGCCACGACCGAATAAGACGGGTGTCGCGCTAAATGAAGTCAGTATCTCTCATAGGTAAATGTAGAAAACATGCTCTTACTTTGCCATTTCTTGCTGTTGCTCCTGCCATTGGCTAGCCTGCAGATTGAACAGGGCATTGATTTTCTCCTCTTCAGTTTGAGCATTGTTGAGCTCGAGGACGTTGCTGCTGACGGTTTGTCCCGTACCGGGTGTTGCTCGGCTCATCGATAGTTCATTGCGAGGGGCGCCGCGAGCGTTGACAGGCATCTTGCCTGAGACATAGCGAGCAGCACCGCCTTTACCTGGGCGTGCTGCGGGCAATCTGCGGGCGATTACTGATGTTGACCGAGGGATAATGGTGGTGTCATCATCATATTCTATTGAAAGATGTTAGAAGAAAATTGACCGAGGTAAAGAGCATAACAAATTAGTAGAACATACCTTCTCTAGTGTCCTCATTGTAGATCGATAGCTCAAAGTCACTCCCGTCGCCCAATCTACTTTGGCTGATGATCTCTCTTTTGAGCTCAAAGACCGAGATACCAGTGCCATCGAAGGTGACCCTTGATGGTTCTTTCTGGGACTTGAATTTGAAGTGAACGGACGATGACATTGTATTCAATTTGGGGGCAACAGGATGGTTGTGAGTGTATTAAGACCCAAATTTAGAGGCACTGCCGTGTACAGTGAGCAATAGGGGCGATAAAGAGAAAGGCTTGCGAGATGTAGTGAATCCGCGACCAGCCACAACGAATAACAGAAATTATCTGCTTGAATCACAGGAAAAAGCACAGATATTTATGAGGCAAGAAAAGAAGGTATCGATAGATCGGCCTATCAATTTGGGGTGGGGAGACAGTGAATAGTGAGAATGAATCTTTTGAATGCTGAATGGTGAGTGTTCAGGTCACTGCATACAAAATGTAGATCAAAGTATTGCGAATACGAGATGGTCGCAGGAACACTGGCGCTGAAGTAAAAGTAAAAAGGTGTATTCAAGAGAGATTGATGGTCTGCCCCGTCCTTCAAGTGATACGCAGAGCCAACCTAACAACCTGACCTATGATCGTAGGGAGCGGTTGGAACTTTGCAAATGCCCAACTCCAGCCACAGATCGACCCGTTAGGGGTAGCAATCGCGCTTTCAAACAACGAAGATCAAGGTATCACTGCCGACTTTTATCGTGTTTGATTGTCACGGCGAGAGAGGGGGAGTTGTTGGAGATGTGGAATCTGGAAGCTGGAGGATTAGAGTGGGAAACAGTGATCCAGAATTACTTGACCCGGGCCGGCAGAGAAAATGAAAGAAAGAACAAAGAGTTGATGCAATGAGGATGAAAGCTCAGTGGCAGGACGGGAGGATCGACAGGGAGAGGAGAGAATGAAGTGGCAAGTGAGGAAAAGTCAGATGATTCCGGATGGCACTCACCGCCTTCCTGTTATGGATACCGCTTTTGGTTCGTCTACTCCAGTGCGATCCTCACCGACCTAACGAAATATGTACTTGATTTCCTCGGCCACTTCTGGGCTTTTCTTTTCCACGTTAATGCTCAGATCTAGCCCCTTTTCTTCTCACTGGGTAGAACTGGTCCCTGAGGTCCGACCGCTCAGGGAATTGTCAGGGACACCATGGATTTTTACTATACAATAATCTCACCACGACTCCCTCGCAATTGAACTTGATATTCAATCGTCTTCCATACGGTTAAGATGCCTTGAATGGGCATGCATATTCATTGGATTTATTGTAGATCTATGAAGACATAGGATGCTAGGTATTAAATATGTGATTACTAGAAGCCTAGAAGGTTATGCTTCAATGTTGTGAATTCGAAATATGTGTCTATTGATGGGCTTAGTTAACTAGCCCTCGTGGTCTATATCCTTACATAAAACCCCATAAAAGAAATCCCTTCCCCCAAGGTTTACCCATGAAAGAACACTGCGTGCAATAAGGCCCTGTTTATCATACCTCGGCCTCGAATTGTCGGACTAGGAATCCCTGGCTTTCAAGGTGATCTTTCACCTGGGTGACGGTATACTCGCCGCGGTGGAACTGGAACATAGTCAGAAAACCCACATTCAGCCGACACTCGTTTGAGTCAATCCATAACTTACCATTCCTGCCCCCAATGCTGCGTCGGTGGTCGTCCGGTTGAAAACCTCCGCGAAGTGCTCAGGGACACCAGCCCCGCTTGAAGCGATAACTGGGATCTTGATCGCAGCTTTGACATCATTGATCAATTCCAAATCAAAACCACTGTTGCTTCCATCCTTATCAATGCAGTTCAGAAGAATTTCACCGGCTCCCATAGCCTCCACAGCCCGCACAAGTTGCCGGACATCGATATCACGAGTCTCTCTGCCGCCTTTGACAGTACATTGGTACCAGCAATAGCTTTGTCCGCTTGAGTTGGGAAACTGGGTCTTGATCGTGTGGTGGGGCGTATCTTCCGGCTTGTCCACGTATACCCGCTTTGGATCGACGCTTACCACCACAGCCTGCTTGCCATAGGCCTGTGATATCGTCTCGATTGCGGTCTGACCACTCAACTGTTCACCAGCTTTATAATAATCCTCGGCAGCAAAGACAGAATCGGAGCCAACACTGACTTTGTCGGCCCCGGATTTGAAATACATTGTGGCCACGTCTAGGGCAGGTACCTGAGTACCGTCGGTGTCGACGGTGTCCTTGATTCCTCCGCCAATGGTCAAAGGAACAAATACCGTCTCCGAAGTTCGGCGTAGGATCTCAAGCATAGGCGTGTCCGCGACAGGGCAGTTTCGGAAAGAGGTGATGTTCAGGAAAGTCACCTCGTCGGCGCCTTGCTCATAATACTTCTTGGCCATGTCCACTGGCTTCCCGAGGTTACGAACGTTGCCGCCGGTTTCCGTGCCACTCTTCTCCCGGACGTCGTATTGATCACCCTTGGTAACGACCAGATCCCCGGAATCGTTTGTCCGGACATCAAGGCAAGCAATCACCCGGCGAGTGAGCCCATTTTCTTTGCGACTGATCAACTCCTGCGGCAGCGATTGAAATTGATCGCCGTTCAAGAATGCGCGAAGGGCCCGCAGCCCGGCCACACCACTCTTCTCTGGGTGAAATTGTGTGCCAAAGACGTTACCCCGACTGATAGCGCCAATGAACTCTTCCTCGCCATAAGTTGCTGTAGCCACAGACCAGCCATCATTTTCCAATACACCTGGGTGGTAGGGGGCCGCATATGAGTGGACGTAATAGTACTTGCTGGTAGGCCTCAGACCATAAAAGCTCTGGTCCTTTGCGCCACCAGACCCAGTGTTTATAGCAGAGTTCCATCCGATGTGCGGTACACTCTTCGATGCGTCGTTGAACTTTTGGATTCGCATGGGAATTACACCTAGGCCGGGAACGTCCTTGTCCTCATCTGAGCCCTGGAAAAGAGCTTGAAGACCAACACAAATCCCCATGAAAGGCTTCCCTGCCTCGATGTGCTGTCGGATAGGCTCCAAAAATCCACCTTTGTCCAGTTGGGAAAGACAATGGCCAAAGTGGCCAACGCCGGGTAGGATCAGTTTCTAATTGCGAAGGTTAGCAGAGGCACCCATGGTGGAATTGACCTAGGCTACTCGACTGACATCGGCATTTTTAATGTCCTCTGGGCATCTGACCCATTCCACATCGTATCCAACTTGGTTGATCGCGTTGACTAGGGAACGGATGTTTCCTGCGACATAGTCCAACAAGTGCACGGTAGGCATGGCTTTAGGGACTGGGACGGGAACAAAGATAAGAAAAGCAATGAGCGTCGCAGTGAGCAGAGATTTTCAGACTTATCAATGTCAGCTATTAACAAAACGCAGGAATCAAGTCTCTCAGGTCCATCGAGGGGTTCCCTGAAAGGCCCCGCCAGAAATCACGCGGTGAGTCATAATTTTTTAGGGGTTTTTTTTTCTGCCGGACAAAATATGAGGAGAACGGGTATGTAACGGGTACTTCCGAGGTACTTCTTCTTTATAAGTAGCGCGTGATCATTGTACACAGTAGACTCTATGGCTTTTTGGGTCCTTCCCAAGTACCTACACGCATGCACTTCTGAGTTGTGTCGATGCTGTGGTAAAATGAAATTGAAGCGATGTACTCCGTACCTACGCTTTGTATTTCGGCATGCTTCTCCAAGTCATGAAACTCATTGTGATAATAGCCTTGTCCTTACTGACTCCTTAGTCTTACAATAAGAACCCTCTTTGATATATATGCCTTATTTTGGTGTGAACCCTATCGTATCAACCTACTTCATGTACCGTGTTCAATATTATTCATTATATCCCTTGAAATAATGCAGATTCATATTGCATTTGCACTAGGCTGGGCCTCGCTCCGGCCATCTTACATGCAAGACATCTGGATGGGTGCGGTGTTCAAGGTTATTTTCCAGCCGTCTCTGACCTGTCGGATGCCTGGAGGTAGATGAGTCCATTTGAAGGCTGTGTACTTATGTTTAGTTTTGCATAGCGTGAGAATGTAAGAGAAAGGTCACCTACCGGATGGAATTGCCGTAGGCGGACGCCTGCTTCTTTTAGGATAGTAGCGCTCTGTGCCTGTCAGATGTGTATGAACCACAAAGTAGCAAGCATGGACTTACGTCGTTGTCCATGTTATATCCTTGTGAATAAACCACCTCGGAAATTCCAACTTGAGCTATTTTGACTGTGCATGTCAAGCAAGGGCATCTGAACTCGAAAAATAAGTCTTAGCTCGTAGCCCGGTCCGTCAAGAGGCGATGGTCTTAGCTTACGTATCGCAATAGAGAATTGCCCCCTCGCGGATCCGCTCTCGACCTGCTTCCAATAGGGCATTCTCTTCAGCGTGGAGGCATAAACAGGTTGAGAGACCGACTCCTCCTCCATCTCCGCGATTGCAACGTGGGCCTGTGGTTGTCCTTGTCAGCAAAGTTAACGATAGGGGCTTTCAAGCTAATGGGTTCCGTCTGGTCTGCATCGTACATCCACCTTGATTGCAGTTCGGGAGATGCCGTGGTGTTCCATTATAACCTGTGCTGATGACCCGACTCTCTCGCACGAGCACACACCCCACCCTTCTTTTCATGCAGTTGCTTCTCTGAGCAGCAAGAGAGGCTAACTGCATAAAATACTGGTCCCAATTCGGCCTCAAGCGTTGTTCATCTGCCAAGTCAAGGGTTTGCAAAGCGGCGTGTAGCTCTTCAAGGGACGACGAAGAGTTGAACAGACGGACTTGAGCCTTGTCAGTAAGGTATACGCGTCCAATGTCCTTATCGTAAAGATTGTGGTCATTCCAGAGCACAAATTTCTCGAGGTCTGGTGGGTCCAGTTGTTTCCTCCAACATCTTCGAAAGGTTGGGAATTAGTGATTGCGCTTTAAGTCACAGATTACACTTCACAAACCTGTCGGCAAATCGTTTCCACCGGAGACTAACTGGTGCATCAATACCCACAAGAAGGAAAAACGGGCGCAGCAGGAACCTATCCAGGGTACTGGCATCTGCAATGTCTGTAGTAACCCAGCGTTCTTGCCATCGTTTCGTCGCAAAATCAAGCAGAGAATCGGCATCCTGGAACGTGAACTCCGGGGACTTGGGGCCCTCTTTCTCTGATATTTGCAGCCGCAAGTCATCTCCGGCCTCTGGTTGGGACTGGCACTTTGCGGCGAGTTCCAGTAGTCGAAACCCTTGATGCTCGATCAAGTACTCGGCAATCGCATGTTTGCCAGCGCAAATACCTTGTATACAATAATTTCGTCAGCTCATTTGGTAGCAATGGTTTACAACAAGAATATCTGCTAACCTCCACATAAACCGATGAGCATATTGTGTCAAGGGCACTGAATCTAGAGGTGAAAGTTATAAGGCGAAAAAAAGAAGAGCAGAAAGAAGCTGTGGCCTGTGGGGCATTAAACCGCGAGGATCTTATCGTGCCTGATAGAGGCGGTATTGGGCCGAAGCACCATCTGGATGTAGTTCAATCAACTATACGCAGTAGGTAGTTTATTATATCTATTGTCGCTAATAGAAGTAGTTGTACATGCCTAGATAATACTAAAACTAGTCATCAGCTGGAGGTCCCTACAAAGTCAGTCATCCAGCTTAAGCACGAGACATTGTTTTTGATCACGCGTCAGTTTATATTATTAATAACGAGGTCCTGCGATTACCTTTATGTATAGCTCATATAAGGCATATATAGTCACGAGATGCATACTGCGTAGGTAAAACCTTCCATGGTGTTGCCCAAGAGAGATGATAAATAAGCCTCCGGCCAACCCCCGCCATTTGATGACCTCAAACCCTCCACCTTCCCAAAACATCATCCTTTAAAGATCAGTACATCCCTTCTCCCTGCATACTGCCTGCACAATGCAGTACACACCTTTTGCTTCCGATATCGAACTGCCATTCTATACTTCACTGGCTTCTCATAAGATCGACCATGACAAACTAGATGACTCCGCCCGGCCCGTTCTGGGTCTCTACGAGATCCGCCCCTCCGACCCTGAGGCAGCATCATGTCGGATCCAAATTCATGGGAATGCACTAACTGGCGGCGAGTAAGATAAAGCGTGTATAGCTTTCTTTAAAGAAGATTTCACACTGACAAGCCACTAGAGCCCCCGCTGGTTATTACAGAGCGGAGGGCTTGATAAAAAATGTCAATACTGTCGAAGATTATCGAAGCATGGACAGGTCCCAAATACTCCGTCAAGCCGGACAAAAGGTATGGACAATCAAATAACAGTTGCCCAACTTTGAACTGATACGAATCTCAAGATATGGGATGCCATCCACGATGGGACAATACTCACATGCCCTTCCTTACTTTCCAGCTTTGTCATTATATCCTTCGCCGATCTCAAGAAGTATAAGTTTCATTATTGGTTTGCGTTCCCAGCCATTCATTCAGAACCTCAATGGGCCCCGATTCTATCAACAGAACAAGTTTTCCATTCAAACCAAGGTCAACATCTTGAAAACCTCAGGGGAACGCCTTTATCTCCGCGCGAGGGCACCGAACTAGTGGACGCAGTGCAAACATGGTCATCTCTTGTCGATCATCGGCAACGCGGATTTTTTTGGCTCGAAAAAGAACACAGGGTTCTGATAAAGTATCTCTAGACGATGATGAGACCAAGAGCACTCAGCAAGATATGTCAGTCAGCAATCGCTGGGAGATTGCGACACTTTCCGAGTACGAAACCGGGTTCTTTGAGCACGTCGCCGCTGGAGACCGGTATATCTGTTTCTCTGATCCATCAAATTATGACCTAGCTCCAGGTTGGATGCTAAGAAACCTGCTCGTTCTTGTGAAACAGCGGTGGGGCCTCGAGCGGGTGCAGATTCTGCGATATCGCGACGTGCATGCGAGGCGTGATCAGGGCCGTAGTACAGTCATCCAGCTAGTATCAGTCTCAAAAGATGAGCGCGCACCTCCGACTTCACTGCAAAACCAAGGATCATTGCCGCTGCCAAAGGTGACCGGCTGGGAACGCAACCCGAATGGGAAACTGTCAGGAAGGATCGTCAATCTCACAGAGTACATGGATCCCAAGAGGTATGCGTCAATTGGGAGCACTCAGTCGTACCACCTGAACAATGAAGCTGACTTGACTTAAGATTAGCGGATCAGTCGGTCGATCTCAACCTCAAACTCATCAAGTGGCGGATCAGCCCAACGCTCGATCTTGAAAAAATCAAGCACACCAAATGTCTCTTGTTAGGAGCAGGTACCCTGGGCAGCTATGTCTCCCGAAACCTGTTGGTATGTGGGCCTCAACACCCAGTTCCCAACCACCCTAGAATGAAAGGTATTTAATATTAACCACCGATCTCTAGGGCTGGGGTGTCAAGAAGATTACATTTGTCGACAATGGGACCGTCTCATTTTCTAATCCAGTTCGACAGCCGCTGTTCAATTTCGAAGACTGCTTGAACGGTGGAGCACAAAAAGCACACCGAGCATCCGAAGCCCTGATTCAAATCTACCCCGGAGTTGAGACTGTAGGTCATGCGCTCTCAGTGCCTATGGCGGGTCATCCCATCGTGGACGAAGTGGCGACAAAGGGCGCCTTCGATACTCTCAGAACTTTAATTGACGAGCATGATGCTATCTTCATTTTGATGGACACTCGAGAATCACGATGGCTGCCTACAGTGATGGGGAAAGCCGCAGGGAAGATCGTGATGAACGCAGCCTTAGGTTTTGATTCCTTTGTGGTGATGCGGCACGGCATCGCAAAGGATGACAATATGCCAGCTGAGCTTGGATGCTATTTCTGCAACGACGTTGTAGCGCCGGCTAATGTAAGATTCCCGAAGAAAGAACCTGATCTAGACAGAGCTGACAGAGGGATAGTCTATCAAGGATCAGACTCTCGACCAACAATGTACAGTGACGCGCCCTGGAGCGGCTCCCATAGCCTCCGCGCTTTTGGTGGAGCTCTTTGTGTCGCTTCTTCAACACCAGCAAGGCGCCGCCGCGCCAGCCCCTCTCTCCCACAACACCGAGAGTGATGATCACCCCCTGGGTGTTGTGCCCCATCAGATTCGGGGATTCCTATCCACTTTTGAAAACTTATCGGTCACTGGCAAAAGTTATTCTAGCTGCAGTGCATGCTCGGATAAAGTTGTCAATGCATACCACGAGCAGGGTTGGGACTTTGTACGGAGAGCTCTGAATGAACAGGGCTATGTGGAAGAACTGAGTGGACTGAAAGAGGTTAGTGATGTGCCTGGACTGTTCACTTCCCCCAAACTGACACATAGTAGGTTCACGAAAAGGCGGAAGCGGCACTAGCCGATATTGAGTGGGATGAAACATCCGACAATGGAGAGATCGAAATGCTTTAGACAAGATCTTATGACCTTGCGAATATGCCATGGTCTACCAACCGGCAGGATTTCTGATCATCTCACGATTTTCGCTCCAGGCCGACGAAGAAAGCCTCCTTGGATTCCTGTCGATTGCTTTTTAGTCATAGACATTTGTAAATTGGACAGGGCCAATCATACACTGCGAGACGATTCAGGTTTCAGTCGGTGAACCTTCTTAAATAACTCTTTGAGCTGCTGCTCTAGTTCTTTATCCTCGGCGCCTTGGTAAAACTTGCAGACGAAATGACCGCCTTCCTTCAAGACGTCCGAACTGAAGCGCAAAGCCGCGTGGCAGAGATCCTGCGTGGAGTTAGAAGCGTTACACAGATACATAGATTGAGTAAGAGATCATACCATACTCCCAGCATGGTCTCTGAAACTGACACCACTGGTGTTCATCATCCTGTTATAAGGAGCACTTAGACTTCGTTTCCAAAAACCCGAGGTCTGGTACCAGGGAGCAGACATATCACTGAGAACCACATCCACCGTCCTTTCGAGTATCTTATCAACTCCATTACTCGTTTCCTCGGCCCCGACAGTGCATTCAGAATCCGAGTTCGGCTCCAACAGACTGACACTAGAATCTTGCAAAAAATCGGGTTGGCGTGGCCTGCCTCTATCTGGACTGCGAAGGAAGTCTCGGATGTACGTTTGGATTTCAGGCGCGAGGAAATTCCCTTGGATCGTAGAAACTCCTTTCGGCGGTTGTGCTGGAATGATATCGACCCCGAGGACCCGGCCATACGGGTGAGTACGGCTAGCAGCAACCTATCCTGGTAGTTAGGTATACCGCGATCAACAGCAACAGAGGAGAAAGGTAAAACGAAGAGAGAATGATCGACACACCTGCGACCATGAGCCGGGAGCGTAACCCTGCATACAACGAGTATTAGAAGATTAATCCGGACCTAGGTTCAATGACCAGCATACCAGATCAACAACTGTCTGTCCTCCCTTAAATATTCGATATTTCTCATCAATCTAAAGGTAAATGGATATCAGATAAATCCGGCCCGATGGATATATAGCGGTAGTATATGTTCAATTACCTGCAGCAATTTGAAAGCAGCTCGGCTTTTCAACCCTTGAACAGTTGCCTCTCTGGTGAACTGATCCTTTTGCTGCCGGGCTTGCCAGCGTTTGGACGAAGCCTGCCTTGTCTGGCCAATTACCTGTAATTGGCAGGCATTTCTCCAAAGTCGAGTTGGGTATAAAGGAAACATATTGTAGATTGAAAGCCGGAGAAAGCGATTTGGCTCAAGGATAACACCTGGGGCCTTTCTTTTTATTTTCTGCCAGCAGAAACGGACGATACCGCCTGAGTTTCCAAGTCGGTCCTCATCAAGATCAACCTCGGCATGTGCGGGTATAGATAAGTGAACTATTCTGACGAATCCCTAACTAGTTACCATGTAGGCTTAAGGAATAGGCTTGATATAGGAAATAGAAATTGGAAAAAGGGTAAGGGTTCTCTATTCCTATCATTAGAATCGTTTACGGTCTTTTTTCAAGGGAGAAAATCCCATCGGTGCACCGAACCCAAGACTAGTCGAGGTACTGGGCTGTTGTCTATTCCCCAATGTTGGGCCTCGTCCATGGACCATTGCATGTTTTCGCTTGATTTTCAAATTGCCGAGTTCTTCCTCTTCCTCTTCCTCGAACAAACTTCGATCACGCTGGCCACCGAGTTTGCGCTTTTTGGGTTTAGTTTGTTCATGTTCTGACCCCTCGTGTAGCTCATCAGTTTCTGTGGGTTGCATCATGCGATCTAAACGATTGGAAGCTTTCTTGGCCTCCTTTGCTGGTGCCGAAATAGCCGTTGCGCTCTCACGTCCTCCTGGCCTTGGTTTGGGGGCCTTTGGAATGGGATTGCGATCTTCTGTTGGGGAAAGTTGGCGCCGTAGGGCAGAACCGACACGGTTTGGTCCGCCAAAGATGCCCCGTTTGCCAAGTAATTCATGACTTCTGTCTGGATCACCAAGGATGTCGTCTTCATCGCCCGATGGGCTCATTGGAGAATCCGAAGGTGCGCCTGTGCGATTCAAAAAGGGGGTGATGGAAAACGCAGACTTATCACCAGGCATCGCCGAATCCTTCCTCAGTTTCTCTTGCATACGAACAGCCCCAGGGGTTGCAATTGTCACGTTGGCGTGGCCACTGGGGCCAGGGCGCTGAAGAGGGACTGCCCGAGAGCTGGATTCAAAATCACTCTGGTTCCCTGCGTGTTGCTTCAGGCCGCGTCGCTGTTGGACTTCCGTTTGAATTTCCTGCAGCTTATCCTTGGTGGACCGCAAATGTTGTTTGAGCGAATTAATATTGCCTTCAAGCGTTGCTCGCTGATTTGCCCATGCTGAGTTCTGATGTTGGAAGTCACGTTGCTGCTGTTGCTTTGCTCGCATTTCCACTGCTAATTGATTTTGCAACTCTTCGACTCGGGCAGAAAGCCGAGCAATCTCTGCCGCTTGCTGTGACCCCTTGGCCTGAGTGCGTTCGTGAGCGTGTCTTTCATTGTCGAATTGAACTTCTAGAGAGATTATTTGTCGTTCAACATCATGTTTCTCGGCAATGAAGCTTTGATGCAATGTATTTTGTGCCTTGAGCCGCTGGAGCTCTGCCTGTAGAGTCGAATTCTCCCTGGAGAGGTGGGCTTTCTCTGCAAGAAGAGTATTGTAGCTGGTTGAGTTGTTCCTCCGGGTTGAGAGTTCTTCCTGTTATTGTCAACAAGGCGAATTATGCATAAAGCTTTGGATATGTACAATCGGAACTTACTTTAAGTCGTTCAATTTCCGCCGAGTAAGCTTGTCCTTGACGCTCTAAACGATCAATATCCTGACAAGCATCCTTGAGCTGAACACAAGCCTCGGAATCAGTGCTTGTCAGGCCCATAAGGTGCCCTTTAGCTTCCTCTAGCTCTGATCGGAGGGCTTCGTTATCAAACCTCAGAAGCATAAGCTCCACCCGCCGCATGCGATCCCTCTCGTCATCTAAGAGACGCGCGGAATCCGAGAGAGTCTTCTCATACTCTCGCTCCAAGTGCAAAGTCCTCATGGACATTTCAAACTGAATCAAGAAAAAAAGAGATTAGCAGTTTGAGCATGTCCTCATCTGTCTTCAGAAAAAAACATACGTCCAAAGCGGATGCCTTTCCGGCCATTGTCATTGCGACAGAGTTCACTGGACAGGAGCCCTTTGGCATAAACAAAATAAGAAGGCTATAATATATTTGAGGCAAGCCTAGAGTAGGAAGTATCGGGGTAAAATATGCTGTTGTATCAATGTTTGTTTAAGCATAAGACGGGATTGCCCCGGAAGACGCGTCGGTGTTTTGGCGTTGGGATTCAGGGCTCGGAGCCGGCTCCGAGCGCATTAGGTAAGCTGGTATCGGTCGTGATTACGTTGATAATGGACACCTGGACTTAAAGCAGTCAACGTGTTCAAACATCTTCAGCAACTGTGCAACCGATTGATATTTTTCAGTCAATTGCACTTTAGCTACCCCTTTGAAGCTATCCAGCTTCTTCTCATGCCAAGATGAAGCTCTGGACGCCACTTTTCTTGCTCCTCTCGGTGGTGTCTGGCGTCCTATCTACGAGCTCGACACCGGACAAATTCGCAAAATATCACTCCTTGTCTCGTTCAGGACCTGTTGATTTGGACAGCTCCTCATATGAGGATCTCATCTCCACACCTCGTGATTACTATGCCGTGGTCATTTTGACTGCCACCGATGTGCGCTTTGGGTGCCTTCTATGCCGCGACTTCGAATCTGAATGGGACCTGATCGCCCGCAGTTGGAACAAGGGCACCAAGCCCGAGGAACTCAAGGTGGTCTTTGGAACACTTGACTTTGACAATGGCAAGGCTGTTTTCCAGAAGGTAGGCACCGTTACTTGGACTAAGCTCTGTTGACACATTGACTGACCTAAGCAGCTGATGCTCCAAACTGCACCGGTGCTCCTTATATTCCCTCCCACCATCGGTCCCTTAGCCAAGGTTGAAGGGGACCCCATCCGGTTTGATTTTACTGGGTACGTTCTCCGTGCAGGGTGTTACGTCCAACCGCTATCCCACTAACATGTCAATCTCAAATAGCCCAATCTCAGCCGACCAGGTCTATTCTTGGATTGGACGTCACCTGCCCGAAGGCCCCAAGCCGCAATTGGTCCGGCCCATCAACTACATGCGGATCATATCAGCAATCGTCATTTTGATGGCTGTTGTGACCGCATTTGCAGTGCTTTCACCCTACGTGCTGCCAATTGTCCAGAGCCGAACCCTCTGGGCTGCAATTAGCCTAATTGCCATTCTTCTGTTTACAAGTGGTCAAATGTTCAATCACATTCGGAAGGTCCCATACGTTACCAGTGATGGTCGAGGTGGCATAAGCTACTTTGCGGGTGGGTTCCAGAACCAGTTCGGATTGGAGACTCAAATTGTGGCTGCTATCTGTAAGTGACGATTGCAATGCTCTGTTATGCAAAGATTCCACGCTAATATATCTTTCTTACACAGACGCTGTCCTATCTTTCGCCACAATTGTACTCGCACTGAAAGTTCCCCGGATGGAGGATGTCAAAGGTCAACAGCTGGCTGTCGTGATCTGGGCAACCGTTCTTTTCGTGACGTACGGTTTCCTTCTCAGTGTCTTCAAGGCTAAGAATGGTGGCTATCCATTCTATCTGCCACCATTTTAGAGCCAGCTTGTTGTACACCCCGTTCAGCATGGCAACTGGAATAAATCCTTGTCTGCATGACGTGGGCTCATTTCCTGCTAGGTCCCGTGTATATCATGAAGATCAGAATTCAATCTGGTCAAAGGGATCAGTGGGAGGAAGCCGATGCTTGTTTAAGTGGATAACCATCTACGGATGGCGCCTACAACCAAGACACAAGATATTGTAACTCTACTGCGTATGTAAAAGGGCCGGGAGATTAGACAGAATTGTTACAAGAAATCCAGCAATTGGTATCCGAAATCATCTCGGTTGCCTGGCAATTGGCCCACTCGATAGCACAAATGTCAACGTAGATAAACGGCATAACTATCTGTTGTGGTCTGATATTAGTTATTCCAAGCGTGTGACAAATCTTTCCAACCTTCGAACCTGAAAATAACATCCAAATCGCCCCACTCTTGATCTGTCCCTTTCTACATTTCTACCCCTATATAAATGAACCATCTCGCCTTTATCCTTGGTTTCATTTTTCAGGATATCCATATCTTGTACCTGAGGTCATGGGCGCGGTCAAACCTGATGCCCATATGGGCAAGATCTTGGCCTCGTCAACCACAGGCACCAGCTTCTTGATTCTAATTCAATTGGCCTCCCGAATCTTCACGTTTGCGTCAAATCAACTGATTCTACGCACCCTTTCACCTGTCGTGCTAGGGGTAGCAACGCAACTGGAGCTCTTCCAGGTTTCAATACTGTATTTTTCACGAGAAAGCATTCGAATGGCCATTCAACGCCAGCCTATTTCACCACTGTCCAGCAATGACCCAGTCTGTGAAGCAAAGCCAGCCGCAGAGAAACAGTCTGTGATGTCTCAAACCGTGGTGAACGTGTCTTACTTGAGCCTCGTCCTCGGCATTCCTGCGAGCCTTATGTTCGCTATGATGTACCTGCGAGTCGTCCCAGAGGAAGCGTCGAATATCGCATTCTTCTATCCGAGTGTGATACTGACAGGGGCTGCTTCTCTTATGGAGCTCACAATTGAGCCTTTTTTCTCAGTAGTGCAGCAACATATGCTTTACGAGACGCGTGCTGCGGTTGAAATGCCAGCCGCATTTCTGAGAAGTGCAGTGACGTCCTTGACTTTCATACATGCTTCTCGAGTTGGTCGTAATCTCGGCGTGCTACCGTTTGCTCTTGGTCATCTCAGTTACTCGCTCGCCCTCGTCTGCGGCTACTCGCTAGCGTTACTGAACAGACCCAGCACAGGGCGCTTCTCTTTCTTATTGACACGCGTGCAGTCCAGGTAAGATTTGCCATATTATTTGCCGAGCATATGGCACGGAGAACGGTACGATAACCATCTATAGCGACTCATCTGGTTACATATTGGGACTGTTTTCACGCCCATTGACGTCGCTTGCTGCCAATGTCTTTCTCCAATCTCTAGTGAAGCATTTGCTCACGCAGGGCGATACTATGATGCTTGCCGCCCTTTCAGGACTAGAAGACCAGGGTATTTACTCTCTTGCATCGAACTATGGCGGCCTCGTTGCACGGATCATCTTCCAGCCATTGGAGGAGAGCAGCCGGAACCTGTTCTCGGTCTTGCTGAGCCGTGACGAGAATGGGAATCTGAAGGATATCCATATCCGCACTGCGAAAGATCATCTCATAGATATTTTACGTGCGTATCAATTGCTGTCGGTCATCATCTTTCCGTTGGGCCCAATGATGGTGCCACAGTTGCTGCACATCCTTGGAGGTCGTCAATGGGCTTCCCCCAAAGTCGGGGATCTTCTCTCCATATATTGCTACTATATTCCCTTTCTGGCGTTCAATGGAATCACCGAAGCTTTCGTGTCCTCCGCAGCAAACTCGCAACAGATACGGAAGCAAACAGGTTGGATGGGTGTCTTTTCCGTCTGTTATGCCTTAGCGGCGTATATGTTTCTCGAAGTAGGGCACCTGGGAGCCTACGGACTGGTCCTAGCCAACATTGTGAACATGGCCGTTCGGACCTGTTGGAGCTACACCTTTATTAAATCGTACCTGCGACGAAACGAACACAGCCTGTACGCAGCCGAAGTGGCCATCCGACCTGCTAGCTTCATCACCTGTGCTCTGGCGAGCTGGCTCACAAGCGGACGCAGTTTCGGCAAACCAGAATTGGGATTGATCAAAGCATGCTCCCTAAGTGGCAGCTATGCTCTTCTGATGTAAGTACTTATGTATCTCTCGATATAATCATGTTCATTGGACACCAACGCCTAACCAAAACAATAGAGCATACATAGAAAGGGAATATGCAATGAGTCAAATAGCAAGGCTTCGTCACGTGCTATCATCTCGCACCAAACGCACCAAGTCGGATTAGGCAGATCAAATCTCTTAATCGTCAAATGTGATCTTTGTTGCCGTCTTGTCCATGTCAACGTCTTTGAAGAAGGCACCGTACGCATCGTGTTGCTTCTTCTTGACTGTTGTTCCAAATTTCAACAAAGACTCCGGCACATCTTGTTTAGCTGCCTTGAGAACATTGATCAACCTATTCATAGTTCATAATCAGCATTGCATTCTTCACTTCAGTCAAGGGATAAACGAGTAACGTACCCGCCAGAGAGTGCCTTGTCGGTTTCAGTGAACATGGTGATGGCATGACCATCAGCACCAGCACGTCCAGTTCTTCCGATCCGGTGCACGTAATCCTCGACCGTAAGGGGGAAAGTGACATTTATCACCAATTTCACGTTCGGGATATCAAGGCCACGCGCTGCCACATCGGTTGCGACAAGGATAGTAGCATTCCCCTTCTTGAACGCATCCAGGTTTCGGAATCTGTCTGACTGATTCAAGTCACCGTGAATACCGGCAACTTTGAATCCCTTGTTTCTGATGAGATTCTCAATTCGCATAGCTTCCTTCTTGTAAAGACAGAACACCAGGACTTTCTCAGGCGATTGATGACCCCGCTGGGACTTGGAGAGTAGCTGCACGAGGCGGCCCTCCTTCTCTCGACCGTCCATAACCTCGACGACTTGCTTGATCCTCGTGTTGGCGCGCGGATCCGCAGATGGGTCTCCGCCAATGGTGACAGTCACCGGAGTCTGCATGAAAGTTGCTGCGAGGTCTCTGACCGATCGGGGCCACGTTGCCGTAAACATGACCGTCTGTCTTCTGGAGACGGGCATCGGCTTGACAATATCTTTGATATCCTGCTCAAAACCTTTGTCGAGCATGCGATCTGCCTCATCCAAGACGAGGTAATTGACCTTCCCAAGATCAATAGACCCATCATTCTGGAGGTCTTTGAGACGACCGGGAGTGGCGACCACAATAGCGGCCTTTTGAAGAGCACGACGCTGCTCATCCTTACCCACACCTCCGTAAATGCATGTGACCCGAGTTTTCTCATGGGTGCCGAATTTGACCAGCTGGTCATAAATCTGCATTGCAAGCTCTCGAGTCGGTGAGATTATCACTGCTCTAGGTTGACAAGGTTTCTTGCTTGACTTGGAGTCAATCAATTTCTTCAGACACGGCAAGCCAAAGCCCAGGGTCTTGCCACTTCCAGTCTCTGCAATGCCAATCACATCACGGCCAGCAAAAAGAAGCGGCCAGGTGGTAGATTGGATCGGCGTTGGCGCGGGGAAAGCCTTCAATTGGGCGTACAGGCCAGCATCGCATTCGGGCAGATGATCAAACGAAAGTAGGGGACGAAATTGAGGAGCATCCGGTGATGGGTCAGCGATTTTGATCACGTTTTCGGTCAGAAAACTGTCAATTTCTGACTGAGGGATGTTGGAGAGAGCAGATGCATCAGAATAGTCCGCAGTTGTCTCCTTGCCATTTCCCTGCTTATCTTTGGAAGCCTTTGCGGGCTTCTCGGATTTCTCAGATTTTGATTTCTTCTTCGATGGCTGCTCAATTGAGTCGTGATGGCTTCGCTTACCCATGACGAGGGTTGTGCAAGGCAAAGTATATCACAGAGGGAAGTTGTAAGAAGACGACGGGTAGTTTGACCAAATGTGGGAAGTCAGACGTGATGTCTTTGGCCTGAATTCCTCCAGCACAAAAAAAAAAAAAAAAAAAGACGCAGGGCAGTTTATTGCCATAAATTCCCGCCTTTTCGACTTACCGCCTAAAGGCCACTTCGGAACAAATCTTAGCAGCTTCGAAGCTTCCGAGAGGTTGCTACAATTCCCTACTAAAGGTGTACATAACTACTAATAGCTTTCGGAGTCCATGAATAACCTCTTCCTGGACACAGTCACCTGCACCTGACCTTGAAATTATTCTTGTCGAATATAATCAATGAGGACAAACTATCTTTTGGTTAAAGTACTACATAATAAAAAAGGACAGGAAAAACCAATCAAGATAAAGAAGCCGGGAATGAGAGTAGAGCCTGTCTCAAACAAAGAAAGAAAAAATATTGCCTGAGCTTGATGAACCTCTTGGGGCTTTTGACGCAGCGAATCTTGTAAAACCAGTAGAAGATAGAGAAATCACAGCCCACTTTGCCTGCATCTACTCAATGGCGTAAGAGTTGATGATATCGGCAAGTCGAGATGCTTCTTCCGAGTAATTGATTGCCTGGGACGACAGAACTTGGTATCGCACACTGTGTAGCACTATTAGCATGGCATTCAGGGGATTGGAACTACCGTCATTCTTACCGTTGCTGGTCGCCAAAGTTGTCAATCTTGGCTCGGCACCTGAAATTCCAGGTCTGGCAATTCGCAGATTGGAATACTTCACCGAAAGCGTTAGGGTCGTCTTCACGAAGTTGCATCAGTTCATCAGCAGAGGTGCCCATGATGTTTCTTCCGGTGTCATCAAAGCAGCTGAGCCACAGCTGGCCAGTATGGTCGCTGACACTGATGGGCATGATGAAGCGATATTCCGGCTTTGGGTGAGTCTTGTCACACATCTCACATCGCCAATGCCCCGGATCAAGCTCCGTTACCTTTTTGTTACAATTGTCAGAAAGGCAGGCAGGGTAGCTCCAGGTAGAGTCCTGCTTGATGTAGATCACTGTTGCTTTCAGAGAGAAGTAGTCGGGTGTTTCGGACATGCCCAGTTGTTCTTCGCGGACCTGTGCAACGGTTTTGAATTGGTCCTTCTTGCCCCCGGAGTTGGTGGCATTGGACAGCGAAGCATGAGATGTAAAATTCTCCGACCTGCCTTGAGCATCATACCAGCCTCTGAGTCGGTGAGCCTCCCCAATGTCAGGATCAACTGTCATTGAGCCCGAGCTCAAAAGACTCAGACTCCGTCCGCCGAAGTCAGAGACCTTCACTCCTTTGAAAGCAACAACAGATTCGGGTGTCACATTGAAATTATTTGCAGAGGCGCCCCAGACTGTCAGACGGACGGAAAATCCAGTGTTGTCAACCAATGTAAGCTCCCGTTTGTCATAAGGTTTACCAGTGCTCTTTGACATGATCTGAGATGTCTCCCCGACATCCTTCAACACGCCAATGACATCAGTGGTCGTGTCTTTCTCGACAGTTTGCAAATCAGCAATAGTGGTGAAGTTGAACCGAATCTGAGGCACATCATTCTGCTCTTCGGCCTATCACATAAAATCAGTCGCGTGTTCAAGGATGTGGGAAGAAAAAGCGAAAGAGAGTCTTACCTTCTCAACAATAGTATCCCTCTCAAATGCGAGCTCATAGTCGTTGTTGAGATTTGTGAATTGCTTCTTGGCAATTTGGACGCGGCAGGGGCTTGAAATATAATAGACACCTCCCTCCTGGAAGAGTTCATAGAGCATGTCACACTGGTCATTGAAACCAGTGGCACGAATTTCACCACTGTCATCCAATAAATTGACACTGAAAAGTTTGCCCTCACCATTCTTGTTGTGCCATGTTTTGATGGCGGACTTGCTCGTGCATCGAGCTTTTATGGTCCATTTATTGGAATATGGGGAGATAGCCTCGATGGGGTAGATTGTAGCATGAGCAGAGGGGGTAGCCGCAGGGGCAGCCATGGGCTGAGCTCGGCGATTTGGCTGGACCTGCGCGCCTTCTACCTTGGCCCCGTAAAACCCATTGCTGGAGATCGTCGTCGGCTGACTCACTTCCCCTTCCTCGGCCTTGACCTCGAGTGGTTTGGGTTCACCAATTTTTTCAGCCTCGCCTAGTTCTTTCAAAACTTCAAGGTCCAAAATGATGAGGATTCTGCAGATATTAGCACGATCTCAAGTGGCACAGGTGCTTCACATACTTCTTGCCCTTGACGGAGTTTGATTGGAATGACTTCAGTCGCACAAAACAACCCTTACGAAGGGATCCATCTGTCACCACGGGATTGGCTTCTTGAAACAATCAGTAAGCCTGGTTAACTGCCGAGAGTATCAGATAGAGCTTCACGTACGTGTGGCAAGCATGGTTTGAACATAGTTTGCAATATCGCTGAAGACTGCCCGGTAACGTTCTGGTTGGCCAGGCTGAGCTGGCAAGGCCTTGATCTGGACGCATTGAACAACTGGCTCCCGCACTTGAGGCTTAGTTTCGTCAAATATGGCACTGTTGAGATATTATTAGTAACCACAATTTGTTCAACTTTCCCCTTGTGGCTCAACACACCTGAGAGCCCCAACATTGACTTGGGATGCTGCGTCGAAAGCCATGGTGTGATAATTTCCGGCTTCTGAGATTCAGCGAACGATAGAAGGAAACCCTGTAGAAGATATGAAGGATTGAAAGAGAATTCGATAAGTCAAAGAGAAATACTTCTAAAAGTAAAAAGAAGAGGGTTGATGAAGCAAGCCCGGATCGAGTTGCAAAGTAGTTACTAGGCAGCAGGACGCGTGTTGAGGAAAATAACGCGTTAAGTGGCACAACCCCACCACATGACTTCCTGCCTCAGGACAGACCACTGCCTGATAACAGCACGTGTAGGCGGTGAGAAGCAAAAGGCAGAGGCGCCCCACGTATCCCGCCTTTGGCTTGATCTGCTGTAGTGCTTCCTTGTCCCCTCTACACAGCAGGTCCAACCAGATACTTCGACACCTTTGAAAAAGAGGTGGTTACCACACTGAACTCTGCTGGTACTTGGATGAGTCTATGATTTTTCTCTCTCAACATGGCCTCGTGTGTTCACTCTAATGCTGCAGGTTTGTGACATCACTACCTTGGTAATCGCGGACAAAGTAAGCTAACAAGGAATGGTGCGTAACAGACCTGAAACCGCCTGGACCCTCAGAGGCAGTTTATCGAGAAGACTGCACTCAGTGCTTCGATTCCATTGTAAGCCAGCCAATTTGGCTCCCAGCCTTCTCTATATTGGTCTGACTCTGACCTTGCAAGGATGATGATGCCGGTCTCAATGTTTGTCTCCATTGTTTCAATGGTGGATGTGCAGGACACAGGGACCATGCCTTACTTCACTACAAGCGATTCGGCCACTCCCTGGCCTTGAATATTCGAAGGACCCCAAAAAAAGTACAGGTACATCCTCCGCCAATCCTTGAGTTCGTACACAATGATCCTTATGTTCCCATTTTAGCGCGACGAGCCTCCGCCAAAGATATCCAAGCTTGCCATTGCGGCCGAAACAGAAGAGGATAGATATGACATTGCGACTTCGGTGGTGTGTTATTCATGCTCTCAGCACAATATCGACAAAACCCAAGGAAAACTTCCCATGATCATTGACGGTATCATGAACGCAATAACTTTCTCAAAAAGAGAGGAAATCAAAGCCTGGGAACAGGAGTTTGTCCCATGCGAGCACACGCTTTGTCTAACTCAAGACGACACTAAGCAAGCCGCATCCACGGGTATTGATATCCTGTAAAGATCTCAACCAGGTGCATTGCTAACAAAGGACTATAGATTCAAACCACTGCTCAGAGTGCGATCTGGGTGAGAACCTTTGGTTATGTCTGGAATGCGGGAACAAGGGATGTGGGCGAAGTCAGTTTGGTGGCAGCAAGGGAAATTCACATGGGCTCACTCATGCCAACTCAACCTCGCACGCCGTGGCTGTCAAACTTGGCTCTATCACAGCAGAGGGCTCCGCTGACGTCTACTGCTATAAATGCAACGAGGAAAGAGTAGACCCAGAGCTGGCCACTCACCTTGCACACTGGGGCATCCTCTTGGCCGGACGTGAGAAAACGGAGAAGAGCCTGATGGAGATGCAGGTCGAGCATAACCTACAATGGGACTTTTCCATGACGACTGAGGACGGACGAGAGCTGACTCCAGTCTTTGGGCCTACATTTACAGGTCTCGCCAACCTGGGTAACAGCTGCTACCTCTCCAGCATCATGCAATGCATATTCTCAGTAAGCGGGTTTCGTGAACGATACTATCACCCATCCAAAGAACCACCGCTATGTCAAGCACCAGCTCAGGACCTTGAGACACAATTGCGAAAACTTGCCGACGGTCTACTCTCTGGTCGGTACTCGCGGCCTGACTCCCGGATGATGTCGCCCACGGATATTCAGGAAGTTGCTCATCAAAAAGGCTTGGCACCAGCAATGTTCAAGTATCTTGTTGGGCAAGGTCATGAGGAATTTGCAACCATGAGACAGCAGGATGCATTTGAATTCCTCCTCCATCTGTTCAAGTCGGTCAGCCTATCGAAGCACTCCAGCTTGCATGATAACCCGGTACAGTACTTCCGTTTCCAGGTCGAGCAGCGTCTTCAGTGCTTGAACTGCAAGAAAGTCCGCTACAAGGTGGACGAGCAAGATAACATCTCAGTCGCTGTTCCCGCGCGTCCTATCAATGCTTCCGGCGAGACCGAAAAAGTCTATGAATCTGTACATTTGTCAGAGTGTCTAGACATCTTTACATCAACCGAGGTTGTTGAGCTTACATGCCCTGGTTGTGGCAGTCAGGACGGCTTCTCCAAACGGTCGTCATTTAAAACACTGCCGCAAGAATTGGTAGTCAATGCTCGTCGGTTCGAGCTAGTCAATTGGGTTCCTACAAAATTGGATATCCCTGTGCTGGTCGACGACGGGCCAGTGGATTTCAGTTCTTACCTTGCTGTTGAGCATGACGCAGGCGAGGAGCCACTTCCGGAGGTCGATGACTCCCCCGCATTTGTCCCGAATCCGGAAGCTCTCGATCAACTCATCGGCATGGGATTCCCTGCTGTGAGGTGTGAGAAAGCTCTACATGCCACTGGTAATCTGGATTCAGAAGCTGCCATGAATTGGCTTTTTGCCCATATGGAAGATCCGGACATCGATGAACCACTAGTCCTTGTTGGTCGGGCCCACAGCTCTGGCATCGGTGCGCAAGACGCAACAAAAATCTCACAGTTGGGAGATATGGGTATCGAGGCATCCCATGCCCAGCGAGCGTTGGCTGCGACGGATGGTGATGTTAATAGGGCGCTAGATTGGGTGTTCAGTCATCCTGACAATGGGGTGGATGAAGAGAATATGGACAATCCTGACGCAGAGGCTCATGATAAAGCAGTTGGGCTGACCGATCGACCAGCTCGCTACGAGTTAAGGTCGATTGTATGCCACAAGGGCACATCTGTCCATGCAGGGTGAGTTGCTCAACGTCTCTTTGTTGATTCTCCGGTCAAGCTAACAATCTGCAGGCATTATGTTGCTTTGATCCGCAAGGAATTGCCAGGTCAAAGTGGCTTGTCATGGGTGATGTTCAATGATGAGAAAGTTGTCAAGTTCGAAGATATCGAAGCGATGAAAAAGACCGCTTATCTTTACTTCTTCACGCGCGTTTAGCGGTTCTCTGTTGGAGTGAGCGTTGCCTCGATGATGTTGTCTCGCAGAGTCACGGTATCAGACTATGGGTTGGTCTCTTACGGGATATCTTTCCGTTTTGCGGGTGCTACATAGAATATACCAAGTGACAAGAGTAGAGGCGTTTTGAACCTGATCTTGCAAGTTGCGGATGTCTCTCGTATTCCCTCCCCTCTGCGGATTTCCGAGGGGTTATCACAACATAAAATACACTTTTCGGCCAAGCATATGCCAATCCAGCCGATATTTTGACTCGTGGCTACGATCCTACAAGGAGTACGATGTATCTAGATCCCTGTGTTCAATCTCACCATTGTTACTTGTGCTACAACAGAGAACCTCAGTGACTCGTATAACTTGATTATACCGTGACATCCACAACGATCAGATCAGTACCTTGGTATAGATCTGCTCGGCGCCCCACCTAGCATCTCCCTTTGATACCCTCAAGGGGACTCAGCCCGTATAAAACCTTGCAGTCAACGGTACGGTTGAGAGGCAGATCATCGACATAGGAAGCCCAGTCATATTCCTACCTTGGCGACGTGTGAAGGAAAAGACGGAAGACTTGGGATTGACGGGGCCCAGCGGATACCCTGTCAAGATCTCTCACCCTTCATGGTTTCGATCTACCACGCCATGGGATCTTGTGACAGATCTCCGCGAAGATCCGCCAGATTGCCTCCACGTTTCGGAACCATGGGACCTCTAATCATTGTGTCCTCCTATCTTGCCACTGATGTGAGCGTCGGGGATAACGACCCCAGGCTTGTGGGATATTATGAAGAGATTCAGTTTCTGTATTCATTAGGCAATAAACTGATGACAAGTTAGAAGTTTATCACTTTATTTTGATATATTCTCGTACACTCGATAACTACCGTTTTGCCTGATAGTTCACCCGCACGTGAAAATCTCTATTGTCTTCACACGACGACTAGTTGGTCGCGCGTAACACATTGAACAGCGTCTCGAATCAAGCTTCATGTTCGCTTGATGGGCCCAAAGCAACTACCACAGGTGGTCCAGACGATGAAGACAATCATTCCGGATGCTTCTGAGCAATCACCAGAGATGACTGACGAGGAGTTGTCGCAGTACATGATTGCGAAGCAGGAAAGACTGTACGCGACATCAAGCGAACATGAAGCTTGGTTCGAGACGATGTTCAATGTGTTACGCACAACCAACTAGTCGTCGCCAAGGTAGGAATATGACTGGGCTTCCTATGTCGATGATCTGCCGCTCAACCGTACCGTTGCCTGGGAGGCCTTATACGGGCTGAGTCCTTTTGAGGGCATCAAAGGGAGATGCTAGTTGGGGCGCCGAGCAGATCTATACCAAGGTACTGATCTGATCGTTGTGGATGTCACGGTATAATCAAGTTATACGAGTCACTGAGGTTCTCTGTTGTAGCACAAGTAACAATGGTGAGATTGAACACAGGGATCTAGATACATGATCGAGGTCCTTTATATACCCTGGGTTCCTTCAAAGTAGAACAATAGAAAAGACTATCAATTTGCAGACTAACAGGATAGTTGCCACAGGTTATTGCAGTACACGCAATCAATGAGATCAGGGATCCCACCTCCCCCTCCTAGGAGTTTCGTTCTCGAGACTCACAAATCTGGGTTCTCCCTTAGGTAGGTGATGTTGAGATGCTTGGTACCTTCCCCGTCGTTGTCTTGGAGATGGACTTGTCCTTGTTTGTTGTCGATTTTATTGGTGAAATTGTTGACTCAACCTTGAGCAACCCAACCCCTAAGGTTCTCGTCGCTCGATAGGTTCTCATGTATTTTCAGCGGTATCATACCCCTTCCATTTTACCAAATAGTGAGGTTTCCCACTAATTCGTGTCTTATCCAGGATCTCTTCGACTTCATACTCGTCTTCGTCTTCCTCGATTTGCACGTTGGTAGCAATTTTGGCGTTTCCCGGTGCTGGTTCGAGTAACGAGATGTGAAACACTGGATAGAGTCTCTTCATGCTTTCCAGCAATTTCAAGCGATAACTGACTGGTCCCAATTTTTCATCAATCACGAATGGTCCTAGTCGTAGATGATCCAATTTGTCGCTAGGTCGCTTGGTTTTGATGTTGCGGCGTAGAAGATAAACCTTCTCCCCCTTTTTGAGGTCAAGCCTCTCCTTGTGTTTCTGGCCGTAGTACATTTTCATCCTCAATGCTAGGAATTCAATGTCCCTGGATAGTTGCTCGTGCAGCTGTCTGAGTCCTGTGACCAGAATTCGTGATGACTCTGCCACTGGTCTCTTACCGATTGGATCTCCGATAATCCTTGGGTGGTAACCGTAATTTGCAAAGAATGGCGTTTCTCCCGTTGTGGAATGCATTGCGTTGTTGTGCGCCAATTGCGCTATTGGTAACAGTGGTGCCCAGTCATCTTGCTGATAGTTGATGTGGCATCTCAAGTACTGTTTAATAGTCTGGTTAACCCTTTCGGTCTGTCCATTTGTTTGCGGATGGTAGGCTGTAGAAAGTCTAAGCTCAATGCCCATCTGGTCCGCAAATGATTGCCACATGCGTGATGTGAATAATTTGTCTCTGTCGGTTGTGATATTTCGCGGTGTTCCGTGCTCCGAGAACACATGTTGAATGATCAGACTGGCCATCTCACTGGCTTCAATGGTCTCCGTGGTTGGAATCATGCAGGCGTACTTGGTGAGCCTGTCGACCACAACCATAATCATGTCACAGTTTTCCGACACTGGTAACTTGGTGATGAAATCCATGGTGATCCATTCCCAAGGCTGGGATGGTACTTCCGATAATTGCAGTTCTCCATATGGCTCATGTCATGCTGGCTTGTTTCGTTGGCATCAATCAGTTGTCACTGTCGATGATGCGGTTATTATTCGGGTTTTCTTGGATCTCTTGCATAAGACGATCCTCGGCCGTTGCATCCCGAAGTTGTCGCATGAACTCATCGTCGTTGAGTTCAGTCAAAGCCACCAGAATCTGTTTGTTATACGAAATTGATCCATCGTCGCTTTGTCTCAATACAGCGGGGTCGGCTGTTTCGGATCCAATCTCATAGTCTGGTCTGCGACTAAGTGCATCTGCCTGGCTGTTCTCAGTTCCTTTGCAATGTTCGATCCTGAAATTGTATTGTGCAAGGGTTTCAGCCCATCGCGCTTGTCGTCTTTGCTATTGTTCTACTTTGAATGAACTCGGGGTATATAAAGGACCTCGATCATGTATCTAGATCCCCGTGTCCAATCCCACCATTGTTACTTGTGCTACAACAGAGAACTATAGTGACTCATATATCTTGATTATACCTTGACACCCACAACGATCAGATCTTTACCTCGGTATAGATGTTACGGCATGTGGGCCTGACACCACCTACCGAACGTAAGTCCAGGCGTTAACCAAAAAGACCACTATAACAACTAACTAGTTGTCATGTCAGGTTTCCAATTCATACCCCCAGTACAGGATCTTAACATTAGATCTGCTCGGCGCCCCAACTAGCATCTCCCTTTGATATCCTCAAAGGGACTCAGCCCGTATAAAACCTTGCAGGCAACGGTACGGTTGAGAGGCAGATCATCGACATAGGAAGCCCAGTCATATTCCTACCTTGGCGACGACTAGTTGGTCTCGCGTAACACCTTCGTTGTCGTGAAGAATGTGAGGTTCTTGGGGTCACTTTTGAGTTTTGACCGTAACTGTGTATTTTGCTCCTTCCAGATATGCTCGCCAGAGCTGAAAGGCGGAGACTATTGCCAATAGCCCCTTACCATGTACATCGTGCCTGAGATCTGCGGGAATCATCTTTCTGGACCAGAAGGCAACTGGTCTGTTCTTCCCGTCCTCTCCTGGTTGCGTCAGTCTTGCTCCCAAGGCAAGATCCGAGGCGTCTGTTTCCATCGTGGTCAGTTTATTGTAATCTAACGTTGCGACAATAGTTCCTTTCCCAAACAGGCTTTTCAGATCTTGAAAGGAGTTTTCCGCGGCGTCGTCCCATTCGAACTTTTGGTCTTTCTTGGTGAGTCGGTAGAGTCCTGATGCGAAGCTGGCATATGTTACGAACCTCAAAGAGGTGCGGGGGCCGCAGCTATTTGAGGGGCAACCATGAACCAATCATTCCGCGGACGCCAGGCACTAGCGTCCTCACGTGCGTTTCGGTATACTTGGGCAGGCCTCAGAAGGCCCCAAGGAGGCTCTCCAGACAAGGGAGCCAGAAGCGACCTACATGCAACCGTCACAAACAATACCCGCTTATCCAACGTAACGGTTAGCGCAACTCAGGAAACGGCCACCACGCACGTGACCAAGGTGGTAGAAGGGTAGCTGGGTATACGGGTAGAACATGCCAAGAGTCATCTACCATTATACCATCTACCGCCATACCACACATACCATCAAGGAGGACTAGATATATAAGGACACTCATTTCACTATCATGTATTTAGTTCTTCGCGATCAATTGCACATTGTTACTTGGTTACTACCTTTGGTACTTTGCACTTCACAGTTCACCCTCAAGACAACCCAACCTACAAGTAGGGGATTCGCCTAGTGGTAACACTTAGTGATTGACTTACTTGGCGCGCACTTCTGGCACGTTCTGCAAGATACTCAACAGGACCCGAACCCGACGTAAGGCTTTGCATAGCAACGGTACGGTTGCGAGATACTCTTGGAATCCGCAGTGGGGACTAGGCAAGTATAACCCGTGGACATCCTAACTCACAGTGACCAGTCGGCTACGCGTAACACATTGATCGCCCTGTCTTTGAACCGTGAAGCAAAGTCATCATGGCAGGCAACGACAGCACCGCAAGCAACGTTTCGAGCAGATCGAGCTCTGCACCCACCAATGCGCAACTAATGGATATGATATCCCAGTTGCAGGAACAACTAGTTCAAGCGCAAAGCAGCTCGCGCTCTGGCAATACCGTCAAACCACCTAAGCCCGAGTTCTACCATGGCGAACGAGCTAAGCTTCGAGCTT